CATTTATTAATTAGGTAATTATACCATTCCTAATAGTATTATTATTTATTTAGTAGTTAATTACCTCTATATAGTTCCTTAGCTCTATAGTAGGTTAGGCACTAGTTATATCTATATTTAATCTATTAGATATTCGAGTGCTATAGGTTTTAGTAGTCTAGGTAGTACTTTTATAAATAGTCTAGGTTCTTATTATAGAAGTGTTTACTAGGGTCTTATTATATATATCTATAATCTACCTATTATCTATCTTTCTTTATAATAATTTCTAGTCGGCGTTTATTATAAGCTTCTAGTAGTATAGAGAATAATAGTAAGATTATTATAGGTAATAATAATATATCTCTATCTTATAGTTAGATTAGTGGTTTATCTAAGTATTCCTATATATTTACTCTATTAGTAAAGATTACTTCTTTACCTTTAAACTATAGGTAAGGTATTAGTATCTACTTAACTTTCTTATCTACTATTTTAGATTATTCTTCTTCTATATCCTCGTAGAGTCGTGAATTGGTTAATAACTCTAATCTAGATTTATTATTAAGTATAAGGTTATTAATAGCATTTATAATAGTCTATTCTTTGTCCTTAATCTCCTTTATTAGGATAGTAAGTATATTTAACTACCTAATAACCTTATTCTTAGATCTATAGTTCCTAGCGATATGGCCTAGTTTACTATATATAAAATATGTGTAAGTCTTAGTTCCTTAGTGTTAGGTTCCATCTAAGATATACATATTAGGCTTATAAAAGCCTAGTCCTTTTCCTTTTTTTTTTACCTAAGTAGTTAAACTAGATATCTTCTATTAGCTAGTATCTATAGGAGTCTTATAATTAGTATTAAGGTCCTTTTAGTAGTACCCTATAAACTATAGGTACTAGTTATCTAAAACTAATATTCCTTAGGTTACATTAAAATTCCTATTATAGTGCGAACTATTCTCTATTAATCCTAATTAATTTATTATATAATTTGTTAAGGGTTCTAATAATTTCTCTACTACGTAGAAGTTCTTCTTATAGAGGTTTCTTAAGACCTTATTTATATATTATTATTAGTAACTTATTATTCTAGTTAAGTTATATAGTATTCTTACGGAACTCTACTATATACTTAGCTACTAATTATTATTATATTATGGTTTAAATATTTTATACTATAATAGGTACTTTATTAGCAATTCTAAATATCTATTTAAGGTATTTCTTAAAATTAGTATAGTCTTTAATAATATTAACCACGTTTATATAGTTATCTACATATTCCTTGTCTTTATTATTATAATCCATTTCTAGATACTTAGTTATATAGGGTTAAATCTATTCTCTAGTATTACCTCGCATATAAGTAGCTATAAAGATAACCTTTTATTTATCTTTAGGTTATTTATTAAGTTTAAAGAAATAGAGGTCTAACTAAAGAAGCTAGATATTAGTATACTTTCTATTACTATAATATAAATTAGGTTTATATACTTTACTCTTAGAGTTACCTATTAGAGTAATAGTATTATTATCTAAAGCTATAGAAAAAGTAGGAGTCCTTATAGTTATATTAAGGGTGTTTAAGATATTAAATTTAGAAAGAGTAGCTAGTTCTAAATAGGTTAAGGTTAGTTCTTAGGTAAGACTTACTAAGGGAAGGAAGAAGGGGTTCTTATTAATATAGAAGTATCTTATAAAGTGTAATAAGTTAATAAGGGAGGCCTAAGTAAATCTAAATAATAGATTAAAACTTAGGTTAAATATAAGTATAAAGGTTTATCCTTATATTCCTATATAGGGATCTTGCTTAGTTACTTAGGGGCCCTAAATAACTAAGTAGGTTATATAATAGCTCTTAGCTACTTAGGTGTTTAGGAACCCTAAGTAGCTAAGTAAGTTATATAACTACTATCTAAGTGACTTAGCGTATCTTTATCTTATTATAACCCTAGCTATTACATCTTCTGCCTTTATAAGCGCCTGAACTTCCCCACCATTATCTAGTTCGTAACAGTTATACTGAAGATTAGTAATGCCAAAGATGTAACTCTTCGTTTACCCTGGACAGGATTGATAACCGAGCAGTCTATATTTACTCATCAGCTCGTACGATCAGACTACGCGTACATGTCGCCGCATGCTCACCGCCCTTAAATCAGTGGTGACTAAGATGCGCCGGTGAGATGGCTGGCACTTGTTTCCACGTGGCACGACGGGAGCCCGGGAAGAGCTGACGCCTCAGACGCCCTACCCCACATTCCCGTAGATTTCAGATTCGCCGCCTTCGCTTACCTAGTTTACGTTTACGATTTTGCTGCTCGGGTCGCGAAGGCAGCGCCGGAAGCTGGGTGTTGCGAAAGGTCTGCGATTAGTGCTCGGTTTAGGTCAGCCTCACGCAAAGCTTCGATGTGGATCGACTACTTGTGTCGGTGGTCGTTTGTAAGATGATCGGAGTCGGAGTAGAGGCCGTGGGTTGTGAGCGTTCAGATTCGTGGGAAGTAAGCGGAAGAGATTGACGAGTAAGGCTATGTTTCTGTGGGGGCACGGCCCGAGCTTCTCCTACAGCCCTACCCGACGCCAACAGAATATTGCATGAGTGAGCGCTAAGCATTTCACGAAGATGGGCTACAGCCAATATCCGAGCGTGCGCGGCGTATGCACCGTATGGATACTCGGAGGTACGGGGCTATACGAGGGAGGGCATGGACCAAAGCACTCTTTCGGAGGAGAGCAACGATGTCGGCCGATAGATTGCGCCGGGGTGTTGATTTCCAAACAGACGTCCATTCCGTACGACAGCAACATTCCTCGGTAGGTTTGATTTTGGAGACCAAGGTGAAGATGTGACGGAGGCGAGGTTCGCCGGGCTGAAGATACGAACGCTCGCTCATAAAAGTGCCGACCCTACACCGGCTGCGCGACTGGGAACGGATGCTGACGTCGAGTGAAACAAGCCACGCAGAATGTTGAGTTGGGTTGCAAGATTTTCCTGTTGCCCTGCATATGCGGACCGCAAGACGCATCGGCAGTAGTGCGCGGCAGGCTGGGTTCCCATACCGCACCGGAACGGTAAAAGGGACAGTGAGAAGAGGAATCAGGACCGAGTGAGGATTGGTCATGATTTGCGAATGCAATGTGCCGACTGCAGCACGAGTCGAGGAACGAGGCAGCGAGCGTCATGATCGACATTCCAAATTCCCCAGACCAACTTAAGCGGAAAGAGAGTTCGCTGGGTCGACGCAGGGCAAGCATGCTTGGATGCTTTGGGGTCTCCAGCCCCGCACCGCCCTGGCATCTCTGACTACCCGTCTTCTCGGATTGGGGCACCGTGACGCTAGGGCGACTGGCGCCCGCTGAGGGGCCCACGGCCGTTGATCTCCAATATTGATATGCGACAACAGCAGCACCCAGATAAGTGGCATGTTCAGACGTGTTTGAGCCACCAAAATAGAATGCAGACGACGGGAGCGTGGCTGATAAGCATGCGGTTATTCCCGAACTGTAGGACCGTAGGACCAAGATGATGTCATGGCGTTTAGCCGACGCCCACCACGACCTTGGCGGCTTCACCCACGGCGCAAGAGGGCCAACGACGCTGCTGCGTTCTTCTGACTCGGGACGTTCCTGTCCATGTTGTATCGGCAGCAGCGCATCCGCTGCACCGGCGCGTCTGGTCGGCAGTCGCTGCATCGCGTCGAGACCGGATGTGGCTTCGCTCGGAGCACTGCCACAGACCCTGCCAAGACGGCGTCTCCGCAGCCAATCGTCGAGGGCGTGGCTCGTGGCCGCAGAATCTTCTCCCAGCACGTTGGCGGCACCCGCTCTGGCTCGACAACGGCTAAACGGCGGCCACACGCTGCACCTGTTACGCCCTAGGTGCTGTGTCCAGAACGCAGAATTTTCCGTGCTCCCCGGTGAATGCTACCGGCCCGGAGACACCGCAGTGTCCAGTGTCCATGTTGCGCTACCACAGCGTCTCTGGCGGGCACCCTGTAGGCACTGCTCCAGTAGACCCGGCTGCGGAGATGCTGTCTACACAGTAGTGTCACGAACCATTGTAGACGACCATCTATTGTACTGCCTCAGCTAACGCATCCCAAGACGTCTGCATGGCCCATCTCGGACCATTTGCATTGCGCGTCACGGTTCCAGAGGAGCTGAGAGGAACGTGTCAGTACCACGAGGCCCTCGCACCGCAGAGGAGGGACAGGTCACGCGCCGTGGCAGGTGACTGCAGAAGCCCGCATCTGTGGCGTTGTCACCTCGCAAGAGGCTCCGTCCCCGTAGAAGGTAGGCCTCCACGGCATGTCGACCACGCTGTCCTGACGATGCTAGCGACGAGTGGCCTGCGGCTCGCGTATCTTGCCGAAGCACTGGCTGTGGCCGTGTACTGCAGCAGTTTGGCTCCTCCGGGTCGTCGACGTCCAGCACCGTCTCCGCACGCCGTTCGCTTGCTAATCGATACCGCGATGCACGACAGGGCTGCATCGCGCCGCCCTACGCCTATTGCTCGTTATATTTGGTGCAGCGCAACGACACGCTATCGGGTGCAGCATCGAGGACTCGGATGGCAGCCGAAGACGTGCACAGCCCTCTATCGATTTTTGCCGGGGTCGTATGCAGGGCCATTAGCGTGCATGCGGGCTCGCGGGCTCATCGTTCCAGAAGGGTTGGTGTGGATGCCGAGCGCCGATCGTGCCTCCAATCGCGGGCGACCCCGGTCTCGTTGCGTCATACGCTGTGGATATGAAAGAAGTCATGGTCCGCGCAGGTTCAGCACCAGCACAAAGGCCGAACACGTTCGCTCAGCATTTTACAATCGTTCCGGCCCAAGGTACAAATCTTCTTAGCCCCGAGTTTCCGAGCGTAGCCGGCTTCTCAGCATTCCACTGCGTTCCATACTAGATCACATCATCAAGGACCGGCCTACTCTCGCCGAGTCATCACTTGGTCATCCGGTATAAAGCATCTCGCCACCCGCCGTGGTCCCTTACTTTTTCTCCGAAAATATGTTAGCACTACCACAGAGACGTCAACACCTCCCACAGACCCACCCTTCCGCTACTCTTCCTTCACCTACATCACCGCAACAGCTTTCCTTCGACCAGCTGTCGCAACAACTCTCGGCACAACAGCTCTACGACCAGAAACTGCTCAACGACTATCTCGAGTCACAGCGGACCTTCGCAGACTCTGCCATCGCCGTCGACGAGGCGTCCAACTCGTTCATGACGAGCGCCTACGACTTCAACCCGTCCATCAGAATCCAGCAGTCGACCCCTACACCGCAGCTACCTGCAGCTTTCCCCCAGTCCTCGATGCACGCCACCGGCGCAACCATCAACAACTGGCACGCATACCAGAACTTGTCTGGCAACGGCCAGTCGCTGCAGACTCCCGCACAAAGTCGGACGGGCAGGACGCATCAGCGCGCGTCCTCTTCGTCATCGGTAGGCTCTGCAGGCTCACAGTACCAGCCTGTTGGTCCGACCGCCAGTTACCCGTACGTCGCGCTCTCCGACAATTTGCCATCGAGCTCAGCTCTACTCGAGTTTGAGTCATGGAACAAAGCTGACCAACATTCAAGAGCCTTCTCGAACGCCTCGAACCATCTTCCGACACCGACGCACACCCCTACACAAGATTCCTTCATGGGATCCAACAACTTCAACAACTACACACCGACCTCGTCTGGCATGGACCCCACCATGGCTGCACACATGTCCATGAAGCAGGCACTCATGGATCAGCATGTACCTGAAGAGGATGTCCCAGGCTTCGTACACTCGGCGCGACATTCAGTATCGAGTTACGGCCACGACTCTCCAGCCACACCTCACACGAGCCATGGCGATGACATGGACTTCAAGATTCCCCCCAACGGTGAGACTCTCCGCAAGGTTGAATCCTGGCTGTTTAATCAGTTCATTGCTTACGATGACGAACCAGAATTGCGACCTGTTCCAAAGTTCGAAAGAACATATACCGACGTTGCTGCCGACTACTCGTTTGACCCCAGCAGTGTAGCGCAAACACAGTCAATACCCCCAACCAAGCCAGCGGCAAACACGCTTCTGTCGCCCTGGCGCAGCAGCAACCCCAACGACATTGTCCAGCGTAGCCTTCAGGCAGCACAGATGGCGCGATCCCAGTCTCCTTCGAGTTCGGCATCGCGTGGTGACTCACCGTTCCGGAGAGGGTCGCCATACAGGCAACCTACCAATTCATTCAACTCTCCTCGCGTCGCCGTCGCAACCGCAGCAGCAGCACGTGAGCAGAAGGTTGAGGCTGATGCAGCTTACGCAATGAAGTCGCAAATGCAGTCAAACGAGGATGCGGTCAAGACAATCTCACCAAAGGACGCGTTACTGGACTACCGAGAAGCCGATGATGATTCCAAGGTGCCATTGTTCCCGGATGGTGGCGCAAGCGAGTACGACCACCAATACAACGGTGGCGACCAATACAGAAACGCCACCCAATCCACCTTTGACACAACATCTGGACAGTCTTACCGAAGAGACAGTTGGGCGACACCTCAGTTTTCACCAAACTTCCCATCGTCTTCGGCTGGCACTTCGCAACCTTCGTCGACTTTTGCATTTGCAGCCCCCTCGATACCAACCAACTACAACGAAGTGTCCAACTTTGCGCCCACCTCGCAGTATCGCACTGCTACCAGCATGGCATCTGCACCGGACGCCAATCCTGAGTTCCCGGCGCATCTTACGTCCATGGAGTCAAGCGCCAGCGAGGCGGGCCTCGAACCGGGTAGTCAGTCGAGCGACCGCCTGGTGAAGCCCGCGGATTCTAGCGCCGACAGTGGGACGTACACATGCACCTATCACGGATGCACGCAGCGCTTCGAAACCCCGCAAAAGCTGCAAAAGCACAAGCGCGAGGGTCATCGCAGCTCTGCGACGACGATGGGGTCCAGCATGACATCAGCGGCTTTGTTGGAACGCAACTCGCAAGCGGGGCCTCACAAGTGCGAGCGAATCAACCCCACGACGGGCAAGCCCTGCAACACCATCTTCTCACGGCCCTACGATCTCACCAGGCACGAGGACACGATCCACAACGCGCGCAAGCAAAAGGTCCGATGCGCACTGTGCGTCGAGGAGAAGACCTTCTCCCGCAATGACGCATTGACCCGCCACATGGTAAGAGTCCACCGTCAGGACACACGTCACAAGCGCAGCGCATACTGACTCCAGACAGCGCGTTGTTCACCCTGAAGTCGACTTTCCCGGCAAGCACAGGCGCCGCGGAGGTAACCACGATTAATCCTTGATTGCTCCTCGGACGTTGTTTATTAGCCTGGCCCCGCGGCCACCAGCCCGATGACGTCTCTGGTATGCGCCTGATCCTGCGACACGGCACCACCTCGCATTGCATCAACGGGCGTTTCTGCTCAGTCCAACGTCGAGGCCGCTTCCGCACCGAGCTGATTCGAATTACGAATCTGATCCTTTGCCACGATGGCCTCATGGTGGGCGGCTTTTCGCCTAAAATTCCTTCGTATCACTCTTGACCTTGGTCGTGCGACATTTCCGCTCCGCCCGACAGTCCGGTCCGTAGGCGTTCACCAGTCGGTTCTCGCAGGTCGGGACCGGACACGGTCTGGCTACTCTTCGGACTCACAGTCCGTTTGCACGGCGTGAGACCTCGTCTTTTCTTATTTGCTTTTTAAGCTGGTTGTAATCAAACTTTGGCTTCTTCGGTTTCGCGTTCAGCGACGGAGTAATGATTTATGAGTACGAAAAGAGCCGGAGATTGATTGAACGCGAAATGCTACGACTATCTAGACAGCACGGCGGCCTTGTTTATCCTGTTTGTTTGGGGGCACGACGCGTGTCCGTCCTATTGTTTTGTTCCTCAGTACTTTGTCGTAATACCTCGTCGCTAATCGCGGCCCTTCTACTGTACATTTACTTTCTGTCTATCAAAAGTCAACTTTCCCGTCACTTTCCCATCGCTCAAATTGCCTGTCTCCCCTTGTACACCAATTCCGAAAGCACTTCGATGTTGTTCCCAGCAATTGCTTGTACAACAAAGCACTTCGTCCTCACAATGTATCACCGCCCTGCACGACCTTCACGCGCACATGATACCCCGAAAGCAAGGGAAGCTTGGTTGTACCATGGTTGGTCATCCGCCACGCACACTCTAGAATCAATCTTCAGTCCATCACACTGTGCGCGCACCATCAAGCTGATTCAGTGACTTCGCGCGCTCCGTGAATAACATGGTACCATCTAGACTCTCGCAAAGCTATGCTGTGCTGTGCACGTATCCTATCCTAGGTACAGCGGTTTCTCTTACTCGCATCTGTACGATGCCTGGCCCCGACAACGCGGCTAACCTAGCCTGATGCTCTCCTCCCTACGCCGTAGACTACTACCTACCCTCATACTCGGTGCACAACGCAACGTACACTAACGCTATAGACGCCCGCCTTGCAGCACCGCGACCCTTGCGCAGCTGAGCCTCGCAGCCGCATCTGGCCCGGGGGGCTCGCATGCTCATACCGCATCGGCGGGCGATGGCATTGTTGGTGTTGTACTGGCGCCTTGTCGGTCAGCACTTTATTCGTGCATCTGGATCTGGACGGTTGAGGCGCGTGTCAGGCCAGATGTGTGTGGGAGAGTGGGCCGCAGCACAGCCACACCCTCGCTCGGTTTTCCTCGGATGGGACGCTGCGATTCTACCATGCAGCTCCCTAGGCCTTCTGAGACAATTTTTTTCCACGGCCGAATGCTACCCGTGGTGTGATGAGATGGTATCGAGATGGATGATTTCGACGTTGCGTGTCGGCGGACATTCGGCGCGCGATGATTGGCGTCATCACCAGACAGGCTTATCGATGGATACTACACCACCAATATCGTCTTCTGTCGCTAAGATTATTGCCCGTGGAAATCTCTTCACGTCACGCCCACCTCCGCGGTCGCTAGAGGGCCTTCGTTCCTGCTGAAACGCACAAGTCCAAGCGCTGCGGGATGCTGCTTGCGCAGACGCCGCCCACGAAACGTCCGCATCGTGACATCTGGGGCAGACTCAAGCGCACACCATCGTCATGCCTTATCAGCCGCCAGACTGCAGCCTCCAGCCTCCAGCATTTACGAGCACTTGGCGCACGTCTTCCCTTTGCTCCCCTCGTTTCATCTTGTCCGCGATCCAAGCGCACAATGACACTGCTACGGATCACTGATTACGCACCAACGTCACGGAACGCAGCCGGCGGATGATGTCGCTTCCTATCGCTAGCCAGGAAGAAACGTTGCGCTGATCGTGACGCTATTGTCGCGTGACTGCGCGCGCTGATTCGTTGGCGGGCCAAGGTGGAGGGATCGGCGTAAGGCGACTATCACGATCATGTTGGACGATGCATCGAGATGGTGACCGCTTGTCGTGAGGAGTTGGCTTGTGTCGGTTGGTACGATCTTCGTGACGAATGAACGAGAGAGCCAGAGAGCGTCTCGACAACCTCGGTGGATTGGGGACGAGGGGACGTTTCGATCTTGACGTGCCTCGCCGCAGACCAGACGAGAACGTGTCGGTAGGTGCATGCGTTTGCTGCATCAAGTTACCCACGGCACCCGCGTGTCTTTCGGTAAAGTGGGGTGCCTTGAGGTTGACGTTCGGCTGTTAAGACTTTTATGTCTCGATCTTTGAGGTCTCCGAATTCCAGAGGTTATGGTCGAACCACGTAACCTCGGATTCGTCGTCGGCTGTTGCAGACAGATTACTGTCTTCTCACACGCATGGAATCGTCCTGTCCACACACTCAAATATTTCTCTTCTCGCAATGTCCTGATATAGACACCACTAGTGTTCATTCTTACCTGTCTATGCGCAGATCTTGATCTAGGCATGAGCAAGCGCTTCTAGCAGAATCTCTGAGCTACTTGGAACACATTCTTCAGAGCCCGGGAAGACCTGTTGCAGGCGCAGATATCTTGACGGCCTACACAGCCTCAGCGCAAGACCAAGCACCAGCAGCTCCTGCCCGCCCATCCTGACAGTAAACTCCAGGCTACCAATCAACAGGCGTCGAGCAGAGGCCAAGATGACCACCGTGTCGCAACGGCATCGGTAACGGGCCTCTTCAGACCGCCACGCGAGTTTCGCGATATGGTATACGCAGAAATTTGGAAAGGCTCAGCAGCGATTGATTTAGATCACGTCATCCAATACTCATATGATGGTCCAGACACATACGTGACCGCTACATACCGTGGAGACTCAACGATATTTCGTGATCAGCGCGCCAACGGTTTCCCCACGATGGATTAAGCCTTCACCATGAGTTTCGAGAGGAGCATTTAGATCGATACTACGAACGTACCCTGTCTGACGTGCGGACGACATTACGAGATGCACCTTTTCGCTCACCGCCTATTAGATTGTACGATCGCAGCCCATTCTCTCTCGTTGAAAATCAGTTCGCCTGCAGCAAACGGAACATTCGTGCACGAGCAGACTACCATCTAATTTTCCAAGCACAACACGTCAATTTCCAATGCCCAACCGCCCTGCCGCATATGCTGAAAGATTATTCGGTTGACTTTCCAGCACTCTCGGGCTTTGTAGGCCACTCGCCAAGCATTGAAACGGTAGAGTTCCAAATGTACAATGTTGACTGCGAATCCCCCATCCGTTCAACTTGCTAGAGACTTCACTACTCAAGGAAGGTCTAAAGTGGCTTCCTATATATGTGATTGCAAGGTGCACATCAGATGTAGTCTCCGATGGTAGCACGACTATCGAATTTCGCGGCGGACCGATACTTGGCCTCTAGCCCTGGCGACAGCTATCCTTTACGAAGGCCACACGATGACGACATATGAAGAACAACAAAAGGTCAACGGAAAGCGAGTCCACTATTGCGAATTTATGTATAAAAATCGCGAGGCTGTTCGCTTAAGTCCATGAGAGAGATTTTTGCCCGATATGAGATGATGTGTACGATTGAGGCTTGCTCGAAGGATAAAACACAATAGATGATATCAATGCAACTACCTACTGGAACGATGATTACAGAGGATTTCGTGGCCGTGCTTGTGGAGTACGGAGAGCCCAGCGCAACACCGAATTTGGAGCTCGGGCACGAAAAGAGTCCCAACAAGTTATGGACGAGTGCCGAATCAGCAGTGCAATCAGTTGGAGAACAAGCTAATGTGATTTTTCTGGACGGGCCCTGCAACGAATGGACAGGATAGTGTACACACTTGGCATTGTGAAGCGGACCGCAGGGGCTCGAGATATTCTACCTAGCCTAGCTTGGTGGAAAGCCATATTTGGCAGTGTATCCAAGACTTAAATACTAGTTTGAACGGTTCATTGCGTGGGCTTTGGCAACGCATGCATTCACGCATCTGCCCTGTGTATATGAGATACCTACGCTTCATGCCACGAGTAGCGTATTTTCAACATCTGGTGTCTGAAACCGTCGTGCCTTGATAAGTTCTCTTCGCTATACTGTCGCAGTAGCAACGACATGTAGACTGATAACAAAGTGATAGGCAAAAGAAAAAGAAATGCCGGGCTGCGGCCGACGTCAATTTGAGGAAACTCGAAGGTGGAACATAGTGAAACAACGATCTGCTGTTCACCTAACCCTTTACAATAAGTGCAACCGAGACTGGGCAAACCACATGTCTCGACCCTGAGGAACTCTCTTGGAAATGCAAAAGTATCCGCGAGGCCACCTGCTGACATTGCAGCCCTGGAGCTCTTAAAGACGCGGGCGGGATGCAATCCGTTGATGGCATTTTAGCGTCCACGGGTGCCAAGAGCTCACGTGAAGGATCCGGACGCGGCGGAAGCTACGGTGGAGCGATGACGATCCCGCTAGCCCCCCAAAACATTCAGCGGGACGAGATCCTACTCATATCAGGTCTCAGGCACACCTCATCCCCCTGTATGGTTCGCAATCCCAGGCCTACCGCTATGCAGCTCTTATCGGCGCTTTGTTTATTCGACTGTTAAGGAGACACTCAGACATCCAACCATGGCGGAGGCTGCGCCAAAACCATCGAGCTTCCGATCGAAGTTCGGATTCGGCCGAAACAAAGATGCAGCGCCTCGCGGCAAGCTCAGGAAGAAGAACGCCGCGCGTGTGGATTTCGACGTCAACAGTGTAAACTCGCATGATACGTCAACCAGCGACGGAAAAGTACTGCTTAACCCTCATAATACTCGCCGCTCAAGTAGCATCACGAGCACGTTGTCGAGACTGAGCACTGATTTCACACCATGGAGGGCCAGCTCGGAAGGACGTTCACAGTCTGTTGTCTCGAAGAAAGGTCCGCGCAAACTCAAAAAGCCCGCCCACCAGGCTCCCGGGCGCATAGAGCTCGATAAAGATACTGGCGAGCGCAAAGACTTGACAGAGATGATGCATGCCTTTGGGTTTACTGAGAACGCAGACGACACGGAGGAGCTTGTGCAAGTGGAAGAGTGGGAATACGACCCTTCACAACCGGACGGTGCCACTTTGCTATCGACAATGGTCCCCGAACTATGGGGATTGGTCAGCGACCATCTCACCCCTCTCGACATTGCCAATCTAGCTTCAACATGCCGTGCCATGCATAACCGACTGGGTGAAGTGTCCTACGAATTGCTGCGCAATCCGATGCACCTACCGCACCGCGTTGCTTTTCTACTTTCAATGGACAAGAAACTTCCGAACCATCTGTTCTGCTTCCCTTGTGCGAGATGGCACATACGCGCGACTCCAGGCTTGGAGAAACTCAAACCACCAAAAGTGCTGAACCCCGTATATAACTGTCCAAACAGCACGAACAACCTTATGCCACCACCTCGGCTACGCATCAGTGACTATCGCTGGTTACCATTCACGTTCGTCCAGCTCTATAAGCGTGCTTGGGAGCATGGGCCGGATTATGGCATCCACGTTAACTCGCTGGCTCGGAGATTCAAAGACCTTGAATCAAAGTGGACTCACGAAAGCATGTTCCACATCAACCCAAGTAATGGCCACGTCTTGATGCGAGTCAAATCGCAGGTCTTTGTAGAAGGCGGACTGCAACCAGCAGCGAAACGCATGCTCCTCTTCAGTAGAAGTGACTACACTCCTTATTTCAGCGTATGCGCACACTGGCGCAAGGGTATATTGACTTCGATACCCAAGTGCGCCCTGGATCACATCCCCATTCCGGAAGAGAATGTTTACGTGGCCACGTTCAATAAAATGCGACATGCGAAACTATCTGGCCCTACTGCGCTATGTGGCCACTGCCAACCCATGCGCCGATGCGTCGACTGCCCAACGGAGTACCTCTTCGAGTTGAAGCTTGTTGAAGACAAAACAGTACAGAAGATGGGTCCAGAAAGGTTCAGACAGGTGCTACTCGTGACGCGGTGGAGCGACTTGGGCCCAGCGCGCAGCCCTCTAGACCCGGAATGGGCTTCCGTGGTAGGCGAGCACGATGAGTACAACAGTTTCGAAGAAATTGGAAAGCGAGCTGTGAGCGGCATTTTTGAGAGTGCGTTTACAGATACAACTCCTGGGCAGCGCATCCTGAGTCTCAATCCTGATGGGCTCGAAGATGACGAGGATCACGGTGATTGGTATTGAGCATCTTTCAGCGGCGCTTTGCAGACTTGAGTATGCACGTATCATTTCAGGCAATTGCACTGTACCAGGCATTCCAACCGTCCTAACGGTCCCATGGAAATTCACCACAAGGAAGTTTTTACCAATACTCATTGATCATCACAGTTTTTTTAGTCCACTTCCGCGGGCTGAAGCTCAGTATCTAATCATCCTGTTCATCCTCAAACCCCTTCTCGATCGCTAACACCATGTCGACATGCTCTTTAGTCAAGGATTTTTGGTCTTCAAGCGCCAAAAGCTGCGCCGTCTTCACCAAGTTCTTAATCTGCCTTCCATTCAGAGGCACTTCCGCAAGTTCGTCAAGGTCCGACGCGTTGAGGTGTGACGGCATTCGACCGACAAAAGAGCTCCAAACTCGGCGCCTCGACTTGCTCGTCAAGTCGGCATACTTCATGTGAACGTGTATTCTAGATTGAAATGCCGCATCCATGTTGTCCACTCGGTTGGTCGTCAGGAAAAGGGTGCCTTTATAATACTCCAACAAGCGCAAGAAGATCGATACTAGTCTATTCCTGCTCAGATCGTGTACAGACCGTGCTTCTAGGAAGACATCGCACTCATCTATTAGCAGGATGGCTTTCCACTTGGCCACAATTTCCAGAATGTTGTTCAAGTTGTACTCCACATCGTCAGGGCGAGTGCCGAGATCTCCAGCGGACAGCATGTACAACGGAACCTTCATATTCTCGGATACCGCCTCGGCGGTCAATGTTTTGCCAACTCCTGGCGGACCCGAAAGCAAGAGAATCATACCCTTGCCCTTGCCAGCAATAACGTCATCGAAGTGGTTGGCAGTGGCAGCCTGACTTTTGGACAGCGCCAACACAAGCTTCTTCTGGGCTGCTGGTAGGACGAGGTTGTCGAACGCCTCGGTGTTCCATTTGATAGGTTGGACGTGGTCGATATAGAATGAAAGCCACTTTTTGACCGTCAACGAATATCCGCGCAAGATCGGCGTGCACAGCATATACTGATAGTCTGAGAGTTTCACAGGTTCCGGATCAGACTTCTCTTTCGCCGATAGAGCCGTGTTCCGCTCTGTTGGTGGGTCCCAGTATGGATCGTCATCGCAGTCGTAGTCGTCCACTTGGTCACCATCGTCATGCGTGGTGACCTTGGCCTTCACCTTGCTTTTCAAAGGCACGGTATAAACCTTGCACTGGTACGGTTGCTTGCAGAAGCTGTCCGTGTCTATGATGATGCGGCCTTTGTTCTGCACAAGGATATTTCCGTCATCGGTACGTTCGATTGCAGGGCCATCGTAGCTGAGTGGAGTTAGTCTCCGTCCGATTCCAGGGAGGCGCGTCACTTACCCTCTGTAGTGGTAGCCGGACAAGGCGGCAAACCGCTTCCCGCGTTCAATAAGCGCATGTTTCAGTTGCTCCTTCTTGGGGTGGAATGCCAGAGGAAGGATACGCAACTCACTGATCGGTTGGATCCCCTCAAACTCTGGCAGCTTCACAGACTCGGATGACCAGCCAAAGGACTTGCCGTTCCAGTCGACAGACTGGCATTTTACGTTGAAGAAATTTCCTTCGTCCGTTTCTTGATAGGAAGCACTCTTGAGTCTGAATGCAATCTGCTCGCCCAAGCCGATCGATGACAAGACAACAGAATCAGGCTGGAATATCGTCCATGCATGCTCGTATGTCACGACACCATGGTCTACGTAGTCTTCCAAGGCTTTGATCGTTTCGGCACATTCTTTCTGTAGAATATCGCGCAGCAACTTCATGTGATCTCGAGTAACCTCCTCGAGCTTATCGTTTTCTAGGTACTTGCGGATGGCTCCCCATCGGTGAATGAACGGTGCGAATGGAGCCTTGAAGACTAGCCGGTCCAGGTTGCAGTAGACGCCGGGATATCCGTCAAGGATCTCTGCCAACGCAGTCTTGAGGACCTGGGACTGAATTACAATAGAATGGATTTCGTATCCCTTGCGGCTGTCTTTGCTCTTTTGTTGACGAAGGACGACCGCATGACTAATTGTGTCCTTGCCTTCTGCAGGCTCTGTATCTTCAGGTTCCTTCGCTGTCCAGCTATCTTCCGGCGAGCCACGATAGATGTTGGCGGACGATGTCAGTGAGCCGGGCGGGACGTCGTTTTCAGATGACTCTTTCTCAGCTCCTTGATCCTCAGTTGAGCTTGTCTCCGGATTACCGGGTTCAGCTGCTAAGTCGCCGGCATTGCTACTAGTAGAAGAGGACGTATCTTTCTTCACAAAAGTATATCCTAGATGGTTTGCAAGAGCTTCGAGCCCTGGAGGAGTCTCTGTATCTGGCGACATGGTGAAGGAATTGATATTGAGTAGGTCTGGGTTTAGCAGCTGGTCGCAACGCTCAGGCTTCCTTATATGCCTATGCGCCGCCCTACTTGATACACCACAATATGCATCGAAACTCACCTTGGGCCGCAGCTCCGTAGACCACTATTGGCGAGCGTTGCGGTTGCCTGCTTGTTGCCTATGGCGGTGTGACTTGCATTGAGTATTGAGGGTCTCTGCCCCCACCTTCGCCAGCTGGAGCCTTCCACTAACCTCGAATAGGCTTGATTCTGGCGCTCCGCCCCAACACTTGCGCACAGCCACGAGTCGCATGTATTACACTCACATTTACAAAGTACGAGAGCGTGAACTATATTGGGGTACGGTTGAAGCTCTAGTTCATTCCCCCGACAGCTCTTTGGAGTTGTATGTCGTCCGCGTTCTGACTTGTTTAGCGAAGTCTCTTCGGTCTCAGCAATTGCCCTATAATTTGACATGGGCGTGTATCGTTACAGACCTATAGATCTGGAGACTCAGTCTCGACTCCAGAGACTGGTAGCTAGAGCCAGTCGCGATCACTCGCCTATCATTCGCTCGCTGGTAGAGACGAGACTTGCTTCTCCCTTGCCATACGATGCCCTCTCACACGTTTGGCACAACTCTATAACCGGACCACTCACCAATCTTGAACTCGACGAAATGGGGTATGGCTGAGCCATGAGCCCCCTAGAGGTGTCTCAGTTAGAATGAAAATTAGTGTGAAGGATCTGGTGCACCACCGCGATGGTTTACCTGCTATGTGCGCTGCTGGAATTTGAAGGCCAAAGGCGACCATGCCCTTCGATGTAGTGGAGGCAGAGGTTGCAGGAGAGCTATACACCGCCCTGCAGCGCCTAGGCTGCTTGTATGTGGAAGAAAAGAGCAAGCAAGTCAAAGAATTGGGGCATATCTACAAAAATCGAAACCAATGCGTATTTGGCTGGGCGATGTAGCTTCGGATGTTGGAAGATTAGCCTCTATGGCGCTCCATGGAATGACCGACCTTTTCTCGAGCTTACGTCTGAATGGAAACCCAGATAACCCCCTGTCTGACCGGCATCAGTCCCTCGCGGATCCGGCCATGCAAGACGTCAATCGGAGCTGTGTCAGCGCTTTGCATCGCCGGATCTAGGCAAGTGCTCTGTTCACGTCCGGGGTAATGAGTGTGCTTCGAAAATTGGACCTCTAACAACATCTCTGGGCCGACGCCGATTTCACCGCCGACGCGACTGTCGGTCTGATAAATCAACGGCGTTAGACAGAATTTGAGCAAAAAAGTGACGAGGAGGTCTACCCCACGGAAACTTTCGTCGTAGATATTCTGCAGCGACTTCGAGCCTAAGTGCACGGTAGTTCACGACAAGATGTGTGTGTACTGAACCTGGCCACCGACGCTCGTAGTTACGCCGCACCAGAATATTTCCTCGATGCCAACAACGTCTTCAGTATTTTATGTCAAGACATATGTCAGGGCTCGTTGAATTAAAGGGTCCTGGATCATTGCACCTAAAGTGCTGATGTACCTGGGATACTACTTCCATCGTGGTCCCAGACTGGACTCGAAGATGCTACCATAACCCGTTCTATCTGAACACGCTGCGGTGCAATGCAGCCGGCCCGTCGAAACTTTGCATCCCAAGTCTCTCAACGCGACTCTGCTCTCAATATACGCGGGCGTATATTGGACACCGTCCACCAAGTCGATCGTACCCGTGACAATCCTCGCAACACCGTCCAGATTCCGAGCCACGGACAACACAAAGATATGGAGTGGGCCGGGCCTCCTGAATGAGCACCGGAACAATCTCCGCCATTGGGTCGATAATGGCATGGTCATCGCAGCCGACTTCGAAGCACTATGGCGCACATTTGTCTACAACCAGGCGCCAGGAGGCGAGGTTCCTCCCCTAAGCTGGGATTCACAGTCCGCAAGATTTGTAGCGGGTACCAGAAGGGGTTACACAGAGTATGAAGAGCTGTAGATGGAAGGAGTCCTACGTTCGTCATCGTTCATGAGACACAATTACAGGAAGTGGGATTCGTCCGAAAAGTTCGATACAGTCACAGCGTTGCAGCTAAATACGTGGACTTTTTAAGGGCAAATGACACGTGAGGCTACAACCGCCATCTTTTAAGAACGGATGCTGGACGATTTGGATGGGTACCTAAGGATTTTCGGCAAGGAGCTGTGCTAACAATCATCGATGGACTAGATGTCCCTCTTAGAATTGGGTCTGTTAAGGGTGGTTCCGAAGTATTAGTAGAGTTTTATGCGCACAGCGTCATGTATGGTGAAAGATTGGTCGAAGGAATAGAAAGCACTGAATCCGCCTGGTTTGAAGGACTTATCATAGGCGATGTTGCTTTATGCGAAGCGCTATCATGGAGCGGATAAATCGCGTTACAATCACTGTTGGGGATGCTTATGTATCTTCAAGCTCTTCTTTTGCTGCCATTGTTCTACTACCACGGGCTAGCCATTCACCTAACCCAGCGTAAGCTGGCTACTACGATCGGTGATATTTTAATTGACACAGATCAAACCAGCACAACCTCAAAGGCTCAGACCACCACACAAGTCACGAAGTTAAATCCATAATCGCTCTGGAGGCGATCCCTCGCCTCCAATGCTTCAAGTCGAGAAGCATCTCCCAGGTTGGATAGTATACTGCATGCCATGGTCGCAGTACGCCGCTCTATAATATCACTAACTATCACTCACTGCAGCATCCATAACCTCCAGTGTGCAAGGTCATGATACTTATTCCATACAAGCTTTCCATGGATATTTCCAAATTTCTGATCGACGTCTGCGTAGGATATGTGCCACGATCCGTCGACGGCTTTACGGTTTCATCTGAGCCAGCGGCCGAGGTTATGCGCCTGAGATTCGTCATAGATGGTCCAGTCTTTTCAGGAGCCTAGATAGTCACCGCTAGGCCCGAGGGTGGCAAAGGTGACGACCAGCAGGGCATTGAACTGTGTATTGGTCAGTCTGGACGAGCGTTGGAAGGACTGGTCACGGCTTCTCACCAGCTATTCTAAATGCGATACTGATACAGCTTCATCTCATCTCAAGCTCATACTAAGGGGCCTCACTCATTCCACGGCTTTTCGATCCATCAGGAGGTATGCTCACGGTGATCTCGATCCACTAGATCCCGTTCGTCGTGGAATCTTTCCTATTGTGAAGTGATTCGCTCACCCACATGAGAAAGATCCAGCTCCATCGATGCAAGAGAAGAAGCTCGCATGCCGTCCATCTCGCATAGCTGTGTGGCACTTCCAAGATCAGATGCTCATCAATTCTGCTGTCAAGATAGGCCTTTCTATTGGCATATTATACCACCGTCCCATGCATCAGTTTGCCAAGAATGGATCATTTCGAACACAGACTGAGTTGACATGCTATGTAGACTGAGAACGACACTCCATTTAGTGAAGCTCGTGGACTCGAAGTCCGGTCGGGGTACGAGGAACTCGTTTTTAAATGAGGAATAGCCGAGAAAGCTCCGCGTTGACACTGCAACACCAAGTGGATGCTGCGCCTCGAACGTCCCGCAAGAAAGCGTATTATATTCCGAGATTGCACTTGCGAGTTCCCTGCGCCCACGTTCGTGCGAGTACCAGTCAGGTATGATGTGTAGGGACTGACCTTGGAATACGCGCGTCTCATATACTGTACCAATTTCTCACCTTAAGATACTGGAGCGAAGTATCCTTCAGCAGTACGAAGTTCTCCTCTATTGCTGGAGGACCAAAGATGACGCCGACACCAAAGCGAAGATCTTTGTCTAGAACTTCAAACTTGGCGCGATTACATTTTCGTTCAAAATCGGTCAAGTCGTTGGAATATCGCGCCGTAACATTGGAATATCTAGCCTCAAAGCGTGCACGAGAATAGGCAGGGCCTTCGGACATATCATCGCAGCGTCGACGTTTGACTAAATCGTAGGCGACGAAATATTCCTGAGCCAATTCTCGGTTAAAGAGGCTACAAGGATAGTTGTGGTCGATCCAGGCTTTTACCTCTATATATTGAGAATTTCCGTCTTCCAGCGTAATGGCTAAAGTGACGATTCGCTCGTGGTGTGCTCCTTTAGTGTCTATGGCGATGTAGATCAGCTCTTATGACCGTTGAGAATTAAGAGGAGTAGAAAGGCCTTCGAACTCTACGCTCCTGGTAATGATGCCATCTTCCTGACCCATGAGAGATATGCTGAGCAGTCTACAGCCTTGCTTGGTAGTGTCAACGCATTTTAAAGGCATGATAACTTTGCCATTCGACCTGTAAAGTAAGGTCCTGATGTTCAGTCCTTTGTTCGTGACCTTGAATTCCGGATTCCGGCTAATAGGATTCTGCGATCAGAAACCTACCTAGGTAGTGAACGTGAGAAGCAACCCGGATGCGAAGCAAGAATACTTGTGACACCATTGAATTGGGGACCCGCTCGGATGCTGTCCTCAAAGACTTGCATCCGGGCATGATAGAAGCAATTTACAAGCCCGAAGACAAGTACCCGGGGGTACGTTTTCTCAGACCACAAGATAGCATCCTGGAAAATATTGTTAAGCCGTTGGTCTTCTTGATCATCTCCTTTTTAGTTGTTCGAAAGCACGCACGCCGTCTTCGCAGTACAATAGGGGCGCGTTAATCTGGAAGAGCACAAGTAAACAATACGCCATGTCTTCTTCGCGGGTTGTTTCATGCTTAGCAGCCCAGGCCAATTTCTTTTTACCACACAGAACTCTTCCACTTCTCTGCTGCCATCCAAGACTTCCCCGGGAATCCTTGTGATGATTGATAGGGTGCAGGCGAGAAATTTACAGGTGCCGAAATAAGACCAATTCTTGTCGTAGAAGTGGACATAATCGGGGGGAAGCATCTCCTGAAGTGTCCAACCACGTGTGAACCATCAACACTCTGCGAGGTTGCTAATAACAAAAGCTTCTAAAGACATGCTTTCAGAGCTTGCATCAAAATCACTAAGAAAAGTATAACAGATCTGCGCTTTCGAATACCGGCTATACATGCTGTTGGTCGCTTCGCTGGGCTCAGCAGAACTACCTTTACCGATACAACAGCTGTCAATCCATACGTAATTCAATTCGTCTTCAAGTCCTCAATCGCAAGTGTCATGGATCTTTCGAGAGGCCACTGGATATGATGCATAGATCTGAAGATTCTCAAATTCTTTGAAGGGAATCTCATATAATCCCAACGTGTGAGAAAGAATAGCGTATCGGGTGGGCGGTCCCCGGGGAACCTCGAAACGCTTCGTGTAGGCGTTAATCAACCTCATTTTTGGGCCGAGTTCATGAGCTGGCGGCAAGCTACCTAGGTAGGGAGTAGGTGCACGACGTTCAGTCGACTGCATATTTTTCCAGCAACGTAGCTTCAAACAAAGTGTTGTAGCTTATCGTGTGCTTCGTTGTGCAATGTTTGAGTGTCAAGAGCAAGTGACGGTAGCAAGGCTGCGGCTGAGGAGATTGCTTCTTCGCGCTAACAGATTTGGCTCATACGATGAGAGGCAATTGACAATGAAAACCTACCGTATGATGTCGCCAATAAGAGCTTTTGCCAACAGTTTCCGACAGGCAGCAAAGCAGGGCAGGTCGGCGCTAAGCAGGTCGAATATAGATATCTCGACGTACTAAATCAATTGGGGAGGATATCATAAAACGTCACCACACACCCAGAAAAGAGTTCGTAGAATACCCTTCTGATGAGATTACCGCTACATCCGACGGGAAATCGCTTGTGCAGTGCGAAATGAAGGACGGATAGCTTACTTTACCCAGTAGCCTATCCTACCACCACCCCCTGGTGGCTCGATCAATGCACTTTGGCTCATTGGTTTGGGCGTATCCGACTTCACTGTTCGAGGCAGTCGGCCGCTGATCGATTTGCATGTACAACATGGACATGATTTCTTATTCTTAAAGATGTATGCACACCAGACTTTTCTGGTTCTCCTAAACCACACTTACCAAGTTCAAATTCCGGGTATCTGAAAGTCGTGCTCGAATGTAAAGACAAATGTAAATGTATCAAACGACGCCTCAACCTGGGCTCTGTCCTTCCGTCCATATCGTTCCTGCTGCAATCCTTCCTGGTATGTACCGTCACAACCCTATCGTTCGACTTTTGTCGTAGGGCTTCCTTCTTCAATCTGTCTTCCAGTGTTGCGTGAGCCGACCATCGTCGTCTTCTTTGCTCATCTTCAATTCGATGGCATAAATAGCCATGGTGATCCCTAGGTTCACCCATCGCCAGAGATTCCCACCAGTCTCACCGCCTTGGTTCTTCCACCACTCGCCCTGCACAGCACTACCGTTGGCATCTCCGTTTCCGCTCGCGAAATGCTGCATTAGTAAACTCGTGTAAACTGCTATTATGATACTTGGGCTGAACCAAGTAAGGAATCCTAGAATTTTGGTTGTATCGTCGTCGTCATCGAGGCTTGGTTCTTCGGATAGTGCTCGGGCACCAGATTCCCGTATCGCGGGTATGATGCGAGCGGCGGCGTAAAGAACGAAGACGCGGTAGGCGAGCGAGATGATGACGGACAGGGAGATGGTCATTACGGCGCCGACCATGAGGTTGAAAGCTGTGTGCATGATGGTTGGGAGAGAGCCCAAGGCATGGAGAAGCGTCGTGTAAGAAGCCATTATGATTGGAGGCAGTGGAGGTAAGGCAGGGTCAGAAGGCGCATCCGCAGCGGCCGAGCCCGGCGCGGGCTGGTAATCTGTGAAGATTTGGTAGATGCAGAGTGTAACGTAGGCGAACTGTGGAGAGCATTAGCTGGAAAGCGAGGCAGATGTGTGAGCGACGTACGAGGAGGGATGATTCCACCGGATTGCCTTTGCCACTGACGATGCCCCATGCGCATAGGAATATGGCGGTGGTGATAGCTACACCGATGAGAATGGCATCTACGTTACTAATCTCTGGAAATGTCGTGATCCGCCAGAGAAAGTAGACGGACGATGAGATGATAGAAGCGGAGGTAATTAGGAGGCCAATCTACACAAGGTCAGAAAGGCTCTCATAGACGCTACAATCTTTCTTCTTACCATCCAGCTGTCCCCCCGCTCTCCGTTCACAACCCATCGTGTAACCTGACCTGAGGCCTGTATGACCAACAAGCTGCAGAAGCCTTCGAGGATCTGGAAGACCGGCGTGCTATACCTCAGGACGCTGTCCCAGGCGCCGATTGTTGCCGATTGCAACAGCCCTTCAGGGCCGAATATCCACTCATAGAGACTGGTCTCCTGCGACCTCTTCCCGCCAAACGTCCGCTCCACCCATCCTGAGTTGTTGTCCGAGTCGACAGAAAACTTGTTTAGACTCCAGATCAACAGCGTTCCAATCATCAACCACTGTGTCCAAGCAAATAGTTGACATAATGCCCACCTGAATCGGGAGGTGGCCGGCGTTGCCAGGCGCAAGGCCGAATACACAAAGTAGTATGCACTAAGGGACAGCGAGAAGGCGAGTCCGCATGTCCGGCCGCCTATGTCGAAGGCCAGCGGTATGGTGAATATTATGGCGCCGAGGAAGCATGTCGAGGAGAGGACCCGGGTGAGCCACATCTGCACGTCTTCTCCGCCAAGCTCGTTCTGTACGAGCTTGGTCTCTGACGTGCACTACGGCTTGAGAAGGGAGCGACGCGCGCGTACGACGCGCAGCCAGCGCGCAAGATTGCGGAGGCGGTCGAGCGAGGCACCGTGAGGGCGGGCGGGCGTGGACCGAGTCGGTCGAGGCAGAGGTACCGTGTCGGGTCGGGTGTCTGGCGACTGCTCGTGCTTGGCGGCCTGAGTGGCTATCTTCACGTGTCAGAAGGCGGTCAACGAGAGCTCCACAGCGGTCTCGCGTGTCGAACGGCTGCGGGGGATGGCGGGAGGTGATGTTTGGCACAGGCGACCGAGGAAGCTGGCCTTCTTGAAGTCCAAGGCAGGCTTCCAGACAGGCACGCAAGGACGATTGGCTCAAAACGCTGGATGATGTCGCGTGCGGGAGCCGGGATCGCTGCACCGCACTCGCAGCGTGCGCCCGGTGCTGGCGGTCAAAGTGGAGATTGCCGGCGGGATCACTCACAAATAGAGGCAAGTCGCAGGAGTATCACGGGCGTGCGCAGGTCCTCGCAGCGCTCGAACTGCGGGCAAGAAATTCAAAAGGACAAGTTTCTGGTGTCGACATGGCGTGGGTGGAGGGCTCGCTTGCCTGATTCTGCATAGCGCCTGCCGCTGGCGATCCAAGCGGACGCCACATCTGGCCCGCCATGCTGCTGACCGCCCGTGGATTTTCCGGCCTCACGTCTTCCCTGTTGGTGAATGTCTGCGCTGAGAACCCCCTTGACCCGCGCCGTACCCCACGCCCGCCTTGCCGTAGTGCCTCAAGTCCTACCTAGCGGTGCTCTACGACCCCCGCCTCTCTCACGACTACGCTCAATGGCAACGGAGAGCCCCGCCAAAAAGCTCAAGATGGACGGCCCCCCATTGATTGGCACTCACAGGTACGTCTCCAGGATTCGTTTGGCAGGTACAACTCTGATCGGTGGGTGCAGTGGCCACTTCCATGCTGACGAGGCTCTTGCTGTCTCTATGCTCCGTCTCCTTCCTACCTACGCCAACTCGCCTCTCGTCCGCACCCGCGACCCTGACGTCTTGAAGACATGCCACACCGTTGTCGACGTAGGCGCCGCATATGACGAGAACGCAAGGCACTTCGACCACCACCAGCGCGAATTCGCCACCACGTTCCCCGGTCACTCAACCAAGCTATCCTCCGCTGGACTTGTATACATGCACTTCGGCAAGGATATCATCTCAGTCGTTACTGGTCTACCACGTGGCGCTGACCTCGACATCCTCTACGAGAAGATCTACACCGACTTTATTGAGGCCTTTGACGCCAATGACAATGGTGTGAATGCGTTTGACCCCAAGGCTGTGGAAGCCGCAGGTCTCACCAAGCAATTTGAAGACCGTGGGTTCAGCATTGCCAGCGTGGTCAACCGCTACAACTACTCCGTCTCCAAGGCTAAAGATGAGAGCAAGAGCAAAGAACTGTTGCAACAAGAGGAAGACGCCCGTTTCGCAAAGGCCTCTGCGTTCGTCGGCGAGCAGTTCATCATCGAGCTGACCGACCGTGCTACTGCCTGGCTCCCCGCTCGCAATACCGTCAAGCTCGCATACGAAGGACGTCTCCAGTATGATCCTCAAGGCCGCATTTTGGTCCTTCCCGATGGCATGCCCTGGGCGGATCACCTCTACACTCTCGAGAAGGAATCGCCAATTCCTGACGGTATCGCTCCGCAAGTGCTCTATGTCCTCTTCCCGGAAACCAAGGAGCCAGATAGCAAGTGGCGCATCCGTGCCGTCAGCAAAGAGAATGGTGGCTTCCAGAACCGCAAGGACCTGCCTGACCCATGGAAGGGCGTTCGTGACGAGCAGCTTTCCGAAGTGTCAGGTGTTCCAGGCGGTGTCTTCGTGCATGCCGCTGGTTTCATCGGCGGTAACAAGACATTCAAAGGCGCCTTGGACATGGCTAAGAAGGCTTGTGAGTTTTAGATAATCTTCCAAGTCAAATAGCTGGGGGCAAGAGGAAGAAATATGGCTTGACCATCCCATCAAAAAGTCTGTTTAGATTACCTGCATAAAGCATGGTTTGGCGTTTGGGCATGGCATGGCTGGCACGATACCACATGAATGTCATGGTTAGATACCACCTTTTAGGTAAAAGGTAATCGTCGCATCGACGATCGTTTCTTTGTCCTGGTTCCGCATTGCCGTGTTGCTCTCTGAATGCTTCATCCTTATCCCCTGACCCGAGTCACTCTCTACTGTGAACTTGATGAGCGCGGACGGAGATGGATAGGACAGCGCTGATTAAGTTTCAGTTTCTTCTTCATTTATCGCAATCAAAGATATGCTGAGTGCGCATCACTATAACAAAACGAGTGGATTCAGCTACCTAATAATCTCACGCCAGCGTCAAATCAGTCTAGCAACCCCAAGCGCCTTCCTACATATTGCAGACAGCGAACTAAGCAGTCATACCCGGCAAAGCCTTCAACCACCCCTCATGGTCCTCATTCACAAACTCCTTCGCCTTGCAGGCGTTCATCTGCGCCACGCTCTGGCTCTTGAGTGGCTTGCCGTTCTCACACGCGTTGAACATGCAGCTGCTGTCCATGGCGCGCTGGAGCGCATCACCTTTCCAGCCGAACATGTCTGTCCCCTTTGATGAGCTGGCATCCCCAAGACGAATACAAATGAGTGGAGGGAAGGGGGTATGGGACAACTTACAATCGGCGTGTGTGCCGTATGCGTGGCCTTCTTGGTCGCCATAGCTGAAGACGAAGGGATTGGAGCCGTCTTTCGGCCACATATCTTTGAACTCGGCGGTATCCTGGCACAGTGTCAGGCTGCAAAGTGTGAGGGGCAGGGGCAAACGAACCCAGAGCGTCTCATACGCAAGCTGCGGCACTCTCACTGGATGGCTCGAGGGGCACGCACCCCCTGCAGCAAAGCCTGTGGGTTGGGTGTCGTACATGTGCGCTGTGTCGTGTCAGTAAATACTCCTCGTATTGTTTCCCTGCCCCTGAAGGGTAAGCTTACCCTGATGGTCAGGAGAATCAAGGTTCTTTCCATCCCAACAACTTGGGAAATGGTGCTCTGTCATCAGACCGCCCTTGCAAGGCTTCTTGGGAAAGTCGTCAATTTCGGGGAAGCGAGTCGACTTTGTGTCGAGGCAGGTGAAGCGGAGGCCTTTGTGCTTTGTTAGGCCGTCTTTGCCTTGCGTGGGGCTACCGACAGTCATGCGGAATCCCTGTATATCTCGTTAGCAACTCTTCAATCCTGAGAGCCTCTTACATAGGCCCCGAAGGAGAGGGTCCACGTGCGGGCGGGAACGCAGTGATCTTCTTGTTTCCGTTGGAATTGAAGTCCTGTTGGGTGTAGTAAATGGTCATGCCGCCATTGATACCCGCGGGCAGAGCGTCGTTCTCCATGATCTTGACGCGCTTGTAGCTACCGTTTGTGTGCTTGAAAAACAGCACTGCGGTCCAGTAGTTGCTGAAGTCTTCGCTGAAGGTGCACGTCGTGCAGGTACCCTGGTTGCCGATGTCGCCGGTCATGTTGGGGCTGAATGCATTGCCGCCAACGACCTTTCTTGAGGTCAGCATAGGAAGAGATAGTTGGCAGATGGGTCATAGAGAGGAGGCCGTACCTGGTGCAGATGTGCTGAAGGCGACACGTTCGATTGTACCACAGGGTCGAGCCTTTGAATAGTAACAGTACCGCATCCAAAGCGAAGCGCGGCCTGCGACTGCTTGAGCAGCGCGACCAGAGCGAAGGGAGACCACCTCATTGTCAAAGTGGTGTCTTCGATCAAACCCTAACCTGTAAGTAAAAGTCTCTGAAGCAGGGACGGGAGGCGATGCCAAGGAGGGAAACGCAAAGCTTATAGGAAAGCTTCGGCTCAGCAGCGTGCAGCGAAACGAAGTGAAGGGAGGATGTGTAATTGCCACGCTTCTCGCCCATCGCGGTTCGGAAGCTTGATGTTGGGAGGAATGCTGGGATGTCGTGGTGCCGGATATTGGGACATCGTTTAAACAGAGTGCGGGTGAAGCTTCACCCCGCATTTCAACCTGGATCATCAAGGTGGATCTGGGGGACTGATACGTCAGGAGCAGTGTAATTTCGGACGGTAGGCCCACGTCCAGGTGCGATGGTAGGCTCGTAAACAGATGAGTGCCGAACCTTGCATTTACCGTTTGTCATCTGCCGGAGCTTCTAAGGCGCTGAGCGGTCATCTATACAAATTGGCTAGGGTGGTTGGATGGCTGCATCGTTGGCTCTGTGTGACTATCTCGTTAGCACGAGCGCAACGGCAGCTAAAGTTCCGTTACCCCTAAGATAAGATGAAGTCCATCGATCAAATCAAAGCTACTATGCGCTGGAAGGCGGTATTGTTCTCGCCAATGGCGTGCAGCCTGGAAGTAAACTTTATGCCCGACGGTCCAGGTTGGAGCGCCTGAACAGAGGCGATGTGTATGTGGTGCCTTTCCTTCCAAGTTTTAGCACTCAGCATCGTCATCAACCCTCCACCAGATACTTCAAAGTATATGATGGTCATTCCATGATTGCGTGTGATAAACTCAAGAGAGCATCTCGTCAGTGTAGTAGGCGTCTGCATGGTCGAAGATAGTCGCCCTAAACCCAGGAGTCATGGGAAACGTGTTGAACGTTTCAATCCTCTCGCTCAGGTGCTGCGGTATCTTCTTTTCGGTCTCGGTCCGATGCGTCAGGCTGATACAATGGATGAATGACCGTCGACTTCCTTTCTCGGCTGCCCCTTTGCTAGCTTTTCCCTGCGTTCCAAACCGCTTTCGTGATCTATAGCCCAAACTGTCCTTCAACTTCCTTTCTCCTCTGCTCCCTCTCCAACTCTTGTCTCCGCTTCTCTGCCTCCTCAGTGATGCCCTTCTCGCCCTTGGTACGTTGTCTCTCTTCGTACGCCGCCCTGCTCTTCATGATCCTCTGTACAATCTCGCCGGCATTGACGTTCTGGAAGTTGTGGTTTGCGATTTCTTGGTAAATCTTGAGATGTTTGGCCGGAGCATAAGGATCGTAGGTAAGAGGCATGAAGGATGTTATTCCGTGGTAAACAGCGGTAGGCGTTCCGTAGGGCATGGTAGTCAGGAAGGCTTTTGAAAGCGAAAACGGCGAGCCGAAGACGACTGCGTCGATATACTGCATTGATCTTAGTCTCATCAAGCTTCAGAAGGGAAAAGGAGTGACTGCGTACCTTGCATTGTAGAACGCACAATCCGCGCTCGAAGATGTTCATAATGGGGTAGTTGATGCCTTTCCAGTGATTGATGACTTCATCGTCGTGAATGCCAGCAATGAGGAAAAGGGGGCCGTAGTCGCCTCCGTGCTCATCTATGCGCTGCTGGCGGGCCTCATCGGAATACCATCCTCGTTCCTTAGCGGCATCTTCCTCTGTCTGGGTTACGATCCGCAGAAACTCGATGTGTCCTGAGGAAAACAGATCCCAACCACCATCGGCGTATACGATTCTCTGGCCTGGCCGCACGCCCTTTCCTTCTACGAGTTGGCGGAATTTCCCCTTCTCTTCCTTGACGGGGTGATGGTGCGAGTTTAGGTTCGAGTCGACACGAGCTGCGCCTGGCCGCTGGGGATCTGCAGACGAGCTCTGTGTCGTGCGTCGGTACTTGGCCGGCCGTGAAGCATGCCAGTACCATACATCGCACCCCGGCGCCAAACCCGTCGCGTCCGTCGCGTAGTCCTTGATCCGCTGCAGCATTGCCGCTCCTGTCTCTTTACGCTCACTTTCGCCGCCAGGTCCTTCCTCGCCAGCGAGCCTCTTCTCCAGCGATTGTATGAAGTGTGTCTTGGTGCAAAGCAGCATACGGCCAACCAAGTCGGTCGTTGAGATTCCCGGCGTCCGCTTGACGACCTTGAAGCGCCCGGCTGCCTTGACATAGCGGTAGCAGTCTTGGCCGCTGCTGTCGGACGTGATGTCGTCGCCGTGCACGACGTACCAGCAGCCGTAGTGGGAGATCCAGGGTAGCGAGGTGACGTAGGGCGCGTTGGGTATGGCACGCGTGGCCCAGCGGCAGGCTTCGACGGCTGTGATGCTTTGCAAGAGTCAGCAAACGTACCATGGGTCCTCATGCACGAGGGGGGAGTGTACCGCTCGTCGAGACGCATCACCGTGGGGCCCTTGTTCTCGAGGATGGCTTCGTCGGAGTGGACGCCGACAAGGAGCTCACTGCCCAGTTGGCGGGCCTGCAGCATGGCACCAGCATGGCCTAGGATGGTGTTCAGCAATGTCCAGGGTGAAGAGCAGTTCGCGCACCATGATGGCTGAAGTCGAAGCAGCCGTCGACCCAGATGCGGGCCTTGTCGACGTCGACGTCTTCCTGCGGGCCAACAGGCCACTGACCCTCGGAGGGGATCCATTCACCCTGCGCGTCTTGGTCAGCGAGAGGATGCGGCGAGAGAGGTTGGGGGCTGTATGGACCTTTGCGCTCTGCCTGCGTATCATGGCGGGGTCGGTCTGCGGGGTATGTCGGACAGGCAGGAATTGGAACTCGCGGCGAGATGCTCGAGCTAGCGACTGCACGTGGAGATGAATGTCTTGGTATGGCGCTCGGCGGGATACGTAATGCTTCCGAACAGCATGCGAGAGGCGGCAAGCGCAGGGTCCCAAGCCGTCGTCCCAGGCCGGCTCAGCGCTTGTTCCTGCAGCCGTCTGGGGTCGTGGCTGTCCCTGAAGCAGCCCGTAGTAGCGTGTAGCAGCCATCAACGCGTACAGTCGCGCGCGTGGGGGGCGTGTACATGTTCGCAACCGCGGACCCCCTCGACAAGTCCGACGGCTCCCTGCAAAGGGTGGCTTCAACGTCGGCCTCGCGCGGTCGCACACCTCCCGCTCCGCGCTCTCCAGAACCCACCGTCTGCACTGTCTCCCCGTCAATGGTGCCAACATCTAGCATTAGCCCCTGATCGTCTCCCACCGCCCGGGTCTAGAGGAACGCAGGAAGCTTAAGCGCACCGTCCCATACCATGGCCGAAGAGCCGCTCCCAGGCGTGCCTGCCACGCTCCAGCAGAGCATATTCTCGCGCAGACCCTCCTTTTTCGGCGGCAGACACAAGCACAATCCTCCAAAGACACCCACCGCATCCCAGCTGCCGCCGCCCACGCGCACCGCCGCCTCGCCGCCGACCATCAATCTCCCGCCCGTGTCCCCATCGGCGACGCTGATGCCCTGCTCCCCAGCCAATACGAGTTCCCGCCGAAACCCCCCTCGACGCCGCCCCGCCGCAAGCACGCATCGCGCCATAGCATTTCGTCGACACTAGGAGACATTGGCACGACCCTGCAGCGCTCACGAAGTGCGAGCCTGCGCACAAACGACTCAAGCGGCACCACGAGCAACGCTTCCACATCGCGCACGTCCTCGCACAAGAGGACGCCCTCCGCCAACCTGGCCACCTCCTTGTCCCCCGAGAAACCTTCCTCCCAGCCTACCAATCCCGCCGCCTCTTCAGCACGCCCGGCCTTGTCCATATCAACCTTCTCACGCAGTACTAAGCAACGCTCGGCGGAGAATGTAAGGCCAGACACTGCCGTGGGGGCGGGTAGCAGGCAGGGGTACGACAAGGAGCCGCTGTCAGCAGTGGACAAGCCGAAGACGCCCTTTGGTCGCGCGAGGTTTCCGTCAAATAACAATGACCCTCCGCCCTTGCGACGCCAGGACACCGGAACGTATGGAGGCAGCACTATGAACTACAATGCCGGCGGATTAGGCCCTGCGGCGCCCATACCGCTACCAACGGGCGCAAATCCGAATATCATATTCCAGCATATACAGGAGATGGCTTCGAAACGAATCTCAACATTAGATTACCTTCGGAAAGCGTATGCTGCCCTTCATCCGACCAGAATCATAGCTAACAATCTCTAGACACGAAGGCCGTATCTACTGGTTCAACACGCTCCTCTTCTCCCGTCCAGACCTCACGCGCCTCCCCTCCTTCACACCCCGCAACCTCGCCCGCCGCGCAACACACTACCTCCTCCTGGGCTTCTCCCTCCCCACCATCCTCGACCTCAACTCCTCAAACCCCACCGACTACCTCAAAGCTCTCCTCTCTCTTCTCATGGAATTCGAACAATACCAAAGTATACACCCAGCGGATGGTTCTGCACCTGCCAGTCTCGGCAGAGGAAGGATACCGGGCATGCAGATGTTCAAGCGGGTGAATGCCAGCGTAGGCGGAAAGGGCCGGCGCAGTAGTTCTGCTGCTGGCATAGACTTCACCGGTCTGAATTCCAACGAGCCGTCAGCAGGTATGGATTCGCCGCCTGAAAACGACCTACTGCTGCCGAACGAGTCGTACTTGTATCTCCAGACGCCGAGTCTGCCTTTTGATCCCGATTTCTTCAGCACGTTTGCGACTCTCTGTGATGTCTTGATTGATTGCTACACGAAGATTCTGAATCTCTTGAGCACGCCCGAAAGCATCGTGCTTGCGGGCGGCGGCGTGCCTAGCACGGTGGGGGAACTGTTTAACAAGGCAGATGCGAAGGTGCGGAAAGTCATACTGGCAGGTGTGGTAAGGGAGTTTGAGGAAGGGTGCCGCAGCGGTGTGCGCGCGGAAGTTGGTGGCGTCGGTAAAGTGGTGCTTGGAGGGCTGATGTGAGCGCTTTCCTAGCGAAGCATTTGTGATGACGGTTATGACATGATAGCATGATATCCGGGTGTGCATTGTCTATGGCGTTGTTTTGTTTCTCCTACATGTGTTGGTAGAGCTAGCATACCTGGCGAGTTGCTTCCTCGAGTGAGTGGGCGGGCGGGCGAGCTGTAATCGATCGACTCTTAAGTGTTGGGCATGTGCAGTCATACAGTGATGTACGGTCTTATCGATGCCACAGAGTGAACGGAAGAGGGGGAGGCAAAGTCTATTAAGGTCGCCACTCCGTGCTTGCGATTGCAGGGGCTATGTTGATTTCTCCGTTGCTACATTGAACGCAGTCGTATTTTTCGAGACTCAGAGATTGTAGTTGAAGGTCAGGTTCAGAAGCAAGCGGTGAGCTCCGAGTAGGCACTGTTAGCTGCAATTTTCAAAGGCCGAAGATGTCAAGGTGACAGCTGGCCTGTTGGACTTCTAATTGGGCCCGGGACGAACACCCACGATCTCAGCGGCTGAGGGTGGGATTGGAAGAATGTTAAATGTCCTTCTCAGGCTTCTGATGAAGTCTATTATCGCTGCGGTCACAGTTGAGAGGGCTGGACAGCGGATGTACAGACAGGAGTTTAAGTTGAGGAAGCGAGGTTTTGAACTTCCTACCTATGGTAATCAAGTATCTGATGAAGACCATCAATTGCAGTGGAGGAAGTTGAGATTAACATTGATCCACCCCGACCCATACTCGTCTTCCGCCGCCTTTTAAGGCAGCTCACCAATGCGTCACCGTGAAGACCTGGGCAATATGCTATTTACCAGTCAGCCCTCACGCTCGCACATCCCGCACGCACACACATACGCGCTTGCTCTTCTCTTACAGAGTAGCTTGTGCAGTCACACCGTCACCATCACCTTCTTATAAAAGTGGTATTACTGTGATCTGATGTCACTTAGAAATAGCGAGTATAAGAGAAGTAACACACGGGGCAGCCAAAGACATTGTGCATGCACAGCATCATCCACAGCTTGTAGACGGGACCGAAGAGCCGGATGACGTGGCGTACAATGACGACGATGCCATTTCTTCGATACAACTCGACCGACGATTACGACCGCTTTGTCAAATGGGAGAATTCACGCAGCGGCCACAGGAAGAGGAGGAACAAAACTATTCACAACATGTCGCGATACTACTATCTGCTACTAGCCACTAATGCTATAGATCAGCGTGAAATAGCCTGTAGAAGCTAGGTAAAGCAAAGAATATCATACAATAGTACCCTGCTAGGCCGCCATCTAAGCAGATGTACATATGTATATTTCATCATTCCTGCTGTATAGCGTTATAGCTACCCATGACAATTAGGCCTTGAACTCGAGCGCGCAGCTCCGTTCTACTTCAGACTTCGTACTTACGGCACGCTCGCTTTAAGTGAAGAGCTCATGAAGCAACATCCTGAGGCCTACCAGGGTCAGCGGTTATTACGTATATTCAAGTGAGGTAGATACTTTAGCGTATATGAGGGAGAATGTCCATGAATAAAACCTTCCCTGTTTCATTTTCGAACGTGCTATACTACCGACATACACCGTCACCATCAGAGAAGGGCTCCATCCCTGCACATGGCCGGTCAACCTCATGAAAAAGTGCAACATGCGCAGAGATTGCCGGAAGCTAGGACAGAAGATAGAAAACAGAAACGCCATCACACCGTGCTCGTATCACCAGGGCCAGTTGGAGAGCTTGAGATCAAACTGTGCTGCTGTCTTGGATCGAACGAACATTGCCATATGGGAGCTGCCCTTCCTTGAGTGGCTGTCGAATATTGAGATAAGGGCCAGCCATCTCCAAGAGACGGCAGTCCAAGAGGTGGCAGTCATGATACAAAAGATGAGATGAGAGGGCACGAGCAGCGTAGACAAATCGTTGCGATGGACGCAGTGACCCAGTTGGGCAGAAGTATTGCGCAGCAATGTCGCTACAGTCTTAGCTGGCGGATATGGACGTTGAAGGCTAAAGATCCTCTAAAGACCTAGAAGTCAAAATGCGCATTTGGGCAGCGCCCATCGACGAAGCCAGGGTACTCTTACCTAATTGGCCCACCCCACAGCCTGCACGAGCCACTTTTTCTTGAGAGAGCTCATCCACAATCGATTACGCCCACCACAACGCGCCAGACCACCAAATCTACCTTCTCAACGCCATTACTCCGGCAGCTTCACTCGAAATACTTTGGGGCAATCGAACAAGGCTTGGTCGAATCAAAACCTTTAGATTGGGGTCAAAGAGCCAGGCAAAATGGATATTCGTGTGTTGAGGCCAGACGACATCCCGCACGTGCAGCTGGCGAATATCACGAATCTGCCGGAGAATTACTTCTGCAAGTACTACTTGTACCATGCGATGAGCTGGCCGCAGTTGAGCTATGTGGCTGTTGATGTAAGTTACATTTCGCCTGCTATCCCACCTGCGGTCGAGAACCTTGCTTGAACTTTGTTTCGAGGAAAATAGTGAGTGTCATTGTGGTTCTTGACGGAGATGCCGCGAAATCGGAGCATTAAACAGATGGATCTTTGTAGAGGCGTCTGACGAAGTGCTGTGGGACGTGCCGAACACCGAAAAGGATATTTTCGCAACATAAATACAACCTTCGCTTCGATCATGGCTCATTACCTTCACATAGAACCAAATTGTGCACATCGCTAATGATTATAGGTCTCTCGTCCTCCGAAAACCCCTTACGATCCCCCAAAGATTGTTGGCTACGTTCTTGCTAAGATGGAAGAAGACCCCGCTGACGGCATCCCCCACGGTCACATCACCTCTCTCTCCGTAATGCGCACGCACAGGCGCCTTGGATTGGCCGAGAAGTTGATGCGCCAGTCTCAGCGTGCCATGGCAGAAACCTTTGCCGCGCACTACGTCTCTCTGCATGTGCGTGTGTCAAACCAGGCCGCGCTACATCTGTACAGAGACACGCTAGGCTTCAAGGTAGACAAGATTGAGGAGAAGTACTACGCAGATGGAGAGAATGCTTATAGTATGCGGATGGACTTGGGCGATATGAAGGCGGAACTGAGGTTGAAGGAGGATGGGGAAGAGAGCGTTGGCAAAGATGAGGGGGAAGCAGTGGGTGATGAGAAGGGTGAGCCCGAGAAGAAGGAGAAAAAGAGACTGGTTAAGGTGGGGAGGCAGTTGGGAGTCGCAGATCTAGTGGAAAGGTGAGGCTGCTGCCGCGTAAAGTGAATCCAGGAGAAGGCTGTAGGCGAAGTGGACTATCTCCAAGGATGGAATATGTGTGCTAGTATACCTGCGAGATTTACCACAAATGTAGAGTAGGGCGTAAAGCACCCGGCATGGAGGATCGACTGCCCGGTGATGGGCGTACAGCACCAGAGGTATATGTACGACTCAGCACATGAAACATGAGCATCATACAAGAGTTTGTTCGCGATGTTCGTTGCTCTTTCGTTGTTGTGTACCATAAGTAGTCTGCCGAAGTAATTGCACTTGGGCCTCGCATGTAGGGTCATGTGATTCGGCGTTTAGAGGCACGCGTTTCTTAACCCCGCCTCAGCGGTCCAAATTTCGACGCGTCGCTCCACATCACCAAACACATTCGACTATCGCAAACAGCGACCCTTGCAACAACGGTTTAGACCGTCCGCTGATCTTGGCCCGCCCAAGGTGGTCTTCCAGATTACGTCTCACGCAACATAATTATCCGGAAACAATCCGGAAATCTTCTACCTTACTTGCACGTGTCGATGAGCTCCGCACTTCCCTCTTCAGGCGCAGACCGCGTGGGCGATACCACTCTGTTCATTGCAACGGCAGCTTCCTACACTAGCGATGGACCTACTTTGCCAATCATTGGAGGTGCAGGAGAGCATCTGGACTGGGTGGCTCCCAACCCAAAGGATCGACCAATAGAAGATGGAACGGTATCCAGGCCAACAAGAAAGCAACGAACAAATGGCGACCTTCCGACTGATTCAGCAGGTCCAGGAAGTGGAGCCCAGAAGACAAAGGCCGAGGCCGAGGGATTGTATAGGCCATGGAATTTACTGCCCGTTGAAGTGTTGCAGCAGATGGGGGAAAAACTAACCGGGAAGTGGGAAGAAAAGGTTGAGGTGGTGGTGTGGACGAAGAACCAGAACGTCAAGAGTGGGATTAACTGCCTTAGGAGCTTGCTGGGTTTCGAAGTGAACACAGAAGCTGACGAAAAGTATGGACGTGAGTTGAAGGAAAACAAGGACGATGGACTTGTCGCAGTCTCAGCGTACGGCGAGGGTACGACAAAATTAGTGGGCATCGTGGAGGTAATGAAACGAGTCGTTGGTGGAGTTAAGCAGGATGTACGGGACGGGAGTGGAGAGGCGTGGTTCACGTACACATGTCTTAGCAGCACGAGCGAGAAGGACGTCAAGAACAAGGTGCCGGTGCTTACAATATGGTTCAGCCGAAGGTGTATCCCAGAGCTCAAGGGCGCGTTTGGAGAGCAGACGCTCAAGATCAATCGTACGCCTGCCACAGATTGAGATCACTGCTCACAGCAAGTACGACCACTGCCTACTCAACCACCCTCATTCCCTCAACCCACCATACGTACCAGATTAGAAGGCCCTTATTCCTGGCCGTTCGCGATGTTAACACGAGAATTCCTCAGTCCAACCGCCCATTCACCAAAATCTACGCGTGTTCGACACGCACTTCGGTCCCAAGTCGGGCAGCCCATCCCACCTTAAGGCGCAGTTCAAGCAACACTCGTGCTTCGTTCTCTTATACCATAGTAAGTTCGCCTATTGGCGTGTAGGTCCCGAACCTATCTTACAATAACAACCTACTCCAGCCAGTAGACCATTTTGCTCTTCATAAAGTCATGTTCCTCGACCGCGAGCACCGACTACGACTCTTACCGCACATTGGGTCTGGCTTCTCAGTAAGATCGCTGTTTTATTTACAATCGTTATCTGGCACGCACCGAATTTATGGCTTTCCTTTCTAACACGCCGCGAGCCGTAACCACCAACGCGTCTACCATGAACATGTCGCCTCTCAGCCTTCCGACCGAGGCTTTGTAGTCTGTGAACCGCGTGCGCACGTGGACGAAGTAGTGGTCCGGGCCTGGCATGGATGGTGTAGCTGTGGGAAATAGGCTGCTTTTACGCGTTGACTTGTGTTGCGGGCTGCTTATTAAGTGGTAGACCTGGTTGCTGTAACGTATTGAGTGATTGGGAGAAGCACGTTAGAACGTAATCGCGCTTTATGTGAAAGCGAAGGATTTTCTACAGTGGTCGTCGAATTGACATGACAAATTTGATTCCACGAACGGGGTATGAGTCTGCGTAGCGACTTAAGGCAATCTTCTGCGACCAAAGCAGGATGATTGTATAAGGATTATGCTTGCGAGAAAGCCGAGATAACCCTCCAGAAGCTCAATATACCGCTCGTGAGCCCTCTCGTCGATATCACTGTTGACTTCCATCTTCACACATTCCACTGTTTCACAAGTCACTTCCGAAAATGGTCGTAGATGGGAAATAAGCAAAATTGCACAGGTATAGCTGCGTAATCGCCTTTTTCTGACCAGAAATCGGCCTCGATGGCGAGTATGTGTCCATGCTACTTATACCATCTAATTTCTTGTGTCATTTCCCGTGGCTCTACCAGGTGATTGGGTCTTATCTCTTCAGTCGATAACAATCTAATAGGGGGGAAGTTGTTGAGTGAGGACACCAAGATAGTCGGTAAGAATTTCATAATTGACTCTTGAGTAGTCTAGTTGGCGTTGGTGGTATGCGCATGGTTCAATGGTTTCTGCGCCTCTTGACCACCATGTTGTATCTAAGCTTCCGCCCAACAATTCCGTAGCAGATTACACTTCTGCCTCATGTTCACCTGGCCGAACACTGGGGTAGGGACATTGTCTTCAGGGAGTGAGAGCGTATAATGGTCCAGTCTCAAGGTCGTGAATGGAACAAGAGGGGATGTCTTCGTCAGGGAGAGATTGAAGGCGTGCTTCTTCATGTAGGCCATCGTATCCGCTACCTTCGAGAATACGTGATGTTCTCTTACTCTTGTAGGATTCAGGTAGGTTGTATTGAGAGTCCGTGCTGGCGGACGGTCCTTGCTAGATGCGCTTTGATACCTTTCTTTATACCGTGCTGGATTAGCCAAATATCGGCGTACTATTTAGGCTCTTTTGAAAGGCTGACCTTTTTCCAGCTGACCCTCTGGCTGTCCTTCCCCGGGTAAAATTCCCACTCGGGACAACTGTGGGTGATGTAATAGGTCTCTTGGGTGCTTGCCATGCATATTGGTGATGCATTGCTGTAGGCGCCTTGATGGCAGTCGACCAGCGTGTAGTGTAGGAATACCAGATCTCGTGAGTGATGCTACCAGATGCCCCTTCAATGTGTCAATCGAATAGGCTTGGCGCATACGGGACGTAACGCTATGTATTGCCCAGCTGTCGTGGTGAGGTCGAGGTGAGTCAAATGCCATGTATCATGCGAGCACTAGTAAAGACACACATGTAAAAGAATGGCTACAATAGGGTGGTAAGATAAAAGGGTGAGTCACAGGGCTGCATACAGTGTGAATTTCTCCCCCCGTCGAATACTAAACTGAATGCCAATGTAAATCTTGTTACTCAGCCCAAGCTGGTTGACCAACAAATAATCGTAAGTGCCAGAAACACTTCTACAGCTCCTGTGTAAACGGTTCTCCGGAACACAAAATAGGGTCGCTCTGTGGGCAACTTTTAGACGATATATAAATTGGTTCCTGTCACGCGACACAGGTAGGCTGTATTCTGTACGTTGGAAAAATTCGGTTGGACACCCCATCATCGCGATGAATGGATACTTGAAAAGCATCCCAATACGTCCAAATGATGGTAGCGCAGAAGATGAACTGAAAAAGGATGGCCAGAAAGCGATCGATGGAGCAACATGCCAGGGTAGTGCATCAGCCCAGGCTTGACGTTTGACATCTGCGGTAAGTCGAGGCCTCTCATTCCCCACATCGACCAGCAGGCACAAAAGTTCATAAATTCCCCTTGAGTTATGACTGTCATGTTAGCGGTTGTAAGTGCAGCAATTATGTCTTTGCAATACATTGCCCAGAATAGGTCTTGAGGCAGCCACAGCTCCAAGCCGCGTTCGAGTAGGGAAATGCCGAGCCCGAAGGCGTGCCTTGATTTATTGGTCAGCAGCAATAAATTGGTAGTATGTTTTACATGACTGTTTGCGGGATGTGACGACAGTTCAGGCCCGTGAAGGAACAAAGCTTGACAAGACGATGGCAGTAAGCAAGCTAGCACCGAGAGCTACCAAAGCTGCCGTAACGAGAGATGACATATTTCGATTGCTGACATTTAGTGATTGTTGGCGATTGCTTCATTCCTCGGTCTCCAGTTGTTCAGGCCTCCACGAACTGCGCATGATCTATTCCTGTCTTCCACCAACCACTTCCTTCTCGACCAGTCGCAGAATAGCGTCGGAAAAGCTGTCCTTGAACCTGAGTAGGCTCGCCTTCAAAGGTTTGTAACAGGCGTGGAATTGATCCCTCATTCTGTGAAGCGCCAATCACGGAACCAAGCACTACTGCCGAGGTGACCCAGAGGTATATGCCCGAAAATGTAACGCTATGCTCCTTCACGTTCTGCCAATTGTTTGAGCTCGGGTCGAATACTAAGAGTATTGAGCCAGCCGCCGATGAAGAATACTTCAGCCACGAATACTGGAAGGGCCTCGGCAGTCCTGCCGGTGCCAAACAGTTCGCCATTTCCTCATGTGGTACATGACGAATCTCGCTCTCAAATGCAGGATGTGTTCGTAAGTTTATACTAGGACTTCTGTTAGCATATGGTAATATCAGTGATGCTATCCACATACTAATTGCTACAGAAGCCCTGCATTTGGTCGGGTTCCCGCATTCATCGTACGAAACCATGAGCGAGCGCTACCAGCCTGCCTGCATATTCGCCTTCTTAGTCCGACTATCTAAATATTGCAACATTTCCCCATGACTTTCGAGCTGACATCAGTGGATGTGTTTTTGACCTTCGAAGCCATCGTGCTACGTCCTCTCACAGTTCGTCGTGCTGCCTTGCCTCACGCTGCGCCTCCGCCTTCGCCTCCACGTACTCGGGCGCGTCGCTCCCGAAAACTTGTCCCGAAGCCGCTTTGCCTTGCAGGATTGTAAGCAGCATATGTTCGACCACATCTGCGATGATCTTTCTGCCTTGTAAATAAGTAAAGACATTGTCATTCATCGGTGCATGCACAGCTAGTGCCGGGATTCCGCCATTTACAAGACCGAAGTTTGTCGCCATAGGTCCGTATTCAACTGAATCCGCGATTCCAAAAGTAACATACTGCTCGTATTTCTTTGCTATGGGCGTGAGCTCGTGACGCAATGACGTGGCTTCGTCCTTCGTGGTGGCGAATATATAGGCAGAAAGCTTGCCAGGCTGACGAGGTTAGAGAAATCTCGATATATGTATGAGGGTGCTTGATGCAACTCACTGCCATGTAAGCTTCCACACTGCGTTCGCTAAAGTCTCCTATCACCATCTTCGGAGCCGTTGCTAAGAAAGCCACCACGTCTTCTTCGGTAAAATTCCCTTCGAAAACTTTGTGGTCGCCATCACCATTCTTGTAGCATACAATGGTTGGCATAGTGACGCCTTCTGTATCAGCAATTGCTTTGTCATGCGTAAAGCCGAAGACGAAATCTTCATAGAATCTTTCTGCAATGGAGTTTAAGACTCTCTTTGGTTTATCCGACTCTGCAGACATGAACGCGACGAGTACAACATCATCAACCTTTTTTAAGTTGCTCAACTCTTCGCCATCTCTAATAGCCGATATTATGGCGTACTCGTATTTGATCAAGAAAGACCTGATGGCATGCTCCGTCTTCCGGCCACGATATCTTCTCAAACTTGTCTCTCCACTTATGAAACGATTCGTGGCTGTACCTCCTAGGAACAAGCGTATTGCAGGGTACTCGTTTACATCGTACCTTCGACACAGCTCCACATCGATGTCGCAGTCTATCATAATGACTCTTGCGTGCAAGCGTTGGTCCATGTGCAGCTTTTCGAGAAAACCGTAGTGGTTCTTTCCGGATTCAAACGATCGCGATGTGAAAACCAATAGGACCCGACTACTATGTCCAATCTGAGATTTGAGATCGGAACTCGTAAAGTCTGCCCATAGGCTTTGTGGGAAGGCGGTCGCCGAATGAAATGAAATGCTAAGCAACAGAAGGCATATAATAAAAAACATTCTGGTTGTACTGTGGCCGGACAATAACCAGGTAGGAGGGAGGAGTAATTGATGATTCCTAGCAATTCCGAGAAAGCTTTGGGGGTCATTGTGTTACAAGGGCCCCACCCCTCGGGGCGCAGATCAGGCACAGCCAACACATTGCGAGGTGCTGGAACCCACTTCGTTTCAGAACTGTGACGAACAACATCAGCCTGAGAAATAGTCCACCATGTTCGCAGCGATAGTCCGAACGTCAACTCTCCAACTTCCTTCAAGTTTCATCTCAAGCAATTCATCGGACGGAAATCGTTCGCAAGCGCACACACAAAGAATAGAATGTTTACTCGGTTGCTCCCTCTACCTCTTATAGCTCTTGTAACAGCAATCTCAGCCAAGAACTACACATGTCCCTACCACTTGTACAGCGTTCAAATATTCTCCGAGGACCCGCTCGTCATTTACATACCTGGTTTCTTGACAGAAAGCGAAGCCCGACACCTTGAGTCTGCGTCCGTAGGACGTTTTACCTCCTCGAAAATTGCCGATCAATCTGGTCAACAGCAGCTCGCCTCAACTCGCACATCAAAGTCTGCATCACTACATAGCGATGAAGTAGTTCGATGCATCGAGGAGCGCGCTTTGCAATTCCAAGGCTACGATATCCCGCGCACACATCTGGAACCGTTGCAAGCAGTGCAATATACCCTGGGAGAAAAATATGCGCCGCATACGGACTGGTTTACTTCTTCGCTCCAAACGACCTCGGAGTTTGGCGGTAATCGTCTTTCGTCATTCTTTGTGTACATCAGCACATCTGATGACATTGTTGGCGGTGGAACACAATTTCCATTGCTCGATGCACCGAACGATGAGCGGTGGTGCGAATTTGTGAACTGCGATGCTGGCTGGGAGGACGGCGTTACATTCCGGCCAATCTCTCGAAACGCAGTGTACTGGCGCAACCTTCGAGGTGGGAAAGCTGGAAAGGGGAGGATGGGAGACCGGAGGACATTACATTCTGGACAGCCCGTGCAAAGAGGCACGAAGCTCGGGATGAATATATGGACGAGGGAGGCGGAATTGGATGGTGTCTATCGGAGTGAGATCATTTGATGAGATGAGGAAAGATAAGATTCCGTACCAGAGTAATGTCTAAGAAGTCGTAGTCATCGCAATGTTTTCAGAGTAATTTAAAGTCATCATATATTGACATGTCTCATAGCATAATCATCGCAAGCCCAATAGCAATCGCGCCAGTCATCATGGTCCGAATGGGAACCGTCGAGGGTATTGTAGCTGCTGTACTTGGAGCCACTTTTTCCGTGGCGCTCGTACCAGATGTCGCTGTGCACTGATCCCCACAAGAGTAGCCGTTCGGGCAGCAGTCGCCACCCAAGCTTGCAGCACAGCTAAACCACGCACTTGGGCAATTTCCACCCTGTGGAGCGACACTGGCACCACTCGGCGCGACAACGACTACTCCGTTGGTATTGACAACCGTAGTACTCGCGGTGGGTACACAAGAACCAGTCGTTTGGCAATCGTGACCGACGCGACAGCAGCCGGAAGGATAATATGCACTACATACGTAAAAACCTGTAGGACATACAGAACCGGTGGGTGAAGAGGATACGGCTGGCGCAGTTGTGATTCCAGGATCACTTGTCGGCCGGACAGGCGCAGAGGGAGCCATGGTACTCGATGTGTCATCGCCGAGACAGGAAGCGCCGGTCGCACAAGTCCTTCCATTCTGACAGCATCCTCCTCCGACAGATGCTGGACACGAGAACCACCCTGTACTGCATGTATGTGACGTTGCCGGTGTCGGTGTAGGCGTGGCGGATGTGGAAGACGAGGACTGCGTAGTGGGGACTACAACGACGCTGGTCGAGGAGGCAGCGCTAGATGCTAATGTGGATTTTGGAGGCTGGACGTAAGTCACAGATGTAGCGATCGCAACGCCTGTTAAGAGGTCAGTCCAAACGCCGCGCTCTCGGTCGTGCGCCACTTACACCCAACACCCGAGCAGCCGAATCCAGGGAGACAGCAACCTCCGTTCGGAGACTCTGGACAGCTGGTGTAACCTTCATCGGTATTACAGCTTATGCCTCCACTACAACTTTGTCCACTCGGGCAACAACCGACAGGCCCAAATCCTTGATCAGATATCTTCACGCAGCTCGTCCCCGTGCCGCAGCAACTATCCGGTTGTCCGATAGATGAGCAGTCGTTCGTGCCATTAGGGCACTTGAAGCCACGCTTCAAAAGCGTATTTCTCGTCCGAAATCGTAGATACGAGTCGAGGTGCAGGCTTTCCTCGACTGGTCGCAAAGTTACCTCAAACTGTCCTGTTATGTTCGCTAGATCCCCTAGAACGATGTCTGCGCGCTTCTTTCGCTCCTCTTCTTTTACGTCGGTGGCGAATATCCAATTGTCAAACATGAACATTTCACCTGCATTGCTGCTCATTTTCTTGACACCAATAGGTTTTTCCTTTCTTATTTTCTCTTGAACTTCCAAACTGCGCTTCACATGGATCTCGTCTTCCGGAAAGTACTTCATGTGCTTCGGTAGGTTGTGCGGCCATTGTGGTTCGGCGGTGGCAGACGTAGCGCAGAGGAGTAAGATGGTAGGTGGAAGCGCGAGCAGGCTACGTAGCTTCATGGCTAATCTCGAAAGCTCCAACGCCAAAGTGGTGGCACAAAAGTTCCGGTTGCCGAGAGGTAAGGTATGCAGGTGAACAAACAGTGGTAGGTACAAGGACTCGATCCCGCTGCGATGAGATCACTTCGGTGGTTGGGCGGTAGCCTTGAGAAATTGACGAGGCTGGGATGCGTTGGCAGCAACACGATGTCTGTGCCGCGGCAACGTGCACAGGGTACACCCTGAGACCTTAGTTCGAGTCACTCGAGAATTGCAGGGAAGGAAGATTCTTGAAGCGGACGATGCAATGGACCAAAGTGAGGAAAGCCGACGTTGAAGATGTCATTCCGTTCCGTTCCGTTCATTCCGAGCCCTCGACAGGTGGGTACAGTAAAGCAGTTAGCCTCTCAACTTGCGGCAAGCCGGGGGAGGCAGAGATATATTCTAAAGACCTGTTGTTTGCCCTAGAACACCGTGTCTCAGATTTGATAAGAGTTCATAGTTCTGCGTGTCTGCCTTAAGTATGCCAGTTTCGAGGTAAGACTACATTGGAGGGTCATCAGGGTTGCTTCACCATTGCTGCGCTAGTATTCGACAGGGCCGTCTCTCGTAATATCCTGGGATAGGATTGAATGCAGTACAGATGTATCTGAAACAACCAGTTAAGTGCAATGTTCTCTATGCGTGCGTCACAAGTAAGAGAGAACCGCACCGAGGGCGCGCTTGCTCCTGCCCTATAACATCAGGTTATACCAAATGCGGCTAGTCATCCTAAACTTTCCCCTCCAAAGTTGTCCTCCATCACTTTGTTCGAACAGCTCAACTATGTCCGAGAGCGAAGACAACGGCGTCTTCGGGGTGAGCGAAGATCTCGTCCCGCCTGCCGTGATCAAGTCCGCAATCGTTTCAGAAGTGGACTTTGACGGACTGTTGTCCCCACCACTGAAGCTTCAACAAGATTTGAAGAATGGATGTGGCGGACAATTATGGCCGGCGGGCATGGTGCTCAGCAAATACATGCTGAGGAAGCATAAGAGTGATTTGGAGGGAAAAGAAACGTAGCCTTCCCCGGTGATTCATAAGTAACGTGCAGCTAACTTGACGTAGCATTGAGTTGGGTGCTGGTGGTGGTCTTGTAGGGTACGTCTAATTAACGCTCTGTCTTGGCCTTCAAATCTTATATGAGGATGTTACATCTCCGCGACTGAGCTGCGAACTGATGATTATAGCTTGGCCGTGGCCCTCGGCTGCAAAATTACAACAACCCTCCATATCACCGATCAAGAACCTATGTTCGAGTTGATGAAGCAAAACATTACCCTCAACAGCCTCACCTCGAAGGTCTCCGCCACAATCTATGACTGGGGTACACCTACCCCCGTGCGCCTACCGAAACACCCAGACATCATCTTAGCCGCCGACTGCGTTTATTTCGAGCCAGCGTTTCCACTGCTGCAAGAGACGCTCATGGATCTGATTGGAGAGAACACGGTTTGCTATTTCTGCTTCAAGAAGAGGAGAAGAGCAGACTTGCATTTCATGAAGGTTGCGAAAAAGATGTTCGATGTGAAGGAAATAGAGGACGACCCAGATAAGGAGGTTTATTCAAGACAAAGTCTGTTCCTGTGAGACTACCTCAGCTGTCATGGATTCCCGGAGATATCGCTAATCTCACACAGGTATCGCATCACGAAGAAGGCTGGAAAGGGCCTGATCATCGGCAATGAGGTAACATAATGCAGAGTTTGGCTGCTACTACCATACATAATTCATCATCTGGTAGTTAGCTGCTTCTTTCCCTTGTCCGCGCCGCTTGATCGTGGAATCCATGCGTGATAACAGCTACACACGCGTATACCAAGCGCGCGCGCCAGATTTCATGGTATGCTGCAGTGCGTATACCCTTGTTCACTAAAGCGCTTAGGTACTTCCAGTCCCCTTGATTGTCGCGTGGCTGATCGATTGATGTCAGGGCCACCGTATCAGAATATGCCGCCAGTATACAAAAGTAAGCTTCGGGGTCAAAAGTTTTCCCATATTTCATGTAGAGGCGGGCAGTATTTGAAACATGTGTAGCTGATGGCGCGTGCCACAGGATGACAGCTTATTTATTGTTATCTCAAAGTATCCGAGAACTGCTATCCAGCCTGTCCCTTTCCTCAATACTGGGCTGCTTTGATATACACACTCCTGTTGAATGTCTTCCGGTAATCCACCTAGGCAACTCCTGTTGTGGATGTTTGCAGCATATTTACAAAAGCTAGGAATATTCCCGCCTACGCCCCTTCAGCTAGATGTCAACATGTTGAGACAGCGCACGCCCAGCGTTGCACCTCGATGCTTGGTTCAGAGCATCGAAATTGCTGGAGCAAAATTTGGAACAGTTTGATGTTCTCGACCTCTATACTTGACGAGCAGACAATCAAAGACTTGGCACTAGAAGCTCGAACAGCCGAGCTTACAGCATTCGCAACTGATCGAGAACGCGTAAGCGCTAGTAATAGAGAAACAAACGAGCACTGCTTAGAGAAGAAATCGATAGCTGCACGACCTCAAAGAGAGAGCTTCAGATCGAAGAGACAGCCTACAAATCCAGAACAGCATCTTGGTCGACCAAGCTGAGAAATCGAGAGTATATATTGGTGAGGTATTGGATTGACTCCGCAACCAGCATACCTCGCCGCCTAGGAGAGATTCGGTGTGCAAAACAACAGACAAGCAGGCGAGACTTATCAACACGATAGATGCCGCCAATATACAAGAGGTCGCGATGCACGACGACAATGCCGTTCACCCTTTCCGTAGTCAGGGATCTTGAAGAGGACGTCAACATCTTCCAAGCCCGACTCCTATTCTCTCAAGCCGTGACAGAAAACCTAGAGGCACAGCTTTCTTTAGCCATCAACGCAAAAGAGCACCTTCAACGCAATTCCTGAAGTTGCGCGCGAAGCTCGACGGCGGAGCGGAACGCAATGCAACATTCTTGTCGGAAGTATCTTTCGAGCTGCGATACTGCCGGAGAGTCATGGGCCTTTCGAAGACTGAGAGTGTGGGCGATGGCTCGCCACTGGGAGTGGTTCTACCGAGGATCTAGGACCTGCTCTGTTAGTGTATAATAAGAAGTATTTCGTTTGTAGTCGCTGAGGGAATATTAGCGAGGAATGGGCTTACATTGACCCTCCTATCCATAGGGCATGCTAATTAGTCTCCAGGAACGGTCTGCACTGAGCAATGAAGTGTTGCATATAGAATATTGAAGTCTACTATGAAGACAGTATAGTACAGGGAATCCTCGCTCTAATCCAACTGAAGAACTTCAGATATCTTCCTTTGCTTCGACTGTGCCTTCTCCTCTCTTGACCGCGCAACCTCCTTGGCCTTGTTTTTGTTTCGTTCCACAATATTTCGTACGTTCCAAATCTTTGTGCCTCGCTGAAGCACACCGCCGTGTAATAGCTTAACAGGGTTCGGAAGCTCGCCATCGTTGATCGCTTCGGGGAAATGCATATCTCTCTTATTCCTCTCTTCTAGCAGGTATACCCTCTTCGGGCCCAACAGTGTCCTATCGTCCCACTTTTTCTTCTTGCCTTCCCTCATTCGTTCGACCATGTCCCGCAGATGCTCTACGCCTTCTTTCCGGAACTGTGTGACCTTCTTGACGTTCCTAGCTGTAAGCTCGTTCATGCGCATACTCTCCGGTAGATTTGACAATGTCTTCGCTGTCATGGCAAAGCGCATATCTTTGGGACCGTCCACTAGTTCTAGAATGGCAGATTCGGCTTGATCTTCCTTTGTAGGTTCAATGCGGAGGACACGTGTATAACCGCCAGGACGCTCGAGGTAGCGTTCCCTTATGGGCCCGAAGAGCTTGGGGACTAGTTCTGTAGGTTCCTGGCAATGGTTTAGCTCAGAGTCAAGAGAGCTGCATCAATTGCCGTACGAAGAATATCTGATGCGCTCTCCGCCGCGTCGCTTCCGTGTTCTTCTTTCCCAACGTAATCAACTTCTCCGCCAATCTTTGTGCCTCCTTCGCCTTGTGCCATGTCGTCGTTATCGATTCCTGTTTGAAGAGCGATGTGACGAGATTTCGGAGGAGAGCTTCTCGATGCGACGACGACCGGCTGAGGTGACGGTATTTCATGTGCCCGCCCGCCATGATGGGCAATTGAGGTTATCAACGACAGGAAAAGAAGAAAATCGAAATGGTCCCAGCTGCAGATGACGCGCAGCTCCCCAGTTGCCCACCGTTCGATGCCCTGGCGGTGTCCTGAAAAGATTCGGCGAAATGCGCCGCCTAGCGCGAGGGCACGTGCGCTGACCAAGCAACCACTTTCCACTCTAAGTGGCAAGGAAGGCGCGTCGTGACCGTGTAACCGTGCGTGTACCGCGCGTGTTTTGCTTCGACGCGTCTTGATTTAAAAGCCTCTCACCCCTCTTCCCGAATCCGCTTCCACTCCCATTCTCCACGCGTTGAGATACCCATATACAGCTAATTACTTTACGCTTCCAAGATGTTTGTTCACAAGCGCGGTATGTACAACCTGCATGCATGATTTCATTGCTGTTTCTACCCCTGCTGCCACCTGCATGTCGTTGACAGAACTGATATGGTACTTCAGATGGACGTAAAGAACGCGTTCAGTTCGACAAAATCACAGCTCGTGTGTCGAGGCTATGTTATGGCCTCGACCCGGACCATGTTGACCCTGCTGCCATCACAATGAAGGTCATCTCGGGCGTGTACCACGGTGTCACGACGGTCGAGCTGGATAACTTGGTACGTTGGATGTTCCCCACTTGCGATGGCATTCCCACTAATAACTCCAAGGCCGCTGAGACAGCAGCATACATGACTGTCACCCATCCAGACTATGCTATCCTCGCCGCACGTATCGCCGTGTCGAACCTCCACAAGCAGACAAAGAAGCAATTCTCGTCTGTGATCCATGACCTTTTTAGCTATATCAACCCAAAAAATGATAAGCACCAACCTATGATATCGAAGTCCGTCTACGACATTATACAAGAGCACGCTGAAGAGCTCAACTCGGCTATTGTATACGACCGCGATTTTAACTATCAATTCTTTGGATTCAAGACCCTCGAGCGATCATACCTACTTCGCATCAATGGCAAAGTAGCCGAGCGTCCTCAGCACATGCTGATGCGTGTAGCTGTGGGTATTCACGGCGAGGACATTGAGAAGGCTATAGAGACCTACGACATGATGTCGCAGAAGTTCTTCACACACGCGTCACCCACTCTTTTCAATGCGGGTACACCTCAGCCTCAGATGTCCTCTTGTTTCCTTATCGACATCAAGGACGACAGCATCGAGGGCATCTACGATACACTGAAGACCTGTGCCATGATCTCCAAGACTGCTGGCGGTATTGGTCTGAATGTGCACTGCATCCGTGCCACTGGCTCGTACATTGGAGGAACCAACGGTACTTCGAACGGTCTCATCCCTATGCTCCGTGTCTACAACAACACTGCTAGATACGTTGACCAGGGTGGCAATAAGCGTCCGGGCGCCTTTGCCATTTACCTGGAGCCTTGGCATGCGGACGTGTTCAGCTTCCTTGACTTGCGAAAGAACCACGGCAAGGAGGAGGTACGTGCGCGTGATCTGTTCTATGCCCTTTGGGTACCGGACCTATTCATGAAGAGAGTCCAAGAGAACGGCGACTGGACTCTGTTCTGCCCCAACGAAGCTCCTGGCCTCGCAGATGTCTACGGTGACGAGTTTGAGGCTCTGTATGCCAGGTACGAGGCTGAAGGTCGTGGACGTGAGACTGTCCGCGCCCAGAAGTTGTGGTATGCTATCCTCGAGGCTCAGACGGAGACTGGAAACCCCTACATGCTTTACAAGGACGCCTGCAACCGCAAGAGCAATCAGAAGAACCTCGGAACCATCCGCAGCTCTAACCTCTGCACTGAGATCATTGAGTACACTGCCCCTGATGAGGTAGCTGTGTGCAACCTTGCCTCCCTCGCCCTTCCTAGGTTTGTTGATGAGAAGCAAGGCAAGTTTGACTTCCAGAAGCTCCACGAGGTTACGGAGATTGTTACTCGTAACTTGAACAAGATCATTGACGTCAACCACTATCCTGTTCCGGAGGCTCGCAAGAGCAACTTCAGGCACAGGCCTATTGGTCTCGGTGTACAGGGTCTTGCTGATACTTTCCTGGCTCTCCGCATGCCTTTCGATTCTCCGGAGGCCAAGAAGCTCAACACCCAAGTTTTCGAAACCATCTACCACGCAGCATTGACCTCGTCCTGTGATTTGGCCAAGGAGCTCGGTCCTTACGAGACATACGAAGGATCTCCTGTTTCTCAGGGTATCCTGCAGTATGACATGTGGAATGTCACCCCTACCAAACTGTGGGATTGGGCGCCGTTGAAGGAGAAGATCGCTCAGTATGGTGTCCGCAACTCTTTGCTCGTTGCGCCCATGCCGACAGCCTCCACTTCTCAGATTCTTGGATACAACGAGTGCTTCGAGCCCTACACTTCAAACATCTACTCTCGTCGTGTTCTGGCCGGTGAATTCCAGGTCGTCAATCCTTGGTTGCTTAAGGATCTCGTGGACATGGGCCTATGGTCCGACAACATGAAGAACCGTATCATCGCTGATGGTGGCTCCATCCAGCGCATCCCCAACATTCCAGACGAAATCAAAGCCCTGTACAAGACTGTCTGGGAAATTTCACAGCGAACCATCCTTCAGATGGCCGCTGATCGTGGTGCTTTCATCGACCAGTCTCAGTCGCTCAACATCCACATGAAGGAGCCTACCATGGGCAAGATCACCTCCATGCACTTTGCTGGCTGGAAGCTTGGCTTGAAGACTGGGTTGTACTACCTCCGAACCATGGCTGCGTCTGCTCCTATCCAGTTCACTGTGGACCAGGAGGCTTTGCTGGTCGAGGACACCAACGTCGCTCGTGCCCTTCCAACAAAGCGACGAGGCCTTGGTGTCAGCACCTCGCCATCGCCGACTCCTGTTCCTCGACCAATGTTCGCAACCAAGACGCCAAATGGTGTTCCCACTCCAGGGGCAACACCGCCTATCGGCTCTGAAAACATGCAGCTGAACGGCGCGACCAAGGATGCTCTCGCCTCCAAGCCTTTCAAGGCTGATGTGCCCGAGGGTGAGAGCCCGAAGGTCATTGCAGCCGAGTCAACTGGCAAGCTTCCTGACGACGAGGCTCTTCCCGAAGCTGCCTCCAGCCAGGAAGAAGATGGAAAGGAGAGCGCTGATCGCGAAGGAGACATCTACTCTGACGCAGCCCTTGCTTGCTCGATAGAGAACAAGGAGGCCTGCATCATGTGCAGCGGTTAGATACGAGGATTTACGATGTGACGTGTACAGATAGATATCTTACGGGAATGAGGGCAGACGACTGCCTTGTATGATTCCCACATGTGTATGGTCATGGCGTTCATGGGTTCTTGATTCACGCGGAGGATATGGTTCCATCTACGAAGTTGGCTCCTTGTTTAGGTTAGGCATTACTTAATCCAGCAAGCATTCTTTACACAACGTACAGTGCCTCAACAAGTATCTGAATACCCTGAATTGTATTGGATGAGCTTTGCGATACTCAGACTTTTGACCTAGTACTACTCGGTTAATGTGTGGTCAACAGAATCAGTTAAGCAGTTGCAACCTCGGGGCTTCCTGTTCCGTCACCCCGCATCGTGCTCCGCGGCGCCCACGCCCTACCGTACGCGTTTACGCCTTTCAGGTGACAACTTGGACATACACCCTGCATCCGGTTCTGAAACAGCCTTCGGCGTTCTAGTCTCGAAGGCATGTAGGTCTAGCGCATCCTCTATTGTCCCTCAGTTCGTGCAATCGCTCACCAGCACAACACAGCATCAACATCAGCATCAGCATCAGCAGTGGTACCGACGGCCACTTCTCCAAGCTCCCCACCTACCCCAAGTCAAGACCCCACTCCAGTCGTCCGCCCGCATGCCACCTCACTCAATCCTCCGACCCTCTACCCGCATACCATCGTCCACAGCAGCACCACTCAGACTCCTTGCCTGTCGCGCAGGACCTCGACTCGTGCAACGACCGAACACACAACTTAAAAAAGAACTAAGGACAATGGCATCTTCAACAGCGCCGCTGCAGGAATGGCTCGTCATAGCGCCCGACTTCGAAGGTGTGCTGAATAAGCGACTCGCCGTGAGAAATGAGCACCTTGGCGGGCTGAAGGCGGACCCTGAGGACTTCTGGCTGTGGGGTGGTGCGTTTCTCCCGTCATTCCACTTACTCTCCACTCTCCGCACAATATATAGGGAGTGGGTGCTGATATTGAGCAGGCGCAATGCTAGAAGAACCCGTGACGGAAGGCCAGACGCCGAAGATGAAGGGATCTACGATGCTGATAGGTGCGAAGACGAAGGAGGAGGTCATGGAGCGGTTGAAGCAGGATGTTTATGTCAAGGAGGGGGTGTGGGACTGGAGCAAGGTGCAGATCATCCCGTTTAAGAGTGCGTTGAGAAAGGCGTTGTAGAGTGAGACTCGTAATAAGAGTGCATATGAGCAACGCGGTGCCTACAAGAGCTTGCACAGCAGGAGCGCACATGCGCAGTCCTAAATGATTAGCGCGTGGCGACCGAGCAGAGTCATGTATCATAGCTAGCATTATAGCTCGATGCTTCCTGTGCTCTTGTGGTCGCTCTGTCCCATGCGTGAGCATCTACATGGGATGGGAACATCCATAACAGCTGCGAGCCTTTCTAAGAGCTGCACACTGACGACCCTGTAAATCTCTACGAGATATTATCACTAGTGGCGTCGTAAGTCCCGGTATGTCGGGCCTGTGTTCTGCATGGATGGCGGGTTCGCACATCGCTCCCTCCACGAGGTCCACTGCACAGGTGGCCGCCTTCTCGTCTCCCGAGTCTTCAACACTTCAAATCACCAGCTCGCTGTGCCTTCAACCAACCTCGCGCGTACAGCCGTCCTCCGCGGAAGGAATCATGTAGACCTTGGATACCTTCTGTGATTGCGACCGTTTCACCCCCCTTCAGCCGCGTTCCTTTCCTTCTCCGCCTGCTCCAACAGCCCCGACACAGTCGTAATCGTCCACCCCTTCCTCTTCATTTCAGGCACAACCTTTCTCAGCATGGGAACCGTCCAGCTCCTCCTATCATGACATATAACAATCCCACCGGGCTTCAGCATACTCAGCACATGCTTCGCATTGACCCTCCAATACGGTATCTGCGGATCATGCGGATAGATATCACCCAGTACCAATCTGTACCCCAACTCCTTCGATAGGCCGCGCATGCGCACGGAAAAGAAGCCCGACCCGGGGCGGAAGTACCGTGCCGGTTTTTCAAGCTTCGCTGAGGCATAGGCGTCATCAGTCATTTTCTCCACAGTTCGAATCTGCGACTTCAATTCAGCGTTAGAAAGCGAGCGCGACGCTTCATCATGCATGGCGTGATTCCCCAGCTCCATGCCCGCCTCCACCAATCTTTTCAACTCCTCTTCCCTTCCTCGAACCTGCCCACCGATCACAAAGAACGTAGCTTTTGCATCATTTTCCTTCAAAATGTCCAGGACCTGGGCGGTATAGTAGCTTGGCGCGTCGTCGATTGTTAATGCGATGACTTTCTTTTTGACATCCGCATGGAACAGGACATCCGGCCAGCGGGATTGGAAATATTGAATTAGCAGTGATGGCGGCTTGTAGATGATGTAGAAGGGGATTATGAAAGTTAGGATGGTGAGGAGGGCGATGAGCATGGTCATGAGGCGGAAGCGACGTGCGCGCCGGGAGAGGGTTGTAGGGTACCGAAAGAGGCGGATTGAGGGGCGTGGCATGTTGCAGGTGACATCTTAAGGAGCAAAGACTGGGCGAGACATGTTCATGTTGTTATGTTGGCTGCACGGCTGCGGTGGAGGAGTTATACGGCGCCCCTGTTTAGGGTTTAGGGGCAAGGAACCCCTGGAGCGCAGTACGCCACGTGACGCTCCGCTTAAATATTCTCCGACGTCGAAACTTCGGTTGCATTGTTAAAATCTCGAGATCCATCTCTCTTCGACATCTAAGCATGCGCGAAGCTCTGTTGAACACTGTCATCGACTTTCTGAGATGGCTAAGAAAGTTGCGTTCCAGATGCCTCTTGTGCGTATGTGTAGACAAGATGCAGAATTTTGCGCTTCCAGCCTCCTTCCGGGTTGAAACTCTTACAGGTCTTGCTTGCGCACGAGTATCGGCCTCATCACGGAATAATTTGTCACGCTTGTTCGAAATCTTCCACTTCGACACAGGCCCTCTATGGACGTTCCAAGAGCAACTGAGCGTTTAATTGACCTGGCGGCCTCGACTATGTGGCTATTCAGGTCTCATTGCGTTCATACATGTTCTCATTATCTAATATTCCATGTAATCCACGTATGCGAAAATGTGTGTTTGGGTATCCTACTTCATTTGCCGTCGCTTCCAAATAGTGATAAAGTCACCAGCTCCTTCGGTGTCTGTCGCGCTGTCCGAGCCCAGCGCCGAAGCAATGTCCACCAGAGGGACCATACTAGGCCGACCATGGGCGCACATGAATGGAAACACGCATTTACATAGCTTCCGCACCAGTTCTCTGCATTCTTCCATGCTGAGCTCATCGTTGAACATAATGGCCGACCGGCAGGCGCGCGAATTAACCAGATCGATCAGACCCTCCGGACAGCTAGCAATACGTCTAACCCATGCTGCTCGGTCGTTCGAAGGTCCACCTCGTCTCTCCCACTCGTCTGCAGGCAGAGGAAGGCGGACAGCATCTGCGTACTTCCAAACAGTGGTGCGGAGAAAGGCGATAAGAACTTGCGGATCTGCTTTGCATCGCTCGGATATCACTGGTGGCAAGGCTGTCACGGAGAGGGTCGATTGACTCTTCATCGATGAAGTTGTTGAGGTTCCCACATCGTATAAGATACCCCAAGTTGCGAATTTTGCAGCATGTCTCTTGAATTGCCCCTGTTCTAGGGCAGATAGCGCAAAATGGATTGGCTTACCCAGAATAGAACAAGCTATATGCGACTCATGGCCCAGCTTGGTACGGTAGTTTTGGATACCCTTCGACAATGGCGCACACATCTCTGTGAGCAAGGATTCCACACGCGTGCGTTCGTCCGCCGCGTGTTGGTCAATTAGAACCAGTATATGCCCATTAGCACCCAACACTTCGGTGTTACCTTCACATGACCCCATCTTGACGAGAATAAACTTCCTATCAAGCTGAGCCATGACTTCGGCATTCTCAAGACCGGCCCTAGATAGCTTACTCGCATTAGACGTCGACAATGCATGGATAGTTTCGTCATTGTGACTCCGTCTGCCGAAGTGATTGCTATGATTGCTATGATTGCAGTCATGGCCGTTTCCATCTTTGTGAAGGAGGGCTTGCTGAATCTTTGTTTCAGCAGGCTTGAAAACTGGATTATCCCACGTTCTCAGGAAGCCATTGAGCCAAGTGTTTGACTCGATACTTGGTGTGGTCGATGTCGGACATAAGCGTAGGGACTTGTTAAAATCGCTGAGTGTGCTTCCGCGGACATGTGGAGAAAGGTCGGTCTGAGGCCTAGCCAGAGGGCGTGGGAGCACGCAGCCCGTTCGAGTGTTCAGGAAGTACGTTTGCTTGGTTATCGGGTCTGTCCAGGGAACCGCTTCGTCGTATTTGCCCTCGTCTACACAGCGAACTTCTGTTGCTGAGATATCAGGCCTTGTAACGCCGTCTGAGAACCCCGCAGGTACTGGAATAACATTGAATTTGGCGAAGTACGGAGCGGTAGAATCTTGAACATTTGAGCTCGGATGGTTCGTTACCTGTTGTGACGTCCAAACGTCTCTCTTTATACCTAAATTGCCCAGATGAGTAGCGTTGCCGCTCTTGATGCGAGACCAATCACGGAAAGCTAAGTGATGATCTCGTTCCGCGCCTTTCTTGTTGAAAGGTGCTTGTGACCGTTTTCTCTTGCGGCTGTCTGTCTCTGCTAATTTAGACATTGGTGGGGTCGATACAGTACAAGTTCGAGAGATAGGCCCGACTGGGCGTGTTTGGTGACCTGATAACGCAGTCTCATCGTGCTCGGCATGCTTGGAAGACGTGCCCGAACTTGATCGATGAGCATGCTTTGACGACGCTTTGCGAGGTTGAAAGTGATGGACAGCTAGCCACTCAGTGATCATAGCTTTCAAAACCTCCATGACGATGCTAAGGTTTGCTTGATCTTCACTGAAGAGAGTGTCGGTTCGGTTCGAGTGGTTTTGGTGTGGAAAGGACATGCGCAAATGGAACATGGGGTATCGGTCAACGCCCTTTCGCGCTTTCACTTGCTTATTTGCGTACCCGTCATGCTTGAAGCGATTGTCGTCTTGTCTTTGAATTTTCTCATCCTCGTCCACAGCTAAGCCGTTCTCGACAATGCCGAAGCTAGACAGAGCGAATAAGCGATTGACCTCGTCATAAAGTTCATTGCGCCCGGTGTCGGCACTCAATGGAGTAACACCGAGTGAGATGAATTGGACACGCTTGCTAGGCGCAGGATCGCGCGAAATAGCGCCCTCTATACAGATGGTAGAAGTGGACGCAGATACAGGAACCCATGAGGGCCACTCGTCGTGATGGATGTAGCTCGCTTGCGTGAGGACATTGAGCACAGAATGAAGCCGGGAAGGGCGTCTCCTTGTGCCGTGTTTATTCTGACCTGCAGTAGAGAGGCTGAGGGACGTTTTACCGCCCGCATCTCGGACCCGCAGAGAAACGGGCTTGTGCCAGCTGAGCATCAAACCCGTAATTTCCCGTTTCAGGATCTCCCACAAACGATCGTACTCTGTCCTCTGTTCTGCCGCAAGGCCTCTCTGCTTGACCCTCACAGGGAGGTTCCCGAATAGATTACGCACTGTCACGCGGGTGCCATGTTTTCCGTGAAGCTCGTGTACTGACGAAGCTGGTAGTTGCCGATCGATGATTGTAGAATGATGCAGCGACAATGAGTTATGCGATCGATGCTCGTGGTGACGAGAGGCAATGGTCAGAAGGGACATGGCACCGAGGGATGCGAGAAAGGTGCCGTTGCGGCCGAGGCATTCATCCTCAGAGAAATATCTGGAGGTGCCTGGAGTGGGTCAGTATATATGTTTGATTCTCTTGAGCAGCATCAAGACGTACAGTACAACTTCCCCAAGCCCCCTTCCTCACGAAACTCGGAGGGGGCAATACCGAGACCATTGTCCTCGACGAAGCATCCTCCACGAGCAAAGTCAACCGTTGCCTCTACTTTGGAAGCTTTTGCGTCCAGAGCGTTCCCCAACAGTCCCAGTACGACGTCAGTTAAAGAAACAATAGCGGTCGACGATTTGATCTGAGCGACCACCTCCTGTGGCAGCGGCAGAATGACAGTCTGGCGGGCAGACATGCAAGGCGTTTCCCCCGAAACGTCCTTCAACGCATGGTGGTCAATAGAGCTCATCCCCCTCGGAACTGGAATCTTAAGCCAGAAATGGCCATGAGGCTCATGCAGCTGTGCGGAGCGTGGCAGACGCTTGGATGAATTTTGACCCCAGGATTAAAACACAGGCAAGGCGCTGGCTCGTCACGGCGGTTGGCTGGTGCGGTACCATCAGTGATCGCTGGTGCATGAGTGGAGAAGAGAAGAGCTCCAGGCTGCAGCTTCGTCGCTCAAGCGAAGGCGCGGCCCGCGCTTCAAAGGACCCTGGCCCCAACGCATCTGGAATAGTCGACCGCCGCCTCCGCAATCCAGTGAACCCCAAGCCTCAACACCGAACGCTCTGCAAGCACACCCGCGCAGCCTCAGGGACATCGCAGCAACCTCGCGCCCAAGGTGTCATCCTTAAACTACATTCAGATTCTGCAGCTGAAGTGCATCGGCCCTTCTTTCATTGCGCCACTTACTCTACCAGCCCCTCGTCACCTCGTCATTGCCCAATCTGTTACACGTGGAGGCGATCCAGCCTGTGAATATTTACCCATCGGGATGGCCACCGCTGAGCCAGCGTCGAGGCCTCATGGTATGTCGACTGGCTTGAAATCGAGCACAACCATTGCCATGTTAATAGCCCTTCCGACCTAACGTTCTCCCCCTTCGGTCTTCACCGCGTCTGAATTGTGACGGGACTAACACACATGACAAAAGACCGACAAGCGCGCAAGCGGCCCTTCGCGGGCTTCATGAAGCGCCTCGCCAACCTCAAATCCTCGTCCGACTCGCCCAGCGCCTCGAGTAAGAAGAGTTCGGGCAGCACACCGTCCAAGTCGAAGAAGGCAGCAGCAAAGAACAACCCGTACCCAGAGTCGGGCCACGGAAACGGTAACGGGAACGGTAACGGCAACGGCAACGGCAACAGCAACGCGAATGGAGATCGCCTCTCCTTTTCCAGCCCCGTCACCCCACGCTCGGCCGAGAGCTTCACTTCAGTGGATGAGAGCAATGACGCCAACCAGCATCGCGCGCTCGCGAAGAGCAACAAGTCTACTGCGCCGACTGTAGCCACGAACCCCGAGACGGTCCACTCAGGAAGGTCCAAGGCAGACACAGGCTTCAGCAATCTGGGCAACAACAGCACCTTTTCGTCGCCGAACCACTCCGAGCGTTCCCTCACCACTACCTTGACGACTATACAATCGACCGCTCCTTCAAATGCATTGGGAGGGAGCAATGCGCAGAACGCACAGCCTGCAAATGGACTGCCTGTGCAGTTCTCACACCAGTTCCCAACTTCGCCACCTCCTTCAGCTATTCCTCCCCATCTGAACCCGCAACAGCCACAGCCGCACTCTTACCAGGCTGCGACCGCAAACAATATCTTAACAGACAATGCATCTATCCTGACGCTAGCATCCTCTTCCAAGCGCCGACGTCGAAACTCGCTTGACACAAATGCTTCCGTCCGCGCCCTAGCACCGTCCTCGGTTTGGGGTGGAAGTCGAGAATCGCTTCCCTTGAGTGTCCTGTCCGGCACGGCCGACACCATCTACAGCCCAGCTAACAGGCCTGGTGGTGTTAGTGGCTTCGCCAACGCGGAACGCGCAAGCGTGTATTCGTCTTCAGGGGTTGCGGCACCCGCTTTGCCCAGCGAGCGCAACAGCTATTATGCAAACAAGCAAAACACGGACGGAATGAGCGTTCGCAGCGGACTGTTAGGCCATGGCCGGACCGATAGTATCAACGGCAGCATTGGACCGAACCCTGCAAGCCCTCTCGCTAGCCCCAGGGAGACGGCGGTACCGGCCAAGATGAGTCGACGAAGCTCAGACTGGCAAGATGCGGGTGAGGGTAGCGTTGCGGGAGATGAGGCAGATGTTCCAGCGAGTCCTGTCTCAGTCGAGCATAATGATAAGGGAAAAAGCCAAGTGATATGAGAGAACGGCGTAGAAAGAAGGGCATAACGGTGGGGCTGAGTTTCTACTTGTGATGATACCAGTTGGGTGGGTTGGAACAGGACCAGGTGTAACAGGAACCAGGCCTGGGTGGTAGTAAACAGGTCGGCCATCGACTGGCGTTATGGGTAACTTCCGGAGGCTGGGCCAAGTTCGTTTTATGATTTCATGCAGTTATACCCTGAGTGCCTTGAGTGCGTTAGTCCTAAGGACTGGACGTTACGTCGATCGGACACTACTAGCAGTACTGCAGACCCTCAAGCTCCCTTCTTTCGTGTTCGTTTCGTTTCTCGTATCTTTTCCTGTTCATCATCATTGTGTCCATGCTTCGCCAAAGAAAGAGCTATACGTACCGTGGTGGCAGTGTGCCGAGCCAATTGAGATCACACGCAGTACCAATGAAGTGGGACTAGGACATTCGTTCATCTTCACCTTCACTGCTCTCTGCCTAACTCACGGCTTCTCTCCCGCTTTGTCATCTCCACGTGGTGCGCCTTCCTCGTGCGCTCGTCGCCTTCTTATCTCCCGTTTGTGCCACCTCGCCCTCCACGACGACACCATCACACTCCTTTGCCACCCACAACAAATCGAACCTCGCGACAGCCATGGACGTCTCTACTTGTGCACCCGCGACCCCCGTCGCCGGCGGCTCACTGCAGATCACTGTTGTTGCCGACAGTGACTTCGTCATCCAGCTCACACCAGCTGCCAAACCGCTCGTGGAGAAGACCACCAATGCCGCGCCGAAGCGCACGAGGGTGGTGCAGTTCCGCGTCTCGAGGGCGGTGCTTCAGCAGCATTCGGCATTCTTTCAGACGATCTTGGGAAGTCGTCCTAACTTGGTATGACAGTATTTCCATTCATGCGTGAGCCATCGTGCTAATACGCACCAGGCCAACGTCACATTCGAAAACAAGGGCAATGGCTTTGGCTACGCTCTCGAGATCTGGCTTCGCGCTCTTCACAACGGAGCTCATACGCTCCCCAACAACCTCAAGGCGACTCACATTGAGCGCGCTTGGGTCGCCATTGGCGTTGGAGAGCAATTTGGCTTTGCTCCTCACCATATCGACAAGATCAAGCCGTGGTTCCTAGAGTGCTACCAAATTGCGCTCAACAACGGCGGCCTCACACCTTTTATTGCTTGTTGCCTCGCCTTCCCTTGCAACGTCTTCAATCATGCCGAGGGCTTCATGAAATTGACCAAGTATCTCGCGTATCACACTAATGGCAACATATTCACAATCAACCCGTCCAGCTTCCATGGACTCAACCAGGATGCGCGTACTCTTGACGGTGAGACTTAAAGATTCGTGAGCTTGCGCAGTGCGGAGTAAACTAAATGACACTAGGCCCTCTTACTACGGCTCGAGCCCACATCCAATCCATACTTGACAAAGAGCTCAACTTCGCACTTGACAAGCTTCACCAGGCCACTTGCTCTTGCCGCAAGGAGACCGCGTTCGACTACGTTGACGCTTTGAGGGCACTCGACTGCTGGCCGATCGACCGCGCGGTGCAGAAGTATCCGCTCGCAGAAATTATTGATGAGCTCGAGAAGTTCGAGTTCACACCGAAGAGCATCAATTGCGAGTCCGGTGCCTGCGCTCATGACTTCAAGGACTCCGTCAACATCGCTATTCGTAAGGCGAAGTTTGCATTCGACGGACTTTGCCTGGACTGCATGGAACGCAGCCAGATTGAGCATGTCGACGCTCAGACGCGCCAAGCTTTCCTTGACAAGAACTCCCCGTTCAAGGGCTGTTGGGACATTGACTGTCGCTTCGGCCACGGTCGCGCTTCTTGGTAAGCTTGCATACGCAGATATGAGCTGCCAAGCTCACTATCCATAGGTATTACTCTTGGATGGGACCCTCTTCTGTGCGCCGTGATATTCTTAGCAGGTACCGCGAGGAGAAGAAGGCGCTTGGCATTACCAAGGGCGGCCGACGTTCTCGACGTGGCCCTCGTGTCACCAAGGATAGTGAGTCATATCAGGCCAATTCTACTATCGAGGCGTTTACCGAATGAAGCAGATAGTGTTGTCCCTAGTGCTCGCCTCGCAGCCATGTCCGTCAAGACACAGGCATCAGGAGGCATGAAGAACACGACTAGCGAACAGGAGAACAATGACCATGAGGATAAGTACGACCACGATGCGGACGAAGATGATGAGTTCTTCGATGCTGAGGACGCTTCTGTTGGAGGCCACACTGTTACTGACGATGCTGATGTGCTTGATCACGACGACGTGAACTGAACCTCGCGCAATACGGCCTCTTCTACGGTATTGCTTCTACAACTGCTGGCTCAAGTTTCAAAACTGGTGTTACTTGAAGTACTACTATTTGTTTGGGATGGAACATGCCATGGAACAGCCACGGATCAGGAAGTGGAGCATGTCAGAGGCTTACTTGACCGGTCTCAATGTATTGAAGTTCGCACGTAACTGTCACATTTCGAGACTCTATCTTATGCGACTAATGTAGCATATGACGCAGACGAGCTCTATGTGAGGTGTTTCGGGAATACACATCGTAAGATGTCGCACCGGCGTGGCGTCTTAACGATTAGCATAGTATACTACTTCAAAAGAATGAAATCGAGATCATTGAAACTAGCTTCGCCAATGTCACGTTTTGGAGTGCACTCGACACTGCCCAGTATATACCTCACAATGACTCGCCGTTGCAGTTTGTCGATCAAGCTTAATTTGTGATGATCGAGCCTCTTTTGCAGATATTTGTTCACAGGGGAATATACTAACTTCAGCGTGGCATGGCGACGTTACCAAAGTGGAAGTGCATAACTCAGAACTAGTCGCCCTCCAAGTAGAGGTGAGAAAAACATACGACCTAAGTCTCGATCACATTAAACAAGAGTTGGTCTTGCCCACAACGCCATCCTCCTTAACATGCATCCACTCCATTGGCGGGCTCGGGCAGCGCTGACAACAATCGGTTTTACGGCTCAATGGTGCCTAATACAATTACGCATGCTTAGAACGCTTCTTTGAAGTAGATGGTATACTGTAGAGATTAGTTTAAAGCTTATATAGCTTGTAATACAGATACGTCTCCTAGACATAAAGGAGGCTAAAGATTTAGGATCCTCGGTAATCTCTTTTGGTAACCTTTTAGTATTCTGGCTGTAATAAAGCTCTAAAGCTACTATAGTATAGTCGCTAGTATGATTGAAATTGTATCTTTAGTATAGTACGTGTAGATAAAAACCTCGTACGGGCCGCATATTAAGGCGAGTAATGTGGACTGTTGTCAGCGCTGGGTCTGGGAGCTTGATTACCAACAGAAGCTTGATGGCGAGGCCTTCCTTCCAGATGCCGGCATAGGTGTCAAACTAATCCTTAGGTTTCTCTCCGCGGTATGCTGCTCTTCCTGCGAGGCCTCGTCACAGTGGCCTTGGCTATCACTAACTCAGCGTTGCTCATAGGTAGGGGCGTTTTTGAAAAAACCCTTCCCGTCATCCATACCTACGTATTGGACGTGTCCATGAAAGGTCAAGGAGTGCATAAGTATGACAGATAAGTGTACGTACTACCTTGAACGGTTGGAGCGCACGGCGGACTCGGTACAGACGTCTGTATGCTCACTTACGGACGGAGATGCCACCCAGGTATCGAAGGATTAATAAGATGGTAGTCGATTTGGCTGGTACTGGACCGATTCATGGAGTATACAGGCCGGGCTTGCGGTAGGTGTTTGAGATCCCTGGGTCTTATTGTGTTGTGCAGTCTCATTGATAAGATAGCGAGGTTAAGTTACGCATAATCAACAGAGGTCCCATGACCAGCTATGCTCAATCCAATTTTTTTTAACAAAGGTCCAAGGTCAGCACAGCTCCAATTAGCAGAGGTCCGATAAGTGATCACCATTTCTAAAACAGAGAGCATGATTGCGTCATAGGTCAGTCGTCATCAAGTTTAGTGTCGTGTCATTTAACTGTATGCATTTTGCTCACTGTTCGAGATATTATCAGTCTCACCCGCCATCAGTCTCCATCACACTTCAAAAGGTCGTTATACTTCTCGATGATCCAACATCATGTGAGAATGCAGCATATATTCGTAGTACATCCTCCAACATCTGTGTAGGTGTTGACACGCCTATAATAGAATTCCAGAGTGATTTACGAAACACATGCATGCCTTCGATATATAATAATCCACACCACTTAGCCAACTCACAATAGCTTAACTTCAATATGATATATGCTTACTCACCAAACATCCATTTTAGGGATTGACTTAGCACCTAATAAGCATCCAATCTCCGCCATGCTGCAGACAGAGACCTGGACAGGAAATTTCCGATCGCAACGCCAACTTCTTTGATTATAACCATGGAGGGTGGTAATTCTTCCAAAGGAACCCTAGCAACATAATGTAATCAATACGTCAACATCCATCTCGAGGACTGCAGGTTGTAGGATTGCATTCTGAAGATTACCAATACCAATTCTTACACCAAGCTTTTAGCCATACATGATTCATGAGGAGACAACGAGTCTCGTGCAGATTTATCTTCTTCCCATTGCTACCCAACAGGATCACGAGCCTCGCTCGCAGACCAGAGCCTACTGCATAATGGTACTTAGTCAGCAACTCTGGCATCTATCTAGAGGAGAGTACTTTACTTACCGTTTCTCCGCAACCTCAACCGCGTGTGGGTTGGAGACATGAACCATCGCATCACCACTGGCATCAGAAGTTACGTCGGTTTCTGCATCGATGGCCTCAATGTCACTGGCGGATAGACCTGAGACCCAAATTCCGCGAATGTGATCTCGATCGGCATGGAGAGTCTCGTCGTTGGGAGTGGCTGGGGGCGGTGAGCTGCGACGGCGTCGAGCGATAGAAGCCAATGCCCTGATATGCCGGGGTGTACTAGCCCTGAGCCTGCCATTGCGCTTGGTCTTCTTCTTCTCGCGCCTGTTTTCATAGTGAGAGGCGTCGGGAGAGTTTTGGTTGTCTACCATGTCTACGTTAGAGACGTGGTTATCTCTTAGGCAGATATGGAGAAGTAGAGCGAGGACTGAACTCAGTGTCTACTTGGTGTTCCGCTTGGTTCGTCTAAAGAAGCTGTCTTGCTCGGTTGGCGAGCCATTCGGTGGAGTGGAAGGGCGGTGGTCGGCGTCACCGGTATTTTTTCCAGCGTTGAGAACTGGAGCTTTGCGTTTGGTGGCTGTCATTCCGAGAGGAGGTGAATGGGCTAGATTGCTCGCCGTTGAGCGAGGGTATCGGGGCTCGGTAGATTGCGATAGCTTGAGATCTTCGGATGTTCTAGTATGATGTTGTAATGGAAGTAACGGTGGATAGCGACATATTTAATTTTTACAGAAGGCATGGTGTCTGCGTCAAGGACGTGCAGCATCATGGTGTCTCCCTGAGCAAACACCGTTGTCTGATTCATTAAGCTACTCGTAAGTAAGACATCTGGTTTCTTGTTTCGAAGGCATCCCAGAATATCTGTCCCATATTTTTAGACATGCAGCTCGGCCGCCTCTCCAAGCTTCAGCTGTCCCGCATCAACATACTTTTTCAACGCAATCTTGACTTCGCGGTCATAGAATGCCTCCACCTGCTGCGGACTCCGTCCGATGAACGTGCTCGGATCCAGCAGGTTGTCCAGCTCACCAAGAATAGGCTTGAAGAACTCTGTCCGCTTGATCCTCTCTATCAAATCGTTGTCCCTACCATACTGCTTGACCTCTGCGCCGGCCTCGTGAGACAGCACACGGATCTCCTCGTGGGCATCTTGTCGGGAAACACCCTTCTTGACAAGAGCCATGATGACGTTCTCGGTGGCCATAAAGGGCAACTCTGCGTCGACGCGCTTGCGGATCATGGCGGGGTAGACGACGAGGCCCGAGGCGATGTTGTTAAGGAGGATGAGGGAGGCATCGGCGGAGAGGAAGGATTGCGGGAGGGCCATCCGCCTGATTGCGCCTGAAAAGGTTAGCGTGTCACATCTTAGAGTTGCTGTACGTGGTAAAGCTTACTGTCATCCAGCGTCCGCTCCATCCACTGTGCCGCATATGTCGCGCTTGCATCCGCGTTCAAATTTCGCAGCTTACGGCCGAGCGAGCACAAGCGCTCGCTCCGCATAGGATTTCGCTTGTAGGCCATTGCGGAAGAACCGATCTGTGTTGACTCAAAGGGCTCCTCTAGCTCCTTGAAGGAAGCGAGCAGGCGGATAGCCTGGCCGATGTTCTCGCAGGTGGATCCGAAAGATGCAAGTGCGTTGAGCACGTCGACATCGACTTTGCGGGTGTATGTTTGGCTGGAGATGATGTAGGCGGAGGAGAAGCCTGCCTTCGTTGTTACAAGCTCGTCGAGCTTCTCGACCTTGTCGTGATCGCCTTCAAAGATTTGAAGGAAGGAAGCCTATCGCCATGTTAGTTCCGTGTTGCGACAGAGTAGGCAACACAAAGCCTCGATACCCAAGCTTGGTCTCTTCGCTGTGCTGTCTTGTAAGGCACAGACGTACCTGTGTGCCAGTGGTTCCCTTCACACCACGGAATCTCAGATCATCCCTTGCGCGCTCCAGGTTCTTCAAGTCCTTCAGCAGGTCCTGAATCCACAGACACGCGCGCTTGCCCACAGTCGTCAGTTGCGCCGGCTGCAGATGCGTATATCCCAGACACGGCAGGCTCTTGTGCTCCTTTGCGAATGTCGACAGTTTCTCAATGACCGTGGCCAACTTGGGAAGAAGGAGGTCCAATCCATCGCGGAGGAAGATGAGGTCCGCATTGTCCGTGCAGTAACAGCTTGTAGCTCCCCAGTGAATGATTCCCCGCGCGGCCGGTGCCTTCTCTCCAAACGCAAACACATGTGCCATAACGTCGTGCCTCCGCTTCTTCTCTTCTTCCGCCGCAATCTTGAATTCCTCGTCCTGTATGATCTGGTGTTGCTTCATTTGCGCGATCGCTTCGTCGGAAATGTCGAGCCCGAGCTCCTTCTCCGACTCCGCGAGCCAGATCCAGAGATTTCGCCATGTGCTGAAGCGATTACGCGGGCTGAAGAGGTACTTCATCTCCTGCGAGGAGTACCTCGAGTTGAGGGGATCTTGATAAGTATCGTTGGGAGACATGACTGCTGAAGACGTGAGTCAGTGACGTGATCTGGGGCGTACTAGATGCAAAACGCAGTGTCCAAAGTCTGAATGCTCTGTGCTGCTCAGCAATTGGCAATGCAAACGCCAATAGAGGGCAGCTCGCACTCCTCAACACGGAGTGTATGCGAAGTGTGGTGACGCGGTCCTTCACAGCTTCATATGCCGCCCACGAGACCCCAAGAAACACGCGACAGACGTCCCTTCACCCGGGATCTTCGGCCGCAGGATTCCATAGCCAAGCAAGCGACGCGCACACATGAAAAACACGCAAGCACATCAGGTAAGATCTCACGCGCAAAGTCACATAGCACAGAAAATGGAAAGAAAACACACCTCAATGGCCTCTCGCGGTCGGGTCGGGCCTCGAAAACTTTTGGTCGGAAGTGAAGATGGATGCGCAAACCGTGAGCCGTGCAATTGAGTGTTTATGAACGGGTGGAGCTCCGTCTGGGGAAAGATTTGGGCGTGTTGGGCGTTGACGAGGCTCCCCACCAGCCCACCTTCACGCGTCGCGCAGAAAAAGTTGTGCGGTAGGGCGGGACAATAGCCGCCGACAACCGGAGCCAAGAATGTGCAGATCGACTGATGGAGAGGTTCGAGACCGATGAGTGTCTATCCCGCGGAAGCACGTTTTGAATAATTGCAACGAATGATCTCGAGCATGTTTGCGGCTTGGAGGGGAAATTACGTCATCAAGGTTGGGATGGTAGCACTACTTCACATGCTGCCGTGTTGTACAGCGTCATGTTCAGCTTCCTAGCAGGCGATGCTTATTTAGCTGCCAGCCCAAGTTTATCGACTTCAACCCAGCATCTTGGTGGGGAGTTGGCATTAATTCTCAAGCGATTGATGTCTCTTCCAGGAACGGTTCACGGTGACGGGTGAGCACACAATCGAAGAATACTGCAAGGAACGATTGCCATAGGTAGAGCTACCTCGCCGACCCGCACTCAATCTCCTTATCATAGTTTCCTTCACAGGCCATCGATCACCCTGAGCATTTGCTCTCACACTTTGTGCCTAGCAGTTGACTCTGCCTTCTGATGCCTTGACTTTGAACTTCCCGATTAGACATCTCGCACAACATGTTGCTTGCGGTGATAGTTTTGTTCGAGCGACCAACTTTACACTTCTGGATGGTATGATGGCGATTCTATATCGAAGAAACAGTGGTGAAGAGGAACGTGTTAGAAGTGGTTCGTCTATTATGTGCTCAGAGTGGGTAACATCATAGTTAGATCCTACAGGTGCAGACTCCGCCAAAGGGCTTGCTGGTGGAAGTATGTCGTGCGAAAGAATCCTCCTAGGGCTTTGTAGCTGGGTACTTGCTAGAGGTAGTTTAGTAAGTAGCACAAGGAGAGCTTGGCCCTGCTCTTTGAGAGGTGAGGAGGGAAATAGTAGACAGGTAGGATGGGCATATGCTTACTGTAAGACCTATTTCCAAAGTCCTTGCTGTGGATATCCCTCTGAGTGACAGAAGCCCGAATGTTGGGTCAACACCCAACCAAAGTTCTCCGCAACCCGATCTATAACTTTCGACGTCTTGACATTACTTTATCATTAAAAATGCTTCAAGGCCATTCGTGGAGGTTAGATCCAAACAGGTAGTTATAACAGAACAGTCCGCGCAATGTAAAGATCCAAATGCCAAACCCAAATGCTTCCCATATATACGCCATCCTCTGCATTCCAACATCTTACTTGTCCAGAGCCTGAAATTCAATTAGCTCCACAGTTGCACCCTCTTGGTATGGCTCGGACCATAGCGTAGGTCGGGTATGTAACCACTGCATGCGTGGCATCCGCCGATTCGATTGCACCGTCCACGCAGGGTAGTCTGACTCGGAGTGCGATAGCCAGATTCGCGGCCAACGTTCAGCGACGAACGCATCGTCCAGTGCGCTCTGCTCGCGGCGCAGTCTCCGCCGTAAACGTCTCAGGAAGCCTGGCCATTCCGTCTTCCGAATCTGAATCTTCGTTTCCCTGCCGACTTCCCCTGCGACGCACCATTAGCACTTCTCATCATGACCCCATCCGTCGCCGCATTGCCCGGCATCTGGTACGCCTTCTCACTGCCCTTCTTCCTCCCCGTCTTCACATCCCGTCTGCTCGCACAGCAGCAGCACAAACCTGTTTGAACTAGCCACGCAAAGATGGCGAACGCGGACGCTGTCCACATAAATCCGAACAAGTAGCTACCAATCGAGGACGAGATGTTGAGCTCGGAGACAGAGGAGATGACGTTGCGGAAGATGACGAACATGACGGTTGCGATGACGGAGGCGGCGGTGCAGAGGAGCGCGTTGATGAAGGTGAGGATGGCGACGGGGAGGGTCCACCAGCGAGAGAGGATCGAAATGGGCATTAGGAAGATGAGAACGAAGGAGAGGCAGGTCGAGGTGAGGAAGAAGCCAAACATGACTCGGGAGACGATCTTGATGAGGTCGAGGATGTCGTTGATATCGGAGGGGAGGTTGACTATGTGCAATTGTCAGTCCATCGACATGCCTAGCTAGACAAGTTGGGTGGGTGTGCTAGACGTACTCGAAGCTCCGGCCAACAGCTCACTACTCAAGATTTCCACGGGATCGAACCAGTACAGGGTCTTGGGCGGACTGCAATACGTGACCCCTTGGTTCACATAGCCCTCGCAGAATCCCCACAATCCAACCTGGTAGAAATCATGCAGTCCCAGCGTTTGCGCAATTGTGTTGATGAGCGCAAAATTGGGTACGCTCGCCGGGATGATATTGCTAACATCGATGCGAATGAAATACCAATCTCGTAGAATAGATTTGTTCTTGATGCCGCCGATCTCGACAAGGATGAGGAAGATGACGGTGACGAAGAGGAAGAAGGACGTGAGGAGAGCCCATATCTTGCGCGTGCGGGTTGCGCGCTTGACTTGGGCTTTGGAGAGCTCGGGGATGATGGTAGGGGTGGAATCGGAGGATGCAGTTACGGAGTTGTTGCGGCGGCGACCAAAGATGCCCATGGTGTCGAAGGAGCGAGCCCCAGGCTCAGGCTCGTGGGTGGATAGGACAACAAAGAAAGAATATGGATACAGAAAAGAAAGGCGAATAGAACATGGAGTCCAAGCCAGACATCTAGGGCCGTAACGCGCGGCCGTCAGAGCTGTCGATGGTTTATGGAGAAGTCCCCAAGGCCGCTTCTGGCTATGACATCAGCATGGCCTGGCCGTTCTTTCCATTTTGCGCCGCGCCATCCCGGCGAGCGACCCGCTAACGACACATGGAAGGCCGGACGCTGCTCGAAGAACAGCAATTGGCAGGAAATAGGCCGGCTGGCTTTGCTGTGCGATAGCCCCTGCGTCTGCGTCAACGATTGAGGCCAAGCAAAGATGACGTTGATCCTCATTGTCTTCTGGTGCCAGGTCTCGAAGGCTTGGTGTTTTGTGGACTTGTTGTTTGCAACAAGTTAGGCTGAGCGGATGATCGATGGGTCCTCTGCCGTGCCGCTGCTTGGTGTTCCGATCAGCCGCATGAGGTTTCGACCATGGCTGGAATGCCAAGCCCAAGAGACTCGGGTCTCGACGGACCCTCAAACCCTTCGGACATGGCCATTCACTGCTCTCACACATCTTCACAGTTGTGAAAAGTTGTTGCACGGAAGATGCCTCTATTTTGCCCTACTCAACTCAGATTCCTTCAACTTCTTTTACAACACTTCGTTTACAACATCGCCGCTGCCACCACTCCTCTCACGGAGCCGCCCATTGCGTCCTCAGTCCGCCAGTGATTCGCTTTCCAAAGTAGAATAATATAAATTACAGATAGTGAACGCCTTCGATCGCCGTCCTCCGCTGTATAAGCCCTACAGGCGCTGTCGGTCGTGTACACTACGGAACCGCTCGCAAATAAGAAGTGAGATCACAAAAGATATGTACCCAAGAAGAGAACATCGGTGTTGCTGTCGCTGTGAGATCAAAAGAAAGCCGCGCTGTCTATGCCATTGACGTCGTCATGTCCACGAGAAGGAAATCGATGAGCTTGTGAGAGCCGAAACAGGAAAATTCAGCCAGTGAGGCGGGTACTTGTCTTAAAAGGCGCATCAAAGTCACAGTAGTCGAGCCTTCACTATGCTGGTGCTACCATGTTGAGGGTGGGCCGCAAGCTCATGGCCATGTCATCCTGGGTGCCAACCATCTCCTTGGGTATCCTGCTAACGCGGTAGGCACCGTTACGGACGGCCAGTCTTGCGGTACCCGACATCCCTGAGCGATTCGAACGGATAGAACCAGCGTCAGACGCATTCGAGCCGCCATACGGGTCGCGGATTTTCGGTGGAGGTGCAAAATCCAAAGCAGTGAAGTTGCCTGATTTGCGGAGCATGTGTCTGTGACGATTAGCTTTGGAATGAGTGATAACAAGAGCGAGGGGATACGTACGGGCTAGGGAGAACGGCAATGTCATCGAAAGAGCTTGCCAGCGGGGTGTGGGGCCTCACTGAGGGACTGTACGGCCTGGGGGTTCCGAGCGGGCTGTCTGGCCTCATCCCGTTCTGTCGCTCTCTGAACGAGACCGGAGGCGCAAAATCAGCGGCATTGAAGATTCCGAAGTCGTCCTGTAGCTTTCCGGGGGTGGGCAGAGAAGCGAGAGGCGCAGGAGGAGGCATGGGCTTCCTGGGAGCTGGTAGACGACCGCTCATGGAAGACATGTTGCGCGGCGGGAGATATGATGAGCCCAGTGAGCTCTGAGACATGTGTGGTCCAGGTCCACCGCGTGACTGGTTAGTGTTGCTGCGGAACCGTGGTGGTGCCCGCGGAGGCGGTGTCATTGCACGACGAGTGACAGGCTGCGCGAACGGAGCTGTGGGCTGAGCGACGATGAAATTCCCAGTCTGCGGGTCAAAGACACTACCGTCAAGGTACTCTGAAGTATAGTCATCGTAGTAATCGTTGTAGATCTGGGGACCTGCGGGCTCGGGCTTCGAGTCATCGAAGTACTCCTTGTAGAACGATCGGATGCGGTTTGCGCGTTGCTCGGGGTCTTCGTTGGGATCATCGTTAGCCGGGGGCAAGGGACGCAGGCTCATCGACAGGCGGTTGGTGTTGTGGCCGAAGTCATCGACCCCGAGGCCACCATTTCCTCCATTCTGGACGATGGAAACTGGACGGCGCGGTTGAGGGGCCAAAGGAGCGGGCTGCTCAGTTTGAGACTCGCGAGGTGAAGGTGGAGTAATCTGAAAGCCTTCACCGTAACTTGAATCACTCAACATGCTCATCGTGTTGCTCTCAATGACCAAAGCGTTCTGTGACTGGACGCGCGGAGGTGGGCTGGGGGGTGGTGGTTGCGCGAGCCTTGTTGTCTCGAACAGGAGGAGCAGGAGGCGGAGGCGGGTTGGCGGCAGTCGGAGGAGCGTACGCGACATAGGCATTGGCAGGTTGCTCGATGACAGGGTCATTCTTAACCGGAGGAGCAGGTGCAGCAGGGAGCGGGTCCTCGTAGTGCGGGTTCAACGGGCTCAAAGGTGAGACTGCCTGCTCGGGATACTTGATCTCAGGAACGGACTTTTCGATTGAGCGCTCAGGCGATGGCGAGGTGCGCAAGGGCATGGATTGAGACATCCTCTGTGCGTTCTTCAGCAGACTGTTCTTCATCTTGTCACTCTGGTTAGTCGAAGACGAGTAGATGGAGCCGTTGCCGTTGCCGTTACGGCCGGTGCGGCTACCGCTGCGGATGCTGGCATCGTCACCGAAAGTCACCGGGCCGTAAGGGTCGTACGAATCCTTGGTAGACCGTGAGAGGGAGTGAAAAGATTCGCGCGAGCTGTGCAGGCCAGCAGGTAGCAGGTAAGGGCTTGAGAGATCCGGTTCCAGGGACAATCCTCTTCCATGCGACTTTTCAACATCCAGGCCATTCAGCTTCATCTCAGGGCCCTTCTTCCCCTTGCTAACAGCAGGGTCTATCCCGAAGTCCAATGACTTGTACTTGTCCTCCTTGTCCTCAGCGCGCAATTTTTTTTACATTTCTCCGGTGCAGGAAGACGAGTACGACTGCAGCGATTACGACAGGCAAGCTGACACATGTTAGCATGATGAAGATGCCGACGACATGGCTCGACCTACGTTACGGCAAGCACGATGAACAAGGTCGGGGTCTGTGTGGGCTTGTGGCAGCCGTCGTCCGAATCGTTCGTGCATGATGCACGCGGCACCAGCCTGGCTCGCGTGGCTTCTTCCACCAGCGCCGTGGTACTTCTGGCAATCTGTCCGACATCCATGCCTCCTTCTCTCCTTGTATGGCGGTGGAAGTGCATGTGATTGTGGTGTGCCATGGTGGCGATGCTCGTTTGATACGTGTGCGAATCGTCGCCTCTTGATCCGAAATCAGGTGCTTTGTTCTGATCGTGTAGTGTTCGAGTTGATTCGAGTTAGGGATTAACAGGGTTAGGTCGTTAAGCGGTCGTATAGCGATCGACTGTGTGAATGTGTATGTTGGTTTGGGCAGTATGTAAGGAGTGACGGTGACTGGCAAAACACAACGCTCTCGAGAACCCAAAAAAGAATGACTGGGGTAAGATACGGACGCCGGGCTCGCGAGGGCGAAGGGCAGAATTAGTAAAAGAGCGGCTCTCACAGTGTGAGGTGAGGAGGAGGAGCACAGTCGGGCACGAGGAGAAGAAGAAGAGGCGCCCCAGGCAAGCTCATCCGGCGAGGGCGTTTGATTGGCCAGGGGGTCCGTGGCCACAAGGTGCGCCCCTGCACGGGAGCTAGAAGGCCTCTCCGTTTGACGTCGGGGTGTTTGTTTGGAGGCGCTGACTCGGGCGCATTCCGCGTCCCTCTGTCCAGCCACGCAGCCGGCCTCTATGCTTCGTGTGCGCGACCCTCGACGGCCATGCGCTCGCGGTGCTCCTGGTGCGAATCTCACCGGGCTGCACAACCGTCCAGGAGATCGCGCACGGCGGGTTATTCTTGCATCACCCCAGGCGGCGTATGCAAGGTACGAGGCCGTCGGGGCTGCTGATTGGCCGGTCCGAGGAAGCCAGACATGCCCCCGAGCAACCCTGGACGCCTCCACGCCGACTCGCCATGGCCAGCGACACCACCGCCATGCTCTTGCCCGCCGCCCTGCTCTTCGCCGCCCTGGAGAGACGCTCGACAGCGCCGCCACTGTTGCTGCATCGCACCAGCTTCCCTTCTGCATCCCAAGACCCCCTGGCGGCAGTGCATCTGTGCTCGCGTCTCCGAACAGCTCAGCAGCCGCCGCGCCCAGTCCGCGCAGGCCTCATTTCCCGTAGCCTCGCCCAGTTGGCCCCGGAGCGGAAATGGCCTGCCCCATGCGGGAGGTGCTGCGGCCCATCATTCGTTCTCGAGCTTATCCACCGCATGCCAGCCTTGCCGTTCCCTATCGTGCACAAACACCACGCTCGCCGGCCATGCTCCATCCGGCCTCGACCATGGCCTCGCCCCAATCTCAGCAAATTGTGCACTCTACGATTCAGCAGAGCTGATGTCATCCTCTAATCCGCGCTCGACCGCGCGCTGGCCAAGCCCTCACCACACCGCTTGTCCTACCGAAGCTTCCACGGCCCGTCTCTCGTATTTTTGGAGCAGAACCCACGCGGTCAAGGGTGGCATAAGATTCACAAGCTGCCCGGACGACGCGGCTCGCTTTGGCTTCCAATTTGCTGTGCAGATGAAGGGGCATCGGGAGCAATGGCTGGATCCGAGAGATTGCTCGCTGATCCTTCGCTTCTTTCGCGCGAACCAAACTCGGTCGCGGCCTTGACTTTGTGGCTATGTTTCACATCGCTCTTGACATAGAACGGTCACGAACATGGCTTGCATACGAGAGCATCAATTGGTGGCCTGTTCAGTGCGCCGTCGCGCCTAGGTGTCACCACCCTCACATTTGCACTCACGATTTAGCATCTCAATCCATGCTTTCTTCAGTCGAACGGTCGCTCGAAGTAAGCGCGAATTGCTTGTGAGCAGACTGAACCAATGCAACATATCTGCCAATCTCATACAATGTTTCAAGAATAGCAGTCGCTGTGACAGAGACTGAGAGTGTCAAACCCAGACTTGTACAGCATGCCTGTCATCCAACCTGCGCATGCTATGCTTATCGCCCGCCACCTGCCTGCGACTGCGTCGGCCAGCCAGTCTCGCTCGATGCCACAGACGGTCCATTGTCCACCTTTTCAGCTTTACCTTGTGCAGAGGTAGCCTGCGAACTGTATCCCAGAGTTGCGAAGCTCGGCTGACGCAAGGCTTGCGCGTTTACAAGAGGATTGGGAGCGAAATGAAGTTGTCTGTGTTGTTTGGGTGAAAGAAGTATGCCTCCCTCTTCTTGTCGATGGTATCGATTCCGTGCATTCAATGTTGTGGATCGAGATGGTTGTGAGCTGGTCGCATTCGTCGCTCTTCTCTGGAGGCTGGACGGTGCTGCGTCCAACTTGGAGTACTGAAGCCCACGCCTGCGACTGGACCACGTCTTCAGTTTTGGATCGTCCGGCACCGCCAGAAACCACTTCATGACCTTGTTCGCCTTCCTGAGGATTGAGGGTGTCGTCGATGTTTTTGCGCGTACTCCAAACATGTTTCTGACGAACTCGTCCTTCTGCCAGGGCTCGTGCAATTGCTGTATTCAGTCAATCCACAAGCTCGGCGCATCAGGGCGTTAACTCACCTCAAATCCCGTATCAGTCGATGCTTGGCTAATCAGGAGTTCCAAGATTCTATGCTCTTCCCTGGCTGCCTGCAGGTGTTCTAGTCAGTGAATGCTCAAGGCTTGGCATCGCTCGTGACTTCTCACCCATTCTTTCTCCTCGGGCGGTTTTCCCACGTCTTCGTTGATCATCCTCATCCTGGTCTGATAATTGCCCCACGCAATGCGGATCTCCTCGCGGAACCGCTCCTCTGACTTCTCCTTCGCTTCTTCCTCGGTCTCATGACTTTCTCCGACCTCTGTGAGAGCTTCTCCTGGAAAGAGCTTTGCTTCTCTACCTCGATGCGGTTTCGAGCCTGTTTGCGCTCTCAGTTGTGCTCTTGCCCCTGCTTCACTTGCCGAATCTTCTGGAGCTATCGATAAGTGGCTTCCGCCCTGCCACACGGAGCGATTCGATGGCGCCCGAGTGTCCGGCGGGAGAGCAATATCGGAAGAAAGCGCGCTACCTGGCGGGAATAGATACGGTCTTCCATTCTGCCCATCCGTCACTCGTAGAGGAGGATTAGCTACTTGGCTCTGCTCAATCGGTCGCCGATGCTTCCGCAGCGATCCCTCGATGCTCTTCCTGAGATCTCCACGGGTTGGTGTGACAACCAACTCTGTCTGGGGAACCTGTATGTACCCTGACGGTGGAGGTTGTGATCCGCTTTGGTGGCTAGGCGAGCTAGGACTCTCGACCTCTGGGTTGCCGGGACTATCTGACGCAACTGACCAAGCTTGAGGCTTGCCCAACTCCTGAGGATACCTGTTCCAACTATCTGCACTCCAATCGTCTGCAAAAATCCTATCCCGAATATCTCGAATCGGTGACTGCAAAGGAGACCCAAGCTTTCGCACCGTGCTAGTTTCTTCGCCTCTCCTTTCATTGGTAGAATCCTCGTCGGCATATATCCCGCGTACTCCACCGCGCAAGGGTTTAAAGCTAGGGCTGCCGCTATTCCACTGTTCTTGCAAGTTAGTTGTTGGTATTTCCACCGTTGAAGACGAATAGCGGACTGTGCTTTCAGATCGATCGGACCCGGTTGTAGAAAGCTTTCTAGGGTATGGTTCGTTGTGACCTCCTGTACTTGATGGAGGCGGTGACGGGAAGTTGTTAACGGACACTCGTGAATCACGGCTATCCGAGGATGCATGCAGTGTTCCCCGACGCGTTTGTGAGCCCACATAAAAGCTCGCGATAGAGCCTTCGGGTACAATAGACGCCGTTTTCCCAGAGTCAGCCGTTTCGCTCAACCCGTCACTTGAGAAGAGCGAGGGTGGCGCCAGCTTTTCCATTCGCTGTACACGCAGCAATTGAGAGTCGCGCGGTCGTACCAGCGTAGCCTGTGGTCCTTCAAAGCAGCGCGGGCCAGGGATAGTGGCAGCTCCATTGGGCCTTTCTGTCTGATCAAAGGCGTCTGAAGGTCTGCTGATAATTTCCGGGCGTTGTGGCAAACTCTTCGCATCGCTCGGCCTCTTCAGCCCAAAGAACTCCTGCATCCCGCCACCACGCATATGAACAATAGTCGCCTCGCTCACCTCACTCCCACTTCTGACTCCATTCGTCGGGCTCTCCATTTGTCCCTCACCATCTTCGATCCTCCAAGATACCCTCCCCAGCTGCTCCTCAGAAGGCCTCCATCTATACGCATTATCTTTCCCTTCTTCTTCCCTAACTTCCTCGATCTGATCTCCCAACTCACCAGGATCATACAAACACCTCATCAAAGCATCATGCGTCTCCCTCAGGTCCCCACTCACCTCCACCATTGCCCCTCTCGTGTTCGGACTGTGCGTCCTTCGTGTCCGCCACTCAAGGTCTGTCTCGTGGAGCTGACGGTTAAAGGCGCGTTTGCTGGCTGCAATGGAACAGCGAGCGAGGATTTTGTCGATATTATAGTGAGTAGAGGTTTCGGTCTTGGGAGAGAGGACGGTAGAGGGCCCAGTAGAGCTGGTCGTGGTAGTAAAGGTTCGGGACCTAGCGTGATCCTCGGCAAGGAAGCCTGCGAGACTGAGGTATGAGTCGGGTTCGTCGAGGGGGACGGCTTCATCGACGGGAATGAATGGAAGAGACGGCGTGGATGAGAGGACGGGACGGTGGTTGTCAGAGGGCATAGTAAGATCGAGCTCGCTGGTTGATGTAAATCGTAGCTAGGTTTGAGTAAGAACGAGAAAAACAATTTTGCATAGCCGGAAGACGATCATGCATCGGTGCGAACGAGGCACAGTCGCTTTGTTTGCTCAGAGGCGACATTGTGAAAGCGGTGTCTTCGAGACGTGAAGTCTGAGTGGCTCGTCTATCGGAAGAGTGTTTGCCATGCGGATATGCCGCTTTAAAAGGTGCGGAGTCGTAGATGGAGACGAACGTAGATGAGTAGGGCAGAGCGCTCATACTGTTCGAATTTGATAATACCAATCAACCCCCCTTGCGTGATTATATTCCGTAGCCCTCATGATACTCCAATGCTGTGACCACAGATCATGAGATGAAAACGCCGATGACGGTCATGATGAAGATGATCAACAGCATCAAGAGGGCACCATCAGGGTGTAGGCCGTACTCTATAATCTTGCCTTCCCTTACACAGCTCCACCTGTGGCTCACTACTCACATGCATGTTTCTTGAAACACTCCTGATCTGAGCCTTTATCTTTCGAACTATGATTTCGATCTCAAGTACCAAGTCTGTTCCGATAGCACGATTCGTAAGAGAAACACGACCGATAGACACCAAGCCCAAACTCTCCTCTTTTCAAGCGAGCTGATCGCGTGACAACAAAGAAAGGCCCAACTCAGCGCACTCCTACATTGATGAAGAAGATGTTATCCACAATAGCACGGTGTTCAACGTTTTTATCAAAGGCGTTAAGAGGAAGGCTTATATCTTAGATCAATATCTGTCACATTTGAACAACGAAGCTGAGGAAGCGTACATTATCCCACACAAAAACCATGAAATCGGACAGATGATAGCCGTGTCTTTGTCTAAGATGGTAGGACGAAACATGGAATGTAGCAGAAGGCGTTGATAAACTTCTGTCGATCCGTATTTGTCGTATATTACATTGAGCAAGTCTGGAAAGCTCTGCAGAGCGTGAGCAAGTTAACGTGGAGCACAACGGGTATACCAAGTTGGCGGAAAGGGCTTGGGATGGCTCGCTGAGCAATACATGACCCGTGTTAATCACTTTACAGGGATGCTAGGATCAGTCATCCAGTAATGCAAGTTATTTTCACATGTGCTGTGTCCTGCACTGTCGAGTGAGCCCCTGCACTCGTTCACGGAATTATAAGACCACGGTGAGCCTACAAAGTCGAGATAAGACCAAGAATTGGTATACATTGCCGTAAAACGTGCCCAAAGCAAAGAGAAGGTACTCGGATGCCTCTGAACGCCGATGCCGTCGTGCCGCCCAAATGCTGTATATACACGAAGACGCAGAACGTAATAACAAACCAGGCAATGCTCACTCGGGATATCGCGCTCCCAAACACAACGCCTCAGAACAGGCCCAAAATATGTGGTGTTACTAGTCGACTTCGAGATATGACTTTCCTTTGCACTCATCGCCAGGGCTTATTGCCCATCATTGAAAAGTGGTCAAGCCTAAGCTTGCATCTCCAGCCCTTCCTGCTTGAGCTTTTGATGCATCGACCGCAGTGTCTCGTATGTCATCATCGTAGTGACAGCTGCCGGTACCGCTCGAACCATATTCGTGCCCATGCCGTTGTAGAACGCTCTCCAACCCTCTTCGTGCAGTATTGTGGTAATGGTCCGCATCATACCGCGATACCGAGGGATGTTAATCATGCCGTCAGAAGAAGCTGTGCCTGGACCCCTTGTTAGGTATCGAGCTTCTTGGTGACTTCCTCGGAAGGCTACATCCTCGTGTGAGGCGGAGGGAATCGTACGCTGTTGTGTCTGCAATCTGGTGCGAAGAACCTCATGGGGATATGTCGCAGAGGTTGCGCAGATTTTGCTTAGGATCGTTGCTCCTAGTATACCCGACCAATGCATGTCGTTGTCGGACGAGGTCGTTTGACCCATCTCCAGACCAGTGAACTTCATCTTGAAGAACTCATACAGCGGAAATTGAATGGCGACGTGAGTGAGACCAAGTAACGCGGGTGTTAGGCCCGAGTAGAATGCTCGCATGCCTTCGTTGGCGTACATTTTGCGGAAGGCATCGAGCGTGTTCCTGTAGTGCCATGGCGGGCGATGTTCGTCAGAGGCGCGCGCACTCACTTGGGACATCAACCTCGTCTTGATGACCCAAATAGGGTTTGTCGCTAGCGTCGAACATGCACCGGCGGCAACCGAAGCTGATACTCGTGAAAGCCATTTGTTCTCTGCACACTATCAACAGAGTTCCAATTCTGCTAGGTGTTCACACAGACCTATTCGCGTATAGAAGAAGTCCTTTGACCAGTCGTACACGCTCATATAAACGGCCCAGGTGGGCACATAACCGAGCAGCATCGGCCCGAGCCCTCTGTACATGCCCCGAATGCCATCCTGAGTCCAGATGACTCGCGCAGTGCCTAACAGACCCTGGTATACGATGCGCGTGGCCTTGCCGTGGTGTCGTGGGCGCCAGGAACCCTGGGCTTGCAGGCGAGTTTTTATGACGTCGAGCGGGCAGGTTACGATGCCAGAAGCAATACCGGCGACAGCACCACAGGCTGCATTCACCGAGGAGTTGGGCAGGGCAGCGCACTTGAGAGCCAAGCTAGAGTAGGGTGAGCTCCAGTTTTGATCGTGCATAGAGGAGCGGTCGCGGGAGGAAAGAGCGGTCGGCGGCGCATACCGTTCTCGCGCACTGTTTGGGGACGGCGGCGGCGCGGGATCGTCGGCAGACATTGCAAGGGCTGGCCATTGGGGAGCAGTTAGAAGACACTCGATAGCGACGTTTTGCAGAGAGCGCCTACAGGCCGTCGTCCCCTTCTAAGTGCCTCAGTGTGCGGAAGCCCCGCAGCACTCGGTGACACAATAGCTAGCGATTGACCAGCTCCATTGACCACCGGATCCCGGGTAAGTGTCGTATGGCGGGGGTTCGGAGGGTGCGCTGCCGAGAATGAATGGAGCGTCGCAGCGAGCGGTTGCGAATGCGGTTGCGGTGGGAAGGGTACTCGGCGGCGTCAGCAGGGTCGTAGCTGTGAAAGGCGGACGGGTGGGGGCTTGCATGCTCGCAAAAGCTTCCGGGCCTTGGCGCGCTGGGTCCAATTCGCTTCCTCGCTTTGAAGACCTCACCACTGCAACAACTCGCACCCCCCATTGAACCGCCGCCACTGCCCGCCGAACTCGCAACGGAACCGAAAGACACTCCTTCGCCATGTCTGCGCCGTCTCTCGCCCCTTTCATCCTCAAACGCCCGTGGCTGCAGCGCTGGGTGGCGCCGCTCGCCAAGTGGTACGGCAACGCCGCTGGCTATAGGCAGCTCGGTCTGAGGTACGGAAGCCCTTTCTGCGAGCCAGTCCGGGCTGGAGACTCTGAAAATACTTGACTTGGTTCTCTGTTGAGTTGGAGCGATGCGCTGACGCTGGTTGTTCCGCAGGGCCGATGATATTCTCCCCGAGGAGAACGACGTAGTCCAGCTTGCCCTCAAGCGCCTGCCTCCTAAGGAGGCCTACGACCGCGTGTTCCGCATTCGTCGAGCTTTCCAGGTAACATATACCACGTAGCCAATGCTCTGGGATGCGCTGTTAACCGAATGCCGCAGTGCTCCGTATCCCACCAGCTCCTGCCCAAGAGCGAGTGGACCAAGCAGGAAGATGTGAGAAGGACTCGAAGCCGAAGTGGCACTGGAGACTTTGCTAAAGTGTATGCAGGACACTCCTTACCTGAGCAACATCATCAAGGAGATCGAGGTTGAGATGGCGGAGCGTGAGGATTTGGAGGCCATGGTCGTGCAGAAGAGGGCAGCGAACGCCAGCAGCGGACATTAGACGGACGGGAAGAAGTGTATATACGACAACTGACACTGACAAGGGGCGTGGAGGTATCGAGCTGTGCATTTAGAGTGTACTATCAAGAAATTTCCTATTGTCATGTATTGAATGTTCCTAGAGCCCATCAACTCTGTCACCGCTACAGGAATCACTTCAATGGGCTCTTCATGTGATTGTTATCGGAATCAGAAGGTGAAGTGATGCTAGCTGCGGTTTTGAAATGCTTTTGAATGCTTCTCTGGGAGACATGCGCGCTGCGAAACCTCGGAAGCTCTGAGCCAATCATATGAAAGACAGATGTCAGAAATCCTTTTCGAGAATTTCATGACGGCTCTTCTCTTTGACATGGAAAAGTCTACTGTTGAACTCATTGGTTCATAGCTATGAAGCCGTTCATATTGTGGATTTTGTGTAGAACTTGGACTCGGTCAATCATAAACCTTATGTAAAGCTGGCTATGTAATCGTCAACGGCGGAATATACGTGTCGGAAGCCTGCAACGACGGTTGGATCGCAGCCAAACGTGCCTGGTACAATTTCAGGGCAATATGTTGTCTGGTAAGATACGTCCGGTGCTTCATTCACGCCCAAGCTTAGCTTTGCCCTCCTCACTGCAATAGGGAACTGAAAATTGGTTCATGAAGAGGACGAAGTCACCATTCGAGGTCAGCAGAAATGAATATGCCTTGGTCCCAAAAGACTTATCATCCATTACCAAGACACAATGCAATTCGTCAATACGAGGTCGCATTGACTATCTATGATATTGGTCAGCACGAAGTCAGGTGCTTCCGCGACCGACCAACTTCAAGGCCCCGCGACCGCGTCAGACATCCGTCACCCGAGAAACTTCATGCTCAGCCGCACAACACTTCAAAGAATACACACATCTCAAGACGCGCATTCGTCGCTTTCGTGGTAAAGGTCAAATGCTAGGTTACTAAAGTCATATTATTCATCGCTTGCACCTCAATATCACTGTTTCACAATGGCTCTACGGCGCTCAGCCCGCATCTCCACAGCTTCCGCGGTACCAAAGCCAGTGGCATACAGAAAGATAACCCCTACACCATCCACAGAACCCAAAGAAGCCACCAAAAAGCGAAAAAACCGAGCTTCAAACACCGCTACGTCACCGCCCGAAGTATCTGAGGTGAAAGCGGCAGAGTCCATCTTCGCACCAGACCGTCAACCTATCTTTGCAGTCCCAGAGCTCCCTTCTACACCTCTCACGAAACGACGGAAAGTCGCCTTGGAATCACCTTCCAAACCTCCGCCATTCACGCCGACTCCGTCTGGCGTGGGCTTGCTCGCTCACACACATGCTTCGGAATCGGACCACCCCTTGGAAGACCTTGGCAACCTCAAGCCTCGTCCCGCAGAACCCCACGCCACCAACGCGCCCTTGTCAACCCCAGGCGGATCACGCGTGACAGCATACACCTCATCACCAGCGAAACCTTCCACACCATCAGCGTCGCAAGAAGCAGCCGAACCCTCGCCAACGAAGAAGCGTAAGGCGAAGGAGACTGTGCCGCCAGATGTCGGCGTGCTGAACAAGCCGACCGCGACGATTGACACGCTGCTTAAAGATGCGGAGAAGTCTTTGTGTAGTGTGGATCCAAAGTTGAGGCTCTTGGTGGAAAGACATAAGTGTAAGATATTTAGTCCGGAGGGATTGAGGGAGGTGGTGGATCCATTTACGGCGTTGAGCAGTGGGATCATGGGACAGCAGGTATGCTTTTATTATTCCAGTTTCACTAGAAATTGTGTCAATGACAGAGCACGTTCACTTAGATGTTAAACTGCTAACACTATTACACAGGTCTCAGGACAGGCTGCTGCCTCGATACGCAAAAAGTTCACTGCACGTATGTCATAGTCTGCGTAACTGACACATCGCCTTCCTTCACAAGAATGGAATATTCACAAAGCGATGCTACCAGTGACAAGCTCACAAACGCCCATGGACTAACGAATGTCTACAGTATTCCCGAAAGCCACCCTTCCTTCCCCAACCCCTCCCAAGTCGTTGCTAAAGACCTCCCCACCCTCCGCACAGCCGGCCTCTCCCAACGCAAAGCCGAATACATCAGCGGCCTCGCCGAGAAGTTCGTCTCTGGAGAACTAAGCGCCGCCATGCTTATTAGCGCGTCCGACGAAGAGCTCATCGAGAAGCTCGTTGCCGTGCGCGGCCTCGGCAGGTGGAGCGTCGAGATGTTCGCTTGCTTCGGGCTCAAGCGCATGGACGTGTTCAGCACGGGCGACTTGGGCGTGCAGTAAGTGAAAGGTCCTCGCCCCCTGAGGCGAAACACACCGCAAGATCTATCAGAAGTTTACTGACGGGGGTAAACAATGTAGGCGCGGGATGGCCACGTACATGGGCCGCGACACATCGAAGCTCAAAAACAAGGGCGGCAAATGGAAATACATGAGTGAGGCAGAGATGCTGTCCATAGCGTCTAGGTTCTCGCCTTACCGGTGCGTTCATCTCCGTGTCCTTCCTTGTTCATCTGCAGTGATTTCGTGCTACGAGGGTGGTTTAGTCGAGGGGCGCGATGCTGATCTCACTTAGATCGCTGTTTATGTGGTATATGTGGAGAATCGAGGACGTTGACATCAGTGTCATGCACACGACTTGAGTCGAGCACGCAAGTAAGGTTATAATACATGACATAGGCGAGGATGCATAAGCGGTGGCCGATGAGAGGGTCATTGTGTGTTGTGACTCGGTTGTGAAGTGCGTAGGTAGTGGAGCTCTTGAGCCGAACGAATGGCTGAAGAAACAAACGATCAAATACAAGTGCAAGTACGCACCGACCGCACCTGTCAATCATGTTGTGTGCGGAGCGTCATCTGCAGCGCGTACGAATTCGTATTTCTGTGTCATGGCCCCGGAAGTCGGTGCACGCAGGTCATCCTCACGTAGTACGGCTCCGCTTCAAGATCGCTCGTGAAGGAGCAAAGCCTAACGCGGATAGCCATCGTCTTTCTCTCGTAGTTGACTGCTCTCATCCTTGATTGGTATACAGTGATGCATGTGCAGCGAGCGATGTGACGTCCGATGAGCGCACGTATGGAGTAGTGTGCGCAGCCAGATCTTGTGTGGTACAGATAAAGCCTTCTTGAAGCTAATATGAAAGATTTGCTGATACTCGGGGATGTCGGCTGTGTTCCCTTAGTCAAGGCTATTGGTGGGATGCATTAGCGATGCACGCACGAGTCACTGCGAGGGTCTTTTATCATGGTTGTATTCGTCGCAAGAATTACTGTCATCGAGAGCTCGTCTCAATGTCATGATGTACCACCAGACGTGGGACGGGACGGGCCGATAACACCACTGTCTTGTGCGATTATGTGAGAGGGATTTGCCAAAGGTCATCATGGGTTGCGAGGTTACTTCGTTAGTAGTTGCGAGTGCTATTGTTAGTGGACCACCTGGTGTACATCTATGGCAACTACTCGACAACAGCGGCCATGGATGACAGCCCATCAACATTCCACACACATTAAGCATGCCGCATCGGCGATCTCGTCCCGCGGGGAGCTCGGCGCGCGTGGTACAAGACCAGCCGAGAATGGACATTGTGAGACTGGCCTTCACCTTACCGCATCCTACCGTTCAGACCATGTCCATCTCGTACTCGTCTTTCCGCGGCTGCACACATGATCCGATCCTTCTCGATCCGAGATGCTGCTGGCAGCCGTTGCAGAAGACCAGGTCTCTAACGGCGTGGCGACGGGTTGTTTACAGGGCATTTAGTGGTAGCGAGTGTTTTGAATGTGAGATGTGGATGTGACCGGGGTAGCAACCGTGGTTCGAGCAACGTAGGGGAGCGTCAATGGCACTGTGCGACTTCGACTTGACAGAAGGGGAGTAATGTGCGAGGCAAAGGATTGCTTGCATCTCATCCACTCGGAGCGTAAGACTCTGTAGAAAAACAACAAGGCTCAGTCTGATGAGCAGGACTGCAGTAATGGTGGTACAAGGAGTGGTGGAAAAGGTCGACGCAAAATGCTACGTTGGAGGGCCGGAGAAGCGCATCTCGAGGGCATGAGCAGTGATGGTCACACGGGAATATTGGCGTTCCATTCCCCTAATGCACCCCACCCTCTCCCATGGCAAGTGTGACCGCCATGTGCAAGGCTGGTGTAATCACCAGCGCGGGTACAAGGTATTGTCTTACGACGTTGCCGAACGAGGTACTGCAGGGCGTTGGCAGAAAAGATCAACGTCAAAGCTACAGTGATGTTCTCTCAGTAAAGACAATCAGAGTGTTATCGGGCAAAAGCGTCCGATTTTCGGTGCTGTATCTTCGCACTTTGGTTGTTGATTCTGATGTTGTCACAGAGTGGGGAGGGTTTTCCAGCATAGAGGTCGTCCCGAGGGCTAAAGGTGCGATTGGTAGATCAAAGCTGGGTCTGAAAGTTCACCACGGCGGATATCCGACTCCCTATGATGGCATACCTTCTCAAGCCGAAGCCAGACCCCAGCTTCACAAGTATCTTGCAGTGTAAAGCCGGAAAGAGATTGGGAGCAACATGATTAGCCCCAAGATTGCGTTTCATGCACAGTACGGAAGTGCCGGCGACTGGTTTCGGAGAATTTCCACAGCGTCCTGTGCAAAGTGTTGGATGGTGAATGTGAGGGCTCTGAACAGCTGGCCAAGCGGGAATTGGCACTGGCAGTGGTCAGTGGGAGTGCTCTTCCCTGGTCTCGTCACGGTCGGGCACGCGAAGCTGCAAGCGACAGAGATTAATCGGCTGGCGATGATGACAACAATGAGATTGCGCAAGTGCATCCGTCTAGCGTGCTGGGCGATGTCAGGGAGTGATGTTGATAGCAAGGCCACGCCGTGCTTGATTGGAGGTGCAGGCGAGGCGAGACCAGGCGACGGTCGAGGGCAGAATACTGGATGACGGCAGCGAGGAGACCATCCGGCCCACTCGCAAACGGGCTGAAACGCGGACGGAGTGCAACTGTCGACACGCTGCTGATGTCCGACACAGACGACGGGGCCTGCCTCAGCATCGCCGTCCATGGGCGTGCGAGGTGGCGGGACATGGGCTCGTGGAGCGTCGGGCATTCAGCCGGGGCATGATGCGACTTCTCGTCGACCACCTTGAATGAATTGTGAGCTGTGGCTGGACGTGCTCGAGCCTAATCAGGATCTGCACACGCCGAGTGGGGAGCGTCGCACGCCCCGGTCGTCTCATGCCGTCGCCGTCTTCATTCCTGGATGCGCGACTCCACGTAAACAGGCACCGCCGGGCGCGCGCTCCACTCGGCGTGGATGCAGGCAGCGCCAGCGCGATGGCGAGCGCGCAGCAGACAAGGCCAGCGCGGCGCGGACACGACGACGACGAGTCTGTCGGCGCGGCGCGAGACGAGATGACCTGGAGGCCGAGCGTGCGCCAGTGTGAACCGGCTGGTCGCGCCCGCCCGATGCGGCTAGCCCGAGCATGGTCCGCGCCTCCTTTTCAAACACACTCTCTCCTGCCTTCTGCCTCGTCGTCGTTCCTCATCCACATTCGCTTTCTTGCGACTTCCCCTGCCAACCGTCCTGTGGGGTCTTTATTAATTCTTCCAGTTTCTTCCTTTCCTCGTCAATCGCTCAGCATCTTCAGTGTTTTGGAATTGGACCATATAGCCCGTCCTCGTCGAGAGCAGTCTTAATATCGCACAATCCGTCTCGCTTTTCGTTCCGCCGACATGTCTCTCTTCAAGGTTGCGCTGCCTGTCCTGGCAGTCGCCGGCTCTGCCTACGGTATGTCTTTGCCGCCTCGCTGTCCACCCACCTCCTGCTGACCTGCTCGACAGCCGCCTCCTGCAGCAACTCCGCTACCACAACCATCCAGAACGGCGGCGATGCCACCGCCATCGCCGCCTGCACAACTTACTCCGGCAGCGTGGCTGTCGCCACCGGTGTGACTGATGACATCTCCTTCGATGGCAACTTGAAGACCATCGACGGTGACTTGGTCATCGAAGCCAACTCCGGCATCCAGCGCTTCGGAAGCTCCAGCCTCGAGTCCATCTCTGGCAAGCTCACCCTGAACGACGTCTCGCAGCTCGCAGCTCTGTCTTTCCCCCAGCTGACCGAGGTCGATGAGCTCACTCTCAAGGGTCTTCCCAACCTCCGATCCTTGGAGTTCACAAAGGGTATCACAAAGGCCGACAAGCTCGACATTGAGAACACGAAGCTCCAGGACTTGGCCGGTATCGATCTGGAGGAAGTGTCCTCCATCTTCATTGCCAACAACGACGACATCAACAGCATCGAAATGAAGGTCACCAACATCACCGAGTTCATTACCCTTTCTTTCAACAACGCCGAGGTCAACGTGTCGTTCCCCAACCTTGAGTCGGCCAACAACATCTCCTTCCGTGCAATCGGTTCCTTGAGCATTCCCTCATTGTCCAAGATCAACAGCGGAAGCTTCGGAGTTTTCGAGAGCGACAATCTCGCAAGCCTTTCGGCCCCCAACCTCACCAAGATCGACGGTGCTCTCGTCATCGATAACAACAAGGGCTTGAAGAACGTCTCCTTCGCCTCCCTCACTGATGTTGGCGCCAACCTCCAGATCGCCAACAACACCAACCTTCACGAGATTGACGGCTTGCCCAAGCTCAAGAACGTCCAGGCTGCGCTCGACATGAGTGGCAACTTCTCCAAGTGAGTACATGCGGACAACAGACCGCCAACGCGACACTAACAGTCATCAGGGTCGAGACGCCTTCGCTGGACTTCGTCAAGGGTGTTTTCAACCTGCAGTCTACTGGCGACATTGGCACCATCTGCACCGACTTCTACGACCCCCTCAAGTCCAAGGGCAGGCTCCAGAAGGGCAAGTATGTCTGCGAGGGCAAGCTTGACGAGGCCAGCACCGCAGGCAGCACTCCCAAGAGCGGCTCGAGCAGCGGCGACGACAAGACGGGCGCCGCTGTTGGACTTGCCGTCCCCAGCATCTCTCTTGGCCTTGTTGGCCTGGTTGCCGTCCTGTTCTTGTAAATCAATCAGCATCCGGGACGAACGGCCCACAAAACCGCTTGGAAACCATCCTATCATCCATGTTCCTTTGGCAGCATGTTAGCGTCCAGCGCGCGAGCGCCCTGGTAGGCGACCGGACTTCGAGTCGTGGATGTAATCGGGGAGAGGAGTAATGGGCAACATGCATCAGGTGTCGGGCTTGATGGCGAGAGCTTACTAGATTTTAATACGTCACGCACTTTTGACATGACTTCGAGACCGATTGTGTGGAGCGTGCAGTTGACGGTTCGGGTACGAATGGCATTCCACGAAAAGTGCACTCCTTTCCTTTCGTGTGTATAGGTTCTGGCGTCTCACTGTTGTATGCTACTGCGGGAATACATTGCATGGTTATTTTTTCATCTAAAACTCACTCCATTGTTCAGCGCATAGTGACGTCTTGGCGCACGTCCTCTCCTGGTCTCTCCCCTCGATCTCGCGCTCATCATCTGATGCAACATTGCTCGAGCCACCGGGGAAACGGCGTGCCTCCCATGCGCCTGTTGCCCATGTTCAAGCGCCTGCACGTATGGTGTCACCTGCTTCTGTTCTAGGCCATCCTGGTTTACAGGCCGCGCATGTCTCCCCACTGTGGTCACCCTGAGCAGTCGACACCCGAACCAGAGTCCTGCTGGTCATGCATCTCGAATGGGGTGTGTGCAGCCGTCCGCGAGCCTGGTGAGAGGGTACGGGCCCGGGTTTCCTTTTGTCTGATCGATTCAGCCACGATCCTACCCAACGCTCGAATCGAGACCGGGTGGCAGCCTGCATCTACAAACAGCCCGAGAACGGACAAAATGGGAGCCTGCATCAAGAAAAATCTCATGGGACACAGTATACCTGCAAATGCACGTTCTGGTCTGTCAATGTCGCTCTACGTCCCTTCGCATGACGGCGCCCGTTTACTGTCAACATGTAGCGCCGTTACCGGAAGCGCACACTGGAGCACATCTGGCGGTGAAAGCATCCTTGCGTTTCTTTGGCTCGCCAGAGCGTCGTTCCCGATATCTCATTCAAGGGATACCCGGCTTGCGGGGCACCTGTTGAGCAGACCGTATTGTTTCATCGCTGCGGCATTCGGGTCCTGCAAGGGAGACGCAGTGGCGCACCCGCGAGATTCACGCCTCTCCACATTCGGTACCTTTCTTGGCAGTCGCTGTTGATGGCTGTGAGCGCTCGACTCTATGTTTGTATGCAGGCTGCGCGGGGAAATATGCCCATGGTACCGCAACCGCGCAATTTACATGGAGGGTTGCAACGACCTGGTCAACTTCCGGCTTCCGCGCAATGCAGCTAATGCTTGCTGCATAAGGATGGAGCAATGGCCTTCTTCGCAGTACATAAAAGGCGCTGAATCCGGCGTCGTCCCGTTATTGTGCTCCATCTTCCTAGCTTTTCGTGGACGGCCACTTTGCTTTTCGAACTTGTTGCTTTCACCTTTCTCTCCATCAAACCCTAGAACACCATCACGGCTTTTCAAATGGCACACCACTTCAACGTCGAAGGCGATAACATCAAATCGGAGCCTTCGACAAGTGAGCACTCGCTATGGCCTCCTACTCGGTGAGTTTCTCTACCTTCATCGCAGCATGCAATCACTTACTGTGTCAGGAATCGAACAGGACCGTTACCACCGATTAGCGAGTGGTACAACGACGGCAACGACACCAGGCGGTCGTCGACAAGTTCACTTGCATCTTCGACAGCATTGATCAGCGAAGCACAGTCTCCAGTGGACCCTATCGGCGACAATCATCTCAACGAACGAGCCACACGACGGCTATATCAACTATCTGGACACATGCTTCCATCTCTCTACCAACCTAGCGAGCACGACTCCAGCCAGCAGCAACGCTGGAACCCATCATCGTCATCTTCTTCTTACCCTTCCCCAGGTTCAACTCCTGGACCCGAGGATCACGTTGTCCAGAGGTCCAAGGCCAAAGCCAAGGCCAGGTCTGCAAGAGGAGTGACCCAGGCACCAGACGCCACCTCCATCAAAGACCTCACGCCGGAGTTGATTGGTCAGAAGAAGGTGAAAGCCGATCGTGAAACGGTTGCTCGATTCGAGCAGAGTCAAGCCCTTGCGAGAGCTTGGGAGGAGTGCTTGATCCACAATCCGGACATGCTACACGAAGGCGTGACCAGGGATGGCAAAAAGGGCCTCAAGAAACTCAAACGCAACAACATCGACGACAGGATCGTAAAAGCTGGCTTACTACCGAACCAGATCAATAAAGATCTTCTTATTGATCTCATCACGATCATGCTCCGCAACCACCGTGCAACAGCCATTCGCGAAATCGACAATCACCGGAAGCACGGTCGCTACGACGATGCCCTGAGGCTAGAGAGGGAACTTAGGGCGGTTGGCACCCATCTTTGAAATCACAAAACACGACAATGGATGATTTTCTTTTGTCAGTGCGACAGCATAGGTGGTTTCCTCACCCAACGGATTGTGTTCGCATACCGATGACAGCAGCTCAGTGTGGTTTTGTTCAGCAGCAGTCGCTGCTTTCTCGCAGCATTATCAGCGTCTTTCCACTCGACGCTGAAGTTCGGTGGTTTTTTCTCTCAAAAGCTTTACTTCATCCTTACTACAACATCCATCAAGCTGGTACATCTCCTACATACTGTGTTTCTCATTGTTACGATTGGCATGATTTGGCGAGCATACCGTCTGTCCTTCCCAACACACGATTTCTTTATTTTGGTACGAGCATCACTGCAGCGTTTAACGGCCCTTGTTCGCATTCAGATCAACCATTTTATACCTTAACGTCTAGTATGTAGCGTAGCTTACTCTTTGGAGGAGCACAAAATCGGACTACCTACAGCCACTCGTGGCCATGCAGGTGCGGCAGAAATGAACGTTGATTCATGACAACTTCCGTAAACCATCTTTGCAACTTGCTGATCATCGTGTTCAGGGTCGCTTTCTGAGCAGTGGCTGTTTTTTTGGCATTCACTCCTTCACGATGAACCGCTGTTCCCACAAGGTGCCCAGGTGAGGGTCCCGGCATGTGACATAAATTCCCGCAGTTCCATACATCCCAGCGTGACATCTGTATATACAGCTGATCTCATCTACCCAAATCATTCCAGTGATCAGCCGTCTAAAATTGACACGATTTCTCGCCAAGTTAGACCCCTCAGCCTACCGCTCGTTTATCGCTTACCATCACCAAAAAGCATCTATTCCTGCAATAGCGTGGATTTGCTTTTTGCGGCCAAGGCGGAGCAACTGCAAGGCTGACTTCATTCGTAGCACACACCGATCACTGTCGGATGCTTCTTCTGGTCAGCGCTGACTCGCGCAGCGCGAGCGCTGACCGATGATGGAGGGCGAGGCTGGCGTATGCGGGAGGAGCTTCCGATCGGAGGGACGAGGGGATGTATGGTTGAGTTGCCGCGACCAATGAGGTTGAAGGAGGTGGAGAGTGGTGTGACTGTACTTTTCGTTGGAGAAGATGGATTTCGACGTTGTTTCTTGCTGTCTCAAGACGTCAGGCCTCCAATGACCTTGCGCAGCCAGTTCTTTCTCGATGCCATTGTAAAGATTACTTGGGCCAGTTCGAGCTACTCTCGTCACCTTGTTTATCGTGGCTAGGTAGGGGAAGTGGAGACAGAAGAGGGAATAGATGGGAGAAGATGCACGTCAAAGGCGCTACGCCTTCGCTACACTGACATCCGCGAATCCCGCGCGCCTTTCTCGGAAAAAAGATGTGGCTGCAGCTCCCCTCAAGTTCCTAAAGCCTCGAATTCTCTCGTCCACCACTTCCGTCTCTCACCGACTCTGACCGCTTCGTAAAACTGTCACAGATCCCTGATACTCGCTCTTCCAACTATACGGGTGCCAACGCTATCCTTGAACAGATGGTGATGATTCGCGGGCCAGCGTTACACATCGCGGAGCTGTCCTCGTCCAGTCATCTGGAAGTAGATGCGCAGGTGATCAGCACGGACACTCGACTTGAGCGGAAAGAGTTTGGGACGGACATTGAAGGTCGAGCTTCCTCGCTACTGGTGTTACACGGTGCTGTGCAGGCTTGCGGGATGCTATAAAGGACACTGTCGTGGTGATTGATTGGGATCCTGGCCTTGACTCGGTACCGCTCGTCGATAGGATACTGCTTCGGATGACGAGAGCACAAAGACAGGCCTGGAAGGCTCGAGATTGGTCGACGAGTTACAGGACGATCAGGGACGGAGTGGCAAAATGCTCAAGCGCTGTGCCACTACTTAATATTTGGGCGGCTGCCGCGCGGAAGAAGAAGATGCACAGCACAGACGAAGCGGATATGCGCGCACGTTGAAGTGAAATGAGGCTGGTGAAACAATTCACTGCAGTGGCCTGTCGTGTAGTCTGCGAAAGACAGTCTGCGCTCTTAGACAGGACGAGAGCGCGACTTCGAAGGCTGGTGTTAGTCTTCTGGGTGAAACAGAGGCCGAGATTGCATCTGCAACGAGACCAGTCACGTACGTCGTGTATTTAGCGTCATGTTGGCTTGTCCATGAACGCATGCATAAGGATCGACTGCTTTCAGGTCGGCGATGGCCTTCGTATCTAGAGCCGAAAAGATCTCGCAAAGGTAACACAAAGGACAACTCGCCTTGGCCATGATATCCGAGATGAGGATATACACTTGCCGTGGGTAAGTGCGCCCATCTCTTGAATGATTTACGATCTGTCGTTCTCATTGTGATGCAATGAGTTCATGGGCTTGTACGCCAGGGTCTTGTGCGATCCAGCAACGGGGACAGGCAACGGCAGCGAGGCCTGTCCCGGCCCGTCTTTGTGCTCAGAAGTCCCCGAAAGGTGACAATTCAAAATGCTTGGTAAAGTGAGCTTGGTTGGACACGGCGAAAAGTGTTTGTGACTGCCAGAAAAGCGCTTCCTTGGTCAACAGGGTGGTAAATTCACGAATGAGCTATACTTCACGGTAGATGCTGATAATCTGCACCGTACCGAAAGGCTCATCAACACAAAGATCGGCGCGGTGTGGCGGCCGGTAGGTGTTTGATTTGCAATCGATGTAGCACGAGACGAACGTGTCATCGGTCACTTGGAATCGCGTTCGTAAGGAATTCGACAGCGCGTGTGACACATTGAAGAAGCACCTCCAATTGACCTCACGAAACCCGGGGCTGCCAAATGTCGAAGCTTCTGAATCGTCACTGCAGGACGGCTGAGCACCGTCGTCATCGGCGGGCCGAGGAACGATTCCTTTAGCGCGCGGGATGGTTTACGAGGTGCAATGTAAACACGCTCGCGACAACAGCAATCCCGCATTCGATACGATCACCCGTCGAGTTTCGCTTGGCCGGTAGCTCGTTCTGTATCTTGCGAAGACCTTCGTTCAGCCGGAAGTTTGAGATCCAAATCGTTCCTTCCTCACGTTGCACCGCACCTTCCTTGCAAACGGCCGCTGGCCTACGCACCGCGCAGTACCATTCACTCGCCCTTCCCCGTTACGACTACGCAAGTCGAACCCGCAGTCAAGCTGGATCCATTTCGCCTCTCACCCATTCGCAAGAAGCGCGACGGGGACCAGACGCAAAACATACGGCCACGCATCAGTTCTGTCCGCGTATCGCAGAGCAGGGGCGACGAGGAAGAGGAGAAGATCATTTCGGGTGCCGAAACGACTGGAAACATGCTCGTGCCCAAGGGCTACTCCTGGAAGGCTACCAGAGCGAGGCTGCTGCCGAGCAGACCGGCGTGGCATACCCTGCGGAATCCGAAGACATGGGCGCTGTTAGGCGTCGTCGCTGTGTTAATATTGCTATGGAGGTCCATGAGATCGACCGCTGGGAAAATGCAGAGGTATGGACGCAAATATTTATGCGATCTGGAGGCTCACATTCAATGGCACATACGGAGTGCGCAAGAGGGCGGAAATAGCTGACTGAAGATCAGGTTCTACTGCTGGGGACCCGCGAAATCGCCCATGCACATGACGGCAAATGAAAACGAAGAGTGGTACAGACACCGCCAGACGCCCGTCATATTCAATCCACACAAGCCCATCGTAATCAACGATACCTCGATTAATTACGTGAACCTCAACGGAATATATTCAACGGTCGATGCGATCAAGAAGCAGGAGAGAGTGCTCATCCTCACGCCAATGCGCGAGGCATCTAAACACCTCCCTCAGCATTTCGATCTACTCAGCTCCCTGACGTACCCGCACGAGCTTATAGACCTCGCATTTCTGGTTGGCGACAGCGAAGATGATACAATGGCAGCGTTGGCGAAGGAATTAGAAAGGGTGCAAGGCAATCCGGAGGTTGCTTTTCACTCGACAATGATTGTGGCAAAAGACTTCGGTGTCAGGTCGTCTCAAGAAGTGCACGACAGGCACAGCTTCGAGGCGCAAGGCCCACGTAGAAAAGCTCTAGCGAGGGCAAGGAACTACCTGCTCGCCACAGCGTTAAGATCGGAGCACAGCTGGGTGTACTGGAGGGACGTGGACATCCACGACAGCCCGCCGGAGATCATTGAAGACTTCATCCTACATGACAGAGACATTCTCGTACCAAATGTCTGGTTCCACAGGTACAGGGAAGTCGGCGGTAAGATGGTCGACGTCGAGGGCCGTTTTGACTATAACTCCTGGCAAGAAACCCCCGAATCGCTCAAAGTTGTTGCCAACGTGGAGAAAGACAAAGACTTCATTCTTGCAGAAGGCTACAAGAATCTCAAAATCTTCGGTCTCCGCAACCACATGGCACTCCAAGGCGACTGGCGAGAAGACAAAGATGTTGAAATCCCGCTCGACGGTATCGGTGGCGTCAATATTATTGTTAAAGCCGATGTTCATCGTTCCGGCATCAATTTCCCTTGCTATGCGTTCGAGAACCAGGCTGAGACGGAGGGCTTCGCTAAGATGGCGAAGAGGGCTGGGTATGGCGTCTATGGCCTGCCGAATTACGTGGTGTGGCATGTTGACACGGATGAAAAGCCGGGCAACGCGTGAAGGGTCGGTGTTACTATGAATGATTCGCTGTTGAACGGATACTATCTCGGTGTTGAAATCCGAAAGGGAAGAGCGAGAGGAAAACATATCTACGGAAGCGCTCCACGATATTGCATATAGAGGGCGTTTGTTGTCATGCATTCGCATGTTCACAGGGAAGCGTTAGAATAAGCGTTTGTTTTGGATCATAAGGCCATGCACTGCTCAGGTCTAGCTTGCCCATGCATGATGGTCTGGGTGTGGCATTAATGATCAATGGTTGTTGTGGCTTGTTCGTGATGAGCATCATCGTGGATCCTGTTTGGGCCACCATTGCCCTAGTTGACCCATAGATGGTCGATACATTCATAGAACCTTTACCTCGCTACACGGACCTCGATAGTCTTTCAGTTGCCGCAGACGCAAGCTTCATGGTCATTTTGATGGAAGGTGTGTCCGCGTGGAAACGCTCGGGCTATCACACAATTGCACTCTTCGTTTGATAACCCCGCTTCTTCGGCACGCCATATGAACTTAGTCATTGCAATTTACGATTGTGATAGACCTTCAAACGCTTGGTTGATCTTGGAACCTGCTTGTATCTCCTTCCGCAGCTTTCTCTTCCTCCAATTTCACGACCCGACCCCGACCTACACAAACTCGCCAACGTCGCGGCCCACTTCATGCACATGAGTACGATCCTCTACTTTATCACAGCCCTCGCGCTGTGCCTCTCCACCGCCGGCGCGCCTTATCCTTCACAGCTGCCGCCCAACGTGCACCTTGACGCCATCCCGCCGCATGCCCATAGTAGTCTCAAAGTTCGCGAACAGCGCGGCGGGGTTTACCTCTGCCTTGGTGAGAACTGGGGTCCGCCTTGCACCTACCACCGTCCGTCTTTTTATCCTAACTACCCTCTTTGCTGGACGTCTTGGGGTCTCGACCAGCAACTCCCCCGAAAGCCCATCGGGTATGCTAAACAACAAACTTCCCTCCACAATGTCCAGACATGCTAAGCTAAAGATTAGCTCCATCGGTCCAAATATAGACACCAAATGCTACGCCTTCTATAGTATCCATGAAAACAATAACACCGACTGCACGAGGGGATTCGACTCGGAGCACAGTGGATACGATATATTGTGGTACCCCGGGAAATCGAGCAACTTTCCTACTGGCCATTGGGGTGTCAAATGTGTGTTCGACGGAAACGTTATGGATGATTGGAATGCTACGGATGAAAACTTCAGGCAGTATGCACCGGAGCCGGAGGGTTAGGTTTGAGTCGGGAGCTGCGAGGCAATGTTTGGAGTGCGATATCAGGATGTGCGTCTACTTGAAATGATGATCTATTTTCCAAGGCACGAATAACTAATGTGCTACTTTCTTGTCCGATGGTACTTAATACGTAACGCGCTTAGATGTTAAAGGACGCATCGACAATGCGTGAATATAAAAGAGTTTAAGAGCTTACAAAGGGCCGTCTCTTGTATCAAAGGCCCTGGTAACGACAAGCAATTCACTCGCATGAGTTCGTTCTCGTTCTACTTCCTTGGACTTCCACGTACCCGCTGTGAAGTATCTACACGTGCAATTCAACCGGTGCTAACGGCCAAGGCATGCTCACCTTTGCGATGTACTTCGACGCCTTGACCATGTTCCTCGCCTTCTTCATTCTGCTATAGCGCAGTTTTATGACGCTCTTAGGTACGTGCATTCCTAGTTCAGACCTGACAGCATAAATCCCCCCGCAGTTTCTTCAGCAGAAGCGACAAAACCGCGCTCTACCACCCACGCACGTTCGCTAAGCAAGTCTGCCTCCAGGTGCGCGTGTGCCAGAACTCACTATGACCAATGATGCGAATAGACTTATGTTTTCAAAAAGCGCTACACCCCGATCAATCTCGATGATACCTACTTCGCCACGTACAAGACTTTATTTCGGTCAAGACGCCCAGTTCGAGGCATCAAGTGCATGACCTTTCAAGGACGATGGGTTCAACCAGGACAATAGGTCCCATGGTATGGTGTATGATCTCGCTGAGCTATCCTCCTGGAGACTAGAAGCTTTTTGTGAGAGAAGCTGGAGTAGATGGTGGGCTGGCGTGACTTCTCATGATTATCGGTTTAACGGGCCTCAATATGAAGTGAGTAAGAACCTAATTCAGCTTCTTAGTGTTTTACAAGTCAAGGGGAGACGACCAAATACTGTTCTAGATATACCAAGTGTGCATAAAGCAAATGTATGTTGAAGAGCGTTCCGTTCGCCAAAACAGTATAACGTATAATTGGAGCTGCAAACTCGACAAAGAGTTTAGGGTTATAGACATTTGAGAGATTGGAGATGACACATTCTGAACCAAGGACAATCCAAATGGCGAAAAAGGGAATGTATTGCAGCCGCATCTGACCTTTTGACTCGAGATCACTGGACGCGTTCGCTTCTAGTACATGAGGTTGTCTGCGCTTGAAAGCTTTTTTTGGGCGGTATAGCGTTGATCCGTGGAACGGGTTGATGGACTCTTCTGCGCTGTGAGCTTGACCCGGGGACAGGATGGACTGGACTGGGATGGATGTCGTCATGCTGTGCGTACCGATGGGCAGTTTACGAGTGAACTTAGTAGTAGATGATACTCGAAAGGACACAACTCTAAAACTGCGTGCGGTCGCTTAATGGCTAATCAAAGTTATGTGATCCCTTACATATTGCGACGCTCCACATAACAGCCTATGCTCACAGATCCTAGTGCACCTACATTAGAAGCCGGTCTTCCAAACCGTGTCGCGATCTTGCGGATGACTCAGCCTGGGAAGCAGCACACCATACACCAAAGAAATTGGGAGATGGAGAATGTGCTCTTGAAAACCGTTTCATTCTTGCATCAGTGTAACGCCTACAAATGCTACCATAAGCTCGAATCGAGTTTACAAGACGCCCGGGATGGGCCCATTCTTCTCGTTGGCACCCAGCTCTTCCTCGTTCCAACCGCTGCCACCACCGACCCTCCTTCCACCTTCCTCCCTCTTCACACGGCACCACAGGCTAACATCCTTATCCCAGATGAACTGCCATATGACATTCACCCAGCTCTTATGCACGGGCAAATCGTCGTAGAACTCGTGCGCGATCTTGTTCAGCTTTGGGAGGCGCGTCCACGGTACAGCTGGGAAGTCATGGTGCTCGTTGTGCAGACCAACATTGTACGTGAAGAAGTTGAGCACGCCGTAGTACGAGTACGTCTCCGGAATCGGGATCTTGTTCGCTGCGTTTAGGGCATCCTTGCTCGGCTTCTCGAAAACGTAATGCTCTGCTATGAAGTGTCCTGCGCAGGGGTGCAGGGAGCCTGCCAAGAAGCTGCTCAAGATCATGTATCCGAGTGCCTTTCCGCCGATGAGTTGTACGAGCGCGTAGTCGAAGACAACTTGGGTAATGACGTTGAAGAGGTGGATTTTGGTCAGCGGGAGCTGATAGATGAACATGGGGCGCAGGGCGTAGAAGAGGATCTGGAAGGTGCAGAAGAAGGCTTTTCCGCCGACGGAGTCGAGGAAGAGGGCTTCGAAGGCGGTGGGGAGGTCGGTGTCGAGGCCATTGACGCCGAGTGATTTGTGATGGGTAAGGTGGTATGGCTACTCCGCGTCAGTCTCCTTGCGAATGCTACCTGCAATAAAAGCAATGCATACCCTGAAAGATGCGCTATATGGTATTCCAATTGGGAGGTTGGCAAACACAGCAAATATTCTATTCGCTAGCGGGTTCTTGAAGGCCAGATTGTGTGAAATCTCGTGTATGGCGAGGAAGAGGTTTTGGTTCGCTGTGGCGCCGATAATGTAGGCGGTGAGGAATGTGGGCCATGATAGAAAGGGCTTATCGCGAAGGAGGATTGCGCAAAGTATCTGCAGAAAGACGACGAAGGCGACGACATACTTGGTGAGGGGTTCGGGACCGCAAAGCTTTGTTACCTGCAAGGCTTAGCAAAGCGCGTTATAAGCGAGTAAAAGCATTATTAACCTCTGGATGAGCTTTAATGATAGCTTGTCTCCTCGTCCGGTGAGGCTCCTCCGTGTATGTCCAAAAAAAGTGGTCGTGTTCATTCTGGGTAGCGGTTTGCACGTTTTCCTGTGTCCCGGCCTTGACCGTCAAGCTCCTCTTCGCCGGCTTCCTGGGCTGCTGGGTAGCTGTAGTGACCGACGACTTCATTGTGCCTCTGGAAAAGACTGTAGTTGGGTGGAGGGAGGAAGTGTGTAGACAGCAGCCGTCTTGTAGTGGTGCCACCAGCTGTGGTCCCTGAGCCGCGAACCGAGCGAGGGGATCAGCAGCGGTGTGGGCCGATCATGGCGCGGTGATTGGCTGATTCAGTCGCCACTCCGCTGCGCCCCACGCTAGCCCAAGGAACCTTGGAACATGTCCGACGTTCTCGCCTTTCGAATGCGCTGTAATCTTATCAGATCGTCTTAGCCGTCCAATGTATGATTTGTATGATTGTGCTGAGGTCGAGAAGCAGCCCCATCGATGCTGTTGCTCCATTGGTGCGATCCGAGTTCCATATCCACGGCGACGATGCTGAAAGGATGTGATGTGGGTGTCAAAGAAAGACTGCATGTATCTGTGGATATTCGAATGCCACGCGGAAGTCCTCGAAGGAGTACTGCGTGTATGAGCAAGTTGCTGGATGCAAGGGAAAGGAGTTGCCTTTGGCTGGGTGGCGATATCAAGCCACCCCGAGTGTAGGACCTCATCACCATCGAAGTAGGACATGCATGATGATATAGAGCCTGGTATCTGTAACAGGAACGGACTGCAAAAACATATGGTTGACCTGACAAGCAGTCGATGTATTTTTCTTGTACGTCTACAGCAACGAGCCTCCTCCACAGTCTCTGTACGGATCTCGCTACTGAGCTTGAACACTTCGACACCCATGATCAAGAGAGGCGCAGTTGCGAGGTTGATCTGGCCCACGTCAAGGCCAATCGTCTTGCTGAGCACCTCGTATCATCCGGTCTAAAGAAAATCTTGCACAACGGTTTTGTGCCTTGTTTGCCCAAGTTAGTCATATACGCGTTCGAGCATCTTTCGAGTGATCTACTCCTTCAAGCAATATTGACACACACACTCGCTCCTGGTATAGGGAAGACCATACGAAGGAGGATCTGCAGCAAACTTCCCTACGAATCTCTGTTGGGAGCCATGGCGAAGCTCGCCGAATTCAGAGACGACAAGCCAGCCAGGAAGCTCTGTTACTGCAGCTACCATATCCGCTACGATCGTGGCAGAATGCTGAGGGACGCAGGGTCATCCTCGAGGATGGTAAGTCGAAAGGCAACCTCCAGTTTATCTGAGTCTGACATGATGAGTCCAGTCGAGCCTACGACATGTAAAATTTCCGGTTCATTGAATGCCCTCCTCCACTTGTACGTCAGGGCAAGCTAATGTTTGTCAGTCAACATCGTCTAGAGCTGGCTCTACACCGGAAAGATCCCTAAGGATAATGATGGCTGGCTGCACGTTGCAGAAGTGAAAGGAATGTCCGAAGATCATGGATCGCAAGACGAAGCAGTTGAGCTTGCACAATTGAAAGCAATTGTATTCGGCGACCGCTTTCTCGCCTTCAGCTTTCAGGCAGCCGTCCAGAAGCGACTCGTGAAGGCGCTCGTCAACATCAATAACCCTGCGTGGTACGCATCTGTCTTGTACACCTATGCGAACATGACCAAAGATAATCCGACCCTCGATCTGCTTGCAGGATTACAATTTCGATTTTGGGATGAAGAGACAGATGATGCCCACCCCAAGGAGCTAACATTGAGGCCGGGGCTACCCAATGATCTTCTAGTGCGTGTGATGAAGAAGTTTGCCGCACACCGAGGAAAATCTAGATCTAGATCGCAGGATTTGGATCATTCGGATTATCATGTTCGTTCTCGCGATTAGACGAGAACCTTGGTGAGATTGGTGGAGGAAGATAATAAGAGGAATGCGTGGTTGTGACTTGACTGGATTTGTGAGGAGTGGTAGATTTTCGAGGTCGAGTTGTTATAAGATAGGGACGATGGATTTGTGGTACGAATACTTCGGCGAAGAAACGTAAGTTGCTGAAAATGCTTTAAGAGACGAAGACGACGGATGTGGACCCAAGGGAGACGTGCTTCAGCTGTAGTACCATAATATTGAAACGATGTATCTAAAGGCGGGCGCAATTGTGACAACGCACCACGGTGAACGAAGAGCTTGCAAGCGAAAATCATTCCCACACCACAGACATCGGATTTGCCGTCTTGCCTCACTGCCTCAGCACCCTCAGCGAAGTCGCATGTCCAACTCCCGCGCACACTCCCGACCCGATCCCACCCGGCCTTCATCTCCCCCCTCCGATATCGTCCACCCCTCTGCATCCCTCTGCCTTTCGCTCTCCGCCAGGACTTCGCCTTACACTATACTACGTTTAGCGCCCGCCGCTAATTGGTCTCCCTTATCGCCCCACAGCCGGGCACCAGTTACTCGATACGCGCACGCGATCAAATTGCCGCATGTGGGAACTTCAGCGCCAAGGTACCGGAGGTAGAGCAAAAGTGCTGTCATGGCGTGGCCCTGGCGTGGGATACGAGCCTCGGCTGGATGTTCTGGGGGGTCGTTTCTCCGCGATGAGAAAAGAACGTTTTGCTTTTGCTTTTGCTTTTGCGAGGGGTTGGTGAGGATTGCGGGGCTGCTCGTGGTGGCATTTTGTTTTGTTCAAGATACCTTAGTTTTGTACAAGGGAACGAGTGGGCATAGTATCCTATGTTGCGCTTGGAATGTCTTATCTGGTTCGCTATAGAGTTTCTTGGTGCAATCAGGTTTCACACTACGTACGTAGGCAAAGGAGAAACGTTCGTATATCATGCCGTAAGATTCATCAATGGTATCTAATATGTACAAAAGCCGTGACTTTTATTTCCTCCTCGCTAGAAAATGTGGTATCCCATTCGCCATGCTCCTCAATATGATACAAGGAAAAGCGCACGCTCATATTCAAGCAGTGCCCCACCAGTCGCCCTGGTCGTGCATAGCAGCAGCAACCTTCTTGAAGCCAGCAACGTTGGCACCAGCGACGAGGGACGGGAACTCGCCCTCAGCAGGGGTGATGTACTCCTTAGCGGTCTGAAGGCAGTTCTCGAAGCAGTCCTTCATGATGCCAGCAAGCTTGGCGTCAACCTCCTCGGTGGTCCAGGACAGGCGCTGGGAATTCTGAGCCATCTCAAGACCGGAGACAGCAACACCACCGGCATTGGCTGCCTTTCCAGGAGCGTACCAGATAGCGTTGCCCTGGTTACTCTTGCGGTGGGCCTCAAAAGAGTCGATGGCCTCCTGGGTGCAGCCCATGTTGGAACCTTCGGCGATGAACTTGCAGCCAGCGGCGATGAGAGCCTCGGCCTCGTCCTGCGACACCTCATTCTGGGTCGCTGAGGGAAGAGCGACGTCGACATTGCCAACGTGCTTCCAGGGGCGCGCACCCTCAATGTAGTTGTAGGAGTGGCCCTCGAGGGCAGTGAGAGCCTCGCGCTTGAGCTTCAGAGCAGCGATCTTGGAGATGTCCTCGGGGGTGAAGCCCTTGCCCTCAGTAGCGATTAAGGAGCCCTTGCTGTCGGAGAGCGAGACCACAGTACCGCCTAGCTCAATGACCTTGAGAGCGGCGTACTGGGCAACGTTTCCAGAGCCAGAGATGGCGACCTTCTTGCCAGAGAACGACTCCTTGCCGCCGGAGGCATAGTTGATCATGTGCTCGACGTAGTAGACGAGACCGTATCCAGTAGCCTCGGGGCGGATCAAAGAGCCACCCCAATTGAGTCCCTTGCCGGTAAGAACGCCCTCCCACTGGTTGCGAAGGCGCCGGTATTGGCCGAACATGTAGCCGATCTCGCGGCCGCCGACGTTGATGTCGCCGGCAGGAACATCGGTGTCGGCACCGATGTGCTTGGAGAGCTCAGTCATGAAGGCAACGCAGAACTTGCGGATCTCGTTGTCGCTCCTTCCCTTGGGGTCGAAGTCGGCACCACCCTTGCCACCGCCCATGTTCAGGCCGGTAAGAGCATTCTTGAAGATCTGCTCGAAGCCGAGGAACTTGAGAATGGAGAGATTGACGGTGGGATGAAGGCGGAGACCGCCCTTGTATGGACCGAGGGCAGAATTGAATTGCACACGGTAGCCCTTGTTGACCTGGCACTTGCCGGAGTCGTCCTCCCAGACAACGCGGAACTGGATGACACGCTCGGGGATGGAGACGACCTCGAGGGCCTTCTTGTACTCGGGGTTCTTCTCGAAGAGGGTGGAGGACTCAAGGGTGGAGACGAGCTCTGTGGCCAAGTTAGGATCATATTCGTGGCGGTTGGTGCAAAGTGTACCCACCCTTGTAGGCTTGCTCAAACTCAGGCTCGGCCATTGTGTATGTGTATCGACGGAGTGGGTATCTCAAGAAGTAAAGTGGTTTGAGACCGAGTTTGAGAAGATGAGTAGCTGGAGAAGGTGCGAAGGGCAAGCCGTATATATACACACTCAACAGCTCAGGCTCCAAGCTCCGTCTTTTACCTAGCCGGTCCGTGGCAGAGCGCCATTCTCAGTGACAGCAGAAAATGAACATGATCAAAGCAACGTCAGCGGCCTGGGCGATCAAAGTACGGCTCGCGCTCTCAGTGGCCAATTGCCGGATGTAGGGCGGCATCATGTTTCTGGTATGCAAACCATGGTGTACATGTCAAAGATAAGGAAGCGGCGGGCCAATGAGAGCGAGGCGGCGACGAAAGCACATGACTTGGCCGCGTCTGGACGAGCGGCGGCGCTGTCATTCCCTTGACCGTTCTCGGCGCCGCAAACGAATCTTTACGTGTGGGTTTCAGGGTCCATGGGACGCAGTGCCAGACGGCCGCGGGGTTGCAGCGCGCCGTCATGGGCCGACAACGGCGTGGGCTCGAGCCAATCACACCCATATTCCTGCTACGAACGCCTGATCCCTGCCACACCTGGGCAGCCTCCATCCCAAACCCACAACCCCCCGCCTGCACCACAGCAGACACTGCCCACGCATCCCGCGCCCGAAGTCGCGTCTGCCTGCCTGCGCATCCCGCCGATATCACGCTGTGTCGGTGGGGTCCCTTGGAGCGTCAGCACCCGGATATATTGGAGACAATTTGGCCACCGAAGTCGCTTCCCTCCTTCGTGGGCGCTGCCCGACGGGAAGTACGTACCAGTCAGTGACAAGATACTCGTCCAGCGCGTCCATCTTCTTCATGTCGCTGTCGTCGATGGAGAAACCCTGCACCTCACCGTTCTCGACCATCCTCGTCTTGTTCACGCTCTTGGGCAGCGGCACGTACCCATGCTGCAGGCTCCATCGGACGAGCAGCTGGCCCGGCGTGCACGAGTACTTCTTCGACAGGGACGCAATGACGGCGTGCTTCATCTTCAGGGCCCTGACGAGCGGAGCGTAAGCTTCCACCACGATGTCGTGCTCCTGGCAGAAGTCGGCAATGTCGAAGCGTGTGTTGAACGGATGGATCTCAATCTGGTTGACTGCCGGAAGGATTCTGGGCTTAGAGTCCAAAAGCTCTTGCAACTGTAATCCATCAGTGATCCGCTCGTAGGTCCGGATCATGCACGCCGCCGTATCTGAGACTCGCAAAGCCACACAGCCTCGCGCGTAGGACCTTGCAACTGAGAATCCTGCTTGCAGTCGGAGAAACGCGACTACAAGTCAGATGTTCCAATCACTCAGCAGCTGCCCACGATGAGAAAGGTAGCTACTGTTAGTAGCTAAAGGCTCTCTGTTGCTTGGGCTCTCCGGGACCACTGCCAAACATTTGTCATGAGACTGCGGCTGTAGGCTCTGCAAGCTCATGTTTCACATACATAGTCCCAAGTAGGACACCATGGGAAAGTACTAACATGCTTGACTCCGTAGTTTGAGACGCCACCAATTCTGATCTCGCCGTCGTCGATTGCATCCTCGACTGCTCTCCAGCTTTCGAGGCGCGCCTTCTTGCCCCCATACGGAGAGTGGAGCAGGAATAGATCGATGTAGCCAAGCCCGCATTCCTTTACGGACCGCGTGATTGCTTTGCGGGCGGCATCGTACGATGAGTTGGATGCCAGCTTGGAGGTGAAATGGATGTCTTCGCGCTTGAGCGAGTCTGTGTTGTCGCTGCTGGAAAGAAAGTCGGAGACTGCATGCCCGCTTTCCTTCTCGTTGTGGTACATTTGGGCACTGTCAATGCTGTGCACGTCTATTGTCAGTTGCTCTACAGTGGCTATGAAGCGACGTTGGCCTACCCTCGATAGCCGGCCTGCAAGCATATGAGCGCATGATACAAGCGCTGCATCCATCAGCAAGGAGGGCTCATACCTCCAAAGCCCATCGGCACGCTTGATAGGTCTCAGAGCCGGAAGTCAAGTAGACACCGAGATGAATGGCAGGCATGGTTAGCCCATTGGCGAGCTGCTACGGCGTCAATAGGGAGGTTTGTGCAACGATGATATCACTATCCTTTGTGCGCGAGGCCAGCGAGTAGGACATGGTGGAGTGTGCGGTCTAGGAACAGGCAAGATAGACGAATATGCAAGTCGGACGCCACGATGCTGCGGCTGTGCGATGGAGGGTGAATGAGTCGCAGATGTTCGGATTGCGTGCAGGACCAGCGTAGCACCGAGATCGCGCTTCCCAGGCTGTCGGGATGCGCCCGTGGAAAAACTCGCCTCCGGGCAGCCATTGCCGTCGATGACGCCCGCTCGGCGGCCCGCGGATGCCATTGGACGGCTGCGGGTGCGGGCCTGAGTGAATCTCACGTCACCTGAGCTGGCGAGCGCGGTGTGGCTGTGCAGCTCCCGTGTCGACTGCTCGAGACTCGGCTCCAGACAAGCAAAGCGCGCGTCTCGCGCCTGGAAACGCAGCGCTGCGACAAGCCAAACACCAAGCCATGGAGGCTGCGTGACGCACAGGTCGACCGTGACAGCTGCCAGAGAATATTGCCTTCCGCATTCAGGCTGCGCTGAGCAGCACGCCGCATTGGTCGGCGACGAAGACAGCCAACCGCGCCCGCAGCCATGCCTCCAGCTCGCCGGGCGTGTCTGCAACGAGAAAGCCTGCATTCGCGACGGCACACGGGCGCACGTCGCCGTGATGGAAATCCTCCGAAAAGCACGGAGCAGAGCTTGCAACGTCTGGCCGTGCAGCGGGGGCCGCCGGGGTGGAGGGCAGCCAGGCCTACCGCAGCAGAGAGGCGTTTGGCGGCGCATTGTCGATTCCAGTCGGTCGGCGACCCTGATTGCACGCGTTCCTGGGGGGTGCATGACAAAAGCAGGAGTCGACGTTGACATGCGTCCAGAACGCGGCGGCGCCGGGCTCGCCGCTTTGGTTGTGCTGGCCGCTGGCTGGCGGTGCCGACGCATGGCAGCGTGTCCGCGGGCGCAGACGGCCAGCCGCGACGGCACCAAGGAGAGCAGCGCTGTTGGTGTTGACGCGCAGCCCACACAACCCACGCCCAGGCATCGCAGCGGCAGCCAACAGCCACAGCACCGCACCGCACGCGCGGCATCTCCGCCGCCCGACCTGGATGGCCCGCCGCGATTGGGGCCGGGCTACCAGACGCAAGATCCGCCGGATCAGATCGCAGCCAGGGTCAGCAGAGCCGAGCACGCCTCGACTGGATTCGACTTGATGTTCACCAGGGATTATTTTGGAATAGAGTGAACCGCACCGGGGCTTCAATATTCGACTATAGGAGGCGCCCGAAGCCACACCTTAACTCTCAACCTCAAGGCCGAGATCGAGATATAAGGGCCCATGGTTCGCCAGGTACTGCCCTGGTTCCTGCAACGCCCGCCAGCCTCTCGACTCGTCGCGCCTGCCGCTCCAGCACTGCAAGCGCACCCTGTCGTCATCCTCGGGGTCGCCAATTCTAGACCCTCTCTCCTCACCACCCCCTCGGCAGTGCACGATACCAGCGGCCGTTCACTGTGCGTTTTGGGTGAGTGCTGAAACACATAAACTGGTGTTCCCGCTCGCTGGCCAACCAGACGTGCTGATCCCCTTCGTCCCTGCAGTAGTCCCGTATACCCGATATCACAACCACCATGTCCAACCTCCACGGTTTTGCAACCCACTTTCCAGCCGGCTACCCATCCTTCCCTCCAAGAGGCGGTCCTTTTCCCGGCGCTGCGAGCTCGTCTTCTGGAGATTCAGGGCCCGCCAATGCGGGGCAACCGCAGTTCGACATCTTCGAGTGGCATCCCGCGTACCAGAGCTGCCAGCGATACTTTCTCGACCACGCACAACACGACAACGGCGTCCAGGCCGTCGCCGCGCTCATCAACATCTGCCTACCGTTCCAATGGACATCCACACCCATTGTGAACTCTGCCGGCCCCATGCCAAACGCATCAGGACCTGGCGCTTACAACCATCCGTGGCCAAGGCAAGCTCCAGTGAACAACGTCCGGGCTCAGCCACCTCCTACGTGGGTTTCCCTCGTTCCCTACATACGCCGACTTGTCATTACCGGCATGGACAAAGACGGCATCATGCATGGCTTCTTCGGCGAGGACTGGCGGAAGGGAGTCGGTCCAGTGCACGAGTGCGAGCGCCGCAACTATCTTTTCACAGCCAAGAGCACCGAATGGGCTGAGGTCAAGCATCATTACGACATGTCTCCGCATGAATCAGTCCCCTTTCTCAAGCCATTGCAGGACGCTCACCTGGCAGAGATTGAGGGTGCCGAACAGACGTGGAGTCAGTGGCTGGCAATGCAGGACTGGATGGTGGGTCCTCGGGCGCCCAACCTGGATGGGGAAGCCAAAGGCGAGGCTTGATCGCGAACCGACCGGACGGCGCTGAATGGCGGCTGTCACTTCGGCCTAGTCGACGATCGGGTCCGGGTCCGGATACGAAGCATGGCATTGTGTGGGATCTAATTGCATGGCGTTGGACAAGGGTTTGGGCAGGCATAGCGACCATCCCGTCTCTCAGGGACTGCTCTCGGTTTCGTTATATGTACGACAGCTTCATCTTCTAATGACAACACGTCAGATCAGATCTGCCATGTGCCGCGTGCCAGCCTGATGGTGTGCTCGTGTAGGACAAGGCGCAAGGCAACGATCTGCATGTCCACGCTTTTTGTACTACCAGAAGCCACAGCCGTTTTCTATCGCCTGCGGAAGCTGCGTGGTGGATGCAGAATAACGAATGGGGCGGCTGCGGTGATTCCTCCATCTGTGCGACACACACCCTTCCCATTTCCAATTTCAGCATCGTCCAATTATCCTCATTGATGGTGCATCTTTGCACGCGAGCTCATCGACCTGACTCGTCTGGCGCCGCGGTTCGCGTGGTGCCAAGGTCGGCGTGCAGTGGACCCTGGCAGCGATCTGCACTCCTCAAGCTCTCTATTGTCGCCAGGCTTGTCCTTATTTCTACAACACACCACGCCTCAATATTCCTAGTACACCAGCCGAAAGCCCGGCGCCCCGTCCCGTCGCCCCCTCATGGACGATGGATTCCTTAGTCAAGGAGTGGGTTTTGTTTCTTGACAAGTGCCTGGAAACCCGGATCCCAATCGACCTATTCGCTGCCGCAGCGACTCAGCTGCACACGCGGTCGCCCCTCCCCGGACGCAAGCTTGCAGCATTACTAGTGAAGCCCCGAGCTGCTGGGGCGAACAGTGTTGATCCGCGCGTAATCGTCTATGCTGAGCGCCTGCTCGCTCTCAACAAGGTTGACGCGTCCGATATCCTTTCCGCGGCTTTCCAATTCTCAAAGGATCGGACTCTCCAAGCAAGCGACAACACCAGTCCCAGGGATCCATCAGGATGGCAGAATCCGCCGGAGCTGGACGAGATATTATTCCATCGCCTGCACAAGTCTTTCTCGGGAGAACGACCCGAACGACCAGTTACCAATGCGGAAGGAGTTCGAACCCTAAAAGCAGTGACGAGATGGATGTCAGCAATGGTCACGTCGCATACAAACGATTCGATGCTACAGGCTATGACCGGCATCCAGCAGCAGCCTCAGCAGCAGTCGATCAATGTTCGCGAGGGCCTTGGCATGCTTGTGGTGGGGCTGATCGAGAATGGCAAGATCCTGCAGTTGCTGAACCGGGGTGAGCTTAAAGGTGGGTCGCTTCCCTCAGCTGAACACGGGACAAAGCCCCTGCCCGTGAACCCGCTTGGAGGTTGAATCCGTTGCTTGTACACGTACTCACATGCCGTGCAGATGTGCGAAAGGGGTTTGCCCAAGCGCTCACGACCTTTATTCCGTTCCTTGCACAGACTTCCATTCAGATCTCGAATCGCCTCGAGATCTATCAGAAAGAACATGACTTCAATGATAAGTCAAGTGTTGGGCCCAATGGGGAGACGAACGAGAACTCCGGGCTCGAAGTTGCGGCGCTGCAGCTTGAGGCTGTGATCGATCTTCCTCAGATCAACACAAGAGCTGGACTCTACATATTCCTCAATTCATTGGTAAGTGCGCTGTTTGCAGATAGCTCCGATATATTGACCTGGATAGCTTGTTGCACGTCCACTGACTGACGACATTACTATCAATAACTACTTGCATTCGTTTTACAAGGTAACACTGGCTGGTCTCATGAGCGAATGCAGTTGACAACAGTAGATGGACGCTCAAAGTATGGCGACGGATCTGGTCACCGCGTCCTTCGACATACTGGCCAACGCTATGTATCGGAGTGAATCAACCCAGACGATGACTGGTCTGAAGTCGTTCCTTGTCAACAAAATTCCTGTTCTATTGACACAACTCACTGCTCCGCTATACGCTATGAATCCACAAATATGCATAACGCAGGCTCTCAGTCGAATAGACCCGAACGCTTTCCCCGCCTTCTCCCAGGGATTTGACGACATGTTGGGTAACAATAGCTCTCTTGCAGATGTGCGGCAAGACTTTTTGAATGCATGTGCTCTGCACAACCTTATTCCAGCGAATACAGTGGAGCGTTTACTTGGGGAAGCTCCGATGCAGGGCCCACCAGCAACGAGATACATCAAACAAGATCTATTGAAGCAGTGTAAAGACAATGGCGACAAGGTGGTCACATACATTGAAGAATTGGAAAACTTGGACGGCAATGCTGGCGCCATAGTAGCCGCTCTCGCTGATGTAGGTTGGATCGCTACTACAATGAGGTTCCTTTGCTGACATTGAATAGTTTGTAGCGCACCTCTGCGAGACGCAAATGTCCATGTACCTCAAAACGCTGTGCAATGCGCTTTCGAAGAAGACGACAGCACTCGATGTAATCTTGCAATTCACATCACCTGCCAGCATACTACAACCGCTCTGTCAATTCTTGGATGAGTGGCATTATGAAACTGATCAAGGTAGGCTTGTGTGTTCGACAGCATCGACAGACGACTTACAACGCAGATAGAGTATCAACCAGTGTACGACGAATTCAGTGCCATTCTTGTCCTTGTCCTAGCCTTCGTATATAGGTACGAGCTCACTCACGATGATCTGGGGATCGGGCACGACTCTTTTGTCGCTCAATTTCTGGAACGTGGGCACCGCAGTATTGCTCCGAACGAGTTGACTGAAGAGCAAGGCAAGCATCTAGGTGGCTGGCTCCGTGGTCTATTTGATGCCGACAAGGAAGGACTCAGTAATGATGTGTTCGCATCCTGTCGGCCTCAAGAGTTTTACCTCATAGTGCCTACACTCTTCAACCAGACTGTAATGGCATGTTCTGCGGACGTTTTATCTTTGGATTCAGTTAAGGGCGGCCTAGAGTGTAAGTGATTGGCTATCGAATACGAAGATAGAGGATCGTTAATTGCTTTTCAGACCTACACGAGACCTTTCTTCTGCCATCCCTCGTGGGAGGCCTAACGTGGATGGCCTCGCACGCGCTTACGCAGACACACCAGGAGCACGATGCGCTAGTGCAGATATTCCACAAGCTGATCAGGTCGGCCCCCACATCGGGGGATGCACAGGCTATGCATTCCACGATCCTCTCGATCGTATCGGCTCGGCTTGAGAGATGCTTCCGCACCCTAAAGCAGCGCTACCCCGGGTATAGCACGGATATTGACCAGCTTCTACAGGCTATCAAGCCTAACCTACACTACACTCGCTCAATTTTCTCACCTGCACCCCAACTGGAACAGTGGACTACTGCGACGAACAACACACTCGCTTCTTCGCTACGTCATACCGTGCAGCAGCTCTCCCAATGGGCCACGAATGCTTCCATTCAATTTAACCCGCCTAGCTACACCCATCGCCAAATCTATGCCTCTGTAGAGCTGCTTGGCCCATCCAAAACTCTCGGTATTATCGTCGACGAAGTCAAAGCTCAGACTGACGCAGGCAATGGCGCGGCAGCACTCAATATCGGCGTCACTCTTATCTGTGCACCAATGATCAAGAACAGTGTCTTGCCGGTTGACTGGGTGGGCAGCTCTGCTCCTGTGACTCAGCCTCCACGATCACGATTAAACCTACGTGAAGTGCTCAAATTCGAATTCGACAATGCCGCGAGCCTGGTATCCACAGATCAGTTAGCCGCCGAGACAATTGTGCGCCTGCATCGCCGTGTCGAAGCTCAACTCGCAATTATCGCGCAAGCTGGGCTCTCAACTGCCAACGCGGATCTCACCAACGTCGGCATAGTGCAAGCGCCAGGTCTAACCTCTGAATTTGACAAGGCCATGAATGACGCTGCCGCTGCCTCAATCGCGGCAGCGGGAGCAGATATGACCGATATCAACAAACAATTGCAACAGAACATCGACCAGTCATTGGACCTTGGCGGTGTTGGTGCGGGCTTGGATTTGAGCGCCATGGGAGTCGATGCAGGCGCAGGCAATATGAGCGCCGACCTGGGGAACTTGCCAGACTTAGATTTGGATATGGGCGACATGGGCATGGGCATGAACATGGAAGGAGACGATGATTGGGGCCTGGACTTTGACAACATGTAGACTTCGCAGCCAGAATTTGCGCGGTGAGTTTGCATGTTGGCGTTGAGCGTGTTTTGCGAGCAAACATAGACACATATGAGGAGTTGCCGTCATTTCAACCTTTGGTCAGTATGGAAATGATGTAGCAAGCATGATAAACTAGCGTGGTGCATTGCCGAGGTAACTCTTGCTCCTTTTGGTGCGGCTCTCGAAGGAGGTACACCCCGCCATCCATAGTAAGCCGGAAGCTATGCCCCACATCCTGGACCTTGACAATAACATCCACGCACCCCGTCTGATGACAGGAGATGTCCGTATTGTATACTCGTACATGCCACGTCTCTGATTCGATCGCCAACAAACACTACAACCACACATCCACAGACTAACTATGCCGTACGACCTTAAAGGCAGGAACGTACTCGTCACGGGCGGCTCTGCGTGAGCTTCATTCTTTCCAGTTCATGGTCACGGATGATCAGTTTACTAACAAATGGGTTGTAGCGGTCTCGGCGAAATCATCAGCATATCATTCGCGAAAGAAGGCGCCAACGTTGCAGTAAATTACTTCAACCGACTCGAGCCTGCGCAGAACGTAGTAAAGGAATGCGAGAAGCAGGGAGTCAAGGCTGTAGCTCTGAAAGGCGTACGTAGCGACAAATCCCCGTTCTCCTGACCTCTTCAAGAGCTTCGTGGAGAGGCGGATGAAGCGGCGAGCCTAACTGGAACAGGACATGTCCAACACATCAGAATGTAGGAGAGTCGTCGACGAGACGATCAAGCAGCTCGGCGGCATCGACATCGTGATTGCGAATGCGGTAAATCCAAACACCCTGTGACCCTACGACCACGTCCTAAGAGAAACAGGGTTGGACGCGCTTCAGCAATTTCACCGATCTCGATTCCATGTCTGAAGATGAGTGGGACAAAGTAAGCGCCCCTCTTCCTTCACCTCTCCCTGTCCTCAGACTCATCCCTCTCACTTTATCACCTCACACCACCTAAACTTTGCTTGTAGCTAATTAGCAACAGTGCTGGGCCGCTAATGTCAAAGCGCCCCTCGCCCTCCTCAAAGCGGCAAAGCCCACCTTCGAATCCAACCCTGACGGCGGCGCCTTCATCAGCACGGGATCCATCGCCGCCGTCTCCCAGTCCGGCTCTTCGATGCCTTACGCCGTGACCAAAGCGGCGCAACTGCAGCTCATCAAGTGCCTAGGCGCGACGCAGGGGCCCAAGATTCGGGTGAATACCGTGTTGCCTGGGTTGCTGTTGACGGAGTGGGTATGCGGTCTCCCGTTTCCATGACTTTCCTGAGGGGTGCAATTGGGCTAACGCGTGGGTGCAGGGTAAGAAGTATTCGGACGAAAAGATTCAGTGGGCCAAGGATACAGCTGCGCTGAAGCATGAGACTGATCTCCAGGATTGTGCGGATGCGTTCATTATGTTGGCGAAGAATACGAGTATTACGGGTGCGAGAATCCAGGTAGATGCAGGACTTAACGTGCAGGGGACGTAGAGTGGTTTTCCGGAGGAGATGTCTTCCGTCATCCAGTAAGCGCAGGGATGTTGGAGACGGTATGTATGTCATGATATACTTCATCACACTGGCAATGGTTCGACCATGTTCCCTTTTCTTCTGACCTTGTCTCGAATCGACAGCGACCGTTGCCATCCCACTCACTCACTCTTCTTCGCATATTTCCGTGTCGTCCAGTGCTCTTACAATTTCCTCTATGTCTTGAGGGCTCGTGATACCCCACACACCGCCGCCCTTAACGGCGCCTTTCATACCAACTTCTTTTCCAACCAGATTTCTTCCGACCTTGCCAGGTCCAATGCCGATCCACCGCTTCACTTTCTCGTCCTCGTGCAAAAACTTGATCGATCGCCACCACTGCACCGTCTCAACGCAGCTTCTTGCCAACAGATCCTTGAGCTGATCCTTGTTCTGGAACGGCCTTCCGGACACATTCGAAATGCAAGGCATGATTCCGGGCCACGTTACGATATCGCTCCCGTCCGGCCTCTCCTTGTACAGTATCCTCTTCATTGTTTCTTGCGCCGGCTTCATCAACGGGCTGTGGAATGGCGAATCGCTCTTCAATCGCACTGCCCTAGGGTCATGGCCGCCGAACTGCCGCAAGTTTGTCAACAGCGTCTGCATCCTCTCAATGCTTCCGCTCAGTACAATCTGGTTCTTGCTATTAATGTTCGCGATGAGGACCTGTTCAACGGCCGGGATATCTTTGGAATCGTTTTTGTAGTTCGGCGACGATAGTTCGAGGAACTCGCGGAGACCGGCGACCAGTGCTTTCATGTGCGCTTCCGATTCGCATACCAGCGCGATCATACCGAACTCGCCGCCTTCTTGTTCGACTGCCTCTTGAGTACAGCGTAACATGACTACAGATGGGGGTAAAAAGTCAGTGTAATGTTCAGCAATCAGGAAGGTGGGTGAAGTAGGTGTTCTGGCCAGCTGCTAATGTCTGAGGCTTTCAGGCTTTTAGAGGTGTAACGCTCGGAGTCTTAGACAATCGCCCAGCTTGAACACCCACATTGTACCCCGACATTGCGTACCCTCTGCGCGTTTCCGCACCATGCGCAGCGCATCATGGAATGTGAGATATCCGCCTGCTACCAGGGCCGCAAACTCGCCGAGCGAGTGGCCCAATGTGATGTCTACCCTTTCACTAGTTTTGAAGCCGAATTCTTGTTCCAGAATGCGCAGGATCAGGATTGAGGTGGCCATGATGGCGGGCTGCGAGTTCTGGGTAAGATTCAGCTGAGCGTTGGTGCCGCCTTCTATGATCTTAGTGAGGGGCACATTGAGCGTGGCATCGATCTCCTCGAGGATGGGTTTTGCGGTCCGAGGGAAGGCTTCAAGCCAGGGTGTGGCCATCCCGACGCGCTGCACACCTTGGCCTGGCTTTTGTTAGCATTGTTAAGGTTGAGAGTGCGCTATATATGCCGGGAGATGATGATAGTATACCTGGAAAGAAAATGGCCGTCTTAGGCCTCTTCGAAGTTGTTTGGGTGCTGCCCATCCCACGCCGTGCTCTTCCGCTTGGGCGGACTCCTCCACAACGCGAACATCGCGTTGCAGCTGAGGAGAGCCTGTTCACTGTGCCAAGAGTGCTAAACATTGTTCGCGGGGTTCGTGCTATGAGAAATCAGGCGGCATTGTTCAAATGTATGAGTAATGGAAGCTTTAAGAGCTGTGCAAGATGAGTGGAGCAAGCGTGGGTTGAGGGTTGGTGAGGGTACCGGTAAGCTGGGGTTAGCGCGGGCCCAGCTGTCAGGGATCGTTCCACTGCCGAGGTCACGCTTTTCCGAAATCCCCCTTACACAATATTCCGCGCCACGTACCCTTCGCAACTCAGGAGAACAGTCGCCGATGGAAGTTTCAAATATCGTGGACATCAAGAGCCTCGTGCACAATACATCAATATCACAGAGTACCTAAAGGAGGGAAGACTACGGATATCTCGAGCAAGATGTCCAACAACATTCAGGAACAAGCAGATTGAGGAAGAATGTGGCGTTGTGAACTGTACCAGAATATGAAGAATATCTCGCACGATCATGTGAAGGCGGGAGAGATACGTTCAATACCTGTTATTGCCCCCTAGAGACCCTCGTAGATGGATCAAATGCTGTAACTGTGCGCTTAATAGCAGACAGGTACCTCCCCACTGGACCCCTCTCATTGTTAGAACATCCACCAAGATGATATCCTACGGTATCCCCCACTCTTCGCAAAAGTTACATCGTACTGCAGACCGAGCCTATCGAAAGACTATGCACACTGGGACGGCGTGAGATGGCCAATCCATGACCTGATAATACCAAGTTCGTCTCTAGTGGTTGCGGATGTTTCGACAAATTTAGTATACCTCAGTCGATCATGATGATTTCATCTTCTTGTGTAAGCTTGCGTCGGTTGCGTCGCTGCTTTCTCAGATCGATTGCGCCAAGCACCTCTACATCATTGTCAGCGTTACTAACTAATACCTCATCATCTCCGACCACAGTTACGGACTCTGAGCGTTCGCGCTTGAGCCGCTGACGGATATCTTCTTCACGCCTCCAGTGCGCGACCATGCGCCGAAGCGCCTCTGGGCTGGAACTCTGGAGAACATCATCATCGCAATCGATCAGTCCCTTGGGTTCGGGGGTATGCTTGACAACGTGAAGGTCTTTGAGAGCCTCTTCGGAGAATTAGACAGACCAACATGGTCCCAGAGCGAGCAGGACTTACTCAACGAGCGATAGTAAAAGTGGAAGACAGCGAAGGCCTCTCCGTTCTTGGCGTACTCGGCATCAAAATACTCGATTTCGTCGGTCGCCTCGGCATTCTCCAAACTATATTTGTTCGTTAGCTGCGATTTTGTGAACTTGAAGGTCTTGGGGCTCAGCCCAGAAAGGACATACCTCATCGTATGTGACAGTGCACCACCTTTCAGAGCCTTCTCGTGGACAGTACCCGGATCCTGCACCTTTCTCTCTGTGATCTCGAAAGACTTGTTCAAACGTGTAGTCTGAATCTGGTACATATGAAGCGATATCGTGCCGGTGTCAGCGAGTCGTTTCTTCTGCGCTTTGACTGATGCGGCCGGTACATCTTCGCCTGCTGCTGCGTGTTAGTGAGACGTGTGTCTGAGCATAAAGCTGCACTTACTGATGTCGAGCTCTGCAAAGCGATACTTCTGCCGGCGAAACTCTTTCCTGGTATTCGAGATTGGACCCTCGCTTACATGACCTTCCTGATCGTAGATCTCCGCTTGCCGAATGAGAGGTTCGTCTAGGTCATTACCGTCGATGGTGATGACTACTGAAACTGGCAGATCATTGGGGGATGGGTGGGAGAATCGGAAGTGGACCTCAAAAGTTGCACCAGACTCTGCAATAATATAACGCTCAATGTTGTTACGGGCGACCGGTCCGCGGTCGTCATGTTCTTCGCAAGGCTGTCCGTTGACCACGATCGACGCTTCAACCCCAGGCACGTCGTGGTGCTTGGGCATGGTGGATGGTGCGTAGGTGGCGGAAACAGTGGTGGAGTTGGAAGAAAGAAGGCAAAAAGGAAGGAGCGAAATCCGAAATCACGAGCTTGAAACGTCATTTCCATGAAGGCTACACAGTGCGATATTAGCGGTGAAGGCAGCAAAGCACAGAGCGAGGTGAGTGAGAGACGAACAATTGTCTCGTAAAGCAAGGTGCTGCGAGCTATCGATTGGGAAGTAGCGAGTACTCATGATATCCGATACGACTGTATCTCAGCTTCATGGTTACCTGCTTACTATGCACATCGGCTGGATTTGCACTTGTACGGATCATTTAAGGACTATGCTAGTAGGCCTTTATGGTGCTGATAGCTTTAAGATAATCGGAAGGGATCGACGATCTCGAACGATCGAAGATGAACAACGCAATGACCGAGTGCAGATCTAAACCTACCAGACTTTCACATCTCATTTTGACCCAGAAAACTATCGGCTTTGATGGTCCACTTTCACATCTCGACTTCTAGAGAATTGTAAATTCGCAAGAATACCACTCTCACGGCTCACTCCAGAGACCATGTTGTAAAAATCCACGTGCTCAGGTACAAAGTCTGAGGTGGGCTCAGGCGTGGACAGCAATTCCTCAATCGGATGTCGTCCTGCCCACATTAGCTCTAGATCACAAGGAGGGTGGATAAATTTTACTGGTAGGGTTCAAGTCCGATTCCTCCACGAGGATATTTAGTACGCGGGGTCGGGACGTAGTTCAAGTGTCAGTAACATCACAAAGACTGTGGCTGATGTCTAGAGAGATCTCAAAGAAACCGGAATCTGTGCCAGAGGTATCTATTCTGGAGGTACTAGCAGACGTCCGGTACAGTCGGTGTAGCTCATGTTGTTCCAGTTTATTGAGTGTTATACATGCGACAGCACGCTTCGAAAATACGACTTGACCTTGCGAGAGATACTCGCCAAGATAGTAATCAACTGAGTTATTAACAGCTTGCTCGATGTCTTCGTAAAAGCTTTCAGTGGGTCAATAGCGGAATTGGACGTTTGATTAGGTAGCCGCGATCTATCCACGATCAGGATATGGGTACTATATTCGAATGAGGGGGCCTGTCTTCAGCACTTTGGTGAATCGCGCGCTGAATCGCGAATTTCAATGAATTAGACCACGACACCAGGCCATTCCCGTTTTCATCGCAAGTGGAGTTTTTGCATCTCGACAGCTTCTTCATCGGATCGACTGAAATGTCCTCGTAATTACCTGACCACGGCTCACAGGAAGCCTCTGACTTAGCGAGATCTTTGGCCGTCAGGCCTTAGAAGCAGGAGCATATGTCCGAACGAAATATCTCGAATCGGCTTTTTCGAAGCCGAGGGATGTTGGAGGCGGTAGTGTAACCGGTCAGGGTTTTGGAAGGCTGCGGAACGCATGTTGTGCTTGGTCGTTTCGTTCCCAGGGGTGTTGTAAACTGGTCTGATAGGAGCACGGATTTGCTCGCGTTTATATATATTGGGGAAGTGCGCAAGTCTGATCAGGTTAAGACGACAACACTTGGGACAAGCAGATGAGCTGGTATGAACTGACGTATCGAATTGGAATATGTGGACATCCCTTGAAATGAACCGCATATTTGTGTGTCTGCAGGGCAAGGTAGTATTACGGGATCTTCCTACAAAGCGTAATACATCGGTGCACCATCAGAATGATACAATTTGATAGAGGACTGAAATTTGAATCACGTAATCGCCGCGAGAACGAATTGCAGAGCATGTAAGGATAGACTGTGAGCAGGATCAGGATGAGCTGCATAGTGTTGAAATAGTGATGAAGCGAAAGGTAAAAACCTCTAGACTTCGATTAGAGGCTGTTTATCGCAACGATTAGTCATACCATATAAGATTTCGCAGCACAGTCGCCTGTTCGAGACAGAGCACGTTCTTAGTCCTACTCGTATCACTTCCACCAAGCCAACATGCTATCACCTTTGAGGAGAAGGCTGATTGTTGATGATGCTCTCCACCTGCAATGTATTGATGCCCCAACTAGCAGATTCTGACATAGCTTTCACTGTCAGTCTGTATCCCAATGGACAGTGCTGAAGCGAAGATTCACCTGGCAGAGCAGTGGATACATCCGGGTGGTCAAAAAACTCTTCAGCAGCAGTCGGTTTTCCAGATCGTCTTGGATTCTTGTCATCGCACGCCTTTCGATTTTTTCGTCTGCTATTTGTCGTTGTAGCTCGGCATGACCATCACTCAGCAGCCCAGTAAATTGTTCGTACTACGGGACATCCGATGCTGAAGCTTCGAAAACAGTTCCAGGTGATGCTCAGACATTGGTCCTGAGTGCACGTCGAATCCTATTGAACGTCAGCGTTGAGCCTGTGCGAGATGCTCAATGCTTGCCATCGAAGTCCTTGCACGTCGCCAGCATTTTTGGCTCAAAGCGACAGCGTTACTTCAGAGACAACAGCATGGACATGGCTATTTGCTGGAAATGCGTGTCAAACAAGCTCCAGAAAACCTCGCAGCTGCTCCCAACTTCTCTATACTGGGTATCCCGGGTGTTTGGGAGAATTTCCGGCGGAGCTCATGAACCATGAACACAATGGCAGAGATAGTCCCGTTACACGTTATCGGCAAGTTCGGGATATAGCGTGTACAAACTAGACCGGACTAGTTCCCCAACAGAAGTGATAGAAGCAGCATTGGTCGGAATCTTCACGCTGACCGAGAAAGCTAGTCGCCGTGATAACGATCGTATCTAGACCGCCTGCACTCTCGAAGCCTTGAAATCCGATAAGAGCAACAGCTGGAAGAAAGTTCCCATCACACAATCTTCGCGTGTCTATGAAGACAAGTCTTATTGAATCCATCAAGGGCGAGCCGTAATCGGTAGCATACCGACGTATCGCATGTTGTATCGCAGATATCAAGGAGCTCGTCCAAGATACTAGGTTTGTAGGGGTGTTTCTCCAGAGCAACTGATCTTTCAGCTTGTTTGTCGCATAGGAGCATCCCGGCTGAGGAGGTCTTATTGACTTCTGCCGCAAGAAGCTGCAGCGGAACCAAGCCCCATGTCGTTCGTGATACCACCAGATATTCATGATGCCGTGCGAATCAGGTAGTTTGGGATGCGGTTGAATTCTTCCTAAAGACGTCGAAACCGTCCCCAAGAGCTGAGGACAACTGGATGCCCTCGATCGCTCGGTCGCCCGCCATCTTCGCTTCGTGCGATATCAGGAAGTTACGAAACGATGGACACCACTAGGGGTGAGAGCCTGGTCATATATATCTCGACTCATCTGAGCCACGATCGCAGTAGCGCACAACAGGTCGTTTGTGATCAAGGTTGTTATGGGCTGGCATGTATAGGCATAGAAAAATCACTAAAAAGGCTCCAAGGATACAAATGGAGAACATCAGAGCATTAACATAAACCCCACATGCAGGTATGTCAGTTCTAGCGCGATTCGTTCTCCATCAGATCGTGTCGAGAAGATGTTGTGTTGATAGTTCATGCGGGTGAGACGCTAACCCAACCGAAAAACCAGGGTCCAACAACGTCATCTGTCCCCGTGCGATAACTTTCATGCACGGTTGTCTATACGTCGCCAGAAAGTCGCGGGTTACAAGGCATTCCTTATTCGTGCAAGGCCACCACTACACACCAGGACACTCACTCAACGCGTATCATGTCTGCACAAGCAGCAGCAACCCGCCTCCGCCGCACCTTCCAATACCCCTCCGAATCCGACGATGAAGACGCCGTAGAAGCGGGCATGGATGAGCAAGGTACCTGGCTCTTTCCCATCACTCTCTCTAATATTAACACCTATACAGACCAAGCCGACCTCCTCACCAATCTTACAACCCACGACACGCGCACAACCTCTACCTACACACATCTTTTGCTCGTTCTCCCATTTCTTCCAATCGCGCTGTACATACCACTGCTATTTCGGTTCTCCACCCTTCCCGCCACCGCCCTCGCAATACTCTCCTTCCTCGCATCCGCATACATCCTCTACTTCCTCCCACTCCCACCCCTCCGCATCTCCGTTTCGCATGTGCTCGACCTCCAGTCATCCAAGCCACAGTCCCGATCAAACCCAACCGAGACGAAAGCACAGACACGGTCTATGCCATATATCTCTGACTCGACGGCGGAGTTGGTAGCACAGTGGATTGTTGTAGCAAATGGGAGTTTGTGCGCGGTACTGGCAATCGCAGAAGTACTACAGGACCGGCCGTGGGGCGAGGGAATGACGGTGGGGGGTGGGTATCTGCCCGGATTGGTATTGGCGGTGGTGCTGTTTGCACGGAGGGAGTTGAGGGCTGTGGATATGACTGAGTTGGAGAGGTTAATGTATTCGAGCAAGAACACGTGATATGAGCTGAAATAAAGAACGGCCGGCAATGATGAGGCGATTTGCTTTAGGCAGCAACAATACCCAGATATGAATTGCAGAAACGATTTAGAGGATGGGGAGTGGAGGCATTGATGCCGTGAAGGTATAATGCATCCAACGCCACCGCTATGGTAAACGCAACAAACAACATCCACAAGATCAAGCAGAGCGACAGGTATGCAAAAGCAGCTTTGTATTCAAAACCTTCAGACCATCATGCTCGCCCTCCTGCTAGTCGCCCGCTCCGACCGGCCTTCCCTTACGCCGTCCTCTCTGCTCCCCAGTCGTGAATTACTCCTACTCGACGGTAAAGTACCGGCCTTCCTCTCCTTTTCTTTTTGTGACGACCGCGCAGCCGCCGTGCTTCTAGCTAAACCCGCCGCAGGCGCGCCCGTCTTCGTTGCCCCGCTACCGGCCCGCTTGTGTACCGCCGGCAGCCCACCGTTAAACCTTGCACTGGGCTCCGTGCGGTCTTCGGATTCTGGCGCAGAGACCAGAACTGAGGAATGTCTGCGACGTTCACGAGCTGCGCTTGCAAGACTGACATTGGGGCGTAAATCCGTTCTTGTGAGAGCACCGGCAGCCGGAGACGACTCGTTGAAATCGAAGATGGCCATGTCGCTTTCCGGTCCTACCGTCATCTCTGATAGCTTACTTTCCTTCTTTTCCTGTGATGTCTGCTCTGCTGCCTCCTTCACTGATAGCATGCCTGATGAGGTGAGCGACTTCCGCTTTGCTGTACTCGTCTCCTCGATCATCTTCTCAATCGCCCGCTCAACGGCTACGGAATTCAACTTCGGTCGTTCGGGTTTCGCGTCCTGAGACCCCTCTTTGCGATCGAGTTTTTGACGAAGTGGACTCCCCATCTCTGCACCGTCACCGCCTCTCGTCTCAACTACGGCGCCGTGGGGCTTCCATGGAGAACCTTCAGGCTCTTCCTTGATAATGACGTGTGCTGAGCTCGGTGCAGACTTTGGTGGCTCCACACTCGTTCGGCGGTCCACTACAGCATCCACCAACTCTTTACTCGGACGGCGCATCTTGGTGGCTAGGCTGGGCTCTTTGTAGCTTACTTGCGGTCGTGCGCGGCGGGACGGGCGACTGACAATTCCTAACTCACTCATCGAAGAAAGATCACCTGGCGGCGGCGTGTCTTTGGATTCTGTCTGCGACGTAGAAGGTTCCACGGATGGCGGAAAGTAGACAGATTCGGCGGCAGGGGTCTTAGGTAGCAAAGATTCGAGGTGAACTTCAGCAGTAGCGATGGGGTCGGGCGCCTCTTGCGGGATCATGTCGGGGAGGGTATTCCGACTAATTGTCACCCGAGGACGAGCTGATTTTTTCTTTTCGGGCTTCTCGGGGGCTGAAGAGCGTTTTTTCTTTGGAGAGACCATGGGATCGGTGTTGACAGGTTCTGGAAAGAGTCAGTCTTACTATTCTATGCTTCATCACATTGTACTTACTACTCGAAAGGATTGGCCTTGTGAGAGCTAGAGGTCGCTCCCCGTCCGTGTTGTCCTCATCAGTAGAAGCTGGCGTGCCGCGTCGGCTGAACTGGAAGGGTTCCGCTTGAGGCTGGCTTTTGTCATCATCTTCTTGCACGCTAAATTTGCGTTTCGCTCCGGTTCTGACTGGCTTCTCTGGCACTTCTTCAGACTTCTCCTTGGGCTTCTCTTCAGGCTCCTCTCTAGGTGACTCAAATAGAGACATTCGTCGAATCCTTGGCCCACTCTCTCGTCGTTTCCGTCGCGGTTCGATGTTCATCGGCAGTACCACCTCTTCGCCATCGCAAGCAATATCAGATTGTACATCATCAGATGGACTATGCTTGAACGCGATGGGCTCCTCGATGTCGAAGTGCGAAACTGGTGGGGGTCCTATGTCTGGTGACTGGCTGTCCGGAGCATCGAGGATGTCTTGGAGTTCTTCCGCGCTGTTCATGGTTAGCTTCTTTTTATCGACCAGCGTCGTGACCTGTCGGACGGTGCCATGGTTGATCAAGTGTAAACGTACTTCATAGTCACCCGCGGATACGCCTTGTACTCCGTGATTGTCGGCAGCATGGCATTCTCAACTTCCTGCAGCCCCAGGGCGCTTCGCCACTGCCTCTCTTCCGGATTCTTTTTCGTCGCAGTTTTGACGTTGCATGGCGCACTGCTTCCTCTTTGTTTCAATTGTCCCAGCCCCGCTACCAACCCTCCGAGCTCTTGTATCTTTGTCTCTAGCTGGTTCTTTAGAGCATCGATGGTAGAGAATGAGGGTGAACGGGGTCGTGCCTCGAGTGTGTTCTGAAGATGTAGCACTTGCTGTGCGAGCGAGCAGTTCTCTGCGACAAGGCGCGAGCGATCGTTTTCGAGTTGGCGAATATGGACTTGTTGTTGCGAATTAATCCTGTTACCTATTAGTATTTTTCCATTTTCGCCTGCTATGCGTGTAGACGTACTTCGCCAACTCGCGGTTTGTTCTTAGAAACTTGCGCTTTATCGCATCGAGGTCCCCGTTCGACAGCGCAGGCGCAGGCGCAACAGGTGGCTCATTTAAGCGCGCCATACGCTAATGTCTAATGTAAGGTTATTTTGCGAAAGTAATGCGTGTTAGGCATTGATGTTGCGCGTGGTGATTTTTGGATGTACTGCGTCGTTCGTTGTTGCCGCAGCGTCATGCGAGGCGAGTGTTTGTTTACCGTAGCAACAAAGCGCTAGCCCGGAGTGATATCCCTGCAACTGTCCCCACGCACTGCGGGACGCGTGCGACCGTTGAATACACCGAAGACAGATATCGACTGCACGAATATATCTCATACTTGGACGGATGTTTTGGAAGTGATAATACAATGGCATACCCTACGCGCACACTCCCCTCGCACATTCGCAGCCAGTCCAGCTCCCTCGGCGGATCACAGCCCCCCGGTCAATCGCCCGTTCTTCTCGCCCGCATCGCAGAGAAGAAAGCCGAGCTTGCCTCTCTCAAAGACCTGCAAGCTCTCAGCGCAGGCCTCGCCGACCAGATGCAGACGCTGGCCGAGAAATTGTCGACGCTGTCCGACGGCACAGAAGGTTCGTCTTGTCGCATCCCACCCTCACCCTGCCGCGGGGCAGGCCGTTACAGGAACCGCGTGTTCTGGCTTGGCTGTAGTACAGTACAGTACTGACGTGTTGGCCCTTTAGCCGTCGCAGCGGTGTTATCGAACTGGCATAATGTGCTTAGAGCGATAAATATGGCGTCCAGTAAGTTCCCCTACTCGAAAGATGCTATGCGCGCAGAGAGCTGATTTGAGCAGCCAAACTCCCCAAGCCGAAAGAGGAAGACGATGCAGAGAAGAAGACCGAAACGGAGCTGCCGCTTCCCCAGACGCTCGTCAGAATTCCCACGCAGCATGCGCCCGCAGTGTTGCCCCACCCGACTCCAGAAGATTGAGAATCGGATCAAAGGGATACTCGACGCCGACGTGTCGTCTGCATTACAAACCCGAGGTGGACGAAGTGGACGATGAGTGGACTTGGAATGCTTGTACACATTTCTCGGACCGACGACGCATTTTGCAACGCTGAGGCGGCTAGTACCTATTGAAGTCAGGCCGCGATGCAGCGGGATTATGCACATCAGCCACATAGCATATGCTTATTGGCTATGGTCAAGTAGGCTTTTGTTACAGGCGAAGAGGACCATCCAGCCCGGAACGGAAGAGGAAAATGTGTCGAAGAGTAGAGAGAGTAGCAGGCTTAGTGCTTCACGACCTCGGCGAGCTCGCAACCCTTGAGCTATTGGTCACCGATGCGGCTTTGCTGTACTATATCACATTCTCAGACGAAGTTCTTCAGGCTATGTATAAGCTGCTTCCATGCTCTGCTGAGAATAGGTGCTCAATAACAAAGTGTTATTCATACTTCTGATGTCGTCTATTGTGGAATTTCGCTCTCATTATGCAAGCAGTGTTTCTCCGCTCACACGTCCCTCCGCTTATGCAGTCGTGAATCGTTACGAAAACGCCAGACGCCACGCTAAATTTCGTAAAACATCATCGTAGCCTTCTGTGCGTGCTTCAAACCCACGCGCTCCCTGGTTTCAGCAGACAATTGCCTCATCCAACGTGTTCAAGACTATCATGTCAACCTCCTAGGCTATTTGTTCTGCTTGGGCATCTTCTCATACGCATTCGGACTTGGTCGCCTCCTTGCTACCTTCCGGGGCTGTCCTGATGAGCCTCCATTTGGCTTATCATGATCATGTTCGCCATGGTCATGGTCATGACTATGCTGTCTCCGTGCCCTCCTACCATTCCCACCTTTCCTCCCACCAGCAGGCCTCGCCTCCCCATTATCCGGCCCGCTACTCGAATCCGAATCGCTGCTTGAATCGCTCGACGACTCATCCGAGGACTCGCCTACCTCGCGTTGCGGGTGGTAAATGCAACAGACTAGAGCCCACAAGTAAGTACGTGTGTAGCGAATATGCGATGACGCGCGAACCTTTCGATGACTTCTTCCCCATCCCCTCATTGTCTACAACGTCCTCTGCCCATTGAATGTGCCTTTGCTCAGCTGGCTCTGCGCGCAAACGTAGGGTGCCTGAGGGTGTGTTCAGGCGGAGAACGGGTTGCGTGATGATTACGCTGCCGTTGGTCCGATTGGGTTGTGCGGGTTGTACGCCCATGTTGTTTGTGTTTGACAAGTTGTTTGACATGTCGGAGGTGAATGCCTCGAGGCCGTGGGGAAGTGGAGATTTATGTGTTAAGGGCCGCGTGGGTGGCGTTGGTGAGATCTTTGGTAGTCGAATCGCAGATTGGCTCGCGTGCTCGGCTGTAGGCGACGGTGGGCGGTTTCAGGGAGTATCCAGGCGCACCGCGATCTAGTGGATGTGGCAAGGGCCGAAGAGGAGAGAACCGGGGCTGGGTTTAGGGTATGGGAGGGTGAATGGGTGTCTGTGTTGGAGGGTTGTGATTGAGCGATTGCTTTACTGGTCTGTGCGTCATCGCTCGGCACCGCTTGCCTCGCTGCAACCGCTATTTAGATCGATCAAACACAATGGCATCATTAGCATTCAAGTGCAACATATTGCTAGCTCTGCTTAGTTATCCTATTATATGACCCCTTTCGTTAGCCCCATAGTAGTGCGCACACTAAGTAGACAAAAACTTAGCTACACGCACCTTAGTAAATCAATTGATTTGAATATTCTCTGATCCTTGCCTCTAGCCATTACATATTGTGGTGATCACTTCGCCTGCATGGCGCTGAAAGATGTCGTCCCGCTCTCTCTTCGACGCAAAGCATCGCACCGGGACCTGCTTTGCACCATGTCAATGCTATAATCAAGTACCTGAGGTATACTCACTGTGGAAAGCTCATGAGACTCCAACGCTATCGCTGCGACATGAACCGCCGAGAGCTCACACATTGTCCGCCTTCGTCGGCATTCCCTTGCCCGTCTGTGTTGGTACCACAATGGAAGCGTGACAGCGATGCCACTCTCTCCGTCTTCTTTGGGCGTCCAAAACCGTTGTTTCCACAAGCAACGCAGCAAGCCTATGGAATGAAAACATTCATGGATCGTCCCTCCGCACACTTCTTGTTGTTGGCTTCTGCGCTTTCCATCAGCCAACAGTGAGCAGTGGCATCTCAACCTATCATAACCGCAGGCTTTGTTGCCGACGTAGTCAACTTTTATGCCAGCAAGACCACGGCCACGTTTCCAGGCAACGGGGAGAAGTGCAGAGCGCTGAACCCGTGCGACTATCACGATCACAATAGTGGGCAGCAGCGAGAAAGCTGCTTCAAAAGGGTGCGTTTTGACAAAGGCGACGAGTTGTGGAACTCTCAGCCTCAGCGAAGTGGGATGACAAGAAGTTTTTTTAAGACTCACGATCCCTTCACGTTTGTGAACAGACCAGGCGCAAAAATAATCTCCTTGGGAAGTATCACTGGCAAGACGAACAAAGAATCAAGTTTCACTCTTCAACAAAAGTATTCAAGACATTATCCCTGGTAAAGTATAGCACGGCAGTAATGGTGGTACCTCTTTCCTTCGGGTAAAGTGTTCTGTACGAATAAGGAGTAGCGATCGATCAACGAAATACTCAAGTTCTACCTTACTTTCTTGCACTTGCTCCATACGTTACTCCTAAAAGCAATTCCCTTCCCAAGCTCGCGATCGCCTGGCCTGCTGTCTTCACCGCCAACTCGTCAAAGCTAACGCCAGATCCCACTGCGTTCACTATCACTATTAGTGCAAGATTAATCTGCGAACGAAGCGTCCTACGGCCGCAACAACAGCACCGGGATGACGATGAACAATGAGGCCGCAATGAGTGCCCGTGAGTCGCTTAGAAGGTAAGCATCCGCAAGAATTACGCGCCAGCACACGCTCGAGGAGTTGTCGGTCACCGCACTATCAAAAGATACGTGCATATACTCACACCACTTTCCAGATATTTTAGACATGAACTGTCGACGTCGTCGTGTTGACTGTTGACCAAGCTCCTGTTCGAGTAAACCTGTCTCGAATTCTTTGGGGCCCTTGCGAGGTAATATGCGCCCACGCTGCCCGCTGCTGACGCCAGCACGACAGGCTATCTCAAAAGCGAAGACCTCAGTGTGGCTCTTTGGTTCAGAGATTGGCTGGCGAGCTGCTGGAAATAAGATGAAAGGACGAGGGAGGACCTCTGGCTGGGGTATACTCACCGGGACCCAGAGAACGGTGGACTGCAATGGATATACTTGAACAAAACCGCATGCCGATCTGCTCTCGAGCCCTTGTTCTGGGATACGCACGTCCATCGTGGGTTGTACTTACAAGTCAAAGACCAACTGGAACGGTTGATTTGCCTGTACTCATTCGCCAATAAACATGATATTCCTCTTCTACGGAAGAATGCTCTGGACCGTATCAGTTGGTCCTTTCATCACGAACGAATCGATCCGCTGATGGCAACTATGGACGGCGCCAAGAGCTCTCCCTACCTCCACTTGTAGAGTACGCTTACAATTGCATTCGCACTGACTCTCCTCTCCGCAGTATCCTAGTCCGTGAATTCTTGTCAAGACCCAGTACGCCACAGTCCCTCTACGCTGTCCGACGTGTCCCAGGCCTTCATCATTGATGTAGCGACCTTCTACTCCGACTGCTTCGGCAAGGGCGTGCACATCAAAGATTGTTCGCCATGCGACTTCATGGCTACACGACTAAGAAGGAAAGGGACTGTTGTAGATCATGTGTCACGTTCTCATCGTGCTGTTGGGCATTCTTCATCTCAAGCGATTGGGCACTGTTAAGATCTGCTCATTGAGGCGAACGAAAGTGGAGTACAGTGCTAGGTCATAGACATTGAACGAGCTTGATTTGATCAGCGTGCACTGGGCAACAGCTAGAGGACATTGTATCCTGTATCGTGAGTAAGATTAGAGTTTATCCACGCCCCTTAAGGGTATGTTTACACGATCCTGGATCTCCCCGTGTTTTTTAATGACTCTCTAATCAGGTCTCAGCACAGCATCCCCAACGCACCTCACCACGTTCTTAAAGAACCTCCTCCACTCCAATGGATCCCCACTGGCTTTCACAAACCTCACCTCACTTACCTTTTCCCCCATTATGGTCACCCTTTCCACAACAATATGCCCATTAAGGCCCTGCCGTCGACCATCCGCCATTTTCACGCGCACACTCGCCTTCCCTGCGCGGTTTATCTCTACTAGGTGTTCATCGGAGATAGGGGCAGCGGGAACGCCGAGGCGGTGCAGCGCTTCGATGAGGAGAGGAACGAGTAGGGATACAGCGAGCGGAGAGAGGAAGCGCGAAAGCGAGTACGAGGGCATGATGTCGCCGAATTTGCGCGCCATTTGGGTGAGCGTCATAGGTATGGATGGTGTGGGGTGGAATTGCGACATTGAGGGGTCCTGCGAGAGGATGTCTTGGGTTGAAGGCGAGAGCTGGGAGAGATATGATGGGCCGCCAATCATGCTTGAAGCAGGTGCTTGATTGCACATATTGGGTTGTGATGCTGGTACGCCGTCCTGAGAATATGTGCGCGCTGGACGCTCCCAGTCGAATGGCGTATCTGCTAATGGGGTCTCTGGCTGTGTGGACGAGAGACCGTTGATATTCGCTGGGTTGGCACGTGAGCGATGCGGGTCTGAGTCGATGTCCATGGCGTCTGGATCTTGTGAGAAGCCGCGCTGAGACCGCACTGGCGGGCGGTCGACGCCGATGTGTAGTTGGGAGAGCATCTGCGAAGCCAAGCCGATCTGATTGGTGGTCCTCCCGTTTGATGCAAGGAATGGGTTCTTCCGCGTGTACCAGGGGTGTGTGCGTATCTCGTCGAGCTTCATCCTCTCATCAGGATTCAGCTTGAGCATACCCCTCAGCAGCGAGAGCAAATCTGATGGAATTTTGTCCCAGAGCTCGTCCTTTGTCCTCCCTTCCGTCTCCACATACTGTCTAAACTCATCGCTCCGCATCGTCGGCTCTTCCCACGGGGTGTTACCCACCAGCAGCACGAATAGTACGACGCCACAACTCCAGATATCGCAGATATTCGCCTGATAACCAACATCCAAAATATCCTTCCTCTTGCTCCGGCGTCCGCTGACGATCTCAGGCGCGATATACGGCGGACTCCCACAGACGGTATTACACAACCTCTTCACCCCATCCTTCTCGAAAAGTGCCGCCAGCCCAAAATCCGCGATCTTCAGATCTCCATCAGCGCTCAACAGCACGTTCTCTGGTTTGATGTCCCGGTGTGCAATACCTTTTGAATGCATATACCCCAATGCATCGATCAGTTGATGAAAATACACGTGAGCGACGTCCTCGCCCACACCCTCATCCGCCTCGATTTTGTCGAAAAGATCGCCGCCATCGGCGAGTTCCATGGCGATCCAATGCCAGTAGTGGTCTTCACCGTTGGCAAGACACTGGATGATGTGTGCGTGCTTGCCGAGGTGCTTGTGGATGGCGACCTCCATCTTGATGTGTTTTTCTGAGAGGCGGCCATGTTTTAGGGCGTGCTCTTTGTTGATGAATTTGACAGCTATGACGGGGTTGGGTGCGTCCATGGGGGTTGCCTTGCGGATGCTGTGTCGTCACTATGAGCATGACGCTTCAAGAGCGAGCGTGCGTACTTACGATGCATATGCGCCCATTCCTATCGTCTTGCTGACGATTCGAAACGGGAGGTTCCCTGGGAGCGGGGCAAGCTGGCTCTATCCTATGTTAGTTGGCTTTCCCCTCGAACGACGACAATGGTTCATGAGGGTGGATATCATCCGGAAGCATTGGTGCCCCACGTGGGGTCGAAACAGCCCTGGAGTGACCTGGAAGGGGAATATAGATACTTACGTTGGGCGGGGCCGGGGCCGCCATTGTGCACTTGTGGCGGGAGCTGAGCACTGAGGGGATTTCAGAGGTGTGTTGTATCAGATTGTCGATGCTGTCGTCCAACTGGACTGGGATGCGGAACTGCTGCCTGGTGCCTGGGTTGCTCATAAAGCCGTCGCGTCCGAAAACACGCGCCTCAGCAACTATCGATAAGACGCCTGGTCACATGACCGACTTTTCACCTGCACCGCTAATCTCGAATCTCAGATCTCACGATCTCATCGAAGATGCCACGTGTGCATCGATCCAGTTGTCCCCATGGTGGTCATATCCGACACGCAGCACAAAGTTCCATCTAAACTGCCTTTCCCCATCGGCTAGCAACGACCCAGTACTCCGGACCCGAGGCCAACTGGTCAAACGACGGCCGCGAAATGCAGCACCAGTCCAGCAGTGCGCCACAGGGGGGGATCTTTTCCTACACCGACACCATGACACGACCGACCCACCAACCCCGTTGGAACCTTCCAAATACTGCGTGTGAAAAAGTTTTCGCGCGATACCCGCCACCCGGGACGTGGAGAGCGCGCTCCTCCAACAAAAGCTTCGCAAATGTTGAAGCATGGCGAGAAACATGTAGAGTTGTTTTTGACGGGGCTTCCTCTCCCATCCTGTACCCTCGCGCAAAAATCCCATCTCAGCGACTTACTACACCGACCAAACGTGCCGTGTACAGTACCCGCTAAACACATTCCGCATCCGTGGTACAATCGGTCCATCTCGAACTCTGACTCCCACCAAAGCCTCGGCGCAAACATAGACGCTAATCGAATTCCATTGTCTTGTCCACGACTCAGTAGAACAGCCCATCGCTCCATGGACTCGTATGCTACGTAAGTTGGAATGAAAGAACAACGTGCGCCGCGCTTGTCGCGTCATGTCCCACGTGCGAACGAACGCGCTTGCAGGTGGCAGGGACGCAGTTCCGAGTCCACGGGCTAGAAGGCTCATCCGCATCATCCTTCTTACTCTGCTACTATGTACGCAAGCTACCTAGCTATACAGTCTGTACTTCCCCGCTGCTCCGTAGATCCAGCACGAAACCATCCTTTCCACTGGCGCGCAAATCCTACTCTACGGAGCCAACGCGTATCGGTGCTACTTCCCCTCCAATTCGCTCCTCATTGAACCGTCAGTCTAGTATCGTCAACTAAAGCAGAGCCATCTGCAAACTGTATTTGCACACGTGCGAACTCCGATCCATCTCCTAGAAGGGTACTAGATAAGCGCCAGCACGCAGTACCGCGCCCATTAGTACAGCGTGGCCCTCAAGACTACCGCACGAAGTAGCAGGCGGCATAGGCGTGCGGAAGCGCGCGCAGGGCACTGTCGCCATCTCAGATCTAGTCTAATCTCACCCGCGAATTCGAGTAAATCACCCAGACGGATACACGATGTGGCTAAAACGTAGGGCGTGCAATGCAACGCGCCCCGGGTCGGCCATCCGTGCAGGCCGCGAACGGAGAGTATGATAGCTGGTGCAGCAGAGTGGATTGGTACATGTTGGCTCAAGGCATGTGAATAGTGCATGTCGGAAGGGTACAGTGTATCGAAAGCGTAGTGGTGACGATGATGCTCGAGCCCGGACGTAACTCCCGTCGCACGCTGATAGGTAGCAGCTGGATCAAGTCGACGCATGTGAACATGGTTGATCGTTGACGTGCAAGAACGAACAAAGACAACACCACACCGTGTTACGCCAGTGAAGTAGAAGCTGTGGAAGCCATCTATTGCCCTAGTATTAAACTACACGCGTCAACGCTGTCCAACCCTTATCCATAGCCCCCTTTCTCAAGCCTACTCCATCCCGCTACTAATGCAGCAAATACAAAGTCAATGTGGGTCGAAGCCAAGAATGACTTTTCAAGAAAGATATATTCGATGAGCCGAAACCGAACGTCGAGATCGGGTATCCAATCCAATCACGCAACATCTTTTAGCCAACTTCAATTGGTGCCCATGTCGTATGCCCAAGCAAATGGAACTAGAAATCCCACAGAAACCTCAATGGACTCATAACGTAAGGCGGATTTCCGTACAACAGGACTTCGTCGACCGTATAAATGGTTGATCCGGGAGAAGTTTGGCCAAAAGGCGGCGAGCCGTGAATCGGGTGCATAATATGCTTCAAGGAAGGGAAGGAAAAGCAAGAATATCCGCCGCCGCCCAGATGCTGATGTTTTGACCTGTCCGCAACGCCAATGTCTAAATTCAAGAATTTCGAAGAAAACATAATATGCAATCGAAGAGCAGTGAGGGGGAATAATGCATCCGCTGCTAACACTTGCCGAAGATGATCATAGATGGCGGTCGTGAAACGGAAAATCGTAGTCCTGCATGTTTATGCTCGAGCGGATGTTCCTGATGTGGCTGCGTAGGCGGCAGCTGCGGCCGCATCGAGTCCACGCAATTGCGGGCCATACTTGGGGTGCTTGATGAATTTGGGAACAGAATCCTACAGACACGTTAGTAAGGTGTCCGATTTCTTTGGTGGCAAGATGCTTACGCTGGACATCAGCTTGAATATCGAGTTCTGCGCCTTTTCGAATAGCGACGCAACCTCTACCAAGCTTTGCATCATAGCGGTATCGTCGCCAACGGCGCGGGTCATGCGGGTGGCTAGTTGCGTGCGGAGGGCGTGGTCGATGTTGAGCTCGTTCGGTGAGCCTGGGGCAAGGAAAGCGTTGTATAGACCTATGAGGTTAGCATCTAGAAGAAGTTGTAGAGGTAGAGCAGCTTACCATATGCAGCAGCCAAAGTTTCGCGAATTGTCTCGATCTTGTTGTCACCCGTGGCATTCACGGCTGCTCGATACTGCGAGTTGAAGTCCTGTACCTCGATATAGAAAGACAGATTTTCTTCACACATAGTCTCCTTCAGAAACTCGCGGTACAACAGGCGCCAAGACGGGTTGCGGATGATGACGTTCGTCCGGTTGCTGTTGGAGTCACGAGCAGCGCCGTCTCGAGCTTTGGCAGCATTCAAATCTGCCGGCGCTGTCGTGTCTTCACTGAGGTTCCACCCAGCAATACGCTCGCCATGCTGTGTGATGTAATACTGCACTTGCTTCGCAGGCTGGAATTTCTCAGACGAGTTGCGTGCGTCGACCGGAGCGATCAGTCCTAATTGAAGAAACATGGAACAAATCTCAATAGCTTCGCGACGGTCGACCATGGTGGAACAGTCCATAAGCCACTCAGCTGCGCTCCTCCCGTTGAACGTGTGCTCATACGGCCGGCTTTGTGTCGGCTTGTGCTTGATAGTCCGTACGCCTACGTCGCACTTGCCAAACTCATGAATCGAATCGGAATCCGACGAGGTTTCGTTTGCGCTGTTTCCGACGAAGCGACGGAAGATGATCTCGACCGTCTGCTCATCGTGGTGCAACTTGTCGGTGTCCGTGCTGCGCTCGAGAATGACAAGCTGGTGCGGATTGCGATTGGATTCAATGACAGACTTCACATGAGTGGACTGGATGCCGTTGCGTGCACAGAAGCGTTCTAGGATGTGGATGCCTTTCGGTGTAAGTTGCCACACTGAGCTCTTGTTGTTGAAGTCAAATTTGCCCTCAACCGACTCGATGAATTTCGCCTCATAGAATCTCGTGCAAACTGAGCGGGCCATCTCTTTAGCCATGGAGAACGTGGTAGTTGTAGTCGTAGTAACAACACGAGAAGCATCTTTGGGATCCGGCATGCGGTTGGACTGCGAGAACTTCAGGGAGCCCAGGTTCGTTATAGCCTCGTCAGAAGTGAAGGTGAAGTCGATCATCCTGAATCGCACGCGATGCGGGGTGAGCGGCAATGACACCATCAGCGTGGAGAAGAGATCCTTGAAATCCTACATGAAGGTCAGTAATTTCCGATACGCTCGGTGCTTGAGTTGTATGTCGAAATTTCCCACAACCCCAATGGTGCTCTCTTCGACATGAGCTTGCTGTGTCACCTTGCACATCGCACGTGACGAGATTGAACCTCCGCTTGGGAGACATGCCATTCCGATTGGCGTCGTTAAACAAGAGAGTCACTCTTGCTGCCAGTCGGCCCTTTTGGCTCCGCTGCTGGGGCCCGGACTGGAAATCGGTTGCAGGGGTCATTTGGGAGATGCCAATGAGGCCGGAATGGGCCAAATTCCAGAACAATGACAGAATTGACCGTGTCCATTGTCTGTGCTCGAAGTTGGAAGGAAATATTGTTCACTTACCCTGGTGTATGGGCGCTCATCGTCCGTCATGCGGAGGAGCCGTGAGGAGGTTTGATGCATCTTCTTGTCGCCTGCTTTGGCTGCCTTTGTGGGCTGTGGGAGCTTGTCCAGCTTGCCGGTGGGCTCGCTGTCGAGAGACGTGTTCGGGATCGAGGCTGCGGAGAGGGCAGACCTAGAGCGATCGCTGGCAGTGCTGTCGGGCTCGCGGCTAGACCTGATGCTGGCGCTGGTAGAAGACTCGCGGGAACGGAGGTCTGGTGTGGGCGTGTCGATGCGGCCACGAGAAGAGGACGTCGAGGCACGCGGGGCAGCCGGGGCGAGGAAAGAGGTTGGAAGGGCGTGCGAGCTGCTGGTGGTGCGGACGTGGGAGCCGCTCGACTTGCGTAGGAGCGGAAAGCGCGAGGCGAGAGTCGACCGGCGAGTGACGGGCTGTTTTTGAGCAGTGGCAGGCGCTGTGGACGAGCTGGCTTGGGCAGCAGCGGCTCTGTCAGACGAGGCGGGCGTCGTGGGGTGCGGGACGGCGGCCTGGGGTTCAGGGCGGGCGTTGGCGTTTGGGGGTAGGGTGGCGGCGGCGGAGGAGCGTGTGTGAGGAAGCAGAGCTGTGTTCGTAGACATCTAGCAACCGGGGCAGAGGCATAGAAGTCGCAGACTGGAAGGGAGTGGGACTAGCCAGGGTAGCCCGTCAAGCTCGAGGTGTGCGTGCGCTGGGCCAGCAGAAGAGCGCGGGCCAGCGACGAATTCGACGGCGCGGGGCTAGGCCCAAAACGATTAGGGAGCACGACGGCATTCCACGAGGACAATCCCTGCCAACACGCGCGTGAGCCTGAGCCTGAGCGGCCAAGACGTTTCACGCCACGGAGCGCCGCCGCGCAACAACGAGCAGCACAGCACGGCGCGGCACAGCGCACAAAGCAGCCGTCGACGAGGCGGGCGCGTGTGTTGTTGCCGTGCGGTGCGCGTCCAAGGTCGACGGGCAGCGCCCATGGCCGTCACCACCCACCGCGCTGTATCACTCTTACTCAGACACCAGCGCCTCCGATGGCGCCGGGCCCAACGCAGCCTGTCTTGCTCCGTGGCTCGCATGCAGGCGCGTCCGCGAGCAGCGCGGCCGTCGCTGCGACGAGCAAGGTGTGGTTACGCCGCCTTTGGCCTCCGACGTCGCCTCCAGACGGCCCCGTTGCCGTGTAACTGTTTGCTGCTTGCGGAGTCGGACAGGGTGACGTCCAACCACCTCAACCATCCGCCGTGGAACAACAAGCCCTGTTCCGAGAGGTGCGGAGGATTGCTGATGTCCTGCCAAAACGTGGCAACCCACGTTTTCCTCTCCCCGGCCCGGCTAGCTGCGCACGCAGCGACCCCCATTCTGACGGCGGCCATGCGCAGAGCGTCCTTGTCCTGTGGTAAGCAATCCCCTCGGGTGGCCCCAGCCAGCCCCCGACCAGCCCACCAGCGTCGGTGACAAGTGATGCATCTGCTGGATGGCAAAGCGCTTCGGGGCTCACCAGGTGCTGATCGCTGACCACGTGTACGACCCACGGCCTGGATGCGAGACATGTTCAGGCTTGCCGGGGCCCGCCGCACCCGATCTGCTGGAGACCCTTTCGCACGCCGCCCTCGCGCCTGGCCCGTTGCAGCATGGCGCCAATCTTCTCTTCTTCACCTGGCCGCTCTGCAGGGGCTCTGCGCGAATGGGCGTCGACGGAGCGTTTCACGGGAGCGCAGATCGCCTCTAAATCCCTTGAGCTCTTGCCGTCTGCAAAAATAGCCAATCCTCCTCTCCCAGAGACGTCGCCAGCATCGCTGGACTCTCCGAACAGAAGACGCGAAAAAGGCTGTGGAAAAGCAAGCACCCCCACGTTTCAGATCCGGGGCACACGGCCAAGGGGCTCCCCGCATGCTATTCCCGGGCGTCGCCATGCCGTCTCCTGCCGTGGCGAATGCTGCATGTTTTCCGTCGCGTGCATTGCGCAATATGGCCGCTCCACGTTCACATTCGACTTGCCCCTTGTGCATCGGTGCTATTCCCGCGAGTAGCCCTACCGCCCGCCAAGCAAAGACCGTGACACTCGCATGTAGAAGAGTGTACTTTGCTCCCTTCATGGAACATTCTGCGGGTGCGTGCTCCAAGAACACAAACAACAGTCCAGACTCGTCCGAGGCTGGGAACGGCCACGGAGCGACCTCTGGTCGTTGATGAACATTCCTCACGTGCAGCAAGCAAGGCGTCTGCTGCCGCATTGCCGCTACCACCACAGCAAGAGTTGCCGCTGTGCATTGCCGTTGCTGCAAAATCAGCTGTTGTCAATCCCTTTCATGGACCGACTTTGTTGAGGGGACCTTCCAGGATGGCTTCTCGTGTGGCCTATCGCACCCCGCCCACCGGACCCTGCGCCCAGGCGGCAAAAACTAGCAGCCCGCTTATTGAGTCATGGGCTGCTCTCGTGGCGCCAGGATCCGACACGTGGAAGCCCTCCTTTACGGGCCGCTGGCGTGAACGCTCAATCGCCGTGCGACGTCGTCCTGCAGTTTCTGAATCGTTCCTACCATCATGTGTCACTCCCAAAAAACCCAGCGTAGCGCCTCTACGAGCATACCATAGTAGCATCGTGGGTCGCTTGGCCGAAGAGGCGGGCCAGACGTGCGACGCTTTAGCCGAGGAAGAAGCCAGCGACCTCATCTGCAAGGGACACATGGTGCTGTGTACCTGTCATCGGTGTAATCTATACTGTTTATCGATGCTCGTAAGGGCTTCTGCATGATTCACTCGCTGTAGTCTTCCATTCTGCGTTTGGGAGCGGGGCACATGTTAGCGTACATGTACACGCTGCTCGAGTCAGAAATGTCGGTGAGCACTCGACGAACATGGAGGGGGCGGTGGATTGGCGGAATCGTGGTGAGGGCAAGGTCTTACTCGCAAAGCCGACTTGTTTTCCGTGTCCTGGCCTGAGCCTTGATGCCTCAGGCAGCCCCGCCTGTCGAACAGGCATCGGGTGTGGGGCGGGCATCAACATGTGTGTCATGGTGAACGGAGTCCTGCGACAGAGCCTGGGCGGCAGTGGAAGAAAAAAAAAAGACATTGAAAATCTAAAGGCCTTCCAGAAGAGCACCTTGCGGTGAACATGAGCCTGCCAATGCTCGGTCGGACTACTCGGAGGGGGCTTTCCCAAGTGCAATCAGCCCTGCTTTACGCGTCAGATACAGTGCAGATCTTCCGCGTTTCTACATGCGCGCTGGTGACCCCGCCAAAGTGAAGCGGCATCCGTTTGTTGTAAAGCTGGGCCGAAGGTAGGAGCGGCAGGCGATCCTTGTGCCGCCACCTACGGCTGCCTCTTGCTGAGAGCGAGGGACCAGGCCGAAGTTCGCCGAAATTGCTGCACACCGCGCTAGCGGATTGTGACATGTTGCAGGCTGCGCCTGGAGATCTTCGGAACGGGGTTTGATGCAGGACAAGGTGTGAAATTATTGATGCTTCAGGGTTGGTTGGTGCATCTGTCGGCGGCAAAAAATGCCTCCGAAGGGGCCCTTGAGCGAAAGAAGGCACGCTACGCAAGCGTCGTGTCTGTCTCTAGAGTACTTTTAGCTTTGTGTGCTTGTCTCTATAGTCGGTTCTATCTCCACTGCATCGCTAACAACCTATACATAAATCGTACGTCCTGTTGACTAACGATACCCACTTGAACCAAGCGACATGCGACATCGCCTACAACCCGCGGGAGATCAGCGTGCTCCTCAACCCAACGCCCAGACTTGCCAATGTACGAGAAAACGCGCAGGCCTGTTCCGCGGACGCTCCCAGCTATCTGACTGCTGGCAAGGCTTTGGAGACACTTCGCAGACGCATGCCCGAAACCGACCGTTGGTGCCTCTGGACGACACCAAATTACCGCCCTCTACATGCAGTAGTACGTTGCAGCCATCTACGGAGATTGAACCCCATTTCGCGAAGAAGCTCGCTCTCGCGTCCCTCTTTGGGTCTATGTCATCGTGCTCCAAATGGCACATAATGACTTTGAACCCCATCGCAACTTTACCTGTCATCACTCATACATGTCCAACACAATCCCACGTGGCAGATGCTTCCCTTTGTCACGGAGTGACCGACCGAAACTTGAGGTAGCTGATCCAGCCCAGAGGTAAAGCCTGTGCACCACGCAATCCCTTGAATCCTACAGATCCTGCCAACGTGCCACTGACGCAGGGGCACACGACATTGCATTCTCGATCAAGGCTCCGAATTCCCGGTCGCAATTCCCCGTGGCTCGCTCGGGACATTCGCTGGGATACGAAAGTCTTCCACCGTTTGGTCGCCAGTTATAGAAGGTGTTCTGGAGAGTCGGATGCGGAGATGCTAAGCGAAATGAGGGAATGGACGTCCGGGTTGGTAAAGGGGCGTTTATGTCAGCGCAAGGGTATTACACAGTGTGGTAGAGTCTGGAGCGTGCCCAGACGTTGATGTCAATATGCGAATCTTGCATGGTGTAGATGGAACAAGCAGCGCGTTCACTTCGGTGGAAAAGCGGCTTTGCGATGATTCGAGTAGGTAGGAAACACAATGAACGGCATCACAGTGACAAATGGTTGTGTCCAAATTTCTATCCCAGTAGCAGGGTCATCCTCTCCCGTACAAGCTACCCCAGGAAGCGTCTAAACGCAACTGTGCAACGCACTCACATTATATGAATAAAGGCCCGAATATCCGAGAAACACCGCGACTTGCATGCCAAACCCAAAAATCGCGGAGGCATGTCCGCGATTTTCGCACCGAGATACCCCTTTGGAAAGCACATGTGTATCAACAGACGAGTCGATGCGAATTCTAGCCTTTACAATACCCCGGGTGTGGCCGTCGGCGTGGCCATCCTGACACAGATAGGCATAGTTTCATGACTCTGTCGCTCATTTACACAGTAGTAGCAATCGCAACCGTTTCCGCAACGATCCGTATGGTCCTCCGTACTTGCGGTGAAGAGCCGCAACCCAACGGTACATGTCAACTAGACACACGACTCAAAACTTGCAACAGGAACTAGCGCCAAGTATACCCAAGGCATTGGTCGTGTACGAACGGCAAATCGCGTAGTCTCGGTCACGGCCGTGCGTCCTGAGAGTGTGGATCATGTATCGTAGTATATCGAGCGCTGGTCCTGGAGAATTTGGCATCTAAACCTTGGAAACATCCAGGATGCAACTATGCCATCCGCCGCGACTATTGAGGCGTCAATACAAGACCACAGCCATACCCGTAGCTGTAGCTGCCGTGGGAACCGAGACGATGGGTTATACATAGGGTACGTAATCGTTGCAAGGGTCTAGGTAGTAGTGTGGCTTGAACGACGACCCATCATGAGGGAACTGGTGGGCGAGCGGACCCAGACTGGGTAGCTGCTGCGGAAGAATTAAGGATTATAGCAATAATCCTTCACGCCGTTGATCGAAACGTCGAGTGGATGCTGTCTGCGAAGACAATCTGTGTTGGTGAAAAAAGCGGGCGATCACGTCCACTTCTAGCATTTGACCTAAATTGAGCGCAGCAACTTTGCGCAATGAGACCTAGGGCACCTGCAGCACAGTACCCGCCTCCGGCTCATGATAGAGGCGTCGATCAGTCCCATGCTACTAGTATTGAGGATAGACCCCACCAATATTTTGACGCTCAGCAGGCAATCTGAAGGGCATTGGCTTGAAGTACTCTTGTGATTGCATGTTACCGCTATGCCGAGGCAGCCTCTCCATGTAGTTCCACAGCTTGATCAAGGATGCTGACTAGACCTTGATAGGCGGTACGCACCATGTCTTCAACAGATTGGCGGTATTGGTTTTCACCTACCTCGTGACCTCAACAAAAGATGCTTCGAGGTAGTCCGGCGATCCGTGCTTAGAAGGAGGGCAAGCCTGCCCTCGATGTCATCTTCGAAGTCTCACAAAAGCCTCAAAATACATTCATGACCAATCTGTCCTTCGGAACATTACCTAAGCAGAAACTAGTATTGTCCGCCTGAAGCTTGATTTGTAGCAAACGGATGTAGGGAAATGTCTTCGACCAAGAATGAGGATCGGGGCTGCCAGGCTATTCGAGTACGGAGGATTAGACCTAGATAAAACACCGTGTCAATCCAATATCTGGTCAGATGACGGGTGTCTTGGACATGTGGTGGCGAAGGATTATATATGGCAAGTGCATACGTGAGCCGAGGAGGTGCAGCTGATGTACGCTTACTTGCAGCATGTTATCGTTTCCAGAAAGAAGTGACCTACGCCCTAAGGTTTATTCAGTAGGAAAGTAGAGAGATTTTACTCTTCGTGTACGTGCAATTACTTACTTGTCTTTAACAGAGGTAGTTGTAGTAAGAGGAGCTGTCAACTAGCGTTGAAATGGCTAATGAGATATTCGAGTGACCAATAAGATCTTCCAGATAGGAAAGCCCTTCTACCTTTCCATTGAATGAACCTTGAGGCGCGCGCTACGTCTTTGTGGAGAGCACCGACAACAACGGTACCAGGAGACACATCGTGGAAGCCCGCTGTAAGCGGTGATTAGAGATCTAACACAGCGTAGGGTAATATTTGCCCTGAAGAAGTGAAGATGAGCAGCTTACAAGAGCGAGATGTCACGAGCGCTCTGAAAAGAGTTAACAAATCGAGCGGCAAAGCCTCCTGATTGGTTTCATTGCTGGATGGGTGCAATGCGCTCCGGCATTGTACCAAACTCGATTATCTTGAATTTACCCAGAGACGCAGACATTCGCCCACTTGGCTCTTACAAACGCTTTCGCGCAGCCGGCGCATGGCAATTCTGTTATGAGCGAATGCTCAATATCACTGCCTTATCCTTAATACATGCAATAGAACCGTATGAGATATGGAGAGCCAGAAGGATCTCAGCATATATGAGCCTCTTCAATGTTCCCGTTCATTCCCGCCACGGTTAGCCAACCATCCAGCCACGAGCCAGATGATACCTGGTCAGTCCGTACACAAGAACTGTATTCTGAGAGCTTTGGCGATTATACTAGCAACATGAAGGCCGTGTCTATCGCGCGAGAAATATGGGGCGGAGCCCAGGATACTCAGGGTCTACTTCGTTCCTCGACGCAAGCATACTCGCGGTTCTTCGATCATACACCCACAAAAGCGAGACGGTGGATTTCTTCAAAACCCTGCTCTCATCGTTGCGGGAGGTAACAAGAGGCGAACTGCGGACTCATGTACCATGGCTTCATATCCACCGAAGGCGATCGATGACCTGCAAATGCCTTTGCGCAGTGGGGACAAAACAACGGACGAGGGACCAGATGCACTCAAGCACGCGCTTGGGTTGGACAAGATGCCGCGTAGCTTAAAAGAGCATCTTCATCAGCGCTTCAATATTACTGGCTTGATGAAATTCTATGGGGTGTAGAGATCACTGTCGACTACGAAGAGAGCAAGAAGCTGAACCTTAAAACAGCCAGCTAGAAGCTTAGCAAGATCCTATCGCAGGAGAAACTCGACTGTGTATGGTTGAGACTCTGGTCTCGTTCGCCCAAACACTCGGATCCTCCGCGGACGGAGATCAATGGACAATAACTATAAGGATTCAGAGAGGGTCGTATTTTCGGCAGACAGTGCTGCGAATGTCCATGTCCCGATGTCGGCTCTTAAACCAATCGAAAGCGTACTGGATCAATATCGTTATCGTTAGTTTTGCGGTCACCTTACCACGGAATAACATGTGGAACGGCTTCCCGTAGTAGGATAGGTTCTTATTGATAGATATTCATCACCCTGATAGATCTACTAAGGTTATTTGACCAATCACCTACAGGCCGATAGTCATACATCTTATGAGAGCCCACTTTCCCACATATTTCTTTGGTGGTAAGGTGGCCACAAAATTTGTGACAAGCAACGATAGGAGTAATCGAGGTCTGGTAGAGGCCAGCGCTACAGACTTGGCAGCCTCTTTCCCTCTTCTGCGTACACATGGTTCTAGGAATACATTTCTAGAAAGCTCCTGTGCTGGATAAGATCCCTGCAGTAGGAAGAGTAGCAGCTGTTCCTCTCCGCTGCCCGTGGCTTAGCTCTAATGCGAACATTTAACCCGATTTCTAGGGTACCTGGACGATTGCTCCTTGCCCGCGTTAGACTACTTCGCATAAAGCCATTCCGTGTCTACAGAGGAGAGGGACAGCCCAAGACTACCGTGGTAACCGAAGAGAGACCCAAGCAAGAATTGAACCTATAGTCCGTACATCGCTGCGACCTTAGTGAATTACGCATCGCCTATCGAAAAGCAGTGCAAATATCACTGTTGGCTCAACACCATGGCAAGGAACAAGAAGAGTCGATCAATCTCTCGTATCATTCGGACTAAGCTAGCACACAGCCAAATAAGTTTCACACTTCAACACCGTCAAACTTTACGAAGTCGAGGGAGCGTCGATCTGACCAATGGCGCTCTTCTCTTTCAAAACAAGCCGTATCTGCCAGGAGCGAAGTCCAAAAGACCAAGGGAAATGCTGACAATCGACGAGTGCAGTTGATACCTTCGGAACATCCTGCGTCCATCTGAAAGAGGCCGTTTTCCAGCGCCTTTTGAAAACGGCAGGCGAAGCACGACGGCCTTCCACCCCCAAGCTTCGGATTCCGCTGCTCCTCGTGAGAGGGCGCTATGATTTCGCAGAAGCTATTCTCCGCCGTCGCTGTAGATGGCGTTTACCTTCTTCCCTGGTGTTGATCTGGGTGCTTCAGGCTTCACGAGCCATCGGTGCCAGATGTTATCGCATGAGGTAGGCCACGTGTTTCGCGTGCTTTCTCCTCTGATATTAATCTGGGTGCTTCAGGCTTCACGAGCCAGCGGTGCCAGGTATAGTCAATGGTCCGGAATCGCTCAGACTACGGAGATGTACTGAGAGGAGCAACAAGTGCAATCTGCATTTGGATGGGAAAGCCGAGACAAAAAGAGGGCATGGTAGGACAAGAGGAGAGGGTATATTGCTTGATGATGCGGCGATGAAAAGTAAATGATTGCCAGGTCGCTTCAGGCTCGAAAGCCAACGGTGCTTGGCGTTGGCGATGGCTGAGGCTGCTCAGCGTACCTGCTGTCTCTTGATTCGCTCGAGCGACTCCTGGTCAAAGGTGATTTTGGTCGGTCGCCCATTTGCCATCCAAGGCTGAATGTGACAATATTCTATCCAGAATTGGCCGTCCTCAAACTTGTCGTAGAAGTTGACGTAGGACGGCTTGGTGAACTTGTCTGAGCCAGGCTCGAGTGTCAACAAGCGGGTGGAAATACCGAGCACGCCCGGGTGTGGTCTGACACCCTGAATCGGTGCGATACCCTCCTTGGAGGTTGCTGACTTCTTGGCGAACGTATCGCCGTTTTGGAACGAAGTAACTAGTTGACACTTGACCATCTCTGAGGAAGCCACTTCCTTCTCAAGGATCACCACTGGGTGCCCCCAGGGCTTGTCGTCTCGTTTCGCCATCCTCTGGTGTAGGATTGAGGTTTTTGGCACCTGTGCTTCGTCGGGAAGGTGCAAAACTTGTCCTGGACGGAGGTCGTCAAATGTCGGCTTGGCATTGCGACTAGGTGAGGGAGTTTTGGATGTTGATTCCCTCCAGTTGGGACGCTCCCTCCAACTCTTACTGGCAGCTCCGCTCCCGTAGGTAGGCGGCGAGGAGCTGTAAGAGCTTGTTGAACTGCACGATGAAGAGCTCAATCCACTAGAAGCTGAACCCCCTGCGCGAGCTGGGCGCTGAAGAAGGAGGGGAAGGAGGAGTGGAAGGGAAAACTCTTTTCTCGGAGAAGCCTAGATCTTGCTTTGATCTCCAGGAGTCTTGCGAGAGACGAGCACCGGGTCTCCTGGGTGGAGGAACATACTTGGCGGTGGCAGCATCGGAGGCTGGCTCACCCGAAGAGAGAGGAAGCGAGCTGGTGGCGTTGATACCCATGCTGAGGGATGGAAAAATGAATAATTATGGCAGATGGGCAATGAATCGTGCTTGGATTTGGTCTCCAGAGAGTGTGATCAAGGCTATGGAGGAACACACAAGGAAAGAAGAAAAGACTGCTTTATTAAGAGCACCTTCCTTGCGGCAAGAGGTACAGAGACTTCAACAAGACAGGAAGAGATATGCTTCGATATCTACTCAACAGGTTCCTACCAGATACACGACTGCCAAGTTCCAAAGAAAGCGGTGGATCGGTAAAGAGTGCTTATGGGTTTTACTACCAGATCCAGGAGCCTCACACGTTGAAAAAAGACGGCTGAGGCTACCAAGTACCGTGGAGTTCGGTAAGAGCAATGTGTCTGTGGCAAACATTGGAATCCAACGGTGCGGCCGGAGCTTGGATGAGAGCGAGAAAGCGATCAGAACAGCACGATAGGCGTCCACAAGAAGCGAAGAAGTTGAACGTACCATGTCTCGGTGTGGTAGCGGCAGTAGTAAGTGCGTGGTCATACCATCGTGTCCACGGGGACATGCAATGCCATTACACCGCTCTAAGACTTTGCAACTCGCACTTCACTTGGCCTTGTACCGGTTTGAAAGGCTGAAAAAGCGAGCGGGGGGAGGGACGAAGTTGATGCTACCATGTGCACGGCTTTGCGTTGCTTGTTTCAACAATCTCTGCGAGCCTGATCGGATCGTTGACCATGCGCAGGAATCCGGTTGAGGCTGGACCCTGAAGCCATATCACCAATCCCGCTCCCCATTCCCTGAAACTATATTCGCTGTGGTATCGGTATCGTTACTCGAAATAGGCTTGCTGACGTGCATCGGTGGTCCGATGCTATGGTAACCACCCCCGGTTCCGACGGTTTTATGTTAGTCAACGGTCGCGTGTCGGGTGGGTTCCGTGGGACCACAGCATCGCACGCGACCAGCGGCTCAGTAACCCATCGTCTCAACGCAACGCCGCACACACTGTTCTGTTGAAGGAACCTTGGAGTCGCGGACGGACATTCAACACAGCGCATTTTTCTTATTGCTTGTTACCATCTCTTATTGCCGGGCCTGATCTGCCGACGCGGGTGCCGGCGGCTCGCTGGAACTGGCCTAGACGTGCATCACATCTTTGCCGGTGCTTCGTGCATTACACATAATCATGGCGACGTCTCTCGTACTTCTGTATCTTTCTGCCACTTTTTGCACCCTTCGAAAGACCCAATCCGGTGACCATGACCGAGGCTCGCGACTTGGCCGGTGCACCCGACCAAAAGCAACTGCCACCCGAATCGAACCAACAAGCCGGCGTCGTCGCTGATCGTCCCGCCCAAGCAGCAGTCAGCAGCCATGTACCAGTGGGAGGGAGGGCCGCATGGAGCGTCGTCGTTGGCGGGTGGTGCGCCACTTTGGTGAGCGTTAGGTGGAACAAGGCCGCTGGTGTCTTCTAAACAGGGTTTGAGAAGGATTACCTACAGAACTATTCGCCTAGCGCAATAGGATGGAGTATTTCGTTGCAAACATTCTTCATGTTCGTCAGCGCCCCATAACTGGTACAGCATTCGACTCCTCCGGTCCACGATGCATCATCGCCACCGGCAGCTTCCTACAGCTTCTCGGCGTCATGGCGAGTCTTCCGTGTATATCAACCCGGAACATTCATCGCCTTGAACGCGCAGCGTGAGGGCGTACCCACCAACATCACCAACTACCTATTATCAATGTTAAACGCTTCGAGCGTAATTGGTCGAGTAGTAGCCGGATGGGTAGCAGATCGCGCAGGCCGCTTCAATACCATGATTATCACTACTTTCCTCTCCGCATTATTTTTTCTTACGGCCTGGATTCCGCATATTCAACAGCGCCGTTCATAGTGTTTGCTGTGCTCGTCGGCTTCACCAATGGAGCTTATGTTGCACTTACAAGCTCATTGGTCGCTCAGATCTCGGACATCAAAAGGATCGGGACGAGGAACGGAACGAATTGGTTCATGTATGGGATTGGCGCTCTGATTGGGACGCCAATTGCCGCTGCTTTGATTCAAAGAAACAACGGCGGATATGTGCACGTGCAGATCTTCGCTGGCTTGGCTACGTTCGTGAGTGGATGTCTATCTGTTGGATCACGATACGTTCAGATTGGCTTTGCATGGAAATGAATCTCAATCTTCAATAGGACAGGATGTGGTATCAGACGGCATGTTAATTTTTGAATTGTGCGCATGCCAAACCTTTGGTCCACCATCCTGCTTCACTTCTTACACCATGGCTATCTACGCTTTTGGAATCTCCACCTCAACCTTATATGTCTTTCCACCCTGTATCCCCTTGATAACCCCACCATGCACCACCTCCCCCTCCGAAATCACCTTTACGTCCTCTCCGTCGCCTCTCTTGACACTAACCTCAAACGTTGCGCCCCTGAATGATCTCGTAACCTTGATGCCATCCCACGCTTTCGGCAACAACGGCTTTACGCTCAATCCATCCTTTACTCCCCTCAGCCCACACAAGCCCTCCACAAGACTCCTGTACACCCAGCTTACCGTGCCAGTGTTGAAAAGTTGACTACTCCGTCCAGCAGTGCGAGGATATAGCCTGTATCCTCCACGGTAGTAGTTGGGAATATACACGGGTAACTGTCCGCGCTGGATGTAGTCCTCCTCGCCAGGACCGGGTATCATCTGGCGAAGGACGGTAAACGCGCGGTCGGATTGCGCGATGCTGTACAGGGCCCAGACGTAGAAGGCTCCTGCGTGGTTGTATACGCTACCGTTCTCGCCTTGGCCGGGATACTTCTGCGTGACACGGCCGACGTCCTCACGCATAGCCGTGAAAGGTGGAGCGAACATTACGACGCCATAGGGTGTGCTGAGCTGTTCATCAACCTGGGTGAGCATCTTGGAGATCTTTTCATGCGAGGCGGCGCCACCGAGGATGGACCATGCTTGCGGATTGAGCCAGATGCGGCCCTCCTTGTCATCCTTGATCCCAAAAGTTACGTTATCGTCGGTTATGCCACGGGCGTACCAGTTGCCGTCCCAGAAGTGTTTGTTGGCACAGTTGTTTACCTCTTCAGCGCCGGTTCTATACTTATCTGCCACGGAACCTTGCCCAGCTGCTTCGCAGACTTCAGCCCAGAGGTTGAGAGCGTAGGCAGTGGCTACGGTGAGCCAGCCCGAAACACCGATGCCCTTGGGTCCGACCATGTTCATGGGATCGCACCAGTCGCCTTGAGCAATGTAGCTGAGGCCACGGCGGTCTCGGGCCGAGAGTAACCAGTCCATTGCGCGGCTGAAGCGCTCGAAGACAGTATACGTGTCACCGTGCATGCCGGGGACTTCCTCGTCGAGAAGCGCGTAGTCGCCCGTTTCGTTGAGATAGATCTCCAGAGCTATGGGTAGCCAAATACAATGGTCTGTGTGCGGGATCTGGTTGATGTATTTCAGTTCTGCGTCTTCGGCCAGTAGGATACCGTCAGGCATGGCGCCAGTTTTTTCCTGCTGCGAGATTGCCCTAAAGATAGCTGCACGTGCTACTTCGGGCTTGATGAAGCTCATTCCCATGTTATCTTGAAGGTAATTTCGCGTTTGAGGATCAGTCGTAAGACGGTTCACATCGCCATGGTAGTAGACCTGTCGTGGGAGCCAATTGTTGACGAAATTGTCGAGATCCTTATCAGGTGTTTCAATCTTGAGGGCTCCACTTCCTCTTGCGATGTAGTCTTCGTATTCCTTTGCAGTCTGTGCAAATTGCTCTTTGCCCAAATACGTGCTCTTCATGTTCATAATTTCTTTCTCATCGTAAGCTGGGCCAAACAGAAACCTGTACTCTCGCTTTTCATTCCCCTTAAGCGCAACTCGGTACTGCACAACGGCCGTAGGTGTTTCGTAACGAGAATCGCTGTTGCTCAGCTGTTCTTCCTTGATGGCCTCTGGATACTGTAAGTTGCCTTCGCGCTCGAAAGCCCATTGCCTGGATTCCCATGCAACGGGTCGTTCTTCGCAAAGGAAATATGTCTTGTCCTTGAGGTACTTCGTCTTGGGGTAGTCTGCTGCTTTCTGGTAGGGCGTCTTACAACTTCCCACGATACCTCCAACTTTCTCGTTGTACTCCGCTTCCTGATTCATCCATGACATGTAGCCGAGCGGGAAGTAAGGGTAAATGCTGAGCTTGCGCTCGCGGTTCGAAATATTGGTGACTTTGATAGACCACAGCTCAGCCACGTCATTAGTAGGAATATGAAATGACATCTCGACACGGATCCCAAAAGTTTCCAGAGTCCAGGAAATGTCGCTCTTTCCTGCAGAGAATATGAACCTGTCGCCCTCGTCCAGCTTGCGGCGCACAGGCTCATAAGGCGCCGAGAAGACGTAGCCGGTTTCTTCATCCTTGATGTACACAAAACGGCCAGGATGATGGTCGTAGTAAGGTTGCTCCGGCTGCATGAAGGTCTTTGCTTCCAACGTTGGCGCATACGCATATTTTGCAGGTTCCGGCTGCATATACTGTGCAGTTGCGTATCCCCGACAAGTCACTTGGATCATCATCTTTTGATTCCATAGAAAGGCACCGGCTTTCGGCATTGCCGTTGGGCTGGTGAGCTCATATCGGTCGCCATCGGCCGTTGCTTGGAGGAGAGGAGCCATCTGTGATGTGCAAACAACCTGCACAAGGTCTCAGAGAAGCTGCTTTGTAGCCAATACGTGGCATTACGTTCGACGGGACAATGGTCGGTATGGCATAGCAAGGGCTTTGGCTTACTAAGGATTTAGTAGGTGCGGTGGAACATTGATTGACGCAACGTCGGTTTCGTACAGACGCAATATGTGAGAAGAATTGCTTGCGTTGTTGGATGACGAAGCGGAAGTTATGCACTGCTCGTCTGACAGCGAGAGTAGTGAATGGTGCGCTGAAAACGAACAGCGTCCCACAACAACACGCAATCTACATAAGAGGAATGCAACCACGAATGGAAAGATAATTAGAGTCACCTGGACGTTCTTTATACCGTTGTTTTGTCGGTGAAGACGAAAAGCCCGCGTGGGGCTTAGCGAGTGGGGCGAATCCTAGAAAAGTAATTGTCCAAGACGGAGGCGGCATCCCGGACCGTAACTCCTCTGCCGATTTGTTAGCGATTTTTGGTCTGCGGATTGAGCCACCGGCAAATCAGTCATGTCACCATTGCTTCGAAGTTTCGTGAGGTTGAGAAACAAGGATCAGCGACTCTCAACGGCATTGCTATGTGCTATTGTGTCACGTCTCACATAGCAACAATGACGTGAGGTTATTTTCTTTTTGTGCGACATTAGTAGTCAAAATGTAGTAGAGACTGAAGAGGGTATGTGAATGTAGTCCGCTTTGACCAGATAGAAGCGACGCGCCTGACAGCATGCCTCCCACGTGGCTCGGAGGTTTAGTCAACGTGTGAGTCGTTCGCGAAACATGCAATACAAGATCAAGCCTCTATGTAACAGGGGATAGAGATCAAAGCCCAGGTTGTACCGGGGGAAGCGATACTGATCGAGCGTATACGAGGTCTTCAGGGGGCTCCCAGACTCGGTATTCATCATCTAGGGAGCTGTCAGTCTAAGTGCGCCTGCATGTTGGTGACTTATATGTGATTATAGCTCACTGCTACCACCTCTTTTGTACCACTCATTTGGAAGAGAAAACGGATGTGTGAGGTTGAAACGAGCACCAATTCTACCGGTATTACCCTCCCATCGCCACTTTCGTGAAGAGGATGAGTAACAAGAAAAGGCACCAGAGAGGCTCACGAGTTTGATCTAGGGCGCTGCCTTTGTCCAAAAGCCATTCATCGAACCATGAGGCAAGATGTTGACCGGAGCCGGCTGGATAGACCCACAGATGAAGTCCGAAGACGACGTCTGCGAAGCGCCCAGTATTTGGGAAACCATTCGGTACTGTTCATGGAGGTACTGAACTCGGAGTTGATAGACGATGATACCAAGGTGAAGTCGAGTAGACGCGGAATTCAATCATTTGTCACCGTCTATCTGTCAGTGAGCGAGACAGAAACGCCTGACGTGGAAGAGAGTGCTCGTTCACAGGTGCCAGATGCAGGGCCGACCGAGTGACGGCCAATGCGTCCGTTGCAAAGAGCCGGCGCTGCAAGACAAACGTGCCTCGAGATACCGTGATGCGATTGCATAGGTAGATCTGTTCGCAGATAATATCAAAGTTGATGGCAGAGTGATGGAGACGAGGACAACGCCCACTCGGTTCACAAAGTGTTAGAACGGTCCATTAGCGCGTCAACGACCCGTGCGCGACGCGTCCTATTCTAGACTAGCGGAATCTGCTTGCCTTATCCCTGATCTCCTGGGTCGGCGCGTTACAATCCTGACAGATGTGCCAACGAGACACGATATCGCAGTGCTGCTCTTAGGAAAGATGGTCTGGTAAACCTACCTTCCAAAAATATGTCAGTCCCGGTTCCTACTCGCTTCGCCCAGTCGAGCGCGAGCTTGCCAAAGCGTTCCACGGCTCCTCTCTGGATCGCTGCTCAAGCCAGAGGCATAGGCTGGAACCACATGGCCTGTTCCAGGACGAGGGTTGGTCCCGTGTCGGCGGTATCGACGATGTCTGTGGCGTTGTACAATTGACGCGGATGTCCATCCCCGCGGTTCGTTTGAATGTTAGACGGTATGGCAGATCTCGGCGCTGCATGTAGGTTTTAGGGATGCTTGAAATAAGGAAGTGACCAATAACCATACCCTTATCTCAGTCATCGTACTGGAGCGGTGTCGTGCGAAGGAAAATGTAAAGTTGTGTAAAAGATGGTCAAACCGGTGGGGAGGATGCTCTCTGGGTGCTTCCTCGACTCTCATTAACCTAACATGACCGTATAAATTCGATTTTCTCATACCGCTGCTCCATTTGCGATCCTTTCGCCAACCTTCACCTGAAGTTGCCAAACCCGTTCATCCAACAACACGTCACCGCTCCAGAGACCTTGAGCCATTCAACGAAGAGCTCCACTGCCTTGTATTTTCGCCACTTCTGATCAGATCGTGCCGATATGCAGCTAGCGTTTCAGGTGAACTCCTGCTCATGTTAAGCCTAGTTCTACCCCGATTCAGAAGTATTTCCGCCAAACCGGTCAGTACCCCCGTCCTTGTACGCCCGTCAGATCTCCAGGCACGCGACAGAAACAGATCACGCAGAAAAATATTGAAAATGCAGGTTCACCTGCAAAGGGACCATTGTGAGCCCCGTATTTCTCTTGAGTATAGTGTGTAGTAGTACAGACTGGAGCCAATCAATGGCTTCCGGTCCGTATCATAAAATTTTCTGAGCCGCCACGCTCCAGGCGTACTATCGGGCCTAGCGTTCGCATTATGCTTTGCCTTGATTACATTAAATGGAAGTCTAGAATTGGCCAGGGTGGTTGTAAGAGTGGCTGAACGCAGCATTGAGGGCATCGTAGTCGAGCGTGACAACGTTTGCTGGCTGAAAAGGGTCTTCAGGAATGGTGCCCAAGAGGGGGTTCCAGGCAGGCATGTCGGTCATGGGATCGTAGATGGCGGCAAAAAGCGGGGCAGCATGCTGGCTCTGAGGAAATGTTGACTGCTGAGGTGGCTGTTGAGGATACCGATCCTTTTCTGGCACAGGCGGAGGTATGCTTGGAAGCTTTTTTTCGCGCAGGCCGGTCTCGAAAGCCAGTCTTGCGATGGCGGCCGCGTCTTCGGACGATGTGTAGAATTCGAGAAGGTCTTGTAAATGAGGTTGCGTGTTCGTGTCTGGATAGCCTTCTGATCGGCCAGTAGTTGACGCTTTCCAAGCAAAAGGGTTTTTGGTGCGGTGCTTGGTCTCTAGTAGACGGCACCATTCTTGCAGTATCTCTGGGCGCTGAAGGAGGGACCATATCACCCTTGAATGCTTCCAGTCTGCCATGGTATTCCCTCTCCTCTCAAAATGCTCGCTAATATGGTTACACCTCTCCGACCAACTCTTGCTGAAATGGACACAGAATCCGCAGCCCCAGCCTGTCCGTGCCACTCGTTTCCTCCTTGCCATCTCCACGTGTCTTTTGGGCACGCAGACCTGACAACGATGACTCCCTTGATGGTGGTGAATGAAGTCCTTGTCGAGAAAGTAGATGTTGAGGCATAGTTCACACTCAAACATCTCTGTGCGTTCTTGGTAGGTTTCCTCATGTCGCTTCCAGTCATACTTCTGCTGGAAGCCTTCGCTGCACGCTGTACACTGGTACTTAGGCTCCTTTGCAGAACGCCGAGATCTCTTGTTCCGTGACACGCACGTCAGGAAAGGCTCCCTGTCTTGGGAAGGTTGGCGTTCGTGCGCTCGCTTAGGGGTTGTAGGTACCAGGGCCCCTTCCGGCGGTGGCGGCGAAGCGACAGGAGAACGCGCTTCTAACCTCTGTTCTATTTGAGCATTGTAATTCTCCGAGGAAAGTTCAGAGAAACGCGACCAAGTCGTGTTCGTGGACGCGACAGAGCTGCGAGGTTGCCATGACGAAAAAGCGCTACCGTCCGAGGACCGGTGGACTGAGGAGTGGCTGGACTGAGCGGAAGCAGATTGATGTCGTTGGTGCGAGCGAAACGACTGATCTTGAAGGCCTATGGAAGGGTAGTTCGCCGAGAAACCGAATGGGAAGGCTGCATCCAAGTCAGTACGATCCTTTACGATTCACCCCCGACTCACCATAAGCGTTCTGGTCGCCGTACAGCGGCTGATGTCTAGAGATGTGCTGATGCGGTTGTGCTTCGAAATACGCGCCAGGCGGATCTGTCTCGAAATCCATCTCTTCGCTCGAAGCTTCTCTTCCAAACGCAAAGGGCGAATACGGGCCTGAAGACTGGCGCTCCATCAATCAAACAGAAATTAAGGAGAGGTAGGCAGATGATCAAGGTGGGAGAAATGGTCAAAGAAGGCAATGATATCAGTTGCCTCAGGGAGGAAAAGGCGGACTGGTTAACAACACACAATCTGGTTCGCGTAAAGGGTGCTTGCGGCTGAGGCCAAAGCCTCGCTCGAGGTAAGGGTAAGCATGCATCTTCACCTGAAACGTTGATCGCACGAACGCGCTTGTTTGGCGGCCGCGTTTCGTTTCAAGACTTAGGCACCGAGCCAGTGGGATGACGTGCGGGCAGGTGTGGAATGCACTGACGGCGCAAAAGCCTCTGCAAGACAGCGGCAAGGTCCGCCGTACTACATACATGGTTGTTTCTGTGGAGCTTTTTGTGCTAGGGCCCGACAAGTTGTGAGAAACGAAGGAGGCGCTGTCGGGGCTGTTGGGTGTGTCCAGCTGGATTGGCGAACAGGCTGTGGGGAAGGCTGAAACGAAAGGCAGACCCCACGCCGGACGTTCGCCAAGATGTCACTCCGCCATCCCAGTAGGATTAGGTCATCGGCAAAGTCCACACACGACCGAATTACGAGTGATGAGCGGAGTCATTCTTGACTGCTACAAAGTCTCAGCAAGCTGCCTAATGATGCAGCAATGATAGATCGTTTACTCCTACCATATACAAACACCTAGCCTTGATGTGCTTCTCCACGAGTGTCATCCCAGCAATGTCATATTTTTGGAAAGTATGCAGTCCGTGACCACTGTCTGTTAGTCAGCAGTCGTTCAATGTGCCGTTGCGATATTGGATATACTGTTGTTGAGTCCTTGCCTTGGAACCCATGTCCGTCACACGTAGGTGGCAGTACCATTTGCTCGCATTGTCTTTTACACATGGTACTTTCAAAGTCGTGTAGTGATGGTCTTGTAAACCTATATCTTGTCTTCACCAGTCGGTTGGGTGCAACGGGTGACCCTTAGTACTGGCGAGCTTTCAGACCACGATGGAACATATCAACATGATCGGTGTAGTTGCTCGAAACCGAAGCTTTTCAGGACGCTTCTGAAACGGCCCTGTTCACGCGCCAGTCAAGTGGCATTAGAGTGTCGGCGTTACCGACGATGATATCGCTTGTACGAGCGATGTGAGAGCGTCTCGAAGCAGCACGCGTATGGGTGGCGGTGTACTGGATGGGCATAAAACCTGCGCGAGCAATCGCATAGCTCTACCCCAATTCTTGCGTTCCCTGATGCCCGTCTAGGTGTGGTTCAGCACTCCAAAAGACCTCAGCGCTAAGTTCCAACCCGGCGTCCGTCTCATCTTCAATTGTATCATCACAGTTCGTCGGACCGCGGCTGCTCCGTGTCCTTGTCGCGTACGGGTGGAAAGAGCTTGAAGTGCGTGTAAAGCGCTGCGGGATGAACTATCTTAGCCGGCGCCTGATGGGGCATCGTTGATGTCTTTGAGCGTCTTGTCACCAGATGAGCGGAAGTGCAGGAAGGTATGTTCAACGGGAACAAAGCCGTCATCGGACAACGAAGAGCGTAGCCGGAGGCCAGGCGAGCCGGAGGTATGGCTAGCCTCAGCTGAGACCCCGCTTAGGCAATGCTTAGGCAATGTTCGAAGGGGCTGTAGGATCAAAAGTATCGCCGGGTAGCAATCTTGCCATGAAAGGAGACAGTTGGCCGGAAGCCTGGCGCCCTGCATTCATGAGTGGTATTGCGGTTGATAGCAGAAAAGCGAAAGCAGTTGAGATAGGCAGAAGCAGGCAGGGTCAATTCGTGCGCTCTTTTGTTCACATAAGCCACGCTATTCCCTTTCTCAAGCTTTGGTGAATTCGCGTGCAGGCCACTGTCGCCTACTCAACAACACTCACTTGACTTCGCTGGGTGCCTCCGGCTCTTGCCCTCCTCCCTTTGCTCTCCTCCCTTTGCTCTCCTCACTTTGCTCTCCTCCCTTTGCTTTCCTCTCTTTGCTCTCCTCCCCTTCTTTGCATCTGCAGCAAGGCTCGATGGGAATGCCCTTGCGCGCATTTGGGCATGACCCTTCGGATATGACTGGTACAACACGTGAGGGAGTATGGCCATGGACAAGTCTTTTACCCACCGACGCAGGCTCATCACGAAGAAGGTTTGGATGGCGGCTTGAAAGCTTTGGTGTTTCGAAGAGATGCTGCAGGTGCTGCAGGACCATGGCGACAGGGCACAGGCTGCCCACGCCGCAGCTCTTGCTTCCAAGTACGTCGGGCATTTTGCAATCGCTAACCTCCGCCCCTACTTAAGACCTTGCAGAGAGAACACGAATGTGACCTTCCACCTCTACACGGGGGTCCACGGGAGATCGCAGATCGCACCTTTCGTTCAACGACATTCGCAGCGCACAACGCCTTCGCCACCAAGAAGACGAAACGAGCCTGTCTCCTTCCTTCAAAACAGCACCTCAACAAGCCTCGAAGCCAAGCATGGCGACTTCCGCGACAATATTCCTTGTTGATGCGCATGCCTCTCTAAAAGTCTTGGTTACTTATAAGCGGAGCCTATTACTCTTACGACTTGCTCTTCACCATACGAGGACCACGGCTCATGCAGCGTCTAGCGCAATTAGACCTAACAGAAGAGCTCTAGAGAGACAGCTTACCCCTGTCGTAGCAGCAGCGATAGCCAAGTCGCTTTATTACCATGACGGCAGGTGCAGACGTGGCAGCCATTTCACGTAGCCTGTCGAGACCATAGCAGGTATCCATTCACCACTTGGTCCCCGTCGAAGGGCTTCAACCCGCGAGCCACTGCACACCAGAGCAGCCAGATTGCTACATCGAGCGACGTTGTACTGGCCGCACACGCAAGGAACGAGTGATATTTCAGGCACATGCGCTATGCAGAGAGCATGCACGTGTGACACACATACCCGCCGGCTCCAGACCCACACATCGACAAACGCTCCAGATAGACCATTGGAGACGTGAGCCTCGATACCTTATATTCACAGGCCGCACCAATCCGGTCGTCTTACTTCTTCCGGTGCTCCGGAGGGTTCAAGAGGGAACTGAATTGAGCCATTCCTTCTTCGCAATTCCCCCTGTTAGTGAACGCTGTGATACCGACGGGATCCCACCACACATACAAACGACAGGTCGCTGCGAGGATGGACGCTGAAACGAGCCCACATATTCTCTCTTCACATTTGGACGGGCTCTGCCACACGGATCCGCAATGTGTGGAAGTTGTAGACAGCTTAACAAGTGAGATTCCAGAGTTGGTGGAGATGAACAACTGCCAGCCTCAGACCCAGTGGTGTTCCCGCCCAGCTGCATCCTTGAATACATAAGTGGCCCACGAGAGCATCGCAAAGGAACCGTTGCAATTCTTAGCCAGTCCTGTTATGCGAGCTAGTGCGTGATAGGGCCGTCCACCTTCGGACCCCGCATTCCATGTGACGGCTCGAATGCTCGTTCTCAGAATGCGAAGACTAGCAGATGCCTTAAAGTAACAATGACATGGAAAAAGCACTCAGCTCTCGTCCCTTCCGAGTGCGTTGTGAGTGCACAGAGCTCTTGGCCACTCCGACGGAGCTATCCTGATAGCGGAGCCTCGCACATATCTTGGTCTACGAAGAAATCGAAACCAAGCGCGCAGGCAGAGGATCAAAGCCGTTCCCTAAGCGCTCACAGATTTGGCATTTGCCGTTCGAGTCCACGCATGGGTTCTGCAAATATCGTGGAAGGTGGAGCTATCCGTCGAGGAAGGAACCGTAAAACTTCCCTGTTCCCTGCAGCTTGCAGTGAATTCATAGAATGATAACAAAGGTCATACCGTTGATTAAAATCCAGCGAAATTCGCAATCTTATAGGGAGCAGCTAAGGATCGCGGATAGCGACAGCGCTGGTTGACTACACCTTCGATTATAGCAGCTGCACAAGAAGTAGCAGGTCCTGGATCTTTCTTGAGCTTCCAGATATCCACAAAGCCGAGCGCAAGCAAAATTTCAAGATTCTCTGGTACGATTTACTTCCGTTCGCACGGTTCACAGACTAGGCTCTCATCCTCTCGATTCAAATCGAACAGACAAGATCTGCGAAATCGAAGCAGAACAATCATTACCCGGCAGTTCAGTGACGGTGCGTTGTGCATGATTGAACAAGGAAGACTCGATGAGCATGGCTATCAATTGTCGTAGCTCCTCTCAATCTATAGATATCGGTATTTAGGCACGCAGGCAAACCTCGAAGTAAGATGTCGCGGGTGCCATAGGTTTGGAATACCGCATAGCAGATGCCGTGTAATGCTTCTTACGCGAAATGGCGCAGTGCGAGTAGGTCATGAGCAGATCAGCCAGATCTTCGTCAAGGCCGCCTGCTGACGGTGCGTTCATCAAGTGTCCGCTTGCTGTCGGCAATCCAGAAGGGGGAGTTCCACGGTCCAGGGTCTTCACACAGACGACAACCGATTTCCTTGACCATCTCTTAATGTCGCTTTCCCCGAAGATCTTGAGTGAAATGCTCAAGGGCCACCAAGCTGTGGCACGGGAAGGAGAGTCTCCAAGCGGTCTGCGATGACGCCATAATCGCTATGCCACGGCTCGATGCGACTTTGCAGAAATTGAGTCCAATCCCCAATGTGCCGCAACTTCTGGCCAATTAGAGCCATCCGAAGTTCCTCAAGCATCTTGGCTGGAACACGGTCGCCCTTTGTTTCTATGGCCTGTATTATGCCGTGGCGTACGTCGACTTCGATCTCGGTGCGAGCTGGGCCCTCAAGAAGGAGGGTGAACTGTGGTGTTTGCGACCACATCCAATCATGTGTCTATGCTTATCAGCGCCGCTTTTATGCACAATGGGCTCACGTACCTTCAGCTCGTCGTAGCCCTTCTTGATCTCTGGGATCTTCAAGTGTTCTTCACCTAAAACTTCGATAATGGGCGATTTTCCTTGATGACGGTACATGACCGAAAATTCTTGCTGAAGCCGCGTCTGGAACATCTCAACATCTAAGCCGATGTTACTGACCGGCGAGCTGACGCTTTCAACCCCTTTCGCCTGGATGGAACTCTTCGCGGGCGAATGTAGATATTGCGGGATGATGTGTAAATTGGGAGATGCAAGGAGCAATGTCGCATGGTGTAAAGCTCTTGCCCGAGTCAGCTTGTACGCAGAGCCAGACACTTTCAACGGCCTAGGGCCTTCTTCATCGATGGTGTATGCCGTCTGATGGGTATCCTGAGGATCGGCTGCGTGTCTCTTATGGCCCTGGTCCAGCACGATGTCATGCCGCTCATTGACTCGGGCGCGCTCTACACCGACCTCGCGGAGCGCACGAACGACCATCTCAGCGTGCTTGTCCCTTGTGAAAACGGTGCGCGGACACGTAATGCTCCAATTGAGGTTGCCCTCGTCGTGGAAGACAGCGCCGCCACCAGAGCGCCTCCGCACAAGATCTACATCACCAATAGCAGGCGGCTCCGTGTTCTTGGCTGTCCTGCCTGGCGATGTTGCTGCTTTCAATATGCCCAGATTGACCTCCGACCATGGATTCTGATTTCTGCCGATGACGACGCAAGGCCGATTTGTGTAGAGGAAAAGCACGGTAGAGTCGGGCGGCGAGGTGCGCAGAATGTAGTCCTCGATAGAGAGATTGACGAAGGGGTCTCTACTGCGAGAAATGTAGCTCTGCACTCGGTTTGCGGGATTCGCAAGCTGCTCAGCGAACGAAATGTAGGCGCGGTGGCGGATGGACATGTCTCTCGAGTGTAAGGCCGTGTTAACGAAGATGGATCGAAGCAGTCGGCATCCTAGCCCTCGAGACGGAGCCATGGTGAGCGTTTGTACATGGCGTTCGTTAGTGGTGATGGAGGATGCAGGCGTCCAACCAAAGGATCGGCCGTCATAGCTCCCGGTCATTTCGGGAATAGCGGGGCGCAATCTCTCCGAACGTCAAGCGTCGACGACGATGCGGCTCCTCGATGTCTACCATCCTCATGCGCGCGTGCCCGTGAGGCTGTTCGAATGCGTGGTGGAGTCTTGAGAAAGGGAGTCGGGCGGGGTATCGCCCAAGAACCATGGCTCGGCTGAACCCTACGAAAACGACGCACAACATGTCAAACGTGGAACGCACACGTTGCCGCTACGTCGTCCACGTGCAAAGAGGGGGCCCAGGTGATACTGAAAACGCTTGTCAATCTGTACATATCATCTTTAATAAGAATTTTCGGATGCATATGCGGCCCCTCCTATCCTGGTATCGAACTCGAGGAGAGCATGAGACGAACACCGAGCGACAACCCCATTGATATGCCACGCGTCATCACTGTTGTAAAGAGCTATCCATTCGAGTATATGCGGGATGGCGCATCTTTCAAGTACTTGCCCTCTGCCTTATGAAGAGGATGTCCTGTCAAAACCTGGAGACGGATCTCCACATCAGATATACGCATTCTGCTTGGACAACTGCACACCCCTTTCATTCGATATTGCTCCTTTGCGGTTGTTTGGCATGCGAACTGCAGTTATCGCAGCTGTATAGCCCCAAGGACGAGCTAGGCAATACTGAGCATTCTGATGAACAACATATCTACCACTGCTCGCCCTCTTTGGTAACACGGACATCTGCGCCTGCTCGATACACATTGTGAACGTGCTCGAAAGTCTTGCCGGCCTATGTCGTGTTTGCTTGATTAGGTCCCTCATCAATCAACGACAAGAAGCCCCACCTTCCTTGAGATACTGCGAAAGACGCTGCTGTCTTGCTATTGCTCGATATCTGAATAAGCTTTCCAGTATGGTCATCTCGCAAGACGGAATCTCTTCCGACGAACATGCCGACATTGATCGGGTTCGATGTTGTGAGGAAATTGCCTTCCCGGGTTCTGATGCTGATCTTTCATGTAGACAGATGTTTGTTCGCACCATCCAGCAGCTGTTGTTCTCGCAGGTGTTGCTGCTACCAGATGGATTGAGGGCTATCCAACTGAACAGCGGCCTTGCGGTTGGCTGCAGACTCACCGTGACAGGGCAATCCTCGCATAGTAGAAGCCCTCAAGCCTACCGTTCCTCGCCAGGCCCACAAAGTTCCCCAGGTTGATGCTTTAACGACAACACAAAATTGCTCTGCTCTCGCCGTTGCCTGGCACCCAGCTCCAACAATACTTCCTATTTCGTGTCCGTATATCAAAACTACCAAAGCCGCCAGAATACCAGCATCTACAGAGTTTTGTGTCAGAAAAACCGCTCATTTCGCTACGTTTCATTAATCAAACTCAGTGCTCAGCATTGATAGCTCAATATCGTTTTCACAAACGCTACCGGTCCGAATCCAGGACCCGACAATCATTTGGCATTTGGCCCGACTAACAATCTAAGCTTCATAAGCGCAGCGTACATTACATAGCTAAATCGCCTCCATTGCGCCTGATATAGAGGAGATGAGCGGCACAACAATTTGAGCATTCTTTCTACCTCTTTCTTGACCTTAGAGATTACCCACTGAGGTGAGGTACATTTTGGTTCAAATTAAAGCCCAAAAGCTGAATCTACTATAGCAGCTTCAAGTGGCTATCAAGCGCTTCGAGACGCAGGGAGAAGATTATCTGGCACAAGCATCAGCATACCAGGTCGCCCTTGTTCAGTGGGTCTGTTCAGCGTCCAGGGGATATGCAGCGGTGGATTCCTAGCGGAGCCCAACAACTTCCCCGCTCGCTAAGTATCGCTCGTGATATTGCTCTGATGTTGCGACTACTTGTGCGCTTGGCAAGTTGTTTCCCGTCTCCTTCCTCGCACCTTACCTACCACTCGACAAAACCCCTCCTGTGCCCAATCTCGCGCCATCCTCTTCTGCCGACCATACTCGGTTACCTCGCGCTCCTCGCTATGCTCGCGCTGCTTTGCGGCATCCTTGGGCGCCCCGGTGGCTCCGATGGCCACGACATCGTCTTCTCTGTCGTCATCACCCTGCCCTCGCGCTTCTCACGGCCTCGAGCCTATCCACTCATGGCCATCGTAAGGTCCACAGATTTGCCCACGGCTTACCGCCACTACAAGTTCGCCCTCGCAGGTTCGTGCGCCCTCCGCCGTGAAGCCAATCGCGTGATGATCACAAGGGCTTACACAAACGCCTGCTCACTCAGCGTTGTGCCAATCTGGGTCCATACCGGTCAGACACTCTAGCAGCCATCCTGGAGATATTGACCATCCGGTCTACGTTCAAAATCTACCTGACGAAGAGCCAACTGGCGAGTCCAGGGATACTAGGCTTTTGGAAGTGGTCTAATGTACGAAGAGGCTTGAGAGAGCTGATCGCTCTTGGAAGCTTGTGGGGTGTGATGTCCGACGAAGCTATGGACATGGTTCACGTTCTCCCCTATTAAAAAAATCGACAGATCCGTGACCATTATAATAGCTACTTCAAGGAGTTGCAATACAGAGGCTAATAATGAACATGTTACCTGACTATGTGCAGCCGTGCTACTTGAAAGACATTCAATTAAGCTTTTCGGCCCGCTGGTGTGGCACCGGCCGATGTGTCGGACATGACTCGGTTCCCCACATTCCGCTGCAGGATAGCACCATTTCGGACACCAGCATCGGAGGTCCATTGTCATGGCTCGATTGTGTCAATTGGGCATGGGAATATTGTCGGAAACGTGGATGCGGCCCGCTGACTGAATGCAGGGCGAGAGATCGGACCTGGGTTCGTCTCAAGATGTTTGGTTCGGTATATCTACGCTCACGCCCGTCTCAAAGACGCTGTGACGGACGAGGGCACGACACGACAGCATGGCAGCGCCGATCGGAATAACTAGACACAACGGCACTCCGCCCTCACCTCTACCCATCGTAGTAGCAGGCGGCGGTTGCGTGGGCCTCCTCCTCGCGCATCTTCTCACACAGTCAAGCGTACCCAATCGTGTGATCGCAAGTATTGCCCTCTTCCATCAAAATATCCCTACTAACCCATCACTTCCAAAGGTCATCGAACCCGAGCATCCTGATCCAGCCTCCACCCGCGCAATGGTTCATCAACCCCTCATGTTCCCACTTTTCGCACGCATAGGCCTCATGCCTGAACTTTCTCGCCACGGCAGCTTCTCCTCCGGTCTCTGCTTCCGCACCAGTGCTAAGAACGGATCGAAGTTCATCGCAGGCAAGCAATTTAGAGAGGGCGATAAATCACAATTGCTGCTTCCGCAGGGCAAATTTAAGGAAATTTTGATGTGGAAAATGGAGGAGGTGGGACATTCAGAAGTACGACTAGGCTCACGCGTCGTGGGATTCGAGGAAAAGTCGGGCAGCATCGAGGTCCGGATCCATCATGAAGGAGGGAAAGAGGAGACTATAGAAGCCGAATACCTCATCGGAGCAGACGGCGCAAAGTCTACCATCCGGAAAACACTAGGCCTCACATTCGACGGCGAAACTCTTCCCAACCAACTCGTCGCGACTGACATAATATATGATTTCCACGCCCACGGCTTCTTCGATGCCAACTTTATCGTAGACCCTGATAATTACGGGCTCATTGGGCGCATAGACGATAAGGGGCTGTGGAGAGTAAGCTACGGTGTTCCGAACGAGTTTTCAGAGGAAGAGGTTCGCAGAGATGCAGAGGACAAGTTAAGAAAGATGCTGCCGGACGGTGGAAAGAGCGGGTTCGAAGTGAAGAGGATAGCGCCGTATAAAGCGCAGCAGCTATGCGTGGAAAAGTTTTGGACGGGTAGGGTAGGGCTATGTGGGGATGCAGCACATCGTGAGTTCCCCTTCTCCAATAAACCCAGAACAGATAAGAATCCAATACCAGTCAGTAACAAACCCCTACGCCGGCCTGGGTCTTGCGTCCGGCATCGCAGATGCGTCCTCCCTCGCCGAAGTTCTCATCCGTGTTCTCAGTCATCAATCCTCTAATCCTCACAAACTACTTTCTTCGTGGTCTGATGCACGACGGCAGAAGTTCTACACGGTGATAGACAAGCCTTCGCGCATGGCGTACGCGAGGGTGAAGAATAAGGTGGATACGGAGGATGAGATTGTGGCGCTGTTGGCGAGGGATCCGATGGTGGGCGCATTGAAGAAGGGGATGCCTGCGATTCCGCCGCCTATTGAGACGAGGGGGGAGGAGTTGGTGGGGTGGTGAGGTTGTCATGTAGAATGCATGCTATGTTATCAACATTGAATATTATGCTCCTCTATGATTCTTGTGGCTCCACATATGAGTTGACGGACGATGACGGAAAGACTCAGTTAATTATACACTAATCGATAAGCAAGACGGTTGAGTGGCGAGGGTTTGCAAACGAGTCACATCTGCCGAACAAGTCGCTAGCGAAAACGTGCAAAGGGGGTACATCTTAGCCTATCCTTAATGCAATTTGAGATATTCTACGTACCAATCCAATTGAGCTTTAGACCAGAATGTACACTAATCGGCACATAGCGACTCTTTCTATCACGCAAGACCCTGCTGGTTCATAGTCAAGTAACACAGTCCCAGTTCTTATCTCATTCAACCATGAACCAAAGCAGTTGAAGTTGGGCTGGTAAGCCCCGTCCGCTGAGGGCTTTGGATGTACAGCTTGACTCAAAGTCTACGACCTTTATCCAAGGATAGGAAGAGCCGATGAGTACTCCTGGCGGACACCGTGGATAAAGTCAGACAACTTACTCGCGAAGTCCACGTGAAACATGTGGAGAATGAAAGGCGAGTCAGAAGGAGACGTGAAAAGTTCTAGAAAGTCGTTTTGAGCCTGCTCCAACTTTTAGGGGTTTCCCCCATCCCTACATGAAAGACGCATGCCTTTGTAAGAATGGATCGCTTAAATGTATTTCGTGCGTCACCATGTCCTACCGGAAGTGCTACGATCGAAGCCTTCAAAGCCGTACTCAGCGAGAGCTTCGTGATATCTATGGCTCCAGACAGAAGTAAGTCTGAAAGTGAGACATACGACAATGGAAGTAGGGATGATGAAATTAGTGGTGCTGAAGCAGCGACGTCGAAAGCTGCGATGATGAGGAGGTCTAAAGAACTCAGCGATGATAGAGAACACACTGGTGGCGGTGAATCTGGATGCGGACATAAGAACATGACTCTTGGCTTACGGCGAATATAATACCTTCAGACGGTTTCAGTGATCCGGACTGCAGTCTGTCAGCATAGATGGGTTATATGGTTGGACGGCTTGAAGGCCGTTGCAGTAAGCTAGATGCCATACCTGCTTCCAAACGCCATGTATGAGCTTTCTCCCAGTCCCATGGTTGCATTTATCCTTACCAGCTCAGCTTTTACTTGTACCGACATCTCTAGTAACATAGCAGAAGCAGGAACGAAATAACGAACCCGAACAAGAGGTAGATGATGGAGACAGCAGAGGCGAAAAGTGGCTTGTAGAACCGCATATCGAAGACTTGAGCTATGACGAGTGTCTGAGATTGAGGTCTGCCAGTGTATGGCCGACAATCACATTTACGTGGAAGGGTGTCGGGCTCGGCAGAGAGTCGTCTCCACAAGATAGACTTTGAGGTAGTCATCGTGGCTAGTGCCAAGTGGCTCGACTAGCGCCACAGGTGCCGAACTGTCGTTATGGACACGATGTGCCAAGTCGAAACATTGTCAACGCCGAAACACCAATACGCCTCACTTGCCTCTTTCCCGATGCGCCTGTCCTCGGATACAACCCTCCTTTTTTCTTCCTACCGATAGCTGCGCGCCATTAAGCATGTCCGCTCCCTCGACATCGGACCCGCTGAAAGAAAGTGGTACGTGAGCCGACCCTTCCGTTTACCAAGGGTCGATCCGGCGAGATTTAAGCAGTAAACGTTAGTCTAAACTGACCAAACTGCAGGCGCCGCCTCCAGGTCCAAAAAGAAGAAGACCAAAAAGAAGGGCGGAGCACATGCGAATAAACCCGAGGAAGTCGCGACTGCGAATGGGCATTACGAGAAGCAAGAGGAGCAGGATGATGATCCGGACGACGAGGATGAACATTCCGTACGATACCACCTCAACCTGCTGGATGCCCAGGCTCGATCAGTAAGAATGCAGCTAACATCTCACAGAAGCCAGCTGTTCAGTCGCATGAGGGCGACGTTGACGATGAGCAACCGCTCTCGCCCACAACCGCACAAGCAAATGGCGCCAACCCGCACTCCATATCCTCTGCCGTAGCTCTCGGACTGTCACGGTCACGGTCACAGCAAGGGCTCCCGCCCTCTCCCCCACCATCCGACACCAGCGCCCGCCTAGACGCAATCGCGAAGGAACGAGACGCGCTACGACAGGAGGTGACAGAGCTAAGGAAGAGCTTAGAGAGCATACAAGAGAAGCACGAGGAAGAGATCGGCACTCTGCAGGGTGAACTGGAAGAGGCGAACGAGAACAAGGATCACTTCGAGACGCAGTACAAGAATTTGCTGGGAAGGGTGAATACCATTAAGACATCACTGGGAGACCGATTGAAGGCCGACGCGGTAAGTGCGAGATGGGCTTCAAACTAAACCAAGGTTGGGCATAGTCGGGGTGGTTACTGACAGTGACCAGGCGAGAATCGAAGAGTACCAGACCCATGTCACGGAGCTTGAGGAACAGAATCGCGAATTGCAAGAGGGTAATACTTCGTTGACAGAGCAGCTTCACAAATTGCGGAAGGACAACGAAGCGCAGGCGGCTGAAGCTGCAACTTTGCGTAGCCGATCGAGTCTCTCACAGCAGAATTGGATCAAAGAGCGCGACGAACTTATCTCTAGAGAGGCCTTCGCGAGAGAAGAGTTTGAGAACGCGAAACAGGCCATGCAGGACTGGGAGGTCTTGGCTATGAACGAGCGATCGATAAGAGAAAATCTCACAGAAAAAGAGACCGAACTGAAGGAGCAGATAGAGTCATTACGTGAGGCTTATGAGAAAGCAGCGCGGGACCGTGACACTAACAACGAGGCGGTTGAGGGCCTTCAGAAAGCACTTCAGGAGGTTCAGAATTGTAAGTATATGCGCCTCGCCTCGACCTCCAGCGCTAATTGGCTGTTGCAGTACGCAAGAGCGAACTGCGGAGATCGGTGGAGAACTATGAATCGCAGATAGATGAGCTCCGTAAACAGGTGCAGGCCGCACAACAAGCTGCCAAAGCATCTAAAACGACACTTGATACCACCCAGAAAGAGCTTGAGAGAGCTGTACCTTTCGAAAAGGAAGTCAAGGAGAAGAACCTGCTGATAGGAAAGCTCCGACACGAGGCGGTGACGCTCAATGAGCACCTTACCAAAGCCCTCCGCATACTAAAGAAGGGCCGTCCAGAAGACAATGTGGACAGGCAGATCGTGACGAATTACTTTCTCCATTTCCTGTCCATTGACCGTTCGGATCCGAAGAAATTTGAGGCCTTACAGCTCATTTCTGCATTGCTTGGCTGGACCGATGGTGAGTTTTAGGCTGAGAATAAGATTATACAGTAGCTGACCCTTCCCAGAACAAAAAGAACAGGCTGGTCTCGCCCGCCCTGGCACCTCGAATAGCAGTTTGCGGATCCCCATGTCACCCTTCCGCCGGACACCATCCACGCCATCTCTTACTAGTGGCATCAACGACCCCATGCTCATGGCCAGCAGCTCCAGCAACAAGGAATCATTAGCGGAGCTGTGGTCTGACTTCCTGGAACGTGAGTCCGACTCTCGCAGAGGCAGTGAACCCATATCTCCACCACCGAGAAGCGATACGGGTAGCGGATTAGGCATCACTGAAGCCGAGAAGAGATGAAGAAGGCGGGGTCGATTCTTGAAATGACGGCGATTTCTTGTATTTACATAGGGTACCTTCTAAACGCATGTATTGCATTGAGCATCTCAACACATGTCAGGGCAAGCCGTCGTGGTATTGCCGGGGTGGACTCGAAGCGTTCTGGGATTACAATTGCGCCATGCGTCAGAGCATGTTTGATTGCCTAAATGGCTATGATACATTTGGACTACAAATCTCTACCTGAATGGTTACAGATTTTTTCCCGTTCTTCCCGTCCCATAGCGCCAGGTTTGCCAGGTATGCCAGATATGCTAGGAAGTACACTAATGTACAGTATCAAAGATTACTCTCATCATCTCTTAATCCAGTTCGTGTGCTGCACAATGGGCTTATCGTCCCTTGGATCGGGCTGGACCATGCGTGCCCTCTTCAGCTCCTCACGTTTCTCGCGCTTCAACTGCTTCTCTTGCTTCCTTGTCGGCATCCGTACGGACCACCAATTCTGGCCGAAAATGTTGGATTTGATCGCTGCATTGACAGTTAGTTATGACTGACTACGGTAAGACATAACAGCCGCAACACCTACCATCCACACAGTAGGGACACAGAAAATGTGCCCGTTTTACTCTCCCGCACGCAGAACACTTATTAAGATTCGTGAGGTCTTTCAGGCCCTTGCCGGCCATGAACCGCGTTCGCTTCTTCATGTACGATGTCTTCTTCTTCGGCACCGCCTTCAAAACTCCCTCCCAGATATCTGATAACGACGGTATCGATGGCAGCGAGAGGGGTATGGCGAGTGTAGCGAAAGGTGTGGGTAACGTGCGGAATGGCTGTGCTAGGCGCTGCAACAGCGGCAAGTTCAGGACGGGGCGCGCGGGGCCATTGAGTGCGGGCAGCAGCGTCTGCCACAGCGGCGGCAGCGGGCGGGCAAGAGCCATGGCGATGGAGTGGACCGGATGGAGATAGCGCGTGTTTTTCCGTTGCCGGCGATAAGTTTTTGGTGTTGAGAATTGCCAATGCACCCCAGTCCCAAGCTCCCTCACCCTAGCCACGTCTAGGGCTAGTGCGCTTTCGCTTCGTGGCTGCCCCCTTTCCGCGCCAGCAGGTGCGCCAGAAAGTCCACCGTGACTGCCCTGCATTGTTGATACACACGCCCGCCCTCACTCCAGTCTCACAGCCTCATATCATCTCCCCAGGCCACCCGCACACGAAGCCGCCGCCTCGAGGCCCACATTACCCGCAATGGCTGCCGCATATGGAGCACCGCAGCAGTCGGTCTACCCTGAGAGCTATGTCGGTTTCGACAGCATCACCAAGCAGATTGAGAAGAAGCTCGTCAAGAGGGGCTTCCAGTTCAACATCATCTGCGTCGGTAAGCTTCACGCGCGCGCAGCAGCATCTTGTAGTGAGGCTCTCGGAGAATTGTTGGGCTAACGGCTGCGCAGGACAGACTGGCCTCGGCAAGTCGACCCTCATCAACACCATTTTCGCCTCGCACCTCATAGACAGCAAGGGTCGCATGCTGCCCGACGAGCCCATCCGCCAGACCACCGAGATCCAGGCTGTCTCGCACACCATCGAGGAGAATGGCGTTCGTCTGCGCCTCAACATCGTCGACACCCCCGGCTATGGTGACCTGATCAACAACGAGCGCTGCTGGGACCCCATTGTCAAGTATATCAAGGATCAGCACAGTGCCTATCTGCGCAAGGAACTCACTGCTCAGCGTGAGCGCTATCTCCAGGACACGCGCATCCACTGCTGCCTGTTCTTCATCAACCCCTCCGGCCACGGCCTCAAGCCCATCGACATTGTCGTCCTCAAGAAGCTGAGCGAGTTCGTCAACGTTGTTCCCGTCATCGCCAAGAGCGACAGCTTGACGCTTGAGGAGCGTGCCGCTTTCAAGGAGAGGATAAAGGAGGAGTTCGCCTTCCACAACCTGCGCATGTACCCCTATGACAACGAGGAGCACGACCAGGAGGAAGTTGCACTCAACACCTCTATCAAGGTAAGCACCTCCACAATATCTGAAGTGGTTCACAAATTAATTCTGCATAGAGCATCATTCCCTTCGCTGTCGTGGGCTCCGAGAAAAACATCGTTGTGGAAGGCAAGCAAGTTCGGGGTCGCCAAAATCGTTGGGGCTTCATCAATGGTATGTCCATTCCACTTCCCCTAGCTTCATACTTACTAACGGCTTTGCAGTTGAGGATGAGAATCACTGCGAATTCGTATACCTCCGCAACTTCCTTACCCGTACCCACTTGCAGGACCTGATCGAGACCACATCGCAAATCCACTATGAGTCCTTCCGTGCTAAGCAGCTCCTCGCGCTCAAGGAGAGCTCCGCCGTTGGTGGTGGTCACGGCTCGCGTCCCATCTCACCTGCCGCAGACCGCGAACTCAGCAGGAACAGCCAGCGGATGACCATGAATGGGTACTAGGAGTTCCCTACTCATAGTCGGGTCGACAGCGTTGGGGCCAAGACGGCGGGACTTCCTGGGCCAAGAGTCGCCCCGATGATCGATCCGATCAGTTGAGGGGTTCGAGGGCAAGGCGCAGGAAAGAGAGAGGGTGGTTTGCGGTATGATACCAGTGCAGGTCTTAGCACGTTGACTTAGCCGAAGGGGCGTTCGTTGTGGATTGCAAAGCGCTATACATTCTAATAACTTCTTTAGTAAAGCATGGATTATTCTTCACTTCGATCTTTCTCCTATGTTCAGCAGAGGTGGGGGTGGTGGATTTGGTAGACCAAGGCTTAGCTGGTTATACCTGGGTTGAGCTCTAGGATAGCGGTGGTAATTGAGACAAAAGTGCATTACGAGGATGTTATGGTGTCTCAATGTGCAGCATTGGTCGTCTTCACCTTTCACCCTGCTATATCGGCTTCTACACGGTCTCGTGTGACAGCGTAGTTCTTTCCTTCACAGCACCCTGCACGCGGGACGTCAGACCATTTCCCTAGGGCTCGTTTATGTCGCGTGACCAGATCGCCTGGAGGGGAAGTTGCGATCTAAGCTTTAAGCAACGGAGCCGCACCGGAAAGTGTTCGACCTACATTGATACTGTAAAATTAAATGGGTTTCACTGCAGGCACATCACATCAAAACGCTTCCCGCGAAGGCGCAGAATCAAGAGCACGATAATACAAGCACAGAGAACATCCGATCCACTGGGCACCACCCGAAGAATAACGCATGCATGGCTTCAAACACGGAGCAGCGTGTCGCCAAAGATCTTGACATTTTGTAAACGTTGATTGGACCAAGATGGGCGACACAGTGAGCCAAGCTCTACCGAGGACATCATGTGTAGTTACCAATGCCTCGTACTAGACTCACAACGGAAGCTCGCATTATTCCGTATCAGTAGCGGCTTATCGGTTCGGACCTGCGGTTGTTAGACACAATCATCGGAGGAATGCAAGTCCATAATGGCTGCATGATGAAGAAGGATTATGCTGGGTCTGCTGGCCATTGTGTTATGATGAATGCCTGCAGTCTTCATTGGCGACCTCCCTTCGTCCCTGTCTGTAGGGTGATATGATACTGAGCGTTTGATTAGGCTGGCGCTGGCAGTACAAGACCACCAGGACCACACTGGTACGGGAGCGAGGTCGTTCCAACGGCATGCAAAGAACGGAGGTAGGCTCTGTACCAGGGCACAAAGAGTCGCTGCCCTACGTGGGTACGTGGAGCTCCAGTGGCGAGTGCTTGTGCGTCTCCGTCTTCATCTTCGTCTTGCCTCGCTTCCGGCAGCCTTCAGCTCAAGAACCTGGACCCAACAAAGTCCTCGATGCTGTCATCCCCCTTCTTCTGCTTCGCAGCACTGATGCGGATATTCCCGGCCGCAGTCTCTGGCGCCTCTCCATCCGGCGATGATGGGCTTCCTGTCTCGCCAACGATGCGCTCAATGATCTTAGCCTTCGCCCGCCCGCGCTTTGACCGGTCGTCAAAGTCGGCAACTGCATCCTCGGTGTTCAGCGTGCTGAAAGTCGCGGGGTCGGTCAGGGCGTGCAGCATCTGGATGTGTTTTTTTAACCGCTCGTTGACGCTTAACGTTGGTAAAGCCGCTTCATTCTCGCCATTGACGAGGTCGTTCTTTTCGGTGGTGATGGTAGTGGCAGAAGGTAACCGAGCTCCCCAGACGGCAGCTCTTCCGTGCAGCTGGCCCAAGGCCGCGAACTTGTCGAAGCCTTTTTCGAGACCGAAGATCCGGCCTTCGATACGGCCGGCGTGGGAGCCGTCGGCGGCGCCTTGGGCGTAGGCGGTGGTGTAGAGGTCATCCTCCAACGTAAGGAGGAAGTCAAAAGGGTCCGGGTTCAAGTGAGCCATGGCTGCCGAATGATTCCACGGACGGGACGTTGGCAATCCACGGAGCCAGAGGGTGTCGCGTGCTAGCGCGGAAGTGAGTCAGCAGGGTCTGTGGCGGTGGTGGCGTGGCGGGGTAACACTGCGTTTTCGAGGTGTTGGTGGGGCAGGTGCAGCTGCGCCTGTGTTGGAACGCCCAAAGTTCGGGGACTAACAATTTATGAATCACACTCAGCTTCTTCCCATATAGCTGACTCCCGCCCCCGCTCGGTCTCTTTGTCCTGGCCTTCCACACATACACTATATACCCCTGATCTCGCTCTCCATGGCTGATCCAAAGAAGAAGATCCTGCCCATCGATGGCGAGCGCAATGTGCTCATCACCAGCGCACTTCCCTACGTAAACAACGTCCCGCACCTGGGCAACATTGTGGGCTCCGTGCTCTCCGCCGACGTCTTCGCTCGCTATTCACGCGCCCGAGGTTACAACACGCTCTACATCTGCGGCACCGACGAGTACGGCACCGCCACTGAAACAAAGGCCATTGAAGAGAAGGTCACGCCCGAACAGCTGTGCGCCAAGTACAATGCGCTGCATGCCGATGTGTACAAGTGGTTCAACATTGGCTTTGACCACTTCGGTCGGACTCCGACGCAGCAGCAGACAGACATCGCCCAAGACATCTTCACCAAGCTGCACAAGAACGGATACCTCGAGGAGCAGACCACAACACAGCCATACTGCGAGACCCACAACAGCTTCCTGGCAGATCGTTTCGTTGAAGGTACCTGTCCCCTGTGTAATTACGACGATGCCCGAGGTGACCAGTGCGACAAGTGTGGGCATCTTCTCGACCCGCTAGAGCTCATCAAGCCTCGCTGCAAGCTGGACGGTGCGACGCCTGTGCCGAAAGAGACAAAGCATGTATACCTCTTGTTAGACAAACTCCAGCCCTTGGAGGAGGAATGGTTCGCAAAGGCCAGCAAGGAGGGCAACTGGAGCTCCAACGGTGTTCAGATCACATCTAGCTGGTTGAAGGAGGGTTTGAAGCCGCGAGGCATCACCCGCGACCTCAAGTGGGGTACTGCCGTCCCGCTTGAGGGTTATGAGAACAAGGTCATGTATGTGTGGTTCGACGCATGCATCGGTTACGTTTCGATAACGGCTACCTACACGGACGAGTGGGAAAAGTGGTGGCGCAACCCGGAGAATGTGAAACTCTACCAGTTCATGGGCAAGGACAACGTGCCCTTCCACACCGTGGTCTTCCCCTGCTCCCAGATCGGTACTGGAGACAAATGGACCATGCTGAACACCATCTCCACCACCGAGTACCTTAACTACGAGCACGGAAAGTTCTCCAAGTCAAGAGGAATCGGTGTCTTCGGTAATAATGCGAAAGAAACCGGTATTCCTTCTGACGTCTGGCGCTACTACCTCCTCTCTCATCGCCCGGAGACTGGTGACACGGAATTCGAATGGAAAGGCTTCATCGACTCGAACAACAACGAGCTGCTGAAAAATCTGGGTAACTTCGTCAACCGTGTCATAAAGTTCGTGAACTCCAAGATCTACAACTCTGTCGTACCAGACTATACCAAGTTCACAAGCGAGTACTTGGGCGAGCACAAGAAAAAAGTCAACGAATCGCTGAAGCGATACATTGCAGAGTCGGAGGACGTCAAGATCAGGGCCGCCCTCTCGACAGCGCTCCACATCTCGAGCTTGGGCAACACGCTCTTGCAAGATAACAAGCTCGACAACGCCTTGGCCACAAACGAACCGGACAGGTGTGCTGCCGTGGTCGGTCTGGCACTTAGCCACATCCATTTGCTCTCCTCCCTAATCCACCCGTACATGCCCGACACCACGACGTCCATCCTCGCCCAGCTAAATGCCTCCTTCCTCACCATTCCCGATGATTGGGAAGCTCGCTCACTGCCTGTCGGCCACAAGATCGGCAAAGCGGCTTACCTCTTTTCGCAGATCAAGCCGGAGCGTGAACAGGAGTGGAGGGAACAATTTGGTGGCGAGGAGGCACGGAAAGCAAAGGAGGAGAAGGCCGCCAAAGCTGCGGCGAAGAAGGCAGAGAAGGAACGCAAAAAGGCGAAAAAGGCTGCGGCTAAGGTTGGAGAGGGTGTTGAGGCCAGCGAGAAGGGTGGAAAGGGAGAGATACCCGCTGAGAAGACGGCTGTTGAAGAGGTCGCGGAAGGCGTCAAGCAGACGAGTCTACAAAGCTCGTAGTATGGAATTCAATATTTTGGGCGCGTTGGTTCGTCTGTTTTTCTGGTTTGTATTAGTTGTATTAGTTACGAAGGAGCGGTTCGGGCTGGTGGTGGGACAGATAGGCATAGTAAAAGCGGGGTCTGAGGAGTTTGAAACGGCGATCAACAAAGGGAAGGGGAATGAGCGGGTTGTTATATCGCTCAGCTAGTGAAGTCGCATCTCGAACACGACAAGCATTTCTGGTATTGCAATCCATTGCCATATGGCCAAGTGGCTTATGATAGGTCCGATTCTACCTCTTTTGCACATGCCCAATGCAGTGATCGTTGCTGTACTTCGACTACTTAATAGCGTTAGATTGTGCAATCTATGTATCGCGAATCCCTACCACAACCTCCGTCCGGAGCCAATACCACGGCTATGCACGGTGGCATTGTTTGTCAAGTGTAAATTAAATTAGATTAAAACACAGAAGCATCTACCTACGATAGTAGATACAACTCCGATTGCGTCAACATCGACCTTCGAGACACTACGTTGTTTTATCCCTTAACTTCAGCTCCTTTCCGATCAAACTACAGAATCGCAAGGAATCCACAACATTAGCAACGCAATACTCGTGTGTTTGAGATTGCAGCGAAGAAAGAAGGACCACCTTCACCGTCCTTACCACCGCAGCACAATGCGCGCGTTTCTTCTGCCACCGCTCATCGCCCTCGTCGCCGCGCGAACAGTAGCGCAAATACCTACACCACCCATACCGCCGCCTCCACCATCTGAACTTCCCTCACCTCCTTCAGGTGCTCCTACAACTCCACCATCTCAACTCCCTACACATGGTCCACCACCAGCATCGCTTTCCATACCCACACCTCCGCCAGTGCCATCACCATCGGTACCCTCGTTTCCTGGGAATGTCAAGCCATCTACGCCTGCAACACCGTCTGCGGCCACGGTGAGCCTGGCGACGCCAACTCCAGCAACGCCGACGCATACCAGTCCATCCACGCCCTCGATCTCGTCAGCGGCAAGTCCTTCGCCTGCGGGAACTGGGGCAGGTGTGAAGAGGGGATCGTATGGGTGGGGACTAGGAGGGATGGTGGTGATTGGGGCGGTTAGAGCGTTGCTGTAAGGTTCTCAATACCAGCAGATGTTTCAAGGTGGATGTTAACATGGATGTGAGAATTGCGTAGAAGCATGTGAAGCAACATTTCAAAAAATAAGAGTGTACATAAAAAAACTACCATGAGCTTGGGATAGTCTCGCCTCTCCTGAGGATGATATGGAGGTTGAGAATACATTTCAAAGTAGAGAGGTGTCGCACGCTTAACGTATGTGATGACTAGATCAGCGATGGACAAGAGACTACAGATCCGCAAGTACGCGGTGTTGTCGTTAAGTGGCCATCATCTTCCAAAAATAACTTTCGTCATGGTGGAAACACTCCTGCCAGGAACGAAGTATTACGAAGGAATGTTGTAGAACTTTTTAACCCCCCATGTACTGTTCCTCTGATGCATTCATGCCCAGCATGATAGACGGAAAGCAGTGAACAAGCGAACTTTCCGAAGTAAGATATCGAAAAGCGGGTGGAGGTAAACATCCCGAGCAAACGCAACCTATGGCCTAAACTCGCATTGTTCTCGAAACTTGTAATTCTTGCAAACACCCTTTTCTTCTCTAATAAGTTAAAAATTTGCCATCCGTTCTTGCTACTCACGCGTTAGCAAAAGAAGCATACTGACATATACGCTTTTCAGACCCTCACGATGTCCAATCTTCTGCGCGAGCATGAGATGGGGAAAGAGGAAACGCGATTCGAAGACTACGACAGATCACAATGACTACAATGATGACGCTGGCTCCAAAAGATCTCAGAGTCGCCCGATGAAGAGGGAATCCTAGGGGTTCCACGTGGTGACTCTGGTGAGCTGGTGGATGACGCTGCACATAGCGTACATTCTGAATGCATGTGGTCAAATGCATTGCTCGGGTTTCAGGATCCACATGCGTTAAACTACTGGAGATGTCCTGCAGGACCGCTTTCATGGTGCTATATAATAATGGTGTCAAGTATGCTGCTATCGACTTGAACCTGCGGAAGGATACCATCATCCCTGTCGGCAAGAAACGTAACAAGCATGTAGAAGTCTGAAAATCATTGCTTAGACACTACGATACCTGCGTCTCAATAGTCTCCTCGTCTACATCATCTCGCACAATAATTCCCAATGGCTGTCGCCTTGGAAGGAAACTGTAGTCGACCTGTGACATCCAGAACATTAACTCCGCTGTCGAGCTTCGCGCCGTTCCCCATGCCTCCAGTGTCGTACAACCCCCTAATAGTAGTAATCTGAAATTGAGCGTCAGCATGGAGTGCCCTCATAGCACTTGAAATGTCCGCCATCACGCTTGAGAAGCTAGTGTACGCCATTGTGCCTAGGAAGCCTCCATCTAGAGCAACAGCCAGTGAATCAAGCCTCGCCGTCTGCTACACTCACGAGTACCACCGTGAATAATTCAGGGCGTACTAGGTCTGGTCTGGTCGCCACGCGAGTCCTCGAGGCGATGGCTTGACGACTATATGTTTGCCCGAGCTCTGAATGCGCTGTGAAGCGCCGGAACTTCTTGGATCTCAGACCTTCCACCCAGCTGCGACACTTTAGCCTGCATGAAGCAATAGCTGTGGAGCTCAAATATCACAATATGAATTGCATATTTTAGGGGCCCTGTGCCGCCTTTCTCGACTTAGACTGCAAGACTGTAAGTGCAAGTGATCATGCGGGTGGGCGGTGCTGAACGAAAACGCTCTAAGTTCACCCAGGTATATAGTGAACTCTATCAAACAGCCTCATCGACACCACTCAGCCATGTTCAGGATCTTTGAATGCCCTCTAGAAAGGTGCACTCTTGGAAAGAACTGCAGTACATGCATCCTAGGTGGCAAGGGATGTGCGGGGAATACGGGGGACGGTTGATGTTGCAGCTGCTCTCCTTTCTAAAGTGCATTACATGGATACGCGGCACCAGAGAGGAAGTTCGGCTACGTATAGCAGGTGCCTAGCCGCAGGCGTCACAGCCACGTCGTCGCCAACGCATGCGTAGGCGTGGTGTACACACATCCGAGATGCGGCACAGTCGCGAGCAAAATGGCCCCAAGAGCCGTGAGACTATGAACCCCGGTACTCGGCAGCTACTGGCCTGTTCACAAATTCCGGTTTCTGTGTAGGGCGCGTCTGGTCGCTGAAAGGATGCGGCGAGTAAGTTTGCTTGCCAACAGTAAGTTTAAAGTCTAGATGTTGGTGGTCGGTATCGTGATATCGTTCGCTTGACGACGCTTTGGCGGCGCAGTCATCCCGCCGATGCCGTAGGCAGTAATTCCTTGGATGTTTGGACTGACACATTGCTGTCAGGCGTGACATGCGATGCACACCGACTTGGCAAAGAGAATGAGCTCAAAGGCGTTAATTTTGGATAATGCGGCAGAACAATGGGAGTCTGTTGTGGCCTGCAGCTTTGTACTACCAAGCAGGTAACCTGTCCAGCCTTCGGGGATGCGACTGGGTGTGCGTCGACGGAATTAGGCCACGTTTTGACGGTCTGCGTGCGGTGGAAAAGTGCGTCAGGCCTCGTCATAGCTGAACTGATCAACACTTTCTCGGTCAGATTCCTGGCATGCATGGTGCTGAATCTAGTACTTGGTGAAAATACCAGGGATAGCGAAGGTGTTCGCTCATGTACGCGAAACCGCATGATGTCGGATTGAGGCTGCGGAAGCAATCACCTTGACCTCGCTTTCAAGAACAATGTGGACGTTCCTTCCTATGTGCAGCCATTTCACCGATGGAAGGAGAATTTATGCGCGCTTATGCTGGAATACATAGCTGCCTTAGCCGCGTCGAGCGCCATGGAGAGCCATGTTTAAGCGTTTAGTCCTAGTGCATGTGCTGAGAACGAATGGCGGTCAGCTACAGCCCATCGTAACCGGCATGGTTTGTGTGAGACCCCGCAACGTCGGTTCGATAAGTTGCACAGCGCATGGGAACGATGGAGCTTTCGAGGATATGGTGGACATGCTACGCACATAGGCGACAGGGCATGATCAAACAGCGCGCCGCCTGCCCTCGCTCGCCTCTAACAATTGTAGTGTTCGGTTGAGACGAATTCCATATGCATCATGGGATTGCATTTTGCAAGTGGCTGTCTGCGGCGGAGTGGCACAGCTCTCTCAGGGTCGTTGCTAATCCGCTTTGAACTTTTGCTGACTGCACCAGAGATTATTGTTGATCGTTTGGACAAAGACTGAGTGGGTCGGACCAGGTTTCTAGGTCAAGACATACTGAGGAGCGTGCTGAACCGAGGCAACCGGCGTTCTCCGCTAGTCGATGAAGGCATGCCGCATCGATGCATTCGAGAAGCCGTGTAGTCCTTAATCTCAACACAGCCCTAGAAATGTGGTCACAAGAGCTTCAGCCTCCCCTGTAAGTCTGGGGCGTTTGGAAATATCGATTTCCGCCAAGCGCTGCGTCGACCAGTAATCGGCCCAGGACGACCAACATGACAGGTACGGAGACTTACTTGCTGCCAGGGCCCTGGATCGCGGCAAGGGAACAAATCCGATACTTTTGCGGCACAGGTTCGTTGACGAGATCAGAGTTGATGTAATAAACAACAATCCCTTCTGGAAAGGGAATGATGAAAGATGGGACGCAGACTGGTGAAAGTCAGCAACTCTTGGCTTCGTGGGCGAGAAATCCATCGATCGGGGACGCGAAGTTAAGCGCGATTCAAGTTAGAGTCAACGGGCAGACTGCTCGGTAGGCAGATCAGGCGCGAGCATGTACATAAGCGCAGAATCCTTCGCGTTCCCTGCTGACTGATCCTTCATCAAGCGAACGGCGGATGACGACAGTAGCGGTAGAGAGCGCATGCATCCTAGTACGGACTCGGTATCCAACGCGGGAAGGAGGACGGCCACCATTTCATGCCGGTGTGAAGTACATCCGGCGTCTTGCGGAAGTACAGACGTGGAGTCTTGCTGTACTGCCACCGTCCCAAAGACTCGACTCGCTCGGGAGCGGCCCGGGCCCAGGACGCAGGATGCATAAAGGAAGGGTGGCAGACTGAGTGCAAGCCGACGCAGGCGGTAGAGAAGATGGAGCTGCGCCGCAGATTGTTGTTACGATGGACATAGACTACCCTGGCCCACGGTACATGGGTACATGTGGCAGAGTACTAGAACAGGGTATAGGGCCACAAGGCACTCTGTCTTGGACGCAGGACCGGCGCTGGGGTGCGCTTCAAAGCGAGTCTATAAGCAGAGCATACTGTATAGCCCCCCGGTTAAGTTGCGACCGTTTAGCCGAGCACTTGGCCAGCTGCGTCGACGGCGCGGCCGTGGGATTGGGAGGGTGAGCGTGTGAAGGGGCGCGTAGGGGTGGAGTGGAGCGGCTGCAAGGTTGCTCGCGGGCGCTCGTACCGGCAGACCGACGAAGGCTGATTACACACGGTAGACGCGAGCTGGCACGCATGCGTCGAGAGCGAGACAAGGCAGCCAGCGGAGACATTGGGAGGACGTGCGCGGCGCGGCAGCGTGCTCACACAAGGCACAGGGGCGATGACAAGACGGGGATGGCGCAGGAGGCGAGGCGTGTGAGTGAGTGCTTCGAGGCTGCAGGGGGACACAGGGTCATGGTGTGACTTGGATGCGCGCGTAACGGAGAGACAAGACGGCTCGAGGAGGGCTGGCCGGCGGTCCCCCATACGCTACCAGGGCGCTAGAACAACGGGCCCCAGGTCGAGCGAACGGGCGGAAGGGCCCTTTCTGCGCGCGACGAGTGCGGAGGCGATGAAACAGGCTGGCTGCGGGCGGCTAGCGGTGGTGGTGGTGCCGGCGGCGGTGCCGCGGAGGTCGACGTTGGCGCCCGCAGGCAGGAGCGACGCAGCGACGCAGCGACGCAGCGACGCAGCAACGGGCGCAGAGGCTGCTGCGGAACGGGCACAGGCACGGGCGCAGGCACACGCGGGGGCTGGCGGGCGTCGGCGGTGGGCGGTGGACGAGGGCTTGGGAGGCGTCCGAGGTGCAGTTGGACGGTGGGCGTGAGATAGGCGCGCGTCGCGGTTGCTCAAAAATAGGGCCTGTCTCACCCGCACGGCAGCCGGCTGCGCGGGCCAATGGGGGCGGCCCACGGCCCTACTCTGCTCGAGACACTCTCGACGAGATGCGCCGCGACCCGCGCTGGGCTGCCGCTAACGCCCATCCTCGCCTCCGGTCGCTCCTGCCACCTTGCCGGGCCCGTGCGGCCTGTGCGCGCAGCTGCTAGCGCTCTTTCGACCCCTGTCGGCCCACAGGCAAACAACCCTCCTCCACAAAAGAATCCCCTCCGTAGGGCTCAAACGTGCGTTTTTCGCGAAAAAAACGTGGGCGAATGTCTTACAGATGCAGGTCCGTGCGGACCCTTTTTTTCGCGCGTCCGCACACGCTCTTAAGCGCATTTGGCGCGGTCCAGCCGCGGCCGCTGAATGGCGGATAAGCGCCACGCTAGAGCACCCCTGCGGCTGTCGCCCAATCACCACCACCCCGCGCGCTCGTCTGCATGAGGGCGTGCAGGGCCCCATCGCATCGCAGGGAGCCTCGAGTAGATCTCCGCCTGGTGTGGCCGCCCCTCGTGCCCGAGCTGTACTCGAGCCTGCTGCCGCCCTTATACACCGCTCTCGCCATCGGCGTGCGTGCGTGCGTGAAGCTGTCGCCGTTGCCGTTGCCGTTGTTGCTCAAGTCCAAGTCCAAGTTCAAGCTCTCCACCATCAGTGATTGCGTCGGCTGCGTCACCCGACCTCGGATTCCAGCAGCCTCACCAACATTCCGTCGCCCGGACAGAGCACCCTCATCTTGCTGCCTGCCTTGCCCGCACCCACCGGATTGCACCGCAGCGCGGGAAAAGAGCCGGACACCAGCCATTTCACCACTCCAAGACCACTCCACCACCGTTCCGTGGCCATCTCCATCCGCCTGTAAGCGCGAAAGCCGCCTCCCCAGAGTAGGACAAGGAGACACCCCGCTGGCGTGTTACTTTCCTGCCCTTAGAGACACATTCCCTCTTCTGAGAAACAGCCCAGACCTGGCGGGGACGGTCACTGCAATCCAGCACTGAGTATAGACGTCATCACCCAACGAACGCGGTTGTGAAGACTGCCCTCTGTGCTGCTCCTGCTTTCCACCAGCCCACCATGCCGTCCATGGTGCATGCACCATTGATCAACCCTGGTTTCTTCAAAGACAAGACCGGAGAGCACCTAGCCTCTGCCTTCACTGCCGTGAATGGAAGGAACTCCCCGCCTTCACCACCGCCCAGACTAAATGCTTCGCACGGCATGACCACAAACACCCAGCCGCGACCCGTATCTCGGCATAGCCCCGACCACCCACAGGAGCTGAAGCCCCGCATGCCTGGTAGGGACAATTGGAGCCCTCCGCGACCTACAGTTGCAGCTGTTCAGCAGAACGGCCACCAGAACGGCCACCAGAACGGACACCAAAACGGACATCGGAACGGAAACAGTTCGAAATCACCAAATCTATCCAATCACGACAGTCCACCTCTGAGTCCCGGCAAGAGGAAGAGATCGACCTCAACCGAGGGCGACCGCTCACATCCTTCTCCAAACGGCGCTACAGGGCAGCGTCGCCGCTTAGACTCACATGCTCCCATGGGCAGGAGCGACTCACCTAATACCATCGCCCAAGTTCAACAGCTGGTAATGGATCATCCACAGGCCCGCACTCTGCCTCCTTCTGACAGGATCGATACCGAAAGGTCTTGGGCCCCCTACGATGGATATTCAGAGCCCCATCCCCAACACCGCGATCTACTACGCACTACGGATTCAGACTCGCATCAAAATTCCGCTAGCCAGGCGCAAATGAGTGCAGCAGATGCCCAAAATGGCCTTGAACGAATCAGCACGACTGAGATCACAAAAGCGGGCGTTCAAGTGGACCACAAGAAGCGGAAGAGGGTAAGCGCAACCCACCAGGATCAAGATGTATCTAATTGGGATAGCAATTCGCCAACCGAACCAAGACCGGCTGTGGGACATGCCGGCGGCGCAAGAAGAAATGTGACGAAACGAAGCCCGAATGTGCGTTTACTACTACGTTGCCGCTAAACTAGATGCTGATCTAATCAAGGCAATAACTGCCAACGCGGTGGCTTCATCTGCGAAGGCTATGCCAACAAGGTGCCGTGGCCCAAGAACGGTACACCGAGACCGGCTGCCCCCCTAGTAGCCAAGGATCGGTTTCCCCCTGACCCGACACAGCAGCTCTATCATAGGTGAGCTCCCCATGCCTCCTGCGAATATCACTCATCTGACCGCCTCAGTCATGGCACCCCTCGGGAAGGCTACACCGATTCCACTTCTCCAAATGGGACTGATGGCGGCCGCGGTCGCCCAATTGTTGTAGAAGAGCACGACCACCCATCTGCAAGAAGTAATTGGACGAATGGATGGAATGACACACCCCGCCCAGCATACTCGCAGGAACAGCACCCTCATGCTGAATACGCGCCTGCACCCCCGCCTTCCAACTATGGACGGCCTCCGTCAAGTGAGCATCATGTACCTTCATCCACTTCTGCGCCACCACCTCCACGACAACACACCGCTCGCAATTACCACCATACTCAAGAATCGATGGCAAAGCACCTCAACAACAAAGGCACTCCTATAGCGAATGAACTTCATTTATCGCAGCCGCCGATGATGGTTTCCCACAATGCTTCTGCTGGTCCACCGCCGCCCCAGCACTATGCACCGCCTCCACCGAGGCATGAGAAGAGCGAAAAGGCAAAAATGTTGAATGAGGAGCCCTTCCACCCTTTCGATAGAGAACTCGTTGCGGAGCGCGAGAAGTGCAAGAGCGCTGTGTATCGCTTCAACAACACGAACAACCCTCATCTAAAGATATCTCCCGATGAAGTGGAGCGGAACTTTCGGTCGATCCTGGCAGCAAGCTGGACCCAGACTTTTGGTGGCAACGCACCTACAGGGCATTTAGGTAAACCAGTCGTCGTCGAAACACCGTTCTATTGCGACTACGGCTATAACATTCATATTGGCAGCAATGTGGCCATAGGAATGGACTGCAAGTTTCTGGATTCGGGTGATATCACGATTGGCGACAATACGACCATTTGTGCGAACGTGACGATCGATACAGTGAAGACACCAAATGACCCAAGAAGTGTCAAGGGTTGCGGCCCGTATCGCACCTCGACGGCCGCAAAAGTCCACATTGGCAGAAATGTATGGATTGGAACAAACTGCCTCATCCTTGCTGGCGTCAGTATCGGTGAGAACGCCACAGTCCACCCCGGGTCTGTCGTCGTCCGAGTAAGTGTAAAGAAGTGTCACTCTGAAAACGGCAACTGACATAAGCAGGATATTCCCGCCGAACGCCATGCGCGCGGCCCTCCCGCTGACTATGTTTAATTCTTATATACCTTTTGCGCATCATTTGTTCTAGTAACCCTGTGTGGGCATCAAGGCTTTGTGGTGTTTTGTATTTTTGGCGGATACCCTGTTTTTTTGTAACTACTTTTTAGAGGTTTAGGGACTGGTGAACGATCAAAAGAGAGGCAACCCTGTGTAGGATAGGATAGAACTGGCAAGCCCACGAACTGGACAAAGGAACGCCTGGAAACACGCTTTAGCGCGATTCGGAATCATCAATCTTTGTTCTGCTTTACCATCATTGCCAACATATGAGACGAAAACTTTTGCTAAAGATATCTCTCAAACGGCCCCTGGGACGACATGTTCATGTATGGAGCCCTGGAGTAGAGGGCTACACGTGACCTACCACTATGGATAGCGCGCAACGCTCGGGCCAGCCTTTCCCAAAAATCTCCCGGATCCATCACCACTCCAATCCATCAAATCACTTCCGACCACAACGATGCGGCCCATGGCGCCTCTCAATTGGGGCCTTTTGCCCCCGTCGTTTCTTCTGCCGTCGTCAACGCGCTCCTTACTTTCTCTGATATCGCTCTCCGCAGCACCCTCACATACGACCATCCGCACCATCAAATCAGTCAATACCCCCCGGCCCGACCGCTTCGCCCACCACCCCAAGAAGCCTGCCTTGAACAGCACATCCCGCGCGGCGCTTGCCCGGAAAGTAGCGACCACCCCCCTCCGCACCGGCCTTCTTGCACAGAAATGCGGCATGACCGCCGTCTTCGATCCCGAGACCGGAAAACGCACTGCTTGCACGGTGCTGCAGCTCGACCGCAATGAGATTGTTGCGCACAAAACGAGGGAGAAGAACGGGTACTGGGCTGTGCAGATCGGAGCCGGATCTAAGCTCATCGAGAACACGAGTAAGCCTATGCTGGGCCATTTCGCTGTCGCGGGAGTCGAGCCGAAGAGATGGATCATGGAATTCAAGGTCAGAGGAAAGGAGGGGCTGGGGCTTCCCGTTGGGCAGACAGTAGGCGCGAGCTGGTTTAGTGTGGGGCAGTGGGTGGACGTCAAGGGCATAAGTAGGGGGATGGGATTTGAGGGTGGCATGAAGAGGCATGGATTCAGCGGTCAGCCTGCGTCCCACGGTCAGTCGCTTATGCACCGTGGAATGGGTTCCGCAGGAGGTTCGCAGGGCTCCGGTTCTCGAGTGCTGCCTGGGAAGCGCATGGCGGGCAATATGGGCAATGAGAGTGTCACGGTGAAGAATTTGAAGGTGCTGCAGGTCGATGAGGTGAATGGGATCGTGGTTGTCAATGGTATGGACACTTATTCCATCACAGACTCTGAGGAGAGAAATCCTTACTAACGATATCATGTAGGCTGCGTTCCCGGTCCCAAGAACCAGATCATCAAGGTCCAAGATGCGATAGGCAAGCCGTGGCCTGCAGGTCCAATGAAGCTCGACGAGATAATACCAGCTTCAATTGGCCCAGCTGCGGCAGCTTCTCCTGCATAGAATAGGCTAGCCGATGTTGTACATATATGGACTGTATCATACCACATCTTGTAATACCACAAGAAGGAGTTCTAGGAGGGGACAGACATATGTTCGCATGGCGGCGAACTACCTATTGGATTGCATCTGTAGCATATGTACCACCATCTCGCAATGTAGAAGTGGAATATCAGGAAAGTACCACCCATGTATCTAGCGTAACTCATCGCAGTTAACCGGATGGGCGCTGCAACTCCACTCGGAACTTCGCCACCTAGACCGTCAGGCTGCGAGTGACAATCCATCGTGCCATCTCAGCACCATGAGGCTCCTCAACTGCGCAACTCTAAAGTTTGAGGAATCCATTAACAAACGCATACCCCAATATATGATCTCAAGTCATACGTGGGAGACGTGGGAGACGTGGGAGACATGCTACAAAGACTATTGCACCATAGACGGAGTTGAAGGTGGTGGAGAAGTGGATGACGGTGGATATGCTCAGCCATTGCTCAACAGTGGCCTCGGAGCTCCGATGCACCTTCAACGTTCTTTCGTTGATCGAGGGAGGTATATGGCTAACCTCTGTGGGGTCGGGTACTGGATAGGGAAGGTTCGTTGGACGAACACGTGGCGGTGCAGCGACGGTGGGTGCCTTCCTTCCGACTTTGGGCCACAGAGCCTGAGCCCAGGAAAGCAAATGCAGGCGTACGCACCTTGCTTCCCTTACTTACTCCAACTTTGCTTCTACTTCGGCTTTCCAACTGGCTCTATTATATGCGCCAGGGTTTGGGAGCTTGAGATAGCGACGTGAGTCGGGGTTTGCGAGATACGCAGAATGGCTTTCCCACGACGTGCATACCGCCTTCATGTGAGCGGTTGGAACATTAAATATGACAGTGGAAATAGCAATGGGTACGATGATCGATTATGCGACTTCGCTTCCTCAGCGAACAATCACCGAGAACCCCACGTCTTCCTTGGCCTTCGAAACTACCATTCAACGGAAGAGTCGCAGTACGACAACCACTCAGCCTATGATCGGCACAGTCACCACCAAGAATGGTGTTACTCGCGAAGTTCAGATTACATATGTCCTCCTTCAGCAGCCCGTTCCAGCCGATCGGATTACATTTCTCCCGCCCCCAATTTCGAACGATGCGACTCTTCGTACCCAATGGACACAAAAGTCACAACTGATGCCGCAGCTTTCGACAGAGCTAAGTGCACCTCTGCCTGGGAGAAAGCGGACTACCAAACGATCAAAGAAGGTGGTTATAGAGAGGTCTTCATTAAAGGCCACTGCCTCAGCATATACGAACCTGGCGATTTTAACAAGGCTAAAAACCTACTTGATGGGTATCAACGAATCGACGCGGAGACTGCAGGCGAATGCATGCCGGTATCGGATTACGGTTTCTACCGTGTAAACGGATGCAGCAGAAGACGCCAGAAAAGCATTAGATCCTATCACAACGACGGCGATAATAACGATTTCGTGAGCGATCATGAAGATGACAGGCGTGTCCTGGGCGGTCGAGCATCCAATTCGGCATCTCGAGCATCCGGACAGAGGTATGTTGCCTACGAAGAGAGCTTCGTCAGCGGAAATGGCGACGAGCGAGACAGCTTCGAAGTGTCGGATGATGGTAGTCATTCTCCAGACTGTGGCAGCACGGATGCTATTGACCATTACAGCGAGTCAGGCGCGGACGACAACAATGATGAGATAGGTGGTGACGACCTCGTGGATAACGAGACCATCGACGACTACGATGACGATGACTATGATTGATCAGGACTCTTGGGTAGAGCAATCAGGCTGGAATGGGATGGACACGTGGTAACACCGATGCACGAGCGTACAAAAGGGCGGTTAATACTTCTCAATTTTACTCCAGTCAAGTTCAGCGACATCGAACCTAATGCACTGGCCTTCACTGTATCTGATCACAGAATAATGTATACCTTAAATCCAGTCTAACGCTCCCTCGATATATCAACAGCGGCTTTCCATTTGTATGACATCTGTGAGCCGCTCGACAACATCTAGTCTCGCATCCACCGGCTACCATCGATCATGCACTACAAATCGACCCACCTGTATCTCTCCGACATTTACGCGCACGGTGGCAGATTCTCACGAGCCCGACCCTTCCAACGACACAACCGAACAGTCCCCGAGCTCCATACAACAACCATTTCGCTTCCTTGATCTCCCTAACGAGCTGCGCGTTATAGTTCACAAGGTATTTGAGGTTAAGGTAAAGCGCCACGATGTTTATAGCCCAGACCTTAAGACGCCCGCACAGCTAGACGGCACAATAATTTTGAGCAATTTCCCTAGAAAAAGCCTGCTCTAAGCTAACAGGCAGATATACTTAGAAGTGTAAGATATCTTTAATGCGTAGTTAGCTACTAGAAGCATCAACGCCTCGAATTATTATATACAATATCGAACGCTTTACGAATTTCCTAGCGATGGTAGTAATATCTCTCAGCCACAGCGAGAAAGAATGTCCAGTCAATGATACCAAAGATGCTAATTCACCTGCTTGCCACGCTTTGCATTAATGGCACCGCAATCTAGGAGGTCATAAGGAAGCCCACAGATTGCTCGTTATAAGGCCCCAGCGAAACAATTTGAACTTGGGAACACGTGGATAGTAGAACAGATCCATACAAGGCTGCAGCAGAACGCTACCGACAACCCAGGTAATATCATCGAGCACAATTTAGACGAGTTCTCCTATCCTTCCAACCTATCACTCATAGCCCAAGACTGCAAGACAGCCATAACAATCGAGGTTTATTTACATTTGTCGACAATGTCCAGTGTCAACCCCGCTGAGAATTTAGATGCTATATGCTATCAGTACTCCGATTTCCGTCTGAGCCGTGCCTTATTGCTGGATAAGCAAGACTAATCATACTGTGCATGCATAGCTTATGACGAAGGTAAACAGAGAGTGCTCAGATTGTTTTACAACGCAGACATCTTCGCCTTGTAAGGTGTGGAAATAGTCTTATGAATATCGGAGTTGGGAGGCAGTCAAGCTTAAGGCGCTTTAGAACTGTCCGAAACGGGGAAAGACGAAACGCTTTAGCTAGGGTGCCTCTATAAACAGGTAAGGGCTATCCGGAAGCTAAACATAAGAGAACATAATTGGGAGCTATGGAAAGAAGAGGCTTTCGTGTTTACGAGCTTGAGCAATGAAGATGAACCCTGGCGTTATATCTCTTCTTTCCAGTAATTCTGAATGCACCAGAAGACTCAGTGCACCCACATTAACGGAAGCTATTCTTGTCCTGATAGTGTGAAGGCGACACTACCGCTTTGGCCTCCTCTACACTACATAGGCAATCCGGCAAGGCAGAGACCTGGCGCACCCAGGCTCTTGACGAGACGAGGGCCTCCATAGCTTAAATTAGCAACAGAACGAAGTGTGCCAAACTTCTACCAATACTCCTAATCAGGTTCGAGCAGTTTATGTTTTCGAGTTATCCGACTCGCTATTCTATAGAGCGCCTCGATGACAATGTCCTAACTCAAGAATGGATTCGTAAAATCATTAGGAGATTGGACAGAATGATCTATCAACCCCTAACGCTATTCGGGTACGACCGATGAAACTATACGTAAAGAGCTTAACGTTATGCCTAAGCTATGAGAGTATAATCTGAAACACCTAATCTATATGCGTATGTCACTCTGATGACTGAATTGTACACACTATAAGCTTCTCAGAGTCTGTTCCTAAAACACGCTCAAGCGACAGGCCGCGGCTTATGTATAAGCTAGACGAACCAAACAGGGAGATAATTTACACTACAAAAATTGTGTCTACATAGAAATTGTGCAACTTGTGCGACGATTGCCACATACCAGGCTCGGACACCCGGAGGGAGTTGGTTGGTAAGCTGAAAGACGAACAACGCTCGATTACTGACGCGGAATCTGCACCTCACTACAGTACCTCAAAGACTGATTGTGGACACTTGGAGCAAGAGGTAAGAGAGCTAACTTCCCCCCAGGATTGCCGCAGCTTGCTTCTCTGCCAGCGCATACACTGTCGCCATCGGGTGGCCCTAATGCGCGGGTACAAAGTCAGTATGAGTTAAGACGGTGTGGCGAGTGCCTTGTGCATGTCTCAGCCTAGCGAGAAAGGAATCTTTCTTCTAGCACAAAGACACATTCACTTTGTACCTGGTGGTGTGCTTACCGGTGGCAGAAACGGTACCTACGGCGGGCGTACAAAGTCAGTGTGATTCGAGACAGGCTGGACTGATACCTCGTGTATGTCTCACGTAGGCAAGGAAGTAATGTTTCATCTGCCCCAGAAAGACGCATCCACTTTGTACCGATGGGTTCACTTACTGCGCTCAAATCGACCACCCTCAGCCTCTCGATGCCAAACACCCTGCCTTGAGAATCCACAACCGCGTTCGGATCCCCATTCTTACCCATTTTGCAGGTACTACTCGCGTGGAAGAAGATTTGGGCCGACTTGTGGATATACGACAGGATATCCTCGTCCGTCTGCGTTGCATTACCCGGCGCGACCTCTTCGCCGACAAGGACTGCTTCAAGACTCTTGTCAGCAAAGATCTCTCGCGCGCGTCTGACTGCGGCAATGAGGATTTCCTGGTCGCGGGAGTCGCTGAGGAAGTTGATGTGGATGATTGGCGGGTCGAGCGCCGATGCACTCGAAATCGACACTGTTCCCCGAGAGAAGGTGTTCACGAGCGCGATGTCGATGCCGACGTAATCACTGTCGTCTGGTGGTACAGGACCAGGGTAACCTTCTGTAGCGAGAATCTCGAGGTCAGGCCAGTCTTTTGGCACGGCGGCATCGAGGTCTGCGGCTGTCTTGTTTGAAATCAGCCGACGCGGGACTTTTTCCCACCCGATGATCTCGCCTCCCGTGCCGGAGAGGGGACCAGTACCATCACGGAGGAAGGAGGCATCGGCAGCGGCGCGCTTGGCCACAGTGTTGAACTGCGTGGAGCTGGGGGTTTTGACCTTGTGGACGACAAGGGCGGCGGGATGGTCCTACTATAATCAGTGGTGGAGAAAGTCAACGACAGGAGGGTGGCTTACGTGCAGATTCTGGCCAACTCCCGGCAAGTCAGCAATCACCGGGATGCCGTACTTGCTCAGCGTGGCCTTCGGTCCAATCCCACTAATCATCAGCAACTGCGGACTCTGGAAGACTCCCGCGCTGAGGATGACCTCCTTTTTCGCACTCAGCTTCGTGACCTTACCCAACGTATTTAATTGAACGCCCACGGCCTTTGTACCCTCGAATAGAACCTTCGTCGCCATGGTGTTAGGATACACAACCAGGTTTTGGCGCTTCAGAGCCGGCCGCAAGAACGCCGTCTCCGCTGAGTCCCGCACCATTGTTTTGGGGTCTACGGAACGCATGTCCCAGCTGCTCCCAATCAATTCGCCGCCTATGTACCCTGAGATGGCCTTCATCCCCAGCGCCCTCACCGCCTTCAGGGCCCAGCTCGTGAAAGGACCAACATAGTTAGTGTAACTAACGCTCACCTCGCCGCTCGTTGCACTTTGCCCAGCAGGGTCATTTGGAGGCGTGGAGTTTGAGCTCCTCTTCGACGTATCCACTTTGTGGAAGGTGATCGATTTGTCGAAGAACTTGCGGAGATTGTTCCATGCGAACCCGTCATCGCCCACGTCTTCAGCCCATTTGTCGTATGAGCCTTTGGTGCCGCGCTGGTAGCCGATGTGGTTCCTCGCTGAGCTTCCACCCAGCGCACGACCACGAGCGTAGTGGATGGATTGGTTGCCGAAGCCAACTTCGGGCTCGGTGGTAAACATCCAGTCTACGAGAGGGTTTGCCTGAGTTGCGGGTAGTGTTAGTGTTGATAAAAGCTGAGGGTGATTGCGCGTATGCAACCCTACGCTCCATGACAGACTACTTCAAAGGCAGGCACAAGGCGACAGGGTAAAGCTGGGTGCAGTCAAAGGAGCGCTCACATCATCGAGAGTCATGCCCGTGCCGGTCCAAACATATCGCGGTATGTTGCTGACGTTGCCGTTGGAGATCTCGTAGAAAGTACCGGCTTCGATGACGGCGACGGTGTTGGCTAGGGAGGAGGAGAGACGGTTGGCGAGGAGCAGACCTGTCATCAAAACGATTAGCCACCAGAATATCAAGTAATGTCTGTGTTCTCCGGAAAGTTTAAGCGATCGGAGAGAATTGCGCGTGGTCGTGTCTGAGGGGATCGAGCGGGTCATGCTAGGGATTTCGCTCACCCGCAGTGCCGCCGCCTACGATCACATAGTCGTACGATGTATTGACGCCAGGCACGCCAAAAGATTGCCCAAGGAGCCTAAAGGCGGGGGTACAAGGTCAGTGTAATGTTCAGTGATCAGGGAAGTGGGTGAAGTAGGTGTTCTAGCCAGCTACTAGTGTCTGAAAGCTCCAGACGTAGAGGTGTAAGGCCTAGAGTCTTAAAAAATCGCTCAGCCTGAACACCCACTTGGTACCCCGACATTGCGTACTGTTGACCGGATATAGGGTCTGTAGGGGAGGATAAAATAGGGTTAGTGAAGAGTGAAGCAAGTAGGACAGGAAGACAAGTCTTAGTATGTCTGGAAATCATGCTGTAAAGGTAAGACGAAAGGGCAAAAGAGGCTTGAAGCTGTACAAAACAAAGAAGTTACTCGAAGAACAGCGTGGCCTTGATGCAAGAAACTGCTTGGCTCCCTGGATCTTTATGCATCGAGAACACTACCGAGCAGTAAGGAGCCTTATATACAGTGGTGGAAGGGGACCGCGGCCAGAGCTCATGGATCCTTTGAATCCGGTCTGCGTAGCTGCCTTTGGTCAGTCGATTCCACATGGCGTCGTTTACGAACCGGTCTGTTCCGGAGTGACAGCCTCCAGCAGGCGGAAGTGAACGAAGGAGCCTCAACGCAATGTGGCAAGACCACTACGCATCCTACACCGCATTTACTGACCATCCATTGGTGTGTAGCTGAGATCACTTCCGGTGCGAACGTCCTCAGCAGCTGTGTGGCTTGCCACGCGTTCCACCACCAACACCGCCCCTGTGAGAAAAATGACTTTTGTCTCACACGTTCATACAAGAGATCTAGAAGCCGCGAGAATACATAGATGCACAAATAAGTCTTCGCAGTTCACTTCTCATCCTGTTGTATGTGCTTTGGACTCTGGTTACTGCAAGGGCAAAGACAAGCAAAGTGGACACGAACAAGCCGTCGACCAACCTCTAGGCACAAAGCTTGAACGGACGCTTGTGTATGCGCGATTCCTAAAACTCCGGTCCGCATGTATCCGTCAGGGAAACATTTGCTGCCACGTGCGGATCGTGTTTCCAAGGTTTTCTGACAATGTTTTCCAGATCCCCGGAACGCGAAATGCAGGCACAGATGCATGTGCGAGATTTCTGACATTGCTGGGATCCGATCTCAGCAAATCCGAAAGGATTAGCCTCAGAGTAAGCATGCAAGAATTTACCAGCGTTTATTTATTTGTGATGGAGTTGCTGTTTCGCTCTTTCGCTGTTTCGCTCTTTCGCTGTTTCGCTCTTTCGCTGTTTCGCTCTTTCGCTGTTTCGCTCTTTCGCTGTTTCGCAGTGTCGCAGTGTCGCAGAGTAAAGGATGCGACTACTTGTCTCGGATTCGCCACATTTGCACTTGGCCAACACGAGCGCACTCGAAAGCAACCAACACAAGTAACTCGACCGAGTTAGGCGCCTCGATACAGGCAGATATTGTAGGGTTGACGCGATTGTCGAACAATCATATTTAGGAATCCTTGTGTAACGTATACGACGGCGACCGAGTGCTTACGCTTACATCCCCAACCTAAGCTCGTGTAGTTCGCAAAAAGCGGGCGGATCGCAGTATTTGCTACAGTCGAAGATTGGTCGAGAACGATGTTGATTTGCTACCGGACTTAGTAAGACGTACGTCTGAAGCGAGACCCGTAGCTGCGGCTTTCCCATGCTATTATTGTATCCTTGTGGTGAGCAAAAGACAGTCTGAATGAGTGATATCAGACTGTGTTCGGTCTAAGCATTTCAAGAAATTACACCAGTAGGCCTCGCACCTATGCCCATATCTACCCAAGATATTCGGGCATAAAGCTGGTGCTAGTTATTGGAATCGGCGCTTTCAGCCCTAACGGAGTTCCGTCCGGATCGAAGGGCAAAAGTCAACATCATGCTCAGTGGTCGGGATTACATCTTCCCGGCGGCGATCTCATGTTCAGTCAGTGACTGATCGAAGCTTTCGGTAGCCATGTCAGTGTCCAGCTGCTCACCAACCCTAACTAACTGGTTTGCTGGAAAGTCAAAGTCGCTTTCGAAAGATAAGAGTTGTGTGAAGCCCTCGTCTTGGTATTCAGGCTTCTGGCATATCAGACACAGTCCAGCCTGGTCCACCTCGGTCCATAACGTTCCGCAGGATGAGCACTTGAGCAAGTCCCCGTCCTCGGTGAACATGGCGACATCGTTGAACTCTGATAGGTCGACGTCGATGCTGCTGAGTGACTCGTCTTCGGATGATGATATAATCCAGTTGGCTAAAGGTTCTATACGGTAGTGCATCTCTAAGCCCTGGTTGCAATTCCAGGTGAAAGCTGCAGGCTTGTTCCATGGTGTTCTCCATCTATCAAGCAAGGTGCTCTCCTCGCTTGAGCTTTCCAATAGTGCTGTAGCTTTCCCGATGTATATCAAGTAGTGGCACAAGAGCCGCAGCAACGCTTCTTGCTTGGACTCCTGCTTACGCCATCGCGATACAGTCTGATCGAATACCTGGACGATCTGTCAGTTCTATGAGGTCACGTGTTTAGTGCTAGGCGCGGGGATCGTTCACCCACGTCTGAACAGGTATATCTCATTCCTACAACAGTGCCCAAAAGCAGCAGGAACACGGACCGTAGCTTTGAGAGCTTGTCTTCAGACGCTTCGATCTCGGTTGGGCGGACTAAGGGGTCCAGTGCCCGCAACAGTCTGTCCCCTACACAGTCGCGCACCGAGCGTATTTCTTCGTCCGTGTAAACGTCGTAACCGGCCTGCATACCGGTAGTGTAGAGATGCGTGGTCAAATGCACAAACAGTCGTAGGTATCTAGCGAGATTAGGGTCAAGTGCATTATGCAGCAAGCTCGCGTTTGAGCTGCAAGCAAAGACGCCAACGACGCTGAATGAAGGTGACGAGTCGTCCTCCGATAGCCATCGGGCAAGATGAGAAGTGGCCGCATCGACGTTAAGAGCGAATGGAATGTGGAAATCCAGGTACACATCGTCCATTGAAAGATGGTCTATGATGCTCTCAATTCGAGATTGATTCACATTAGGAGTACCTAAGTTTTCTCAGCCGACAGCGCCTGTCACCAGTCAAGCGTGGAACATACCCTCGTAGTGCCTTCGAGTTCGTGGCGGCTCGAGCAGCTGTCACGCATGTTGTACAAGGGTCGTCACCCGAGCACTGGTAGCGGTCAGCGTGATGTCCGGATGCATGTAAGAGACTTACAGCTCGTTTGAGGAGTCGACATCGTAAACAAGCACCTTTTCTTCTGATTCCCTTGACTTCTGCTTTCCTCTTGGGAGAGAATGCCGATCGTCGATGGAGACTGACATGGTTGCCGTCGATTGTGAAGCAAGAGAAGCCCCCTCGAGTGGTCAAGGCTTGGGATGGTTTCCGTCTCTTCGGAGGCGGCTCTCCTACGGGCGAACCACTGCAACCCTTTCTGGAGGGGTTGCGGGGCCCCATGTTGTATCAAGTCCCGGATGCCGTGCAAATTACGAACGTAGATGAGCCAAAGTTTGCACCGCGCAGAGATCGTCGTAGCCTCGTTACGTCAAAGTGAACAGCAGCTGTAGATGTACGAAGCAAGAGAGGAGACGAGGGAGGTGCCGTTGAGTGCAGCGATATTGAAGCGTGAATGATGGTTCCGGAACGTTGTCTGAGGAGCGCAGGATGCAGGATGCAGGATGCTCTGATTGGTGGTCGGCTCATCTTCGAACCTCTTACCGCACCCCGGATACGGCTAGCGGGATCTATTGCCCAGGGCAGAGGTTAGCCGAGGGGTCCCCAACGAGTGCCCATTGTTGAGCCGTCAGTTTCCTCGAGACCGAGCATGTTCGTCAACATTTTGAATGGATTGTACAGCAATCTAACGTGGCGTAGATTGAATCCTTGACTCCTCTATAGTAGTTTGCAACCAAAACCCGAGAGTCGTTCCGCCCTTCGCTGAGCAACTATAGTACCTCAGCTGTGGAAATCAAAGAAATCATAGAAATCATACCGGATTCGACACCGATAGGAAGTCGCCGGTCTACGCAGTGTATCAATCAAACCAACTCTCAATACTCACCAAAACAGACGACGGTTCGCGTTTGCCCCATTACACGTCGAGAGTAATCGCTTGAATCAGCGAGATCGTTCTACACTCCTTACCATGTACGCTCGTTGCGAAAGATCAGCAACCACGAGCAGCAACACCCCACCCAGATCACTCCATTTCCCTAAGCGCAAAAGGCTGCGAAGCCGGAGTTCAACCCACATCCGGGAGCCAATTCCCAACGTGCGCCAATCGCGCACATCGCCAGCCCTCTAGACATTCCAGCTCCACGTACAGCGACAATTTCCTTCGCGTGTATATCTGATCCAGAAGTGGGGATGCAGATGACTGTATGTGGTGTGGTGCACGTGTGTGGTTGGTATGCCGATGGCGGGGCGTACGAAGGCGTGCATCTGACGGTCTTGTCCAGGCCAAAGCCTCGGTATACGAAGCACGGCGAATTACAGCTGGACATGCATAACCACACAGTTTGCAGGCTTCCTTATTGGCTTGCAGGTTTGCGACGTGCTCTTGATTGCCAGGGTTACTCCTCCTGAACGCGCCCTCCACAAGGCTTACGATAGCAACAACAGGCGAGCCTCAGCGATCGTCAACTTTGGATATTGTGACCAGGATAGGGCTGATGCAGATGGTCAGCACTATACTCGGTCTGGGGGAACACCTAACCAACGTCGACCTAGCCAACATGCCCGAACTAGGGAAGCTTCTCCTTACCTCGAACGTCTTCTACTTCCTCTGCAACTGGGCCATCAAACACGCCCTCCTGCTTCTCTATTCCGGATTCACACGTGAGCGCACACACCGAATCTCCATGTACATTATGCACGTTGTAGCTTTCAGCTTTGGCCTTTCTAGCGTAGGCGTCGACCTCTTCCGCTGCCGTCCTTTCAACAAAACCTTTTATCCTGAGATACGAGTGTACTGCTTCAATATGCATGTGTTGTACTACTATAACTCAAGCATGATGCTGGCGACTAATGTGGTGCTATATGCGATGCCGGTGGTGTTTACAAGGGTTTTGATGTTGAGAAGGACACAGAGGATGGGATTGAATTGTTTGTTCGGGCTGGGTGGGCTACAAGTGCATGGCGACATCATACCTTGATGCTTGCATTTGCGTGGGGAGACAAGAAGGCTGACGAGTGTGGCAGAGTCTTAGCAGCAAGCGCTGCACGCGTGTGGGCTATCCACATAGCTGCCGTCAAGCCTGACTTTACTTGTGACTTCTCCTCCGCGTCTTCATACGCTCAACCTTTCTTCGGACATGCCTTGTGGATATCTGGTTAACAGCCATACAGTCCGCTTCGCGACCATGATGTTCTTCTCCGTGATTAGAATCACCTTGCTATCCTCGTCGCCTGCGCCCCCTCCATCAAAAACATTGCCCTCCTCATCTTCCCAAAACTCACCTCCTCCCACGGCAAAATCACCTCACGTATCACGCCGCCCACACCGTCCTTCCCTTCCTGGTCTACGCGCTCGAAATCCCGGGCATCCATCCCGCTTGGTGCTGTCGACCTCGAGGGCGGACAGTCGCAATCTCCGAGCAAAAACCAAGCGATGAAGACCTCGATTGTTAGCAAAGAGGACAATATTGGTGTATTGAGGGTGGCGCCGGGTGAGCCAAATGAAATGCATAGCAGAGATGGAGAGAGGAGAGCGAGTAGATGGTTCGCGAGGTGGTATGAGAAGAAGGAGAAGCAACGTGCGGTGGACAGCACGGAGGATATGGGCTTGTAAACAAGGAGCATAGCTCTACTGTTAAGCGGGAGGAAAAGACGCCTTGCAGATAGTGTGTTGTATTGCTAGATACACATGATGGTTTTGAAGTAATACGAGACGCCGGACATCAGCGTGAATGAAGAGTATAACAGATGCGTGAGAATGGTAGAACGCCGAGGGATATAGGATTAGCAAGAACGCCATGTGAACGCCCTATTATCGTGTGGCCGCGGAACCAAACAGTCAAATCTTCGGCGGTGTTTTACCCGTCCTACAGTGGGACAAAGGTATCAAATTCAGTGGGGGAAATGTAGGACGCTGGGAAACTGTCAGCCACCTGAAGCATGTTAGGACGAGGATACTACGTACAGAAAGAGGGTGAGAAGCTAGTGGAGGAAAGACTCGGAAGCACGAACGGTAGACTCAGAAGGGCGCATGGTCTCCCAGTCGCCTGAGGTGTCTCCCTCATCGTCTTCGATCTGAGGTGCAGGTTGGCTAGGTAGGCAAGCGGTGCCAGTCTTGATGTGCTTAAAGTCGGTTGGTCCGCCTATGACCAGCTCCCTCGGCTTCTCAACCGGTTCTTTCTCCTTGCGGAAGGGCTTCTTGAGCGCCTCAAATAGACGTCGCCATACAGATTCCTTCCTCTTCTCATCACCGGCCTCCACATCGCCACCCTCCAGGTCGCCCATGCTCCTAGAGCACCTAAGCGCCTGATGTGGGGCGTCCTCTGGATTCTCGGCTGCGCCTTGCACCCTCACTGTGGAGGGTACTAGCTCTTGCGTATTTGGCTTGCGGGGAATGGGTTTAGCCGGCGCGGGTGGAGGTGGGAGGGCGGTGAGTTCTTCATCTGGCTCTTCTATGGGATTGTGTGCAAGGGTGGTCGTCGACTTGGCAAAGATATTGCGCTGGTTGGTCGAAGGTAAGTTGGTGGACGACTTTGACTTGAAGATCGTGCTGTTGAGTGGGAGAAGGTAATGAGACTTCTGGTGTTGGAGTGCGGGCATGGTGGCGGTTGATAGAAAAGCTGGGTGTAACACCAAACGACACACGGGTGGATGGACGGTTTGCGGACTGCGCATCAAAGCTTGCAGAGACAACAGCTCTCGAGTGTCTGCGGGAGAAGCAATGGGACGGGCGGCGCGTTGGCAGCGTGGAGTGGCCGTCAAGTGGAGCAAAGACAAGAACTGAGCAGTGGGGTGGTTGGCCGCAAAGGCAAGGGTTGAAGGACACCCAAATTTGCCGTGAATATTGCACCATTTCCCGTGCGTGTGCAAGCGAAATGAGACGTGATTGTAAAGATCGGGGAGGCAGTTGATATGGTAGTGAACGAGGGTGCCTGATCAGAAGACAAGATGAACATCGAACTTACAGCAGCAAACGTGCGGATTGACTGTACACTTGCTATGATGTCCGCATCGGTCTCACACTTGACCATGACGGGTGTGCAGATGTCTTTTGAGATGTCTTTTGAGCCGTCTCGCAACGAATCATGGCGACGTAGCGATCCATGGCGGCGCAACGAGCCATGGCGAGACAACGATGCAGGATTTGCGGTTTCCGAAGCCATGTTTGCATTGTCTTCGAAACAGCAAAGTTACGAGCTCTACTATATACAACCTCGTCTGTAAGTGCCATGTCCATCGAGCCGTCGAGAAATTCTTCTACATGGAGCTGCACGCTTCCGCTGTGTACCATGGAAGCCGTTACGCTAGGAGAGCGTTCCTGGCGGCCGAGACGAGAAGTCGAAGCCGGGAAAAAGCCCTTCGAGCTACTGTGGGTTAGTGTAATAACATTACCAGTGCCGTCTTTGCGGGCTCCCGCAACAAGCACACGGGCGTGCCGTGGAGATGTTGCGCCGTCGTAGAGGGGGTACAGTCCGGCGGACGATGGCGTACTCTAGGCCTGGTGTTTGACGTGGGACGACAGCTGCCTGGGTCACCATTATTGGACAAGCACGAAGAAATTCCATCGGGTACGCAGAGCAGGACTTCGATCCGACTCTTCTCGTCGTTGACATGCGTGAAGTGCCGTATGAAGCCTTGCGATGCTAATCAGCCGTACTAGGTCACGACCAGCGCAGCCAATCAGCGGCTGCTTATACAACGGCGGCGAAGGCTTTTTGCGGTTGCGCAACCCACGCGTCTCTTGTAAGGCCCTGCTCACTTACGAGGATTTGATCTTCAGCTCCTCTTCTTCTATCCCTCGCTAGTAGTATTGACTTGAGGTGCGTGGGTGCCTCACAAGCAGCTCGGAGTGAAACGTCCAAGACCCGTCTCGGCTCGCGGCATCCTTGCAACGGCTCTAAATCCGCCACCTCGTGCCCTCACATTTACTGCGACACCTCCGCAACCTTCCAATCCACCTTACAACCCCACGTCCCGCCCATTGATATTGCCTCGGCGCCTGTATTCCGACTTGGAAAATCTACCACCTGCCTCGGTACCCTCGCGCAATGTCTTTCTCATCGTTGGTCTCAGATATTGCGTACCGCAAAGATGCGGAGCGCGGTGACGACAAGCAGTCACAGATCTCGCGGGCCCGGTCCTACGCCAGCACCGCAGCGACAAGCGTCAGCATCACTGGGGACATCAAGAGCCAGCTTCACGGAGGATATAGCCACCCTCTTGCTCGCGCGTGGCAGGCAGAACGGCAATTGACAAAGGTCAGAGCTTCGGAATGAGCTCAGTTCCGCGCTCGCGGGAGCTAACATTTTCCACAGTCTATGCTCATCTACCCTCTCTTCATATCCGACCAGCCTGACGAAGAGACCGTTATTCCCGCCCTGCCGAACCAGCACCGTCGTGGACTGAACAAGCTCGTGCCGTATCTGCGACCGCTCGTAGAGAAGGGTCTAAAGTCGGTCATACTGTTCGGTGTGCCTCTTGCACCGGGAGCGAAGGATGCATTAGGAACCAGCGCTGATGACCCCAAGGGTCCGGTCATAAAGGCCATTCGATTACTCCGCCGCACATTCCCCGACCTGTTCGTGGTCGCCGATGTCTGCCTTTGCGAGTACACCTCACACGGTCATTGCGGTATTCTGCGCGACGACGGCAGCCTTAATAATGCCTTGTCGGTAGACAGAATCAGCGATGTCGCCATGGCATACGCTGAGGCAGGTGCTCACTGCGTCGCTCCTTCCGATATGAATGATGGCCGCATTCGAGCCATCAAGCTCAAGTTGATCGAGGCGGGCATTGCCCACCAAGTCGTGCTGATGTCTTACTCGGCCAAGTTCTCTGGTGTTCTATACGGACCATTCCGCGATGCGGCAGGCTCATGCCCGTCATTCGGCGACCGCAGATGCTACCAACTTCCTCCTGGCGGCCGTGGTCTCGCCCGAAGGGCCATTGTCCGTGACATCAACGAGGGTGCCGATATTATCATGGTGAAGCCCGCTAGCCAATATCTCGACATTATCAGCGATGCCAAAGACCTTGGCAAGGACATGCCCATCGCTGCGTACCAGGTGTCGGGCGAGTACGCTATGATACACGCCGCAGCCAAGGCCGGTGTATTTGACTTGAGAGCGATGGCCGAAGAGGCAACTCAGGGTATCTTGCGAGCGGGTGCTTCCATTGTTGTGAGCTACTTCACGCCCGAGTTCCTTGACTGGCTGAGCGAAAACTAGGCCCCTATTCCTTTTCTTAACTGCATGGTTGAATTACATTTCGTTCCAAAAAGGCTTCACAGAGCATGGCGTTACATATCCAGGGTTGTTCATGGTGGGTTTTCCTTATGATCATCATGTTGGATGGTCCGTCCACGTAGACGACTCTCCATTTATTGGGGCCACAAAAGGTTTATGTTGAAAACGAAGTTGCAGAGTATCTCACGATAGATAGGTAACTCTTTGGTTGATAGTCCAAGCGAAGACATGCTGGGTTTGACATACTTGGATCCCCTACTCAGATGCTGTGGTCACGTTTAGAAGTGTCATCGGTCTAGCACAAGGCCGAGAATATAGGCATTCCTTCTCGATGCTGGTTAGCTACTTCCGGGAGCAATTGTTTTTATTCTTGCTTCGGAGTAAAGTAGTTCGGTTGAGCCCAGACATTGTTACCGATCCGGCTCGACTGCTTCAATGGGCACTGCGCCACGCGACTCTTGAGACTCATGTTGCGTATCAGAACGGGTTCAGCAGAGCATCGTCATCAATTGCACCGGCGATGGCGACAATTCTTACTCGCCTCACTCATCCTCCACCAACCGGGGAATAAAGGACTTTCTCCAATTCGAATCATCTCGATCGGGAAGAGATGAGGCTGCTTGGGAACGATCGGCATGGTGGCATTTTCTTACCTAAGCACGCTGCCTCTTCACCCACCCTTTGCTGTCGGCAACCCTCTTCCTAGTTCGGTAAAACTCCAATGTTCAATTGGCCACGCTCACTTGATAGTCTGGGCGCAAGGCGGTGAGGGCGAGGGTCGGCTTGTGCAGGGGAAACTGCAGCAAGGCATTGACTGCGGCTTCTAATGGATAACCTTATTGGCGGACGTCTTCGGAAGTGATCAATCGATTATCATCGTCGACCGGAGTATCGTGGAGCGCACGTGTGTTCTGGACACAACTCGAGCTCAAAAGCAGCCCAAGACTGCAACAGTATCGGCGCCTCAGTTAAGGTCTGACAAGCAACTTGGAGTTGACATTTCCTATCTATGGGCTACACAACGCAAGTCTTTCACCGGTTCACGCGAGCGAATAATACGCGAGTCAGCTGCTCTAGGCCTTCTACATTCCGCTTCGAGCCGCGTAGCTGGGTGTTTCGCGGCCCTGAACACGACGCTCGCTGTTGGTTGGTGTCCCAATTGAATCAAACGATATGCAGGGTCAATGCAGGGTCCAGCCCACTTTTTGCCGGTAGTCGGAGACATGCAGACGACCCGGGGTTTACCAACGCTCTTGAGAGCCACGGAAGCATCCCGGAACAGGACTCTCTTCGCAAAAACCAGATAAATTCGAGCAGGGCTTGAAGAGAATATACAATTTGCCTTCGTAGCACTCAAGATCCGGTGCGCATTGGGACCAGAGACGCGAGGCAATGTCCACCGCCGAGAACCATAGCTCACGCGTTGCATGTATTCCGCGACAGGCCCTAGATGTGGGTCCTGGTATCTCGGCTGGTCCGCTTCACGTCTATCAAACTTATCAGAGTGCAGCTATTCCGGGAAGCACCCTGCCCTCGGCGTGGGCTCAGCGGTCCGAGCTGACGAGGAGTCAGACACATTGGCGCATGTATAAAGCTGCCTTTGTGCCCTCGTGGGAACGGACAAAGACGTTTTGTTATCGTTCAATTTCTGTCTTGGCTTGCTGAGTGGTTTCGGTGTGTAGAGATCTAAGGATTGGGCGGAAGATAAGGGCGTACATGCCGTCTCGGACTTTTACGGACGAATCGCAACACTGAGCATCTTTCGTCGGTGTTTCTGGCAAAGGGAGCATCCAAGAGCATTTCGCATATCTCAAGAGTTAAAGGTGAGTACTCTCCTGTTTCCAATTCCCGCTCAGCCATGTTGCGCCGAGAGGCCCTGAGTCGCGACGTCCACATCTTACATCTGGCACTTTAGCGAAACGGTCATGAGCAATGCAGCGCAGCGGTTGCGCGGTATACACAGTAAGAAGGACCTGCAACTGACAGGTATCTCAGCAATACGTCGATTTCGATCTCCGGCGGCGTATCCTCAGCTCGCTGATCGACACGCGACACACCGTTTAAGCGGCAAACCGACCCTACCAGCTCACCAAGATGTGCTCCTACACCTACTCGTGGTACTACTGCAACCACGACTACTATATCTGGTAAGCTTCATTCCTCCCAGCCTTTACAATCCTACCATTGCTAACACCCTCCCAGGGCCAACAGCATCGAGATCTGCCACAACCGCCTCCTCTCAGGCTACTCCTATGACGCCTGGAGCATAGACATGTGCAAAAACACGACCGTCGAATGTGGCGGCTTTTCCAACTATACTACTGCCACGAGTGCAGCGAAGACATCAGCCTTGAGTTCGAACTAAGCGAATGTTAGGCGCGTGGTCGACGCTGGCTGGTCGGACAGACCAGAGAGGGTCTAGGTCCGTCTAGGGGACACACCGCTAGATTCACCGCCTTTCACACCACGCAAGTGTAAGGAAAGGGTAAGTGCGAAGGCCTACCGGGAGGCACGGCACGACGAGAATCTGCGAGAATGTTGCGCGCTTGCAACCATGGCTTTTGCGTTGGCTGTTGGATACCATATTCTTTCTCGCGGCTTTAGCGAGCATTCAACGCGCGGGTACTACTTAGCGACTTTTTGATTTTTGGGTTGGCACTGGGCAGGGGCGTTTAGATGAATTTGCTTCGCTTCAATATACCATAGTTCGCGTTTTAGTTGCGCGGTAGATATTCCTGCGCAGATGAATGCAGTATGCAATATTTCTCAAAATCTGCTCGGTCTCGATAAAGCCTGGGATGACTCGCCCTACGATGTGTGACAAGACTCTGATGCAAATATTCATCACCTATCTTGTCGTTGGGACTTCGGTGTAATATACAACATGTACAAGATCGCTACTCGGTAACGCTCTGCTCCGCCGACTTGGGGCTCAGGCCTACACCCTCCTCCTGCAGCGTCTCCTTCACCTGTTCTGCTCTTCTCCTCGCGTCAAGATACAGCATAAATTCCTGGTATGTCCTTGGCACGACCCTGATGTTCTTCTTCACAGTGAAGGTATAGTTGAATGTTCCCGTGGGTTTGGATCGACCGTGCTCAACGTCCCGCACTTTACTGTCCACGCGCACTTGCACCCTCGAGTATTCGCTTTCAGGGTCGAACTGCTCGCCGGGGGGCCCCAATAAGCGGAGGATCCGTGTAAACGACCGTTGCTGTCATGTATAATATGGAGCCGACAGGCACCGGATTCTGAAACGTGGACGGGTCGAGCGATACGAACGTCGGGCGAGCGTGTGCGAATGCAGCGGCGGTCGTGAATGCCAACTCGAACGTCTGCTTCAGCAGGAAGCCACCAAAGATCATGAATTGATGCCTATTCCTGTTCTGGGGCTGCATTATGGTGGCGTTGCGGAGGATCGTCGTGTCCATGAAGTGGGCGTTGTCGGGCTTGCGGAGCTCGTCGTAGGGGTCGTGACTAAAAGTGGGGGTACAAACTCAGTGTAATGTTCAGCAATCAGGGAAGTGGGTGAGGTAGGTGTTCTGGCCAGCTGCTAATGTCTGACACTTTCAGCCTTAATGGGTGTAACGCTCCGAGCCTTAGACAATCGCCCAGCATGAACACCCACTTTGTACCCTGACATTGCGTACTATTGAAGCTGTTTCTGCCAGAAGGCGTGTATGAGGTCGGATTCGAGGTCGTTGGGACTATGTTTCGTCAAGGCGATCTCTTTGCGCTGCTTGCGGACCTTGGAGTTGCGTTCGCCGAGCGCATAGAGGCGCTTTTCTTCGGGGGTGGAGATTACGAGTGGGTTTACATTGACCGGCCTAGCATGTCAGTTGTCATGCCAATTGCAACTTGGAACTGGGAGTGTTATACTTCTTTGTAGAAGGGTCTAGAGCCACCATGGTCATTGTGCAGTGAATAAGGGTGTCTTCGTTCTTGATGGGTTGGCCGTCTTGCGGCGCCTTTGCTACTTGCATGGTGATCTCCATACTGCTCCTACCAGTTGCATAGGTGACCTTCCCAGACAGTTCCAGATCGCAGATCTCGGTTAACGGATGGTTGATCACGATGCGATCGCAGCTCGCGGTCACGGTGGTTACATCGTCGCCTGTATGCTTGTACGCGATGACCCCGGAAAGCGCATCGAGGTCTAGACGCGCAGGTACGAAGTCAGCTAAGTCATCAAAGTGGAGATGGTACGAAGTGTTTATGTCTAAGACAGATCGACTTCGTGCCCGGGCATTGCGTACCCATGAATATCGTTCCCAGGCGTATATGCCCCGAAGAGTTGAGGTACGTATCGAGCAGCCATGGGTCTCTTGCAAGCGGAAGAACAACTTTGTGATGGCTGTCGTTCATACGCTTCGGTTCCAGTTCACGTTCCTTGGGTGACTGAGCCGTGGCAGAAGCCTCGGCGCTGCTCTTGCCTTTCGCTTGTTGTTCTCGCAATGCTTCGATCCATGGTGTCTGTAATCGTTGTGCCGTGAGCTCGCGGAAGACGCCGTCGGTCCGGCCGGAAGAGGTATTGCTGAAGGCGCGAATTGCCAATGGTACAGTAAAAGCTCGCTCGGAGAGTTGCTGGGTGCAATTGCCCTCGAGACCCAGGCTCAGACGACGCAGTGTTGTCCTGTAGAGGTGCGCCATGGGTGGTGGGTGGAGGGGTTCTGTGGAGCAGGCATGAGTCGGGTGCACCTGCCGTGCATTAGGTCTTGGCCTGAGCATCGGTCGTCGCCCACCTCATCACCTTCATTAACCACACATGAAGCCGGGCGTGCACTCGTTACGGCATTATGAACAGCGCGCGGACTGTGGAGTTAGGACGCGCAGTCATTGCATTGCAATCGGCAAACATCGAGCTTTGGCTCACAACATTGATCACTCTCTCACCAGACACGATTAGACCTCCAGCGCAGCAGAACAGCGTCGATCTTCAAAACTTCGAAGCTACTGACCTGCTGGAGCACCTGTCATTAGGCAATGTTTGGGTCAGACGGGGCAACGATATGCACATGTTTCTCGACTGCACGAAGCTTGGAAGACCTTTGGACAGCCACCATCTTCAGCAGCTTGGAGACAGCATTGTGAATGCTCCAGTGAGTGATGATAGCTTGTATGAGCCCACTTACTAACAGGGCAGGCGTGGAAGCGGTTCGGTCTTTGTTTGTCATTGCCTCTCAACTATGAGCCGACCTATGGAAAACTGCGCGTGAACATTGACCATTATGATCCAATTGAAAAGCCACTTACAAACGCGGACAATAGCAGTGCAAGCGCATTTGGCACAGACATACGACCTCCAGAAGGAATTCCAATCCTTCATTTGGAATCGATTGAGATCATCATGGCGATCTGCGAGACCAAGAATCGTGCGATGGCACGAAAACGTCCCAAGCGGAAAGCGGCAAAACCGGTATCTGATTTCGGCGAAGTGGAAGTATTTTTTGAGGATGCGAATCCCAATGCAGAGTCCTCGTGCAAATCAGATCTACTGCGGGGTCCTGGTTTTCAGAGCAAACCTGCGGATCAGGGTGATTATACTCGTGTTCAAGCGCGCTCGTCGGAGACACCAAGCAATCTAAACTTTGAAATGAAACCCGGCTCCCCAAATCGTGGCAAAAGGAAGGGGCATACAACTAGCTCTGAGCTTGCTGCCATCGAAATCCCAGACCCCGCATTGTCACAATCAGAACGCATCATGGTTCTGACCGATGCCGGTCTACGTTATTCGATATGCCTCCACCTGAGGGGTTCCACAGCTAATCTCAGAGTCAAGGCCAATACTTTCATCTATGGGCTGTCAAACGTCGCTCCAGCTTTGTGGCGGGCCGGATATATTTCTGTATGTTAGTGTTTGAACCGAATGAAACGTCAGCCGCATACGCTGGTTGCTGACCCTATGCAGACATGCGCGCATGTGATGTATACTGCGCCAACTCTTACTCGCTCACTCGATCGTATAGGCTTATCAGCAAGATCTACAGCCCTGAAAGGCAAAATCGCAGCACTTAAAACATCTCCTACTGGGAAACACCACGAACAGGGTTTAAGCGTCCGTAATCTAGTCGGTGATGTGACATCGGCTATCACTGATCGGTTATGGTGCCACGTCCAGAGAACTCAATTGCTCAAACTAACATTGGGCTCTATTCAGGCCCTGTGCGACCCCGAGTTTCAAGCCACTTCGGCCGAGGCAGCAGTAGAGATTCTAGAAGAATACAGAAACCTCGGCACACGACATCCAGACGAGAGTGGTGAACGGATGCACGGTTTGACGCGCAATGATCTGTTCGATTTGGAACAGTCCTTTGTACAAGGCCGCACGAATCGTACTGATAGCAATCACGCCGTCGAACCGAACACTATGAACAGTCAATGTGGAAACAGCCTCTGTTCAGTGTCGACGATCAGTCAACCCTTGGACGACGGAGTAGCTGGAGAGGAAGGTTTGTATTTCGAGTGTGACGAGTCAGTCAAGCAAAACTTACAGCAAGCCGATCGGAATTCTTGCGAAGTCGCCGGTGCAGAAGTTACATGGACGAGCGAATTGGCTATCCCACGCACAGACGATGAAAACATGCTGTTCGGTTTCTAAAGTCGCTCACCCAAGCAGCAGATGATGGAAATGATTTGCATTGGTATTGCCAGGCGGAAGAAATCTCGAAGAGGAAGGCTGGAACAAAACCTTGTGAGGTCAAGTGACTCAGCGCCTTCATATGTACATGAAAAGCAAAAGGAGATAAGTCCGTGCTCTGAAGTGCCTCGCTACGGCCCAAAGATACCGTGCATGATCACGCAATTCCACGTTAGCGGTCTTCTTTCCGCGGGACGGCGACTGTGTCAAGAACATGGCATGTAAGTCGTTGGCTTGCATCGAGACACACTATCTAAGGACCTGGAAAGAGTTCACGTTACGCCCGGTATGAGTAATTCGTCGACACGGTTCTACTGCTTCCGATTACGATCCGTTGGGAGACCAAAATATGTCTTCTCTACGTCTCTCAACCTTTTGAGAGACAGAGCTCAGACCGCTCAAGTGGTCTATAGCGGCAGATGGAAGGGTTCCCTCTATAATCACTGACTCATAGCGATCCTGGCACACTTCAACGTGTGGCCCCAGGGATCGTCGAGCTTCTTCACGTGACGTCCAGCTGATTTCTGGGGTCCCTCGATTTTACGATCTCTAGTGTCGTTAATGCGATCCGGCCCCACCTTCAACCACCTGCAAGCTGTTGGGCGAAACAGTGTTGCAATCCTAAGCTTGTCCTGCTAGAAACCTAAGGCGACCCAATAGGCTTGATGGTGCCTTGTGACAGCCTAGTCTTCCTCGTGTGCCGGCAAAGTCACTGTTCTAAGGATCATACTCTACCAATGTTGATCGATTCTGGTGCACATCAAAGAAACCTTTTCCCAGCGCACGTCGAATGCAGGGCAATTCATGATGTCGCAATCTACAATCGGGAATAAGACTGCCCGGATGATATTGGACGCGTTCCTGGATCTCGATCGACGGCAGGGACCCTGGCCGTTCGGCACACGGCAGAGGCTCGCGTAAAGCGAAGCAGATCAATCCTTCGCGAATTAACACAGGCCAACAATTGACAAGCGCCAACGACCTTGCAGCTGAGACAAGCGAAACAGGTTCTTGTTCTGGAGCGATAGTTTCAATTATCCCCATCACTCTTACTGGGAGGTTGTCGTATGCGTACATACAAGTCAGCCTGTACCTGTGAACAGATTATCCGTGGCTCTTGAGTCGAACGCCCTGTGAGCAGATACTATGGTGCAACACCCGCATATTCAAGAGTGCGCGGGTCTTCGTTGAACATCAAATCCACAGAAGGGCAATCGAAGCCTAGATACAGAGACTAGAGACTGGTGCAATTGCTCTCATGTCCACCATGTTGGCTACCCTTGTTGCTGCCGCACATATGGTAGCGAGCTCGTGCGTTCAGGAGCTTACACAGTCTGAAGCCGCCAGTCCGGACCAGCGTTCGGGCTAGGGAAGATTAGTCGCGGGGTAATCGCACGAAGATCTCTTCCCAAAGACTCGGAACACCGCGGTGTGCGATGGCTTCCACTATTGCTATGTATCCATTGCACGCCTTACATTCGTACGCGATCTTTCTGATTGACGACAACCTGAGCCTGTTTTCTCGCGGAGTAAATAGGACTCGGGGAGTGGCTGCTCGCCCACAGTGAGTGCACGTTACTGCGAGGACCTCGGTGAAGTCTGCGGATTTGGTTGGCTCTGAGGGATTAACTTTGACAGACTGTACTAGCTGAGAACCTATGCTGGTCAGGCGGTTTTCATCGTGGCCCGGAAAATTCTAGTATCTGTCCGAAATGACGCGCTTTCAGCTCGATCCGAGATGCGGGTAAGCCACACGACGGGGTAGAACTGCTGCAGCCGTGAGGCGGCGACTCTTCCTGGTATGCTCTGCCCGGGCTTCTGTCGACACTTTCGACTGGCTATGGTGAGCCCTAGCCTCGAACTCCACCTGCCGCCTGGCGTAACAAGCAAACCCCGTCATGGATAGGGATAGATTGGCGTGGTGTCCGAAACACGGCTTGCCTAACCTGTCGCTGACTTGAGGTGTATAGAGCGGGACGGCATAGAAGGCATGAAGTAGCGGCAACAGGCTATCTGCGACATGCAGAGATAAACTAATCGGTAGTATTAGGGACATTTTTGGCCAGGCCAGTCCTCGTATATACAAGGAAGCGACGCCCAACCTGCATGGTTCGCATATTTCTGCAAGCTGCCAGACTACTTGTGACGGTAGAGGCTTGCGCATCTCAGCACCTCGCGCCTTCGGAAAGTGTACCTGAGGTCCCACATCGCGAATCCCCTTTCAAGTTCTGGATATCTGCGGTAAACCGTATCCGTCTCGTTTACAATCGTGCGCTGTCGAAGTACTGGCTCTGCTTGATCAATGCGCCCATTATCGCCTCGGTATCACACTGTCAAGCCACTCGGAACACAGCACAGTTCGGCAAGCCAGCTTGTACAATTGGAAAGAGGCGAGTCAACCTGATATCTACATGTACGTCTTTTGATTTATTGTGATGGTATACTTGCTAAGTATGGCCGAAGCGCTTGATCGAAGTCATCTCAACGATATGGTTTCAACTGTCGAAGAGCAGTACCCAATTGGATCGAGGCCGGGAATTCATTATCTACCCTATCTGATTTTTATCTCATACATCGTGAGCTTGGTAGGAGCGTTCACAACGGTTGAGCTTCTCCATCGACGAGTCTCTGGGTCAGGATGGCGCAGCTGGTAAGTGTACTTCATGTAGTGCAATCATGCAACTCTGGCTCAGTCCTAATTCCGCTGCAGGATCCAGCTGGGTGCTTGCGCAGTTTCGTTCGGCTTAGTGGCAATCTGGTGCATGCACTTTATCGGTAACCGTGCAATTATCCTCGGGGAAGGCGAAAGTGAGATTCAGCTCTACTACAATGCGACATACACGACCGTCTCGGCGATTCTACCAATTGTCGTCATTTTTCTAGGTCTCCTGGCCGCCGATGGATTCTACAAAAGCAACAAGAATGCAACGACACGCTATGTGGCATTGTTGGTTTGTGGCATTATGTGTGGAGCCTCTGTGACAGAGATGCATTACCTGGGCAACCAAGGAACGACTAACTACCGACTGAAGCCAGTACCTGAGTACATCGTTGGAGCTGCCGCAATAGCGATTGGTGCTTGCCTAATCGCATTCAGCCTGTTTTTTCACTGGAACGGACACTGGGTGAACAACATTTGGCGCCGACTCGTCGTTGCGTGCTTCTTGGCTGTTGCGATTTGTGGAATGCACTGGACCGCTGCAGCAGGAACATACTACGAGCTTCGCGGATATCATCAGGGGCCCGGAAATGCGCGCAACATCAATGTCATTATTGCAGTGTGCTTGGTAAGTAAAAAGTCGATCAGGTCAGTTGATAAGACTGACAGCTCTAGTGCTTGGGAGCGTGCGGTATATGCTTTGCAATGGGCTTCATTAAGCAGAGGCAACAAAGAAAACAACGAGACCGTGCGAAGCAGGTTGTACTTGCAGTCGCAACCTTTGATTCGGAGGGCAGACTCCTCGTTACGCCCGGGGGGTTGTTGCCTTGCCAGACAATCACCCGGCAATTCCACCAGAGGGTAAGCAGCACCTTACTATCCGTACTGTTATATCCCGCTCAAATAATACAGACCTTTGATGAAGAATTCAACACGCGACATCCTGTGTTTCAGTGGCTCTTCCGGGTATCTCGACACTGGGGAGGTATCGTCGACCTCATCCCTGCGATGCGCGACCACCTCCAACACACCGGTTATTTGCAGATAAATACACCTCTGGGAAGCCATAGCCGAGACTCTATGGGCACTGAAGAGGGTGACCCCACCTACTCTGCAATATTCCGCCAAATGTTCTGCGTTACTGCCCAGGATATCGCAAGAAGCATGGAGACTAGACTACAAGATCTTGGTCAGCTATACGAAGATGTTCTCACCACAGGCACGTTGCTCTCGAGGGCCATATTTAAGGATGGTCAGGGGAAAATAATTATCGCAAGCGACGTCGGAGTGCCGCAGAAAGATGTCGAGGCTGGGAACAACAATCCCGTCCTCTTTGGCAGAGGACAGCTCCTCGTCCTAACGCGCAAGGTTAATAAGGAGGAATCCAATCGACTCCAGGACATTGGTTATCGTTTTGCTAGCACCAATCAGATCGGAGACCATCTCGCTGGAAGCATGCAGATTTCACGCCATGATCTCAACGGTCTCATCGTACGCCTGCAGACTTACTGCGAGAAACGGGTAACTATTCCTCAGGCTGGAACCTATATTGCCTCATTCCTGCTTCAGCCATCTCCAATCTTGAGGGGGCTGGATGTTATTGTGTCAAAGGTGTCCCCTGACAGGCTTCCCATGGTGAAGTTTTTGTCACACGAACCAACCCCAAGACAACTAAGAATTTTATCGACGTTCAACGGTCTTACCCTGGACGAGTGTCTGGCTCGCATCAGCTCAGTCTCCGGCTCAGTCAGTGAAGACGAAAGTTTCACTGAAAAGTTCCGTAATCACATTCAAGAACTGTTCGCCCAAGTGCCCGAGCCGGCACTCCGCCACGCTACCTTCTCATCTCAGCAATTGGACATTGCGCATGGGGTTTCCGGGCAGAATGAGGCATTAAAAGCTACACTATTCGCCTTTTGTGGAATCAAAGAAGTGTACAGCCAATCTCTGCAGAGCGAAAAGCTCCAGTACATTCCGCTGTCGTTCTTCAAGACGAACTTGAGGAGTTACCCTGGCTGTCCTGACCATGCCATATTGGCGCACGAAAATCATAAAGAGTTCAGCTCGCTTTTCGCCCCTGTAGACGAGAGTTCGGTCTCGGGATCGAACGCAGGCGCAAAGTGGGCCAGCATCTTCCATCCCAAACGCAGGAGTACGTCCGAAACTACCATTCCCACCGACAATAGCTCAGAGAAAGGCTTGGTACATATTTCGCAAACAAGCCTGGATTCTCCAATCAACGCAGGCACTCCCTTTGGAGGTATCATGGTCAGCCAGGAGGTTGTAATCAGCCAGGACGCAGACGCTTCCCAGATAGAGCTGCAAGATATGGGAGTGCGATCTCAAGCGGGTGTGGGCGATTGCGAGCAGCTCACCATGGCGGATCGCCTGCTATCGATCACGACATCTTTCCGCGATCCTCATGCCAGGATGCTGGCAAAGGAGCACGCTGTACGGCGGTAAGCTTCGGCTCCGCAACTGCCTATACGCATCTTCCCTTAATGTGCTTGGCGTCTTTGGCCTAATATCTGATATCTGATATCCTATACCCAGGGAGGTCTTCTGCATTTGTTACATTGGTTCACCTGGCATGGTGAGAAGGGGAAGATCAGACGAGCACAGATGGCGGTGTTGGGCGGAGTTGGAACGCAAGGTGTAACGGGCCTGATGTTATACGATTTGATGTGAAAAAATATCTCCTCACGCACAAACTCTATATTCTCGAAAATGACAATGGTACAGTTTGTACAGACGCTTAGCGTGATAAGCATCGATGTGATTTGCGAGAGGGGCAGACAAGTTTTAGCGAGGCCGACGTCAACACGAAGCTTCGTTGCCCCACGCACGGTATAACCAGCAGCTTCAACTTCCTCGATAGCTCTGAACCCCACCACAAGCTTGAAAAAGCCCCATCTCACACACCGCGTGCTCATGTGGCCTCCTCTCCCCCTTGTACCTGCACACTTGTCTTGCCCTACTGCGTTCACCTACGACCTAATCACACCCTCTGTGCTGTCCTCCGCACCCTAATGGCCTCCCCACCCTCCACCGACGATGCGTCCACGCCGAGACATGCATCTGCACCCAGCCACACCATCCGCGCGCTCGCAACGCTGACCCCTCCCTCCAATTCGCGCACCTGGCAAACGGCGCCCCATCCATCGTCGCCCATTGTCGCAACAGCATGTTCCGACCGCACCGTGCGCGTTTACAGTCTCACCTCCTTCACACTCCTCCACAGCATCACCGGCGGGCACAAACGCAGCGTACGCAGCGTGTCTTGGAAGCCGCATGTGCGGGGGCAGGACGTGCTTGCGACGGGGAGCTTCGATGCTAGCGCGGGGATCTGGCGGCGACAACAAAACCGCCTCGAGACGGAGATCACTGGAGAGGGCGGCGATGACGAAGAAGAGGAAGATGAATACCAATTCGCCTGTATACTTGACGGTCACGAGTCCGAGATTAAAAGCTTGAACTGGAGTCCCAGCGGCCAGTATCTTGCTACTTGCAGCAGGGACAAGAGCGTGTGGTTATGGGAGGAGCTCGAGGAGGATAATTTCGAGACTGTGGCTGTGCTGCAGGAGCATGATGGCGATGTCAAATGTGTCGCGTGGCATCCCGAGGAGGATCTGCTGGTCAGTGCGAGTTACGATGACACGGTGAGGCTGTATAGGGAGGATGCGGATGATTGGGTGCAGGTATCGTGTATCACGGGGCATAAGAAGACGGTGTGGTGGGCGGAGTTCGAGGGGAGTGCTCTGTCGAAGAAAGATTTCCGGGCACAGCGAGATAAGTTGGCTGAGGAACAGACAAGACATATGGAGGAGCTGGAAAAGTCGGGGCCAAGGTTGGCTACGTGCTCAGATGACTGCACAGTCCGGATATGGAGGCGGAAAGCGAGAGAAAGAGGGCACGGTACGAATGATGGGATACCGAGTATCATCCGCAGCTCTGCTATCGACGAGGACTGGTATGAAGAAGCTGTACTTCCCCAGAGGCATGAGCGCGCCGTCTACTCCGTCTCATGGTCGCAGCGAACTGGCATGATTGTATCTGCTGGCAGCGATGGGAAGATCATTGTGTACAAGGAGAAGTGGAAGACACCTTCACCAGGCAAATTAGATGCAACGAAGGTCAATGGCGACGGCAATACTACGGTCCCGGACGTTGATGCGCCGCTTACGGAGTGGGTTGTTGTTGCGGAGTTGTTCTCGGCGCACGATGTTTTCGAGGTTAATCATGTTGTTTGGGCGGACAGGGCGGACAAGGGAAAGAGAGAAGGCGAAGAGGTTATCTTAAGTACTGGTGATGATGGCGAGGTCAGAGTTTGGGTGCTGGATGAGCAGCAAGAAGTTGCACCATAAGTTACGTAGGCTGACTGGAAATTAACGTCTCCAGAGGTCACTTCGCAGATGCTACGTGCTCAAAGTATCAAGTGAAACCGAGCCTTTAGTAGAGGCCACTCAATGCTTTCACTGCAAGGTCACTGTCGTCATGTAACTCTGACGTTCAGTCGGACTAGCATTCATACACAGCTGGCAATGCGTTCTGCGGAGAGTGCCGTTCGCTGTGCCATGTCCGTAATTGGGATGCATGCGGCTCTTCTGCATCGCTTGAGTTGGCAGAAGGGAGCAGGAAGTCGCGTGCTGGTTGCCAGGGTCCTGCATAGCAATTGTGCCGTCATACACATACATAGCCCTATGAAAATAGATGCACATCAACACGAGGCATGTCCGCCATCACGCGGAAGCTGAAGTTGTCGTTGAGGTGGCCGCACGTGCTTGAGTGATGAGTTTCAACTGTTCAGCCGGGGCCCGGATGACGCTGGGCCAGCTTGCGGCCTCCGTCACTGCCAAGGAATGATCGAATCAGGGAATGGGGTTTCGCGAAATTTATGGACTGATTATGGGATCGCGTCTCCTTGCGATATCGCGACATATCCATCATCTCTTTGCCTTATCTCCTTTCATCCTATCACCTGCTGCTGTGTCGCAAGCTTCGGCTCCATTGACGCTTCACCCACCGCGTCCACTAACGTCATCGCACGCGCCGGTTTCTGCGACCTCAACGCTTTACCAGCGCCAGCTGTCCTCACCAAGCTGAAGTGCAAGCTTGGTCAACGCGAAACTTCACAGTGTTGGAAGTGCACCCACCCGCCGACGTAGTCTTCCGCAGCCGCACCTATCCCAAAGCGTCGCACTCGTACACACGCCCCGCAGTCAATGCCGCCAAAACGAAAGAGGACCAACACCGTTTCTTCTGTTAAGAACGTAGCCATGGACGTCCCCCTCACGCAGCCATCGTCGCGCGACGCGTCCGACGAGGGCGCCGAAGACTCAATCCTCCAAGAAGTCACCTCCAAGAAGGAGCGACAGGCGGATTCGCATGTGTCCTCGAAGCGAACGCGTGCCGATAAAAACGGCGACGGCGAGAACGGAGACATTGAAGGCCATTCGGATCGAGCGAGTAAGAAGAGCAAGATCAGCAATCCTGGGGACCCAGATGACCACGGCGTGAATGGCGAGGCAGGGACCATGAGAATGGCACCTCCGCCCAAGGCCGGCCTGGTTGATCCTGTGGGCTACAAGACGAACCCGCCGCCGACAGGACGTCCCGTCAGAGTGTATGCGGATGGTGTGTTTGATCTCTTCCATCTTGGCCATGCGCGAGCGCTCCAGCAAGCCAAGACGGCCTTCCCAGACACCCATCTCATTGTTGGTGTTACCGGAAATGAGGAGACACACCGCAGGAAGGGACTTACTGTGCTTTCTGCTGCGGAACGCGCCGAGAGTGTGCGACACTGCAAGTGGGTAGACGAGGTCATCGAAGACTGTCCCTGGATCGTGACTGCAGACTTTCTCGAGAAGCATGGTATTGACTACGTTGCCCACGACGATCTGCCTTACGGCGCAGACGAGGGAGACGATATATACAAGCCGATCAAGGAGAAAGGGATGTTCCTGGTAACCCAGCGAACCGAGGGCCTAAGCACTACCGGCATCATCACGAAGTTAGGCTACCTACGAGTTGCCCGCGGAAGCTATGCTAATTCTCGCACAGGATTGTTCGAGACTACGACCAGTACATCGACCGACAACTCAAGCGCGGTACTTCACGCAAGGAGCTCAACGTCTCCTGGTTGAAGAAGAACGAACTTGACTTCAAGCGCAACATGGTTGAACTGCGCGATAGCATCAAGGCGAACTGGGCTACAACCGGTCAAGAACTTACAAAAGACTTCCGCCAATTCTGGCAGTCTAGCAGACCGGCGAGTCCCGCCAGGACCCCGACCCGTGAGCGAACAGAACGGGACCTGGCCGCAAGTGCTACTTCGCCCTCTGCCTTGTCGCATCTCAGCCATCTGGAGATACCTGGCCGCGCCACAGAGCGTGGATCATCAGAATTTGCTGCAGGTTACAATCTTGGTCTGATTGGTGGTGTACGGGCCTGGGTGAGTACTAGATGCTATTTTGGGAAGGAATGGTGTTAATATACAATAGATGGCTCGCAGTCGTCGCAACCTTAACGACAGTCGCCCGCCAAGCCCTTCCGATGAAGACCAAGATAGTCCGGACGAGCACATGGACGCAGGCACAAAGGAAACGCCACGTGGTCGCACTGGCAAACAATCGTCAGAACTGAACGCGAGGTTGTAGCATCCGAACGACCCCCAGCGTATGGAAAGTTGTTTTCGACATTTTAGCTTTTGCACGTGGGTTTTCCAGCATTTACATTTCGTGCTAGCAAGTTTGACCTCAAAGTTCTGATGCATCTGGGCAGTGAAGAGACGCATCCCCGGCTTGAAGGGGAGAACACTGCTTCGCCGTACGATATACGTCATTCACACGTGGCTCGCCTATGGTTCAGGAAATTGCAGCTGCGCTGGCAACTGAGGCGGATGGGTTGCACATCTCATTCGGTTCGGCAATCTTGCTTGGCCCTACTGCACCTTCTACTTGTAATAACGGTTTCCTACGATAGACTGAACGTAAAGTGTTTCCTATCTGTGCTCTGCTTGCGCTGCAGATACACACACTGCGTCGCTTGCTCTCAACGGAGCGTGTTGTAACTAATACATAGACTTACACACACGATTCTGATCGCCTCCGATTTGAACATGTGAAAAGTCTAACCGGTGAAGTCGTAGATTTGGCGATGAATTGTCGTGGTACAGCAATCGCAAGGATTGCGATTGCTCCCGTTGGGTTGGACTGCGGGAGGAGAAGTAGGCAGTGTATGTTGTTTCCCTCAGACGTTCTTTATATGATGTTTCCCCCCACGCAAAGAGCAACTAAACGCGCACTTAGTTTCGCAATTTGCAAAGCGGAATGGATTGCTCATGATTCTGTTGTTGTCTGACACCCTATAAGATATCGTAGGATCTTCACGAGAATTAATCGAAGTCACTGACCGCCAGCATCTACACCAGATCACCGCATCTAGACATCCCAGCCAAGAACACAGCATCGTCGACATACCTCCTTCCGCAGAAACGATATCGACATCCCCACTACTGACGTCCGGTCCCAAGATCCCCCATCCGCGAGCACTTCGCCAAACATCCCATACAACGGTGCATTAACAACACCGCCACTTCCCGCAGCATCGACTCCTCCCCACCCAACGTACCACCACCAATCGATGTGCCTCGTCATCTACGTTCACTCCACTTGCGGCTGTCCGCCCACACCCGTTCACCCGTACTTGGAGTTCTGTCCATCCGCAAGATCAAGCGAGCGGGCTTGTCCGCCGAGGGCACGGAGAGCGAGAAATTTGTTTAGGCCCGGGGCGTGTGCATGGTGTAGGGAGGTGAAGAGGGGGGAGCTCATCAGGGAGAGGATCGAGGCAAGGAGGAGGGGGTGGTGGCGGTAGGCGCTAGGGTGGCAGAAGGTTTAGGGATGAATGTAGAGGAGAGAGCGGGGGAGTAACTCGGCATCACATCAGCATGGGCAAGATGAGAAGGCGGACTGGAACGACTTATGACATTGCACAGCGTGGCGGTAAACTGCCTTAACGTTTGGAGAAGTTGTGCAGGGCAGTGTCAGAGTTAGCAACATTTGGGTGTTGCTGCGGTGTTCTTCTGGACTGGGCCATGCACTATCGCGTGCAGGATTATTGTATGCCGAAGCGACTTAGAATATGCTTCCCACGAACCAAGCCAAACAGAAGCAAACATAGGGAAATGGAGTGTATCAGCTCCATCGCTTACTCTGTGACAACTCACATGGGCGCTTAGCTTTGTACGTGTCTCACGGTGATGAGGTGCAGTCTGTCTAGCACGAATCTATCGACTTTCTTCAACTACCGAAGAGACACGGCAGGTCGGTACAGAAATCAGCAAGGTTGCCTCCTCTTGGGACGAAGAATTCGTGAGGCGTCCAGCCCGGTCGTCGTGGAGACTGCTAAGCTTGGCTTAGGAGGTCGCTGCCTGGGAGGAAAGGTGCGATGCTCAGCCCTACGTGTACTACAAATATGGGGCACCTCTCCACCACTCCAGCACACTTGTTCCACTTGTTCCGCTGTCCGCTTAACTTTGAGCGGGCAAGATTCACGACGTCTGCGCAACGAAGGTACAAAAGCCGGCATGCCCCAGGCATGATGCTTACGCAGCGTACAATGCCGGGACAGCATCGTCTCACAGGCTCGATGTGAGTCGTCGCCCTGTACCTCAGGTTTCGCAACGCCGGGAAGTGGCCCTGGAAGACGCTGGCGGTGGGTCATGCTATCTTTTGCACACAGCAGCTGCGAGTCATCAGACGGGCATTGGCCAGGCGATCCGCCAGCCATTGCGAGGCAACAGAAGACCGAGGAGCTGCGTGCCGGCGGCATATAACGCACCATGGAGACCGCGAGACGGCAGACGGGGCCGCGTACTGGGCATGTTTGACGACGGCATGCTTTTGAGTGAAGCTGTTCGTACGCTCAGCGGACGCAGCACTGGAGCCTCTCCCCCGGCAGCCGGCAGCACGTCGGACGACTCCCTTGCCTCAACCTCGAGGCGATGCAGCATGATCGTCTTGCGGGACCGCGTCTCGTCCAGGACGGAACCCTTCTGACGCGAATGTGTACATGATGAGCAACGGGACGAGCAACAGCAGTCGAATCGAAGACGACGGACAAGGCGCGCAACGCAGGCGCTGGCTGCAGTTTGTTTTGCCTTGGGGCGCCCATCACCGCCCTGTTTTGCGCGCCGTTCCCGGGAGTCGAAAAAGTGAGGCTGTTGGCGGATGCGGCTGCGGCTGCAGTGAGCAGCCAGCCAATCTCGCTTTCCTGACGGCTCGCCTAGCCCAAACCGGGCCCGGAATTCACTCTCGTCGAAGCCTCCATGATCCCCTCGCTGCGTGTGACAGCTGCCGTCGTGGGTCCACCAGCTCCTGCGACGCTCTCTGGCGGGCGGAGCGGCGAATGGGTAGCGGTGTGGGCACTGGGAAGGCCTGCCTGCACGCTTCACAAAAGGACTCAGCAGGCCGACGTCGCGCAACGGCCACGAGAGCCCCAGCGCCGTCACCCCAGTGGCGATCCGCCTCCGCGCTGCATTATCGAAAGCACGGCCGCATCGTCGCATGTCCTTTAAACAGGACGCAAGGGCCCCGTCCTTCGCTGCCTGGACGTTGGAACCCGCGCCGTCCGCTTTCACCGACACATCGCACCAGCAGCCAAACCATCGCAGGAACGAACGAGTCAGCGCCCGCTTTGAATTCCGCAACACACACCTTGCAGCGTCGCATTCTAGTGAAGCGTGCCAGCTAGAATAACACGTTTAGTATTCCTATCTGCCTTCTCTGTCTTCTCTCGCTTTGCTTTTCGCGGCAAAGCCTTTTCGTCCAGAAGTTCTCACGTAGAACTTCGTTCCGCAAACGTCCTGTCTCCCTTCCGCAAACGTTCTGTACATCTCCCTTTGAGCACTTCGCCATCTCACCGCTTGCCTCGACCATGTTAACAGTGCACAAGCCCTGATCTCGCGCCCCAGACCTCACAGGCCTGAGCACATGCGAAAGGTACATCTTTCCACAAGCGTGAAACAGACACTTTGCCGCGTATCGCAGCTTGTCTGTCTGACTCGGCACGCCTGGCACCTATGCGGCTCCCCGATCACTCAGTCAAACAGCCCGCGAACACGTCTCGATTGTGTCTTCGCAAACCGCGTGCCTTCTTGTACCGTTTGGTGGCTGACATAGTCGCAGTTGAGGAGCAACGCTTGCACTTTGCTTTATTTTACATTACCGCTCGCTTCCCCAAGCATACCAAGTCTCCTCTCTCCCACCCTTGCAGCTCCGCCGTTGGTCCCTCACACGGTCGTTGCGAGCCCATGAAGACACGCCCATCCAGGAAGAGCTGTGACGGCTTGCGTCGTCGCCAAGCCATGAACGCGCAGACTCCCGCCGGAAGTAGGGCCGCTGACACCTTCTTACCGTTGTCTACAGATGTGGAAGGCACGTCAGTTGGCATACCAGCCAACGGGGCGACGTGGGACACCACTATGGTGTCCTCAGAGGGTGTTACACGCGATGGAAACCGACACCACCCAGAAACAACGTCACCTATCGACGAGTATCAACGACCCCGAACCCTTTCCATGGCTGAAAGAGATATTGCAGAAGAACTCGTCGAGTTAGTTAGGAGTCATGTCATAGGGATGAAGGGGTATGAGAGTGAGGCGCAACGCGACGAGCTCGTGGCCGCCTTCAGACATGCAACAACGCTACCTCCTGTTACAAAACAGTCTTTAAGCGAGCTCGACATACAAAACATCATCAGCAACATCAAACTACGCCACGACGTCAACTTTGACAAAGACTTGAGCTTCCGACCAAACAACGAGGGGCCCAGAGGTCAACAGAAAGTACGATACTCGGACAGGTATTGGCTAGCGTTGGAAGCTGAATTGCACTTGTATACACGCCTCTTTCAGGGTACGCCACCATTTCGACCTTCGGGGCAGGTAAGCGCGTCTGTATTCTTCCAACGTGCACAAAAGAGGGTACCGAAAGTGTTTGAGACGATACACGAGGTTTTGAAGAGCTTGGTGCCTGATAGAGACCACCAGAGAGTAGACGAGCATTTGGATGTACGGATGTTGATGCAGGAGATTGAGAGAGGTGTATGTGATATGGTCGCCTTGGTAGAGTGGACCGCACGTCTTCTGAAAGAGCACTGTGCTCCTATGCGGGACGAATGGGTCGACAAAATGGTGGGGCTGATGCGTGACGGTGCTGCAAACAACAACCTGAAGACCATTGTTGCGAGCCTTCAAGATTTGGTAGGGATGCTCGAAACGATGAAGCTTGTAGGTGTACTTCCTCGCTCCGCGTGTTGAGAGCTAACAAGGATAGGATGTGGCGAACCATCAGATACGGAATCTCAAGCCGTTGCTCATCGAAGATACCATCAACTATGAAAAGCACTACCATTTGGACCGGATCGTGAATAAACGCTCAAAGATCAACTTTGAAGCAGCTCAAAGGTGGTGGGCTGGTGTTATACAGGGCCTTCAAGTACAGCACTCATCCGCAACCAAAGATGTAACCCGGACAAGATTGGAAATGTTCTCGCAAGCAGTCGTTTCCAGTTTGTTTTCCCAGGACATTCAGCAAGAGCTTCCGGACACATTCTACCTCGACACCGATAGGCTGCGAGCCTTGAAGTCGGAAGTTGAAGACTTGGTTCAATTCGAGATCTGTTTCAGCATGTTCAACCAGTTGCGGAAGGGCTTTGGTCATAATGGAGCAATACCGAACGCGACCAGAGACCACGTTCGCTCCTCATTGTCTGCAATTATGGGGGAGTCCATGGGCCACGGCTCGCAAGCTTGGATCTACAACTCAGAGTCACTGTCGCTCGAGATATATCGCCAAGCGCAAGTCATTGCCGGACGATCTCCAATCTTCGACCATCACAATCTGCAGGCCACGAATGAGTGCCTTCGCTCACTCTTCTACAGCACCTTTACATGTCATGCCTCGACACTGGAAGCTGTCCTCCTCGTGCAGGTTCTCGATCACATCAACAAGCATATCAACTCCTCACCTACCGAGCTCTACAACAGCCTTGTCGCATCGCCACCACCAACCTCTACACCTTTCATTACCGCACCACCCACTATTGATACGTTACCCTTCTACAACACGCCACAGGATAGGCTGAGCGATATCTCCAAGCGTATTTCACACATTGTTCTTTTGCACTGGCGTATCTGGGCACCCATCGCATACGTTCAAGACAACGCATCAGGCGCCACCACCCATCTCCCTCCTCCACCGCAACCAGCGGTCACACCATCCGCACCATCACAGTCCGCATCCCCGCCACCACCCGCACCCATGTGTCCTGCACCGGCCCCTGAGCATGACGTACCGGTAGTTGGCATGATGAAGACAGGCGAACCGCCAGACCCAGGATCAGGCTACGAGAGCAGCGTCTCTGACCAGACGAGACTGCCTTGATACGTTCATTTTCTTTTGTACTATACCCCTATTTTTTTTCTCTGGCACGGACTTCCGAGATATTGCATCTTTGATTGCATATGCATAGCGGCGTGTTATGGTTCAACATTAGCTTGGGAGTTAATCATGGGGTTCTTATAGGGTAGGTTCCGATAGGTCAGCATAAAATAGGACAAGATAGGAACATCAATGTAGGCTTTACTCATCAACTCTCCGTGGGTCGGTCTTTTCGTTCATTTGTCTCAAGAACTAGCCGCTAAGACTATCGCGGCCGTTCCCGATCCACCTAGAGGTACGCTATCCTAGAAGTGGTAGTGATGAAGCTCGTTCGGATAAGCTAATCCGTGTGCGGAGTAAGCAGGGCCACAGCACTGCTATGAATAACCTCTAGTTCACCATATATCCAGCGATATAGCAAGTCGTGGTATAGCCCATCCTTCTTCTCCCGCTGATTTGTTCTTCGCAATTCTCTACATTACCCCTCCACAATGTCGGCATCAAGTCCAACAAGCGGCAACTCTCAATCATGGTCCGGTCCAGGAATCATACAGTCCTACATAAAACTACGGGACGACTCCAAAATCTCGCAAGAGACTCTCGAGAAATGGGTTTACGACGTGTATCTTCCCGCCGTCTTGAAGACTGGTATCGTCAAAGCGATCACATCGTGGAGAGCCGCGAGTGCGAAGTACGAAAGGGGGTGGCTGATAGTGTTCGATGTTGAAGATCTGGAGTTAGTGCAGTATGGGAATAGGAAGCATGTGGGTGGGGGCTTGCATGTAATTTCAAGGACTAGCGACATGTTTTGGACGAATGGGCCGGTGGACGATGTTATCGATTTCGAGTCGAGGATCTTGGAGAAGGTGGAGCTGTATGGGGATGGTCGGGATTCGGCAGGTGCGTCTCAATGCTTTGCCAAGAAGGGATCCTCTCTTCTCCTGGATGCTTGCTCAACGTCTACCGTCGTCAACCTTGGCTGACCAGGAGCTAGATGATGTGACTACCATGATTTACGCAGCCATGCAGCCGGCACCTGGTGGTGAGAAAGATCTCGATGCTTGGTATAGGGAAGAACATAACGAGCAAATGTCTAAAGAACCGGGATACAAACGGACGACACGATATAGCCCGCTCTTCCAAACACGTAATATTGGGAAGCCGAGTGGCTTGGATTTTGTTGCTTTCCATCAATTTGGGGAGGGTCACAAGATCGGTACAGAAGTAGAGCCATTGGAACCTATGTCGAATTGGACGAAGAGGGCCATGAACAATTGCACGTCGATTGATGCGGCGGTCTATCGTAAGGTAAAGACTTTCACGCTATGAACGGTGTATTGTAGTCAATGCCTGAGGAAGTTCTCTCGGCAGACTGTGTAACCCTCCTCATCAGAAAAACTGGATCAAAGCGTGGAATGCCTTTGAGCGCGTTCATCACTTTGATTTCTGCCAAAGAAGGCCAATACAACGCCTTACCGGCCGAATAACCCGTACTTTTTGGTACACTGACCATAGTACTATGTGCAGCTAAAAGCTATGTTACTGGATCATCCCTATGGTTGCCTGACGTAGGGCAATGCAGGCAGATCCTCTGTACCACCAAAATGCTGACTTTGACTTAAACCTAGCGATAAACAGGCGCCTTCAGACATGGAATGATTCAAGCAGACGTTCGTGGTGTCCAACAGGAACAATGCGGAGGGACACCGGCGGTCTAACCGATTCGGGTTTGGCGGACGTGACGTGCCACTTACGTTCTCTGGTGTCGAGTTTCTCAATAAAGAGGCACCTTTCCCCTGCTGTGTGCGACTTTTGTCTGCTATATAATTCAATTGATCCACTTATTTCCCTAAACTCAACGCGATCATGGACAATAACTCGCTAGCCGCGTTCAGAGATGGAAGGTGACCAACGCTCACCCACACATAGAGGTTCAACACGATTGATCCATTGCCATTAGGTCTGGACAGCTTCGGAAGCTCGCCGAAGAGCACCTGCAGCATGAGTATATGGACCATTGCGATTGCAACATGATCAAAATTTGACGTTTCATAGCTTGAACCAGTCCGACCGCGACATCCTGAAGAGTGCAGGCAGCAAAGTATCGACCCACGCTAAGGTGGGCTCTCTCCTGGGCCTGGGATTTGGTATCTATTGCGCCTTCAGGTTGCGATCGATGCGCATGTAAGTAGAAGCCCAGGGATGGACAATCTAATGACGTTGACTCCCAACCTAGGGCGTATTTCAACGCTTTTAGGGCAATGGAGAAGCCCGTGGAAGTTCGATTCGCTGATGGTCGAACCGGTACGAAACAACGGTCATGCGCGCGGGAGAACTTGGATACTGACGACGGCACAGAGCCTATCCCAGATATTACCAACCAACTTGCGCCATCGAAGTGGAGTGATGCAGCCACGTACTTCTTCTTCTCCCTTGGAGGTCTATTCCTGGGCGGCGAAGCGGGTTTCTTGAGCGGCACCGCGTCCGCGTCGCGAACCATCACTAAGGATCCCGAAGCCAAGGAGCGGATAGAGAAGGCATTCAAAAACTATCGCATTGACGCGATGAAGCAAGAGATCCAGCAGCTCGAAGGAAAGAGCAAGTTCGAACAACTGTTCAGCTCATAAAGCGGCGCTTTGTAGATTTCCGAAGAGAGCATGGAAGGGACTCCATTTCGACAATGACCTCTAGCGTTGAGAATCACCTTGTATATAATGTATGCTCATGTCAATAATCCATGACCCATCAACCACCAACTACGCAGACTCGTGCGAAATGTCACGGTCCCAAGACAAGCCGGTATCCGATCGGCCGCGCGGCTCCTGGAAAGATTTGGTAGGACCTCCAGAAGCTGAAAGCTTGACCCCTGGGGTTGTGGGGCGCCGCCGCACCAACGACGTCATGTTTCTTCACGCGCGAATCTACGATAGCCACAATCGCGTATTGTTTCTATTCGACCTGCACGTGCTCCCCTCCGTCGTTTTCCCTGTATGTCCACGTCGTTTCCGTGATACCCCTTCCCTTCCTGTACAGTGTTCGTGCAAGCCTGCGATCGCGAGGCAAAAGTAGAGCGGACGGCTTGGCAAAGGCTCAGCAATCTTTTGCGAACATTGGCGCCAGGAGATATCGAGTGGACTTTTCCCGTACTTGTTGGAAACCTACGAGCGACAATCTCAACGTGAGATAGTATGACGGGGCTGTTGCTCCGCTTTCTATGGCTTGCGAGCCTTGCTACAGCGCAATTAGAGAGCACCTCTATCGAGATCGTTACAATCACGGGAAGCAGTGCTAGAGTATCCAGTGGAGAGGCCCCAGCCGCCACAGTACCTTTGGACTTCGATGGGAGCACAATAGCAACCACCGGCTTAACCAGTATCGTCTCAGGAAGTACAGGCGCAATGAACACTACAGCGTCCGGAATGTCGTCGGAGGCTCCATACACACAAATCGTGGGTGGAACGAGATCACCTGCATCAACCGTATTGAGCGGAAACGCAACAGCTACGACTTCGACAGCCGCCGCACCCGTGAATACTCAGCCCTGCAATAACTACCCAGAATTCTGTAACCGAAAGTACAGCAACATCACTGAGGTCTGCGCACACAACAGCCCTTTCGTTCGAGCAAGGAATGCCGCAGCCAACCAGGAATTGACAGTGACCCAGCAGCTCAATGATGGTGTTCGAGTGTTGCAAGGACAGGCACATTATATCAACGACACTCTCTATTATTGTCACACTTCTTGCGACATGCTCAATGCAGGCACTGTGGAAGACTATCTTCGCACAGTCACGGAATGGGTCGCGGCGCATCCTTTCGATGTCATCACCATCATCTTCGGTAATTACGATTGGCAAGATACGGACGAAAACGGAAATCGAACTGTTACCTCTAAGCAGTTTGCGGAACCTATCCAAGCTTCTGGCCTCAAACAGTATGTCTATCAGCCGCCCAAGACAGCCATGGCCCTGGATGACTGGCCAACACTCGGAGAGCTCATCATCTCTGGCAAACGCGTCATCACGTTTATCGACTATAATTCCGATACCAGTGCGGTACCATATCTATTGTGGGAATTCTATAACATCTGGGAGACCCCCTTCAGTCCCACAGACGATGACTTCACATGCGAGATCCAGCGCCCGGATGGCCTTGCCGAGAACAAATCAAGGGAGATGATGTATATGGCCAATCATAATTCAAATGTGCAAGTCAGTATCGCGGGGCTGAATCTCCTGATACCAAACACAGCGGAGCTTAACAAGACCAATGGTGCGAACGGGTCAGGCAGCCTGGGTGAAATGTCGGACAATTGTACATGTCAGTAAGCATTGTTCAAGGATGTTTCCATCGAAGCTGATGTTGATGTAGACATGTGGGATCGCCCACCCAACTTCCTTCTCGTCGACTACTATAATTACGGATCCCCGATCAACGGCTCGGTCTTCGAAGTTGCTGCGCGTGCCAATAATGTGACGTATAATCGCGAGTGCTGCGGCAAAGTAATCAGCTTAGGTGCGATACTCGAGATGTCTTCGTCTACTTATTTGGCCTGGCTCATTGCACTCGTAGCTATATTATTGCTATGAACTTGACAAGGGCATGCATGACAAATCGCTCGCGAGGCGCAAGCAACATACTATGTTATATAGATAACGATGTCCGTGTGGTCGTCTTGATCGGGTATTGGTAGGCTTTCTCGTTTGTAGTCCCTTTGCATAGCGATTTGGCTGGGAAAAGGGATGTTCAGTATGTGATCGAGGCCTCATCATCTGTGTAGAGGCAAGGTCGTACGAAAACCTGTATATTGATAGGATAAGCTCAAGTACAGCATGCACTTGACACGTTCTGGGAGGTGCTACGACGATTGGACGGGGTCGCTTATAGCTCGCTAGACAAGGGTCAGGACAGTGTAACGGGAAAATTTCCACCACTCGGTTACCATTTCTGGATAAAGTCATTGTAGCTATTGGCAACCTCTTTGGGATTATTCAGGGCGTGCGGCATACCCTGCGTTCCCCGCACGCATCGTTTCCACTGCTGGGAATAGAGCTTTACTAGAGGAACTGTTAGTTTCATTCAGGACCGTCACAATTCGCAGTTGGGCCCTTTGACACTTGATAGGTCTATCCTGCTAAGCTGCAAAGCTATGTCTCTTCTATATGGCTTCGGAAATGGAATTGCCAACGGGCTATCCTTCAGCTTGGTAGTTTAGAACATGTACCCGCAATATCTCACTCAACTGTACAATAGTAAGTTCTAATACATATCATAGAAAGATCCTATGCACAATCCGTACGTCATCTACTACCCTTTTAGGAGAACACTGTCCATACGAAGATGCGTGAATAAGCCATTGATAATCCTTCGGCAATCGGATGCTGCACTGATCCACTCAACGGCTATATACTGTACAGCATGGAATTGCGGAGCCTCGTCCTTGTTTCATCAAACGTCTTGGTCTACCTTGTTCTAGCAAGTGCGCCGAAGAGCCTCCGCATAATGCAAGTGCTGCGTCGATGCCGCCCTTCTGCTAATCGACTCTTCCACTAGATGCGGCTTGTAATCGGTCCGACGGTTTGAAGTGATCTGTATAAGAAGTGTAACATTGCACCTATTCCAGGGCACCACGCGCAACAAAGCCTCGCAACTGATATATCCTAACATAAGCATCTTTAGCTGACAGGATGCAATTCTCGGCCATCTTCGCCTTCGTTGCCGCCTTCGGGCTCGCCTCTGCTTCGGCCCTCCCTCAAACCGCTCAGAAGTCCGGAACGTGCGGCCTCGACACATATAACAACCAGTACTTCTGCATCATCGAGGGAGTGGTAAGTATGTTCCGTGATAGTGACTCCCAATACTGACGAAGCGTGCAGTCCTACGGATGCGAAACAGGGTCATGTGCTGATCGCAGCGGGGCGGAGTTTCCCTGCAGCGGCGGTGATGGTCATTACACTTGCCCTGCGTAAGAAGGGCCAACGAATGAAGTTGAAGAGGTTGTCGAGACGAGCTTTTGGTTTCATTTCATTTGTGGGGAAAGCTCTACGTACACAAGGCTCGCGGGAGCTTCATCTTCACTTTCTCGTCGATGCCATATACAACTGTCTCGCACCTTCCTCCGGGAACGTGTAACGTGCAAGTCGCAAATTTATCAAAAGCGATCATTTAGTACGTCAGCCCAGCCAAAGTGATCGAACCACGAGCTGTACATGTACGGCAGCCGAAGCATGTGTGAGGTTTCATTCACGAAGCTGCGTGCTCTGCAGTAGTTGTCGATCGGCTGTGGATGTCCAAAAAAGTAGATGTCCAAAACCGACAAAGGCCGCAGCTGCGAATGCCGCGTATTTGCATACAGCACATCAGAAAACAACTGCCATGCTTGACGGTGGAAGTCACAGTGCACGACTTCCCTCTCACTGGGGCACCTTTCCGCATACAGTTTAGCGTGATGTCCCGAACGAAATCATGATTTGCCTTCATTGAACTCCGCCACACTCCTCGCAAGCATCTCACCACCTTCAACGCGATTTGACACCAACATGTATGTTTGATGATCTTATAACCGATTGCGCTAGAGGCACACCGCTTTTCGTATTGGCTCATCAATTGCTGCAAGGTCAGCACCTCAAACGCATACGTGTTTGCCCTCACACGTGGGCTCAAACTGGCACTTGTCCTCCTCCTACCTGAGCGACTCTGAAACGCTGAAGCGCAACTGCGCATTCCAGCCTTTTCGTGTACTAAATATACCTGGACATCGTCGGTAGTCGTCGGCAAAGAGGCAACATCGCGTACTGTGGGCTGTGCTGAAGGCAACTTCGTCGCTTGCAAGCTAGCCGCCTTGAGTAATCGGGCACACGTTTATACTGACCCCGCGCTTCCAGTACTCTTTCGACGTTCAACCTCACTCGTTTCGAGGCCTTTAGCAGTCCTCTTCGTTCGCTTCTCAATCCGCTTCACGTCCACGGCAGACTGCAAGTGTTACAGCCTCATCCTACTCCACCGCTCAGACCCCACACCGTCACTTGCGGGGGCGGAATAGCAACACCTCTGAAAATCCTGGTTCACCTCACACTCCGATCTCAACTCGTCGCTCGCTCACGGAAGCTCACCATCACTTTTCAGACGATCGCTAAACATCACAATGACGTCTTGCTGTAGGACGTGCGACCATCGACAGCATGCGGTCCAAGACTTCTCAAGCACAAGGCCCCCTCTTGAGGTCATTCTAATACTCTTGAAATTCAAGGCCGCCGTTGTTCCCACGAATATGGCAGCATATACGGCTCTCAATATACTGTTGAACAGCATCACCGATGCAGCCGAAACCACTTCACATCCGACGACCTTTACCACATGGTCGCCCTGTTTGTCGAACCCGAGCGCAGTTGCCATTCTCACCACAGCAAGTGAGACTTGTTCGGAGAGTACCTCGGTGGTCTTTGCAACCGTGCTCAGGCACTTGTCGTCACCCCCGAGTGTTCAGCACGTGTATCTAGACTTCTCCGTCGTATCACTTGCTGCATCATCGCCCGATGAGAGGATACCATGCGATGTTATCGTGCTGCAAGCACCGAACCCTGGCGTGGCGAGTGCCATCGGGAAGCACTTTGGTTGGGATCCGACAAGGTCCTCACTGTCAACCCAATTGGGCGCTTGTGGCCCGGCCGCCTTCAGTAGACCAGGAGATCTTATTCATGATTTCTGGGCCTGGGCTGAGCTCCACTCCGGTGCTCCGACATCTCCGTCGAGCTCAATCGGAAGTGGATACGATAGTTTCGATGGCAGACCAACGCTGCGAGCACAGAACTCTGATGAGAAGAATATGTCCTTGTTCTATGCCGAGGACGAAGAGCGGAGCAACATGGATGACGAGACACTCGTGATGATCTTCCAATGGAGCAGTCACGCCGATGCTGATAGATTCAAGCATCCCTTGCAGAAGAGCCACGGCCAGAATGGGCAGGAAGTCAGCAATGACATGTGGGATAGACATGTCGCACACCCTTTGCGGCAGGCAACAAGCATCGGTGCAAAGGCGGACATGTTCAAGCTCGAACTAAGAGGTGTGGAGCCGAGGATGGGTAAAGCCGCGGCTCGGGAGCGTAGCGGGAGCAGGAGGTTCAGCACCATGGCTTCGGGCTTTGGCGAGAAGGTTAGCGGATTATGGGGTCGATAAATTCAGTATCGATAAGTCGTAGTCGATAAGGGGAGGAAGGAGGCTACCGTGGGCGAGAAGGAGGGAGGATGGACCGAGATGAGGAACCGAGGAAGTAGAGGTCGGAGTGGCCGCGTTATATGCCCACAGTGGTGGCCTTGCAGGACGAAGTAATACTGAATGGGGAGGTAATGTTGACGACCATTGGGGGTCTGATGGAACGGGGCTACATACACCCCACATAACAACCTAATGCAGCAGCTGTGGCTTGGGATCATGAAGATCTCTCAACGGTTGTTCGTCATGGCAAAGACTTACCAGGTACTCGGATCCAAGCATCGGCGCTCCTTTTTCATCGGGGGCCTGGGACGACGGAACAGTTAGGCGTGCACGGGGACAGCGGACGGGCGTGCCTGAAATGTGGCGCCCAGCACGAGAGGTTACCCTACAGCGCACACGTACAACTTCGCTCACCACCCACAGCCACACGGCGAAAAACTCTGCACCGTGATTCCTCGATGCGTACAAGAATGTGGATATGTGCACGAATCACAGCAGGACAATTTGAAAATGTGCGTTCACATAAGCCGCGAGGGAGCGTTATTTGCACGAAGTCCGTAGGCTACGACGGATGCATTGGAACGTTACTGCTACGGAGCGTCTATTCGTGAGCGAGTCAGCCTCGTAGGTCCATCCCACTGTGAAGTCATGCCTCTGGCTTGCTCACGCGCCAATCTCCGCGGCGCCAATTTCGAGCCGCAGTACCTGCCCAAGTGAGGCTCTGCACGAAGCTCAGCTACTCCCTTGGTCCAGGTGGTCTAGCGATGGGGCTGCTGCACTGGAGTGCAGGGATGATGCAGCCGTGCACCGCAGCCACAGGTGCCGTTTGTGGCGCATGAAGGATCTATTGGATGGGCGCTCGGCTTAGGCGATCAGCCGGACCGGACTATCCTTGCATATCGTGCTACCTTGTGCTGAGACCAGAAAAGAAAGAGGTAACGAGGGCGAGTGTAAGGCACTGTACTCGAGTAAGGCTTGAATGCGAGTAGGGTGCGGCACCGACCGCACCGACCGAATCGGATGTGCGTGCGATATCCACCATGACTCTGGCCCCAATACTGCTCAGCTGCGTGGCAGATGAGTAGTCTTTATGCGGCGCCGGTGTGGCTAGTATATATGACTTCTTGAGCCGCGGAATGGGAAGTCAGTGCAGGAAGGTCGCCTCAAGATTCGGTCTGAAAGATTGTGACCATGGCCAACTATTCTTACCCTTATCCTGATGAGGCCTACGGAGCGTATACGCACGCTCATGCCGGATATGGGAACGCCTCTCCCACAGCTCCCCGGAGAGCATCGACACAGAAAGAGCTCCGAAGAGTTGATGAAGCAGAAGTGGTCATTGGGCGTGTTTTCTGGCTTCCTCCTCAGGAAGAATTGCCTCCAAGAGCAGTGCGGCGGGCACATGGAAAGGGCGCCGTCGAAGAGGGCATATACAACCACCCTGTGGTCGTCGTATCCCGACCGGCAGAAGAGCCGCAAGTCGTGCACTTCCATATAGTCAGCCAGTCCCTGCCCTTGTTCCGCAGGAACATCCTGCTTACCAACCCCCAGGTCACCTCCTTCCAGGGCAAACGCCTGCATGAAATATATTCCAAAGACAATGAGTTCCACGCTTCGCGGCGATCATGGTATCTTCCCATATCGCCGTCCCCAACTCATCCACATGTCAATTCCAAGAAGATGCAAAAGCGGTATCCCACCTTGGAATTGCAGCATGGCGCTACACTGCGCTGGGACTCTTACGTTAACATCCGCCACGTCTACAAGATAGACTGGACGCTGCTGAAACCATATGCGAACCCGGATACGCCATATGTGCAATCTTTCCGCTTCGACCGGGAATCCTGCGACAAAATGCTAGCCAAGACCAAGTTTCTTACGAACTACGAGCCCGAAGTACAACATCCCGTTCAGTCCTTTCCTCATATTGAAAGACCACCTTATCGACAATCTGGGCGCGTGATGATGTCGCATCTGCCGTTGCGCATTCCGGAGACGCAAGCGTACTCCAGAGGCCAGGATTATAGCCCTCATAGTCCTAGAGCACCGTCGCTGTACTCACCTAAGTCTTACTCGGATGAAGGCAGTGTGGTCGGATCGGAGTACTCGGGTCTCTCTCCGATCCTGCAGCCGGATTTTGGCGGGCCTCAAACTGAGTTCGAAATGAGTACTCCGGTGCCAAAGAAGAGACCGCCTGATCGGAAGCTGAGGAGAGCTTGGCATATCATGATTTGGATTCTGAAATGGCTTTGGAAGACGCTTTGTAAGATACGAGAGAGGTTCCTCGGGCGATAAGCTTTGTTGTCGGAGTAGGAGTTGCCGATTTTCTGGGTGTAAATGGCGCCATTGCTCTGACCATTCCGTTGTCGGCTAGTGCATATACCCCTGCGTCACAGTTCTAGAGTAACACCACGCTTTGTTGGATTCTACATACTTTTTGTAATGTATTTTCGTCTTGATTACACTTATCCATCATTTCGCAGTCAAGAGGATCAAGTACCCGCTCCAAGGTTCATCGCTTGAGCAAGAGAAGAAAACGTTCGTGAAGCTACGGGGAGCCTATTGCGGGGTACTCCACAGTCAAACTCGACAATAACACCCTACGGCCGGAGCGCAATTTCAAGCTATCTTGTTATAAGCTGCACCGACTCTCCATTAATTCATCCAGTCATCATTTTCTCTACGCGTACAATGTCAATCAAGAATGTCGGCCTCGTAGGCGGAACCGGCACGATCGGTGAACCCATCCTCGAAGCACTCAAGACGTCCTCCTTCAACCTCAGCGTGATCAACCGGGCAGGCTCCAAGTCAACATATCCTGGGACTCACGTCGTTACCGTACCCGACGATCTCAACGTCCCAGATCTCACGCGCCTATTGAAGGAGAACAGCATCGACGCCCTCATCCTAGCCATCAAGCCCGCTCAAGTAGCCCAGAACAAGCGCCTCATCGAAGCCGCCTTCAAGTCCGGAGTGAAGCGCGTCATCCCCGCCGAGTTTGGCAGCGTCGACTCGGCAGACGCCAAGACGCGGGAGGTCTACCCTATCGCGGATTGCAAGAAGGAAGCGCGCGACTACCTCATCTCGCTGCAAGACCAAGAGCGAGGTGAAGGACAGGGAAAGCTGAGCTGGACAGGCCTCGTGCCTGCGCACTTCTTCGACTGGGGACTTGGCAATAGCTTACTTTGCTTCGACGTTGCGAAGCGTAAGGCGTATATTCAGGATGGCGGCGATATCAAGTTCAGCGCCTCTAACCTACCATTCATTGCGAAGGCTGTAGTGAGGGTCCTCGAGAGGCCAGAGGAGACAGCGAATAAGCTCCTGTATATTCAGAGCTTTCATGTGACGCAGAACGAGGTGTTGGCTGTGCTCGAGAAGATCACAGGTAAAAAGTTTGAGATTATCAACCAGAAAAGTGAGGAGAGGTTGAAGGAGTTGAGGCCGAAGATGTTGGAGGGTGATTTCCACGCTACAGAAGAGACGGTCGGCATCTGGGGCCTTGTGGCGAGTGATTGGGAAGGTAAGACTGCGAATGGTATGCTGGGCCTGGAGGAAGAGAGTCTTGAGAAAACGGTTAGGGAGGTGTTGGCGAAGCAGTGGAGGTCTTAAAGGGCGGGCGGGGTACGCCTGAGTTCAGAGCAGGTGCGAATTGCGTGCGCAGCGATACAGATTAGCATACGCGTGCATTGCCTAGGCATAGACAAAATTGTGATCATGGCGATTAATATTCGGGGCAACCACAGTAGCTCGGTAGATGGCGGTGTGCCCAAAAGTTCAAGATTACTGAACTGTGCTTGATTAGTTTCATAACCCTGCGGAGCAGAGGTCTAATCACTGGCCACCACATCAAATTCTATAATCATATAGCCATCGATAAACGACAGCAGAAAGAGTTAACTTTGCCTACACTTGTGCATTTGAGTGCTAAAACATCGAAATACTTCACGCTTCGACAACTGCTTTCGCGATGCCTCTTTGGATAATCTACCACCCACGCTCGACCTTCAAGTCCGAAGACGAGAAAGCGACTCTGGCGAAAGACATCACGAAAAGTATGATACACCCACATGCCACTCTATATCGACAGACCTGTGACAAATCGACGCGCTTCATGCGTGTTTTGTAGCCACCTTCTCACAAGTATGGTATAGTCTACACAGCCGTCCCACTCCCGGCCTTTTACGTGAACGTGCTTTTCGTCCCCCTCGACGCAACCAGCATCTACGTTGGCGGCGTCGCCCGTCCTTCATCCCACACCGCTGCCAACGGCCCGGGTCAAGACTCGAACGTGCCTTTCATCAGAGTCACCATTCAGAACATCGCACGCAAGATGTAAGCCCTCACATCTACTATCCTTTTTGCTCGTATTCTCACTTTCGCAGCTCCGACCTCAAGCTAATCCCGCAAAGCCGATCCGACGAAGTCCGTGACAGGTTCCTGAAGAGGGTCGATGAAGCCCTCAAGCCGCATATTGCGGATAAAGGATACGACTGGGAGTATAGCATCGAGGAGACGAGTCGTGATCTGTGGAAGATACAGGGGTTCGTGCCGCCGATGCCGGGGAGCGAGGCGGAGTCGGAGTGGGCGAAAAACAATAGGGCGACGGAGTTCGATCCTGTAAAGGGTAATCTCTAAGATAAGAAGCAGGAAGTGCAGGTAAAAAAAGATTTGGAGAAGGGGAGAAGAGGACCGAGCAGTCATCACGGTTGTCATCCGTTCATCAATTGTACGTCTACCACGACTGCGATGCCAACTCATACGCCAAACATGCAATCAGCCGCCATAGGTAGTATTACATTACAACACAAACATCAAGCTTCATCAGCCTCTTACTCTTCTTCTCTTTGGCCGTCTGCTCTGGTTGCACCTCGCCCGCAGGCTCTCTCCCCATCTCCTCCCTGACTATCCTCTCTTGTGCGTTTTCCCAGAATTCGATTTCCATATCCCTGTCCTTTGCCACTTGTACATACCACTCTCCCCACTCTGGCCCGACCAATCCACCCACGTCTCTCCTCCTCCCATCAATCTTCTCTTCTGCGTTCTCTACATCGTCTTTTGCACAACTAGGACACAGCGTACTCAGCGGAACCATGCCCGATGGCCGTGGCGTGTTGTAAAAAAGGTACAGTCTGTTGTCGAAAGGTGAGTACCAACCTTCCTCACACCCCTTCTTCGTACACGGCCTCAAGGAAAATCGCCAATCCCATTCCTCTCCCCACGCCTCTTTTCCTTCCTTTCCCTTCGTACTCCCCGACAATGCAGAAGGAAGCACGCGCTGCTTCTGCCACACCTTCATACGCTTCGACTCCTCTGCCCTCTCTTCCCTCACCTGCTGCACATAGACCTCGAACTCCGCTGCGATCGCACCCAGTGTTTTACGCCCGCAGTTCTGCCGCATGGACTCGTATGTGATTTTGACGCGCTGGTTTGCGAGTTTGAGGTCTTGGTGGGCGTGGAGGGGACAGAGACCGCGCTTGCGGATGAGCTGGTAGGGGGGCTGGAGGAAGTAGAACGTGGGACCTAGGAGTATGGGAGTGTAGTGATTTTTGCAGTCGGGAGCGAGGCAGGGCAGATAGTGCTGAAGTGGGTTGTACTGGGATGGAGGGTCGGATGGTGTGGGTGGGGATTGCAGGACTGTGGGTGCAGAGGCGACAGACTGGAAGGAGGTAACGCGGGTGGTAGAGCGGCCGATTTGGAGCGAATATCTTCTAGAGTCGAAGGGTGAGGGTGGTGGAAGTGGTGCATTGAAAGTCTGGCTTTGCCTGCGAGATATGGGTGCTGGTGCTGAAAGGCGCTTGTGTATCCTCATTTTGGCTGGCGGTCTGGCGAGGAGGTCCAGTGATGCTCGAGGTTGAGGCTGGTATTCGAGGGATAATGAGCCATCTTTACGTGGCGGGAGTGGCGCATCTAACTCGAGTGCAGGCATGGCAGGCGGAGGTTCGGGAACCGAGAAGCGTACCACACGAAGAGAAGTAGTAGACTTGAACGTCTTCAAGATTGACTTCGGCGATGACCTTCTTATCTTATGGTCTGATATGTGGGAGGCTGAATTGACAGACGAGCTGCTCGACTGCGGTGCTGTCGACGCAGGAGTTGTACCCAAGGTATCTTAGAACCAGAGAGTTAGCGCGTCATTGCTGTTCGCGGAATAAGGGATGATATACTCTCAGGCGCGGAATGGCGCATGACGGTCAACGTAAATTACGCCTGTTGTTTGAAACGTAGTGGGTGGATTAAACGGGGGTTATGCTGGTTGAAACGCGCTTCCTATATTCGGAAATAGGGGAGCCTCAACTACGGTGGATAGCCACTTGATGATCTGGTGGCGATTCACACCCTCAACATAACGAGGAGGGATACATGTGTTCTTGTGACATGCCTTGGAGGGACACCGCAGGCCTCGTCTCACTTATGAGGTGTCGGTTGGGGGCCGATATGAAACGTTGAAAGCACGTAGGGGCGGCAACACTAGCGATTCGTTCGAACGGTTACTGCTGTGCGATGCGTCTACGTAGCTAGACAGGTAGAGTCAGTCATTTGTTCTGCTCGCAACGAAAATTGTTCAGCGAGTGTAATCATAGAAAAGTTAAAGTCGAGAGAAAGCAAGTGTGCAGAACGTAGAAAAGCACTGAAGAAAATGGCTTGACAAGACATCTTCGGAAAAACAAGCACACGAAACTAGAGGCTGAGGGTATTGCCCCATGGGGCGTTCAGCTTAGTTGCGAATGGGCGCGTACGCGAAGCCACGCCGGCGTAGACAAGGAACGATTCGTCTTCCATGTGGGGTCATTCGTATTCTCCTCCAGCACTTTGCTTCAGGCTCACCGGAATCCAATGGGGAGCGCGAGTCGTTACGGCACTACAAATTGCGCCATGTCATCGAGTTTCCCTGCGCCCAAGTTTAGTAATCGCCGCCGCCCAGGATGCGGCTATAGCGCCATCGTTGCACTAGAAAAATAAGTAGAAGGAAAGCGATGAACAAATGAATCGTATAGTCTAACGGTCTATTCAGCGCGCTGTATGTTCTTGCGGTACTTCTGATACATTCAGAATGAGGTTCGCTAAATATTACAAGCAGTACAAGCCAGACAAAAGCGGAAGGATTCTAAAGCTTAGCACTGAACTTCTCTTTCTTCAGCATGGCCTCGGCAACAAGCCTGCGCTGGATTTTGCCCGTGGCGGTCTTGGGCATAATATCGGTGAAGAAGATCTGTCGCATTTAGTGTTGGATTTGCAATCGCATGTGATTCAACTTTACCTTCTTCGGGAGCTTGAATTTGGCGACGCGCTCTGCCATCCAAGTCTTCAGCTCGCTAGCGTTCAGCTTCTGCCCTTCTTTCACGACGACAGCTAGGCCGACATCTTGCCCATAAATCTCGTCTTCTAGAGCAAAGCTGACAGCCTCCGAAACAGCTGAATTTTGAGCGATGACGTTATCAAGCTCGATTGGGCTAATCTTTTCTCCGCCTTTGTTGATGAGCTCCTTGATGCGGCCAGTGATGATTACATAGCCATCAGGGTCCTTCTTGCCCTGGTCGCCGGTGCGGAAGAAGCCATCCTTGGTGAAGGAAGATGCGTTCGCTGCCGGGTTGTTGAGGTAGCCTTTGGTCACATTCTCGCCTCGAATGCAGATCTCAGCCTCCTTGCCCTGGGCTACCTCGTACCCGGCATCATCCAAGATGACGATCTCGACGCCTTGGCCCACACCCACGCTACCGGGTTGTCGCTTGCCAGGCGGCAGTGGGTTACTAGTCATTTGATGAGCGGCCTCGGTCATCGCGTATGCTTCGAGAACAGGAGCGCCGAATGTCTTCTCAAGCTCATGGAAAACCTTGGGTGACAGAGGTGAGGAGCATGAGCGAATGAACCTGATCCTCGGCAACGGGCTGGGAGCCTTGTTCCTGAGTAGGATCTGGTGGATCGTAGGAACAGCCGTGTACCAGTTGGCCTGGTGCTCGACAAAGTCTTTCCAAAAGTCGGAAGCAGAGAACTTCGGAGGCACAACAACTGATCCACCGGATGCTAGTGGCGCAAGGAAACCGGCGAGCAGGCCGTGAACGTGGAACAATGGCATGACCAGCATGGTTCGGTCCTTGGGCGTAAGCTGGTATGTCGCCTGGATGTTCTTCATGGTGCGCAACAAGTTTCGGTGAGTCAGTGGCACCGCCTTGGGACGGCCCGTAGTGCCAGAGGTGTGCAGCACAAGGGCAACGTCATCTGGCTGTGCAGTCTCGACCAAGGCGCGCTTTCCAGCCAGCTTGCCCATCTCCTTGATATCCAAGACCACCTCATGGCCGTTGTAGTAGCACTCAGCAATGGCCGCATTGTATCTGCGCGCGGCACGTACCGCCGCCGCATCCTGAGCGAATGCGCCTTTCGGCACAAGGGCGATGGCCGAACTCAAGTCATCGATGTAAAACTCAAACTCAGACTGTTTGTATGCGGGGTTCAACGGCGCGGCAATGGCGCGCTGCCACGAGGCGGCAATGAAGGATACGATGAATTCGTACGTGTTCGGCAGAGCAATGGACACTGCTGCTTCCGCGGAAATGCCAACATGTGCGAGCTTCTGCTGGAAAGTCTTCACGTCGGATGAAAGCTTCTGGTAGGAGACGGTCAGAGCAGGTTTGCCAGGGACGATGATAGCGGTGGACGTAGAGTCCTTCGAGAAGGCACTCTCAAGAGTTGCGGGAGCCATTGAGTCTATTAGTGTACAACGATAAGGGGAATGTCCTACGTCTGTGGTCAATCGATGGGCACGCCATAGGCGCAATAGCACTTACTATAGTCTAAGAAACGGTCAGGTCACAAGGAACGTCTGGAGAGGAAGCACGCGAGCCAGCTCGTATGCATTAGAGATATGGACTGATCTAAACTGCCGACAATATCTCTGTGACGATAGTTCCCGACCCGAGGACGGGAATCGTCACTACACGTGACTCAGGGTCCGGGCTTGCGGCGCCGCTAGCTCCCAACGTGGGCGCGGTCCATTCAACCGCAACCACTCCACACGAAGCTGAAGCTGAAGCTTCACATTGCGATTTCTGACCAGACCACATAGCTATCTCGGCCAGCGCAGGAGAAGGACACCGCTACCATGGCATCGCAGCTACCCAATCCCTATGGCGCTGGCGCGAAAGGCCTTCCTAATCCATACGCGGCAGCTACCGTCGCGGAGTCTGCGCCTGTCAAGTTCTCAGAAGAGCAGGCAAAGGCCGAGCAGAAGAAAACACCTGGTATCTACTTAGAACGCACGCTCTGTACATGAACGTCGAAGACTTATGTCAATCTACAGCCTTTCACAACCCGCACCACATTAGACGCCCCCAGGCGAAGGGTGCCGTTGTCAAAAAGCCTGCCATAGCAAGACCCGTCATGTCTGCTTCATCTTCCTCGGACCCTCCGCCCGAATCCGCGACCACAACAAGCCAGCAGCCGGGTCTCGACTGGTGGCGCAGTACGGCTGATGACGATGCCGCGGCTCTCGAATATAAGAGAGAGATGGATAGGCAACAGAGGGAGAAAAAGAAGCAGGAGAAGAAGTTCGCGAAGCAGTTTGGCTGGTGGAAGGGGGACGCCCCCTACAGGCCAGATCGACCGTCGAATCTTCGCGCGTACAGGGCGAGCGGAGCCTATCGCTTGAAGGTGGAAGCCTTCGCAGACTTTTTAAAAACGCAGGCCAGACCTGACAAGAGCAGCGAAGCGTCTCCCGATGTTACCTCTGCATCCTTTAGGACCCTCGACACTGCGTCCGCTGCGTCCAAGCCTTCGTTTGTGCCACCGGCCAGCTACGATCAAGACCGCACATCGAACTCGCCCATTGCTTCGGATGTACAGAGCGAGGAAGATCCTTACGCTCGGCGAGTGCGTCTTTCGCGGGCATCCGCACTTGACGCGCAACCACCGCCACCGCCTCCGCCTCCGCCTCCGCCACCAGCACCCACTGCCTACGCAGCTGTCCCACCTCTTCCTCCTCCACCGAGTGAAGCTCCTACGAACATCCCACCTCCTCCACCGCCAACGTCCGCGCCGTACAATCCAACAATATCCGCGTCTCCTGCTCGCTACAATCCCACCATCTCTGCGCCTCCAGTGCGTTACGAGCACGCTACCATCTCGGCACCGCCCGTCCGCTATAATGTACCCGATCCGGCAGATGGGCCGCCACAAGAAGAACGACCGGCAAAACGACCGAAGCTCAGCAAAGCAGAGCAAATGATGGCGAAGATGGGCTACAAAAAGGGTGAAGGTTTGGGCAAGAACAGCGATGGAATCACAACGCACCTGGAAGTGAAGGCGCGCAAGGCAGATAAAAGAGTGGCTGAACCCGACGAGTACGATGAAAATGGAAAAGTCATCAAAAGCCAACAGGTCTTTGACATCCTTGGTGGCCATACATCCAAGCGGAAAGAGCCGGACAGATTCGGACAAGAATCGAAGGTTATTGTTGCCTGGGGATGTGTGGACGGCATCAACTGGAGAACTGATGCCGATCGCGACGATGGCGGTGTACGACAAGAGATGGGCCAGACGTTTGATGACAAGGTCAGTAGTGCCTCATCAAACCATGTCAGACTTTTACTGACAATGAATAGTTTGGTAGAATCGAGCGCATCTATGTGAACTTGAGCAGCGATTCTCAGCCGGTGTACATCAAGTTTGCGTCTGAGTTGAGTGCTTTGAACGTAAGTGTTTTCTTCCATAATGTGATGGATGTCTCTCTGACAGACGCAGGCCGTTAATCGCTTCCACGAAGGCTACCAGTTCCGCGGTCGCAACATACGGGCACATTACTACAACGAAGCCAAGTTCGAAGCATCAGTCTTCGATCACTAAATTTCCGCCTAGTCCACCGTCATGGCTTTGCATCCTGACGGTCGTTCATTCTCACGTATCTGTTATCCTTAGGATGCTTCTTAGTTTCTTTGATACGTACGGTTCGCAAGACGGTAGCTAGTACTTATTATTATGAGCAGCTATTGGTCGCGTTCAGGCCATCAGTGACCCCCGAGTATATATCCGTGTCCATGCACGTTTTTCAGCGTAGTGTTGCTTTCACCTTCTCCCACGCCTCGCTTTGGCTCTACTTATGCGCAACTTGATCTAAGCTCGCTTGCCGTTTCGTCCCGATGATTCATAGCTGTCTGCTGGTTGGCGTTTCCGCACATGACGTACAAGGCTGGCCGTGCATACATATGTTACACTCTGCTGTTCATGTTCGCATCGTGACTTCGATTGATCGGTTAGTTGTAGCCAGACCGGCACGTTTATTTAGGTAGCTGCTATTTCTCGCCTACAAGAACACTTGCGCCGAAAGCAGCCAAGGCTTCGGCGTTCGAACTCTGCCGCTCATTGTCGGATAATGTGCATCTTCGGCCGCCTTTGCCGACACTACTTTCCCCCACCACTCAACGCAATTGGCTGGATGCCGGCGCTGCTGATGCTAAAGTCGCAGATCGCATTGGACATGCACGAGAGCGGTTCCAGTGTTTGTAATAGATTCATGACTCTGCCCGGGAACAACGAGCTTTTCCTTTTTTTGCGTTTTCCCAGCCCTTCTAAGAGTAATCGCCTTAGCCTCCTCCTACAGCCTGGCACTTGCTTCCCGGGGTAGGTAGTGGACGCCTTCAGGTACGTTCAAGAAAGAATGCCTTTAGCTAGCGAGGACGTCCGCGACGCAGAGAAAAACCCGACCAATACCGACAACGTCATTCCAGAAGATGCAAGCCGCGGATTAAGAGCATGGCCCAGCACGCGCGACGACGAGATACAAGAAGCTGAAGAGGCACAAGAAGAGGATGTTGAACCCCACGAAAAGGCAATGGAGCAACCGAGTGGCATCTCAAAGGTCCTGTCGAGGAGGTCTGCAGCGTCGAGTTGGAGAGACCCTGGGCCTGCGCCAGACGGTGGGTCAGCCTGGATCCAGGTCCTTTGCACCCACATTACCGTCTTCAATACTTTTGGTTTCTTCACATCCTTTGGTGTGTTCCAGACGTACTATCAGACAACGTTGGGCATTTCTCCATCCACTATTTCCTGGATTGGCTCGTTACAGGTCTTCCTACTCTTTGGCATTGGCACATTTACCGGCAGAGCGACAGATGCAGGCTTTTTCCGCCATTCATACATTGCTGGCGCTGTGTTCCAAATCATCGGAGTCTTCACAATGGCTGAAAGTACGAAGCTTTGGCATCTGTTCTTATCGCAAGCCATCTGTCTTGGTATATCGAATGGTCTGCAATTTTGCCCAGCCATGGCTCTCGTATCGACGTACTTCGTGAAGAGAAGGGCTTTCGCGATGGGCTTGACAGCGCTAGGATCCTGCACGGGAGGCGTCATCATGCCCGTCATTGTCCAACAGTGTCTCCCACGCCTCGGCTTTCCATGGACAATCCGTATCATCGGCTTTATCATGCTCGCTCTCAACGTCGTCGCCATTACCCTCTTTCGTACACGTCTCCCACCACGCAAGAGCGGCGAAATCGTGGACTGGGCTTCCTTCCGTGAGCTACCCTACTCGCTCTTCTGCGCAGCAATGTTCTTCAATTTCTGGGGGTTGTACTTCGCTTTCTTCTACGTCGGCGCATACGGTCGTAACGTCTTGGGCGTGTCGTACCAGTCTTCTATCAATCTCTTGCTGGTCACCGTCTGCATGGGCTTCGTCTTCCGCCTCCTTCCCACCTACTACGCCGACAAAATCGGCTCTCTCAACGTGCTCATCCCATTTGCCTTTCTCTGTAGCATCATGATGTACTCCTGGATCGGGATCCACAGCATTGGCGGACTGTACACCTTTGCCGCCATCTACGGTTCCGGATCCGCCGTCATCCAAGCGCTGTGGCCTGCCATCATCGGTAAGTGCAGCAAAGTGCAGGATTTGAAGAGAGCTGGTGTGAGAATGGGCATGGCGTTTACGATTGTGAGCTTTGCGAGCTTGACGGGACCGCCGCTTGCCGGGGCGCTGATTCAGTCTGCGGGCGGGAGTTACACGTATGCGAATATCTGGGCGGGGACGAGTTTTTTGATTGGAGGGTGCTTGTTGATTGCGACGAGATGGGCGCTTGTGGGTATGGATTGGAAGGCTAATATTTAACGTCTTGGAAGGAGGCATTGCTCTACAAAGGTACCACTGATCTTTCGACATGAACTTCAGATATCCAGGAATTCAGAGCTCACTAAAGTTGGATCAGACTTGCTACCAAGCCACTGTCCACCTCAGCATGATGTTGCCTAGTTGATCCAAATTTACACGCCCAACGCTTGCTTACGACACAAATGTATACGCAACGCCCGCGCAATGCGAGCCTGGTAAATTCTTGTTCTGAGGCGCGTCGCAATGAAGAATCACGTTCTACCTTCTTTGAATGGAGACTCCCCAATTCTTTTGTAAGATAGCAAGTTCGCGTCTTTCCGACCAACCAATATCGGAAGCTTCTGTGTTGATAGTCCGGAACCACAATATGCGAAATCGTCTCCACGGGCTGTGACGCGCTTAGCTGCCCACAAAATCCTTGCTGCGACCGAATAGCAGCTTTCGACGTGTGTTCTTTCAATATGTGACTTGCTATTCTTGTTATAGAGGGGAAATGTTCTGAGACTCCACTTAAGTGCCCCCGCCTGCCCCATGCGGGCTACTGTTATGTACGCCACCCCGGAAAACTCGGAGCGAGATGGAACTTCTACGCGCCTACTCGTCGCTTCCCGACGCCGCCATGACGAAAATCCACATAGTGCAGTTGAGTCATGGGCGTAGTTGCAGGTGCTGTGCCCCTCCCCCAGTGCTCTACAAGTAGTTGGAGTGCTGCTGCCTTCGTGACCTCTTCATCCTTTCTTGATCACTTCTCCAATGCATCGCCATGCGTGTTCCGCCGCCCAAGGCTCCAGTCGACGACAACGACCGTACTGCTAAGTTCGTACACTCGGCTACCGAGCCTGAGATAGAAGTCTCCGTTAAGTCCGGGACAAAGCCGGAAGATGCCCTGACCGTCACCTTTACTGGAGGTATTCGCGCGCCTTCGCCAAACCCATCGTTATTGTCGGTCGAGGATTTCGGCCTTTTGGGACGTGGAGCGGATATGGGCCATGGTCGTAGACGTACTTCAAGATCACCTGTGCCGCCAGCGAAAACTTTGAGGGAGAAGCTGAAAGCGTTCTGGCTTGAAAACCTTGGGCTTATTCTGGTTTTGGTCTCTCAGTTGTTCGGCACTCTCATGAATGTAACAACACGAATGCTAGAGGTCGAAGGGAATAATGGTAAAGGCTATCATCCGTTCCAGATCCTGTTCGCTCGAATGAGTATAACAGCCGTGTGCTCGACGTGGTACATGTGGTGGGCAAAGACGAAGGACTTCCCTTTTGGAATTAGAGAAGTGAGATGGTTGCTCGTCGCGAGAGGCTTGTTTGGTTTCTTCGGCGTCTTTGGCATGTATTGTAAGTATACGATATTTTCATTGCTTGGCATACATTGAGGACCACTCAATGCTTAGGTATAATTGGTTGCATCATCACTACGTTCGGTGGAAGCATGTATACCACACTCGGGTAGGTTCAGGTATAGCTTACATTACTAGCATTCAACTTCCTACACGAACTACGAGCTAACTTCTCGCAGACTCTCTCCTCTACCTCCCACTGGCAGACGCCACCGTTATCACCTTCCTAGCGCCCTCCCTCGCCTGCTGGGCGTGCTCGTACCTCATCCACGAACCTTTCACCCGCATGGAGCAAATCGCAGCCTACATCTCTCTCTTCGGCGTTGTTCTCATCGCTCGCCCCGTCACCCTCTTCACCTCCCTCCACAGCAACATCGACCCCGTAACTCCTGCCAGCGGAGACGCGGATGTCGAATTCATCCCCACGAACGGTACCGACCCTAGTCATCGCCTTGCCTCATCCTACGAAAATGTAACACCAGCACAACGTGCATCAGCAGTAGGCATAGCCATGCTTGGAGTTATTGGTGCGGCAGGTGCCTATACAACTATTCGATGGATTGGAAGACGAGCTCATCCGCTCATATCTGTGAACTACTTCGCAATGTGGTGCACGCTCGTTAGCATCGTAATGATGTATGTCCTCCCGGACGTTGGTTTCCTCCTCCCACAAAGCTGGGTCGACCTCTCCTACCTTACTTTCCTCGGCGTGTGCGGCTTCATCATGCAATTCCTCCTCGCTGCCGGCTTGCAATACGAGAAATCTTCTCGCGCGACTAACATGGTATACGTGCAGATGCTGTTTGCGCTATCATTTGACAAGCTAGTATTTGGGACGACGCCAAGTGCGTTGTCTATTGTTGGGTCGTCGTTGATTTTAGGGTCGGCGATATATGTTGCTACTCACAAAGAGGATCCGAATAAGAATGAGGACAGGAGGGAGAGGGCTAGTGGGGAAGAAGAGACGGGCTTGATAGATATGGAGGCGGAAGGCGAGAGAATGTCTTATGACAACGACAACGAGATTCAGATGAGGACGCTGAGATGATGATGACGGTTTGGGGAGACGGCATTTGTTTGACGCATTGAGGTAAAGTGTACACAGTGGAGTTGCATTTGAATACGCGCATATGGAGAATAGCATGCTTAACCTCACCTGCATTCGATCGTGATAGGAATAGGAACAATTTGGGCCTGAACCTTCTTTGGATACTTGCAGTATGAGGAAAAATGACAAGACTTGCAACAATTCCGGGAGAGTGCGGTATACTGCGGTATACAATGCCCAGATTAGCAAATTTGGGAAGTGTCAATCACAGTCGGCTACTGAGACCCGACTTTAGATGTCGCACGAAGAAGATTGCGGCTGCTCTAAACCACCACCACAACCCACAATGGCCCTAGGCCTGACCCACATTGTCTCCCTTCGCCCTCCCTCGCCCTCGTGCATCCCGTCCTAATCTGCCCAACCCACTCACCCTCCCCATCGCCCTCTCCTGATCTCTCTCCCCCTCAGCAGGGCCAACCTTCCGCATCCGGCAATCGTTCGCCGGAGAAGCAAACCTCATCGAAAACTGCGGGCTTGTCGCCCTTCCACTAGCCCTGTCCTGCACCAATCAGGTAGCTTAGACTAGACCACTTGCGGGCTCGCGCAGCATCGCAGCAAATCAGAGCGGGCATGTGAGGTGAGGGCATTAGTTGGAGGGCGACGGGCGAATATGCCACGGAATGACAAAAGGGAATGTGTAGGGCGAGGGAGGAAGGCAATGTGGTGGGCTGAGGGCGCGGGTGACTTGGGTAAGCGGGTAGGGTGGCGGAACGGGTGGGGAAGTTTGCAAGAAGCTGGAGCATGCTAGAAACATTGCCATCATAGTTGGCTGAAGCTCACCGCTTGGCACTGTCGACGCTACACGTAAAGACTACTTTGATATGGGTATAATCTGGTTGCAAAGATCCACCTACAGGCTACAGCTAGCCGAGCCTGCCGGAACAGGAGGCCAAGACCTATCGTACGAACAACGGAGAAAACTCAGGTTACCGGTGATGTTGCTTTTGCGAGTATGCACTCATAGGGTGATGTCTTCCGTACGGTAATGGTCTGCGACGATCCGGTAAAGGTACGAGGGCGCATGTCCGCCGCTATGATGGTCAGCACCAGTTCTATGAAGCAAGATCCACAAGCTGAAACTTACAGGTTAGTAATGTAAAGGTTGACGAGGTCTGCCGGGACGTAGTCATACAGCGGGTGCTCTACGTCGACCTTGTCTACGAATTCGCCGTCCTCATATGGCACAACTCTTCCAGCATCCCCATATTCGATGAGCTCATCTATGTCGAAGGGATATACGGGGCTTAACTTGTAGACGCCGCTCAAGACGACCACAGGCGTTTGATGCTCCTTGGCAGCCTTTGCAATCATGTGGGCACCCGCGGCTGCGACGAGACCGCCATTAGCTAGGACGGTATGCGTCGCCAAGATGACCTTGTTGACGCGGGACATGATGGCGAAAACGTGGGAGTCTGGGATAACGTAAACTGGTATGCCAGTAGCCGTGAGAGGCTTCCATGGATCTTCATCCTCATCCAGTCGCGTTTCTCGCTTTCGGCCTGTAAGTAATATCCCGTGTGTTGCGGTGTTGTCGTGCGGGTACGTCTCGGCGTGGACAACAGTAAACTTGCGCTTCTTCGCGGCACTGAGCAAAAACTTTTGAACGGTCGTTGACGCAGTATGTGTGAGTATGATCTCGTTCGAATGGATGTGTTCCAGCGCAACACCGGCGATTTGCTCGTCCGACTGCTCTAGCTCGTCTTGCAGCTCCCGAATGCCATCCATGACTTCACTCTTCAAATCGATGTTCGTACTTCTGCTAAGGTCTGCCAATCGTTCTAGATTCAGGCTATTTGCAGTCTTTCCATCAGGGGATGTTGCACCTGTTGGTGTGCTGGCATTGGAATCTTCAGGCTGCGAGAACAAGCCGAAGAGAGAGTTGACCAAAGGCGCGGCCGAAGTAGGAGCATATGAGGTATGGGAGGTGAGGAGCGGTGGTCTCCTAGACATTTCAGAGGAGTCAGACATATCGGACGTCATGCTCGCATCCATGGGCTCTGCCGCTGCATGCCTGAGGGGACTGAAGGTCGATATGCTGGAAGAGAGGGTTGGTCGGGTCATGGAGTCGTGTTGCGCTGGCGAGTGGTGACCGGCGTCGCTCCCGGCATGGCTGTCGCCGCCCGTATTGTCGTCGAGCACCTCGCGCACCAGACCCAGCACGCGCCGTACGATATTGCCTACAACCACCTCACGCGGTTGGGCTGCTGTGAGTCGCCGGCCGACCTGGCGTATGCGCTCCACAAGCTTCGCTGCGTCCCGTCCTTTGAACTCGCCCACCACTCGGAGCATGAGGGCTGTTGTAGCAATGGCGCATGGTCGGGAGTTACGGATCTGTCGTCGCTTGAGAAGGCTGCGAGGTATTAGCGAACCGTCGCGCTACAAGAGGAAGCTGCGACTGTGACTGACGATATGAGGTGCTCCACCGAGGGGTCGGCGGGGGTGGTCTTTAGTGATTTGAGAAAGGACGTGAGTCCTGGGGCCAGCGGCGCTATGCCCTGTGCCATGATTGCAGAATGCGCAGGCGGCGCGCTGGCGGGTTTGAATCGCGTGTGTGGGAAGCTTCAAAGGCGGGCTCTGGTGTAGATAGCTGTTCGTTTGGGTGCACTATAAGCGGGGTGCAATTGGCGGCTGTTCGAGTGTGCGCAGGGTTCGAAAGCAAAGGCGTAGGCTTGTCACTGGACCCTTTGTTTTAACTGGGTTATTTTGAACGCACGTGGCGAGACAGGAGGAAGCTTAAGAGTGGTTGCGGGCGCAAAAGTTACGAGTATGAGTCTTTAGAAAGTTGGGCGGATGTGCAAGTGGCCGATTTCCGATGTCTCCATTTTCGGATGTCTGCAGGTGCCTCTGACATCGTCATTGCTTTGGGTGGTCCGCGCATCCCTCTTTCCACCTCAAAGCCATCGCGCTCACTCTCTTACAGGCCCTCGGGTCGCTCTTCCTGCTCTTCTCTGCTCCGCGCCCCCGACAATCGCTCTCCCAGCTGCTTCGTCGGTGGCCGCTGTGCTGCCTGTCTAGCTAGCTCAGAACGCCTCTCGGCCCCCCTGCAAACACCGCGGTCATACGTGCCGCGTGCGCTGAAGTCTGAATAGCCAGAGAGCACAGGGACATCAGTCTTGGTTTATGGCTGTGAGCGGAGCATGAACGTTCTAGCACACATCGGCAGCACCCCGCCAGCGAATCCTCCACGTTCACGAGCCTCGTCAGAGAGCAGCATCTTCCACGCCCAACCTCGGCTAAGACCGCTTGTTCAATCGAATGATGCGGGCGCAGGACCCGTAACATCGACAGACGTATCGGAAAACATGGTTGCTAGACGGCAGGACGGTGCTAGCTATACCCAAACAGACGCGACGCCGTCCGACTTCGATGAGAAGACGCCGCTCCTCCACAACGCACAAGAGCCCTTTCCTGCGACGCAGAAATCTAAAAGGTGGCTGATACCTCAAAGGATAACAGACGTGTTTGTCGGTGGCGTCAAGCTGCTCCTCACGCCCATTGTTGTTACCGGGCACTACTTGGTTGCGTGTTTTCACTATGAAGACGGGCGTTTCTCCCTGATTGCGCCTGTATACCACCTCAGTCATCCTTTCACAAGAGCTCGTCGGAAGAAGCGGATTGCCGTGACAATGCAAGGATCAGACTCATCCGACACCCAAGAGAAAGGGAAGCGCAAGGGCAGAAGCATCACCGCCACGCAGAAGGTCAAGCAGCCTCTCAAACGCTCGCCCTCAAACGTCTCAACATCAACGGCAATCACATCAGACTCGGAGGTGGAGAGCGAGCGACCTTCATCGAGAGATGGCGACTACGACGCGCCTTCTCGCCATACGCGATCAAAGTCGACGACTTCTGCGAGCGAAGAGATAGCACCCGCAAAGCGTCAGATACGAATCAAGCTACACAATGATGAGGCACTGAGACAGCGCAAGGCAGCGAAGAAGGCCAGCGTAAAAGGAAGCCCTACTCTGGTGTCGGTCGAAGCTGCAAACGCACTGAAGTCGCCTGCTAGCCCTATAACCTCGAAGCAGCTGACAAAGTTCCCTCGAGCGCCACAACCCCCACGCCCCCTTGTTCCACGGCGCCAGCCGTCGTATTCTGCAGCTACTACCACCTCGGTCGGGCCACACCAGAAAACGTTGATTCTAGATCTCGATGAGACGCTGATCCACAGCATGGCCAAAGGCGGCCGATATACAACCGGCCACATGGTCGAGGTGAAGCTGCAGCAGCCAGTAGGAGCGGGCGGCCAGATCATCGGCCCGCAGGTCCCAATCTTGTATTATGTGCATAAACGACCACATTGCGACGAGTTTCTGAAAAAGGTAACTTATAATCTAGAGGGTAGGCGACGTCCGCTAATTCAGCTCGCCACAGGTGTGTAAATGGTACAACTTGGTAATCTTCACCGCTTCAGTGCAGGAGTACGCAGACCCAGTCATCGACTGGTTGGAGACGGAGCGCAAGTATTTCGCGGGAAGGTACTACCGGCAGCACTGCACGTTTCGCAATGGGGCTTACATCAAGGATCTGGCTCAGGTCGAGCCTGACCTCAGCAGGGTCATGATCATTGATAACAGCCCTATGTGCTACGTTTTTCACGAGGGTAAGGCGATTCCCGCGGACACACCGAGCAACGTGGGCTAACGATCGACATTAGACAATGCCATTCCTATCGAAGGATGGATCAATGACCCTACGGATCATGGACTTCTGCATCTGATACCGCTCCTTGAAGGCCTTCAGTATGTCACCGATGTTCGCGCCTTGCTTGCTCTGCGGTTAGGTCAGCCGCAAACTGCCTGAGGAAATCGTACTGCAGGCAATTTTCGCTGCACGACTTTCAGCATTCTGTACACGCGGCTTTTTAATTTCTATTGTATTATAGAAGCGGCACCGTTGGTTACAACGGAACAGTCGCAGGTTGGAGAGAAGAAGATACCCAAGATACCTTTCATGAACGCACGCGTACGCGTTCCTGCTCCACACTTTGATACGGCGCCGTCGCCCATTCTGCGCTTGCTTTTGCGTCCGACAGGCGTTCCGTCGTGCCGGTCAGAGCATGTCAATCCGCGGATTGAGACTCTCCGATTCGGCCCATACCCTGTTTTCACCCACGCTTCTGCTTGGCGCCCCCATGCTTCGTTCTTCTCTTTGCTAAGCCATTTTACATCAACTCATTCGGCTTTTGTCGCTAACCTGTACGTACATCGCCCGCTTATCGTCCGTTCAGTATCCGCTGCCACGCGCCCACGTGTACCGCTTTTCGGTAACCGTCTGTGCAGTTGGTGTGGTTGCATGCAACCTACCCCGAATCACGACATGGCCTGGTTCAGCTCTGAATGCGAAATTTCATGTCCCACAGTACTATGCTCGTACCGACTCCCTTTATCTCACAGATTTCGATCTTCGATCTGGGCCCATCTATGAATGTGTGTCAATGCATCTCCTGAATCGGTTTTCAAATTACAAATTCAGAGTATTTATTACTCAGGGTATTACGAGGCGGTGTCGTGGCCGACTGACTTCGCAGCCATGGACTTAACAATGGTGGGAGTTGATCAACTTGGTCTTCAATGTCTGACTAAGCGACCCCGGCCATGTATGCAACTCTAACCTAGTTCAGACTGCAAGCAGGTATGTTCTATTGCTTGGGAAAGTTGCAGAACTGCTTGAAAGCATAACCCATTCATTGCCGAACTACGAACCCTTCTTGCAGCTCGCAGAAGGTCTTCACGTTTTCGCGGGCGGCATGGGTACGAGCAACGTGTGGAGCCGTTGTCGTATGCTTTCACAGACATCGCGCAGTTCCTTCTAGAGCTCCATCAGAGTTTTACCAGGACGTCCCACGGTATGTGACATTTACGTATACATTTCTCCTCGGGATGCGCGTTCGTAAATTCCCATCTCAAAATCATCCGGTGGGCATTACCACATCGGGCACGCTCAATGTGGCGTTTACGTGAATGGACGACCAATAATTGGCGCACGTGAACAAGGGTTTCACGTTGCAAAAGTCGTACAGCTTATTGCGATTTCCACGCATGTTTCGCGTTGACCCAGCGATCAGGCAGGAATGTAAATTCTCAAGTAACAGTTTGCAGGGGGGGGGCAATACGCCATAATCGCTTGTTTTCGCCTACATACCTGTGGCGGTCGCTCGACTCTCGATTTGCGCAGCTTGAGACAAGACTTGTGAAGAACAAAGCATGGCTGGAAAAAGAGCTTGGGAGTACGGAAACAGAGTACGCGACAATAGAAAACTGCCGCGCCGAGTACAGAGAGTTCCTTGACAAGCAAAGTGAGGCGGAGAGCGAAGAGCTTAGGCAGCAGAAGATGGCGAAGCGAAGTACGTCATTCAATCTTGAACGAAGTTTATACTGATGTTTGCACAGTGAGAAGAATTGATCGGTTCAAGGCGTGGCTAGACAGCAACTGCTCTTATCGAGGAGTCTACGAACATCGACTTAGACAACGACATCCCAGTACTTGTGTGTGGTTTCTCAAGAATGAGGAGTATTGTCGCTGGAAGAACGTTCCATTTGATAATGATGATTCTGCCAATGGTGCAGAACGCCTTGAGAATGACTGGCAACATAGAGTGCTCTTCGTACAAGGTAAGCCATTATTTGGTGATCATATCTTGACTAGGTTTGCACCGTCATGCGATGATAATCACCGGCACGCTATATATCCCATTACGCAACATAATCCAGGCTAATGAATCCAGCTGAAGCAGGCTTCGGCAAAAGCGTCCTTTCTGGTACAGTAATTGAGGATCTCAGCATCGAAGCAGGCAATCTAAGCATTGACGACGAGCTTGAGTCGCCCTACACCGCATTCTATCATTTCAACGCAGCTCACTCGTATTGTATTCACCCCGACGATGCTTTCCGAGCGCTGACAAACCAGCTCCTACATACGCATCGCCATGACCGATCCACGATGGATGCTGTGTCCTTACTCATACGCAAACTTCCACCTCAAGCAAAAGCAACCTCGGACGACGTTCTTTCCGTCCTTGCACTTCTTCTTCGACAACACCCAACCTTTCTTGTCATTGACGGTGTTGATGAGTGTAGTGATATCGACCTATTGCTTCGATCCATTCCAGAGCTTTGCCGCAAGTCTGATACACGCGTTATCCTGTTCGGCAGACCGCACATCAAGATTCCAAACGAGTATCACAAGTGGGCTTCAGATGCGCCTCACATCATATTACTCAACGACAACAGCAACAATCACGATGTAACAGCTTATATCATCGATAACCTCCATGAGCTTGCCGACCAAGGCTACTTTGGTATATCCGTGGACAGGTCATTGATCACAGCTATTGCGAAAAAATGCAAAGGCAACTTTCTCTGGGCGAGCTCGCTTCTGAGATTCCTACGATCGGACGTCATGACTCCCGACGAACGCTGTGCGAAGCTGGAAAAGCCTTATGAATTGAATGGTTTGGAAGCTATATACGCCCACATTCTAATATTGCTCGAGTTGAGACCAGACGCACAAAGACGCTTCACCGCCAGCGTTTTCCGATTGCTGGCGTTGGGGGTTCACCGGCCGTGCATGCGAGGATTCCAAAAAGCTGTCAATGTCACTCCCGGCGAACGTACTATCGACTCTGGCCCCAATTTTGTCATCAACGAAGCCATTCCTTTCCTTACATGCGGCCTAGTGGAAGTCACACCCTGCAACATGATATTCACGCACAAGTCCTTCAAAGAGCACCTTCAGGCTGTTGACGCTCAGACAAGTTCGTTCAGTCTCCAAGATGAGAGTCTTGCGCACGCACAGCTGGCTGCCACCTGCATCTCGTTCCTTGCATTCGACATCCCTAAACGACCATTAGGAGATAACAACCCCCATGTGTCTCAGCTGTTGCTATCGACACAGCAGGTACGAAGTAGTGGTACAAGCATGCAGACGAATAAATCTGGCGATAGCGGATACAAATCTATGTCGTCTGCTCCTTCAAGCTCGCAACACCAACTCGCAGTCCCGGGATCGTCGACTACACCTCTCTCCTCGCTACAAGCACCATGCCAGCCAGATTGGGACGCCGACCTCCCCTTCCTCCGCTATGCCTCCCTCTGCTGGCCCATCCACCTAACCCGCGCCCTTACCTCCCCTCCTCCCTCTTCCTATCTTCCGCCCGGGCCACCTCAGTATCCCTGGCTCACACCACTCTCAACCTTCCTCACCGACCGCGCCGCAGTGACCACCTGGGTCGAAGCCTCCTGGCGCTACAAACTCCCACCCAACCTTTCGAGACTAGTGCCGTTGTTAGAAGTCGTGAAGAGTAAGACGCCGACGGCTACGGCGGAGGGAAGGGAACTGAGGTGGGTGGTGCATGGGGTGAGAGAGCTGAGTGAGGGATTGAATGCGGTGAGAGAGGGCTGGGGCACAAGGGTCAAGGAGAATCCAGGGTTGGTCTGGGGTGGAGAGGCGGACGGGGCATGGTGTAATTAGAGGGTAGGTGGGGGGAGTGAAGAGGCTCGTGATATTAATTGAGGTGCGTTGTATTTAGTAAAATGAGTGAAAAAAGTGTCTACGGCGTGTGGCCGCATGACGTTAAAAGCCAACGAGAAAGGAAGCCGCGGCCTATCTCGACCTCCACTTTACTCATTCACAGCCTCGCACCACCACCACAACACTCACCCGCATTGGCGCCGCGCTGGTGACAAACACGTAGGGGCCGCAAGGCGGCTGCTGAGAGTTCGCAAGGCTCGTCATCGCTTCACGATCCAACTTCTACCACCGCCACATCCTCTGCGATGGACGACACCGTGATAATAACAACACGCAGACGCCGCACAGCAACTTCTGAGAGTCCGCCAGACTCATCACTTCTCCTTACGCTAGCGGCTGAGTTTTTGCACCATATTACTTATGGGGGTTCACTTAAAGAAGATCACGAAGCGCATCACAACCTATACATGATATCGAAGGTTCTGAGAGATGTGGCGCAGCTGGCTTTGTTTGATCTGTTTAGAATTTCAGAGCCTAAGTGGGACTTGGAGATATTAATTCTTAAATCTTGTCTAATGGAACAGATACGGTTTACTAGAGCAGTACTTTAGCGACAGGACCTTGCAGCAAGTATCAAAGCCATCATTCTCAATTTCCAGAGTCTAGCTTAAATTCACGAACCTTCGCTGAACACCGAAGATAACCTACTCCTTTACAAAGCTTATGGCGACATCTTTCCAGGAGCTAAGTTCGAGAAGCTGATAAGGAAGGTCAAATAGTGGGAATCTATGAATAGTAAAACAGTGACGTTGCTCCTCTAGCAATCTTGTCTAGCTGACCTTAGAATCTTCGGAGTCTGATTTATAGTCCAGTTCTTATTTGTTTATATATACAGCCTTCTCGATCCAATTTGAAGCCCTTACTACGAGCATCCAGGACTCTTTCCTAGTTCTAGAAGATATTTCTATTTCCCGACCACCTTCTGCAAACGATATCTTTGGGTATACACAGCTATTAGGTTCCACTTTCCACCTCGCTCTCCCGACTCTGCGAACGTTTTTATTGCCTTCTTTATCCTCAACTAGTGACTTGAAACTATTCTGTACTAGTACGCCTCTGTTTGTTAAACCGCACTTACGTTAATACTGAAGGATCTTTTGGGCTGCTAACACCATGCTCCAAGATCAAGGTTTTTGAATTCGGCACAGACTAGTCTAGCGATACTAGTGGGTATAAGGGGTACGATGGTGTCTCGCTAGAAGACTTTATAGCTACTAGAGAGAGTCGAAGCCCTTCGTTGAAGGGGCTAGACATTAATCTCACGAAAATACAACGACAGAGTTCTCTTTGGCTACTAGAAGACCAAGGCCGAGGATGAATAACCAACGATGTTGACTTCCCCAAGTTCGGTTCCTGCCACCAGTACAGGGAGGAGTCTTGAGTCTTTCAGTATGGATGCCCTCCGACTCGGTCCAATCGGCAATTTACCTCCGAGTATATTCTGAAAGTAATTTCCGCGGTTTTCATGGTCCGGAGCTGCACAAGACCTTCGGTCGTTACCTATGTATGTAGCTATGAATTATTCGGATGCCTTAAATGTACGAGGACAGATACTAGAGCGATGGATACCTTCAATGTTCATGTATCGAGATGGTCCGTGATTACGCTGGCTAACAATGCGAAGCAGAATTTGGCCGTCAGTAGCCATGCAGTCGTCTTAACTCTGCGTCCAATTCGCCATGGCACTGCAGTGCGCGCATGGCCATAATGTGGAGACAGTACCTTCACCAGAGAGACAGCACATAGTTAAACAATATTGGATTATGCATTTCATTTGAGTGATATTGTTACAATCATGCTTGAATCAGGCCTCATAAGGCTCTTCATAATCTCATCGAAACCGGCACATCAATCTATGACCCAGGAAGACAAGCTTGTCCTAACACCGCTAACAAAGGAGACATTTAGTCGAAGGGGTTGGTCCTGGTGCCCCAGTAGGTGAGGAACAGGGAGAGACCGACGGTCTCGAAGACGCGGGCAAGAGCACCGACGGCGATAGTGTCAAGGGGACGCTTCTCGGTGAGGACCTGGGAGACAATCTACTTCGATGTTAGTCTAATTCTTTCTTACATTTCATGATTTGAATCAGAACAGACGTACCGAAGGGGCAGCAGAAGCGAAGAAGACAAGGGAACCGAGGTATGCAGCGCCCTTGTAGGTAAGGGTTCCGGTAGCGTTGATGAGAGCACCAACACCGTAGGCCTGGATAGCAGAGCCAGCGAGGGAAGATCCCCACGAGGCGGCGGCGGTGGCAGCCTCCTTGGAGTGGAAGAACTCCTCCTTGGTGTTCGCAGCCTGGGCGCGGCGGTAGGAGTCGCCGAAGACGGGGCCGAGGACGGCGAGGGAGACGGCATGGTTGAAAGCGGTGCCGAGGGCGATGGCCGACGGCTTAACAGGGGGAAGGTCTAAAGGGTGGCATGTTAGAGACGCTTCTAGGACTGTTGTTGATGCGATGTGCGAATCGGAGCTGTGGCAGAGCTCGCGCAATCGGCGATGGTGGCCTCTCGCGCTGTTGTTTGCGCGCAACGCTCGCAGAACATAGAGGGAAGCTTACAGTGGAGAGTGGCCATTGTGATGGATTAGAAAGTGATGAAGTGTGTTAGGGTGATAGATTGGTGATGGAAAAGCGTCAGGTGTAGTAAGAAGGTCGAGGGACCAGGAACACGCCCAGCTTTTGTACCCCCAATGCGTGACGGCCCTTCACCTGACCCCATTGATTCGTTACGTCATAACGACGCTCCTCAGTGGTGCCAAGGCCACAACAACGCGCTTCCAATGGCAGCCAGCCCCAATCGCGTCACCGATGCGGCTTAGTGGCATCTGTGCGTACCGCAAGCTGCTCCAGATTGTCCATGATGAAATTGCAAAGGCCATGGCGAGATCGGTCGGTAGATGGACGTCATTCCTGTTTTCGAGGAAGGATGTGGCCCAAGCTTCTTAGAGCTCCTCTCAACCGAGGTCAAGCGCGCCGGTTTGAGTTAGGGCAACACGTGTGCTGTTTGAGAGAGACAATCTTGGAATTCCTACGAACGAGTGGGAGCTTATGTGCGAGGCTGGCGACCCTTGCAAAACCATTGTGCACATTTCAGTCCATCTGCATTGCGATGAGGGGTTACGCCTCTGGTCGTTCCCAATGATGTTCAGAAACCAGTCACTTCTGGGCGCAGCACTGTGCCTCCTCGCTCTCATCATCTTCTTACTCACGCATGTGCATACGAATGCGTTTGTCTCAATCCTTGAAACATCAACGTTCAGGAAGGAGCCACAGATCGCGGTCACACCCCCTGACTACGCACATTGTTTTGTTCAAATTCAACGATGGTGTAACCTCCGTCGATCTCAAAGATGTAAAGACCTTCTTCCTGAACCAACTCATAGAACTAACAGCATGGGAAGATCACCCTGCAGATGCTTGGCCTCCAAAAGTCGTGCATCCATCCTATAACTGGGGCACCGTACATAAAGTCAATCACGGGCGGGAAGGATAACTCACCCGAGGGCTTGCAGGTACTGCGCTAATCTTGTGGACATTTCAAGATGACTTTGCTGATGATTGTGATAGGAGGGTTTGAGCCATGCATTCATCGTGCAATTTTCTTCCAACGAGGACCGTGATTATTACGTCAACCAGGACCCTACACATGATGCATTCAAGAAGGCTGGGCCTTTCATCGAGAAGGCGGTCGTTGTGGACTTTCAAAATAGTGTATTCATGCGGTCGGAATGACGAATTTAGCACATGAACCTTACTATATTATCTGGACGGGAGACGATGCTCAAACTGACACAGAAATTGGTAATTTATGAGAGAGCAATCGCGTAACAGTCTGAAGACTCGCTGTAGCTTGTACGACCTCGAAGTACCCAAAGCCGTATCCGAGGTGTGACAAAGGACTACCTAGGTATCAATGGATCAAGTCGATATACAGCAAGCTTGCTGTCCTTTCAAACTCGTTCCATGCAAGTTTGCGCTGGGCGTGCGCTCATATGACTACATCTCGGCTCGAACATTTCTGAGGGTCTTGTAGAACCATCTCATCTCGAGAACACCAAAAAGCATCCCCATCCCATGCCCAGGTGAGATCGTTAAAACGTGGCGCTAGCTCCTCGCTACCGCCGCCAATCATTCCACAGTTCTTCTCACATTAGCCCCTCCTAATCGAGATACATCCAAAAGAATTCTTGCAGCGTCCTTTTCTCCACTCGTTCACCGTCTCCTCTAGATTAAAACTCCAATATATTTTGATAAAGAAGTCAGATCTTCATCAAACAGCAAATCAACATCCTCCGTGGCGCAATTGGCTAGCGCGTCTGACTGTTAAACTAGTCTTGGTTCGGCGATCAGGAGGTTCGTGGTTCGAGCCCACGCGGGGGAGCTGCTCATACTTTTAATTTCTTTTTGCGTTCAATCTTCCTTTGGAAGGAGTGATGACGGTGTTGTGGTGGGTTAGAGGGGGGTTGAATGCGGGAAGGTTATTCTTTTACGCTGGAGAGAAAATAACAGTTCTAGGGATCGTAGTAGGTTGTGTGGAATTTGACTCTTTTCCGCAACATCTACTCCTAAGGTGTGTGAGGGTCTATCCTGAGCGAGCTGTCCTAGCTTCGGACCAAGGCGGGGGAAATCGGAGGGTTTGTAACAACAAAATTTATATGAGTTGGCCACTGCCAACCTGGACATCATTCGTACTGAACAGCGTCATTATTTGGGAACTTCTTCGTGTTCGTGCGATAGTCAGGCGGCTATACAAGTAGTATGCAGCGCTCTATTATGGCCCATCATGGGCTCCAATATTTTCCAAGATCAGTAACAGCTCCAAGTATTCAACCTGCAAGAGCACTCGGAGCGGTGCTGGGGTGATGTAGCAGGTATTAACTTCATCCGTCGCTCACTTTGCAATCCCCACCATCGAGTCCTGCCTGCACATGTAAACATGCGCAACCGTGTTGTCATTGACCCCAACATCAATAGACTGAGAAAGCATAGTCGCCTGACTGTCGATCCTATTCATGTCGCCTTGCTGTTCAGCCTGGTCCCCTCTACTCTTTCCCATGTGTCGCATTTTATAGGAGTTATAGGGTCGTCCTTCGCTCTCACAGTGCGCCATTTCCCCGCTTAGGCAAGGCAAGTAGCGCAGTAGCGGACGCAGAGTCGCGATGCACGCCGCCGCGATTCCGAGCGCGATCTCGAAGTTAGAGTAGTAAGCGATGGGCGCAAGATTATAGAGGAAGTCGTCCCGATTCTGGTACTGGAAGAGGAATTTGACCCGGATCATGGTGGCGATCGAGGCGCTGTATCGCTACTTAGCATTGTCAATCTGCTAGAAGAGGTGGGTTTCGTACATTACGCCGAGACCGAGCATGATGCCGATGCAGATCTTCTGCTTCAAACACAGAGATAGCTTGTAGACGATGACAGCCGGAACGATGGCGCAGACAAGATCGGTGGTAATGCAAATGACGCTGAAAAAGATGCTGACCTGCGTCAAGAGCGCCGGCGAGCCACATGATCCAGCCTTGCCGGCGCGAGCGTTGTCTCTCCAATTATCCCCCAAGTTCTTGCAGCGGGCAACCCAGACGATGATGCGGATGAAGGCAGCTATGACTGAGACGTGGATGACGCCTTTGAAAATCCAGCGGTGGACCCTCTCTCGGGCAATACGGAGCATGAAGCAGCAGATCGAACACTTGACGATGGTGGTGTTGACCGTGTATAGCAAGCCAATAAAGAAATGCCACTTCATGCCATCTTCGTATTCCGCGACGTTCAGGCTCTTGTGGGCATCCACGGGGTCGTGAGAGTGGTGACTGCCGACCCGCGAGAATGGGATTACAATTGGCTGAGTCAAGAAAAGAGCCCTTGGAGGTCAGCATTGTATCGTAGATGCTCAGGTCACTTACCATCCGGCAAGCATCAGCCAATCATCAACACCCCATGCTCGGATGAGCAGACGTGCCCATACGCGCAATCCGAAAGCGATCGTGGCAGCGGCGACAAATACTGCTGTCGCGATGAACACCTTTAAGCCGGTGCCTTCGAGCTGGGGGACCATTGCGACCAGCGAGTGCGAGGTGGGGAAGCAGCAGGGATCGAGGAGGGTCAGAGATTGTTTGTTTCGGTAGAGCTCCGCTCCAAAGATTGTCTTCCATGGTTGGGGAAGTGGATTCACCTGCGATTGTAGCGAAGTGCACGCGACGCCAGACATCCGACATCTGCGACCGCAGCCATGACATAGGGACGCTCCTGCTAAGACAAAGTGCTGGTCATTACCGGTATATCTACTAGTATTGGTGCGCTCGTATGCGGCGACCTTTGGCGGAGTACCTGCCCATGCCTGATGTGGGGGTTTGCATGGCCAGTCGCTGGACTCTAAACAGTACCTCGATGCCGTTCACGACCAAAGCTCTCGTATATTCAGGATCATTCGCGGCGGTGATCCATGCAGCAAGCGAAAGGGTTGAGCAAGTGCCTGTTGTCACAGCTAACGTGTCGTCGATTCGGGCGAACTATCTCTTGTTGTGCATTGTAGCACTGGACGAAGCGTATGGCGTTAAGAAGCTGTGAGCACGAAGCCGTCCGCGTGCCTGCATGATTGCTACGCTGGGTTTTCCCTTGAACAGCGCATGGGGATGCAGTAGGTCTCGCAAGGAGGAGCGTCGGTCGCGGTCCCGCCGCACTATCTACGGACGGGCGGCCGTGCACAATCTCTGCAGGAGTGATGCAATGCTTACTAGACGGAGGCAGGGGGGCCAGATTGTTTTGACCGAGCCAACACATCGAGAGGCCTGGAGGGACTTTGGTGCAGAGAGCCGTGGCTGGACGCAGGCAAGCGGCGGTGTGCGTAAGGCTGAAGCTTGAGCGGGAGCGTTGTCGATCCCCTTCGACGCGTTTCCTCGAGCTGCATGTCATCCAGCAACACTAGCTTGTGTCCAAACTCCAGTCAGCACAAGCTGGGAAGGCATGGCCGACCCTCCCCAGCCACCAACAACAACCGCCCTCGCCCTCCTCCCTCTACCTGATGCAGCGCACAGAGAGCTCTCGTCCCTACCCCTCGCTTCTGTATTCTTCCGCCGCCGTTCCACGCCTTTCACTTGCGCGACCGCTTGCGGACGCAGACAACCCTCCGTGACGTGCTGCGGCCGTGCTTTGTTTCACTCCAAGATTATACACGGAACTGCTACAACACCAACAACTCGACACACTCGCGCGACTCGATTACCCGACAGCTGAAGATCACGAAGCAGCCTTACATGTTCATCATGGACGGCTCGTTCTCCGACCCCGAGCTCGACCTGAGCGACGTCCAGATGCCTCCCAACGACGACATACCAGAGGAGGCTGAGATGATACTTTCAGACGGCGCCGAGAGCAGCCATCCTTTCTCTCCTCCCCCGCGCATTGCTGCCCGCTTCTATCGCCCATCCAACACCCGCCGGAAGTCGTCCGCAACCTCGTCCCGTCGCAACTCGATATCTTCCACACATTCACACACGTCCACTCGCTCCTTCCGCAACAGCTGTCAGAGCCACCATATAGCTCAGCATCTACGGCGCGCCTCCATTCTCGAGACCCGCAAGGCCAGACTGGCAGATCGAGCTGCCCACGCAGAGCAGGTCCGACTGAGGGCTGCGTTGGCAAAAGCCACGCCCCGCAACTCCAACATTGAAGAGAAAGCGTTGGCAGCACAGCAAGCTCGCGAACGTCATTTGGCCCAGGTAGCTGCAGCATGTGCCGAAGAAGTTCGTCGCGCAAAGAAAGTCGCAGAGGATATGAAGGAACGTAAGGCCGCCGAAGAACGGAGGACCCGCCAGGAGATGCAAGACAGGCTCGCCGAGGCTGAAAAGAGGAGGCTGGAGTATAAACGCAACACTCGCAGGCCGAGGACTGCCAGCTCACCCCCAGCCGATGCGAAGAAGGCCGTCACCCCTCGTGCAGTCAGTGCCGAAGAGGCCGCGAAGCGCATCCAGGCAGCTTGGAGAGCCAGAACTAGGAAAAACATCGTCGATGCATGGTTGGCGTTTGGCTTGTCCATCGACAAAGTTCACGACCACGGGTTCGAGGAGGTGACAGCCTTGCTGAACGAGGATAAGGTACTGGCAGCTACGGAACAAATCATGACCCTTTTCGGGCTACTTTCTGGCGAAGACACGACTTCACGTGGTTCGTCCGTACGGACCTTCCTAGCTGCCTTTTTGATCCTCGGCCATCCTGCACAAGTACTCAGTCGCGACGGCGACCAGGAGCAGGACCTTATCCAAAAGGCTAAAGACCTCATCATGGCATTTGAAGCTGCACTCAGCAAGTTGACTACGTTTAACTATTATACCCCTTCGCCAACACGCCTCGAGACGGTCGCACTTGCGCATGGTGCGTTTATGACAGCGTTCAACCTATGGAAGGCACGAGACTCGTCCGCGCTCATCGAGACTATGGTGGCATCCTTCGTAAGCCTTGATGCAATCTGGCAAAGCGTGAAGGACGAGACGGTAGAAGTCGTTGCTGAGGAGTACAAGAGTGGTATACGAGATAACCAAGCGATCTTGCTGAGCAAGATAAAGCGCCTTGCAGGCCCCGATCGTGCCTTGCAGCTGATCAGGAAAGCTATTCGCGAGTCTAGACGGGCGCGCCCTAAACGAGGCCCCAGCGGCGAAGTTGCACGTCCACGCGTTGCTTCGCCTACGCCAGCGTCTACCATATCGGAGGATCAGGTTTCGACGCAGGCGCAAGCGGCATCGCAGCTGGTGGCGTCGGACGTTACGCAGGCCTCTGAAGGGCATCAAGCCAACTCGCTTTCCAAGCTTTTTACCTCTGTTCCAACCAACAGGATCCTTGTCCACGAATTATCCATTGACAAGGAATACCGCATCGACGCCTCACCAACTGCTGATCTCCGCGATGCGCTAAACCGCGAACTCTGCGATGCCATGCGCCAGGGCATCGAGCATGGGGAAGGAACGGTATGGACAGCGGCCATGGCGGAAAACATTCGCGCAAAGCTTCTACGTCTCCTGAAGCCGGGCAACACCATGCATGCCTTGATATCTGAATCCTTGGACGCCGACCTCATCAGCCAACAGTCTAGCCAAGGGATGTTCTCCTACGGGAAGTTCTTTGGCTTCATGGCGAATATCCTCCCCAAACTTTGCGCGCCTTTCCGTGATGTTGAGGTCAAGGCTTTAGCAGATGAGCTACAAGAGGAAGGAACGTTGCCTGAGATGATCGAGAAATTGTTCAAGCTCCTTCATACCATCGACCTCCTTTCGTTGGACTACTCCAATTTCCTTCTTATGCAATCAGCTCCAATCCTGATCAAGGAAGCTCCAACGTACGAACAGCGAGAGTTTACTGAAGATCTAGAACAAGGGAGGATTACGCTGAAGAGGACACGGCGTTGGTGGAGAAGTGCCGCTGTCAACGTGCACACGGAAGCTGACAGACGGGATCCGTGGAGCGAACCGTTGCCCATGAACAGACCGACACCTCAAAAGATCTATGCTCGTGGCTTGATCGACCTCGCCATAGCTACACCTCCGTTGAGGGATTCTGAGGTCCCCGAGACGCTCGAGCTTGACCGAGGTCGCCTCGCTCGTATACGTGAAGAGGCTCTTCGCATCACAACTATTGGTGGCATCTTGCTCACGGCCAAAAATCTCTTGAAGCGCGACGTGCGCTCCCAGTGGAAGAACGAAGCGAATCGTATGTGGGAGACCCTGAAAGACGGTTATCTGAAGGATCCAACAACGCCATCCAAGATCTCTTCGCTGCTTGAGTCATCGCACGCTATGCCACCTTCCACCCGCGCCCAGCTCGCCTCGACCATCACACGCCTCCTTACGCAAGCTGACTCGGGGCGACTTTCTGATCCTGTCATGAAAGTTCTGTTCCAGCGTTTGAAGACACACATCTTCAACCGCGTATCAGCCAGCAGCTCTAGCGAGCGTGTCCGGGCCGCAAGCACAGCTACTGAAGGCCTTGCCACCACTGGTCTTCCAGAATTTGTGTCGCAGGTTGGCGACATCTGCGAGCAGCTGAGCAAGGTTAGTGACGTCGACCGGAAGGCGCATGGCAAGTGGTACGAGGAGATTGCGGAAGAGTTAGAGAGACTTGGTGCTGAGGGTGTAGACCTTGCGGGCACATCCAGCGCGGAGTCGGAGGCTTCTGCTGGCAGCTCGTTCGAGTAAGCACTCTTGGAGGCTTGAACTCGACGTTTTCCCATAGAGGACGATATCCTGCGTTGCTTAGGGCAGGTACCATAATCTTGGACGTTGTCTCGCCTTGGTCGTTTCTTCGTTACCTTTCATTGTTCATGCCTTTCCTGTTCTGTTTTGGTCTGTCCATGTTACCGCTTGTGTCCATCTTTGGATTCGTTTCTGCTTTTGGTCATCCGGCATTTTGGGGCTTTCTTTCTGTATATGTCCTGGGTTTGGATAGCCTCTTTGTATGGCTTCGTGATATCAACCTGGATTCATTGGCTGGCGAGCATATGGAGATGACCAGCCGGCGTTGGCTTATGAAGCATACGATGCAAATCACATACATCTTTTCCTCTGCAGTGGCAATCTGCTCTAGCTATTGTGTCTTCTGCAAGTGATTGCAGCGGTTCGATGATACGTGCAAGGCATACGCTTGTGACTGTTGCCCACGCTTCTGGATTGTGCCGAGACTGGTAAGCTACAGAACCACGGAGCTCTAGGTTAATCTGGATTACAGCGCAGCACCATAGCCTACTCTATTAAAGAATAGATCTGGTGCTGCGCTGTAATCTAGATTAAACTGGGATCGATCCATTAATCCTTTGATGAGTGCTCTTCGGACCCGGGTAATCGAGCAGCTATGTCATTACGAGCTACTATCTGAGCGAGTCTAGATTCGATACAGACGCACGCAACGCGTCTCGCAACAGTACACTAAACGAGATACGATAGAACAAAAGCAGCCATATGGGAGAAAGATTTAGTGCAGCTTACGTGCTTCTATAGACCAGACGCGGGCGTGTGAACCGTGCGCACGAAGCCATCCCTGGCCCTGACGTAGCTAGTGTTACTCGTCTGCACCCCTGTCATGCCTGCCTCTTATATTGCTCTCCGCACCACCACTTCAGCTGCCTGTACATGTCTTGATAACGCTCCCGAGCGTTGCAACACTTTTACTACTGACTTCAACGCTCATATTTAGGTATGAGCGGTCTACGCGCCCATATTGCCGGTCGTTTGCGCAGCTCATCGCAGTCGCTTTCCGCGGTCCCTCCGAAACAAGAATCGCCGGACTACTCCCACGAGCTCGCCAAACATGCCGCCTCCATACTCTTTCGATCGCCCATCCCGTCGCGGGAGAATAGGCCTGTATACATTCTCAATGCCGCTGCTCTACCCGACACCAGAGAAGAAAACTTCGATTCCCTCTTGCCGTACGTGCTAGCGCGACTCCCCGAAGAGGATGAGCTGGTGAGGGGTTTCGAATATGAGGTTGTATTCTTTGCTGGCGATTCAGACGGCTCCGCTACTTCGAAGAAGAACAGGCCGGGCTGGGGCTGGTTCATACAGGCATATCATGTCTTGTCAAGAGCCATGCGGAAGCGCCTACAGAAGTTATACATCGTGCACGAGAAGACGTGGGTTAGGATCCTCACCGAAGTATTCTCTACGATTGTAAGCCCCAAATTCAGGAGGAAGATCATACATGGTACGTCTATATCCCTTCAAGTACATGTCTGCCGCTCATGTTGTGCAGCATCTGACCTGACCAATCTTGCACTGCACATTCCCATCGAAGACCTGTTGATCCCTCCCTCTACCTACCTCTACGACCGACGAGTATCCGATGACATTTACGCTCCGTATGCAAGCGGCCGCCGGGCCTTTGGTGCTCGCCAGCCTCTGCCCATCAGCAGTAAGGGCACACCACGATTACCACGAGTTTTGCGAGAGACCACAACTTTCCTTCTCTTGGAGCAGAACATCAAAGCTGAAGGACTATTCCGTGTGCCACCGCACTCCAAGCTTCGAGATGTGCTCAAAGAAGCTTACGATAGAGGCCAGAAATACATCGTTTGGAAAGATAACGGTGCCGTATTGCAGCTACCGCCCTACCCGCATGCTGAACATCAAGACGAAATCATAGCCGAAATCGACCCCAGAGATGCCTATTCGGTATTTATGGCCGCTGCACTTGTCAAGGCTTGGTATGCGGATCTCCGCCAGCCTGTCTTCCCGCAGTCCTGTTACCATGAGCTAAAGCGGCTTCATGGCAATCCTGATGATATCCTTGACCTCGAGCGACTTAAGGAGCTCTTTTCTCCTTCCTCCGAATGGTCATTCCTCCCCGCCATCTCCCGCGAGATTCTGGTCAAACATCTGCTGCCTACTTTGAGTGCAGTCGCAGCTCGCGAGGAACAAAACAAGATGACACCGGAGAATTTGGCGGTGTGCATCGCCCCCGCTCTTTTACATGGTCCGGATCAACTCGAAGATGCTAAGATGTCCTCCATCGTACGGAGAATATTCACAGAGGCGATCGAGTCATGGGCGCAAGGGCTGCGAGAAGCTTGTGGTGAGAATGAAGCCGCTTTTAGAGCCGCTTTAGAATTACCGCAGTCTCAGAGCGATTGGGAGGATCCTCTCGAGCAGGCGCAGGGGACGGAAGAAAGAAGGTGGGATGAAAACCACTCAACTGGAATCGTTCTGCAAGACAACGAGAAACCAACGGAGGAACCGCCTGCCCTGCCACCGCGTGCTGGCATAGTATCTGGTCGGGCTCCTCACGACAACGCTACGAAACGTAAACCAGCTCCTCCACTTGAAGTTCCTCCTCGCTACTCTACGGTTGTTACCGACAGTCCTATAGATGCTTCTCCTGTAACATACGGTGCGACTATAGACGGTTTCGCACCGCGACGCAACGAGCCCAACCACAACACACACTTACCCGACGTAAAAAAATCCGGTACGAGTTCTGGCGATTCTTACGCTCCTCAACTTATACTTCCCAAGAGGAAAACCCTGACAGCAGAGCAGATTGATAATGCTGAAACTGCGATCGCGCTAGTAGATGCACGAAAAGCGTCAGAAGAGATGGATGCAGAAATAAGGGTTCCAAAACCGTCCGAACTCAAGGGGTCTGCCATGCCTCTACCAGGTCTGCTGAACCTTTCCATCGGTAGAGCGGGAGCGGGACCTGCAGTGCCTGTGAAGCGCAAGGCCGTTTCTGGCACGTACACTGCATCACAAGATTCGTCACCAACAAGTGCGACATCAAACGAGTCGCTTTCAAAGGCACTTCCTACATCCTACAATGACTTTCGTCGGCCCAGTCTTCCAGCGAGCGCGAACCGCACCCTGCAGATAAACACGCTGGCACGTCCAATATTTCCTACAAACCCCGTCACCAACCGACCTGCATCCAAGTCAACTTCGCTTCCGGTACCTGCTCCAAAGCCAAGGACTCCGTCGCCATCCTTGTTGCAACGAATGCCATCTTTCGAGACCTCAAAGCAAGAGCAAAGCCTAGCACCACCTAGCATTCCTCGTAGGCTCAATATGAAGAAGCAGTCGGTGGATGACTTGAGGCGGCTGTATGAGGAGAGGGCTGGAACTGCGAGCGTGCTAGTGGAGGCAGGTCGGAAGCAATAATTAGTACCCCTTCTTTCTATCACGGATACCCCAGAACAGGCATGATACATCTTTAATGTTTCTTTGTAAGACCAATAGCGAGACTTCATCATCGGTTTTTTTTAATATTCTTATGGACATTTCTGCAGTGCCCACCCCACCGACGCATCCTGATTCGCCTGTGGATGGGATGGTCAATGAAACAATCAGACAAACAGTAGTCTGATTTAGCTCAGAATGTATGAGTGGATAACTAATTCATGAAAACCTTCCCATCTAGCTGTCTGCTTCTTCATGCAAGCGACCCCGCCATTGGCCCATGCGGGCAATCCCTGCTCCCGACGTCGGCGCCGAACCCAGTGCCCGCAGTCAGCCCACCGAGTGACGCTACAACAACCCTGCCTCTCGCAGATAAAATTATCGACTAAATCGTGACTCTTCGACCCGCACCAGCGCATACCCACAGCCATGTCGACTTTTGGCAACTACTTCAAAGTCACCACGTGCGTTGATATGCTCGCCCTTGGCGTTCAGCGCAATTGACTGATATTGTGCACAGCTACGGCGAGTCCCACTGCCTATCGGTCGGATGCATAGTCGATGGCTGCCCGCCGGGCATGGCTCTCTCCGAGGCAGATATTCAGCCCCAGATGACGCGACGACGACCAGGACAGAGCGCAATCACCACGCCGCGTGATGAGAAGGACAGGGTGGAGATTCAGTCCGGTACAGAGTTTGGCATTACGCTAGGCACGCCGATTGGCATGCGCGTCATGAATGAGAACCAGAGGAAGCAGGACTATGGGAACAAGACCATGGACATCTATCCAAGACCGAGCCACGCAGATTGGACGTATTTGGAGAAGTATGGGGTAAAGGCTAGTTCGGGCGGGGGAAGGAGCAGTGCGCGCGAAACGATCGGTATGTGGCCTGCACGGCAGTGCGACTTGACACGGTGCACGATACTGATGGTGCGTAGGACGAGTCGCCGCGGGCGCAATAGCAGAGAAATACCTCCGCGAAGCCTACGGCGTCGAGATCGTGGCCTTTACGAACTCAATAGGCAACGAATTCCTCTTCCCACCCTCAGCCGAACACCCTACATGCGCCACAAACCCCGAGTACCTCAAGCTTATCGAAGTCATAACGCGTGAGAAAGTCGACGAATTCCTGCCGGTACGGTGTCCCGACGATGAAGTCACAAAGCGCATGGAGAAGCTGGTTGCAGATTACAAGGAGAAGGAGGACAGCATCGGCGGCACGGTGACGTGCGTCATCAGGAATTGCCCAAGCGGACTAGGCGAGCCGTGCTTCGACAAGTTGGAGGCGACGCTGGGACACGCCATGCTGAGCATACCCGCGACGAAGGGCTTCGAGATTGGCAGCGGATTTGGAGGCTGCCAGGTGCCCGGCTCAATTCACAACGACGCCTTCATCAAAGCGCCGGCTATCCCCGCGGGTACCGGCCACGCATCTGTACAACGCCCACGTCTGACAACGAAGACGAACAACTCGGGCGGTATCCAGGGAGGCATCTCCAATGGTGCGCCTATCTACTTCACGGTTGCGTTCAAGCCCCCGGCAACCATTGGCCAGGCACAGACAACCGCAACCTACGACACTTCGGAGGGAGTGCTGGAGGCGAAGGGGCGGCACGATCCGTGTGTGGTGCCCCGTGCGGTGCCCATTGTAGAGTCCATGGCGGCGTTGGTGATGATGGATGCGGTGTTGGCACAGCAGGCGAGGTCTGCGGCGAGAAGTCTGCTGCCGGCGCTGAAGGGGGTGGTACCGGTTCAGCAGACGCAGAATGGAGTCTAGACGTAGATACGCGAGGGGGATGAGTACAAAGTGGTCGCTTGTTCAAGCGGAGACGTGGGCGAAGAAATCAAAGATGCACGTCAACGAAGGTCGGAGATGGGTCTTCCGACCTGCTGGGGTCTCGCGCGGATATGTATGCAGTTTTATCTCCGGACAGTGTTTTTGATCGATCGATTGTCTGTACCACCATGGTTGCCGTGCATGATGCCGATCGGCAAAACTCAATTTTATTGCTAGCGCGCCTCAACGACGACCTTGGAAGGCGGAAGCGGGACGAGACAGGCGTGGAGTCGGGCCAGTGTGGACACGGCGACGAGACGACAGCACAGAGGCGGTGCGAGGGTGCAAGGAGAGTCGGGGAGCTCGCGTCGCTGCGACCAGGGTAGGGCGAGATTGTCACAGCAAGAGACATGGCAATTGGGACAATGTGCATGTATTAATCAGCAGATGCTCGATACGAAGTGCCCGCGACGGCAGAGTGCTTGGCAAACCCTCTCCGCAGACCCGCTTCCGGGCACGCGGCGAATCAGAGGCGTGTGCAGACGGACGGGCACCCGCGCATGGGCCCTGAATACCTTCGTCCGCGCTGCGCTCGGCTGGTCTGGTCTGGAGGGTGGCATTTCGCCTTACCGTAGCTGGACGTCACTAATACGTTTGTCGCGGTCCAGTGGCCAAAGCCGCATTTCCCATTGTCTCTAATGTAGGCATGAGGCGACCCTGGCGACGCTCCTACGTGCCCTCTGCCTCCGCGCAACACCATGGCCCGCGGCACAGCCATCAAGGAAGAGGATGCCACCGGGTCCGCGGGAGAGCCCAAGGCCAGCAAACGGCGGTGCGTGCAGTCGGCCTGTGTGCCCTGCAGAAAGCGGAAGTCCAAGGTAGGCAGTCCAAGCATCTGGTGACCTGACCTTCGTTCCGCGGACGCGTGCTGCATCCTGCATCCGCTGCCGCCGCCATCTTGCTCGCCATCACAACAGAGACACGCTCTCGCAGGCTGACCCGCGACCACAGTGCGACGGCGGCACCCCCGTGTGCGCAACCTGCACCGCCGTCTACAAAACACCATGCCACTACGACGTCGAAAGCGAGAGCCGCCGCACAAAGGCAGGCACCAAGCGCGATGCCTCCGTCGTCGCCTCGTCGTCCACGCCCACGCCCACCAACGACAACGCCGAATTCCTGCTCCATTCCATCCGCACCCTGCCCGAAGCCGACGTTAACGAGCTGATCCAGCACATCCGCAAGGACGCCCGCCTCGATGTCGCCTCGCTCGCCGACACCTGGCGCAAGACCGCCGTCCTCCCGTCGAGCACCCCCGTCGGCGAGCCACAGTCGTTTGTGAGCGAGTTGTCCATGTTGCTGGGAAAGCCTGCCATGACCCGGTCGGGCGAAAGCAGGTACTTTGGCCACACCAGCAACATGTCACTCGTCCCAGAAGATGAAGACGATTCGTGCGCCATGCCTCGTGCCTCGAGCCTCGCGCGCAAGTCGCCAACCTGGACTACCATTACCGACGATATCGGCTTGGTCGAGCGCCTGCTGGACCTTTATTTCCGCTGGTCGCACTCCTTCTACGTCGTCTTCTCGCGCGAATGCTTCTACAAGGACTTCCGGAGCGGGCGGGAGAAATACTGCAGCTCGCTGCTCGTGAACGCCATGTTGGCGTATGGATGCCATTTCACGGATGATCCAGCAGGAAGAATCGATCCCGACAACTTCCGCACCGCCGGCGACCATTTCTTCGAGGAGGCTAGAAGGTTACTCTATGAGAATGAAGCCTCCTCGCTCACCACTGTACAGGCGCTCTGCGTCATGGCCATGCGTGAGCCGTCGGCCGGACGGGACTCGTCAGGTTTTGCCTACATGGGGAGATGCATGCGCATGGCCATTGAAATGGGGCTGCATCTGAAGAATTCGGCAGCGCCTGCCATGGGACTCACACCTTCCGAGATTGAAGTGCGCAAAGTCACCTTCTGGGGCATCTTCACCGTGGACACTGTTTGGTCGATTTGCATAGGTCGGATATCTCAACTCCCTCGAGTCGCCATCACTCTCGACAAGCCCATATTGGACGAGCCACCAGGCGGTCTTCATGCCGAAGCCTATCCAGGCTCATTGCAGGTGCCACCTGGCACTGTCACCAGCCGCATGTTTCTCCAGGAGTTCAGTTCTCTCTCAGAGCTGATCAATGATAACAACTACATGTTCTACGCTCCTAGTGCTCGTTTGACAGATATCAAATTGATAAATTGTCATAACAAATACTTGGAATGGTTCAGAAATCTGCCGGCACCGCTGAGACTCGATGATGCACAACCGCAACCTCATATACTTGTACTTCAGTATGTGTGCAGCAAATTTTAACATGGGAAGATCCACTAACATTCGCTAGTATGCTGTACCACACAGCCATTGGCCAATTGTTTCGTCCTATGCTCAAGATCGATCTCATCAACTTCAGGTTAAAACCCCGCGATGCGTGTATAGAAGCCACGAACAGTGTGTCTGAACTCCTCCGCCGGTACCGTTCACACTATCCCATGCGTACCTCTCAATTGGTACTCACGCACATCCTGTTATCGAATTGTATCGTACATCTCACCTTCTCGAAAGACGCCCAGTTTGCTTCGAGCTCGTACCGCTATCTCGTTGAAGGCCTTCAAGCGTTGGAGGACATGAGCGTTTGTCATTGGTTTGGAGGCCGAGCCTGGAAGATCATCTATGAAACCTCCAAGGCTTGGGATCTAGGTTTCCCGGAAGAGTTGAGGAACAGCAAGCTGATTCCGAAGGCTGGCACTGTGGCGGGAACGTCGGAATCCTCTATAGTGGTTCCGCGAGTGAACACTGAGGCGGCCAAAACGAGCCCCAGCGCAAGATACAACTCTATACCTTCGTCGGCTCAGCCCACGAGGAGGGAAAGCCTGAGCATGTTCGCCCGTCCTAACCGCAAGAGCTTACAGCTACCCTCTCATCCAGCCTCATCTCAAGGAGATGGTGTGCTCCGCAGCCAGACTCCACATCGAGGGTCTCTCCCGCATATCGTGCCTTCGTACTCTCCGATTTCTCCTACCCCCCAAAACGACCCCTCATCGAACTCACAACAGCCCCCTCCACCACCGCCGGCTCAGCTGAGACCCTCTTCTGGAACCCTCTTCCCCACTTCGGCATGGGCGTACCCATCCTCCCTCGCAATGACTACCCTGTCGGTCCTATGGCTCTCGACAATATGCTCGGCAACTCCAATGAGTGGGACCGGTTCTCGCGTGACGGTTTCAAGATGAGTGAGACGTGGAATCACGACCAGGCGAATGCGTTTGGAGGGAGTGGCGAAGAGGGGTATCCGCAGGTCAGTGGGGACAGTGACGGGTTTACGAATGCGGAGGTGGCGCAGTTTAATGGCGCGAGGCGTATGCCGGGGCATGTGAGTGAGGTGCACCAAGGGGGTGGGCAGGCTTTTGATGCTAGTTGGTGGGGCGAGCAGGGGAGTATGGATCGATGACAAGAGGGTAGGAGGGCGAAGATTCGACTGAGGGGGTTTGGACGTTGGTGGGAGTGATGTTGGTAAGAAGGGGGAAAGCAATCGAGCAGCCGCTTGCGCAGCAAGCACTGCGACGAGAACGTTGGGAGAGGTAGTTCTGCATTTGTGGTGTACTGTCCGCTTTGTGCGATCATAAGGGGGTACACACGGAGTCCGGCGCTTTGTTTGGTCAAGCATGGGCGGGTGTTCTCTATTCGCGATGTATATATCTACAGCGTGGGATATGAAGGCCAGAGGATAAGGCAATTCTGGGTCATGTACATCAGGCTTAGGGATTCTGCGGTGTATGCTGTATATATCAAAGCATGTGCCCTACTTCCATCAAGGTTTGCCTACATAATCTATTCAACTCATTGGAGTGTGAAAGTATATATCTCACCCGGCAGCCTTTCAAATTGAATTACCGCCTGTGAAGCTGTCGCTTGCTGAGGTTGTCTGAAGAGCATCAGGCGCTGGTTGGGACAAGCTCCACGAAGAGGAACTTAGAGTAGCTAATCGTCTCTCGTAAAGAGGAGTAAGTCCTGTTAGGACATATTCTAAGCTCGATGGCAATCAAGAGTTGGTTCTACAGGTGAGGAAAAAAGTATCAAATCGCAAATCACCCGCCTAGGAGGTAATGGGCACTGAAGCATACTAGGCTTGACATTTGGGTGCGAGCAATAAACCCATACTACTCCACTGAGTTGGGTGTTCTATCCTGGCATCGCAATCGGGCCGTCGTAAATCATACGAGCAATAGTCGAATAGGGTGTCTGTCTAGTGTGTTATTGGTGGCTCAACAGGCGCTATTTTCTCAACTGTAGTCGCCACAACAATGAGCCGACTGCCCGTTCTCTCACCTTACCAGCTATCTTCCACTATCGTATATTACTACAGCAACCTTTTGAGTTGACGATCTCTACGAGGACCCACCCCACGAGCCGAACATGTCTGATCATGCTACTAAGATTGCGGAGCTCATGAAGTTGTACGATATCCTGCCACTATACAGCCCAGCAGCTGAGATCCTGGTCAAGTTGGGCGAAAGTATGTGATATAAATGTCAAATACATCGAAGGCACGGTCATATTCGCCTTCGAGAGACTACTGCTAAGCTTTATAGCATTGCACGCGGAACTAAATTGCCGCCGTCGACACGAGCGAGCCTGAAAAATCCTAAACGCAAACATCGAGTTCTTCGTCAAAAAGCTCGGGCAATTGCAGAGCGAGTGCAATGGGCACACCGAGTTGCAAGCGAGAGTGGGTGAGATGGCCCGAGCCAAGCAAGAGCTAGAGCAACATGCTGGATATTACACGAAGAGATCGCCGAATTGCAGAAACATTTCGAGCGAATGACAAGCGAAAAGGTGAACGAAAAGATCAGGAAGTTACAAGGCTCCGCTTGAGGAGAGGCATGGGCAGTCGACTGTGCACACTGACATCGAATGAAGAAATCAGATTGGACATGTCCTGAACTTCAGCGAGGTGTCTGCGAGCATGATGGAGATCCGCATATACATTGATATCAAGAGAAGAGTCCGAAATGGACCTCCCCTAAACTAACCCGTGGGGTTGCAGCGAGAGAGTATGGATGATCAGGTATAAAGTAGAGTCACGAGCGCGCAGTATCCTATCTGCCGTCTTGAGATGACTAAGTATAGTGAAGATTGCGAATAGAGTTGTAGGTGACCGCAACATCTAATATTACAGTGATTAGTCTAGGCCCAGGTTTTCTTTTGTCAGTTCGCTTGAGACAAGTGGCCATGAAGAAGTACCATAGAGGTACCATAGGGGGTTGGGTACTTAGGAGAGTAGGCGGGTATGTTGAAGAAAGAAGGGACTGTGAAAGACAATTTCAAGCAAGATGGTAGTTTTCATAAGAAGAGATGAGTGGACGTAAGTTCTGTAAAATATGTCAAGGTGATTGGCTTACTAAATTGAGAAGTTCTGTCCTCTATTGAATCCAAACGAGCCTTTGGTTGACCAAGGTGTTTAAGAACATAGAATGATCCAGCGTCTTAGTCAGGTTGAACCCGAAACTAGTAAACCCAGAGACTGGCGCAGGAAGGTGCCGGTGATGCTGCAATGAATTCGCAACTACGAAAGTCGGTGAGCATTCTACGCACAACGACAACGCTCTCCTGTATCACTGCCTGATCTAAGGGACAACTTCACCCCAATAACCCCCTCCCCCAACCACCTCATCCTGCTACACACATCCCACTTGCGCCATCAACCCACAGAACCCTCAAAGTCACACGTCTCTCTTCCTCGACCCATGCACCCCGTTCTATTTTCTAGCCCCCTCTCTTGACCCAATGCACCACTATTCACCTCTCAAATGCGCCACCAATTCCCAACTCGTGCCTTCAGTAACTCCCGAGCGCCTGACACCGCCTCACAGGCCGGCTCCCGATCGTGATGGGCATCTTGCTTGCTCTCCCTAACCACCACCGTACCTCCGCATTTCCATCATTTTCTAGACGCATCGCCCTTCCTTGCCGTGCCCGCATCTCCAGAGTACTGTACGTCTTTGATATGGAGGAGGGGAACAGGCCCTGCTTCTCAACAGTTACAGCTGCACTCCCCGCCTCGCTTGGAGGTGTGTGTTTCAGCCACGGGTGCACAGCAGGAAGGCAGGTCGTTTAGAAGGTACGGATCCGGCATAGTGAGGAAGTGGTGATCAGTGGTGGAAGATCAGGCGGACGCGTACCGGGCGGAGGGGCGGGTGTAGGCGAGGGACATGCGGTGCGAGGATGGGCCGGTGTTCGGTTATGCACTGAGGTTGGGATGTGTGAGGGGAGTGGTGGGATGGTGGAGGCGGTGCTTTTCTGGTAGCTCGGTGGCAGGTCGTGCGTGAGAAGCTAAGGCGTCTAGGAATGCCAGAGAGGGAGTGACATTCCCGAAGCTGAGCTCTTAGGTGTCGTTCTTGTAGATAGTAGGCGAGTTCTGAGTGGTCCTGTCAAGACGAACACAGCAATTACAGTACCGAACCGGCACGAGCAACGAAAACACTCACATATGTCTACGCCTTTCACCTGCAAGCAATTCCCCATGTACACCCACCACCACCACAATTGCACCGCCGATCACAAAGTCTAGATGTTCTCCATCGCAAAACCCTGCACAGAATACGCAAGAATCCTAGTAATCACTGTAGCACAAGATCCTTATCCCGGTCTGCTCGAACCCAACCGCCCAAAAGCACTCCAACGCCTGCATCCAGGCATTTGGTCGACCTGAGACATGGCTTCTCAGACTCCTCCAGATTACGTGTCTACAGCGTGAAGTTGATTGAGTCGTCCAAATCGAGACCTCGAATGGTAGGTGTGTGGGTGGAGACAGGCCCATGGCAGCGGTCAAGACGAGACACGGCGGTGCCGCGTAGTATAGGAACAGAGGCCTCAAAGACACGGCATGGCATGACATGACGTGACATGTGGAGTAGCTATTTCACCGATCATCAAGATGGAAGTGCGCACCTGCGATAGATGAACGAGAGCGCAGCAAGCGTACGAGTGCGAGATGCTGCGCCCGCTTTTGGAGGCGCCAGGCCAGCAGTCACATGTGCGCGCTGCCACGTCGCTGTGGGTGCCAGCTAGCTCGAAGCATACACAGGCGGATGACAGCGCTATCGAAACATCACCGAACAAGTAGGCAGGACCAGGAAAGTGAGTGTGATCTCTTCGAATTCTTGATTTCTCCCCATGCTTCCAGGAATTGAACACGAGGATAGCAGGCCACCCCGATTGTCCCACCTGACACATTAGGCTTGACAATGTCGTCCACATCTATGTACTCATCGTAAGATAGTCATACAGGAAGCCATGGAAACAGTTGCTTTTTCAATTGGGTCCGCTCATCACCCTCGAGACCCAGGCTGCGCTTGCCACTGAGTCCCAGACAAGGACGAGGGGTATAGCCGCCAAAACTAGTGAAAAGAAAATCCCCCTTGCCCTTCACTTTGCTTCCGCAAAAGTAGACAACAGAGATTAAAGACTAAACAGCATACATAGCGCTTTGGAATAGAAACCCTTGGCTGACGAGCCTTTGTGCCGTCGCTGCGTGAACATGCCGTTATTGTAAACGCTCGATCCACCAACCATGCATTCTCGTGATTAAAAACGCCAGACTGCTCCCTACGAGGGAGGTGATCCAAACCCGGACCAGTCCGCAAAGACAAACCCTCTAAAACCGTGGAAATGTGAACAAAGGAGATTCGTGATAAGGAGCGGTCGTGGCTCAATGAGCTACCAAAGACAAGGTCATACAAGTCGTACCTCGTGTGCCGTTGGCGAAAAGGGTATTGTTACAAACATCAAACAGAAGCTTAATGGAACACGAATATAAACAGGGAATGTATCGTTCAGTGGCCGCGCATCCCGGTGGACGACCTGCCGAGGAGCGCACCTGGAAATCTGAGATCGCTGAGGAATTTGAAGAAGGCGCGCTTGCGGGGTGGCGTGCGTTGGAGAAGTGGTGAGGCGGCGATCTGAACCATAGGACCAACAATGTCCTCGTCGCCGAGCTTTGGAAATTTGCCCGCGCTCTTTGGGTCGTTCAGCGTGGGCATCTTACTAAGCGGGGCTGGCTCCATGGGGGGACGTCGGCTCGGGATCCTCACCCAGCTCGGTCGCACGGGAGTTGGCCAGATCATTGTTCTTCTTCCACAGGGCGTCGATCTCCGACCACTTCTTCTCGCATAGCAGGTAGGCTTTTGACGTAGGACCATTGTGCTCAGCCATGCGCACCTGGTGCTTGGTGAAGTTGCAGCGCGCTTGTTCCCAATCAGCAAACAACTGCCGGAGGGCAGCCGCATCGCAAACTTCAGGTACGTAGGGTTCTGGGTGGATGGTAAAGTTGTTGTGCCCAAGGACCAAGGCCCATTTGTCATCAGGGACGGCCAACGCGAGCGACGGGATCTCGTTGGAGGGCACCATGGGACTGATGCGGGATGTCTTGAAAGATGCGATGGAGGCCTTTGTCGAAAGTGGTGGAGTGGGATAAGCGCGAGCTGCAGGTGTGTCCACGGGGGTAGAGACTAGAGACTGCATGGGGTCGACCGTCGCGATGGTAGGAGATTGAAGGGGCGAGTGGGCAGGTGCGTCATCAAAGCGAGTCTTGACCAGCAGTGGTGGTAGAAGAGGGGTGGTTGCGTAACGCTCAGAATCGATTTCGTCAGCGTCCATGTTGAATGCGTTGGCCTTTGCAATGTCGATGGGAGAGGAAGCAATGGACTCAGCGAGCTGCTCTCGGCTGGTTGACGCTGACATGGACTTGGGTGGGAAAAGTTCCATCGGATCGTGACCTTGGGCCTGGTGGATGGAGCTGGTGATTGACGATGCCCGCGTCGATGGCGCTCTGGAGGGAGTTGCGCTCCTTGACTTGCCATTGAGGGTCGACGCTCTCTTGCGCTCCCGCATCTTGCGTGAGAAGGAAGGAAAGCTACGCTCAAGCTTGTGGGTGACACTATGCGCCGAAGCTTCGGCGGATCGCCTGCGCTTCGAGTTGGGCGACTCGTAGCCAGAGCCTGCAAAGTCGTAAGCATCTGCGACGGCAGGATGCTCAGAGAGATCTGTGTCATCTGATGATCGAATTAATAGTGCGCGAATCGATAATGACGCTTCAACTTACAGTGGCATGGAGAAATGGTCACGTAGTCTTCCTCACGCTCAACGTCTTCGGTGAGCTGGGGGAGCTTCCCCGATGCATTAGGGCCAAGAACATCGGCGGGCTCATACGACGGTGGACTTGACGACAGTGACGAGGTAGAGCTTGGGAAGCGGAGATGGCCGCGGTAGAAGCTCGGGGTGGGCGGCGTGGAGCATTCGGAGGCAGAGTAGAATCCAGAGTCGGTACTCGAGTGTACTGACGAGGCGGGGTCGTGAGACATGTCGAGAGAGCTTTTGGAAGACTTTCGCTGGGCTACCAGCTTGGGGAGGATCAGAGGTTTCATGTCGCGCATTTTGAAGGACGTGATTTTTTTTCGGGGCGACGTTGGCGCTCAGGCCATGACCGGGGTGAAGTAGAGCAGCGCAGGCAGGGTATCAGGCGGTCGGCGACTGCAGTGGTGTGAACCGGTGCTGGGTGGGAGGAGTGGCGGTCCGGGAGGTCTCAGAGCGGTGCCACGACAGAGGACCGAAAACACGTAGGTACCGCTGGGTGTTTATCCTCGCGAGAGCGTCAGCGCGCAGGCGTCGGCTATTGCGCTGCTTTGGGCAGGGCACGTGAGGCGAGGGCGGCAAGTGGAGCAGAGCAGGAGCAATGCAATGCAGGCAAGCGCAACAGCTCACCGGCGGTTGGCAGCCGCAGCAGCAGCGAAGAGAGCGGTGATGGTAGTTGGACAGCGCAAGGTCAACAAGGAGCGTGGGCGCGCAAGAGAGGGTTGTCGAGCAGGCTCGGGGTGGGCGGCGCATTTGTGTGGGCGACGTGTGGTGCTGGCGTTGGGGTTGCAAGGGTCGGGCAGCTGGAGCTAGCCCGTGAGAAGAAAAACCGAGTCGGGCGTGCGCTAGGCCCGAACGGTGCTGGTGGCTCTGGCGGCGGCTTCGCCCAAGAGCTCCCCGGCGCGGCCTCAGTCCCAGCGACTCAGCGGCCCGCGGCCGTCGCACCTGCTGTCGTGTGCAACGGCAGCCTCCAGACGACGCCGCCGCCGCACTCCACGGCACCATGCACCATGGCCTCTCCTGCTCGAGTTCGCCCGCACGTCGCACTGCGCTCGTCCGTGTTGCTTACTTTTGTGTTTTTTTCTTCTTGTTGGAGGCATCCAGGATGCGTTGGTGGGCCGATTTGCGCGCTCCACCCCCGGCCCACCCTCTGCTGAGGACGACGCTGCCCTGAGTAAGCCATGCAGGAACAGCTGGATCCTGAAGACACGGCAAGCCGAGGCCTCTCGTGGTGACGAGACCCGGGGAGTTGGTCTGGAGGACGGCTGGCGGATCGTCACTGGCCAGCTGGGCGCCTTGGGGGGAGAGTGCCTGGCATCTGCCGTCCCTACGCATGCTTTGGCTCCAAACAAACAAACAAGTCCTTGTTCCGACCACCAGCGTCCCAACACTGACTCGACCTGTCCAGACAGTCTTGCGGTGCCAAAAGAGGAGGCTGGCAAGCAAAGGCGAGCCAAAAAGCCTTCGGCCGGGCGGCGAATCGGAGCAGACGCTGCAGCAAAAGCAGCCGTTGCACCCGCGCTGATTGGCCTTCGCTCCTGTGCGCCCGACTCCCCTGCAAGAGGCACCGTGAGAGCCCTGCTGTCACCAGTCTGCCATCGACGCCAGGCACAGGCTGCCAGATTGCCTCGCCTCGCGCTGTATCGGCACGCGCAGCCAGCACATGGACGCGCATGTCGCCGGCCAGCCAGACGTCTCGACACCGCACTTCCTGCCGTCCACGTCGTCAGGCTGCTGGCCAGCAACCCGTGGCAGAGGGCTCCCGATTCGTGGGCGCCCAGGACCGTGCCGCGCTGCGAAGGGCATGCGATCGGCATCCCTGTGGTCCGGAACCGAGCCCAAAGCTTCCTGCTGGGAACAAGGATGCGCTGGTCGTTTGACGTCGCTCACATCATGACGAAAGCTGACCTCACTCTCACCACCAACGGTTGGCCACGGAGCAACCGCTAGCCACGGGAAGGGAAGCATGCCTCTCGCCTCGCACGCCGTGAGCGGGCCGGCACAACAACGTCGCCAACGCCCAGGCTAGCAAACCATAAACGGCTGGCAACGCCCACCTGCATGCTGATCAAAGCATGCTTCGCAGACCGCTCACAGACTCTCTCAGGTACCGTTCCCCCTCTCACCAGCAGGAAACCCACATGAATCCGTCAGCGTGGCATTGCCTCAGCAGCCCACGCCAAACAACCTACGGCCATCGGCGTCGCTTGCATTGCCCAGAAGCAGACAACGTGCCAATGTGTCAGTCCGTCCCAAACGTCACAAATATTCTGTGTCAGTAGTAGAAACTAAAAGCACCGGAGCCCAATCACGGTATCCACCGCCACGGTCGAGAACGTGGTCAGTCACTGGTAACAATTCTTCCATTAGCCTACCGGCGTGCTCTGCAGACCCCCACATGCCGAAGGCCACACTCGTCAGTCTTTCCCGTGCTCTAGCCATGAGTAGATATCTAGTCAGACATAGTCAAGCTTCTAGACGCCATCGTGCCGTCAACGTGCGTTCCGCCAGCGTGCAGTTTTACACTAACCTAGCATCCAATCGAAGCCCGCCATCGACGTCAAGCTCGTCCACCTTTGGAAAGCTACATCGTTCTCCATCCGACGGCAAAGAAAGGCTCCTTTTCCAGTTTCACGTCATTACTCAGAGCAGCAAGTCGGTCTCTGCGTTATGTGATGCAATCTTTGAAGTACTAGATAAGCTTTGGGACACTGGATCGGTTCTGCACCTAGGCCCAATGCGGACGCTGTGGACATTGATGGGGCTGGCTGCGGTAAGGCAGTACGGTCGGTGCAGGAACGTCGGAAATAATGTCACTCCTGCCGTACCTTATTGAATCGTTGATGTTGGGAGAACGAGTGCATCTCGATATCGCGTGCTCGCTTCTTGCTAGCCAACTACTGGTCTGTGTTCCCCTCCCGTCTGCACCCCACCAACACCTTTTACACCAACATGTCGATCAAACTAAGTTTCGAGTCACTGATCGTGTGTAGAAATTACTCGGTCCGATAGCTGGACTTTCAGATAGACTGATCATGGCCACGATTATTCTGCAGCATGCAGGGAGTTTCGTTCCCATCCCGTCCCGCTGACGACAACCACGGTTCAGCTCAGCACCGTCGCATGTGGCCACATGTGACTCCGGCGCCGTCGCCAGCCTACTCAGAGCCAGAACATGCTCCATAGTCTCTTTTGTTCTTCGGACCCCTCGAACTAGTGAGCCAATCGTCAGTGCCGTATCACACAGTACACAAGACTTTACACAGCCCCTCGGAAGCACGTACTCGAAAGTCAACTTTGACGATGTCTTGAAATCCTTCCGAAGCTGTGATTTCTTGGTACTTCTTCTTGAAGCTCGCAAAGGCAATCTTAGGCAGAAGTAGCCGCTGCTCGGGATTGGTCTATGCAGGATCGAATTAGCAGAAGTGGTCTCGGAGGTACTTTACAGCCGTGCCGTGTGTTGGGAGTGCTCATGTACTTTTCCCGTACTCGCTTAGCCGGGAAAGTCCACATTACCACTCGGTGTAGATCGCCGGCTACTCCCAAGACACAGTAGGGAACGACGCGCGAACGCTGTTTACCATTGAGTACTTACGTCAGGACCAACATTCAGCGCGCGGACCGTGTTGTTGTGCTCGCACAGTTCGCTTGAGGCAGTGAATACAATGCAGCGGATGGGAAGTTTCAATCGCTTGGCCAGGGCGGTCCAATGTGCCCTTGTTTCTCGGTCGGCATTTGTGTTATCTGTGTACCGTGATCAGGTCGTGCACGCGCGCTACAACTAACTGTAGGGCGTAAACTCTCTTACCGATGACTACACTCGTACCCTCTCCAATCAGCTCTTCAGCTGCCTTGATACATTTCTCACGCTGTGTAGACAAGGTTACTCAGAAGTTTGTGGGCAATGTGGGGACCCGGATTAGCTTGTTGAAGAACTTACAGTTTTGAGGATATCCTGATTGACGCGTGCATATCCTAGTGGTTGCAAATGCCTCCAGTAGAATGAAGACTTGCCTGCACCTGGACTGCCGCACAAGAGAACAATCTCGAGTGAGTTGGCCTTCGAAAATGGCTCGGAGGCTACAAGGCTAGAATTTAGCATATGAACGGTACACCAGATTTCATGTGGCTTGGAATCCTGGACTTACTCGCGTCTGTTGATATTGCAGCTGCCTCTTGGAGAATGACCGTTGGGTCGAAATCTCTGGTGAATGGGCTGGGGTCTTCGTCCAGGAAGTACTCTTCAGGCGTATAGAAATGTATTTCCACGTTAGCGGCGAAGTTTCTGTGCACTCTTAGCACTTTCGCGAACCGAGATACCGTCCGAAAGTTTCAACTGACCTGTCACCGCAGGAGAAGTCCTTCGCTCTGCTTCCAGATGCCTTGCGGCCGGCCGCGTCACCGACGAAAAACGAATTGTCGAGATCCACGGCTCCTGCTCTTTCGAGATCATAGTCCTCGAGCAGCTCTCCCCACATGCCTAGTCGAGGCTTGCGGTACCGGTCGTGACTAGTGGCTGCATACACCGAGATCGGTAAATCGAGCTGCGTGAACACTGCCGAGACCTTCGCTTTGAAATCTGCCAGTCGTTTCTGATCACTCTTGATCGTTTTTGGGTCTGATTTTAGGCTGATTCCCGCTTGGTTGCTCAACACAGTGACGAGATACCTATTGAACGGCAGAATGGAAGTTAACACGAATGGCCTAATAAAGGCAGGAAATGCAATTCCAGATCGTACCCGTCTGCGTGAAGCTTCCGTAACTTCTGCGGAATGCTATGGTACCACCATTTCCAATCAGTGGCATCGCGCCCAAATTTCTTTCCCGAAGCAGATGTGATCAATGTTGAGTCCTACGACGTACATGATTAGCAAGCTGTCGCGATCAGCCTAGCAAAGATTGGCAGCATACAAAATCGAACGCGGCTATTTTCCGCTTTGCTGTAATGGTCTTGGGCAGCTGCGTAGCAGCCTTGTACCGCCCGATGAGCAGGCTGTCATTGATGATGCGCCATGTCATCCCATCAGGCTCTTTCTTCGAAAATGGCGTGAAGAAGTTTGCGACGGCTTTGCCTGCCCTTGTGTTAACCTGTGCGCTATTGCGCTATGCTGCATCAACACTCACTTGTGGTCAAGGATTGCTGCTTTCGCTTGGCGGGCGGTGGAGAAACACCTCTATCGCTGGAGCTCGGCCGCTTTCCCAATCCTGGACGTTCGGGCATATTCAACACAAGGCGTAGTCTCTAGCGCATAGTGGTTGTCATAACGTTTCGTGAGGCTGACGAGGTTTGCTGAGTTGGAAAGTTTGTGGGAACGTGGTCCGAGTCGCGACTGGCGCAAACACGCTTTCGCGATGGCACGTGCATCCCTAGGTACCTACTAAACCTCGAACAATGTGATGAACCTGCAGCAGGAGTTCACTCCGCAACAGTCACAAGTGATAGGGCTGATTTTGAGACAAGGATTCACACGTAGTCTGAAAGAACCATGCTTAGGCTCGCACCGTTGAAATATAGAGTTTCTCTAATGAGCAGACTTTCAAAGCCCGACCTCGATAACTGCCTCAGCGTTGCGACTGACTTTGAGGCTCTTGTCTTTCACATCTTGCATTGATCATGAACGTTTGAAGTACTGCTACAAGGTTGTCAAACTTTACACACTCTGTTCGTGCAAGGCACAGCGTGTGGTAACTCATAGTACCATGCATTGTACGATCCACCTACTTCTTTGGCCACTCACACAGTAAACAGACATGAAAATGCGGTAGTCGACATGATGAACATGTATGACTAGTGTAAGGGGTATCATAAGATCCGTGACCATACTTTATGCTCTGCCTTGCCGCGCAGGCCCTTGAAAATTTGTGCGATTGGAGACGACCTTGGGACACACTGTTCTCGATGTGTAACCTGCCGGTTCAACGAGGCCTTTGAGCAGCCCGAAGATGCGGAGGGCGGTACCTAACCCGCGTATCGAGCGAAAGCCTGTCTGGAATGTCCAACTCCACGCAGCCTCTCATCTGCTTCTGGAACTCTTTCAGCTCGTTCACACCGTCCTCCAGCACAGCCTGGTTGTTGTAGTCCTGGACGCGAACCTTGGCTTCCAGAATGTATGCGCCGCTCGGGTCGAAGGGTTTGAGGGCATCAAAGGCCGGCGGGTCCACCTTCGGCGTAGTTTCTAAAGACCGAACACCGGGCTCGTGAAGGATGCGGTGCAGGAAGATGACGACGTTACCGTGGACAAAGCGGTGCCCTTCTACGTAATACTCGGAGACAAATCCATGCATGGTCAGCTATGCCAGTGCGAAAGGGAGTGCATTCTGCTTACTGATGAGGACCTGTCGCGACCATCCAGGCGTGAGGGTCACCCGAAAGAAGGTCGGTCGACGAAGTGAGACGGGCAGAAACGCCTCTATCCCCAGTATCTGGCAGGTCTTGGAATTCGAAGGACCATATTGCCTCTTCGCCGGACTCAACGTTGGCCGACAAATGCTTGTTGTCGGCCGGTTTGTCGTTTGCGCGTCCCAGGTCCCCCTCGTCCAGCTTCTGCACAAGCTTGGTGTAGAAGAGATTTTTGACAGTGCCCTGCTTTGCTGGCTTGCCTCCTACAGTCTGGGACCCTCCTCCACGACCGAGATGGGCGCCTGGCTCCTCTGGCTCGCGTGTCGGTTTGTATATGATGTGCCGCTCCAGGACGCGGCGGGGCTGCATGGCAGCATGCCCGGCGAGGATCTTCAAGACTTGGTCATGGCGAGGCGACGGGAGCTGCCCGTACAGTAGCAGCTCGTGCATGGAGGTTTGTGTACCTTGTGCTGCCGCGGGATGGGCAATACACAGGCCGACAGTCCGGGATGTGGGTTGTGGGTGCTTCGTGGGGTTGAGAGGCGCGTGATTGGCGGCGAGCAGCTGTAGGACCGAAGCTCGCAAACGCCGTCACGGATAGACTCGGTCCAGCGTCCATAAGATGGGTGACTTTGGCGTAATGTAGTCAATGTCAAGTTACAATTTCATGTGTACTACAGACAGATTGTATTCACTCGAACATGAACAGCTGTTCTGTAACCTGCGTTGTGGTAACACACAGTGGCAATCTGGTCTTCCCGCGGCAAGTTGCCATCCGGCCCTCCCTGCTGACGGGCGCCTCCAATTACTTTGCCGTGTGGGCTAGACACGCAGCGAACGGTCAGAGGAGCTTCTCCGCTTGCGGAGTTCGGTAGAGGGTAGAGGCAAAAAAGTGTCTCGCGACTGTGTCTGCGAAGGCAGCGCTCATCCGACCATCAGTCGACCCCGCGGGAACGTATCACAGATCCATGACTGCGCTGCCCAAATGCTCGTGACAGAGGGCGACAACCGACAAAAGAAGTAAGACTTCACCAAGCGTCACCAATGACTACATGATTCGTCCGTGGGAGCCCCGGAATCTCGCTTTTGTTGGCCTGATGCAGGCCGTGGGCACATGGGGCGAGGGCGAGGGCGAGGGCGGACGGCGTGCCTCGGTGCTAGCGGGCCTGCTTGCATAACGTGAATTATTTATCGGCCGCTTCCTTGGTGTACTGCGCGGCTCCCCTCCACGATAACCAAGACTACTTCTTTCACCCCGCCCCAACGCCATCCTCTCCTTCTCTGTCCGATCCATCGCATCTACCTACGACTCGTCTCCAGCTTCCCCTCCCGTAAAACCCTTCATAACTGCAACACCGCATTTCCGTTCGGCTCCGACACCGCTCCATCACGCCATCACAATGAATGCTACCAAGATCCTTCAGCAGGGTCGTCAGCCCATGATCCGCTTCCTGGGCAAGCGCACTACTCCTAGCAGTGAGCTGTTCCCTCGATAAGTGCCAATGGCGCGCATAGCTAATGCGCATATAGAGATCGACCACACTCCTCAGGTCCATCCGGCATCGCCCACCCACTCCCTTCCAGAGTCGTTCGCAAGCTACCGCCAGAAGGCACAGCAACACGGCCCTCTGAACCAGACGAACAAATTTTCGACTAGCCACATCGGCGCTTCTCCGGGCTCCTCTCTTGGACCTGTTGAGGCTGGAAAGGGCACCTTCTTCGACCGCTCCGAGCTTCCTCAGCGCTTCCAGCGGATGGCTTGGTCCGAAGCCGAGATTGAGGCTATTGAGTCTGGTGGTGCAAGCCTCCACGCATGAGCGGTCAGCGATTGACCGACGATATCCGCTGCGCCGGGACGTAATGGATGAAAATTTCTTGTACACACAACAATCACGATTCAAGGTGAATCACGACTAGGAAGTAGGCGGCTCAACACCCGCCACGGAAATGAGATACGGGATGCATTTCATAGCGGAGGTAGACTGAGCACGTCATGGCGTCTTATACCCTGTAGATCGGTTTGAGGGAGGCAGCATTGAACAGCGTCCTGGAGAGGACCTTCAACGAAGGCATTGGACAACTCTCTACTTTTTCAGTATGTCAATGAATACATTGAAATTTGATTGTTGGATTCCTTCGAGTTTCTCCATTGATGTCGCTAGCTACTGTCCAATGAGACGAATTCCGAGCATCCGGGTTCACATGCGGACCTGAAGCACTGCACAAATGAACAGCATCAGAACAGCTGCGATGACTACCACAGTCCGGCATCATCGCTTTGAAGGCTTGCTTACAGTGCGTCGCAGTGCTCATCGCGCTGTCTGACACTGACTTCAACTTCGCCTACGGTTCTCCCGAGCTCGGCGCACTCAGACTCCAAAAATCGCACCTTTGCCCGACGTTCCGAGTCCCCAACACGATTCCAGACCCCACGAGCTCTAGTGCGGAGATTGTTTCCATACAGCCTTACAGTCACAGGAATTACCTCTTATCAATGCCATCTCTCCGCCTAACCTTCCCCATCGGCCGATCGCGTGCTCACCTGTTCTCCGCTAGAACACTTAGTGTGAATTCCGCTAGAGTACCATCGGCCAGCGCTGTGCTCCGCCGCTTGTTAAGCCGAGTGGGTCGGCTTTTGTGCTATTGCATGCATGGCTGGAGCTTGGCGCTGGCGTTGGTGTTGGCACAATGTTTTCCGTCGCGACAGTCGAACAGGCGTGTGCTGGTCATTGTTCTGGATGCCTATAGCGATGTAAGTATGGATGTGAAATACAATTAATTGTTGTTAACAAACCTTAAGTAGTATGCAGCTAATGATGTAGATCATCTTCTAAAGGGCTTTGATGTGAATAACATTCAAGTCAAGCCTGGGCTCTTTATGCTCGACATTCCGCGAGGATTGCGTCATCAGCCGCCTATTGTGTTTCTTCGTCTTCAGTGTCTAAATTAGTAGTAGGATCGTCATCTAGGTTATTATCTTCGGTCAGCACAGCTTCTTCCTCTTCAGAGTCGCTGACAACATGACGACGGCTCGATGCTGATTTAAAGGCTGCTGGCTAACCATTCTTTATAATCCAATGGAGACATTATTCGTGTTAGTTATAACCCCCAAACCTGTTGACTAGATTGCCCTGGTCGGACATCTGCTCCATCCAACAGCAATTGAGAACAGTGCAGCGCTTGATAAGGTTGACAAAGTCATAGCCAGCGTGCTTTGATACTTCGTCTGATAGAGGCCCTGGTAGGCGTAAATCGAACTCATCGTTCCATAGCCGTCCAAACGGGACAACTGGTATAGCGCTGGGCCCTTTCCACTCCATACGTGGAATCTGCTTCTTGAGGAATTTGAGGGCCTTGTCGATGCGCGAGAACGGGAAGACACCCTGATACTCTGATACACGTGAGAATACCGACTCTGGACCACGGTGCCTTCGATGCGTGCCTGCAGCCAATCGTAACCAATGGAGCTTGTCCTCTGGCTGTAGGGAGCTCTTGATGAAACAGACGCTGGCGTATTGTCGTGGTGTGAACGGAGCGTCCTCTCTGATACTGCTAGGGGCACGGGAGACGTGCGCATTGCCTAAAATTGGAATAACGTCCGTAATACAAATGACAGGGCAATTCTGGAACTTTCGCTGTGCGTCAACGTCGTTGTTGCCGAAGGGAACGTGCATTGTTGAAAATAGCCCATGACTAAATATCATTCGATGTACCAAACGCGTGCTGCCCATGGCTGTGAGCGATACTGGCAACAGGTACCCAGTCGGGGGTTCGTTCTTCCACCGCAGAAGCAGGACGATCTGGGGGACTGTGCATTTGGAACCTGTAAAGTCCTCATCACCAGTTAGGTAACTGAACTTTGCGCTGCGGTTGCACGCCGGTGTCCTAGGCTCATTGATCCGATATGGTGTGGCGCGGTGAAGGTCGACATCAGCCTATAACACTGTAAGTATGGATGTGAAATACAATGAATTGTTGTTAATAAACCTCAAGTAGTACGCGGTAGATGATGTAGATCATCTTCTGAAGGGCTTTGATGTGAATAACATTCAAGTTAAGCCTGGACTCTTTATGCTCACATAATGCTTTGGCGTAAATAACATTCAAGCCAAGCCTGGGCTCTTCATGCTCGACATAATGACTTCTCATTCTCTGGCGCCGACCGTCTGGACAAAGCCAGGACTCTGATCCAGTATACCCTTCGCTGCCTCGACATTGGTATAGTACCTTGGACAACTCAAGGACACTCAACAATTGGTCGTAACTTGTCGCTGTTTTGGGGCTGCAAAGGTAGGCGCTTGGGTCGTAGAGGTCTGCGGGTTCCTCAATAGTTGAGTGCACAATCTCCTCGTCTCTAGGCTTGACATCATCAAGCCGATGCGTGATGGCGGGAATGTCTGCTATCATCTTGTACAAGGGCGGAAACTCATTCCAATTTTTATTTACAAATGTGAGCTTTTGTAGGTATAACAAGGGATTCGGATCATCTGCAGACAGGAGCAGTGCCACCTTGGCTGGCCATATGGAGGTAGGCAACGTGGTGCCTGGTTGGTGGCGTGCTGCACGGCCTAGTCGGCGGATGCCTGCGTCTGGATCGTATTCATCCGTCTCTTCTGCGAGGATTGCGTCATCAGCCTCCCACTGTGTTGCTTCGTCTTCAGTATCTGAATCGCCAAGGGGATCGTGATCCAGGTCATTATCTTCGGTCAGCACAGCTTCTTCGTCTTCAGAGTCGCTGACAACATGACGACGGCTCAACTGTCAACGCTTGGCGACCGGTTCGCAGACATCGTCTTCATCCTCGTCGCCAGCATCGGCGGTGCCATGTAAGCATGCGGATGCTAGTAGCCTCAATTGGTATTTGTGGAAGATGCCCTCCGCTTCTACGTATATTGTACTGCATGTCTGAAGAATGTTGACGCCAGGGAAAGTTCGAAGCACGAGAGTACCCGTATTCCCATGGATAGGTTCAGTGGATATGCACACGTTGCCGAATACGGAGGTGCTCTGGCCTATCCTTCGTTGATTTCCGATCGAGACTGGATGGTCTCGATCGGAAATCAATCACGAAACCACCGTCAAAGGATCGAAGGCAGAGGCTGGCCCTGCCTCTTCGTCGTTCGAAAAATGTGCTCTGTGAAACGTCGCGCCAGTTAGCGCGAACGTTGAAGGTCGACCCGCAGCAGGTGGGTCAAACACCGTCGGAGTCGGCTGCACGAAACGAAACGGTGGATAGCTAAAGTTTATTGTGATGGATTATTCATGAAAGGAGTGGATTGCTATGGCAACATTGGGGGCGTTGTCGGGAGGGAGCGCTCTGTTGTGGGAGGGCATGAGGGTACGACCACCACAAGATGCCGTCGCGCTTGGCCACACTTTTGGTCTACCACACTTACAAGCGACAAAGACTGACTACCACAAAGAACGGTCGTAGGGTACCAGATAGGCCTGCATACAAAGAGAGCACCATCGTCGCATGAAGCGATGGCGCCTTTCCAAGGTCTCGTGTTTGCATCGCTAGCATAGACCATACATAGACCTCAACATGACAAGCGCACAACGACAGACATTGGAGTAGTAGTGTAAAGCACGATAAGATTTTATAGGTTAAAGGTTATGCGTAACCCGACCGCGAGTCCCATATCTAAAACCAAGGCTTATCCCAACCCCGATCCCTAAGGTGGTATACAAAGAAGTGAAGGTCAAAAGTCGCGACCAAGGATTGAAAGAGCGAGCGACGAGAAGTCAAAAGAGGTAGTACATGTTCTTCAGGTGTCTTGTCTTTCAAATCAGACTCCCCAAAAGGTTATTGGTCCGCTTACATAGCTCGTGTCTCGTGAAAAGCTGAAAAGCGCTGATCCTGCCTGCGCCAGAAATGGGTATAAGATTGAGGGGCTGCGCTTAAAAGGACGGGCAGGACGTGGAGTCCTATTGTGGAGAAGGGACTGTAGTACTCTAGTTGATGAGGGTGAAGGACATGCCGGACTCGAGGCGGTCTCCAGAAGCACCGCCCTGGCCACCGGTGAGGGCTTCCCAGAGGGCGGGAGTGGCGTCGAGACCTCCCTCGCCAGTGCAGCCGGAGCAGCGGTCTTTGATGGTGGCGTCGGCGCTCTTGCCGTTGTAGGTTACGCGGATCCTCTGGCCGCACCACTTGTTGGTAGGGTTGCCAGTGGCGGTGTCGTAGGTAGAGTCACCGAAGCCGGCGACAGCGAGGGCTGCGATCATTTTGGTATCATCAATGGCGTCACCGCAAGCACCAGTACCACCGCCGTAGTAGTTCATGGTGAGGGAACCAGTGTAGGTCTCGCCGCTGCCGCTGCCGCTGGAGGGGTCTTGAGTTGGTGCAGCCTCAGCAGGAGCAGTGGACGAAGGAGCAGGAGCCTCGGAGGTAGGTGCCGGCGAAGAGACTGGCTCAGGAGAGGGAGATGGGGTGGGCTCCGGGAAGGAGTGGGAGAGGGGAAGGGAGTCTCAGCAACAACGGGCACTGCGGAGCTTGACGGGACCTCAGGCGCAGGCTCGGAGGTAGGAGAAGAGGCAACGGGTTCGGGAGTAGGAGAAGATACAACGGGCTCAGGAGTAGAGCTGGAGACCTCTGGGGCGGCCTCAGAAGAAGTGACAGCAGCGGCGGAGCTGGGCTGCTCGAAGAAGAGGGCCGGAGAAGAGGTGGCAGCGGGGGCCTCGGTGGCCTGCTGGCCGTCCCAGACAGTGGTGTAGACAACGACGGTCTCAACGACAGTGTGGGTCTGGGTGGCATAGGCACGCTTGTCCACGGGAGCAGCGAGGGCCAAAGAGGCCATGAGGGCGGAAGCGATGATGGCGGACTTCATTTTGACGTGTAGGTGGATTTTTGAGTGTGCTAGATAGCAATGTGGTTGGATAAGATGTCCAGAGAGGGTGAGGATCGGCTAGCAATCCAAAAGTGTGGTTGATGAAGGTGATTTTGTCCTGTTGCAGGCGATTCTGCGGTGTGGTCGTCTGTGACTGGGAGTCGTGGACGGAGTGATAGGGACTGGACGAGATGCTGGATCTCGGCGATTCACAATGAATGTGTGGGAAAGAACGAAGTGGACAAATGCAAGACCTCAAGCCTGTAGAGAGTGGACAGGAGGAGGGCAGCGAGTGTCTTTTAAAGAATGACGGGGAAGGTGGGTGAGATGGGGGAAGTCAAGGCAGCGGACAAAGGCTAAGGCGGTGCGGACGTGGACACAGACGGCGTCTTTCAGCGCCAACAAGCAGGGGTGGCACGGCTGGACCGACACGAACAGCCGCCACGCAGGGCCGACGGCCATTGGCGTGCGCTGTCCGGGGCCCCTGTTTGTGTCGTCGGTCCTTCTGCGCGGCGGGCCCGGGTGCGCTGCGCTGCGTGAAGGCGACTCAGCAACGGCAGGCTCTTCTGCCCGTCTCGCGCGTCTGCAATGCTCCTGGGTCGCAGCGCATCCGTGGCGGGCGATCCATTCCGCTGCCATGTCCGCCGCGGGGCTGCATGTGGTGTCTCGCGGCGCCCAGTGCAGCTGATGTGGGCGGCCAGCGCAATTTGCGTGCTGCTGACGAGTTTCACGCACCCAGTTGCAGCTAGGCGCGCCTCCGTCCGGCAGGCACGCAGCCACTCAGCGCGCGGTTTCAGCGGGATCGCCAGGCACAGTTTGCTAGCGGCCCGAGTCGCCAGGGGCAAAGCAGAAGCAGACGCCAGCCGCCGAGGTCCTCACGAGGAGCCCCCGGGCCACGTCGAGCGCTCGCTGGCGTTGCGCCGTCCCACTCGTCGTTTGTCGTCGACAGCAGCCAGCATGCGCTTGAGATGAAATGCGGGCCGCCCGCTGCCCGTGGCCAGTGGGAAGCCGTCGCGCCTGTGCAGCTGCACCTGCTCCTGCAGCCCTCTGCGCCGCCAGGAAATCTCTTATCCGCTTATCGATAGCGATTGCGCGACCACTCCACCTGTGCTCTGGACCACCACTGCACACCGCTGCCACGACCGACGACGAAAAGTCTGCTGGCCGCAAAGGGCCTCGTCGTCGCCAGCGAGCACTTCTGCCTGGCCACCACTACCCGAAGCGCACCACGGCGTTGCTGGCCCTACCCGGTTGGGAATTCCAGAAACCATACTCGACAGCTCCACGCGGGGTGCGCGTTGTATCTACCATGCTTTGCCATGCTTTGCCATGAGCCTTGGGCCTCGTGGCTCCAAGGTGCGGCTGGGAGATCGGTGGGACTACGGGAACCCGCTACCGGCTTCGACGTTGGTCCCGCTTTGCTGGGTGAATGCCGTCACGCCCGATCCATCTGCGCATGCTCACCAACCGACCATCTGCTCATCGGCACATGTAAAAGAAATCCACTAGAAACCCACTACGGGATCATCACCCACGGTCCAGACTCTTTGACCTTCATCGGCGGCGTGTGGTAGCGCTTCGTCCCTCATGCGCCGTGGTCGACTGGTGACCGTCTACATTCCTCGTCTCGGCACATGTCTATGCGCCTGGGGTCGCACGGTAACACCGTGCCAAATGTACTTCATGTGCCAATTTCTCTATCTGGAATGTGTATCGAAGTAAAGAAGAGAGGGTGACCACTACATCTCATACGACGCCATGGTCAATGGTGTAACTGGCAGACGACTTGTCCTACCTCGCTTCTGCGCACGTCTCTGTCGAAAACAAGATGCGCTACCCGGAAAGAGCTGCCGAGGAGGAGTTTCCACAGTGTTCTCGTACCAGTGTAGACTCCTTCTGCCTGTGCACACACTAGGCTTGTTGACGCCAGCCATCTTCCGATGCAAACTCAACAACTTTACGCGAACAAGTCACACGGGAGAACGGGGCCGAGCACGTACGGTATGCGACTAAACGGCTTTGCTTCTTTGCCTCGTCCATTCATTTGTCGTGGTGGGCAAGCATACTTCGTTCGCACGTACGAGTGAACTAATGCCCAGATTCTACGTAAGACTATCCGCATCATACATAACAGTAATGCGTACAGCACCCCTTCTACGCGAGTAGCATACCTCCTCATCCTTTTTCGTTGCGCAGGTGATCGCCACTGCAGCCGCCTTGCAAGGCAAGCCAGGATCTGCACCACGCAGTAGGCTCGTTCATCTCACATAACTGAGAATCTGAGGCACAGTCGCACCGCACTGCAACAACACATTTTCCGATGCAAAATAACATCCAATTTGAACACGCCTGCAAGTTGCGTCATGATCATGCCTCACGTTGAGTGGTCGGGCCCACCGAGTACGCCCAGCCATTGTCCGGAGCTTCATCTCCGTATCACTACGGCCGCTGGGAGCTTTGTCGATATCTGACAAACTTGGAGACAAGCGCGAAGTGGCTGTGTAGTTGTCAATAAGGCCTTGTAACGGTCTTGATTTGCGGTGTGGTGTGATGTGCTTTGTTGGAAATTGACATGTTTGATCGCTTGTGTATTAATGCGCTCCAACTTCGATCTGTGACTCGATCGCTCTGTTCGATTCTCTTCCTTCGAGACAACTCTTTCTGTATTTGGTCACCAAGAGAGCGAGTCCGCAGAAGAAAGATGCTTGTTATGCACTACGAATCGCCTGTCCTACCCCAGCGACATCAACATGGCGGCCACTACTGATCCCTTGCTGATCATGCTCCACGTTTTGGTCTTTGGCCAGCTTTACTTCAATTCAATCCCGCAACTTTCCTGATTTTCAGTTTGACAACTTACACATCTTCCTGAGCTCAATCAAATCACCTTCTCAACAAAACTACTGCTGTCATTTACTCCAAGAACGCTAACCATTCTCCCCCATCATAATACTTTTCCACACCGTCTGGATGCTTCTGCCACGAAAGACTCGCATTCTTCTCCTGACCCCACGGCCCCTGCACCCACACATAATTACTGCCATTCTGATAATACCAGCGTCCATGTTTGTCACTCCACTTGAAGGGTGGCAAGGTAGGTGAGGATGGCTCTGCTGGTGCAGGTGTGGCCGCATCTGTTGTTGGTGTCTGGGACGGCGTAGCCGCAAGTGATGGCGTACTCTGAGTGCCCAATAACCGCGGACCGTTCCCAAGGAGCACCATGTTGTTCCAGTCATCGCCGGTCAGATCCTCGAAATTCTGTGTGCCCTCTTCGAACTTAATGGTCACGGGATTCTTGACCTTGAGCTTCTTGTTGTGCGGTGTCCAGCTCCAGCCCATAGGGGTTGTCCACGGCTACATTCCATTCTCGTCAGCGCAGTTCCTTCTTCGATTGAATAAACACGAAACCACGTGTAAAAACTCGCACTATCCTCTTCAAAGCAAGGAACTACTCACCTTCTCCGCACTGACCACAAAATCACCCTCACTCAACACCACCGCCGCCGCCCTACTAATCTTAAACACCCCCGACTTCGCCCTCCCATCCTCCTCCATCTGCCAACTCAACTTATTCAGCACCTGACTCCCCTTCTGCAATCCGCGATGTCCCTGCATCTTCCCACTATGCAACTGCGTCCAACTACTCTGCCTCTCCGCGCCGACACTTGTCTCCACGCCCTCCACCATCGGCATGCTCACCGCAACCTGCCCGGTACTTTTATTAACATGCTCTTCGGAAGTGGGGTTGGATTCGACGTGGACGGGGCCGTAGTCTGTGATTTCAGGATCGGCGTGGGAGGCAGAAGAAGTGAAGAAGAGGGTGAGCGCTGCTTCCATGAAGCGCTGGTCGCGCCCGTACTGGATGTCGAATTGGAAGCGGAGGAGACAGGCGGGTTTTGCGCCGAGCTTGCCCCAGGTGTGGGACGTGAGTGTTATCGTTACGCCGCGTTGGTCGCCGTCGGGGCGATAGTATAGGACGGGCATGGTGGCTTTGGTCTATTCACGTTGTCTTACTGCGCTTCTCCTCTACCAATATCTCTTTCGTCATTACCAGTCGACTCGTGTATGAGGTCTTGGAAGGCTTTCTGGGACATTCGGATGTGATTGCGTGTTGCATGTTTTGTGTTTCGAAAGGGCTAGCGCATGGGGCGGATTGACGAAATGCTGACCGAACACGTTGGTCCGTTGACGGCCATTTTCTTCATTCGTCTACGCAAGCAAAACCGCATGTCGCGCAGGTATACCAGAAGAGTCTCCGCTGGCCATAACTTGACTCGGTTCCTCAACAGAGAGCCTTGTGTGGCGGCGCAATCGCGGAGTTACCCGTAGTCTTCGACTTACACGACTACTGGGACCATTATGTGGCATGGTGCGTGGGCGTCCAGAATAACACTGACCGTTGATATATATATATATACATGGCAGTCATATTGTCTAGACAGTCTCGTCGTGGTAAGATCATTTGTTAATCCTATCAGTTGATGCGCCTAACGTATCGCCGGTGCGTGATCATTAACAGTACACATCAGTCATCACATCACTAGTAGAGCAGTGTCATCAAACTCATCTCATTCAAGAGCATTAACTCGTAGGCGGGGTATCATCAAACAGTATCATACAACCGATCTTGTCCGCATCTCCACGGAATCCATTATGCAAGACAATGCAAAATATGCCTGTCTTCTCTCTGCAATTGTTTTTGTCGACTTGCACCACTCTAGTAGACACGACGAGCGTTGCGCCCGTCAGTGCCATGCATGCGGCGAGTGCCAGCAGCCTGGAAAGATCGTTAGACGTGTACCGTTACGTTACTGACAAGATCGAAAGCTTACCTTGAGGCCAGGACGACGTGTCAAAGATCCCCTGAGCTTCATCAAAGCACCAGAGACCTTGTCTCCCATCGTAGCGTGGCGCTTGTGGTGATGACCAGTGGTAGCGCCATGGGGACCAGCGCCGTGGGTGGTGCGAGTGGTCTTGGTCGTGGTCGTGGTTGTGGTGGTCGCTGCAGGAGCACGACGAGTGCTGGTACGAGTACCAGTAGTGCGAGGGCCCATGAGCCTAGTCTTGAGGCTGGGCTTGGTGCGGGTCGTCCTTGTGGTGCGGGGAGCGGTAGTGTTGTGGGTGCGGCGCGAGTGTGTCAACGGCATGGTGGTCGATAGATGGTAGGTTGATGGAGTTGGCTGAGGTGGTCTGAACTTTGGATAAGTATGCTTGAGTTGTGGCGAGTTGAGCTGTACTTGTGTAGAGCAGATAGTTGTGTAGTGAAGTGACGATAGAGTTGAGGCGATACAGGTGATTCTTTATACACCTCGTCCTCATCAGCTCTCTTGACGAAAACAAGATACCTTGTGCTGCGCACCGTAGACGGAAGCGATCACCCAGCCTGCGCACTGCCCTGCGTCATTGCCAATGTCTCACACCGTGGCGCATGACGAACGCAGCGGCTTTCGTGAGTCGTGTGGCTGGTCCCCTGCTGAAGGTATCTTCCATTGCATTGCCTGATTCGGCGTCCAGGGCCAATATACTGCATTTTGATTGATGGACATTCGCTGGGAGTTCGGGATCGGGAGCGCATCCTTTGTTCTGGACCCGTCATAGCGTTAGAGGGTTGTTGCTGGACCCTGATTTCGGAGGTGGGTCTACGTCATACTCCATCCCCATCGATAACGGCCGCTTGCGAACTTGGTAATCTGGAGCTGCGAAAGGCTGGAGATTGTTGGACGGGAGATGAGGGCACTGTGAACGTGCCGCATGACCGATGGAATGTAGGGCACACCCTGCTATCAATAGAACACGGTCGATGGCGTAGCACGCAACGCTCGGGTCGGGAGGAAGGGGTGCGGGGTACTCACCTCTGGCCATTCTACCCATCTCCTACCCATCTCCTACCCATCTCCTACCCATCTCCTACCCATCTCCTACCCCTCAACACCAACTTGCTATCTACAGCGAGCCGTGTCGTCGGATATTCAATGCCTCTGGATGGTCCATATACTACAGAGCGAAGGCCTGTTGGACACTCCTCTCGCTCTCCATGTGTCGGAGACTGACTGAGCTTCCATCGCACGTCTTCGACGGCCACGCATCATCCTTGCCGTCTGCGAAGTGGCACGCGTAGGACATCACGGTAGAGAAGCCCGAGAAGCAATAGGTGGTCGTCACTTCTCATGCAAAGGGCCCACAGTTCGCAGGCCAAAAGACGTAGAGTGACAATTAGGCTACGTCACCAAGAAATCATCGATCTGAATAAAACTTCCACCTCGCGCACTCACTGCACGCTTCACACAGATCTCCACACGATTTCCCTTCAAGAAATATCGAATTTCAAGTTTCGCAACCCATCACAATGTCTTCTAGCAAGGGCCAATTCGAGTCGGGTAAGTAACATGGAGTACCACGCGGTAACAGCACCCAAAGGCTGACACGAGCAGGCTTTCAGCCCGAAGTGCAACACCAACCCGTTCCGGGTCTGGAAAAGAATATGGACCCGCAGCCGCTTTACGACCAACTCCCTACCGCCGACGGAGGCAAGCAACCCTACAGAGCCGCCGGCAAGCTGGAGGGCAAGAAGGCCATTGTATCGGGAGGGGACTCCGGGATCGGGAGAGCCATTTGCGTGCTCTACGCCATGGAAGGCGCCGATGTCTTCATTGCTTACCTTCCCCAAGAAGAAGACGACGCACAAGAGACTAAGAAGCTTGTCGAGCAAAACGGACGAAAATGCTACCTCCACGCGACCGACCTGACGGACCGCGGAAACTGCGAGAAGCTGGTGGCTGAAGCCGTCAAGCAGCTTGGCGGTCTGGACATCCTCGTAAATAATGCAGCGTACCAGATGGTGGTCGATGATATCAAGGACCTGAAGGAGGAGCAGTGGATCCACACCTTTAACACAAACATCCACCCCTACTTCTACCTTGCTAAGTACTCGCTTCCCCACATGAAGGCCGGATCTACCATCATCAACAATGCCTCCATCAACGCGTACATCGGCCGTCCTGATCTCCTCGACTACACTTCCACCAAGGGCGCTATCGTTGCTTTCACCCGCGGCTTGTCGAACCAATACGTTGGCAGGGGTATCCGCGTCAACGCCGTCGCACCGGGTCCGGTCTGGACTCCACTCATCCCAGCTACCATGGGCGACGAACAGATCAAGCAGTTCACCGCGCCTATCGGCAGGCCGTCGCAGCCTAGCGAGATCGCAACGTGTTTCGTGTTCCTGGCGAGTGCGGACAGTAGCTCTATCAGTGGACAGACGATCCACGCCAACGGTGGAACCATTGTCAACGGCTGATTGTGCATTTTATAAGCGAGGTTTTATGTTAGTCAATGCTTGAATATGAATCTAATGATCCCACTACACCCTTCATTGTTTATCACAAGTTGACGTGTTGAGCTACTTGGTAATTGCACATGAACGGGCGTAGTGACGCATGGGTACATAAAGTGCTGCTGGTGATCCGGAACAAGACTTCCAGATGCACTTGTGACATCAAGGTAAACCCGAATCCATGATTCTTAACGTCACTCGAGGCTCTTGTATATTCGATAAGCGCCGTGTCCATACTGCACCATGTGTTCTACGTCGCATCTTTTCGCCCGTGGCAGCTCTGGTGAGCCATCACGCTGGTTTCCTAGACCTGTCGCCCGCAACGTTATACTGGCAGCTGCACAATCCGTGACACCTTCGTTGGACCAAATCACAACATTTTAGTCTTCATCTTCCTCCACGCTCACCCCCCTCAACAGTTTCTGCCTCACGTCATCGCGGCCGAGCCGGAGCAGGTACCATGGGGCCTGTTTGTGCGGCACACGACAGCGTGATTCCAACAGATTCTTGACATTGGAGTTGATCCTCCAATACTCATCATCTGAATCTTTGCCCTTGGGCCTCGAGCGATCCATGCAATCCAAGCAGAGACCGTCAAAATGATTCAGAGCAGCTTGTCGCGTCATCTGAACGGCATATACCCAATCTATGCTCCGGCACCAGCGGCAATTGGAGTTATAGCTGAATGTGGATTCTATCATTCGGTCGAGGATGTCTTGGAAAGATGAACGCTGTAGAGCATCGTCGATCGTGAACCACTGGGAATCTGGGCGAGAAAGAACCTTTGGTAACGTAAAGAACGGATGCGCGCCTCAAGGGCATACCTGTTCAACGACCTGAAGGAAAGACGATCAAGGTGATAGGGCGAAGACAACTACTTCTGAAGCCCGCCAACAGAATGTCATGATCAGCATCGACCTATGATTACTACTCACACAGTGTCACTTCATAGTAAGCTAGGACTGCCCTTCAAGCGTGAAAGTTCCCGTCTTGCTGATGAGATACTCAGCCACAGCGACGTCTTTGCCAGATTCCTTTCCGTAACCTGATTGCTTGATGCCACCGAATGGCGACTCGGCGGCTGAAGAATTACCTGATCCTTAGTGAGCAGCGCCCTCGAACCCTTTTTGGGGGTTTCACTTACCAGTGTTCAAACCGATCATACCTGCTTCGAGATTCTCGAACAACCTCCACAGCCGATCAACATTCTTGGTGAAACAGTACGATGCCAAACCCATGCTTGTATCGTTGGCAGCTTTGACAACCTCTTCTTCTGTCTCGAACTTGAGAAAGCTACAAACTGTGACGTGGTAAGCTCACGTCCCTGTGACATCCTCCGACAGACTCACGTGGTGCAAAGATCTCCTCGCTGGCGATGTCCATGTCTGGAGTGACACCCGTGATCACAGTAGGCTCGAAGAAGTAGCCGCCTTTACCGGAGACCTTATGGCCACCAGTATGGATTTTTGCTCCCTTGGACTTAGCATCGCTTACCAGAGCTAGTGCTTTCTCAATGCCTCGCGGCGTGGTGACTGGCCCCATAGTAGTCTCCTTCTCTGAGCCATGGCCCACAACGATCTTCTGAGTCTCAGCATTCCATCGTTCGAGGAAATTGTCGAAGATGCCGGACTGCACATATATACGGTTCGCAGTGATACATGCTTGGCCGGCGTGACGGTACTTCAATGCGAAAATCTGGCTCATAGCTTGGTCGATGTTCGCGTCGTCGAATATGAGGACCGGACAATTACCACCCAGCTCGAGAGTGACCTTCTTCAAATTGTCTGAGCATATTCTCGCGACAAGCTTTCCAACACGGGTGCTCCCGGTGAATGAGACCTTCTTGACCAGCTATTGGGAGTTAGCACAGGAATAACCATGTTTGAGATTTTCTGCTCACCTCATGCCGACATAAAGCCTCACTAAGTTCAGGAGTCTTGTCTAAATCGGTGGTCAACACGTTCAATGCCCCCTTGGGGAATCCGGCCTTATCTGCAAGGTACGCTAGTGTGAGAATTGTGATGGGTGTTTCTGGACTAGGTTTCACAATCATCGTACATCCGGCCGCAAGTGCAGCTCCGGCCTTCCTCAAGATCATAGCAATTGGAAAATTCCAGGGTACCAGCGCTGCAGCGACTCCAAGCGGTTGCTTGATTGTGAAAACACGTCGATCGGGCAAAGCAGGCGTAAAAACGGACCCTTGAATACGCTCTGCCTCCCCAGCAAACCACCAGGTGAAACCGGTTGAGTAGTCGATTTCCCCATAAGCTTCGGCGCGCGGCTTGCCGGTTTCGTACACAAGAATCGTGGCGATATCTTCCTTGTTTTCACGAATGAGCGAATCCCATTTGAACAGCATCTGCGCTCGTGCTCGGGGACTGATCTTTCTGTATTCCTCAAAACAATTCTGTGAACTTTGCACAGCTTCATCTACATCCGACGCATCGTTGGTCGGGCACTCTGTCCATGCCTTTCCAGTACCAGGGTCTTAAGATCGTTAACGAGATAATTGATTGTTCGGCATGGGGGACCCACCGACTACCTCGAATGTCTTGCCGGACTTCGACTTCCTCCATTCTCCATGCACGAAAGAGAGGTTGTGCAGGAGATCGGGGTTATTGAGCTGTTTGATCAGCCGCGAATCTCCTTACGACACTTACTTGCATACCTTGCAAGGTAGCTCATAGTTCTGTGCTGAACCCATCTTTCCGTGCGCTTAGTGCCGGTATTGTCTTCCGAACAGATCGTCACAGATTATATGAGCGAAAACGGCTCCGAAATTTGACAGTGCAGAGGAATTGTAGTTTGAGGGGTGGCTGATCAGTTCAGATTCTCAAACCTTCCGTTTGAGTTTCCAGTTGAGGGGTGGACCCTCTTTAATGTATCGGAAGGCGCTCTGCTCATGTTTCGGAGGGTGCAGCTACGACATCTATTTGACCCCACCTTGTCCGCACCCGAGCTACCATCGTCATTCGTCAGCACCGCACAAGACCGGAGATCCGGAGTGGAGGTGGGATGCACTTGCATTCAAAAAGGATATATGGTCGTATGAATGGATACGCTTACTCCAACGACGTCAGTGGTTCCCCTCACTACGAGGCACGCCAATAATGTAACCGGCCTCGGTAAGTGCCTCCTGATGAGCAGATTGTGGGGATAGAAAGGCGCGGAGAAGACCACGCCTTCTGCTACTGATCATTAGCGTGACACTGCACCTCCTCTGTCCCTGACCCACGCCAAACCTCTTCGTGAAGACGCTGTCGATTATTCTCGTTTCGCATCCTCGAACGACTATCAGACGACACCTTCTAACCTCATCATCGTCAGAATGGGTCGACTCGACGGAAAAGTTGCTCTCGTCACTGGTAAAAGGGTACCGGGTTGCGAGTCCCTCACATGATGCTAATGAAATTCAACAGGAGCTGGATCTGGATTTGGAAAGGGTATATCTGAAGCTTTCGCCGCAGAGGGTGCCAAGGTACTGGTTTGCGATATCAATCAAGACGGCGGTAACGCAACAGTTCAAACCAACCCCTTAGCCATGGCCTTCCACAAGATGGACGTGACGAAAGCGTCAGACTGGAAATCCGCCGTCAATGCAGCAGTCCAGAAGTTCGGGAAATGTGACGTACTTGTCAACAATGCTGGAACAAGCTACAGAAACAAACCCACGGTTGATGTCACAGAAGAAGAATTCCAAAAGGTCTTCGACGTCAACGTCAAGGGAATATTCCTCGGATGCAACGCGTGGGTTTCGCAGGCAATTGAGAAGAAAGAGGGTGGCGTGATCATCAATATAGCCAGTGTTGGGGCATCTCGACCACGACCGGGTCTGGTCTGGTATAACGCGTCCAAGGGCGCCGTCGCGAACGTATGAATTGGCAGTCTATGCACAGTAAACTCACACTGACTTTACATTCAGGTCACGAAAGGCCTTGCAGCGGAGTATGGACCGCATCAGATCAGAGTTGTCTCCATCTGCCCGCTGGTCACCAGTACAGGACTATTCTCGCATTTCACAGGCGTTCCGGATACACCTGAGAACCGAAAGAACTTCATATCCAACGTTCCCATGGGTCGTATAGGGGAGGTCGAGGATGTTAGCTCCACGGCAGTTTTCCTGGCAAGCTCTGATGCGAAGTTCATCACAGGTGTCAATCTTGACGTAGATGGAGGTCGTTGTATCTAGTAGCGGACGCATATGCGTATACCAATACCTATCATGATGACACCCGCTGTGACAGCTGAACTTTTCTTCACCTAGATTCGATTTCGAAATGGTAAGACACTGATAATGTTTGGAACTGAATTCTGGTTATTGACTGCGCTGGGATGTGGACAAGGCATCAAGTGAGGCACCGAATAGTGAATACGATAAAACCTTCCCGGTGGCGCATATTATTTGAAGAACAAAGTCTACACTGAACCAGATCTGTGTCCGCATGAGGTTTGCTTCGCATAGATTGTCGAACGCTTTTGGCACCTTGTCTTCGAACTTGGAGAAAGGCGCGGGTCGAGTGGTCCGTGCGACCGTAACCGCGTTGCTCTTGGAGCTTGAGACATCTTTAACCCCACTCGCAAACACCTGTATTGCGCGCCCTCACCCCCCGAAGTCGCTGCACAGTCTTCAAGATGGATATTGACATGGACATAGACTACGACGCAAGTGCGCAGCATGCGACGGAAACCACGCAGGTACCTAAGCCCAGCGCGCCTGGGCTGACTCGAGAACCTAATTGTATGCGCTCAGCAGATAAATGAGACAATTGCGAACGATGCGTCTTTGCCTGCCGCGTACTACGAGAACCTCGATGAGCGACCAGGCCGGCAAGTCGAGCAATGGCCTGAAAGCCTTAATCTCCAAGGCGTGGACAACTTCGATCCCTCGGACGCCATTTACTACCTTATAGAATCAGGCGTGCCACAAAAGATCAAGCAGCAACGCTGGGTTAACGACTCGTCTCTCAACCTCCAGTTTCACAGCGCCGAAGACGCCTCGCTAGCTTTGCAGCAACTCACCGACCCGGAAGCCGGAGACCCTGCATCCATACCGGCGGACGCTCCCCGTAAAGCGAAACCGTACAAAGACCGCACACTTATCATACGCCAAGCGAACTCTGGGGATCAGAAGCTACGGGGCGCTGCTAATCAAAGCAAGTACTACGAGAGGAACCCAGATGTTCGAGGCGGAGAGAGGCGTGGAGACCGCGGCCGCGAGCGAGAGCCGCGACGCCGTGCACCCCCTCGCAGAGACTTTCTAGACTACGGCGAAGAAGAGCCTGCAAGGGACAATATGCGAAGGTATAGCGGTAATTATCATCCTGCTGGAAACGTGCTGACACTTCATGGCCGTAGTGGCGACGAGCAGATGCGCGATGGCTCCGACTACGAGAACCGAAGAAACCGAAGAAACGGCAATCGCAATCGCGATGATGGTCGACTTAGAGCCTCGGACGTCGACTCTTATCGGCCAGGTTCCAAGAGGTACGCGTCAACGTGCTGGTTCAGATACGGACTCTCACTAACTGGCTATAGTCCACGAGAGTCACGGTTTGGACGCCTGCGGGGCCGCAGTGCTTCGCCAGCATCAGGCGACGAAGGTGACGGGCGATATGGTTTCACGGAAGCAGGAACATCCACGCGCCGTCAGTACAGAAGTCGAAGTCGCAGCCGGAACAACCGCCGACGGAAGGAGCCTAGCGTTGAGCGGTGGACACACGACCGTGCAAACTACGACCGCGAGCAGGGCCCACCTGCCCGCTGGGCGAAGGACACGTCTACGGTATGTCGTTCCAACCGTTTAAATTCGTTGCTTTGAGCGATCGTCGCTGATTGGGGTGATTAGCCGCGATATGGTGATGCTTTTTCCAGTGAGAGCAAGCACCGTCGGTCAGACGCATTTGACGAGACCGCGAACAGGAGCGGAGGATCACTTCTGTCGCGCATGACCAAAGATGGCCAGCCCCTCGCTGCACAAGGTCGATCCCTCGCATCTCGTATCACACGCGATACGGATGACTCTTCATACGGACGACTTAAAGATGATGACAGCACACCCTCATACGCTGATTTCCCGGAACCAGCACCAAGACGAGGCTTGGCCAGTCGCATCACTCGAGACGACGACGATTTGGAAGGCATCAACATCCGGGGAACCGCGTCACAAGGTGGCTTCTCCATTCGAGGCGTCGCTGGCGGTGCGTAATACACCACCAAAGCATCGATACCTGATCACTTTGATTCCCGTCGGTTGCAAGTCCAGTCCGTTTGTGGTGTACTGGAGCTTACGTACTTCAGAGGAGAAGACCGTCTTCGAAATACCTGTTGGCCAAACACTGCGCGTGACGGACTGGAAATTACATGTACCAGGAGCAGCCCATGGTTTGGATAGAATCATAGTGAACATCAATATCAGCCCATTCTTCAGCATCCTGTTTACGATATCCTCTCTGGCGTAAGGAGCATGGGATTGAGCATATGGATTTATGCATGAGAGGGTGGGTGGCGACGGCGTCTACAGTAGTAGAGCGGCTTCTGTGACTTTGTTTTTGGGTGGGAGTAAGGACAGCGACGGTTCCTATTAGTCAATGAAGACTTGATATAATACTCTTATGTGCACCACTCACTGTGGGAAACCTCGTCCCGTTTTGTGTGTTACTGATCGATGCTCGGGTGAGCTACATCTCTAAGCCATCATTCCACCATGACGACTATGACCATTACTGACGTCTCTTATACAGCATATGGAGGAGTTCAAGTTGGCTCCGATACTAAAGGATATATCGAAAGACAGACCGACAAGACTTAACGTTTGGACAAGAAGTGACGTGTGTGAGATTTGGCTTCATATAGACATCTGAACAAGTACCATGCAGATGGGCATGTGCTTAAAGACAGACGTTGTACTCGTTATTCTGCGAAGATTTTGGATGTCTTCTCCATACATATGCGCCCGATTTTCTTGAGCATGCCATAACGTCCACCGTGATAGGGGCCATGGAGTCACCCTTATGCCCCCGATCCCCGTGCCTGACGTTTCGCGCGATCTGTAGCCAACACCTTGCCCCAGGAGTTGTTTAAAGGATAAGAGGACCCGCGAAAATGGGTGGGCTGTACATAGAGCGCCAAGTGAGGTCGGCGTTATATCCGATTGGGGTTGAGCTCGAGGAGATAGACGACATTCGGTACAATGAACGACAATTCTAGACGAGACCTCCATGGCATCAAATCAGCACTGTTTTGATCTACCACCTCCTCCGCCGAATCTAGAGCCATAAGCCTGGACTATCTGGGTTCCGGCTCATGTTACGTGTCTGTGGCAAGTTCCAATCAATGTCTGCCTGCGACTTACGTATAGCAGAATAGAAGGTGCGGACAAGGTTGGGCCTCATATGGCTGTCAGATTAGTGTCCCAGGTTCCACTGGGTTATCCGCCGAGTATTGCCTTTAGGGACGGGCGGAAAACATCCGGTCGTTGTGGATTTTGGACGCACCCTCTATGGCGAGAAGTTGGCTTTTGTTTGGACATGTTACAATCTCGATCGAAACAAGTGCCATAGTGAATATAAGCGCGATCAGAACCCCTCCATCCTGTTTTCGGATGCTCCAGCTCCTCGTATACAAACGCAACAGACATAATATGATGTTGCGGTCCTCTGTCTTTATGTGATCCCATGGACCATGCTCCAGCTTACTTTTGAGAAGAGAAAGGCCGAGAAAAGAGCGAGTGAAGAAGGTGGAGAACTGTGTTCTCTGCCTCCGAAATGTTGTAGCACAGCGCACAGGAGCCATACATCATTCCAGTGGTCTTTCGGAACACTCCATACGACTCCATGGGCTCGTGGGTTGGCCATTGTCAAACCGCCGAGTTGCACCTCTCACTGCGCAAGAGCCACAAAGCATTCACAGTGTTCTTCTTGGATCACTCCGCGAGACTGGATCGAGAGCGCTGCGTAATATCGGAAGGATTAAGCCGTACACCTACCGAAAGTATGCCCGCGCTGGGTTCGAACTCTTGATACCCATGCAAACGCTATCGATGTCAGTCTTCGATGAGTACGTGCTGAATGGCGGGAAGAGAGCAGCGTCAAGCATTACGTGTGCCATACGTTGTAGTGGAGAGAACAGAGCATGTTAATAATAGGTAGTACTTTCGAAACATCCCACGCGACTTCATCTTCGCCTTGTATTCCTTGGAGCTATTGCATTGTACAACTCCCATGCGTACCCCGGTATCAAAGTGAGTCATTTGCTACCCATCAAGCCGCTGAAGATCCGAATAGGTTGACAGAGCGGGTTGCCATATATCACGAGTCATCTGTACAATCCTGCGATGCTCGTTAACAGGACCGTGTGGCATGGTATTCAGTGACAATTGATGATGATGTAGACGATTTTCAATTGATTGCAGGATCAAGCAGCCTACGAAGCCCAATTACCGAACACATCTAACGCCAAACGGGATTCGTATCCGAACAGTCTTAAGGAAAACGCGCGACCAGCAGGATGATCGAGCGCTTAAGCATCGACCTTTGCGGCGGTATCTGCGACTTCGCTGGCTGTCTTCGCGATCTCTGCGTCTTCACCGTCCTTGACCGCACCATCTGTGACTGGAGGCGCGTTCGGCCCATCAGCAGTAGTGCTCCCATCCACGATCTTCTTAACCACGGCAAATGTTCCGTCAGGGCTTCCTGGCTCGGCCGCAAGAACCTTGCCAGTCTTGTCCACCACGAACACACCACGTTTAGCACTCTTTGGTCCCTTCAAGCCAATGGCCGAGATGAGCGACTGGGAAGGATCGCAGAGAAGCGGGTAAGGCAGGTTCTGCTTGGTCTTGAAGGTAGTGTTCGACTTTGGGCTGTCGGTGGACAGTCCGTAAATTGAGAGACCGCCGACGGTCAAGGGCTCGTACGAATTGCGGAAGAGGCATGCCTGCTTAGTACCTGCGTAACAACCCGTCAGCGCGACGCGCAATCAACGTGCTCGAGGTGCGCACTCACATCCAGTTGTGGAAGCCTTAGGGTACGTAAAGAGCACGACACCGCTCTTGCTCTCATCCACCAGCTTCGCGAGCGTGGTCTTGGTTCCCTCATGCGTCTCGACATCGCCACCGAAGCTGGTGAGCGTGATGGTGTCACCAACCTTGGGCGCAATTGCGCCCTTCGCAGGGACAACGGAGTCTCCGGAGGGCTCGCCGTTGGACTTGCCGGAGAAGTCCTTCACGGCTCCGACCTTATCCTTGATGGCTTCCTTGACCTTCTCCACCTTGGACTTGGGCGCCTTCTTCTCCTTCTTCGCTGGACGCACGGGCGCGGGAGGGGGCGTCTTGCGCTTGCGCAGCTCAACCATGATGGTGGATTGCGAATAGAGTCGCGTAGCTTTCCGGTGGTCAGAAATGCGGTCGCGACGATGTACACGCGTCGACGATGGTGCAGAAGGGAAAAAGGACAAACAGCGCGGAGGTGGTTGGTATCAGGTCTGATGGCTGCACGAGGGCCTGGCGCTTACTCTGCGGCGGTAACACGACGAGCTATCAAGCTGCGGCGTACAAGGAGGCAAGCGCGAACAGCTGCGACGGAAGGGGCTCTGGTGTATCAGCAGACGGGAGGAAGCATGTCAGTCCGGAGCACGTCTTCAGGGCTAAGAGGTGGGTGGGAATGAGGACAGCCTCGCTCCTTGGCAGAGGTCCATTCCATTTCGATATTAGGCAGATTGCTCTGCCGGGTTTGCTTCAGCTGCGGGAGCACTTGTGGAGGCGCGATGCAAGCTGATTGGATTGAAGAGCCATCCGGGGTGGAGGTGAGAGTGAACTGCAGGAGCTCAAACCGCCGGGAGCCAGGACGGAAGTAGCGCCGCTGACCAACCACTTTCGGAGACGAGCATGGCCTCCGCCGCGTCCACTTCATCTCCAACTCTCTATGAACCCGTGCGACGATCCGCTTGCCCTCGCTACCAAAGCTGCAGTGGCCGTCGACGACGCTGTGCTGCCCCACCATGATCAGCTTTCGCAGGCCTGTCTCCCTTCACAATCTGCCTCGGTCAATATCCAGCTTCTGGAAGCCATCATGGACGTCACTCATCTTGGAATCATCCGTTAGTCGCGGAAAGCATTGCATAAGTCGGACTGCATGCACAACCGCAAACTTCCTGTTCGGCTAACTATCGAAGTGCGTGGAACATGCATCCGACCTCCAGCATCTGCATCATGACTCGCGGCTCTAGAACCCAGAACATGCGCCGCCGAGAGGCCCACTACAGACTACACAGCGTAGCTACCAAGGTTCAAGTAAGGCCTAACCCAAACGTGCCACGCTGAGATGCTCCATCACGTTCTTCGTGCCAATTCCGAGACCTCAATCCTTGCTGTTATCCGCCATCTCAAGTGGAGAGGACTACCTTCGCTCCTCAATCTCTTCGCCCTCGTCACTAACATCCTCTTCCTCCTCAGCAAGTATCTCATCAATCTCGCGCCTCCTCCTCTCTTTCTCCGCCATCTCTTCCTCGGAAAGTCCAAACCCTCTCCTACCATCCAAACTCTTCTGAACGATCGCCCCAGGACCCTGCCTCTCCTCGTACCCCATATCCACAGCCGTATCCACGTAACACCCCACCCTCCCACACACTTCCCCTCTCTCTCACGGTCATCGGCCCAGGACTTACCCTCCACCTCTTCGTAACTTCCTCCTCCCTCACCGCGCACCCTGTCATCAGCCCGAAAACCTGCGACACCTTGTCGTACACGAACTTATGCGGGCCGTCCACATCATCTGGATTCCTCAATATTCCCTTCCCAGCAGCGTAGCGCGGGTGGTTTGGTGGCGGGCCGTACGTTTCGAGGACGACGGCGTGCGAGCGTTGGACGCGGCGGAGCATGTTCTCCCAGATGGAGGTCGGGAAGAAGATTGCTTTTGACAGTTTAAGAACTCCTGTCCCTTTATGTGTGTAACCTAGGATCAGACAGTCTGTAGCGCCTGCGAAGTTGCTGTCGTGGCCTATCACGATTTGTGGGAGGTAGATCTGAATCGGTATGCCGTGGGGAGAGGTCGCTTGAAGGGAACCAGCTTGGGGCGATGTTGCCTGGAAAGTGCCGCTTTGAGGAGAGGCGAGCGAGAGGTTACCCGTGAGGCCGGCTAGGGGTGTCATGAGCGAAGCACAACTGTGATTGAGCCCTGCTGAAGGAGGCGTGAGATGACGAGGTTGAGACAGTTGTAAGGCTAGATTGGGAGGTGGGGGAGCGCGGTTGGATCCCTGCATCTCAAGTGCGAACGAAGTTACGGCTGGACTTCGAGGAGAAGCGTACTCGTTCGGAAACGGTAGCAATCGCGAGGCTGGAGAACTTGGTGCGGGCTGAGGTATACTGGATGGTCCTTGATCTTGACCTGGTGAGATTTGACCTAGTGAGATTTGACCTAGTGAGATTTGACCTTGTGAGATTTGACCTTGTGCAGGCATTGTAGTTGGCGCAATGTTCCGACTAGATTGGAGAAGGGCTTGCAGCGCAGGTGAAATTGCTCGCGGGCCACCATTTCCCTGCACTGAACTTCCAGTCTGCGGCTGTGTGACCGTAATCGCTGGGATGTTGCCTGAAGCAGACAATGAAGAGTTTAGTAAATGTCCGTCTTCCCGATGGTCGTGAATTGGTGCGTTCTGGGCTTGAATATGTTGAGTGCCAAGAAGATATCCAGCCATTGCGTTGGTTCCTTGTGCATCTTGACAATCCCAAATGGCTTGCTGCACAAAAGGTGTTACGATCATATTAGGTAGCGAACGCTGCTGGGATAAGCTACTCGTAGCTTGTGCCCCGCCAGAAGGAACAGCAGTCTGCTGCGTTTGCGGTTGCGACAGTCCCATACCTAGTGTGTACGCGCTGGAGAGTGGTGGTCCAATGTATCCAGACGATGGGTTCGACTGCGCAGCAGCTTGCATTGCAGCTTCCATTGGAAATGGAGGCGGAGGGCGTGCCTGTGATTGTATCTGCGCTTGCTGCAAGCCGATCTGCGCCTGGAACTGCGAACTCATCAAAGGATAAGCGGCACTACCGTGGGCAGCCGCAGGAAGATGAGGCGACTGCATCTGCGCCAGTCTCTGCCAGAGAAGCTGTTGCTGTGACTGTGGGATCGACGGAGGAAGAGCTGCGTCAAGGTTTGGAGGAAATGGGGGTTGAAATCCCACTTCTGTAGACGTTCCATTGGTGGGACCAGTCGCTGAAGACTGTATTCCCCCACCTATTGTAGGCTGCTGTGGTTGTGGTACCTGATTATGCGTAAACAATTCCGGGTTGTTTCTACGGATAGCTGCTTGCGCCTGTGGGTTCAACAGTGGCATAAGGTTGGCTAATTGGGTAGGATTAAGACTTCGCAAGTAAACTGCAATGTTTGGGAACGCAACAGGACCAGGCTGTGACAGTGGGGTCGGTTGAATAGGGATTGGCGGAGCTTGTGGAGGAGTTAAACCAGAAGTTGCATCCATGGCATCGTTGCTCTCTGGTTCACGCTCATCTGGGTCGATGTCGTCCGAATTACTATAGTTATCCTCGTCTTCGTCGTCATTGTCCGTATCTTCATCACCGGGAACTTCCCAACGAGTACGCGTTGGCATAGGACGTGCGATAGCATGCTTAAAAACCTTCGACTTCGGTTTTCCCAACATTGGAGGAGGAACGGCCTTCACAGGAGGGTCACGGTCCTTGTTGACCATACCCTTCACTCTGGCTAGCCATGCAGCGACCTGGTCCGGACGGCCTGAGGTTACTGGGGGTGGCAGTCCTGGAGTTGGTGGGATAAGAGCTGGTGGAAGAAGGGAATTCGGATTCACTGTATTGGTCGTTGCAGCTATCCTTGCTTCCTCTGCTAGCTGATTACTGATGGCGATCTCGCGTTGCTTCTCACGAAGCTCCTTCATGCGCTGGTTGTCTAAAAATGCCGCGTGAGCGCAAGGCTCCTCTTTGTAGTAATTGAGCCAGCCATCTCCGTTCATGTCTTCAGGAGTATTCATCGGGCTCATGGGCTGTAGCTTCTTATAGTTCGCAATCTGTGTCGCCGTGACGCCAGCCTCCTGCAACAGCCAGAACGCGCGTTGTCGATTCTTGAAACACGCTGCATAGTACTGCTGGCGCTTTTGATAATCGTGGGGAACATTAATTAGCGGTGGGAGAGGTTCGTCGTTCAGATTGATCGGTCGTTGAATGCCAAACTTGACCTCCCGATACTCCAGGCGCTCACTCTGTTCCGTCAATCGCTCCATATCTTCCAAGGCTAGTGGCTTTTTTCGCTTCGTGAACCTTTCGCCCATCTCTTCTGCAGCTTTTTCAAGACCGTACTCTTCCATGTCGTCGCTGTCGTTATCGAACAGCGGAAGCGGGTGGTACTCGAACAGCCACAGGCTCGGGATCTCCATGCGTAGCGCAGCTTTCAGCGCCCGACCGCCGCCTTCGTAGTAGTCGACCCATTGGTAGAGGAACTCAATGTAGTTGGGCACAAGCTTGCTGTCGACCTGCACGATATCGATGAGGATCCGTAACATATCTTCCTCTTGGAACATGTCCGGGTGGAGCAAACGACGCTCGATTCTGGTGTACGCAGGTGGCTTTCGCTGTGTCAGCTCATTGGTTTGCGCCGCAGAAGATAGGGGGTCTAATCGTGGTTTCTTCGCCGCAGGCGTACAGGGCGCATCTGCGTTTGGTTTGTCCACCTCCCATTGCACACACCAGGTCCAGGCCTCTTTGTGCTCAAGCTGTGCGCTCCGTGCGTAACGGTCGGTGAAATCCTGAAGCAGCGCCATATAAACCTCATGATTGGTGTCGACTTGGTAAACAAGTATGCTTCGGACGTACTGCTCGTATGGCACGAGCGAGGGAAACGGCTCCACATTGCCAAGTACATCCTGCAGATTGAGGTAGCGGTCGTCAAATAAGTCGAGAACCTTGCCGTGTGACGCCATCGCGGGGAGAGCGAGAGCGGGGCGAAGTGGTGTTGCGACGGTAGAAAGGTGGTGTTACTTATAGTGGTGGATAGTACGGCGGCGGGGCAAGTCGACCGTGACAAACGCGGAGTGGTGGGCGGCTGCAAACGAGTCTATTGTGACAGAAGCAATAATATCTGCGTTGTCAAGGAGACGTAGAAAGGAAGTGAAAGTGACGGATAAACAGGCACGTGGAAGGGAAGAGCACGTACGAAGTTGCAAAGGATCAATAGGAAACGCGCAAATCCAGCCAAAAGCCATGAGAAAGCCATGCAGTCGAATACAGCACACACAGCACACAGCATCTACCATTCGGCCTCGTAACTCAGCGTCGCTAAGAAGGGTATCGCCACCCACTTGCCCACACTCTATACCCATGATCGCGTCCACAGTAGCAGTAGCCATTCACGTCTATTTCTGTTCCTTGATCTTGTGCACAACTGCACCCATCCTATCCTCTGCATTCTCTCTGACTCTTCTCCAATCGGTCTCGTAGACGCCCTTCAAGCTTGTCTCGAGAGCTCTATTCCACTTGTCCTTCGCCATCTCTGCCAATCCTGCGGGAACAACACGCGCTACCGGTTCCGGTGCTGGCGGTTCGGGTTCGACTACGTTCTTCAGCACGTTTTGTTGTTGACGCAGGAGTGCGGCTTGTGTGATGCGGTTTCTCGTGTGGAGCGATATGGTAAGGTAGAGGACTGAGGCAGTCAGGGTGAAGCCCCCGAGCTATACAATGCGTTAGGAAGATCTCTTGGCGTCGAAAATGTGACCGCAGGCACTTACAAAGCCAGTTGTGAAGCCCATAGTGGTCGTGTGGGCGTGTGTTGAAAGGTTATTGAGCGGCGAGCGCGTAGCGACGCCAGGTACTGCGCGCAAGGCCAATGAGTGGGGAGAAGAGACCGGATGAATTCAGCCGGTGAAGGCCAGTACGAGCAAAGGGAAATAGCGGATGCGCGTCGCAGTCAATGAGGGCCGATCTCGCGATCAGGTTCAGCGTGCAGTGAGGTCAGACGTCCGTAATGATACGGAGCGGGTTGGTTCGGAGCTTTTGTTCAGACTCCCCATCCGGGCATGTGCCCCAGGGTTTCATGCCTCAGTTACGGAGCGAATTCATTCGGAACACTTTCAAACTTCCCTAGAATTGCAGGTGTGAAGAGTGTCCTACATCGGTAGTGATTACTACTTGGTGAGATAATTTCATGATCAAAGCCCAGCACGGCCACAAGTATTTACCTGAGGAAGTACGGCAGTACCGTAAGTAGCTGTTGTATATGACTCAAAAATTCACTTGACTGTTAAGAAACTGGCCATGCCTCTGAACTGTCCGTGATTAGGAGAAGAAATCGGTAGACCACGAACGCGTGCTACGGTGTAAAGACCTGAGGCCGCCAGCATGTACGTAAGGAACCTTGGAAGGCGTGAAGTCACGACCCGTAACGGTCGACGACGATTCATAGGGTACCAGAATTTGTATAAGTTATGTCCGTTCATAGACTACGGGCAACTACTCCACACTTATCACAACTGCGCTATAATCACAGCAACCGTCACGCGCAGCACCATAACGGACGCACCCATCCTACTTCCCGCTCCTTCATACTCCGTAGGCTTTGGACCCTTCTGCGCTGCCGCCTCACTCATTCCATACGTCTCTTTCCCTCGTGGCACAGGGAAGTCCTCAGTTTTCAGCGCCTAAGGCCCATACGGCTCAAAGCCCCCACTAATACCTACCATTCTTATGCCCCGTAGAGCCTTTCACACACTTATCCTCAAGCTGTAGGAACGCATCCCTTGCCTGATCCATGCGGTATCCGGATCCGAAAAGCTCCTATGCGTATAGAAGATCCTGCAGTCGGCAGCTTCGTAGATGTACTGGAGCGGCGTAGAAGTTTTGTCTCCCTTTCGCATCTCGAGTTGCACTTGGGATCGCGTCATGCCGTCGCCGGCGCGCTTTTGCAGTCTGACACAGTTTGAAAAACTGGGAAATGACTCCTGAAACTCGATACTGTACTCTTCGTTTTTGGGGTCGAATGTGATGATCTTGAGGACGGCGATGTCGTCGTAGCCCTCGCCTTCCAGAAAGTATCCGGCGACAGCACCGCTAGTGGCATAAACAATTGGTTCTGGGAAGCGTGCAGGCACACCTCGCGCTTGTGTAGTCGGCAGCTGTGGTACTCGCCCTTTGAAATGACAGCCGCTTCTCCAAGCTTGCTCTTGTACTGCGGCTCCCAGATATCCTAGTCGTTGTCACCGGCACGCGCACCAAAGATGTCTCCCTGACAGAATTTTTCGTGGAAGGGCTTGCCTTCCTTCACGTCTGTAAAATCTTCATTTGTCCACGCCGTGTTTATAAGTTCGATAGTTGTCCCGTTGGCGAAGGTAATGTTGGTCTCAGCACCATCAAACCGAGACTGGACCATAAATGCCCCGGGTGTAAGAGTATCACCCTTAGCCCACAGGCTGTTGATTCGACCATCGGTGTCACGGTATTGCTCCCATTGCGCGAGGTTCTCGAGGTATTGCCAAGCGTCGTTATCGTTGATCTTCGCGACATCTGAGATTTTTGTCCTCGGTGATGTTTCCATCTGCGACCTTCAGTGCATCGAAAGTCACGTAGAGCTTCGGCACTGCCACACCATCGTCCGGCAATGCTACGAGACTGACATCCCACCGCCAGTGGAATATCTGCAGGGGTCTGGAACGTAGTTGAGATGGTAGTCACCGGAGCGCACCGTGATCTTTTTGATGGCCACTTGCACCTGGGACTCACTCTCGAATATCTCTAGATTGATCTTGATCTGGTCCAGCTCAGTGATGAGATCTAGTGAGCCGTTTTCCCGATCGGCAGGCGGGTTCTTGAGCCAGGTGATGTCGTAATGCCATTGCCATGCGATCTTCAATTCGTCGATAAGCCTTTTGTCGCCTTCCACGTCCACTGATATTCATTTCAAGCAGTGGAACCCCGATCTTGCAGGGAATGACAAGACATCCTGGGTCCGTAGAGTTGCAATGTATGCGCAAAGGTTCGGCGTTGTTCACCCCTGGGTTGCTACATGCACCAACAATGGCCATTGAGCCCAGCAGCAGACTTCTCCGCATGATGCTGAAATTGACAAAGAAAGAGACGAGAAACTGAACAATACTTCATAAAGTCAGAACGATCTTCAAAATGAGTGACGAAAAGAGACGAGTGAATGCAAGGCGGCAGTATTGTGACCGAGAGCACGCGATCAATGGTACGCCACGCAGCATATGTTCGAAGGGTCCTCTCTATCCTATAATTAAACAGCAGTTGCATCCTACCTCCAGATGGCAGCCGAGCATCGTCTTGACATAAGTGAAAGTGGGTTTACCCGGCCCCAAGGATCGTGTTCCCGCGAATAGGATGCATCTAACCCCTAGCGACAAACGAGCCTCATTTGTAGAAGGCTGAGCGAAGCAGCTGCCATTGGAAAAGAAAATGCGCCGTATTACGCCAGAGCACGATAGAAGGTCCATGCGTGCGGCTTGTCGTGCGATAGATTGGCGATGTGAGTGGTTTCAGTGAGCGCTGGCAAGCCACGAGTTTCTTCCGAGACAGTCATGCTGTACACCCTTCATCAGATCAGTGCAGAGGCAATCTATAGCAATAGCGTCGCAGTGCTCTCATGATGCTCCGAGTTGTTGATGAGGATGCGCTTCATCTGGAGTCCAGAGGTAAAGCATGGGGCCAGTACGAGGCCTGCGGGGCTGAGGACCAAACATTTGGCGGAGGTGCTCTCTATGCCACAGAAAAGATTATCCTTACTAACAGTAAGTTTAGACTGCACATCCCTTTCGACGGTGCATCGCCGTTTTGCTCCTTGAGTGTTCACCACCTGGATGATATACATGTGTTATCATCGATTACGAAAGTTCCTTCCCGACCTTATCATGGCTCTTGGTAGCTTTTCACAAGATCTCAGCTAATCTAGATGCTATAGCAGACTATTTATTGGCCAGATTCTGTTGAAACTATATTTTTAGGCCTGGTAGACGTTAGAATAGGGCACCAAGCTGTCAAAAAGCCAAGTAGGCCAATGATCAGCCTCCTATAGTATCTAGGTTGGCTGAGATCTTGTGGAAAAAGTTGCCCAGAGCCATGATAAGGTGGGGAAGGAACTTTCGGAAAGCACCGATAGGCAGACCCATGGTTGTGACTCCCATCTGATCGTTCACCGGGACTGTTCGGGGTCAGGGCTGCTTCGCTCGAGTATATCGTGTCGTATAGTGAGACATGACAGCAACCGATACCGAATCAAACGGCGTAAAAGGCAGACTATCCTTGAAGCTGACCGTGAAGCTGCTGAGGAACATCTTGGCGAATCGTGGTACTAGTTGAGAGACGTAAGCGGGCACAGCAAGTTGGCGAAAGCTTCGCGCAACACCTATCTTGAGTGTTTCAAAGGCTTGGCGAAATGCGCGAGTCAGGCCAAGCTGTTCCTCCTACTATTGCAACTCAAATAGGATTTGCACCGCCTCATCTAGTGGGATTGCTTTCTGATTCGGCGCGGAAGCGGGGACAAATGGTTCCTCACGGGATCTGTGGTTCCGAAAGAATTTAAATGGTGTGTATATTTCCTGATTATTTAAAGTGACCGCTGGACGGTCGATGTAGCAGTAACGATGGCTTCCACGGATCCTTTCCCAGTCGTGGTACATCGCATTGCCTCAGGGACGCCCAATATCGTCGCGTACGAGAGAGCAGTCTGGACGCAGAGGAATGCACTCGTCTTCATTGGAGGCTTTACAGAAGGCCCCCATACCAATCTTGTGGTCGATGCGATCGTACGCAAGTTGAATGGTTCAGCATTCAGTGTTTGGGACCTGCGCATGCGAAGCTCGTACACTGGATTTGGGTATTCCAGTCTGTCCAACGATGTGCAGGATATATCTGCTCTGGTCTCATACCTTCGTACGCTTGGCAAGCAGAAGATCGTCCTTTGTGGAGCGTCTACAGGTCTGTACCTTTTCTTTCATGTCTCACATATAGCTGGAGTGTCTTACAACATGCAGGATGCCAGGACTGCCTCGAGTATGCGGACCGCGAGAAGCATAAGAGCGCTCCAGTAGACGGCTACATCCTTTTGAGTCCCGTCTCAGACAGACAAACAGCGGGCCTTTTGATGCCTCCAGACGACTTAGAGAGGGCCAACCAGCACGCCCAGGAAATGATCGCCGAGGGCAAACCAAACGATGTTATGCCGACTTCCTTTATTCCTTTCATCTTCACATCCCCAATCACGGCATATAGATGGAACTCGCTCGCAGCCAAGGGAGGCGATGACGATTCCTTCTCCGCGGATCTCGATGATGCCACCGTCAGTGCCAAATTTGGTCGAATTGATAGTCCTATACTCATGCTTCCTGGCAAAGAAGACGAACTCGTTCCACCTTCTGTGGACAAGAAGGAGCTGCTGAGTCGATGGATCCAGGCCTGCCCGAAGGGAACTGTGAGCAAATTGTCGGTTTTGGTTCCCGAGGCTGACCACGTCATCTCCCATCCTGAGGCGCAAGAATGGGTTAGTAATTCAGTTCTGCGTTTCCTCGAGGCCCTGCTAGAGCAGTTCAGTTTGGAGCAAGGAGAAAGGCAGTCATCTTAATCAAAGTAGATCAGCTGGAAGTTAGATCAGTATGCGTCAGATAAGCTACGCTTAGCTTTGTGCCCAGATTGTCGGTCATGGTCAATCCGGCAATAACTCAATCGATCGCACCAGAGAAGCGTCGAGGTCGACTTCCGAGTGATCTACCGCAATATAACATGGTGATATCCAACGATATGCATAAATATCTTCACGAAGAGAGTTTGAGTGCGGTCTATTAGTTTGTGTTGTGAGTTGTTCGGCCGGCCTTCACGTGCATAAAAATTACGTAATCGCCACGTGCGTACCTTTATGTAGGTGGTCTCGCCGTTCATAAATCCAACACAACTCGCCTCCACCACGATTGATTAGAAGATTTGAATGCGTAGAATTCAGCATTTCTATCACCCTAAAAAGTTGCATCTCACCGGTGCTAAGCTTACTGAACGCTGTTCGTGCCACAACACCACAGCATGTCCGCTGTTATAGAAAACCTCAAACCACTGCATCTAAAGCCGGTGCGCAATCTGGATCCAAATGCGCTACCCCTTGAGGATTCGAAATTGCATCTTCTACTATGCGCTACCGGCTCAGTGGCCACTATCAAGATCCCGAATATGGTGCAGGCATTGTCGAGGCACGCAAATATCTCGATTCGCCTCGTCTTTACCAAAGCCGCCAAAAACTTCCTCCGGGGGCAAAGCGCGGAACAGCCAACATTAGAGGAAATAGAAGCTCTACCGAGTGTAGACGGCATATATGTCGATGAGCATGAATGGAGTGAGCCATGGGTGCGCGGCAACAAGATTCTCCACATCGAACTACGGCGCTGGGCCGACATCATGGTCATTGCGCCACTCAGTGCAGGTACACTCGCGAAGATCACACAGGGCTGGTCAGATAACTTGTTACTCTCTGTTATACGCGCTTGGGACACGACTGGCGAGGTGGACCCCGTGCGCAACCTTCAAGGCGACAACGGCGATCCGGAGGGAGCACGGCAGAAGAAGAAGATTCTGGTTGCGCCATCGATGAACACCGCCATGTGGAAGCAGCCTATCACGAAGAAGCAGGTGGACATATTGGACGAAGAGTGGGGTGCAAAGAATGGCGGATGGTTTGAGGTGCTCCTACCCATGGAGAAGCAACTTGCATGTGGAGATGTAGGAGCGGGCGCTATGAAAGACTGGAGAGAGATCGTGGAGGTCATCGAAGACAGACTGGGATTGAACATTGGTCACGAAGCTGACGCGCGCTCGGTTTGAAAGACCCATCTACCAAAGACGATGTTCAAGCACCGGCATCTCGATCTCATTTTCCGCCACAAGACGTGGACAGTTATCAACACCGATCAACACCTCTACTGTGCCTCAAAGTCACCTGCGCCGTTTCGGGACTAGCCAATACTCCATTTGAGATAAAGCATGCATGTCATTACTTATCTGGCGTCATATTTTGACGGAGGAGGGTATGGACAGCCGTTCTCAATGCTGGCAATCGATAGTTTGCAAAATCAACGTGGAACGATGGCGTAAGAACTTTTGCAATGCACTGATGCATACCAGGATAGGCCTGCACGAAACTCGGTGCCAAGATGGCACGTGGATGAATTGAGGTGAATGAGGTGAAGTCACCTTAGCCTGACCCGCATCGCACTGCGCCGCATGGAGCTGGAGTCTTTGCATCTGACACTAGACTCCATGCCCTAGAAGAGCAAAAATGTTCACACCTTAATGGTCGTTCATTTCAAGACTCTATCCCCCAAGCCTGAACACACTTAACAGGATGGACGATCTACCTCAGGGATTGGACGACCGCATCAGCGATCTCCTCAATCACAGTAATCTGAAAACATTGACAGTCTTGCGCAGAAACTAACACACTGCTGAGCGCGCTGCAGGGGTGTACAATCGCTTCACGCTCTATTGGTTCGACGAATCAAGACAACGATTTCATGATCTGCATGAGAAACATTCACGTCGACTCATTCTTTTACGCCATCTTGACGACCACACCGCGCTGTCAGGTCTGCGTCTCAGGAAAATAGAGAAAAGGAAGAAGAACGACGTAGTATGCTCCATGCGAAGTTACGGAAGACGGTGAGGAGTGGCATCGTTACGATGTCTACATGGACATGGCCATTTGACCAACAATCAGCGGCCTGGGCATCGTTCCGAGTCGCGGCGTTCGAAGAAACACTTACGCCATTCCTTGCTGCCTTCGCTAAAGCAGCGGCCCAAATGGCGAAGGTGGAGGAAGGGAGGTTGTGGGCACGCTTGGAATGGAATGTCGATGAGATCGAGCCCCTGGTGGATTTTGATCAGTATGTGGCAGAAGATCCTATCGAGCCTCTAGCATGAGATGTTGCGTATGTTGCACCGGGTATGAAAGCATTGACACACAGCCCGGTGTGGAGGTCTCCACGTTACGGCAGATGTGGGGAAAGACGGCGAAGTGGCGACCTGGCCGCGAGTTGCATGGTGTTTTCAAACGATCGGAGAACATGACGTGTTAGAATTGATAAACAGAGCAGTGGGGTGATAATGAGTATGGGAATGGCCTCGTGGCTCGCAGAGTTTTCGAGCGCCGAACGATTGTGGTATGGCTCGAGTCGTTGCCTATCCTTGTCGCGACATCAATTGATGTACGGCGACGTCGAGAATGGCACCGTGTACGAAGTTCTACCAAAAACAGGCCTATCCGTCCTATATACATAGTATGTTCCAACAATCCTTAACTCCTTCAATGTCCGAAATTCTCTAGTGAGCTTCGCCCGCACCGGAAATACCCGGTATGTCCGCTGCGCCTTCAATTGATCGTACTGAGTCCCAGCATTCAACCACTATCCTTGTGCTCACTAATTCCCTCGCGGAACGTCCCGTAAGCACAAGAAGCCAAGCCAGGACTCCGGGGAAGGTCCCGGACATACAATAATTCTTCAATCCGGAGACACCTCTAGCGGGGCAGCTGTAAAACATGATGTAGTGAACATCCCCGGTAGAATTGATTCGGCTATAAAAGCCCATGAACGCAACCATGTCGTCACCTCATTAAGTTTCAGCACCTCTACCTCCAATACTCCTCCAATACTCCTCCAATACTCCTCCAATACTCCTCCAATACTCCTCCAATACTCCTCCAATACTCCTCCAATACTCCTCCAATACTCCTCCAATACTCCTCCAATACTCCTCCAATACTCCTCCAATACTCCTCCAATACTCCCTTTCCACTACACGCCATGTCTCTCAAAACAGCTCCCCTAGGCAAAAATGGTCCTCAAGTAAATCGCCTTGGCTTCGGCCTTATGGGTCTCTCCGTCTTTTACGGCAAGCCCAAGCCCGACTCCGAACGTCTCGCCCTTCTCGACGCCGCGTATGAGATGGGGGAACGTTTCTGGGACACGGCTGACATGTACGGTGACAACGAAGATCTTCTAGGCAAATGGTTCAAAGCCAACCCCAAGAAGCGCGAGCACATCTTCCTCGCTACAAAGTTCGCCAATCGGAAAATGGACGATGGATCTTTCAAGATTGATTCAACACCGGAATACGCCAAACAAGCTTGCTACAAGAGTCTGGAGAGACTGGGCCTGCCAAACGTGGATTTGTACTACGTGCACCGTCTGGATAGAGTGACGCCTATTGAGAAGACGGTCCGAGCGATGGTGGAATTAAAGAACGAGGGTAAGTTCAAGCATTTAGGGATTAGCGAGTGCAGCGCCGAATCTCTCCGCCGCGCGCACGCCGTGCATCCTATTACGGCCGTGCAAGTCGAATATCACCCGTTCGCATTGGACATAGAATCGGAGCAGATCGACCTGTTGCGCACTGCGCGCGAGCTTGGCGTTGCCATTGTTGCCTACTCACCACTGAGCCGTGGAATGTTCACAGGGGCTTATAAGTCTCCTGATGACTTCGAAGAGGGCGACTTCCGTAAGAAGGCACCGCGCTTCTCGAAGGAGAACTTCCCGAAAAACTTGAAGCTTGTTGACCAATTTGCTGAGCTCGCGAATAAGAAGGGTGTTGCGACAGGGCAATTGGTGCTCGCTTGGGAACTCGCGCAGGGTGAAGATGTCTTTCCTATCCCAGGCACTCAGAGGTTAGAGAGGCTTAAGGAGAATGTGGATGCGTTGAAAGTGACTTTAAGCAAAGAGGAAGAGCAGGAGCTGCGGAAGGTCATGAACGCTGCGGATGTTGCGGGTAACAGGTACATGGACTCTTACATGTCACTCACCTATGCAGACACCCCGCCACTGTAGAATATTCTTGGGAAGGTCTGGTGGTAGTAAATGTTGATAAGGCGAAGTCTCGACCAAGTGCAAGAGTGGCCCGCTTTTCGACTAGCTGTTGCTACTGTGGTGCCATGTTCGCAGGTGAAAGACTGATGGAGATGTTCGACGGAGGCAAAGGAAACCAAAACCGACATTCGTGGTTGGTCCTGTTCAAGTGATCCGTTATATTAGTGTCCCACATCACATTTTGCCATCACATTTTGCCAAAACGTATTTTGCACTTTCGAAGTTGTTCATTGAAACCCCACCACCTTAACATATCTCATGACGCCGTCATATATTCTCCCAGGTGATATGCCAGTATAACAGACAGCCGATGCTTGTCTGCCCCAAGGTTGGGAATATGCGTGATAACATCCGCTGACCCGTTTTGAAAACCCCGACGAAGGCAAATGGCGAAGGAAACGTGAAGAGAAGGCGCTTAGTCGAAGAGACCGAAACCCATATCCTCGTCGGACTCCTCCTTCTCTGTGATTTGTTAGCGTCCGCGCATTGCTCCTATAGTGTTGTGACGTACCCTCCTCCTTCTCGGCAGCCTTCTCCTCGGCTGGTGCGTCACCGCCGGCAGCGGCGGCAGCACCACCGGCAGCGGGAGCAGCACCGCCGCCTGAGCCGACGTTCAGGAGCAGGTCCTTGACGTCCTTGCCCTCGAGAGCCTGTACCATATCAGAACCATCTATCTTGCGATTTTACGATTGTGCGCACCTTGGCGAACAGCGATGTCCAGATGGGCTCGACATCTTCGATCTTGGCGGCCTTGATGAGAGACTGGAGCTTGTCGGCCTGCGCATATTAGCATCTGCAATCCCGCTGCGATTGCGCGGCAGCCCGTACAGTGATGTCGACACCGTCATCCGCGAGGATGAGGGCGGCGTAGGAAGAGGCGAGCTCGGCGTTAGACATTGCGACTGTGGTCGGTTTTTGTCGAGAGTGGTGATGCCGGAACGAGGTGTGTGAGTGGTGTTCGACGAGGTGTTTTTGTGTGGTGTAGACGTTTGTGGAGGTCTGCTTAAGCGAGAGCCAATCGGCGAAACCAAAGCGACTCCGCCGAACATCTTGGCTTTACAGCGACCGAGGCCGTGTTATAGATCTGCATCCTTTGAATATCCCGAAAGATGTCATCCCGATACCGCGGTTCGCCCAGCGCTTTGCAAGTATACCTAATGAGCTGTAGCGAATACGCACTTCCGGAGTCCAAGTACCTTTAGTCCTCGAGGTGTTGGAATTAGCCCACGCAAAGAATCCGCGCCCTGGAAAGTACATAAGGGACCGTTATTGCGTCCTCTAGCTAATGTGCATCAGTGGCAGCAATTACGGGCAGGAGTTGAAATTACAATTCTAACCCAGAAAAGGTAGATGTGATGCCTATGCGCCTAAAGGGTGCGATGCCCAGGAGCTATGCTCGGATGTGGTGCCCAGAACCTCGTATCAGCATAAAGAAACCTGTCCGATTCTTTGTTTTTGCGATATCAGGAAGCCGGACAGCGGAATGCTTTGAATTTCTCGTAACCCGCTTTCTATCGTTGGCTGTGATCAAGTGGAACCTTGGAAATGGTGTGTTTTCGTGACTACGAGCTATTCCGGGTCCGCGCGGAAGCAGGCGCCGAGACGCCGACGGGGCGACGTCACTTCCCCTCATGCAACTTTCCCAAACGGTCCACTGTGACACCTGACCGCTGCTACATCTTTTGTTTAATTCCAGTCTACAACACTTCTGCAGATCCACCCCACACAAAACCTGCAGCCAGCATGACGGACTCACCTGCGCCGCGCATTCCGTTGGACCCGAAAGAACAGCCCATCCTAGACAAGTTGCTCGCCGTGCGGACAAACCTGGAATTGTTGAAACAGGACCGCTCAACCTATGTAAAGAGCCAGGATGTCATCGGCCTCTACGACCAAGTCATCGAGCAGGTAGAAATTTTGAATCAGATCCGAACAACGAAGCGGCTCGAGCAGAACAGAGGTTGGTCATAAGATTAAGATTCTGTTGAGAGGCAATATGCTTACGAACCCGACTTCCCATAGTCGACACCGTCCTCGACGACTGCTTCCAACTCGTTTCGCTGGCCTATATGACGATAGGGAAGAATCATGAAGCTCCCGCAGTGTATGTACTTCCGAACGGTCACTCTAGACCCTCCTTGTGGTCACGTGCTCATGAATGAATAGGTATTCAGTCATCTCAACAGTCAAAGTAAGCTACGCGCGTATATCTTGGACATTTCACCCCACCTCAAACCTTTTGTTGCTTTATCATAATTCAGAAGCGACTTTTGTAACTTCCTCTCTGTCCGATGGGTCTGCGTTGTCTTGGGATGTCGATCACTCCAACCTGATGCTGCATGACACCTAGGCGGTTCTGCTAACGGTCTACAGCGTTTACTGGACCACCTTGAGGAAGCCCACTTCTACTCCGCAAAAGATCTTGGAGCTATCGGTCAGATGCTGCAGAATGCGCGGCGCTACATGGACCGGGGCAAGGACACATATACTCCTTCGCTGTTGACATTGCTCGAGGCACGAATCCAAGTCTGCGAAGAAACGATAGCTAGGCTGGAACTGGCGCATTCCCACCTTACGCCAGACTTGAGCCCGAAGTATGAGAAGCTTGTTTCCATTCTCAGGTCATTGTGTGCATGTAATACTAGATCAAAGTTTCCCGAATCCGAGGTCGACGAATTCTTAGTACAACTCAAAGAACTTCAGACAGAGCTTCGACCATATGGAATTCACGCCTTCTCTGAGGAACGCGAAACGAAGGAGGAGAAGCTTACGGAAATGATCGAAAAGCTCACCTTCACCCAAGAACACCCAGAACCTGCTCCAGCAGCAAAGGATCTCATCGAAACACTTCTGCGACGGAACTTTTTATGGACCAATCTAATGAAAGAGAGGAAAGGCCGAATCGCACCAGCCTTCCAGGAGATATACGACAAGCTTTTGGGCATCCGTAACAAGTTGGAGAAACTCTCTCTAACTCAGGCGTGGTCCCTCCGTGAGACGGATCTATGGAATTTCCAACGGCAGCTGGACAGAATTGATGAGGCACGAATCGATGGCAACTTCATCGACGCGCTCGGCCGTCCATCGGAGCTGTACGAACAAAGGACCTTACTCTATCTATTGCGCAAGAGCTATGCCATGATCTTTCAGTTGATCGCCTCCTCAGAGCCCGTTTCGGAAGCGCTTTTGCCCATCTACAACCAACTCACAACGCTCCGGAAGTGTCTTTTGGAGGTGAAGAAACTCGGAGGTGTCTCTTCCCCACGGGAGCTGTATCCTTATAGCATGAAGGTCGGACGCTGGATTCACATAGTGAGCTCTGCTAACGTCAGACAGTTAAACTCCATCGATAACATGCGCGTGGACGGGAAATTCGTGGTTGGTGATGACATTCCAGACGGACAAGGAAGCGTAACGCAGCTCCTTGAAGAATGCTTTGAACTAGCGTACGAGCTCCGCAACGATGCAGAGGACAGCAGCTCGGCTGGAGAACAGACCCCAGCGAGTGAAAGTGGTCCCGAAGGTGTGACTGCGGCATGATCGCCAGACTTTACAGGCGCACAACGCTATGCTTGATCCTGAAGCGATGAGGCTTCTCTTCGTCCATTCGCCAGGACGCTTTTGCACTTTGAGGTACCTTTGGATGATGTTTGTTGATCTTCGCGTCGGACCGTCCCTACCATTATTACATTCTTACGATGTGAATGCAACCTGGGCGAAAGGCTAGAATGTTTCACGTTGCATCCTTTCTTGGGTTTTTCGCTGGGTGGCTGTTTGTTGGTGGACCGGTTTCATTATACTGTTTGTATCCATAGCTGATATGTCGTCTAGTCTAGCTGTATTTGATTAAGCTGTTCTATCTCGTTTTCAGGCCGAGGTGGAGGTGGAGCGTCTGCATCTTTGAAAGTCAGATGGTCGCCATACGATATGCCTTTTTGTATACGTCAGTAACCCGAGTCTTGAACCTGAGGCTTTTGATCGGTCTCACAAAGCTCTTCACCAGCTGGTATGTCCCGTAATGCGCGATACGTGATGATCTGGCGCAAGAGATCGCGTTCCCAAACTACATTCTGCTCTTGGGAGGAGTGGTTAAACATGGAGCCGAGGCCAAATATTATTGCCTGGGTTTTCTGCTTCTTGCCCTCCCTATGTCCTAGGGGCCAGTTGCTTGGAAAGCGGTCAACGACTGCGTTCGTTCCCACCGGGATGTACCTACTAGGTGTAATGATATACAGATGTATGCTCTATATGCTTCACATTTTCTTCTATCCCAAGTAGCAAGACTGGACATGTATCTATCACAGTTTTGGCGGGTATGTTCTTAGTTGCAAATACACCTCTCCCTGTAAGCTTGTCAACCCTCGTTTCGGAGGCATGCGGTATTCAAGTCACCTGGGCAGACCTTTGGGAGTGTCTGTTACTATTTCGAGATTTGGACAGCGTTGAAGCGGGATGCGCGCAGAGCCCATCTTGCAATGGGGCATGACTGACAACAAGGAAATGAAAGCAATTGACGATTAGATTAGGGTTTATGTGAAGGATTGTTTTCGGAAGAAAAGAGCTAATTTTCAACTATAGCGCGGATGCATGGCTTAGTGCCGGGGATCGCAGGCGAACCAAGGATCCACAGCACCTCAACTGCAGGCAGGGATCTGAGAGCTTACGATGACCTCACAGCTCCTCGACGTCGCGACACAACATCATACATAATCTTTAGAGTTACAGAGCATATTCCACGATCGCCATGCGCTGTGTTTAGTGCAGCTGTATCCTCTAGTACGCGATGGCTCACCAACACCACGCCTCCACCACCGATGCGCTCAAGACTCCGCACTCGGTGAGCTTGAAAGTCCTACGGTAATTCTACTACCTGTGTTCTGCGCTGCATGTCTCTACTGATATACACAAGCCTCTCCCGCCCTTCTCTTACAACACAATACCCGCTGCCCGCCTCGGAGGCATTGGGCATTGCACCCACAGCATCGCTGGCGTACCCCTCCTCGCGCACCGACGCCAAATTCATCCTCTCGCCCGTCCTTAATCTCCCTGAAGCCTTCGGCAGCGCCTATGTCGGCGAAACATTCTCCTGTACACTATGCGCGAACAACGAGATCGAGGCAGGGAACACAAGTAAAGCGGTTAGTGGGGTGCGAATACAAGCAGACATGCAAACACCCTCTGTGCCTAAGGGCACTTCACTCGAACTCTTCGGCCATGATAGAAACGAAGATTCCCTGACCAAGAGCAACGAGGAAGACATCGGCCCAGGCTCAAGTCTGCAGAAGATATTACGCTTCGAATTGAAGGAGGAGGGCAACCACGTCCTCGCCGTGACGGTCACATATACGGAGACTGCGCTCGCAGGCGAGGGCAGACCGACCGGCGGCAAAGTCCGCACATTCCGCAAGCTATACCAATTCGTCGCGCAGCAGCTCCTCTCTGTGCGGACGAAGGCGGGAGAACTCGCGCCCGGGCGGCACCTCCTCGAAGCACAACTGGAGAATATGGGGGAGGGTGCGGTGAGTCTGGAAGATGTCAGCGTGAATCCGAATGAGATATACAAGGCCACGAGCTTGAATTGGGATCTCGATTTGAAGGAGGGGAAAGAGGATGTGATGAAGCCGGTGCTGATGGCGAGAGAGGTCATTCAGGTTGCGTTTTTGCTTGAGGAGAAGGCCAGAGAGAAAGTATTGGAGGATGGAACGAAGGCTCAGTTGGTAGATAACAAGAAGGTTCTGGGGCAGTTGGCGATACAATGGCGGACGGGGTTGGGGGATCGGGAACGTTGAGTACGGGGTGGTTGACTGCTAGGCGTTGATGAGCATGCGCGCATAATCATCCGGAAAACGAGATTTCCGATAGGCAGTGAGCGCAGGCGCCAAGTAAGAGATCGTGCCGAAGAGAGCACTAGAGAATTGGGCTGGTTCTGGAACTGAACGATCCTGATCCGTACTCGCCAATGCAGGTCAGGTAATGAGCTCAGCAAAACGAATCCCATGGTAAATTGCACGAGTTTAACGAAGCTATCCATGGCATTCTTCAAGATGGGGGCCGCCTACGTAGCCTGCGGTGGCTTGCAAACTATGCCGTGGCACCAAAAGCAAGCACGCACGCTGCAAGTCGGAGAAAAAATATCTAGGCGATCACAACCTCGGGCGCTGGGAAATTCAGACTCTTCTAGTGGGATCGATTGAAAAGCAGTGTGAGCTTTCATTGCCCCCCTGCGGAATACTCATTTACGCTTTCTGCGCATCAGTCACATCTTCCACTTCACTTCCCTCCCTTCTTATCCCTTATCCACAAAAATCCCATGCCTAACGTCAGCCTCCGCCTGGTACACCGTAACCTCATTTTCGAAACCAACACTAGGCGCAATGTCCTCCAGTGTTCGGTCAGTGGAACTCTGCGCTTGGATCAGAGGGGAACTCTGCACTAATGAATTCGGTTTTCGGATCGCTAGGGTCGGCGTGTAGACGGTCGAGGATGATGCGCGCTTCATCGATGCGGTCTTTCTTTATGAGCCAACGGGCTGTTTCGTGAAACCAACAGAGGCCTGCGAGGAGCAGAAGAGCCATACGAATTGGACAGCGATAGGTGATCGCCATGTGCTCTAGCCGCCTGTGTACACTCGATCATATTTCTATTGTTAACCTTCAACTAGGACTGACAGCCCTTCCAGGAGTAGCCTTGGAGTATCATAAGCCACGTGAGCCAATTCAGCCTTCAGCCGTGTATCCGAAAACAAGACCAACAGCGTGCATGTCGACCAGGCCTGCACGCACCTTTACAGGACCAACTTCGTTTATCCATATCTAGACAATCACTTGATAGATGCTACAAGGAAAGATCGTCGCTAACTGGAACAGCAGCCAGCACCGTAAATGCCGAGGCACCAGCGCAAAGTTGAAAGGCGATAAGAACACCTATATGCGTACTCCCAACCAGCAAGGCGCCAAGAACAATCGCTAGGACTGTGCTCTATCAACAAGTATCAGCAGTATCAGCATAAGTGCGCGCAAAGTCTATGTACAGTGTGGACTGCTCACAATAGCAATGCCCCAATTTTGTCCATATCTGTCGGAGATGTTTGGCAGGAGCAGAGCACCAATGACATCTGCTTGGAAACAGTTCATTGGTAACTGCTGTCGTTTCCGTAGCATTTCTTCGCTGCCTTGAGTCGAGTTCAAGGTGGTCGATGAAAAAAAGTTGACCTAAGCATTATTGAGAGCTGGAGTGAAGTATAGATTATCGGGGCAGAATGGAGAACACTAATATTAAACGATAACGGAAGTAGTGTAGCCATATGACATGGGCCTAAACTCGACGAGAAGAGATAGGAAGATGTTGTACGCATTGATGTGTTGTGTATGATGTCAAAATACCGTGGTTCGACAAGTTTCAAGCCGGACTAGAGCTATAAAACGAGATCGACCTTTCACTGGATTGTGCATTGCTTCTTGGAAGCTGTAGCTGCTTGCCGTGTACTCGCATCAGCTTGCATGACCCATTCTGCGCTTCGTTGTAGCAGTCGCCACGCGCTTACAGCTGTAGACCTGGTAATGCCTTGTTAATAAACACGTTGTTATGGTATTGTTTGATCAAGACTTCTTCGGTTTTTTCTTTCGCTGTTCATGAGATGGAAGAATTTCCGAGTTCAAATAGAATGCAGGGTAAAACTCTCCGAGCAGATAAAGTTGGCTTTGAGATGGCAATAACGTCCCGCCTTAGGCCAGATCTTAAAATTTATCTGAGCGCATAATGTCCTATTCTTGGGGTTCGACATTTTGATCTGGTTTTATTAGCCACGCTGATTGACCTTCTACACAAGGATATGGTCCAACTGCGCACTATCATGACCTGTTTACCCTAGGACCACATCAGGATTAGCACTATCCCGCATGTTGTACTGTATGTACCACTACGGTATGGTAGGTGAAAAGTGCATAAAGCACATTGAGAGGCCTACACTGGGTGATTACAGAGCTTACCACGATTTTGCACCCCCCAGCAGGGCAATTGGGTCATCTCCTGCGAACAACTGGACCGTAGGGTAAGTTTATGGAGGCTCATGTAAAACATCGATACATCGGTCGGTGTTGCGTCTGACAACGTTGGATAAATCTTACGACTGTACGCGCGTCTTAGATAGAACAGTGATACCATGTTGGTGATAACGAGATAAATTTTGGTTCAAGTCTATACATAGACAGCTCTCATGCAATCACCGTTCCTCTTCGAATCCGAGTCAGTGTCGTCCCGACGATTTGTCACACGGGAGGATCATACGTAGAACAGGTCGTCGGCGCTGGAACTGACTCTGGGTTTTAGTTTTGTTGCTGGTATCAAGGGTGACCCTTTCCTGGAAAAATTTTGACATATGTAGGCCCGACTATACCTTGTTAATATGAACATGGTGGAAGGTGGTCTAAGCGTTCTATGTGTACTCTGCGTGTTTCTTTCATGTATGCTTTCCCATTTGTTGTAAGATTAATGTACCAGCAAGTAGACGTCTTCCGATGCGTAGACACAACGACAGAGTACAGTTCAGTGATATACGAAGTAGTGTTGAGAGCCGTCATAACAAATCTGTCCGCGAATCAATGCAGAATTCGAGCTTTATCTTCATGTTTCAGATGAATATTGGATCTGACATCCGGGCACGTCCAGTGCGACACTTGCCTTTCGATACAGCAATACTGTCCTGCATGCAAGCGACACGGTAAACGGAGTCACCCTCGGCTGGGCAGATCGAGACCAACGCCTGTACGCGTATGGCATCCCGCAGGGCCTTAGTATACACCCGTCACGATAAGAGTTGTTTGTGAGCCGATGCATGATGGCTGCAGAACCTACGCCTCCAATACATGCAATTTGTACCTGCATACAAGGCAGCGGTTCCTGGACCGCATACCCGGGCCGTAACGAACGTTTCACCCGATATCGCGGAAGAAGCTTCGATGGTCGCCATGAGAGAATGCAATGCTCGTCGGAATTTGCTGGATTCATTCCAGCGCGATAGTTGACAACAAGAACGACGTGTCGTTCTGATGACCAGGGATACGGCTGGATGGTTCGGGCCGCGGCTAGCATGCTGTGTATGTACGAGGACGCAGACGCACACGGAAGATTAATTGCGTAATCAGCGAGTAGATTAACGCTGCTGCTGCTGCAGTCAGCCGGAAGCGCAGTGCAAACGTGGAGACGGACATGGCATCGGCCTTTTCTGACCGGGCGGACTCGTCTCGACGGCATTCCAACGTGGCAGAGCATCAGGCGAGCTTGTTTGGCAGCAAAGCAGAGGGTTGAAACACAGGCAACGGGGAGGAGCCCGGTGGGGCAAATTGGACGATGGCTCGAGGGATTGGAGGAGGAGGCGAGACTAGAGCAAATCGCGAGGACCAGGATGTCCCCAGACGGAGCGCGGTGCAGGCGGACCGTGCTCTTGCGGGACCGTCTTGGCCAGCCCGCCCTCGATGCCGAGATGCGAGAGACGAACGGGTTGAGGGTCTCTGTAGGTGGATGAAATGAGGTGGGCGATCAGCGCGGAAGTTGGTTGTTCCAGAGGGCGCGCTCGGCGAGGTGGAGGCGGGATGGATTGCGATGGTCAGGATCGTCGGTGGTGAGGCGTGACAGTCGTCGTGGACACACACGTCTCAAGCCTGGAGCAGCATGGCGGATGGAATCGATATCCAGCCAGCCCACAATTGCACGCAGGGCCCCTCATCTACCCCTGCGCCCAAGACGTCCTATCGTGCGGTGTCATTGTCGTGTGCGACGAGTGACAGTTGACAGGCTGCTGCTCGGGTCGCACCCCCTATCCGTGCCCTGGCAGAAGTGCCTCTCGGTGCCGGACCTCGTCTGATGCACACTGCATGCTACATAGCATAGTATGCTACTATATATTGGCATAGCGGCGGGCGCGAGGGGGTTCGGCGGCCCCTGTCGCGCTTGCCCAGGGGAGCGTCCTGTTTCGGCAGGCAGTAGGGAGCACCCGTCTCGATCGGGGGCAGTTGCGGACTCAGGGCTCAGGGTCGCGCCTGCCGCTGCCGTCCACGCCGCTGGGTGAATGCCATCTTCACGCGTCGGCGCGGCGGGCACACGGGGCCTTGCTGGACGACGACAGCAGAGCGGCGCGTGGCCGTCGTCCAAGGGCTCGTCCAAAGGCTCGTCCTGCGTGTCCGGGCAGCAGCCAACGACGCGCCATCCCGCCGCGTCGTGCCTTTTCCAAATGCTGGCTGCCCGCTTGCAGACGACCCGCCCTGTGCTTTGGCGGCGATAAGCAGCTAATCAGTAGAGGAGTCGTGCCCTAACCGCGGGCTTGGGCCAGCACCGTCCTCGCTGGTCCAAAATCTCGCCGCCAACCCCAACGCTCTCCTGCACCGAACTCCTCCGCATCCAATCCTCCTCCGTTCCTGCACAAGCCGCCTGAATCTGCGCCCGCCTCGCAACCCGCACGCCCATCTGTATTCCCAACAACCTTCGCCGGCGCCCGTGTTACGCGATAACGGCTGCGACCAAGCCTGTCACCGTCGTACAGTCTCAAGCTTTCCCCGTGCATAACCTGCACGCCGCACGCACAAACCGTGCGAACGAGCGTCCAATTCCAGATGCCTTGATCGCCTGGCCGCAACCTCGACCTCGACCTCGACCTCACCACGACCTTCTTGCTGCCTTGTCCTTCGCCCTCGTCTTGGATATCACATGTCCCAACATCTACAATGGCTCCCGCTCCCGCTCCCGCTGCAGATGTCACACCGCCGCTCGCCGACTATTTCTTCATATCTGGAATTGAGTCCTCGCAAGTCTACGACGAACGCACACAGCCCAAGCCAAACAGCCTCAGCACCATTCCCTCGCCGCTGTCGTCGCCCCCACCGCTAGACGTAGACGAGACCATTGAAGAAGACCGCGCTCTGGAGACCGATTCGATCCGCCCAAAGTCACAGGAGGGTTTGTCTCTGTCCAATGGCGACACCAGCAGACGCGCATCTGCCCGTCTGAGTTTTGAGAATCGCAAGTCTACTGGCACCATTGTTGGGCCGGATTCCAAGCAGACCGCCAGCAATCGAAGTAGCGCGACAATCAAGGGCGTGCAGCTGGGAGGGTCAGGGCTTAGCGATCAGGACTTTGAGAATGCGTTGAGGAAATTCGCCTCGGAACGCGACACGTTTCTCGAAGAGATACAATTTACAGCAGGTGTTGCACAGCAGAACAGGGCGACTCCCACCAAACCGCCGCGACCGCGGCCGCAGCGGATCCAGCAACAGCAGGAAGATGGTGTTGGAAATCTTAGATCTGGCGTGGGCAGCATTCGGCGGCGCCTTTCGACTATGCAGAGCAGCCTCAAGAGAACATCCTCCGTGGCACGCCAGGGTAAGTCCAAGCGTAGGGCGCGATGCGCCGATCCCGGGCGATTGAAATCGGGCGTTTTGTTTGCTTGTGAGATCGGAAACATTACTGACATGGGTCCAGCATCGGTCCGCACGTCAAAACGAATGTCTGGTTACAATTCAGTCATCCCAGCCCCACAACCCTTCAACCCGGAGCCGAACATGCATCCCCTGCTACGTCGTTATGAGCCCGTACTACTGGATCGCTACCCGCCCAAGAACATGGTCGAGGAACTGAAGCGCAGGAATCCCTTCCCGGATTACGTTCCAATGTTTGCTTTTCCCAACGATGTCACGGTGGTTTCAGCAGATGAACGACCGAAGACTGGGTGGCATGGATTTGCTATGACGAATTCAGACGGTTCCAAATTATATGGTATCTGCATGATCGTCTGGCAGCCGCTGAATGCTGAGGCGGCTGAAGGGCTGGAACGACAGTGCGAAGAATGGCGGCGATTGCACATGAACCAAGAAGAGCGCGAACTAGCCGCCAGTCTGGGAGAGCGATTAGCACTGGAGAGAGCAAAGCTATCAAGACTCTTAGCAAAGCTGCCTACTGTAGCATCCGAATCTGAGGACCGCGAAGCTCTCGAGGATGAGATCAGTTCGGTAGAAGAGAAGATTGGCCTGATGACAGATCTCCTGCGGCCAGTGAGGCATGGTGCAGCTTCCAAGATTGAAGGCCTCACAGACGGTGAAACTGGACTCTGGATCCCGCGCGCGTACGGAGTTATGGGCCGAGATGCCAGTCTGACACCCTTCTGGAAAGAATGGCTCAAGGCCGTTGTTGTACCCATGACGAATGGCGTCGTACAGCGAGTGCCGCCTAGCTCTCCACGAATTGGCATGTGGCAGCCCCTCGAGCGTTATGTTGTCAACTTGTGCGCAGAGGCTCTTAGTCCGATCAACTCTATCACACAAGTCGAGATTGCGATCCGCGAGCTTCGTCTATACGCCAGGAAAGAGGCCGTCAACGAGATTCCCGGGTCTCGGAACATCGACATCTACGCTCTTTTCAGATGCTTGTCCATTCCAAACATCGTCTCTTTGTTCGAGTATGTTTTGGCCGAATCAAAGATCATCCTTCTCTCCTCGCATACTGCCATGCTTCACCTTGCAAGCATGGCAATAGCCAATCTGATATACCCTTTTAAATGGGCTGGTGTATTCATCCCGGTCCTACCTGCACGTCTAGTCCAGACCATCGAAGCACCTTGTCCGTACATTGTTGGAATCGAACGAAGATATGAACCCGCGGACTACCCTGAAGATGACTATGTTCTGGTCGATTTGGACAACGACATGATTGGTACAAACGGTGGACAAGCTCCGCCGCTTCCGCGACAACAGCGGCGTAAACTTACATCTCTACTGCAACACTCTGCGCCACATCACACAAGATATGGTGTACCAACAGGACCTCCCGCCTACGCTGTTGAATCATTTCCGTACGATACCTTTTGCTCCGAAAACCCAGGTATCTTCTCGCATCGGGCTTATACGCTGTCCGTACAGCAATATATTGGAATGAACTCAACTTCATTTGGTTCAGGTCCTCTGCCATCTAACCCCCGGCCCTTGATATACAACGCTTTCTTGCAATCAAGTGTTTCGAGTCGAGGAAATGACAGACCATCTACAGCAAGTACAGTCAAGACTAGCCAACATTCTCCCCCTTCACCTAAAATATCCCCGGTATCGACAACCTTCCCTCCTCTACCTAGTACGCCTATCTCACGCAGTGACTCTGGCTATGCTCTTCAAGCCAACTTGCGAGATCTACGCGAAAAGCGGTCCGGACATTTCGATACGGCCTCTCGTAGGAGCTCATCATTCGGCTTCGAGCGGGTACCTCCAAATCTGAGGAGACCCAGTCAGACCTTTCTTGGGCATGCTCCCAGTGCATCAACTTCGTCCTTGAGCCATGAGCTCCGTGCGCCATCTTCGTACGCCCCATCTGTATATGCACAATCAACCCTAGCAGCATCTACCATAATGCCTGGCTTGGCGATGCAACCGGTTCGGAATACGGATACAACACGATGGCAAGAAGGACACTGTATGCAGTGGAGACCAATGGAGCAGAAAGCAACATGCTCCATCTGCGATGAAAAGTCTGATGAAGGTTTATACCGTTGCTCTGGCTGCAGCACTTACGCACACGGGAGATGTGTAGACACAATCTGCATGGTATGCCCCTCCGCTTTCCGCCCCGATCAGGTTCGAGCCTCGTTCGTAAGATGTTTTGCGAGCCTTTTGTATACATACCGGAGGTACATGACTCCAGCAACCGGTGACCAGAAAAGGTCCGGTTTGATCTATCACTTCAAGATGGATGAGTTTGTTAAGAGTCTACCACACGAGAACGTGCAGTACGTCCAGATGCTCCAACAAACGCAAGGTACGTTAGGTGCTTCATAAATACGAGTCGAACACTAATCGAACCCAGGCTTCAACGAGTTCATTCATGAACGCGAGAGTACGCGTTCTGATGATCCTTCGGTCAAACTGTTCGATGAAGTCATCCTTTCCAAACGAAACCGCGGAAAGGCATCATTCTTCCACAAATCGAAGATAGATTTCCTCTCCGACAACAGCGATCACCTCTGGCGCACAGCTGCGGCAACTCCGCCGAACTCACGATTTCCGGGAGACTACCGCGAAATCATCACGCGCAGTAAGCCACTTCTCCATGCAGTCGGCCCTCAAATACTAACGGCCATACAGTTCCCGCCAAACTAGATCCTACCCTTATGAAAGAACCGCGCGTCATACAGGGTATCCCGCGCATACCCATGGCGAAAGCACGACGAAAACCCATACCCTCGATGCTCGGTCCTAACGGCGTCAAACACCCCATAACCCCACCATCATGATTCTTATTTATGCTACGACCGCACGAAAGTATCTAATACCCACTCACTACGCCTCTCATCTTTCGTTCCCAGATCTTGTACACTATTCTCAGCGACGGTGCCCCAGGAGTCCGCTTGGTCGATAACCTAGGCGATTGGTTTCTGGTTCAAATCAATCGTTGCGTCGGAGGTTACTAGCGGTGTTTTTTGTGTAATTCTGATTGCCTGCATTCGCTTTTGGTGTCGGCTTTTGGCCAATTATGTTGTGTTCTGTTGTGCTTTGGATACCCCATCACGTTGCTCAGGGGCAGTGCTGGCAGCTCATTCTGATGCGCACGAGAACTTTGTCTTGGCTCGCTTGTTTGGTCTTCTACACTGCTCGCTTTTGAGTACCTTCTGCGCTTGGTCGTGGTGAGAGAGACTACGATGGTTGTCTGTATATCTTATAATAAGTGCAGTCTGCTTTATGGAGGGAGCCTAAGGCTAGGATGAGAGCCTGGCAGAATCAACGAATGCGCTCTCAGTATTCGTGTCTAAAGATCCTGTGACTCCAACGTCTCGGTAATATCCTCGCCCACAACACGCGCAGCCTTCGCATGTAGTAAATCTAGCGGACGCAGTACTACTTTCGAAGTCCACAGAAAGTATGTCAGAGGTATCGGATCGGAGTCGTTTCACGGACTTTGCGCGCACCTCGTAGAACCCTGGTCAACCGGGTTGAACTCAGCTCTCAACACATCGTGCAACTTCTCTCAACCATGCCTAGTCTCCATCCAATGTATCTGTATCTTAGTTTTGCGCCGATGATTTCAATCACGAGATCGTGGTTTCCCAATATCTCTCGAAGACACGGGAAAAACGCGGTTCCTGGCACCCTGGCTAGCCGCTAGCGCGTTTTACCCCGAGAATAGCACCCATGCCCAGTCCGCCGGCCCGTGCTTTCCCCTGATGCTGGCCGCCTCGCCGCGCCGCACTCAACGTCTTCTCACCAACAAACGCCGTCACAGTCACTCACTCAATTCTTGCACATTCTTTTCTTGAGGCCGTCACTCATTACGCGGTTTGCTAATACCCTACCTACTACGACCTTTGCACGCTCTCTGCGCCACACTTTCGATACCCGATCGACCATTTGATAATCCAACATGTTCACCAAGACCCTCTTCGCCGTCGCTTTTGCCGCCGTCGCTTCCGTCGCCAGCGCTGCCTCCCCCCCAGGCTGCCTCCTCGGCGCCGTAAACACTTACGACACGCCTTCTGACATCAAGGCCGTGTGCTCCGCCAAGGACATCACCACGCAGATCAGCAAGAAGTGCGGCGACAAGGCCGAGGACGCGCTCTCTGCGCTTGCGGACATCTGCAATGATGCTGGTGTGAAAGTTTGTAAGTTTCGCTTTCGCCAGAGAGGGAGAGTAGCAGGATGTGAGGGTGGAAAGCTAATTAAATAAACAGCGACCAAGCTCCCGACCAGCGCGTCCGGGACCGCAACCCCCACCGGTACAGGTGCCAGCAGCAAGAGCAGCGGTAGCGCGGATAGCACCGTCTCTGCGTCTCCTTCGTCTTCGTCTTCCTCTGGCTCGACCGAGAACGCCGCCGCTTCGGGCACGACGTCCGGTAGCCCGGCCGAGAGTACTGGATCCGCAGGTACATTGGAGATCAGTGCCGCGGCGCTGTTGGCCGGTTTAGGCGTCGTTGTTGCGGCCTTGTAGGAGTCTGGGCTTGGTGGTGATGGGTGACATGTAGTGGAGGTGGTGGATTTTCAACATGGCTGTGAATATCTGAGAGCCGGCGGGCACACTGCCGGATCTGCTTTTCGCTGGCTATATTATACCTAAGTGTCAATATGGAGTTCATTTGGCTTGGAAATGCGTCTTTTGTCAACGTACGCCATATGCTGTGGTCTCATTTCTTGCACCGTGACATAGCACTCGACTAACACCGATTGTACTTCATCTGTCGCGGGCTCTAACAAAGATCTTTGTGCCGCATGCGTGGAAATTCTCTCTCCCCCTCTATCTTACCAAGGCTATTCAGCGTACAGTCCAATTCGAAAAAACATTTGTTTTCATTGGGTATGACGGCTACTTAGGGTTCCTAGCAACCTGCAGCATTACTAACCGATCCATATTCGACAACCATTTTTCTGCGAAGCCGCGATCGGTAAATCTCTCTGCCGACTTTCTCGCTCGTTTCCGCATCGCCAATGTCTCCCCTCTGCTCAACGACAGCGCCTTGCAGAAGCCTTCGGCGTATTCTTCAGCAGTAGAAGCGTGGAACCCTGTCACGGAGTCATGATACCATACTTAGACATATGGAAGGAAAGGGCAGGGTATCTTACCAGTAGGTTGACCATCGATCGGAACTACAATGTCCAGCTTTGGGCCTCCAGAGTTGTTGACCACGGAGAGTAAGCCTGCGGCTTGGTACTCGACTACGCCAATGCCAAAGTGCTCGTTCCACATGCTGTTGACGCCGACGCTGGCTTTGCGCATCCATTCCAGCATCTGCGGCCACGTCGCATCACACACGAACTCGACATCGTCTTTGACATGCAGCTCGTGTGCTAGTAACCTCAGCTTATACACGCGAGTCGCGTCATCAGAGTCGCGCACAGAGCCTATCAAGACGAGCTTTGGGCGCTGCCCGGGGTACGAAGGCATGTCCGGGTTCGAGCTGGCGAATTTGGCAAAGGCGTTTAAGATGAGCGTGTGGTTTTTCTCTGGGCGGAACTGCGCGATGTAGAGCAGGTAAGGGCCGCGCTGGTTCTCGCTTTCGACTGAAACTTCGACCTCAGTTTCTAATTCTTCCACGGCAACGGGCGGGAACACGACGTCGATGTCGTGGTCGGTGGTCTTGTTCCTTCGGTTGCGGTACGGGCCCCAGAGGGACTTGATGTGGGTTTGGGTCCAGGTAGAGTTTGTCATTACAACGTTGATGAGACTACCTACCTTGCTGTAGAGCGCGGCGAAGAGGTTCCAGTACTGGCGCTTTACTAGACCGCGGTATCCTTGGCCTGCTCCTGCGTTTACGCCTTGGCCTCCTACGTTGAGGGAGTCCAGCATGTCGGTGGATATAGTGGGGTAGTGGACGTATGCGCCTGTGGGTACTGACGGGAAGAGGAGGCTGGAGAAGGCTAGTGAGAAGGCGTAACCCATTGTGTCGATGAATATGTCGGGAACAAGCAGCGTGAAGGCATCATAGGCGAGAATTACGGAGCCTATCGACTGGCCCAGCAGCGTAAACCGCGGCCAGGTGCTGGCGAGGACATAGTGGCGTGTAGTAAGGTAAAGGAAGTGTACGGTCGGAGGATGGAGACGGATATTGAAGCGGTCTTTGACACGCTTGAGTATTGCGGCCTTGTCGACATCGTGGTCGCCCGTATATACTATGCAAACAGCTTCCGGCCAGCGCTTCTGGGTTGCGCGGATGGCGGCCCAGAGGACCCGCTCGCCGCCGCCTCCTGCATTGCTGTGCACCAGTATGTAAGCTACCGTGTTCTTCTGATTTGCCGCAGCAACGCCTACCAGAATGGGTGGAAGAAGCCCACGATACCACTCCAGTCCTTATCCGCCTTTCCGCCGTTCACCGCGCTCCCCACCATGGAAGTCTCCACCTCTTCCCACTCGTCATCTCCCCTGCTCTTCTCGTTCTTGTGCTTCGCGTCGTAGTCTTGCTGTTCTCTGGCTACCCGAGCTAGCAGAAGTTCTCGTCTGGTTTGGGATGACCGGCGGAGGTAGCTGCCCAGCAACTGACCGACGTTGCGCAGCACGGAGGGGAATAAGTAAAGACCAACAGCGAGAGAAAGCAGGATAAGAGAAAGAGAGGGTAGGAGAGCCATCACAGGCAACGCCGGGGGTATCACAGACGGAGGAAAAGCAAAGAAGAAAAAGAGACATGTGACGAGTTTCAAGGGACAGCTGGAGGTGGGATGGGGCCTGGCCGTGCTTTTGCGTTGCGCCAACCCGACAGCCTGGTTCCGCCGCCGCAAGCTTCCGCCGAAGTGCCATTGCGAGACTTTTGCAACATTGAACACTTCCATCACACCATGCTATCTTCGCGGATATCGCAATCGCCCGGCCGTCAATTGCTCTCTAGAGCTCCGATTGTTCCACCTACAGCCTTTTACAACCACCGAATCCGCGCCTTCCACGCTACAGCTCCCCGCAAAGATGCCGCCGTCGACGCACTCCTCTACCTCCCCCACGAAATGATATCCTTGATACACGCCTACGTCCCTTGGTATGCCACGCTCCCGCTATCTGCCTTCATAATCCGCGGCCTCCTCGTCACCACCGCCGGCTCGTACGCGCACGCCCTGACCGCCCGCTACATCGGCACGCACCCAGTGCGACAGGCACTCGCCTACCAGAAGCGCCAAGAGCTCATGCTCCGTGGCGGGTACAGCAACCCTAAGCAAGCCAGAACCGCCATAGCCAAAGCCGTGAAGGAGGAAGTGTCCGCGCTAGATAAACGCTGGAACTGCACCATCTGGGGCCAAGCTAGTTGGACGATAGCACAGATACCGATATTCTTCACCATGGCCGAGATCATACGGCAAATGTGCGGGACAAGGGATGGGCTGCTGGGTATAGGCTTGAGTACATTGGGGTTGAAGAGCGGGACAGGAACGGTGCATGGGGTTGCGTTGGATCCGAATCCGTGGTTCCAACCTTCGCTCGCAGACGAGGGCATGCTGTGGTTTCCGGACCTGCTTGCTGCCGACCCGTTTCTACCGTTTTGTGTATCCGCACTTATGTTTACCAACGTGTACATGTCCAAGCAGGGGCTCAGCGCGGACCCGGACGCAGCGCCTACATTCTCTAAGATGGTGAGGAGAGGCCTGATGGGTGCGAGTCTCTTGGTTGGGCCCTTGTGTCAGGATCTTCCTGCCGCTTTGATGCTGTATTGGGCCGGCAGTACGTCGAGCGTCATCCTGTGGAACTTCTGGCTCGACTGGAGATACCCAGCACCACGAGGCTTCATGGCCTGCAAGCGACCGCTGACGATGCTGGGATCACCGGGATCAAATGCGAAAATAACGCCTGGCCTGGGGTTGCCAATGACTAAATCGAAAACCATGATCCCGCAGATGCAAGGAAAGAGGCGGCAGCGCATCTAAACTTGTATATTGTAGAGATACCCGTATGCTATGACTTTGTGTAAGATACTGTGGCCACATCCGTGCAGTGGTCGCTTGAGGCACGGCACCATTCAGGGAAACATCAGGAATGATTGTAGAGTATGCAACCCAAGTGGATCCCTGAGAAACCTGACAATTGATCGAACGTCTTGTGAGCATTTATGGCAACCTGGTACGAGACCTTCCTGTCCGTACAATTCTCCGCAAGCAGCATGTACCCACGTTACAATAGAGTGGCTAGGTAATTCTAGCGGAAGCTGGTGAAGTACAAGAGGATGTCTTTCCAGTTAAATACGCATGTTACACGGTCGCCGCACAACGAGGCTTACTGAGTCTGCTAATATCCCAATCATGAGTCAAAACATGAAAGCATGAGCAACTCGATATCGCTTTGAATTGAGTTACGCCACCGACCCACACCCAGAATGAAACAGCGGAGACGTATCCACACGGCCTCTATCCTGTTCCACAACATGCGCAAAAAGTTAGGCAATAACATACAACAGCAGGGATTCTCGCATCCTCACGGACCGCAGTACTAATCCGCCGGTGCATTGCTTGTATATGGCTGAGCGAACGGGAAGCCTTTTTCAATGCCCTATGGTCGTATGTGGTAGCTACAGAAGATTTGGATATGTCTCGCAATTTTTCTTTTACTTGCTGTGCTTTGCAAAACTTCTGCACCCACCTCTCCATGGTTCTAGCATACTTTCTCGTACATTTCAGCCAATCTATGTGCTATAGAACTCTAACCATTGGCTGAACTATGTTAGCTCTATACTTTTGGGCCTGGTAGACGTTAAATAGGGCACTAAGCTGTTAAAATTAGCTTACTAAAGTGATTAGGCCAATAATCAGCCTTCTATAGTACATAGATTGGCTGAAATGTACGAGGAGGTATGCTAGAACCATAGAGAGGTGGGTGCAAAACTTTTGTAAGGCACCGATATGTCATTGTCTATCTCGATGCTCGCGTCGTTGATATAGGCCATGCGATCATGAGCCCCTTAATCGCTACTAAATACGTCAAAATAAGGCAGCAGGCGGGCGGCGCCGCGTGACGCGGATGACTTTACAGCCATCTAGGCTCAGGTACACTTGACTAGGAAGTGCGTGAGTATCGTAGCCTAGAGCCATAATTCACGCCGAAAGGTTCGTTGAGGTGCCTCGTGTGCTTTGAAGACGATATCAAGAGGAATGCATCGTTCGACAGATCGCTTTTGAATTCTCGGCAATGCATGCTCTAGAGTAACACAACAAACTTAGTCTGTTTAGACATTAGGGGTTGACCAACTCTTTCTGTGAGTTACCGTATCTTAGCAGCCAACGCGCACCTTGTTACCAGTAAAAGGTTTCCTCAGTATTACTAGTTAGTAGTATAACTATATTTATAAGGCAAGTAGATAAATAGATAAGAACAAGGTCATATAAGATGTAAGTGAACAGAAGTAAGATACGCAATATAGAGTTTGACCACGCAGCTCTTTCTACTATCAAGAACCTTTTATGTATTCCATCGTTCTACCAAAGATATTACTGGTTCACAATTTTATACATAACTTTTGCTATGAATGCTTCCTCAGAGCAGGTAATAAAGTGCCATAGGAGAATCTTCTGGCTCCCGAATCAATGACCGATATTCTCTGAAGGCGCACGCATCGCGTACGCATATTCCCTATTTTAAGCTCGCCGCGAGAAACATTGCTGAAGCTGCTCAGATTGCTTTCTAATCAAGCCAGCTGTCTCCGCTTTAAATTACAGATGACATCGTACTGACCGCGGAAACCAGCATTATAAGTCTGCCACAATCGGTCGTGCGCCATTTCGAACGTGAACTCACGAATAATGGTAGCAGAGACTTTATATGCCTGAGCAAGTGCCAACTACAATCATGTTAAAATATTTCAAAGCATTTGTCCGGCACTTGGGGCTTACATTTCGTCCAATGCATGTCCTTGTCCCAGCGCCGAAGTTGATCATCGCCTTATCCATAGCGTGGTTCCTCGTTTCACTCTCCTGCCACCTCTCTGGCTTGAACTCCCTTGCATCCTGGCCAAATATTTCCTCGTTGAAGAGCACAACGGCGGGGTTCATGCCGGCGCGGTATCCGGCTGGGATGTGGTAGCCGCACAGCTCGAATCCTTCAGCAGGAGCATGACGCGGCATGGTGACTTGGAAGCTAGGGAAGATACGGGTACACTCTTTGATAACTGCTGACAGATATTTAAGTTCGTCTAGGGCGCCGTATTGGACGGGGTGGGAGAGGGCGCCGCTTTCGAAGGCGGCATCGATTTCGACACGGAGCTTTTCAAGGACGCGAGGATTCTGCATGAGTTTGTAAAATACTGTTCGGAGAAGGATAGAGGTCGAGTCTGCGCCAGCGGTGCTGATGGTGCTTTAGATGACTATGGTCACTTTGAAGCTTTCCAAAACTTACATTGCAACCCAAGCCTCCGAACTAACTTCCTTGTTAGTAAAGTTAACCTTCTCCCCCCTGTCATGAACAATGTGAAGAAACTGTGACATGAAGTCATTACGCCTAGAGGTATCCTCTTCGGTCCTCTTAATCGCATCATCCAATTCCTTCATGGCCGTCACACGGATGCCATCAAAAGCCATGATGGCTTTCAACAACTTCGGTATAAGAGGCGCAGCTAACCCTACAAGTGGCCTCATATAAGTAGGAGTAACTGTAATGATACCCAGAAATGGAGTAGCAGTGTGTACGGCGTTGATATAGCCGCCGTGATCGTGCCTGTGTTCCAGAAAACCAAATTGCTTGCCAAAGATGCAAGTGCCGACATTCTCGAATGCTGGACATACTTTGTGAGTAACAAGCGTGTCAATCACCACGAAGATGGCCGGACTTACCAAACATCTCTAGCCAATTGCCGAAATCGAAAGCCTCTTTCCGGTCGGCGAACTCCCCGACCCTCTGCAGAAAGAGACTCAGCACGCCATCGATGGACTCCTCATTCTTCAGTACGCTAGTCAACCCATACACGCTTCCCACGATACGCCTGTACTGTGTATGAGTCTTCTCATCGAGCTCCGTGAACAAGTCCGTTCGCGAGTCCAGAGTAGAAGGGCGCCAAGCAGTGTACCAATCCGATTTTGAGTTCGGCTTCTGAAGCGGGTAGATCTTGGAAACAGCTGTCGGATCGGCTACGGCTACTTCGTTTGGCGCGATCCGGATGATCGGTCCGTACTTCTCGTGATAGTAGCGCTGGTATTTCTGAATGTCTCCGGTGTACATGCGGTACATGATCCATGTTCGGGAGACGGATGGCCAAAACGGGCCGGGTATCTTAGCCAGAGGGTGAAGGGTTCGTGCATAGATGATCCAAAGTGCCCAGTACGCAACGAACGCCACGGGTAGATAGTTCGTAAAACAAGTTTTCAGGCCAACGCCTAAAAGGAGGTCTTGTAGGAATGCCATCGTTCAGTCCGAGTAGAATTAAGGAAAAGGGAGCCAAAGGTGTATGGCCTCAAGTAGAGGTTACCAAGCGCTGGAAATACTTCGTGCGAGACCCCGCCATGCAAGTCGTGTACGGACTACGGACTGTGGGATCTGTCATGCATGATGGTGTGAGGTTGTGCGCAACGCGAGGCGTTGTTGCACAGGTCAAATTACTAGATCGGCGGGTGTTATTGGTCCCGAGGCGCTGTTAGCATAAGATGGTCCAGGAACTGCATTGGGGCCGTTGGCCAGTGTTTCCCACACACAGCGAGAAGATTGGTCGCAGTGGGATCCATCGTAGATACTTTGCAATCATCATGTGTCAGAAACCTGACTGGAAGGCGTAGCGTATCGGGGACCGTCTCGTATTGGCAAAAATTTGACACGGTTCGAACTTGGTGAGCGAGGCCTACCGATCGTCGACCTATTGATTCAAAGCGCCAGTTTTACACCCCGACTGTGAGAGATGCCATCGCAATTGAGGGCACTCAAAAGCATAATCGGCCAAAAATGAGTTCGTTGTAGACATCTTCCCACCCGTGGTAACGCTGGAAAACGCGAACAAAGCGTACATTTCAACGAAGACGCAAGAAGATGATACAACGGAATATGTAGAGGAAAAGGACGAGAAAAATTGGGGATTGAAACAAATCATGGAAAATAAGGCCTAGCTGCGGAAACTGGCTGACTACCCGTGAGATGACTACTCGTGAGGTGACAAGAATTCTGACCTCGCATACTTAGTCTTGTGTCAGAACTTGTGCACCATTGATAAAACACAACACAACCCGACTTAGGCAATCTAACGGCGACTTGTGTTCCTCGGTGCGTCTTCTGCAAGAGTCCACGCACGTGACGGTTGTAGATCCTCGTCCCCGTTGGCATGTAATCAAGGCGCAACACTGTGCGCCCTTGGCTGCCCTCATCCTTCAGCACGCGCCGGAGCTTGGAGCATGATGATTACTTGTAGTCATGTTCGAACTAAGAAGAGGGTATAGGTCTGATTGCTGCCATTGTATCGTTTCGGGGTATGTAGCTGATGACGATCGGTTCGGGCCGCAACAACGATGAACTACATTAGTGCTTCGGTACCAGTGTCCCGTTATCGATTTAATACACCTATGCCGTAACGTCTATCCCGATGAAAGCTATCTGGCCAAGTTCGACAGGCTCCTAGAGATCGCCTACGCGCGACAGGAGCCCAACATGCGATGGTGGCTTTGACTCCTTCCCGTGCCGACATAGCGCAATGCAGCGTACGCACGGAGAGGCTTACGGAGCTGTCTCAGGCATGATCAGGTTGGATCCTGGCTTAGAATCGATTGCATATTCGAGGCCCAGGGGACTAGTACGATTCCCATCTGAGATGCAGCGTGTATCTCTTGGACTGCAGGATAGGATCAATGACGCGAAAAAGGTTTCAGGATTTCTATGCAGGCACAGAGATTGCTTGCGCTATGTCAATCTAATCTGGTAGTCAGCCGCTTGAGCCCGAAGCCCGTGGCCGTGAATTCCATATCCAATGAGAGGTGCTCGGAGTAAATGTCAGAACTCGTCTCAACAATGGTAGCGTAACGCGTGCGCATATATCCTACCGAGGGATTGCTTGTAAGGTGTAGCACCCCTTCCCCAAAGCCTTGTGGTATGTCACTAGTCGTTTTTGGTGAATATTCCAGCAGCATCCAGTGATACGACAATACCTTTCCCGTCGCTCTAATACCGATTGATTTCTACCAGAATGAGGTGCGGAAGGGTTTTGGGGGCAGGGCAGGCTCTTATGAGTTGGTTAGCATCACCAGTAATGGCACAAGCTGGGCTACCACAATGCGTAGTGAGTGCATCGATGGTGCTCGAATAGACAATACGCTCACTGACCTCAGGAAGTCAACGTGTGTTCAAGCGGCACGTGCGAACCAAATCGACTGCCAATTGAGTGACACAGTATGCATCTGCTCCAACGAGTCGATCAATGCCGCAGTCTATGCCTGTGTCAAAAGCAGTTGCACAGTCAGAGAAGGTTTACGTAGGTACTCCGGCCACGTGGTTTTTCGCATGATATGTCTGATCCGGGGCTAGTCGCCATCAAGTCGCAGAACATCCAGTGCAACACTCCAATACGCGATCGCTCGAAGGCATTGCTCATAATTTCCATCGTCATTGGCGCCACTGCGCTGATTTCCGTCTGTATGCGCATGTCTGTCGCAGTCAGACAAGGAAACTTCGGCTGGGATGATATGGCCGGTCTTGCCGCATATGCTGCTTCCATTCCTGTAACAGTAGTGTGCTGTGTGACGTCAGTACATGGATTTGGGAAAGATACATGGACTTCTCCTGTGGAAGATATCTTCTTGACGCTGAGGGTAAGCTGCTCAATTGACGAGCGACCTGTTTTGGAAGTATCACTGATGTTGTACAAGCTCGTCTACGCAAGCCAAGTATCATATTTTCCGGCATCTGGCTTCACCAAGCTTTGCTTTCTGTTCTTTTTTCTACGCATATTCCCAGGGAGACGAATTCAGAGAGGAATACGCACACTCATTTGGGCCACAGTCGTATATATTGTCGTCTTCATGATAACCATGATTTTTGCCTGTAAGCCCATATCAGCTGTGTGGACATCATGGACTAAGGAATCGACGCCGGAATACTGCATCAATCAAAAAGCGTTTTATTACGCGGCAGCCGGCTGCAACATCGCGCTTGACATGTTGGTCGTTGTAATTCCAATTCCGGAACTCTTGAAACTGAAGCTCAGCCGGAGAAAGAAGGTGCTCCTGGTCGCCATTTTCGGCGTCGGTGCAGTGTAAGTGCGTGCAGCTCATCCAAGTATCTTGAAGGCTAATAATACTCACAGTACTGTTGTCATCTCGTGCATTCGACTCTGGGCGCTGGCGACGTACGACACTGAGGTCAATCCCAGTAGGTCATCGAACCCTTTCTATAACTGCGCGGTTTACTTACCTATTTAGTGTACAACAACGTCCTCTCTGGGGTATGGTCAGTCCTAGAGATCAACGTGGGGATTATATGTATTTGTATGCCGTCATTTCCGCGCTTCTTGAGCCAAATAGTACCGCAAGTCTTCGGGACAACTCAGCGCGACTCCCGCTTGTATGGGGATGCTGGGACGCCCAACGCATACGGGCGTAGCGGAAGGAAGAGAAACGCGACGCATGCCAACATGTTCGATATGTCAATAGTCAAGACTGTTGATATGACCGTGGAAGCTCAACGCGCATCCGATGAAGAGGTCCGCTTGATTGTGCTTCAACAGAACGAGAAGGTTGCGCAGAGCTCAACGGGTAGTGCTGATGGTATCTGGGAGACACCAATGCAGCCGCCGGATCACATCTATGACGGCCGTTCGTAGATACGATCGTATGTACTTGTACGTCTCACTGGAATACAAAGGCTTTCGATATCGAGATTGATTTCCTACTCCATTGTAGGACTGATACGTTATGCATGACATCATCGTATCCTGGTTTCAGCTCCTTCTCGGTCGCATCAAACAGAGACGATGGCCAAACCTCTAAAATTTTAGAACATGATGATTCAGCACAGATATGGGCAAACCGAGTCGACCCAGCATGGATCGTGAAGGAATAGCGCGACGGATGTGTCGATCGGTGATTGCACAATCTACAGTCTTGACAGAAGTCTCCGGCAGCCCCAGCTCAAAAGCGATGGATTTTGAAGATTGCTGAGACGCAGAGACTTAGCTACGTTCTCTGCGACTAATCTAGAGGAGAAGGTTCTCTTATCGTCGCGTGCGTGCTTAGAGAAATTGAACAGGCAGATGCACCAGGACCACCAAAGAGTGATTCAAACGCCCTCACCAGCATCGACATCACTAAGAAAATAACTGCGCATTTTAGCACTGGCCCCCTTTTTTTGTTTTAAGAAGAAAAAAAGATTGTTAATAAAAAAATTATTTCTGGTAAAGAGCATGGTCGTCAGTCACAGTCGATCAAGACCAACGGCAACGAAACACAAGTCATCCACCTCTCAAGGGTTGCAGCATGATGGTCGTACGGAGCGCACCGACTGAGCAGATTGCGTGACAAAGGTTTGCAGCATTGATCGGACATGGTCCTGAGCGGCGAGCCTTTCGACCTCAGACTTTCATCCGCTGCTAAAGTAGGAAGGTAGAACTCATTCTGGCGTTTTAATGGTTGAGGTGGGACGGTACCGATGCGCAGCGGCCCGTGCCGAGACATGTCACGTTGCAAACGCCACTCGTCAATTGCGAAACCGCTATACAAATGAATTCGCTGATAAGATCACCGATCGTGTTTAGTTGCCATAGGTCCTTAGCCAATGCAACAGGTAAAGATATATACAAGAACGAAGTTTTAAGGCACAGTGGCCGTCGCCAGAGAGCTATCGAAGACGCAGATCACCTTCCACTTTCGATAAGCTATCGCACGTCAAGGCTCGCTTAGTACGAGCCGTGAACGGGGATGGCGGGAGCCGCAGAAGATGAGGCAGCTGAGGTAGAAGCAGCAGCCTCAGTTGCAAGTTTAGTCTGCGTGAGGAAACCGCTGGGGGCAGGGAATCCGCCCGTGGGGCGACCACCAAAGCCGCCCGTGGGACGAGGACGACCGCTGAATCCGCCGCTAGGGAACGGGAACCAACTGCTGGGGAAAACGCCAGTGGGATATGGGCGGTGAGGATGGCGGCCAGTGCCTGAGGAAAGGGGGTATGGGACGTTGCTGGAGCCTGCCTCGGAGGTGGCTGCAGGTGAAGATGATGCCTCAGAAGCGGGAGTGCTGGGCTCGACAGGTTGGACAGCAGAGGAGGGGCTCACGGTCTAACAATATTAGCCTTTTCCTTTTCATAGACTGGAACATAATGTACTTACCACAGTGACGACCTCCTTCTGAACAACGGTCGTAGTGGCGACAGGTGCACAGACATCGAAGCTCGAGCTGATGATAGGTGCCGGCGCTGCGGAGTTGATTACGGAAGCCGGAAGCGAGACTGTAGCAACGGAAGACGTAGGCTGATCGGAAGCTGTGCTAGACTGGATGAGGATTGAGCTCTGGAAAGCGGCGTTGTTGGTGGTGGTGGGCGCCGGAGCGATACCAGTCGTGCTGGCAGAGGCGGCAGGAGCACCGGAGCTTTCGAGGACTAGGGAGGGAAGGGCACTGTCAGCATCTCCTGCGGCAGCGGTGGAGGATGCGATAGGGGCGGCAGCGGAGGTCTCGGTAATGGGGGCGGCGGTGGAGATAGCGACCTCATCGACGCCAGTGGCTGCGGCCGAAGACTGAACAGCCGATGTAGCGGGAGCCTTGCTCGAGGCGGCAGGGGTGGCAGAGCTAGTGGGGGCAGAGGAAGGGGCAACGGAAGTAGAGCTGCTGGAGTCAGAGACAGAGCCACTGTTGCTCATGCAGGCAAAGCTGATTTCGGAAACGCTGTCAGCCCTCTTAAACCAGCCCCCCTGGCTGGCAGCATTGAGGCTCCAGTCCATGTCGACGTAAGGCCAACAGATCCTGCCATCGCTCATCGTCACCATATCACCAGCAACGTAGACGTTGGTGCTCTTAACGGCCTCGCCAACCTTCTCGCCGTTGTTGACAAGCTGGAAGTAAGAACCGGTGAAAGTGCCCTCGCAACCGAAAGCAACGAGCGGGCAGTTGGGCTCAGCAATTTCCTCCCAGGTAACAAGCGCATTGCTTTTGTCAAAAGCGGCGACATGGGCGTTAGAGTGATCAGCAGTACCAGTTGTAATCCAGTTGACTTGGTCATCGCCGGAACCACCAAGCTCCTGGGTAGCCTGCTCGCCGATGAGGGTCTTCTTGTCCGAGAAGCGAGCGATGGCAACGTTACGGTTGGCGGTGCGATTGACGGAATGGGTGTAAGGGGCACCAAGCCAGTCATTAGTGGTGAGGTCCTTCGCACCCTTGGAGACCCAGGTGAAGATGTATTCGTCGCTGTCGACAAATCGGGCGAGATTGCTGTACGATCCGCTCATTCCACCCATGGCCTCGTTGGACGCACCGTTGGTGACATTTTCGTTCGAAACGCGCACTCCAGACATGTACTGAGTCTCGGTGTTCAACCAGATGTTTCCCTGGTCTTCGGCGCAGATACTGGCGAAAGGAGCCTCGTCGGCAGCCTCAAAAGCAATACCGGTGTTGTGCGAACATCCGAATCCGTTGCTCGTAGCACCGGCAATGTTCTTCAGGGTACCATCATCGGAGACGTACTGGATAGTGTCGCCAAAGTGGCCACTGGCGGATCCATCGTAAGCAGTGACGACAAAGTAAGCACCATATGTCTTCGCGGTCTCAGAGTATGCAAGGTCACCATTCAGATCAGGAGAGGCAGTGTGGCCGCTGCTGTTCTCAACATCTGGGCCACCGAGAAAGGTCTTCCAGGATTGTTTGCCGGAAGTGTAGCGGTAGAGCACAGCGACCGGATCTGTGACACCGGAAACCGCCTCGTTGGTTAGAAGAGCGAAACCATCGTTGTGAGCTACAAGTCCACCAGCCTCCTTACCAGTGCTCACAGACACCGCGGTACCGACGGAAGCAAAGGTGGAAGGGTCGACCTCCTGAATGTGAACACCAGTATCGCTGGAGTCTAGGTAGGCGAGGTATGCAGACTTTCCATCCGGTGAAACGGCAAAAGGCGTGCGGCGATGGTGAGGGTAGCCAGTCCAGTAAGCATCCTTCACTGGGTTGAAGCTAGACGAGAGCGACAGAGATCCAACGTGGGTCTTGAGACTGCTCTCAGAAAGCGCCGACACTACGGCCGTGAAGAGAGAAAGAGTGAAAGTCGAGTGCAACATGGTGCAGTAGGGTCAAATATGCAAAAAGAATGACAAGAAACGAACGACCAGCGATCCCAAATGAGTGACAGAAAACGGAATGATTCAAAAGCCCGTAGAGAGAGGATATAGACAGGCTTCGGACAACAATCATCTTATAGCTACCCAGTATTGAAATGACGCATCGCGCCATGCAGTTCTAGACCCAGGGGCTTCTCGGCTGACCACAGTTGGCATGGCGGACACGGTGCCGTGTGTTTATTGAACAGGTGGAGCTGGAAGTTCCTATTTCCACATTGCGGGAAGCACCGCCGAAGATCAATGGTGGAAAGTTCTGCAGGATGATTGCATTTGTTTCATAACGTTTCGCTAGAGGGAGATCCCACGTGACGTACCATTTTAGGTTAGCTCATTGCCGTGATAAGTGTCTTGTCTCGTTTCAAGTGGCGCTTTCATGCAATCTGCACTTCCTCCTCATGTGCACGTTGAAAGACATCGCTACCCGCCGCGAAGGTGCCTAAGCGAGTCCAGCAGCCTGGCTTTAGACCTGCAAGCCCGAGAACGAGACCTGATATCCATGTGTCATACCGTGCGACGCCCAAGCAAAGCACAGACGCTTTGAAATCCTGGGGAACATCGCCGCATTGCGCTCTTCGGACCGTTTGTGCCGTGTGGTCCCCTGCGATGTCTTCCACAAGTAGACAATCGTTTTGGATGGTGATCGCACTGGTACCCTTCAGGAGCAAGACATATTCCCACATACCTCCTCTTTGCGTAGAGAGCAGGGTTGCATACACGACGGGCCCACGCACATGGATTGATGCATCTGATAGAGCACCTAGGGGATTCAGACCGGTGATGGAGACAGATGAAGAGACCAGGGTGATCGCTGGCACAACAAATCGGCGTTCGTCTTGATCTAGGGGTGCGAAGGCCACAGGGGTGTCTAAGCTAGCCCAAGAGAAAGATGGGGCTCGATATTTGTCCAAGGAGAAATAATGCGCCACGGTGGCTGTAGATGTCGACCAAAGAAGGTCAAATGCCAAGTTTGCTTCCCATAGTCCAGCAATATATCTTGACGACGTAGCTTTCTGAATTTTCCCAGCGATGCCCGATATTGCTGGTAACTTATCGTATCGGTGTGTCAAGTTTCTCCGGGAATACCGTTCCACGACGCGATGCCAGGCATCCCATACCGCCTCAGGGGCCTTGTTCAGTTTCTCCATTGCCTTCGGAATCAGTGCAGGTGTGGTAGGCAGTGATTTTCGCGATGGTGAGCATTCGCAGCGGAAAGATGTTTTGCACTCGAAGAGCAACTCTGTTTTCGTGTAGTGGAGGATCCTCGTGCTGAGGACGTGCTCCTGCAGTGCCCAAGCTCTTGTGGACAGTGGTCCCACCAAAGTTGCTGGTCCTTCTTGACTATTTGGGTGGTGGTCTTCCATCCTTCTCGCGCGGATCTCCATCTGATCACCTGCCGAACTCTCCAACCTGAGCTTCACGGGCTTCGCTCGATCTCGTAAAGAGCGGTAACTTGCATCAGGCGAAGCAGCCGCCGATATCGTAAAATAACTGTTCTCGTAGATATTTCCCATCTTGAAAGATTCGGTCTCCCAATCACGAGCGGAGTCTTGAACGATGCAGAGTGAATCGATCCAAATATAGCGTAGGCCCATCTGTCTTGTGATGATGATGGCATCTTGGAACAGGGGTGGTAAAGAGTCGAAAGGAATATCGACAGACAATTTCCTCCAGTTTGCCTTCGTAGTCGTAAGTGGCGAGCCTGTTCCCCAACAGTGAGAGAGAGCCGCATAGTCCATTGTCTTCCCTTGAGTGTCAATCAGACGGATGGGTGCGGTTGCGCGCCCGACGTCAAGTAGTCGCTTTGGCGTGGATGCGGACGACTTTCGAGGTAGGTGGCATGCTCCGTGTTTTGGATTTGTAAGGCAGTCCTGAATGCATCTTCGTGCAAAGTCGAATGTATCATCAGAACCAGAATTTGAAGGGATGCGGCGAGCGGTACCCAAAGTTGACCAACTGCGAGATGCTAAAACTTTTCAGTCACATGCGATCTAGCTAGAGCAAATCGGGGTCGGCCCCAATCGTGATAGTTGCTTTTACTATGGGCTCAAAAGTACACTTACGTTTGGTCGTGTAGATACTTACCACTTCACCTCTCCACTTCTCTTGATCGAGTCCTACTTCAATGGTTCCTTTCTCCTTGATGTCGACGTTGACTCTTTGCCTGCTTCCTCTCCAGCTGTCAAAGAATGCATCTAGGGCTTGGCATAGAGCATTGCAGAAGCGGCACCCGCCTTCCCTTGGACGTCTGATCTTTGACAAAGCGAACGCATCCAAGACGAGAGACAAAGTCGCAAGGGCTCCTGTCGTACGTTCCGTGAGGTAGACAGAGCTATTGTGATCGCGCGGGTTTAGATTATGGCAAGTTGGACATATATTGCGGCGTGGTTGGGTCAATGCTCTCCGGAGGGGTTTCTTGGGTGGCATCGCACCAGTTGAGCGAACGACACACCGAACCAGCCAAGGCGCGCAACTATCTCATGCCGAATGAACAAGCGAGAAACCGCGATGAATGAAGGAGAAGAAGGCGTCGTCCGATGAACGCTCAGTAGGTGCGAGACAGACGGCGGCGTGTGCCTTGATCTGCGCCGCAAACTAGTGCTCCAGTAAGCTTAGCGCAGCCGTTAAGGCGGAACAAGGACTGGCAGCACCGTTTCCTCTCCACGACCACACCAAAGGCACACGAGCTAGCATACGACGAGACTCGCGCCCCAAAATTTGCCTTCATCGTTTGTTCAGGAGTTTCGAATGCGCATACTTTGCGCCTACAATGATAGGTGTGGCTGAGCAGCTCCAACATCGCACATCGTCTCATCATGCGCGCATACGGCAAAGTTCCCAATTGATATCTCTACTTTTCGTCAAAAGAATTGCCTACGTGCTGCTAAGCAAATGCATTGAGAGCGTTACGCCTACAGGAACCCGCAATCCGCAATAATAGTATCCCGAGCATCCTTTCCAAGAGCATCATCCTGGTCACTCAAGCGTTCCTCCACATGATTGGCCACCATCACTTTCGGCTGAGTCGGCGCTTCGCATCTATCAGCTAAGAAAGTAAGGCACGAAAGTCACTGTGGCTCGTGCGAGCTGAGTCGGTCGTCTAAGGAACCCAAAAAGGCACTGGATGTTTTAGACGCGGCGGCTGCGTGGTCGGCGCGACGTAAGACTTGCTTCTTGGCGCAGTCCGTGTAGCTTCACGACCTTGATGCGTGGATCCGACCCTCTAATGGCTAGAGACGCCGGGTCAACACCCTCGCTGGTTGGCCGGTTGGTTTGAGGCTGGAGTTTCGAAGCTTTATGACGCTTTGGAGGCCGTGTCATCCAACACTGACCGATCGCGTACAAAAGGTATTCAGTATCTGCTGGTAAATGTCGTTTCACCAGCAGCTTTCCATTCTTCTTCGATATATTTGTTCATCTTTCCAGTCGCCTTTTGACAAGCACGGTTTTTTTTTTATTACATTCATTCCATTGGCAATCTAATTCTCTCGTTCACCATGTACACGAATTTCTTTGCCTTTGCTCTCCTCTCGTCCTCGGTGTTCGGAATCGAATTTTCTCAAATTGCCACCCATGAATTCGGCGCAATGCTCAGGCGCGGCAATGCCCTTGTAAAACGTCAAGGCTACTATCCTTCCTCGACACCCTGTGGTTCTGGAACCACGTGCGCAGAAGCGTGCGGAGCAGGACAAGTAGAATGCCCTGCCGAAGCTGGTCGCGGAGTCTGTTTCGATCCTTCATTATCTCAATGCTGCCCTGATGGGTCTGGATGTAAGCCGCTCACCACCTCGAATAATTTACATGCATCCTGACCCCTTGCCCAGACTCATGCGACAGCGGCTACTTCTGCTCTTCCGACGGACAAAGGAATACCTACTGCTGCCCCAACGGCATGGATCTGGGTACCTGCGCTCAAGCATACTCACTTACCGTCTCGCTCATCAGTCAAACGGGAACCATAGCTATTCCTTCAGAAACGGGGATGGCCAGCCAATCTGCTTCCGCTGCCGTACCAACTTCCACAACGCCGATACACATTACCCGCATACGTTCGTCCTCTTCTTCGCCAGTAGAGGAAATTAGCATTCCGACTACGACCGTATCTGCTGTTGTTACTGGGAGTGGGAACGGTACATACGCTACGGGCTCTCCTTCGGTGGAGTTTCCCGGCGTTGCTACGAAGGCGGAGCTGGCTAGTATTGTGATCTTCGCCGGCTGTGCGGTATTTGTGGGTGTGTTTATGATATCATCTATTTAGTTTGGGTCATCGGTCAGAAGAGGCAGCCGTCGCACTTCTCTCCCACTTTGATGCAGTTCTTAGCCCGAAAGAACTCGTAAATATACTCATAATGATCTAGCACATGGGCCTGCACAGATATGGAGCTCCTTCGTTTGATAAGCAGTACGCTCTAGTGTAAAACAAGGCACACCGTTTTCCTCCACGTTTCAGGTTGTTTGCAGTGACCTCAATAGAAGCTCAATCACGTCAGCCCAAGGGCGCGTTGCGAGCTCACCACGATTGTGTCTGGTCCCGAAGTAGGCTGTGTTTCTCGAAGCAGCGGCCTCGAGGTCTCGTTCTTACACAATGCGCTATACCCAGCTCACCTTGATTGACTCGGAGTGAGGTCACTAGAACTGAGCTCCAGCGGATCGAGGATAAGTATCAACATGTTTCATCGGCGTAGCGTCTTCCACAATTTTTGAAGCAAGCATTAAATTATCATTACATTATCGTATCGATGCATGAATCGTAGTAGCCATCTGACAGCAACAATGCAACATCTATATCATCACATAAGCAGCACCAAGCACGGCAATCAGCGTCTTGCTCCATCCCATCTTCGCCGCAGCACCAGGGAACTCTACTTCACCAGTCTCAGACGGACTGAGGCCAGCGCCGGTTGCGGTGAGGCTGCCCGAACCATCCTCAGTGGTTGCATCCGCATGGCTTGAAGCATCCAGCGTGACCGGAATGGTGGAAGTCCTTCCGTTGCCGACTATGATGAGAGCGGTCGAATCAACGGAGAACACGGTGTCGGAGATGGTGATTGCAAGGTCGCCGGGGCCAAGAATGGTACCAGGGCCAAGCACAATGCCGCCATTCGTAATGGGGAACGCCTCGGTGCCAGCGGTGACGGCGGCAAGAGTGGCTCGCGTCGTGGGAATAGCAATGGTCGAAGTGCTCGAAGGTCCAGCGACCACCACACCTGAAGATCCTACGCTTAGGATGGTGTCGTCGACGGTGATAGGAGCTCCACCCAGTGTCAAGGTCGTTCCGCCGATGACAATAGTGCTCGCTTCGGGGTCGAGGACTACTGGCACGCTGCTGGGGCCAATGTGGACGGTGACAGGCTCGGTGCCGAAGGGTACCTCGGTGCTTGTTTCGGGAGAGACAATAGTGAGTCCTCCGGTTCCAATGTTGAATGTCGAGGACGAAATAAGCACGGATGCACCTCCGCTAGACAAAGTAGTGCCTGGTTCAACGACAACACCGCCGGTCGGGTTTATGGGGAGCACAGTCGAACCGATGGTGACAGCTGGCGGCGTAGGATTGCTTGCACCATTGTTTGCGGTACCGGTGGGGTTCGCGCTAGGGTTGGTCGCTGGGTTCTGGCCAGTAACAGGGTCCTGAGGATCATTTGGCGATGGAGTTTGGGTGTTCCCGGGAATAGGGCTTGCAGGGTTGTTTGGCGAAAAGCCCTCAGTATTACTTGCGGCGGGGTCCTGAGGGTCGTTTGAAGAAGAACCCTGGGAGCTGCTTGGAGTAGGGTCCTGAGGATCGTTTGGAGCCACCGCTGACGACGAAGGTTCTTGCGGGTCGTTGGGTGAAAGGTCCTGAGTAGCGGATGGCGCAGTGCCCTGAGAGTCGCTCAGAGACGGCTCTTGAGGGGTGCTCGGCTCGGATACTTGGGGCTCTGCGGGAACCGGCGTGCTGCTTGGCGCAGAATCTTGAGGTTGGCTAGAAGTCTGGGGGTCGCCCGGGGTAGGATCCTGTGGATCAGGGCCTCCAGTGTTGCTTGGAGCGGGCTCTTGCGGATCTGTCGGTGTCTGTGATGAACTTGGAGCGGGGTCCTGCGGCGCGGCAGAAGCGGTAGGATCCTCGGGTTCTCTGGAGCTCTCTGTTGGTTGTGGTGCAGAAGTGGCAGTGGGGATGTCGCCATTGCTAGATTGTCCGGGAGCAGCGGATACCACAGGTTCAGCGGAGGTTGGCGTGGGGTCTGCAGCAGCGGAAGTAGAGGTCAGGAAGTTCGGAACACCGTGAAGAGCGATCGGAGGATCAAAGAGGCCATAGTTATCGAACTCGCAGCTGGCCCAATTAGGATCCAGCTGACGAATTTGACCTGGCATTGACATGGCGGGCTGGTAGCTGCCCGGAATGACCTCCGTACAGGCAACCCTATTATTGGCGCAATACGATTGACCCACATATGCGCTCCATGGCACTGGGTCCTGGAAATCCGCCCATTCGATACTGTACGGGATAATATTGTGAGGGTACCCACGAACACTGTAAAGATCCGACGATGCCATGGTGATGATGCGAGGCTTGTTGAACTTCGGCGCAACAGAATTACGGCAGCTATCCAACACAAACGGGTCCGCCAAGGATATGTACAAGTTTCCCTCATACATGGTAACACCATTGACAACGGTGTAAGATCCGGTTGTGACTTCCGTGTAAGCTGAGCAAGGTGAGTACACTTCTTGCATTTGACGAATTGCCTCTCACTTACTGCTGTCTGGGTCTGCCGTGATCGTGGCCGAATTTTCCCAACCACCTGCTGGCTCGTCGGTACACATTTCACGACTCACGTTCTTGGTAACGGGGTAGTAGTAGAGGTCTATGCTACCGTACTGGAAGGTACAGCCAGTTGCTACACAGGATGAACATGCAGGGCTTTCGGGAAACGGCATCGATGTAGTGCGGTTCTCGTACTCAGCCAAAGCAGAGGACCAGCTTGTAATTAATGGAGAACAATCGCTGCTCGCGATTGTGCAGTTCGGTTCATGGGTCGGGAAAGGTGCGTTCGTAATCGTACTCGTTACATATTCTGTGCTGACATGTGTTGTTTCGATGATATCTGTAGCGGAACCGCAATACGAAATTGCACCGGGAGTGGTGCCGCATGAGCTGGTACAGGTGTACTGTTTCGTCGAAAAAGTTGTATTGTCATATTCGGTGGTTGTGGTGAAGGTCTTATAATACTGAGTGGCGGAGACCCATGAACGAGACGCGCTGCTCCAGTCCTCCGACGACTGAATGCAGACTAAGGCAGGGTTGGTTGCGGCTGTATCAGTTAGCTCCTGCTTGTCTTGGTCATACCTGCGCCCATGTACGAACCAGAGGTTGTCACGTTCAGATCGACGCTGCCAGACGGCGTGATGGAACTGCTAGCGAGCTTAGAGCCTGAAGAAGTCGTAGGCGGAGCGGTTGAGTTTTGCAAGCCTGCGAAAGTCAGCTCACATTCTGTATCTTCTGATGTGACGACATGCCGGTCTGGCTCACAAGGCTCAGAAAAATCGTCTTCACTAAGGTACCCGACATGCTTGACCACAAGTAGCACTCGGGAAGGACTTGTATAGAGCAGAGCACAAAGCTAGACCTGCAGATGGTGCAGAGCCGCTATTCATTAGAAGACTGGAACCACTGATCCCAGCGTTGCTGCGTACGTACCACACCACCGATATTGCCTAGACACACTTGAGCAGAAAAAAGGCCTAGCTCTAGTATCGGAGGCCTAAGTGCGGATGCGGTGGCGTCTCGGTGAGGCTTCTGTGCGCTGGCTGATCATGACCCTGGGGATCGTAGGGCTGATCATACGAGGGATGCATTTGATTTGCTAATGAATTGCAAAGAAGCAAAAATCACATGGGCCGCACGAGAGCCTGCCGGCAGCCAGCGCCAAAACTGGTCGCCGGGAGTCTGTGCAGCCAGACACCTGGATCGTGTTTGGGGTCCAAAAAAACCCCGAGCCAGTCATCTCACCAGGCGTAATGGTCCTTGACATGTTTTAGGAAGTAGACTTGTAAGCGCGGTCACTAAGGAAGCTTATGTGATCGTTGTGCGACTCATCGAGGAATGGACAGGCACGACTTTGCGATTGGCGGAAAGATGGACCCGGGAGATGAGAAGCACATGAGTACCTTCACATATGGGCAAGTGCCATCAGATTGGCGTCGAAACCTTCGCGGAGTGGCCCGGAAGGGGTTTGGTTCGGGAGGGCCTGTGGGAACTCGAGTCGACAACTCACCTCTTTGCTGATCCGCCGGACATGCTCGAGTCAATTTCTTCGACTTCTTCGCGAAGACTTTGTGCGCGAACACGTCGATCCCTTCGGCGAGCTGCACTGAAGCGGCAAGCGCTAGCCGTCAAGCTTCATGAGGACTGGTCCAAGATGACGCCACAGTCACATGATGTACCAGCCACAAAGCCACACCATCGGCGTCCGGAAACACCGATGTCATGACGGAACATTCTCGCAACGTCGCGACCGCTCGAGCACTCTCTTGTAATCGAACTACCACGAACCTCAGAGAGTCGCCTCCACGCTTCCAGATTGCTCCACGCCCCTTACGAATCCAGCGATTTCTCATGCTCGCACACGCAAGCAGCCGCTGCCTCGAGCCGTCATTATGTCTATAAAAGCGGGTTCCGTGCTCCCCAGATCGACCATCATCAGATTCTCAGATCGACAGTTCAGATCTGCACCACCATCTACCGCTACTCTTGAGCCTCTTTGATATCCTTGCAAATATAACGTCAAACAACTTTACACCAACACTACTAGGGAACTCACCGCCCAATGGCCTTCTTCCTTACCCCACGCTTTGCGCCAGCCTACACTGCTCAGCAGTGCAATCCATGGGCCTGCGCCCCACGACCACAGCACTCCTACCGCCGCGCTACGCGCCCATCGTTCCCTTCATTCGCGCCATTCCTAAGCGAGGTGGATGAATTGATGAGCGCACTCGATGAAGAGACTCGACGGGAAGCGGCCCGCCGCGAAGCACTTCGTCAGCGCCAACAGCGCAAGCGCATCGTCCGAGCGCATTTCAACGTGCATGAGAACCAGGGAGGATACCAAGTCGATGCTGAGATTCCCGGCTTCGAGCAGGAGCACATCGAAATTGAAGTGACGGACGACAACACCCTGAGACTCTCAGGCAATACCGAGAGGAAGGTTGAGCAGCAGCAGCCACAGCCCGCCGAGACATCTACCAAGATATCAACAAATGAGGTTGACGCTCCTCATGACGCCATGGACGGCATGACCCTCAACAAACCCGAAGAGGCCACCGCTTCCGGTGCAGCTACTCCCGCGCATTCCGACACCGAGTCGCATAGGTCTTACCAGGCCACCGTAGAAGACGACTTCGAAGACCTTGGTGCTGAGACTTCATCCACCATATCTGCTCATATGGACTCTGACGCACCCAAAGAGTCCAAGGGCAAGGAGAAAGCTGTTGATCAGCCCGCCACTACCAATACCGAGACCGCTGTGCAGCAGCAACAGCAGCAAGAGAACGAGGAGCGGCGTTTCCACGGCTCCTTCGAGCGAACGTTCCGCTTCCCGGAGAGGATCGATGCTGTTAATGTGACGGCCAGCCTTAGGAATGGTCTGCTTAGCATCACTGTCCCAAAGGCCAAGGCTCCGGAGGTCAGGAGGATAATAATTCAGTAGATCGATGGACTAGTTGCGGAGGAAGACGGCAATATAATAATGGTATCTGGACATGTTTCGATAGGGCTTTGGGCTTGTTGTACGATACTTTAGGTATCGGTAATGGAATGGATCATGAATAATGCAAACTCAATACTGTCTATAAATCTACGTGATGTTCTGCTCTCGTGCGAATCTTCGTCGTTCTTTCAGACATGCGTAATGGTGACCGTGCGCTTTCGCAGCTTTTGCGAGTGTTGCGGCCCATGGTCCAGGATACTGTAATAAACCGTTGGAAAAAGAAATCCCGACATTTTAGAGCTTAGTTCATTATTGGTGTAGTTGAGGAGGTTCAGCCAAGATTTCCAACCCCAATCTTCAGTGTACCTTCCCTACACCACTTGCTTCGACTTCATATAGGACGCGGCTCACACAACATGTGCCATGGCAATGCTCTTGCCTTTGCCCTCACCGTTGTACAGCGAACACAAATCTAGAACAAATGAGACTGGATTTGAGCCGGCGCCGCGTGCGACCGCCGCTTGAGGTCGACGATGGCATCTCGGATGCAAAGATAGGAGCACGATTTTGAGACCTTCAAGACGAATGGCGCGCAGAATTGTGGGTTGGCCGATGGAGTTGGCCATCTTCATTGGATTACGTGTAAATGTGCTTATGATGGTGGCACTGACACATGATTAGCTCCTTGCGACCGGGCGTGCTAAGTATTTCAATCGCTATGCATAGGCTTTGGTGCGGTCGGTGGAACGTTCAGTGTAGTCGGCTGGGGCGCTGTGACAGTCTTTTACTATTTAAAGGCACTCATAGGCGCGCTGTGTTTTGCGCCGATAGCGATTACTGCTTCTGCCTGGCTGTGGTTGTACGATTATAGTGAGTGGAGGAGGGGAGGTGCTGTGAAGATGGCGGTCTATGCTGGGCATTGGATGATGGTTTCCATCAGTGCGTTTGTTTTATTGGGGGGAGTTGTGGGATTTTTGAGCATGTTAAGATGGCGTGCGCGGATGGGACGCTTGGTAGACCGTTTAATTGTGCGGATACCTACATAGTAGTTTGGGGTTACATGGGTAGCGTGTGGGGGCGGGAATATAGCTTAGAAAGCGCTCTGATATACATCGCACAGACTGGTCTCGAGCATGGTATGGACGGGTTGCAATATAGTATCGATGAATCCGCGAGAAACATATGGGACGAATGACATGCTTCCAGGGCGGCCAAGTCCAATCTCCCTTTTCTTCCTTCCAGGCTGCCGACTTCCTTTTTCGGTAACGAGTCTTCAATCTAGCCCCTGATAATTGAAATCTTGAGCCTTAGGGTGTCCTGCTCCGATCGCGCACGCCGAACATATACGAGAATCCTTCAGCTGGTGCCTACCATAGTTCAATAAGCCAATTCATGCTGTGACAATTCCAAGTCTAGTGCAATTGCGACCCCGAGTAGCCGTGAAAATATATGAAACAAGGCTTCTTCTGCAGTCGTACATCAGCTTCATCGACATCACGATTATCTCGAAAACCAATACACAAACCAAAACAGCTGCACGATGATGCACCCCTTTACGCTCGCCCTCGCCCTCTTGCCCATCCTCAGCACTGCCTACATCGTCGACCCACCCACAACCACAGCTCCCGATACCATAGAGGACTGTACATATTGGGCCATCGCCAACGAAACCTCTAGCTGTGACTCGTTAGTAGCCGAGAACACGTATCTTCCACTCACCCTCGAGCAATTCAAAATCTACGTAGGCAACTCCCTGATTGATCCTTACCTGAAAATTAAGCATTCCAGAACCCAAGTCTGGCTGATAGCTGCGACCTCATCGTCGGCAACTCGTACTGCATCGAGCAAAACTTTGGCATACCCCCTACCACTCCCACTCCCACTTCTTCTTCAGCAAGCAGCACCAGTGCAGCTCCTACTGCGACCCCAACGTCAGTGTTAGAGATATGCCAGGCGCAGGGTAGTTATTCACGGTACTGCGACCGCTGTCTTTCGCGCTGCGCGAATGAGACGAAATATATTGCGGAGTGTTTCAACAGCGTCTTTTCCACAATCAATTACTACGACAGCCAGTGCTGGCAGCATGGAGGGATTGATTGCACGAATAAAGCGGTTGATATCGTGTGTCCGAGGCAGTAGGGGGTGGAGGCGGGAGATGGAAGGCGGAAACGTAAAGGGGTGGCGATGAGTAGAGTATTGTATATAATGTGAGATACAAGAGCAAACGCGGCTGGTGAGGAATAGCAGCTTTTTAATCCACGAGACTGATGCGCTTACGATTGCACGATCGTTGACCACTGAAGGTGGAAGTCCGTCGCAGGTTCATGGCTAGGAGCGGCGTACTTTTTCATAACTAGTGACTATTTGCGGTGAATGATTATCGCTTTCTCAGGCACCTGTTACGCTTGCAATATCCGTCTATTGCATCACTCGACAGCATCGATCAATTGGCGTTCCATACGCTTCTACGAAAAGCGTCCCATCGACTGCGATAGGCTGCAAACCGGCTATCTAGATATTGTATCTGACCTCAACGCATGCACCTGCGCCTCTAACGAAGTTTAGGAAACGTCTTCCGTGTCGGCCTCATTATTGTTATCGTCAATGGCGGAGGCTTCGTCGCTGTCTTATTGTGTGTGGCGTCCGAAGGTTTTGGTTCGACTTGCACGGCCGAACCAGGGGTTTTGTGGAGAGACTGCAGGAGCCAGAATACGAAGATGATAACAACCGCCACTGGCAGCAAGCTTGCCAGTGGTACAGCGACTCCAATGGCTATTGCAACTTTCTGAATGCATACTGTAACTGTAACCTTGACATGCTAAACTTACGAACATCGGTTATCTCCATCCTCATTGTTCCAGAAGACTTGCGCCGGCTCGAATTTGACCGGCCGATTAAACCCCCGGATCGGGCTGCCATACCTTAGAAACTTGCAGATACCGGACGTACCAATTTAGCGCTGAGCCTATCCAATCACGATACACAGCAATAAAAGTGGGATTTACAGCCTTTTACTGGCCCAAATTACTTTTAGTACGTCCGTTATCTGCGAGACAAACTACTCACTGCAACACTAGGGCTACTCTCCTCAACTGAAAGCGCCATCACTATCCTGGCACTATGCGAGGCATTCCGGTCCACGTTTTTTGTTCATACTGCTAGAGCCATGGCTATGCGTGTGGTGCGGCGTGCCAGTGAGTACTGTGTCATTAGCATAGATTCAGACAGGTTGGGGTTGAGAAGGGATGTCTGCTGATCGCTTGTTCATGTGATGTTCATTTTGTACAGTAGTGGGTCCCTCTATTGCCCGCGCGCAAGCTATTGCAAGAACATAACAGTAAGGAAACAGAAAAGGACAGTTCGATCACTTCCTGTACCACATTCTTGTAATCTTGGTGTGCCTCATCTTCTTCTGCAGCTGGAAAATGCCGTACATCAGGGCTTCTGCCGTAGGCGGACATCCAGGGACGTAGATATCCACGGGCACGATCCTGTCGCACCCTCTTGTGACTGAGTAGCTGTAGTGGTAGTAACCTCCTCCATTTGCGCAACTACCCATGGAGATGACCCACCGAGGGTCGGGCATCTGATCATACACCTGTCGCAGGGCCGGAGCCATCTTGTTGGTGAGTGTACCGGCTACTATCATGACGTCGGACTGGCGCGGCGAGGCACGGAAAATGATACCGAGACGATCCTGGTCGTAGCGGGGTGCGGACAAATGCATCATCTCGACGGCGCAACAGGCAAGACCGAAGGTCATAGGCCAGAGCGAGCTCTGTCGAGCCCAGTTGGCAATCTGGTCGAGTGTGGTACTATCCGATGTCAGTTTTGCTTCCCTCCAGGCGATAGCCCGCCTCTTCAAAAAGCGACCGGAAGGAGCGGGGATAAAAACACATACAGCGCGTATTGCATGGCGCCCTTCTTTCCTTCCTGACTCGGCAGCGGGACTTCTCGCCGTGCCTGCTTCATCGGGGGCGGTGTTCCGGGCGCTCCAGCAACGAGACCCGGCTTCTGCATGGTCGTCGCATTGTTCGAAGACGTGTTTGAGAGGAAGGCGACGCTCCCGGCGCGGTAGGGCAGCAGCGCACTCGTCGGTTTGGCTGTCCACTTGGTTAGCTCCTGGCTGGCGGCGCGCTTTGGCGGCGGTGGGACGCACCTCGGAGGACCATTGAGGCGGCAGACCTCGTAGACGACAACATGTTGGCTGTCGAAACAAAGGAAAGGGCCCGAAGAAGGAGTGGAGAGCAATCGGTCGTGGTGGCGATGGCCGAGAAAGATGCAGTGGTGAGGTCAAATCGTCAAGCTTGGGCTTGGCAAGAGCGTCCGATTAGCTTGCCGAATCAAGTCGACGCTGGTTGGTCGGTGCAGCAGGCGCGAACCACTACACCTCCGCCATCACTGTTTCGGACACCATCGGCGACACCATCTCCTTCATTCGTTTGTAGAAGCCGGACTCAACTTGAACGCCTAACAGTTCTAAGGGCACGCGAGGGACGAGGCGGTGCTTGTATATACCTCTGGGCAAACATCATGTCGAGCAGAGTGCCATCAATAGCATGCATAGGGGTCATCGGCAGACACGTGAGCATATACACTTTGTCATAGTCTTCACAAATACATGATACTGATCCCGTTACAGAACAACCCGCTTCACATCTCATTGTTTCCACCGGAGGAGCGAGCACCGTTGGAATTCCAGTTCCTCCTGTCATCATGTCTAGACATCTTCGAAGCCCGCCTGCCCCACAAGACTGTCGACCAAGACTTTGGACTTCTCCAAGCCGTCGATGAGCGGTTAGCTATGTACGGTTGGCTGACCAACACCGGTGTAAAGTTCGTTGTGGTTGTGGACATGGAGGGACGGCCAGCGAATCCGTTAGATACCAAGTCTTCGACAGCAGTTGGGCTGCGAGATGCGGATCTCAAACCAGTATGAGCACATCCATCCAGACTCGCATCAATATCTGACAATCCCAGGCTTTTAGAGCGTTGCAAACAGCATACATTGTGCTCTTGCGCAATCCATTTTACAACCCGGACGAGCATTCACCGGTCACAGCGAACGGCGAACAGAGATATGGCTCGACTCAGATCACCAGTAAGATGTTTATTCAGGAAATCAAAAGAGTAGGCGATGCATGGGCACCTGGAGTCAGCGTGATTTGATCCGGGGGTCGATTGAAGATCTCGCTGAAAGCTGCAGCATTTTCAGGCGTTCTGGGCTCGTTCAATATTTTCTCTTCATCATTCATGACTACGATGTCAAGAGCTCCTTCATTCGAACCTTTGCTGAACATTTTTTCGCGACGCATGCGCAACCCGGCCGATCTTCGGATCTAATGCCCAACCAAATGTTGCTTAGTGCCGATCTCATGAACGACGACCCTTAGCCATCTACTACAGACAACCATTCTTAACTCTTCAAGCTCCAAATGCCACCCAGAGCGTCAAGCCTAACAATCACCAATCCTCTCGTTCTATACAGGAGTCTTATAGCGACCAATCGCATCCAGCCTGACCCTGCACAACATCGCCTCGGTACAGTGCATGACATCAACACCGTGGCCGCCAAGACAAAATCTAATATTACCTGCAGCCCTTCATCTTCAAAAGCTCTACGAAAATCTCATAGACTATGAACCCAACATCGAATATTCAGATCGTCTAAAACAATTAAGTCGTGCCGTTGGTGCCAGTCGAGATGCCCCTCCAGAACGCGCACCGCTTGGCACAAGGGGGATATGGACATCTCTCCTTGCGCAGAAAGAAAAAAGGGATTCTCTCGCTTTAACACGCACTCTTACCAGTCACGAAGCTGCCATGGCGCTGCAAACCCCGAAAGGCTTAATGTTACACGGCGACGTTGGGACGGGGAAGAGTTTGCTTATCGACCTGTTCGCCGATTGTCTGCCCAATCGCAAAAAGCGAAGATGGCATTTTAACACATTCATGCTGGGAACTCTTTCGCGTCTGGAGGAACTCCGCATGTCAAGATCTTCTCCACCCTTGGACGGAGTCGCTCAAGACGAGTACAGCTTGTTATGGCTAGCTCGCGACCTTATTGAGGAATCGCCCGTCCTTTTCCTCGATGAGTTTCAGCTTCCAGACCGCGTGGCATCCAAGATTCTATCAAACCTTATGACTAGTTTCTTTCAGCTTGGTGGCGTCTTGATAACGACGAGTAACCGCATGCCAGAAGAATTAGCTAAGGCTGCGGGAATGGAATTTGCGAGGCCGATTTCAAGACTAGGTCGTTTGGGATGGAGGATGGGTATGCAGGGCGTGGTGGGAAGAGACGATGGACCGGGGCAGAAAGGCGAGTTCGCGCAATTCTTGGAAGTACTGCGGACGAGGTGTGAGGTTTGGGAGATGGAAGGCAAGCAAGATTATCGGAGGATTACAGGCATGGAGGGATCTTCTGTCCGGTCGGTAGAGACCACGTCGAGGACCAACTCGCGAGGCCCAGGCCAACAAAGTGCTATCACCGAAACCGACGTTGCTTCCGCGCCAACAAACTCGGAAGTCACCCTCCCAAAACACTACCTTCTTACACCCTCTCCCACCGCCACAGAGGCCGAGGTCATTTCATACCACCAATCCCTGACTGCAAGCGCCCATAACGCAACATCTACACCAACCTTACAACGGATAGCGTGGACTTCCTTCGCCCTAAGAGTCTACGGTCGACCCTTGCACATCCCTCTGCAATGCAACGGTGTTGCCCTTTTCAGCTTCGACCAGATCTGCGGCACCCCTCTGGGACCCGCAGACTACATTACCCTCGCCTCAACTTACTCCACGATCATCATAACCTCTGTCCCGGTACTCACCCTCCTGCAAAAGAACGAAGCCCGCCGCTTCATCACCCTCCTAGACGCCATGTACGAAGCGCGATGCCGCCTCCTTATCGCTGCTGCTGCTGCGCCGGATGACATTTTCTTTCCCACCTCGCCCTCGACGGAGAGTACCGCAGAGGAGATAGTGGACGACGCAGTGCACCCAGAAACCTACTCAGAAGTTCACCAAGACCTGACCAGCCCCTTCCGGCCTAATATCTCCTCCTACAATCTCTCTAGCTCTCTGCCGATGGACAGCCTAGAAGACGACCCACCCAACCGCTTCCGCCGCGCAGGCTCCTCTTGCACCGACGAGTGCCGCGCAGGCACCCACGGCCCAGACTTCGCCAACATCGCCGGGCTGACGGGCGAGGACGAGCGCTTCGCTGTCAAGCGCGCGGAGAGTAGGATATGGGAGATGTGCTCGCAGATTTGGTGGGAGAAGGAGGATCGCTGGCGGCCTTTACCGATGGATTCGAGACATTGGGAAAAGGCGAAACCTGCGAGTGGGGACGTGACGCCTGTAGCGGAGCTGCAAGAGCGGGCGGGCGCACCAAACGAAATGATTCCACATGGTGCGAGCCCATTTCGGACACGTGAGGATGCGCCGCCGAAGATTGCGTGGACGCATGTTTGGGGGACAGTGAAATGGGGGAAGAGAGCTGGTGCGTGGGGCAAAGGCGTTGAGGGCTTGGAGGAGCGGAAACGAGAGGCTGAGGTTGGGAAGGCCGAGCGGAAGCAATGAGCTCATTGCGGTGACATGCAGGTTTTTTTCCTTTCTAGAGTCATGAGCTCGTATCATATGTAGTAAATGAGCATGTGTACCCTGTGCTACCTACCCCAGGCTGAACAAAACGGCACCCGAACTTTTGACCCAGTTGCAAGAAAAAATCCATTTCACCCGTAGGCCCCGGCTCAAAGTGTTTTGATTCGGCTTCCAACCGATGCACCGTCAATGAGTACTGACGCAATGATTCTAGTCTCTGTGCTAGTCTTTCCATGTGTCGGTCGAAGGATGAATATTGTTTGAAGTAGTGCAAGTATTTGGCACCAGATCATTCAGACAAGGCTACTTATGAGACCAAGTTTTCTCGGGGAGATAGAGAGTGCGTGGTGGGCGTGGACGGTGGTCTGGCGGGTGAGGTGAAAGACGAAGTCAACATTTCTTTGCTTTAGTCATGATGAGATGTTGCTCTCTGTACTGGGGTCCATTTGACTTGATCTTGTCAAGCGCTTCACTGTATCTTTCCCTTGTTCACCACAAATGACTCCATCACAGAGATGGCAGACCACAGCCTATTCTCCGCTTCCCGGAACACCACGGATCGCGGACCGTAGAATACCTCATCGCTGACCTCCTCAGGATGTCGAGGCAGGCAGTGCATGAACGACCAGCTCTCCTTCGCGCCGCCCCGCTTCGCTAGCTCAGATGTGATCTGGAAGCCTGAGAAGGCTTTGAGTCGCTTAGCGGACTCCTCCTCCTGACCCATCGACACCCACGTATCCGTCACTAGGATATCCGCATCCTTGATCGCCTCTTCTGGCACCGTAGTCTCAATCAACTTCCCTGCCTTACCCTGGGGTGGGGTCGCAGCAGCCTGCTCGATGACACTTCGCATCGCCTTAGGGATTTCATACCCCTTTGGCGTCGCAACGGCGATGTCCACACCTAGCTTCGTAGCGCCGATAGCGAGGTCGAAGAGGACGTTGTTTGCGTCGCCGACCCATGCGATCTTCATGCCCTCTAAACCTAGCGAGGTTGTCGAGGTAGATGGGTTGATCTCGGTGATTGTGAGAAAATCGGCAATGGTCTGCATGGGGTGGTACAGGTCGGAGAGGGCATTGATGACGGGGACGGAGGAGTGCTTCGCGAGGTCTGCGACGTCGGAGTGGGGGCCAACGCGGGCGACGATGGCGGCGGTCATGCTAGAGAGGACGAGAGAGGTGTCGTAGAGGGACTCGTTGACCTGTTCACGACTGTTAGCGATTGCGATAAAAGAAGCAATGAAGGAGGCGAATGCGTACCCCCAATTGAATGTCGTCTTTACCCAAGAACATGGGACTTCCTCCAAATGCCGCAATTGCACCTTCGGTCGACACCCTCGTGCGCGTACTCCGCTTGCTGAAGGTCATGGCTATTGTCTTGCCTGCGAGCGCACTTGAGAGGTGGGGCCAGCCATTGCCAGACTTGATGTCTGTCTTATGCTTTCCAGCATTGCGAACGAGCGTTGTGAGTTCAGCCGGTGTGAGATCCGCTATTGAAAGCAGATGTCGGGGTGCGAAGGGTGATGTGTGTGGAGCAGCCGGGGAGCTGGAGCTGGCGTAGGAGCGGTGCTGCGTCCGGACTAAGCTTCGGAGGGTGCCTGTTGCTGGGCGAAGGGGAGGCATGTTGCTCAGACGAATGCACTCGAAAACGTTGAGTCCAATTGAAGCTTTATACAGCCAGAGGAATCAATGTTTGAGTCACACGCCCTGGCGGTGTTTTTTTGATGGAGAGGCTAGCATGCCTCACGAATCTGGGGTCGTTATCGCTACACTTGGATCTACCCCTGCTAGCGCGCCTCGGCACGGCCCTCCAAGTCAAAGCCCAGTTGATGACGCCTCAACATGCAGCAGCCCTTCGTACCTGAAATATTGTGCTCCACCCAGGCCCTCTTTCCTACGAAACCGTATGAGTCGCATCACCTAGCAGCTGGCCTCTGCGCATCGCTACCAGACGCCCTTCCGCCATGGACACGCCCGACTACGGTGGTGCCTGGGGCGACTCGACCCGCACCAACTCGCGCCCAGCTTCTCAGAGATCAGGCAAATCGTCACGCACAGCACGCTCGCATACCTCAGAGAGGAACCCAGATGAGGTTTCGCCGCTATTAGCAAGACCACAGGGTGATGAACATGAAGAGGGTGGAGATGATGAGGAGCACGCAACCGCCACCACGTCGCTGCTTCGATCGCTCAGCAGCGGCTCGTCAAGTGGGAAGAAGGACGATGATAAGAGGCCGTTCTGGAAGAAGAGATGGCCTAGCATTGTAGCGCTCGTTATATTGGTCATCGCGGTGGTGTTCATAATGCTTGGATTCCTGGCGACCGAAGGCATAGAGGAGTATGCTATGCAGGCCGCTGACTTCAAGCCCACAAAGCTATCCCTAGACTCGTTGACGGACACCGGTGTGCGGGTGCAGGTAGAAGGATACTTCAGCATGGATGCTTCGAAGGTGGAGAAGCAGAGCGTGCGTAATCTCGGTCGCTTTGGCACTTGGATCGCAAGAGAGGTCGAGACGGGGCCGACCGAAGTCTACGTCCACCTGCCCGATTATGACATGGTCCGTGTAGGCACAGCCAAAGTCCCTGGTATCAAGGTGAACATTCGCAATGGCCATACCACACACGTCTCGTTCTTCGCCCACCTCGAGCCGGGCAGGTTCGATAAACTCCGCAACGTTGCCAATGATTGGATGGACGGTCGATTGGGTCAGATTCGCCTGAAGGGCAAGGCCGACGTGCCCCTGAGGTCTGGTCTCATACGACTTGGTTCGCAAACCATCGTAGAATCCTTTACATTTCAAGGTACGCGGTCCCCCTGGGGACGTGGCGTTGCTGATACGAACGCGTGCTAATAGTACCCCGGTTGCAGGAGACAAGCTTCCTGGAGTCCCTCGGTACAATATCACAAGGCTCAATCTTCGAGAACAACGAGAAGGACGGAAAGGAATGGGTGCAGATGTTTCCATCATGGTGACCAACGACTTCCCTGTCCAGCTCACCATTCCTTCTGTTGCTGTTGATGTGCTCGTTGACGGTTGTCTGGAGTCCGACAAGCACATCATGGTTGGCACTGCCGAAACTGCGCAGCTACAAGTAGAACCGAAGCGTGACGTCGAAGTTAACGTTACTGGGCGTGTGGACACGCTGCCAGAGGCTCTGACCGAGACATGTCCTGGTTCTTCTAAATCACCACTCGACGCGCTCCTTGGAGACTATATGCATGGTCAAGACGCCAAACTTTACGTGCAATGCTGCAACTTCCCCGATCCGGAGACTCCCGCCTGGGCGCACAATCTTCTCAAGGATATTACCGTCCCTATTCCTCTGCCTGGCCACGAGATGGGAAAACTCATTAGGAATTTCTCCCTGGCCGACGTTCACTTCGACCTTCCAGACCCCTTCGCCGAGCCAGGCACTCCGGATGCTGCCCCTAAGATATCCGCTGTGGTCAAGGTTGACATCAACATCCCCAACGAGATGAACTTCCCCTTGAACGTGGACCGCGTCAAGGCTGACGCAGATATATTCTACCATGGAAAACTGCTTGGAACTCTTGATCTCAAGAAATGGCAAGATGCCAACTCCACCCGGATCGATGCACACGGAAGCGACGGTCCTTCCCTACTAGTACAATCTGATGTCCAGAAAGCTCCGATCAACATCAAGGATGATGACCTGTTGAGCGAAGTCGTCCAAGCACTTATTCTCGGGAGAAAGGGCGTTACAATGAAAGTCAAGGCCGCGGTCAGCGTCAAGGTGGATACCCCCATGGGCGGATTTGCAGTGCGGGAGATACCCGCGGAAGGTGTCGTCCCGGTCAAACGTTCGTGACCCACCCAGTTCGTGCTCCAGGTCGAATTTCCCTTCGGGGCAATCGCTAACACCCCCTGACCAGCAATTGGAAGCGGAAATGGCAACGGCAGTGGAGGAGCTCACAATATCAGCTCACTTGCGCCTAAGATCGGAAATCTTTCGATTGTTGACACCTCGCGGACTTCTATCACTCTCCAAGCAAGCGTTAATATCACTAACCCGACTAATTACTCGGCCACCGTGCCATACCTCAACATCAATATCCTCGTCAACAAGACGGTCGTAGGACAAGCCGTAGCAAAAGACGTCTACGTATATCCTGGCAACAACACGAACCTCCTCGTAACCGCCGTGTGGGACCCCTACACGCACAGCGGCGCAAAAGGAAAAAAAATCGGGAGACAGCTCCTCTCGCAGTACATCTCCGGTACGTCTCCCTCCTCGCTCCTTCTGAACCAAAAGGGTAACAATACAAGGTTGCAACGTCTCCCTCACCCTCCAGGCCCACAACGGTACCATCCCAACCCAGCCTGCCCTCGGCGCCATCCTCTCCCGATTTCCCATCATCCTTCCCGCCCCCCACCTCTCCACACCAAAGGACCCCGGAGAATTACCTCCCGACGAAGGCGATCCCCCCGACGACGGCAAAACTCACTTCATCCGCTCCGCAACCATGCACCTCCTCACCTCGACTGCTCTCTTCACCCTCGCGTCACCCTTCTCCAGCACTACAATGTACATCACCACCCTCAATGCAACCGCGTTCTACGACGGACAGCCCAGTGGGAAGATACTATACGAGCTGCCGTTTGCGGTGCCGCCGGGGCTGAGCGAGACGCCCCGCTTGCCGGTGGACTGGAGCATTGGGAGCGTGGGATATGATGCTATTCGGAAGGCGTTGGGGGGCACGTTGAGGTTGAGTGCGTTTGCAGAGGTGGGGATAAGGATCGGGGCTTGGAGGGAGCAAGTGTGGTATAGAGGGGGCAGTATTGGAGCGAGTGTGAGACTATGAGGATGTTGTCAGGACATGTGTGGAAGCGCGCCGAGATTGAGACGCAGGCGGAATTGTTTGCATACGTGTACAAGACTTTTTTTTATTGTATTCTTTGGGATGGTTGGGAGAGAACACAATGGCGTCGCTTGCGCTATTGCTACACAATTTCAAGTAGATTTTTATAGAAGAAACGATCTGTACGAAAGTTTTCTGTGTCTACGTTTTATCTATGCTTGCTTCAAGCGAATCTCGCTCTAGGGACTAACCAGCCAAGAATCATGTGCAAAGAGATATGCCAACACCGCTGAAATTATTCACACTCGCAAACAGAGCCTTGCGTGGTGAGGTCGCCGGAAACAATAGCAGACGTTCAAGAGTGGAACGCTTTATCCTTTGATCGCCACCTGTATCGACTTTGTCTTTGCTCTTCCACAATTTTGCGTCAGCCTTCCACTGGAGCAGAGCTTAACAATAGCGGGGTTGGAAGACTAACGCACAAGTCGACAGATGGTTCTGGACGTTACTGCGAAGCGAGTTTATTGCGTTCTGTATGTGGTCGATGCGGTTTCGGAGACATTGATCCGGGTCTATGCTGGTATGAGGTGACACCTGCGCCTTATCTCGGCAATAACCCCACGGCAGTGCAGACTTCGATAGAAACAGCCTATAATGAAGTAGATGCAGAAGGGTTACAGGTCGTTCTGGCCCAGATACGTTGGCAATGCATGTGACTCAGTTCTTTCTATGAAGGACATGCGTGCGTTATGCATTAGATAGGCACATGGCCGAGACATCAGGCACGAAAAAAATAAGTCAAGGAGCATTTTTGGAGCCGTTTTTAAGCGCATCGTATTTCTTGCAGAATCACAACTCACGGCTACGATGTTGTATTCACAGTCTTGCGCCCTGATGCGGTGAGCAAGGCGTAGACACCGAGCAAGGTAGAATCGCCCAAGAAAGTCGGTAACCTTCCAGCTTGCCCGTACCAGGAGACCTGCCATAGGTTGATCCTTCTACGACAAGATTACCAGGGAGCCATCGTGCAGGTGAAACCTGCAGCACACTAGCCTGACAGGCAACAGTGCATGTCCATCACGCATTGAAGTGTGATATAACAGCACGTGAATGTTGGCGATTGGTGTTGTTTCATAGGGGACTGCTGTGGGACAAGGTAGCCGCTTGCCACCTTCCTTTCCAATACCAACAGCATCCACATAGGAGAATAAGCGCGAGCCGCGTCCGTCATGCAGACTTGTGGCAGAAAACAGTGACAAGCCTTCTTGAAAGAAAAATTTGTGGTTGTGCGCGGTCTGCCTTCGTCCGTATGATCGGCCGAGAGGTGGATGGGCTCGGAGCTCGTGTTGAAACGCGACGCTTTCAAATCTGCCTTGGGCCTGTATTCTAGTAAACACAACACCAACGCTAGAGCTAGATAGACTGCAAATCGGAGCGCCACTTCGAGCGTGTGATAGTCAGCTCATGGCCTGCGCAGATATTGTTGCCTCCACTCAGCACGAAATTGTCTCGCATCAATTAACACCGCTCAAGATTTTCGCCTGCCGCCTCATGTACAAGCTCATAGCTCGTCAAGGGTGATGTCCTGCCGACCGCCCAAAGCTGACCCCAGTGCAACGAACGGGAGAAACGCGGCACCCAAGCGCGTGAGGCGTTCCCTATACAAGCAGGGTGCACGGCGTGTTGTACAACATGAAAGCGGGTCGGCTCGTACGCAGGCGTAATCCATCTCCATGCAGCTGATCTGTTGTTCCGTTATGCGTTCGCCAGTTTGGGACGGCCGCATCGGAGGAAGAGAGGTTATCGGGCGTGCTATTCCTTCGCTTACAGCCGCATTCGGAGAATGGCTTGATCCTGCGATCGACCGTGCGGCAGATTGATGTAGTAGCCATCGAAGACGTGTTGGCACCCGCAGTCAGGATCATCTTCATTGGGGTTGCGTTCATGGTAAAGTACGAACGATATTCATGTCGCCCGTTAATGCCGTCAGCATCTTGGTAGGGCGCTCTGGCTGCCTGTTCTCATCTGGTGTGTTGTCGGTACCAATCGCTAAAACAAGGGAGTCACGGGTGCGGAAGGAAGGAGCACTTACGCCCTGAACAAGTCGGCTGTGCATGCCCACCCTGACGGGGTCTGTCAATGTTCGTAGTAACACATACAGCTTGGGTGATCATATGCTGAGTTGTTCAAGAGTAGTGGGAGGAGAGAATCATTGGAAAAAGTCAATGCAGGACGCGGTCGCGCTTTGGGTTTTGCAGGCGCGAGGGAGCCACGTGCTTGGAAAGAGGAAGGTGCACACGAATTCACGATGGAGAAGACGCGAGCAGACGAAACGACACCATCCTGTGCCAACGAGGATTTCCGTGTGAGCTTACAGGGCCGCAATGCGGACACATTGGCCCTGTTGACAAGGTAAACATGAGGCGCGCAGTCCCTGCTCCGAGGAGCTAGGAATCGCCTGTTCGAACATCGCAATGCCGAAACAGTTCGGGTCTCGAACACCAGTACATGTCAAGTGTAGACATAGTACTGCAGAAGAGCATAGACATATTGTAGGAAAGAGAGTGCAAACTAATCGTTGATAGTGAGCGACGTGACTGAGCTTGAAATTAGTAAATGGGACTGGACCAAGGCGAAAGTGGAAGATACCTCCATTACTCCGGAGTATTTCAAATGTCTCAAGCGATCAGGACCGGAGTGGAGACTCTGTACGTACTTTACCACATGTCGATGAGCAGTAAGCCACAAGTAGTGCGAACTTAACGTTGATTAGGAAGCACGCAACCGACAAAGTCCGATGTAAACAGCCGAGCAACCATACGATGGAAAGCTAGTGGTAGTGTAAGGCAAAGACGCATGAGTGCCTAGGCATGAACTTCGACGCGAAAGTAGTTCCACTATCTCAATGTAGCTGCTCGATTCGGTAGCGTTGTGGTGGCTTAGTCGCTCCATTGGGCAGCTAGGAACTGCGCGGAAGCACGGAAGCTACACATCTCTCTGCCGAAGAACTTTACCCAAAGATCATCAGTGGATTCGGCAATGCATCCAGAGTTCCGGGTTGTACGAGGCAGACTGCAGCTGTGTCGTACATGTGCATAGTGCAACCGGTCCGGGACCACGCCTCGTGTCAACCTCTCGAGCCCTGGAAACATTGCGGTCACGTGCGAACCCGACGTCCACGAATAATCACTCGTTGTATCATGTCGGGTTCCACAGAATCCTGTGTACTCTGCAAACCCGGGTAAATGCATCTGAGGCCTCGTGTGTCGAATATGCGTAATGAAAGCAAAGTCTGGCTGCCTATCTATAGATTCTGCCTTGGGGTGTTGGCATTGGCTGGCGACGACACTGCGAACCCAGGAGGACGACGAATTTCAGAAACCGTGGTCTTCTTCACTTCGTCGATACGACTCTTCGAGAGGCTGATTCCAGGCACAATCCACTCGCTACAGCTGCATTGCATGCCTTGCCAGGCATATTTTCCTACGTTAGTACGGCATTTGGGGCATTCAAGACGCCCGTCCAGTTTGCCTTGTTCGAGCTCTGAACGCATCCACGACAGCGGATCCAAGAAGTAGTGAGCACAATCGCGAGATGTTTCTACGGTAGATGGTGTTTGGCTTTGATCGTTGGCACTCTTGGATGAGCCGTGAGCGACTAGATATTGTGACGTTGCGAGAGGCCGCCTGCAGATGGGTGAGCGTTGAGCCAAAACCGGTGGCAACGTCGATGATGGTCAATCCGTGTTGATTGAAGAGATTTCACTGACCTGCATTTGCGACATCTCAGCTCGAAGTTCGCAGCCTGATCGGTAACGTGCTCATCCTCGAAGCGAATCTTCTCTGCTTCAGGAGCTTGACCGACCGCTCGACTCAGCTCGATTTCGTGTTGGTATACCCACCGTTGATAGGCAGGCGTGTCCTCGACGTTTTCTGGCGTGCGCATCTGACCGTAGAGCTCCAATTGCTTCATGAATCCATCGTTTGGCTCCACAATCGACCGGGCTTGTCGTACTTGCAATAGCGCTTCGGAGACGCTGATGTGGTGCTTTTGCATCAGATAAGCGACGACACATGTGGCCGATCGCGATTTGCCCATGGCACTAGAAAAGTGAAAATGGTTGGCATCTCGAAGTCTTGTGCGTAGTGGCTGGAAACAAGTGTGGCAAAGAGGCAACGCGCACTGGATCTCATGACAAGAAATATGAAGCAGGGAACATGACAGAGATTGCGGTGCAGGACGCGCGTGCAGACGTGCAATGTCAATAAACGGGAGGCAAAAGTGCAACCATGCAGCCCCCCTTGGATGTTGATGTTGTATTTGTACCAGAAGGGGATTCGTTGTGGATGGTCGAACATGCAGGTCTCAGCTGCACTAGGATCTAAACTTACCAGTGTACAAGCACCCCGCCACCGCCATCGAGACCTTCCTGGATGAAACGATTGGTGGCGGGGAAGTGCTCGAGCAGGTTCTCGTCTTCGACATCGTCAACCTGGACGGCATGGTGCCTGAACGGGGTGAACAGGTCGTCGTCGAGTGGCATGCGCAGCACGGAGAGCACGTGAGTAATGTTAGCCTCCTCGAGAGCGTCACGCTGCGCCGGCGTGAAGATGCTATCGATTCGTCAGCCTCTCAGACTCGCGAAACGCACAGCGGAGGAAGATGACCGGGGTCCGTACCCGCCGATGTAGAGCTTCAACTCGCCCGGGACTTTGTCGAGGAGAGGCATGGCTTCCGGTTGGCAGGCCGACGATGTTCGGAAGGCGTCCACAGGCTGTGTGCGTAATGAGGATACTTGACATAAGCTGGCGTGGGCGTAGGCGTGAAGGTTGCTGGTTGCGGCTCAGGAATTTTGCACCGAGGCTCACCCAAGGTGCGCGCGCTTGGTTGACCAGTGACAGAGGCAGGCGCCACGGTGTAGAGGCCTGCTTGGGAACAGCGCAGCAAAAGGCAAAACGGTTGCTCAGTATCACGTCGGCGAGGTCAAGGGGACGGACGCGTTTAGAATCAGCTGGCGCGCTTTTAACTTGCGGCACGGCGTGCGATTCTGAGGAGCGCCACGCTCAGCCCTACGCGCTTGATGGCTCCGGCGGCAGTAGCCTTCTCCAGCTCGTGGGACCAGCTCACACTGCACGGTAGCGAACGAAGCGAACGACAGCGGAGCGCTGGGCAGGAGGCGGATGGAACGGAGTGTATCTGTCCATGTCACGGCAACCCCACACTCGCCCATGGCCCAGCGTGCCGGAGAAGCAAGCGCTACAGAAGACGCTGACTCCCACGACTCTGTCGGGCGTGCCACCATCATCGAGTGCTGGCCAGCGCTGCACGGCGCGCTCGGCAGAAGGTGACGGTCATGGTGGATGCCAATCGTGGCCCGGGAGGGCAGGCAGTGGACATGCAAAACGGATCGTCGGTCAGATCAGCGCCCGGATGGGGTGGTGCACAGAGGGAGAGGGGAGCGGAGGTCAGCAACGGACATGATCGATGGTCAGCGGCTGCACATGTAGCATCACAGCCCTACGTGCTGCGTGCTTTGCTTCTTCGGTCCGTAGCGAGCACGCCCGGACCCCTTCCCGTCCAGCTACCCGCTTCGTCTTGGCCGCTCTTCCGCCGGCGCCTGGAGAGAGCGAGAGACGTTGGCTTGCGATGCGGACGAGAGCCTGCCACGCTGCGTGCGTGCGGGTGAGCGGGCAGCACCCGCGCTGTAGATAGATTGAGTGCTCTGGCCCGGGCGCGAGTGAGCTCTCGTCCCACGCTGCCGGGCAGCACGTCTCTGCCGCCATGCCACGGATGAAACCCTCCCCTCTGCAGCAGCAGACGGCGCAGAGCAGCCAGCAGTGGTCGGCTCGCCTGCTGCTTTCTGGAAACCGACGGCGTGGTACTTTGAGCATGCGGTCGACTACGGGCTGCAGGCAAGTCTCTCCATCCATACCATGCGCACCCCCTGCATCTCCACCACGCCTACCCAGTCCGCTGAACCATCCGTGCCAGAATGGCTGGTCCGCCGCCAATCGCCTGGCCCGGCTACTGAGCAACGGTGCGTCCGGGATGAGTGCACAGGCAAGGCCATGGCTTTATGCTGAGAGGGCCCCCGTGGGATGCGGGCTCTCAGTCGTCTTTCCTGCTGCAACCTCTGACCAGAACCTTCGTCCTGCCAACAAGCCCCTGAGCCTCGTCACCCTCCTGGACCTGACCGTCGATGCTAGCGTTGCTGTAGCGGCCTGCTGTTGCTACCCAGCGCCCTGCCCGCTCGCTGCTGCGGCCGTCTGAAGCATTCCTGCTTGGAGCCCGCCTGCGAATGGCACCCGTCGACACACCGACGACACGCTTCGCATCGACTGAACGGCTGAGAGCCGCCGGAGCGCACTCTCGTCAGCTCACCACGCTGCATCACGCCAGCCAGAGCCGCACTCTGTATTGTAGGGTCCGCATCCGTCCGCAAGGCTCTACCTAGCTTTAGCCTTTAGCCCTACGCCGCCGTAGGGCTGCCGCCGCCTCGTCTGGACTGCATTGGCCGCGCTGACTGGCCCATCCGCCTCATCCCCCCAAAAGCCCTCCACGCTCCCTGCGCTGCCTGTCGTTGCGTCGTCGCCGCCGTCAACCTGCGTCTGTCGCCCGACGTCTGCCCCTGGGTCGGCCGTCCCGGCGCAGGTAGGTGTCGCAAGCACGCACTCTACTTATAGCCTGGGCCTGTGCACCCTCCCGCCTAGGGCTGCTCGACGAGCACTTCACAGACCGCGCTCGCCACACTTGCGGCATTCCTGTGGCGACGGCCACGCTTCAGCTGCCCAGTGTTGACGAGTGCGCGCCCCTGGCTCCCAAGACGACGTCAGACCTCACCGCCATCATGACCATGTCGCCCTCGACCCCGAGCATACGTATTTCTGGCTCCTCGCTGCACCGCTACCCGCTCCCCCACCACCACCGTCCCTCCTATCCGAGCCCTCCAGGAGCCATGGCCATTCCTCGGGCGCGGCAAGATGTGCCGCCTCCGTTGCCGCCGCCGCGTTACATTGGCGAGGAGCTGCGCGAGAGCGGTGTGGATCCAGGCTGGACATGGGGCAACAACACAAACTATTCGAGGGACACTGCCTTCAAGGGAAACCGACATGGCGCCATCAAGCCGGGCTCGAGTCTGCTGAGTGGAGCTGGCAGTGATGTCGCGTCCTCGCACGAGCATCCGGCAGAACACCTTTTTGCTGCAAGGGAGTCGCCTAGCGACCGATCTTTTGACGACGCGGACAGCTTGGAGCAGAGTGACGAGGACTACGGCGGGAAACCTCGGCAGAGACCCTCGAACCATAGGTACGTTTCAAATTTTGCCTTGTCGCTTCAGTTGCCCTTTCCCTTTACGTGCGCATGCTCTGTCCACCTCAGGGAACAATGACCCCAGACGACGGACCAACCGCGCCCGTTGTTGTGCCGTACGTTGCAATAGAGCCCTCAGACATGCGTGCGCAATGCATGTCTGGCATCATCCCACATTCCCATGACACAATGGCTAACAGAGCATCGCGCAGGTTCACTAGCGAGCGACAGCTGGGACAAGGACTTCTCGAAACATCGTCTCACGCTTACGACAAGCAGCTCCTGTCCAAGATAGGCGGCCCCAACACTCCCACGAGGACCACGGCGCCCTCGCTCCCAGCCACCTCTCAAGAACCTGCACCTAATGCGCACACCTCCTTCAACAAGCTGAACGGCCGACTGAAACCTCTCTCGGTGCCCGATCGCCTGCAACAAACGTCGCTCGAATCGCCCGTGTCCCGGTGGCCTCCTTCAGGTGCCGTGTCACCTGGCTTTTCCGGCTTCCGCAGCCCTGTGTTCGACTCTGGCTCCGCGGACGCTCATCAGCGGAGATTCGGCAGCATATCGACGCCCGGGCTGGACGACACTAGCTCCGTGCACCGCGGCAGTTACGACCATAGCATGTTTACGGAATCCGAATTTGGCGTGGAAGAGAACGGCATGCGGGATTTGAACATCAACGATCGCAGCCCTGCAGGGTCCGACGAATATCACCAGGGGCTAAAAGGCGGTCTAAAGCGACGCGCTTCGTCCCCTCCCTCGGAAGCTGCGCGTGAGGATCGGCCCACAGCTGGTGGCAACACTGACTTGTATCACCGCCGTTCTGCACAAATGCTCGTCAGCCGCAATGCGCCGCCTACAACGAACACAGCACGTTACCCGACGATTTCTCACGGGTCACAAAATCAAGGGTCGCTGTCCTCCGTGTCAAGTCTCGGTCAACGCACGGCTTCGTTCGCTTCTTCCTTTGGGTTTTCTGCAGCCAGTAGTTTGACCAGTTATAGCGGGGATCAACGTCTCTCGCCTAGTGCGCTGTCCCCCTCGGCGGAAGCGGAATTAGGCCCCGTCTCGCCATATGCAGCTAGCAGGTCACTAAACCCTAGCCCGCGTGGTTCGCTATCGAGACCGCACCACCAGCGAGGCCTCTCCGAGAACGAACATCCCCAGATTCACAGCGTGCGGAAGATGTCCACGGACAGTATTCTACACTCACGACAGAATTCGATTGGGGGTCGTATCGTGGGCTCGTACATCTGCGAATGCTGCCCCAAGAAGCCGAAGAAGTTCGATAGCGAAGAGGAGCTGCGGTAAGTCATGCCCGGCACTTGCCCACCGCCATTTCATCAAAACATTGCTGACATAACCCGCAGTGTCCATGAGCTCGAGAAGCAATACACGTGCCAGTTTTGTCCAAACCGTTTCAAGAACAAGAACGAGGCCGAGCGACACCAAAATTCGCTCCACTTGCGCCGTCACTCTTGGTCGTGCGCCGCGCTTGCAGGCGTCCATGCGGCCTTTCACCCATCTTCAACCCACTCTGGCGTGGCTGATGTGTGCGGATATTGCGGTGAGGAATTCCCATTACCTCCGAATTGGGACGCCAGGACCGAGCATTTGAATCACGTGCACAAGTTTGGAGAATGCAATCAGGCTAAGAAGTTTTTCCGAGCGGACCACTTCCGACAACATCTGAAGCATAGCCATGCTGGGACAAGTGGAAAGTGGACCAACATGCTCGAGAATGCGTGCATGAAGGACGAGCCCCCACCAAAAGAGCGCGTTGGCTCCATAGGATCAATTGTGGGGCAATCTTCTGCCCCGCTCGCCCCAAAACCAGGCACTATTAACGAAGTACACGAAGAATCATGAGGCGTTGGACGGCTCTGCTTGATTTGCGTTCAGCGTAGCATCTAAGCATACGGGTCGATGGCTGCATTTGCTGCATTTGTGTTACAAAGTTTCCACTACGCTACTGAGGAGCGTTCCTTTTCCATCACGGCTTGCTATGGCCACTAGCTGCCGCTCTCTACCTCGCATCGGCGATATTTACTGATACTCACCTCGATCAAAATCACCGGCGTCTCCTAAATGATCTGTTATGTCAGTTCAGCATTATTACTTTTCGGTATAACGACCTCACGACTGTTTTTACTCTGCTTTTGGTCGCCAAGTAGTCGCTCGCGACTCTTACGACGTTTGCTTGGTGCATTGGTAGGAGTTTTGATGGTGCGATGCTCCTGGTCGGTGTGTTTTGGCGCACATAGATAGTTCCACACCGATCACTTGCTTGTCGCTTGTATCTTTCTTTTTGAATTGGCCGGCAGCAGCAGCAGCAGCAGCATCATCATCATCATCATCATCATCATCATCATCACGTAATGAACATTGTCAGAATACCATTTCCCCGATATCGAGCGGCTTTGTGGGACGCATTGAAGGTTGCCATTGAATAAGTCCATCAGGCATAGATACGCATGGGATGAAAAGATCACTTTCACATTCATTGATGCCTTCGGTACCCTTCAGTCTCGTTCTCTATCTCCTTAACATTTTACCACTTCGGAGCACCAATCTATCTCCCGCAGCAAGACCAGAACAATGTACACAGTATCCAACCAACTTGCTCCAAACCATCATCAGGTCATCATCGTCTCTCCCCGCGTCTTCGCTCATGCGCAAGGGCGCATTCGTGGCTTACGCTACGATACAGCTGCGCCAAGCCATTGTGTCTCGGGGAAGCGTGACAGGCAGCCCGGAGGACGCAAACTCTATGCAACAAGTGTTTATCGATTGGAATGCAACGCTTACTCCAGAGTCTGTGTAGTGCGTGGGGGCCCGTGCTCACCGCAGCTTGAACGCTCGTGGCTGCTGCTGCATTTAACGCGCTTTCGCGCACCTGTTGGCCAATGGAGTAGGTCCATCCACAACGCCTTGACTCCGCGTGCATTCTTCAAAGGATCCGAGGAGTGAAGCACAGACTCGTCAGAACGCTCGTCTTCGCGGGATCCTTGCGGGCATCCAAACTTGTCCATACAGACAGGGACGTCAGCATCGCCATCAATCGATATCGGTGTCGTGTCACATTTTGCGCGGCCCCCTAGCCTGTATCGCCTAGCCATACCTAGTAGCCGCGCGCCATACTGTAAGATGGCATAGTGATACAGGACTGTACATGTGCATGGAGGACGGGAGTGAGCGTGGCCTTGCTTGCACGCACCTTGCGAGTTTGCTAGCGCTTACGTGTGGTGCGCGGACGACTTCGTGCCTTACGTCGTGATGGTGAGAGTGACGACGAGTCGAATGTAAGATGGTCCTTTTCGGGTCAAGCTGCCGAACATCGGTGTGTTATGAGTATGCGTATCGCAAATGGGGCGTAGGGCGTATCGGTTGGATGGTAGAGTTGCGTGATCTGTTGATCGGTGCGAACCTTGCGCGTTATTGACACTTGCTCGTTATCGTCAACGAAGGCGTTGCCAAGGTATTGTGCATGTCTTCGATTTACTGGTGCTCGTGATAACAAATGGTCTCCTATCGGGAAAGAATACTGCGATATGGGGAGTGCAGAAGTAACTCGCGTTTTGCGAAACGGAGACATAGCGGAGGCATCCGCGTTGACCCTGGCCGAGCTGGACGCCTTTTTCTCGCTGTGCGTACTCGCTGAGACTTCACGATTATAATTACTCCACAACTGTGTGTTGACGGAAAGAAGCCGGTATTCATCACCGTGGTGGACGAGATGCGACCCAATTCGTTCCCGCGGCCTCCATTACCTACTCTGCTCCCTCAAACAAAACTGATGAGTGTCTACAAGCGAGTCAACGGACGCATCTGATTCGTCTCTCGATGGTTGACTACCGCCTAACCTTCAAGCAGTCATAAGCTCTACGAGCAAGAAGCTCATAGATCACAGATGGCGTCACGGAACGCACCGTTGTACGTAAATAGTAAGGCTATGGGAGAGTTGCTTTATCGGGCCTTTTCCAGCGGTGTGTACGGTTTCTATCGGTGGAGAGCGATGGATTGGTGAAGATACTCGTACCTTGGTTCTTTCAGGAATGTTTCTCCGAGTTATGTCGATAATCGTCGAAGCTTTGATAACATGTTGCGCACCGGTATCTCTAGCGAAGATCCCGGAGGCCGCTGGCAGAGAAGATCTATTGGATCGTCGTGATCATTCGATGGTCGGTCGCCTTCATAACGACCGGCCGTACCGAAATCGCTATTTTACATGCATGCCGCAGCTTCAATTTGCGTTCACGAAATCCACGCGTAAACACGAAAACACCATCCCGCTGCTTCCCGATTCCCGCACCATCTCGTATTCGAAACAAGCCCGCCGTCAACGTCCTGGCCACTTCCAGCCCTAGAAACAACGTTTGTGGGGCCGCGGTCTCCTGCAGCCCTGCTTATTGTTGGACGCTCCGAGGACCATCGACGGATTGCTTTGTTTGTAATGTCTTAAATGAAACATGAGGCTCTTGCCTTAATTGTACTTCACCAGTACGTGTCGGTTATGTTCCAGGGCGCGTTGCAGCATCCACAGTACCCGTGGGGCTGATATGAGTTTTCGTTCTTCTCGCTTAAGATTGCTGACGTTCCGAAGATGCACGTTTGCGAAATATGGGGAGTGATTTTTGTGTATTGTTCGGCGTAAGCAACGCGCGGGGTAATGCAGGTGTATCTGGATAGCCGGCCGGGCGCAAGTTGTTCCGCAAGTATAGACGCAAGCTGACCGAGAGAAAGACGGGATAACGAGGCAGATGCAGGTTCGCGCAAATCTTTGCTAGCAGGTCACGGACCAGTCGTATTCTCCGAAGGATGCGCAGGTTTGGTGCTGGCATATTGATCCTACAACCGTTGGGTGCTAAACGCACACATTGTTGAAGTTCTGGGACAGAGCGGCAGAAACAACAGCCTCTTACGTTCCTCGATATCTAGTTTCAGGGCAATCCATGTAGTAAATCCTTGGTGTGTACTCAGACTGGGCTTAGGGAAAGCCACACCCTTGAGGGCATGGCTGTTTACGTTGAACATTGTGTCGGCTGTCACATGCGGCACCCGGTGGGAAGATTGAGATCAGGGCTCGACTCGCGAAATAGGGAAACAAGCGAGCAAGCGCGCTTCTGTCCTGAGGTATGGCGGCCTAAGGTTGCAAGGGTACTTCGAGCCGCCCCAAGGAAAGCATCATCGTCAAGGTATACGGAAGCATGACTCCGAGAAGTTACCATCGATCCATCCTGCAGGCCAGCTCCAAATCAGACAAAGGTGTCCATGCAGACCCAGGTATCGCGTCACGCTGGCAGCTCTACGCGAGATCTAGCCCTATGGAAGGGGAGCACGTCTTCAGCTTCCAAGCTATCGCAAGGCCTGTTACACGCAAGGCTTAGCGTTGGGGGCCTGAGCGGGATGCATGAATCTGCTGCCGAGAGACAAGTACATGATGATTGGACTGTATGTCCGATCAAGCACTCTTTGCTCACGTAGTAGTATCAAGCGGTGAGAGCAGGTAAAGTGCTGGCAGTTCAGCGGACGGCCAAGAAAGAGAGTGATACCGCAGCTTATCTGGTGTAGGGGAGCAGTATCTGTCTGCGCTGATGTTTATTATCTCGTAAAGAGCGCTAATTCATTCGTGCAGACTCGCAAGAGGCTGGTGATCCTAGATTTTGTATGCTTGGCTGATCCTGTTCGCTCCTTGATGACGCTGACAGACCACAATCTTGTAGAGAAGGTGTTTAGTTTATCTCAGTGTTAAGGGACACGCCTAGGGCCCCGAATGACAAAGTACTCTGCCATGCGTCCCGCCGCGAAAGGGCAACCTCGGGCCCATCGCGTTTAGGTGTTAGACGTTCGTCCGCCAAGGCTATCTTTGCATGTATTTGCGAGAAACGAGAGGAGCGAACCATCGTGCGTAATTTGCGAACGCAGAAAGCGAGATTAACTTTGTTTCATCCATCCAGATCAAAACTATGTACGTAAGCTTCGAGATGTTTCGTTGCACTTGCGATAGCTGTCTCATATGTCCTTTATGTTCATTTCGAGCTGATGCGCAGGAGCTGTAGTCAGAAGTCACAGTAAAGCGAGCCCCACATGTTTTATATACTCTGTCTGTTGTTTTGTAGCTTTCATAACTGACCGCGAAGCACGTGTTGTGCATGACTGCTAAATGCTGACTGCAGTAAACAAACGTGAATGGACCCGGGCATTTGTCGCAAGCGAGTACTGACTAGCTTATACGTGATGAGCTCGCATATGCCAAGAAAGGTTGCCCCGCTCGAAGGCTTTCATGCGATAGGGATTAAAGACGAGCTAGCGGTTTTCAGATGCCATCGCGCAATGTTGGCGGTCATGGTATGCCGCTAGGTGGAGAAGGAAAATTCGCGGGATTGCTTAACCGTTCTCGATTACGTTTTGCGGCTTCTGCGTTACGTATCCTGTCAATCCGCATCTGATGAAAGTTTCTGTAGTATATCAGCAGGCCTGTAGGAGGACAGTGGGACGGGAACTAGCTGTACTTGCTCAAGGTGAAGATGCGGGGGCCAAGATTGACCTGGGCCTGGTCTTTGGACTTCGAAAGCTCGTTGATCTGCAACGCCAGTCAGTGATCAAGGTCATAGTTTTACGTGCAGTGAACGCAATCGAACCTTGTCGTCTTTCGCTTTTTCATCTGTCTTGTTCTCCTCGTCTGTCTTCTTAGCATCTTTGTCTTTAGCTTTTTCCTCATCCTCTACTTTTTCTTTGCGTTTTTCACGCTTTATTCGTTGCTTCTCTTCATACTCTCTCTTCACTTTCTCGATTTCAAGGTCAAGCTCTTCCTTTTTTTTGCGAGCTGCAGCTGCCGCGACTTCGTCTGCATCAGGCTGGCAGAACCCACGATCTGACAGGTGCCCAACGCAAATGTAGAAGAAGTCCTAGCATCGTGAGCGCGTTCCAGAATGCTGCGTGGGAGCTCGTCACCTTGTTATCCGGCGTGATCAACACACTAGTCGAGGGCTTGTAGCAGACCCAACAAGCTTTAGCTGCGCCATCGGCCACCTTGCGATGATGCCACAGGTTCTTCAGTGACATTTTGAAGGGTGGCTTGCGAGTGCAGCGACTAAAGTCCCCTCCACTGGGTGCAGGCAGCTAGTCCAGATGTCTAGGGATCTATCAGGCACTCTGTAGGCGTACCCTTTCGAGACTTGTGGACAGGAGCGAATGGGGTAGTCAAGAATATGTGTGAGAAAGTCGATCGTGGTACGGCGAGATTGCACGGATGCGTCAAACGACAGCCACGTCGCGCAAGCAGGTGGCCTGTCGTTGACTTAGTGTGGCGCTGTGAGGCTAACCCTAGTCCCAACGCGGCCTAGCGTATCCAATCACACCAATGTCAGTGTGACGGCTTTTTGTAACACCCTTCCTTCATTACATTGCACATGTCTCTAGCCAAGGCATCGAAAGCGTTCACGAATATTCACTTCTCTACAAGAATATCTTGTGCAATCTTCCAGTCTCGTACTGGCAGCCTCGAAACCGCCAAGCCGTTGCAGGATCGAATTTTTCGTGCGCCTTACTTGCATGCTCGGAATGTTGCCGCAGGTATTGACATTATCGCAGGCTTTTTACCCTATCACAATTTGAGGTTTGGCAGCTCGTTCGCTATGGAAAACGAACCACAATTCAAGTACATCGATGTTGGTCCGCGGAACCCCAATCTGCCCTATAACATTCCGCTAATTAGTCGAAGATTGGCATCAACCTCACAGATCCTATATTTCGCGGTGTGCATCATGGAGCCCAAAGACACGAAGATGACTTCGAGGACGTCATCCAGCGTGGTTTAGACGCAGGTTGCAAAAAGTTCATGGTCACAGGTTCGGACCTAAAAGAGTCGGAAAACGCTCTCGAGATAGCCAAAGCACATCGTAAGTTGACCGATGGGCTATGCAGCTACACCTTCGTTCTTGCTTCTACAACTATGCTTAACAGCAGGCTCGATCTTTTAGACACCGCTCATATCTGTGTACTTCTCTTCCCTGATCGTTATTCTTCTGCCTAAGCTAAATCTACCCGAGCTGTTATCGCTGACATCATCAGCCGGTCTTTGCTACGCAACTGTGGGAGTTCATCCCTGCTCGGCAAAACACTTCGATTCTCACCCTGAAGGTGCCGACGCCCTCCTGGCCTCACTGAAAAACCTTGCCCTATCAGGTAAACAGACTGGTCATGCTGTCGCTTTCGGCGAATTTGGCCTTGACTACGACCGCCTTTTTCTGACGTCAAAAGAGCAGCAGCTCAAATATTTCGAAGCGCAGCTCCAAATTGCCGTCGAAGTCCAGCTCCCGCTATTCTTACATTCTCGCGCAGCAGCTGAAGATTTTGCGCGATTGCTAGGTGCCCGGTTGGAGGAGCTGCCGAAGAGGGGCCTTGTACACTCTTTTACGGGCACGGTGGAGGAAATGCAGAGGATTGTAGACATGGGATTCGACGTTGGTGTGAATGGGTGTAGCATGAAAAGTAAAGTTCGAACTACCGTTTTCTAACGGCATGAGGTTGACCTAAATATCTAGCGGAGAAGAACATCGAAGTAGTTCGCGCCGTGCCGTTGTCGCATCTACAAATCGAGACGGATGGACCGTGGTGCGAAATGCGGCCCTCTCACGCTTCAGCGAAGTATCTCAAGGATGCACCACCGCTCCCGAAGGCGGTCAAGAAGGACAAATTCGTCAAGGGCGCTATGGTCAAGGGGAGGAATGAGCCTGCTACTATTCCGCACGTAGCATACGCGATTGCAAAGATCAAGGACGTTAGTGTGGAGGAGGTTTGCGAAGCGTAAGTGTCAGGTCTATCGGTTTGCAATGACAGTAACTAACGTATCTGCAGGGCCTGGCGCAATTCCATCGAGATGTTTGGATTGGGGGAGTAACAGGAGCGAAGTCTCGGGTCAATCAGCGGATTCCAGCCACTGATTGAGATTCGCAATATGTAAGGAACAAAGTAGACCTGCAGGTATAGAATACAACTACTATTGAATTTGACCTTATTGATGTTCCGAATTTGCTGAGTTCATAGAGGACAATATCTGAAGAAACGATGACCAGGGCTACAGGCCGTAGATTTATATACACCAACAGTGCTCATGCGCCAGGTCTTACAAAGTCGTAAAATACAACGACGAGCACTATTAGGGCAAGATCATGCTGTTTTATTCTTATATTCGTAAAACAGTGCTATTGTCTTGGGGTTATCTAACCTATGTCATATTGCGGTTAAGAACTGTCTGCCGGTGACAGGGCCAGCGAGCAGAGTGTCCGCTGTACCGGCAAATGGAGTGGTCGAAGCAAAAGCGCCCGACTTAGTCGCCGAAGCGGTAGAAGAACCAGAAGGTGTCTCAGACCGAGAAGCTGTGGAATTGGCCTCGCTTGTAGATTGGGCAGAACTGGAATTTGAACTCCCCATATTGGCATTGGATGTTTCCTTTTCAAACGTTTGAACCATTTGGGCTGTCACTTACTCTTCACTCTGCGTTGCCCAATTAATGCTGCCAGTCAGACTGGAGTTTTGCTCATCTTCCAATAACTCGCAGCCCTTGATGCTGGATGCAACCGAAGCTTGTTACACGATACGTGCCGTATCGGCATACGCATCGATGTTATTTTCGCTTGTTGGCGCATTCAAGGCTCCTACTATGCCGGTTCTGCAGTGTTCCTGTACGGCGCAGTAGTACCACACCTACATTCAAAGCCACTAACATTAAGATTTTCAGTGGGATAGTGCCCTTATGTATGCGTACCAGATCCTCGCATGTGGCATCGACTACGAACCATACGCCCTAAGGGAGGTCTATCATCTTAAGTACGCGCACGATCAGTTTGGTATCACGAACGTTCAGCCGCACAATTGGGCTTTTCTTTATGTTATTGTCGGAAGAGCATGAGGGAAGAACAATGTTCCGCATGAGCGCCCAGAAGGCGAGGTAAGCTAGGCTGGAGGGGGAAGCGACAATGCAGAGGCGCTATAAAGATACTGGGCAGGCGGTACCTCAGCCTTGTGCATTACAGATCGCTACCTTCCTCTCAATCCCATATTCGTCTCTATCCATTCGCAGACTCTGGCCAGCCCTAGGAAATGGAGCAAAATCAATCTCGCTCTCAATGAGAACTCCAGCTTCCGAAGGGGACCACGCACAGCTTGTCACCTCGCTTCTCCCTCTTCACATCTATCAACGATTCGAGCTGTGGTAGATATCCAAGCTATCTATACATAGCGCAAGGGATGGTACTGGAAACTACGTGCCCTTGTCGCTGGACCTTAAACGTTGGACATATAGATGCAGCATTTGAGCTCATCTCGCGACGACAAAGCTTCCTCAGATCAGGCTAAAGACCCGACAACTATTGTCATGGACCGACCAGACATCGACTGGCGGCACTCGCCATAAGGATTGACATCGGAGAAATTAATGCGGTTAGCAAAGTGAGCAAAATCAGGAGTCATCGCACATGGCCGGCTCATGATTAGGGCATTCTGTACATTGATAGACGCCGCAAGTCTGCTGCCTAGTCGACACGTGTACAATACATAATTTGCAGAGTCTGTGGTGTGGCTCACCGCAGAATGGCACGCGAAGAAGGGTTGCTTCTACCTTCTATGCTTTAGTTTCACGTCCAGGTCTGGCGGGGACGAATAAACTAGACAGCAGAAGAGCTAGCGTACGTCCAGGATCCTGGAAATTCACTGTCCCAGGTACCATTTGAGGAATAGTCCGTGGAGAAATGACCCAAATCGTGCTATATGAACCCTTTGGACTTTCCGTGTTCTTGTTGCGCACCTTCCACCTAACACACTTGACGGTAACAACTCTCTCGACTTTGTAACCTTTTCCAAGCAAGCGCAGTGAGAGCGATGAGCAACATGCGAATCTGGGCCTTTCTCCTCGCCGTGCTACCCTCGTGCTGTCTAGTGAGCACGCTCTCATTCAGTCATGACTTCAACGGCACCGTCCCCTCGATTCCCGGCATCACGAACTTTTCTTATCCGACTGCCTCTAGCCACATAGAATCCGGCTTCGCAGACGGCCTCGTCAATACTGCCATCCACCAGCCCTGGCCTTTCTTAAGGGGTTTGAAGTACAGCACACGCACCATCCGCTACTGCTATGCGGACCAAGCCTCCCAAGATGCAATTGAGTGCAAGGTAAATGCAGCGATGAATCTCTGGTTTGAAGTCCTCGGCGGGAAACCAGGCCCAGATACCGGGTTCAACTTTTACTTCTCGCGGGCCTTTGCTCAGGGCAATGTCCAGTTCTGTTATGCGAAAGACTCGTACAATTCAAAGACAGCACAGGGGCAGTGGAATGCGGCGCTGCATGATAAACAGGATGCTCTCGTAGTGTCATATCGGCCCGTCGACGAGAACGGAAACAAGCCGGCAACGTCGGCGAGTCTGGGCTACACGCCAGATAATGCCATGTTCCCGTGGCAGAGCCGACAGGCGAGACATTACATGCAGATCGCCGACAAGGACGATGTGCCTAGGATTGCGCATGAGCTGGGCCACGGTGAGTAGTACAGCATGTTCGACGTTTATCTCTGCTAACGTCACCATTAGTCTTTGGGCTTATACATGAGCACCAACGCTCTGATCGTACGTCATTCCATCTTTACCTGCCCTTCACTGTGTCAGTAAGAATCACTCGCTAACTTGCCTATGCACCGAAAAGGAGACACGGTGATTGAATACCGCCCCCAAAACATCGCAGGCTACGCCGATGCCCTCGCCGCAGCCATCAAAGACGGAGTGCCCGAAGCTGAAGCCCGCAACAAGCTCCGTGACGATGTCGCGTTTTGCCAGAAGTACAACTTCCGTGGGTCTGCCTATGTCAGTAAGTCTCGCTCAATTCCGTGACATGTGCAAATATAACCTATGCACAATACCATAGCATGTTCACAGCCACTCCACTCATCCACACCCATTACATATCGACACATTCACAGCCACATCCCGCCCCGCCCCGCTGTCCGCCACCTCATGACCATCCACTCCCTCTCCCCTTCACACCACTAACCCACACCCAGAAGGCAGCGACCAGCCCGGCATCATCCAGGGCGACCCCACCCAGGGCCCCCTCGACTTCGACTTCGACTCCATCATGATCTACCCATCCGACGCGGAAACCGACACAGCCGCGTGCCGCAACGATATCGCCAAGTGCCCAATGGTGCGGCGTGTAGGCCAGGACCAGAATGGGAACGCAAAGTTTGAGTACTTTCCCGCCAAGTACAAGCCGAGCGCGAAGGATGCTGAGTTTATAAGGAAGCATTATCCATGGGAGCAGACGGAGAACTAGACGGAGGTGAAGAGAGAAGCGGCAGAGGGAAGATAGAGGATGGGGATTGGAAGAGTGATACACGCGTAGAGGCATGTTGAAGTTACAGGAAGGTGCTGATAGCTAGAGCAGCATATTTCCCACATCGTCCTGAAGTATATGAAGGGCTTGTGACAAACCGCGATAAGCTAATGGCGTGTAATGTTACAGTCATACAAACGATTATAACGTCGCTTGGGAATGCAACATGATACCCGGGGGATGTCGAATGTGCGATATGACTAGAGTATGGTACAGTTGCGGATGTAGTAGATACAGCAACCCAATAATGCGGTGATATACAACGCCAGAACGCCTGCTGAGTGATTATCGAGCGCAGCGTCGAAGCCTCGATCGTCGAAGCGCGAAAGAGTACTACTTCAACACATCTCTAAACCTCAAACTCGGCTTGGAACCAGGGTCAAACAACGGCTTGATAACCAGCCCAACCTTATCGCCCGCCTCCTCTTCCTTAGCCTCAATCAGCGGCGCAAACTTCGGCGGTGCCCACTTGAGCTTCTCCCTCTGCTCTTTGGCCTTGGCTTCCATCTCCCTCCATTGCTCCCTCCTGATATTCGCCTTCTCCAACGCCAACAGCACCCTCCGTTGATCGTGCACCCTCGCCAGGTCCCTCAACAGTTTCGGGTCAACCTGCTTCTCTTTCGCAACATGCTCCATGACCTCACCAATCTTACGCACGTGCTGCGCTCTTGCATAACCCCTGAGCATGACCTCGTGCGTAAATTGATCGGGTTCAATTCCGCGGCTGCGCATGATGTCAAAAACACGTTCTGCGGCGAGTATCTGTTGGGATTTGAAGAACCCTTGCATTAAGATGTTCCAGGTATACACATTGGGGTTCGTGCGGTGTTCGGACATGTCCTGGACGACTTGGGAAGCGTGCTCGAAGTTTTGAGCACGGCAGAAGGAGAGGAGGAAGGTGTTCCATATAATGGGATCCTTAGCGAGCTTGGAGAGGGTGGGGTCGTGGTTGGTCTGAACTAGCTCAGTGAAGTTCTGGTATAGAGCCCACATATGGTTTTTGTTGATATTGGTAGAAGTAGCTTTCAGAATCTCGAGCTGGAGCATGATGTAGAGGGCCATGGGTGGAGGGTCCATAAATGCGGACTCATTGAGAATATTACGCGATGATGTTAGTGAACTTGCGCGAGAAAATGTAGAGTTGGCAGACCAGAAAGGTTCCAGCGGGCGTGGAGAGAAGAAGCGAAGGTAGGTTTCTAGGAGCTGTTCAGAACGGGCCAACGACTCTTCTGGCTGGTGAGATTCGCGGTGAAGCCGAACGAATTGGAAATATAGATAATCCGCCGCAAGCCAAGGATCCCTCACCTCTTTCGCAGTCTCGGCACAGTAATCCGCAAAACCATTGAACTTGGAAGGGTCGGCTGTCATGGTGCATCCATGGAGTAAGGTTGAGAAAGTGACCTTGTCGGGTTTTAGACCGTTGTCATCGAGCGTGTTATACACCTTAAAGGCGGTCGTATGGTCGCTCGCTTCCATGGCGTTATGGATGATGACGTTGTAGAGAAGAATGTCGAGCTTGACGCCAAAATCCACAAGGGTTGCGACAATGCCGGTTGTCTCGTGGTAGCTTTCCTTGTTCATCATGCTTCTGTGGAGAGTCAAAGCACACGACCAACGAAATCTTAGCTCGTTCGCTGTCTTCACCCTGATCTTCTCAGTTCTTGCCTCTTCAATGATACTGCCAAGGCATGAAAGGGCCTGCCTGAAGTTGCCAGCCTTAGCGAAGGTGTTGGCATAGTGCAGGAGCACGTGGTGACCAATATATGTACCCGACTCCTTCATAGTATCAAAGACACGCCGAAAATCTTCAGTGCTGGCAAGCTTTGCCACACAGAACAATAAGTCCTGTGAGCAGATACGTTTGTGGGGCGCCAGATGCTCGTTGAAGGTGTGGTAGAAGGTAGGAATGAACTGGGCTTCGTTCTGCTTCAGCTGTTTCTTCTGGGCGATTGACTTCCAGGACATGTTCATGTAGACTCGTGCTAGATGCTCGAAAGCATCTGCTATGATCCAAGGACTTAGACTTTCGACGCAAGGACGGTGCGTCAAAGCTTGTAGAAAGGGCAGGGCCCGATGCGGAAACTTGTCAAGAAGATATATGAGCAAATGAGGCCAGTATTGCTCTCTCGTCTCAGTGTCAAAGGCGTTCCAGTTTCTCCAAACTTGACCGGCACCGGTTGCAGCTTCGTTACTAAACAAGCTAGCTGTCCATGAAGCACATTCTGGATGATGCCGGAGGACGATTGGATAGGAGCGCCTGTTCAATCTCGCATAGACGTTTCGGTCTAATGCGGCAAAAGCCATCATGATATATTCCCCGAGCGAGGTATTCAAGAAATCCATTGGTTTGTGAAGGTTCAAGATCTGTGCTTCCTTGGCTGAATGAGCAAGAATTCGACGGCGCAGTGACCTATATCGACCGTCCATTTTCTTTGGAGTGTCTCCATGCTTGGATAATTCATGGAACCGGTAAGCTCTGAAGCTACTGCGAAGAAAATCCAATCGTCTCTGACGACGCCTTTCGGATATGACGACAAGTTTCAGCCGGGCTGGTCGTTTATTCAAGCCTTCAGATGTTGGCTGCGTACGGCCGGTAAAGCGTTGGAGACCTGCATTACTCCATGGAACGACTTTACCCCATACGGAGACCACTTTTCGGATTCTTCGGCGTGGGACTGCTCTTTTGCCCCTGCTCCGAACTAGTTTGGCATCAGCTTCCAGACGCTTCCCGTCTCTCCGATCAAAAAAGCGCCCTCCGATTCCTCGTATCCTCCCATCTGTGCCTGCCGTACTGTAGCTCCGCAGCTGTTGCTTTGCAAAGCTAAAGATTTCGGCATAGCGTGCACCAAGCGTCGCTCTCTCCTTTGTGTTCCCTGCTAGCACAATTCCTCTTGCGTTGCACCTCTTCTCCTCTTGTATTTTCTGCGACCTCCTATCATCTTGGTGGGTGTGAAGCTGAGCGTCGGCGAAGGCTCGAGGTGCGAGGAAGGGAAGGAGAGGTGACGTGGCGCTGGTGGGAGGCCTGGCATTTCGAAAACAGGCGGAGCGCATGGGCAGAGGGAAGAGATGTGGCCTTCATCGAGCCATGACGCGCGGGACAAGATATATGCTGAAGGGAGATGGTCGCGCGAAAAAGTTTAGGAGGGTGCACGGACGCGAAAGTCGAAGCTCACCTTCGAAAGCGACCACCACCCTGACTGTTTGATTGACGACACCAACTTCAGCTTCTGTGAGTTACAGATATAGGGAGGACATCAAAATCGCGCGATCTCAAAAATCAGCATACCAGATTCCGACAGCGCAAAACGTGCGTTGCGCCTGCCACAGACCATTGCGCAACTGCATCTTCGATTCGCGATCGCGATCGCAACCACGACACCTTGCGACAAGGTCCTTGCGCTTTCTTCAATCTAGGGCACACCTCTTTCCCGTGTGCCTCAAAGCTCAAGGCGACCCAAAATGTCCTCACACGAGAAACTCTCCGCCGCCGCCAACGACCGCAAAGCCCGCCTCGCGCAACTCAAATCCCTCAAGCGCAAACAAGCTCCCACTGACGACGCCTCCACCGAAGATGACTCTGCAGCCCTCACGAGAATATCAATGGAGCCCACATCAACAGATCTCGCAATTGTCGAAGAGCTCTCAGTATCATCCACCTACCTCTCCGGCCGCAACTACGACCCCACCACGCGCAACGTAAAACTCGGCTTCGACGCCCTCCCCATCTCAGACCCTACTTCTACCCTCGAATACAAAGCCGAGCAGCTCGCGCTCGACATCAAGACCGCACAGCAAAAAGAGCTTGCCGAAGACAAAGGGCTTGACCTGTTCAAACTGCAGCCGAAGAAGCCGAACTGGGATTTGAAAAGGGACCTAGGTGAAAAGATAAGGGGGCTAGAGGTGCAGACTGAGAATGCGATTGCGAGATTGGTAAGGAAGAGGGTGGAAGCGCAAAAGAGGGGGCAATGGGAGTGAGGGCGGGGGCGAGAAGGTCGGGATGGAAGGGAGGAGTTGGTGGAGGCAATGCATCTTAAAGAGCAAGAAGAAGAGGCGGACAGGAGGAGGGAGAAAGAGGACGAGGATGTGAGTTGAAGGGTGACAGACGGAGGGACACATGTTGACAATGATTCGAGAGGCACAGCGACGTGTCCGGCTCTACTTTGATAAAAGTAGATGGACGTGACGGCATTAGCTGCACAAAATAGATGCTGCAAGATGTTACAGTGGAAAGATTCTGAGACGGGACCGAGTGTAATGCCATGTTTGGCCATTATCGCAGTACCGAGGGTATCTAGCTACTACAGCCGACTGAGAGTCTAAATCCAAAAGCTGTTGGCTCCGAGCCATCTGATCTACACGAAGCGCCAATGATGACTGTTTAAAGACATCATAATACTACGATGAGAAAGGTTTCTCTGCACGCCACCCTTCAGTCTCCCCCGTCTAATGGCTCTGTCAGAAGGACTCGCGTCCTGCATAGGCGAGTTCTTGCATGACACCTATTCAGCGTCCGCCCTGCATCTGCCTCGTCAAAGCAACCCGCTTGCTGTAGGGACTTAGACTACGCTCTCTTGATGGTGCCGGCTGTGGTGCCGGCTGTGATGCCGGTGCTCTTATGGGCCCAGGGTGCCGAACATCGGTATCAAATCGATAGCGTCCACCGCCATGCGCATTGTCGCCGTTCATGCCTCCATTGCGATTCTTGTAAGGGCTTGGGGACCTTGACATGCGCCGTTTTAAGTATGGACTTGGGCTTCGTCGACGGTACGGGGATCTTGACCTAGATCTGAATGAACGAATTGGGCCTCCTCGTGGAGAAAGCCGGTTCTGAGGTGGAGTACGATCGCCGGAGGTGTCCATACGGTCCAAACGGTTTGGGCTCCGAGACGGCGGCCGAGACAGTGAAGGCTCCGGAGTTGACTGCTTCCCGTGTGCCTTTCTGCTCCCGCTACGAGTTCGACGTCCTCTGCCCCTCGTATAACTGTGACTTCGCGAATAGTATTTTCGAGGGGGCTTTCCGTCGTGAACCCTCGTCATACGACATGTCCATGGGGCTTGAGCGCGATCGCGACCTTCTCCGACCTCTTTCGTTTTCTGGGCTCATGGAACTTAGTCTCCGCCGTGTGTTGCGTTCCGCCCCGTCTAACGAGTGGTGCGACTCGGATGAGATAGACCTGCGACCTCTTTTGCCTAATAACTCTCCACCACGAAGCGACGCGCTCCCATCCTTGATATGCCTAGGTGACCGCGACCGCAACCGTGACCGGTCTGTGGAGATCGTAGATATGGAGTCAGAATCAGACACGGAGGATGCCGATCGCGAGCGTCTTCCTGAAGTTTTGCGGCGTTCCTCCTCTTTATCTGCCAGTATCTTGTCGGCTAAGCCCTTCTTGCGTAGCAAGTCACTTGGTACGTCTTCAGTTAGCTTCGGCTTGAGCGATGGGTTCAGAAGCTGCTGGGTGCGCGAGGGTCGTGGTTTGTATGGGCGTTCTTGCGCCGAAACGGTGCACTCGTATGAATAATGGCCTTTCTGCAGGCATTTCTGGCAGGTAGTGTTTGGCGTCGCTTTGGAGCGGCCTCCATAGCCACCACGGCGGCTGAACATGGCTTGCCAGGTGGAAATACTGGCGCGGGTGCGCGGTACCGTAGTTAGTTGAAGATATAACGATTTGTATTGGAGATCTGGAGCGAAACGTTGGACGATGAGCTTCCAAGCTGACTGCCTGGTGCGTAGTACGGTGCGGCGCAAAGTTCGCGCAAGTATTCGTCCGGCTCTTACGGTGGAAGAAAAGGGCCTAGGACCGACGCAAGGTGAAAGGCATTACCAAGGAGATCTCAGGATTATGTCGGCGGGCGAGGCGACGCTTGGTGCCAGCACAAGCAGCAAGCTGGAGTAGTTGCTAGTCGCGCGAAAGCGAGCAAAGTCGTAGCACGTGAATTGCGCCTGCCGCCAAGGACAGCGCACGGTTCAATTTGGGACAACGTCGAGGCTCTATCATTCCTCTGGCTCCACACGCCCTCACCCCACCCTGCCAGCCCTGCGACCCCCGCTGCGACGCCTCGAACTGCCACCGAGCTCTTCATCGCAGACACGGGCTCTGCGCGCTGCCTGCTGCTTCTATACCTGCCGACTACCCTACGCTGGATCGAATGTCGACTGTCCACGATGTGCAACTCTCTGGCCATTGCAGTCACTTTCCTTGAACAGCCTATTTCCTGAGACCTTTTACAAAAACTTCGAACACGTTCCTTTTGGTCGACTCGACCACCTTGCGGCTTTCCGGCGTTGGGTTTGGGTAAATTTCAGCGGGGCTTTACAACTTTTTCCCCGGTGCCTTCTGGCCTTCAACTTTGAGCAGATTCCTTCCGGAGTCCTTTCAATAATGACGTCCGCCGTGCCAATTTCTCAAGGACAGACCTCGGCTCGGCCCTCATTTGCAAAAGTGAGTAACATGACTACTGTTTGATCTGGAATGTATAACTAATTCTCTTAGGTCGCTGCGCAAACGTACAAGCCACAAATGCCCAAAGAACAGGCGCCTAGCGTCAAGCCTTCCATTGCAAGCCCGCAACCCGCGATCTCTGCGAACGTCATCAAGCCTCCGACTGTCGGCAGCGCAGCGTCCGCCGTTCGCGCTGAAACAAAAATCGAGTTGAGCGAAGCGAACGGAAATGCTGGTGACACAGCTTCGCGCGCTGGAGAGTCGGCTGGTGCGAGTGGAGAATCGGCGGTGGTTTTGCCGAGTCTCAAAGAGGAGGATGCAGCAAGGCTGCGCCCATCCATTGCTCTGGTGAAGTTTTCGACCATCGAGGACAGTAACACGCAACTGTCTTCGTCTGATGGCTCAGCAAAGCCTCCGAGCCTTGATGGGAAGAGTGTTGCGTCAGGCACCACTTTCGCGCTGGACGAAAAAGAGTCGCTTCGTCCCGACGACAGTGCAAGTCTCAGAGCTGTTGAAGAGGAAGACGTGACGTCACCGCCTGAATCCAACGCTGCTGGCTCCCGTGTAGGGTCTGACAGCGAGGCTCGCGCTTTCCGCGCCCAGTTGCATGAGATTGCGGTCATGGGCCCGCAGCCCCAGCGAGGAGTGCCACCCGGTCGCTTCCCAGTTCCGACTCCTAATGGTTCGCACACGCTCTATGATCCAAATCAACCCCCGAATGCCATTGGACGTTCACTTTCTCAGCCTATCGTTACCGGTATGCCCCAGGGCGCCGGCCCTCAAACTCTTCCAGCTATACCAGACGAAAAATTGATCGAGGCGTTGCAGTCGCCCAGAGACCGGCTATTCGTCGTGAAGATTGAACAAGACTTCATCGACTTCATCAAAGACTCTCGGTAAGTAGACATGATCAGCTCCCGTGGCGTGCAATTACTCATCGTTTCTAGGGAGAGCGAGTACTGCCTTCCCAACTGCAACACCTTCTATCGGATGCTTGCGCACCGACTTGCGGATTATTACTTGCTCGGTCATGTGGTCGACAATACTATGACTGGCGTGAGGATCACAAGGACACCTTATTGCAGAATACCGCCCCCACTTTCGCAAATGGTCGATGCTACTAAGAGCACGAACACTCCTCCTGTCGACCTTCCGGCTCGCAAAATAATGCGCCGCGGCGACGACACAAGATCTGGTACTAACACAGGAGCCAACTCTGAGAATCCGTCCAAGGCTGCATCTGAGGTAGATGGCAGTGATGGAGGGAACGACAAGACCGACGGTAAGAGAGACAAGTCATCAATGACACGAGAAGAGCGCGAAGCAAGGTATCGAGAGGCTCGACAGCGAATCTTTGGAAGTGCGGAGAGTGAAGAAGCTGATTCTTCAGACGTCATTGCACAGCCTGAAGAGAAGGATGCTTCCAGATCAAGCTCTGCTTCCGGGAAGAAAAAGAATAAGAAGCAGCGCAACCAAGATGATGACGATGGCTTCGAAGCGCGCTCTCGTTTCAACGCCTACTACCCTGGCCAGTATGCTGTTCCTGGCTATACTGGAGACGGTACTCTGTACTATAGCGGCTATCCCACGCCAATGACCAACGCTCAGTATTCCCCCATGGGCCCCAACGCGTCTCCGCCTTCGAACTACGGCAGCCCATACCCAGCCGTGCCACAGGATCCTCAGGGTCAATACTGGTCTAGTCAGCAATTCCCACAAGCGAACGGGCCCATGATGTATCCAAACTATGGCCAAATGCAAAACGGTCAAGACTTGTCCAGCGATTTCCAACGAGGCATGCAGTCGTTCCAAAATGCCGGAATGCCCAGCCAAGTGACCCCTAAGATGGCGACTGCTTCAATGGCTGGCTACCCTGACCCTTACGCTCAGCAGCCTCCGAACTCTGCGATGAGTCAAGGTTGGTCGCCCATGAGCCAACAGCCTTCGTATCCAATATCTCAAGGCTATGCTTCGAACGGTCCGAACAATCGACCCATGACTGCACCAATGCAAGGTGCGGTTCCAGGCGCTTATCCTTACGGACAATTTCCAGCTCCTACATTCAATGGGAAACCCAACCGGAATCAGCATCCGATCCCCGGCAGCTACCAACGTCCACAGTTCAATCCTCAGAGTCAAGCCTTCATACCCGGCGGGCGTAATATGCCTTATCAGATGGGCATACACAATGGCCCTCAAATGATGAATGGTTACGGCAACTACCAAATGGGCCCCCCACAGATGGCGCATCAGATGCCTAGGCCCAGCCCGCCCACCGCTAACAGTGCGACATTCGGTCCTACATTCGGTCCTACATTCGGCATGATACATTCTGTGTCGAACAATGTCAACTCGTCGCCACCTAACCAGTCTAACTTCTCGTCTCAGAATGCAACGCAATTGCGGGGTGGCGAGGTGCAAGATTCTGGGTTGTCGAGTCAAAGTAGTATTGCAAAGTATGGTACACCTTCGAACCTCCCGGCTAGACCTCCTCCAACTCAACAGCAACCACCGAAATTCACGCTTCCCGGACACAGTATTCCACCAGGATCTCGGTTGCCAAGCAACCCACCGCCTCCTTTTGGGGCCAATGCTTCTTAATTGGTATTCCATGGTTGTTACAGATGCGATGAAGACGCACTTTGCCTGATGACTCCACGATTGTGTAGTCTTAGCATCGCGACGGTGCTCCGAGTCGGCTTTCTCTTTCACATTGTTTGCTCGGTTGCGGTTCTCTTGCAGAGTGCTGGCGTTCATAGGCGGATAGGCATACCTCTAGCACTTGCATCTCATAGGTATGGCGGAGTCACCGATACGCTCTTAAACTTGGATGGAATGTTCGGCTCGGCGGTGAAGGTAATGTAGCTTTCATATCATACATAGCTATGAAATTTCCCCGTCCATGACCTTTATGGTACCGTTCCAACTCATGACGCAGCCTATTGTATGTGCGATAGTGGATGCTCTAGAGCATTACCTTAGGTCTGGATCTACGACGCCGCTCCGACAGAAATTCTAGGGCAATGAGGTTGCTTACACAGCGAAGACGGTGATCGAATGACTCACCCGGTAGGTAGACTCAGGGTTCAGCCATTGTTCTATGTCTAGACAGTCATCGAGTTCCTGCCCGAGGTCCTGTTTTCGCGGCATAGAAAAAGACTTCTCTGAAGCAAGCAACGTCCTGTACACGTCCTCGTCAGAATATTGTCCATGACAGCGAATATGGCTTAGAGAGAACGTACTGCAAGTGCCGAAGCACGTGATTAGCTTTTGCATAGAGCGGACTACGATCCTGTAGCCCTCGAACCTCGCCACAGCGGCATTGAAAAGCGGTGGGGACGGAGGAGATCCTCGGTAGAGACATGTTCCAACAGACATGATGCGAGCATGATTGAACCGTGGACAGCACAGGTCCCCTTAACACCCTTCTCGCAAGCCACCGGTGATGCTGCATTCGCGGAGTCTCGAGAAGCTGTCTGTGGATATCAATTAGTGTCGCGGTGGAAGTGGTATATTCTATTCTAGACGTTGGGCGGTATTGTCCACTTGCCGGAAAATTGGGCGGTCAGGTCCGAGCTAGAGTTGGTGAGCGCGGAGCTGTAGTACGCACCAGTGCGCGTAATACCCGTATCGAGTAGACTCGGCGCGCCGTTGGGAACGAACGCCGCGTCCCAGAGTTTCTGCTCAGCCGCGTTGGTGCCGTTGGCGGCATCTAGTGCCTTTATACGGGTCTCATCTAGATCCCCAGTCTCTTTAGAAAAGTGGCCGTAGATGGGGGCGGAGAGCTTGAAGAGGCCGATTTTGAACTTCATGTCTTACATCTGCGTAGGCGCCGTTGTAGTTGAATGGGATGGCGATAGGATAGTGTGGGACAAGATGGCGCTGTCATTGACGTCGATAGGCACTGTAGCGGCTGTGTTGAGACATGTTGATGTCGTGGTAGAGCGTGGCTTGGTAGGTGTGCAGCATTTGGAGGTCGGCCAATCACCACCGCCGGCGGTACTCGATTTGGACGTAGTCGAGGTCTGTGGATAGTATGCGTGACATCGTGGGGTGATGCTGATGTTGAGTGCCATACCTAATAGTGGCTAGCATCGCTCTGCGCCTTCGTTGTGAGCGATCGTCCATTTCAGGAGCAGTAGAGCTTCGAGTGACCGAGTCGGTGGTGAACGAGAGAGTTGTCTTTGCACATACGGGCCACAGCCATAAGACGGTACTCGTACGATGTGGCCTCAGCGTCTCGCATAGAGGTCTTCGGCGGCGAGAAGCTTGTAAGCACAGCAACGTCATATGCATTGTCTTGGAAGCAATGGAATAGCCCAGGAAAATCAGAGCAAGCCATGACAGAGTTCCCCGTTCGGAGAACTCTCGAGTACCTACTGGATAACTCCGAAGATTGAGATTGAAGGTATGTCCGTGCGACAGCAAAGACACTGCACGTTATATACGATGGCACGAGGCCAAAGGAAGTTCGTGATTGCATAGTAACTTCGATCACCTGCAGGGCTCGCAACCGATGGGCTGCCGGTAGCGTTGTTGTCTCCTGTCAGCTCTCACATCGCTCTTTCTCGTACCGTTACTAGACTGAGAGGCCTGACATCAGAGAGAGAAAAAAGGATCGGAGAGGAAGGAGAGGAAGGAGAGGAAGGAGACATAAGTTGAGATGTAAACGACTTTGGACTTTGTTACAAAGCTTGTGGGAGATAACCGTTAATTGATATCGGAGATCTTGGAGATAACCACCTAGCCTACTAGTAGTCTAATTATGTACCACTATTGTCCGCTAGCACTCTATATTAATGCCACTTTTACGATCGTCGTCAGATTATGCTTAATTAAGTATGTATTAAGAGTCTAAGCGGAAGATACGGTACGAAAGAAGAGTTGGGTATTTTGGGTGGATACAGCTCTATGTACTTCTTGGAATTTACAGAGTCTATATATGGGTGATCTATCAGTGTCTCTTCCTTGGGAATATTATAAGAAAGAGATACTATAAGGCAAACTCGGTAGGTAGTTCCTCAAGCTACCTATAGCGCTGTGACGACATCTTATACAAAGGCATGTTACTGCAGGATTTTTGTATCTTCAAATTGAAGATGTAATGGGCACTGGTTTTCAATTGAATGACGTCTTCGTAAGGCAGGATCCATGCAGTAGATACTATAGGTATGGAGTGAAAGCTCACGGGATCGCAAAACTATGAGGCATCCATCGCGCATATCGTAAGTGAAGTCAGAATGTGCACCGCTGATTGCATCGAAGTTTCCGGATTGCTACTAGGGGGACAACACCATCATTAAGAGATCCATGAATGTTTTGGATGCCAACTTCACCAGCATGAGCAAATGGCTCTGGGATCTACTGCTTTCAACTTGCTAGATTCCTAGCCCCGGTGGTACACTTCTCATCACGACACTTACTCACAGTGCCTCAAAGATATGATCTTCATTCGAGTATCGGGATTGACTACGGTAAAGACGGGGACTCTGAAGAGTAGGTGAGATTCATACTACAGAAGTATAACGGGCCAACAGATCAGGATGGTTCACCATCTCCTAGCTTCCACATTACTTAACAAGAGCACCCACAGTCTTTGCAGTCACCCTTTGCGCACGGGTCATTGCTCGAGCACTGCGCATCGCTCGAGCATGTCTTCCACGGGCCCCACCCCTCAGCAAGCGCAATCCAGCACCACTGGTGGCCACCACCGCATTCCTTCCAGCAGTATCCGTTCTTCGAGCATCCCTTGGATTTTCCGGAGTCGTTGCATTCGCGCTTGAAAATGCTGGGAGTTCCGTCATGCTTCCTCTTGTTCACACTGGTGGTTTCGGGGTGATCGCGGCAAGTGCGGACATCGTTGAGGTGGACGTTCTCAGGGAGATCACCGGGCTTGATGTTCATGCGACCAAGCTCGCCGCATTCGAGTGTTTCAGGGTCGGGGATGGCAGTGGAGTAGACGGAAGCCAGAGAAGCGGAAAAGATAAGGATGGAGGTGAATTTCATGTTGTTGATTGCGTGTGGAGTTTGTAGGTGCTTAAAGAGACAATCTGTTTCTTTGGCAGAGTAGAAGTGAATATCGAGATACGAAGACGAAGTGATGATGGCTGATGATGTTGCTACTGACACAGCATTCACAGCGATACTTATAATCTTCCAGTGCGCCAAGATTTCGGTCTATGTTCGTTTCTTCCTCGTGTAAATGAAGGGATCTTCTGCTTAGCTGAGACCTTGCCCGCCAGATTTCTCGACGTTGTTGGGCTGTTGTGGGACAGAGCATGACGATCTACATTCACGAATGTTTCCATAATAAACACGTATAGTGGGTCATACCTAGGTAGCAAATGAATACGATGACCGAAGCCCGAGCCTGCAAATGTATATCTTGATGGGGTAGACTACGTGTGGCATGTACTAGGCCGGCCTAACCAATTCGGGGGCGTAAGTGAAAGATTATGCACGCCTAACGGCTCGGCACGTTTAGCGAGAGCGTAGTCCAGCCTTGGAACTCTATATTCGGCAATCAGTCACGTACAAAGGAATTGGCTTACAACATGGTAGACTTGAGCACTTCGGTCTGAGCCACTTGTAGAACGTCCGGCTAGAAAGTACAAATTACGTAAAAGCAGGCCTGATGGACGATACACCTTCACTCATTGGTCAATGCCCCTCACCTAGCTTAGGTAGGAAGTGGAGAAGGGTACGGTTTGCTCACTTAGTAGTTCGAAAGAGGCTTTGACAGTCGAGGAGTACTCTGGAAGAGTGGAGACTGCGTCTGGGGTCGGGGCCGGTGAACCCACTGTTAGTACATTCTACGGTGGCTCAAGCATAATAGTACGTAGAATTTTGTCTCCCAAAATCGAGATCATCTATTAACATGAGGCACCAGGCCTTTCTGAAGCTCCAGTGTTTGCATAGAGGATTCCAGCATCCCTGCATGACTTGTCGCACATTGGTAAGCCTTAGGCCAAAGCTGCCAAATACTGCATGATCCTTTAGCGGTCCTGACTTATGTTTGACAGTACACAATCTCACGTTATTTTGATGTAACTGTAGACCGCCATTTGACGCGCGTAACAGATCCTTAGTCTTTGGAGTGGTTGGCCCATAAGAGCAAGGCGTCCCAACTGTCGCTTCGATGAATGAGAGGATGCGCGTATCCATGTCCAAACACCGGAACTTCAAAAAGGTCTGTTGCCCCATGTCGACAAGATGATGCTGTGGTCCCTGAGCTGGTACGATCGATTGCTCTACTATTGATGAAGCCTTCAATCAAGCCTTCGGCACTGATGAAGGCGTCCGGACCTCAGACGGGAAAGCCACCGTCAGACCATCACAAGAAGGCGAAGCCGAACGTGAAGATGATAGTATCATAAGACCCCGAAAAGAATATGCGGGCGAGATTTGGTGAGACTTTTCAACGCTCTCTGCTAAAGGAGTGATACCAGAGTGGTGATCGATGCCGTAACACCGAGACATTCCTTAGCATGTATCTGCAGGTCTGAGAGCTGTAGTCAATGTACGGATGAATATAACGTGAGAACCCCAATTTCCGAGCGTTGATCCCACATGTATCGCGGGGCTATCCCTGGTCTTCCTGGAAACCTTCCCACCGGAAAAGTCCTCTTATCGAACAGACCCAATATAGCTCACACCGTGTGACCCAAAAGATCCTCCGTTGACACTGGATGCGTGTAGAACGCAGGTGCAGGTGGAGAGATCACGGCACCGTTTTGATCAACATGTTATGCAATTGATCACCACTCAATGGACAATCTCTCATCGTTAAGACGAGTCGATGCCGCTCCTTTAGAACTACGTCGGCTGCCCGGGATAATGAATCATTGTAGTGGCTAGTGCTTGTCGCGGAGAGCGTCACCATGCTGCAAGGTACTAACACCACTCCACCGACACGAGATGAGCCACTTGCAATGGGTGCTGCCATGTTGTGACTGCTGTAGATGTGGTCGGTGAGACCCCTCAATTTGATGTTGTCAAGTCCTTTTCGTAGTTCAGGGTGATTCCCGCCCATTCGCTCATGAGTTGGATCTCGACATCAGGCGCTGGAGATCAACGGGGGCTTTGATTCCGAGTATTGAGCCTGTGGCTCTAGTCAATACCACGATGATGCGTTTTCGTCTTCTCAGTGGCGCCGCTTGGGGAGAAACCTATGAAGGTCGGTCGTAAAGTTGATTGCATATGTTGTTTTTCCACACCACCCACGGGTCTAGACAGCTCTTTGCAAATTTTAGCTGGTCTGTCTACTGAGGACGGGTAGTTGAAGTGCTAGCCCTTTAACTTTCTAATGATTTAATGCCTTATTCTAGCGTTTATTAGGCTTAGAAATCTATTTTTTTAATAGAATTTAGCTTTTAACTAGTCTCCTATAGTACACAGACTGATTGAAATGTTGCGAAAAGGTACTTAGAGCCTAGAGAGGTGGGAGAGAAACTTTTGCAAAGCACTGATAATGAGTCTGAAATATGTTGTGATGATGTATCTGAGCGAAATTGTTTTTGTTATTACGTAAAAGCCCTTTTGGTTTTGGGAGAAGAAAGCTAGATTACATAGAGTAATTTAGACTTCGATAGGTTCTACTTCCTATGTAACATTGGGTGGTGCATCAGAGATACCTAGGTAGATCAGCGCTGTATCGGAGACGTGATATGATCGCTCACACGTAAGCTGTAGGTTGCGGCATACCTGATGAGGGGTCCGAGGTATGTCTCCGATTATTTGCATTGAGCTCACACTATGGGTCGGGTCGACCGTCTATTGACGGCTACAGACATGTAAACGTCAGTTGCCACTTCTCTTTAGTATAAAGCAACCAAGACCTTCGCAGATTGTCTTAAAGTGCGAATCTTATTTTCCAATGGAAATACATATTCCAAACCAATTGCACGAAGACGCAAGTCATCGGCGCAGAGTTCCGCCGCTTCGTCCAAGAACTTCACTAGCAGTATGACCTCATCTCCGTCTCCACGAAAGTCGGACCCGACCTCAAAGTTGCCGCTATCATGCGCGGAGTGCATGAAACCGACAAGAATTGCTGTCGAAATGGTCTGGAGCTCATTCGAATCTCACTGCCGCCGGTTCGTGGTGCAAGTCAACAGGCAGAAACCGAGGCCCCTCAAGACAAACATGAAAAACTTTCAGCGCGCAGGTTGGCCATACTATCTTCGGCTTCAAAACCTGGATTGCATATCCCAACAGTGTACTTGGTGGGAGACGACATTGATTCTACCAATATCTGGACCATTTCTGGCCGTTGCCAACTCCGTGATGGCGAATACTTCTTCGATGAACACCCTAGCATTGGCCTCGTTCCTTACGTGTCTCAAGGCGAAAAGTTTGGCCAGTTTCACACCCAGGTGGTGCGATGCTGTCTGTTTGCATTTGTGTTCGAAAAGCAGACGCTATGCCAGGTAGCCTTGTCCAAGGGAGATCATCCAAAGGAGCTTCTTGACAAGGTCCTGAGCCGCTGGGAAGAGTATGGGTTTTAGTATGGGTTTTAGAGGGCTTTCATAGATATGCCTGTTAGCAAGCATCAAGCAAGGAAAGTACGGTTCAAGATCACTGTCCTTACTGATCTTGTGCTGCTAGGATATACGTAGGCTTCAAACTCAATTTGGTAAAATCGCGGCTCGGATTGGTGCTTGATGCCGGTCGATGCTATGAGGTTGGACCAATCTCATTTGTACATTTCCTGCCGCTTGTGGTCCAAAGACTGTGTATGTATCAGCGATAGGGTATTTCTCCGGATAGATGGGACCTTCCTGGGGCAAAGCAAGCTCAAGCAAGGCCTTACAGGCAACTGTCTGCTGAGGTGTCATGTTTCATCTCTGTCGGACCGGTAGACCTGTTCATAACGCACCGAACGATGGGGCATGTCAAACGTCTCATCTATCTTTCGGCACGCGATCGATCTCGGAACGACTCCGATCGTTGATATCGTGGAAGCATCCAATCAGGAAACGCAACCACAGACCCAAAGATCTTGCGCGTTCGGTAGGGATTCTTCCGAACCGTCTCTTATGCACGCACACATTATTGCCGTATGCGAAAGCGACCCGCGACCTTCCACGCGCGGCACGTATTCAGCATGCGCAAGGCAGGAGGTCGATCAACTTCTTCTTCCACAATCTCGCTCAGGTCCCTGTCATTGATGGATCCCGCAGGAACGTCCCTGTAATCCCAACCATTCCACCTGCACGGGCGGGGCTCTATTGGGGGCGTTCGGCCCTCAAGGTGCAACGATGGCATGAAGAGCGGGTCCGATCACACAATAATCATGTCGATCCTAAGAGCTGATTCTGGCCTTTACATTACCTTCTGAAGGGCACGGTTCGTCGAGGCTGTACTTCTGAAGTCTGATCTCGCTACCAAATCAACACAGCTTTGATCAACACAGCTTTTAGATCAGCGCTCGCGCAAAAACCCTCTCAAGGTCTTACGGGACCACGTGCACTAGTCTGAGACGTGATACAAAGGCTTGCACAGATGTGTGCGCTCTTGGACGTTGATTACTTAGTAAACAATGCAATACCATTCTCACTTGCACCAACCTGTACAGTCAGACCACCCTTCCCGTAGAACCCACGGTTCTTTTCGCCGCATAGCACACTTGCCACGACATTTTCGCCCTCAGATTTGGCCTGCTCTACACCCCACTGCACCAGCAGTTTGCCTAGACCCCTGCCTTGGAAGTCGGGATGCACACCGCAAACATGCAGGTCCCAGCACTCGGCACGGTCGCCGGACCAGTACTTTTCCGAGTTTGCTACAGCGGCCGTGAGCCATTCGGCATTCTTAGGGTCCGCAGCGCGATTTGGGAAAAGGCGCAGCGAAAGGGAGTGGTAGAGGTTCAGTGCCGGACTGATCAGGTTGCCTGATGGAGGGCGATGGTCAGTCGAAAAGCACTGACAGGCGGTATGTGGATGGCAGTGGGCCGGTGGGTTGAGCATGGACACTGTCAAAGTGTCTGGGTGCGCAACGGAGTGACAAAGCGTAACAGGACTCACGGGGGTCCACTTTGGCCAACTCCCTCCTCTGTCCACCCTCGCCTAACCTCCGCCAATCAGCAGCGCCCGCAATCCTTTCTTTCCCATGTTCGTGTACGGTGACAAGGACGAATTGGTGTCGCCACTCCCAGAACCGTTCACGCAAGCCGCGAAGTAGAAACCAATACACGTCCTCGGGATGCTCGTTGCGGTTTGGGTGCATCAGATGTCCTATGATGTCGTCGTCGAAGAAGGCGGCGTGCCATACACGAGCCATGGCCGGTAGGTCTGACAGCTGGGCCGTGCGAAGCTGCAAATTAGGACGGGGGTTGGCTGATTTCGATGTGTCTGAGGCCATGGTGGTTGGAGGCAAGGAGCCGTCTGAGGCTTAGCTTTGGGCAGGTAGTATACGTCGAACAGTGGATGTATGAAGCGTGGCAGTGGTGATGGCCTGCAGATGGCGGGAAGTCTTGTTGCTGAAGCTTCACGGAGCGAATACGATGGCGAAGGCGGCTTGACGACGACGCACGGGAAAGGGAACGTTGGGCGATTCTAGACTGGCAGCCCTGTCAAGAGTGGCGTTCGCTAGGCTGTCTCGAGGTCTTTGGCGCAACTCTGACAGGCGATAACGGAAAGCTGGTCGCGGTTCGTAAGAGAGGCTGCATCCTACACATGCGCTACTCTGCGCAGGGCAAAGCTCCGGCGCGGACGCTACCGCGTACGGGCGATTGAGTTTGTGCCAAGACCAGCAACGGCGGAATCGGGACGGGAGATGTACGACTGACTCGGGGACGAGGGATTTCTGAAGCGGGACCTTGATGCAGACTAACATTCGATGCGGCGTAGCAGGGAGCAAATCGAAGCGTCGCCTCGGCGCGCATGGCACGTCCCGCCCGCCCCGACGGTGTGGGGGGCACTGGGGGCTACTGAGGTACCCTGCGCGTCGGTTGATTAGAGGCAACCGAGTGCACATGCGAAGGAGACGCGAGGATGCGAGACGAAAGGCAGCCCCAAGTCAACGAATGTGGAATCGCAGGTTCAACAACGAAAGGGGAATTGCAGGCTCAAGAACAAAAGTGGGATTGTAGGCTTAAGAACGAAGGTGGAATTTAAAAACCGAGGTAGAATGGCAGGCTCAAGAACGAAGGTGCAATGGCAGGCTCAAGAGCCCACGTGCAATGGCAGGCTCAAGGACCCACGTGCAATGGCAGGCTCAAGAACCAACTCGACACCGAACGCGACAACGCTCCTCGCAACGCTGAGCTGAGCCAAGCCGTCGACCTGCCCCGAAGAGATGGCGTCGCGGGGCCGAGGGAAGGATGCCGGCCCGTCCAAGGCGTGCCGCGATTGGTCGATGCGAAACCCCTCTGGTGGCCCTTACGATCGCACCACGGTCCATACGGTTTCCTTGCGAATGATCATATCCTGGCTTCCACCACTGCCGAGCGAGCTTCTCTCGCCGGCCTGGCCCGTCTGAATCTGTGTTTCGAATTTGGTGTCCATGTCGGTGGCAGCCTCGGTGCCTGCGCCTGAAGCCATTGCCCGGCTTCTCGACTCGGTGCCCATGTTCTTCATTTCGAAGGTTCCATTGCCGTACGCCTTGGCCGTGTAGCCCCAGTCGGCTCCCCCCCAGTTCGCAGACAGCGAATGCAGGAAAGCCTTCAGGTTCGGTATCGTCGTCGAGATGAGGGACCATGCAAGTAAAGTTTGGTGCCACATGAGCGTCGACACCACGTCGAATGGGGACGGCTGTGCCTTGTCTGTGTACTTGATCCGCGCGCTCAGATGGAACATCGAGAAGATGATCACCCTGCAACGAGTCAGCCCTGGTCCCAACCACCTGGGACTGCCGCCATCACCTACAAGATCCTGAAGCAGAACGCTGCAATGACGCGCAGTTTGTAGCTCGCCTTCATCTGCAGCTGCCATACTAGAAATGCTGGCAGCACCAGCAGAATGACTTCGGTCACAACATCCAGCGCTGTGATTGCACTCCATCGCGTCTTCTGCAAAACACTAAGTCTATCAAGTCTCGTTGCTTTGGGGAACGTCCATCATACCTGGTTGTTGCAGTGTCTTGTGAAGGAGCCCGAGGAAGGGCAACCGGCACTGCTTAGCATCACCGTCGCAACCCCGCAAAGAACCGTGAATCCCAGCGCAATGTCGCACAGCCGGCTAATGCTCTTGTGGTCTCGCACAAAAAGACGTCGTAGTAGCAGGATGCCAGAGCATTTTGCAAGGTACAGCGCCATCAGTAACAAAATCTGCGCTGCGAAAGACAACTGGCGGGCTTTAGCTTAGAGCTTCGGTCATGACTGGCTGACTCACGCTTGCTGTCGTGCTGAGGTTTGGAACATTCTCTGCTATTTGACCTAGACCACTCTTGAGCGCCTTGAAGAATACGATGGCTTGTGCGAGTCCGAGCAACTGCACCGAGAGGTTAGCGACAAGGTCTACATTGAGAACGCTGCTTCTGCTACTCACTGTGCCCGCGACAATCAACGAGTCATCCCAACCAAACACTCTTCTCTTGATGAACACTCGAATCGTCAACACGCCCACCGCGTAGATCAACCCAAGAAGTGAAGTAATCCACAAGGGCGCACTGTGGTTCTCGGGGCCGTAGGGCGCAAACCGGTTTCCTACCGATGTGTCCATGGGATCGATCGTGGTTGCATCTGCTAGGGGGTCCATTTTCACAAAGTCGACCACTTCCAGAAGTGATCAACGGTAAGAAGGTCTGTCCCTGACTCCTTATATCAAGTCGTTCGTTCCTCTGTGTAGAGACTTGGCCTGCTAAGTCTGCTAATGAATACTTCAATACTTTCCCGCTGCAGCGGCCGGTCTCAGCCTAGAATCCTCCACCTGCATGTGTCCTGTTCCTGTGCACAACTGACGGGACCGTGCCGAATCGCTTCCCCGTCGCCGGATCTGCTGATGCATAAAGCGTTGGCAAGACGAGTGACCTTCCGTCCGCTATCGCTACACGCTTCAGGCTGATGCTTGGGAAGACGGACGGCTCCTTCTTCTCGCAGGGTTGATATCGAATGAGCATCTTGTCGCCCGCATGGATGCTCCTTTCGTATTTGACATGCCTGATATAGGAGGGTTTGTTATCAGCATGTTCGTTCCTCTAGCACCTCCCAGCGCCCCGGCCGCCCGCAGTAGCTCTGGATTCCATCGTTCCAGACGAGATGACCTGGTTTCGAAGGAAGTCTCAAGGACCCGCGCACGGGGGAGGCCTCCAGCCTGGTTGGTTGCTCATGGATGCGATGACATGTTGGTGCACTCCACCGTGAAGAGACTACAGCGTGGCGTGCAATCCCAAGCCGTGAAGCACGCAGTCCTCAGCCGTCCACGCCGTCGTACCATGACGGCACCATATTGCGGCCGTCAAGGGCTGCTCCGAGGCGGTCCCGTACCGTGCTGATGGTAACGATGCCTTTACGATTGGCCAATCATGGACCCCGGGACCGCGTTAATCATGGGAGAGAGCGCCGCAAGTACAAGGGTCGGAGTTGCCTCGAAATGGTACGAGAATTCATCCGCTTGCGCTAGAAAGACCATGGATGAAGACTTTTTCCACTATTGACAGGCCCGAATGCAGACACATAGACGCGCTTGTGCATACGTGCAATGTAGGTTGCGGCACAGTCGAAATAACATCTTCTCCACTCTGCACGGTGGCACCGAACGGCTCGCCTGATGATTGCGCAAAATGAATACACTGCGAACTGGAGGAGCACATGTTGTGGGTACGGCAGGTCTCAGATACGGGAGCAGCCAATAAACACACCCCTCGGTTAGAGGCGCCCTGATCCTGCAGCAACAGGACGCGAAGGGATTTGGTCTCGACGGGCCCACTCCCAAAACCCACAGCGACATGCTCCCATCGCGCTAATCCCCATGTCGGCACTTTGGGTCTCGCAATGGGAGTGGCCGCGAAGCTCCTTCTGTACCGGCACTTGACGAGGATGCGTCCCTTGCACCGAAGCGCATAAGTCGGCAGGCGTCTGGACATCCGCGTTTGACTCGTCCTCCGTTATAAAGCTGTGCTTCGTGCCTCGCGAGACGTTGGCAGCAGGCATCTTCTCTCGATACGCTCAATCTCCTCCTTCTACCTTCTCACTGCAACAATGGCAAGTGTGGAGGAACACAAAGCTCCCATGACGAACGTCGACAGCGACCCCTCCCTTTCGGAGAGGGGTGAGCCCAACCATCTGGTTTCTGAGAAAGATGGAACCAGCGCCGATGTGCAGGACATGGCTCGTATGGGCAAGCGACAAGAGACACGACGAAACTTCAGACAGGTGACCATCCTTGGCTTCACTATGGTTGTTTTGTCGTCTTGGGAAGCCATCCTGGCTACCTCTGTGTTCGCTCTAGGTAATGGTGGAACCGCCGGTCTTATTTGGGGTTACTTCATCATTTTCATTGGTTTTGGCTTCGTTACTGCTTCCCTGGCCGAGATGGCATCCATGTAAGTCGGAGATAAACCTTCCATCGAGAACGGCAACTGAATAGGAACAGGGCTCCCACCTCTGGTGGACAGTACCACTGGGTTTCCGAGTTTGCACCACGCAGCTGCCAAAAGTTCATCAGTTACATCGTTGGATGGCTGGGAGTCTTGGGCTGGCAATCCGCTGCCGCCATCACCATATATCTTTCCAGCAACCAGATCGTCGGTCTTATCATCATGCACAATCCTAGCTACATCCCGAAAACATGGCACGGCATGATGGTCATGTGGGCTATCCTCATGGTCTGCTACCTCTTCAACACTTTTTTCTCCAGGAAGCTGCCGCTAGTCGAAGGTCTTATCGTTATACTCCACGTTGCTGGATTTTTCGCCGTCATCATCCCTCTCTGGGTCATGGCTGACCGCAGCTCCGCCTCCGACAACTTCACGCTCTTCGTCGATAACATGGGATGGAACAACGTGCCTCTGTCGACCTTCATTGGTCTGGTTGGCGCTGCCAGCTGCTTTGTCGGTGTCGAGTCCGGTGCACACATGTCTGAGGAAGTCCGCAATGCTTCCGAGGTCATTCCTCGTGCTATGATGTGGACCTGGCTCGGTAACGGCCTGTTCGGTTGGATCATGGCTATCACCTTCTGCTTTTGTGTGACAGACACCATGTCCATCCTTACGACACCCCTCGGAGTCGGTTTCATGCAAGTCTTCCTCAACACCACTGGATCCACAACCGGCGCTACCGTCTTGACCGTCATGATGCTTACTATCGGTGTCTTCGCCTGCGTTGCCGTAATGGCCACCAACTCGCGCCAGCTCTTCTCCTTCGCCCGTGACAAGGGCCTCCCTTTCTCCTCCGTCCTCGGCCAGGTGTCGCCTCGCTTCGAGATTCCCATCAACGCCGTCTACGTGACCGTTGCGTTCGTCACGATCCTCTCGCTCGTCCAACTCGGATCTACCGTGGCGTACATGCAGATCGTCTCCCTCGGTACCGCATCCATGATCACAACTTACATCATCTCCATCTCCTGCATGGCCCTCAAGCGCATCCGTGGCGAGCCTCTTCTCCCCTCCAAGTTCGATTTGGGCAAAGCTGGGCTGGCCGTCAACATTATTGCATTGATCTTCCTCATTGTCCTTTGGATCTTCGCCTTCTGGCCTACCTCGCCCAATCCGACCGTGGAAACAATGAACTGGGCCGTCTTGGGATACGGTATCGTCATCATCTTCGCCGCTGTGTACTACTTCATTCGCGGCCGCCACACATATTCCGGCCCTGTCGAATACGTCCGCAAAAGTGCGTAGACAGGTGCTAGCCTGTAGGTCGATATACTAAAAGCGTTTCCCTGTCGTACATATTTTAATAGACTGAATCAGAGCGTTTACCTCCAATATCGCCGCAGCTGGTGGTCCTTTGCCGATGTTGTGAACGTCGTGAGGTCGTTGAGAAGTTGGGACGCTACTGTCACGGTTCGCGCCGGCTCCTGTGGGGTTCGCGCTTTCCGCGGGGTGGATATGTCAGCGCTCCATCACCTCTCTACCATAATGCTTTGAGTTTCTTCGTACTTCTCCTGCGGGATTAGAGCAGCCATTAGAGCGAAGACACTTGTAGTATACGCTTCAGTGGACTCAATGTGAAGTACGACTTGGAGATTACGACCTCCGAATGTGAAAGCCGTCAGGCGGACGAAGCCATGGGCTATACGTGGTCTAGGGCTATCTCCTAGGGTATCACTCTGGCTCTCTGCAACCTTTGCTACACTTCGTAGAAGCCGAGCGTTTGAGCCAAACCTCATTCTCGAACCCAGTCCAATACTCCGAAGGCATTGACGACCTTCAACCGACTTATTAAATGTATTCAAGGATCAAATTTGACATGATACTCAAGCGCATCCCCAACAAGCTAGCCTAAGCACAAAAGCAGACACCCATCTTGTGCAATTCGCGAAGCTACATACCCACACGTGTCTCCTACAGCGGCTTCTCTACAGCGTCATTGATCGCACTAGAACTGTACCCAGACTTGCTGGCATGTGAGAGTACCGCCGTAATGCAAAGACCTCGATGCGCTAACACAGACGGCGGAACGAGATGTCTTCCCCGTTAAGCCACCATGTCGATCACGACCGTAGCCATAGCAGAGCTAGCAAGCTCGGTTTTATATCTCCGCATGACTGACTTGACGGCAGTACCTACGGATCGTTTCTCGTACTCGACAACAGTGGCGCCTCGGGCTGCCTCCATGCCCCTATCGCTTGCTCGAGGTCCCAACGGGACCTCCAAGATTACGTGGTACACCAACGGCTCTGGTTCTCGGCTCAATCTTAGTGCACATCCGTTGGGTTTGTCGATCCCAACTCTCCTCGTTTGCTGCACCAGTACTTTACCATATCGCCGGTGTACGTCGTTTTATGGACAAACAATGGATAATATCTCGCTTTCGCCAAATGTCCTCTTCATTCAAAAGCAGACGCACTGTTCTACAGCTCAGTCTTCGATACCGTCACCAGTAATCGTTTACAACAAATGGATTGAATTGTCTTCGTTCTAGAGCTCCGTGAGTCCGTATGCTAGGAACAGCTCCCAGTACACTGTATGATCTAGGTTCAGTCTTTCACAGTGCAAGCTATCCTTTAGCAAGCACTCAAAATAAATGAACCGTCGTTGCGCTGTGTTCATCATCTGTTCATTGCGTGCTGCAGACGCTACGCTGGGTCCGGTAGTAGGACATTTTCGTCGAAGACAGAGCGGTGCTGCTGTCGTTGAATCTTACTCAGAAGACCGGCGACGCACCCCGCTCGTTTCATCTCTTCTTTCGAGATTTGAACATTATTCGAACCTTTACCATTCGCCCAACATTAAACATCACCCATCCCAGCTCGTTCTACTCTAACTCGTCTTTCCTCACAATCCGATCTCCCATGAAAGCAAATGTCAGGTTCAACCAGACAACTGGACATCACTTCTCACAACAACCCCGCAACGATATATGATGCAGAATTCGCATCGTCAGTTCTCGATGCCATAAGTACGCCCGTCCCTCAGTCCTACTCTACCATAACCCCTCATGGCACATAATAACCCCAAGAACGCCTAGGCTATGCAATACCCCAATAAAGATGCCATGCCATGCCGTGCAAACAACCTCCCAATATTTGACAAAGGAAAAAAAAAGTCAAGTCAAACTCCACGACCAATCCCCATAAGACTCTCTTCACTCTCTAACGCTCCTCAGAGTGTCAAAATCGCTGTGACCGCGCCTACGCCTGCTTCCCCACCAGCGGGTATCATACTTGGACGCCTAGTCCTGGCCCGCGCCTCTCCTGCTTCTTACGTCTGGCATAAACATCGACATTTCCCTGTTGGAGTCCTACTCCTGCCCACCCCTCCTACTGTTTGGCCTCCCGCCCGCCCCATCCGGCCCAAAAGTGCTCAATTCCCCACCACTGGTCTCCCTTCTGCGCCTCACAATCTGCAGTCTGGGGAGGGGCGTTGCATTTGCACTACCACTGCCCGTCGGCGTCACATTTTCCTCGCCCGTGCCACCGCCCTGGCTAGCTTGACTCTGGCGTCGGCGACTCACGGCTTCAGACAATCTCCCTTGTCGCGCTTTTGGTAGGCGTGACTTCCCTGACCCGTTGGCAGTGGAGGGAGTAAGCGGACTGTCTCTTTCGCTTTGATTTGAGGCGATGCGCGAGAGGGATGTGGTGTCGCGGGACGGTGGGCGGCTGGTGTGCGGCGTGCGTGACGAAGTTAATGTGATCGGTGAAGACGCCATAGTAGGGCTGAGGACATTGACAGCCGTCGACGCGCGGACTAGTGATGGCGCTTTTGGGGAAGGTTCTTCCTGGAGATCCCAGATCCCGGCTGTGGAATGGCTTCGGGTGATGCGCTCGCGGCCGCTGCCGAGTAGAGTTGGGGTAGGCGGCATAGGCGGCACTGGTGGGATCGCGAATGCGGATTTCAGACTGTTTGGGGTGGGCGGCGTCATGCCTGACACAAGAGTAGAGCCGGTACTTGAGCCTGAGCCTGCGCGGGTGCCTGAGCTTGACGCGGGGCGGCGGAAACCCGAGGCGCGGGAGGTGCTGCGCTTGGATACTGAGTCGCATGCTCGGACAAGCTCTCCAGCCATCTGTCTTACAAGCACAGCGTGGTCATGCTCGGAAAGATGGACGATGGTGTCGTAGACGCCAAATTGGCGGATGAGAGTGCACTCATCTTCCGTGGAATCGCATATGTCCCTGAGAATACGGAGGAGGTTCAAGCGAGTAACAGCGTCTTTGTGACCGAGCTTTTGCACTGTGCGCGTGAAGATCTCGGGGACAGCTAGCGATGCTGCGATTGGAGGCGAGAGACGAATGAGCTTCTGAAGGGGCTCGAGCATATTCTCGAAGTTTGATTGCGAGAGCTCGGGCGAGGTGTAAGAGCTTATGATCGCAATGCTGAAGTTGGACGAGAGAAGATATTGCTCTACACGAGCGGTCTCTTCCTGAAGCCTGGTGCTGTGTTAGTGCCAGGTTGTAAAAGCGTCAAGATGAAATGAACGTACCAAACGAAAATCGCATCCAATGCCGTGACCTGCCAATTGCGATCAGACAGCATGCTGATGTAGAACTGCAACCCCTTCGCATCCCACAACATCTTGCGCGCTACCTTCCCGCTATGTGCCAGCTCACACAGTATAGGCAGAGCAAATTCTTTCAATGGGCCGCCACCATTCACAACCTCCTTGAGCAGAGGTATGATGTCTGACAATGCGGCTTCTTCCTGTCTGCTCTTGTTGTGGCGGCAAAGGTTGTACATGGTATTCAAGACTTGGTTTGAGATCTCCCGATGGTTCAACTGGTTTTGCGTATTCCTAAACAGCTCGATAAGGGTGTCGATTGCGTTCGAGTTCTGCAGCGCCTCGTGGGTTGAAGAAAGCATGCTGAGGTTTTTGATGAATTTGAGCATAGTCACTTGGTGCACCGGAAGCATTTTTGGGAGGTCTTTCAGTACCCCTGCGATTTGTTAGTGATCTGTACTTGGGAAATGTTTCAACTCTGGGGTTGGAAGAGAGGGCGGGGCACTTGCGCTTCAGGATCATGCGGTCCGCTACTAATTCTTTCACGAAGCTCTCGGCTTGTGAGAAAATCAGAAATATGCTGACAATGCGACCCTGGATGAGCTGTGCGACCTCATCTCGCTCGTTGATGACCCTGTTCAACACCAGCGAAAGTGGATAGAGAACGGAGTTGCGCGACAACAGCCGACAGAAGTCATTCTTCGGCGCGGAGCCCTGCAACTCAAACACGTTCCACACACCATTAACGCCGATGAGCACCAAATCTCTTTCTTCGTCTATGTCCTCCTCTAGAAAATCAACCAGAACGTTTATACCGCCACAGCCAACAAAGATCTGTAGTGTAAGTGTACTGGTCTGGTACATCTGTCGCACAAAAGCTGCAGCCTCTTTCCGGATCTCGCTAGGATATTTCTTCGATGCAAATGTACAAATAGTAGGAATTCCACCAAGCATGGACAGCGACTCTTGCGATTCGGCATCCTCATGAATGATCAAGTTGATGATTTTCAACAATGGCAAAACTAGTTCGTTAGGTGGTATCTCTCTAAGGATCTCCAGTATAGGTAGCATGCCATGGGATCGGAGGACGATAGAACGCTTCTCAGGTGATTCATACAAAACCTCTAAAAGCTGGTCGGCGATCTTGAGCAAGTCGACGTCAGGTTGGTTGATCTTCAGATCACCTACAAGCATCTCCGTCTGCTTTGTCAGTCGGTCATCACGGTCGCGGGCAACATTGTTTTCCATGTTGATGTTCTCCAGGCCCTCGTCCATGTTGGCAAACGGGTCCAGATCGTCGTCGTCGGCAAGCATCTATTCCTATTAATGCACACATACTTTACGACATTTAGTAGAGGACATACAAAAGATGACGACATCTTGGAAGTGATCATGGCCAAACTACTATGCTCTGAGCCACTATCACTTTCAGCTCTGCTCGGCTTGATGTCGCCGAAGACGTCCGAAAAGTCGTCACGATCGTCCTCCGCATATCTTAGCATCTCAATTTCTGACTGTGACCGCTGCATCTTGCGCGAAGAAGTTGACGAGACAGAACGCTGGTGTGCGCCGTTGGCCCTGGCATCTCTTGTTGATTTCGGCGCTGTCTTCAGATCGTTGGGATGAAATAGCTTTGGAGAGAAAGTATCTGCTGGTGATGGTACCCTACTGACTTCCCTAGGAAACATAGAAGGCGGATTGGCGATCTGCATAGCTTTTAGCTTCAGCTCGAATGCGCTCTCATCAGCTACTGTCAGATCCGAGTAGTCTTCGATCGAATTCTCACGGAACATCTGCGATGGCCGGGCGAAGGCGGCCGCTTGTGCTCGCGGTGCTTGCAACACCTTGGGTACACCACGGAGGAACGCTGTTTTGGGTTGACCTTCCTGACGCTCTAGCGGTTCTTCCGTGATAGTCGATGTGGATGTCGATCTTGAAGTTGATGATCGGGCTCTTGTTGACGGGGGTCGCCCAACGTCACTTTGAGCGAATACACTCGGGGAACCTCTCAAGTGCTGCAGATTGAGCGGACTCTTCACCGTGGCTTCACCATCGAATTGTGACGGCTCTTCCATTACACTGGCAATCGCCTTCAGCTTGTCGCTTGAGAAGAGACCGCCAAAGTTGTCCTGAGGTTTTAAGTGAGGCTGGTGGAAGGCGCGAGGCGATATGCTCTCAGCAAAGTCGTCGTCCCAGTTATCATCTTTGTCGATCTCTGGTGAACGGAAGGACTCAGCGGTAGGCCTTTGCCTCGGGATGTTCAGGTTCACATTCACCGGGACTCTGCGCGGCAGTGGAGCGGCGGCCGACGTCCGACGCAGCGCAGGTTCCGAATCGAGCCTCTCGTTGTACTGCTGGATCTGGTTCACCGCTTGGTTGAACTCGGGGCTTGTTGAAGCGACGTCAGGTGCAGTCCGCTTCGTGCTCAAGATCCACTTGTGCTGGAGCAGACGTCTGGCATCGATACGTAGATTGGCATTCTTCTGGAAGCACTCCATGAGGAAGTCTCGCAAAGCATTAGAGACGCTGCCAGGAATCGGTGGATGGTCGTCATTAACGATACGGAAGAGGGCTTGCATAGGCTGCAGGTGGTGGTAGGGCGGTTTCCCATCTATCAGCTCGATGATGGTGCAGCCCACACTCCATATATCGGCGGCCGTGGTTGCGCCAGACATTTCGATGACCTCCGGTGCCATCCAGTATGGGGTTCCCACAACGCTCGGATCGTCGAGCCCTGACTGCTTGGTGGCCACGCCGAAGTCTGCCAGTTTGACCAGCCCCTCCTTTGTAGTCAAGATGTTCGCACCCTTGATGTCGCGGTGGATGACACCCTGCTCGTGCAGGTACAGTAGACCTTGCAGCACTTGCGACATGAAGAGGCCCACCAGCGGTTCCGGAAACTTGCCGAACTTCTTGCAGACGCTATGCAGGGAGCCGTTCTCGCAGAACTCGAGGATGATGTACAAACTTTCGGCACTCTTGACAGACCCCTTGTACTTGACGATGTTGGGATGGGTCAGGCTCTTGAGCAGGTCGATCTCGAGCATGATGGTCTTGAGGTCCGCCTGGCCGAGCGTCTCCAGCTTGACCTGCTTTATGGCCACCGTCTCGCCTGTGCCCCAATTGAGGGCGCGGAAGACACTGCCATGGGCGCCTTTGCCCAGCAGCTCGCCGAGCTGGTAGTCCTTGAGCCCCGCGACATCCTGTGCGGCCCGTTGCGCTGTCCCCTCCCTCCGATTGCCGTCTCTGCTCGGGGCGCGGCCATTGGACGATGAGGAGGCCTTCTTGTGGTGGCCAGACGAGCCATTGGAGCTGTGCTGGGATGAGCGCGAGCCTGAGTGTGCGTGGGCCGCCCTGTTGCTCGGATGTGAGACCATGGTGGTGGCCTGCCTGCTGTGTGCGTCCCAAGCCCTTCCAGCTGCCTCTTCCTACGCAATTCTAGGTTCGCGGTCGTATCGCTCGGCGGTTCTGGGTTCGTTGGCGACGGGATTTTGTCGTCTGCGCATCGAGCTTCGGCAGACCACAGAATCTGCGCACAGGCGCTGGCTGTTGATGTTTACGGGTGCTCGCACGGCCCTGGGGCGGTCTGCGGGGAGCCCCCTCGCCTGCTAAGGAGGTGGTATAGGCGTCGCGTCCTGGGGATCCTGGCTGCCAAAGGTTCTGGTCAATTGCGAACCGCTACTCTGCGACGTTCGGAGGGGCAGCACGCGTCGCATCGGCGAGGCCTAGGCCTGACCATGCAGGGTGGCGGTAAATTGCCCTGGTGGGAGTAGAGGTCGTAAGAGGAAAGCCGTCCAATGCCAGGGTCGCCGTCGAGATTCGAGGGTTCGAAGGTTCGAGGGTTCGACTACACATCGCTTGGCATCACTGACAGCGCATCACATCGTTGCTACGTCACAATTGACCTGTCTATCCATTCCCATGCTGATAAGAATTCAAAAGCGACAAACAGGTCGCCCCAACATATGCTGGGCTATCTATACGCGTCTGAGACGACTTTTGCGGCAGGCTGCCGAATCGAGTATGCTCGCGGCCGAGCGGGAGGCACGCCATCTCTCCAAGGCTACGTGCATGTGCATTCACTGGTCGACGATTGATCGAGTCCTTGAACATGATGCACGCCTAGGCGAGTCCGGGATATCTCCCATAGGCCATGGGCAAAGGAGCAATCGCGATAGGTATGCTATGCGGGGGATGCGGAGATCGGAATGCAGCCCACATCAGCATGGCGTGGCATGGCATGGCGCAGGTACACAACGGGAAAGACCCCACGCGACCAATCACACTCGGAACATTAAGGAATACCATTACTACGGCTAGTTCTGGACACACTCACCGGGGTGTCATCGGGGTGAGTTGCCTTCAAAGAAAAACGACGTCCGCAATGGGCTATACTGCAAAGGCTTGAGCGACCACATCCGAAGTGTCCCATCAGGATTCCTGTCCTGCCTACCCATCGCCTCATGCACAATTGCTTCTGCGCACACCATGCTTTCTTCGTCATCGGACCTGACACTGTATATACCAGACCCCCATTGCATGAAATCGTCTATGCGCATGTGCCGGCTAGGAGCTCGTCCGATCGTTGGTACCATGTCTCTTGCCGATGACTTCTTGGTCAGGGCTGGTCGCTCGATGATAGGCGTGCTCGGTGTTTTTGGCATTGAAGGGCCGTTAGGAGAGAAGGGCTCCGTAGCCGACTTTGGCGTAGACATGATTATCGGCATTTGGCTGAAGAAGCGTCGAATCATTGGCCTTAGCGTAGGGACTGTAGCTCCCATTAGATGGACACCAGGCTCGATTATTGACCAGTTGGTTGTGACTACGGAGTGGTAGGTGATGTCTTGGAATAGATCGGTGCGAAGGAAGATCACAAAGCGTAGCACAGCGGTGACGATGCCCCTGCGTATATGTTAACGTCACCCTCAAACCCGGCAATAGCCTTACAAGGTGCTAACAACGAACGTCAGACCGACGCCGAATCTTGCCCATATCCCACCGTTAAGCTTGAGAAGTGCCGGCAGAGGTATCAAAAGCAGAGCTGCATCCGTGACAATATTGGGAATGCTGAAAAAACGCATAGCAGTTGTGGGATCCATAGCACATTGAGCCGGATGCGTGAGATCCCATGAGGAAGCGAAAGGCCGGCAATTGGTGAAAGCTGTCACGACCCCAAAGACTGACGTCCCTACGATAGCTGCAGCGGTCGCATACAAAACGTATCTGGCAATCTTCTCGTCGAAAAGTCGAAAGTATAAGCAGAGAATTGCGAGCTTCGGAAATGGAACCGATAGCACGTAGACAAACTCGTGAGCTTTGATGAGCTTGAACATCCTTTCGACTGTTTGAGGCCGCAACGTATGAACATGTCTTCCAGCTCCGCCCATGGTGAGCTTGACTGCACAATCTTAGAAGTGGGCTGCTCTATGTAGATATACTTACATATACCCATGACCACTCCACCAAAACAGAACGCATAACCGAGGAGGATCAGAATATACACCCCCTTGGTGTTATTCTTGTTGTTGCATTTGTTGTAGTGCCATGAAAAGACGAAGGCGATAACGAAGAGCGTTTCCAGAATGGCGAAGGCAATGCAGACATTCAATAGAGGCTGACTAGCCTGTCCCGCGGTCATATCGATTCCCCACGTAGATGTGGTGCTCATAATGACGCTGCGGATGATGTCCTCCCCTTGACAAGACAAACTTAGGATGCTTGGGAAGACATCCCAGTGCAGGAGTGAAGAAATAATTCGCTCAGAAATAGACTCTAGACGGAGAGGAGTTTGCAAGTCACACAGGGCGCCCTCTGATTGCGTGTTTTCCGAATCCTTCGCTCGTATCAAGTTGATCAGCAAGCTCGCGGCGTAAGATGATGTGCGCTCCCAGTGGCACTGAGGTCTAGGGCGGGGCGTATATTCACAGTCGTTGAGGCGGTCCTTGATAAGCGCCTATTGTTACCCAACACCTTCAATCAGTCTGCATAGGTATGTGATCGAGGATTGAATGAAATAACCAGTAGCCCAGCTATTGAGTCCTTGGTGCGAGTGGTGATATCGTGGGGCTAATCGAATCGGGAGATGATCATTAGACAATGGCCACATTTGCGTACGGCGTACACATACTGAGACAAGGTCCGTAGCATCGGATGGGAGGCGTCATTGGGGCTTGCTTGTGAGGCACCGCGCAGGCGCCGCGCAAGGCGTGTCCCGAAGTGGCAAGGTTCGGTGCCCGAGACCTGCACGATATGTTCTAGAATGGACAGTATGTTCTGCTCCAACTCTGGTAGGTCAGCAACGAAGGCCGGAAGCAAGTGTTTGGGCCCGAAAAAGGCGACTGAAACGCTCATTTAAAGACACTGAGGACTCCACATGAACGGCAGATGCACGTGTGACCATCGTGGTGTAGTTGCAGCCTTGGTTACACCAAATCACCTATTCGCTGGCCAGATTGAACGGGTGGCCAAGTCGCAGGGCTGATTCGACGTCAGTGACGGATGCGCTCGGTGCGGACCGCAACCCGCCTTACTATCATACTCCTTGTCCGGCGCGTCTTCGAGGCGAGCCGCTTGACTGACCGGATGAGGAGACATGGTCGTAAGGTACGCTACTATTCGTGTCATGTGCAATATTGTTGTCTGTTTATGTTTGAGGTGATGCGCATACAATACTGAGCTACATAGGGTACATTCGTCGAAGGTAGTGCCGACTCTTCTCGGATGAACAGAGACATCGGAGCCTTCCATCAGAACTATGTCTTAGCCGAACGGTGTCCAGAGAGGCTCGATCCAAGCACTGACGATACAATCATCTGGCGGACAATCTGGACATTCAAGGGTTCGGGTGGACGATGATCATCTTGCGAGGATGGTGGTGGCGGAACTTTGCCCTGGGGCTGCCGTAGCTGCATGCAGGCGCAGCGGGTAAGCGCCGGACATACAGAGGGACCGTCAATCGCAGGGCTGTCACATCGAAATAGCACACCACGCAGGCTCTGATAGATTGGAAGACGAAATCTGCGTGAAGTGGTTATGCGGGACGCAGCGTGTACTCGCGGCTCGATGTGGTGGGTAGGGATACGGCCGTTGAGGCTGATTGCATTCGTAGTAGGATTATGTACCAAGAACCTTGGTCATCTGACCGCGCGTCGGACTTACTGAATTTGTCATGCACGGTTGCAACTCTCGCAAACAACCCCAGCTACCGAGAAAGGCAGTGAGACAGCGAGACACACAGAACGCAGTCAGAGCCACATTTGTGGCGTCTAGTGAGATGTTCACCTCGGTGTCTCTGGGCACGTATCATTTTGATGATCCCTTTCAATCCTCCTAACGCAATGCACACAGCGCCATTGTCCTACCTTCCAGCGACAACGTTCAGAACACCTCCATCGACGGCAATAATCTCCCCGTTCACGTAAGCGTTCTTCGTCAGGAACAATACCGCCTGTGCCATCTCCTCATCCGCTCCGGCTCTTCCCATTGGCACATGGCCCTTCTCCTGGATCTTCTCATCAGGCATATGGCTCTTCTGATGCTCGTCGCTCTCTTTCACCGTCATCTCGCTTGGGAAGTAGCCCGGTGCGATGCTGTTGACTCTGATCCTCGCCTTTTGAAATTCTGCTGACATCAACTTGGTCAAATGTACGGTGGCGCCCTTCGCAGCGTTATAGCTAAAGTGACCCTGCGCGTGCCTCATGATGCCCGACATTGACGAGATGACTATGACGGAAGCGGCGAGGTGGCCATGCGTCTCTGTGCCGGCTTGTAACAGCGGAAGCAAAGCAACGACGGAGAAATATACGGAGGTCACGTCGGTGTTGTAGGTCTGGTTCCAGCCTTCGAACGTCTCATTGTTCCAAAGCTTGGCCTTGAGATCGGTGGCTTTTTCGGCGTCGGGCTCTGCCTTCTCGCCGGAAATGCCCGCAGCAGCGACCAACAAGTTGATGTACTTTTCACGTTTTGACAACTCCTGGTAGAGATTCTCAAGGTCGTCTTTTTTGGTAACGTCGCAGGGGCCAAGACTGCTTGACTATCAGACGCTGTGATTTGGTGCGGGCTGGGATGGTACATACGGGATAATTTGGCCTCCTCCATTCGGGTCATGCGACTTCGCTGCAGCCTCGAGAGCTTCCTTGCCTGTTCGGGTGTCAGTCTACGCGAAGCTGCGATATCCTTTTGACTCACGTCGACCGGTGATGTAGACCTTAGCGCCTAACGTCATTCGTCAGCCTAAGGCACCATTCCAGGATCATGTTCTAGGCAGATTTACCGTTGGCTGCTAACGCTTGAGCAGACATCAAGCCGATGCCAGATCTGAATGGGTCAGTCAGTTGCACGCCACGGTGAATGATTGCTGCTCACCCTCCTCCTGTGATGACGCAAACATAGTCTTTCACCGAGAAAAGCTTCTCAGCTCTCATGTCGTGAGTTCCGGCCATGGCGAGGTATGTGATGGTGCGAAATCCCACGAAGCTGTTTCGTGTATTGCCAATGGACCTGGTGAGTTCCGGTGAGATTGCAGATGGGAAAGTGGAATTTTCGATTACATAGTGATGGCGATTTGTAGTATGACGTACTGTTAGCGACAGCAGAGCTAGACCATCCCAAAAGTAGCTGGCACGGCGCTAGCCACAGCAGCGAGTGCGAACGCTTGTGAAGGTTGCACGACCCGGATGAAAGTGCACTTGTTGAATGCATCCGCTCCAGAAGAGCCCTCTTGGGCCAGACTGCGCTGTTACACCGCCGATGCCGGCCACGTGCGCGAGGCAGACATGCGCAGAAATGGCAGGTACGCCACATCTGGTCTTTCCCCTCGGCCTCTTCACGCGGTGAAGGCAGCCGCCCACGTGAGGCGAACATGCAATAAAACACCACGCCTGCTGCGACAGCCGCCCGACTCGCAACCGCGCGCGGCGCGTCTCAACCGACAGGTACTTTGGCTTCTGTGTCACGCCCGAATAGCCAATACAAAGCCCCAAATCCCGGCTCCCGTCGCACTCGAGGCTGCCATGGCTTCCATATCACCCACGCCAGCCAAAGACGTTGCCATGGCTCCAGCGCATGGGAAACAGCGCCGGGTCGAGCTGTACAGGGGAGCCTGTCACCACTCCGGGCCTTGTCCCAAGTCACCTCAAACGAGCAACCGCGGATGCAAATCCTCTCATCGAAGTTATACAACGGTTTCTGGCTCATGTCCAACCTGGCAGCGGGGCCAATATCGAGAGGATTGTCGCTCTGGTTGCGCTTTACAAGGTGGTCTCGCCCGTGTGGCGCTACGCGAAGGACCTCTTTCTTCGCTCTCTCACGAGCCGCATCTCAATCCCGGAATACGACCCGGTTGCTCAGGACATCATCCAATGGGTTTCCGCAGAGGTCATCAACAAGAACCCTCTGAGTACCAGCGCGACAGTCATGACCGGAGACATGGGACGATTTGGGGCAGACATGTACGGAGGCTATTTTCCGGGTGGTAGGTTACGTACGTCGTTGATGCCGGAGATTCCTAGCCGCTAATTGGTCCTTAGAGATACGAGGCCAGCCAAAGCGGCAATCCGATGAAGTGAACTGCCTACCGCCAGTGGGGAAGAAGTTCTTCTGGTGAGTAGACGACACAATTCATACGCTACTAGCAGCAGGAATGCGTTTCAGCCAAAAAGCGATCAGTACCTCACCGGGGTTCTGGGCGCTGTGAATGGCAATCAGTGCTAATTAATTCTAGGGTCGGCTTTCGCCCGTTCCTATTCGCTCGTACTGGCGCCGCCATCAGTTCAAAACACCGTATGTTCCTCCTCCCCCAAGTGCAACCTCACAACTAATGTTGCATCAGACGGCGGACGCGCGCTGATCGATTACCAAGGAACACAGCAAAACTCGGTCGTTCTCTTCACTCCTGGGTGGAGTCTACACCCATTGATGGAATTCGTCAAGCACTGTCATGATTACAAGCTCGTTAACAGGGCTGGTACAACGAACATCTACTTTTCTAGCGGAAAGATGGATGCTTACAGCGGCCACCTTTGGTCTACCGTCGTCAAAGCGAGGCGTAAGCTCGATACCATTGATATGGATGACGCATCGAAGGCCGAGCTGGTATCTGATGCCGAGTACTACTACAGCGAGGAATCAAAGAAGTTCTTCGCAGATTGCGGTATACCTTATCGTCGTGGTTACCTCTTCTATGGCCCACCGGGTACGGGAAAGACGAGCTTCAGCGCCGCCCTTGCCGGTCACCTTAGCTGCGATCTTTATCTCATCAATCTCGCGACGGGCGATGTTAGCGACGGATACCTCCACCGCCTCTTTCTAGCATTGCCTCGCAAGTGCATAGTCGTTATCGAAGACATTGATAGCTGCGGCATCGGTCGCGAGCAAGGTCCCGCGTCGAGCGAGCCGAAGCACCTACGCAAGTCGTCAGCTCCAGGAGCACCCTCAACCGTGTCTAATGGTTTGGTGTTCTCTGGTCAGACTCCCGTGCCGCAAAAGCGGAACATGGTGACTTTGTCCGGCCTCCTCAACGCCATCGACGGGAACGCCTCAGCCGAAGGGCGACTGCTGATCATGACCTCGAACAACCCGGATATTCTAGACGAAGCCCTTACACGTCCTGGTCGTATTGATATGAAAGTTTGTTTTGGGAAGATGATGGCCAAAGCCCTTCGGGACATCTTCAAGCGCCTAATCGGTCGCGCCGCGATTGCGAGCAAGAAGTATACGGAATACCAGATCGAAGAGTACGCGTCAGAATTCAGCGCGAAAGTCCCTCCGGATACCTTCACGCCAGCACAAGTTCAAAACTTTCTTCAGAACTGTCGAGGCGACCCCATCAAAGCGATGCAAGGAGTCGACGCATGGGTCAAGAAGACCCGTAATCAGGCACCGGAGGAGGCCATGAAGGACAGTGCGTCGCTCAATCCGCCGCCTGCGGTGGCCGAGGTGAGTCCGCAGCATACCGTGCTGCCGGCCGCGTTCGAATCCCTTGTCACTAGCCTCCACGCCAGTTGACTGATGAATGGAAGTCCCTCCAGGAAGATTTGAGAGATACATGGATCACAGAGGAGGAGGAGGAGGAGTACCTTTGTTAGCGCGACAAAGCCTGCTTGACCTACGACTATGAGCCATGCGGTACCCGTCCTTAAAATTTCGGGCTTTATGGGATACTCGGCGGTGATGATAACTTGGCAGTTGTACACAAAGATACTGATGCAGTGTGCAGGAAGTGGATAGATAGGTTCATGTCGAATATAAGATTCTGTTGATCCGTAAACGTTGTCACCAGACAGGGATCACCCCTAGTTTGCAATGTATCCTGCTCTAATCGTCTCGTGCAATAATTACTACCTACGAAGGAGCGAGTACGCTTCTATTGTTGCCTCACTTAATCACGCCCTCCTCTTCCTTGGTCCCTGCATTCGTGGAATTGCCGAACCGTCTACTTTCTTGTGAGTTCGACCGTTAAATGCTTATGTTATGTGGGATATCACAATGGACGAACATGGAGATATAACGATGCCAATGCAGATGGGACATGAATGGTCTATTTGATCCAAATATATACAGAAAACAACAACAGAACGAATGAAAGAGATAACTCCTCCAATGCAGTGCGAGAACAGTACTGTGGGCGGTAACTGTAATACAGAACAGCGCAATTCGATGCAGGCTCCTAGCCTCCCTGTCCTGTAACGAGGCTAGGAGGGTTGGTGCGAGAACAGTCCAGTGAAGGGGCAGTGTAATACAGAACAGCGCGTCGATCGTAAGTTCCTAGCCTACCTGTTCTGTGACGAGGCTAGGTCTACTGAAGCTAGCATGCTCTAAGCGGTGCTAGCCTACTGATGCTGGTTCTTCTGCTGCTTCTGAGCCTGGCCCTGGCCTTGCTGCTGCTGACCCTGAGCCTGCTGACCCTGCTGGTTACCACCTTGCTGACCTTGGACGTTGGAAGGCTTGCCAGACTGCTTAGCAGCACGAGAAGGCGCAGCAACCGACGAGGAAGCAGCGCCAGAGACAGTGGTCAACGTAGTGCCAGCAGCGCTAGACACAATAGTCACAGCAGCATCCGAAGCGGCATCAGAGCCAGTAGCAGAGGCAAGGTCGGAGGAAATAGCACCAGAGGGAGGAGCACCAGAAGGCATGGTTCCGTTGCCAGTTCCGTTACCGGGCGCGCCACTTCCACCTGCGAACGAGCTGTCACCGTTGGCAACACCACCGTCCTCGTAGTAAGTAGCAGCAACAGCGTAGTACTCGTCGTCGGAGTGATCAGCGCTAGCATTAATACCAATCTGGATCCAAGCAAGCAGACCATCCGCCGCGCTGTCGCCGAGGTAGACAAATTCCGGGAAGGGATCGTATGTAGCGTCCGCCTGGACGATGCTCCACATGTCCTCGTCGTTGGTGGTACGTTCGACAGTGTTGGTGTTGTACGGCTCGAAGGTCTCGACATCGGTGATGAGGTCTTCAGGGTAGAAGAGCTGGCCGATGTGGGTGACGGCGCCGCCCTCGGTGGTGCCGTTCTCGCGAACGGTCACATTGGACTTGGTGAGCAAGTGGGTGTGGGTAGCGCGGCCTTCGTAGTGGCCGGGAAAGATGGTTTCGAAGGCTACAACACCATCTTCGTCCGTTGCTTGGATGCCGCGGAGGAAAGTACTGTCGAGGCCTCCTTGGCCGGACTCGACGCCGGAGTAGACACCAGTGGAGTTGCAGTTCCAGACGTCGACGTAAAGCCCGCTGACGGGCTCGCAGGTGTTGATGTCGATGTATTGGACGTCGAGGTAAAGATCAACACCAGCTTGGTCCTCCTTGACATCCGAGCGGACGAGCTCGCCGAGGACGTAATAAGGTCCGGCGGTGTTTTCGGGAGCAAGGATGCACGAAGTGTTGGCGGAGAAAATGGTGGCGGGGTCGGTGTTGAGGGAGTAGTCGAGCTCTCCAGTCATGTTATGGTTCACAGTCTCGAAGCTTTGGAGGTCCGAGAGATCACGACGCAGCTTCTTGGAGTCTTGATGAAGAGTCAATTTTCGGCCCCAGCAACGGTTTTGGGGTCTTTAAACTTACTGACAGAGATGCCGCGCTTCTCACGAAGGCTGTCGAGAGCGTTGGCACGACGCTGGACGGACCTGGCCATCAAGTCACGGTGCTTGAGAGAGTTCTCGCACGCTCCCAAGGAGCGCTTGGCGGCAGCAGCACGCAACTGACGAGCGTCAATCTGGCGCTTGATGTGAACATGATCATGCTTCTCGCCGGGGTGGGCAGCGGCAAGGCTGAGAAGAGAGGCGGCAGCCAGCGCACTGCTAACGGTGGAAGCGAAGTTCACCATTGTGGAAGCGAATGAAGATATGCAAGACGAAGCGTCGAAAGCGAATGGCAAATGCAAAGGCGATGAAGAAGCGAATGGAACGATGTGTTGATCGTGATGATATTATCGAGTGAATGTCGAGACGGTCTTATTATAGCCAAATGCAGCCCTCCACCACCCGCCTCTGTGCTCAGATCTGTATTGCAGACTCGTCATCTCGAATGACGCGGCAGTTGCCCCTCTGTCGATGGGTGTTGGACGAACTCGGGTGTGCGGCCGTGACTCGTGGCGTAGGAAAGCCACTGCCGCGGTGGAGAATCGACCGAGCTCATCCACAGCGGAGCATCGTTTCAACGGCTGTCCTATGACAGGAGATAGAAATGGTACGCGTCATTGCAATTTTGCACGTCGAGAGGCGTGTTCTACGAGGCTGTCGAAACAACGGACGAGGCCAGTGCTCGGACCGAGACGCGTTGGCGTTAAGTTTAGCTCTGGAGCTATGCCACTTTTGCCGTCTTTCTGGGGCCGTTGACAACAAAGCAGATGTGATTGGCACGTTGGAATCTCCTTCACTTCTTGGCGCTTGAAAGTCGTCGCAAGCTTTCACCAAGCTCATGCTGCACGCTGGTGCCAAGGTGTTCGTGAGCCTCGCCACCGGCGGATTGATGCTAAAAGAGGAGTAATCATCCGCATTCGAGAGCGCGTCATTGGCTGAGCGCAACATCGACGCATGCTCGTTCAGACAATTGCAACTTTGGGGGCACCTTCAGTCGCCGACTGCAAGCGCTGCAGTCTTTCTGGCGTCATCTCGTAGACATCGGGCAGACCTGTCGCAGCCCAAGACTCGCCATTCATGACCTTGACAAGTCCTGGGGCGGCAGTAAAAATCCGTGCCATGCCACTTCTCCTGTTAGCTACCCATCCGTTACACGAAAGGGATACTTACTGTCCATGATGACCAGCACAGATCCACTGCCCTGGCTTTCCAGGCAACTCACCCACGAACGGCACTCCGTCTGCGCTCAAACCGATAATGCCACTCCAGCTATAATCGAAGCCTTCACCAGGCCCGAGTTCTGCTTCCTTCCAGCCCTCCAAGTTACTCTCGACGAACTCGCGCACACATTCGGTGACAGTGTCCACCCTTGCGAGACCATCATCGATGCAGTGCTCTGGATGCTGCTCCACCCATTTATCGACTTGTTTCTGTCCTGGATTCGATCCACCAACCATCACGACGCCGTCGGCGGTACATCGAGGATTGATGCTGAAGAGGCCGCCATCTGGAAGCAGAACACCGTAAGAGTTCTGGAGAGCCTTGGAGCCACTCAAAGCTCGAGGCGGCACGACTTTGTTGCACATGTGCGGTTTTGGCGTGATGACACCTTTCAGTGAGCGCTCCAGAGCTGCGCTGTAGGCATTGGTCGCGTACACCACGGTATCGCACGCGATATCTCCTCGCTCTGTATTGACGACCCATTTTCGCCTTCCTAGTGAGTCCTCTGCAACATTCTTTGCTAACGTGTATGTCTGGAGATGTATGCCGTTCTTAAGATTCTCCCGCATAATGTGTGCGGTAAGTTTCCACGGCTGCAGCGTCGAGGCATGCCAAGCATAGCAAGCCTTTGCCTTTTTGATTCGGGATATCCTCACGGCTTCTGCTGGGTCATGTGTCACCTTAATGTGTTCGACCCTGCCCCCTAGGTCCCTATACCTCTCGAAGCATTCTTTCGCGACTTTGGCGACATCGTCATCCAGTGGGACATCGTAGGTATCACCTACCCAAAGATCACAATCGACATGATTCTCCTTGACGTATGCAACCAGAGCCCTCCACGTCGCAGCCTCATTGTTCATAATCTTGATAGCTTGCTTTTGCCCATACGCTTTCTCGAATTTTGCGAAATGCCGCCACTGGTCTGGTTTGCAGTGACCTGCATTTCTTCCTGTCGCACCAGAGCAGAATTCTCGAGCTTCTAGTACAAGGACAGATTTCTCCGGCCAAGTTTCCAGGTGATGCTTTGCGATAAGCGTACCCGAGATTCCAGAACCGATGATGACGGTATCCGTTTCCTTGGGTAGTTGCTTGGTAGTACGATGATCAAGCAATGGGTCTGATCGAACTTGCTGGAGCCAGTACGAAAGCGATTGTCCACTTTGCTTTGGGAATCCGGTCCTGCCAGGCGATAAGGGCGTTGGTGCGTGTTCATCTACGTTAAGCACGGCTGGGTTATCTGGCAAAGTAACTTCGGCTGCGCTACCGGTTCTCGGGCTTGAAGATGCACTTTCCTTCATGACGCTGATTAAATGGGATGTGAAATTGAGAAAAATCGCTTCGACGTCGCGAACATTGAAGGTGGACGAGGTTGCTAGGCAGCTGCGACGAGAAACGGATTGCGCGATCGGGTATAGAGCAATCGCGCTTGTTATATCCGCGAGCGACCGCGGTGCCTCAAAGCGTTGAGCTCTTCGGAGTACTCGTACAAATCTATTTGGCGATAAACGGATCGAACTGTTGCACTCCGATCATTCCGATATTGCACCTTCCCAATTTGTGAACTGCGAATAAATATTAGAATCCTTGGAACAACTCCGTAAGCCCACACAAGCTAAGAACGCGGTTTACTAAATGAGAACCTTGCCCTATACCTACTATCTTGGAAGTTACGCTACGTTTCCAATCACACGTTATTTATGTGGCTACTCTCCCAAATTCCAACCCATCCTCCAAATTCGCCCTGTTCGCAGCCCAACTGTCGAAGAAATAGTTCTCCCGGGGTTTCCATGGCCCTGTCTTCCCAGCGTGCGGCACCTTGCTACTCCCCGCCTTGATATATGTCGACTTGAGATTGAGCACTTGCACCGGATCCTTCTTCTCCTCTTCGCTGATCTGTGGAGTGGCGTTCGAGTACTTGCTGTCCTCCAGATACTTGTATAGACGAACAATGAGACGAGAAGAAGTGTCTGCCCCAAGCGTCCATGATGCGTTGATGTATCCAATGATGAGAGCGAGATTTGGCACATTACTGAGCCTAGACGCGCAGGTACGAAGTCAGTTAAGTCAGAAAGGTGGGGATAGTACGAAGTGTTTATGTCTAAGACATATCGACTTCGCACCGGGCAATACTTGCATTGTAGCCCGCCAGGTGTAGCAGTCCGGGAGATGAACGGGATTGCCGTCAAGGGTAATAGGGATTCCACCGCAGACCTGCAGGTTGAGGCCTGTTGCTGTGACAATGATATCCGCTTCTAGCTTCTCGCCGCTGTTCAGTTCAATGCCATCTTCTGTGACGGTTTTGATTGTGTCTGTTACTATGCGAGCTTTGCCTGTATGGAAGGCACTGAAGAAGTCATTGTCAGGTACGAAGCAGAGTCGCTGGTCCCAGGGATTGTATTTTGGCTGGAGGCTCGGATCCATTGGAAAATCTTTAGGTAAGGCCTTCTTTGCCTCGCTACGTATAAACCAGCGCATGAAGTTCGGGAATGTCTGGCATAGTAGGTAGAGAATGTACGGTACGAGGACGAATTCGAAACGGAGCCATTTGAGTACCATCCATCGCGGGAGTACCCGTTGGTAGTACGGAAGAGGATCTTCAGGTTTTTGCTGGGGCATATTGAAAATGTATCCTTAAAAAGATTGTTAGCACTTTCCAGGCTCTCACAAAGCTAACTTACCAGGGCTTCTCTGAAGTTGCGTCACTGAACCGACACCATTTTCCACGACAGCCGGGAGTATCGTGATGGCGGTTGCACCACTGCCGATGATCACCATTTTCCGCCCCTTGTAATCAAGATCCTCGGGCCAGAATTGGGGATGCACTCTAGATCCTTGAAAGCGCTCCAAGCCTTGAATATCTGCATTAAGTGGTTTCTCATAGTTGTAATATCCCGTCCCCATGATGACGAACTTCGCCCAATACACCTTTCTCCGGCCCTCATTGTCGATCTCCAGCCTCCATCGTTGCTCATCTGACCGCCAGTCTGCGGCCGTGACTTTATGTTGGAACGAGATGTTTTTGTCGATACCGAACTTGCGTGTGGTTGACCGCATGTACTTGGTGATGCTCTCGCCTGTCGCAATTGGATTGGGCTTATCCCACGGATTAAAGGGGAACCCGTATGTATGGAGATCTGAGTCCGAGCGGATGCCGGGGTACTTGAAAAGAGACCATGTTCCGCCGATCTCGTGGCGGCCTTCGAGGATAGTGTAGGTCACATGGGGCAAGGAGTGTTGTACGTGATACGCGGCAGTGATTCCGGAAACGCCAGCACCGACTATAACAATGTCAACGTTGTGAGTATTAGATTCCGCATGCCCATTGGCATGTTCGTTGCCAAGTTGACTGTTGAGGAAGTCTCCGTCCATGATGGCCGGTGAACTGGTGATGAAACAGAGCGTGAAAATCAGCGAGAAGAGAGACACGGCTCAAGGCAGAAGTGTCGCACAACAGGACTAGAGTATATGTGGAAGTGGCGTTCGGCTTCCCCGCTGATAGAAGGTAGCTAAACAAAGGCAGTATTTGTGGAGAGCCGAGCACTGAGCATACACCTCTTCGGCGTGCAATGCACACGCGGCTGCCCTCACAGTTTATATACCCAACCCTTAGCACCATGCAGACCATCATGAACCAAGTTGCCCTGCCGCGGAGCAAAGTGCCTTGCGAGCTCTGCGACTGGGTTGGAGGCCAAGGTCGTGTCGAGTGAGCGCTTGCGACTCAACAATCTCCCGGAATGCGATTGGTCCCCACACTTCGTGTCTGCAATGAGGTCACCACCCATAGATACCTCGGCAACGTTATTATAGTATGCTTTGCTACGCCTTTCTTCGGACAGGACTACGCCGTGTATGCATGTCTGTTACGACTTCGAACGTTGCTTGACGGTTTCGTTGGTTTGGACTGCCTACATGCAGCCTGCCAAGCTCTCCTCGGGCATCATTCTTGCAACCCACAGATCTTGACTTAACTTTTCCATGAAACTATTATGGTGCCAACGATACAGACCTAGCGGGTAAGGCCTGGATTCTAATGCTAGCCGATATCATCTCAACACCGCATTCGACGTCATCCTGCTCTACGCTCTGCCTAGCAGCAATAGCTCGCCTTCTGTTCCGCTGTCACTCGTAACATACATGCGCTCAAACCGATCCTTTGCAATTGACACGGGCCTGAAGCACTGCGTCGTTGAGCAATGCTCGACCTCCGGATTCCACAAGATGTCCGTATAGCCCGTAACATTACTCTGCGCAATAATACTCTGCGGCACGAACCCGTTTGGGCCTTTAACAAATGGTACTTGGACTACTTTGAATCCAGTTGGCGGGTTACGATTCCACGATCCATGGAAGCTGACATACAAATGCGTGAAATTCTTGTCGAAGACAGCGTCTAAGGGTGCAGAATGCGCTTGTATAGCGAGTTTTGCAGGCACACTCTTGGTGTTGCATGTTGCATCTGCGAAGGTCGCGTTGGGCGTGAGGACGAATTGGTCGCCGATGGCAAACTTGTGGTCCGTGATAAGGTCTGGTGCCCAGACTGTGTAGCAGGTAGGGTAGCCGTACCACTGAGTGTTCTCTTTCGATGGGTCACCGATGTAGTTGATCTCGTCAGCTGGGTTATCAGCATGAATATCGACGCTTGCGCCATCCACTGTCCGGAGGATCTCATCGGATGCGTTTTCGACTTCCCATAGCCTGCGGGCTGATCAGTACCGACGTTCATCGATGGTGGAAGCATGAGCTCTTACCCCCCATCAGCATCAAAGGCCATCCCCACGCCATTTCGCAGTCCGTACCCCAATTGATATCCTCCAGTAGGATAGTTATAGCCATCAGTAGGTGTCAAGGTTATATCGAAAGCCTTGATGCAAGATCGACCAACTTTGACATTGCCTGCATCATAGTCAAAGTTGTCGTTTGACCCGTGGGAGACAACGAGCAAGTTCGGATGCTTGGGTGGGAATGCCAACGTCCGCGTCACATGTCCCTTGTTGTCCATTCCGGAGATCACGATGCGTGACGAATTCCCCACACTGCTTGTCGCGGCGTCGTAATCCCAAGCATATACTTGAGTGGCTGAGCTTGCATACAGCGTTTTGCCGTCTTGGCTAAGCACGATGCCGTGATTAAGATTTCGCTGGGCAAGGACAGTTTTTTCAACAATAAAACAGCCGTCATTCCCAACCGTATGCGCAGTGATACCCAATCCGTTCTGAATTACCAATAGACGACCGGCAGTGTCGAAAATTAAACCCCTAGGCTGCACCAAGTTTCCGGCGACTTTGACAGCCTTCCATCCGTTAGCGGTCAACACCGGGGAACGAAAGGTCGAAACTCCAGCGCATGAGCTCGGAATCCCGGTCTGGACGGGACCTGGTGAAGATGAAGGAAATACACTCGTGCTAAGTGTACTCGGGCTCGCGCTGATAGACGAGGTGGGAGCTGGGGTACTTGTAGTGGCTGGCGGCGCGTCCGGAATCAGATTCGCTGCGACGAGTTTGTCGAAGTCCACGTTCTTGCCTTGAGTGAGGTCCAGTGACCAGTGACCGAACGAAGAGTGTACGTTGAATACTGAAGTATTCTTCGCGGGCTGAATAGGTGCCTTGTTCGATAGGCCGTGCGCAAAGGGTGATGCTGCACTGCTGGAATCCAACGAGACTATCTTGCCCTCTGTATCTTCCCATTGAGAACAGCCTCGACACCGCACGTTCAATGTCCAATGTGTGTCATTGTAACCAGTCCCCTTCAGGTATGTGTACTCTGCACCAGTATACGCTTGCGGCATACTGAGTCCACTAGAGGCTGTAAGCTCAACGATCTATCGACATATGTAATACTTACAATGCCATCCGTGAGGAATAAATCACTGTATTTGCAGCCTTGTTGACCCACCCAATGGTGAGTGGAACATATGGCATTGTCCCGCCCCACGAGAACCCAACCCATCCATTAGCGACTGGCGAAACAATCTGAAGCACGGTATCAAAGTTCGGGGAGCTTTTGTCAGGCAGAGCAATGCCAATTGTAACGCCATTGCCGCCTGTCCACCCTGAGTAGCATATCGAGCTGGCTGCATCGCAGTATCGCTTCGATGTCTGACCGAGCGCTACATGTACTCAGTATCTGTACGTAAAAACAGCTGGTGGACGTACCTGAGCCTGCAAACACGAGGGAGCTTGCTAAAAATGTGTGAAGTTTCATAATGAATGGAGAAAGTGAGCCTTCAGTAGAAAGAACATCACGGCGAAAGGTACCTGCGAACTTTATCGCTCAGTCCATGCACCGAATACAAGCGACCGGACATGTGATTCTGGAAAATTAATCTACGGTCACAAGCAGACAATACATATGACGGTCGACGGGGACAAGGGGATATAAAGCGCAGTAGCCAATCCCGGTTACGCGATTGCACATCTTCGCTATCACTGCAATTTTGTCGAACACCGCCAAAAGCGCAGTTCGCAAACGATCATTTCCTTGTAATGGACGTTGGGACGGCTTCCGGGGATGGCGGAGTGTCGGGGTCTGCTCTGTGCTAAGCCTCAGATTCGCCAAATATCCTGGCGATAGACGTGAGGCCATGACCGGTGACAGCAACTGTTGAATAAAGGCGCAAACCGAGTGGAAAATGATCGGAAGCGACGTCACCAGGACACTATTCGATGTGAAAAAAAGATAGCTCGTGATCGCTGGCCTCTGAACTGTGGGAAAAAGCCTCTCGTTGCTGGTAGGTATGTCGGCAGGGGCAATGTTTTCGAGCGGTTCGCGCAACTTGAGGTGATTGCCCACAGATGAAATCGCGGGCGATGGTTTGATGCAAGCCTGACCCTATGCGATCATGATGGCGTGTCCGTGGTTTGGGCGCGGCCACGTTCTCCTAAGCCTCCCAGATTGATGGGGCTGAGACTATATAGATTGACGACTTTAACCTTGAAACGTCAGCAGAAGATTAATTGAGGATGCGGCTCCCGGTGTTCCGATGTAATAAAGCCTACATCCCGAGCTTTGTCCCTTTGTATGTCAATCAGACCGAACGCTAATAATTGAGATGATGTGATGGTCGTTGCGAGAGGAAGGATGAACGCGTCGTGCGCGCGCCCCTGCTGCTCACAGGTACCGACTTCGCTATCAATCGATTGCGTTCATTTTGCTGCATTGGACGATGTTCTCTAGCGTCATCTCCACGACGTGATGATGGGCTTATGTTGGCATAAATGGAGATGGTCGAACGACGGTGTTGATGTAGGAGGGATCGGCAGCTGACGAATCGAGGTGATGCGGTGCGCACAGACCTTTGCCATTACCACGGAGGTTTTCTTTCAGGCGCCTCAACATGTGCTGTTAGGCAACGTTCGTGGGAATAGCTTCAATGTGATTTGCTTTTTGGTTAGTGTCCTATTACGCCGTGATGCCCAGGATAGAAACATAGTACGTGATATAGCTGCTACATACCTATGTAAATAGCACTGAGAGCGTACCTAAGTCAAAATCTACATTCCCACCTCACTTCCATCCTCATCTTCCACGCCCTTGTCCACATACGAGCCGATCATGCTTGTGCCGCTGATCAGTGGCGCCAAGGAGAGCTTCCGCCTCTCACCATGGAGGCGCGAGCTCGACTGGAGTGCAATAGACGAGGCAGCATTGGCATATATACAATTTCTTTGGGAGAGATTCGTCATCTGTCTGGGCTCGCCTCAACGATTGAGTTCAACGGGAGAGCTGACACGACCGCTGCTTTCTAGACCAGAGATCCAATGACTAGATCTTGGCCTTCAGAGGCGGGTTCGTAACTTTCCCATGTACGTAGCTAATCTTCAGGAACGCTTCTGACGCCTCACCCCGGCGCTCGTTTCTCAACAGCCTATAAACGCCCATCTTTGCTCTACCTTGGATCTCCTTAGCCTTCTTCGACGTGACGTCAAGCATCTCGCTCGGCTGTGCAATCTCGCCGACAATCCCGTCTGCTAATGCCTCATTCCCAGATCGCTTGTGAGCATCAAGCAGCATCTTCCGTGCAAACTGACAATGGAGCTTTAGCCGCGGAAGCAAGGCTACTCCGGGCAAGTGAGGACCAGGGTTGACGGGCAGCATGCAGAAGTAGCCGCGCTCTGACTTCATGATTCGATGGTCGTGAGATAGAGCAAAGGACATGCACCGCCAGATGTGTGGCCGGTTATTAGGATCATTGTTGGGAAAGGGTAGTCGAGGAGTGTTGCAAGTAGCTATGTGTCGTCAATTACAGTTATCAAAATAGTTTTGCAGGTATTTAGGGGGGAAATAGAAATTTGACAACATACTGGAAAGAAACCATCAGCGTTGGCAAGGGGATTCGCTTCCATTTCATCGAGGTCTAGTCCAGTGCACCAGAACTTCTCTTCGATTCCTCTGATGATGAGGCACCTGTGCGACTCTGATCTAAGCTCATGTTCTATATCTCGTAAAGCTTTGATTTCCTGCGCGTACCGATGATGGATTTTGAGGTGGCTTCTGCATCTTAATGACATGGGCCTTATCCCGGCGGTCAACGTCGAGGTTCTAGTACCATTCTACCGCCATGCAGTCATCGCCGCGCTCAATGCGGTCTCGAAGTCAACTTTGCGTAAATAGTTCGTTGATACACGGCCTCGAAGTATCGAAGTATAATGCCGTAGCACCCCGCATGAGATGGGGAATGGCGGGATACGTAGTGGATTAGCGTAACCCGGGGAGAATTGGTGATTTCTTCACACTATCCCCGCGCTCACACTCGACGACCTGACGCGCAATAATCTCTCTCTCTCTCTTCCATGTTGTCTTCCATGGCTCCAGCGCTACATTGCTCGCCAACATAGGAATCTATAATCTAGATAACCGGACAAAGTAGCAGCAAGCTGCTTAGGAGGAAGGAGAAATCAACGTATATGGCAATGGGACGTAGTACTAGAATGATCAATTGTACCCAACAAGGGACATTATGGAAGAGATATCGAAACTTGGAGTCACGTGAATCTTTGAGGGATCCAAGGCGCCCGCTCGCTTGCATAGTGTCACTTTTGGCTTACTGTTTGCAGGTTTGCACCATCGACGACGCACGCCCGTTAGTCATCATTGTAGGCGAATATGTAGCACATGCTAGGTGTAATTGCAATGTATGGGGCTTGCGGTGAGTTAACGAGAACATTGTTGAAGCGAATAGTGCTATAAGGAACCACGGGTCCCCTATGGGGGGGGCATGCGCACCGCCTGTACGAAGCAGGATAAGGCTGATGACCACAGCATCGCATGAGCGAAGAGACACGATCGGTGGTGTCGAGAACGTTGGAATCGATTGGAATCGATTGCAGTACAGGACAAGGCGAGAGATTTGTGGGCGAATTTCCGTGATGGGTATCTGGGTCCTATCCACATGGGAATAGCAGTCGCCATTCCTACTCTGTGCGGTAATTGCGAAGCCCATAGCGCGTAGCAAACGGATGGCGACTGTCAAATTCACCTGCGCACTTGCTGCATTCGATATGGACGACCGGCCAGAGCAGGGATGTACTTGCGGTAGGCTTGGCCATTCCATACCAATTTCTTCTGACCGTGTGTAGCTTAGTGTGGATCTATTCAGCGAACTTCATGGTGAGAGGGAACAGTGTGCGTGGTAGGGAAGGCGCAGGTGAAAGAATCTGCTCCCCTCGACCACCACTACCAGAGTGAAGGCGACTTTCACCCAACCACACTCTGACACATAAAGCTCCCCAGGCTCCCATTCGCTGAATCCGACCTCGTGCCCCACTGTAACCCGCTGCAGCCCCAACAAGCCACGATGCATGATAGACTTGAGATGCGGTGCGCTGCACGTGGCCGGCAGGTATCACCCACCATGTCCGACACCTCAGAGTTGTCCGTACTGTCGCGATCACCAACTCAGCCGTCTGCTACCAGTGGCCGAGAGCCCCCACCCGCCCTTTCGGACTCTTCCAACTTGTCGGTGTTATCGTGCTCGCCGTCGCCGCCGCCAGGCCTTCTCGAGAAGATTGCGTCTTCAACGAATTCGCCAACATCAAGACCCCCCAGGCGCGGACCAAAAGATCACTTCTTGTCCAAGAAAGCTAAGCGAGGGGTATCGCCTAATCCTCCAACTCTGTCAGTTGTCTTTGTCTTTGCATTGTTTCCTGTGCTGATCGAAGTAGCTCGTCGAAACGGTTGCGTGTCTGGCCATCGAGTCCTAAGAAGGTCGTCCGGAAGAAAGCACCTGCTAGTCCTCGTTCCCCACGAAGCCCACGGAGCCCACGGAGCCCAGTCACACCCACAGATCCAGTCCCGACCAGTGAGCCCAACGGCACCGGCTGCCTTGATCGTCTGCCCAAGGAAATTCGACAAGCAATCTATGCCTACTGCCTGGATATCGATGGGCCAGTCTTGATAAAGGAGTGTTGCGGTCCAACTTCAACCCGCCGAGCACGAGCTAGTTGTAAAAAGCACGGGGACCACTGCAGCAAGATCGGCAGGGGAAACGGCCTAACACTATACGAAGAAGACGAAGGAGCGAAAAAAATTTATGGTCGATTCTCAATCCTCTCTGCGTCGCGCTCAGTCAACGAGGAAGCGTCCTGGGTACTGTACACCCAAGGCAAGCTCATCGTTCGGTCGACCTCGACCTTGCAGGCGTATCTTAGCAAGAAGCAATGTACCTTCTTCCGGCTGCCTAATCTTCCCGCAGGTGAGTGCGTTGAAAGCATGTGGCTGTCGGCAGCACGCTTTCGCAAAGTGTGCTTCGAGCTTCCGTGGTCGAAGATGACAGTGGATGATCCGGTCGAATGCGTATATCGCCTATACGAAGCCAGCGCGTTCTTAATGAAAGCCTGGGACCTTGCGAAGGAAGCAGCAACATCTCTGCGTACCGTCGATGTTCAGCTCCATGCGCTCTATACGGCTAACCTTCCCTTTAACTCCGGGACCTCCTTCAAGACGGCCTACGAATGGACCGCATACCATCAACCACACTTGCGCAATGGTTACATTGCAGACTTCGAAGTGATTGGAGAAGAGGCTGTAAGTATCCTCGAACGCCTGGTCTATCTTGTGGGCCGTCACGGCGGAGAGTCCCAATGGAGTGTCATCGCACAGGCTCCTCGCGGATATGACAAGGTGGGCTTGGCTAAGGAAAACGACGCTTCAACAGACTTAGACTGCGGAGGAATCGCCGCACTGCGTTCGCTAGAGAGTTGCTGTCGCTTGAATGACATCGACTTTCAGGCCACCAGTTGAGCATCATGATGTAGGCTCAAGAAGCCAAATCACCACGAGTGCTTACCGATACACCCCTAAGCTTCTCAAAGGCTTCCTTCATATCGACAAGCTGCTTCAACTCTCTAAATTTACAAGATTCAGCCCTTGTATGGGCCATTAATCTATTTTTCATAATATTTATCTCGGCGCTGAGTACAGGTGGATGGCTCCATTCGATTAACCGGTACTATTTGGATCGATCTTTCCCATTTGGATATCTGTGGCTTCCTTGGGTACGCGTCCTTATTCATACTATTTTCAGTCATCTTAGGCTAAATGCAATCATCTTTATCACCATTACTGCGAACGTGATGTGAATTTCTTCGTGGTACCATGGGTAATGCGTTCGTTGCGGGGAGGAAATGAACGGTCCAGGTCTAGGGGCGCACCGTACTGAGTGCTCTGATGCAGATAAGTCAAGCTGCTTGAATATTGACGCGCAAATGAAGCGTACCAGGCCGACCCCTATCCGAGGGATCCTCGGATTTCTTAAGCTCGGGCAACACTAGGGAGACATCAATGCTTTAACGAATTGACGAATAGTTGCTGTTCGTCCTCACCACTATCCGTAAACACCGTCGTTCTCTTCATTACTCCGTCGGAATAGACACATTTGCAGCCATGAATTTGCTTTCATTGTCGCTGCAGGGCTACCATGTCTTCTTCCATAGCTCGCCCTCCTCTATCCTATGCTTCCGTTGCAATGTCCTTTCTTTACGCCATGAACGAGCTTCCTTCACCGTCTGAACCGACTATCAGTCGAGGAAACGCCGATGTCTACCCCCTGTTGCGGCCTTTTACTCAATCACCGGGATACCTGCGGCCGTCTGTCCCTAACAGTAGTCCCTTCACTTCCAAAACTCTTGACAAATCGTCGGCATCCGCTGGCCGACCTCGTTACTTGAGTCGATAGCCAAGCTGACGGTGAACGTCCATATGGCTTTCGCTACCACCTAAGCCATGAAGTCCACCGAGTGCTCAAGTCTTTTCCAACAATTCTCCAACAATCGCGCCAGCTTCTCCGTAATCTGGGGATTTTCTAGCTTGGCGAGTTTAAACGGCCGGTAATTGTTGAACATTCTGCCAAGGAGTATCTTGACCTCTCGGACCGTTCTTGTGCACGTATGGATGTGTGTGAATCTTCCACTTATAGAAGTTATAGTATATACAACAGTACAAGCTCGCGATGCACTGTTTGTGTTTGCTAAACTGGATAGCACCGCAAGGGATGATGAGCTCAATGAGATGGTGTCGAGATATCGAATGTCACATACGTTCAATGCCTCTGAAGTGGGCCATAGTATGCCGGGAGGGTACTCGTAAAACAGTATGAGACTCGGCACTCCCGCGTAGACTTTCGTCCTGTTGTATACCACCGTAGAGCATCATGCCGTGTATCTCGTGATGCTGTAAGGAGGACGAACGAGCGCGATTGAGCATACTGGAAATCTCTAGGATTCGCGCTTCAAAAGAGACACAGCTTCTCTATCCGACCAAGAAGTCCGCAGCACTTTCGCGCTGTGTTTGGGCGATCGATTTCGAGGGCGACTCGAAGGTTTTCAGGCGGGTCTCAGCTGGGACCACTTCCAAAAGACCAAGGCTAAGATCCTGTTTTCTTTGCTCTGCTTTGTCACGCCTTTTTCGACGACTGGAATGCGATGAACCCAATGCAATCTCCCCATCGATGTGTTCGATCTATGGAGCGAACGTTAAGAAATCAAGCGGACCTCAGGTATGAGTTTCGAGCCTTCTCCCTCGTGCCCTTCAACGGGTCGAGATCGCGAAGGCATGGAGTCCACGATGCCTAGGTATCGGCCTCCTGTGACGCACCACCATAACACCAACTTCCCAGGACTACAACAGGTTCACCTAGCGGGTGATAGGTGTCTTTGATGCTAACCCCGCTCCCTGGAGTTGGAGAGACAACCCCCACGTGGAATGTTCCGTCTCGAAGGATCAAAGGATCAAGCCATCCTGGATGGACCAATTACACGCCTGCAACACAAGCCTACGAGAACCTGATCTGGAAAAGGAGCAGATTGCGACTCGCAAATCGCGGTTGGTAGCTTTGTGCACGATCAGAAATGCGCAAGCTGAAGGACTTTGGCCCTGAGCTAGAATATGCTGTCATCTTAAGTTTGGGTCAGATCCAAGAACCAAGCGGCGTCGGTACAACCATCTGTTCTTTCTCCCACTGCTATGGAGTTGAAGCAATTGCAAGTGCCTGTCATCTTGGTGTGCGTTCTTGCAGCGTTGATTGCGACGTTTGCGATCGTGTGTCGCGTGTGGGCACGCGCTCTCACCCGCAAGAATTGGGAAGCCAACGACTGGCTGATGGTGGTCGCATATGTAAGAAGCCTCAGATGTCGCTGGAACATTGTGCATGTGAACATGATTTAATCAAGTAAACATAGATCGGACTACTTGGCGAGCTTGTCGATGCGGTCGTCTTTGTATTCGTTCAGTACTATGGCGTTCACATCAAGGACGTACCAACAGCTGCTATTATGCAAATGAAAAGGCATCCTGAAGTCAGCAGCCGATGACCCGCCCTGATACTACCGCTAAACGAAACAGAGCCGCTATATACTTACGAGCATGGCTTTGACAGCAAGCGTGTTCTGCAACTTATCAATCACACAACTGTACACGACACTCTTCCCTTACACACGTTTTCGCATTGTCTGTCGCGTGCTCCTTGCCTTGACAATAGCCTACTACATCAGCTTCATGACTGTGCAGTTCTTCTCGTGCCCCCAGAACATGAACAACGCACTGGCAATGGCCAAGAAATGCGCGGAAAACAGCAAGACTGTCTGGGTGGGTGCTAGTGCAGGTGCCATTTGTATAGACTTGGGGAATGTGATCTTGCCAATGCCTCTACTCTGGCGCCTGAACGTTGAGTTCGAGAAGAAAATCCGCTTGACGCTGCTGTTCGGGCTGGGCTTTTTGTGAGTGGACCAACAGTCTATGAACCGACCTTCCTTGTTAATTAGATGTCAGCATTCTCTCCATTTCGGTAGTACGAATGTACTTGTACCGGCATATGGATTCGACCGACTGGACGTATCACACTGGACGCATCATTCTGTTTAACGGACCGGAGCCTGCCCTGGGTATACTGGCAGGCTGTTTGCCAGTCATGTCGCCTTGTCTGCGCATAATATCGGATAAGCTCAAGAGCTACCGCCCCTGCAAAGTCACAAATGAGGAGAGTTTAGAAGTGCGTCACTCGGAGCACCCACCAACTATCGGACATGCGAAGAGGATTTCCTTGAGAGCGATGGGGCTTGGTAGCGCGGCTGGTGAAGGCTTCGACCGACTTGAAAGTCAACTCAATATTGTTCCGCAGGCAAGCGATACAATTACGGCGGCAGAGAAGGAAGAGGAACATAGTGTACCTATTAGAAGACAATAGCCGTGGAAGATATAGCAAATTCAAGACAAAACACGAACTATCATCGCTGAAGAAGCCAAAGAGAAACTCATGCCTAGTTTAGCGTGTCAGAATCACTTTCATACCACTACAGGCTGTAACCTGGTTTAATTTACCTTCGCATGTGCAGGCCGAGGCACCTGGTATCTTCCCGGCACGAGCTCCCGAACCAACTCTTCAACGAGGAACTTGATTCCCTCGTGGCTCATCTCCGCGAAAGGCTTGCCCCTCACCAAGTCGCTCATCTGGGTAGACCTATCAAGGGATGAGTAGTCACGTCTTTCTAGGATGCATTCGGTGTTGATGGAACATGTCAAGATCAAAAAGCCAGTACTTACCATGGTGTGGCATCACCACCTGCCGCCTTCGCACGTATAACGCCCAATAGGGCTTCCTCATAGAGCGCGTAATCGCGCTTCAGTTCAGCGCGAATGGCCTCGAGGGCAACGTCAAAGCTTTTCTTTCTTGCCTCCTTAGTGGTGCGGGGCTTGCTTCGCTTGCTGGTATTATTTCTTGGTGGCATCCTGGTGGGTGTTGCTTGCGGCGAGTTGGCGTAGAAAGATTTGATTAAGAAAGTGGAAATAGGAGAAAGCAATAGCTGTTCAGAGATACAACACTTTTTAGGTCAATCCCTATATACTAGAAGTTGTAGGCAGACATACCTGGACTTTGCTATTGTGGGATAGCTACAATAGCAAACGCGTGCAAGTGCCAGCTCTTGTGATGCGGCATACAGTCACCCCACTATGATCGGTAAATATATTGGAACATGGTTCACCCCCAGGACATACGAAGGAAGAGCTCTATTAACATGCTTTAGTTGAACCAGTTCACTCCTCTGACCCAGTAATCACACAGGTAGCCTGTCACAATCGCATAGAACCCCTTGTGTAGCACGTCAATAACCTGCTCGTTTATCGGCCATGTCCATGGCAAAGCGCTCGTTCCCGCCGTATTCTCAACGACCTGATCCATCATGATCCGGATTCCCGCGTGCACAAAGCTTGCGACGGGTCCGATGATCCCATAGTACGAAAGCACACCGCGGACGCCACCAGCAAGTATGCCCATACCATGGTGATGGATATGATTCAGCAGATCGATGTGACGGTCGTAGAAGGCGGAGTCTACGCCGAAATGGTTACCGATTGTGCGGGCCGGGACGTAAGAGTTTGGGCGATGAGTAATGAGTTGCTCGAGGACGTTCGTACCGGCCATGCTGATGTCTGTTAGCCCTTCAGGTTTACTGATATTTTTCGGAGTCGAGTGCGTTTTGTCTCTATCAGATCGTTGGAGATATGCGCTGACTTACGCAAATGCACCAATGAAGCCGGCCCCTAGCCCGATGGCCACAGCTGAACCGAAGCCGACTCTTGGAAACGTCGGGTAAGCTGATTTGTGGTCGACATAGGCTCAAGGGACGTGTGTCAGCTCATATCTGGTGGGTGAACGCATGTTGTCAAGTCAAATACAATTACTTACAATAGGTACCTGTAGCAGAGTGGTATTGAGGCATTGCGAAGGCGGTTTGGAGGGCTTTTGGAGAAACAGCTTAGACGATATGAGTGACCGATACAGACTCAACGGGCACCCAACCGTATATGTCGCGCCGCGATTGCCGTGACGTGAAAGTTGCGACGCGCCAACACGAAGGTATTTGATCAACCTGACGTCACTGGTAGCACATATAACTTTGTGTGAATCGACAACATTATCTATCATCTTCTGAACCAAAGAAATCTAGAGTCAGCCTGTTGGAACTATGTATAGTAAGTGAGGGTTTCCAGGGTCGACGGTATGCATGTAATTGGCGGCTAATGGATCTTTGATCATCTCACGCATGAAGTAGAACAAGTCACAGAAATGGGGTCCTCGGTAGGACCAAGGACCACATCTTCACCCGCTGTCCGTTGTGATCGGTGATAATGAAATGACATATTGTAAAGGAAAGGCATGCAGGTGCATGCTGAGGCTGGTATTCAGTTTGGACACAGGTATGATGCCACATGGTCGATCGATCCGTTCGATAAGCCTTTGAGCGTAGCCCTAATTGTTCACTGACAGATGGATTGCAGAGCGAGTGGCTACCCGAGGGAGACTTGAGCGACGCAGAGAAAGTGATATGTCGATGTGAGAGAGCGGTGTATGAGGGCAAACGAGTTGTGGAACCTCAACCTTGGAACCTTGGAACCTTGGCGATAACGGCACGTGACATACTAAGCGACATTCTAGCTTAGCGGGTTTTGAACTCGGCTTGGCAAGTTTGCGTCGTGGTGCTTCTTCCCATGCCCTATTGCCGGTATAGTTCATGTACTTCTGCAACGTCTTTCTGCGGCGCGAAATTCAATTTCTAGCTTTAAGTCGCCGTCATTGAAGTATCGACTAGGCGTAGAGTTCGGATCCTGGTCCGAAGCATGAGGCGGCACTGGAGCCGTCGCAACGTAAACCGCGGTTCCGGTGGAAAACTATCACACAGCTTCGTGCCGCGCGCACGACAGGTCCTCTGGCTGTCGATGTAGCTGACTCCTATATCTAGTCTCATGATCAGGCCCAGTCAGGAACCTGGGTTCTCCAGCGATGACACTGGTATAGTTCCAATGTCTGTAAAGCCACCCACGTCGCAGTCCCATTCAAACATCATGTCCCCGAGAGAGGACCGTAAATCATTGTCTCTGCACGACGTCAGCTCCAAGACTCTTCCTGTACCTGTACTTCGGCCGCCACCGCCTACGCGCGTTGGTCAACAGGGATCGGTCTGCATGACGCCCATAACAGCCCTCGTCCGCGTGCTCGCCCATGGAAGCTTCAACTCGTGGCGTTTCTACACGCGACCCTTCGTACCGTGGAACTGCTACCGCAATCGACACTTTACACCCCTAATTGCCGTCCTAGGAAGGTAGCAGGATTGCATTGACCCATGTCGCAATTGACGAGCCCACGTCAGGCTGCAACGGTGCGCGTTGATTCTCTGGTAGCGAGGCGTGGGTGGAAAATGAATGCGCGTGGACTGGTGACTATTAATAGCCCTTTGTGTCACTAGGTCTATGTTTGGACTTTCAGGGATTCAGCGACTTGGGACTCTGGCATCGACGTCACAGGTCGCCCGAGGCTTGATGGAGTGCCTCCTGAACGAAAGAGTGGTAATTAACGTCGGAGAGATTGCCGACTCATTACCATCGCCGGTAGGCTGATCATTTTGCGGGGTAAGGGGCCATATAACCGAGCCTCGTCCTCGTCTCGAGGACAGGATAAGTTCGGCGTCGAGACACTTAATGTTGTCCAACATGATGCTGATCGTGGGTAACAAACGCGATTTTCGGGACAGAACACAGATAAGCAGGATGACTGGCCTTTCAGCGAATCACCGCTCTCGTTCAATTTGACGTTATCGGCGCCGGGACGTTTGGATCGACGTAGTACGTGCAGCACCTGATTTTAATCTTGAAGAGAGCATATACAGGGGACGTAGTTACCTAGGGAACTAGTTATCCAAGTCACTGAGCTGCTATCGCTGACTAGGCCCAGTGTATCACAAACACATCATATAAAATGCGTCCGCCTGGCTATCTTACAGACCTCTCTCTAGAACGAGCCATATCTTCTCTACAAAGAACAAGCTTTCCCTCGTTCAGACTCGATACTAACTGTCTCCTGATCGATGGCCTCAAGCAAGATAAGACTTCTGACTCGGCAGCCATCATAGCCACCCCAGGAATCGACGTCATCTTAGAGGTGACTGGTAATTCTGCCGTTGGAGTCCGCGATGCATTGTTGTGCTGCGAACATAAAAGCACAATTGTTTTGATCAAAGTCGAGGTCGACGTACTTGCCAGGACCCCCCACTCATACGCAAAGCAACAGAGGTGGGGATCATTTACTCGAACCACGTATGGTGGCCAGCCCGCCCTCATTACCGAATTGGCGGACTGGGCACGCACAGCAGGCTTTGATGTCGTTTGCGCGGGGAAGGGCACAAAACACTTACGTCACTATCACTACTATACCCCCTGACACTGTATGGGACTACTACGGCTTCACAAAAGAGTGGCTCGCGAGCGACGACTTTAACGCCCTTATGTTCAACTCCTTCCTCGACGGTATGAAATAAGCGCTGGAGATGCGGCTGTGGCGAACAGCTGTGCTCTCACGCCTCCTTTGCATGGACTTGCGTTCCCACCCTGCGAAGCTCATGACCTACTCCAAGCGCTCAAACCACGTAACGTAGGTAGTCAGCTCGAAGAGAAAAAGATAGTAGAAGTAGTTAGCTGCGCTGAGGAAGAGGGTCGAGCTGTATTTGGCGATCTACGCTGGGGTATTTATGTCGTCATTGAAGTACCAGCGCGAGTGCTTCGCGCAGTATGGTGTCAAGACTGACGATAGTGGATGGTATGCTGTGAAATGTAAGCCGTATCACCTTATTGGGTCTGAGTTGGAAAGACGTCGAGCTTAGTGAGAAGAGCCAAGCCGTCGCCGTGAGGAGAAAGATGGAAAGTATTCATAGGAAAGAGCTTTAGACGGTTGGTAAGCTCAACGGGGCCCTGGAAACGAACGGGGTATAGTACAAATTCGAGGGAGAAACAGCTTCCTTCGTGCCGTCTCTCTATCTTCGCGGTGGGCCACGTGACGTGACCTATTTCAGGTTCTGCAGTGTCCAGACAACGAGGACCGCACTCTCATTACGCACTTTCTATTGTTCTGCTTTCTTAGGGTTTACTCCGCGTCGCTAGATCTCGTATATTTTTCAGTCATTTGCGTCAGGCGCTCCTGACGGCTCGCTCCTTCCTGCTCAACCGAGCAGGGACTACACGTCCTCGGAAATTCGAGTAAAGAACATCCAGAACCCCAAACAATGCTCCCACACCTTGCCACCACACCCAAAACATGGCGTCCAAGCTATGTTGCACGACGGAGCAGGAAGGACACCCAGACTCGCCAGAACTTCCAAATGGTCGCATGACGGAAGCTCCTACACCTGCCCGCCTACCACTCTTGCCAAAGCCGGTTGGATCTGTGAACTCACGTTTCACCAGCGCTCGAACGGAAGACCTTCACGAATTACGGCAAATATTCGACAATGCGAAGGACAACGAGCCGACCCGGTTGTCTCCGACGAAGGCGGCTGCTCGCGCACGCTTCACAAAGCCGTCAATATACAGTTTGCACTCGATTCACAGAATGAAGAGCATGCGATCACTTATTAGGCGGAAGTTTTCCCGAGACCTCGCCAAAAAGCCCTTTGGAGACCTGGCTCAGTCAAACGAGGGAAAGAAAGCTGCGAAATCAGCTCCTGAGACCGTCATCAAGCAACACAAAAGTAGACATGATGTGCAACTCCAGATCACCAAAGACGACCTGAGGAAGGACCTCTTGAGTGACAAGCGGCGTGATGAAGGCGGCTACGACTCTGACGCCCAGGTGCTCGACGACATTGCAAAGAATATCGGGAAGAAGACACCGAATAAGAGACCGAGCATCCACAGTATCGATTGGACGCCCTCTACAACGAGGTAGGATGTGACCTCCCAGAGTGCCCCCATGTACATCGCTGACCCTCCAGCAAACCGACACCCGGCTCATCACCCAAGAGCCGCCAAAGCTCCGACCGCGCCAGAGATCTGCAACCGTACCACATCAAGCCAACTCATTCAGTATCACTCACGACCAGACTCGGTCAGGTGTTCAGTTCTCCCAACCTGCAAGCCGATACTTCAAAGGCACAAGAACGCAGAATGCGGCGCTCCCACTCGGCCACCTCGATCAGACTCCCTGAATACTCCCCGTCACCACTGAGACTACCTAGTCTGAGGACACACGATCCAGATGGCATACCTTGGTCGGTGGCCTTGAATGAAAGTCTACGGCTATCACACTCTCCTATTCCGCCACGACCCCTTACGCCACAACAGTCGCGCGCTTCACTCAAAGTGTTCTTGAGTAACAAGCGATCAATCACAAAGGTCGGAACACAGGAGATTAGCGTTCCTAAAGAGGCTTCATACGACAAGGAAGCAGAGCAACCAACGCCTTCAACGGTGGTGCAAATCCACGTGCAGGAACCAAACGCGCTGCCTACGCCTCGTCAATCTGGTTCCCTTGGAGTGTTCACGCGAGGCAACCCTACGTCCATTGCGCAGGAGTCAGCAAAAGAACCAGATGCGATCGAAGAAGATCAGCCACGTCGATCTGTTCACCTTTACAGTATGCGGATCTCGCACCATCTGCGATCAGGCTCATTGCTTTCTTGGAACACTTTGACAGATGGATCAGAGCTTCCGAGTCCAACCAGTCCGTTTCGCGATCGTTCCTTTTCTGATCTCAGCAGAATCTCCAAGTCCCAGCGGCAGCCCAGCCGACACGAGCGACAGACATCTAGCTCAGGTTTTACAAGTTCTCGAGTACCTACCAAGTGGGGTAAGGTCTTGACTAACGACATACGGGAAGACAAGTCGTCCATCTATTCTAGCAGACCGCAAAGCCCCCCTGAAAGCCCCCTTGAAAGTTTCGGTGGGTCGATGATCAACGTTTCACAGACACCTAAACATGCGATCTCGACTGCGCGCTCATCGCTAGACCTTGATAGATTGAGACGGTCCAATTCCTACCCGACTGATAACGACGAGACTCCGAAGCCTGTACACAGGCGTGGTCTTACAAATCTTCGCGATGTTACTAGCTATTCCACACTGACACGGCGTTCGAACGAAACATCACGACTAGCACGTGGCAACAGTGTGGCAAGCACGAAGAAATCAAAGTTTCGCGAGGAATTCAGCCCTTCGCCACCCAAGAAGAAGTTGATTCCGTCAGCTTCGATTATGAGATTCTTCACCCCGAAGCGTAACAGTTTGCACAGCCAGAGTGAAGCCAGAGTGAAGCCAGGCGGCCACCTTCTCGAGGTAGACGGATCGCTCGAAGTACCGGGTGCAGCTACGCAACGTGAGCGCCGACAATCAAAATCAGCGGTCAGCCTCGAAGCTGAGCAGAAAGCGTTGGGTAAGGATAAAAAGGCGAGTCCAATGTGGGAACGAGCCTTGCAGAACTATCAGGATGAGAAAGCTGCAATGTTACTACCCAAAAACAAGGAGCTTGCTACTCATACAAGTCCATTCCGAGAGAGGAGCGGAAGCGTATCACAGCCCAGGGTCAGTGAGGAGTCGAATAACGCGAAGTTGAGCGCTTCCAAGCGGTTTTCCGCGCCGCTACTTGGCCCTCCGTCACCAGGTGCCGCAGAGTTCGAAGACTCGCCGTCGCTTTATGTTAGACGTACAGCATTCCTCGGAACGGACCCCAATGCTCTCGACCCTGATCAGAAAGCTCATTTACACTTTACACAGCAGACTGACACTATTGAAACTGTCGGTGCGTGGGGTCGTTACCCGTCTCACACTCGTGCGGACCGTACCTTTTCTGCTAGTCATCAAGATCAAGTCGAGACGCGCGACTTTGCATTAGAGGCAGCCATCAAGTTTGCATTGGATAAAACCAACGTTGGCGATGACGGTGATGACGGCGAAGAAGAAATTGATCCCGCAACACGTCCGATCACGCCACCCCTTCTACCAGGTCAAAAGAAACGGAAGAAGAAGAAGATCGGTAACACACGCATGGCAAAGAGTCGATCCATGACCTTTGGTAAATCGTTTCTCAAGAACTATGCCAAGATCTTCAGAAGCCAGAGCATTGAGTTTCACAGACATGGCCAAGGCCATCGGAGCTCCATTGCTACAGGTGGCACGCTGGAATACCCGGAGCTTGAGATCATACCAGATTTGTGGAAGCGCGGAATCATCAAAGAGACAAGTCAAGAGTCGAGCCACGGTAATGAAGAGGCTTGTACCGCTCAAGAAGAATACGGTCCAGGCGACAAGAAGGGGAAGGGGAAGATGAAAGAAGAGGATTCTACGGCGACGCTTCGGCCACTTCCTACCAGTTCCCGGCCGACCACGAGCAACCAATTGCAGGCGGGTCTCGATGGGACAAAAGACATTGCACGGGTGTGGTCTGCATACTACGAAAATTGCCTACCGAGTTTCCCGCGTGCTAGCACCGAGCTAGACTTCAGTGCCGAGGACTTCGGAGCAACGACTCGTCGCTCGCTCGAGAACAGGCGCGCTTCTATGCACTCTCGCACCATGCCTGTGCGTTATGTCAAGCACTCTCGTAATGCGAGCCGCATGAGCCACCTCAGTAGGGTTTCCTGGCACATGATATGCGATGTATGCTGATCACATCCCAACTTCTAGGTATTGTAAGTCATGGAAGTGGGAGGCCAAGCTTTGTGACTATGGGTGAGAACGACGTGGGTGAGCTGGAACATGATCCGAACTTGCCCGGGCACGTGCTGACACCGCAGGCATTGACGAACAAAGTATGGTTAGCGTGCGGCGGAGTACGATGGATTTGATCTCCATGTACAAAGAGCAGGAGGACACCGAGATGGAGAGAGTCTTGAAGATAGTGCGGACGGAAAGTAGGGGCGGTACGACTTCGAAGAGTTTGTGAATGACGAGTAATGTGTAATCGCACGGTTTACGCAGAGCCCTGGAGACGACGGGGTCAGGTGCACCGGTGCATGAATGAGGGCTGCAAGGGGGAAGAGTAAGTGGTTGTCGTTCTAGGAGTAGAATTATGGGATAGAATATCATGTAAATTGGTTGACCTGGCGGTGATTCTCGAAGCGCTTACTGTGTGCAGGTGTCTAGGTTCCTTCCAGATAATGTAGTGTGGAATGGGAAAACCGTAACAATTTATCGCAGGTACTAGCTCTGTATACATATATCAGTGATCAGAGTGACGATCAAAAGAAGCAGTGCACAATGTAGGGTTTAGCCTCAAAATCTAATTGTGAGCGGGTGAAATCAGCGGCAGAAGTGCTAAGACGCAGTAATTCGAGTCCCCAATGGCATACTGATGCATCTGGTGTTAAAACTGCAGGTGGTAGTGCTGCATGAGACCAGTCAGTCGAATTGATTTAATTTCAAAGAAGGTATCTGTTATTGTCCGTCGTCCTTGCATCGCATACGTTGCCCACTCTGCAGAATGGCCCGTGCCCCTGTGCCCCTTTCAGACGCATACGCATCTTAAGGAAGGCTATTGGGAGACCGAGCACATAGAAGCCCAAACAACGCTTTCAATCAAGTTGACATATGGTTTTATTCCTTTTCAACCCAAGGTCCGACTGTATTCTCCTTCCCAATCACCCTTGCTGTTCAGATTCCTTGGTGGATCCGTTCCTATATGCCAGGCATGGGTGAGATAGTCTAGTTATTTGGAAAAGTAAAAACTAGGATCTTAGAATTGACGGATGCAAGCACAACCTTCAGCATCTTCATCGTGGTCATCGTAAGTACGAAGTTCCAATGGTTCATCTTTTGGGTAGCACAGTAGAGAATAGCATAAGTCATAGATGGTGGTGTCGCGAGGAGACTACTGCCAATGCAGAGTGTACAAACGTGTCGAGGAGTTCCGTGAGCTGCAAGGATTAAAAGCCGCAGGCTTCGCAATGATTTCGTTCGGAAAAGACACAAGTCAATCCAAAGAGCGAATTGGGGGGTACCTTTCTTAGAGCTTGTGGCGGAAGGCTCGACGGAGAAGGTGCTGAGGGGGCAATTGACTTGCTGCGTGCGAGCCGGCTTTGCGTAGAATCGGAGATCCAAGGAGAAGAGTTCGCAGACTAATGGCATCCATATTTCTTCGACTTGAGTGTTGAATAAGTCGTCTCGCCGCTACGTATGCCACGGTAGAATCTGCGGAAGATCCACTCCCCTGTTTGCCACTCTGTAGCCCACGCTAATCAATGTGACACGCCGTCCACAAGCGCCCAAATAAACGTTTCAGACCCGAGGTGCCCGAGGTGCCCGACAGATGAAGAAATGTGAAGACGTGGTGACATGTAGAGGAAGGAACGCGTGGAGGGCAGGGCGCGGCAAGAGCGAACAAGAGGCAAATAATTGTCTGGAACGGAATCCGAATTCCACGCCTACTCCAGTCGCCTCATCGTCGGCAGCTTACTCGAGTCCTTGTACAACCTAAGAATGAACGCCAGTGCATCGTCCACAAGCGTCTCCCTACATCGAGGCTGATCCCCATGTTGTATAAGTGGATGGGTATGCGTTCTTCAGCATCGTCGTAGTGCGGTGGGACGCCTAGCCCTTGGATGATGTCGCTCGTATTTAGCTCGTACAGCCAAAAAAAGAAGCCCAGCATAGTCCAGCGCGAATAATGGAAGTAACCGTGCGGACAAGTCGCGCAGGTAGGGTCTGCGTCCTAGGGCAAGTGATGGTTCACTTCGAATGTCCAGCCGCGGCAGTGGCAGTCGAGGAGGGCTTCGTGAACGAGGAATTCCTGCCATTGATAATGAAATAGACAATCTTGTCGGTTGATCCGCTACGAATCGCCAGTCTGTTAGCCTAGTCGATGTTCGGGATTCCTTACAAGACGCCGTAATTTGATTCGTGATTGACCGCGGCGCGTATGCCCGTTTCCAAAGCCATCTTCGCACGATGTGGATGAGGCAAACGAGTTGCCCAGGCCAATAAGATCTCAGCGGAAGAGACCCTCGCTCAATGAAAGAGCAGACACTAGTTACTCCAGTGAGAAAGCCTGGTGGACGAGAGCGGTGAGGTAATGGAGGATTGCCTAAGACCTGTAGAATGGGAGGCTTCCAAAGAAGACCGATAGTGAGTATCAATGAGATAATTGAATGCTAATGTCCACCAATAATAAACATGGCCGGACGATATGCCCTGACAATGTCAGTATAACAGTTCTGTAACAATAATACCCCGTCTTCACACTTCCCAGCAATCATTGTCTTGGTTTTTCAACGTTCCAATTCGTAGCGAAAGCAAAAGCCATACGCGTATACAATCGTCCCACAGCTCTGATCTCACAAGCCTCGCCTAACGTCCGTCTCATCCTCTCTTCTCCTCAAACTACTAATACGCTCTTCACAATCTCCGCCTTGACGCCATCGTAGTCTCTCTATTTCTTGTTCTCACTCACGACCCTCAACACGAAGTTTACTACTACCGCCGCAAACAAGGCAATCGTCAATACCGTCGGGCCAAACCGATCATCGAACCCACCCTGTCCCCTCTGCCTGATGCTCTTCGCGCGCCAATGGAACGTAACCAGCGCATACGCCATGGCGGCCATAGCAACGAGGGTGAACAGGCCAGCGCTAATCTGCCCGATCTTGTCGCCGAAATTGAGAAGACCGACGGCGAGACCGCCCAGGATAACGGTAAAGTTGAGCCATGAGAGGAAGGTGCGCTCGTTGGCGAAGAAGACTTTGGGCTCGACACGGGTGGGGAGGGCGATGCGTTTGCCTACAACTAGGTTAGGAATTGGAAGTTTTTGGGAGGGGAGCATGCGTACCCGGGGCGGTTTGGAGGAGCGGTTGGGTGGACATGACGGCTGGGTGACCCCGCTAGCGGTGCTCGACGGATGCTCGACGGAAGTTGCTGCACGCGGTTTTCTGCGTGTGATATTCCCTCTCTAACGATAGACAGACAACAATGCGCCTCGACAGCGGAAATGGCGTGCGGAAGGAAGAATTGCGTAGACCGGGGTGGATGAAAGATTCAAGCTTTCAAAGCGGAGACGTGCGCAAGCTCGTCCTTTGATCAGTGACGGAAGCTGCCAGCTCCCCTGCCCGCGCTGTCCAATCAGGGCGCCCACGTGATGGCCCTCCGTGAGGCTGCGCTAGCGACTGACCCATGCTTTTTGGGAGGCTCGTGCGCCGCTGTCTTGCATTGTTTGCACTAGAACTGTCTCGGCGGGCTTTGCTGGCAAAAACATCCCGAGTAAACACCAACACCGGCCTTCGCATACATTAACGTGCACTTTATTGCGACGTTTCCCAAGCTTACGCTGCATTTCTAGATACCCTACATTACGCTACACACACATCACAATGGCTGTGAGTCGATTAAGGGGATGATGGGAAGCAAAGACGCTGACCAACACAGTCCCCCCTCCCCACAGAAGAGCTCACCGAGATCGTCAAGAGCGTACGCACCTCTTGCTCCACACCCACCAATATACTGACTTGGATACCAGACCGTCGAGGCAGCGCTCGCTTCAGCAGAGAAGTACGAGCATGAGAAAGTAGCAGACTGGAACACCGCCATCATCGTACGTCCCCTATCCTTCAACCCCATCCCGCCTCACGCGACACTTTCACCTCACGCCTCCCCCAACCCCCAACCCCCAACAAGCTTAAGCTCCCGCAACAGCCAGCCATCCATGCATGCCTTGCGCTGACATGCCCACCAACAGAACAACCTCCTCAAGACCTTAATCGAGAAGACCACCCCCACCTCCGAGGACGCCTCCAAGCCGTCACAACCCACCTACAAGTACATTGCCCACAGCACAATCATCCAGCACCCGGGCGCGCCCTCGGATGGTGGCGCCGCCGGCCGCCGCGGCATGCACAGCGCAGTCGGCGCCTTCTGGAACACAGAGAAGGATGGAACGCTGAGCTACAAGTGGGACGGCGCGGAGAAGAAGGGCATGGACGTCGTGGTCAGTGTGAACTGGGTCGGTATCTAAATAGGAGGAAGGGAGAGGAAGGGAGAGGGGAGGGTTTGAGGAACGAAGAGGATACATCCAATGTAAAGGCGGTAAGAGAAACTATTCTTGCATGCTGGGGGTGTTACGGAGCACTTGAGGACTGCACATAGGCGAGTTGGATTCAGTAATTACTCACTACTAAGCCCAATTGCGGGGTTGCACAAGAAGCTCTACGTCTCGGAATCTATCCTGGTCGTTGCAGTTAAAGTCCAGATAGGACGATGACAATGGTTAGAGAACCGCGATGCGCACATCGCCATCACCAATGCCACCACAAAGAAGAGTTTGAATGAAGGTGCTGATTCCATTGATTCGCGTGCGTGTGTTCCGCAACCGCTTCCTATCAGCTACCAACTGCTTATAGCAGTCTTATCTTTTCTAAACCACCGAGTAGATTTAGATTTGAAAGAACCCGAATGCCAAAGTAGGCCGTCAAATCATCCCAAATATTACGCCAATATCCATCCAGATCTCTATGAGTTCTCGACCCGCCTGCTCATGAACGCCGATGTTGAAGGCGCTCATATAAGTACATCTCCATAATGACCCCTCCACAATGCAGGTTGAACAGGTTGAACTACTTTTTGGTATCATAAACACATTAGACACATTACACCCGGCCACCTAGATGATAGGCAGCCGGCGGAGAAAAGTCTGAGTAGTGGTTAAAGTACTCAGAACTTGATGCAGAATCCCGCTTAAGCAGCGTGCTTCTCGCGGTAGAACTTGGCCGAGTTGACCATGTTGGTAAGGGCGGCCTTGGTCTCCTTCCACTGGCGGGTCTTGAGACCGCAGTCGGGGTTGATCCACAGCTGCTCGGGCTTGAGCCACTGGAGCATCTCGCCGATGCGGTCCTTCATCTCCTGCTCGGACGGGACACGAGGAGAGTGGATGTCGTAAACACCGGGGCCGATGTGACGGGGGTACTCCTTGTCTTCGAAGACCTTGAGGAGCTTAGCGTCAGACTTGGAGTTCTCGATCGACAGAACGTCAGCGTCGAGAGCAGCGATGGCGTGGAAGAAGTCCTGGAACTCGGAGTAGCAGAAGTGAGAGTGGATCTGGGTAGAGTCCTTGACTCCAGCGGCGGACAGCTTGAAGGAGTCAACAGCCCAGGAGAGGTACTTCTCGCGCTCCTCGCCGGCACGAAGGGGCAGACCCTCACGGAGAGCAGGCTCATCGATCTGGATGACGTAGACGCCAGCAGACTCGAGGTCAACGACTTCGTCACGGATGGCAAGAGCGAGCTGCTGTGCCTGGACGGACTGGTGGACATCGTCACGGGGGAAAGACCATCGGAGGCAGGTGATGGGACCCGTAAGCATACCCTTCATGGGCTTCTTGGAGATGGAAGCGGCGTATTTGGACTCCTTGACAGTCATAGCAGCAGGGCGGGAAATGTCACCAACAACAATCGGGGGACGGACGCAGCGGGATCCGTAAGACTGGACCCAACCGTTGGTGGTGAAGGCATAACCGTCAAGACGCTCACCGAAGTACTGCACCATGTCGTTACGCTCGGGCTCACCGTGGACAAGAACGTCGAGGTCGAGCTCCTCCTGGATGCGGACAACATCCTCAATCTCCTTCTCGATGAATCGCTCGTACTCCTCAGCGGTGATCTCACCCTTGGTGAACTTGTTACGCTGGATACGGATCTCCTTGGTCTGGGGAAAGGAACCAATGGTGGTGGTGGGGAAGATGGGGAGCTTGAGGTGGGTCTTCTGGGCGGCAAGACGTTGGGGGAAGGGAGACTGACGCTCGTGATCCGCGGTCTTGACGCTGGCCTGTCGGTCCTTGACGGCCTTGTTGTTGGTGCGCTTGGAGGTAGCGCGAGACTCCATGGACTTGGCGTTGGCCTCAAGAGCCTCACGAACAGCAGCAGGGCCCTCAGTGACAGCCTTCGCGATCACGGTGACCTCAGACACCTTCTGGACGGCGAAGGAGAACCAATCCTTGACCTCAGCGTCGAGCTTCTTCTCGGCCTCGAGGGAGTGGGGAGTGTGCAGGAGAGAGCTGGAGGTGGCGACGATGACACGGTCCTTGCCGAGCTTCTGGATGGCGGACTCAACAGTCTCGATGGCACGCTTGAAGTTAGTCTTCCAGATGTTACGGCCGTCGACAACACCGGCGGAGAGGATCTGGTTGGAGCCGAGCTTGCCAACGACGGCCTCGAGTTGCTCAGGGTTGCGGACAAGGTCGACATGGATAGCCGAGACACCCTGGAGAGCGGGGAAAACATCGAAGTTGTGGACAACGTCACCGAAGTAGGTGGCAAGGACGATCTTGGGGAGACCGCTGGCGGTGAGGGCCTCGTAGGCGGGCTTGAAAGCATCCTTCACCTTCTGGGGAAGGTCCTGGACGAGGATAGGCTCGTCGATCTGGACGGTCTCGGCACCAGCCTCCTTGAGCTTCTTGAGGAGCTCAACGTATACGGGGACGAGCTTGGAGATGAGGGAGATGGGGTCGACGGACTGGTTACGGTCGGCCTTGCCGAGGTGGAGGAAGGAGACGGGACCGACGAGGACGGGGCGGGTGTTGATGCCAGCCTCCTTCGCCTCGAGGAACTCGCGGACGGGCTTGGGGTCGGAGGAGAGAGAGAAGGTCTGGTTGTCCTGAAGAGTGGGCTTGACGTAGTGGTAGTTGGAGTCGAACCACTTGACCATTTCCTGTGCCGTGTGTCAATGACCGGCCGAGGAAAGTATGCGGAGGGTATTCCGGCGACTTACGAGCGAGGGAACATCGACACCATCCTTCTGGTGGCCACGGCCCATGGCGAAGTACTCATCGAGAGTGTCGAGCTTAGCGCTGGAGTATCGCTCCGGGATGGCCTGGTAGTTGTCAGCAGAGTGGATGCATATCTGGGAGTGGTAGCACGCACGTTGAAGAGCTGAATGTGGTCGAGGAGGTGGTCGTAGAAGGCGAAGTCGTTGCTGGGGATGACATCGACACCGGCATCCTTCTGGATCTGCCAGTGAGCAAGACGAAGACGCTTGGCCTCCTTGATCAGCTCATCGCGAGAGAGCTTGTCCGCCCAGTATGCTTCGTTGGCCTTCTTCAGGTCACGGTTCGCACCCATGCGGGGGAAACCGAGCACCGATGACTGCACCATGGTGGGGGTTGTGTGAGGGAAGGAGGGGTATCTAGAAGTGGTGTGCCTGGTCTGAAGAGCAATGGAAAGGAAAGGAGCTCGTCAGAGGAAGTGGTGTAAGAGTGAGGGAGGACAAGAGAGGCGGACCCAGGATGAGCACAATATTTGTAGGGCGGTGTCGTGCTTTTCTATCTTTTTCGCTGGCGTATGAGGGGTGGTGGTGCTAATGGCCGCATTAGGGTTAGGCAAGGGAAGGAACCTCGAGTGGCCCCTGCTTGCCCCGACCTTTGCTTCGGCTTCCGGCCCATTCTGTAGCTCTCGTTTCCAACACGTCCACGGTCGGGCTTTGCATTTCTAGTGCTGTGACGATGCAGAGGGCTTCACACGCCGGCCATGTCGAAGAACCGACCTCTGCTGGCCGACTGCCCTTCTTCGGCCGTCCAGGAAAGACGGCACGGCGACTTCGCGCAGACTTTGTTCAGGTCGGAGCTCCGACAAAGAGCTCGCTTTGGCGCGGGAGACTTTCCGCCGATTTCGGAAAGATGCCCCTCCAGATGCGACAATGTGCGTAGCGCGACACTACGATCGACGACTCAGGCCCGTCGTCTGAAGCGCTGGTGTCGTTGGTGTCGGTGGCGTCGGTGCTTCTCTCACGGGCACCCACGCACCAACAGCAGCCTGGGGACACCGTCACGTTGGAGGGGCATTGGGGGCTCGCCGCCGCTGGTCAGCCACGCTGTCCAACGCTGCGTGAGGAGTCAGCGAAGCACTCGGACTCCGTGCAGTCGCCCTGCAGGACCACGTTCATTGGTCGTGGGCCATCAGTACGTCCAAAGGAGACGCGCAGTTGCAGACGATTGTGATATCGGTCTTGTCCACAGGCCCATTTCCAACCTTTGGGGTCATGCATGGCGCGACAACCGGATTTTCCTCGCACTTCCCACTCAGCCTGTCTGGTCTTCATCGGAGAGTTTAGGGATATGCTCTTAAACCTGACCCAGTTCCCGTGCTTCTCAAAGCCGGCCTCTGTCATTCTTCAAGACCGACGAGTCTCGACTCCAGCATGGTGAACCCATCGTCCCCTCGACCACCTTAGCTTCTATTAGGATGCCTCGTGCATCAGTATTCAATCCATCATGTGCTTGCAACTTGAACAGGCTGGCTGCGGAAAAACTGTTCGGACAGTCTAGACCCGGACTCCACAAGTGCCCCTCCAGGACGCTACCCCGCCATGGTGGGAGGTAGCAGCAGACCCTCTGAAGACGCGAGCACTCACTGTAATTTCTGACTCCTATCTGTTCCTACCCCGAGCATCATCATGTCCAGACCCGAGCATTCGCGAACCTTCTCTGCCACGAACCTGAGCAGCGGCTCGGGTTCGCGTGCACTGCAAGGACGAGTCGGCATTGTTACTGGAGCAAGCAGAGGTATGCAGACGATCCTGGTCGGTGATTGCCATTCTCATTGATGATACAGGCATTGGCGCCGCTATTGCGCGCAACCTTGCCAGCAAGGGCCTGAACCTCGTCTTGAACTATACGTCCGATTCCTCCGAGAAGATCACCCAGGAGCTCGCCGAAGAGCTGCAATCCCGGCATGGCGTCAAGGCCATCATCGTCCAGGCGAACATGGGCGATGAAAACGGTCCGAAGCACATTGTAGAAGTTGCGAAGAACAACCTTTCTCATCAAAAAACTGGCAAATTCCAGATCGATGTCATCATCAACAACGCTGGTGTCGCGGGTAATAATAGGATCGAGACAATAAACTGCGAGGACTTTGCACGGCAGTACAACATTAATGTGCGAGGACCGTTACTCTTGCTGCAGGCCGCCTTGCCATATCTGCCCAACGATCGATCCGGCCGCATCGTGAACCTTTCATCTGTCAGTTCTTCGCTTGGATACGTCAGCCAGAGTGTCTACGGTGGCACGAAAGCTGCCCTCGAGGCCATGACACGGACATGGTCCCGCGAGCTTGCTGAACGCGCAACCGTGAACTCAGTCAACCCTGGGCCAGTCGCTACCGACATGTACGGTACCAATGACGAATCGTTCATCAATTTCAACCGGCCGTTCCTGCAAAGCACCCCCTTGGCCACACCCAGGAAGGAGTTTGAGGGCGACAAGACGGAGTACTACGGATCTGTAGGCGGAAGACCAGCTTATAGCGAAGAGGTAGCTGGCGTTGTCGGTATGCTTTGCCTACCGGAAGCAGCATGGACCACGGGCAGCGTGATCTGCGCGAATGGAGGCATGAGGTTTAGTTTCTAGAGAGGCAGTTTCGACAATCACGACAGGTAGCACAATCTAGAATCAGATAGTCGGTCGAACGGGCGATCTCGGTAGGACAGCACGTTACGACGTACAGCATTCGAGAGACACCAGCATGATTCGAGACATGAGAACACATGGAAATACTGCAAACCCGCAACTTCGTAGTCTAGCAACGCGCTGGCGCTCTCGTGTGCGATGGGACGATGCTCGCTAGCACTTATTGCCCCCTGCAAAACCTGAAACCTTTACCAAGAGCATTAGCAGCGTCAACAAGAGACCCAGCAAGCTGTCTTGGGGAGGAGCACATGCGTCGTTCTCTTGTTCCGCTGGAGATCGTTGGAAAGGGTCCACTTGGCACGCGCAGGTGTAACCACCCCAGCCTCCCTACCTAGCTGCTCTACCACTTTCCGCCTCAGCACTGCGGAGATGAAATTACCGTCTCTTATCGTCCGAAGAACCGTCAAGCGTAGCGGTCTTGCGACGCATGGCCATGGCTGGGCTCGGGCAGGATGCTCGATCGGCTCGGGGCGCAACGCCAAGCGAACGGTTGCTCCGGGCAACTCGTGTTTGCCCGTGCGGCATGTGCGGGACCACCTCGTCTGGTCGCTGCCATTGGGGCTGGCTACGCCCGCTGCATTCCTGGACGGTGTTCCGTGTCACGGCGATTGGCTTGGACATCCTTTTGCGGCGGATCACAGGCTGGCTCGGCGCCCGGGTGGTGGTGCGCGTAATGGGTGGCTGGACCTGTTTACTGACCCAACGACCCGCCTCCCTTCGCAACCGTGCATGAACTGCGCATCTATGATACCACTCGACTCTTGCCAGTCTCTTCCCCAGTACCGTATCTACATCGAGCTTTGTGCTACCCTTTCCTGCAACCCTCACCAGCGTGTGTGTTCGATGGAGGGGAAAAGAAGAGCAACGGACTGAAGGTCCCTCACGATCGCGAACCCAAAGACCCCACCACCATGCGTCGACTAACCGCACCGGTGCCGACCACACTCTCCCGGCCACCTTTCGCATCGTTGCGAACTACCCTACTATGGGCCGCGCTTTTCCTGGCGAACATTGATGCTCAAGCGTATAACCCGACGAGATTACTCCTCAATGGCTCTCGTGTCTACGTCTTCCAGCCGTCATCCAGCTCGTCCTCACAGTTCGGGCTCGGTACTATCGATATAACCTCCCGTATCGACTCGTCCCATCTTACCGTCACCACCCTCTATCCCACGTTGCCCTTCCTCGACTCGGACAAACAGCGACCGTTCAACCCCGTGCTGGACGATGGAGGGAATATTACAGTGTATACGGGCGACTGCACGTCTGGGGCAAGAGGAGGCGAGGTGTGGAGCTTTGTTCCAGAAACGTCAGAGAAAAGTGGGAATGGAAGCTGGAGGCAGGAAGACATCACCTTCGCCCAGAATGACAAGCATGTCTCTGACATAGGGCCAAGCTACCTCAGCGCGGGCATTTCCTTCTCGGCCATCGTCGATGGAGATGCCACCAATACACAGGCCTACTTTTTTGGTGGAATGTGTCCATCGCAGGAGAGAAACAACGCAGACTGGCAAGCGAACGCCAATTACTCCAATTACATGGTTACCCTTGAGCCATCGAAGATCACCGCAAAATCGCTAGAATATCGGTTGGGCGCATCCACTAGCCGAGGACCGCCAATTGCAGAAGCTGGCTTCACACTGACTGGCTTGTCGCCAAGTTATTCTAATCGCAGTGATGGTACTCAAACACAGCAACAGAACTTCGTCCTGGTAGGAGGCCATACCAGCGCCGCCTTTATCAACACTTCACAAGTTGCCCTGTTCTCGCTGCCTCAGCAAGGATGGACATTCGTTCCTGTCGATCAACCGGATACAACACAAACAGATCTTGCGATTCGGGCAGACGTTTCAGCGGTGGACTCTCGATCCGGACATAGTGCTGTTCTAAGTGATGATGGTCAACACCTGGTCGTTTTCGGTGGCTGGATTGGAGACATCAACACGCCCGCGAATCCTCAACTGGCTGTACTGAACGTTGGTGATGGGTATGGTGGAGAAGGCAATTGGGAGTGGACTGTACCATCGACGTCTGGCTCAGGCCTGTCTACTTCGACAGGCATCTACGGTCACGGTGCCGCTATGCTTCCAGGTGGTGTTATGATGATTATGGGCGGATATTCTATATCCGCTTCGAGTTCACGCAGGCGAAGGGCATCCACCAATGACAACCAACGACCGATGTTTCTCAACATTTCCTCGTACACATGGACAACCGATTACTCGCCTCCACCTGAGATGAGGACCGAGCAGCCAGCGAAGAGCGGACCTCTTGCTACTACCGGCCAGAAAGCAGGATTAGGTATAGGCTTGGGAATTGGCATGGCCGCTGTACTCAGCTTGATGGCCTTTTACATCTTCTATACGCGCAAGTTGAGGAGGCAGCGCGAGTTCCGGGAGAGTCAACTCCATGAGCTAGCAATGGGTGCGCACCGATTCACTTTGTCGCCTAGCTTTGACGGTCAAGGTGGACAGGCGCGCTATCTCCCAGGCGGGGAGGACTCACATTACTATGCATCTGCTTCCTCTCAAGATAACTCCGTTTGGGGACGAAATAAAGCCCACGACGCGGAGCGAACAGGGCTGCTCGTTGAAATTCCCAGCCCAACACGCGGATTGCGCCGCGGTCTGAGTGGGAGAGCTAGCCATGGCGGTGCCCGTTATGATGATAAAAGAGTCAGGGGTTCTGGTCATATCCATCCAATCGACGAGGAAGAGGAGCAAGAGCATGAAGCCGCCAACGAGAACACCCGGTTGACGTCTCCACCAGAGATGAGTGAGCGGTCCACCGATCGGGGCCACTCCATTTTCGACCATGCGCCTAACTTGGATCCTTTCGTGCAACAACATCCCCTGCGTGAAGATGACGGCGCCTTCCATTCTGCACCTGGTTCTCCGGTGCGAGATGAACCCGATGGTCACCATAGCTGGCAAGCTGTCGCCGGCGCCCACCTTCCTCGACGTTCCAGCCCTACTAACCATGGTCGTGTATCTCCCTCAAAGTCCTCAGAACGTACTGGCTCGAACCTAAGTGAGCGAAGTACATACTCCAACCTCTCTTCGTACTCGAATACCGGAAGCTTCGGACGCAGTGCTTCTATGCGCTCTACAGCTGTTCTCAACGCTGTTGCCCACGTCAATCCTTTCAAAACTCCAGATGCCAGCCCCACAACGGATAACATGCACCGTGGCAGTAACGCCTGGCAAGCCTCAACTGACCCTCGCACACATTCGTTCACTAGTATACGGAGCAATGGACGGACAACTAAGGAAGATGCAGACTCGTTCACGACCGCGCGATCTTCATTCATGGTTCTGCAGGCGGAAGGCGAAGCTCTCTTGGGAGGAAACCCAGAGCAACGCACAAGACCCAATACCTCGTCAACATCAAATGGCTCGAATAGTCAATCAAATCATACGGAGAGTGGTATGAGTCGCGCGGGCACCGTCACCGCAGCGACGTCCGCCACAGAAGGCTTCACACGTAGAAGGAAGAGCTGGCTAGGCAGTGTACGTCGCGCACTCGCAAGATCAACATCCTCAGCCGATCGAACACGATCTCTGACTGCCGCAACAATGCACTTCGAATCCTACACAGACAACCCCTCCCCCGAACCCGTCGAACAACGAGCGACGATTGAAAACAGAAGATCTATGCCCGCCTCCACACTCCCCCGCCGCGCCGCCTCCGACGCTTCCTTCTGGCGCAACAAACGCGGACGACAAGACTGGCTCGAAGAAGAAATAGCACAGGACCCAAACGACCCACGCGCCAAGTGGAAGCGGCATCCTGGTGACGATTGGGGCGCCCCTGAGGACTTTGCTCTCGCAGAGCGCGAACGGCTCCGCCGCGAGTGGCGCGAACGAGGAAACCTCCTCGTCAATTTGACAGACGAGGATAGGCTCCCTACGCCTACCACGCCCATTGAACCGGGCCAGCTCGGCGTACCAGGGCACTTTGGTGAGAGGGAGCGGGATCGGCCGCGCACGCCGGCTGACGAGGACGAGTGGGACGTTGAGGCTGCGGTTGAGAGGAGGGTTGTGCAGGTTATGTTTACGGTGCCAAAGAGTAAACTTCGCGTCGTCAACGCGGATATTGAGACTTCTTCACTGTTTTCTTTGCCGAGAGAGAACTCGAAGGAGAGTATAAATGATGCGATTGCGGGGGGGAGTGTTGGTGGTGGTCCCCGGGGTTCGGGCTCGCCGAGTCGCGTGAGGGATCTAGCGGGGAGATTTGAGCAATTGAGTAGTCCGCCGAGGACGAGTCCGCGACCGTCGCCAGCGCCTTCAATCAAGTCGGTAAAACTAAGAGGGAGGAGTAGCGTGGCGAGCTTGGGGAAGAGAAATGGGAGTGCAGAGAGTAAGGGGAAGGGGAAGGCGCTCGACTAACAGGAGAGTGTCGGAAAAGAAAGCGCTTGATGAATGATGAGTTTTTGCTTTCCCGGGGGAGATGTAGTTTAGGATATGCTTGAGGACGCTCGCTCTGCATGTGTGATGAAGCGATGTTTGGATTTGCTTTAGCGTTTGGCGTCGGGATGGCGTAATGTTACGATAAAGGGGTATCGAAACGCCTTTTTGGGCCAGAGGAATGGGTATATAGACGAGAACCTTGACGTATGAACCTTTACTGGGTGAGAAGATTGAGAGTGCGAATGTGCTGTATGAGTGTGAGGCGGGCTTGATGCGAGTAGAGCGAGTGGGTGGATTGACTTTGTTGACGTATGCTTTATGCAAATGAGCCTGTGATGTTCTGCTTTTGTATTGCAGGTGAGGGTTCGTTATCAACTGAATGGAAACCCAAAAACATACTCTAAACGCCCACTGGAAGTTCAAGACACGCAGGATGCAAAAATTGACAGGCGAGCTAGGGAGAGGTGGGGTAGAGGGTCTACACACGAGTCGGAGACCCCGGTGGGTGGTTACAAAGTGTGAATTCGATGATGGGATGAAACTTCCCGCATATGAGCATCCTAGGCGAGTTGTGAGATAAAAGCGTGGTGTGATTATCCTGTGATATTGGATTGCACAGATCGTAGCCAGGTCGTCTATGTCCAAATGAGGGAAAATGGGAGCCAAAGTCAAAGCAAGGTTTAGTAAGTTCTTCAAAGTCATATCGAACAGAGCTGCGGGTAGTGGTGTCTACGGTTTCAGAGAGACAGACATTTGCTTACCTGACAAGAGCTCTATGCTGGTAGCGTATTTGGATCTAGTAATTTGCCGTGATTATGCACATACGGGTGCAAAAAGGTAATGAACCATAAACAAAAATGTGTAACTCATTTTGTAAAGCTCTGTTTCAAGTAGGAATCGTATATGCAACATCGATGCTTTCGCTAAGTATCTCAATCATCTCAACCCTGATGCTACATGCAAGTCGTCCTGGTTTTATCTTTTCGGATATGTTTCACACTGCTTGAGAATGTCCTGTACAGAGCTTAGTCTTGAACGGCACGCACGAGAGACGAAGTGCAGGCTAAACAACGTCTTGTACACGACGTACCTCACCGATTAATTCAGGTGCTTGAAGGTAATATCGCTCGTTCTGTAACAGTATGAGATATAGTCTTAGAGCAGATGGAGAAAGTGAATTGACCTTCAGTCGACAATTTTCCACTCCATACCGCGCTTGACATATCGCGAGCAGTTTGTCTCCGTCTAGGATGACCTGCGGTTCTTGAGGAGCTTCCTGTACCGGCTCAGGTCTAGGGAATCGAGCGATTTCTGTCGGCGGTGGGGTATGCAAAGATCTTGGAGGTATCGAGATATGTGAGGAAGTTGGAAACTTGAGGACAATCCGGAAGATAGATAGCTTTACATACTTCGTGGCGTGGTCAGGCGCACAATTTAGCACCTTTGTGCTGCTCCTTGCCATACGTGGGCAATGTGGCTTGCAAAGCTAGAATTTTCTATCACTATAGATGATAGATGCTACTATAATTCATATTAAAGCCTGAGGCAGTCTTGCCTTAACATTTGAATCTGGTGATTATGGAAGCTCTAAAAGACCTATAAGTTGGCTCTAGCAAGTCGACAGCACTTGTTGGCATTCTCTGATGCACGACCCGATGATCGCCCATGGCTTTCTTATCTTAACTCGGCAACAGCAAGATACAGGGCTAGAGCTACCCTTGCAGATGATGTCTGCATTGGCGGGTGCTGAATCCACGACGCACTATGAGGAATCATTGGTCTTCGAAGATTTTCATTCTACAATCATCTCTACGAAACGAGTACAGGGCAGCAGAATCTGGCTTTTGTTGGTCCAAAGCGATGGTAGGATACCCTACTATGCGTAAAAAGAAACATGCGGAACGTTACATACAGTAATTAGGTCGGTCTTGATCAATGGCGACCTGAAGTTTCGCAACTTTGTTGGGTGGACAACAGGGGTGACTAGACATTTTAGTACATCTGGCATCGATTGATAGTAACGATTAACGAGACCTATCGCTCATCCAGAGACCGAAGACATGCCATATGCAGCAATGGACTGGGCTGGAGCAATGCCGGCTGGCATTGTTATCGAGCGAAAAGTCACCTCTCCCTCTAGCAAAATCGTCGGAGTTGACGGTAGCTTCGTATAGGGCACCAGAGCCACGGCAGCATACATCAAAGATTCTGCATAACCATCATCAGAGCGAGGGTGGCTGGCACGTGGCGCCAGCGCTTCGCTGCATCTTACCCTAAGTCAGACTGTTTAGAAGCGTTACGATACCTTCAACAACACCGATGCGAACTTGTCGAAGTTCAAATCTCTTGGAATACTCGATGGACCCGATGCAGCCGCACTAGCTTTGAAGAAAAGAAACAACATGAAGTATGTCGTTATCTGAGAGTCCATATCACACACGGACAAGGTGACGTTTTCTTCAACTGACGTCGAAGTGGGAGCTGACCAACCGATCGAACCGTCATGAGAAAGCAAAGAAGCTTACAAAACAAGTTGGTCTTCCAGACCTGAACAAGACTTGAGCAAATCTTCGATTGAGCATTGGAACAGGCAACCACTCATACTACTAAACAGATAGCAATGCCTTTCAAAAGCCGATTGCAAGATTTCGAACGCATGGTCCTGGTGTCCGGGAAGCACGCATTAAGACCCCGCATCATCAACTTGAAATACAATAGCAAATTCTGGGCCGACTCTTTTGGACAGGTCAATGCAATCATTGTTTGGTCAAGGTTTTGGCAATCTGTACAAATTAGTAGAAACAGTAGGAGATAAACTCTGCGAAGGCGGGATGATAGTTTCACCAGGTCATGGATGCCATACCATGCTATGTCGCTTCTTAACCGGTACAAGGAGTACAAGTGGAAAGAGGGCGATGTTAATAAGGAGACGGCTGAAGTTGCTCATGGCCTTTGATGGGATCTCATCACCATATAACCGTATCTCGTGGACCGAGATGCAAGCAAGCATTTTTGAGTCGTGAATAAATCCTCTGTCCCAAGGGCAAGAATGTCAATGGTTCCACTTGTAGGTAGCGACCTCGTCATGATTGCATCTGACCACGCTCACGAGAGTGCGATAGGGCGTACACGCGTATTCGCACATGGAAACGGCGCAGTGAGATTTAGTGAGATTAGCTACTTGGACCAGAGCATGTTGGATGCCCAGCATATTTCGGAGATGTCGAATCCTGTGAACAGGATTCAAGACAGCGGGCTAGGATCGAATCTTGCAGCGTCCCCGGATCCTGGTAGCTCTGCTCGCGTCGCAACATCTAGTGCGATTGAGAGGGCGACGACTCGATCGCAACTACTATGTAATAAGAAATTGCTGGAGCAAGTGCAGTATATCTAGTGGACGTCGGCTCTGTCGCAACAGCGAATACGCAGCAAGCACCTCCTTTGCGTCAAATGACAGCTCAAGAACCATCCCAGACCAGCGCACTTCGGGTCGAGGGAAGCTCTTCTACCATTGCCAGCGTTTAGCAGGCCAATTCGTCGCCCGACCCGAAGTTGGGAAACCATTCTGTTAAGCCGGGCCGTGCCTTTCCAAAGGCACCCAGACCATCAAAAGAAAGATTAAAAAAGAATGCGCGGAAAGTTATTATCGCGCAGCTCAAAGTGAACAAATCATTGGCGCTACTATGCGCTGTGTGCCTTCGTTTGGTCGGTTTGGTACTACGTTGGAGACAGGGATGTGTATGTCGCCCTGCGCCGTCATAAGAGAGACTGAAGAGCGAGTTCTTTGTCGTTTCATCAATACTATGATGAGCATTTTGAATTTTTCGTAAACTTTGGGTATTCGAAGTGGTAATTTGATGATGTGCAATTAGCGATTAGTGATATCACCTCACCTCTTGGCGTCTGACCTCATCCAAACAATTTGCGGCGAACGCTCGGAGGTTTACCAATCCACCATCTTTTATCCCTCCAACACCAGCTTCTGCAACGTTAACCATGTTCTCAAGACGAGCTTTTGCACCGGTAAATCATTCACCATCACCCAATCAACACAACTGATCAATTGCGAACAGGCCTTCCGCGCCGCAACAAGGGCGACCCGCCTCCCCTCCGCCACAGCTCCCCGCTTCCTCACGCCTATGCAGATGCGCATGCTCTCCGATGATATGCGCCAGGCAATCGACAAGGCTGTTGCGTCAGCACCCGTAGTTCTGTTCATGAAGGGCACACCAGAAACTCCGCAATGCGGCTTCTCGCGAGCAAGCATACAGATTCTGGGCATGCAGGGGGTGGACCCGGAGAAGTTTACGGCATTCAACGTGCTCGAGGATAATGAACTGAGGTCAGGTACGTTGGCAGCGATGAGCAAATCCTGCACTCCCCGCAAGTTGAAGGCGAAGCAGTGGGCTAGGGTTTGGGAGAGGTCGCTAAAGGAAAGCTACAGGCATCAAAGAATACTCAGAGTGGCCGACAATACCCCAACTTTACGTCGACAAGGAGTTTGTCGGAGGATGCGATATCCTTATGACCATGCATCAGGATGGCTCGTTGGCCAAGATGCTAGAAGAGAAGGGTGTTCTGGTACCGCCGGAGAACGACGCTGAGACGCCGAAATAGGGGTCATAACGAAATAAATAGAAGAGTGGGAGACACGTCTGCATTCATTTCTTCGGCGTGCAACATGCGACGGACGACCGAGGATGATCAGCGGCAGACTCGATGTAAGATTGATGTATCTATAAGCTGTATAGGAAGTGTTGCCGAAGACTAAAATTGGATCGTGGGTATAGATTGATACAACCAGCTCCATACCCATTCGACGCGTATAATTCGACTGTTCGGAGCACCTACATTTGTTACGCTTGTTCTTAGATTGGAATAACATCCAGTCATCTACGGCTCTCCTTAATAAATGTCATGCTTCCTTATTCGTTGGTGGTCGTTGCACAGTTCCGGAGGCCGATGTCTCGTGATAGCGTGTTATCTAGGCCGCACCTTCCTCTTTCTCGATTACAGGTCGTCCCTGAATTTCTCACCTTCATACTTCACCTCACAACTTCAACAATCCAACTGACACTGCACCTTCTCCGATACCTGCGTTCTACGCTCTATCTTAGATGGCGACGACACGTGAATACACAGCTCTGCGCTCAGGTCGAACGGCAAACGCGGTAAAAGTGAAAGACACCATGCCTCCATCCTCGAAGCAAACAGTATCAGCAGCGAGCATCTTCAAACAGCACCCAAAAGTCGTGATAAAGTCGAAGGCTACTCCGATTCTCCACGCGTCCAAAGTGCAGAAGCCGGTCCGCGCAAAACCGGGATCAAGCAGCAGCCCAAGAAAGGCGGGAAAGAATGGCTGGAGGAGGCAGGATGAGCTGCACCCTCTTGCAGCAGCTTTTAACGGTAAGGCTGCCTCCGTCTCCCGTTCTATTCGTGATGCTATAATTTGCATTTTCACAGGGCTCTGCGGGACAACACTTTGCACGGAGATCAATGGCTTTCTGTTGTACCATCTCACAGCTGACCTGCTATAGACACAACGCGCGCATATCGCCAGGCCCTACGTGATAACACCACGAAGAAGCTTGACGACACGTTCTCTCACCTTCTCAATCAATTGCACGATTTCAACATCACAACCTCATCGTCCCCTCCCCGGGCCTCCGACCCGAACGCCTCACCCCAGAGAATCACGATAGCGGACAAGGCCGATCGTACTGCTCAGAAGCTCTTCATGCCGATCGGCTTATATGAGGTGATGGTGGCCAGGAACGACTTGAATGGGACAGAGTATAGAACGAAGCAGACAGTGGAGGACGGGCTCGCGGACTTTCGGGTCAGACACAAAAACAGGATGGGCGAGATTCGCGATTTGGAAAAGAAATGGGAAACTGTGGTTGGTGAGGTTTGGAAGGTCGGCATCAGCTGCCTCGGCGAAGACGCTATGTCTGCCTTGCTGCTCACGCAGTCAACATCTCCATCACCGCCACCTGCCCAAGTGGAGAGACACAGCCTGATGCTTGCCGATATCGATTCAAAGCCTGTGCGGAAAAAGGTCAAATTCGAAGAGCCAGCCGCCAAGCTGCCGAGGTTCCTCTCCGCTGCTTCTAGGTATCTGGTCATACCTGTCTCGGAACAGGTCTCGAAAACGGATGTCAAAACGCTCAAGGAGAAGGTCAATGAATTTGGCACTGAGGATATTGACGCACTCGCGAAGGTCAAGAAGGATGGAGATAAATGGTGGGAGAAGAAGCAGGCGCAGATGATAGTTGCTCTGCAGAAGGAGGACTGATGCTCATCTTGATGCTTTTTCCGAATGATGACAGCTACGTCGAGATGAGACAGATCAAGAACCCTCGAAGCCGAAGACGAATCATCTATAAAGAACGGTATATGGGATGATCTTCGTAACGTAGGGCGAGCATAGCATGTATCTTTAATTTTCAAAAGACTGAATGGCAATGTACAGCAGATAGTTTTACTTCGGTATATCGTATGGGTCACATTCAATGTGAGCAGTCAATGATACTTCAAATACAAGGATCAATATGACCATGCTTGTATGAGGCTCTAATATGCATCTACGAGCGAAATCGGTGTCACCATCCTGGGAACACTTGTGCCCGCGCCCGCCCGCGATATGGTCCACACGTGATAGCGCGTGCTCCAGGGCTACCCCATGGTGACGTGCCATTGGCTGTATCAACCCCGCCACAAACACGCACTCCAAAGCTCCCGTTAGCTCTCACGCTCACTCTCACTACTGCAACAACCAACAATCGTGCAAATGCAATGTACGAACCGATTCTGCGATAACGCGTCCATCGTTTTTGGTTTTGTTTTTCCAAACTCAATTCTGACACTTATCGCGCCTTTACGGCAGCACAATGGCACCACCGTCTGCCGCCCTCTACACACCGACCTTCTTCCTCGCTCTTCTCACCACCCTCCTCCTCTGTGCCTCACTGCGTCTCCTTGCAATACTCCCAGATACTCGTTTCAGCTCTCCACCCCCGCGCCGGAAATCCGGCTCTTCTACGAGAATCTTGATCGTTCTCGGCTCCGGCGGCCACACCCAAGAGATGCTGTATCTACTCAAAGACCTGGATCCACGGAAGTACACGCACAGAACATGGGTAGTCAGCAGTGGTGATGCGTTTAGTGTCGGCAGGGCGGTGGCCTTTGAGAAGGCGCTTGAAGAGAAGGCGGAAGGCGAGGGGGAGCAGGTTAGGGGATGGAACATTGGGTCTGCACACTACGACATAGCAATCGTACCGCGCGCACGCAAGATACATCAATCCCTCATTACGACCCCTTTCTCCTCGCTGTACTGCTTGTGGGCGTGCTTTAGACCGCTCCTAATCCCCACCACTTCTTCCTCCACCTCGTCCATCACCGACGCAGATCTTCCGGACCTCATCATCACCAATGGCCCCGCCACCGCATGTATACTCATCCTGGCCTCGCTCATTTTGAAATTCTTCAACGTACAAGGGGCGAGTAGCAGAGGCAAATGTAAAACGATTTATGCAGAGAGCTTTGCACGGGTGAAAACGCTAAGCCTGAGTGGGAAACTGTTAGTGCGGGTTGTGGACCGGTTTTTGGTGCAGTGGGACGGGCTGGATGGGGTGGGGGGACGGGCGGAGTTTGTGGGTATATTGGTGTGAAGTTGTGGAGGGATGGAGGGATGGAGGGAAACAAGGTGCTGGACCATGTTTAGAAGCTATAGTGCAGGCGTTGAAGAAGTACGTGCAGAGATTTACAAAAATCATACCGGGTCGTGCTATGCGATCAATCGATGTCTTCTATCTTCGCTTTACATACTTTACTCTACCTTGCCTATCATACAAGCTGAATATTTACAATATGCTACATTTCAACGTACATGCATCAATGTCTAATCCAGCTCCGCCACGGCTTCACCCTTCGCCGGACTCCTCGCCGCCCTCTTAGCCTCCATATGCCTTCCCAACGCAATCATTAACGCCTCCCTATCCACCTTGCTCTTCTCCTTCGCCTCCAGCTTATTCTTCCGCTCAACCTCCCACCTCAGCTGCAACGGCGTCTTCATGCTCTCAGGCACGCCCTTCCGCCTGAGCTTCTCCACCTTCGCCGCCTTGCGCTCTGCTCGCTCCTCCGGCGTGACCTCCTTCGCGTCTGCGTACCAGTCTTGCTTATCGTTGCGCTCAGCTGTATCGACTTCCTTGGCGTGCTCCTGGATTTCGGAGGTGAGCTCGGACGGGAATGGCGGGTAGACGAGCGTCGGGTAGAAGGAGGAGGTGTGGGGCGAGGGCTCGGCTTTGTTGCGGCCGGTGTCGTCGTCGTAGTCTGGGGGGAGATTTGCGGGCGAGCTGCGTGGGAGCTCTGGGACCTGGTTGACTTGGTCGAGCTTGGATTGCAGCTTTTCGGCTTCTATTTGATCTTCGGTCTGAGAGGTCGTTGCGGTTTGGTCTGATTCTTTGCGCTTGGCGAGCGTGGATCTGAGGGTCTTGATGGGAGATTTGAGCTTTCCGATGAGAGATGTGTTGTCTTCTTTGCTGCTGGTTGACTGGGCGACTTCTTCTGTTTCTGGGAGGACAGTCTCCCAAGGCCATTGAATGCGTTGGCGGGTGCCGGCGATGTAGCGGTTGAAGATGGCAAGCCCGGTTTCAGGGTCGAAGCGGTGCTCTTCTGGAAATTCTTGAGTGCCGTAATCGATGTCCGTGAATGGGTCTCTACCCGTGGTGTGGCGCTCCATGACGATCTTATCGACGACAACATCGTTCCAGGTATGTACCTCGTTGCCGTCTGCATCCTGACTTATCATCCGGTAGGGAATTACAAGGCGAACATCCTCTAACGGCAGCGGGACTTCAATTTCGCGTTTCGATTCGGGGATCTCGCCTTCGGGGGTGAAGAATATCCGACCATCGGTGTAGTGCTGTGCATTCATGTCAGATCAGATGGAACATTTCGGGAAAACAAAGCCGCAATACCTTGTTGATGTCTTTGATCAGAATCTCGTGCGACTCGGCAAGAACATCCTGAACAACACCAATTTTGCCTTGCTCTCTGCCCTTCAAGACCATTACACGGTCATCGACAGCGACGGGGAAATATTTTTTGTCGTCCACCACAAGCGGATATTCAGGCTCCACACCCTTAGCTTCTCTGGCCTCGTTCTTGCGCCTCCACGTGTCGACGGCGATAGGTGGTCTCCTCAGCTGCTCCATGCTCAAGACACCATATTTGTCTGCTCCGGGACCAACGGCGCGATTCGGTCGCAGCGGGCCCAGCTCGTAGTCTTCCCTAAGATTCCTCTTCGCTTCTTTGATGGGCTTAACGACGTTATCTTGTCTCCATTTCCTGACTTCATTGAAGACCCGTCTGTCGTCGAAGCGCTCCTTTACGATTTTGTGGCGCTGTTCGCGGGCGCGTTCGTGCCATCGGATGGCGCCTTTGACCTTCCTTACTTCTCTGATCTTTGCCAATTGCCTTGCGGTCTTCGTCGACCTAGTGGCGGCCGTCATTTGGGCCATTATCGATGTACCGGTTTCGGGGTGGTGCTTTCAGAGCGGCGCTATCGAGACATTGGCGACGACAAAGGACGCGCTGTAGAAGGAATGGAGGGACGAAAGGATATGAGACGTCCGAATACCTCTCAATTACCCTTCCTTGCCTACGTATTGGAGTCGAATCGATCGTCGTGTGAGAGCATGAGCTCCAGCGGAACAACCATTTTTCGCGTAGTTCCCGGCGGTGAAACGCGGCAGAACTTCCCAGGCGTGACGGTGCACCGTCCCGAGCGCGCATTCCGCCGCAACGATTTCAGTCCCTTGCTTCTTACCATGGTGAAGCTATTGCGCCGCAGGCTACGATGCCATGGCTGCGGCGAAACTTCATCAAATGAGCGATCAGGCATCGCGAGAGCCTGGGTCTGCTCGTACTGTGAAGCAGTCAACCACGTGGACAAGGTACAAACGCCCGCGTTAAGTACAATGTAAACATAAAAGATCCACAATCTAACGTGCCCTGCAGCGTGGACAGATTACCGACCCACCCGTCGAGTTGACTGCTCAAATCCAACCGTTATACAGCCACCCCGTGCGCACGCCGACCCCCGACATCATGCCCGCACCCGTAGAGTCGCCCTTTTGCGAGCGCTGCGAGAAGAACCAGTTGATAGTGAACCGATCCCTAGCTGAATACCTGCCCGAGGAGGAAGATCCGCATTACTCAAAATACGAGAAGGCACTCCCGCAATATCAAGCTCAGCTTGAGGAGCGATACCCACCCGTCTGCGAGAATTGTATCGAGAGGGTCCAGGTACGCATTCGGCAAGCTGGCTACGCGACCAAGGCAGAAGAGCTCCGGCGCAAACTGGATCAATCCAAAAGGTATCAGAAAGAGACGCCAACTGTACGGCAGACCTGGACGCTTGCGATCATATGGCTGGGGAAGTGGGTATACATTACCAGCGTCATCGCCGCCGTCGTCTGGCACGGTTTCGGCGCGATCGCGTACTTTGACTTCTCGGAGCGGAACTTTGACTGGGCACTTTGCCTTTCGGAAGCGGCATATATGAGGGAGGCTCACCAGAGCTGCGCTGTATCATCGCCGATTCGGCGAATGGTGTTTTACGCTCTTGTTGCGGACCTACTCACCATCTGGTGGAACCCCAAGCTGGGACAAAAGATGAAGCATGCCAACGGGCGTATGCGCGGACTCTTCACTACGTGGATGATCCGTTTGATTGTTCTTACACTGGACTCAGTCACCTATCTACTTCTCAAGGAGGCCTCCGTCGAACAGGGCGGCTTCATTTTAAACGAGCGCGTCGACTTCTTCCATTACACACATCTCATACTGTTAGCGGTCAATATCCTTGCCACTGCCATCGGCTGGAAAACAGTCAGTATCAAATACGTCTCCACAAAAGAACTCCTCCGCCCGCTCGACGCGCACCTCCCCACCGCACCTCGCAGCAATCAGACCACACCCCGTAAACAACACACGACCCCCCTCCCCAACAACACCAGCTTTGACTCCATGGCCGCCGGCTTCGCCTCCAGCTTCCCATCCGAGCTCAACGCATACCCGTCTTCGCCCACCCTAACCGCCACCTCTTACGCAGCGACCGAAGACAGCGACTTCACCCCTTGGTCCAATCGCAAAGCATCTATTGCTTCCTTAAACAGCCAAGCCGACGCCATGGATTGGACACCCACACATTCGCGCTTCTCCTCCCACGCTCCGTCCCTCATTCCCTTCAATCCCCCGCCAGAACAGCCATCCCCAACCAAGACCCAACCCGTCAACATCCTCAAGCACGGCGCAGACGCGAACCCCTTCAGCCGTCGGATCCCCGGCGCGCCCGGCTCATGGCATAAACCCGCCTTACCACCGCATCCTGAAGAACGCAAGCGGAATTTCTTCGAGGAGGATAGGGAGAAGAACAGGGAGGCGGGTATGGGATTGAGGGACAGGGGCGTGCCGAGGAGGGTAGAGAGGGAGGCGGAATTGTTTAAGGCGCCGCAGTTCAAGTATGATGCTCAGGGGTATACGAGGGCGAGGGAGACGGGGTTGGAAGAGGGTTTTAATGATTTGTTTTCGAAGTGAGATGGTGGGAAGGTGAGGAGACGTGGAGTGGAAGAGGGAAAGAAGGAATGGGTTTGGCATTGGGCGGCGTTTTGTTTGAGATACCCTCTCTTGTACTGATTGATTGTCTAGCCAAATGGCGGATCACCGTGCGTTACAGCTTCGTTTGACACGATTCGAAGCGCTTTGGCGTGATTGGATATTTTTTATTAGAATCGTGCAATGCTGCTTGTAGTATGCGAAAATCAGTAACCTAGTATACTATCAGGTTATATCTGGAGATTTGAAGAAAAGGCTAGTGGTGGTGTGAGAGTAGACCAAGCATCGTAGGATAATTCCGGGCAAGTAGCTTGTATGTGTCTAAAATATGTGTGACGTCGCGGAGTGCGTAGTGGAGACCAGGTCGTTTGTGTCGGCGGTGCGCCCTACGACAACAATCAATGACCTCTCAGTGCCAATGTCAATAACGAACGGGTGAAGCGAGGGAGTGGTGATGGGCGCTTGATAAGATAGGATTTTCTACCTAACCTCAAGCCAAATCATGATCTTTTCACATGCCGATATAGTGCGGGAAGAAGCCCAGAAGATCCCCAAATGCTAAGACTCCGTTGTCCTTCCTTGATGTCCGCAGATCCGCAATTCATCGCTGGTCGTTTCCCGTCCCCGATATCCCATTTCCTTGCTGCTGGCGAGCCGCTTATGACCTAGGCTTCTCCTTCTTCTCCTTCCACAGAGCCGACAGACCAACACCGGACACCTTGACAACCTTGAAACGCACACCGGGAATATCACCCTTGGCCTTGCCCTTGCGACCGAAACCGGCGAGCAGGACTTCGTCGTTCTCGTCCACGAAGTTGAGGCAACCGTCGTTGGGGACTGTTGTGCGTTAGCCGAGCTCACGCCACACAACTCTTGGCACCATGTTCATCCTCTGAACGTGACTGCGGTGGGCACGTACCGAAAGCTGTGACCTTCTTTCCGTTCTTGATCAACTGTACCCTGACGCACTTTCGGATAGCGGAGTTGGGCTGCTTGGCCTCGACACCGACCTTCTCGAGGACGATACCCTTGGCGTGAGAGGAACCACCGAAGGGAGATGACTTGTAGGCGGTGCCGAGGAGACGCTTCTTGTAGTGGAGATCGGCCCATTTGCCCTCACGGCGGGTGTTCTGAAGCTTGCGCGCAGCATTGAGACCTCTCGGCTGTCCTGTACATAATTGTAAGCTTTGGCGTCGATATAGCGGGCGCAGTATGCGAGCCGGCAGGGTCTCGTGCAGGAGAGCGTGTAAAAAGCTGCGGATGCGTACCTTTACCCATGATGGCGGTATTGTCGATGCAATCGCTGGGTGGGGTGGATGGTTAGTATGGCGGACTGAAGAAGTTGAAGGTCGCGGGACGCTCTCGCGAAATCGTTTGTGTGGGCTTGGCAAGAACGGAAAGCGCTAACGCTGGAAGGCACTAGTGCGAAACGTCCCTGCCCCACTGCGAGGCTCCATCATCACGCGTCCCTTGTAGGTGCGAACAACATGTTGCGCGACGCTGGTATGTTGCACTGAGTGTACTCGTGCATGCATTGTTACGTGCTATCTCCATACGTTTTTGAATTGGTACTCCACAATGTCTACCAACAAGATCACCAAAGTCCCCTCCCGGCTCCCAGCGCCTGCTCTATTCGTCGGTCCGCCTTCCCACAATGCCTCTGCTACATCTCTCCTCCCAGGCACAGGGGCTGATAAAACCTCACGTGTTCCTCTGACCCGACAACGTTCTCTGCTGTCACCAGACGCCAAGCGACCACCCCCGCCAACTACGTCCGCATCCACCTACGACGGCGACCCTCTCAAACTCACCTCCTCGAACCCCAATGCACCCTTTGTCCGCCATCAGAAATTGCAGAATGAAGCTGCAGACGCCGAAGCGTCATCGCGCGCGGAAGCCATATGGGCAGAGATGCAGAACACACTGGAGGAGGTGGAATTGAGCGCCATCAAGGGACCAGGCATGACCGTGTTCGGCAGCGAGCACAGCCGTGCTTTAGAAGACCTTCGCAGAGCACAGATTGACCTTGCGAAGGCATGGGCACGCTCAGAAGCTGAAGAGCTAGACCAGTCTTCGGAGGAACGTAAATCTGCTAGCGACGCTACAAACCACGTAACTGATCTGCTTAATATTCCCGAACGCTCCATGGAGAAACCGAGTCAGGGCTCTCCGAAGGCGGGTAGCAACCTTGGCGGCACGTTCGAGAAGAGCAAGCTAGAAGAAGAAACAGAAAAGGACATTGAGCTTAGCCGGAAGAGGAGAGAGGCAAACGACCGGTACTTCGAGAAAGTGAACAGAGGAGTGTTGGAGGTCGTCAACAGACTGGAGGAAGTCGCAAAAGCGATGAAGACGGTTGAGAGCGAGAGCAAAGAGATCTGGAGCGACAGTCAGAGTGCAGAGACAGCGAGTGAGACAGCACCAAGCGTATGATGATGATGATGGATGCCATCGAGAAGCACATGTGAGTGCAAGAAAAGAACGCCGGGTCTGATCAAATTGGATGGTATTGTTCGCTCTCTGTCTGCTCTTGCGATTTTTGCAAATGCTGAACATGCTCAACATCGAGTTGTTTTCACAGCAAGTACCTATAATCCGGATTCAGATCGCCCATCTCCGTCTTCTCATACTCAGTCAATCCCACATCGCTGACGCTCTTATCCCGGCTCCGATTCGCCCATTGGCACATGAAAAAGTACACCATGCAGCTGAGCGCGCTCAGTGACACAAACGCAATACAGATGGAGTATCCCGGAATATACTTTGGCGCATCCTTGTCCAAGAATGCATACACGGCGATAATACCACCTGCCAAACCCGAAGGTACAAAGTCAGTGTATGTCTCCAAGAAGTGGGGATAGTACCTTGGCTCGTGTCTCAGCTAAGTGAACAAAAGACTCTTTACTTGTGTATTAGATACACAGACAAGAGGGGTTTTCCCCGGCTTTGCTGGGAGACACATCCACTTTGTACCTGAGAGACTTGCCTATGTTTCCGAAACCGACTTGCCAAGCCGATCCTATAGCCCTTCGATGATGCCCACCAAGGTTCATATTGAACCAACATACGATGACAGGCATAGCTGTGTAACAACCCATGGCGACAAGGAACAGTGCTGCATACTGCAATTCGCGGTTGTTGTGTACGGATATGAGGATCGCGAACCCCGCGATAGCGACGCAAATGGGGAAGATGCAGAAGAGAAATCGGTGCTTCAACCGGTCCGAGAACCACGCAACGGTCATTGCGAACCCGAAAGCTGCTGCCCACGGTGGAACAGAATGCAGCTGCGTCTGGATCTTGCTGTATCCGTAGCTTTGGATGATGGCAGGCGAGAAATACGCGTATCCGTATGCCGGGACGATAAGACCGAAGTACATGAATCCACCAACAATGATCTTCGGGTCCTTGAAAACGCGTCCGACGTCTGCGAGCTTGATGGGTCGTTCTCGCGCACTCCTGCCTTGGTCGATGCGCAGCCGGGCCTGGACAAAGTCGCGCTCCTCATCTGTCAGCCATTTGACTTCCTCGGGAAAGTTGGGCAGCAGAAAGAAGAAGAAAAACGAGACCACGCAGGTAAGCGTTCCCTCCAAAATAAAGATCCAACGCCAGCCGGCGTATCCACGCATACCGTCCATCTTACCGATAGCGCTAGCGAGCAGACCACCAAATGCACCAGCCAAGGTAGTGCTGCTGAAGAAGAAGCTGTACCGCTTTTGCGCCTCTTTTCTTCGATACCACATGCCAATCAGATAGAAGGCGCCCGGGAACATGCCCGTCTCAAACACACCAAGAAAGAATCGTGTCGCCAGCAATCCCGAATAGTCTTGCACGAGACCCTGGAGCATGGTAACAAGCCCGAATCCAAACATGCATATCGAAAGCCACACCCTGGGCTTCAGCTTCTTCAGTACGATGTTCGAGGGAATCTCGAATAGGATATACGGCACAAAGAATATGACGAGGGCGTTGTTGTACTTCGTTTTGACGAGGCCGAGTTCCGTAGAGAGACCAAAGACATTGGCATTGGCGATGTTGACGCGGTCCAAGAAGGCCAGTAGGTACATGATGCAGAGGAAGGGTATGACATGCAGATCGATTTTGGTGATCAACTTGCGCTCCGTCGTGTGCGGCGGGCACACGACCAGGTCTGGGGCGTCATCGTCGTAGTTGGCATCGTATGGCGGGACCCCCCGCGTTGTCGGACAGATTGGGGTGTTCTTCTACGCACAATGAGCATACCGTACTAGGTGAAAGCGCGTCAAGCCATTGGCTCATTGTTGCTTACTCTCTTTGTGCGAAAACATGGTTGCGGTTCCAATGTGTGGAGCAGCACGGTGTGGAGCTCCCTCGCTTTATCACAATGCCGCACCCTGAAGATTAGCACCTCACCCCTAGAGTCAGCCTTCGTTCCTCGCAGCGCGCCAGATGGTGCGTAATATAAGAAGCTCCCTTGTCCTCGGAGCTCGGATGCAGACAACAGCGCAGCTCTTAAGGCCGACGTCGGTCGCTTGTTCTGAGCGGCCCTGTCGGCACGCCCCGCATCTGCTTGCCGCGCTGGGCAGAGGCAGCCGCTTCTTTGTGGGCTTCAGGAAGAAGCTTGTGCAGAAGAGGAAGCTATCAATCCTTCCCCAGACGGGTGGGCCAATCACACGAGTGGCGGTCCCCAGCTACGATGAACGAAGCCAGCGTTGCCGAGTCGTGCGGCAACAAACACGAGCGTGAGCAGCGTCACGCTGTCAGTTTCTGACGCTGCCGATTGGCGTCCCTGCAGAGAAATTGTCTGGAGGCGTCCGCGGTGAACGAACGATGGTCACGTAGGATGGGGCCAGCCCCTGCTGCACTGCTGACCAGCATAGAAGACTGTGTGGCATCGTGGTCCCGCAACGTCCATGGCCAGCAAATTTTCCCTTTGTCCTTTGCGGTTGCCGCACACATGGTGGACACAAGCTAACAATGCTCGCTGCAAACTTGATCGTCATCCGGCCGTCGGACCGACAGCCAACAGGGATTTCTCTCGTCGGATGTTTGACGGGGAGATCGACGCCGATGTGGCGTGGGCTCAGGCAGCTAGCGCGAGGCCTGTGCGGCATGGAATCATGGTGATGCGAAAGTCGCATCGCGCTCCTTGAGCCTCAACAGCCCTGCGTGATGCACTCGGCGACTCGCCATCCGTGGTTACCACCCATACACCCACAGGCTGATGTCCACGCGCGCCCTTGGGCCGGCAAATGCGGCGGATATATTTCTCGCTTAGTCTAGGTCTGGTCTGTTCCGGAGCCACCAGACCTGGAGCGGGAGCCAAGTGTCAGAGCTGCAACTTCCAAAACCGACGTCGACCGTCCTAGCCTTCCACTCTCCTTCCGCTCGCCTCGCTGTCTCTCCCCTTCGCCTCGCTGTCTCTCCCCTTCGCCATCCGCGCTGTGAACGCTCCCGCGAATCTATGCTGCTGCCACCGACGTCGCCCCAAGTGCTGCATCGCTCGTCTCTCGCAACCCCTCAGCGGCTGGTCTGCTGACCAGAAATGGTTAATTCCAAGGATTTCGCCTTCAGAGTCAACAAGCAAACGCCAGCAAACGGTTCGTTACCGCCGGCCTATGGCACCGTCATCGACTGTCGCCCGGCGCACGGAAGGCGGGGGAGAAGTGAGAAGGAGGTCAAGTCCCGCCCAGTGAGGCTAACCAGAGTCCCGGGCCCGCATGGCGTGGAATGCAAAAAGCGCAAACGAGATGGCAAGGATTTCAAGAACGACGATGGAACCGCCACAGCCAGTAAGGAGTCCAGTGTCGACACCATGTCCACCGCATCCGTATCCACAGCATCAACCGAGCGGCCGCTTGTTGTACGAAAGTCGCAGCCTGCGCCTACCAGGTTTCGCAGAGGTACCGTTCTAAAGAAGCAAGTCGATCTGGACAGCTGGTTTACCATTCTGAGGTTTTCGGATCCGGCGCAGTTGCTGGAGATGCGCACCAGGATTGCGTCATGTTACCGTTTCTTAAGAGATAATCCTATGCTATGGAAGCACAGCAGAGATCATTCCTACGACGACAGTCTTCCGGACCCACCTTCCGTACTTTCAGAATTCCAATACGCCCATCTGCGGCACGGCCATGGGTGCATGAGCTGCCACAAGCCTTCGACGCGCAAAACATACTGGGCGTTCCTTCGTCGATGGTGCAAGACCTGCCTCCACTCCAAGATTGTTAAAGAGCACGAAGTTATAGCCATGCTGAAGGAGGCGAGCGAAGAGCATGTGCTAGAGCTTCTGAAGTGCTTACCTGTGGCCATCTTCGACTCGTGGGAAAATTACGTGGGCGTTGGACCGGGAAACACGCATCCGCAAAAGAACGTCTACATACTTCAAGACGTGGAAAATCTTCTCGCTGAGCATGGCAGAGAACGGGACGAGAACCCTGCAACGTGGCACGCCGAGTGTAGAGTGTGGATGAGCGAGAAGGAGAAGGTCATTCAGGAGCGTCACGACTTTGCGCGTAAGATGGAATTTTGGGAAGACCACGCGAGGCAGGTCAAGTCGTCCGACTTTCAGGAAAAGAAGATGGCACGGAAGAAGTACTTCAAGGAGAGGGCTGCCGAGCTGACGCCTCCGATTACCGAAAAAGAACTGCAACTGTGCCCATCCTATCGGCGAGCCGTCGTTATCCCCAAGATGCCGAACATGCTCTCTTGGTCTCAGCTCAAACCCAAGGTAGAAAAGGAGGCGGCAGATGTCAGGAAGCGATGCTCGACCCCAGATCCGCGCCGTTTGCCTGACCCGATGTCACTGGCTCGTGAGCGGGTACAGCACGGCCTGCCCTTTTTCTCACATCCTAGCAGCAGGACTACGACACCGAGTACGGATCCTTTCTTCTGACGACCATTCAGTGGGGCATGACGAATCACCGGGAGATAGACACTTGACGATCTCATGACCATGACAGATATGCATACCCCTTCCGTTGCATGGTATGGAGTTTATATGGGAAGAGGGATATAGTTGAGTTCACTAGGCATTGCTCATATTGTTTTTGTTGATTCGCATTAATGGTATACGTACGGAGGCCTTGTCGTTATCTCGGGACATGGTCACTGTTTGGCGCAACGGCATAGACGTGTAACCTTTGTTGGTTCATGAGCATGATTCTGTTTTTTCACTGTTGATGATACTTTACAAGCTACTTTATAATGCAGGAGACGCGACTGGTAGCCTAAATATAACTTTGATACCCATCTTGATAATGCGCTCGTCGTGATACGGCATGGGCGGGAGGTGGAGTGATCGGCCCACTTGCCGCTATTGTGGGCCGAGGGCTGGCTGACGCTGCTTAGCAAGGGATGCCGCGAGCAAACGCATCGGATTACACCATCAGGCAGCATCTAGACGCTGTGACTTTGGACTCCACAGACATGGCCTTGCGAATACCCTCGGCGTCTGTATCGCAGTAAGTAGGAAGTGTTTCGGAGAGCTGAATCAATGCCTCCATAGATGCGGCCAATGTAGCGGGCCGTAGCCAATCACAATGTGCGGAAGTGCGATGACACAGGCGCATGCGCGTGAGGGGAACATGAGGCTCTGCGAGAGACGCTTCCAATAAAGACGTGTCTCGCCCGCGGCGACGTCCCAAGTGTTTCCGAAGACCTCGCCGTGCCCTCGCCGTGCCCTTCCACGTTGGCTAAACACATGGCGAAACCATCGGCGGAATGAGGCAGGCCCTGATTATCAGACCGGCTTAGAGAGCAGCATGATTCTAGAAAGAAGGGTCAAGCGGAGAATAGCGATTGGCCGCGGCACGCGTGTCGACCCACTTGGATAACGTGCCGGGTCGGTTTTTGGTCAAGAGGATGGAATTTCCAGCGTCTTTGCCTCTCCGTTTGGCGAGATAAGTACCGTTCGCATCCGCTCCGACCGTCTTGCCTTTTGTCTCTCGCACACTCTCGCCGCCAATTGAGCCCCGGAAGCCACGACAACCTGACCATCGTCACTGTCCTCTCTTATCGTGAGACACTGCGCGACTGACACAGATACCGGGACCCGAGCCGAGACACTCCTTTCGATATTGCTTGTAGCCCAACACAATGGCATCCGCTTCGCGAAGCTTCACCCGCGCTCTGCGCACCGCCGCGCCCACCTTCCGCACCACCTCGACGCGCTCTGCCCGCTTCGTTGCGCCTCAGCAAGCTTTCCGTCAGCAGCACCAGCGCCGCGGCTATGCTTCCGAGGAATCGGCAAAGGACAAATACGAGGGCAATCCCAATGGCATGCTCTACGGTGCCGGTGCTCTCGCCGCCGCCGCCGCAGGTTATGGCATCTACCTCATGAACCCTGAGCTATTCGGCCAGTCGAAGAAGACTCCTGCTATCATTTCCCCGAAATTCGAGGACTACCAGAATGTGTACAACGCGATTGCAAAGAGGCTGGAGGAGCACGACGACTACGATGATGGCAGCTATGGCCCGGTTGTCCTCCGTCTGGCATGGCACGCCTCTGGAACGTGAGTATCGATCCTTCCCCACGGCGTAGCAAACCCATCATTGACCACTTCGCAGCTACGACAAAGAAACTGGCACCGGCGGCTCCAACGGCGCGACCATGCGCTTCGCCCCTGAAGGCGACCACGGCGCCAACGCCGGCCTCAAGGCTGCTCGCGACTTTTTGCAGCCTGTAAAGGAGCAGTTCCCCTGGATCACCTACTCCGACCTGTGGATCCTCGCCGGCGTCGCCGCAATCCAAGAAATGCAGGGGCCTAAGATTCCCTACCGGCCCGGTCGCGCTGACCGCGATGTTTCCTTCTGCACGCCCGACGGCCGTCTTCCCGATGCTTCCCAGGGTGCTTCCCACATCCGCGCCATCTTCGGACGCATGGGTTTTGGGGATAAGGAGATGGTTGCCCTGTCTGGCGCACACGCTCTTGGCCGCTGCCACACCGACCGATCTGGTTTCGATGGACCATGGACCTTCTCTCCTACCACTTTGACGAATGACTACTACAAGTTGCTGCTCGAGGAGAAGTGGAGCTGGAAGAAGTGGAACGGCCCGAAGCAGTTTGAGGATGTGAAGACGAAGAGTCTGATGATGCTGCCGACCGACATGGAGCTTATCAAGGACAAGTCATTCCGCTCGTACACTGAGAAGTATGCGAGGGATAACGACGCTTTCTTCAAGGACTTTTCTGAAGCTGTGACCACCCTGTTCGAGCTCGGTGTGCCGTTCACACAGAGCGAGGACCAGAGGTGGGTGTTCAAGAGCTCATTCGATTAAGCACTGGCATTTTGAGTGGGGCTGGTGTGGGAAATAAAGAGATGATTGCATTTGGGAGAATGATATCCTACTAGACCGTGTTTAGAGCGCGTAGACTAGACGCATGTGGGCGCACCATAGTTTTCCTTCATCTTGACGTCCTGTCTTCTTTTAGATGTACTTTATATGTGCATTAGCATTGAATGAGAGTGGCGGTTGAAAGTTCAGATGTCCTCCTGCATTGCTTGCTGTATTGGTACCACGAATGGCCGCTCACTAAGGACCAGAGCTGCCTCGCGCCAACCCCCGCTTTTCACGATCATCCATCCCCTCCTCATCCAGATCATGTCAAATGCAGCTGAAATGGCTCCGCAGTTCCTATCAGATATCGTTTTAATTTTAGGAGACTGTCGTTTCGTAGCACCCGCCAGCAACTCCCGTGTATGCAACACAAGCCGTGAAAGAGGGACGAATACACGTTACGCGGTACTCGGGCAGTTTTCCCAAACTACATTGAGTATTGCCATCTCGTATACTCACATCTCCGTCGCAATCTAACCTTTAAAGAAGACATTCTCATATCTTTCCAAGGCATCTTGAATAACCTGAGCTCTACTTTCAGCACCTTCACTCAAAGCATGCCTGATCTCTTTTTCACCCTGGCGCTTCTCTGACATTACGAGGAATTCTGCAGGAGAAGAAAGCCAAAGAAGGGTTCCGTGGGTCTGCTAGATGCAGACAAAGCTTCGTGGGTGTGGACGGGCTGGGTGTGCGAGACGGAGTGTAGTCCTGAACTGCGGGGTATGACTTCCAACAAAACGATGACATACAGGTAAGCGACCGGACTGTTCCTGGTACCGACTTTACGGTGGTCGATGATAATATGCAAACCGGGGAACAAGTGGGACACTAGATTGACAAATCTTGGGCTCAGCATCAGAGCACTGAGACCCGCCTGAGACGGATTGGGACGACGCTCTATTCATGGGATTGTTGAGAAAGCACAACGCTTTTGGACCGCGGCAGGCAACGCTACTACGAGTTCCTCGTGCGGCAGGACCCCTCACTACTCTTCTTCTGCCAAATCCCACTGCCTGCGTCTCTGCCCTCTCTCCTTCCTAGCAAGCTTGCGTCGGATTCTCGAAGATTACTCCTTTCGCACCGAAATACCACCTTCAAAATCTCTACCGCAGCTTTGAGCTATTCAGACCGGCGCAAGGCAATCCCGATACTCAAATCGGAAGGTCGTTCGCGTGGTAGGTCATACCGGTACAGTGCTTGCATGGAGAGTCGTGTCTTCCCGGAGAAGTCGTATGTCATTTCAAGGGATTTCTATAGGTTTATCAATGTGATGATGACGAAGAAGGTAAAGGAACTACGCATGAGGGTGGGGATTGGGAGGGTGGTGCGGGCCGCTTGGGCGCGGGCAGAACGTAGAGAAGAGAATGTGCTTCTGGAGTGATGGTTGGTCTTTTGTGCAAGCCTCTCTCTCGTAGGAAAAGTTTAGTTGGCATTGAATACGTGTCGAATCTGTAGTAGATGTGGCGTTCGTATACTCTAACCTCGCGCAACACATGGTTCCGGAGCTGTTTCTTGAGGATAGCATAGGTTTGCCTAAGCATTTACTCCGGTCCGCACTTTTAGACTCGAGACAAGAGATGATGCTAAGACTGAAGAGCCTAGAAGCAATAGAGAAGCTCGGTCGCGAAGAGTCTATTCAGTCAATGTCCTACGCTATAGAGTATTTGCGTGTAGATTTCGGATGACTTGGACTGGAACAGTACAAGATACACTCTCTGCGAGGGCAGCTGCCAACTAGGCTCCTACGTATAGAGAATTTAGATGCAACAAGAGATTCTTATTGGGGGGTTCATACCTAATGTATGCAGGTCAATGGCTCGGCTCTAGCGTATAGAAACCTCTGTTCTAACATATGAATCTGACTGAATAGACATAATGCCTACACGGGAACTGCGTACAGTCCTCCCTCCGCCCTCGGCTCGGAGCCCCAGTGTCGGGTCTGTCTACGAAAATCTCCAGGTCGGCAGTGGCTAACTCTCATATACAAACAATATCGTCGTTGCAATCCCTTCAACCCTCCCGCCTTGGTCCGAAGCTAGGCCTCCGAGCTGGGGGGAGGCTGTAGTCGAGCCCTGTTCTACGGTTTGCTTCCTTGACTGACCAGGCTCTGATGTCCTCGAGTTCGTATAGAAATGCGGGGTACATGTATAGCCGGATCGGCAATGCAGGTACCAGTCTCCAGCACCAGCACTTGAGCGGCGACTTTGTTCGCCCCGCATAAGAATGCGAGATCCATAACTTGTCTGTCTTAGCCTTGTAAATGATGGTGTTCCGTAATCTTACGTTGGCGCTGCCACTTCTACAGTCGACTATAGCTGCTACTTCCTCATTCCGCGAGTCATGTCTAGGCTTCGACGCAACATCCTTCCAAAACAACTTCTACGCTTCGCTTTCATGAATATGTGCCAGCAAACACCACCATCCCGCTCGATGGCATGGACTCGACCTGCAGTCGGCCTAATCAGCTCTTTTCCGTAGAAGCGTGCCACGTAGCCCTTACGATACCAACCACCAATCGCTCTTCAGTTATTGTCGAGCTATTTCTTCCGCACCCCACTGCTTGGACTGGGCTTGATGTGTGGGTTAGTGAAATTCTTTGATGCTAAGCTCGTACTTGTAGCTAACGTAATATAAAATCCCAAAGACGCATTTTAACAGGATTAGAACCTGTCGCATGCCGTCCAAAGTTCAAGTTCTTCACCTCTTCTTCTAGAGATCTCTTCATAAGTAGCCCCACCGTGATCAGTCACCGACAACCAATTCCGTCGACGCTTTGATACGGAGAGGCGGTATAGTCATCTTCCACTGGGGATGAAAGAGAGATGTGGAGAGCTGGATAAGTGGATGAGGTTCTTCCGTGTACCCGGTAAGGAACATTGTTCTGGGGTGTAGGTGTGTGGCAGATTGGTCAAAGCGGAACAGTAGCACAGGGAATCGATTATACGCCGAGGGATAATGTTCTGGCTGCTATCGTGGAGTGGGTTGAGGAAGGGACAGCGCCAGATGAAATAGTCGGTACGCGTTTCGTCAAGGATACGGTGGTGAGTGGTGTGGATTTCCAGAGAGCGCATTGTAGGTATCCGTTGATGAGTACGTATGTGGCTGGCGATGAGGGGGCATTGGAGAGTTGGGAGTGCAGGTAAAGGTCGACAGAAAAGGGAGTGGTTCGTTTGTTGCATTAATCACGTCGACGATCAACGATCAACAGACAATGTGTGACTCTACCCTCTCTCAAGAATGCCAAGCAATCTATTTTTTTGGCGTCTCTAATTGTTTGCAAACTGGCACGACACACGCATGATGCGGCGAGGTCTGAAGATAGCTAAGCCATTCGAATCTTTCCAATTGAGTACACTCTGCCTGGACCATTTCATCAACAATACATGCAATGTCTGCTGATCGATGCAGACTTGACCAATCTGAAATAGGAACCTCGTGACGGAGTTGCAGTCAGCAGCAGGAGGGGAGGTTCGAGTAAATCTCCGAAGGATAGGAGGAAGGTTGAAGACCATACTGGATGAGCAACCTCTGAGCGACGGCTCTTGGGATGTTTGTTGATCCCCAAGGGTCGTCACGAAAGCCGAGCTGTCGGTTTCAGATGCACACTGCCTACGACAGCCATTCCAGGGTTCTGCACCGATATCCTTCGGACCAAACATCTCGTACCAGATCTACCAGGACTGATCCGTTTCCCCGCCAAGCACACCCCTGACCCTCGCTTATACCCACCTCGGCACGGTAAACATCAATTCTCCCTCGGTAGCCAGCTACTCGCTACACTCTGAATGATGCTGCTCTCGTCCAATACCGGGACCACGATACATAGGTACATGCGCCCACACTATCGGAAGCGTACAGACGAGACCTCGAGCCAGGTTACTCTCATGCATTAACGGGCCTATCCGCTCCTCGTTTGCATGCAGCGGAGCACATGCCGGAGGGCCGACTGCTCGCGGTTTCTACGCTGTTTGGTGGGTAGCGGATGCAGCAATGTACCGATGGTAGGGAACGTTTCGCGCTGGTGCTGCGCCATGACTGCCAAAGGCGAAATTGGGTTTGAGAGGCTGGATGGGGACATGGTCAGAGTGCATGTGGGAAATGCTCCGGCGAGGGGAGGCCTGAGCGGATCGTGGGCGGACCTGCAGGGAAGGCCGCGGTCCGTACTCAACGTCGGCTGTCTGAGAGTCATGTTCAACAGGTGAGCACCTGTTCCGGCCCTCATCATTGGAGTTGAAGGCGCGCTCTGGACTCTCCCCTCCTGTAAGCAAACTGATCGCACGACGATGAAACAACGTCGGTCCCGCCGTCCCATTGTAAACGGCCTGCAAACGGCCCTTCTACAACGAGAAGGCCGCTGCCATGCCTCCGATACGGTAGCGGTGCGTCCACTACACACGATGGTAGCGGATGGCACAAGGTCAATTCCGTAGAAGCTTTGTTGGGCGGCGACAGACTTTCGGCGCATCTGCATTCGACGCGGTGCGCCGGGGAAGCGCAGGTACCCCACACGTCATTGCCGTCAGTCGCCGGGACGTTGAGCGCACTGCAGCGGGGAAACGGCAGGGCCCGTTGTACGAGGCTCGCTACACAAGCACACAGACTCGGCCGAAACTCCAGCTTTGGTGCAAAGGCTGCGAGGCGAGGGGTGGTGGTGGTGGAAAAGAGAGCTCTTTGGCAGAGAACAGCCATCCTTCGGCGCCACCAACGGAAACTTCGTCGTACACGCCACCGCCAGCATGCTGGTGCGAAGTTATCCCGGGAAATGTCAGGACAGATCAGCATGCTCTGCGGCCGTGTACGAGGCGCATGATGTGCGAGCCGTCAAAGGCACACGACTCATGTATCTCTGGCACGGCCCGTCACATCTGTCTGCGAACGACGTTTGCCAGCCATGGCCGTGGTCTTTTCCTGACCCCTGGCCATGACCCACCTACGCCACGTGTGATGCACGCAAAGGCAATCGCGCATAGCAATGTGTGAGGAGCCTGCTACGCGTGGCAAAAAATTGGGTCGCGCATTGGCGACATCTCCCAGCCGACTTTGTCGCCGCCATAAACGCAAACTTCTTCCTTGTTATAAGTGGACTGAGTCGGCTTGCGGACGGGCGGACGGGCGGACTAGTGGTGCACGCCGTGATATCAATTCGAAGGCTGCCGTATCGTGTTACACCCAGCTGGCAGCTATTGATGACAGGGACAAGGTTGCGAAACATTGATGCCCATGATCGCCCATGGATGATGCCGCGAGTCAGGGCGGCATGCACGCTCGCCCATACGGCCTACCCAGGATTGCCTGTCGCCAAACATGGTCCTAAGGAATACAATAACAGGAAGGAGGGTGCTTAGGAGTGGCCACATGCCGTGGTTCTATCGAATTGCATGCCGTGCCAGCATCGAAATGACACTTCTCGACGGCGCCGTCTTCCCCGCACCACACGTCCGGAATCCATGGCGAAGAGACATCATGCTGTGCTCTCGTCGGAAATCCTGGTCTACCGGTCTGGTTCCATCCCCCTTCTGGTCTGTAAGCTTTGATTCTTCGTAGCGACCTGTGGTGCGTTTGATTAAACTCTGTATACGAGAAGCTGTGGAACGTCATGCAGCTGGAAGCATGCCCAGTGAACCCAATTTACTTGTCATAGCACGTTTGCGACTACTGTTCGCCAGGCGATACCTATTTCAGTTTGACAGCCAGGTATGACAGCTCTAGCTCGAGGCCGTGTTCGGGGAACGCAACGGTAGTCTGTTCATCTCCCGAGAATGTGAGCCAATCATCATGCATGATTTTGATCGTCCTTGGAAAGCTGCACTCAATGTTGAGCTCAACGCGGCGGATAGAACTAGTCGACGTTTGGATTGACGGTGCGTCGACTCTCGACGTGGGTGACCCGCTGATCAAACTTGTAACATCTTTGGGGTCCACATATGCATCGCGTCCGTTATCGTTGAGGTCGCACATGAAAGACACAAGTTGCGCCACGCTTGGCAGATCTTCTCCTTCGACGCGAGATCTCACGGTTACGGGGTAGACAATGTCGCTTGCAAAGGTGGAAAAAAAAATCGAGGGAACCATTCAGGGGGGCGGTGGTGGATGGATCGAGCGCCAACACTGTCAGTGCAAACATGTCGCCAAGATGAATGTGTTGCTTGCAGGCGAAGGTTATGCTATGCCTGTCTGTTTCCGAAAGGCTGATCTCATGCACCGCTTTCAATTGACGCAGCCCTGGAAACTGTCAGTAACCGCACAGGCGGCATAAGTGTAACCTGTATCCTCAGAGAGTTTGATCACGTCAAGTGCACAAAGACTGCGGCAAGACTGGTAGGTTACCTCTTCCGTAAGATTTGGTAATATGCATATGGTCACCAATGCGTTCCAGGGCTTGCTTGCCGGCGTGGTCTTCAAGTTGAAGCTCGCTGGGCGTGGGGTGTCGGACAGGCCGGCACAGCCTCCGTTCCTGTTGTGGCTGCTGTGGTAGCGGATAATGCCCGGGGCACACATATACATTAGACCATCATTCCCTGGGCGCACATATATATTAGACCGTCATGGACGGAGGAGCGTCATGATGCTGGCATTGAACATGTTAGTAACAGTGATATAGGGCGGGGCAATGGACTGACTGGACATCCAGTGGTGGCGCATGACCTAAGAGCCAGCACACTGGCAACGTCGTCCTAATCTACCGGCGCGAGCTGACGTATGAAGTCAGTTTGCTAGAGCGATTCTGCGTGTCTGTTTATGCAAGCGACCCGTAAATACCGGATACGGATTGATTGAAGACGCTGTGTCACCAAAGGTTACAAGGCGAGTCGTTGTAGGTACATATCGGGAAAGCCGACAATGAGATGAAATGAAATGGCAGGGAGGGTGGATACATGATTTGATGTAGGATGTATGCGTTGACTATATTTAGCGACGTGAAACATTTGGCCGATCGGTAGAGAAGGCGAGAATCCTGCGGCGCGCAGACGCGCCGCAAGCGACAATAAGTATTTGTTGTAGACGGAACACGGCATCTAGCCAGAAAATTGATCAGGTGCCACTTAAGACACCTAAAATGTCATCTCCATCCATGCCTCTAATATTGTCGGAGTGGACCACGGCCAAGCATTGCTTTGATTCCAAGCTTCGCGTACGTCTGCTTGCCTGCTTGTTGTGGCGTGGGTGGGTCGTTTCGGACCACAAAGGTATCGCTTCCAACGCTTTCCGAGTCATATACGATAGAGTCATTCGCGGCAAGAATGTGACGACGATAAAGACTCGTACTTGGACTCCCAGAAGCAGGCACGCCAGCCAACGAGTAGGACTGTTCAGTGCTTCCGGATCCAAACGATTTCTTGAGAGCTGGAGCACCAAGATAGTGGGCAGTCCCATTCTGGTTATTGCTGATCTGTGCGCCTGCAAACCAAGACGTATAGCCCGGTATCTGACTATAATCAAAGGTGTCCGCTTCTGTCGGGAAGGCGAGGTGGCCCAACTTCTGCACGTTTTTGGCGCGACTCATCGTTGCATCGATGGTGAAGTTGCCGCCTTCCAAGACGTTATAGGAGGACGATACCCTGAGGGGATAGCTGAAGCTCCGGGAATAACCACCAAGAGATTCATGCTTGCCTTTTGTGGTTTGGGACGTGTTTTGGTCATTGCCACCATTGAATAGTTTGCCCTTGATCGCGAAGCTGACATTTTGAACCCAAGTGACGTTCCGCGAGCCTTCTGATGTGATAACTGTAGACTTGACCGAAAAGGATCTTGAGGCGTTTACCGAGTAGTCTAGAGCTTGGACCGATCCATTTGTTCCCTTCATGACTGACGAGGACACGCCAAGAATAGGCTCGGGCGCTTCGATTGTAGAGACGGTGCCTTGCGTGATGCTGTCGATCTTGTCCAACCACAAAAACACCTTCCCTGTCACTACCCAATTCGAGCCCACCGTTTCCGTCAAGTATGCGTTCCCATACTCATCCTGGTTGATTCCTGCTACCTTGATTTCAAATGTATGCTCCTGGCCGTCGCAGAGACTTGGAAGGAAAGCCGATATGTCGATCTCATCCTCTTGAAGGTCAAAGGCATCAATGCCGACCACGGGCCGCCAGAAGCCAGGGACAACGCCACCGGTGAAGATCACAGGAAAAGGCCACGCTACCCCAACTAAAGTTCCATCGATAAGAAGCTGCAACTCTCGGAAAGGTGAGTATCCGTAGAGGGTGGTCTCATTGCCGAATACGGTAGTGTCAGAGGAAAGAACATTAGCCCACCAGAACTCTTCGGTTGCTTGACCAACTGCCGAAAGACTGACAACAGCCTTTTTGACGTTGCGTGGTAGAGTGAGAGTATCGACAGCTTTGGAATCAGGCACAACGAAAGCGCTAGATTTGTCCAGAGAGGACTGGTGTGCAGAGATTGGAATGATAACATTCGCTGCATCGATAGTGTCTTCTGCGGAAAAGAAGGTAGCCGTCAATGTGGTTTCCCACTTCCCAGTATAGGTGTCATCGATCAGATTCCCCAGGTCGAAGATGATCTTTTGCGGCTCCCGGAAAAGCGACAAGTAGTTGCTCATGTCTTTGACATATGTCCAGACGATTCCGTTTTGCGTTGGCTCGGCGGTTGATGTTCTCCAAACTTCGGTGTCGTTGAAAAACATAAGCGCGAGGCGGTCGAACTGTCTCCCTGCAGAAGTAACGGTGAAGTTGATTGTGACTCTATTGAACTCGCATTCGGGCGGAGTGTAGTTTCCTACAAAAGGGATTCCGTAGGAGTAGGCAAATTCGTGAACCATGAGGGACCTCTCGCAGCTCTTCGGACTCAAGACAGGCGGTGATACTTGTAGACATTCTAACAAAGGCGCAGTTTCATTCGGCGCGCGGCCGGTCAAGGCAGAGCCGATGCGACTCAGCTGAGACTGCGGCAAGGCCAGAGAAGCTGTGACGGAATGCGAAAGGATCATTAGCATTAGGAAGAAAGATATGGAGGACAGTGCCGCTCGATGTTGACATGCTCGTTTTCCCTTCCACCCTAGCCAATTCTGCTCACCGATTCCCAGCGACGCCGGGAGCTCGAACGCGCCCATCTTTTGAAAATAACCAATCCGAACTTTCCCTCCGGTCTTCTCGAGCAGGTTCGCTGATTTGTGTACACTCCGATGGCGCCGTACTGAGGTATCTCTGTAATGAAAGCCAGGTACAGGTTCCGCGGACGCCGCGCAGACCTTGATAATGTGGAGATATGATAACTGCGAACGCATCAGCACCGGGAGCATGCGAGTTTAATGGAGGAAAGCACACAAACCTCGCTAAATAACAGATGCAAGAAAGAAGTAGGCGATGCGATCAGCTTCGGCCACGATGGTTGTCCCAAAACCGTTTTGTTGCGCTCTTGATGATTTCTGAATCGCCGAACCGTGAACGATAGTAGTTGATGAGGGCGAATTCGTCTTGTGGGAGGACGTATGAATTGGGATGCGCTTTTAACTTAGCGTGAACCTCGGCCAGCTTCCTCTCGAGATGCTGGGCGAGACGTTGGTCGACACCGCCAGGAGAGTTTTGTGCGAGGAGAACAGCCTGTCCCAGGGTCAGACTCCCCATGCCCGCTATATATTCTGCACCCATGGTGGACAACGATAGTCGATTGCTGGAATAAAGTAGGTGCGAGCGGGGTGTGTACAAGAAAGGAAGGCGCGATTAGATAGTGGGAAAGAACTTAGGCACAATGTGGGAAGGGCGGGCAACCACAGGAGATAGGGTCGAAATATAAATATACGTACCAGACAAGACGCACGTGGAGGACAGAGCCCAAGTCAGGTCAACGAGCTTAGTTTGAAGCTGTAACCCACTGGCGACGGATGTGCTCCGTTTCGGGAGCTGTCAACGCTGCAGCTGCAAGCCTACCCGCGCAATGAACGCATGTGCCAGCAGCCCCGGTCCTGCAAGGAAGCGATAATGCCTGAGCAGTCGCAGGGATGGACAAGAGTCAGCGGAGCTCGGTGGGGGTGCACGACGCTGTTCCTGGCGAGGACACGCCTTTCCACCGTGCCGGAACGCTGAAGCAGCCCAGTGCAGACGATGAGCGCGCAGGCCAATAGGGGGCTAGGGCGGGTCGCTTTAGGGTATTTAAGATGGAATTTTGAATTTTAAGAACAAGGTTCTTTGCACTCGTCAGATTGTCGATTCGTAGGCTTTGGGTTGCGACTGGTGCCGAAACAGGGCCAAAACTTTAATGAACCTTCGCGGCCGTGTCGCCGACCCGCGCAGGGAATACTTCGGGGAGCGTTGGGTAGCGGACGCGGCGAATTCGACAGCCCATGGTCTTGTCAGGACTCAGGAGGGAGCGTGCAGACCTCCTGGACTGGCGATGATGCGCGAGGTTGATGCCAGGATCGGCAGTGGAGACGAAGACGACACGGCGGCGGGGATGTGTCGTCGCAAGACACTGACCAAGTGCTACCGACCGAGTGCCACCATGCCGCGGTCGAATTAGACTGCTGGAGCGTTTGCGAACGGCTGCACTGCTGCAGGCCCGTCGGCGTCAAACGTTGCTCATCCCGGGCGCTGCGTCGTGCCCGTGTGCGGTGCCATTAATCATGGCCCCACCCTTGTCCCGAGGGTCGCAGATCGACCGTTGACGGCTGATTGAAATGGCGAGCGACGGTCAAAGATTGGGCGCGGCCAAGTGCTACGTCAAGCACTCGGTGGTCCCACGAGCTACGACGCAGTCGCACGACGAAGTCCTCATGGCCGCACCGTGTGGAATCAGACGTCGGGTTCATGCAGCATGCCCCGCAGTTTAGCGTTTGCGGTGGGTGAACTGCCCACGCGAGCAAGAATACGGCATTTATGCGGCCTTTGCGACGCTGCCGCCAGCGCCTATCGTGGCGGGACCATCATGGGCTAGCATTCTGTAACGGCGAGATCCACGGCGGCTTCTGGCAGTGCTTCGGCAATTTCAAAGCGAAAGCATCAGACGAGGACGACTCGCGTGACCGGCCGTGCTGCGAGACAAGTCACCTTCTGCAGTCGAGATGAAGACACGAATCCGTCTCCTGGCCGGCCGACTTGAAATAGATGGGGCGGCTTGTGCGGATCTCTTAGCTCCAGCCCAAGTCGTTGATGGTCGCAGGGGTATCGTGCTCTTCACGCGTGCCCGTGCAGGCCCACAGACTGCCGTGTCGCTTCCCAATGCTCAGCGACGGTGCGCTGGTGGTGTGTTTGTCGAGCGCACTCCTCACTTCATTTCCGCGACCCTCGGTCTCGTCAAACGGCGAAGCGCCTCCCATTTGCAAATGAGGCGGAAAAGCTACGTTGCCCCTCGCCCTCTACGGCGACCGGCGACCGGCGACGTCTGAAGAAAGGCAGCTAGCCGGGCGTCGCATTTGCAGGGACGCTCCGCCTGGTACTCGACCGCTCTGGCGAGCAACAACAGACATCCCGATGCCGTGTCGTGACCGCAACGAAACGCCCATGATCCGGGGCAGCAACGTGGTGGGACGGGTTTCTGGAACTGCGGTAGAAGCATGCACGCGCCTGCAGAAAGGGACGAGGAAGAGCCGATACAACGCCGCGCCGTGGTCATGGACTGGACTGCAACGCGTTCCTGAGCGGGGAGAGCTGCTTGACCTTGCATCGGAGCGTCGGCGCTCCGAGCGCCAAGTCCGATGGACCCCTGCTCGAAAAAGACGACAGCGTCGTCACGGTCGCGTTACCCTCACAAGACAAGTCGCGCGCAGCAGAATACAAGCAGTTCCCAAGGCGCCATCCCCGAATTTACACACTGCAGTCTCCGCCGATTTCGATGAATGCGCCTGCCGTCCGCTTCTGGACGGAGCAGCTCCTGTTTCGGGGGGCTTTCTCACGGCCAGCCGCCGCCAGCCGCCCCCAGACATTCACTCGCGCCTTCTCCCACCTCCACCTGCGAGCCCCGCACGCAGTATCTAAACGCAATCCCGTCAGTCTCCTCCGCAATGTGCGTGTACAGGTGAACCCACGCTTCAGGGGCTTGCGCTTCAAGAGCGATAAACCGCCACACACTCCCGATCCAACGCCACATCTTGGCAGCCCCGAGCCCGCACCGTCGCTCTCACAACGTCTGAAGAGGCTCTCCAAACAGTATGGATGGTTGGCAGTGGGCGTCTATCTCGGCCTATCAGCTGTGGACTTGCCCTTCTGCTACTTGGCCGTGCGGATGCTGGGTACCGAACGAGTGGGCCATTACGAACATGTGGTCGTAGAGGGGGTTAAGTCCCTGGTACGGATACCGTTTCCCAACCTATTCCAGGGCTCTCGGGACCTTGAAGGTCCCATTGCGGAAGAGATTCGGGAAGCTGCCGAGAGGGAAGAAGCACTCGGACACGACGGAGCCCAGGTCGTGGGGGCGAATGGAGGTGCTGAAGCATGTATGAGACCTTTCGGTTGAGATAAGTCCTGCTGAATACACTAACAAGTCCGCAGCGCTCTGGACCCAGTTTGCTCTAGCCTATGCTGTCCACAAATCTCTCATCTTTTTCCGAATCCCATTGACCGCAGCCGTTCTTCCCAAAGTCGCAAAGACACTCAGAAAATGGGGCTGGAACGTTGGCAAACCAAAGCCAACTTAAGCTTCAAGTCCCCCTCCGATCGCCACCATACCGTCGGTCACGTATAGTCTACTCGAGCATCGTTCATGGCATTGGTAACGGTGCTCAAGGATCGCACAGTGGCTCCCACATGGGCAGTGTAAGAATATGTAAGATATGTGTACATGGACCTCACGATAGTCCCATTCAGCATAGCGTTTACCCTTCCAGGCGAGACCATCTTCAATATACTGAGTGGTTAGCCTTCGTTCAGGATATTTCTCTTACCAATCGACATTCATGTTTGTTCGTTCTCTGCACGCATTACCCAATAATGCTTTTCATTTTCTACGGAAATATTGCTTGCTTGATGTGACACGATTACGGAGACAACCGCAAGTTTGCCATTGCGCTTGAGGATCACCATGCGAAGGAACCAGATCTCTGGTTCTCGCTTATCGTATCGTTGACCTTTTATACTAGTGCGACGCGTGGCTTTTGGACTATGTCAGGTTTCTCAGATGTCTAGATGCAAACTCTACATGAGCGGACAGCACCATACCGAACAGTGGGTGCCAGAAACCCGACACTACAGCTATGCATCGTGTCACACGTAGTCGCGTTCGTTCCACGCGCAACTCCAAAGCCAAGGACAAGCAAGGTCTTCGCATCGAAGTGTACCTCTTCGAATATCTTTCGAAGGCTACTTAGTCGATCCCTCCAGGTACTCATCATCGACGACCGCTCGACGCCAGACCACGTGGCGAGTCTAACATTCGGCCATGCTTTTGCCTCGAACTAACCAACGCAGGATGCCACATTGAACAGATGCGCATAACCGTCTTATCCAGGAAAAGCAACTGAGACTACAACACGTCGCCAAAACCCGCTCAACGTGTAAGCTTTGCAAGGCCTTCCGGGACCAGAAGGGTTGCATCAGATTGGCTTCCAGGCAGAAGGGCCTCGGCTATGAGGTAGTGCAGCAATGGTGGAGACACAATGGACGAATGACCAGCCGTGCCGCCCGATGCCCGTAGATCGCTTTTCAAACGCATCGTCTGTTCGACGCTCTTTCAAAGATGGAAGCGCGCATCCATCAGACCACCCAATTGAACTCATAGCCCAACCTACGATCTGAGTACATTCTTGACAAGGACGAGATTTGTAATTTAGGCTCAGGGCACGTCGCCCTTATCTTTTTCAAGACCTGCGCGGAGCCTCCCCAGGGGACCCTTCGACACTCCGTCTCAAAGCTGTCAAAATAAAGTTTGTACCGGCGCTGCAGGTGATCTGCGTTCCTTTTGCATGGTCTGAGCTAGCCATCCCTAGCGCAGCCCTATTGTAAGACATCGGCCGCACTGACAAGAAAAGCTGAACAACACGCTGAGCTTGTCTTCTGTCTCGCAACATGTAGTGGGGTTACCAGACGTTCTTGGGCGGGATCTTGTCCGCTCGAACCGCGTGTGCATGGGCTGGTTGCTGTTAATCTCCGCACCGGAAGTCTGACCTCGAGATGAAGTTGCTTATGAGATGATTATGGGGAGACGATGGGCTTGGACAAAGGAGAAGTGAGACGGGTTTGCCGTTAATGCGGGTGTCATACGACATTGACATGGTGGTTTGTCCTCGAAAAGCATATCAGAGTATACTGTGTTGCAGTGGGTCCATTTTCGTCGGGTTTCTGAAGCTCCCTAGCTCAGGCTGCTAGAACTCTCTACTAAAGTAAATTCTATTTCTTATAGCTAGACCTTACCGATCTACATCTAAAGGGATATTTAATTACTACCTTCTAATTTTACGTCATCCCTGGTCTCAAGGACCCACTCTGATTGATTATTTACCGCTACAACCACAGTAGTTTCGAGGCGTACCATCCAGTGAGGCTAACCATCCGGCGAGGCTTACCTTCCAGCGTGTAAAGTATTCGGCACACACCGAGCGTTGCTCAGGCATACGACACAGTACGAAGTAGGTTACCAGAATGTGCTCAAACGCGATTCATGGTCACTGCGAAGCTACGTCAGTGACTTCACGGCACTTCTAGCGTTGGTCCGATCCGATCGGGCGCCAAGGCACTCATGATTCGGCTTCCCTTCGAAGAAACGTACACTATACGAATTCCACGCCAGCGAAACCTTGCTTTGGTTTTCAGTTACGCCGTGTCCGCTCTTGGAATGCGATTCCGCGATATATGATTGCCCTATCTGAACGTTCGCAGGGTTTAGAGGGCGAGTTTCGGAGCAGTGCTTCGGCGGGGTCTAACGCACTTCCGATTCGAAAGTAGATACCCTAGCGTCAGCAGTGCTGCCAAACCTCTGCCCGCGTTGGGCTCTGTTGTATGGAGCAGCAAATCGACTGCGAACATAGCTGCTCAGGAGCATTGTCAACATAGCTGCTCAGGAGTAGCTTCAGAAACGATCCGCTCAGAAGCGACTACTCCCCCATCAGCTCGCAGTTTAGACCCCGTCCGCTTAGGCACCTACGGATTCAACCCGCTCGCCTTAGAGCCGCGACGCCGCTGTCTAACCACGCTCGAACCTATCCTGGCCTGACTTGCGCTTCCCAGCAGAGTGTCAGCGCACGACTAAGCCGACCATCCTTTTTCTTACTACTTTTGTTGTACCATCGGAGCTACTTGTATCCCCGCCTTGAAGTCAAATTGTGTTCCCCTCTTGTAATTGGAAACAGATCGCATTCGCTTTGCACCCATGATTTACCGGTTGTTTGGTACCTTTGTAGACATGCTTTAGGCGAATGCCTCCGTAAACGGCTAGTGATGCAGGGGATGCGTCTGCAGGAACTACTTCGGTGAACCCCGCCTTCTGCGGGCTTTGCAGCTGCTACAACAATGCTCATGGAACCACGTAGATACTGTACACATGGTGCTGAATGAGGTTCGACTGTAGCACCTTGAGGTTTGTTTGCCAACCTTCCAAGGTTGGGTCTGTGTCATGTGACCCTATATTCGAGTAAACACCGGGCTTCCACTACGTTGTCTATACTCCTCGAGACGAAGAACAGTCTTTCTGTTTCCGAGGTGACGAATCGCTGGCCTTCAGTCCTGCACTGTTGTTAGTGTACCTTGACACAACTGGTAGCCATGCCCACCGCTTCAAAATCGACCCTCAGCCGCGTCAGTAATGCACTGGAGTTTTATTGGCAGAAATTCTGAGCAACACGTGTCTATGTCGCTCACCTTCCTGGCCTAGAATTTCCAAATACCTTGCAGAGCGTTTTCCGCGTGGACAATGCTTACCAGTTGCTCAACAACTTTCAAACTTCCACTAGTTATGCTCGTGAATTAAGTTCCAATATCGCAGGCCTCATTATATCAGACGAACAGCCAAGCATTCGATCCACAAATTACATGTTTGGTTTCGGCGTCGCCGCATCCTTCACTTTTCCGCAATCCCACTTTTCCAGAGCGTCTGAACTGCCAGTCTTTATTCCCGGCCGTCTCTACCTTCCTATCTCCGGAATGCTGCTCCACCTTTTCATCAGGTCTAGATCTTAAGGTCAGATCGCACATTCTCGAGATTCCTCGGACGTTGCGAATGTCCTATGCACTGCATAAGAGTGCACATTCTGTGGATGCTCCCAACCCCACGTTCATGTCTTTGCCTGTCACACAGGCAATTGTTGCAAACGTCCGACGTGTTTATTTTTTTCCCTCTAACGTTCCTCTTGGTCGCAAAACACAAGCCGCCCAGTAAAACGTCGACGCATCAAGGTATCCATTCTGCCAGACATTAGACCAATTGAAGAGTACTGTGTGAGGAGAATCCCCGGCCAGGGATTGACCTGGGGCTCTTGGCTTCTAAATAGCGGCCCATGATGGTTTGCTTCTGACTTTTTTTAATCAATGCTTCCAGATGTCCATGTTGTAATATGCAGAGCAAGAAAGAGAACACAGAGCCTTTTATACACGTTTACCTTCTCGTACTCACCTCCTCTCGTCACTTCCTTGTGATGTTATCTACCGTTATCACCCTGCCCAAATGTTGTCTGCCATCTACGTCGGGAAGCACTTCCAGACCGCGAGCACATCAATTCTAGCCGGCTACCTTCTTTAAATACAACAGGTAAACGAAATTGCAGATCGCCACCATAGCTTTTCGACAGTCTCCACATGGCGGATCCTCTCGGAGATCCTTCGAACTGTGATTTTCGAGTGAAGTGTGAGGAACAAACGGTCTCGGACGGAAATCATTTACACTCCGCTGCGTGATCTCCTAGCTTCTTTCCAAACTCCTTAGAGAATGGTACCCGTCATCCGCATCAAAATCTCAGTGGCTGCTGTCTAGAAAGACGATTCGCGAGAAGCTCAGACACCAGGAAAATACATGAATTTAACCGATCATGCTTTTAAAAAAAATCACTGGGGATCATCGTGGTCATTGATGTCGTAATGTCCTATAACAGCTTCCAGCCATCGCATAGCGAACTTTCTGAGCAGTTTGAGCACCGGTCACAGCGGTAGTGTGAGGAACAAAAAGTCTGCAAAAGAGAGCGTCTTGGTATCTCCCAAACTATTAGATTAATTAATATTCTCAGCGTCAGTCCCTTGAGGGCGGTGCTGGATACTATCACATGTCCCTGCCACTGTGATCTGCTATCTGAGATTCGAGCAAACTCAAAGAGTGAGGAAGACCTAATGCCCGCACCTGATGTCTTTGATGATAATTCCAGACAGCCACGGAGGGTATATGGAGACTTCGATTGATATTTTTCAGAAACCCGTCAGAGCACATAGTACGGCAAACACTACTTTTTAGAGGGCTATTAGAAGGTAGTGAGCAATGTAATGAAGAGTGAAGGTAAGGGCATTGCATATCGCGGACTGCCGGTTTTCGTAGCCTGCCCTGGATCTGGATCAATTTACACAGGTGGTGCTCGGTATTGTCGTTTTCTCTACAGTCTTTGCGTGGTACTAACGATTCGGAGTATGGCTACACAGCGATCAAAACCAGAAGCTCACACACTCCTCCATCCCCGCTGTTTCTAGAGAGCCATCAACGCACTGCGTGACGGAGTTCGAGGGCAGGTTTCGGCATTTATTGTCGCGCATGAAAACACCACGCGGTTCGCTTTTTAGTTATTAAGTACTGTGTGCCTTGAAATTAGAGTGGAGTTGAGAGCTTTGTACGCAATCTCTATCCGGTTTCTACTATCCCTACTTTTCTTTGGCACCAGTGTTCTCCACCATCATCATTTTTCTCTGCCCGTTCATTATAATATCCGACATGCGTTCAAGCCACGGTCGCGAGTCCTTATCTAGAACTTCGACTCGGATCCTGAACACTCACTTGTTTAAAACATGTCGGATAAAAACTTTTCTTTTCGTGTATCCGGAAGAGGCACATGATTCGTGTTATTGTTGTATTTAGGCTACGGTGATCAAAGACTGTGTTGTGCAGACACGGACATCCTATATAAGAAGATTTCGAATACATTGCCTTACACAGTCTCCTGCTGCTAACAAGTAGCGCTTATCCTCGTTAGCTTCACCTCTACCGCCGCTTCATGTTGCTCAAATGTGCACAAAAAAAAGAGCCATATGTAAAAGCCGAGGACATCTTGCGAGTATTAATAGACACCTGTGTCACTTTGTGAACTTTTTCTAACAAAGCACCAAGGAATCTCATGAAGCGTTAAACCATCGAATTCCAAGACTGCGACGAGAGAACATCATCCTAATCCCTCTTCTTTCAAGGCCGTGGTCTGCCAAAGTGTGTACGGCCCATCGGCCAATAGTTATCCAATATGCAACGACAACCGAAGGCACACAATCTACTAGCAGCTGTTTCGAAATTAAAAATCTAAGAATGAAGAGGGTACGAGATTAGATTAAAGTTACGTTTTCCTTTAGGAATAGCCGGTTTCATTTGCTGTTCATGGCCATTATGATCTCAAGGTTCACTTGGTCTGATATCGTGGGATTCAAGATTCTCCCAGCAACCAGAAATAGGTGCATCTTGGTAAGTCAGCGCATGTCAACGCACATAAAAAGGCGAAATTTGTAGGTTACGTTGGGTTGGGAAGATATGAGCTGTACAGATGAGTGCACAGGTGGGTAATGCAAATTCGCATATGCATGTGCATACCATACCTACGATGGGCTGGAAGAGAGGCAAATAAAACTATCATACAGAGTCTAGTATCTAACACGGTTCTCTTGCTCTGGTCAAGAGAATAGATCGCGCCTTCGACAGTACCTTGGTAGACATAGTGTCTACATCCGCAAGCGAGACTGGCCATCGGATTCATGACTCCGACACATGTGAGCACGTTTGTAAACACGCGCTAGCTATCGCATGGAGAAATGACCTAAACAGGAAGGAACACCACCTTTATCGAGGTTGACAAAAGGCCTCGGGTACGCGAATGTGTGGGCGATCACGTGCAAAAAGGACCGAGAGGGGCTTGGATGTGGAGGCTCAGCCCCTGGAAACCTTGGATTGCGCCCGAGTGCCATCACCAATTCCCTTTTTAATCTATATGCCGGAAACGATCACCGGCACTTTGCACAGTTGCTGCGATCGAAGCCGCCACGGTCGAAATGATGGCATGCGGGCGCGATATATTAATCGTGGACGTGGGGACTGATTTGGTTCTCCACATGTTGCTGGCGTAGGATCTTGGCCTCCATTCTTTTTTTCCACTCGTTTACCAATATGGTCGCTTTTTCACGATTAAGCGTTGCGTGGGCAGTCATCACAATTGGTGCTCATGCGCATCCGCTGTTCGAGGGTACGTTGGTGCAGCGAGCGGAGAGTCTGAGCAAGGAGTACGATTATGTGGTGGTTGGCGCCGGCGCGTCGGGCCTAACGGTTGCGAACCGATTGTCGGAGGATCCCGGTACGTTCGAGTCGCGTACCTGCATGCGCTGGTAGACTAACGATTGGCTTGCAGCTGTCACTGTGCTTGTTATTGAAGCTGGGCAATTGTAAGTTGTGAAATAACAGCATGTTTTGTCCGGAAGTCGACTGACAGTATCTGCCAGCGACCAGAATGAAGACTTCGTCACCGTCCCAGGGCTTGCAGGCGGCGCTGTAGGAACAAAGTATGACTGGAACACGTCGTACACTGCAAATGAAGCTTTGGGTGGCCGTGTAGTGTCGATTCCTCAGGGGAAGATCGTTGGCGGCTCGACGAAGCTGAACCGGATGGTTTTTGATAGAGGGTCGAAGTCGGATTACAATGCCTGGGAAACATTCGGCAATACTGGGTGGAACTTCGAAACTATATTGCCATACTTCAGGAAGGTGCGTCCGGTCAATTTTCCATCTGTTGATGACATATCGGGAAGAAAGCTGTCATAATCAGTGTCTAACGGCTTCACAGAACGAAAAGTTTACGCCGCCGACGAAAGAGATCTTGGCTGAATACGACATCAAATGGGATCTTGCGTTCCACGGCGACAATGGATATATGGATGTCTCATATTCCCCCTTTTTCTGGCCAACGACCAGTAAGTGCTGGCCGTGCAGCCTATCGATTGAAATCAAAGAGCAGCACTTACAGCGTCCATAGAAAACTTGATCAACGCAACGAAGGAAACTGGAATCTACATCCCTAGTGACCCAGCCAACGGGAACGCCTTTGGTGGCTACTACTGCCCTCACAACTTGGACCCTGTCAATATTACGCGGGACTCTGCTGAAGAAGCTTATTACGACAGCACTACCGCGCGCAAGAACTTTCAAGTCATTACTGGGCAGCAAGTTACGCGGATCATTACTAAGACGGAAAACGGGACCGTAAGAGTTACTGGCGTTGAGTTTGCCAGCTCCTCAAACGCGACACGCCAGACTGTCAGCGTTTTCCAAGAGGCTATCCTCGCTGCTGGAGCGCTACACACGCCTCAGCTGCTTCAGGTATCCGGCATCGGAGACTCAGCGCATCTGAAGAGCATCGGTGTGAAAACCGTAGTTGATCTCCCAGCTGTCGGACAGAACCTGCACGATCACGTCTCAGTTACAGTCGTAAACACGCTCAACACCACACTCCTGACCCAAAGCGCCCTTCAAAACGCCACCTTCGCCGCCCAAGCCCGCCAACAATACGACACGCAAAAGCGCGGCCCATACTCCTCTCCCACGGCCGACTTTCTCCTCTTCCTCCCCGTCCCCGTCTATTCCAACGCCACAGCCTCTATTCACGCCCAAGCCACCGCTGGAAAACCCTCAGCATCCCTACCATCTGACGCTACTGTAGAAGTACTCAAAGGTTACCAAGCCCAGTACGATTCCCTCACTTCTCGTCTCCTCGCCAATGACTCCGGAAATCTCGAAATCATCTGGGCAGACGGCGTCATGGTGCTTGGACTCCAGCACCCCTACTCGCGTGGCAGCGTCAAGGCGTCTTCATCGAGCATTTTCAATCCACCTGTTGCTGACTCTGGCTTCTTGCGCAATCCGTTGGACGTCCTTCTCCTCCGAGAAGGTATCCTTTTCGCGCGTCGCTTTATCACTGCTCCATCGCTTGCTGCGCTACACCCCTTCGAGGCCGCGCCCGGAGCAAATGTCACTAGTGACGCCGACTTAGACGAGTACATCCGCAGCGGGGCATCTACTCTGTATCATCCAGCTGGTTCTTGTAAGATGGGGCCGAGAGAGGAGGGTGGTGTAGTGGATGGGGAGTTAAAGGTTTATGGGGTAAAGGGATTGAGGATCGTGGATCAGAGCGTATTCCCGCAGTTGCCGGCGAGTCACACGATGACGACGGTGTACTCCATTGCCGAGAGGGCAGCGGATATTATCCGTGGAATATAGGGTCATGTTGAGAAGAGGAGGATAGCATTCGAGCATACGTGAAGACTTGTTCATGTCATGCCAAAGCCAACTACAGCTTCGGGCGTTGTGCAACTTGGAGTTCGTAACAATTTTCTCTAATTGCGAACCATGGCAATCCTACTTATAGATCTGCAGGAATCATATTTCTCGCTCTGTTATTTGTACGCACATTTCAGAAATAGTAACGAATCTAAGTCAATCTCGAGCATCTTAGGGTTTGGTCGGGTTGATGAGGACGATGTCAAAGTTACGCATCAGCTGTGTGGACGCAGTCAGCATATGGTCCATGAATGACAACTACATCGAGGAAACATCATCAAAGTACCTCGAATACATTTTTCTCCAGCTCAAGCTGGGCCACTGGCCTGCTTAAGCACTGGAATCTCCCCGTGCCCGGAAACGAGTTCGTTCGTACGGATCATGGCGACCAGCTTGTCAGGGACCGAGTTCAACCATCGCTCGGGTCTGAACATCTTTGCGTCGTTATGAATACGCGCAATACCCAATGGACACACCACCCGGCAAGAATATACCTTCACCCTTGACAGCAACAATACTTGTCACCTAGAGGTGTGTCACGCGAGAAGATATTGACAGCTGGTGGCCAGACTCGCAAAGCCTCTCGGATAGCCGCCTGGAGATATGGGAGCTGTTTCGCTTCTAGAAGCGTGATGATGCCTTTGCCAGAAGCCGGGGCTTTGCCATCGCGAACGATCTCATCAACTTCCTGCTGCAGCTTCCTAATATACACGCGAGTTTGTCATGATGTATAAGAGGGCTCCAGGAATACCACTCGACGTTGAATCAGTGCCCGCAATAAGCTGCTCCAGGGCTGCTGACCACAATTCGTCGGCTGACAAGCCATGTCGGGTGAAGGAGGCTAGCATCCCTATAGACTAAAGGATGTCTATGACTGTATAGAAAGTAGCTCGATTTGCTGCGTTAGTATAGAAACATAGTATAGAGAGAGATTCTATACTATTCTAGTGAATATACCGATAACACTATGATGGCTAGAAGAGAGATCTATACTATCCTAGCATATTGTAGGAGCTATCACATAACGGTAAAAGTCTTTATTACATAACAGGTCATGGTGAAGGATATGTTGATGTTCTTGCACATGACTTACTCAGTGAAGTAACTTAGTGCTGCAGCAGCTCTATGAGCGACTACACCACCTACTGAAGGACCTCAAAATCAAGCGGATTAGGAAAAAGCAAAGTTCATACGCGTAGGTATTGTTTTAGTAGCTGTGCCTATGTGGGTGAATTGGCTGTGGGTGTTAGGGATAGGTCACGGAGTTGACGATAAAGGAGCGTTGATGGATGTTAGCTTTGATGCAAGACTTTTTTCCGAAGCTTCAATATACCTAGCTAATCACGGAGACCTCTCTGTTAGCTAATAGGACTCCTTAGTGAGCTATCTATTATAGTATAGATTTGTAAAGTGGCTAGATAACTTTTTCCTGTACTAGTATTTTGTATAGAAAAACCATACTACGGCATTATCAAGATTCTCTACTATCATAGTACCAAACGTTCATACTATCATAATTTGTAAGTTAGTTTGTAGTGATATCGGATCGTTGATCAGTCGAATTAGCCGCGCGCTTGTTAACATAGCGGAAGCATGCCGCGATCACCTTGCCAAACCCGTTATCGTCGGTGGGCGACGGTGCAACAAACTCGCCAATGAAAGGGGCATGGGCGAGCCAGCTAACGCCTAATGCAAGGGCAGTATTCCCAGCGGCCAGACCCCCCTCCCTAGGTCTGAGATACGGTAGTCATCAACATCCGAGTTTTTCTGTAGCATGCCAAATGTCTTCCCGAAAGCGAGGCCGCTGGTGACATCCAAAGTCAAGTACTGGATCTTTTCGACGAGGTCTACAAGAATGGCTCCAGCTTCCGAAGAGAGATACTTGGTACGGATGAGGTCAACGAATTCTTCAACCCTCAAGTGCTCTGGTCGACGGAGCTTTCGATATGCAGATTTTCTCTTCCGGAATACTAGAGCCCACAGTAAGTACCTGTGTTATCCTATGATCGAGCTATAGTAGCTTATTCCTGGTGCCACCTGCTTCCGTCTTTGCTCATATTTCGCATTATCTGTCTAGCTAAAGACATGTCCCTCCGATACTCGAGACGGCGTGCATTGTACTACCATTCGGAGCGCTTGTATTCAGGTTCGCTGTTCACATGAATCCAGACTTCATGTGAGGGCGTGACCAGGGTGTTGGTTGCCACTCACACAATGGGACCTGCCGGTATTGCCTATCAGTGAACGAACGTATCGTGAAGGACCTGCATTCGGGTCTTACCATGTTTCCGGTTAGCATCCTCGCAGAATTCGTGGCAACGACCCTGGAGCATTGCCCAGCTATAGGCCAGTCGCTTATGCCGGTCCAGCGGGAACCACCAAACTGGCGAAGCTTACAGTAGATGATGGACTTCCTAACGACAAAAAGCCGCAAATTCTTATTTCGTCGACGATCTACTAAGCAACAAATACACCGGAAAAGGTCACAGAGGTACTTCTGATACCTTTCGAGCCACCCTTTTATCACTAATAGTTCCTAATGGGAGCTCAGACAATCCGAATGAGACCAAATCGAAAACGATTGATGGCCCCCCTCGTAATTCTCGCTTTTTCTTTCTACGGAGCAATCGAGACTCGGTTTGAACTGGAGTCAATCACTGACTGACGTTGTAGTAGAGGGGAGAATGCATATTTGGACACCAGCGAAGTCATCTGAGTATAGATGTGTGTAAAACCACTTGTAGTATAAAAGTCTCAAGACGCTATCGGTTCCAGATTTGATATTCAACTAGTCAGACATTGGCCGCTGTTGGACAGACTAATATACAACATGAAGTCCCAACCTCGACCCTTCAGAGCTCAACCTATCTTGTGCATGGACATTGTATCAGTGAAATTCTGAACAACATACAGGTATCCATGGCCTACCCACGTATAGTGCTTTTGGAGACCCAACGAAGCAGCACAAGTAGGCTGGTAGTTAGTCTTCTAGACGATCATTCAAGCTCACATATGAGTGTTCAAAGCTCTTTTGAGACAACCAACGAAGTTCACCTAAGATCTGCTGGGAAATTCTAATTAGACCGTGGTCGCCGCCAACGTGAAGGAATAATTCACGGTAGGAAACGTGGCTTATGTATGCGCCTTCACATGGTTTCCGATTGTCTCAGTGGTGCGCGCCAACACCATTAACCCCACAGCCACACCCTGCAGCGCTTAAAGGAGCATGAATAGAAAGTAGACTACCACTGGAAGCACATGGAACATTCGCTTTTCATTTCTAACACTAGATACCTACATTAAAACTATCCATGGTACATTTCTGCTAATAACTATAAGACAAGTATATGGGGTCAATCCACGGAGTGTCTGATGTGACCACCGGACATGCACATGGAGTCGTCATTGCAATGATCTTAGGTCATCCGTGCAGCACGTAGAAGTGGATCAGTGATGGTTTCACACCAAGATTGCAAAGTTGTCCATGTCTTTGCTTCTCTTCTAGACCGGTAGTGTTCACGTGTATCGTGCAGAGCAAGACCCAGCGCGGGATCCAAGGCTTTATATACCACGAGCCATCCCATGCCTCGCCCTGTCGAGGTGGTGATCACCATGACCAACACTTGCCAAGTAAACTGGTTGCTAGGGACTTGCATACCCCGGACAGGAGACCGGTCTACTCGCCCTACGTCGACATCCCAGCCATCCTTACCCCACCTGCCAGGGTTAACGTGTAGGGCGAATACACAATACTCGTGGGCGAGCAATGACGGTGAGTCACACAAACTTCTCACCAGTGCAAACAAACAACGACCGCGCAATGCATGCGTGGGTTACGTTCTAATGCGTGAATATCAAGGACTTGCACAGCGCCAAATGCCAAGATCTAGACGCGAATGATAACATAACTTCATAAATTACTCGCCAATCGAGCGTATCTATCGTGTCTGCGAGGCCGGGGGTCTACTCTATTCCCAGGCCGAGAGCGGGTATTACTTCTATAACGCCATGCCCGAAATGCTTTTGTAGATGGAGAGACGCGCTAATTGATGGACTTTTGAGAGGAATGACGAGAGATCTGACAGGGAGGAGAGACTCGCTCGCTGAGACGCAACGTAAAGCAAGAAACGCAGCAGGAGCTAAATACCCCCTTATATTCTTGCCTCCCGCAGTATAGGCGACTTCTGTTCTTGGAAGGCTCGTCGCGACATCTCAAGCACCATCTCAAAGCCCTCGCGTCCCTTCGCCGCATTCTGCTGGAACCGCTCCACCGTGACTTCCTCCAGCTTGTTCTTGATCTTTGCCCAGCCGCCGCACAGTGCCGTGACCTCTGCTCGTTGCTGGAACTTCGTCTTCTTGCCAGGGTCACTCGAAGACGGGGAGTAGATACATGTTTCCCGCACGTTGAGCAGGTCCGACCATGTCATGTTCATCGAGCAGAGGGTCACGGACCGCTGCGAGGGGTCGACGTAAGAGGTTTCGTACACGAGGGAGGTGTCTTGGCCGCCGAGAAGGGAGAGGACCCATTTTGGGGCGGATTGCTTGCAGGTTATTAGACGTTCTGTTCGGAGCTGGGCATTGCGTTAGTGATGTGAACATGGGAGGAAGTGACGGGTGAAGGCTTACGATGCCAGTGGATGGATCCACAGTCCGGGACAAAGTGTCCACCGCGATAACGTGCTTGCAGCTCTCGTTCCAAGGCCCGTATTTCCGCCAGTTGCTCGTGCTGACCTCTTCCCATGAGTAGTCGAACTCGGTGTTTTGCTGGAAGATCTTCATTGTGTGGGTTGGCGCGCGGAGCGCGGAGCGGTGATAAGGAGTGTACTCGCGGTGGCGGTCGTGTGCGAGATGAGAGCCGCGATCGGAGATGTTGAGAAGCGACTTGGCGCGATAGGATCCGGTGATGCAGTCGTTGGATGTGGATGGAGGCCGGTGATGGCGTTGTAGTCGTGAAGGAGGGTGTTCGCAGGCAAAAGATGGAAAAACGCTCGTCTCGGCAAGGAGCAAGGGCCACGCGAAAGCCGGAGTGGTGGATCCGTGCGGTGTCGGGGGCTCGGCGTGGGTTCCGCAATGATTCTAGAACGTCAAACAAAGGCTGCAACGCTCTTGTTTTTATCTGCGTTGTTGCAAAGTTTCAGTGACGATATGCACAGAGAATAAGGATGCAAAAGTGCACGCGAGCAGTGTGATAAGAGACTTCGGTTGTTGTTAGGCCCTGGATGGAAAGCGGCGGCCCTGGATCTTCACAAGCCAGTAAAATCAGCCAATGACGGCCTGCATAGTCAGCCTCTGAGCACATCCCACTCGTGTGCTTCGCCCGAGATCTTCCGATGACGTCGCATTGCCGGAACTGCTCGCCTTTCGTTGGACCGATGCGACGAGAAACTTCGGGCGTGGGGAACTGTGGATTCGTGCGAGCATTTGTGGGTTTCGTGAATGTCCATCCCCGGATTTCAATCTTCTCATATGCGTCATAGCGAAGATCGACTCGTCGTATTCTGTCTTGAAGGCCGATCTAAGGAATTCACGGCGTCCGGACGCTCTCAACAATTGCGGACAGGCTACCGGGAGATGATTCAAAACAGACGAAGTATCGGGCAATGTAAAATATTTGCCGTTTATTATACAATAACGTACAAGTACATGGTCCGAAGAGCTGTCCATCCGGACGCTACGATCCAGATCCTAATCTTACATATCGTTGAGCTCACAACGCCGTGTGCGACTCATTCACCGGCGCTGTACGTGCCTCGCCGCACCAGAGGGGGGTATAAAGAGGAGAGGTACAAAAACGCCTGAAATGCCTGATACCCAAGTCTCATTATTCGTCGTCTTCATCAAGCGGAGCAATGCCCGCCGCCGTCAGGCCAAATTGCACAGCATCCCTGCGGTCCCAGAAGTACTCTCGCATCCATGCTGCTACCATGTCCAGAGCCGAGATCGCCGAAGTGCTGCTCCAGAGGTGGTCGTGTCGCGTCCATGGCATGTTCTGCCATATCGTGTCAGGATATCTCTGTCGAAGCGTCCGGAGTAGACTTGGTGGGCCTGTTGCGCGTTTCTGGTAGAGGACGCCTGATTGAGCCAACCTGAGAATTCCTGAAGAGACGCAGAACACTGCCGTCATGCCCGGACTGGCCGACTGGGTGGTGAGGAAGGCGGTAGCGGAGACTGGCAGTTCGCTTGCTGAAAATGAACCAGGTATGACCAGGATGTCGAACTGAGGCGCATCGTCGAAGGAATTCTATGCGGTCGTTAGTCTGCGAACCTTTTGACTCAGAGATAGCAACGTAGTGAGGGGAAGGGTAACCTTTCTCCTTGCCAGATTCTCTCAGCAAGCCGAGGAAGCAAAACCATGGGAATCCGGCGCGACCAAGGAAGGCTCATTGGCCAGGAGTAATGGCTCGTGGGTGCTCGCAATGGATAAGCAACCTGGATCAACCTCGCCCATACAGTTCTACATCTGTTACTCCAGGTTCAACTCCAGGAAGGCTGCTGCATTAAGGTTCGCACCTGGATGCTGCATAGTTTCTTTAGGTGGGCGTATGGTGGATCCGAAAGTAACATGCAGCAGAACTCATGTGCGAGGTGTCCGGCTTGTTTCGTCACCCATTGTGGCTCGTGATCACTAGCTGATACAGTCTAGCTCACCGTCACTGGCATTCGAGCGCCGGAGGTGATAGCAAAAGATCCCTCTCCGCTCTCGTTCACATATCGAATATCGAGCTCGTCCACGGCTTGGTCTTGAGCTGCGGCCGGTGCATTTAGTCGAGTGAGTCCATTCCTTCCAATCTTGGCCAAGAGGTCGACCACGGCAAGATCCATCATTTGGATTTGCTCATTACCGAAGATCAACACGCCGATCTTCAAGGAGGACTTCGATGGTGGTGCATAGTGGATGTTCAGATCCTCTTCAGATGTGGAGGACGTTGTGCAGAAGTAGAAGAGGTCTGCAGAAGATGGAAATGATGTATATCCTCTTGATGATGGGGAAGGCATGAGGACATATATAGCGAATACTAAAAGAGAGTTGTCGGAAACACAGACGATGATGCAGAAGTGTGGTGACGGAGGACTGACAGTGGTGTGATAACCTTACTTTGCAGCCTGACGGTGGTTCTTATACCACGACAATGGAGCGGATTAGTACCTCCCCACGTCTAGGAACCGGAAGTGACTCTGGATCCTGACACATTACGCCAACATAGTCACACGCCTTTCTGCCTGCTCAAAAATATACGAGTGGCTGCCCGTGCAGATCCAGCGGGTAGTTCAGCCCCAGGGCAGGAGTGGGTTTGACCGCTGCAGTCGCTAGCGGGATGACCGAAGCGACACCTACCAAGCATCGTGAACGGCCCGGGAGCGCCACAAACTGCGCGTACAAGTGCTATGGGCGACGCGACTGTTCAAGGTGTCCTTTTGCATAAGATTGCGTTGCGTATACTAGTGCGTCACTATGGTGGTAGGAAGGCTGGCGGCTTGAGAGGCTCGCAGGCAGCAGAATTCGCTGACGTCTGGTTGGAATAAGCTCCACCGGGACACGGAACAAGTGGCAGGATCCCTGAGGGCTGAACCAGAGTTTGGGTCAGCGGAATGCCTCCAATCTGATTAGATGGAGGCTGTGTGAAGGCTCGCGAGGACAAAGTCGGGACGCTTACGGCTACTTGTCCCTCTGAGGAAGTCGATGGGGGAGGCCCGGTATTCCAGGCACGAATTCTGCTGGTCATCCGCCTCTGTGACGGCAGCTTTCGGGGCAGCAAGCCCAAGGAGATAAAGCTGTGCGAGGGTGAGTCAAGGTACTGTCCTGGACGGAGCTCCGACTTCTCCCGCCGCACGCGACCGAAGCAAGTCTCCTTCCAGAAGGCGCGCTCGACAGGACACCGAGACGCCGAAGGGCAGGCACGCTGGGTGACTTCATGCTTCATGCTTCACGGAGAAATGGCTGCGAAAACGGCTTGGCTTGTACGGTTTACCTAATGATTTGGCCATCTCCCTTGTTCTTAAAACGCAGGGTCCTCCACGAAGGTCTCTCTTCCTGCTTCACGGACCAGTTGCAAGCTTATGGGACGGTTCGAAGTATTTCATTCAGATCTATAACTCCAAGGCCTATCCAACACTGCAACGCAATGTGAGGCTCGCAGAAGCCTACCATATGCAGATAACCCATCGCTCGCTGAAGAAAACCTGGTATACCGAAGATGCAACCCAACAACCCAAGACATGCAGTGCGGGACTAGACATCCCTCGTCTCGCCGTCGGCGGTGCCCGACTTGACGGTCTTTCCAGTCTTCTTGATCTTCTCGAGAACGGCGTCGTAGCTGAGCGAGTCTTCGGTAACGATCTCGGCGGTCTGGCTCTCTAAAGACACGTTGTAGGACTTGACACCTGGAACAGTGTTAGCCTATGCAGTCACGACCACGGGCTGTGTGCGCACCATCGAGCTTCTTCAGCACGCGCTCCACGGCGCCGGAGCAGCCGCCGCAGCTCATGGCGACCTCGAACTTGTAGTTGTGTTCAGACATGGCGTGGATGTATGTTGTGTGTTTCGGTGCAGGTATGGTATGAGCGAAGTGGGCTGGCGGGGTAGGATATGTAGCTATGTCGATATTGAGGCTAACTTTGGGCAGCGGGCCGCTTTATATGTTGGTGTCCGGCTTGAATAAGGGAGTTTCGTGACCGTGTTGCAATCGGCTAGATTACAATATACTGGGGCTCCGCTGCTGACAATTCACTCTCTGCCCGGAGAGTTGACACCTGCGGCGATTCACCACCGTAGCGGCCCCTCGCTTCCAAACGGAAAGGTGTCAACAGCCGCCATGAGCACCCAAAGGGTGGCGCGAAACGTGCTCATTGCTTAGTGAGTGCGAATGCGGATGCGCCACAGGTGCGGCTCGTTGTGCAGGTTACAGGTGGATTATGCCTGTAGAGGCATCCTGCAAAGCATGGCGTATGGCGTGCGACCTCTGTCAAACCACGACTGCACAAGACCATGACCGTAGTCCACTGTTCAGAGAAAAGACGAAGATGATCGCGTGTGCGTGCTTGCCTGCAGCTGTGCCCCGCGTGCCCAGGCCCGGCGCCACTTTCAGGGCCCTGCCGACGTCACACTCTTGCACAGCTCCTCTACCACCGCAGTAAACAATCGCAGCGCACCTCTGTATATAGCCAGTGATGGCTTCGTAAGTCCTCAGACCACTCGGCTCGGCTGTCCGAATCTAACCCTCATGCGTAGCAATATACTGTTCCTGCCATTTCGGCGCTCGCACTCTGTGAACCTTTCCGAAGCCATCAAGCAGTACATTTCGTCCAAATATGACCAGCACCCCGACATGTTCACGAAGGACCTAGAAGCTATCGAGAAGATGCGCTCTGTGGCCGTACACGCGCAGGAACCCCATCCTAGTAATATTCCAAAGCTTCAGACGTACGCAGCCCAGCTCGTGTGGATAAGTGGAAAGTTTCCAATCGACATCGGCGTCGAATTTCCATGGTATCCCGCCTTGGGATACAACACAAATCGTCCTATTTCTAGGAACAACATCCGATTCGAGCTAGCGAACATTGTCTTCAACATCGCGGCCATGTACTCGCAGCTCGCCATGTCATCGAACCGAAGCACTCCGGACGGATTGAAGGCCGCGGCCAACAACTTCTGTTTGGCTGCGGGCACCCTCGTCCATCTACGCGATATCGTTCTTCCGGAGCTGCGCACCACACCACCTGAAGACATGGATACAATGACGTTGGAGTGCTTGGAGAAGCTTGTGCTGGCGCAGGGACAGGAGTGCTTTTGGCAGAAGGCTGTCAAGGATGGTCTCAAGGACGCAACAATCGCGAAGCTCGCAGCCCGAGTGTCGGACCTCTACAACGAAGCTAGCGAGGCAGGCATACAGTCGGATGCGATTAGCAGCGAGTGGATACACCACATGTCGGCAAAGCATCACCACTTCGCTGCTGCTGCCCAATTCCGCGCTGCATGCGATTGCTTGGAGAAGCGGAAATACGGAGAAGAGGTAGCAAGGCTACAGGATAGTTTGGCATGCGTCAATGAGGCCCTCAAAGAGCAGCGCTACATCAACAAGATTGTGCAGGGAGATCTGAACGGACTGAAAAATAGGGTGACAGAAGACCTGAAGCGTGCAGAGAAGGATAATGACATGATATACCTGTTACCGGTTCCCCCCAAAGCAGAGCTGAAGATCCTTGATCGAGCCAATATGGTGGTTGCACGAGTGCCGAAAGAGGTGGCTGATTCGAACTCGCTGCTAGGAGATCACGGCGAACTTGGTCCCGCACTCTTCTCGAAGCTTGTGCCTTACTCTGTTCATTTGGCGGCCAGCATATACGCCGATCGACGAGATCGACTGGTCAATAGCAATATCGTCGAAGAGCTGGAAAAGCTGACGGCCGAATTACACGACATCTTAAGGAGCTTGAACCTGCCTGGCTCACTTCAAGCGCTGGAAAAGCCCCTTGGAATACCTCCTGGTCTCATGGCTCACGCGGAGGAAATTCGACAACAAGATGGGCTGAACCGACTGCACCGCTCGATGAAAGATACCAAGAAGCTTAAGGAGAATGACGCGGCTATCTTCCGTGAAGGGTACGATATGCTACATTCAGAAGCTGCAGAGGACGACGCAGCTCGACTCAAATACGGAACCGACCGATGGTCACGGCCACCAGCACGGCAAGCGGCCCCGAAGTTGTACGCACAGATTGATGAGATAAACGGCTACTTCAAGGCCGCCGAAGGTAGCGATTCGATTGTGGGGACCAAATTGACCGAAAACGAAAAGCTTATTGCCCTCCTCAATGGCTCCGACTATGACATCGAGAACTATGTACCTAGTGGACGGCGACCAGCTATCACTGGCGATGTCGAGAGGGAAGCTGGCAAGCTCCGGGGAAGCTTCAACGAAGTCAGCCGTCTCGAAAGCAGGAGGAGACGGAAGGTCGAAGCGCTGCGGACGAAGGCGAAACAAGACGAAATCAGTACGTAGCCCGCGTTTTATCGATGATGCATGCTTACGGCCTTACAGATCCCGAGCTACTGCGCGAAGCCGCTCGCTTAGAGCGGGAGTACCCTATGCAGAACATCGAAGCTGCACAATTCGAGGCGCTGTTCGATAAGCGGCTGCAAATGTACGACGTTGATCTGGAAATGGTCAAGGAGGAAGCGAGGGAGCAACAAGACGCGATACAACGACTACAAAACGCTAATGCGGCTTTTGTAAATGCTCGGAGAGGTGACCAGTCCACCAAGCAGCGTGAACAGGCTCTTCAAAGCCTGGAAAACGCATACTACAAGTACAAGGAGATCATTGCGAACTTGGACACTGGACGCAAGTTCTATAATGATCTCTCCAAGATTGTCTCCAGGTTCCGGGACGATTGTCGAAGCTTCGTCTACCAACGAAAGCAAGAAGCTTCGCAGGTCGAGGGGTACGCTCCTGCTTCACCACTTTTCGAACACATGCTAACGAAAATTAGTGACATCGCAAATTCAATGAGCGCGCTTAGTCTCCAGCAAGCCAACGCGAGCTCATTACAGCAACAACGCCAGGAGGATGCCCAGAATCCACAATACGGTGCAGCAGCTCGAGCCGACGAGCCATTGACAGCCCCCACACCTACACGGGCCAGCGTAGGACCCGGCATGTGGACACCAGAAATGCCCATTCGATTTGCTGCAGTGCCGACGGCGTCTGGCGGCGCGCGCCCTGCAAATGGACCTGCGCAGGATGGACGATGGGATCCTACCAAAGGTCTGAAGTTTGGGTAAATCTCCGGTAGCACGAGCGGGTGTCTCGTGTGGACGCAAGACAGCCTCACGCACGATAGATGCTGTAGCCGCAGTGTAGCGATGATTTCTGCTGGAACTCAAAGCTACATCAACACCGGCCGGGCATAACAGCGCACAAATAATCTATTAATAAAGCAGCGGCTGATGATGTAATAAAGCCGTTGGAAAGAAAATCCCGATGCTGGTGGGTGTCGCATGTGGAGTGGGTTGGACATGATGTGGAAGTGGGAAATCTGCCTCGTGGGGAGTTGCGCCTTGCACAGCCCCCCGAAGCGGAACGATGCACGGTGGTGGGCCGTGATTTGTTATCGCGGGCATGATGCGGTCGCTTACGGGGATCCCAAGAGCCTGACATAATGGGAGCAATTGGATGGACTTCAATATTATTGAATATGATCGAAGTTACCGGGCGGTTAGGCATGGCATGAGCGTGTGATGCGGGTGCAAGTGTTTGCGACACATGCGACTGTTCAATTCAATATTGCCGGAGATCAAGAGGGTGTGATGGTCTTGCGCTTGGGAGATATTGAAATTGACCGGCGAATCGAGGACACAGTCAAGACGAACAGCGTGCGGACTGACGACTAGCTCGTCTAGTGCTGATGAGGGTCCCGCGAAAGTACACTCTGTCGACCACACGCAGGGAGCCCCCTTTCATCACCCGAGTGATATTGAACGGCAAAGACACCAGCGTCGCAGCGAAGCTTGTTCTTTAAGCAATCCCCATCTTTCATGCGATCCTGTGCACGTTACCGATCCTTCCTACTCGGTCGCCCACGCGGTATTGCTAGGCGAATCGTCTCGTTGAGCACTCGGCGCGCCGTTCACCGCGGGATCATCGCGGGCAATCCAGTCGCCCGCCTCGCCTTGAGCGTTTCAGTGCTGAAACCAGGCCCCGCTGGCACATGTTGACGTCGTGTTGTTACTTTTAGCAGCTCGCGCCTGGAGGCTAGTGTGGTGGGCTGTGTCGACGCCGCGAACTCCCCAACGCAAAGGTCAAAAGGCCACAGCCACCGTTCACCAGCCGCACCACCCCAGGGGCTAGTGACGGACCACTCAGAACGAGGCGCACGAGGCTTGTGCGAAGAGCGTCCTCGCAGTCGCATCACCCCAGGAATAGACACACGCGCACCTCACGCCCGCCAATCCACCATGGATCGCGGCCGCTCTCGCTCCCCGTCTCATATAAGGCACCCGTCCGCCAGTCCTGCCGGCCACCCACCGTTCGGTACGTCTGGTCTCGGCCTCGATCAATCGCTCTCGCAAGACCCGGGCTCCAGCTTCCACCAGGTCACCACTGCGGGGCAGCCCTACGACCAGTCGCAGTACCTCACCACCACGCAGCCGCAGCAGTTCGCGCACCCCGCCGCCCTCGACCAGAGCTTCCTGCAGACCAATAACTCCTCCCACCACGGCACCCCGAGCCCGCACTTCGGGCCCCAAGGCAACAGCATCGCGCCCGACCCGCTCAACATCAACAGCAGCAGCAACAGCAGCAACATCGACTTCAGCCTCTTCCCCGACGCCAACGCCCACTCGCTCAATCAGAACCAAGCCATTGACCCCTCCTTCCTCAGCAACTCGCTCGACCCGCAGCTGCTCGACTCGACTCAGCCGCAGAATCAGTCCGTCAACCCCTCCGATCTGATGAACCAGATGGCCACCACGCAGGCGCACTCACCCACGCCACCTCACCTGCTGCCCGGCATGAACCAGCGCAGTCCCAGCCCGCACGCATCGCCGAACATCAACCAGGGCGCATTCTCCTCGCCAGGGCACTCTCGTCATGCCTCGCTAGACCCCAGCGCGGCATACGGACAAGCGAACGAGTGGGGCAACATGGCAGCTTTCAGAGGACACCGACGAACACCTTCAGAGACCTACAGCGATGTTTCGTCGGCACACGCGTCGCCGTATCTGGGCAACCAGGACAGCTTCGACGAGGGAAACCCATCGCCGCTGCTCAACGCTCAGAATGACCCCTCCCTGTTCCAGGAGGTCATGCAGTTCGGCCAGTTCAACCTCAACGATGCTCAATCGCACATCAGTCCCGGCCACAGCCCTCACATCTCTCCGCGACTGATGCCGCAGCAGCAAGCACTCCCGCAGTTCCAGCCCGGCACCTTTGGCTTGGACCCCAATCTGCAGAATCAATATGCACAACAAAGCATGGGCGCATACCAGGGACAGGAGCCATTCCCGTCGATTAATCAAGTTGGTCCCGTGCCTGAATTTGGCCAGGCCGACACCATGTCACCGCCGGAGATCAACATTGATTTCGCGCCACCCTCGCGGCAAGCGAGCTTTGAGCCTCCAAAGCCGGAGCTGCAGACCGATGCGCTTAGCCCGCCCGACAGATGTAAGGACTTCGAGTGGTATTCATTTCGATAACTAACAACAAGCAGCACGCAGCCGCAACCGAATACGCGCCAAATCGGACCCGTTCAGCAGTGCTAGCTCCCGTGCCTCAACTCCTGGCCTTGATCCGCTCGAAGCAAATAGGTCACTGTCGCCCGGTGCCGCCAAGGGCTCCCGCTCACCGTCACCTGGTTCTACGAAATCCTCACGTCGCTCCTCCACCTCTAGTGTGCCTCACCGTGATTACATTCTTGATCTCGCCGATCCATCCCGACCAACTTCGAATGCGCCCGACGGCTCGAGTGCGAAACGGACACAGAAACACCCTGCAACCTTCCAATGCAACCTTTGCCCCAAGCGTTTCACACGTGCCTACAACCTCCGATCACATTTGCGCACTCACACTGATGAGCGTCCTTTTGTCTGCAGCGTTTGCGGCAAGGCTTTTGCTCGCCAACACGATCGTAAGCGACACGAGGGTCTGCACTCGGGAGAGAAGAAATTCATTTGCCGTGGTAATTTGAAGGACGGTAACAATTGGGGATGCGGTCGACGCTTCGCTCGTGCGGACGCTCTTGGCCGACATTTCCGCTCAGAAGCCGGTCGCGTATGCATACGTCCACTCCTCGAAGAAGAAGCCCAGGAAAAGGGCCACTGGGACGGCCAAAATCAGGCCATGGATAACTCCAACGGCATGTTCGCGCCCATGCCCCACCAAGGCTACCCAGGCATGATGGCCCCACAGCCCGGCTACGAAGCTTTTCCCCCTGTTAGCGGCGGCCTAGAGCCCGGCCCCGTCCCGCAATATGGTCTTCCCGCCGCGCTTCTTGCACAGTATCCTGCGCTTGCAGGTCTAAACTGGAATGAACTGTCTGCTGGGGCGCCAGAGGATGTTGACGATGTTAGTGGCAGGAGTAGCTTTGATGCTAGCAGTGGAGGTGAGATGTTTGACGACGACGGAGAGTCGTATCCTGCGCAGCAGTATGGCTGGGCGAGCGACTATGAGGCTAACGCGAGGTAAAGGGCTTGGGATTTCTTACATGTGATCTTCTCCTTTTCACTCACGGCTCGCTTAGTCGCCTGTATGTGACCTGAGGTGCGATTTCTTGACGACTGATTTTACGATGTACGGACGATTCTGATCTTCACTTTATTTTCTCGGATACCACTGTCATTGCTGGTTGGCTAGGCGGCTTTTATGAGGTGTTTGTTTGCGTGCGCGCAGTTGGGGTTGCTATACCCGGATGGTTCACGAATATGAGTGCGCGGATTTGGAGTTCTTCTGCCTTTGGGCACGCGCCGTCTGATGCTATATAGAAATAGAGCGCTGGATCTAATGCGAATATTCTGCCACTTCACTATTATTCCGTATTGAAACCAGCTTTTTCGAGCCCATGGCCATCCATTGGCGGCTGGGTACGTCCCCACCAGATCCCATCGTCCAAGATGCTCCCTCTATGCCCAAGGACCATGTAACAGGTCCACGGACGTCACGATAAGCTCACTCACCCGCCACCGGTGTAAGACTGACGCCAACGGGCAGCCTTATCTGACCCATACCAGGACAGGTAGACGGGTGGCGCAGGTTAACGTGGCGGTGGTGGCGCGTAAGCTGGGTGGCAATGAGTTGGGTTGGGGGCCGAGGCGGACTTGGTGAGTTGGAGGGTGGACTTGGGACCTGGGGAGAGGACTGGATGTTGGGTTGAGTGGAACAATAAGAGAAGCACGTGTAGGGCCAATGCCGCCGTGTCGGTGGGTTGAGCGTGGGTGAGGTACATTATGTGCGGGTGATTGTACGGGACGGTTGGTGGGACAAATATCCATGTATAGGCCGGAGATTCCGCGAGGATGTTTGTGTGCCGATTCGAGACTTATGAGAACTGCTGTGAGTACGACGGTGGGTGGTCGACGGTATTTCATCGTTGTAGGGAGTGGACGGACGAAGAGTGCGCAAGCGGAGCTGGTGTAGTGGCTATGCACGTCCACGTATAAGATTTGGGGTTTGGAATTCAATTTCGAGCTTAGGGTTTTGGATGTGAGGGTGAACATGCGGGTTCGAGGCTGATGTGTAGGGAACGCATTGGGCTCTATGTACGTCTGGGATAGGATCGGGACTATGCTGTTGGCTGGAGGAGTTGATTAGAAAATTGTAAGGAGCGTCTGAGCCACGAACTCGATTGGTGAGCAGCAACGTAGTGTGGGATGGAGGAAATGGGGTAACATGATTATGCGAATGGTATTCAAAATATTGCCGTGCTTGAAAGGTATGAGAGACTGGAGTGTTAGTACGTTGGATACTTGGAGTGTAGCGTGGGAAGAGTGAGCACTCAATTTGAACGCTGTGTTGTGTGTAGTGTGTCGAAACAGTCCAAGAGTGATCAGTGAGGAATAGTAAGGTCAAACAAAAGTTCTACATCGTGAGCTTATATTCCACCCTAAGAGTATGTTTTTCCACGCCGCGCCCAAATTCGACTATACTGATAATACAGACTGTGTTGTCTTCCCCAGGCCTGTCCGCTCAGCAATTCCGTCTATTGATTCGATTGACATTGAATCCAATTTCAGACGAATCATCCTTGTTGTTCCCGTATTTCGTCTCCAGCCACCGGCCTCGCAGATAGCAATATGAGTTCCTGAAAACTGTCTTTGCCCTGCGTTGATTTGCAGTCCAATTTTATCAGGGAGTACCTAGCCTACCATTCCTTTGTCGTTGGCGCAAATTTGGAACTCGCGAATTCCATTTCTCGCATTTCCAGGCTCCAGGTTGCTTTATAATGACACGGCGGACTTGTCTATTCTGATCCTCAACCCGACCGAGAACGTTCAGAATTATGTACCGAAAATCCTTTCGTCGAGCTAGGAGAGATATGAGTCGTTCTTTCATAAGTAAAGGCCTTGATCGCGTCATTTTCAACGGGGAGGCGAGCGATGAATTCGCATAGTTGGGTTCAGATCCGCATCAAAGGGGTGGGCCCTCTTCAAATAAGCCTGCTGAGTCGCAAATGGCCCCGGAGGTACTCGATAGTGTCATAGATAATCCAACAACAACAAAATTTCTGCCAGTCCTTCATTGTCACCACGTCCGATTCGGCGTCAGTATCCGGTGGCTCTGGAATGTGTACTATAGAGCGGGACCCGGTACAACTTACTAAAACCACCCGTCCACGACCTGCTATGACAACTTTGCCTTCGCTGTAATGGTGTCGTCGGCTGCTAAAGCAGCGCGATATCGAAATTGAGAGTGGGAGGCCGTCTACATACAAACTATCACAAACAGTTTTCAGGAGTCCGGAAAAGGCATCCCAAGCATCATCCGCATGTTCTGACAGCCTCCCCCTCTCAATTCCAGTCTTCGACTGTTTACATAATCCGAGAGCGTAATATTCGTTCCACGACCGTACGACAATCTATGCAATCCCGTCGTAGCCTGGGAGCCAATCACATTAGCCCGAGAATACCAAGGACGGAACGTAGTATGAGAGAGCTGACATGCGAGATGTTTGGTAAAGATTCAAATGCTGTGATGACAGGAAAAAGCACGAACGGAAGGCTCACGAAATGGGCACCTGAGTGGACATGAAAAGCCCAAAAGGACGATACAGCGCCTAGGTGGGGAGTTGCATTTACATGTCTGAAATGCTGCTAAAGATGAAGCCATATAATTCATCAGAAGTCAAAAAATTGCTCGTGTAGGCCAATTCAAGAAGAACGCGTTAGCTGTTGTAATCGAGAACGAGAATTGTGACATTATGATTCGGAAAGACGGAACAGACGACAAGAATTTCCTGTTTTGGCTGAATCACCGCTATTGCAACTTTATGCAACTAAGTTATGAAATCGTAGTGACGTCCGGAACCGACGATCTCGTCGAGGTCCTCGTCTTGTAGAATTCCATCGAAATTGCTCAGAACTCCAGCGACACCTTACCAATGGCCTTGCCACCCTCAATGATATCGTGCGCTTTCCTTACGCCTGCTTCGTCAAGCGTTAATTTTTGTGTGTTATGGCACTTCACTTCCTTATCGTCCAATAGATCTCTTAGACGCTCTAGGATCTTGCCATGACTCTCCGGCTGCACGCCATAGTACGGCTTGGTGCCTAGCAGCGCCCAAACGAAGGTCAAGCTCTTAGCCATGAACTCAGTCCCATACATTGGCATCTCTTTGTCTTGCACAATTGAGCAAACTTTCCCGAAAGGCGTCAGTATCTTAGCAGCAGGCCCAAGGTAGCCCGAAGTTGGAGTATGCGTGATGAACACATACTTAATCGGAAGGTTCAGCTTCAATTGCTCAACTTGCTTCACCAGATCCTCGCGATGATTAACGATATGTGTGGCACCTCCAACCTCTTTCGAAAACTTGACGGTCTCCTCCCTTGAGGCTGTCGTCACCACAACAGGTAGTTTCAGAACGTGTCGCGCAATCTGGCTCGCTACACTGCCAACGCCTCCTGCTCCATTCACGATGAGGATGCCAGCGTCTTCTCCTTCCTGGATCTCCATACGCTCTACTAGCGCCTCCCACGCTGTGATCCACGTCAACGGCATACTAGCAGCTTGTCCCCAGTCTAAGCTCTTCGGTTTGAATGATACACTCCGCGAGTCAACGATTTGAAGTTCTGCGTTACTGCCATGTCGAATGGGTGAGCCAGCGTAGAAGACCTCGTCGCCAGCTTTGTATTTTCTGACATCTGGACCAGCACTTTCGACCACACCAGCGGCGTCGAACCCAAGGATCTGAGGAAGTCTAGGCGCCCGGTCGTAATAGTCTGGGTAGTCGTCGTAGACACCTGCTCGGACTTTTGTGTCGACCGGATTCACCGAGCAGGCTTTGATGCGAACGAGGATGTCGTGGCCTTTCGGATTTGAGGGTTTCGACATTTCGATGTTCTGAATGTTGTTGACGTCACCGTACTTTGTGACAGCTATAGCACGCATTTTCGACGTATCGGGAGACATAATCGGCATGTGCAAATACTCAGCGTTTGAAACTCCACGTTTGCAGATTGACCGCATTGCATTTCTTTCGACGATTATCATATACGCTGCTGGTCCTATCTGCCGATACACGTCAAGATGACTATAATCTTCTTGACGTCATGCCGGCAGACCCACAACAGCTCGTGAAATTTTGTACTGTGTGTTCCAATCTCCCACATGAGGTAGGCCAGATGTTCCCATGCTTGGCTACGCTGCCTGCACGTAGCCGAAAGCCTCTATGCCAAGCTGACATGTCAACGTTTGGGACCGACGAACAAGGATCCTCAACATCAGCCATTAGCGCGCAAGTAACAGAGCCTAGCGTGGTTAGGTAATCAGCCCTGGTGAATCCCGCACACCGATCACAAGTCCGTCAGTGATCAATACCTTGCATAGAATGTGTATTGTCAGCAAAGCAATAGCCACCAATAACGGTTCTAAGAAAACCTTTACGGCTTCCATGCCACGGGTCCACTATCTGATAGACTTTGTTCAGAACAGCATCAATCTTTGATCCCTTGTACTGCGATGATACAATATGGATAGATGTAGCATGCGACTAATCACTTTCGCACGTGTCGATCTCCCATAGCCCCGCCCCCGCAAACCTCAGAGACGTGCTCGCTCTGTCCGGTCCATGCAATAGTGGCTCATCAAGTGATCCATCACCCTCGTCTGTCTCATGCCACAGATGATCTCGACGTGCTCAGACATGGATCTTGCAGTACCTTTCAGAGCACCGAGTTCGCCGGTGCTGCAGATAATCGGGCCATGTGTCACACAGCGCTTAACGCCTGTTGGCGAATTTCACGGAGACGTGCTGCGACTTCTATATCGATTATTAAAGCGGAAGGTGACGTTGTATCAAGGCATTTTGTTAACTTTAGCGTATCCGTGTGCGGCAATAGGTTAATTTCGACTTCCCAACGTAGTACAAGGAGCGACTTCGAATCATTCCAGTAGCCCTAATTAGGAAGAAAGCTTACATCTTGTCGATCTCAACCGAAATTTGCTCTTCAGCTTGAAGCACGGCTACACAGTCAAAGTGTTACATAACAGCGGATAGTAAGCGCTCTATAACCGCGCCTTACCTAGGTAATGCCTGAACCTGGGAGTTGCAGATCCAAGGCGCCTGTCACAATAAAATCAGAATCTACACGACCTCGGTGGAATGGATTGGATCCTACGTGTACCACACCGCCCCAGGGTGATCTTCTATGTCACGGTGTTAAGTTTTGCTGGAGAGCTGTAGCCAAAGATCAGAGATCGTAACGCGTTACAAAAACAGGCTTGCTCACCGCCGTAGAAGCTCAAGCTGATTAGCAGGTCGTCGTACCACCCTGCCATCTTGAAATACCTAGGTAGTTGCGCTGGGCTAACAACGGTTGTCAAAGAGAAGCATGTGACTCGGGTCAGCTGAATACCTTGCATGCCAGGGACGGGTGTCAAAATGATTAGGGAAGTTGCGCTTGTGTGCCTTTGCGAACGAATTATTTCTAACTTGTTAGTAATTGACTACAGGTGAGAGTAAGAGACACCAATAAATAGTGGGTTAACACCTAGTATACGAAAGAATTTGAACGCTCAAAGCGCCTGCCTGACAACCCGTCGTAAGCTTTCAGCGCGTTGTCGTGTATAATTCAATTGGCGAGTACACATGGCTAAGCCGTTGAGCCTTCATCCCGTGTAGTGTACCAAGATCTGGGAACTCACAAGCACTAGACCAAATTAGGGAAGAAGAGATGTAGGGGAATCTTGATTCGGAATTAGCACAGATCACGGAAGTAAGACGGATTTATCTGATTGAGTCTGTTACAAACCGCTCAGACTGTAAATGATGAAAAATCAAGAATTATTTGTTTCGACAGCGCATATAGACAATGAAAGGGTCGAATACGAAATATGTGTAGTATTGACATTGAAGCGACTGATGGTAATTACAATCTGGTCTAACGGGGTATGCAGATGATTAGGTTAACACAAGGACATGGCCAACACCATGCCCTTCAACAGAGGCGACCGGAAAAGCAGCTACGCCTGCGCTCCACTCGCTCCACGACGCTCCATACTTTTAGACAGTCTTGTGCTCGTTCTCGTCGCTGTTGGCATCCGTAGCCTTGTTGGCGACAGGCCCGCCCGTAATGCTCTCACCACCCATGTCCCAGTCCATGGCGAGGTCCTCAAGCGTCCTGCGCTTGGTCTCAGGAATGAGCAGCGTGGTGAAAACACCTGCGAACATGAAGGCAGAGAAGATCTGCATGACGTGGTTGAGCCATGGGCTGGTGTCCTTAGCACCTGTCACGTAGCCGCGGGTACGCAGAGGAGCGATGGCACCCTGAGCAATGATCGAACCGATCTTTCCAGAGCCGGCAGAGATACCGTGGGAGGTGGAACGGTAGCGGGTAGGGAAGCACTCTCCGGGAACAATGAAAGTGGTAGTGTTGGGACCCCAGTTGAAGAAGAGCTGGATGAGGACGTAGATGGCAAGCATAGCATGGCTGGACAGGTGGTGGTAGGCGAAACCCCAAACGATGAAGAGGATTGTGAGGAAAGCGAACCCAATCAGCTGGAGGGGCTTGCGGCCAACGACGTCGATAGTAGCAACAGCAAGCCAGTATCCAGGGATGGCACCGGCGCAAGTAAGAATGGCGTTACCGGCAGCAAGGTTGTACAGCTGCTGATAAGCATTAGAACCACTGCCATAGCCGATAGCCTGGAGGACGGTAGAAGCGTTCAGACCGAGACCGTAGAAGGCAACATCGAGCAATAGCCAAGACATGGCAGTGCCGAACAGGATCTTTCCGTTGCGGAGCTTGCTGTAGAAGCTGAAGAAGTCGGACCATGAGGCCTTGGGCACCTCGAGCTGCTCAACCGAAGCACGACGGGCGGCAATAGCCTGAATCTCATCGGGGTGACCCTCACCGTGCTTGCCGGAGAGGTACTTCTCAGTATCAGCGTTGGCCTTTTCGATGTCACGAGCAACATCGAAGGTGTAACGCGGGGTCTCGGGGATAGTGAGACGGTAGTAGAGAGCGATAGCGGCGGGAACGACGCCGATACCGATAAGAGCCCTCCACATCTTGTCAACCGAGACGGCGCAGTCACCGACGCAGTTCTGGTAGTTGGTGGTCTTGGGGGTGGTGGTAGCGACAGCGCTAGAAAGGGAGTCCTTGAAACCGGCAGTCAAGCAGAGCATGACCAGAGCACCAGCGAGCTGTCCAAGACCTTGCATGGAGAAGACAGCGGCCATCATGGCACCACGCCACTTGGTGGTAGCAAACTCGGAAGTGATGATACTTGAGAGCGGGTAGTCACCACCGATACCTATTTTCGGTAAGTTTCGGGGTTAAGTGCGAGGGGAGCGTTTGGAAATAGCATACCAATACCCATGAGTACACGCCAGAAAATGATCAGACCAACAATGCTAGTGCCCGGACCAGGGCCGGTGAGGGACTGAGCCAATGTAGCGACAATGATGAGGATCAGCTCAAGACCGTACATCTTCTTGCGACCGACGATGTCGGCAAGAGCACCGAAGCCAACCTGACCGATGACAGTACCAGCCGAGGTGGACAGCTTGATGGCGGTATCCTGAGGAGTCAACAAGACACCCTTGTTGTCGTGCTTGTAGACGATGCCCAACATGATACATAGCAGCGAGACACAGAAGATGTCGTAGCTGTCTGTGAAGAAACCGGTGCCGGCTACCTGGGAGCAAATCAGCAAAAGCGGGTGGGTAGTGAGGGTGCGGCGCAACGTACGAGGATAGCGCGGACGTGATACCAGCCAAAGGGCGCCTTGTCAATCTCGGCGAGGGCCAGGCGGCGACGCTCGTTGGGGTCCTCGATGTGGGCGAAGTCATTGTTGAAGTTGTGGAACGCGTTGTTCCCGCCAGAGGTCTTGTTGGCGGCCATGTCGAAGCTTTTTGGCGAGCTTGGTCCCAAGCGCCCAGATGGAGACAAGGAAGGACAAGAGTTGCGAAGAAGATAGCCAAGGAGCTCCGGGCTGGGTTCAACTTCACACCTTATATATGGGACACGAGAGAGGGTAGTATGCCGAGGAGGCGCACTTGGCAGCAAACTGCGTGCGCGGCAGCGAATGAGAGCAGTCCGGACAGGGCACGGGGGGAGTCGACGTGAAAGCTCGGAGCGGCCGCGAGCGAGCGTCGATGCGTGTTTCGATGCCGGGGCTTCGATGTCTCGACGCTCGTCGGGTGCCACTACATCTGACTGGGAAGGCGCGACCGACGCTGGATGCTCGCGCACGAGGGTTGCGCCTTCCTGGGGCCAATCAAGCGCCCCACGTGTTGCTACCCTGCCAAGACATCCCCACGCTACCCCGAAACGAGCGCGCAGTCGAGCGCGGCGAGCTACGCCTCCACGGCGCTGATTGCTTGTCGACGCTTGCTTCAGCTGGGCATCTCTTGCCCTCGTGTTACCATGCTCGCTCGTTGCGTCCAGCACCCTCGCACCGTCGAGGCTGTCACTCATCACCGCTCCGCCGTCTGTCGACGCCACGGCTGCCCATCACCACTGCTGCTCACCAACCATGCACGCTGGAACAGCCTCGCGGAGGCGTCCCACGCGCCTGGTCCGTCCAAGGGTTCCACTTCTGCAGGCACCGGCATCCGCGGTCGGTTCTTCCTAGGGTCTCATGAAAGTTTTTTCAGGGACCCTTTCTGCTGTCCAAGGCGCCTGAATAGTCTACGCGCGGCTCCCGAGCGCCCTTTCTGGACCAGCGTTCCACAACATCCCGCGTTGGTACCGCGACTGAGCGCCGTCACCTCGACCTCGCACCATTCCAACGCTGCGAGTCCCATGGCATCCCTGGACTGGGACTCCCTGAGACTCCCTGTTTGGAAGCAGAACAGCAATGCGAAACCTCGCGCTCATCTCCCAAGAGTAATACGAAGGGGCCACTCACAGCATCCAAAAGCCAACTATACCATACACAGTCGTCCGGCGGGGCGAGCTCACCATTGGCCGTTCGCTACGACTCGACATTCACACGGGTGACGAATCCGCGGGCCTATCTGGGATCGTCGAATTTCCGAACGGCGACACTGCCAACGACTAGCACGGCAATACTAGCAATTGCACACCATGCAGCAAACAAGAGGGCCCCCCCATGACTTGACGGAATTAGTATGACAGAAGGCATCACATCTTGATATTGGCAGCCTCGGTTTCCTGAAGCTAAGCCCCGCTTCCCGCTTTATGCGTTCTGCAACACGACTAGAGTTTCCGGTGACTTGGGACCGGTGTATGCGAGGCAGATCTCGATGCTGCGACCAGCCTCTTTCCAGAAGGCTCTGACTTCAGCCCAGACGTCAATCTCAAGAAGCGGCACCTGCACGTCAAACTGGCGCATGCGCATCCGTCAGTCGGCTTTTTGCTCGACGACGAAAAGGTTTTCAACGCGGCCGGAGTCCAGATCAGGTGTGACTGTGACCACTCAGGAACTGTTCTGCAACACGTGGGACGCTACACTAGCCTAGGTGTTCATACCACAGCCACCTAGCGTCATAGCCCCCTCAACCCTATCATCGCACTTCAGATCTACAAGATATCATGGCGATTGCAACTCTTTCCATGTTCTGCGTGTGATATTATTGCTTCACAGTTACCCCAGTATAAGCGTTCCGCGGATGATCTACGGCATCCCCACAACACATCACTGATACGATCTACATTGATTCCAATAGCTCCATGCTTGCCATCGTCTACTTTACCTCGGGATCGGATCGACATACACCATCATGATGCGACTTTCGCCGAGCGATAAAGGCCCCTCGAAACGGTGAATCACCATGCCGCGATTGTCCTTGATATCATCATACATTTGCCACAAATTTTTAACACGAGTTCGAAGTTGCTTATCGATTCTTAGGCTACGAGTGTCAACACGACCTTCTCAAACCCAACGCCTTCTCTCTTCCATACATTCCCCTCAAACGTTACCCCAAGTTGACCGGCGGCCGTCCAATCGGAGTCCCACCCATTCCTCCTCCAGTCTTCCCATCGCACTTCTGCCACTGCACATAGTACTTCTGGTTGAACTTGGCATCGACCGTATCCACGGTCAACAAATTCAGCCCTTTGGCCGTCATCGGCACGATACGCACTTCGGACTTGATGTTCAGCATGCCCTGCTCGCCGCAGGGAGACCACACGGTGGAGCCGGCGTCGACTTCGTCGTGTTTGAGGTAGTTGCCTTCCATGGGGCCTTTGAAGGTTGTGGGAATGACCGTCTATGGAAGGTGTCAGTCGAGGACGAAGGGAATATAGATGGGGCAAGGGTACCTGGTTCTGCTGTCCGGAGAAATAATACGTGCTTTGAGCCGTGCCCGTGACATCTTTCTCCAGACTAGCATATCCACGGTAATCGGCGCCGAATACACTAATCCGCGTTAGCTCGTCCCCCTTCATCCATCGCAACCCCACGTTTCTCACCTATATTGAAATCCGGCTGGATATTTCAACTTCAATTGCAGCTGGCAGAATTTTCTACGCTCGGTGGCCGGGATATCGGGGCCAGATTGCACGGTGTACTGGTCGAAGGACAGTGTGATGGTGGTTTTGTCATCGGAGAGGAGACCCTGAACGGTCTTGTCAGGGCACCCAGTGCCGCCGTAGGTGACAGCAGTAATCTCGACTTCATGGCCAGAGGGCTTGTCTTGGGGTTTTGGTGCTGGTATTGGCCCTGACGTCGCGAGAACAGAAAGAGTGAGAAGGGCCGCGAGGCACTTCATTTTGAGGTTGCGGTTGGAGGTTGGAGAGATAAGAGATGCGATCGGTGGAAGATGCTAATGATGCTTCTGCGTGGGATGATGAGATATTTATTTTACTCCACCCTCGATAAGTTTTTGTGATATTGGACCGACGAATTGCCATAGATTCAGCCATTTGCTCGTAGGTTGCTCATTGAGGTGAGCCTGATATGAATGTAAAGTTCACACATATGAAATAAAAAGTGATCAAAGAGTCGCCAAGACTTGGCTCTGCTGATGCTGAGCAGCTGACTTTGAATGATGGGTTGAGAGAATTCTTTGGTTGGGGTTGTGCTGAGGGGTGAGGTGAAATTGTGCCACGATGATTTCCTCTTTGGGCGATTTACAACGTACCTAAAACGGGATTCCGGCTATGTTGGTGTGTGGTGAGCTTTGCTTCATCTATCGGTTCATATCGATGACATTTGCCCGTGGTCGTAGGCGAACAACTAACATCATGGGGTGCAATTGAGCGCATTGCGCGCAAGAGTCGGATCACACGGGTGGGATTCGGAGTCTCGTCTGGCTAGGCCTGCACATCGTACAGCAGATTAAGTCCTATCTAGCAAGTCACCCGGAAGCTGAGTCGGCATCTCAAGGGCTGGTTTCTTAAAAGATCCTGTTCGAGCTTTTGGAATATTGTTGTCCAGACAAACTCGGTAGCGAAATGCTGGAAAGTACCATCGCCTCGTGTCCAATATGCTCACCAAATCATATGTCCTCGGGTCCCGAGCGAACAATATACGAAGAGAGATGTCAGCCTTGAACTGTGGGTCGGAGTCATGTCGCATGGCGAGAGTGCAATTTGATACGCGCAGAGTTGCGTGAGATCCATATTACGGAGGTAATAAAAATATCCCTGGTATTATCATTGCGGCTCAGCGCAGATCAGGGCAGCAGTTCCGATGGTTTGGTCCTACATCAATCTTCATCGCCCTGTTCCAGACGGGCGGTCGTCCAAATCGTCGATTTTTATGAGCATAGGTGATTCGTTGTCGTGTACGAACCCTGCATGCCGTCCAATGTAGTAACGCATCCGTGTAGTACAATTCCACAGAGGTCTCGACACTCCGGTAAATCCTACGGAGACTAACATCTAGTAGGTCTCAGTGAATATGTCGCAGGCAGTTGCATATAATCGCCGGAAATACCGAAATCGTTGTTTGAATACCGTGAGTTCCACTGCTTGTGGAGCGACGGGTCCGCGTTGCTCCACACGTTACTGTAAATGTTGCAAAACTCGACAATGTGTTACATACCCATATTCTCTGCATGGCTCCCGTGGCACTGTTGATTTATATCTCATCACAGCTGACAATCGACTTGCTGGGAATGGGTACCTCGCTACCTAACGCAGATCTGGACGGTCATGTATGCATACTGATTCAGAAGGTAACAATGACGGGTCGTCTATCCGCGGATGCCCAGTGCGAGAAAGAACTAAATGTATTCGCGGGCGCGCGTTGCATCAGCGATGTTGATGTGGGAAACAGAGTGTTGAGGTGCTGGCATCCGTGACGTGGTACCTCGGGATGGTTGCGGATTGAGCTAGGGCGTTCTGGACACTAGCTTAGGGCGTCATCTACGCGGGCGGTCGCTAGTTGCCAGCATTGCATCCAAGTATTTCATCCTAAACCAACCAGCATTTATCACAGCCCATGATCGAAAAATGGCCCCCTTGTCGGACCTTCCTGTTGAGCTTCTTCAACGCATTGCTGGATTCTTAAGCTGCTCCTCGGCACTCAGCTTGGCTCGTGTCAGCCGCAAGCTACACAACGCCTGCTATCATCGACTGGTTTTCAGAGACATCGCCTTGTTTTCGCTTGCGCACGAGTCCAACGACCCGCAGGGAGAAACATTCCTCTGGCCGGAAGGGTACGATATCCTACAGAGCGCTTCCATATCAGACACCGTCCGTGTGGCCTACGCTGTTGAGCGAGCTGTGAGAAGAGCAGGCGGGGAGTGCGGTTCCTCGTCAAGTGCACAAGAGTGGTCAGGAACATTTGGGGATGCTGTTCACCCAGATATTGATGAGTGGCTGCCACAGCTGCTGGCTTGGCACCACCCCAGTTGCAGATACTTGCTCTCTACCTCACTATTACCGGCACACCTCCAATTGGGCAAGAGACTCGAAGCCTCGAGGCAGATCACTGAGGTCCAGCAGAGCAGAGCCAGTTTCGTCAACGTCGGATTCTGTCTGGCCTTTTTCGCCCTGCAAAACCTCTCCAAAATGGACGGCGAGAGCGAGGGCATTTACACGCCATTCGAAATCGAAGATTCTATAGCGAAGATGTCGACCGAATACATGTTTTCTTTGTGCTGGGGTCTAAAACCGCCGGATGTCGGTCAAAACTGCCATGCTCTCGACAGCTTTGATCTGACACAAGGGTCTACCTGTATCGTGCCCTTTCTGTATAGCATCTTGGGGAGTGGCCTGTTCGGACGGATACCGTTTCCTATGCCGTCAAAGATACCCTTTTCTTCTTTTATGGACGTTCCATGGGTGTTCCGAGGTAATGCCGAGGTGTTTGCAGAATGTCATGTTCAGAAGATGACGGAACCCGATTTCTTGACCGGAACCTGGATGGGCGTAAGTGTCATATGAGTACCTCGAGAGACGGCTACTGACACATTTCACAGTACTATACAGATCAACGACCGGTGAACCATCGACACTTTGCCCTTGTCGGTCCTCCCATGAACGACATCAATATCGTTGCTGAACCCTCCAGTGCATTGGACCAAAAGGGACACATACACTGCTCAAGAAGCTCTGGGTTCGACTCGCATGGCCCATTTACTGTTTGCGGAGATTTTCATCCCGATGGCCGGGTTGAGTTCGTGAAATCATACACTTTGCATTCTTGGGAATGGCAATACAACGGCGTTGTCGTCCCTTTTGGAATCGTGGGCCGTTGGTCTGACCTAGAGGGTAATTTTGGTGGCCACTTCTGGATCTGGAAGAAAGATTGGTGCGACACGCAGACGCCGTGAAATTGTAACCTGTCTTGGAAATGAATTCAATCGGCAACAAAATCCAGGCTTTGTTTCGCTTGTACCGTAGAAACTTGCAGATACCGGACGTACTAATGCAGGGCTGAGCCTATCCAATCACGAAACACAGCAATTCAAGTGGGATTTACAGCCTCTTACTGGCTCAGATCACTTTTAGTACGTCCGTTATCCGCAAGTTTTTACGGTATGCTCATGGTCGCCATGGCGAGCCGAGAAGAGCGGGTTGTAAAATGCATCTGCACATATTTTGTTCACATGCCTTTCAGAAGCTATTTTCCAGTACGTCACACCGACTCGAATTGCTGCCAAGGCTCGCAGTTGCAGATCTTCAGGCTCACCCATGCAATTCCAGCACGTACTCCTACGCACGAAGTAAAAGTTCGCACTTCGACAACCTCGCGACCCCAGACCCAGCCTCAGACTTTTGAGGCGTGTAAGCCTTATCGGTCATTGCGTGTCGCAAGCGCGTATCACATGCACAACCATTCACATCGGGGCGAATTTGTCTGGCGGTCCCTGGAAGGAGCTTGCTAGTGCTTATATACGTGCGAAGGAGCTCCACAAGAGGCTGAAGGGGATACTCGTGCCGTCTTGGGAGCACCTGTGGGGTGGTGGGCCCAAGAAACCCGAGTATCCACCCCGGCCCCTTTTAGTGATTCATCCTTGGCGCGAACACCAACTTGATATCTTTCGCACCACAGCATACTTTCATGCCCCGAAACAACATCGCATTTTCATTTTAGTTAACTCGAGCCATCAGTCTTAATACTATGATAAGAAGCTAGGCTTAAACTATCGTCTCATGAATTAGCGATACGCTTGTATGGCATACGTGTGGGAGTTGTAGGCTGAGTTCAAGCGGCGTATGCAAGACCATCTCCTTCCAGTGTCGTACGTATGTAGGCAAATCTCGGCACCTCGGCACTCCACTTGGCAAAGCATCAACGTTCAATTCGCACATGAACCCTAGACTTTTGCATCATTCCCATCCAGGTAAGGTATTCACCGACTTCCTTGATGCGCATCTTCCTGTCGACCCACTTTGCGCTCTTCACCATTGTTTTGATTAGATCGCTTCCTAGTAGCTTACAGCCTTGGATTGAAAAAGCCCACGATACGCAGACACAGCGCGACGTCACAACATCTTGACTTGGCCTAACCGTCTTGGGTGAATTCCGGTCGTCGCAAAGTCGTGCGTGTATATAGGATCCCAATTGCTGCTGTGCTTGTTGTTCTTTCGTGCGTCGCCAGGTAGTTCCATTATCTCTCTAGGACGTTTCTTCCTACCGTAGCTTCATTGCTTCACACAATGCAATACTCCGCAGTCGCATTCGCGGCCTTGGCTGCGTTGGCTGCCGCCCCAAGACCGTTGCGACGACCCCCAAAGCACTATATACTGCAGCGACGTCCCCGAAATCATGGCCTATCGCACTATCGACTGCACCCCCTACCATATCTTCGTCACGCGAGGCACCGATGAGGTAAAGCCCGGCCGCCTAGGCAACATCACCCGGCTCGTCTGCGACTCTCTTGGCGGTGCCGAGCAGTGCGGTTGGGAAGACGTAGAATATCCCGCAGCCAACCGATATATCTCCAATAGCTCGTGGTGCGAGTCCGCAGCCACAGGCGTGAGGCATGGCCAGGCGCAGTTGAAAGAGTATGTGGAGAGGTGTCCGGAGAGTAAGCTGGTGCTATTTGGATTTTCGCAGGGTGCGACAGTGACTCAGGATCTGCTCGGTGGTGGAGGAGGGCCGTTGTTTGATATGTGTACGCAAGAATCAAATGCAGGGTTGGATCGAGCGCAGGTCCCAGGTGCAAATGGTAAGAAGAATTGCCCTCCTGTAAAAGAGTGCAGTGAGCTGATGATACCAGTCGCAGCCGTAGTCACCTTCGGCACGGTCCGCCGCTCCCCCAAGCGAACCCTACTCCGTTGGCCTCGGCAAAGACTTCCAACCCGAGGCGCTGCGGGAAGGGGAGCAAAAAGTGGGTATAGATCGGTATGCCAGTGTGCTCCGCGATTATTGCAATGAAGGCGATCAGTATTGCGCGAAGTCGAGCAGCCCGCTGGCTCTGGAGAACCATCTTAAGTACTTTGTGCAGTACCAGCATGATGTGGTGGACTGGGTGGTGGAGACTGTGGGAGAAGTGCAAAGAGTGAGAGAGTAGCAAGCGGGGTGAGTAAGGGATCGAGGAAGGCGATATGCGCGAAGCATGGGGTAGGTGCTTCGAGGTCGATAGTCGATGAGCTAGTATTATAAGAGTACAGTGGTGCTGCTTCGGCTTCTAGCGTTTCAAAAACTCCCAGTAACGACACACCAACTTGACTGCGTGCTTGGCAAGATGCAATCGTCGGTCAAGGTGAAGCAGTTGATCAGACGCACCTATGATATAGAACGTTCGGTATTCCCCTTAGAATGCTCTTCATACAGCTTCAGACTTGCTGTCCTGAATCGTATACCCCTCCGTGTCGAGGTCCGCTTCTCCCTCTAGAACGCCAACGTCTCGCTCGGCGCTAGTTTACGCGACCTTCCCTGGACGAAAATGATTGAGGGTGTGCGGAACACCGCATCGATTCGTTCCAGTGCAAGACCCTACGGGTAAAAATCAGTGAGTTGTTCTTGCACGAAGCGTGGAACAAGCTACTTACCTTCGTCTCTGGCAGGAATATGAACATGTACACCAGCGCCACAGCGAAAACGCTATCAAAGACCCATCCAACACTGAAATGCATGTCGATAATGATATAAGGAATGCTGAAGTTGGTCACGAAGGCCCAAAGAACATTCCAGGAAGTACCAAATGCCTGCGTCTTCTCACGAAGGGCTGCATTTGGAAGCTCTGTACCAAGGAGGTACGGAATCGAAGCGCCACCAATATTGTAGAAGACGCCGTACAGCATGAACGAGGAGACAACCATGTTCGATTCTGTGGCAGTTTTGTTGGCTTTCGCACCCAGGCCAGCTAGGAGGAACATCCATAGGCACTGGAATGCGTAGAAGAACATGAGCGTGTTGCGACGCCTGTTTAAAGGTTCTAGTCAGCGTGTCTGATGTATAAGCTCGTCCACACTACGAACTTACCCGAATTTATCACCCATGAACATGGCAGGTGGTAGTGCGAATATCTGGGCAGCAGCACCAATTAGAGGATAGTTAAAAGCTTGGTCAACATACCCGTTGGTTTTGTAAAATGTTGTTTTATTGTGTCGAAACAAAGCCCTGCCCAGTTGCCTGTCCAACCCATTAGAAATCTGGACATGCAATGGGAATGGTCCATTTGCCTGCTGGAAGAAATAGAAGACTATAACGAGCATCGTTCTTCGGAAGTTGTTCCCGCGGACCATATCAGACCAGGGCGCTTTGTGGATATGCTCGCTCAAAGCCTCGCGAATGCCTGAATTTCCGCTTCGCTCAAACCGTTCTCCACCTCCTGTTTGGACCTAAGGCGGCGAAGAGCGACTATGGCCTCTTCAGCGCGATCCATAGATAAAAGCCAACGCGGCCAGTTAGGAATGAAGAAGGTGAAGCAAACAATTAACATGGGGAAGATGAATTGAATGCCTGTGGCCGCTTTCCATCCAACCCCTGATGTGTATGTCGAAAAAGCCTTGTTGACGCCCGTTGCAATGAAGCTCCCGACATCAAGGAAGAGTTGTAGAAAGATGACGACTAAGCCACGGAAAGCAGCCGGTACGATTTCATGCTGGTATGTGGTCACAGTAACTTCCACGAGACCGACAGAGGCGTAGACAACGATGCGACCGATGACGAATTGCGCGTATCGTCCAGTTCCTATTCCAGAATTCGCAGCTGTAGCCTCGATGATGATGCCAATTACAGAGATGACAGAGAGGCCATAGAAGACTATACGATGTCCAAATCGTTCAATAGCAGGTCCTGACATGAAGCAACCGAAGAGCTTGCCAATAAACGCGAGCGAAGAGAGGAGGGAGGTATGTAGCGAGTCGAGAGCGTCGGTCTTCTTTGCGGGGTGGTAAGATCCGAATTGTCTCAGAAATCCGGGATTAGCGAGGATACCACCGTACCTGCCTGTGTCGTAGCCGACGAGCATGTCGCCCAAAAGCAGACAAAAACAAAAGAAGAGGAGCATAGGCGTCACTCGAGACCATGCTGAGTGGAAGGAACCCATCCTGTACAGCAGCGATATGACCGCGTACTCAGTGAGTGTAGAAATTCGCCTTGGGTATAGCCAGTATACGATATGATGAAATTCTGTCCGGATTTTTTTTTGTAGTCGAGATGATTCTTGAAATGCGCCAACCACATGAGTGCTACTCACGAATTGACCAGGTGTCCAGGAAATCGGAAAAGTTCCGGCAAGTCTCCGTCTGGGGCCCCGCAGCTGATCGGTCGCGCTCGGTCGTCGCCATCGCGCTATTGTTGCGCAGGTGGGGCAACATCGACGGCGAAGCACGGAGAAAACGAATTGCGTTCTTCTCCTTCCGAGGTATGAGCGGGCAGCGGACGTGATCTGAGCCCCCCTCAACATCCCGCGCTCCACCGTCATTACAATCATACATCAAGAATCATCCCCATATATACCGTGGTAAATTCATTGCCAGCCACGAAAGTACACCCTCATCACGAAGGGTAAGAGTAGCACGGCATACAGGAGCCATGCGAGGAAGTCTTGATAATTCTGGAGGTACAATGGCAGACAAAACCCCCAACTTCTTGTTTATATTGGCGGACGATTTGGTGAGTTAGATCCCCCTAAGACGCTCAAACCTGGGAAGAAATTGGGCTGATGCGATAATACAGGGTTTTTCCGATATTGGCTGCTATGGCGCTGAGATCTAGACGCCTAATATTGATCGCCTAGCCAGCGAAGGCGTTCGCATGCTCAATCAGCATGCGGTTGCAGCTTGCTCCCCTACCCGTGCCATGCTTATGAGCGACACAGACGCGCATCTTGGCGGACTGGGAACCCTCATTGAAAAGGAGATCAAGCCCGGCTGGCGCCAAACGATGGTCTGGCAAAGCAGGGTACGAAGGCTATCTCAATCAAGAGGTGGCTACTATACCCGAGATCTTGGGAGATAATAACTACTTCCCTATAATGTTAGCGAAGGTAGGTAGTTCGCCTGTTTCACCATGATCACCGCTTCCCAGCTCCACCTGGGCATCTGCAAGTTCAAAGATCACGTGGGTTGTTGCAGTGGCATTTGGGAATGGGGACCAGTCAAGGTTCATGGGCTCGTGGATTCCAAAAGGCCTTTGCGATGCTTCCAGGATGTTGCAATCATTATGGTTGGGAACCTGTGCAAGAAAACTTCCCTATCGGCGGACGCCCTAGCCACGCCCGAGGAACGGAGAAAGGTCGATATGTGAGTTTGAATTGTATATAAATGATTATGCCTAATCCTTATTCGCATTTAGAAAACCAAACAAGAATGACGACCCTAACGGCTTCTACTTGACTGACTATTACACCGATCGACTGATTCAATTCTTCGAAGGCAGATCTGACGATGAAAAATCTAAACCTTTCTTCTCATTCCTGCCTTCCACTGCCTCACACTGGCCCTTACAGTGCTCCAAGGTCTAACGCAATAAGTGAGTAGAGAGGCGAGCATATGTCTAGATGTCTCCGAGTTGCAAACTCTAGGCTAACAGGTAAACCCTAGATATAAGGGTATGTACGACGACGGCCCGCGCGCTCTTCGTGAGTGGCGCCTGAAGAAGCTCGCCGAGATAGGCATCATTGATAAATCCGTAATTCCCCCACGAGGTGGAATCAACGACTTAGGGAGCTGGAGAATGGACGGAATTCACTCCAGAGCAGAAGAAACAGTCTAGTGGTGCCATGGAAGCTTGCGCTGGAATGGTCGATTCTTTGGATGTCAATATTGGCAAAGTGGTTGATTACTTGAAATCAACTGGAGAGTACGACATCACATTCATCGTGTTCATGAGTGACAACGGCGCCGAGGGCGCAGCGTAAGTTCGCGTCCTCCTTTGCGAGTCGATTGGTTTTCCCAACTAATGTGTTCAGGCTGGAAGCCATCCCCGTTATAGACGACAAGATTACGCGTGCCATCCATCAATATTCCGACAACTCATACGATAACATCAGCGCATATAATTCCTACACATGGAACGTGCTGCTCGAAGCCACTGACAAGTAGTCTATGCTTGGTTTCTAATGATAGAGGGGGTGACCCATGCTCCAGTAGCAAGGATAAGAGGTCCAGTACTCGTTGCTCATGCGTTTTTTCAGTCAACCCTACACCTTGGAGCCTAAAAAGCGAGGAGCTCGCTTCGAGACTCAACTTGCAAAGCTGTAGCGAATGCTTAGACTTCTATTATAGAAATCACATTTTGCAACCTGTTGAAATTTCTCCAATCTTACAAACATTGTTGTACTGTGATATGTGTGTGATATGTAAAGGAAGCCCTTGGCGGTGAAGGAGCCTCACGCTAGTCGTCCGACGACCCACAAAAGACCACGCAAAATTTTCGAACAAAAAAATTAATAAAACATACAACAGCGGGTATTCGCTGCTGGTCACCCACGCAACTACTAATCCGCCGGTACACTGCTTATATATGGCTGAGCGGACGGGAAGCCTAGTTTTCAGTGTCCTATGGTCGTATGTGATAATTAGGCCCATTGTGCTCATACAAAATGGCATTTACATTACATGTTTACCTCAATGATCCTCTATGACATCTCGAAGGAGTTGCTAACCTCCTTATTCCTCGGGAAGGGTAAAATGCTTCCACCAGATGTCCGACTCAATTGTGACCACCGCCCTGCAAAAATGGAAAGAAAGCTGCCAGATTCCCCGTCGCTAAGAATAAATCTAGCGTATATAACATCATGCGTCATGAAGCGTTTGTCTTGGTGTACTCGATGCTCTAGCACTGGATCAAGTGTCAAATTACCTTCCAAGGGAGCAATGGCACAATGCGCGAAGGCTCCACCCCTAGTCATGGCTGGGTTTACGGTCCCATGGATTGTCACTCACGGTCATCCTTTGTTCCCAACGAGAGTTTATCGGGTTAAAATTCCGCATATGAATACATGTCCTTGAGACCCGGCGATTGCTCTTCGTCACCGTTTGCTAACAGCACCCTAGTGTACGGATGGATTCCTACGCATTACCTATCAATAGCTCGCAGCGCTCGCCCAGAATGCCGAGAGCCTGATCATGAGATACCTAGCTTGAAGAGAACTACAACTAGAGAGTTCTATTTTGGCACAAAAACATGCCGCATTACTTTCACAAGCTCTGGCATCACAGACTGAGCTTGCGTATACAAGAGAGCTACTCTCATGGTACAGAAAATTTCGAAACGCTACTTACAATCTTACGGCCCTCCATAGTGCATATATACATTTAAATCGATATTTGAGCGACATGGTCAGAGAGCATTTCTAGACCCTTTTCCAGACGTTAATGTTATTGTGCTTTGCAAAAGTTCTAGCATACCTTCTCGTACATTTTACCCAATCTATGTATTATAGAAGGCTGATTATTGGCCTAATCACTTTAGTGAACTAATTTTACCAGCTTAGTGCCCTATTTCAACGTCTACCAGGCCTAAAAGTATAGATTCAACAGAATTCAGCCAATAGTTAGACTTCTATAGTACATAGATTGGCTGAAATCTACGAGAAGGTATGCTAGAACTATGGAGAGGTGGGTGCAAATCTTTTGCGAGGCGCCGATATTACTCTTCAGGAAAGATTATTTCTTGAGGAACGCAAGCGGAGCGCCGACGGCGAATGTACCCTTCCAGACCACAATCGTCCATGTCTACTCCCCAGTCTGTCAACTGACGCGTTCTTTAGGGTGTTGCCATAGGCTTCAATTTGATGACCGTTTCATCTGGACTTAGGTTCTTTGTGCCTATATTATGCATCATATAGAGAAACCGGCTCTCCACTATAATGCGGACGACATGTATAACGGATAGATGTAGCCGAACTGATTGGGTGGACGGTGCTGGTGCACCCCATCTACCGAGACACCTCGCGCAATCCTGACTCGGGGCTGGCGTGCTTTCAGCACAACGACATAGTCTGTTCAAATTCTCAAAGGTCGCGACAAGAAACGTCGATGCGATCGAGCAGTTTCTTATACTGCGTGTCGAGTATAGCAAGTTGGTGGCCACAATGTTTTGTTCACAACTTGAGCCGCTGGATGGTTGGCATGATGTATCCCGTTGGTTTTCCGGTACAACGCTAGCGGGTCCATTGGTCGACTCATGTGTTCGCGTGTGAAGTCGACGTAGCATACTTTGAGCACCGATTGACCCACTCGCTAAATCAGACGTGCATCAAGGGGTCGTAAGCGCGAGAATACCGTAAAAACTTGCAAATAACGGACGTACTAAAACTAATTTGGGCCAGTAAGAGGCTGTGAATTCCACTTTTATTGCTGTGTATCGTGATTGGATAGGCTCAGCTCTAAATTAGTACGTCAGGTATCTGCAAGTTTTTACAATGTGCAATTTTTTAATTCACATGCTAGGCAGCAACCGCATTCACTGTGAGAATATTGCATTGCTCCTGGTTCGTGTAGTTCAGAGGGTCGCGCAAAGTCTACTGCCCTAGGACAGGTTTGGTTGAGTGGTTCTATCGCGCGCTTCCCAAGTTGTTGTGGACATTTGGCCCCCAAAGGAAATTGTACGGGAGACAGAGTCGTATAGCTGCCGCTGACATTTGAAAGGATTGACCTTCGAGCCGCATCAATTGCGGATCTAAGCAATGGCTGTACGAAATTGGCGTTCTGGATTTTCACGCTTGTTGGCGCTTAGGGGTGTTCAAGCCCGCCCTAGACACGGTCACGCAACCTCGCGTATCTGCCTATGCCCTTTTCAAGTAAATGCAATCTTCTGATAAGGAAAAGCTGTCAGCAGATTTACCACATCACGAGGTCGCCCTGTTGAAGAGCTTCGATGTATGTGCGGCGCTCGCCACATGAGGAACTCCCACCGGAGCAAGTGGGCTGATACGCCAGTGCTAATCCAATGATGGATGCCAGTTGCGTCCATTGTTCAGCGATGGATTCAATGTGCAAAATATTGAATACTACTCTACAGCGTATAAAGACAGTGATTTCACCGTCGCTCATCATCATCTTTGCATACGCAGTCGCTCGTGCGGCTTCGATTCTCTCTACTTCCTCACTTGGTCGCAACTGCCACTCAGTTTGCTCACATGGTCAGCTGCCGCCTCAGCTCATAGTCAGCCATGCGGCCTTCATTCGTAACTTTCTCGTCTCTAATACTCAATTTGTTATCCCTCGATTGGGCTGTCGCCGCTTCCATAGGAGTTATTGCTCGGACGCCGACTCTGGACAATGACACCTCTCCGGTCGACCTTCCTAGTTCTGCGGCCTCAACACTCCTTACAACCTTGGCCGAGAATGAAACATTGTCTGATGAGGATCGAAATCCATATGTCGTCCATTCCGATCAGATCCCCATGTTCAACGAAACCAAATACAGTGCCCCTAACATCAGTGTCCTTGACACAAATGAAACTTCATCAAAGGGAAAACGCCAAAATCCCAATAACGTTTCTCTACGAATTAGTGAGCTACCTTCATGAAAACGAATCTCTCCGACGGAGCTAACGCACGCCAGTGCCTCTTGGTGCTTCCATCACTCAAGGCTTGAACACAGTGGAGCACCCCGATGCGTCCACTGATATCGGTTACCGTTTGCCATTAAGGCAATGGCTGAGGAATAGGGCTTACGAAGTCAATTACATTGGAAGCAAGAAGAACGGAAATTTTGCTGACAACGAGAACGAGGGACATCCAGGTCTTCAGATTCACGCAGTCCATGAAGTCATGAACCCTGTGTTAACGAACCAGAAGCCCAATCTTGTGCTTTTGAACGCGGGTACCAATGACTGCGTGCAGGCCGATGACTCAACTTTAACGCCAGTGGACACCGGCATCACTTGGGTCACGAAAATTCCGGATCGAATGAGGAGCATGCTTAACGACATCTACGACCAAAGCGAGGGAGTGACTGTTATCCTTTCGACACTACTTCCTAACTTCACTCCAGGCACTACTGGCGGATACATCACGCTTGCCAACTCAGGCATCCGCGATCTGTACAATGAACAGAAGGCGTTAGGTCGTCGCATCATACTCGCTGATATGGACATGGATGGCTATTGGAATCAAGCTGCGGATTACAGTGATGTTACCCATCCCAACGACGCCGGGTACAAGAAGATGGCAGGCATTTGGGCTGCAGCTTTCCTTGAATTAGAGCAAGCCTCCTTTCTGGTTGAGCCTGTCGAAACAGGACTCGGTGATGATGACTCCTCGGGCGAATGCATGCCGAGCAGTGGTAGCTTTGGCTCAGCCGTGACCTCTGTCGACTTCGATTGGGGTGCAAACGATGGCGCCTATTCGCACTCTTCAACGTTGAAGATGACCGAGACTTGGAGTGTGGGACCCTGTATGTGAAGATACCCTGTCAGGGGCGCGTATATGTGCTGACTCTGTACCCAGTTAACGAGTCCCTTCTGAGCTACAACCAGTTCCACTTTGCTCAACTTGTCAGTTTCGATGACACGGATCTCCTCGCGCATGACGAGTTGGTTGTCATCCTCGATCCGGAACAAAGAGCCTACAATTCGAAGAAAAGCTCCAAGACTCTTCCCAAGGCTTATCTCCAATATAAGTACAATTACGGAAATGGAGAGCTTGACGAAAATTGGACCGAGGTCGATATTGTCGGCCAAGGAACGCCAGAATGCCTAAGTCGCGGTGTGCGCTTTGGCGACGTGAATGGAGATGGCCTTGACGACTTCATCTGCGTCAACTCCGAGGGATCACCGTTTGTATCTCTAAACCGTGGAGGAAGTCCGCCTGAATTCGAATATATCGGCCAGATATATAGCGACCGATTCACTCAAGCGCAAAGTCGACTAGCCGATATTGATGGAGACGGGCGTCTTGACTATTGTGGTATGGACGTGAGTGGTGACGCTTGGTGCCATCGCAATGGTGGCACGGGCGATGCTCCGACTGCCAAGTACAAAGGATATTGGCAAGGAATGGTAAGTTATCAGTCAGGCATACTCCCACAGCAATTAACGTTCTTTATTAGCTACTGGGTGCAGGTGGGCCGACCTGGGATAGTCTTCAGACGGACATTGCAGGCGTTCGCTTCCTAGACATCAATGGTGACGGTCGCGCCGATTACGTCTTTGTCAACGATGATGGCTCAACAACCATTTACATCAACCAACGCGGTGACCGGGATGATGGTCCTGGTCTCAAGCCACACTGGCGCCAGGCTTCAGTCTCCCACAAAGGCTTTCCTGGAGATGATACCATGTCCCGGAACAGGATCCTCTTTGGAAGGGTCTACGGCTCCGGGCGTCAAGATTACATTCAGATCATTGAGAGCAAATCCGGTAAAGAATACTCGTACAAATTCTCTGTGTGGGAGAACACTGGCTCTGGTGGCACCAAACTTAACGGCGATGGCGTTCGTTTTTGCGATCTCGATGGAGATGGCTTAGACGATCTTGTCAACATTTGGGGTGGCGGAATGGTCGACGCACAGAAACGTGTCGATAATGGTGATGGCAGCTTTTCTTGGAAAGACTGGGGCCGTATTGCTGAACTGGCTATCGACAGAAAATTCGTCCATCTCGCTGATTGGGATGGGGACGGACGTTGCGATTTGCTCACGGTCGACAAGTCCACTGGCAACGTCGTTCTCCACACGAACAATTATGCGATAGGACGATTCGAGAATGGCGACGGTACTTACGAAGATCTCAGCCCTCATATTGCTGCAGGCACATCGGTCGTTGGTGGTGGATTGTGCCCGCAAGGGTTCTCTCCCGCTGCCAATAATCTCGCTGTTCACTTTGGAGACTTGGATGGTGACGGAAGAGCCGGTAAGTTGACCTTCCATACTTATGTTGTTTATGAATGACGAGGGACTAATACGGTGTGCAGACTATCTTTGTATGGATCCTGATGGTCGGACCGTTGGCTGGCTGAACCTGAAAAGTGGTCTCTCCGCCCTGAACCAAATCAAGGTCAGCGTTGGTTTCGACCGCGCTAACCATCGCTGGGCCGATGTCGATGGTGACGGCAAGGTCGACTTCATCTGGGTTGATAAACACACGGGCAATGTCCAGGTATGTCATCACAAATGCGGGCAATTACACTGCAGTAGTTGATGCATCTAGTTCTGGAAAAACAATGGCTTCATCCCCTCCATTGGCAGCTCAATGAATTGGGTTGGGTACTCGAGCTCTTGGATGACTGGCCAAGAACGCGGCGAGAATATCTTGTTTCCTTCCATGGTCAAAGACTCCAAGAGAGCTGATTACCACGTAGTTCACCCAAGGACAGGCCGTGGCACCACCTACCTCAACAACTGCAGCGGTGACGGCGGCGTTGGCCCAGGCCCAGATGACGGTGCAGGCCCCGCGGATCCAGGTCTTTCTATTCCAAGTTTGCCAGACCCTAACGGCGGAAGCGACAGTGGTGACTCCAGCTGTGTGTACGATAAACGAAGTCTCGGCCGGCGTGCAACTTGCATTTCGCCTGATGCTGCCGTGGTAAGTGGACGATTGATCGGTCCTCTGTGCCACCTCTATAGATGCTCGATGCGTGTTACAGGGCCCTATCACTTCACTTTGCCCGGAATACTGTGCTAACTTTACTTAGATTGCAGCAGCATCGTCGAAACTCCCAGGCGTTGACTGGGTAACGACAGCCAAAACGTGCAACGAACCCGCCTTTTCGGATCTTGTGGATACGCACGCCAAGGCAATAGAGATGATGGAGTTCACTCCTGATCTCAAACTAGCCTGGGAAACACCAGGGTTCAATCGCTATTTCGTCGCATCTACGCTTTGGCAAGAGACCGCTGCCTGGGATGCGCAGAGTGGAAAGTATGCAGCGGTCCTGGACTGGGCGCGAAGGACCCCAGGCGTTCCCATCACTCCGCAAAAGCAAACGACATACTACTGCGGAAATCCATCATGGGCGAAACCCGCAGACTATTGTTCCGCCTACACGTAAGCTACACGCGGCCCTCACTATCTTCGCCTTCTTTATAGATGACTGACCTTGATCTTAGTGGAGCGAAAACGTTTACACCGACGTACAACCCTGACTGTCAAAATTGCAATCAAATTGCTCTCTGCCAGAAGTATTTCGACACCAAACGCGTGGATGAGATCACCGCAACGAAGCAACGAGTAGAAGACCTTCCCTATGGGCAACAATGGGCGTCGCGCGAACACATGCTGATTCACGAATGGTTCCACAATTACATGAACGACGCTGTTCCGAGCGCAAGATGGCATGTTGAGGACGTTCAGGACACTATTGACGGACAGAAACTCCCCATATATGGCGCGGGCAGAGCGGCCCATTACGCGTGGCAAGGAGTTGGGAGCGGGTCTGTCCTTGACGGAACTATCATGGAGAAGACGATGGAAAATGCTGATAGCTTTGCTTGGATGATCTCATACAACTGGTACGACGAGGTGTGGGTATGGGCTGATGATGGCCGGTGGAGGGGAACCACGACCAAGCGTGATATGGATGAGGATAATCTGGTTGTGCGGAAGGAAGGCTTGTGGGAGAGGTCTGTAAATAGACTCAAGAGCTGGCTTCTCCATTAGTGAAGACCATCAAGCTCTTGCTTTTACAAATCGAACGATGCTTTGTTAGTACCCTTGTGCTAGAGATGGGTGCTGACCTTCACACCACTGTTGTTCATTCATGTGCGGATGTAATGTGTGATTTATATGTTTCGCAAAGATTTACACAACTTGGCAGGCATGATGGTAGGAGCGGCATACATCTTGGTTAGCGCTTGAAAGGGTATGAACAAATATTTCGAGGGAAGAAAAAAGACTTAGGCGTTGATTTGAAACCTAAGAAATGTTGATTACAGATAGCTGTATCCCCCATGATCCTTTACTCTGAACAAGCCCTTCCGAAACAATCCGTAATCGTCTGTGTACACGAGCCGAGGGCCTCAAGTGAGGCTATGGCTGAGCGCAGAGCAGCAGCGTGTCCAGTATTTGCCCCTCCCGGCCCGTTTACCCTCCGGCTGGCCTCCTTGCAGTCCGTCGCAAAGTCGGGGTGACCCTAGGTATGCATTATGCCATCGTCGTTTTCCCTGGTCGATACTGTCTATATGGGTAATCCATCCTGTTCCGGAAACAGAAAAATCTCTGCTTGCTCTTATCAGTCGTTGCAAAGTCGAAGCGCTTGTGAATCTTGCGCTTGGTTCCCCTCTATCTCTTTCTTGAGCTCGTTCCAAAGTTTTCTTCATAGTCCTTTCTTGGCAAGAATGCAACAGCCTGTGCTGCGTCATTGATGTGCCGAACAGCTTCTGATGGTCTTCACTGAGTTAATCATTGGTATGAGCGGTTTTCTTGGCTGGCGCCGCCATTCCTCCCAACTTGCATGGCGCACCTATTCTGCCACGGAGCGCTGAATCGGTATACACATCCAGTGTGAGTCTTATTACGGCTCTTTTCCACAGCCCAGCTATCAGGTATTCCCAGTCCCCAAAACGCCGTGTCCTCAGACCAGATCGCCGCCCAGGGTATCGGACTCAAAATCCATCAAAACGATTACACCAACAACTTCTGCTATTTCTTCACAACACCCACTTGTCCTTCTTCTTCGCCTCAACATCCGTCTTGACCGCCACCTCCTGCGCAATGTTTCGAAATGGATCCACCTGCGCCGCCAAATACGGATCTTTATAATGCTCTTCGACATTCTTCCCACTCTCCAGCCTCGTGATAACCAGACTCTCCCTACTCGTACTCTGCGTCTTCACACTGGCTTGCCGGCGCATAGTATCGCTGTGCTCAAGTTCGTACGCGAGGCCGCGGTCGGCGAAGGAGTAGCGGCGTTGCTCGGTGATCTGGACTTCGCGGGTAACGAAAATGGCGGCGAAGGATTCTTCGATGACGGGCCAGAAGATGGGCATCGAGGCGCACATAATGGCGAGGTCGATTTCGAGGCACGATAGGATGATGCTGATGGGGGTCCACCAGGTGAAGTCGATGTAGGGGGAGGTGGCGGCGCGGTTATCGACGATGGAGTAGAGGCGCCAGACGGAGGTGAAGACGACGCTGGTGAAGTTAATATTGTAGCATGCAGGTAGTGTACTCGTTGCCTCGCACCAAAAGTTGGGAAGCGCGGCAGTCGGAAGGATACTCACACTGCGCCAAGGATGAAGATACCCGCCATGGCGAAAAGGTTCTTCATTTTGAGATTGGGTTTCGTAAATAGAATCATTGGCGTGACAAAGACAGTGACATCAAAGGCCATGTTCAGGGCAGTATGGCTCTCAAACAGGCCGATGAAGTCTTGGTCGTTCACGAAGCCAAATCCATAGCACTTGGCATTCGGGTAAGCGTTCTTCTCGTAGAAGGCTTGAGGCGGAAAACCTGCAAATATTAGCGATATTCTGTATGGCTTGCTTTGAAGCAAAGACATACAGGGAAACCAAGCCATAAAACCGTAAGTAAAGCCCCATGCTCCAATGATTACAATCAAACATTTGCAGATCCAGTGCATCATCCCAGCTTTGAAGATGCGTAGATACTGTGTCAATAGTGATATCTTGATCACGGCAGTGTTCGTTATGTAGATGGCGTTTGCGAAGTAAAACATCTGTCATGGTCAGCATGCGTGCATGTCTTGCTTGTTGTTCAGGCAAACCTTGATGAAGCTTTGCATTTCTGGAATGCCAATGTACAAGAAGTGTCGGCCGAGCCCGTATTTGATACCTGTCATATTAGGTTAGTCTCAGGATATAGTGAAGCACTTGTACACGTACAAAGTAATACGAAGATGGTCGCAGCCGTGTTCAAAAGGGCAGCTAGCAGTACGAGGGCATCATCCCAACCTGGCTCACGCATAACCCGAAAACGCACCCAACAGCGCAACCCGACGGCGAGCCATGTTAAGATCTACTTTGCGTCAGGATCAGTTTGAAATGGTAGATTAAGCGATGATTACCAAAAAGGGCATTGTAGTACACCATATGGTCTCTGGGCGATTTGCAACCGGTAGTTTCTCCTTAGGATCCGGGGCATTCATCAACATCTGCCCTATCAACTCTTCGAAAGTGACACCCATCTTGCCGGCGGGGGAAGTCGACGGCCCCGTTTCGCATTCGTCGTTGATAAGAAGTGTCACTCGTGCTTCCCCGACTCCGCCATGAACAGCCACTGGGGGTTCCGCTCTATAACAGTGCTCCCAGGGTTCGGCGCATGCACGACGGGTGCTAAGCTAGATTTTAGTGTGGTGACGAGCACGTAACGGCAGCAAGGCTGGTGCAGGGCAGGGTATGTGAGGGCCCGACAAGGAACAAGCATGACGTTTAGACGCTACGATTTGCGGGTCTTGAGTGGATGGGACGGGACATGACGCATGGAAGGATTGTGCGTCTAACCCAAGAGCGTGCGTGCGACATGGCTGGATGCTGGAGAAGATGGCTTTTATGTACTTGTTCATGCGGGCTGCAAGGATGTAGCGGTAAGCGGTCGACTTTGGCTGCCTGATGCTTGACCATTGCTGTAACCATGAAGTCAATATGCGGACTCGACATGGCATTGCGCACCTATCTTATGCCTCGTGCAAGGATTTGCGACAGACTGGCACTTCGCTTCGCAAGGCGGAGGACCTTCTGCGTTCACGCTGGCTCGCCTGTTGCGGCTTCGGTGGATGACGCTAAGCAATGGCGTACATTCGCGGTCCCACGTGGATGGATGATGCCTGCCGTCTTTCAAAGTTAATGAGACCGCAACTGTGTGATTCGTCTCTCGGAGAGCCCGACTGTTGGTCTGGAGGGGGAGAGGTCCAGCTCATCGTCAGAGAGGTGGGCGACGGGCCAATACAGAGGCAGGATGACGGGCACTAACGTAGCGTCCTCCCCGTGTCAAGATGCACGGCACGACTCCTCAGACCATTCGTGTGCGGATGCAGGTACGCGGTGCTGGGCAGGAACAAGACTGGGTAAACGACTCCCTCGCGCGCAAGACGTTTGTTCCTTTTGCTCCTTCGCTTCCATGTGAAGGCGAAAGCGATGAGAAATGGCCGCATCTTGCAACCCTGTTCCCCAGCCGTCCATGACTCGTCACAGGTGCGGAGCCCGAGAGAATGGGCCAGGCTCTGCGATCAGTGTGTACACAGTAGCAGTAGCCATCGAGTAGACGGTCTGTTATCGCATATCGAACGCTCTGGATCTGTCGGCGACGGAAAAGCGCGCTCTTTGAGGCATCGTGACCCTGGCACACTCGTCCCCGGGCCCACAACGCAAAACTCCCGGCATCGTGGTCAAACGTGTGCGAGTCGTGGGCCATCAACTTGTGTTTCGCAATTCGAAGCCAACATTCCGTCACACTGCCGAAGCGCTCGCGACTCATTGATAGCAGTTGACAGCTAACGGCTCGAATCAAGAAGACTTTGCACATGGCGAATCCGAAGGTGGGGCAGATAGCGTGTCTGATGCTGTTCTATGACAAAAAGGAGGCATCGCTGCTCCAAGTAACGAACAACGCCTCACTCCGTCGTTACTGCCATCAACTGTAATAGGTCCGCCTTCCGGACCTACGCATCAGGACTTTTCGTCAACTATAGAACCTCTGCTCACTTGACCGAGCAGCCGCCTCACTCCGTCGCATTATCACAATAGCTTCTGCATGAGCTGGAAAATGTGACTGCAAATAAGTAAAAATTCGGAAGTCATGTTCAATTTATGATTTCGGTTTACTTGCTCTGTCAACGCTGTTGCAAGGAAAGTGAAGACCACTGGGTTACACAACGTGCCGCCGCCCCAAGGATACATCTCTTTCTGCCCAATGTCCTTCCTTTTCCATGGTCCTCGCAGGACTGCAGTGGATATCCACCACTGTTCATCCAGGTTAACCAAAGTAGTTTCTGTCTACGGCTTCCGTAACTCCGCCGTGACTTCCTCAAGAGCACGTCACCATTCACCACTGTAATCCAACTCTAAGTACGCACTCCACTCCTCTTCATATCTCTTTTCATTCTTCTCCTCTTCAATCTTCCCGTTCGAGGACGTGCTTGGCTTCTTTTCGTTCCTCTGGTCCTTCAAGACAAACCCCCATTCATCCTCAAGTCCCAAATACAAGCGCCACTCCGCCTCATACTCGCTATTTTCCTCTGCGCCCCGACGCAGATCAAAGGCGTCGTCTCTAGGAAGAGAGATTGCGCTGTCCGTGCGCTTAGACTGAGGAGGCGATGGAGGCGCGTTCAATACGTTTCGGAGAGATTCCTTCGCGGAGAGATCTGGGATGCCATCATATGCCGTCTGCGGAGTGGTGAGGGCGGCAGTGATCATGCTTGCTCAGGTGGTAAGATGCTGCTTGAAATCGCCTGTGAAATGTATAGTGATCTGAAGCGATCGTCGTGCTTGGGGATTTGCTCAAGTAGGGTTACTGAACGGCAACGGAGGATACTCCACAGGTGAGGCCTGAGTTGTGAAGTAATGTGGTCCGAGTCATACTTTCGTCGCTGGAACGTACGCTACTACGTGTATGTTGTAAGTCGAATCGAATGGCTCCCCACGCCGAACGGACTTGAACTTTCTGACCGCCCCCGCCCCGCTTCAGCTCTCTGAATTTCCAAATTTGCAAACATTCTCCTAATCATGTGCGACAATGCTTTGAGGCTCCCAAGTGATGAAGTGTCAGCTTTGTGGCCTTGCCACCCACAGTTTCGCAGCTTCGCACGCAACAGTAGTCTGTTCCACCATGTCTATTGTGCTCGCTCTCCTCCGATCGAACGTGGCTTCCACCTGGAGTATAAGAGCCATGGGACTTGATGTGTGCTGATCCAAACCTTGGAGTTTTACGGGCAGCCGCTATCATCGGGCCCTGATTGGCCTGTCATCACAACCACAACCGTCACACTGAACATCAGCTTCCGGACTTCGGATTCCACCCCATCACACATAGTCCACACGAACGCATGGCGTTGGTTGACGGATAGCACGTTTCGAGGTGGATTAGAGGCCATCTCATATGTCATGCGGAGAAATCTGCAGAGTGACAGTCCTGAACTCCGCCATCATATGGGATCGGCTTCACATGCCGTAGGAAATTCACGTGCATGAGCTGACATGCGGAGCTGATTTAGACGTACGTGAAAGAACGGTGTTGATCTGAGCACTACGTCATTGCCTTCCCAGCTCAAAAAAGGCTCGACATGAACGTTCTTCCATATGCAATCGGCCACAAGATTGGGTGCAGACACCATGAGGACTGTAGACAGGCTTGATTGGGACATGCGAAACCTATGCTGTAGTGAAACCTATCGACGAGGCAAGAGACCGTAGCCTTTTGGAAATAGCTGCAGTTAGTAAGATGTTTTATGGTCGAATGAATTCTGGAACATGGACTGGAGTGCAGTATGAACCGGACCCCACCATATACGCCAAGCGAGACCCTGCAGCGGGCCGCCGAGGTCAACTTGCCGGCACGCGCATCTTCACACGTCACCTTCTTCACACTTTCTAAATCAGGCCAGCGCGGCATTCTTCCCCGTTGCCAGACTCCATGTGCCGCTCAAATCCGTCAGCATGTTCAATTGGCAGAACATCGTCCTGCTCGTCCTCTCCTACGTCGTAATACCGCGCCTCACCTTCCTTCCCTCCTCGCTGCACACGCTCCTCATCGTCTTTGGCCCGTTCCTCCTACCGCGCGTGATAAACCTACTCAATACGAGCCGCGCAGCTTCACGAAGCGTCCCCGTCCGCCCGGTACCTACGAAGGTACAGCGCGCGCTGAATCTGCTACTCCTGAGCACCATCGTCTGTCTAGCGCTCAGCTTGCCACGATTCGCAGAGGAGAACATATTCCTCCGCACGCAGAGCAGATGGCAGATCGAGCCGAACGTGCTCTTCACGCGGCTCGGCCTGCTGCGGGAGCTTACGCCCGAGGATGAGATGTTAAGAGAAAAGTTCACAATAAACAGCGCGAACAAGATGCTGTACTTTGCATTTGGCCCAGATACGCTGCTCAACTGCCTCTGGTGCAATTCCGCCGCTTCCTCCAACCCCAACAGAAACTACTTCTTCTACGCGCTCCCAAAGTTGCTCACGCCGCACATCACGCACCTCGCTGTTCTTGGGATCGCCACTTCTTCGATGATCGGCCCAGAAGGCAATCGTTTCCGAACACACGCTACAATCGCGGGACTCGCACTATTAGTGACAGAAACTTGGTATTTGGGCACATACGACCCGGCCTCCAACAAGCGTGCGAAGGTCCTCCAAGAAGTAGATTTTGCGCACTGGCGCGTCCGCGTCCTACGTTACCTCGCCTTCGCTCTCGTCGACGCCGCACTCACCGCAACCCTTTACCTCACGTCCACGAACCGCTGGCTCGCGCGACCCGAACCCATCGCCAACCGCCTCGAATCTACCACTAAGACCGCGGAAGAAACACTGCATAAGCTGCGCGCGCTAGGTCTGCTGGAAAATAGCATCAACCGAGATCCTGGGCTAAGGCTGGTGAGGGAGGAGTACTGGCGCACCGAAGGACAGGTCATGTCTGAGGCAGTGGCGGAGCCAGAAGTCACAGAGAAGATCAATGCGGCCATTGGGAACATGGATCTCACTGCTTTAGAAGGCAAGGTTGGGGAGGTTGCGGACGGGATTCTATCTGCTATCGATGGGCTGAGGTCGAGCCAAGTGTTGGCGAGCAGTGGGACGAGTGAAGGTGCCATGACATAATGGGTATCGGAAGGGAAACCATGATCTCGGTGTTTACTTAGACGGTTGGCTATGCATTGGCATGGAGTTTTGCAGATTAAATATATGTACAAGGGCTCGACGTTGTCCGCTTCTATCCAGGGGCACCACTAGACCACCTAATAAAAGTCTATAAAGTTGTGCCTACTTTACACTTAACACGATTGACCGTATTGCTCCTTAAAAATAATTACCGCCTATCTACTTTAACAGCTTTCCCTTTCTAACTGAGAAACCCCCACCGCGGCCTCGGTACCCTAACCTCACTTAAATTCTTGACAGCCTCCACAAAGTGCAGCTCCAGCGTGTCTATCTATAGTGAGCCCTGAATTGTGCCTGAGTGCTTGTTGAGAAACAGTGCGTTGATGGACTTTCTTGCGGCGTCGATACCCTGAGTAAGCTTGTCCTTGTGGACTTGGCAGATGCGGTGAATAAGGGCTTCAATATGCTCTGTACCTTCCCGGAGTAAAGAGAAGGTTCCGAGCGTAGTGGTGGTACGCATGTTGCTAGATTTGATGGCGTAATAGCTTGGGGGAACTGTAGGTGGATAGGTTAGTGACGGAGGACCTTGAGGTGGATGGCATGATGATAAGAGAGGACGATGTTACTCGACGGTGTGTTGCTTTCTCGATCGAATGATCTGTGGAGTGTGTATTTCAGGCAAAGCATGAGCGTGTTTGACTCCCTTATACTTCTTGTCTTGTTAACGTGCTTAGAAATGCTGTGAAGTGGGTGTGATCGTTGTTCGCATTGTCAAGCAGCGATGCAACCGCTGCTAATCGTGAAATCTTCACAAATTCCTTCGAGCTGCATGAAGGTGCAGGCTACATGATGTCGCAATTCTTCACGGCAAATGCTTTGCGCGTATAGATGTTGCTTGCTAATGTTGCAAGATCTCGACGAGGACGCTCGATCCATTCGAATATTGTGACCATTGCGGCCTGTCAGATTCGAATTAAGGTAGGAAAATTAGTGGAGTCTGTTCTGTAAATAGAGAATATGGAGTAGATGCAGCGGGAGGTATCGCGGCAGGGGACAGTATGGTGGCATAGAGGGAAAGGATAAGATGAAGACGGACGATGGACAAGATAGCACGAAGATAAGAGTTGAATCTTCTTGACATGTCCATACAAGACCATGTTTTTATGTAAAGGTACTAAGATCTACAAATGTTGCTGTCGTGAGCAAGGGTCCCGATTAGCGATAGCTTCTGAGGGACTAATTATCATGGTAATACCATTTGACGACCTTGGCCTTAAGCATGCCGAGTCGCTGTGTGCTCTACTCTGCCACCGTGGATACCGCGCCCGAATCCACTTCCCGCTACCGCTCCCCAGACATCTGCGGTGGGCGTTCCTGAAGTTGTCTTTCTGTCCTGCCAGACTCATTCACCGTGGACGTTTGCGTCACGTTCGTAATGAAGTCCGTGGCCTTGGCTAACTTAATTTACCTCCTCCTCTGTCATGCCCTCACTCGCTCGAACACTTTTTCGAAGTGCCTGCTGGCTTTCATGCACGAAACGCATGTGCGAAGGGCATGTGTGTCTGCGGAAGTAGTTGTGACATCCCCTCTACTGAGCTTAATGGGGTAATACTTCTCCGTCTCAGGAACCGAGGGTTTCACAATCAGAGCGAAGTTCGGAGAGGATACATGGGACATCCATACAACCCCACAATATGTCGCTGTGTGGCCAGAAGAGCTCTACCCCGTCTGGTTGGGCGACGGATAGCGCCCCGTGATGTTGTAATGCTCTTTTATTTGATTCCCGATCTCAATGAAACAGCTTCGTGCTTCTGCAAACGTGGCGGAGGTGGCAATGCGGGCGAGCTGGGCTATTCTGGGCGATGAGTTTAGTTCGACGGCGTGATCGACGTATGGGTCTGAATGGGGTGGCATTCGTTTGGTGCTGGGGCGAGGGGCTGGAGGTGTGGAGACTGGAGAGACTGCAGGTGTAGTCCTTGGTGTAGAAATGCGGTGCCAAAGCCGTGGGAGGCATAGAGATGGGAAATGATTATACAGTCTTGTTGTGTGATATTCCGTTGACGAATGTGATATATGAAGTGTAATTTTAGAATGTGTGCGGGTGTTCGACGCTACTTATACTGCATGTCCGATGCTCGCGTGTGAACATGAAGTGAAGTAAGGAATCATTCTTCATCCAGGTCAGTAGCATTAAATGATTGTCGAAGAGGCAAAACTGGTTGAGCAACAGGATGCCGATAAGCCTGCGCACGCGTGTAGCAATTTTCAAGAGTCCTTCCCGTCCGTTCTCGAATGTTGCGTGAATATGGGGCAAGGGACATTCCTCCCGACCACTGGCAAGATGGTGTGTGTAATCGCTTTCGCCAGCGATTATACGACGCTAACAAGTTTCGACTGCCGGGCTCATTGAAACCTGTTGCTGTTTGTGTCGTCGTTCAATAGTCCAAAGTCGAGGTTCAGACCGTCCCAGTCGAATACGACCTCCATGCCCCCAATATCCAGATTCGATGAGCTGTCGAAAGGATTCTGCGCCAGAAACTGGTCCACGTCAAAAGCAAGGTCGTCAGTAGTCGCCATCTCCGGAATAGGCACATGGTTGTACGTATTCGGTACCATTTTCGGTTTTGGCTCAATAATCGGGGCTGTGGTCACAGGAAATGGTTGCTCTGATAAGGGCGTCCTCACCTCTGACGATGATTGGCTAGAACCCATACTTTGCAGTGTTCGTTGCCGCTTGGTAATTGGAGCGTATTGCGACAACACGGGTGCAGCCTGCACAAGCTTGAACAAGAACCAGTAAGAGGATGCGCCGAGCCTTGTGGTGAGGCTGAGCTGTTGGAGCATATCCAGCGCGCCTTCGACCGCGTCCATAACTCTTTCGCGATGAGGTAGTACGCTGTCAACATCGTGAATGATGGCCGAGCAAAGGATCGTCGCAGTGTCGAAGATACAGAAGATAACCATGTGAAACTTAGCGTTGATCGGGAATTCATGGTCGAACAGCAGCCGCGCTATATCAAGCATCTTTAACGCAGTTTCCACGCCTGTCTTGCGCAATCTTGCATCCCGCGACGTCTTTGGATTGTTCGGGTCGCGAGTAAGGTACGGCTTCAGTAAATCGAGCATGGCCATGTGAATGACGACATGCAGCTGGTGACGCTGGAAAACATAATAGGGATGTTGTTCGTCCAAGGACAGGTCGGGATCTTCTATCCGAAAAACCGGAGGAAGTTCATCGATGAAATCGCGGATTTCATCGAGAGCTATGAACACTTGATCTGGACTGATCACCTGAACATCGCCCATCAGTAGCGCTATGCGTCGTCCTATCCTGGCTTGGAGGACTATGTGAGCGAACGGAGAGAGGAGATTAGGCTCGGATGCTGATTGGTCGAGCCGCAAACTGGGAAATTCGAAAGATAAGTCCTTTTGATTAATCAAATGCGGTCTGCCTAGCCATGCGGACATCTGCCAGTCCCAAATGTACAGCAGGGTCCATAGGCGTCTTCGTATTTCGACATCGAATTCAGGCAGTCCTTCGTTTGAGGTCTCTTTGTCGAGGCCAAGCTCCTGGGCCTCACGAATAGTGCATCCCAAAGAGTGCCACGACTCCACAATTCTCGATTCGGACTTAAGCCAAGCACCTTTATAGAAGAGTTCTTGTACTCTCTCAATGCAAGTGCTGGAGACCGAAAAGCTCTTGCTCAGCTGTTCAGCAGCGTTGTGAAAACGATCTGTCATGACCTGCGGGCTGCAAGCCAGTTCAAACTCGATCATTTTTCGAAGTTCGGGAGTAAGATATTGCACGGAGTAGGAGAGTACTCTGAGAAGCAAGCAAGTGAATTCGGGTGAAAGTGAACGACCGTTGACGCGATCTGACCACCACTGCACATACTGGTCGGTAAATGTTGGAGCGTATATGGCGCTGTACCGACAATTGACAACGGATAGGAAATGGTTGACGATAGCATCTACAAGAAATAAGTCATGTTATTCAAACGAGGATTAGTGGTCATACCTGCGATGGATCTTGGTGGTATCGCGTGCAGCACGCCCTCGACGGCGTCTGACTTGTCGGAGGTTTCAGAAGTGTCCTTCCTGAGGAGTTGCTGCGTACTGTCAGACTGGCTCCTCCCAAGGATATGAGATAGCTACCTCGCCACTGTTCCGGCCTAGATTGAAATGTACGTGCCCTGGCATATAACCCCATATTTTCAACCCATCCTCAGGTTCGTCAAGCTCACCGTTCAGGCCATTCGAAGACACCTCTGACGGTTCAGGCTGACTTCGCTTTCGTCCTCGTGTTTCACCGATTTTCTCACTGTTCCACTGCCACGTTACTATGTCGAAGGCTAAGGTATCCTCGCGAAAGAAGTTCGGCATACCGGGAAGTAGAATCTGGAGGCGAAGGCTGCTGAGCTTTCTTCGACCCGAATTGACAAAGATGAGGAACTTTCCTCGCTTGACAATGATTGCAAGGCCATTCCCGCGAACACTGTGACGTGATTAGCCGCGAATGCGAACGAGTACGGGCGCTCCCGTGCGTGTCCGATGACTTTCGGACGCACCTTTTGTTTCCGACGTTGACATTCTGTGCACGATGCCGTAGCACGGCTTTCTTTATTAGCTGACTGCATGGTGTCGAAGTTGCTTCGCAGAAGACAGAGGTGTCAAAGTTTTGCACGCCTGAACAGTCGTCGAAACGGTCTTTGGTACCTTTCGGAGTTAAAGTAAAGTGCGTAAAAAACCCCCGCTTCAGCCGCCAAGAGACTATGGCACGTGATTAAGCCTGTGATTAGGTACTTAGGTACCTAAGGTGCTAAGTAACACCGCGCAGAGGCGAGGGCTGCGGCGAGAATGCTTCGCGTGTCGCCTCTCAGCTCCGACGGTGTATTGGCAGCATTGCAAAGTCTGTCGTTGGTGTTACAGAGTGGGGCTCCCAAGGACCCTTTTTCTGGGGTGTGGGTCCAGACTTGCACGTATCCACTCGACGCCGCCACCTCGTCAGAAAGCTGCGAGGATTCCAAATGGTTTCCGAGACCATTTTTGCTTTTCGAGCTGGTCGAGAGAACAGGCCCGAAGAGCCGGCTTTGACGTTGACTCCAGCAACAAGCCTTGTTCCAGAGCGAAGCGAGAACCCAAGCTTGAAGCGGCTTTTTCGAGAGATTACAGGACAGGCTATCGCTACAGTGGTTGAGACCGTAACGGATTGTCAGTTCTGGTGGACGGACGAATACTTCAGGTCAGCAGTCTGCTTGTCTCGGAGTATGCCACGGCGACCTAAGATGCACAAAATCACACGTACGAACGAGCTGTTGAAGAGAGCAATGCTGAGAAAATGAAAAGGTTGGACCGTGTCCTGAGGAGGACACGGGGGGCAAGTGTTGTTAGCGTGATTGTACGGTGGCGGCGAAGGCTCTCAGGGGAGCACATACGAGATGCTACCATGTGAGCCTAGCAAACGGTCTCGCAAGCAAGACAAGAGACGATGGAGTAGTGCATACGCAGGTACGAGCAAGGAAGCAGACGGCGGAAGGAACAGACGGCCGGAGATAGTGTCGGAGTTTGTCGGTTGCGGTAAGCGCGAACCACAAACGGTGGACCCGAACAACTTCACTGTGAGGCAACACTCCGCTTTACACAGCCATGCACACATGCCGATCAACCGAGGAGAAAGAGATGAGTGATTCTCAGCCTCAGCAACGCCACGTCCCTCCGAGCCGGCGGCGCGATAAGCCCATCCTCTCGTGCACCCTCTGTCGTCGGCGCAAGTAGGTCTTTCCAGCCTCCGCTCCAGGGTTCCAGCGTTCCAACGTTGGCGAAGCATCACGTGCTGACTTGACTTACAAGATTGAAATGCGACCGTCAACAGCCATGCAAAACATGTGTGGATCGCGGTCTGTCGCTCGCATGCACATACTCCCGCAATGTTTCCACCTCTTCAGCATCACCAGCAATAAATGGTGGGTCCAATGTCCACGACCGCGTTGACCAGTTGGAGAAGTTGGTAACCACTCTGATGGCTGAGAAGACTGGTGGGGACCGCAAGAGAAAGAACACGCTCCCTAGCGTAGCTTCACCGCTTCGCCTTGACCTCAACGACGAGAGCGCAAACATTGAGGCTCCGAAGACCCCTGTGCATATGACTCTCGACAGCGACGAAACACATTACACTGATAGTGGTCATTGGATGAGTATACTTGACAGTATTTCCGAGCTCAAAGATGAGCTTGACCAGATAGCTTCCGAACCACAGCCATATAGTCACGCGGATGACGATGTTGGGCCAGAATTGTTACTCGGTATCAAAACCCATGCAACCCGGCAAGAAATCATAGCAGGGCTTCCTGCCAAAGCTGAAGCCGACCATCTTCTCGAGAGATATTACAACTTTGTGGACGTCGCACCTACTATTATGCACAGGCCGAAGTTCAAACGAGAATACAACGAATTCTGGAGGAATCCGACCGAAACTCCGGTCATGTGGATTGGGATGCTGTATGGAATCTTCGCCATTGCCATACGCATACAATCACTTATTGAGGAGCATGATAACGGCATTACCGATCCGTCCCAACGAACATTCTCGCAAGCTCGACAGGACCTGTATCGACAAAAGATCGCACAGTGCCTTGTCTTGGCAAATTACACAAAATGTCCGCCTTTCACCATGGAAACCTTCCTCTCATACTTCGTCGTCGAATATCTTCGAACGCGAGATACACAGCATGGTATCTGGCTCCTGATGGGTATGCTCGTGCGAACTGCTTTCCGCATGGGTCTTCACAGAGAACCAACAAAAATAACTAACAACAGTCTCACCCCGTTCGAAGCTGAGATGAGGCGTAGAATGTGGTCCATGGTCGTTCGACTAGATCTCATGTCGTCTGGGCAAATAGGACTACCCCGAATGATCCACCCAGCAATGACTGATACACTCGAACCTCGCAATCTTATCGACGAGGATCTCCAAGAGGACATGGCTGAACTCCCGCCTTCAAGACCGGATACGGAGTTCACCCCAATGCTTTACACTATAATTCGAAACCGCGTTTTGGGAGTTTTCGCGCGTATCGTGGATCTAGTCGGTGCGAGCGAGCCACCCACATACCGAGAAGTCCTTGAATTAGACAAGGTCCTACGCGATACATACGAAAAAGTACCCGCGTCGCTCAAAGGTCTGAATATGCAGGACTTTGATCCTTTCGCAGAAGGCGCAATGTCGATTGTGATCCTTGGTTTAACATTCTTGAAAGCGCTGGAGATACTTCATCGCCCATTCCTATTTCTAGCACATGACGATTCCAGACATGAGTACTCCAGAACAGCTTGCATAGATGCCGCGCTTGAGATTCTCGATATCCAACACATGCTGGAAGTTAAGTCCCGAGATAACAAAGACCTTTGGGGAGCACAATCAATGTGGTGGACATCGAGCTGGCGCCTATCGTCGTTGATGAGCCACGACTTCCTTTTGGCTACCACTATGCTGGTTATCGATCTGAATCGAGACCTAGCGAATCCAATGCCAGCTAGTCAAGTACCCAGAGAACGCTTTAAGAGCGGACAGCCAACACGCGATGAAATAATTCCTGCCTTGATAAGAGCCCATGCGTTCTGGGCCCGGCTGAGCCCAAAGTCAAGAGAAGCTCGAAGAGTGGCCGCCGGTGCCAAGCATGTGCTCGGAAAAGCAGGTATTAGTGGGTTCACTCCCAGCTGTAAGAGACCCACACTCCTGAATGTACGCGGCGCATCAGAGCCTCGGAGGCAGTATATCCCTCTGGGTTAAGTTGTCTTTTGATCGGCCTGGTCACATAGATCGCCATGCGATGCGATGTGCTGACCTACCTCACTCCGGCTAATGGTGTACTGACTTCTGCCAACAGCGACCGTCGAAAACACTCCTCGACAGCCGGACCTCACGTTTCCGCCAGAACAGCCGCTTTCGAACGCGCCGTTCTTTTTCGATCTCCAGAATATACAAGAACCGCTATTCCCCTTACCAATGGATGACGTGCCAATGGATTTTGGTGAAAGCGGTGATGCCTTTGATTGGGTAAGTATGCGAACCATATTTCCGTTTTTTTTCGAATCTCACTATCGTGTAGGCGGATTTTGAGACGACTTTTCCGATGGCATCGTTTGGTGACCCTAATATGCGGAAATATTTCGATTAGTGTAATCGAATGCAGGTGATATGATAATAGGTAACGCGCATGTGGTTGTACGTTAGTGATACACGGCTTTGTCACAATGATACCTCGTTCATCAGATCATGTGGTCGTTTTAACGTCATCACGCATAAGGCTCGGTTCGTTCCGGTGGAGTGACGTCCAACGTTGTGCGCTCTGTCTCTCCCATGCTCGCGCTCCCCCGGTATCACACCGTCCAGCTTGACTCGGGTGTTTCCCGACTCGCCTGTTTTTCAATTCTAAATGCTCAGGCCGATCATCGGTACGGACCATCGGGCCATGTCCGTGTTCAAAGTATTATGAAAGAGCCTTGCGGATACTTGTAGGCAACACGAAACGGGCCTTTGCCGTCCCTTCACGAACGAATACCGAACGATACGATCCTTCGACCCCTCTCGGTATTTGCTAACAGATACTCTAGATCTTACCGAGCCCGGCACCAGCCTTGACCGCATTTTTCACGTCGCCTAACGCAGTGAGAGTGTACGCATACGGCGCCTCGGTAAAAGCACCTGTCCTCGTGATGTTGACGCTTGCAGGGCCCCAATCGTTTTCTAAGTTCATGTTAGCATCGAGCTCTGTTCGCTACAAGGAAGAGTCTCGTCTTACTCGCACCCAAATTTGCGAACCCATCGAGCTCGGAATCGCCATCAGGGCTTGTGTTTGGGCTATCGTTCGGGATGACTAGTCCGTATGTCGACAGCGCCTCGGCTGTATTCCCGCTAAAAACGTTCCCTTCGACGAGCACCTCGTTGTCGCTGCGGCTGTGTATCGCCTGATACAAATAGTCCTCGTACAAGTTATTGTAAATGTGCTGATGGCCAAAGCGACCAGCTGGACCGCGCGTGCCTTCGTTGCGCCAATAATTATGACTACCCAAGTCAGCACTTGTCTCCTCTCTAACCTTCCTTTCCACTTTTGAGAAGAGAGAATGACAAGACAAACTCACTGATACGTAACATGCAAATGCCCGCTATCCTCCCCCCTTAACGCATCACTATTCCCCACCAAGCTACTTTTCCAATGATCATGAAAATAATTCCAGCTCACTGTAATCCAATCACTCGCCCTCACGATATCACACTGCCCGTCGAACTTGTCCGGGCCACTCGCGGGGAACCCACCGCTCTCAAACTCATTGTGATCAATCCAGACTCGAGTGCTATTTTGTATTGTAATACCGTCGTTGCCGATATCGCCTCGTATGCCGAGGTTGCGGATGATGACGTTCGAGACGGACTTGATGTTGAAGCCGTTCGAGAGGATGTTTGCGCCGGTGCCGGTGCCGATTAGGGATTTGTCAGGGCCGATGGAAAGGCGAGATGTCAAAGTGAAATTGCCGGAAAGGAATATGATGCGAGGCGTTGCGTCTGTTGCGGCAGATTTAAGGGCTGAGGGCGTGGACACGATTACGGTTTCGCCGCCTGCGCCGCCTGTTGTTGCGCCTACAGGGTTGTCTTTGGCGAAGCCGACGAGGCCTGAGTCTGCTGCTGCTGGGTACGCAGAAGCGCCGAGGAGAGAGGGACTGAGTGCGAAGATGGTCAGCTTCATTGTGGTTTGAAGATGCAGCAGAAAATTGGGATTGCGGTGACGCGACAAACTTCTCGGGTCTTATACTGCGCCAACAACAGAAGCCGACTTCTGAATCGCTACATTGTTTTGAACTTTAAACATCGGCTATTCATCCGGAAACATGGGCTCTGCGCCGTTGATTGCAAGGTGCAAAAGGTAAGTACGCGAGGGTAATGCGACTCGTACTACAATTGTGGCGGGCATCGATCCGCATTGCCTAAGGTGTTCCTGGGTAGCATGCAGTGTGACGATTGGCGAGGCGAGTGATCTGGGTGTTGAGTGGCGGAGAATTATGTTCCCCAGATTCGCTCAAGGGAGATCGGCTGCTTGGCTGCAGTGTGGAGGACGCGATATGGATCGCTTTGCCAGAATACAATGTTTCGTTCTTCGCAACTTCGCTGTACGAAGCAAGAGTGCAAATCATGCTATCCATGGTGTGATGTTGATGACGTTGGCCATGCGCAGCTCACAGAGCAGCGTAGCTTGAGCATGTTGGCAGAGGACGAAGAGCCAAAAGTCGCGCAGCCGCACTCGAACGAGCCAGTAAACAGGAAAAACTGCAGGATACGTTGAAGAAGCGAAGCGAACAATGTTTCTGATGCTGTCGGAAATGACTACAGTGGTTACAGTATCATCACCTGAACCTGCTGCAAAGCGTCGTCGATGGAGTACACCAAAACATAGTAGGTCTCGCTTTCAGCCCTTGTCTTCGCGAGGCTTACAGCTTCGCTCCCTTCTCCCTCTTCGCCAACGCCCTCAAGTCCTTCCTCAAAATCTTTCCACTCGGACTCTTTGGCACCGTGTCGAGAAACACAACCCCGCCCCTTAGCTGCTTGTGATTCGCCACAATCCCCTTCACGTACTCAATTATCTGCTGTCCCGAGGTCTTCTTCTGATCAGCAACAATATACGCCCTGGGCACCTCACTCGTGCCCTCCTCACCCTCAACATCGACCCCAATAACCGCCGCATCCATCACATTCGGATGGCTAAGCAACAGTGCTTCCAGTTCCGCAGGTGCAACTTGCAGTCCCTTGTATTTGATGAGTTCCTTCTTGCGATCGACGATATAGAACAGCCCATCCCGAAACTCTGCAATATCCCCCGTACAAAACCACCCGTCTACGAATGCCTCCTTGTTCGCGGCTCCATTTTGGTAGTATCCTTTACACACAACCGGTCCTTTGACCAGGACTTCGCCTGGTTTTCCGGGCTCGACATCCGCGCCTGCATCGTCGACAAGGCGTGCAAGCATGTTAGGGATCAGAGGGGAGACAGAACCCGTGTCGTCGGTCATCTGCATGGGCATAATAGTCGCGGAACCAGTAGTCTCGCTGAGGCCCCAGGTTTGGCTAATGAAACAATTTGGGCCGCCGAGTTTCTGGCTCGCAGCGTGTTGTAAGTCCTTGCCCAGTGGCGCGGCACCGGATATGGCGATCTCAAGGGACTTGAATTGGTCTGTGACGAGGGGACTCTTGGCGATGAGAAGATAGATGGGGGGAACGGTGAAGAAGAACGTTATCCTGTACTTTGCGTTGTACTCGAGGAATTGCGTAAAGTCGAAGCGAGGCATCCAGTACACGGGACCGCCCATGTAGAAGGGGTTGATGAGGTAGCCTTGGATGCCTGCGATGTGGGCGATGGGAAGGTGGGCAATGGTGCGGTATGAGAAGTCTGGGCGTGAGGACGAGATCCAGGATTTGAACATGTCACCGGGAATGACAGCTTCCGCGACAAGGTTGCGGTGAGACAGTTTGACGCCTGCAAATGTCAGTCAAGCGACTGTTCCTCACGGGAGACCAATCTTGGTGGAAAGCTTACCCTTGGGCAGGCCAGTCGTCCCGCTGGAGTATATCAGAACTACCAAGCTATTCTCCAATTCATCCGGATCCGTTATCTTCTGCCATGCCAATTTCTGGCTCTTGTCAATCAGGTTCTCACCCAACGACTCATCGCCCTGAACGATCCTGAGCTCCCATTCCGCGCCCTCACTCATCAATAGCACTCTCCCCCCTCCATTCTTGCCCCATCCAGCGTCTTCAGCCGCTCGTACCGCAATATCTCTTGTTGTCTCACATGTGACTAGTACCTTGCTCTTCGCGCCTATGATCTGCTTGCTCAATTCGCTTGCGGTAGATGCAGCAGAAGCCGCACTCAAAACACCCTCGGCGCCTATGATACCGTATGCGAGAACAGGGAGGAGGTAATGCCCTGTCGATATGACTGAGCAGATGTCACGTCCTGGACCGGAAGCTCCTATGGAGAAGTGGTTCCGCAGGGCGGCAGCAGTGGAACGCGTAAGTGAGCGAGCGCGAGCGACTGTCAGAACATGGTTTGGGTTCGCGGCGGAGATGTGTATGGGTGTCTCTTCCTTGACGAGAGAGTGTTCAGAGTCTGTGCAACGTCAGATGCAAGCGAGACGGATTGAGAACCAGAAACACATTGGGGGCGCGAGATCACGTGGAATTGTGGAGACTTTGGGTGGTGTACCGAAGAGGAGGGTGAGGATGTCGAGGTCTGGGATAGGATAGGTCTTCGCAGCGCGGTAGATTATGCCGTTGGGCGTTCTGTCCACTATCGTTGTCATATTGGCGAAAGAGTATGAATCGCCCAACGAGCAGATAACATATACTATGGGAGGATCTCAATTCTATGCTCGTGAGACAAAGCAGCAATCAATCGCAGCTGAAGACGTTGAAATCGTGCAGACTGTCTGTATTGTTCCGTTTTTTAGGCGACCAAGAGCAAGGCCGCGGTCTATGCACCTGATCCTTCGTGAAGATGAAGTTCCTCGGCTCTTAGTAGCTTGAGGTTGATGAGCATTTGCCCGTGTGGGGCGATGGTACATTCGGCTACCCTCGGTAACTTCTCAGTAGTCAGCGAAGACGAGTAAGCGGGGTATTCGGGGTAACATCGACAATGCGCAACTTGTAACATAACTGTAGGCAATGGCGGTCTGCGTCGGATTTAGGGCGAGATCACTGAACTGTTCTGAATTAACGACATGAACACATGAGAATATAGGTGACCGGAGACTTCTCGAATGCAGTCGTTGATTCCACCAGGTCGATACCGCCTCTCACGTTGGCGAACAGCGTCCGTGCTATTCCGATCAATGCATTGCAATTCGTCCCAAACCTCGCATTGAGCTGCAGCCCTTTTGTTGGATATTGGCGACATAGGTCGCTGGTAGCCTATATCGTATTCATTTACGCGTCTGAGGGTGTTCGGCCGACACGATGGTACAGCAACAGATTCATGGCAAAAGTAGTTAGCCTGCACGTGCTGCCGTGGCTACCGCTAGCGTGTTTTGTTAATCTGGTGCGGGTCCCGATGCTCAACGCTCAGCCTGCCCTTTCCTTCACATTTCGACCAGCATTTGCTGCTAGCCCTTCCAAATTCTCACCGCGTGTATTTATTGCGGCAGGTTTGACGTAGCGCAGCCTTCTGATCCGCGATAGCTCTGGGTTATTGCACGTGCGGGGGCGGCCACCGACATCATGGACGTTCATGTCCCGCGGAAGAGAGGCCGACCCAAGAAGTACTTTACTGTAGAAGAACGAAGAGAGGCGACTCGGGCGTCTGCAAAGAAGAGTTTCCAGAAGAAGAAGGAGCAGGAACGTCTCGCTGCAAACGGGTCAAAAGATTCATCACATAGTACCCCCACTGGTACGCGGAACGTCTCCATCCATTCCAGAATACTAAAGGACGACAGCTACACCAAAGCGTGTCCACCAGTCAAAACCTCATGGGGAGGATGGCCAGAATAAGACCACGACTGACGCTGTGCACTTTACCTTCCAACCACCACCCTCCCCCCAAGATACCAGACCTACCCCAAGCCAGTTTACAGCGCCCTTGGATTCTCTTAGACCCCCACCGGCCTATAGTTTTTCCATTGGAAATGCCCCTTCTAAAGCTGCTGTAATTCCTGATGCTTCTGGCTATGCACCATGGCGCACAGGAGAATATATACGTGAACCAATCGTTGCGCAAAACACAGAGGCCATATTTAGTCCAGGATATCATATACAGACTACGACACACTATAACATCGTTCCCAATCACGATAAACCCACAATGGCAGCCTCCAACAAATCCCATTCGATGATACGCCCTCCGAGAGAGGAACCCAGAGCGGGCGTTCCTTCCACATTGCATTCTTCACTCGAGAAAGGAGACTCATCCTACCCTTCAGACAACCTTCGGACGGTAGACGGGATACTATCATCGTGCGAAGTGGAGATCCTTGCAGCAGAACTAAAAAGGAACCCAAAACGACATCAAGACCTGCGCCAAGACACTTTCAACAACCGTAAAGGTGAGAAGGAAGCGCATGCGGAACGTCGGACACATGGGGATAGTGATGAGCATTCGCACCAGCCAGAGACAAGAAGCCTCGACACTGTGCGCGAACTTGAGATCCTCGCGAAGAAGATCAAACGAAAACCCGAAAGGTATCGTCGCATACTCGAGGAAAATTTGCAGCGTGACCCGGGTCAATATCGAGACGTGCTAGATGACATACGCGCCCGCCAAGCCCTGAGAGAAGCAGAGGCACCAGAGAGAGCTCGGGCTTTGATGGAGCAATGGGAGGAGGGCCAGCGTGCTCGAACAGAAGGGAAGGCCTGGCAGGAGGTGAGTTATGGTCAATGGGCGACTAGAGGTGCCGAGACGGCACAGGAACATGTTCTGAGACAGGCCGAAGCCAGGAGGGCAGAAGAGCGCGCCAGACAATTAGTGAAAGCACACGAAGACTCGAGGAAAGCTAAGCAAGAACGACTACGAAAGGCGGCACCAGAAGAAGTACGGCAAAATAAAAGAGCACTCGAGCAGGTACAGGATCTATCCGAACGACCTGAAGACGACTTTGACCGCCACGTACGCTGTATCTCTGATTGGCTCCAGGCCACATCCTACGGACAGCACCACACGTTTCCAACCAATGGCCAAGCAATCTTCATCAACAAAATCAAACCACGTATCCACCAGATCGAACGAAGTGCCATGAGCAATATAGCCTCCTTTGCTATACAGTATGTCGCACTGATGGCTCTGACGCACATAATACGCCTCATATACGTTCACAGAGTCGGCAAGATTGGTGCAGAGGTTCTGCGGTACTACGAAGCTGGCGCCAAATTGAACGGTGTCGATCAGCTTACGTCGGCCATGTTAGAGATTATTGAGAAGAAGGTGCACCACGAAGACAAGGCCTGGTTGAAGACGCACCAAGGAGCTGCAGGTGTTTTGATGCGAGAGATGCTAGAGGTCTGGCCCATGGTGTGCTCCTACGGCCCGGTGCAAGTTCAGCAGAATCTGGGAGGCGTACTCTGGAGGGGGTTCGGATATCGGCCTGTTCCGAGCTTCCGCTAGGCTTCTGAACACACACGCTCAGCATTTCCAATAGACGAGGCAGAAACACTTGACACGACGTTGGTTCTACAACAGTCACTAGAACGATCTATTACTACCTCGCGACCATCCACTCAACCTAAACTCCTCACAAACAAAAGCCTCGTCACTGCCCGATGCGTCTGCGGCGAGAAAGACTTTGACGTCACGGAGGTAGCGCTTGAGGAGCCCCTCCGCGGGATCCTGCGGTGCGAAGGTCACGTTCTGCACGCAGACGGTCATTTTCTTGATCAGACAAGCGGCGTCCAATTGTCGCCTTGGACAGTCGGCTTGGAAAGGGTAACTGCACACTCGCGTCAACGTCGTCTCATCTCATCTCATCTGTACACGCCACATTCAGATCCGATCTCCCATGTGCAAAATGCATCCCATCCGTTTCGGGATACGAGAAGCCCTGCGCAACCCTGCAGGCTCACGCAACAACGAGGCGACAGAAGAAGGAAACAAAATAGTGACTCACTCGGCATCCAGACCCACCAATTAGCTGCCGCCTCCAAATCCATGCCCGCCCATCGCCCGCCGACACGTCTCGATACCGTCGTCAGCCGCAATCGTCGTGCACAGGCTCTTCAACCCGCTGCTGGCACGGTGCAGTGTGGTCACCCCCTTCTCCATCGTGCCTGTGCTGTCGTGATACAAGTTGTACATATTTTCGCTTGTATAGTGTAGCGCGAACGTGTCCGCCAGCAATGGCAGAATCCGGATCTGGACGGTCGGGTAGTCGAGGACTTCGTCTTCGCGTGGGGGCCGCGACGTCGCTGTCGGCAATAGCGTACGGCCACAGTCACGGCTCGCGCCAATACCAACCTACACTGTAGCCGTCAAGTCAACTCGTCACTCGATATCAGATAGAAGCTCAGCACATGCCTTGCATGCATGATGATTTGCCCGCGCACAAAGGTCAAGCTCCCATAGACGGCCGCCGGATGGCCCCTCCGCATCAGCGCACCCATCTCGTCCGAGACCTGTGCATATCGCGACAGCACGGCCGACCCAGGCGCCCGAACATGATCGAACAGCACATACCCATTGTCCATGCTAGCGTAGCCGTACTTCGGGCCGATGTCACCTACGGATGGCTCTGTTCATCCCGAATCTGCACGATGAACACCGGCGGGCCGTGAGAGACGTATTCCGACGTGGTATGAGGTCTCGTGGGTGTATCGGAATCGGCAGTGCTAGACTAGTCGGTGCTACGAGCAGCTGCGCACCGACGACCTGCGCGTGCGATTGATTAGCAGACCCTGCGCAAGGTTTGAGACGTTACACATGGCGTCTGCATAGACGTGGGTGTAGGCCGAAATGAGATTAACGAGGGACGATTGAGAAAAGTAACGGGAGGCAACGGATGGCGTGCGTGGCAGTCCTTCCCATGCCGCCGTTCCACCATTTACTCGCTGTGGATCTCGAACTCTTGCGCCACGGGATCCCAATTGGCAACCGTCTCGAGGCCCTTCACATTTGCCCCGTGCCCGAGGTCGCTTCGCGCATTGCTAGCACCCTATGACGTCGTAGTTGAGTATGCGCGGCATCCAGCGTATGTCTTGAGCGGGCGAGCCCTGCTCGCGTATCGTCGTCACTACACGAAGGACCAGGATTAGTCAGTCGGTCGGTCAGTCAGTCAGACAGACGCCTGGCCTAACGCCCTGGTTACACAGCGTTGAGCTCAACTTCGAGTTGCGCCTGCGTACGGAACATGGTCATGTGGAGGTGAAACGGGCTGATTTCGTCATCAAGATAGTCTGCCATCTTGTGGTCCTCATGATCCCAGCCGTCTCGCCGCACCCAGCCGCTGGATTGCTTCGGGTACCGCCCTGGTCGCGAAAGATCCGACTGCTGCTCCTTGTCGAACAGCTTCTCTTTCCGCAGCACCTTGAGGATCCCCTGGCGTTTGAGGAAATCATCGCGCGAGAGAAGATGCTCGGAAAGCTTGTCTATGACGAGAGCTGAAGCGCTGCGCTCGGCTTGGAGGACGGTTGCTCCGCGGAAGCTACCATCGTGTGCGTGTTCGACGCAACTGACGAAAACCACCGTGGGAACGACTGAAGCTGCTCACGTCTGGAGAAGCCGGCCTGAATCCGGACTTGTCTCAAGAGTGATCCCGGCGTAACCTTGGAAACCTCTGTTGACGTCGATGAAGGGCATCTAGTCGCGCGTAGCTACGCGTCTGTTGTTAGCGTGTCAGCCCCGCACGGCGCGGCAACTCTCGGTAATAAAGCATCCCAGGCGTGCTAGGAGCACTAATGTGCAGGCAGCTACGCCACACGATGCGAGACGCTGGGTTCGGGGGAATTCTGGGCTGGGGGTCTGTGTAGCTGACGTTGGCGGACATGATGACAGCCCTATAGACATGGAGCAAGGATTCATGGACAGGGTAGATGGCACCGGTGTCGTCGTAAGACTGGGCCCGTGCCGCTCCCCCAGTTAGCTGACCGTCTTGCTTGACAATGTAATGCGGGCTACAGTTCCCGATGCATAGTTTTTGTTGTCTTAGGAGACGAGGCCAGCTCGAAGTAGACAGCAAGTCTGTCAGGATAAAACTCAAAACTCAGTGTAATTGTACAGGATATCAGATGCCGGCCCCAAGAAAAAGCATAACAACCCAAATCCTCCGAGATGCATATGCCCCTAGAGAACGCCGTGCAGATGTTGCCAGAAAACAAAGTTACGCCCGGTTCGAGACATGTACAAGATCCGGGACTCCAGAGTCTGTGTATGCATATGTCCAGGATGTACCATGCGGCTTTGCGGCGTGAATGTCGTTGTGAATGCGTGCACTCAGCTGTTGTGCCTGCCAACAGTTCGCTAGATAATGCGCTCTGCCCATTTGGACAGCCCGCCCTTCTCCTGTAAGAGACGCTCCATGTCGACTGTTGCAAGTCTAACCATGACTTCATACGGCGCATCTTCACCATTCATTTGGTGGCGGCGGCGAGGCATGATCATCATGCCTCCATCCGCAACACCATAGGATCGTCTTATAAACTCGGGACGTCCGCCGAGAGACTGCTCGTCCAAATCGGTGCCCGGTATGCCCCACTGCAGATCTGCACCGAAGTTCATCCAGGACGTGATATAGATATCCATACCGAAGCGGAATCCGAGGCCGAGTTCAGTGTCTGTGATCGTGTTGATGGACTTGAAGAACCCGAGATGTTTCGACACCCAATCATTGTCGACCTTTGCGATCGTACGTCGTATTTCCTTGATCGTGTGAACGATAGTCGCTTCGGTTACCCTGTGCGACCTGTCAGTAAACTTTGTGCAACGTGGTAATCTAGATGAGATGTGACGTTTGAGCCCGAGCTGAGAACGAGTGCAAGTGTGGCCTACGAAGGGCGGTGACACGATCCTCTTTCTAGAAGAGTCTTCGCTTGGCACTATCATCGCAAATGTAACGAGCGACAGTGTCGAGTAGCAGCGCAGCGGGGCGAATGGGAGTCGACTGGAAAGCACTTACTCTTCATCAGCAGTAAAATCCTGAACCTCAAGGGATCCTGTCGCGAAGATCGCCATGTTGCCCGTGTAGGTGTCCTGCAGAGGGGGACTCATCCGCTTGCGGAGATCGGTGGCGATGCCAATCTTGGACTTCTCATGCCCGTAATCACCTCTTCGGTGCGCCCTCGCTCGTGTGACATGGATCCACAGCAACGCAGCAAGCACATTGCAGATCGTCGGTGGTGGTTCTCCGGGAAAGTATTTGTGTAGGCCGTCCCGATAGTTGCGGATGACGGCCGCGGGGATGACCAGGTACTTCATCATACATTCAGTATCATCTGGAAGAGACTTCTCGTACTTGTAGGTGCCTTCAACGTAGGCTTCTGCGGAGGGTGACTCTCCGTAAGCATGAGTAGGGGCCCGCTGGTCTAATTGATGTCGCATGGACCGTTGGTCGGCACGGTAGTCTATTGCTAGGAGACCTAATCAGTGCTTTGCAGTGAATGGAAGTGAGAGCCACTATTACCTGGTGTGCCACTCATACGTCCCTTCGATAACGGACAGGAGACGTTCTCTGCGAAACGCTGCCAGAAGACGTTGATCCCAGCGAAGTCCATTACTGTGTGGTGTACATATGTGCTTAAGACAAGGCCTCCCGGAATAAAATCTGCTTGGACTCGCATGACGGGTGCCTGATTACCATTGCTGAAGTTCACGATGCCTTCGCCATCCGAAGGGATACCTGGGTATTTATGGAAGTCGTCTGGTCGAAGTCTACTCCCAGGGAAGGCGTCTGGTGGCATGCCTCCTCTTTTGAGCTCTTCGTAGGTGCGAAAGGATTCGTTGGCTTTCCAAGCAAAGACGCCAGATGCTCCCAAGTCGGGCACCGTCGTTGGAAAGGTGAGCACGAGTTTGCCGGAAGAATCATCAGCGAGACGGAGCTTGCCAGCGAGGAAAGTGAAGTCCTGAAGAGTCACACGTAGTCCGCGCTCCAGAGCCTGGATTGCGTTCTCACGTTGGTTGGCATCGGGAAACGGGAAGACCAAGAACACCTGTGTGTAAACGCGCACGATGTTCTGGTCCAAGGCCGATAGATGCAGTTTTTCCTCGGCGAGGCCAGGCGTTGGAGACTTCAGTATCATCCTGGGAAGAGAACGCAGCCTCGAAGAAAGGGTGTCCAATAGAGTTGTGGCAGGTCCTGGAGCCATTTCGCATGTGTGGGTGTATTTGTACCCCAAAAGTTGAAGAGTCGCACATAGCTGGATGCGGTGGGCAAACACCAGGTATATGAACCAAGACGCTGCCAGCCTGGATTCACCGCCGTATAGGCAGTGCTTGTGTAACCGCTACCCTGCGCTGCCCTCTGTGATGTTTGGCGGCCCGGCAGCTCTGACCAACGCGAGGCCTCCGTAAACGGTTAGTGGCTTACTTGCCCGGCTGAGCACCCGCTTCCCCGGCGAAGCTTCTATGGATACGGTTGCACCCGCGTCACCGCAGAGGCGGTTTTACGCTTCCGTGTTCCCCGACGGCGATGTGCTTCGTTCCTCAGGAGTTCGCAAGCCTTGCGCATGCACTCGACGGCTACACCCGCTTGCAACGTGCACCCAGTACCTACAACCTGGTTGAAGTTGGGTAACTCGTCCAGTAGCTCTTTCGGACCACCGTTCAAAGCCCCGTTCGAAGGACGTTTTGAGCAACAAGCAAAGCTCCTATGACTGGCGGATGCAATGGGAGACGTAACCGGTGGCGGTGAAGCAGGGGTGCTGGGGAAGACAGGTGTATTTGTTTGCTTTTTAGACCTTCTCCACAGTGGGCCCCGTAGGTAGATCATAGCGCGGGTACATACACCGCGCTAGGTATTGAGCAATTCTGAAACAGAAGGGGCAGAGTGCTCGTCGACACCAATGGGAACGAGACATGTCGCTCAACAGTCATGTAATGCTGGAGTCCACATGCGCTGAGTGCATCGTGCGCTTCCTGAGGCGGTGATTGATGACAGCTCACCACGAGACGGCATCAGTGCTGCATCGAGTAAGCCCGCGCCGTGAGCACGATGGATCCCACGGTCCCGCGGTCCAGGTCCAAGGAGTCACAGAGTCATCTGAAGCCAGAATTGGTGCGTATTGATAGCCAGTGTGCCAATCCCATAGTTCGCGAGCTCAAGGAAAGGGAAATAGTGTGCCACGCAGCAGCTGGAGCTGACACGTAGCTAGCGACGATCTTGTATTGCACGTTCTCAGTCATCGCATGGGAGGTCTACGTTCGTGAAACGATTCCTTGCCGCGTGGATAGATCACCAGGCATCCGCTAACGAAGTTTAGTGGCGTGGCACTTTGTTCCGCTGCTAATGTTGTCCCAATTAACATGATAAGCAAGGATCCGGCTCCTACAAGGCGTAGACTCTGTGACTATGTATTTTTGGGACGAGCCAGTGCGACATATGCAAGAAACTCACAGCTCTCTCACCGATCTCGTCAACATCGGTACTGTAAGCGGCCACGGCCCCGTTCATTGCAACCCCACCGGTAAGCCGAACCGAGCACGCGTTCAAGGAGTGTTGTGCGCTGTAAGACGAACTCAGGGCGAAAGGGCTGCTTGATTTCAAACCGGGGACGGCATCAGGATTTTATTGCCTGCGGTATCACCCCTTTGTGTAGCGGTCGTCAGTCCGGGAAGAATACCATTCGTCGACATGCACAGCCAGACCGACACCTGTAGCGCAAAGCATCAGGCGAAAGTTTATCGATTCGGGAAAAGAAAGTTACCACAATCCCTCGTTGAAGCTCGGCACCCGCGGATGGCTTGGACTTGATTTTCTTCAGGGAACGTGCGAGAATAGTGATGTTCAGAAGTATCTTCGGATTTGAGTACGGTGCCGTCCGATCCAAGGTCAATGTGCAACGAGACTGTGCGGAACATGATGCGGGCTGAAGAGCCTCCGGCGTCGTTCAGTGCTCGCTAGGCGACTTTGGGTGGCTGCGTCTGTCCCCTGCGTTACCAAAGTAGTAATCGCTTCGACCGAAGGACTTCGTCTTAAATAACTCAACAGCCTCTGTAGTGCCAAGCGTCTGTGGTACCTCCGTGCGAATTGACTCTTTTCAAGTCGAATGGACGATGCCAACCCTCAGCGGACCTCGCGCGAAGATGCACTTGGAACTCGGCACGCCCCGCTTCCGTTAGCGGATACCGATGACGCCTCTCTCGAGACTACAAAAAGACAGGGTACATGCTCATTGCGCGAGACGTATCGCTTCAACTCGGTCGTATGAAACTGATTCCATCGCATGTCAGCTGGAATGTTCGTCGGTAGTCGGTAGCCTTGATGCGGGGCAATCGATCAAAACTATGTGTGGATCGTCAAAGATACCGACATTGACCGATAACATAACATGACACTTACCAGGTGACGCGTAGCCTTTTGCCATGCATATCGCAGCCCCGCGGGTGCGTTGTTGTGAGACTGTGTCGAAATCTCGGGATGATAAGGAGTTTTGGTCATTTCTCGTTCGTTTTCGATCCATGTCTACTATAATATCGATAGTCCCTTAACATGCGGGACCACATGCTGCCGCACTCAGTGAGCATCCTCTGATGTTCGTCCGCTATAAACTTATGAGACTCGACTGATGGAGCAAAGCTGCTCTGCTTCGCAGGACGATCGCAGGCACGTGTTGCCATTGCGGATGCACGCTTTGAATATCAACATACATACCTCGGCTCCTCTCCGATGTACTGGCCCTGCGCGAGACGATTCTGAACAGCTTAGGATGTTGCACCGCTTCAGCACTTCAGAGTGTGTCGATTGCGCCCTGCACCTTCACTCCGACTCTCAGTGCAGCCGCAATACAAATTTTCTTCGGGTCGAACTCTGAGGAGGTTCGACTGGATGACGGTAAGGCACCCGATGGTTCAGTTGGCGAATGCGTGAGCGGGGTTGATGTCAAACTCTCCGCGGGTGACGAAGGCGAGGTGCTCGTTCACAGCCCGGTATACTTCTGTGACATAGATACGTCGTGTGCGTTACTAACAAGCCAATCCAGCACATGTTCAGTGCGTATCTCCGCGATGTCAAAGATACGGCGCAAGGCCACGAAGAAGGCTACTTTGGTACTGGGGACATTGCGGGACGGGAGGAGACAGGAGACGAGCGGAACGTCGTACTACTCTGTTGTCGGAAGAGTGTTGCTCGACATAATCAAGTCAGGTGGCTATAGGATTTCTGCGCTTGACGTCGAGCGTGAGCTGCTGGCCTTGCGGTACATCCCCGAAGCTACGGTCGTGGATGTATCCGATGAGAAGATTGGCCAGAGGGTCGCGGCGCATGTGTCGCTGCAGGATAAGAAGTTGACTGACGCATTCCTGGAATCGCACGGTAACAAGGAGCGTGTGTTGACCATTGCCGGTCTTTGCAATGATCCAAGGCCGCGGCTGGTCGGCTGCAAGGTGCCCACTCTGCTGCTGTGCATTGTGATGTGTAAGAGACGAGGAGTGAATCCGGACAGTGTGGAGCAGGTGGACGAGAGCGGAGGAAGGTGCAAGGAGCGGGTCCTTGTTAGGCCACGAAGCCTACGGGACCGACAATATCAAACCCAAACGTACGAAACGTTTGTTGCAAAGATCGTGAACGAGGAACCACCACAGATGACAGGGACGGTGACGGTTGGGTGTGGCGCGTGGGATTCGTGCGTGCCGAGGTCTGCCGTCTTGCATCGGGCACCAACCGTCCTCCTCCGAGCCTGACAATGTCTCACTTGGTCTACACCTGCCTTCCCATACAAACACAACGCACCATCACATTGTCTCACGCCGCCGTGGTTGGATAGCCCAAGAGTGCACGAGGGAAGGAATCTCACACTTCCACGTGAGGCTGGACCTCCACGGCTGTACACAGGTCAGTGTATGGTGAAAGCCATGCACTGTACTCCCAATGCCCACCGTTTTTTAAGACGCAACGGTCGCATAGCGGACAGCAAAGTACTTGCACTTGTCAATCGTTCACTCTCAAGGGTATGCCATGCAAGACGGCAACCATGAGCGGATAAGTTTCATCCGCAGCGGCGGAAGCGTACCACCCAAAGAGGTAATGTCCTCTAGTGTGAGGGGCTCATGCAGTGGACACGATGTGATTGGCCAATTGCACGTGATGCCGTGATCCCTCTCGGCCCCGAAGACATGTCAGTCAGCGGCAGTATGCATGCGGAGGGTGCGATAGTAAGTACAACAAACGGCCGATCGGGTATTACGCCTCGCGCAACGATCCAAAACCCGGGCTCGCTAACCATCGTCCCTGCAGCTAGCAACCTTGCCTGCATTGGATCTATTGCCCCACCTACGCCCTCATCACGTCAATACTATAAAGCCAAGCTTCAGCGACATCGACTTCCTTCGCAATCCCTTCACTCTCAGTCTTGCCTCGCTTCCTCACAATACTGTCTACAATGTCGTCCTGCTGCAAATCCGGCTTCAATTGGCACGGCACTCCAACCGGATCCGAGTCCAAGGTGGGAAACACAAACACCAAAGCCTACGTAACCGGCGACAATAAAGATGCCGCCGTTATGATCATCCACGACATCTACGGATGGACATTTCCCAACCTCAGATTACTGGCGGACCACTTCGCGAAAGAGGCAAACGTCACCGTCTACCTGCCCGACTTGTAGGTGCACTATCGTCTCACACCATCACGTGCTAATCGCCTGGACATGCAGCTTCGACGGCGAGGTCATTCCTCCAGATACACTCACCGACCCTGAAAAACGCGCAAAGTTCGACACCATGGCCTTCATCGGCAGGCACAGTAAGGACAAACGCTGGGACCAGATTCTGGAGGCTGCCAAAGCCTTGAAAGCGAATTACAAAAAGACTGCCGCCATCGGATACTGCTATGGTGCCTGGGCCTGTTTCAGACTCGGCGCCGACCCCTCTGTTATCGATGCTATCAGCATGGCGCACCCGTCGCTTGTCGAGAAGACGGAGATTGATAATGTGAAGGTGCCGGTGCAGATTCTGGCTCCCGAGCACGATCCGATGTTTACACCTGAACTGAAGGAGCACGCGAATAAGGTTATTCCCACCATTGGTGTCCCGTATGAGTACGTTTACTTCCCAGGTCTGACGCATGGCTTCGCGGCCAAGGGTGATGAGAAGGACCAGAAGCAGAAGGATGGCTTGGAAAGGGCGAAGAACTCGGCTGTCGGCTTCTTTAAAGAGTTTTTGCATTCTTCGTAGATGGCCATCACGAAGAGAATAGACGTTTCTTGTTGCAGCAAGGATGACGCGAAGAAAGACGCTCAAGAGTGGAGGGCTTGGTTAGCTGGCACCCACCGTGAGCACTCAGCTTCCTTCTTGTCTTATTCTTGATTACAAACGCAAAGCGAATGTTAGAGCTTGCCATCATGTTGCTTTTCAGAACTCTTTAAATCCCGCGTTTGTGAAGGTGCACCTCCGCGAAGGGAGCCCCGGGTAGGGCCGATCCATTCACATGTTTGACTAAATAATTATTCGTGCCCAGATCTAATCGGGTCTCAATGAGTACTTGTATACTACAAATTTCCAGGGTACCTTCGCCTACTGGTTCCTTGCTCATCTTCTTGTCTAGTGAGTTCAATTGGAAACGGCAATTTTTGATGTATCAATGTGTTTGTTCCAGTCGGGACCTTATGACTCCAACAAATGAGACCTTAGTGAGTCAGAAAACGCGTGGTATTGCTGAAGGTGGGGTACAACTTTGCGTGCCGCAGGCAGGAAATGGTAAGGCATGCTTATCCTCCAGCAGTATTCGAATTGAGGTCGAGCGGGTTGGATTCCTGCTCGAAGCCCGCCCCACTCGTTCCATCCACAGATGCCCTGTACAAGGTCCTGGATCTTCGGCGCATACTGTTGAGTTCTTGTTGGAGATCTCGAAGGCTATAGAACTCCGAACAGGTGCATCCTTATGCCATATTCAGATCTGATTTCGTAATTCGCGCTGATGATGCCCATCAACCCATCATCTTCTTCCCACTCGCATCCTCTTTGTATAGCTCCTGGTCCTTTATCCAAGCCGCAACGCCTTCCGTGCACAGCGCCTCCACCTCATCCCACCTCCCCTCCTTCGCAGCATTCCTCACCCTCGTCGAACTGATTCCCATTCCCGTTCCCTGAACCATATCAATATTGCCCCTCCAACTTGCTTCAAACCCTTCTTTCTCCAGTCCACCTTCCTTGATGTGCTGTAAATACTTCTCTTGTTCCTCCACAGTGCCAAACTCTTTCGACGAGGTGTCATTAGGATCAAATGGTCTTTGTGTGACGCGAAGCTTGTGTCCTGCGTCGAAGAACGGCTTGAGCGCGGATAACGGTGGCGTGTATTTCGGGTAGTATTTCGGATTGCAGAAGCGTATCAACGTATCGTAGCCGACGAGGTGGACATGTATGGGTTTCGAGGCGTAGACTTCCGGTGCTTCGGACGCGATTGCGACGGATTTGTCGGTGTAGTAGGGCTCTTTTGTTAGGCCTATGTCGATGCTGACATTTGAAACGTCTTTGTCGCTTTTCAAGGTTTGTAGTACGTCTTGGGCGAAGACTGTCATCAGCGCGATGCGCTGTACGAAGCTTGCCGGACTGGGCGCTTTGTCCGCATTGTGTGTGCTGAACAGCAGTAACAGCCTCGTCGGTCTCTCTTCGCCCGGTTTTTGGTGTCTTAAAGCGGATGTAGCGAGCGAAAGGTGTGCGCGGGAGGGTGGGTTGAAAGAGGAGTCGAGAATGTAGAGCGTGCGGGGTTGCGTGGGGGATGGGTTTATCGTTCGAACGATGTGGAACTTCGACTGGGAGGCATTGAACGTTTCAAGAGTGGACTGGAGAGAGGGGAGGAGCGATCGGAGGGTGGAGAGACGCGTTGACATATCGTCCATTGTGGTCGTGATTGATCTCAGACACGGAGCGCTGAATAATGCATAGCATGACAACGAGCTAAATCATGTGTTGTTGCATGGGTGTCAGTCACGAGTCATGCGACCATAGCCTTAAATCTATCGCTCATCTTAGGATTAATCACTGCCAAATGAATACGAGTCGCGCCTTAAAAAAATCGTGGTCGAGGACATTGTTGGTTGCATCTAATCCCACCAAGGAGGTTGCCTCACTTTCGACTCGTCCGTCCGCCTTCCAAACTGCATTTACCAGCAACGGAATTTGCCCTTCACATGGCCGTTTCTGCCTCAACATAGCACTCTTACAATCACTTTCCTCCAGGTCATTTCCGGAGAGTCCAGTTCCTGGGCGGGATACGCTCTGATAGCCCAGAGCAAACATCAGTCGCTTGCCTCCATCCTCCTCATCCTCGCCCCCAGGAAAGCTCCACTCTGACGAAGAGCGGTAATCGCGTTCGTGAAGTTGCGCTTCTCAATCTCGTGCAATAAATGAGAAACTTGCTCAGTTAATTGTTTTCGCGCGTTTGTCAACGAACTCCTCCCAATTGTGTTGCACTAAGGAACATCCACGGTAGGTTGCCTTGATTGACGAGGACACGGCGGCAAATTCTTGGGCGATTGGTTAGATAGTGTTGATGGAAGATATGCGAGACAGTAGCGGAAGCCATCGCTCGGTAGCTAACACTGTGAACGCGCTATTGTAAGTGTGACATTACGATTAATCGTATTTGAAGTGACACAGTTGCCCGCGTCATAACCACATCACCTTTGAAGAAGGTATATGCACTCTACAAATGCCCTAGGCTGCCAAAGAGAGCATCGGAATATAATCAGGTCAACACTACCACGCGGCATTTGCTTACAGAATAGATCAAGGATCTAAATCTGAAAGGGCATACTTTCCAGCAAACATATCTAAGTTGTTATCTTGTCCAATACAAGCACACTCCAACATATGATTCCTTAGCCTTCCCAATCCCGCGGCCTCAGTCTTGTTCCATTCGACCACCTCCGTTGCAGCCGCCTTCAAGCCAATCGAACTAACTCAGCCTCTTATTTGGGTCACTGATTCGAATCTCTTCCCTGAAAACGTCATCGCGGGCGATAATGCTAATCTGACAGATTTCAATGCCACCACTTGGGGTACACATGCTCTCGCAGCGTGTACGAGCTTTACAGCCTGTACTAGCGCGCTTGCTTTCTAAGGTATGATCCTCAAAACAGGAAGATCATATATGACCAGTCCATGGTCAGTCTTGAACTTGATGCAGCAACCAATAGCGGCAGCACGGCAGGAGGGTTTTGGTTCGGATATGCCTTTCGCGGTGGCCCGACGGATGAGTCGTTCTATGAGCGGGATGATGACCCACACTATCGTGTGAGATACTCGGCTGCCTGGACGATTGTTCATTGATATCGACCAGTAAAATTGGCATGGATTAAACAGATAGGTTCGTGATGAGAGTATGCTTATGCTATAACGCTTATGTTGAAAATGCAGATCAATCTAAACCGATAACTCTATGCGCCTTTTTTGTCTTGACGCCAATGCTATCCTGGATGCTCTCGAGCCTGATCGGCCTGGCGAATACAGTTTTATCCCATGATACGCCGCCGTCTCCCACTGTCAACGCTCACTGTATTGTCTGGTCCGATTGAGATACTCAGACTCGAGTTCTCGTCTTCCGACTGGTTCCGTCTTCGCAGCGCACCGCCCTGAGACTTGCTCCTCTCGGGGTTGATCACCAGCCAAGTTGCGCCACCCTCAGTATCTTCTTGCTGCATGAGCTGCAATTGTGCTCCGTTGCGCCCTCGTGGTCGTGGTGATTTGGGTGATGGCGGAGGCGGGAACAGTGTCGTAAATTTGGTAATCTTGATAGGAAGCGTGGTGAGGGCTGTTGGCAGCGGCATCGACTCTACCAGCGTGACTTTCTCCAGCGGCATGTTCGATAGAAGCGAGGCGGGCAAGTCCGCAGGTGAGCACGCCACGATGACATGGCGGAGATGCACGCTTGATGTGTAAAAGGATAGATTCTCTGCAGGCTGGTGAGCTTGATGACATCAGACAGGCACTGGAGTTGTCCGTACCTCGAAGCTTACGTCCTGAACTGCCCTCTTTACCGACGCCAATATCGATGAAGTCGAAACTCGAGATCCGCCCGCAGAAGCCCGTCGACATAGCGCGGAGGGCACCCAGGTTCCTCACCTTGTCTTGCCGTACAAGGTAGTTCGCCATGCCTTCAAGGTTGGCATACACTCGTACGAGGATATCAATGCTATCTGCATCGTCGAATTGTGGCCTAAGATATTCCCTTATCCGTATCAGGAGCTCATCTGCCAACTGCTCGCCGCCTTGTGCTTTCCTTGTCAGATACTTGTCTTGGAACTACTTGCATTAGCTGGGTACCTCCAGACAAAGGAAAATGACGCACTAAGAATCCGTCCGCATCGGCGTCAATAAGGACAAGCGCAAATGGTCGTCGTGCCTAAATCGCATGAGAGACGAACGTGTTGAGGCCCGAAGCAAAGCGGACCTGTCTCTGTGCCATCGCACTCTCCTTCTCTCTTGCCTCCACGACCTCAGCCTGCAGTGTGCGTCGGACATTTTGCTCTGAATTAAGGTCGAGCTCGGTCTGTGCAAGCTTCGCTTCGGTTTTCTCGAGCTTTTCCAGCAATTCCTACCCAACGTGAAGATCAGCAACGCGTCTTAGCCCGATTGACACCTAAACCCTGACAAGGAGTCATACATCAATCAATTCAAATCTCTTCTCTTCCAAGATACGAAATTGTGCAAGTCGCTCGCGATACGTCGTCGGGACGGGTGGAGCTGCTGGAGCTGGTGTGTCGGCCATTGTGCTGCTTGCAACGTTGAGATCTGGGGCAACCTTGCATTTAAACAAACCCAGTGCGCGTTTTAGGATTCGCGCGTCATGTCGGGCCTAGGTGGCTCTGCATGCAGGTAAAGTGCGGTGACCCGGCGACGATTGGGATGTTAAACGTAGCGAGCGCTGATTGGCTCGCGAAGTGGAGGCCGGAAGCGTGATTCGATGCTTCGCGCCTAGAGTTGACCGGATGAGGAGGCGGATGCACTGGCGGGATTGCTGGCGGGCGCTCGCGGAGTTGGTGTCGCGGGGCGGGCTATGCATCTGTGGTGCTGTGTTGTTGATGGGCGGAGGCTGCAGCATCTCGGTGGCAATTTCCTACCTGCTGTGCTGCACAGCTATCAATGACAGCAACTGCTGCTGTAATTGTACATTCTTCTTGATACATGAGATCATGGATACGATAGATTGCGGCGATGGTTAAGAGAAGCTTGTCTGGTCATTCGCCGTTCGCAAGTGTTTTGAATCGGGTGCATTGTACAGACACCCCGACCATTCGATCCCGAATAAGGAATGAGACCTCCACCACGCTAATTTCCAAATGCTACAATATGACTGATACAGACTATGATACACAGCTCTGAGACTGCAGAGTGCCGAACAATGCTGGAATGTTTCACGTGGAATCCCGCTATAATACACTGCTTCCTCCAAAGATTCCCTCCTCGTTGCCCTAGGTTCACTCCGCTGCTGTCTCCACCGTCTCGTATTTCGAGCGATAAGCACGCTTGTGAGGTGGCCTGGTCTTATCCTGCCAATTCCGGTGACGGTCAAAGTTCATTGGGTCCTTCTTTGCGGATTTTGATACCCAATCTGGGTGAATCTCTGAATCCGGTGGCGCCAGGCCCTTTTCTTGCAGTTCAACCAACAAGCCCTTGTCCACCTTTCCGATCTGGAACGCTTTGGTCGAGTCGACCTCGGAGCGCTTCGCCCAGACGAGCACGCCCTCAATTTCTGTATCATGGATCGCGCGGATGGCCTCATCGGCGCCTTCCTTGGTAGTGAAGTCGATGTGGCAGAAGAACTTGGGTTGGTAGGTCGTGTGTCCGAACTGGGGGGTTAGCCGACTGATCGACTCGATGCCAAACCGATCGAAGGCACGCTCTAGGGCTTTCAAATCTGTGTCACGGCGCTGAGTTGGCGACTCGCCTTTGTTGCCCCAAGCAGGTGATTTGACAGCGATGCGAACACGACGGCCTTCGATAAAGGGTTGGACTGCTTTCCTAGTTCCAGCTTCGTCTTCGCGGACAAAGCGGGAGTAGGTGCGATCCGCTGTGTGGAAAGCGTCCCAATCGAATTCCGGGTTCAAGGGCCTCAGATACACCGGGCTGCCGAGGGAGTCGTTGCCGTTGAGTACCTGGACAGCTTTCTGGGCTTGCTGTTCATCTGTCAACTCTACTGACGCAGACGTATCACCGTCATATCTAAAGCGATCCATGTTCTTATGTATATCAACACTAGAGTGAACGAGTCAGTATAGGTCACGTGATGTTTTGAAGCGTTTCGTGTCCGGGAAAGTATTGTTCAAACGTACACCTTGAATCCTGCGTTGGTGAAGATTGATTCCACTTGACTCCTAACAGCACGCCTTGGTACTTTGAGTACTTTGACTGAACGGGCGTTTTTCTTTCGCTGTCCTTCGGGTATTGAGGCCTGATGAGAAGCCGGAGATGTTGGAGTTGCAGAGCCACTTGTAGTATTCTGGATAGCCTCCTGTAGGTAGCGAGATGTCGAGACAAATGAACGATGTGGGATTGTGATGCGCTCGGACAGGAGAACAGAGTTCGCAACGCGTGTTGCAAAACCCCTGGAGACAAGGCCGCGTCCCAACGAGCCGACGCGGGGCAAAGCCATGGTGGACAAGTATCGAAGTTCTACCGTGAGATGTATCGGAATGTCGCACGAGAGAAGGGTGGCAGATGTTGTCGCAATTGATTCGTTCGTGATGGGAGCGCGCCCAAGAAAAGTTCAATTGGAAATGCCAAGAAATATCACATGCTCCTATCGATAGCGTTAATTGGCACTGCCTTGCGATCGCTAGTACCATTGACTTGCATCCTTCGTTTTCCCACCAGCATCATTGGTAGTGCGCAGGAACTGTGGAATATTTGCGTACCATGCCGCCATGGATTAAGCCTTCAATGCAGCAGCCCTGGTTGTATCCGAATATCCTCTGATCAACGGCTTTTTCGCGACTTGGATGCCTTCAACGTGCATTTCAGGTCAATGCAAGTCTCTCATCTCCATTTTCCCATCAGGCAGGCGACATCACACATTTAGCTTCACAGCCGATGTCGCCCCCTACCTTGGACAAGTAGAATGTCACTAAATGAGCACGTCAATGACCTCAGAGGCACTGTTTGCGGAGCTGGATCAACCGCGTAAATCTTGATTGATTCTGCATATGGAGATTGCAGGAACACATCGTTGAAGTCATATTGGCCAGTGGAAAAAATCACATGACGTAGGAAGGGTTCCGAGGACTTCACCTCCAGTTTTATGTACAGTTTCAAATGCGAGCCAGCCCCAAAAGGCCGAACAAGTACTTCGAAACTATACTCTATTTGGTTAACCACTTCGGTGTCAGCCTGCCGAACTGGTATCAGGGTACATCCAATCAACAAAGGGAATCTTACTTGCAAATTGATTCATAGAGGCTGGTATGCGCAAACGTCAACAAACACCACGTGGGAATTAGTTTCCCGAGCCTTTGTTTTCTCCTTCAGAGGAAATTACTTACTGGTTCTGTTCGCAGGACTACGTATGAGCAATGGATCAAATGGCATTGGGTCGGCGAAGGAAGCAATCTTAAGTATGTGAGGAGGACGAGTTGAGGATGAAGATACTTTAACGTGATAGATCCGCATGTCAGTCCCAGACTCTGTTGTTGGTACAAGGAAATGGAACTAGTATCGCCTCAAGGAGGTTGCCAATGAACTAACCGAGAAACGGATCACGAGTTCCTTGGTCGGAACTGCAACAAGGGCCCATCCTTCGTGCTGGCAAACCGGTCCTCGATTTGGTACTCCGTCGCCCGCGTCCTTCCGTCTTCCAAATCCTTGCGCCCTGCGCCCAACGTCGAGCCAGGTGCCAACTTCAGATCATACATGAACAGTACTCGTGCAATGGTAATACTCAACTCTACATACGCCAACCCCTTGCCAATGCACCCTCTTGGGCCTATGCTGAAAGGACAGAACGCAGCATGGGCGTCTGAAAGTTTATTATGCAATGGGTTCGCGGCCGGATCTGAAAGCCATCGCTCGGGCACGTAATCGAAAGGACGAGGGAAGTAGTCGGCATTATGGTGAACCGCGTAATGCGGAACGCCCACATCGACTCCAGCGGGAATATGGTGACCGTCGATATCGATGCCACCTGAAAGGACTTGCCGTGGAAGAGCACCAGCAACTGGAGGTGTCATGCGCATGGACTCGTCGATGCATGCACGCAGATATGCGCACCTACTGAGCTTCGGCCCTGAAACAATCTCCTCAACATCAGAGAATGTATTACGTACTTCCTGGCACAATTTCTGGAGCGTCATCAGGTTGTGGGCCAGGTAGAAGAACGTGGCAGCCATGGCGGTAGATGTCGTGTCCGAGCCAGCAATGATCAATAGATTCGACTCGCCCCACAGCTCGTCCATGCTGAATCCGTTACCGGTCTCGGAATCCTTCGCGTTCAACAGATGGTAGAAGAAATCTCTGCGGTCTACATCGAGCCCCATTTTCGTTCTTTCCATTGCCTGGGCCTTGCTGTATTGCATGTACTGCCCTCGCTGAGCTGCAATTTTCCGGAAAAGGATCTTATCCAAGTGCCAATTGTGTATCGTCAAATGCGTTCCACACTGCTCACATCAGCATCCGCTCCACTACCTCTAGAAACAGAACTTACGATCAAATGCCTATGCGCCGCATTCCCGACCAAATCCACGGCAAACCGGTTTACGGGACTTTCCAACATCCCGAACGTCTTACCAAACACCAAATCACCCATGATGTCGAACACCAACCAATTACACCAGTCCGCCGCATTCCACGGGTCGTTCCACCCCTTCTCTCCGCCCTTCTTCTCCCCCAACAACCGGCAGGCAGTCCTTACATTCGCCAAAATATACTTTTCCAGACTCTTGATTGCTTGATCGCTAAAGGCATGGCTCATCACTCTCCTCTTCCGCGCATGCTGCATCTTATCGATGCTGCTGTGGACATTGACGGTATTTTTGTTCGCTGGGAATGCGGTGTAGAAGTCTGCTTTTCGCACATTGGCGCGGAACCCGTAGATGGTTTTGAGGGCCGTGGAGGTGTTGCATGAGAGCGTGTTGGGTCCGAGACGCACATAGGGCCCATATTGTTCGTGGGCGCGCTGGAAGGCGAGATGTCGGGAGCCACGGTAGGCGTAGTAGGTTAGGTAGATGTCGGTTATGGCAGCGAGTTTTGGGCCGGGATAGCGGGCGAGGGGGTGGAGGGTCAGGCGGTATACTGTTGATCCGAAGATCTATGGACTGTCAAAGACTGGGTACGAAGACGGGAAGCGATACGTACATAGAGGAAGACGAGGCCAAAGACGGAGGCTAGGAGGAGGGGTGGAGAGGTGAGAAGGCTGAGGAGGAACTCCATGATGGATCACTGAAGGATCTGCTACAGTCCGACCATCAACACAAAGACACGTCGAGATCTCTAGTCTACTCTAACGTTTGTCTGTGTTTCGACGAATCCCTTTTCAAGAAGCAAAGCAAACCGGACTTTCCCATCACTCTTTATACCCCGTCATCCCCACCGCCATCCGGCCTCCTTGAAATGCCACTACACAATCAGCCATGATTTCATTGTCAGCAACTTTGCTGGCGTTTTATCGGTGGATACGGGTTATCTAGGGGTTTTCAGCGAGCAAACTGGTCATGTGCAGGTTTTCAAATGCGGGAGGTCGTGTACATATCTAGCGGGCTGTGGCGGGTATTCGCGGGTATTGGTGTCTGAGACAAGTGTGCGATAATGCATTGCGCTAGCGTGGCGGATATTCCAGTTTGGCGCGGATACTCAGGTTCAAGGTTTAGCGTCGGAATGGGAGGGGAGCGTGTAGGGTTTCTCAAGGTGGATGGGACCGGATATTGGGTTCGCGATTCTTTCTATCTCGGTATAGCACGATAGCAAGGCCTGAACCGAGGTGCTCGGTGTCACAGTATGGTGCAAGTACACAAAGGTGAAGTCAATCATTCTTGAACGGTACAATTACATTAACGATACGGTTTCCACGGCGATTATGTTCCCTCTGCTTCATTACTTCTGTTCCTACATCCACTTCTCGCAATCTTGTTTCCTCATGACCTGCTTCCCGAATTATTCGCCTTCATTTTCTCTTCTAAGCACCACCTTCCCTCTTCGCATACTCGTCCTCGATCCTCTCCTCATACTCCCTATTCCTCTGTTCCTGCTCTTCCTTGTCTGTCACGTCCTCGATCCTGCCCCTTGCACCCGCGTCCTCAATCCGCCTTCCAGCGTTGTCATACTCCAATTTCTCTATGCGCGCCGCTTGGCCCGGGTCTTGAGAAGAACGGTGGACTTTAGTACCAGAGGGGTCGCTGTAGGTCGCTTCGCTGCGGGAGCGGGTCTCTCCGTTGACGGTAGACGAGGAAAAGGAGTAGGAGGCGGATTGGAAGGTTGAGGAGTGTTGGTTGGACATTGTGGTTGTACGGTGTGTCGTTTCTTATGCTTCAATTGATGTATATGTCGGTTTTGCGTCCAGCTAGAGATGTGGAGGCGTTTGCACTTGTTATAGGTTCCTGAGAGATGCGTGGGCTGAGAGTGACGACAATGACGTCATGTTCCACAACCACGACGGGCGATCAGGAACCATCACGAATTCGGATCCTTGTATTCACATATCCCTTTCAGATTACTCACGACTTTCCTTGTGAATGATGATGTTATTCATTGTTGCCGACTGCGCTCGTTCGCCACTTGCAAACTACTGCGACACTGTCGCAGCACGTAGTCACTGGAAAGTCTATGCCTGCTCAAGGATAGTTGCGAGTTGATCCACAGTCAAGAACATCAACAAATTGGTGATGGGAATACCTGGGGGGCGCACTAACTTGTGTCACCATTGCTGCTGTCCGCGTCGTTCATTCATGCGATGAGCCCGCGCCGTAAAAGCACCACGAGCCCAGCATGACTGCAGATTGTTATGATGCATCACTACCTGACGGTACTACTTACACCATGTGGCCACAAGCTGCACTATCTGCGTGATGCCCCTTGTACCGACATTCGATACGGCTGGGGCGCTCCCGGGAATCATAATGCCGCCCGACGAGTCGAGCTAACGAATTTACTCCCACTTATTCAATTGCGGCAGCCCCAATGTTCAGTCATTGTTATTGCTCAGCCGTGCTTCTGCTCTAAGTTCAGGGTCAGGCGTTGGACGCATCGTCATAGACGTATAATACTTCTCTCTCTGGTGCTGTTTCCCATTCACTTCTACCTTCCAACAATAAGCTCCATACACTGTTACACTTGGAGTGCAACAAACCCTCCGCTGATCCAACTCAGACGCTGTTCACTTGTCCTTCACGAATATGTCCTCCCACCCGTGGGATACCACCGAACAATCCCGAAGGCCTGCAAGAAATTCATTGATGATCTACCAGAGCAGTACAGCGTCTACAAGAAGGAATTTAGGGACCAGCATTACGGAGGCCGCATGGTTGGCAAGGTGGAGTTCTATCATCCAGATATCAACCCAATCTGGAACTGCGGCGTTCAAATCACGCTATTTGACCATGGGACCGAGACACGGACGGAGCCATTTACCATGGATCCACGTGAGGAGTTGAAACATCAGCTCTTACAGATGTACACCGAGTGGAAGATCGAACCCAACGTGGACGCGACATTTCTCAGGAAACATGGTGAGGAGAAGAGTGCTAATATCGGCGATTATCAAGTGGGATTCGAGTATTCCGGGCTGAATAGACATCCTACGCTGTCGAAGGAAGAATTTGATGAAGGGGGCTCGCAGTATTTTGGTTCGAGCTCGAAGAATTTCCAGCCCGGATTCTGTCACACCTTTAGGGAGAGCTACGATGATGTTATGAAGATCCGATCCGAAAGCAAGCGATTCTATATGACTACTAGCATGATCTTTCATTGGCGGCAACGAGTATTGGGATCTCGGGAAATGGTACTCGGTAGGTGAGCTAGATGTCTTTCATCGTCCTTGGCTGCCTGCCCAGGTGCTGCGTAGAGGCTTTCACTATTTGTTTTCCTTCTTTGTAAACCTATACGGTCAATCATACGAGTACAAGGTGCGATAGCAGGATTATACAATTTACATAAGGTGACTCTTAAGAGCTCGCAGGTACTGTCAACAATCATAGACACCTGTGAGACAGCTGCACCCCCACGCCAAGAACCGAGAGGTGGTCCGCTCCTCAACGGCGATCGTCCCGCTGTCGCTGCCCTTCCGAACCACCAAACATGCGTTCGCTGCCATATGCTCTACCGTTACTTTCGTTGTTCTTCGCACATGTCGCCTATGGTATCCCGGAGCTGTCGCTCGACTGCGCCAGCCACGATGGCAGAATGAATGTCGAGTGCAGCCGACCCATGAAGCCTGTCACGACTGTTACCCCTGGTGCATACTACATCGCGAAAATAGCCTGCCCGGACTGTGCTGTGCAAGAGTTCTCTGGCGAGCGCGAGAACAGAACGTACAATCTTACGGAGAAGGAGAACGATCTAGTGAGCATCGACTTCTCCGAGAGGAGTGCAAGCTGACCAGTGCTGCGCCGCAGTTCTTCAACATTTCCCTTACGCGCGACCACGGTACGCTACTGCTGAATGGCAAGCCAATATTTCCGTCGCTGTCTACAAATCCGCATCCACCGTACATATCGACGCCGCAGATACCACCGAACTTCACGCGCAGCGAGCTCGCGGATACCCTGGCATGTGCCCGCAAATGCCGAGACGAGAGCCACGATTGCGACTGCATTGAATCAGTCACATCAAATACCGATCTGGATTTCGATTACTACTCAAAATGGTTGGAGTCGCACCCCGAGACTCAGACTGAGAAATGGGAAATTACGTTCGACGCAATTGGAGGCACCAATGGGCCACCCAAAGATACGGGACGTGTATTTGGGAGCGATGACCAGTCAGTGCTGCGCATCATAATGCAAGGTAAAGAACTACAAGAAGAGAATTCAGGTGGTCACAATCAGGCAGCAAGTCCTTTATCCGGCGGCTACCAGGAGGCGGAAACACAGTATGAATATGAGATCGCCAGCATCGAATTTTCACAAAGACGTGCTGAGGTACCGCGAATTGAGAAGCTTGGGTTGTGGGATAAGTTGCGCCGCTTCTTTGGAAACGACATCGTACGCTCGGATGGCCACATCGTCTACCTTGCCGAAGAATGGGGTGGCTACGGGAAGAATGGCTCATTGCGCCAAGGCTTCGGCGTCGTGGTCCATGAATGGCGCTGGGACATTGTCTTCACCGTCTTAGGCTTCGTCGCTCTTGGCCTTGCCTGCTTATGGTTCTCCTGGTGGCTATTCTTTGCGGTTAAGAGCCAGAGAGAGCTCGCGCGATGGGACGGTATGGACCAAGTCTGGGCACGCATGCGGCGGGATGGAGGTGACGAGGAGGATGCACAGTTGCTAGCCGGTGGATATACAGACGAGAACGCCTACAGGGACAGAGAGAGCAGAGACGAAGGGTATCGAGATGAGCCTGAGGACAGTCCGCCTTCGTACTCGGATGAGATTCAGACGAACAAGCCCCTGCCGAGCAAGCCGTTGCCTGAGAAGCCGCTGCCTGCTGTACCGCTCATCGATCCATAGACTGTGGAGTTCTATGAAATGTGTATGTTGTGTGTCTCTTGCGAAAGTGGATGAGTCATACCAGGGTACAATGTGCGCATGAGTTCTTTCCCTACCGAGCTCCATCACCTACATGCACGATACCATCATGAGCGACTTTGCACATGAACTTGGCAAGAGCCAAGCTCTCCATGAATGTGCACACGGAGTTAAGACATTTATGTTACAGAGCCTATGCTTCCTCAGTCAGCACTTAGAGGGGCTTTGTATAACATCGAATCACTGCACAGTTATACTTTCCGCGAAGCCATTCTGAAGTTCCGAAGTTCAACAAACTTGTGGTCCACATACATCCTGGCCTGCTTGGGGAGCAAACACACGAAAACACAGGATCCATCCCACTTCGGGCCGCCACTTCGGGCCGTCTCTAGCCCCGCCAAAGTCCGGCATGGAGCATATGAAGCATGACGCAAGAAACCATGTGGTTCCACTTCACATGAGTAAGGTTAGCTGTACAAAGCAAGACTGCTCCTGTCCGAAGCTTAGCCTCAACGTCCGAAGCGCTCGAAGGGTTCGACAACGTAGCCCGACTGTGAAATAGTCTGGTCGCATAAGAACACTATCCGAAACCCTCTACCTCCATTACTGCAAATCATACTCAAGGACGCCGAGATCGATAGGCCAAGTAACAAGGAAAAAGATGGTACGCATCGCTGTTGCCGGTGGTACAGGCAGTACGTTCCTCTTTCCCTTGTTGAAACTACACTCCATGGGTCCACCTGGGTGCTGGCCAGAGCTTTATTTGAGAGGGTAGCTCCAATACTCGTAAACTCCAGCACCTTTACAATCACTTTCACATACTCTGTCGAGCGCCCCTCCCACACGCCCATGCTCACACCTAGACAGATGTTGCCACAGAAATCCTTCGCAGGCCCATTGGGTCGGGAAACCATGAAATTACCATCTTCACGCGCTCAAGCCCCACAACCCTCACTCCAGGCGTCTCCTACAAGAAAGTCGATTACACCGACCGCGCCTCCCTCACATCCGCTCTTCAAGGCTTCGACATCTGCCTCTCCTTCCTCGTAGTCCACCTCGACACCAATTGCACCGTCCAGAAGAACCTTATCCACGCATGCATCGCCGCCGGCGTGAAGCGTTTCGCGCCCTCAGAATGGGGGATTAAGAATAATAACGGGTGTCCGCCCTACGCTAACAAGGACGCTATTGCCGAGTACCTCGCGGAACTTAAGGGAAAGGGAGAGCTGGGGCAGATGGGGTACTGTCTCTTCCAGCCGAGTATCTTCATGGATTATTTTGCGCATCCGAACCCCCTGAGTCCAAACCTCATCACGTGGCCATTTTTCATTGATTTCGAGAAGCGACGCGCCATGATCTTGGATAACGGGAACCAGCCCATTGTCGTGACTGCTATAGCGGACATTTCGGATGTGCTCAACCTCGCGCTCGACTCCCCTGAACCCTGGCCCACCATCGGTGGTATGCAAGGCGCGCGCACCACGATTAATGAACTCGTCGCGCTGGGTAAGCAGCTACGAGGTGGTGAGTGGACGGTGGAGCACGTCAAGGGCGAAGAAATCGAGAACGATGTGCTAACCGCGAGCTGGGTGCCGCAGATGAGCCATCCGGTGATTCCGAACGAGAGCAGAGATGCGTTCTCGAAGGAGTTTGTTATCATGTTCTTCAAAGGTATTTTGCGGGGTGCGTGGGATGTGAGTGATGAGTGGAACAAGAGGTTTCCGGAGTATAAGTTTACGGGGTTGGAGGAGTATCTCGGGAAGGCTTGGGAGGGGAAGCCGTAAAGGGATGATTAGTTGTATGTAGAGCTGTCTGATGTTTGGCGCGCCCGGTCAGAAATGCTTGACCAGCCATGCTAGCGTCCGAAATTCGAGTGAATTGTTCTATAGTTCACGTCAGCCCAGGTCTCTTCGGCCGCAAAACGTTCGCTTCGCCGTCCCTGCAGGAATCGACATGGCGTGTACGAAGACCCAGCAGGAAACAGGTACCGGGTCATAGACGTTGACACAATTGGTTGGCTTGGTCTGTCGATGAAGCCGTTGGGGCTAAAAAGTAGCGCAGGGCGGGGTACCAAGCACCCAAGTCCGGGGCATATCTTGGTACATTTGCGCCTTCCGTAACACCTACAATGACTGCCACTTTTCGACCTCTGTGAAGACATCCCGATTCCTCCTTTGCACCGACCCGTGACCGTGAACTCCAACCGCTCTGGCATTGTTGCTTGCATCATTGATGAGCTTCGGCTGCGAGTCTACGGCGTTTCTTCACGGCGTTTCTTGAGATTACCGTGCTCATGGCGCTATTTCGGAGATGCGTCTACTTTGCATGAAACCTTTCGCGACCTTACGGATACGGACGGATCCCGGTGCACGAACATCACGGATTGGTCACCGCGCCATCGCCATCCTTTGTTTCCATGATCCAGATTTGGCCGGAGGCGTCGTCTGGAAGCGAGCAGTTGATCTGTGGGTAAGCAGGGCTTGCGGTACAAATAGTCAGGTACAGCCCTGAGCTATGAAAGAGCCACGAGACCCGGCCAATCTCTAAAGTCTTGACCAAAGAGAGGAGTCGTCCAAAGAGCATCTTTGACAACCCCAGGCCACAAGCTGTTGGTGCGTGAAGATGCACCTCCACACAATCCTCGCGGCCCTCGCGAGCGCGTCGCTCACCACCGCTCTCCCAAGCGCAAATACACCGCCGAGATCTAAGCCAGTAAAAACACAAGACATCATCAACGCACTAGCAGGAACATACACCCTCGTCAACACTAGCAGGTCCGTCGCCTCCCTCTCTTTCCCCACCATCACCTAACCTCCCCAGCACTCTAAACAACGTCCCCGTCCCCGACGCCGCCTATGGAGAGGCCCCAGTCGGCATCCTCACCTATTCAAAATCCGGCTACATGTCCGCCACGATTGTCGCCACTGAGCCCGCCTTCCGTCCCAACCTGACATTTCCCTACCAAGAGAACGACTCCGACGCTGACTGGGCGCTCATTGGAAAACACAGCCTTGGATATGCAGGCCCATTCAGCGTGAATGAGGCGTTGCCGGCAAACAAGACGGGTGGACAGTTATTCCACGGGCCGCTGGTGGTGGCTAATGTGCCGACGTGGGTGGGTACCCAGCAGAAGAGGAACTACACGGTCATCAAGGAGGGAAGGGATACGCTATTGCGGATCGGGAGCGAGAGGGGTGGGGGTATAGGGGTGCTTTGGTGGAAAAGAGTTGATTAGGAGGTTGGGTCTGGAGTTTCAATAGGAAGCATCAACAAGATTTACACGCCCCATTCAGCACAATGTAACCCTTTTGGACACAACGGGTGTTGTCTTCCATCTCTTGTCTGGATGTATTCGCATCAAGCTCATTGATAAACTCATCGCGAATCGAGCCAACCCAGGCACCAGCAACGCCGCCGACTCAGAAAGCACCCCATCCACCTCCGTTGAAACTCTCTCAATACATCGCAGGCCATGTTTCGTTCTCAGAACGCATGAATCCACATGGCGCGTGATCTCACCTACCTAATCTAGAAACAGCGCATCTCTGGCAATTACCTCCCGAATCACCTTTAACTCCTTCGGGCAATATAAAAGTTAATTTCGCTCTACGGGGAACGTTGACTCTCGGCTTCCTGTTTTCCTCTACTACGGCATCATCCTAGAGCCTCGCGTCACCATGTTCAAGCCGACTGAACTGCGCCTGAAATGCTTCCTGAGAGTACGTCAGCGCAGGCGAATGGGTGATGCCGCTTCTCGCGCACTTTTCGCGTACTTTCCGGGACATAGTCACTAACGATGAACAGACTCGCGTCCGCCTGCTGGATTTTTTTTCTGTCAGTGAAAGGAAGGGTACACGGAATGATGGACATGATGTAGTTTCATAACGAAGTTGATAAATCTATGCACACGAATCGAAGCTTCTCCTTTTCCATCTTCCTGTCCGCCTAAGACACAAAATAGCTCTTAATCTTGGGCAGCACAATATTCCATGCGGTTCCACTGGTAGGTTCCATGCTGAAAATGTAGTCTGACCACCACGGGCCCGCAGCCCACCAGAGTGCGCCGTACCAGACATCAGAATTTTGGTCGAGGTAGTTGAGACCATCTTGGAGAGCGGTAATACACTGAGTGTTGTTTCCGCCGGCATATTCGCCGATGACGCCGACCTTCTTGTTGTCCTTGAGCCACTGCGTCGCAGCCTGCAGACGCTCCTTGAAAATGGTCGCGCTGACGCATTCAGCGTGGGTACCCGAGCCGTCCGTGTCGAGGTACTGGTGCATCTGGTAGACAAGCTTATTCTGGGGATCCTTCAGATTGACGAGTGAGGCGCCGTTGCCGGAGGAAACCCACGTCCACGCGCCGGACCAGCTGTTGCCCTCAGGAGTGATGTACTGCTTAGTGGCACCGGCAGCACGGACACCATCAATAGCAGCCTGGTTAAGGTCGAAGACGAGGGTTTGAGGTAGGTCATGATACTCGTTATTAGTGTCGAATACAACCAGCTCGTTGTCCTTAAACTTAGCGGCGACATTCTGCCACCAGGTCTTGAAGCCGGCAGTGTCAGTGATGATGTTGGAGTAGAAACGGCCGTAATTATGGGGTTGAATCATGGCGTAAGCGCCTTTCTGGGTGATGTAGTTTACTTGCTCGGTGAGGTTGCCGAGGTAGTATTGGTCGAAGGCGCCGGTAAGGTTGTTGGGTGTGAGGCGTTCCATGGCTGGTACATGTTAGTTCTCTTGGCCTTGTTTTTGAGCGATGAAGGATGTCTCACCGAAATTCAGACGAAACATGTTCATGCCCTGGGCAATGAACTGATCGATCGTGTTGAAATCGTACCAGATGAAGTGCTTGCCATATGTTCCAGGGTATGTCCCTTCGCCGAACTCAGCACCCGACTCATTGATGCCAAACCATTTCAACTTGCGAGTCTGCGCAAGTGCACTTGAGGCCAAAGCCAAAGTTGCAAGTAGTTCGAAACGCATAGCTGTTTCTTTTTTCCGAGTACCAAGAGAATGTCCCAGTCGAAGGAATCGCAGAGCCTACCAAACATCTGCATGAGGGCAAACATCATCTTTATACTCCTGTATCCATGCTCAGGTACTACACCCACCCCTTTCCGGTACGGATCGAATCCATCCGCTCTCCAAATGAACCGCTCCAAACTAGACCGGTCCCTCAGTCTACTATGAACATTGCGGCTCAACGCCGCTCCAGCCCTCATCTAGCTAGACACAGCCGAGGATAAATTGCTTGTCCAGATTAAAGGCCAGCTTAGGTAACACGAGTGGTGGGGAATTACGAGTTGACAACGCGGGGAGACCGGGGATCCTATTCGCGGAAACGCCCAAACGTGCTAAAACATGCGATTCGAAACAAAATTCCCTCTCGTGATGTCGTGCTAAATCTTGCGGCTGGTGGCGGGTGACTTCTGAAACGCCGCCGCTAGCATGTAAAATTTGGGTTGCGTAGATTAAATGCCGGCAATCTAAAAGTTCCTGCATATTGCATGCGGCATTCTCTTGCATGATAATTTCGCCGAAATCCAAGCTTGCGCAACGATCGACCTGGTTTCTGGGATACCCTTAGTAAACGTGAAGACATACGGAAGCGCTGCCCCGCGCCTAAAGCAGCATTGTTGTCAGCGTACGCTCAAATTGCTGAAGGAGGTGCAGTGAAAGCTTGGTAATCAAGATACAGAAGCGCTAATAGTTACTGGTGACGATCAAGTTTTGGTTAAAAGGGCATCCGTCCCGAGATCTCCGGGTACAGTTGACGTGGATCGCACGCGCTGATTCACTTTGCGTACGTGTTGGATGGAACGACCACCGAGGTTGTTGACCTGGATATCGCACGATCACAGGAGATGATGGCCTTGGCCTCTGAAAGGAACGGTCCATTTCTCCGAGAGATATAGGAAGCAAGCTAGACGCAGATGTTTCTTCAACATGCAGTCCAGAGATGGGCAAGCTATCGCATTTGGAACTCCATTGATTGACATGACCACATACATAGCATCAAAATATTCATCGCCGAATGACGCGTCGCCTCGCACTCGAATAGGCCGGTCTCGCCGGACTTACAGATGCATAATCAGGTATGTGTGACCGTGGATGATGGCTGCTTCTTACACCAGGTAACCCAAAATTGCCCGTCTGTGTTCTCCGGCGTGGAGAAGAGCCAGGAACCATGGACGGCATTGCCGATGGAAGTCGAGTAGCCCGTGTATGCGAAGAACGACCGGAAGATGATAACAAAGTTGCAGAATGATCTTGAGTTTGCATTGGCAATAATGAAGACTGGTCGAGAGGTCTGTACGATCTGTACGATCCACCTTGTCCACTTGGCGAGCATTCTGTATCCGGCCTCATCAGGAAACCTTGAGCGCTGATATTTTGATGCTGATGTTGTGGTAGAGCCATTGCATAAACCTTCTGTCTTGGCTCTCTTCTCCAATCAATACACTCATTTCTCTCGTTCATGGGCGAGTCGAAGAAGGAGAGACCATTCAAATTGCGCGGCTCACGCCAGTCCGTGTCCGTAGAGGGCTTGTGGTGGCGCGATTGATAGGTTGCGGAGCGACGTGAACTAATGTCGGGTTCAGCGAACTGGGACCTCGAGAATGGCTTCGAACGATGACTGCTGCTTCCAAAGAAAGGACTTACCACGTGGTCAACCTCGTCTGGAGGTCGTTGCGACCGTGCGGGTGCTGGTGTGATCGGGCTCACTAATGTGCGATCCCGAGGATTGTTAATCATGGCATCGTTATTCTTGTAATGATTTAGGCCAGACTGATAGTAAGCCGAGGTCGATTTAGCATTAGTCTGTGACTGCTGTAAGAAAGCATGACCGGAGTTCCATTGCTTCTGCTGGTTTTGTGTCTGGATTCCTGTCGGGTTTGAACGCAGCTTGTATCGCTCGGGTGAGTGATTCATAGCACCGTCTCCATGGTTTCGATGCCGCGGATCCTCCAGCCCCAGATCAAGACCTGTATGTTGGCCAAGCCCATCAAGCAGGCGAATGTACGACGAGTCAGTAGGCAGCTTGCCTGGCCGTTGATTAAGCACCTTCAGAACTGAAGGCGACTCGAAAGTAAAGTCCGATTCGTTACTGTGTATACCGAGGCCTGAAAGAAACCCTGATTGTGGCGGCATATTGGGACGATTATCCGCCGGCAGCGCGCCTGTCATGTACGGCGCATCCGATAGAATACCGTGACGTGTGGGCGATCGCTCATCGACTTCACTCGGCTGCGAAGAGTCGTCGACGACCTCCCGTTGGCCGTTGTCGTACATTCTTATATCTGTACCAGAGGGAGACTTATGAGCCGGCGCTTCGGAAGAACGTCCGTTGGTGAACCTGTTACGAAGATTGGGAATTATCTTTCGGATCGATTTCATCTTGGAGAGTGGTTTAGAGGGTGGTGGCATCACGTCGCGGCTCGAAGGCGCTGCGTGGATATTGTTCGCTCTTGCAGGAGAATCAATCCTTGATCGCTTGAGCGGGCGCTGATGTTGAGCGCTTGTAGACATATCCTCTTCCATCTCTTTGCCGAAGCCTGTAGTATGCGCAGAACGCCCGACCGTATGACTGGAGCCAGTCTTCCTGAAGTCCGTAGGCAGATCGCCTTCCATGCTTTCAACATACTCATCGACCTCGTCGAAAGCGAAGGGCTCATTGAAGCTCGGCATACGCTCCAAGCTCATCGCAAATCCCAGAGAAGCCAAGCGTTGCTGCATCCGAGTGTTTTGCCTGCATTTTGTTAGCTATGCAGATCTGCACCGTTAGCACCTCACATACTCGATCAGCTTTGGAATTAGACCGAGATAGTGTCGAGTAGCGGGTAATCTCGCTTCAAGTCTATGCAATTTCTGCACTTCACCTTCGAGTGGACGAAGCCGCTCCAGCTCCTTCTGAACGCTCTTGGCCTTCTCGTGTTCTTCCGCTGCTAGAAGCAGCATGTTCCGGATTTTGGCTTCAGTCTCGGCGCTACTCTTTACGGTCTGCCGGTAGGAAGTGGCGATATTCTTGCTGAATCGTATTAGAGCGAGGTACTGGAACTGGGTTTCGTCAGTTGCTGAATCACGGTAAAAACGTAGGTGTACAGACCCGCAAAGCCTCAATTTCCTGGTCTTTACCATCCAGCTTCATGGGCGGAGCTTTGAACCAAAACTTGGGTATCGCAGGATCATGTTCGTCCTCGTTGAAGCCACGCACCGAGAACAGCTGTCTTGCCGTGTCGTCGCCGCTCTCTTTCACGCATACGGGGCAGGGTGCTTGCGGCTGCTGGTTAGCTTGATGGAATGCAGGACCTGCATTTGCAAGCGCATTAGCGGGCGAATTGAACGAGGCTTTAGCGAACTTACCACTGCCGCCTTCAATGTGCTTGATGCAGATGACATGACAGCAACTTGTAACGTAAAGACGAGTCACAATCCGGTCTTTGGGATTGATGCCGTCGGAGAGGCCGTGCACCGTATCATGCTGTTTATAAATGTCGGAAAAGACGTCACCGCAGACTGAGCATGCAAAGATACAGTCCAATGGAGATATGCCCTCGCTTTCAGGCGGCGCCTTCGAGCCCATTGCAAGAGCTTTGAGTGACTTCTTCGCTCGGATGGCGGAAGAAAGGAAAGAAGGCATGGTAGACGCGAGGTTGACGCCGACTTAGCGGGTGAAGCGTGACTAGACAGGAGGCAGGCACGACCACAACCCCGCCAAGACCGATGAGTATGGCAGGCAGGCGGACCGCCGGCTGTGCAGCGACTGCAGTGAAGTGATAGGTAATGTTGCAACCCACATTTAACAGCAACTAGTGGGGGTAGATTGAGTACCAAGGGGCCAGTATCCTGGTGTAGAGTGGGTAGGCTAGCTTTTGCCTCGTTGCCCCGTGCATTGCAGGAGCAGCGGCTTTTCTTACTTCTGTTGCTGGAGCTTGCTGTGCCCGTGATAGAATGGAGACGGTGCGCCGGGCTTTAACGATTTGGGCAGCTATTCCCCATGCAGAGGTTGACAGAACGTGGAGATATTGAAAGGCGCGGAGAATATCTCTGCACATTAAAAAGGGCGGGAATACAGGCAAGGAAACTAGTGGTCATATTGACACGATATATAGGAGCTCTATCTTAGGAATCGTGCACCGGCTCACTGGAATTGCCGGCAAGGATATCTTCGTCTCAATTAGCATGTCGACGATTCCTTAGAAATGTTGCGAATCGCTACTTACTGCTCGGGAAAACCGTGTGTTGAGTCGATCTCATATCGCTTCTCTCCTAGCGCGGCGCTGCTCATGCCACTCGGCAGCGGAGGCATTCCACCGGGTCCCAGCACATCTTTCGCAAGCCCAGTGTTCTTCTCGAAAGCCACAGCCAAGCCCTTCACACCCTCCTCTTGCGCAGCGACCAGCTGCTTCGAGCCTGCCTCGCCGACCAATTCCTGCTTCGGCGCCGCCGCGCTTCCAAGTTCCAGCAACGCTACAGCATCAGCCTGGGTAACGGTTGAGAGCTGCGGGTAGCGGCGTCGCACGTCGCGCTTCCAGTATGGGTTCTCAGCGATATCAGCAGCTGGCATGGTAACAGGGTCGTCGTAGGCCATAGGATCGACACCTGCGGGAGCTGGGTTGCGGTATGAAACGTTCAGTGGGATACCCGAAGACCGGCCGGGGTCGATGGCGAGGAAGCGCTTGATTCTGGCATATATGCCTTGGGGTTCGAGTGTGTATTTCTGTACGCGTACATGTGAGCAACATCGTCCTGAAGGTGTGGGCGGGCATGGTAAGGGAAGGGGCAACGGCCAAGGAAGATCGCAATGTGCGTGCTAGACGTACCACGAAGCGCTGAGCCCCGGTTCTGGCTGCCATTGTGGGCACCCTGTTCGCAAAAGCGCAATTGGCACCGGGAAGGTCGATTCACAGCGTCGTCGGGAGTAGCGTTCGGAGGAATGTGACCTGCAGCTGTGAAAGTCGTCGGAGCTTGCTGCACGCCAAGGCCACAGCGCACAGACTACGTATGGTTCTAGTCAACTCCATCAACATGATTGGTCTACGACAGAGGCCGCCCGTTTATCGTTGCGAACGACTCGAAATACATTCAATCTTGTATCTTCTACCTCTAGATATCTCAACTCGCCATTATGCAAGCTCTCGAGACTTTGGTCGATGTAGAGACGCAGTGCGCTGTCCCACTCTCAAAAGGCGGTTCTTGCATAGGAAGCCTGGCGTGCAAAAGGCACAGCATGGCCTCAAAGAGGGCCGTAGCTGGAAGAAGTGCACCTTACGATCAATTATTATCCCAACACCAGAACGACAGACGGGCGGCGCAACAACAAGAAGCGGAGAACTAAATCAACCCTGAACCTCTATCATCTACTGGAGCATTCTATACAACAATCGATCCCAAATTTTGTCATACTGACCACCACTACCTTAGGTTCACTCAGGTCCCATCATGGAAAAGCATTGTAGTCTCCGAGCCCCTGACACACACCATCTACCTCGAGGCTATTCACATAATCAATGGCCTTTCCACCTGTGCCAAATCGAATCAATGTTCCGTTCTGAGGATTTCTGGCATCTACAGCTCTCCAACCGAGCTTCTGGGGACCGGAAAATGGATCTCTTATGAAAGCAAGAACATGTTCTTGCATCGCCCGGCTAGTTTCGGCCTCAAGTAGTGGAACTTCGCCCACCTCATTGACAAAATCATATGTTGCAAATACCATCGGAATGTCTTCGCCATGGTACGCACCCGTCCACGCTAACGGATTGAGATTCGGATATGTGCCCGCATACTGATAGCGATACACCGGGACGGAGACGTTGTTGCGTTCCAATGTCGAGATGTATGTCGGACAGATGAACCCTGCCAGTTCAACTCCGAGGACGACTTCCTGTGGATAACCTGCCGTTGGATCATCTGCCGGAAACGGGACGAGCGAGCTGGCTTCGTTGGCTGTGCTCGAAAGGATCACTGGCAGGCGTGCGACCTTGCCAGCACTCGCTCTTGCAGCGTAGTCGGAGAAGATGATACGGTCATCCACCACCGGCAGGAAGGACAAGGCGGGAGACGCGCCGCTGTCTCCATATCTCCCGACAAAGTTCGTTATGTTCTCGAATGGGACTTTGCGCATGCAATCGAGTACAGCCACGCTGCTGTTTCCTTCGCCGCCCTCGCATGCAAAGCGCTGCGCAACGAACGTGAAATTCGAAAACATTGTATCGGTAATCGCGGTACCGCTAAACACGGTACCAGACATCAAAAAGTACGCGCGAGCGATGGGATCCTCATGGAAGGCATGCGCATGAATGTCGCTCGACATCGATCCTGCCGACTGACCCCACTGTGTGACAGCAGCAGGATCACCACCAAACCCTGCAATGTTGTCGCGCACCCATTCCAGCGCCATCCTCTGATCCAGGATACCCAGGTTCTGTTCCTTCAAACCCAGGGCATTTGGGAACCCGAAGATATTGACGCGGTAGTTGACAGTGACGACGATATGCGACTGCGAGCGCTCGATCCAGGAGGTGGGGTTATAATACCCCGAGTTGATCCCGCCGTTTTGGAAACCACCGCCGGGCAGGAAAACAAGAACTGGGAGCTTCGAGTTTATGGTCGCGTTTGCGGGCGTCCAGATGGCGAGGTAGAGACAGTCTTCGGATGTGGCTGCGCCCACGAACCCGGAGGTATGGTTTTGAGCCCCATTATAGATCAGGGCTCCCTCGGCGAAGTACGTGCTCAAGAGTGACGGGACTGAGGATACAAACTGTGGGCACGAGAGCGGAAGCTCGAAAGCGTTGCGATTTTCATCAGAGGGTGGGAGTCTCTGTGGTGGAAGCCATCGGCGTGCCTGGATTGGCGGTTCGGCGAATGCGATGGAGCGGAACTGTCTCGTCTTAGGGAAGTTGAGATCGATCAGTCCTGTATAGGTCCCCGTGAGTGTCTTGACAGAGAGATGACTCGAGTCGTTGACATGGACGTTGTGGTGGGCATAATCAGCACCGACGAACTTCGTCAGGAAAACAACTGACAAGAGCGGGAATCTCATTGCGCCTTAAAACTGGTGGACCCGAACAATCAAGACAGGTTGCTGCAGCACTATATACAGATTTCATCCTAGTACTCAACACTAGAAGGTCGATACATCACCTATTGCCGATACAGTATTGCTGTTCCAGGCCGCTAGCCTAGAATGGAAATTTACGAGCAGGACGGGAGATTGGCCGGCCGTGCATACTGCGAGCCAGGGCGTGCAAGACGATACTGACATTGGTCAATAACTCAACGATCCGAATGTCCTTCTTTTCCGACCCACCCCTTCTTTACAAGCTTTTAGCCAAGCACCAAGCAGAGCCATGCTCCACTTTCAAAATCACAAGTCGACGCTCGAGCCAATTTCCGGCGCACCTATATATCCGCACCTTGATACTCATATGAAAGGAACCTGAGAGGGAAGCAATGCTTTAGGCTGTGAGTTTGGCAAGACCAAAGGCTAACACATTCTCGCGACTATGATTGCGAAGATCTCATTTGCGGGGAAATTGTGGGGTTGAAGCTACCCGTGGGATCTGGGGATAACCAACTCTACGTCACGGGCATCTCTAAAAACTCGCGTTGAATAACATAAAGAAACCCAAAAATAAACCACGTTGTGATGAACTCCTGCTCCCTAAATCTCCACGACACAGCCTTCTTTGTATCCATAATCCAGGTTACTGTTCCTCGCTTCTCTCCGCCTTGAACCTGCCTGCTTCCCCAAGTTACTTTCAATGATCCGCAAATCTTCCGGTCATTGGTGGATTTTGCAACGCGTCCACGCCACCTCGTATGCTCTACGTCGACATCAACCTCCGGGGTTGATCTGGGGAGGGTACCCCAAAGCCATAAATATGTAGTCGCGCTGTCAAGGTTGCTTTCGCGTCGCACGTGGTACTGGATCAGTCGACAGAATGCGATTTCCTTCCTTACTTGCAGCGTGTCTTTTTGCCACATCGTCTGCCTCCCAATCCCCAATCGTACACTCAAAAGCAGGTATTTTCCACGGTCGCCATCTGCCTACCTTTGACCAGGATGTCTTTCTCGGTATCAAGTTTGCGCCAAAACCGGAGCGCTTTTCGCCTGCGAGACTGAGTGATGATGCTCCGTTAACGCATTTCAATGCTACGCGATATGGTGTAGATTGCACGGCGTACGGTTCGGATACGAATACGCTTGTTGCCGGAGCATGGACTACGCTCGGTGAAGATTGTCTCCATTTGAACATCATTAGACCGAAAGCCAATGAAAGAAATGAAAGTCTACCTGTATTGCTGTGGATATATGGTGGTGGGTGGCAGCAGGGTGCTACAAGCGATCCTAGGTACGCCAATTTGCAGGTCATGTTAAGTAACGAGCTCCTCTGACAGACATCTGCAGGTATAACCTGAGCTATGTCATTCAGCAATCAGCACTAAACGACAAGCCTGTCATCGGTATATCGATCAACTACCGCATGGCAGCTTTCGGCTTCATCTACAGTAAAGAGGTTGAAGAGACCAGAAACCAAAATCTCGGTCTACGCGACCAGCGTCTAGCACTCAAATGGGTGAATAAGCACATCTCGGCATTCGGCGGCGATCCCACCAAAGTCACTATCTGGGGCGAGTCAGCGGGCGCGTATTCTGTCGGCGACCATATCAACGCTTACGACGGCGACACCGAAGGCTTGTTCCGCGCCGCTATCATGGAAAGTGGCGGCGCTGTAGGCGCACCGCTCAATGGCACGGACTGGTACCAGCACATGTATGACAACCTAACTGCATCAGTGGGTTGCGCAGACTCCAACGACACTCTGCAGTGCATGCGCGACGTGCCGTACGAAACGATTGTGCCGTATGGCTATCTCGGCCTCGAATGGTTCCACGTCATCGACGGCAGCTTCATTCCGCGGTACGGTCAGCAATCTTTGGTGCAAGGCAAGTTTGCCAAAATCCCGATCATTGTCGGCACAAACACGGACGAGGGGTTCGGCGTCAACGGCGTCAACACCGACGAGCAAGCTATTGAGCAGCTCACTCATTCGAAGCGCTGGAACGTGAATGCAACGGAAGCAGAACGGATATTGGAGCTGTATCCAAATGATCCTACAGTTGGCGCTCCGTATGGCTGGGAAAATCGCACGTGGCCTCAGTATGGGCTGCAGTATAAGCGATATACGAGCATTGCAACGGATCTGACGATGTTTGCACCGAGGAGGCTGGTGGCGGAGACCATGAGCAATTTTGTCGACAACGTATACTCGTACCGGTGGGATGCGCCAAAGTTTAATAATACACCGACGACGATTGGGATCAATCATTTTTCGGAGGTAAGCGACATGACTTGAAGCACCATATTGGGCTATGTTCAATCGAGCTACTTGTTCCCTGATACTAATTAGACTTGGAAAGTTATCCAAGTTAACTCATCATCATCCCAATCAATGTTATCTAACATCAATTCCAGATTCCCTTTGTATTTGGCAATCCAGAACAGAATATCACTCCGCTGGGCAACAGTACCGAGAATATCGCTCTCTCTCATCTAGTCGGAAGAATGTGGACGTCTTTCGCATACGACCTGGATCCTAATGACCACGGCGTGTCCGGCATCGCAACTTGGCCACAGTACGGCAAGAGCGTGTCGAATTTTGTATTCCGAGCTGATAAGAGTTATATCGAGGAGGACGATGATAGGGAAGAGGGCGTTGCGTACATAAACAGTTTAGTTAGATAGACGAATACAAGTCTTAGATATCAACACTACGGCGTGCAGAGTTAAGCTTCTCATGATGAGAATGTATGCATTGACCAAGTCAAGTCCTGCTTTGTGAGGTGAAAGGTAGGTATGGTTGCGGTCTTGCATTATAGCGTTGGCGTGAGGTGACTTGCCTATTCGCCACCAACACTTTAGACGCAGGTACAGATCCTCCACGGGACCTGTTCCATCGGCCGAACTCCCTCCGACCTCGTACCGCTACCCTACACCCAGGTGGTTATGTCTTTAGCCGAAGTGTATGTTAAATGCCGCACTAGGTTGCAGCTAGCATTTAACATGCAAAAAAGTGGCGTTTCCTAGAAGGAAATGACAGATTATTTCACATCCTTGTGCGCCTACGCCGCATCGGATTCGCATGCGCGCGGCAGGCATCTGGCCGCTCGATTGGTGAGGAGAATTACGCGCCACCAATGCGGATTTGATATCTACAGCGCAGACGGAACGTCTACCTAGAATCTACATGATAGTTACCTGAGCTCTTGATAATTCCACATCTTATTTGGTTCGCCCGCGCTTGTTCGAGCTATGACACGTACGAGAATGATATATGCTCCACAAACATTCGCTACAAGTGCAACGTACGAATAAATCCCGTCATAATGTGATGAGCTTTGCAGGAGGCAATCCTGATAGCTGAAAAAGTCCCAGAAGCATGATGTCTACCATCTACTCTGCTATCGTGCAATAATAAATGCAGTAATCCAATCAAGTCGAAGACCTTTGCAGGATGTACCTTTAAAGCCCTCGAATCCATCCACGCTCTATCGTCAAGTTTTGTGCGTGAAGTGGAAATTGTAACGAGACGTGATGCATGTTGCCTTCTTAGATGACTTGCAAAGGCGGTGGATGTGTAATTCGAGCACTTGGTCGGAGTGAGGCTTTGAGAGAGGATGGCAAGATCAACATTCCAACGAGGCGTACCGTCCCAGGAATTAAGCTTCGCGCACGATAAGACTCCCATAGCAGGTAGCAAATTCAAGCGACGCAGACTGTACGCAGCCCTTGAGCATTTCCGACTATTGCATATTGAACCGGGGGTCTTGGGAAACGTGATGCCTTGCATTGTACCGGCAGCAATGGAGCAAGCAGACCGTATCTTTTAGTACATAGATGGGGTTGTTTCTATCTACTTGTACAATCTATTGTTTGAGTCAACACTGAAGACAACTTTTCCTCTCGCCTAATAGGTTATTTTTTTTTTTTAGAATATGTAGCGAAGAGGACGGTGCAGTCGATGTGTGAAGGCATTAGGGAAGCCCAATCCTCTAATTATACAAGTGGAGAACATTGCATGTAACTGTTTTTTTATGCGGTATTCCTAAATGTCATCTTTAATAACGTTCAAATAAAGTGAAGGCGATATTACTGTGCATTGATTACTACTAAAGTTATGCTACGCGATGTTCGAAAGATTCATTCTTCTGAAATTCCGACACTGGATGCAATGTCCTAGTAGAACTTGAAGAGGTGTAATGAAATATCATGGGCGCTCTTATGCCCCGAGTAGGGTAGGCATAACATTAGGTTCTTCCGATCTTTAGGACAGCTTCGCTTTCCCCAGCACTTGAAGCATAATTAGGGCGGTTAGTATGCCCGCAGAGAAGAGGAAACGAGTTTTGGATCCATAGACACATCGTTGTATATAGAGGAGCTTGGGATCATCAAGCTTACTTGGACTTGGGATGATGGGCAGGCCTGATAGTACTTGAGATCGTCTAAGCCTGGTGTGACCTAAGATGGTAAGAAAGCTTGATCTGCCTTAGGAAGGTGTGGGACCTTGATTGAATTTGGATGGGTGAGCCTGGTTGGACTTGTGAAGTAATGAAATACACCAATTGAGAAGGGAGCGGATTACGAGAGTGAACTTGATTGCAGAGGCAGCGAGCACTTCTTGTACCCAGACTTCACTCGATTGCGGATGCGCACTTGTATTGACACACAGTAGTGAGTGCGTGGCTGGACTTGATGGGTAAGCGCACTTGTTGAATAGGACACCCATCGATTACACAAAGTCAAAAACGTCGCCTTTATCCACCACCATCCGGCCCACCCTTTTACTTCCTACCACTCTCTCCAATTCCAGCCTCTCCCACTTCGAAAATACAACCCTAATACTCGCTTCACTCCTTGATATCTCGCCTCTCTCAACCGTCTTTCCCGCAAACCCGACAATCTCCTCATAGAATTTCGGATTCTCTGGCACGCCGTAGAATACCACCCTCTTCACACCACGAATATTGTACCGATGAAAGTGGTGCGCGCGCCCAGTATACAGGAGCAATGAGTGCCGGCCGCTCATGAAATGGGACCGTGCGCGCCGCACATCCGTTGTGTCCGTGTACTCAGATATCGACGCGTACGAGATGTCTATATCGACGAGGGCGTTGCGCACGCGTACGAAGTCTAAATACGAAGGGATGAAGAGTAGGACGCCGATGGACCCCTCCGGCGGTTTCGGCGTCTTCAATATCTTAGGGAGCACGCTGGAGCTGAAGTATTTGAAGCGGGTGTCAGGGTCGGTTAGGTATGAGGGAGAGTCGAAGCGCGAGAACGTCTGCTTGATGCCGTAGGACAGGATTTGGATGATGCCAGAGTCGTAGGAGGGTGTGTACTTCAGGCGCCCGGCAAAGTTGCGCATGTGTTTGTTGTACAGGGTGTTGATCTTGGGAGCGAGGTATGCGGAGAGCACGATAGTCTGGCGGATATGCGGCGCGTGGCCGTCCAGGTACCATGATCGTACGCGAGAGAAGTCGCAGCCGTGGGTCTCTTTAGGTTGGAGATTGAGGTGTTGAAATACGAACTCTGCGTGTTCCCAATTTTGCATTAGAGTTGCGTCTGCTTGTTCCATGATGACCAACTCGATGGAGGAGAGGAAGTCGTAGTCTTTTTTCTTTTTCTCATCGGACTCGATGGCGCGCCGTAGACCGAGCGTGGAGGCAAAGATTATGTCTGAGGCGTAGAACTTGGAGTAGTACTTCATTGTTTTGCGGGTTAGCTTCACGCCGATACGAAACTCGTTCTCGTCGTTGCCTTCGAAAAGCTCGCGGAAGTCTTCTGGCTTATCGTCGGAGAAGATGTGTTCGGGTGCTGAAAAATTCTCCAAGAAGCGCTTCTTGTTTTCTTGTTGTTCGAATTCGTGCAGCTTGGTGAGAGTCTCTAGCATGCGAACGCATGCTTCCTTTGTCTCGAGAAGAAACAATATCTTCGGTCGTGTAAAACCTTGGTCGCGATATTCCGCGTCGTGGTCCTCTGAGGTCGCCGCTAGCTTGGAGTTGTTCTTCAATATGCGATCCCTCGTCTTAAGGATGTGGTTCAGCGCGTGCAAGCAGCACAAGTCGCGTATCCTCCCAGCGTTCTGAACGGTCCTCGCACCGAACAAGACATCCTGGTAGTCAAAAAGGGAAGGCGCGATGGTTTGCTCAACCGCGTTGAAGTTTCCCAGAGCCTTCTCTGCATTTTCTACGAGTCGCGGCTTCAGCCGCAAATCTCGGACGCTCTTTACTTTCCGTCGCGCCGCATACTCTTCTGATGCGCCGGGTGTCTGAAACAAACCTCTGCCTCCATCTTCAATATCCAACTTCTTCGTTATCCATTGATTTGCTGATATGGCCTTTACTCGCGTTGCTAAGTCATTCTCATCCGGTCGGTCGAAATGACTAACGAAGGGATCGATCTCACTCTGCTCGTCTGCATTCTCATCAAGCTCTGCATCCAAATCTATATCTCGATGCACAGGTTCATTATCCGAGAGCTCCGATTCGGCCTCTTCCAGCTCATCCACTTCAGGCTGCTCGACGCTCCCCAGAGAGCCCGCCTCGCTGAGGGCTTCCAGCTGGTGGTCGTCATTCGACTTTTCCTCTTCTTTTGCATCAACTAGTGGTTTGGCGCAGTCCTTCAACGAACTCGGGCTGTGGTCAAGCTTCCGTCGCTTCCTCCGTGGTTCGCCCTGGTTTGTATTCACATTCTTCGTTGAGGCGGCGAAAGAGGCCAGTAGAGAGTGGTAGGCGTTCGAGACGGGCTGCGCTTCTTCTTCTCCTTCGCTGGAATAACCGTCGCTGTATTCCGGTTCGCTTTCAGAATCGGACGCGGAGACTTGCTCATTTCTACGGCCGTCAGCTTAGCTTTCATGCACTTCCATCTATTCTTACTCCTCTGCAACGGGGTCGTGCACTCTCGCAGCGACAGTGTCGTTTCTCTTCCCACCGCGTCCGCCGCGTCCGCCGCCTCGTCCACCTCGTCCGCCTCGTCCGCCTCGTCCGCCTCTGAAACCACCCCGGCCACGACCGCGCATTCCACCTCTTCCACGGAACGGCGCCATGATATGGGTATTTCCTGTTGCGATTGTTACAAGCTCAGATTCTAGCTGCAGTCCAAGAAATAATTCACGGCGGTCCGTGCGCAGGCGAGTCGCCCACCGAAATCTTGGCCTTTGAACAAATTGTTCAGAGCCCCGCCAAACCTTCGCTTCGACACCCCACGGCCACACTCAGCACCGCTACAACACCGTCCTCCCGTGCCCCGTCCGCACAACTCGCTGCCGCCAACATGGCAGACAAAGACTCCTTCCTCCACTTGGCCCGCCCGCTCGGTCCTGCCCCCGTGGGTGCCCAGCCGTCGACCGCTCCATTGAATGTTGTCGTCCAACCCCAGGCCATCTTCTCAATTCTCGACCATGCCCTCCGCCGTCCTGCTGACCAAGATCGCGTCATTGGTACTCTCCTAGGTACCCGAAGCGAAGACGGCACCGAAGTCGAGATCCGCAACTGCTATGCTGTCCCGCACACCGAAACTGCCGAGCAAGTCGAGGTCGACATGGACTACCAGAAGCAGATGCTCCAACTACACCTCCGCGCGAACCCCAGAGAAGTTCTCGTTGGCTGGTATGCTACGAGCAGCGACCTGAACACATTTTCTGCTCTCATCCAAAATTTCTACGGTCAGCAGGGCGATGGTACTTGGCCGCACCCCGCCGTCCACCTCACAGTCAGCACCGTCCCTGGCCAAGAGATCGAGAGCCGGACCTACATCAGCGCACCCATTGGTGTCACCGCAGAGCGCGCAGCAGACTCATGTTTATTCATCCCAGTACCGCACGAGCTCAAGTACGGCGAGGCCGAGAAGTCTGGTCTCGAGCTCATTTCGTCAGCCAAGGACCGCGAGGACCGCTCGCAACCTATCATCACCGATCTCGAGGCCCTTGAGCGCGCCATTCAACACGTCCTTGAAATGCTCGAGCGCGTGTCCAACTACGTTAACAACGTGCTGGACGAGGAAGCCGAGCCCTCATCCGCCCTCGGCCAATATCTCATGAACGCGCTGAGCCTCGCACCCAAGGTCGACGCCGCCGACATCGAGCGCGACTTCAACAACCACATCCAGGACGTCCTCGTCGTCTCCTATCTCGCGAACACCATCCGCACACAGATCGACCTCTCCAACCGTCTCGCTACCGCAGCACTTACCCTCGGCACTGGCGATGCGCTCGCAGGCGAAGGTGAACAACAGCGCGGCGGCGACAGGCAAAGGGGCGGACGCGGTGGACGCGGCGGAGGCCAAGGTAGGCAGCAAAGACAACAGGAAGCATGAAAAACTACCCATTCATATTCTTGATGCTGCCCTACTTTTACCTCCCGCTGTTCTACTGTTTGGTGTTTGACTAATGCATTTTGTGATAGTGACGACGGCAAAGAAGGCGGCGATGGGGAGGACGAGTGCGACGCTGGTCGAGGTGAAGAACGGGGAAAGATCGCCCGACAAGGAGAACGAGATGGCGGTTAGCTGGCGACATGAGGGATGAGGCGACGCAGGGCACGAATATCATGACTTGAGAGGGATGCGGGTCTAACATAGAAGGTCAATCCAAAAAAGCCGCAGGATACCCAGACGGGTGCCACATTTGTGTGGCCATTGTTCGATTAGCTCAATGAAGCGATCATGAAAGCCCAATGCCAATGCCGGTTCATAATGCTGCCTGTGAATGCCTAATACTCCCCAGCTTTCCTTCAAACGCCATGAAGATGCCTAGTAAAACTTATGGTCGGTTGAGCTCTAAGTGATGACTCGCCAACCAGACGAAAGATGAGGTGAAGAATCCGCTACGAGGATATAACCCTAGGTTTTTGACAGTGAAGGCTGTCGTGTTGAAGATCCTCCGCTGGAAACCAAAGACGAAAGCATGTGCCGTGGCGAGTAGTCGACTCAGTGTGGATGTAATACACCGGGTACCGCCAATCGTCGTCGAATCATCTGCACCGGCATCGCAACTCCGTGTCCACGAGTTCAAACGCGGTCTGCTCGTTCAACCGCTCATCACCGTACTCGCATCGTCCCCCTTCCCACCCTTCTTCTTCCTTTTCTTCTTGCGCTCCTCCTCCGCACCACCTTCAGCATCCTTCCCCTTCTTCGCCCGCCCCTTCTCACCTGGCACCTCCTCAACCGTATCCACCACCGCCCCCTCATCCGTGTCAAACGCCTTCCTCTTCCTCTTCAACTCCTTATCCGTCTCAAGCAACTCGCTCACCCTACCCAACTTCGCCGTATCCCTCCTCAGCATGAACTTGAAATCATCGAGCTTGATTTTCTGGCGCCGCGCGTGGGTCGCGACAGCCGCGGCTTCGTGACATGTCTCGATGATGTAGTCTGTGATGATTTCGTCGAGGGTAAGGACCGTGGCTTTGAGTGGGGGCGCGGTGTCGCCGTAGGCGACGAGAAAGGATTCTACTACAAGGGCGTCAGAAGAGGTGAATTGATAGCCAGGGTTGCGCGAGCGGTCGGTCCGGCGGGAGTTGGGGACGCGCGGGAGGATGCGGTGGCGGTGGCGGGCGGTGGCGGCCATGGTGTTGACTTTGTGCAGAGGTGGTGAAAAGCGCGGGGTGAGGGGAGAGCTTGACGGTGTCTATGTGCGCACTGGAGCTCGAGGGAAGGCGCGTGGGGTGGAATTGAAAGTGACAAAGCGGAAGGCACAAAGGTGAGTACTCACAGTCTCGCTGCTCCCACTGCGGGCCCTTGCCGCGCTGCCTCATGCGTGGTTCCGTCATTATGTGCAGTTTCTATGCGTCTACCTCCTTCTTGCTCTTCCCGCGTAAAGCGACAAGCAGTCCTGCTCTTGCCCGTTCCCACCGCGAGTGTGGATGTTTGCGCGCGCAAGTGAGCGACCGACCGATAGACAGTTTTGGTGTAGCGCGAGCACTGTAAGAGTCCGATATAATCGACGATCGATGATGAGCCTGGAGTAGGTGTATGTCATTTCTCCGTAGAAGGTTGCAGTTTGAATGTAGTCGGAGCTCTAGCTGCGGGAACGACGATCACCCTGCACAGACGCTTGCGCACCCGCCCGCTTGACGTCGGCCTCAATAATTTTCCACGCCCCGATGAACATCTGGCCATACCATGCCAATGAACATCTGGCCGTACCATCACAACACTCGCAAGTAGACCCCAGATTGCCTCTCGCTTGGCTTGTTTATACCTTGCGGTTCCTACTTCGCGCACCTCCGCTCATAATTCACATATCGCCGTAAGCCAACAACCTCAGCGACAGAACAGCACCTGCGCCAAAATGGTACACCCCTCCCCGTCTTCCCCCCTCTCCTACCCAGCTAATACTCACCTAGACCGCGCTCTTCAACTTCCAATCTCTTATCGTCGTCATCCTCCTCACCATCTGCACCTCCACTTACGCACACTACTACTTCCCAGCCTTCATGGACCGCAACGGGCACAACTACTTCATGGGGCTGTTCTGGAAGTGCGCACGCATCGGCGAGCGTCTGAGTCCCTATATTGCCCTTGCGCTAGTGTTCATGGCAGTAAGTGTTGATTAAGCTCTGGAAGAGAAGGGAGAAAGTCAGATGGGAGTGGGGCTGACGAGTGTAGATCTTGGAGATGATGGGCTAGGAGTTATGTAAGTGGATTGAAAGGCGGATTTTGGGACAACATCGGCGCGTAGGACTGGAGTGAACATTTCAGCATGCATGGCGTTCGGCGTTGGCGTTATCAGGTCTACGACACAGTGAAGATATGGCGGGCAAGACAGTGATGTTCTGAATTTGACTATGCATGTGTGATATAACTGAACCAATTCAGACTCCATGGTCTTATGTCACTTCGAACCTCACAATCAAGAGCACCACGTAGATACCCTCAGAAGCACAATATCGCTAGCATTAAAATATATACAGCAGGCCCAGCCGCCCGCATTTTTGGTGTTTGATCCCTGGATCCAAAACCTAAACGTAGATTCTAGCCCAGACACTCACGCCCTATCCTGTCTAACCCCCCGATATCCAAAGCCCACCCAATCCATACAAGATAAAATACACAGACGAACCCAGCGCCTAGGGGGTGGTAGACACCGTTCAGGCGTGCATTCATGAGTAGTTTTGAGAAGAGATTCTGCGAGATTGCAGGCCATGATGAGTGGCCACATGATGATGAAACAACGAAATGTGAAAAAGAGTATGAGAGGGAGATAGCGAGCTCGTCACGAAAAACGTGAAAAAGCTCATCCAGCAAACCGCCCGATCCATTGCTGGCAACCGTGTATATCCGCCCTCGAAACGTAACGACCGCCCGCTAACGTATCTGTTGAAGAAGGGTAAGGATAGAAAGCGGGGAAATTCTATAACACGGAGGTAGGGACAAGGAAACAGGGAAAGCAAAACACTATCTTTTCAGAAAGGCGACGAAGAGCCCGAGTCAACTGGCCCAACATCTAATGCTTGCGACTTCCTTCTCCCTTGGCGAAGCAGCAGCTGTCCAAGCCTTGGCGTGACCCAGTACGCTCCGCACCTTCGACATCGCTGGCATCCTCGACCATTACATCGTCGTTCATGATGAAGTCGGGTTGGCTGTGCGCATCGTCGGCGTCCTCGTCGTCATCGTCGTCGTGGTCGGATACTAAACCCGGGTTAGACTCAACTGCATGAGGGCTGAGGTCTACCGGAGATAGTGGCATGTGATGATTTTGACCATGGGAAACGTGCGTTGAGAAAGTCAGCGGAAGACGCGCATGGCCGTTGGGTTGTCCCTTCTTGCTGCCTGGTCGGGCGGATGGAGCCTTGCTTGCAGGGGCCGCGTTGGGGGCGCTGACCGGGAGGCGCGCCAGCTGGTTCGGCTTAGCAACAACAGGCGTCTGCAAGGCGCTGTCGGCGAGGTCGTCGTCCGAGGTTTCCATGACGTCCAGATCTACCTTCGTGCGTGCAGTGTCAACCAGACCCTTGAGATCACCGTTGAAACCGCGCTGGTGCAGCAAAGCAGTCAGATGCGGTGTCGATGCTGATGTAGTCATGCCGGACTTGGCTGGTGGCGCTGGCTTGACTACGTCACGTGGTGTGCTGAAGTCGCGGTGCACTTCCTTGGCCAACTCTGGAGGATTGGAGCGGACAAGCGGGTGCACATTTCCAGGATTCGTGCTCGCTGGGAAGCTGATTGTCGGTGTGGCGGCTGGGGTATTCGTCGGCTCAGTGGCTGGGACTGGGTTGCCGCCTTCACTGGTATCAACGGGAACACCGCAAGCTATGGCGGCTGCATCATGGCTCTTGAAGACTTGGTTGTGCTTGATCCTGCAATGGTTCAGGAACCCTTGCGTATTGGAAAAGTTGCTGTGTCCGCAGGCTGCGCAGTACAGTCGGACCCACTGACCGTTGTCGGAGCGCTTGTGCAGCAAAGGATCGATCTTTGGTGCGGGGGCTGGATTTTCACCGAGGGCCGGGAGCTTCAACGTTCCAGTCGAAGTTCGCGACGTGCGCGCCTTGCCAGTTGCACCGAACTCGGCAAAGCTACCGCGCGTCGCTCGGCCCTCACCCATACCAAAGTAACCGTGAGCTTGCTGCGCCAGAGCGCGCTCAGACACAGAGTCGAACTTGACATCCGAGATCAACCACTTCGCGTAATGGCGAGTGTATGGACCATCGGTGACTCCCCAGGGGGCGGCGTAAGCGGGTTCCGTGTAGCCAGATTGCGGGTGCAGAGAAGCTCCAATGCCCATGCTGAGATTTTCGGAGGGCCCGTCGGTACCCGGGAAAGGAATCAACGAACAGCGCCTCAGCTGTTCCAGCGACACCTGGCACTTGGCCAACTCTTGCTCGATCAGGCGCAGCTCGTTGTGCTTGAGCAGGATCTCGTAGTTGATTTGCGCCTCGATCGACTGCTGCAGCGCCGACAGGCTGGAAGCCATGGCGGGCGCAGGAGTGTCGGTAGAAGAAGCCTCGATTTTGGCAGCTTGCTTTTGGGCCTTGCTCTTGCTCGCTCCTTCTCTTTTGACGGGCTGCGCCTTTGGCCGCGCTTCCAGAACCTCTGCAGTCGCAATCCCCGATGCTTGCTGGGGCTCCATTGGTGACTGAAGTACCATTCCGGTCGCGAAGTTGCCATGGTTGAAGTTATCAGGGGTACCAGTTGACGGTCTTACTTCCCCTTCAGCGTCCTTCCACTTCTTCACGACATGCGCCGGTGCCGGCTCAGGGCTATCCGTCCTCTTCCGCTTGATTTGCTTTAAGAAAGAAGGGATCTCGACGACTGGCATCGGTTTTGACTTGTGCAGTGCTGACTTCTCCATGATCTTGTCGCCTGGTGATTCCGTACTCCATGATGCGAGGCGGAACATGGACTGCATTGTGATAGAAGTGGAGGTCTAGTACAAACAGCGCTCATCTGCCGTGGCAAAAATCGTGCGCATAGGAGTAGAAGAGCTGACAGGCTGCGGAGTCGGAGGCGAGCAGAATGTGCAGCAAGAATTACAGGCGCGAAAAAGGCAAAAAATTACAATGTATAGGGGGTATAGTTGGTGCGCGAAGGAGTGAGAGAAGAGAAGGCTACCTAAGGTAGAGTGGTGACGTGTTGGGAGCTGTGCAAGGTGTCCGCGAGGATGGGCCGAGCGGGGCCAGTAACGGAAAGTACAGGCGCAACAAGGCAAGCTACAAAATGCGCGAGGGTGAATACAAAGGAGACGGCTGCGCAGCTAGTTGCAGCGCAAAGAAACCGGGTCCTGAGGGTGTGGTGGTGGAGAGGTGGGTGGTGGGAGGATGATGGGTTGGTGATGTTGCGAGCGAAGGCAGCGGCGGGCGAGAGTTCGGGGGGAGTCGCACCTTCCTGAGAAGCTCTGACCCGGCGTGACGGGGCAGCGGCAGCGGCACTAGCCTGGATGCGAGCCACAATCTCGCGCAAGTGGGCAGGAGCGACCGGGGGCCTGCGTCGACGCCAATCAGGGGCGGCGTGGCCTCGTCGACGACTGTTGCGCACCGTCTTGTGCTCTCGCCGGCCATCTGCAAGAGCAGCGGAATGCACCTTGGCGCAGCGCTCCCGCGACATTTGCTGGACGTCGTGGACGTGTGCTCCCGCGGCTGTCTCCAGCTGTGCGACGGGAGCGATGCCGGCCTCCGCCCAACACAGTCCCTCCCTCGCCCAGCGTCATAAGTGGGCCACACCCAGGGGATGGATGCTCTAGCTCACGCCTCGCGCAACTCTAACCCCAGTGTAGCTGTCCTCTTGGACAGCGCAAGACGTCTCACGATGCCATGTCATGCTGTCGCGGGCGCTGTTACAGCGGCATCCCTTGGAAGAAACACCACAGCGCATACCAAACGCTTCCAGGGCGACGTATCACCTTGACGACCCGCCGCGCACATCCGTGGAGGGCCGCGCACAGGCCAAGCCCATCCATCCACCCATGCTCCACGACGCCTCTGGGCCGGCTCCGCTACTGCTAGGCCCACGCAAGCCACAGCGCCGCCTGAAACATCGCGAATCTCAACACCACGATGGAATCGCTCGTATACTTGCACGTGATGTGTGTCGCGAGTTCCAGACGAGCGTGGAGGGTCACTTGTTCGCTATTGTTCGATCGCATGGCTCGTGACATTTGGAGTTGGATTTCATTGCGCGACTTTCTGCAAGCGAGCTGCGAAAACAACATGTCGCCCCCGATGCTGCCGAGGAAATGGGTGCCTCTCATCCGGAACCTTCCGAAGCACCGCCAAACGACAAAACACCACCAACGCCGCCAAGATGCGTCCCCATACCCAGATTTCCCCTTTATGCCAAAATTACAAAGCGAAAAAGTCGTGCTCCAAATGTTACTTCCCCAGGTTTTCGTGCAGCTGCTTGTACACGAACCCCTCGCAGCCTATGCACTGTGGAGTCCCCTACGCACTCCCTGCCACCGGTCGCGGTATCGCACTCAGCGATATCGTCGGTGATGCTGGTGGAATGGGACTCGGTGAAAGGTGGTCCGTGGTCTCGCTATCCGGCGCACCGTTCGCTGACAACTCTTCGTTCAAGCTCATGCGTTTGAAATGCGGGCTCAGCGGGCTCTTTGGTGTCGACTTCACCCTTGGGCAACTCGCCACAGGCGTCGCCAAATTCTTGAACGGACACGATCCCGTCGCCATGTCGGCGTCTTCGATCTCACTCTCGCTGTCGCTGCCACTTCGTAGTATCTTCTTTCCGTGAAGATAGCCCTCTGGCTCGATTTCGGGAACGAGTCGTTCTTCGGAAAATTCATCTCCGTCGCGCACATACCACTTCGCGAAGAGGTCGTTCTGGATCCATATGACTTTGGAAAGGGCCTTGACGAGGCCGATCTTGCGGTCCATCTTCAACCGTGGGTGCGAAAGAATTGCTTCGGTGAGGACGTCCTGGATGAAGGATAGCGTGACGCCAATGTGAACGTATTCTACATGCAGAGGGTGCGCGCGCCCTTGTCCAACGTGCATCATTCCGACCTTGTCCAAATATTCCCAGTACTCCCTGTTGGCGGTCAGCATGCGCCTTGCAATCGCTCACAGGGTGTTCGAGGAGGCTTACATCTTGCTCGGATCGCTGCAGAGCCTCGTCAAATACGCCCGCAGGAACATCTTCCGATGTAGGATTTGAGGCGAGCTCTCGTTCAAGTTCATATCCACCGGGCCCTCGTACGATGTCGACCTTGTCTCGAAGGCGCGCGCTGTGATGTCGTATTGCAGTAACTTCTTGTATACGATGTTGACCAGCGCGGGAATGAGTGCTTTGATGTACTTCGCTCCCGATATGAGTGCTTCGATGTCGCCTGGTCATGTCAATTGTCAAACCTTCGGATTTGGGTGCAGAGGCGAACGTACGACTGCTGAAATCCAAGAACGAATGCAGATACCGTACCCTCGTCTCCAAGTCGGTGTACAGCTCCCTCCTGTCAAAGTGCATCATCGGGCGGCGGTAAAACTGTGCCATACTTCCTTTCTCGTTTCACTCTTTCCTTTCCCAGACTACAATATGATTCTTGTCGCAGTGAACTTGCAGTTCTCCCAGATATGTGAACAAGCTGTTCTTCGAGGTAGCACAATACGGATAGCGAAAGTGGAATGGCGCTTCCACGCGCTTATATCCCCCCTCATTCGCACTCATCTTCAAGGCGTCCACATCTCCGCCGTATGCTCAAGTATCTGGCGCACATGGTCCGTCGTGAGATGAGGATGGCGTGACTGCCTTCACCACCGTCGTACCACCAGCCAGGATCGCACTTGCCCCTGCGCAGCTTAGCGCTGCCGCTGATTGGACGCTCGCGTTGGGCGACATGTCCTTCTACGATCGATGGCGGCCGCATGGGGAAGTTTGCCTTGCGCACGTAGTAGGGCAGGAGTGCGTATGGCGTGACACGTCGCTTAGGCTTGCTTGCTCGAGGGTGGACGTCTCAGCCCATGCGGTGCTGCTTATCCATGACTTTCCTCGACTCGAAACAACCACATATGGTTATCTAGATACTAATACTGTTCTAGAGCCTGAAACTTCGGCGAGCTAAGTCATGCGATCCTCTTCCCAGACATGCCAATCAGGCCATGTTAAGAAGTAAAGCACAGGTCTGAAGGCTTTGTACAGCAACGATCGCTTTTGGCGAAGTAGTTTGATCATGTCTACATCTCAGTACTGCGTCTGTTCCGGTATCGATCCGCATGTGGGTTTGACACGCGTAGCGCGTCCCCATCCCCGCGAGATGGCGCATGTACTCGATCGCTCGCGCCGTGAGCTGTACACAGGAAGTTCAGTCTTCTCCACATGTCCCTAATTCTTACATCGGGCTTTCTTCATCACATGATCTCTTAAGTCGACTGTGGAGCTCTTCATCAGAAGCCACTCGTTTTGGGTCAAAGTAGTTCCATCATAGCTGTGGTCCCGAGGGTCAGGATAGGGCAGTATCGTCGTGCATAGCAATTCCCCAACTTGATAGTTGTCGTCTCCCCTGATGTAGCCACAGAAGTCGTGAGGATTCTTGTTGCAGAACGTCAAACTGATTAGCAAATCTTATTTATATGGCTCCTCTTAATAACATCTCGAAAAGTAATGCGTTGTTTACCAGTGCATCAGTGCCTGCCAGTAACTCTGGTTTCCTCTGTCTCTAGGACAAGCGAATCTGAACAGCATCTTCGGGTTAATGCTGACGCACGGCCGACTTGTGATATCCTTGTTTTATCTGTCGCTGTGTGCTGCTGTCAAAGACTGCCCGCACTACGCGACATGGATACGTAGCTATATTTGAAAGCTGGATAACTCACTCTCTTGATTCGTCACAGTATCTAGCTAAGCAAACAACTCCACAGCAATGCTGCAGTGCTACCACAGGTACCTAGCCCGCATTTCGATACCACTAACACCACCATTCCTACCTGTGCCCATCTCATAGCGCCACACTCTGTTTCTCTAGCGACGTGCATGGGCGCCATCCTCCAGGATCAATGGTTACCATGACTGGAAATACTGGTACGTCGGCAACTTCACCAGACTTCAAGGCTGATGCATCTAAACGTACGAATAACATGAATTTGCATTGCATTTTCCAGACCCGCACGGATGGATGGAAAATGCTGATGCGCCGACGTCTTTTAGTTTCTATTCGTCTGGAAGAGATGTAGCAAACTCATATGTTACGAGCGCCTTACCGCCGTTGTAAGTATCCCTTCGATTGGCCCATCTACTGTTGCAAAGATCAGCACCGCATAAGTGGATCTGTCAGAGCTGTTTGACGATGCATGCCATACGATAGTGTCACATAATCCTTATGAATGGATTATGCACCACACCGTACGTGCTTCCCGCGATCACTATGTCCCGAAAGGATCAGGTTCGCCGTACGGAAGACTTACTTGTTGCGTCCTTACACGTGGTGTACTACCGCCCCAATTCAGTCACTGCACCGGTCACTCTTTGAAAGACTAATTCTCAACCATGGCGGATGGTGTAGCTCCGGAGGCTGCCATTATATGTATCCTGTGACTCCTCACTTGCGCTTGTCGTGCTGACAAGCGACAACAAAGCCTCCTGAGGCCACTATAATGGCTATAATTATATTGCTAGCCTCTGGCCGTCTGGTCCCACGCATTTTGCAGCTCATGCATCTGACCGCGAGCGATAGCTTTCTGGTAGCTTCGATTCTGAATATGCTAGCACTTCTCATTACCGATGTAATAACCTACCAACTAGGCGGCATGTGCGATAGACCGGAGCCTTCAGAAGTAACTCTGGTCATACTCAAGAAAGTATGGAATACTGTGAGATCCAGTCATAAGAGAAGCGATACTGACGTTAGGTGCAGTTGCGGGGAACTACTTCTACGATACAGGCATCTATCTGCCTGATTTAGCGATCTTAGCGCTCTACTATAGACTTATCCCACCTACCGTGCCTTGGTTGCGAAAAGCCCTCTACGCAGTGAGTGCCTTCGTAGGAGCAACTATGGTGACTACCTGCTCCTTGGATACAATTTGGTAAAGTCGCAAAGTATCCGTGAACTAGTCTGTAGAAGAAGCAGTATGCTCTACATTTAGCTCAAAGGAAGTTTTTAGAACAGACTGGACGCTCAATGTTATATCAGACGTATCGAGTGAGTGTTGGAGTCTTCAGCTTAACAGCCAGAGTTAACACCGTCCACAGTTTGCGCACTTCCATTCCCGCTTCTTCACAAGCTACAGCTTGGCCGGCGCCAGATTTGGGGTCTTGTAGCAACTTTTGGCCTCGGTATTATCATCACATCCGTTAGCATCGTGCGATTCCCAAACATGGAATTCATCCATGCGTGGACCAATGTTTGTAAGTGAGCGTCTTGAGCAGACGGTATGCGACCACCAGTATTGGCACTTATGCAGGTGTGCTTTCCATGGCTGGAATGTCCGTCTCCATCATGGTCGTGGCTTAACCAGCGATGAGACCTTTTCTCCACCGCGGTACCCTGTTCTCCTCCAAAGAGAACCCACAGCTCCTCGACTTACGAACAGGATACAGAGTCCAAGCTACAATAGTGACCTTCGGAAACTCAACCAGAAAGAAAGGACGACTGGACGACCTTTTGGACGAATCAGGGAGCGAGGTGGAGCTCAATACAATGGCAAGAAAGGACGTCATCTATGGGACAAAACAGGTCAGCATGTAATCTTCGAACTTGCTGGAAGAGACAAATTCTTCGAAAGGAAAACTCCCATGAAGATTCAGGTGACGTCCCACACATGCATAATGCTGGCCTGAAGATGTCAAAACGGAAGGTGTTATTGTGCTTTGCAAAAGTTTTGCGCCACCTTCCGCGGTACTGATACTGATCCGTATATTTTCAGCCAGTCTATGTAGTACAGGAGGCTGATTATTAGTCTAATTACTTTAGTAAGCTAAATTCAACTGGCAGCTTAGTGCCCTATATTGACGTCTACTAGGCCTAGCAATAAATAGTCAATAGATTCTCGCCTAATCAAAAGATCTTGGCGAATGCTCAGCCTCCTATAATACACTGGTTGGTTGAAATGTGCAGAAATCAACCGCGTAAGGTGAGGGCAGAACTTTTGCAAAGCACCGATATCCTAAAACGATACATGAACTGATCGTCAGGACGGTAAGACTGAGATCGTTGGCCTATGTAGCATCTCCTAAATGATAATCTAGAAAGACGGGGCGAAAGACGCCATACTGAATGTGATGTCGTTAGGAGAGAGGGTCGTTGGGTCCTAAAAAGCGCTATCAGTGCTCGATGTATTTCCTCTTCATGTCGCGCGCATACCAGACCTCCAATATCTACGAAAATAGGCACGTGTATCTTCTGGACACACTCTTGCTCTCCTTCCAGGAAGATGAAAGCCCGGCAGATGGAAGTGACAGACCGAGGGCGATCAGACGATCCCAAGCGCAATAGGTTAACCGGGGATGTCTTGGTTTCCGGCTACGCCACAAAGCACGGAACGGCAACCATTGCGACAGGTTCCACTGCATAACGCAGATCAGACGCAGTGTAAACGAGCCTTCTACTTCGCCCTTGTTAAGAACATCTCGAACCACTCGATGCACACAACAACTCGACGTTCATTTGTTATAGGTGTTGGCACACTTAACGCATTGCACAGGGACTCGTACCTTACATTCCTCAAGGACCCGACTGTTTTGATCCTACGAAAAAGCATATACTGTGAACCGACAGACAGCTCCTCACCACGCATCTGGCAATGTCATTGAATCACTGTCAGTAAGCAAAACATCCATTGTAGTTCTGCCTAGCTCCGCCTAGCCCCTCGACTTCTCAGCTTCTCCAGCAGTTTATTCAGGCTCTTCTGGTCTGCCTCCAAATTCTCCTTATGCATATTAGTCGGGAATCCGTCAGCGAGCCATGAATGCATATCGCCATTATCTTCCGCTTCCGGCCAGTGCGTTGGCAGGATTCCATCATCGAAGCAGATATACCTCTGAGGGAAGATCCTATTACCGCAACTGTCACGGTGATTTACGCCGTACTGAGGCCTATCCTTGTCAGCGTACGTCGGCGCCTGATCGAACCGGAAGTCAACTAAGTTTGGTAAGGCTCCGGCAATACGATCTAGATAATGACTCCACTTTCCACTGTACGCGAATGTTTTGCTCCAGCTGTCCTCGCGCTCGTCGAGTAGCTCCGTCCAATCATGTGTCCAGACTTTCCACTTGCCCATGTGGGAGGGGTCGATACGTATCCAGGATAAAATCATGCAATTTTGCAGGATGACTTTGCGTAGTGACTTGATAGAAACGATCCAGTCGAGGTCATGGTCATGCGCAAGCGTGTAATAACCCAAAGCCAGTGTCTCGAGCTTCGGAAAGGAGATGCCGCTGGGGTTGAAGTAGCCGGGGAAGGGACCCCACTTGTCGGTCCCACTATATATGGACAACGCCCTCAGGTTTGCGGATATAGGTTTCAGCCAGTCCGAGCAAAAGTACGCTGGGAAGGTCTGCAACTCGATCTTGGTGTAGTCATGGTCAGGCCCATGCTCGTTATATTCCTGGGTGAGAGATATATGCAGCTCGTCCAACTGACCCATGACGTCACGAAAGAGGTCGGAGCCAGTGAAGTCCGGTATAGGACAATTTTGGAGGTTGATTATAGTTCACTTGCGGATTGTCCTGTTGTTCTCGTCCGCCGCCCTATCCTTGATGGCTTGGAAGACGAGCCTCAATCTGTCCTGGCGCTCCGACACCTCCTCCGGCACTTCTTGGTAATGCCTCTTGTCGACACCTACACATTCTGGAGTGAAGCCAATCTCCACGGGATCTAAGTTAGGGAACCTTGACAACGCAGCGACGGCGCCCTCAAACTCCTCATCAACCTCCTCTTTCTCTCTATAGCAGCCGAGGCCGTGGTCCTCGATATCTGATTGCGTGTGAATGATCGCGTGACGAGGTAGCTGCCGAATAAGATGATCCTGGCTGATACTGTTCCAAGTGCTCATGTGCTCTTTCAACGGTGAGACAAACACATCTTTGAAGAGCTCCTTCGCGGCATGCTTGTCTAAAGTCTTGCAAGCCAGCCGCGCGTTTGATAGATCTCGCCTCACGCTGACTTGCTTGATGACATTCTCGACTATCTCTGGTGCGAGGCCGAGGAGCTGAGGACCGGGTTTCGATGACATGTTGCTGTATGCTGGTCGGACGCCGGATCGGCAGGCAAGACGTCTTGCCTGCAGCCAGAGGGGAGCGAGGCGAATTTTAAGCCTGAGAGTAATCATCAGAAAACATAGGGTGAGCACTGTGAACACTGACGCCTAGCGTCTGCCTGGATGTTTCAGTCAACAACGGACGCTAATCCCAATTATGGCTGGATGCCTAAGACGCTCTAGGCACTGTGAAATTGGATACAAAATCACAGCTGAGGCCAATGGGAAGGCCAACGGGCAACATCCGCGTCGTCGAGAAGTCGGAAAAGGAGACATTGACCGATCACATCATTGCGACGGCGGGCGCGCATCGATGGATGAGAGGTGATGAAGGAGACATGGTCGCGGATTACCAGTAGCGTGTCAGTTTCGCGTCTAGACGTAGGCACCCCTCAGTACCGTACCTGCTGCATATGTGCCGAATATTCCCACTTCGTGCATCACACACCAACTTAGTAGGGTCATGACACTCCCTAGCCAGATGAGCAGACACAAATGGAACCTGGTACACTTCAAGCGCCGACACAGCGTCTTGTTCTCCTGTGTGAATACACGTGCTATAGATGTACAACAAACATGTATTATACAAACCCATCCCTCTTCCCATCAAAGAAGCCCCTTTGAGGTACCAGATGCCTTAACGTTTTTAACACGCTGTCCTCTTCCTCTCCGCTCGGCTGCCAGAGTGCCCTGACCTCCCACCACGCGTCCATCGTCCTCTGCGCATCCGCACACTTCTTAAACGCCTTGAGCGCCGCAACAACACTCGTCTGACTTATCCATGTACGATCAAGCCCATCCTTTACCGCCTGCAAGTACTCCGTCCACGTCTGCTCAAGCTTGCTTCTTGTCCAGGAAGAGTAGCGCACACCGCCGAATCTAGAAAAGCCATGGAAAATGACGACGAAGATGGAGCCTTCGAGGGGAACGCCATTGTATCCCATTTCGCGGAGAAGCTCGTTAACGCGGTCGATGTTGCCGGTTACGGTGGCCTGGTACCGGATGAGCAGGCTGTACGTCCGTGAGTTGGGCGAGATGGGGGCCCATTCCTGGAGACGCTTGAGACCGTCTCTGTCGCAGTCCCAGGCAAGGCGGCGCCCTTCGTAGGTGAGGTCAAGTCCGAGCTTGCGCCGGCCGCGCCATGAGCGGTCTGTTTTCGTGATGGTCGGACCGCCAGGGGCGGTAAAGGGAGAGGTGCTGCCCGCGGCACGGCCGGTGGCTGCGAGCCGCTTCATGCGTTCGAAGACGTGCTCTGCGGCGGAGGGCTCGCCGGCGCGGATTAGGGCGGCGATGACGGCGTTCATCACAACGACGTCAACAATGTCACCAGCTTCTACCATTTGCTGGTAGACACGTCTAACGCCGTTGCCGTTTTGCATTACGCCGTGGTAGTATATCAGTGACACCCGGAAGTGGCGGTGGAACGTCAGTCGTCGGGATTTCATCTCTTTGAGGAGGAGCTCGGCGAGAGTGAATTTGCCAGCTTTGACTGCAATGTCAAAGAGGATATTGAAAGTTACGTGACTGCCTCTAACGTTGGCGCGTTGTTCCATGTCGCGCCAGAGGTAGAGGGCGGATTGGAGGTCATCGGAGGAGACAGCGCCTTTGTAGCGGCCTGCGAGATGGGTAGCGGTGGTCCATTCATGGCGTCGGACATGGATGTGTGCGTTTTTCATATCGTCGAGGATGGATAGATAGCGCTGCATGGCGACAAGGGTCGGGCGTTCGACGATGGACAGTTCATGGAGCATATCATGTATGGTACTCGCAGGAAGGTAGACTATCCGCGGCTCTGATAGCTGCCTGTAGGCGTTCCAAATCTCATCGTGCGAAGGTACGTCGAGCTTGACGAGAGCTTTGAGCTTCTCTACGATCTCCGCGTCCTTGGGTTCCTTCGGCGGCCAGGGTTCGTGCTCGTCGCCCACATTCCACACCAGTGAGTCACCGTCCTCCACTGCCTCTTCCCAATCTTGCGGTGGATTCGTATCGATGCCATAGTAGTCGACCAACGCTTTGAGCTCCTTCTCGGCGAACTTCTTCGCAATCCTGAAAGGACCCTTGCCGACGGGCTTGGCCGATGCGTACTCCCGCCTCACGATGGATTCAATGCTCTTCCGCGACTTCTTGTGATGTGGTCCAGTGAAGGGTAATCCGTCTCGCAGCGTCGATATCTGCTTCGCATGCTCCGGACACGAGCCCGCCCGCGCCAACGCCTGGATGAACAAGTTCTCCATGGGCTGGTTGTTGGCTGCTCTTATTTTTGGCGGACGGTTTACAGCACTCTTGCTGAAGCTTCTCCTCGAGGCATCTTTGTGAAGGACAGGACATAGGAAGGAGAGGTTTGGTCGAACTGGTTGCGGGCATGAGACGGCGGAGGTCCGATTGAGAGTGCGGAAGAGGGACATGAGAGGGCGAGCATTGTGTCAGCGGCGGCCGGATCGAGAGGTTTCCATTGACATCGGGGGATGTGCGAGATCAAGCGACGTCCATTGGCATCTGTCAAGTGTCTAAGATGGCTCAAAGAGGGAAGCTGCACGAAGGTGCTCCCTTCGCGTCGCCAACAATTTGTTAGCTCCCGCGGCAAGTTCCGTCTCCGATCTTTTCTCCGCGCAACCTCACGAGCATTGCAACACCACACCAATCCATTGCACGCGCCCGCCCTGTCACTTGTCCACGCCGTATCCGGACAATAGATGCGATAATTCAGGCCCCGCAGCTGGCACACACCTCCCCCGCCCACCATGGGCCGCTACGACTTCCGCCCAATGCGCGTCCGCCAGACGGCAAAGGCCCTCTTCGACACCAAACGCAACGCCGACCTGCCCCAATGGTACAACATCGTCGGCGACATTCCCCCTAGCGAGACCCTTGCACGACCGCTCCAACGGGCACCTACACCGAAGAAAGCGCGGAAGCCCAGCAGAATGTTCCAGCCGCTGCCCATCGTGTACCCAGAAGATAAGCTCCGTTCAGACTTCTTCGGCGACCACCCCTGGGAATTGGCCCGTCCGAGGATAATAGTGGAGGATAGTGGAAATGATGCAAAGGGCTATGACTGGAGTATGATTGTGCAGCCGGGGAAGCAGCTGGATGGAGAGAGGTTTGTTCCCTCATGCGATTGAAATACCACAATGCTAATTCGGCATGACAGCGTCATCCAGCGCCAAATGTGGCTCATGAAGCACCGCGCCATGTCCAAGCCCATGGCCTACGACGTCGCCCGCCGCGAGTTCTACTTCCACCGCCACCGCGAGGACATCCGGCGGCGCGTTGCCAAAGAAGAAGCCCTGCACGTCGGCGCCTACTTCAGCAAGGGCCCGCTAGAGATTGGTATGGAGCTTGAAGACAAGACCTGGGAGAACTGGAAGAGGTGGGCACGTGAGCAAATTGACGATGAAGAGGCCGCACGCGCACAGCTGTTCTCGGGTGCTCAGTCAGCCGAGGCCGAAACCATGGATGCTGATGAATTCGATGCTGCGCTAGAGGAGGTACAGTCCTCGGTGCCGCAGAGCAGGACGGGACAGCCCGCTCTAGGTGGGGTTGCGGCGCATCCGTGAGTAAGTATGCATGTTGTATGATAGTGTAACTTCCTGTAGACTTGTACATGATATGACCTGCCCAGGTCTTCGATAATAGTCTCGAGCATACTTGGAAACGCCAGCTATACTTCTAAAATGTCAGCTGCTCATCAACACATTGCCAGCACATAGTGGATCCCATCTACTCCCCATACAACAACGTCCCCACCATCGTGCACATCAACCCCACAATTTGTGAAAACCCTCTCACATGTTTCCTCAGCTCCTAATACTCGACTCGAACACTTATCGTTATCATGCACCACTGCGGACGCATCGGGGTCAGCTTCCCCACCACAACGTGCTTTAGATTCCAAACCTCCTCCCAATCCCAGAATCGAGAAGCTCGCTGCTTATAGTCTCGCCGGTGCGCTGGAAACACAGCTTCTCAAAAAAACTTCCCCCTTGAAGGCGGAGTTTGCTTTCGCTCTTGCAGAAGTTGCTCTGTCCGACGATGCAGGAGTGCGTATGCAGACACGCCCTGTACGACCACTGGCCAAACCCTGCGCCGTCTGGTGTCCGCTGTGACTTTCGCGCTTCCGCCATCCGCGTCCACTCAATTATCGATACCATAATATGGGCCTTGCATGTAAACTTGGTTCTGTCAACCATAGTTTACAGTAACGAACCCGTGGTGGAGACCTTATCCAGAGTCCACCCCCCCCGCCAACGTAAACCTTGCAGTACAACCAACGGATGATCCCTTCGCAACATCATACGTTTCATTCAGTTGCTCTTTCTGCAGACCTTGACGTTGGAACATCATTCCAAAACCCCGCCATACTTGTTCATCAAGACTGCAGGTGCATAGAAAACTTTGTCCTCCACGGTCCCGACTGAAGTCCAAACAGCAACACTCCGGCAGTCAGCTCATGACGTCCTTCGTTCCAGAGATCATGCGCTTTTCACTATATTTCAGCGCGCTGCTTGCGCTCGTCTATACTACAGCTGCAGCAGTCGACTCGCCGCCACCTTCAAAGTTCACCTTCAAAGCTGCACAGAAGCCGGGCATTGTAAGTACACTTCTATACCACTCACATATGACTACTCTTCAAAGGTGTTGGTGGCTCTGACATCTAGCTTTGAAGGGTGCAGGTATAGGGTAGATGTGCGAAATTGCACGTATCAATGTCCCAAACAGTGCAGACGACTGCCCAGGTGTAAAACGAGCATCTCTTCAATGGTGAGACTCCTGTCTATAGTAGCTATAAAGAATGCAACCATGTTACAGAGTGGACTAGTCCGTCTAGTTACTTCTTGAAACATATGAAAGGACTATCTATCTACTCCATGCGGAAATTTTTATTTTAGGACATCGACACGTCTGATGCGGGTAATATGAAAGCAGCCATACCTTACGATCAAGACTTCTGCAGTTATACGTATCATTGAATAGGAGTGACCTTGCCACTCGGTGCGAACTGACCTTCGGATCTCTAAACAAGTGGATCTGCCGTTGCGGTGCTTTCTCCGCTCTTTGACACGCTGAACTGCTCCAGGATGAGCAATGCAGAAGCCAAGATCTTGGCCTACTACTGTGCTGCAAAATTATCTCTCACGGTTGCGGCTAACGTGAACAGGTTTGAGCAGGCAAGCCTATCTACACCATGGCATCTGTTCTAGCAGACTGAGTGTGCTTCGCCTGCTTCATCTGCCACCACCACAATTCCGGCAAGCCAGATAACAAGCTCAACTGCTCTTCCTCGCTCGCCGCGGCGAAGCCAGGCGCTACGAAGGTGACGGCGCTGTGAGTTCCAGAATCAGTCTACCTTTAACGTTACCTTGCACGGCATGCTTACCTCAAACACACAGCGTGTGCTACCTAGGTAATGTTCCCTGAGAATGCGGATCCAGTCTTATCTTCGTTCCAGTATCACCAGGCTAACAAAGCAAGCCTGTAATGACACGATGCCATTAAGTAACAATTCGTTCTGGTCCCAGATGCTTTATGGGTTAGACCCATGGTGCGCGCGCTGCATACGCTGAGGAAAACATTGAAAGATTGACTGCCGCTTACAACAAGCCCTTGCAACCGATCATCTGACAAGTGAGTCCATCTTGGATGCGCTGTCTCTTCTCCATCGCCCTTGCCTTGTATCTTAAGCACCAGGCACATGCAAACTGCGCAGTCTTCAAGCACCCAGTATACATATGTACAATCGCGCTCCCCAATACGCGCTCAACTCCAATCTTTCCCGCCCGCCCTACTCTCTCTCTACTACTAAAATCGGATGACTTGAGTGTGTCACAGCCTGTAAAAGTGTAGCGATTGATACGGTAGACTAGGATACCTCGAAATAGATGTCTTTGGATTACTCTAACCCGGCATCCTGTTTGAATGACGCACTCGGAACATCATTTTGGCCTCCTTCTCTTGCAACCCAGTCCCGCGTCTCTCTCACCCGCTCCAAGAATGCCCCACCTCCATCTGCCTTTTCCCACGTGGCAACGTATTCATTCAAAGACCGCAGTATCTTTTCTTTGGAGCCACTTCGCACAGGACACCTCACCAATGATATCCTTACAAAAGTCCACAACGATTCGTTCGCCAATCTTATATTCATCGCATACTCGACGACCGACTCTACTACCCTTGCTACCTCTGGCTCGCCATCCACAAGTGGGATCAGCCACTCCAGGAACGAGAAACCAGAGATGTCGCTCGGGTGCGCTTTGCACCACGCCATCACCTTGTCGGCAGCTACGCTGGCGAACGCGTGCCCCCTGACCTCACCAACTCTGCTCATCTCCATTCTCACAGCCTTCCTCGCATACAGCCACGCATAGTAATTCTTTGGATGCCTCTCTCCAGACTTCATCACTGCCTCCAGCTCCGCCATGAAGAAGGCCGATACATCGTCACAAGACTGAGGCAGCATCGAGAAGGCACACTCAAGCCACCATGCACGGTGTGCCCACAGCGTAGGCGACTTAGATTGCCGATGAAGTGGGGACGTGAGAATGCTATTCATGAAGCGGAGTTCGTCCCAGACAGCGTTGACGAAGCACTCGTTGAGTTCTTCACGACGCTGGAACTGCCATCTGCGGTGGTCGGCAGCTGGGAGATTCTCAGAGTTAAACAGGAAGTGGCTTTTTCGAAAGTTGGCGGCTGTAAGGTGCTCAGGATCGAACAAGAGCATGATTCTCGTGGCTTGGTGGGCACAACGTCGTTCCTCAATTACTTCCGAGTTCTTATACAAAAAGAACCGGTGTCGTGCGTGTGCGAATGCTAAGGCAAGGGTTTTCTTTGGGACGCCGAGATTTGCGCCATCCTCGAGGATGAGAGAGTGTTCGGGCAAGAGTGCTGGTGGAAGGATCTCGATTTCCAGGGTCTCGTGGGAGTGGTTAGTGAAATAGTTGTTCAGCGTGCTGTAGGCGAGTTCTTGCAGCTGGGACTGCTGCGTGGGCGGAAAGGACATTGTGGCATTTTGCGTCTTCTCTTTTCGAACAGTCTAGACTACCTCTTTCAAGTCCGCAGCTCCTGATTTGATCCTCCAAGTTTCATCTCATAATCGTTCTGTAGGCATGGTGAAAGCAGCAGCGGCCACGAGGCATGGGGGAAACTGTAGTCAGCGCACAGACCAGCAACACCACGCGGTGAAATTCAAGATGACGCACCGCGGCCCTACCTCAGCGCACCCATCAAGCCCAGCGCTTGACGGAACACCTGCCACCGCCAACCATGCCGTCCCTTCTCCTGGTTATGTTCGTCCTGCAGACGTTGCTGCACATCATCAACACCGTTGGTGCAAACACAATCAACGAGCTGGTGCGTGATGCCCCGCCTTCCCCCTCTCCATCACAACCAGGTGGCAGGGCTTTTGCTAACAAGCATCCAGCTATGGATTCTCTACAACAAATTCCCCACGCCCACGTCCTCCTCCGCGCAGCGAGCCGAGCATCTGAAGCGTGAAATTGTTCGTCTAAAGCGCGAATTAGCTACTACGTCGCCGCAAGACAACTTCTCGACATGGGCGAAGCTAGACAGACAGCACAACAAAGCTACGGCTGAGTATCAGAAGCTCGGTATGCCTTTTTTCCCCTCTCTCCCATGTCCACTATCTATCCTTCCTGACCACCAGAGGTACTCTGCTAACACCCCTCCTCCCAGACGCATCCCTCCGCACCCACCAATCCACCTTCACCTCCACCATTTCAACCCTCCGCTGGCTCGGTACTCAGGGCGCGCGCTTCCTCCTGCAAATGTACTTCGCCAAGTCCCCCATGTTCTGGATTCCAGCGGGCTGGGTCCCATACTATGTCGAGTGGATACTATCGTTCCCCCGCGCGCCGCTGGGCAGCGTGAGCATAAACGTGTGGGGAATTGCGTGCGCGAGTACGTTGGTACTGGCGTCGGAGGCGGTTGCAGCAACCTACGTACTGATCACGAAGAAGCCTGTGCCAGTTCCTACGAAGGAAGAACCCATGGTTTTTGAGGCGAACCCTAGTGCACGAGAGGGCACGGCGAAGAACTCGATGAGAGAGAAGGAGCTATAGATCCTTCACATATAACACGCATGCATCTACAATATCCCTCACCATCCAGCATAGCAATAACTTCTTCCACATTCATCCGCAATTTGCAAGTGTGATTCCAGAGTCCAATTTGGATGTCCATCGCGTTTCCGTAACAAGAAGAATAGATCTTTGTGTATGCTGTGTAATGTTTCCCAAGCAATAGACGCAATACCGTCCTGGGCGTGACCCTCAGATACTGCAACACGAGTGGGATGGACCTTGGCAGGTCGTTGGATTTGCTCTGGGCCACCAATTTGAACTCGTGATCGTGTGATCGAAATCGCCGAGTCTTCGAATGGGCCGGGTACTATCTGTGGACTACAGAAACTTCACTGTCGAAACTGAAGGTCTAGGCGATGAGCAGCGAACATTGTACTGCGCATCGCCTAGGAGCTTGAATGCTGTGATAGCATGGTGAAGGTTGATGTTTTGGCGGGCTTGGGATGCGAGAAAAGTTGTTGAACGCCAAGATAACGGGCCGAAGGTTCTCCCGGGACTGTCACGTGGTCCTGCACACCTCGGGCCCCCGGGGCTCATAAATGTCAGCTGGGTACTTGCGTAGCCCTGCCGAACACACAAGGATTCAACTGTAGCTGCTGATTCTCGGAGCGTTTGGGCCAAGTTGTAGTATTCACAAGACCTCAAAGTTCTGGTTTCCCTACTACACGGCCGACGACTAGAAATACATACATTCAATTAATGGAAACTACATATCTTGCGTGCTTTCACCTGCCATCCCATATTCGTCCGGATCCTATAGCCCACAGAGTCATCATTGTCAGCCCATCACCCACTTCGAAAACCGTTATGGCTTGCTTTTAGCGCCATATCACGATTCTACATTCATTACTGACAACCATGATGCTGAAGAACATCTTCTCATTGATGGGGTATCTAGGAACGCGTATAATGGGTGGAATGCTCTTCTGGGATCGTATCGTCCCCCCTTTCTCTCATCATGTATGTATCCACCGCCCTTGTCTTTTTCCGTCCACTCCTACTCTCGCTTGGCAAGCCACCCGTGGCAAAACGGGCAGAAAGCTTGGCCCAACCTCAACCGGACTCTACAAGATCTGCTTGCCCTGCGTCTCAATCGGCAAGAAAATCATGCTCACGAATGCAGCCAGGATCAAGCCGCCGGAGGCATAGATGGGAGCCTTCGGGTTCGCGCTCCCAGCATTGACTGCGACGATAGGCGCGCAGAGACCAGCAAGACGGTTCAGAAAACTGCTAATACCCGAGCCAGTCCCGCGATTGGGTGCGGGAATGACCTCAGGCGTGTAGGCGAAGAGAATACCGTACATGACTTGCTGGAAGCAGGCTTCGAGGCAGGAGAAAGCGAGCTGGAAGTCGGGGTCGCCGGAGATGGTGAACAAGAAGACGAAGACACCGGTGAGAGCAGTGCCGACAATCATGGTCTTCTTGCGGCCGAGGAACGGGATGTTGACCAGGTAGTAGGCGAGGAAAGAGCCGGGGACACCACAGATGGAGGTGATGGCGTAGTTGCGGTACGTGACTGAGACGGAAGTAGGCTGCGAGCTGCCGGAATTGGCGAGATACTGTGGGAGGAAAGCATTGAAGAGCGGGTAGCCCATTCCGATCGTCGTCCACTGGAACCAGAGCAAGATCATGGTGAGGCCCATTTTTCTATCCTTAAAGAGAGGACCAATACGCTGGGTAGAGAACTTGCCGAGGGAATTCTTCACGATCTGGATCGTACTCAATTTCGTGCTGACCACTTCTTCTGAAACTCCCCCCAATCGTGTCGAGAATGTCTTCAGTGAGCCAGGTCTTGGTCTTGTTGAAGTAGGCAATGCCATGAACGACGGCCACAGCCTCGCGTTGTCGACCGCGCGATAGTAGGTACTTGGGGGATTCGAAGAGGTGGAAGAGGAAAAAGCGGCACAGGAACATGACGAAGGTGATGGCACCCAAGGTGAGAATCAAATATCGCCAGCCCCAGTTTTGGTCTTTTGTGCAGGCATCTGCAGCAGCCGGGCAAGAAAAGTTGGGGATAAAAGCCCAGGCGAAGAGTGAAGCGATCAATTGACCGAACGACCAAAAAGCGGAAAGCAGTGTAAGGAGGTTGTTGTTGGCCCCGGGGAGAAACTCGAGAAACAGGGCTCCGTCGATGGGGAGGTTACCACCGACACCGAGACCCAGACAGGCGTACAGTGCGCAGACGCCAATCCAACTGGGACCACCGCCAGCGGCAAGACCAAAGATGCCTGCAAACATCAAGGTGAAGTTGAAAGCCAGGCGACGACCAACAACGTCAGATGCGACTCCCCAAAAGCTCGCTCCGATGCAGAGACCCAAAAGAGAAAGGGTAGTGTAACGGACTTCGTTCTCGCTGACGCCAAATTCGGCAGACAGAGACGGGAGCGTAAGAGCAACACCTTGGAGCCACAGGCTAGGATTAATTAGCACATGGGACAGAGCAGGTCGAAGGCAGTGCACTCACTTGTCCGCCATCCAACCGCAGCCGCACAGAGCGAAGAGCTGCCATTGATATTTCCCCATACCCATGTCGGCGATGGCTCGGTTAATGACCTTGGATTTTGCTGCGTTGATAGTCAACATCAGTGGCAATATGAATGCCACCACGGCGAGCCGCAAGACTTACTATCATATGCCGACTGGCTATCGTTGGCGCCAACATCATGACCAACCTCTTCGCGCAATTCGGCTAACGTGAGTCCTCGAGTAGTCCCAGCGCGGATACTAGCACCGCCGCTGTGAGCGTCACTATCTTTACCTGAGTCGGTGCCATCCTTTTCAGCATTCTGTTGACTGAGTGATTGGCGACGTGCATCTACTATCGAGTTGCGGTGTTCAACGTCTGCGAGGTCGATATGGGTGTTGGGAAATTCAGAAATATCGTGGTTCTTGAACGGGTTGAGGAAGAACATTTTGGCGCAAGGGAGGTTGTCGCTATGTGGTATTTCTAGGGCATGTACTGGAGAAAAGTTGCAGTGGGGTTTGTCGCTAGGGACGTCGTCGAGCCTTCGGGGGCAATTGTTGCTTGGAGTGTTGCCGAAAGTCGCTCGGGGTATCGAACCGTCACTGGGTCACTGCAAAGAGATGCTCGTGAAGATGTGAGGCTTGGTGAAGCTTGGTATAGCTTGTAATTGGGTGAAATATCGCACGCACAAATGAATGTGCAGTGCTGTGTCGAAGTTGAACCAAAGGATGCACAAGTCGGGAGATTGGGGGCCCCAGGCTATTGATATAGTGTCGAGGCACGCGGCCAGCCGGTGGATAACAATTATGGGCACCATGAATGGAGTGGCATGGGCGGCGGAGGTAGGCCTCGCCAAGACGTCCTCCAGTCCATGACGTAGATCGCCCGCACCTGTTGAAAAGCTCTTCGATGCAAGTGCGCGGTGCGAGTAGACCAGCACGCGCTGCATGCCGGCACGAAGCACAGCGAAATCATGTCGCTGCAGTTCCTATTCGCCAGGAGATTCTGTTACCCTATTGCGCTTGGCGGCTCAGGTACGCCTTGTGTGCGTTAAGCTTCTTTCGGCCCACTTGCTCTTGAACGTTGCCGTCCTCCGACGGGCAGTCTTGTTCTGAATCTCTAGTAGCGACCATCTCGAAGGTGCTCGCGTGACTTGGGCCGGACAGCTTTGCCAAATGGGTCTTTTCACACTGTACGACGCCGTTTGAGACGGTTGCTCATGCCGCCGCCTGCTAATACTTCCCCAGCACATGCAAAAATTTGCGAAGGCAATTTCTCACTCGCCTCGTCCCACTCATTACGTTTTCGACGCCAATGAGCGGGTGGCTGGACTGGACATCGCATGGGGCGCGATGCTCCACATCTATGCTGTCGCCAATACCAGTTTGCACCGTATCTGCTCTCTCCAGATAGAACCCTGGCGCTGGGACGGAAGCGGGGTGGCAAACCTGCAAATTATGGCTGTTTGGGGAAACAATAAGCATACTAATCAACAGGAGAAGATCAGCCTCATCCCAGGAATTCTCCAGTCTCCCACTCAGCTTTACCGGGAGTCTCCAAAAGCCATCCCGATCGTCGCCGACTCAAGATGCCCCGATGTAGCGGACCGGGGCGATTCAGGCCATCGCCCTTGGTCTGCGGGTACAAGCGGCTTGATGCGACCTCAGGCCTGAATGGTGAACGTTCCCTGCCAGTGGGGCCTGGCATTCCAGTCCGAGATTCTCGCTATGGAGCCATGCTCACGCAATAATGCCACGCGATACCCACCAGCAGTGTCCGCTAACTCTACCGATTGGATCTTAGTGCTATGCGGACTCCGTCGTTTCTTCTCCCAACAAGAGCCTCTCGACTGGCCCCTGTGCGAAATTACAGATTCTTCGAGCCGTCTCACAGGCAGGTAGAATCTCGGCATCGGAGCAGAAGCAGGTGAATGTAAGTGCACGTGTCCACGATCCGAGCCCGTCTATACTACAAAGATGCACCGCGCCCTCGATCTGACCCTGTGGGCCACGTAGCCGCAGAACATGGAACGATTTGTTCACGCCTTGGACCTGAGATTGGCATGATTGCAACTCTTTGCCCACGATCGAGGTCAACCTTCAACCTCGTTTTCCCACTGTCTTCTTTTTGAAATGGACCGCTCAAACTAGAACACAGGAAAACTATATACTCATCGCTTACTGCGAGGCATCAATGCTTGGCGTGAGACACATACTTTTAGACTATGTGCCTTGCCTCCACCCAAGCCACAAATTGCATATGTCCATGTCAATAATCTTAGCGATGCAAACTGCTCGTATTGATCTCGAAGTAACTCTCCTCAGGAATTGTGATACTACCTAGTACGGTCCCCACAATGCGGTGTTGTACTCTCGGCCCCATCATGCGAGGATGACTCATACGTCACACAGCCCCTCACTTCTCCTTATCCTCCCTTTCGGACATGCGAGGGAGCGTTACTTTGCATATACAAGTCTCCTATATAGTGTTTGTATTCATTTCTGACTAATATGATTTTCTTCAAGACGATTGGCTTCATGGTCTAGTGGTGTAAGTTGGGTTCATAAGCCAAGACTTGAACGCAGACTGATAGGAATTTAGATGATTCCTGCTTTGTAAGTTTACCACGGAATTCAAAACTTGGATGTGGACTAATAGTAACTCAGGGGAAACACTCAAATCTGCAGGAGGCCCCGCGTTCGAATCGCGGTGGAGCCCCTCTTTTTCTCTTGGTTCGCTTGATGATTCGTTTTTGCTTCGTGTGCCCCCAATCCGAGATCGCGCACTAGACAAAGACCCCATACCATGGCACACTCTCTAAACCGCATATCATCAACTTTATATACCTAATTTTGGTCCATATACAAACCTTCCGTACTCCAACACGATTTGGGGGGATCGGCGCAATGGTCAGTACTCCGATCCATTCCCTCGGTCTATTACATACTGACAATCACCAGGTAGCGCGTTGGTTTCCAGTCTTTCTGAAATACAAGAAAGGTTGTCAATCTTTTCGGCTATGGAGCTGAAGGAAAACATTTTTCTTTTCCTCAATGCTTTTTACAGTGTGCTGAAGATGCAGATTCTGTACTGGACCATAGCCTATCTCGTGTGCTCACCGTGCGGCGCATATTGTTTCACATAAGGATGAATTCATGTGCTTCCGCATCACTTAAACTCATAGCTCTCATCCTGCTGCTGACTGATTTGAGGGCGATTTTGAACCGGAGAGGGCGTTGGACGTTGAGGCGTAGAGGTGGCCGACCATGTTGATGCCATAGAGGGGGAAGTTCACTCTTTGAGGGTGTGGGGTGGCCATGGTGTTGGGTGACTTGTGATTGCACTGGACGTGCCCCGCAGTTTGGTTGTTGTAGGCGTGAAGTGTTTGGTCATGTAGACATTGAAGCGCATCCGATTGATTATGCAGCCTTCTTCACATATATCTGCCGTGGACTGTTGTGACTGCTCATTGAATGGTCTGAACGTAAAACGTAAGAGCATGCACGTGTAGGCCGAAATAAGTAGGGCTGAAAGTCTTCTCCCAATGCACTAAATCATGGCAAGCTGTAATGCACGCCGTAGGGAATGCTTCTATCTATGCAAAATTGCACGGTGTGAGACAGCACAGTGGGCCGTGGTGATCCGTAATCATTCGCAGTGATAGTTCTCCCAATCGTCAGGGTTCTCGCCAACTAAATGTGCCGTTTCCGGCCAAGGACAAAGTTTTCTTGTCCGCTCACTTCCATCAGGAGGATTCGATGAGACAAGCTGCCCCGGCGGTGTGCCAGTCTCGACCCATTCGATGAGAGGTTCAAGATAATGGTACTCTGCAGGAACATGCGGCGAGTGCTGCGCCGCACCACAGTGTCCTCCTCCGGGAACCATAAATAGCCGATAGAAGTCGCTTACGTCCCCCCTCGAAGAATGATTCGATTTTCTCCATATGCAAGACTGGCAGTTTTCCGGCATTGTATGGGTCGGCCCAGCCCTGCGAGGTCAGGAACTTGCAGCCTGTTCGTCGATAGGTTGATAGATTCGTGCTGATGGAATCGATCAAGACGGAAGCACGACTATTGACGAGGTCGACATCTGAAGACCAATCGAACGTCGCCGGGTCCCAATCCAGATCATCAAAGACCATGTTTCGTAATAATGGCACGGCGTATTCGTTGCCTAGAGACCCCTCCTGCAGTAGCCATTCGCTCTCGCTGCCGAAGCTGAAGCCTGGGTAGAGGCTTACTTCGTTATCTGCTCGTCCCGGTCCAAGATAGACGAGCTTTGCAGCTTCGATCTGATCAGGCGTGAGGCATCGATCAGGGTGTGCAGAGCCTCCACATGCCAGCGAATTGATGCTGAAACTGCATTGCAGTGGGTTCTCGATCAGCCTGTCTTGGACACCGTCCAATGCATCGCAGGCGTCCAGAACTGCTTGGTTGGTGAGATTGAGCTGCGTTTGAGTCAGGTTGGTCGCCGTCGTCTTTTGCGCACTGTCAGCTTCTTGAGGTACCGCGTCTAAGAACCAACAACCATCACTCACATTTGTCCTTTGCGTGTTCCACAAGAACGACAGCATCAGATGGCTGTACCAGAATCCGGGAGATCCAGCATAAATGCCATCAAACAAGTGAGGATGGTACTGCGCCAACGCATACCCCTGCGCACCACCTGTAGAGCATCCCACATAATACGATCGTTTTGCTGCAGTGCCATAATATGCCTCGACTATGTGTTTCGCTGCATGAGTGAAAATGCTGATACCATTGTGAATCCATGCGCGAATCTGGTCAGGATCATGCATGAACGGAAGATATCCCGTTCCAGTGTTCGGACCAGCTTCGTGACCACCGTTTCCCCCAGCCACTGCGAGCGCCAGACCGGCGTTGAATTGCTTCATCATCGATACCGTGTCTAGGGTCCCTGCGAAACCGCCATTGCCAACGGCTAGAAAACGGTGCTGATAGTCAAACTCATCCGGCATCCATACGGCGAACGAGAGGGAACTCCCGGTCCCGTAAGAGATCTGGGCCTGCAGTTCACAGAAGGGGATATCATTGAACGTGGCGGAAACGTTAAACGACTTGGTTGCGTGGTACGTTGCGTTGATGACGGACGCGTTGAACTGCTTGAGAGAAACATAATTCAGCGTGGAGCAGCGTGCAATAGAGGGAGAAGTTGCTGGATTGGCAATCGCTGTGATGGCTTGGACCAGTAGCATGGTCGCAAGACCACAGAGGAGAACCATGACTCGAGGAGTCTTCACGCTCTTGCAAAGTTGGCTGTAGGACACGAACCCATCTGGAGAAATGCCCATTATATTAGCTTCCCTCCAACGCAGGCCGCGGTATAACGATACCCGACCATCCCAATCTAAACGCTCGGTGCGGGGACCCTTGTAGAGAGAACGTTGTTAGCTGCATTCACTTGGGCCAAAGCGGCATATTGTTGTCGTTGGCGTCGGAGCCACCTCGGTACTGCGCATCTGGAAAGATGCCACGGAGACGTGGACGTCATCGCGGGCGACTCGCCGGGTAATGAACATCGCCAGGAGCGCCATGAGCAAGTCGAGGACCTAGGTCAAGGCTACGGCATTCGAACCAGCCCTCAGTATGATACCAGTCCAGTAGTATATCGATTCGCGACTTTGTTCGGTCTTAGTGAAGCCATTGCTGCGTGCTATAACCCAACACGTTACGATGCTTTGATTGTCCCTCGAACGAATCTGAGGTTCATTCGCGAATCCGCACAGGAGCATTGAGACAAGGCGTCATTCAGATCCAGGGCCAACACTAAAGCGAGCAGAAGTATATGCACGCTAGATGAGACATCCGCATGCGCAGTATAGAACGAGGTGGTCGGAGGTTGCAGAGGGCCTCGGCGTGGGGGCTCCCTCGCTTGCGGCGAAACACCTTTGCCCTTTCCTGATCCAGCTAGCCGAATACGGGGATGTACTTTCTGAAATGCTGACAACTGGAGCATCCGACACACGACATCTGCACTCTTCTCAGCTTTCCTTACAATGCCATGATGAGCGAGTCGCAGAAGCTCCTGTACGAGCACCACGACGATTCCGACTCGGATCCCGGTCACGACATACAGCCCTTCCCGGCCCGCCGCCCGTCTCCCACGAGTGTATCACGGTCGCGCTCACGCCAGTCGTCCGCATCGCCAGCGCCTGGCGCCGAACCAAATGGCCGTTTCGGTCCGCCCAAGCGGCAGTCGTCATTTGCACAGCATCGGCCAGATGGCACACCACGGACACCGAATCGCGTGCGCTTCGAGGAGCCACGGCGAAGCATGAACGGAGATGCACAAGGCGGGGAGTGGGTGGAGCTGGATGGGGATGACTATCTGGAGGCTGGCGAACAAGGAAGAGAAAGGACACAACGTCTGCCGCTCCTGACAGGCATTGAGGCGCCGAGCGTAACGGTCGCCGAGGAGGCGTTCAATCCTGAAGACCACCTCGAGAGCGCACGACCAAGGAGCAACATGCGGAACGCCTTTATGAACATGGCGAACAGTATAATGTGAGCCTTAATTTCCTGAATGGTGCACTGGGCAGCTTTCGTAGTATGAATGGAGCTGATAGGACGCAGAGGCGCGGGTATCATCGGCCAGCCCTATGCTTTTCACAACGCTGGCCTCATCACAGGCACCCTCCTTCTGATCGGCCTCACCATAACCGTCGACTGGACTATCCAGCTCATAGTCATCAATTCGAAGCTCAGCGGCACCGATTCATTTCAGGCGACCGTCGAATACTGCTTTGGGAAGTCGGGGCTGGTGGCCATTTCGTTGGCGCAATGGGTATTGTACGTATACCTAGATATCTTGTATGTCAGGCGGTTAATGATTCCACAGTGCGTTCGGTGGCATGATGGCCTTCTGCGTCATTGTAGGGGACACGATACCAAAGGTGTTGGACGCTTTCTTCCCTTCCTTGTCCGATACGTCGTTCTTGTGGCTCCTCACCAATCGCCGAGCCGTCATTATCCTCTTGGTCCTTGGCATTTCGTACCCTCTGTCCCTCTACCGGGACATCGCAAAGGCATATACACCCTCTTCCAGCGTGCCTTTTTAGACTAACAGCTTGCAGCTCGCCAAAGCAAGTGGCCTTGCCATGATCGGCATGGTCATAATCATCTTCACTGTAGTCACTCAGTCTTTCCGCGTCCCCCCTGAGTCCCGCGGCAAAATAGAAGGCTCAATCGTAATTCGTCCAGGCATTTTCGAAGCCGTAGGTGTGATATCTTTTGCCTTCGTCTGCCACCACAATTCCCTCCTCATCTACGGCTCCCTACGCACACCCACCATCGACCGTTTCGCCCGCGTCACGCACTACAGTACTGGCATATCCCTCGTTGCGTGCCTTGTTATGGCATACTTCGGCTACCTTACCTTCGGCGACAAGACCCTAGGCAACGTTCTCAACAACTTCCCCAACGACAACACGCTTGTAAACATCGCGCGCCTCTGCTTCGGACTGAACATGTTGACTACCCTTCCGCTTGAGGCTTTTGTCTGTCGGGAAGTAATGAACAACTACTGGTTCCCGGATGAGCCGTACCAACCGAATCGCCACATGATCTTCACCACCTCGCTCGTCGTTTCAGCCATGGTGCTCTCTCTTGTCACTTGCGATCTGGGCGTCATTTTTGAACTGTTTGGTGCCACTTCTGCGTGCGCTCTGGCGTACATATTACCGCCGCTATGCTACATTAAACTGAGCAAGAAGCGCACCTCGCAGACCTATCTCGCGATGGCAGTCATGGCGTTAGGGTGCGCTGTCATGGCCATTTCTTTGATCAAGACGATGGGGAGAATGTCGAGTGGGACGGAAAGTCAGGCGCAGTGCTCGTAAAGTCGGTGTTTTGTCCTTTTCTTGAATCTTGCATACATCGGCGCTCTGGGAAAGATACATGGCATTGGGTGCGTTAGCATATTCATACACCGAGGGACAGCGGGTGTTGTATCATAAGGTGGCCATGATATAGTATATACAATACTTTTAGCCATTGGACGTTGTTGGTGGGCGATGCGCGCATACCGATCACGCTTCTGATCGCACTGCGACGTCGACATCCGGCTGAGCTGTAACATGACAATATGTCGATACAGCGACGAGTTTGGGGAGACAAAGTACATGTACTCTCACTCGGAACTCGGCGCGGTGCCCTGCGCCAGAGGTGCGCGAATAAGCTACACTACAGTAGCTCTCGCCCACTTCCTGGGCACCGGACCCTTACTTTGACCCACATGGCCCTGCATCGCCATGTCCATTTCTACACATTGTATCAATCGATTCAATCCTTTGAAATGAGTATTCCGCGCGACATAACGATGGTTCAGCCGTGCGACAATGACCTCACACTCGCGGTGGTACGCGCCGATCGGCTGACGTCACACACCGACCCCACGACCTCGAACCTGATTCTTGCCGGTGCATCGACCAGGCGTCACGTACATCACACACCCACGGCATTCATATATAAACAACGAACGGGAAACCCTTGACAGATCATCTTCGAACGACCAACTCCACAATCGATCCACTTCCGATCTACTTTCGATCCACTGCTACTAGCAGCCTACCCCAAGTGGACCTTCTATACACCACACTACACTTAGCACAACTATAATGCCTCTCTTTGGATCCCGTCGCGAGCCCTCCCCGGAGCCCGCTCCCGTCCAGAAATCTGGCTTCTTCTCGAAAAACACCTCCCCACCACCAACCACCACCTCACCCCAGCCCGCAACCGCTCCCTCTTCAACCGCCGACGCTCCTCGTCGCCCTCTATCACCAAAGCCCAGACCCACTCCACCTCGCCACAGAAGCGGCACTCCCTCTTGCACAAGTCCGGCTCCGAAGATGCTAGCATCGTTGCTGCTCGCGAGCGTGTCATGAGTGCCGAGGCGGCAGAGCGCGAGGCGGATAGGGCCTTGTTCGCGGCGAAGGCGGCGGTCAGAGAGGCGAGGGAGCATGTCAAGGCGTTGGAGAGGGAGGCTGCGGAGCAGGCGAGATTGGCGAAGGCTAAGCAGCAGGCGGCGAGGGGTCTGGGGAAGAGGGGGAAGGCTTTGGGCCGTCACGACCACATTTAGGAAGCGTGGAAAGCTTGACGACTCAAGTGCGAGTGAGGGGTGTATGAGCTTGTTCGATTGCGATTACGATGACGATGCTTGTACGATTAGCGATGTTCACTTGAGCGCTTTAAGCTGGGAGTTTTTTTCCGGGGGAAGTTTTCGAGAATAAGGTGCCAATACCCAATTATACTGTCAATGTTACTTCTTCGATCAGCACGCATAAACATCTACTCTTACGAGGCCGCTGTCATGACTGGCTTGTTGGTTGGATCAGTCCTTGCATTGGACGACATATATGTAGCTCCACTTGTGAAATACCCAAATAGGCTAGGCTATAGCTCCTCACACTTCCCCGCACGCTTCTATCTGCCGAACGTACACTAGTGTACTTACATCGTGCTAATCTCAATTATACACGAAATCACCGCGCCCTCTGACCATGATGTTGGCACGCTGCGAGCTGCTATGATAGATCCGAGGTTCGACACCCCGACTTATGTCCGATGCAGCAACCCGCATTTCATCTAATTTCCAGAGCACCTTCAAGCACTTCCCCAACCCTTTCAATCACTCCCTGCTCTGGACTTCGGGCTCCCCAGGTCTCCTACCTGAAAGGTATTTTGCTCGTGTAATACACCACGCGGAAGATCAAATCCTTCTCTCCGTACGCTCAAGATGCTCTACAAGATTGCCTTGGAAGAAGCCTGGAACTTCCCTAAAGGCGAGTCACTAGGTGGCTTCCAATCCGCTTCTCTTGCTCCAAAGGGCGTCATTGGTGGCGATCTAGGCGCCAACCTCCTCGATGTGCACGAGCAACGCTTGCAACAGATGGACGAGAACGGCGTGGAGTTTATGGCCCTATCGCTCGTCTCAGCTGGTCCACAGAAGGTCCCAAATCGCGAAGGCGCGGAGAAGCTCGCACTCGAAGCCAACAACGCCCTCAGCGCAGACGTTATGAAGAGGTCGGAGAGGTTTGGGGGTCTATGTAGTGTGAGCATGCATGATCCGGTTCAAGCAGCGCAGGAATTGGAAAGGTGTTTCACCGAGCTACAAGGCTTCATCGGCTGCATCCTCAACGACTACCAATCCGCGGGCCCTGACGGGAACACAATGCTCTTCTACGACGGGCCCTCCTACGATACCTTCTGGGCCGCCGCCGAAACGCTCGATTGTCCCGTGTACCTCCACCCCCGCGAAGCCACGCCGGAGATCTTCGACAAGATGTGGAAAGGCCGCGAGCACCTCGCCTTCAGCGCGCTCGGGTACGCAAACCGCCTCAACATGCATTTACTAGGCATCATCACAGCCGGCGTTCTGGACCGCTTTCCGAAATTGAAGCTGGTGGTCGGGCATATGGGCGAGCATATCCCATACGATCTCTATCGCATTGATCATAAGCTCAACCGCGCAAGGTTTCCGGACATGAAGATGCGAAAAGATAAGCTTGTGAGAGACTACTTTGGAAGCCAGGTCTTCATCACCACTTCCGGGCACTTCAGCACTAACGCCCTGTTATGTGCGGTCGCAGAGATAGGGGTTGACTCGTGTATGTTTAGTATCGACTATCCATTTGAGAGTATAGCCAACGGATGTGTATGGTTTGATGAGTACGTAGAGGCTAGCATCAACGCAAGAGACTTGGTGAAAATTGGAAGAGGAAATGCGTTGAAGGTGTTTGAGAGACTTGCGGCAGGCATACATGGGTTAGAGGATAAGAGTCCTGCGCAATGTGAGGTGGGCGGGTTGAAGAATGGAGAGGGCGAAGTTGAGTTTGGCATGTACAACAAGAGCTTTGAGAAGAGAGAAGTTAGAAAGGTTTTATGAGGAGACGAGAAATAAAGAACCTACGTCCGCGATTGTGACCATCCAAGGTCTTGCTTTTTCTAGTTCTAAGATAATTGCTGTTCGTGAAACAGGACAGATAGGAGGTTATGTTTACGACAGCTCCGTTTCAAGTCTTGGAAGCAACCTCGGGGACATTCCAATCAGTCCAAAGACGCCGAAATGAAGCCAGGCTAACTGGAAAACGTCCGCTCTACGCCGTGTCAAGACCCATTTCCGACTACAACCGTGATGATTGCACACTCATCCCGTTCCTTTCCCCAAGTAAGACCCCTCTTGATGCAAAAGTACCCAGGCAAGCAATATACCGCCTCCAACCACTACCACCGCAAATACGAAGAATAAGTAGACCACCGAGCACGCATCCCACTGCTCGAACCTCCTGCTCTCCCACAGCTGCTCACCTTCCCCACCAGTGTTTCTCAATCCAAGATCCCACCGCCTCCGCGGCCGGCGTCCGCCGAATATGTCCAGACCATCGTAGCTGCTGTCTGACGGCGCGAATCCGGGTTCGATATCTGGAGAGAGGGAGGGGAAGGGCTCGGGATGCTGGTTGGAGTGCGGGGAGAGGAAGCCGGTGACTAGCGGGGAGACTTGGGGTGAGATACTAGGGAGGAGGGGCCGGCGCTCAGCGTCTTGCTGGGATGCTGGGGGCGTATCTGAGAGGATGTGTGTTCGGTCCGGCGAGTTGAGTAATTCGGGGCTCGTGATAGTGTCTTCAGATTCTGTGGAGTACTGGCTCAAGTTGCTTTCTGAGCGTGTGGGTGGATGGTCGTGCTGTGCTGTATCAGAGCTGATTCCCGAACGGCTGCTTCCAAAAGATTGGTCGGTCTGCGGGAAAGCGCTCGCAGTAAATTGCTCCTGACGGGCTGCGTAGATGCGCTGCATAGCTTCGAGGGCTTTGCGGCCATGGTGGGTGCTGTTGTTGGAGGAGCTACTGGACGCGCTGCTTCCTGAACTGGTTGGTTCGCTGCAGTTGCGCCACATGATCGCTTGTACTGGCGTTGTAGAGGCACTAGGTGCTAGAGTCGGTGAGGAATTGGACTTGAGTTGAAGGTGTGCGTTTATGCGCGAGGACGGAGCGCTTTCGGTGCGTTGGTATGCTCGTTTGTTGTGCAAGTGAGAATGCGCAGTTCCTGGCTGCGGATTCTGTGGCTGTGCGTATATTAGGTCGAAGGTCGTGAAAAACGGTCCGAGCTGTCGCTGTGATTGCGTGAGTGAGACAGTGGCTCGTTGTCACGCTGAAACTGTTGCGTTGGCTCGTGCGAGACTTTGAGAACTGTGTCATAGCCTCCATGCGTGTGGATGTCCTCATGGTGAGTCATCTGATAAGGTTGACTTCCAGGAGCGAAGAGTGCTCAGTCCGCAGAGAGGCCGTCCTAGACGCTTTTGAGTGAATTAAATGTTGGCATGAGGTTGGGTTGATAACAGTGTTGAAAGGTGTGAGTAAGTGGAGAAGGAAACAGCGTCTTCAATATCGTCACGGTGGGCTGAAGGTCTGCGCAGCAGTGCAGTGTTCTCTTGCGGCACATTGCATCACGGGTTGTTAGGAAATCCGGGGGAATATCTTTGATGTGACTTGTTAGTGTTTTGTTGAGTGGTGATGCCTAATATGGAACCGTGGTACGCGACGTAGCTGCGTAGTGAAGAGTGTTTGCATTAGTAATGCAAGCTAGAATATGATACTATAACAAATTCTCAATCAAAGATAGTGCATCGCGCAAAAGTGACTGATGCACTTGTCTCGTTCCGTTAGACATATCCTCGGTGTTGACGCATGCTTTGGCAAACTTCCTCTCTAACTTTTTGTGCTGCTCATAGTGTGAAGAAGCGGCGTCTCGTCTAGCATGGTGGGTATGATGTAATTGTAGATTTTATCACGCAGTCCTCTACTTGGATCAATTACTAAGATGCGGTCTGCGCTCGACAGGATATCTCACCTCTGAAAGGCCTAAGCAAAGGTGTCGTGCACTGAAATAACTCTCGACTCTGCCCACCGCTTGTTTCTTGCGCCATGATGTATGGAAGTTGAGGTACGGTGGCCTTCAGTTGCCGAGAGAAGTGTCTGATGGAGAGGTGAAAATACCAGGAAAAGGGACATGCTATTAGTGTAAAACCTGTCTGTGCGTCAAGGCAATACTTTGAGTTGGTCCCAAACTAACTTCTACGGCGAAAATTGATGGAAAGCATGGTACTATTCTACGATGTTCTATGGAATTTCGGCTGTGACGCGGGTTGACACAGTTTTGATATGCCAACAGAGAGTCGAGCCGCTCAAGAGCTGTTAAACCACCAGTTCGCACATTGGTATCCGGGCCCACGCGCCCGTCTTTCGTCAAACACGATTGCATGAATGACAACCTGTTCACGTGACATTCTGAATACTATTGTTCTTCTGCCGATATATAGCGTATCCTATAGTGAGGCGGTAGATCTTGATTTACTGGAGTCGTAGAAATCGAGGCATCTTCCATAGTTTTAAAATCAACAGCCCTTCATCCCTACCTACCTGTAGCTGCCCAATACCCTATAGTACATAGATTGGCTGAAATTCTACGAGGAAGCCATTTGTGCCATGGAAAGGTGGCTTGAAACTTTTGTATAGCACCGATATTGGAAGCGGCGGCACGTCTAAGAAATCTCTTTGTAAGAATACATTGTATCAATGCCCCATGGGGTCCCTAATCGCGTGCAGCTGCAGAATGGCGCCCTTACACTTTGCGATGGTCTCTTGTATGGATTCCGACTGCACTTTCGTTGTTACTTGGGATCGCTGTCGGTCTTCTTTATTGGCGGTCTCACAAGGATGATGGGCTCTGCTCGGCATCGTCCGCCGTTGTTGGTTGGCGATTCGCTCCTACGCTCATTGCGGTTTCGTGGGCCCAGCTCGTCACGCCTGTTTAACGACATTCAACGCACGGAACCTTTCGCACGTCTCGCACGACCTCCTGACAGCGTGCCGCCAGCATCAAGGACCATTTTAGAAGGCCCCAGGCAGGTGTGGACCACGTTTGTTCATGCTTTCAATAAGAAGCACAACGGAGGTAAAAGAAGTTGGATCATCATTTGCGCCTCAGCTGTGCTCGTCATGTCGTCGGTCATCATCTCATTATCTTCTGCGCTTCTCGCTTCCGAAGAGACCAAGATGTGGCATCCATCAGAGATGAGGAGACTGATTCCGAACAAAGTTTCAGCTCTGGAGCCGTCTGTGAATCGCGACACGTATTTTCGGACCACGGGCGAGATCCTACAAAATGTCACTACAACATGTCTTGGAATGAGTTTCGTTATCATCCATCTGGAGGATGATGCAGGGTGCAAATACAATCTATCCTCCAGTCCCAGCGATTACTCTGATTTCAACAGCTGGGAAGTTGGTTCATGGTCCGGTTTGGATACCTTCACATCGCAATGATTAGTGGTTAACCATGTAATCAATTATGGTGTTCTCTTTATGAACTCACTTCTCCGAGCCTCACGGTTAAATAATTTGGTCACCTCTGGTTCCAATCACGGCCCAGCATCGAGTGAAGACCTCACCAATGATGTGCTCAATATCAGAGACAATGTGAACGGACTTCCCCAGTTCCATGTCATATGCTGCGTACGTGCAAGCAGGAAGAGATCCTGAAGCATTGCTTGATCTGGACTACATGTTGGAGAGTACCAAGAAGATCTTCACGCTCTTTTTCTAGCATTATGTGAGCAGCACATACTCGTTGAAGACAGGTGGCTGGGCTTACCAGCCTATCGGCGCGAATCTGGACGGCATTGGTGCCGTTCCCAACGGAACGTTCCCACAGTTCAACCCCGACGGAACACGTGCGAAGAAGATTAGTGAGCGTCCTGCGCAAAATACAAACCGTACGGCGGGTGCGAAAAAGTCGACGCGCGTAGAAGTTTTGCACATGAATCCGAAAGCGGTGTGGTTGTGCGTGGCCTTGCTCGTCTGGCTGGCACTCACTACCATCGTCATTTGTGCGCTGCAACGATGATTCTTTGGCAATCTGCGTCGCAATTTCGAGTCTAGCGCGGATGTTCTTGTCCTTGTTGCTGGAAGTGAGAGACTTCTGGCTGCGGTCGAGAAGTATGGTGTAGAAGGGCTTCTCGGGAGCGATGTAAAGACGCCCCTAGGATGGTTCCGCACAAAAGATGGAAGGATGAGATGGGGCATTGGAATAGTAGAAGATGGAGAAATACTAATGAACTAATCGCTGACTGCCTTGCAGCATTCTGAAGATGGAGAAGTATCCATAGATTTGGATACATTCGCATATATACACCGCAACTTGCATCCATTCATGGGTCCAGATTCATGGGTCCCTTAAGCAGCCGGTATCGGCGGCGTTGGTGTCGGCGTTGTCCCCGAATCCACACTCGGACAGTAGTACGCCGCCGTACACGTATACGCGTCTCCCTCATAGTTCGCCCTGAACTTCGTGCTGCCATCTTTGAAGCAAATGAACGGCTCAGCATCCGCCGCGCCGGTCCTCGCCGTCAGTGTGGCGCTCCCTGCGATCTCGCCCTTTGCCAAACTCCCTGCTTTAGCGTCGATACTCGTCTTTAAAGTGCCATATTGCGACAAAGCCACGCTACGTGAGACACCTTCCCAACGAGTGGCGGAAGCTCTGGCGAATGCGGTTGCGGAAGAGGTTGTGCCGGTGGGAGGGCCATTGATGAAGTAGGCTGCGCCAGCGATATTGACTGAATGAAGGTCAGTATATCGTAACGAGCAATACAGTTTCCAACAGATTCAGGTAACGGTAAACACACAATCATCAGGATCGCACAAGCCAATGGGACATTCTGACGGCGTGCAGCTTGCCAGGAAGGCAGTGTGTTTCGAGCCCAGTGTCTCTATCGGTTTTGCTGAGGCAATCGATGGTAGGAGGGCGAACGCGCCCAAGATGAAGGTTTGGACGATCATTATCAAGGTTTTGGATCAACGATGGAGGTGCGAGGGCGATCAATCAAATCGATCGGGTCAGACCCTAGATCTTATACCTCATCCAGGGAAGGTCACCCACCTGTGCATACATATGTAGCCCAGTGCACCGGACTCCCAGAGAAACACGTATCTGCAATGCCGCTTCCAGCTCACATAATACAATCAATAGATATGTTGATTGCGTCTGGACTCTGCTATATACCATCCGGCCCCGATATGTACCGGACGCCGCGCCGTTTGCTCGTAGAGGACAAGGTAATGTTGTCATGAGCCGGCCGCATAAATGCGAGTGCCGGTGCAAGGATGTGCTGTTATTGACTTCCCCGCAATCCACGTCTGTGAACGAACGTGTTGACGCGATGCGTATTAGCCGGATATTGGGATATACTTGGGATCTTGGGCAACGGAACGTGGATTTCGATGGAACGGCGAACGTACTAGGTATAACCATGGCGTCCGCGATGGACGTATCCTTGGAAGAGACATTCCAGCGTACCTGGATTAGGATGTTCGTCTCGAGTATCATCGTCAAGTCCTCGAGAAGATTGCCACCGCTTTTCGGTTATGTTGACCGACCGTGACTGCGTTCGGCTAACGAGTCAGCACAGCGAACCTACACATGGCGGTAACAGATCTGTAGCGTCGCGTCGAGCTTTGTTTGCACATGTGTGCGAACAGCGAGGGGTTCCTTCGCACAGCTTTGTACCGATCTGGCAGCCATGACTCTTTTCGTACTAGCGTTACATCTCTCCAACCTCTTCACCATTTCGAGTCCAAGATAGACTCTCGACATGGCAATCATAACTTGGCAAGTAGGACTCTTTGTCCCAGTACGAAGCCTGAACCGCGTGATTTCGGTGCCACCGAACAAAGGAAGGTTTCCTGGCCGACCTCACGATAGGAAGGCGCGCTATGCCCAAAATGACCAACAATACACTCGCCTGTATATGAGAAGTCGTCATAAGACATACTAAGTCCTGAAGTCTCACTACCCTGCCGAGCCTCAACCCACAATGATAACATACGAAGACCGCCCTCCAAATCTGAACGACGGAGCCAAAGCCGGCGACTACTCGCCCCTCCCATCATCGAGCGACTTCCATGATGAGGACGAAAAGTTACTGCACCCAGGCCGCATTGCAAGACTGCAGAACAAGTGGACACGCGCCTCGAAATGGCTTCGCATCTCCCTCGAGATCGTCGGCCTGCTCCTGCTTCTCTCCAACTTTTTCATGCTCCTCAATTACTCGCAACCCGTCACCGGCCCCGACCCCCGTGTATCCTCAGGTCCTGCGAACAAACACATGATGTACGGCTCTGACCCACGTTACATGTCCTTCAATCATAAGTACGACTACCTCTGGAACGACGCCTTCACAGAAACTTGGGGCGCCATAGCTCTTCCTCCGTTCAAGGACGCAGCCAGCCTGTACAGCAAAGACTCGTTACACGATGAAGGCGGTATCGGCATGTTTCATGCGTTCCACTGTCTCGCGTCTATGCGTGCGGCGTTTCAGAAGATGAACGAAAGCACGGTGACGCTGGAACAGCTGCAGAAGGGGGATCATGTGGCGCATTGTTTCGACTATCTGAGGAACGTGATACTGTGTATGGCGGATGGTGAGTAGTGCTCTAATTTGAACATAAAAAGGATCTTGGCTGATCATGTCGGTGTAGATACTTTCGAGATCGCGCGCAACCGTTCAGGACATCCGTGGGGAACCATTATTGAGGGTCAGTGGGACCTACGCACTTGTCGAGACCACACAAGGCTCCAAGAGCTTTACAACAGGTATGGGAAATGGAGGCGACATGATAAGTTGGTCTATCATGATGAGGTCGGTGTGCCGAACAACGATCCAGCGGAGGCTTAGGGAGCCTGAGCATTGTGAGCAAGTGCGCGAGCAGCGGCTCGTAATATGGCATGTTGTAGTTTGAGCTTTTCTCTCCTCTTTGTCATTTATTTGTCCTTGCTACACCATGTGCATATCCAAGCAGATCCAGCTTATCCTTGAAGAAAAGAGGAATGAAAGCATCATTCGCCTGACCACATGCACAACCAAAGCGCTGACGATCCAGGGTACATGAGTCTAGATCGCGCTCCCGACTCCACATGTTTTTCTGAATTGTGTTGCTATCATAAAGCTGGCGTTGTGGTGCTGTTTCTTTTGGATTGCAAGTCACCGTTTTAAGCGCTTGAGATAGGTAGCGTCGGGAACTGATGTTACAATCGCATTACTTGAGCAAGTTGATTGCGTAACAGGTTCCTCCAAAAAGCCATAACAGACCATGGTACGGCATAACACACAAAATAAAAGGCAAAAGCACATTGTGGAAAACACAATCAGCAAAGAAGGACCGCCACGCAGGCCACTGTTATTCACTGGGTATCTAACTATACATAACGAAAGGAGCTCCCACCCCAACAGTGGTAGAAGTCGAACTCATGCGGGTGACTTCAGCCAGACTCCACCAAGGGACCGGGAAGAGGGTTCTGGTTGCAGTCGCCGTGGTCTGGGAAGAAGCGAATGTGGTGACGCCTGCTCGCAATCATCACACAGAAGTTTGGCGACTTCTTGCAGCCAAGCTTCGCGAAGACGGCCTTCAGTCCTTGTTGAAGGATGAGGCGGTCTAGATATCAGAGGTTAGTAACGTTATTTCACATCCATGTCATGTACGTACGATGTTGTACCAGTGAGGAGGAAGGGCCCCCGAAATGTTCACCCAGTCGTGAACGACCACGCCGGCCTGGCTCGCCAGGTCTTGTCCCCGTTGCTCGACGGGAGTCGGCGGGCGGGCGGGGAGGCCGTGCGGGAGACGCACTCCCGTGCGCGCGAAGCACTCGGCCTCCTGCTCCAGGGTGAGGGGAGGAGGGCGGGCAGGAAGCCCTCGTGGTGAGGGGCGGCGGCGGGAGCAGCGCGAGCTCAGCGGAGCTCATTGCGGTGGTGGTGTTGGTGGTGATGATGGAGGTGTGGTGTGGTTGTTGGTGGGCAGTAGCAGAATAGGAGTAGAAGTGGACTGGGAGTGGTGTCCTGAGGAGGAAAGAGTCACTAAGTGCCAGTATTTATATAAATACAACCTGTCGAGGAGAGCACGGACAAAAAGTGAGAGTTACTGCCCACCCTCTTGCCTTCACCACTACCCTGTAGGCCAGGCAGCGCTGATCGCAACACCTGCTATTCCTGACTTAGTGGGTACACCGTGGGAGCCGAAGAAACCGTGCAGGAACGTAAAAGTACATGAGGCCGAGGTAAGTCAAGGGGATGTTGCATGCTGAAGTCGAATGAGCTCATAGACAACGATATTGAACGAGACGGGGTGTGCTGTAGCTTTTCAGAACAGCATTGCAACAGGAACACCTGAATGTGCCCTCGAGCCCAAGTACAAGTCATCTCTGAAGATATTGCTTGGGATTTTCCATGTAGAAATGAGGACGCCGTTGCGGTAGCGTAGCATGGAAACTCCCACAGGGCGTACCAGAGCATGAACATCCGGCAGTGGTGGAGTGTCTCCTTGAAATCTCGTCGAACTATCAAATCTCGAAAGAAAAAGCGATAGGTTTATCCGGATGACTTTTGCGAGTTACGCCAACCCGCCACACGCTTTCTAGCTCGGCGAGGATGTCCGCACCGTGCAGCAGAGCGTTTGAGTAGACTGGATGCAGTCTTGGGGTCGGTATGCTTCAGCTGCACACCGCTCTCGAGAGACGAGAGACCCCACCCTGTTTCTTCTCTGTCCCTTCTTCTTCATTTAGCTGACTCGATGCCCCGAGAAGCCTGTGCTCTGCCCCTCTCATACACGCGGAGCAGCGCATGCAGAGGACCGATGGCCTCAGTAACCCCGAACAATTGAGCGACACAAGAGCACCATTAGGCCATCTTGAGTGTATTGCTCTTCTAATACCGTAATTGATACTCGGTAGTCCGGGTTTGTCGTGTGGTTTGCTACTGCCCTGCCCCTCCCTTCACCGCGGACTAGCACAGTCGAACGACAACAGCGTCACTGCCTCAGCTGTTCTAGGAGCATGGAACATCCGGAAAGTGCGTTTTTACAGTACGACATGCCTGCTATCTTCTTCGGCAATGGATAGCTTGGACTTGTTGCGCCAATTGTTGCTGTATCTTCTAGTTTGGCTGACTCTCCTCTTCAGAGCCCCTCGCAGATTTCGCACACGATTCCCAGCTCGATCGGCTACTGCGACCTTTACGAGTGTCCCGTAGCGCCAAATGGCACTCCCAACGTCCCTACCGATCGCGCGCCCCTTCAGTGCTCCTCGCCGCCAGCCAAACGTCCCGAAAGACCGCATACCGAGAGCACACATAGCACACACAGGCATCGCATCCAGAAGAACCGCCATAGTGAGAGCCCGTTGAGACCCTGTAATGGGGCAGGGGGGCCTCTTGTTCTCAGTTTCCGGACAGCACGTGTTCAAAGTGCCGAAAGAAAACACCTCTTGTACCCAGTGTCCGGTGGCGGCCTCGCTTTGGAGGTCCTGCAAAATTAAAAGCTTCGAAGCACCTGGAAGGCTTCAGAGAGCTTCCAACTCATAGAGAAAACTTCCAACGTATCGCCAAGGAAGCCACAATCTGGGCAAGCAGACCTGAGAGGCTACGCGATGATCCGTGGGGGGAGAGACCCTTCTGGCAACAGGGAGAACTCCGGTAGAGTAGTGGCCATATCCGGCTTCAGAGATGCGTTGACACGCCCACGCCTCCGCGCAATGATTATTCGACAGACCCAAAGCGCATACCGCAAGCCTGGGAGGCCTCACAGTGCGTCAAGCCGTGTGGCGACAAGCGGAAAGAATCGTGATACCGCTTCCGCGACCTTCGTCGACATGCCAGACGATACATGAGTTGCTATATGGACTCGAGAACCACAATCGGAGAGACACAACTTTGAGAGACGGAAGGATGTTTGAATAAGGTTCCGGGAATGCCGATCGTCCGCACCGAGGCTTCGTGGCGCCTGAATGTGGGGCAGGGCCTGACACTACCATAGGCCTCCACCTGAACTTGGGCTCGACAACACGTCTCAGGGAACCACTCCATCCACAGCTTCAATTGGTTAGATCCGAAAAAGCAGTGCATGTGCATGAAGCCCTTCAAAGGCTCCGAGTACTAATGTCAGCATGTGTGCAGTCGCGGCTTTCTCAACAAACATACCTCGATGGCATCGAACTGATCATTCCCAACATCACAACCGCGATTGGAGACGCACACCGGAATCCCGGGGCTACAATTTTACAATATTATTGCAATACCTAGGGGACAGTAGACATTGGCTTTCGCGACGATCTATGTCCAAACACCTCTAACAAGACCTCCTAGGCTTTATCAGCAGCGACCCTCTCGTGGAGCCTCTACCTACTTTTCAGCGCACAGTGCATTCTACTAGCTCACGCTCGCGGTGCTCCTCATCTTGGAGCGGCGTGATGCTCCAAGACAACGATGCCGTCAAAATGGTCGAGCCAAATCCTCGGCTGGGTCTCCCTCGTCCTCCAAAACCTCTCTGGGTGATGAACCGAGGTCCAAGCCATGAGTGAGCTATATTTTCCATTCCGGTGCTTCCCATTGTAGTGATGGTCCTGTATGGTAGTACTCTTGAGATCAGCTGGCGACTCTGAGGATTCATGCTGACGAGCGCGCAATGTTCGCGATGAAAGTCTTCATGGACGGGCTTGGGAGGCAGTCGGACGAGCAATGACAGCGGTAAGAATAACAGCAAAGCGATGGCGGACCGTTGTCGAGATGAAGCTGCCGGGATAATAATGTGCTCGAACGTGGCCTGACCTGAGCAGGCAAGACGAAACTGGGCATGGAAAAGCTGCTCAATCAAGCTCTTTGAGTGCTCCGAGAAGCTTCTGGAAATAGGCAGGGGACCTTACTGGTCGTGCATAAATACCATGTCACGAGGACATGAATAAGAATTACGGCAAAGCGAGGGCGAAGGGGTCCAAGATGCTCTTCGCTAGACCACTCGGTCACTGCGCTTCGCGGCCGCAAATGAACGAGGATTTTCTAGGCGCTAAATCAACGCTGAGATCTCAGCGGGAGCTCTGGTCTTATCTTGTGAGAGAATGTCGACGTCCTTGTACCGTTTCCAAGCGCAAAGAGGCGGTTGCTTTCTCCTCTTCTTATCTTTAAGACTTGAGCTGACGCCGATCAACCGCGGGCAGGCTCGCTCGAACACGGTTGGCATTCTCCACTGTGGAGAATGCTCGAAGCGAAAGACAAAGTGCATGCTGCTGTGAGGAGCGGACCTGTGAACAAAGTCACGGATAGGACCAGAATGGAATGACGCAGCCTATCACAGTGCTTCGTGGAGTCAGCTGAACGCGGAGATCGAATCTGCGAGCGTTGCACCTCCACACTTGAGATTCTGGGCAGGAAGTTCTCTTGTGTGAAGCAAGTTATCGAAGCGGCTTTATCGCATCTTCAAACAACACCGGCACATCGAAGCGGTTCTATCGCCTCTTGGAGCGTACCGGCGTCATTTTTCACTGTTCATCTTTTCCATCAGAGATGATCGCACAGTGAAACGAACAAGAACGCATGAACGTTAGTTGTGGGCTTGTAGAGTATGACCGGCCGTACGTATCACCGGGCAGATGTTCGATTTCGTCTTTGGCCAACCCATCTCGTCTCATCCCAGATCACCAAGAAGGGTTTTGCCCGCCATGTCTAGAAGAGGCTAAGTCTGTCTCATCACCTGGTTGAGCTTCCTGACAGCGATTTGCCTCTGTAGCTGCCATTTGAACCATATGATCTTCCTGCAATGAGATAGAGCGAGAAGGGTCGCTTGGAGCTAACGCGCGGGTGAGGGCTGGATTCTGCCCCGAGGCTCACCGGAGTCAGATGCCTTGACATGAAGAGAGTTCAAGCCCCTAGGCTACTTGGCGTTGGAATCGCTGTTCGCACCAGTAATGGCACCATTTATAGCAGCACCGAGCTAGTGTTGCCAGCAGCAGGTTTTGCTCCGCTAAGGTCAAGGATTCCATAACAGCCATCATATCAGGATCAAAAAAAAGCAGCCGTATGACGCTTGAGAATTATCTCTACGCTGGTTCCGGACGTTATTGTTGCTGCCGAGGCGGAGTGGGTTAAACCGAGGTCGGCGTGTTGGTCTGCGCGCAGTTGGCTGAGGCCGACGGCTGATTCTCATCTTTGCTTACATGCAGACTCGGTTTCTACAATCGGTGGTGGAGAGCTAATCTCATGTGCGAAGTGGGTTTGCCAATCTTTTCTTGGCTGAGAGTGTAAATGCATCTGCTCTCGGGACTTGGAGGTAGGTCTGGAGGAGAGGGTCCTTTTTGTCGGCGCTGTGGAGCAGTGAGCCTTGGGTACGAAGAAGAATGCAAGACCGGTCCGCCTGCGGGAGCCGGAGACAAGACTACTCACATTGTCACTGCGGTCATCGTGCCCCGCTCCTGCAATTTGCTAGACCATGGTCGACATGCCTTCGATGCGGACCATGCCTTCGCATAGTTACCCACCAACGTCATTGCCAGCGCCTGGGTTCGGAGGTGTACCCCTGGTGGTGGCAGACCGAACCTCAGCCCGCATACCTGCCGGATTCACGACGGACACTGGATTCATGACGGTCCAAAGCTGGGTCTTGTAGTGCTTGAAGAGCTCGGTCAATAAGATCTTGAATCCTACGTACGACTCGGCGTAGTAGAAGACCAAAATCTTGTGGTGATCTTATTGGGAGTCTGCGTCGAGGATTCCCGATGGGAGGCTGTGGCTAAGTGCCTTGTTCTCGCCATTCGCCGCTTGGCCGTCATGGCCGATGGTGCTGGTGAGCTTCTTTTGGCCCTGCTGTTGGTATTTCCAGCTTTTTTCGCTCAGGAAAAGTTAAGGCTTGCCATGGCAGCCATCATGTCGGGATCAAATACAACGAAAGGAGCAGCTCCAGTCGTCGAGAAGAGGAATATTCGGCCTGCGCGTTGGAGGTGGTGCCATAGGCGCTAGCAGCCACAGCGGTCGACGCAGAGGACATGGACGAAGGAATTCTTTGGCAACATCTAGGAACAAAGTCAGAAGCTAAGGTCAAGAGGGTTAGGAAGTCAACTTGCCGAAGTTAGCTTCCCAGTAACGTTGCCAGACCTGATGATGGGGTCGATATTGTCGCCCTGCTGCGTGGGTCGTTTGGCCGAGGCATGGCTATGATCACCAGCATACTTTAGGTATATTTGACCTTCTACCCCAAGCATCCCAGATCTTGGATGCGAGGCAAAGCTTTGATGCTGCGTGTTGACCTAGGAGGTCGAGCTATAGGCACGCAAGAGCTGGGAAAGTCGAAGGACACCATCACTTACGAGGTAGTTGTGGGAGTCTGGTGCCCCTGAAGCAACGCCTTGCCAACGCCCACATTGATCTTACCGTACGCGACTGCCAAAGAGCTCCGCAAGGACGCGGCGAACAGTAAGAGGCCTCTCGATAGTCAGAGGTGACGCTCAAGCAGCCAAAGCTCGTGCAGGCCGAAGAGAGACGCGCGAAGCCCATGTCAAAAGGAGAGTAACTGTGGCGTTGAGGATACGGAGAGGAAGGCGGGGTAGGCGGACTCAGCCCGGCCTCTATCAAGCTGCCCGCCCGTGCTCTTGGTGAACGAAGAAGGGGATCAACCTCACCGACCCTACCACTGACTCACGATCCCAAGGCTCAACACCGGAAGAACTCACTATAGCTGCTCGAGAACATTTTCGTTGTCCATGCAGTCCAGCTCGAGCAACTCCCTTCTCGAGATCTGTTTTCGTTGTGGAAATACGGCACTGTGAGGACAAACGCAGCGAAAGCGAACTTCGCAACACCAAGAAAAACCGCGTTGACGCGTGGAACAGTACGCCTGGTGCAAGCAAGATTAATCTTCCCCACCAGCCGATTGCAGGCCATAAGGGTGTCGCACTCTACTACCTGCTGTCCTGCTGTGTATACATGGGTTTCGAGAAGCTACTGAGCCCCCGCCTGGCCTCATGTCGCTGGCCCACGCTCATGATGTTTCCGGGCGGCCATAGAAATCTCTGGCCCGATCATGCGAGAGCCACTGACCCGATGCACACATTTCGCTTCAAAGCCTCGTATGTGCTCATTATATCGCCTCGTTACGCTACTAAGAGGGTTAATTCACATCCAACGGTGCCGTTGACAGCAAGGCAATCTGCTGGCAACACCTCTTGCCTGATGAATTTGGGCCTGACGGACACTCGACAATTTTCCTCTCTTCAGCTTATATCCTTTTGTATGCCTCCTATATAGTTCGTCCCACGGTATTTAGACCGATTGCTCCCGATCCGATCTGCGGCGCGCAATAAGCGCATGGTGCGCGGGTATACGAACGGTCGAATGAGCTATAGACACGGTTCGTGGATGGGTCGGCGGATCCGAAGGAAGCAATATGAGGCTAAGATAGAGATAGGAATGCGCATATATCTCGACTTCCTATGTAAAAGTTCAAGGAAGCGGAGAAAAGCTTGGGCGCTCTGGGTTGAACTGGGCGTGGCGGGCGAGCATTCGAGGCGGCATATCGCGCGGGGGGTAACGCACTTGGGCAATTACTTATGGCGGAGGACTACAAGAAAGGGCGCTACTACCTCCATTGTTCTGACAGAAATCGGGCAGACAGGAAATACGACTGAACACCCGTATCAGGCATACGTCTGCATGTGCACGCTGCTAATGACCCAATAGGTAGAGAGGATAGAGGCGGCCGAGTACCATATCGACTTCGAACAGCACGCTCATACTGCCGCAAAGCACTATATCGTAGCAGCAGTGACTCCCGCGTTGCGCCCATTTGGATTGTCAGGGCGTGTCGCCCGAGTTGGCTGTGCTCGAGTGCTGTTCTCCCACCTCTGCTGGTACTGTCAGCCACCCACAAACGCGATCCATATGGCCCGTGCCCATGTGTTCTGCTTCTCGACGTCGCCGATTCACTCATTCTTTGCCCTAAATTCTGAGACATGACCGACATGCGCGACACCCATACATCGAAGCGCTCCTCACCGCGTGGGGAGGACTGTGAGAAAGATAGGCGCGTATCCTTCCTCGATCTGGCAGGAGGTTAGTTCAAAGTCCCGCTGGATAGCTTTGCCATTCACGTTCTTCGCTTAGAGCTCCGCAACTACGTATACGAACTCGTGGTCGCTGGTGAGAAGGGACACGAGCTTATACTTAGACACGACCCTGACGGAAGCTATCGCGCATCCTGCGGTACACCTGATGGCACAAGTCGAGCCAGCGTGGCTCTGGCCCAGATATGCAAGCAGGTACGACGCGAGTTCCGGTATTGTTTCCGTTGCTGAGTCTTCTCACGCAATTTCCCTGGGCTAACGTTGGCTTTCACATTTAGACCCCTTAGCATGAAAATGATCTACGCTGTAGTGCCGCTGCATAGCTATGCTTTATTCCTGCAGACTTTCTTGTTCACCGGTCTGCCGCTTCGCCGCATCATCATCTACGTACCTTACTGGACCGAAGGTTTTAGGTCTGCGACCTCTCATCGTAGCCGCTTCTACTAATGCCTTTTCGGTGAGAGTCTTGAATACCACGCTCAATACCCTTTGCGGCCGATGGCCAGAATGGAAGAAGCTTCTCCTTTTTGGTTATCTCTGCAATATCTCTTTTCAAATGTCATGGGAATGTGGTCCTGTGTTCATATGCACCATCAGCAAAGAGTTGGGGGGACTTTGGGACAAGCATGGATATGCGGCGATCCATGATGGACTGCCAGACATCAGATACTTGTGCACTGAGTATTCGGTCTTCAAGAGCGAAACCTGGACCTTTGGCGAGGTCAGGAAGGCTCCGAAGCCATTCCATAACAACATCCTCAAGTACCATGGCGAGTGAAGTGGTGACAAGGACTATCATTGACGCTCGCTGTTCGCCGTCTCATAAATCTTCGAGTAGCAATGCTAAGGCATTGATCTGGTTTCGCAATGAATACATGTGGACTGAAGAGCATGTAATTGAGTGTGCTCCCAATCAGCTTCGATAGAATGGACTGCCGCAATTACGGACAAGTACCGAGCCTGGAAGACCATGTTCGGCAAGCCTCCTGACTCCGAGACGAGGTTCCCCGGGTCTAATCTGGTCATGTGGCCTATTTTTCCGATAATTTTGCGTGCACCCCGCTTTCCCCCACACCAAGTGGAGACGACTCAGAGACAATGCATGTTGCTGTCTAAGCAGTACAAACAAAAGTGCGAGCAAAGCCTGAATCATGGTGCAGTTTTATCTACATACGGACGGTTCCTTCGCCGCCTTCGACGATTTGAGCATTGCTTTTTCTTTTCATCCTCTCCCCTACATCGCGGAGCTATTGTACATACTGCTGGACAATCGCCCATCATGACAGCCACACAAATACCACATCTTCGCAAGACCAAGACGTCCTCACAACTGGTTGTCAACGGCGAGCCTTTCCTCATGCTCAGCGCTGAGCTCCACAATTCGACACTCAGTTCGGCGAAATACATGCGGGATGACAAGATTTGGGAGAACATGCGCGCGATGCATTGCAATACGCTTCTTGGATCTGTGACTTGGGAGCAGATTGAGCCTATAGAAGGCCAATTCGACTTTAGCAACATCGACGAGATCATTCTAGATGCCCGGAAACACGACATGAAGCTAGTCCTGTTGTGGTTCGGCACTTATAAGAATGCGCTTAGTACCTACGTGCCAGCGTGGGTAAAGAAGGATGTCAAGCGGTTCCCAAGAGCGCATGTCAGCGAAGCGGGCGCAAAAATTAGAACTGAGGAGTATGTCAGCCCATTCTGCGAAGCAGGTTGGACAGCCGATGCGAAGGCCTTCGGGACGTTGATGCGACATCTAAAGGAGTTCGACGGCGCGCATAGCACTATCATTATGGTGCAGGTCGAGAACGAGACTGGCATTTTGGGAGACTCTAGAGACCGAAGCAAGCTTGCGAACCAGAGGTTCGCCCAAGCCGTACCGAAGGACTTGGTTGAAGGTCTGCAATCGCGCAAGAACCCACATCCCGATTTCGTGAAACGATTTCCCAGCATCAAGGAGGCGAAGGCAGGAGAACACTCATGGAAGGAAGTTTTTGGCGTGGACGACGTGATCAACGCCGATGAGATGTTCATGGCGGACGCCATCTCTCGCTATGTTGAGAAGGTCGCTGCAGCAGGCAAGGCGGAATACCCCATCCCACTCTACGCGAATGTATGGTTAAACTTCGACGACCCATCGGCTCTCGACCTCACAGATCTACCCGTTGTCGTCGGTGGCGGAGCCACAGCAGGCATTTACCCGTCCGGTGGGCCCTGTCCGCACACAATGGATGTCTGGAAGCATAACGCACCTTCTCTAGACTTCATCGCTCCTGACCTCTACTTCCACGACTACGAGAGCACGTGCAAGAACTACCGACACGATGATCAAGTCTTCTTCATACCAGAGCAGAGGCGGGATGAGAAAGGGGTGCGGAGAGTATGGTTAGCATATGGCACATACCTAGCACTTGGATGCTCGCCATTCGGTGCAGACTCCGAATCAGCAGAGGCCAGCGCTATAACCAAGCATTACAAGCTCATCTACTCGGTACGAAAGCAAATACTCGATGCGCAGGCCAATAGGCCTGAAGACATCATGGGATTCTTCTTCGACGAGTGGAAAGAGGGCGAGAAGGTGAAGGAGCACAGCTGGACCAAGAAGATGGGTGGATTCGACGTCATTGTGGACCGCGCCTTTGTCTTCGGTAAGCCGGGCCCTGGCGCTGGTATGGTCATTCATCAGGGCGACGGCAAGTTCTTGTGCGTTGGTTGGGGCTTCAATGTGTACTTCAAGAGCACCAACCCTAAGTCCACGTTCACGGGTATTTTGCACGCAGAGGAGAAGGAAGTCAACCCTAAGACTTGTGAATTAAGTACTTTGAAGGTGCTTGGTGGTGATGAGACGCGTAGTGGGGAGTTCTTGATAATGCCGAATGAGGAACCGGACTACGGCGGCTTCCCGATTGCGGTGACCATTCCTTCACGGACAATGATCGCTGAGTGCTGGGCTTATAGCGTTGAAGAGGTGGAGGATGACTTTTAGATAGTTTGTCCATCATAGATTCTCGCATTCAGAGATAAAGCTTCTAATTGCTGGTCTTGACACCGGACATCGAGTTCTTCTAGCTTTGCGAGTAGCCGGTCCAGATTCAGTGTCGCTTGTTGGTTTGCACCAAAAACCCCGGTCCTTACTTCATCGAGCAGCGCGCCACCAATATCGCGAATTTTTGGGACGACGCTGTAGCCGTTCGCGTCGAAGACTTCGTTGGGCATGTGATACAAAATGTCAAGTAGCTCGTCGACTACGCGGTGCCGCTCCTCGGATATGAAAGTCGGTGTAAGTAATACATTCTGAGCGCGAGCCAGCCCGTTCATCTGCTCTAGTAGGTTCGCACGGATATGCAATTGCGTGACTTTAAGATTGACTGTTTGCACGTCAGTCCCAAAATCTCCCCCGATCACGCGCTCTTCTCCGCTCAGCGGACTGCCCGGCCGACTTCTCCACTTCAGCTGGGGTGGCAAGTCGGCTAACGCTTGCTGGGCTTGTTTCATGCTCTCTTGCAGGTGCTCCATGGTCTTGATGGGAACAGACTGGCTCGCTTGCCAGATCAAGAACAGACGTGCAAGTGCATTCAGACCAGGAATGTATGATCGTGAAGGAGAAGAGTGCAATGCCTGGGAAATGCCCGCGAGCAAGCTCTCGTCGGATGCATCAAGCGGTATTAGCGCGTTGACCTGTTCATGCGCTTGACGCAGAACAAGTAATGGCCATCCATGCATATCGCACGTACATTGGCCCGCATAGATGAGCCAGTACAGTCTCTTCAAGATCTGTTGGTCCAGAAATGTCATCTGATCGAAGTCATGATAGAGAAGATATTTGACACCCATGGCGGCCTCTGCGCTTAATCGGTGGGCAAGTGGTGATCCAATACCGTGTTCGTGGTGCGTAGCACTGGAAAAATTGTACATTGCTAGCACCCAGTCCAGGGAAATGAGCCTGTTCCGGTCCCATAGCCCTAGACGCTCGGCTATATCGAAAGAGCCATCTACGGTTACTGCACCGTAAAGGCCGCGTCTTCGCCGCAGACTAGCTACGACTGCTGCGCAAAGTGACGCCACCAGGATAAGAAACGAGCCATCGGAGTTGTTGTTCGCAGTCTGTGCCTGGGTTATGCGTTCTAGCATTTGGGTCCGTTGGAAGATTGGAGCGACAGGGTGGATCCATCCAAACCAATCCTCTACAATCTGTTGAAGGGTTCCAAGTGGTGCTATGTGTTCGATGTCGCACGATACTGATTGAGGTGACGTAGCTGGTAGACTTGGAGATGACAGATCAGGACTGTCCACTGATGGTGATCCGATTCCTGATGTTTCAGCATCGAGGCGTGATCGCAGCGCCGCAACGTAGCTGTACCTAACAATCAGCGAACGCAGTGGGGTATCGGACATCGAGCATCTTGACCACGCACCGGTTCTTAGGTCCGCGCTTCTTCCGAGGTCGAACTTGAGTACAGTCTATGTTAAGCTCTGTGCATACGGAACATCTCGCCTTGTCTGGCAAATAGATGCACTGATTAAGTCAGCGTAGTCTAATGGAGCCCAGCAGCAACACTCACCTTGACTTTCCTAGCTCTGCACGCATCGCAGGCAGCTGTCGATCGGACCCGACCTGTGTGGTTGCCGTCATTTTGGCGAGATTTCTCCTTCTCGTTCATATTTTCCATTACCCATGCGAGCAGTCGTGCGCCATATATGGAGAATCGTCGGAAAAATCCTGCCACTCGCTACCGCCTCGTGGCGATGGGTTCGTGGATGATTCTGGCTGGGCGTTTTCCCGACAATTTTGCGGTGGTTCGTTCCCCAGAGACTAGACCGTGAGCGAGTCATGATTTGACCTAATCGGACCGAGACTTACCCACCTCCGCTTTCGCACTTGAGGTCTCTCCAGGTTCTCTCCGCAGTTTTGTAAAGGACGCTAGCCATCATGCTCATGTTATTCGATGCCGCTGCGGCGGAACATATAAGGTAGCTGTATTCCCATTTGGAAATCACGCTCGGGCGAAAGTGCTTGACGATCTCATCATCTTCTCATACTCTGACCATGGAGGGCACCAAGGATACCAAGGAAGGCGTTGAGGTGATGCACCATGAAGATATTGCTGTAAACCTCCCCCATGGCGAGGATGAGAGGCCATGGTACCAGCAGCCAGAGCTACGGAAATTGTATTTGCTCATGCCATTCCTTTTCCTCGGCTCCACAACGCTCGGCTACGATGGAAGTCTTCTGAATGGACTTCAGACGATGCCTGCGTGGCAATCTTGTACGAGTATTCCTCCCTACAAAAATTCTCTGTTAATTTCTATGTAGTCTTCAATCACCCGACTGGCTCTCATCTTGGGCTCCTCGGTGCATTTCCCGGGTTTGGCGGTTTCGCGGTGCTTCTGTTCACCCCATACATAGCCGACTACTGCGGTCGCCGTCTCGGAACAGGCATCGGTTGCTGTCTGGTTATCCTCGGTTCCGCAATCCAGGCATGTCCACAACCAAGCAACCCTGATGCCATGTTCCTTGCCGGTCGATTCATCATGGGAATGGGCAGCAATATCAGCAATGCAACATGTCCCCTTCTCATCACGGAAGTTGCACATCCAAGACATCGTGGCAGAGTTACTACGATCTACAACACTGTCTGGTATGTGGGGGCCATACTGGCTGCTTGGACGACGTTCGGCACACTCAATCACGTTGTTGGGGGTACGTAATGCCCGGGTACGAAGTCGATCTGTCTTAGACATAAACACTTCGTACCATCTCCACTTTGATGACTTAGCTGACTTCGTACCTGCGCGTCTAGACCTCTCGTGGCGCCTCCCTGTCGGCCTCCAGTGCGCTATGCCTGGTATCCAGCTCCTTGCCCTCTGGATGCTGCCTGAAAGCCCTCGATGGCTGATTGCGAAGGGAAAATATGCAAACGCAAAGAAAATCTTAACAAAGTATCACGGAAATGGGACCGAAACGGATTTCGTCAACTGGGAGTTCAGTGAGATCAGCCAGACAATTGAGCTCGAGGAATCTGTGGCGGCGAGCAGTGGCTGGTACGAACTTGTTCGGACCCCCGGAAACAGAAAGCGATGCCTTCTGATCATCTTAACTGCCATATTTAGCCAGTGTTCTGGTAATGGCCTGGTTTCGTACTATTTGGCGTCAGTCTTGAACACGATTGGCATAACAAAGTGAGTTCATATTATCGGGATCCCGCACGTCCTCAACTGACTGATGCACTTAGTCCATCGAACCAAGCAGCTATCAACGGTGGTTTGACAATCTGGTGCTGGCTCGTGTCCTTGGGCTGTGCATTCCTTGTGGATCGCGTCGGACGCCGTGTTCTCTTCCTCATCGCTGGCGTGGGCATGTTGATCGCTTTCAGCATTTGGACAGCTTGCAGTGCGGTGTATGCAAAGACTGGAGACTCAGGCGCTGGTTCAGCTGTTCTTGCCATGATCTTTTTGTTCTATGGTGGTATGTGTCTCTCGTTCACTGTTAAACCTTCTTATATTGACAAATCTAGCTGCCGGCTTTGCCTGGCCCGGATTGACAGTATCCTACACCGTCGAAATCCTGCCTTTCAAGATCCGTGCGAAGGGATTGACCCTATGCTTCGTCGGTACCAGTCTTGCCGGTATCTTCAACCAATATGTCAATCCCATCGGACTGGAGGCATTGGCCTGGAAGTTCTATCTTGTCTATATTGTGGTCCTGGTCCTGGAGTGCTTGGCCATCTATTTCTTGTACGTGGAAACACGAGGCCCAGTAAGTTTTATATCATACTAAAAATGTGGTTTGTTGCTGATCCGGTACATCAGACGCTTGAGGAAATCGCTGTGCTATTCGATGGCCCCGACGCGAATGTTGCCGGTACCACTGTGCCCATGGAGCGGAAGCGATCGATTGAAGTTTCTGACGACAAGGCTTAAGTTCGGGTAGAGTCCGAGGGTATGGGCAGGTGATTTGAGAATATGATAGAACGTGATCGACGTAGTCGTGTCGACTCCAAATCTTATCACTAATTCACAACAAATGTTAGTACCATGTTATTGCTTATTACCATGTGCATTAGTCTCATACAGACTGCATTTCACTATGAGTCTTCGACGCCACCAATAAATGCCAAAAATAAAACGCTGCAGAGTGGAAAATTCAAGTGTACGTGGTTTCTCCCGTCGTGGAGGGGGAGTATTCCTAAGGTGTAGGCTCCACAAGCTCTTGACTTACGTCAATCTCGACGATCTGTAACTGGCAAGTAGAAAATTGAATCGCGTCATTGGTATAAAACTATGTATAAGAAACGTCCTTGCAGCCCACTCTACATACCATCGTTAAGCATAGCTTGCATCATCTGCACATGTCGGTTCGCATTTGTTTCGCTCATCTCAGTTTCGTAATTCAATCCGTAGGGCCAAAAGTGCGATCCACCACAGCTGATCTTCGCGCTAGACCCATCGAAGCTCCTCAGCAGGGGCAGTGCCGTCTTCCAGCTTCCAGATGCGCACAACGAGTCGAAATTTGCTGTTTGGCCAACGCCAAGGGTGTGTGAGATCTCGTGCATTGCGGTACGCTCAGTCATGTAGGAGCGGTTGGAGCCGAATCTCATGTTGCCGGCGTAGTTGGCATCCGCGGTGGGCACGCTGGGCTCGTATTGAACGGTGATCTTCTTTGTGCATTTCGCATTGCAATATTTGCCGTAGCGGGCGATGGCGAGCTTCATAGCGGCATCGATCTTGTTGTATGCGTCTGTTTGATCCGCCGTTGGGTTGGATGCCTTTTGGATGGTGTATGTGATAGCGGCGCACGAGGCTGTGGAGGCGTAGACCAGTGCCGCGGCGAGGAGAGAGAGCTTCATGATGGGCGACAGTGTGAAATCGGGAGCGCTATTCGAACGGCGTAGGATTGAAATCAAGTATCAGACGCACCTGTTCACATTGCTTGACGATAGCGTTTGGCTTAAGCGGAGGCTGCCGTTACTTATATACCCACCCAGTCAGTAATTGGTACTCCGCATGGTTTAAATGCCCCTTGATCATTTGTGGGTAGAGCGTATCCATTCAAGACGGGATGAAGGCTCTGCCAAGCTATGAGAGGAACGACTAGCTTGTTTCCATGAGTGGGGACACGGTTCTTCGCCATGAAGAGTAACCTGAAACTCGCGCGTTGCAGCTTGCGGAAAGCAACAATCTCGACAAAGTATCACTGCCGGGGTCTGCATTGAATCTTGTTTCGACCATTGTTTATCGTATATTGCCTTGGCACGTTATCCTAGCGAATAAGCATGAAACACCCAGTGCACTTTCACCACCTGGTAGCGGAGTCTGTACTATCGTAGGCCTACTTCCGAGAATGAACGGAAGACCTAGATAAGCAATTTCTCCTCTACACATTGTCAGATAGCCTGTCCAATCGCTTATGAACGGGCATCGTTATAATTCAAAGCGTCCAACCCACCTTCCTCAATGCTCCATCTCTACTGATAGCACCGTCACAGAGAATCGGCTATCGGCCTACATAAGCTTTGGCTAGCAGAGAATGCATCTGGCTCATAATGCCCATCACTCTGGAGTATTCAATACTTCAGCTATAGCACACGCGAGAAGGCAGTCTATACTTGTTCGAAGCCCCTGCCTTTGGCGAGCAACGCGATTGGGCGTCCGGGTACGCAGGTTTCAGCATGAATGCGCATACTTGATCACGGCGTAAGCTTCGCCTGGTGTCCTACAACACCTGCCAGTAGGACATCTTGATGGCTTCTCAGTTTTCAATAAGACAGTCCTCTCAAGTTGCAAAAGTGGCGACTTCATTTCAGGGTTACCGGAGAATTTGGAGGTTTTCGGTTGCAGTTCACCCGATGCCCACCGGATCTTCTACTCCAGAGTGCGGGGCCCCACGATGCTAAACCTACGCGTCAACAGTAGTTGACAATTAATCCGTGTTATAGAATACATCACGGGCGCCGAGCAGTTGCGTGTACAGACGGCATCCAGTCCGGGTCTCCAAGCCATCCCCTGTCGTGAGACGATACAATATGCAGATCTCACCACTGCTAAGCCTTCTCTTGCCCCTTGCGGTTGCCTCGGCACTGCCCGGACGATTCCAGGCTTCATCTTCGACGTCTTCAGGTTCCAAAGCTATACCGACGATATGGGTGGCAGGCGATTCGACGACTGCACCGGATGGAGGCCACAATGGAACTGAAGGATGGGGGCAGTACCTCAAATACTCATTTGGTGACAGTGCTTTTATCAACAACTCTGCGTACGCGGGCCGCTCAGCGCGTTCATTTACACGCGAAGGGCGCTTTGAACGCATAGCTGCTGCGATGAAGCCAGGAGATTTCGTTGTCATCGAATTTGGAATCAATGATGGAGGTACACCTCTCAATGGTTCCACGAGCACCACGGGTGACAAGGGAAGAGCGGACTGCCCTGGTGCAGGAAATGAGACTTGCACTGTAATATTCAAGTACGCAATGTCGAGATGGACTAGATTGTGATCAGCAAACTGACAGCAGCCAGCAATGTCACCGAGACCGTGCAAACGTTCCCAACCTATATCGAAGCTGCGGCTAGAAAGTTTTTATCTCTGGGAGCAGCCAGCGTCATCATCTCCGAGCAGCTTCCTAATAACGTCTGGGAGACTGGATCATACTCGTACAAGCCATCGCTCTTTTCATACTACGATCTGTATGTTCTCTTCTCGAAGAATGTCAAAATATACACTAACTTCTGAAGATTGGTCGCAGAAAGACTTGGAGGACCTTCCGGTAAGGCGTATCTTGTACAACATGGGAGCTACGCGGCGCAGGCCCAAAAGCTGCTAGGAGCGGAAGTCGTCAATGCCAATTATCCGATGGATCATACTCATACCGCGCCGTTCCTTGCTGATGTGGTACGTATCATCGAGAAGTCGCGCTTGAAGAATGCCACTGAGAACTATACAGCATAGCCAGGCTTTTGTACTGGGACTGAAATGCGGAACAAGCCCACTTGCCAATCTCATCGTAAACGCTACAGCTCGTATCGAAGCGTTGCGCGGGCCATGCCTACCAGCAAACAGCACGCTTCCCATATAGATGAAACTAGACATATCTGATAGAGTTTTAAAAAAAAAGTCAGATGTGTTCATTAGGCGTGCACGAGGTGATACGTTTTGTTGTTCAGGAGGCTAGTGCTTACGATTTCTTACATGGCCCAAGCCTCACAAACCCCCGACCTCACATCTTCCACCTCCATAAAATTTACTCTTATGCGATCAGTCGTTTTATTGCAAGGTCTTTTCGCCGTATTTTAGTCGACCGGCCGATATGCTTGCGGTGCTCTTTCGCGTAGGCCTCCAGGGTGTCCTCTACTACGGCGCCTTCAGTCGCTTCACACACGGAAAATATACTCCAGCTTTCCATCAATATCAGGTCGACCGAGCACCAAACACCGAATACACGCAGTTCATTCCTGTCTTTGATGTCGCTCTCGGCGCGCTGCTCTTTTCTCCGCGGGCGCGACCGTGGGCTGCTCTATTCTTCGCTCTTGCTCAGGGCGGCGGGATAGTCAAGTTAGTGCAGGAAGGAAAGAATGTTACCCCAGATATTGGACTTTTCACGGTCGCGATGGTTGTGTTCTTGACTTCCTGGCTTGGAGATCGGTGGAAGCGTTGGATGCATTAGGAACGATCAGGCTCGGATGGAGGTATGATGCGCTACGGAGTTGTTAGGCGACATCTCTTTAGTGGTCGGGACTACGATATGCCCACGCCATTATCTCTAGGGATGATCAGGAACGTTGAATTATTGATGTGCAGAAAGAGACGGGATGATCGAATGGTGAAAGGCGGCCGCGACCCGTTGAACGCTATATTTCACACTATAACATATATAGAAAAGCCTCCTTCGCTCTTCGCGTGCACCTTCTACTTTACGCCTTTGCCACCTCTCTGCGCTCCTCCTTGCCTTTCTTATTGTCCAGCCTATCTAGGCACTTGTTGTTCTTCATATGATTATCCGCAATCTTCATCTCTAATCGGTAATGTCGTGATAGGGACCAAGAATAGGTCCTTGGCGGTTAGAAGATGGTATAGTACTTCGTCTTCTGGTGTGTCGCTCAGTTGCGTAGAACACGGTAATAACATTAGCAATTTGTGATTGACTCTTCCACAACGCTCGCACTGGACGGAGAGCGCACCGCACGAAGCTATAATCAACATATACATGGGTTTTCGACAACTGCGCAGGCGTTGGTATGATAATATAGATACAATAGATGAAGAAGATGCCGTTATAGATGTATATACCCAACTGTGCCCTATGGGTATCATGATGAACGCTTGCTGAGACACTACCCAAGAAATGAGCGTAGAACGCCGACGCAACTTTTGAAATCGACTGTTCACATACCCGTACCTGCACTCATCGTGCACTTCCATGAGCATCAAACGAACGATTTTCCTACGCAACATTTCCAGCATGACCCGTACGTCCAAGGTACGAGTTCCCCTGTACCTCGTGGCTCCTCCTCGGCACATGGTTCTCGTAGCCAGGGTGTATATCTCCTGATATCGTCCTCTCCATACCATCATACCGTTCCGAGCGCCTGTCAGTCGACTGACTCGTAACTCTAACCGCCTCTTGGACCGCCTCTTGAGTCGCAATAGCCGCCACATTCGGCCTCTCTACCTGCTCCTTGCTCTCTGGATCATCGGGTGGGTGGAACAGCGCTGCCTCGTGGTCGTCGAAGTCCTGTCCAGGGTTCACAGTCTGATACTCCACGCTCTTCACGATCCTATACATGCCCCACGCCAAAAGCGTGCCCATCAGCGGGCCGAACCAATAGATGTAGTGGTACCCTGGGAACTCATGCGTGACGACGCATGGGCCAAATGACCTGGTGGGATTCAAGGAGCCGCCTGTGAAGTAGACACCGACGAGTTCGGCGACGAAGAGCGCAAGGCCAATACCGACAGGGGCGAGGAATGTGGATTTGTGCTTCTCGGCAGCGAGCATAAAGATAGTGAAGACCAGGAGAGAGGTAAGGAACATCTCGAGAAAGACGCCTTGCGTGATAGAAGTGCCGGAGCCGAGCGTCGTGCCGACGTTCAAGGGGCCGGGGAGGAGGGCGGAGATGACGGCTGCGGCACAAATGCCGGCGAGCATTTGGGAGATGAAGCAGAGAATAGCGCGGGTTACGGTGAGGGCGCCCACCATGTAGAGACCTAGTGTTACCTGGGAGGAGCCATTAGTATATGGCATCGTTGCAGCTGGTTGTGACCTACGGCAGGATTGAACAGCCCTCCACTGACTCTGAAGAAGACCCATACATTAACCATCAAGCTGAACCCAAAGATCAAGCTGATATATAGCAGCACACTTGTATTTGGCACCTGAGTGATACTGTTGTTCTGCTGCCCAGCGGTCGCAGCATTGTCAGCAGAAGCCGCCGAGTTGGCAACCTGTGTGCCTCCGAATGCAAAGAACAGGAACATGAAGGTCCCTGCAAATTCGGCCGCAGCGGCTACCAACTCGTTGCGCCATTTGTTGGATATGCCCCATCGTGAAGCCGTCTTCTGGGCTTCGCTGGGATCGTTCGTTCGTTTGTGCCTCGCGTTCGGAATGTGACCGTTTGCACGCCGGGGCGGCCCGTCCTTCTTGTGCAGTGGGAGAAGATTGCGAGCCATCGAGGATAGGCTTCGCCAATGTAGCGGTACGCGGAATGCAGGAAGAGAGAGCTAGCCGCTCAGGTACCAGTGCGCTTCTTTGCAAGTTGATGGAGGAGGCAGAAGCAAGCTACAAAACTTGGAATGGGCAGAGATAGCCCACGCTATGAAGTAGTGGACGTTGGAACTAGAGCTACGATGCATCCGCCGACGAAGGTGGCGTTAATGGAGCGAAAAGCAGGCGGGCAGCTTACGGGCCGCATTCGTCGACGCAAGCCATTCGTAAGGTTACCGCACCAGCTTTTCACAAGCCAACAATGACCTCACCACTGATCGCCCAGCTGGGGCCCAGTCGTGGCATACGCGTCTGGCGGTTCGCGGCGTCCCATCAGCCGCGCAGAGCTCCACATGGTGAAAAGTCCATGGAGAAGGCCGGTCTGACGTTTGTGGAGATGGGCACTGGTGCGGTAAAAACGAAATGTGAGTGGTGAAAAGGGATGATCAGCAGGCTCACTGTTGTAGCTCGATCGGCACAGGGAGCAATTAAGGTTATCGATACGCGAGACGACGCGAGGTGACGTCACGACCCGCAGGTAGCGTGAAGAAAGCGTGTCTCATCAATCAATCGATGCCGCGGCGGGATGCGGATATAATGCAGCTGGTCCGCCTTGAAGTCTGGAAGCCCTGTCGAATCGAGGGGGCGAGAGCATTGCGCGGCGCGCTTCTTCCTCCGCGGGTGCGCTGACAATGGCACAACACCTCAATATTACTGGCACAAAATCTGTGGTGAGGAAACGGGTTGCTCCGTCAGCCTTAGGTCGTTCTCATGCACCCTCTTCTCAGAACACACTAATATTCTCCGGTATACCAAGAGCATGCAGTTTTAAGAATGCTGCAACGCTCGGGGTGCTTGTCCACCACCGCGATGAGACGGTCTGGTAGACTTCGAAGCACGCCCTCGACTTACGCACTCTCACCGCCCACAGAGACAAATACGCATATCTCCACCCCGCAGTAAACTCTTCCTCACTTCACCCAAACGCGCTTCCGTTTTGTGTACCACGAACCACGCCATACAGTGTGCAACCAGTATCGCGAAGGCGAAGACGAAAATGATGAAGGCGAGGACCAAAACGATAGTCTGCACAAGCGAAAAAGACCATCCTCTCCGTGTTGTACCAGAGAGAGAGTTATGTGCGGATTCAGTTGGCGGATCTGGCACTTCCACCTTCGGTTGTCCAGTAGTCTGCGGTTGTCGGGGAGGACGAGGAGAACGCATTGTAGGCAGCGTAGGTGCATTGTACGAAGGCGGATCGGGGACGGGTAGATGGCCTATAGTCACGACTTCATCCTTCTCCTCCCCGTCGGACGGTACTGGAGACATCCACCTCCTTTCCCTTTCTTTTCCCTTTCCTTTACCCTTCGTATCATCTTCTCTTTCTTCTACCCGTGGCAAGGCAAGGTACGGCCCTCTCACCGACCACGCTCTCATTGGAAACGGTGGCTCCCATGGCCTTCTGCTCTCTCTCCTTTCGTATCCGCTCGTTGTCGCTGCCCGCCCGGGACGCGGATTTGAAGGGCCTTCGGAAACGGTGTCGGATGCTGCGCCATCGAAACTTGCGTTTCGCCTCTTGTGTGCTAGTCGCTGTTGGGTTGGTAGGTTTCGAGGTTCGTCGTTCGGATCGGTGGGTGGGAGGGACGAATGGAAGCGCTGGTATTGCACGAGGAAGATGGGCAATATAACAAGGACCGCGGATGAGAGAAGGACGATAAACATTCGGAGTGGGAAATGGAGGCGGCTTCGACGGGTCTAGGATCGCCAGCGTTGCGGTTATCGTCGGTGTGGATCTGTAGGAATATGATGTGTAATATGGGTTCATGGGCGCACGAAGAGGACATGGGCGGGCTCGACCGGCTAGGAGGTTGTGCCGTGGTTGCTCCTTTCATCACCACCGAGGGCACGCCGCTCTCCTTCCACAAACAAATCGCCGACCCAACCCATAGTATGCCGCTTCGCATCCACGACGCGCCTGTATTCCAGCAACAAGCGATACGTATAGATCAAGATATCGTCTCTTCTAAGGACTTGATGTGCCCACTGCTGGCCTGCTTCGGCGATTCTTTGGGCTTGCGCATCGTGTCCATTGCCGCTGCCTGATTGTACCTCTTGCACATCGACCGACCTCCTGCCATGCTTCTCATGATCTTCTTCACCGCCGTCGACCTTTTCGGCCTCCTCGTCCCAATGCGGTGTCTGAAAGTGATGCTCATGCTTCTCAAGTTCGACATGAGCGTGTGCGAACGTTTGAGGTGAGGATGGGACACCAGTGCCGAGGAAGTACTCCATAATACCATACAGGTCGACAAAGGTATTATCCAATGGCACGAAATGTAGCCAAGGAACAAGCCGAGCATCGAACCACTGCTTATATACGCTGGCTCTAAGGACTACTCTGCCCTCGACAAGACGTTGCACAAACTCTCCGCCGTCATCGCCAGCGGTACCGTCGAGTACCGCAGCGTACTTGTATTGACCTTTCACATCGCCTGGTTCTTCCTTCACGGAGAAAAATTCGTCGGTATACGGGCAAGTGCCGTCCTCACCAGGCTCATCGCACTGCAAGTCAGTGAAGCCTACGTCCGCCCATCCACTCACCCACTCCGCCATTCTCGCACCTTTTTGTGTATCCAAATGATACGCGTTTGCGGGCAATAGTCGGAAGTTGCCCGCATACCCAAGCCCTACGGCCGTTTCATTCCCAACATGCAACATGGCCTCTGCTATCTCGACGTGCGTCGCGTTGAGCATGCTCGCAAACCTATGCCGATGCATACGCCGCCAGCTCAATTTCGAAAATGTGCCTCCTGAGGCGCTCCCACGCCAGTGAAGCTTCGTTTCTGTTTCGTTCCATGGAAGCCGGGAAGCCGTAGTGGAGGTATTGAACGATGAGAAAGTGGGAAGCAAGATTTCGTTCGATCCGGATATCTTCGAAGCCGAGAACAGTGGGAAAAGCTTCTGAGTCACGCTCATTGACTTGGGCGCGACGAAATTCCCATACAGACCTTGCAATTCTGGTCTCTCGCATATATCGCTAGCCACCGTCCAGTTCGCCACATAACCCTCTGATGAATTTGCTGGTAATTTGAGGGGCAGCAGCGCGGCAACACTGTGCTCAACCTTCGTGTGTCCCTCAGGTTGCCAAATATCTGCCATAAGGTCTCCTTGCGCCGTTGCCGAATTCGGAGGGCACGCAGGCTTTACTAGAGACCACAGTGGCCGTAGACCAAGATAAGGCCTGCCAGCTTTATGGTGCATGCGATCGTCGAGCCATTCGGGATCGAAAGTACCCTCTTCTATACCGTCGTCTTCCAGTGCAGTGAAAGTACCCACGACGTCCTGCGGAGGAGGCATGAACGTCCTCGCGAACTCTACCGCCGTTTCCATCGTCTCCCACGGTACTAGCATAGCAATCTCATCGTTGACATTGAGCGGAAGGTTTATATCAGGCACCTCCACACCCTCCTTCCTCAGCTCCTCAAGCATAGCCATCAGGCCGTTCACTCGCTCATAGGACCCCTTCACATCGGAGTCAACGACTCCCCCGCGCACTGTAACCTTGGGACCGAAGCCACGTACACTGCGCTGCACATCGTTTACAGGTATTCCCCAAAACGGACCTAAATCGTGGTATATCTGGTCGAAGAAGGTTTCAGGTACCAGCGCATCTTTTGCCTTCGCATAAGCAAACCATTTGTCAAAGCCTGGGGGCGGATGTCGGCTTCTCTTCTCTCTGTATCGATGTGCTGCGTCTGACAGTTTCGTGGGGTTGGACGCTACGAGCATGGCGAGGTGCGACTCTGCTACGCGCATCAACTTCGTGATTGCATGTGCACTGCTTCCACCAGGTCCCTTTGCTACATTACCACTATTGTCCCCCGCAACTGGTCTGGGGGCTGTGTGATTCCATCCCCAGCCCGCCACCACGCGCGGAAAATAGCCATCAGCGCGCCCCCACGTCACGGTGTGCACGACGAGTAGACATAGTAGCACTGAGGGCAGAGTGAGCATCTGCACCCGACGCCATGATGGACGCGCCAGAGCCATGGCTGGTGTGTTGCGCATGGCGGACGCAGAGTTTCGGGGTGTGGTGATGAGATTTAGCCGGTTAGGGCATTGTGGTGGGGAGTTTCGGACGTGGTCGGTGTAGACGCGTGCGAAAGGGCAGAAATTGGAAACCGAAGGGAAGGAGCTGGAATGAAGAGATTAGGACAGTGGATGAGATGGAGCGCAAGTACAGTAGGACTTCTTCATGATGTCGAGACATGAGATGTTTTGGGAAGATAGATGAATGATGATCTTGAATGTGAACATAGATTGCTTGTGCATAGCGGCAAATCGTAGACGCTTGGCAAATATGGGGATATAAAATTTCCGAGCTGGGGTATACAAGTATGTAGTAGAGAAGAACGGTGAAGAGTAGATATGCGACCCTCCACTACCGGCCCAATATGGTACTTGGACGCATCGGACACGCCATGCATGGGCGGGGAAAATCTAAGCTTTGGTGCCGTGAGGGCAGATGCACGCTTTTGAAAGCTCAATACTCGTTGTCTTAGCTCTCCATCTCTTCGCCTTCCTCGCCTTCACCTTCCTCGTAACCCTCTTCATGTTCTTCGCCCTCGGCACCCTCATACCCTTCTCCGTCTTCATCTTCGCTGTCTGAACCACTGCCCTCGGATTCGCCCTCGCTGCCTGGGTCGTAGTCCTCCTCGTCTTCGTCCTCTTCATCCTCCATATTTTGAAGCTGCTGCTCCGCTCTCTGGAGTTCCGTCAAGCCATCATCCGGCTCAGCAGCAGCACCATTCGTGCCATTATCCTTCTTTTCAGCGGGAGGGTTCACGTTGAGCTTCTGCGCTCTTCTTGTCGCCGCCATACTAGCATCTTGCAGACCGTGCTTCTGCACGTATTCGTTGATACCGTTGTAGTCAGCCTGGTCGATCATGCCAAACTCAATGTCGCCTGTTTGGGTGGTGATGACGAGATTAAAGGTGTTGCGGAGGACGTTTGTGTAGGAGACGGAGGTGACGGACGCGAAATCGAAGAAGGCGAGGGGTTTTTTGAAGCCCCATACGATGCCGGCTGACGTGAAGAACATGTAGCCTGTGTGAATTAGCGTGCTTTGAGAGCAACAACGTTGATAGAAGCACACCTTCTTTGCTGCCCCTATGACCCTTGACGTGGTATGCCTTCTCGCCCTTGCGATGGCTTTGCGGGATTGCGCTCTCAAACTGGTCTGCGTCAGGGAAGATTACCATCTTGCCAGTGCTGGCTTGTATCAAGCAGTGGTGTATAGCCTCTGCCATTGGGGAGGGCCCGGGGTCTTCGCCCTCGACGATGTTTTTGCCCGTCGCTTCCTCGAAGGTCCATACTATTGGCTCTGGTGGGGAGCTCTTTAGATGGTCGGGGACCGGGTTCACGCCATCGCCATGCACGGGCAATACGATAAAGTTGTGTTGCCGCTTCGCTTTCTCGGGCACCGGTAAGCAAAATACTTGGTCTATAGTCGCGTCAGCTCAGCACAGACTGTTCCTACGTGAAGCGTACCAACGTCTCTCCAGGGAATGCTAAATTCGACGCTACCATCCGCGCCTACCGCTCGTACGCCACCGTCCCTCTTGTCAACCAACTCCAAGGTGAATTTCTTCCTCTGGGGAAGGGAAAAGCTGACTCCGGGGTATTGTCGCCATGCCTTTGTCGCCGCGCTTGTAAGACTCGATGCTACCCCAGAGCCGTTCTGCGCTCCATTACTGTCCTCAAGCTTGCGCTTCTTTGCCGATGGCTCGTTCGAGGGCTGCGATGCCTGTCCGAGTATATACGCCGATATGTCGCGAAAAAGGGTGGTTTGTGTGGGGTTCTGATCTGCGACAGCTGTTTAGCTATTGTGGTGGGAAGGTGCAACGTGCGCTGCAGCGTACCAATCGCAGCATGCACACGCTTGCGCAATTCGTGATTGCCTGCAAAGGCAAGATCTATTTCCTGGGGATGTGCGCCGGCCATGATTGTGATCACCGTTCGCTGAAGGATGGCGCTGTGGTGTTGATGGAAGTTTGGTGTCGCAGTTGCGGCGACGCGGCGCGACCCGTGTTCGGCGCGCGTCTAATTAGGAGGAACGACTGATGTCACTCTTGCTTGAGACACCTGACAGACGCCGTTATCGAACTTCCCCCAACGTCTCGAGCTTTCTTCGCTTTCAATGAATCCGAAATGAAGCATGAGGTGCATTGTCGACGATTTGTTGCATTGCGCTTCTCTACTACCATGATCGAAAGGCGAACACGGACGTCGCGACACCGCACCGTTGGTGCCTAGAAAGTATCTCGCAAATTATCATACAGCTCGGTTGACGCGGCTTCCAACAACAAAATACGACGGCTATTATGAACACCTCAAGTACTTGCTGTCACAACAGCATATCCTGTTGCACCTTGCCACTGGGCCTCCTGCAGCGCCTCCCTAGACCCGGCGTATCTTAACCTCCTACTTGCTATCAAACCTTCCCGCTCTTATGGCATTGAAGCGATCTATGCCAGTTCTTCTTCACCCAGGCGCCCGGAAATGACTATTCCTTCAGCATTCGTGGGGGTGTGGGACGCGTCAGATCAACTCACCATCAAGAGTCTCGCAAGGTCCGTTCCAAACGCCTGCCTGTCACCCAACCAGCTTTCAGCCGAGACAAACCTTTCATGCCTTGAAACCTAGTGAGGTCTTCTGTAGGGCTGCCTCGGAATGTCCTTTGGCACGTTTGAGACGTCCACTGATCCATGGATAGGGTCTATGCACGTGACTTATGAAACTTCTCTCGGTACCTCTGCAGTTCTATCGATGCGCTGAACTGTCCGATGAATCAAGGGACGCCTTCAGAACGAGGTCAAGGCTGACTCTGACATTACTGGCAGCTCATATTGCGACTTACTCTTCGAAAAGCGAGCATTGCATGGTCAGTGCGCGTAACGAACCTCATACACCACCCGTCTCGCATCGCAAGGCTGACCACTCTCGTTGCGCAATGACCCCCATCGCATTGTCGAGCCATCTCGAAAGGCCAAATATCAATCATGACTTTAAAGCGTGGAACAGATTGGCACCATGCCGGTAACACAGCATTAAAAGCCGGGTGCTGGTCTTCCTTGCCGGTACCAGTCCAAGCCTTCCCTCACCGCCAAACGTGTTCGAGGATGACAGTTGCGGAGCAATATCCACGCATGTTGTGCGATGCTATTCCTTGACCGCTGTCGATGCCAACTTCAATTGTGAATATCAATCCGACTCGTGTGCCACCTAGCTTCAACAGGCGTGTTTCTTCCCACCATTTTCTTTCCTTATCCGTGTCACGGTAGCTCTACTTCCTACTTCAACTCCACTTTGCTTCTATTTTCGTGGGCGGATGTAAACTCTATTCATCTTATTTTCTAATTGTGAGCTGCCAGCCGACCTGACATCCCGCCGGATCTTCCACGGACGCCTCAGCGCCTGACAGAGAAAGAGTAGGATCAGCAAGATGAAGATACCCGAATTCAAGATACCCTCGGTGCTGGGAAAGGTGTCAGCCAAGTTCGTCAAGAAGCCTATCTTCAACCAGCCGGTCCACACGGAGACGCGGTACCATGTTACTCGAATGCTCTACACTGTCCTCCTCTCACTGCTCATCATGATCGCGGCCTCCATTATTGGACTTAAAGCGATGACCGTCAACTTTACCGAGGACAACCGCGACACGGGCTTCGAATTCGAGACCGAAGACCCCAATGACTCAGTGATACTGGCCGCCCTCCCAAGGATGCTGTACACCGCGCCTGCAAAATTAGCCCTAGTCGCAGGTGCGATTTCCATCTTCGTCGGCGCCACTCATCTCGCTTTTGTTATCATGGACTGGAAAGCAGGCAAGAAGGTAGACACACCCTCTCCTCCCTCACAGGCCATCATACTGACATAGTGAAAGACCCAAGCCTACGCTTTCCGCCGCAACATGATGTTCCTTCATTTCGGAAACACCGTCCTCATTCTCTTTGCCCTCATCTCCACCTTCGTGACGCACAAGTCCACCAGCCACGTCAAAGTAAAGTACATCACCAACAAGGCTGAGCGGCCGTCCGCCGCAGACGGCATGCGCTACAATATCGGAACCTTTGACCTGGAGACCTGGTCCTGCGAGTGGAAAACTATCCCCGGCGCCGAGATGGTGTGGGATGACTATGCTGCTCAATGTCACATCGAGGTCGCCGGCCGCAGTATGATGATCCTCTTCTTGATCGTGGGAATTGGACTTGCAGGCTTGAGTATCTGGGGTATGATAGGGCGACGGGACTCGAGCGGCGAGCGCATCAAGACGGAGCAGGTTGAGTTGGAGATGGATAAGATGAACGCCGTATAACTTTCAGCCTTTCCATTGGCATCCGACTGTCGGCACTTTCCCTCTTCATGTTCGCCTTCGGGCCATTTGCTTTTCTTTCGGCATCTTGTATTCTTCCTTCACCTTCATCTTTGCTGCGAAGCGATCATAGCGATGATACCCCACTCTCGTTACCGCTAGGCTAGACTATAGACGCGCTCGTGGGGCTGGCTTCAAGGGTTTTGTCTTAGTCGGGGTGAATGCCAACGGGTGCATTATTCTAGATAGGAGATAGCGTCCAAGTGTTGGAGCTGTCATTTGACTTCGGTTCGGCTTGGAGTTGTATTACTGTATCAAGTGGAGGCCGGGAGCGGGGCGTTGGGGTTAAGCAGCTGTAATGGATTTTGGTTGGCTGGATTAGGTTACTGTAATTAATGCGTCATTGATTAAGCAAATCATTGGTCTCCACCATCGCGATCGAGCTGTTTTGTTCGAAGTGATGTGTGTATGCTGTGGACTTGGCGGTAGGATGTGAAGCTAGGAACGCGCGTCGCCAGTAAAGGTGCATGCGTTAGCCATAAGTCCATCACGGAGACACAAGCCAGTGTTTTTCAGGCGACTGTGATAATCTACACGATCCACGCTTAGGCCATGAGCTCGCTAAGAAGAATGTTGAAGGCCTGGATCACATGGATGCATGGATGACTCAGAACCGCGCAATGGAGAGAGTGACCTTAAAGACTTTCGTGGGCGTATTGTCTCGTTGTCACCCTTCATGAATCTCTAGTACAAGCCATATCAGCAGTAAGATTCAGCGCGAAAACCATGGATTCTGATGCATACGGAGACTAAGTGTAAGGAGGTCTGAATAGCAAGATTGAAGGGCGCCGAGGTGGGCGGAAAGGTTTGGAAGGAGGCGGCAAGTGTTGGGGATTATTGTCACGTACAAGAGAGAATGTCTTACCAAGAAATTGAGTAGACATCAAGGTGATTAGCCGAGACTTGTGAGTTGCAGTGTGACAACATCCACGCCTGATCACTACCCGTTATTCGAACCAATCTTGCATAGACAAACGTTCATGAATATTTGACAGCTGCTTCGAAGTTACTCTCAAACGACTCGCAAAAGCTGTTTGGTGGTGCTTGTTCAAGAAGGTTTCCACGATGAAGTGCAATTGCCTTCGCAGCATGCAAAAAAAAAGGTTACCTGAGCCGTAATTTTTCATTCATTTCCACGAAAATGAAGAAAAGTACCCGGGGCCCCAAACAATCCCCTTATGAACCTTTGTCTCTTGACGTCCTCAAAAAGCACTTCCTCAAATTGGATCCCTACGGCCAGCGCTCCTCCCTCCATTACTCCCGTAGTGCGCATACATACTGAATGTACCCCATGGTCTACGGGGATCGCGCCGCCCACCCATAGGAGGCGCATTCCGGACATCATGGTAACAATCGGTCAAGCCACGGAGGTGTCTGGCAGTCCGTCTGGCTTGGTAGTCAGGTTGGTGTCCGTTAGCGTGCGCCCAGGCAACATTGCCGCCGTGGAAGCCGTCGTCCCAGCTGGCAATGCGGTTGCGATTCCAGTATGGCATAGCTATGGTAGGTTGTATGTACTTGAAATGGTTTTATCAACAGTATAGTGGTTTGCTATAAGTTTTGACTGGATGCAATGTTCGAACTTGGTTGTCGGTGTGCTATCTAAAACATATTGTTAGGTACATATAGGAAGTAAAGGCGTCGTCGACACGCTGCAAGTCTACGTAATGAGCACTGATCCTGAGGACACGCACTGATGTTCGTTGTCTGTGGATGCATGTGTGCACTGAAATGTAGAGCTGTGGAGGGCTTGCCTCTAGTGATGATTGTCGTTGTAGGAGTGGTCTGTAATGTTACTGTCGGCATGAAGAGCTAAACAAGACAGTGTGTCTATGTGGAGTGATACTTCAGAGGAAGCCACGGTGGCAGATAGCCAACAATTGTATCGTGATTCGGTGTTCTGCGATCCTGTGTGGGAAGTGTTCGAGAGCTGCGTCTCTACGTCCTATTTCGGGGCCTTGAAATAGTTCGAAGGTATTTGACTCTTGTGAATACCTCCATAGAATAGCATGGTCGCGGATCTGGAGAACGACCTACATTCGGCCTATAAGCGGCAACACAGCGGTCTCTCGCAGCCAGTGTCCCTATCATATTTCCACTAGCCCTATAGTCCTCCGTTCGATTGAGATGACCCGTTGACACTTCGCGTGGTCCGCCTTTCGTGAGCTTGTCATGATTTCGAACAAGGCCACGCTGTCACTTCTCTGGGTATATTCACGCAGTCGTCATTCGCAATAAGGCAAGTCACACTTGAAGTGAACTAGTGATCGTAGGGGAATCGTAGTTACTCTTATAGGGTTTTAATGAGAAGAAATTGAAGAAACCATCTAGGTATCTGTAGTGTGTTACCACCATCTCCTTGATACAACCGGACCTCTTATCGCGACACCGCCTGAACAGTTCCTGCTATCTCTCTGTTGGGTCGAATATGCTCGGTAATCATTATTGGGTTAGAGAATTGATGTTCTCTCGCAGCACCTGCTCCACGTGTAATTGACTGTGTTTTGGCTGTGCTTGAAACCTTTTCTGCACTGGAGTAGCTGTTGATGGGCATCTCACTTTCCGCGCTGAGGGGAACGATGTCACCAACAACCGAAAAGAGGACGTCTAAGCCGTTCCCGAGCTCGTGGATTACCCTCACAATACCAAGTTCGACGTCGTTGCGAATATGAACCTAGCAAATCGAGACTGTTCTATCTTTGATAAGCAGCGAAGGCCTGTAAGGCAGCGGCGCTTGTTCTCTCCCATTCGCTGAATGTAATCTTGGAATCGCTCGCTAGTGGTCCCACGACTGTGTTCCAGTCGTAACGGCGCTCTACATGATTGCAGGAGATGTCCATGTCTATATGGCTGTGACTACCATTAGGACCTTTCTTGCTCCTTTGATGACCCTATCATCAACTTTGAGTCTGTGCCGGATCCTATATGCCTCAGTAATGCTTGACTTGGTGCCTGTCGGGACCCCGCATTGCTCTTGTACCAGTGCCAAATTTGTCAAACGAATCGTTCGGTCAATATCTGATGTCGATATCCCATCGATCGCATCAGGAGAGCTTGCGGTGTCGAAGCAAGGGCTCCATAAGCGGTGGTGCAGGGACGGCGTTTGGACTAAGCTCCTGCCTACTCCTTTGCATGCATAGCAGGGCAAGAATCTTGTCCCGCTAAGAGTCAGATGCTTTGTGAATCCGAAATAGGTCAATGAGCTCCGCCATTACCCACCTACGGGTAAACCATAAACATCACAGCAAGGTTAGGAGCAGCTCGTCAATGCGCCTCTACGTTCGGGTTGGGTCACACTAGCTACGCTCAGATAAGATTCCCACGTTGCCCTGGTTTTCCAGTGCCAGCTCGGACAAGCCTTCTGAATCGTAGTTCAGACGACGGGCATTGACGGATACCCACTGGTGGCATGGCCTGCATTCCTTCGTTTTAGGTATAGTCTCTGCCTTCGCTCCCTCTGCTACGAGACCTGTCGTTGCGGAGATCATTCTAGTCAGATTGAGAATGCTGGAGCTGCGGTCCTGTTTGTCTCAGCCAGACCAGAACGCGTTCAGCCGAGGCGTAGATGTCCGCCGACTGTGGAAGCAATTACTAAAACCAATCGTCCTTGCGTTCCTGATTTGGTACCGTGATGTGAGATCTGTTGGGAGATGCCCTTTCAAGCAGCCCCGCAGATCTGCGCCACTTGCCTCGGGGCCACTCGTTAGTGTGGCCAATTGTACGCCCGATCACCTTTCACAGCAGCACGCTAGCAGTTAGTGCCCGCAAAGCCATCTGAGCGGTCATCCAACAACTCATGCCCTCCTCTTCACCACATTCTTTTTTCATCATCCCAATTACAAAGAAGTACTTCCAAACTACCCCATTCTGTCAATGTCTGGCTCATAGCCATTACAGTCCTCGCCTCCAGACTCCTTGCGTTTGCCGAGTATTCGAGGGGGGCAAAGGATGGAGATGCGGCTTACGGCGATCGTAATCATGTTACATGCGTAATGCGCGCCCACACTGCGGTGCGACGAAGATCCGCACGCGGATCTACCCGGCTGAGGGGCAATTTCAGCTTCCTATGCACTGTTTCTGCACGCAGGTCTAGGCTTCCGTAACCGTGCTTTAGCAGAAAGTCTCGCAGTTTTGAGGCTTTTCACACCGGCGCACAAACTTCTTTCAAGTCCACACGACTACTTATCAAGTCTTCAAAGAACGACGCTCGCAGAATAATGAGACATAGCGTGCGTTCGTACAATGTACGCAAAAGACGTAGGTTGCGGCGGTTGTAGCATATCGAGGTTCTGCTCAATCGCTTTCAAGGTGCGGTAGGCGCGAATCAAGGACAAAGGACAGGCTATCCTGTTTGTGGAGCTTTGTAAGGACTGGATCTGCATGCGTGCATGCAAAGCAATATTGGGTGTGCAACTATATGTAACGTTCATTCAGGATGACATGGCGTCATTGAGCATTGCTCACCTTTGGGCTCTGCTTGCTTATGTCGTGTATCCATATTGGACATACTCAGCTATTAAGGTCCCAATGGGTATTGGCAATTTCCGGAACTCCGGACGGACACGAATCAACGAAGACTTATTTGAGCATTCTGTGTGTGGCATCTCCCGCTATCTTGACGTGTACGTTTCGGTCAATCCAAAGAGGCTCCCTCATACCTCTTCTAATCTCGCTCATTCCATCTTTGATCAGCACAACCACTTGAATCCACGATAAAAACCAGTCCAAAATGATTTTTCTCAGCCTACTACGCATTTGCCTGCTCATAGCTCCGGCAGTCCACTCAGCACCCTTTCTTGAACCAGCCGTCCAGGCCGACTACGACGCCATTGTCATAGGGGGAGGTCCAGCTGGATTAGCAGCGACAAGCGGGCTCGCGCGAGTCCGGCGTAACGTTCTTCTGATCGATTCTGGAGAATACCGGAATGACCCAACCAGACATGCACACGACATTCTAGGATTTGACGGTGTAACACCGGCCTGGCTACGTTTCGCAGCAAGAAGGCAAATCAGCGACTATGGAACGGTTGACCTGGTCAATGGGACAGTGACAGAGGTCCAGCCCCAAAAGAATAACACCTTCTTCAAAGTGCTGGCCGACTACCCAGGCAATAAGTCGGTTTCGTTTACCACTCGCAAAGTGGTTCTAGCAACAGGCATGCGAGATATTCTGCCCACTACGACTGGACTTGCCGAGAGTTGGGGCAAGGGCATATACTGGTGTCCTTGGTGCGACGGCCATGAGCATGCGGATCAAGATCTCGGCATCCTCGCGCGCCTAGACAGTGCGGTGACAAGTGTCCGCGAGATTCTCACATTGAATACGGACATCGTCCTCTTCGTTAACGGCACTGACACACCCGCAAACCGCGCAATCACGGAGGGGAAATTCCCAGGATGGGAGACGTACCTGAAACTGCTCAATGTAAAGATTGAGAACCGCACGCTGGCCTCTATCACGAGGCTCAGAGACGGTGCAACGCCCTATGCGGATCCGAGCTTACCCACACATCCTGAGCATGATCTCTTCGAGGTTAATTTCACAGATAAGAAGAACCCCATCTTGCGAAATGCGTTCTTTGCAGACTTCCCGTCTGAGCAAAGATCCAAGGTCGGCGAAAACGCAGGTGTTCAACTCTATGGTAACAAACTTGCTGCGGATGGTGCCGGAGGGCTGGTAACCAACGTCCCTGGAATCTTTGCTATCGGCGATGCCAATTCGGACAATGTGACGAATGTACCACACGCTTTTTTCAGCGGGAAACGCACTGCAGTTTATCTTCATGGTAAGTATAATAATTATCATGACAAGACCAAGTCACTAATAGGAAGTAGTCCAGATTGAGCGTGAAAATTCTCTTGCGCAGATTGCAGCGGCAGGCAAGCGAGATGTTGGGGAAGATGAGCTGCAGAAGCTCTGGGCGAGGATGAATGTACCCAGTGATGTCACTCACGCAAGGGAAAGATTTGAGGTATAATAATGGCTCTTCAACTGAGGGCTCGTAAGGGATATCTGCAGGGCAAGTTTTAAGCTGATTGGCTCATGCAATCTGCTGATATAGGTCCACTTTCCTAATCCAAGTGTACGAGTGCGATTATTATTGTTCGTACGGGAACGTTGCTTCGAGAACATGTGTACACAACGGTAGAGTTAGGCCTAGTGTCTAAACCTATTCCGTGGAGTGCGTTGTAATTACGGGGACTGGGGAGTGTGCAGGTGATCGATTGTCAAGAAGACAAGCGTTCTTGAAGATGAGGCCACAAGGCAAAGGCCAATGCCGGAGTCGCTTCGTGAACATGGCAGCCTCTACATGCAGTCGCTGGCCCCAATAGGAGGGGCACACGAGAACCAGTAATGTAGGGAGTCTCATCACCACTATCAGAGAACCTGTAGCACTTCGCCAATTAAGACGAAGCAATACACAGAAAACATCAGCTTCAACAAACGATCGAGAATACGAATTAACAAAACAGGTAAGAAAAACCTTGCGAGGCATTGTGAGAGGGTTTCTTGAACTCGACAGAGTCGACGGCACCAGCGAGATATTACTAGGCTTATATCATCGAATGGTCGAGTTCATGGATCCGCTCCTCTCAGATTCGGTCCTTTTCGGCAAAAACCAACCGGGACAATCTCAATGGCGATTCTTCGGCTGACGATCGGTGGCGCAGTGCCTCAGCCTCGTGCACCAGCACCCAAATGCGGTAAAGCTGCACGAACACTTTTCTGGACTGGTGATGCTGGGCTGCTCCTGAAGAGGATGTTCTCGCAACCCTCACAATGACCGCTCAGCAACGAGCGTCAGCAATTCGATTTTTCTCATCAACGCACGTCGCATGGAAATTCTCATACAAACGAACCGTTCTATTGTGAAGACATGCCTTCGTGGGTCCCACGTTCGAAGTTGGAATGGGCCTATTTCGGGTCGACAGCTACGCAAGCTGTCGTGATTACTCCTGTTCAGGTGTAAGTGCTGTCCTCCGCAAAAATTCATCAGCTGACGAACCTACCACAGCACGGTGCTGGTTGTGTATCTGGAATGGGTGAATTCGGTTGTTTACCAGGTGCCGCTCGCATACGTGACGCCTCTCTCGCTTGGCACTACGACATTAGGAGCGCTTTACCAGTTGGTCCTCACCCTAGATGCATACCGAATCAAGAACAACATCCAGCTCTTCGTGCAATGCATCTGCAACATATGCTTGTCCATAGCAACAGTCATGCAGTATGGTCAAATCAGAAACGCCAATGCCAGAATCCTGATTAATCACGACATGTACGGAACGCCGTTCGCTAAATATGACTGGAAGTTTTGGGATCATGTGTCTCCCGCACTGATCACTTGTATTGTCATATCGTGTCTTTCCAGCGTTGCTATGTGTGGACTTGCATATGGTTTATACCGAGAATTTTCCTGGGCATTGTATGAGCAAGTTAGTCCTGACCGGAAGATGCGCCTACGATACGTCGCGTATCAAGTGAGTCGAGTTTTCATCGCAATTGACCGGTCCATTAACCATGCGCAGGTGTACCTGGTCATCCTTAAGTTTACGCCATTCTTCATCATCGCTTTTATACTCCTGTATGATCTCGTTGATGTACACTACGAGGAGCCAGAGTTCTCCTTGACAATGGCTATCATACCGGCCGCCCTCATACATGTCGGTCTTGCCATATATTTTGTACGGATTGAAACCGGCGTTGGCATGATTTTTGTGCTTGTAAGTTCTCGTTCCGTAATCACACGCACATAGACTGATTGTCTTCCTCAGCTTGGGCATGCGGCCGAGATGGTCTATCTTGTGAGCAGAATCATCGTCCTTAACAGCTCTTCGATGCTTGCGCGGACATTGCTCAAAGACGAAATGGTCTTCCTCGCTTCCATTGCAGTGGGCTTTTCTGCAATCGCTTTCTTGGCCGGATCAATTTGCTTCGCCAATTTCCGAAAGGGGTTGAAACCGCTCGTTTTGAGCCAGGTTCAACATAAGAGGCCTAACAATGAGTTTGAAAACGACTACCATTTTCAACGCCTGAATCACAACGTAGTAGCTGCGCCCGAGCAAGCCCGACGCTTCGCTATAGATTGAGAGCACCTCACAGTTGCCATATCCGATTTGTCACGAGCTTTTCTTTATTTGAAACTGCATCAAGAGCGCGCATGCGTAAGCGTCCAATGCTTCCCTGGGCACAGTAGGTGTTGCAGCATAATCTGGAGCCACATCCGGCGCGACAAGAAATAGGTGCCTTGCAATCGGGGTGTTGACCATCGTGTCCAAATCACCCGTGCATCTTTGCAGCCAGACATCACGCTACAGACAACAGCATGACGGAAGGTAACAAGACGAGAAAATGTCGTTTGCGCATGGAGGAAGCGCTGCGAGTCGACCATGAAAAGACACAGCAGTGACCTGAACGACTTCAGACACGGGCCGTATTCACTGGCAGACCCTGTTGCGGACCATGCCACATTATTCGAGTACATTATCTGACTCAATCGGAGCATAGAAAGTGTGATTATGATTTTCGACGCAGAGTGGAAAGATTTGGAAACATAATTCGCACCGGCACAGCACCTCAAGAGAAGTCTTCGCGGACGCGATTGGACGACACATCAATCTGCAATGGCATTTGCGGATCAGCGTGGATACGGATAACGACTAGAGTGTCGCCACGTTGACGAATTTTGCAGTTCAGCCGAGTATTAGGCTCCATGTCATGTATTTACAAACGATGATGAAATCGAGTCGTGAGTGTTGAGAGAGATCATGTTTTATGCCAGAGTCTTTGCTTTGCTCTGACCTTACAGTCATATCAAGAATTGGGAATGTTTTCGCACCCTGCCGAAATGTCTTTTCAATGGTTTCATCTCCCGTATTCGACTCCTGTCTCTTTACGTTCCACGCTTCTTGCATATGCAATCTGTGACTTCAATTTGTTGATTCCGCGCTTCTATCCTCACATGTTATCGCCTTCATCATCCCGCCGTTTCTTTTTCGTCGTATATCTCATGGTTTTACATGTTCCTCATCCCCATATTCCTTCCCTGCCACCTCATCGTCATCCCCCCTTCCCCTCTTGCGCATCTCTCTCAAACATCCGAATCATCGCCCCCAACTTCTCCTTCACCACCTTATCCTTTCTCGCCTTCTCCGATTCCTTATCCTCAGCCCTTTACATTCTTCAGCGAAGCTCACCGAAGCCAAGCCAACGTCAACCACATTCACGCACTCCAGGTTTTCGCAAATTCACGGTGGCAGGTAAGGGCAGGAAAACTCGACTTACCAGTCCTTGGTAGAGCGCACGCACGAGTAGTCTCCCGGGTAGTTTGGGAAACGGCCTGGGACGCCGGCGAAGCGGTCTTCTGAACGCATGGCGGCCTTGGACTTCGCGCGCGTGGACTTCGAAGCGGATTTGGGGAGGCTCGGGGACTTCTTCGGAGGCATGGCGGTAGCTGGGTATGACTTGCGACGGTTTGTATGAAATGATCGGAAGGATGATATTGTGTCGTGTGTCGCCGAGATGATGGGCGCTGCGTGCTGAAGTTGAGCAGGCAGATGAGCGGTGCGGTAGGGACGGTACTAGCAACGGGATTATATAACTTTGCAGTGCAGCCAAAGCATGGGTGAAGGAGCTCTCGTACAGTCGGTGAAGTCTACGCTTCGTCCCTGGTTGAAGGAGCTTCTGGAGAGTCAACCGCCCGTCACCCAATAATACCAACAACCGCAAATTAACGCTAATTGTCGTTTCCAACACCAGACTAACACAATGCCAACTCTCGATGTTGCTACGTATAACGTGCAAGAGCGGTTGAGGGATAGACGCATTCGATGCGCATGAAGGGAAAGAGCCGACGAGGTAGAGTGTCTCGGATGCGTTTGTATCGTCAAGAGCTTTGATTGACGTAGAAAAGCATTATGTGACAACGGTAGCGGTTTCGCATGGTAAGGACAGCGGACACCTAGACGATGCGTATCAGTGTGTACGCGAATCGGCCGTCTAGGCTGTGACGACTTGTCGCGATGAACATGCAAATTGGAGTTGAAATTCTTTCATTACCGAGCGAACAGCTATCCAGCCTGCTGATGCATGACACGCAGTTTCCGCCCCTATATGGCCCCAAACACCTTGTAGCATAGCTGCCAGCCGTCTATTAATAGTATCGCGAGGGAGCATCGTCGCCTCGCTCCACCCAGGAATCCTCTTCTTACTTCGGTTGTGCCCGTGGGTTCACACCGTCTTCGCCCTTTTACGTGCACACCAAGACGACCATTCGTCGTCTGCACGTTGACATGTTCATTGATATGTCCGAGTATATTCGCCGCCCTTTCTATAGACCCTTGGATGCTGGTGATCGGGTCTTCCTCCTTACTCCCGCCTGCGCAGCGAACATGGCGATGACGAGAGCCGCATTGAGGATAAGAACGACTTGCAACCACTTCACGGCGATCTGCCTTTAGTCAGCACAGGTCCTCCCAACGGTCCAACCGGGAAAGAGACTCACCGCCTCATTGCAAGCAATAGTCACAGCCCATCTATTCACATTGGGGATGGATCCCGCCTTGTCATAGACCGGGCCCATGAACCTGCACGTCGCAAACTCGCGCGAGCACATCATGTTGGTGAAGGGCACACCGCCGTCTGAGGTCTTTCCGGTGGTTGTGGTGCAGCCGTAATCGTCATCCCCCTTGTCGGTGAAGTGCGTGATGAGGGCGGCGAGAGCGGAACACAAGCCGACGACTGTCATGCCGATGGCGCTTCCGACCCAGAATCTCCTTAGAGGCTACAATCCCATCAGCATCGCATACCCTCAGTATCGTGGAGGGTAAAAGCATACCGAGTGGTAATCCAAATCCATGGCGTTAGGCTTGAGCTTGCAGTACGCAATGATGCAGTTTACCGCAGCCGCCAGACACAAGCAACCTGACGCTATCGTGACATTGGTCGACGACTCGGTGTAGTCGACAATGACATCGTCCCATGCAAATTTGTTCTTTTCGGGAAACTGGCTCTTGCGCTTCAACCAGCGGCCGACGAAGTAGTCGGTCAGGATCCAGTAGTGTGTGGTGAGAATGATTGAGATGAAGGAGAGGAGCGCGAAGATCACGGCGGGTACGAGCGAAAGTGTAAGGAGCTTCTGGAAGCCCACCATGGTGGCGAATTGTCGATGTGGTAGCAAAGAGGCGAGCGAAGGTGAAGGTCAAAGGAAGGCGTACGAAGGTAGAGTCAGCGCAGCGCAGGGAGTATACCGGGTGGTCGCGGCAGTCGCAGCCTGGTCGAATCGCAGCTGTTCTACGCTTTGTGTGCAAGGCAGTCGCGTGGGCGTGGTTCCCGGTGATAACGAGCGTGGTAGGCACGACCGTTGACGTCTTCCAAAGTCGAGCAGGGCAGACGCTGAGCGGCAGCAGGATCAGCAGCACGTCTCCAGCAGGCGTCCGGCTCCTGTATATGCGTGCCGCTGCGCTGCTTACCCGCGTCCCTTGGCAGAAAGCCGATTTTCCAGTCTGAACAGCAGTCGATCCGCAACGGGCAGGCCCCTGCACAACGATTGGCAGCCGGACGTCAAGCTCACGTTGTGTGGCTTCCTAATTGGGGGCTGAATGCTTGAGAGGAATCAAGCACGAGGCGCATTGTGTGAAACGTAGCGCTTGGTAAGTCTTCGTAGGTACAACTATCGGCGGTTGAACAGCCGTGCCTCCGTGTTCTCGAATGGGAATGAGGTCTCGAAATGAAAGGACCCTCGAAGAATGGAGTCTGCGGTTCACCGGCTGCGCTGGAGACGCAGATCGCTGCACGGCTGGCGATTGGATGCGCCGTCGTTGCGCGTACCCCTGGACCGGAGTACGGTCAGCTGCTATCCCCGTATATAAGGAGAGCACATCCTCGCTGATCCCGGGAAAGAGACGTGTGGGTTAGATACCTAGGTAGCAGAGCGCGTCGCTTGCCGTTCCCGTGGCCTGTGTTTCCGAATGCGCAAGTCGAACACGAGAGTCGACATGGTGCTCGTGGGAGTTTCACAAAGTCCACGGACGAAGTACTTCACAGTGCCAATCCCAAGCACATTGCATGAAGAGGGCATTCTACCGACGCGCTAGACGATGGCTCTTGCGGCAGTACAACGCGACAGCGTGGTGTTCCTTCACCCCGCCTTCGACACAGCCACGACCAGCTCCTTCTGATGAGGTCACTGGTCGGCCCCGGGCTTCTCGAGCCTCCGAATGCACGGTGAAATTTGGCCCGGACGCTGGCTCGGTGTTGCACGACCGGACGAGCAGATGAGTTGTGGAGGTCGCCAAGGAGGCTGCCCCTGAGGACGATCCGAAGCGTCGATCAGGTTACCACAAATAGCCTAGTGTCTGTACCAAAATAAGTCCGACACGGCACGCACCTCACCACTTCAGGGTCGACTACATGACTGGTACTCTCGCGACTACTTCCCTACACTCCATCTGCAATCTTGAATTGCAATACTCACGCTAAAACTTCGAGACTTCAAGCTTCCATACTGAAAGCCCCTGATGCATCACCCATCTCTCAAAGTCCTGTTCCCGCCCGGCCCGGCACCCGGCTCCTCCCGCCCATGAGGAAGACATCCAGTAGAACTTGTCGCCACCTGATCTTGGTACATATCTGAGTTGAAGCTCCCTGCCTTGTCCCCAGAAGTCGAGGGCTGGGGGAAGCGAGTCCGGAGTGTGGTCAGTCTTTGCGTTGCGCGTCTACCTACCTATGGTACATCGAAAGTAAGAAGCGAGCATTGATCGTATAGCACCGATCAACCAAGGACACATGGAATAGCATATGAACATTATGCGACATACATGTGTATTTTGTTTCTAAAAAGCATCGGATGGTCGTGACTCGTTGCGGCTGGCGATTCCCCGATCGCTCAGCTTGCCAAAGGAATGTGAGCCGACCCAGATGACGTGCTGGTCAAACGGATGGCGGAAGTTGGATATCGAAAACGAGATGACTCCTGATGGAGCCACTTGCAAGAGACAGAAGGAAAAATGCCATGCTCTTAGGGCGAAAGAACGTACGAGACCCATGCGTGAGGCACGACATGAAGCGTGGCCAGGTCAGCATAGAAGTCGTACCCGGCGTGCGTAGTATAATGCAAAAGAGAAAGTTGTCTCTTATTCGTCTTGGAGGAACTTGATCAAGCTGAACGTTCCACCACCAAGCCCGGCACCCATCATAGGTCCCAGCCAGTAGATCCAGTCGTAGCTCTGGAAGCCAACAACGACAGCAGGTCCGAAGCTCCTCGCAGGGTTCAAAGAGCCACCTGTAAAGAAAACGCCAGCCATCTCTGCACTGAACAGAGCCATGCCAATGTAGAGCGGCTTAGCGCCTCCTGAAGGAAGCATGAGGATCGTGAGAACAAGCTGCGCAGTGAGGAACATTTCCAGAAAAAGTCCACGAGGGATTGACGCAGTTGGATCTAGGACCGTATTGAAGGGAACGGGGCCTGGCAGGAGAGCCGAGATGACGAGGGAGGAACAGACGGAGGCAAAGAGTTGGGCGGCAATCGAGTAGAGAGCCCGGTCCCATCGAATTAGACCAACGATCCACAGCGCAGTGGTCACCTGCTCCAAGCATCAGTTACAAGCTCCCTAGTATCGGGTGTGGATGCGCATCGTGGTAACATACCGCGGGGTTGAACATGCCACCACTGACATCCGCAAAGATTGCAACATTGACTGCTAGGGCACAACCGAAAGCGAACGCAATGTAGAGCAGCTTCTGCACCTCCGGCGGCTTGGTCGCATCTGTCGGCGTGAAAGGGTTGATGGTAGCGGCCTCGAGAGCGATCTGGGTGCCGGCGAACGCGAAGAACAGGAACAGGAAGGTACCGACGAACTCGCCCAACGCGACAGTCGCCTCCTTTCGCAGGGCCTTGGGCTTCGATCGGGTGGCAATGGATGGTGCTCCGCTGGAGCTCTCCGACATTGCGAGGATGACATCCTGGTTCTTCTCCAAATCCTTCTCCATGTTGAAGGTGACTGGGTCTTCAGAAGAATGGCCCCGTCTGCTGCGAAGAAAGAAGAAAGAGACTCCGAGCCTGCAGAAGTGAAGAACCACTCCTGAACGATTAGTCCTTAATGTATGTCACTATGGTTCACGCTGTTGCCGCTGCTTCGGAGCTCAATGCGCCATCGCAGGATCGAGAGTTGCATGGTCTAGACGAGCAGTTGGTCCTTGAAGCTGACGCCGAAACGTAGCTTCAAAACCACCGTCTCCTCTTTTCTGAGCATCATTTGAAGCACCACAAGGGAGGACCATGACTTCTCAGTCCGTGTCCTCAGGCTAGCGGCGAATGAACCACCCAGAGAAACTCAATGCGCGAGGGCACATGTATGGGAAGACAGCATCCGATCGCAACCGAAGCTCACCCACGAAACAGAATGGGGGAGTGCAACGTCATCCTAGTGTGCGCCTCGTCCACTCTCAGGTACGAAGTTGTGCTGCGCGAACTGTCAGCACATTGTGGACCAATCCTGGCAGACCAGAGCGGGAGCTGCCGATTTGTAGTGAAGCTGATAGAGGTGCGAGAGCAGACTTTATGCGATGTGCGGATGCAGCCAACTGCTGTTCTGGATTTCGCCTAGAAGTGTTGGCATGGTAAGCCAGTGCGCGACAGAAGGCGAAGCATGACTTCTCCTGCGTTGAAGCACAAATTGCTGGTCGGCCAAACCGGACGGTGGAGGCGTGATGGCCGCCAGACGTGCATAGAGTTGTCATTAAAAACAGTTTCGAGACGTTGGGTTGGAACAGTGGTGGCCGTGGTTACAAGGATGACCGTGGGGACGGGAACCGGCAGCCTGGGCTCTCAGGCTCCACGGGCGCTGCCGCCGCTACCCCACGGCTCCACTGATGCGAGCATGAGAACGATGACGACAACGCATCTATCCGAAGCGAGTCCTACTGTGTATACATCTGCTCTTGGTGGGTCATGATCGGTGGGTCGTGATCGAGCCTAGCAGTCGTATTGCCTTCCGGCCATACCGGTGGTGCCTTCTGGGGCACATGGGAGTGTCGATAGACCGATAAGAGGTTTATCCCGCAAGACAATCATGCACCCGAGGCCAGATTGTGCGTAATCCGCAGGCGCGTGCCGTGCAGTTGCTCCTCAAGCTTGGACCCGACCTTCACGTAAACCACCTCATGCTGGGGTTTCACTGTCAAAGTTTGTTGCATGTGGACCAGGGTGGGCATGTCGGCCGAAGACGCTCGGGTCATCGCAGACGCGGAGTAGCAAACGGAAAAGTCTTGTTCCGGCTGTAGTCACTTTTCGTCTGCAACTCTGGCAGTTCGTCGAGGTCGGAAGTGTAAAAGATGCAGTTCATGGCTAGAAAATGGTGAGATTCAAATCGCGCATGTCAACGTGGGTTTGATTGTAGCAGGCTGGTGCTTTTGAAGCGGGGCAGGTGTATCCTATGGACACAGTCAAAACAACAGAATGATCTGGGAGCCGTGGATAGAGTCAATCATTGTTTTCGTTGGCTGCGCTCCCAACGCGCCAGGGCTGGCGAAGCTGGTGGGAAGCAGCGCTCCGTCAGGGTCGCTCTCGACCGCTAAGCACCCACCACGCACAGTGTCGGTTCGCGAGACCGTCGCGCTAGAGTTGAAGCGATTGCCACTATGCCTGTACATGCGGGCATGCTGCGTAGTGACTGCAAAGCAAAGAATTCGAGGACTGTGAGACGAAACCGACGCGGGTGCACGTACCACCTGGGCGGTACCAGATGCATGCGCACGTCTCTGCGCTTCCCCTACCATGACCCACTTCCCACCACACCTTCATCACCTTTCATTCCCATTAGCTGCGTCGCTATCGATCTCGTGGTTTTACCATTTCGAGCGTCCGAAAGTCTTAGCATGGAGCACCAGTCTCACGAATTGCGGCTCTCTCACCTCAGACGCGTCCAACAGATTGCTCCACAGATGGCATCCTCAAAATTGGGAAAAGGAACTATTTTCCTTATCCGGGATTGGAGACGCGTGCTTGTGGGCAATTTGCCTGCTCAGCGTCGACTCTTTTGACCAGTGGAGTTTGCCTCCGTTGGAAACACTCACGCTTGGGCATAATACGAGACTCGAAGATAGGTAAAACAGTCAAGCTCGTGGGCTAATATCAATTGCCATGGAATCGTCTGTACGCTTTCGGCTGCTTCTTGATCGGTGATTTCTCATCTCAATCCTTGAGACTGGCATCAAGAACAGGAGATATTAGCACCCTTACCAGCCCCAAGGACGGTGACCGCCCCTACGCGTCTCGTTTACCACACGGCCATCGCGACTCCTCGGCCAATTTCCTTTACACGTGGAAGATGTCCAAACTGCTCGAAGTCGTTGCAACCATATACACGTGGTGCTACACTAAGTGCAACACTAAGTGCACACATTCTGATAGTGCCATGTCTCTACTGACAAATATTCCGTCCGACATATTAGGACCTGAATATACGGCAATGCCATCCGCCTGCAAGCTCAACGCGGTAGAGAAGAGCACATGCGCAAGCGCTTTATGCCACAGTAAAGCTGCCACGCGTACGCTGACTTGGAACACTATATATTTCCTCCGGTCGGTAAGAGACATCGCGGGGATCTGTAATAGACTGTACAGCCGCGCGGATGCGGTTTTCGTCGCCCCAAAATCCGTCAATCAGACTAGCCTCGGAAAATTTAATGTTTAATGTAATGCTGCCCTCCTTGGCATGTGGCCGGAGATCACCAACCTCAGGATAGCTCAGAACGAAGGTAGCAGAACGCATCACACGAAGCTCTAATGCTAGTCTCGGGGTGCTGTGCAAAGACTTCCACAGGACGGAAATGTGTTTCAATCAAGGGTACGGTGTACACTCTACCGAACGCCATCCTTCGATTCCGAGCTTTCCTTTGTCCCTAGAACACGGCACTCTCTACACTTATATAATGACATGCTTCGTCCTCGTTATCGTGTCAACACACGGATAATTTGCTAATATGCTGCTCCGCGCTATACTACCGTTCCTTTCTTTCGTCCCTGCAGCGTTCGCTGCGTGGGGTTACAGCGACGATGGCTCTAATTATGTGATCGATACAGGGGCCTCTCTTGTCGTGAAAGTTAGCAAGTCGAACGGTGACATGACATCGATCGTCTACAACAGTGTTCAATACAACGGACAAAGCGGAAAAAACAGCCAGGTCGAATCAGGTCTCGGGAGCAGCACGGTTTCGATTTCGCAGTACTCAAGCCCGGCGGCGATCAAGGTGTCCGTCGTTCACGGCACGCTGAAACATTGGCTCGTGTTCCGCCAAAACCTGCCCCATGTGTACATCTTTGTGAACAAGAAGGACGACAGCGTTACGGTGCAACGATACATCGTACGTATTCCGGACGGCATATTCACTAGGCAAAGTACCGATACCGACTGGATCCCTGATGGCGCAGCTACGATTGAATCTGGCGATGTCAACGGTGACTCCGACGGATATACTTACAGCAAACACTACACTGGACTCAAGTACGGTCGCACGGTCGACTACGATTACGTTGGATACACCAAGTCGGGTGTGGGTGCTTTCATGATCCGATGCAACCGTGAGAAAGCTTCTGGTGGACCGTTCTTTCGTTCGCTTCAACGACGAGGTGGTGGCGGTGTCGATCTATATGACATCTACTGGTACAGCATGGGTATGTTTATACGGAACAGCCAGCCTGTTGGAATAGCTCTGCTAATATCACGCGTAGGTCACACTGATCCTATGCGTTATGGTCTTCATGGTTATAGCACACTTGCATTCACGACCGGAAGCGCTCCCGATTCGAGTCTCTTTGCAAGGAACACCGACACCACTTGGGTGAACAATCTCGGCGTAAGAACTCTACTGTCTCTCTTGGGTAATATTCGCTGATACGCAATAGATTGATGGCTGGGTTCCTATCTCCGGGCGCGGTTCAGTTGCCGCAGTGGGGATCAAGAACATGAAGTCAGGCTTCCAGTATGTCGCCGGTTTAAGCAACACCGATGCGCAATACTGGAGCGTTGCCGACAGCAGCTCTGGCTACTTCAAGATCAAAGACGTTCTTCCCGGTACCTACACACTCACAATCTACAAAGGCGAGCTTGAGGTTGCGACACAGTCAGTGACTGTAACGGCAGGCAATGCCCTTGCCTTAAACAGCGTTACCGCTAGTGACCCGCAAGATACCACCGCTATCTGGAGGATCGGTGATTGGGATGGGACTCCTAAAGGCTTCCTCAACTTCGAAGATACGCCCATGAAGCCGACGTATATGCATCCCTCGGACACTCGCCTCAAGTCCTGGAATCCTGCAAACTTCATTGTGGGCACGACAGCTACTAATGGGTTTCCGTAAGCTTCTCCTTCCACAATCTTCGCATACACTGACAATTCAGCAGCGGCTATCTCTGGCAGGACATCAACAACGACCACCTCATCTACTTCCGTCTCACCGCCGCGCAAATCGCGGCCTCCGCTACGCTCCGCATCGGCATGACAGAAGGCTTTATTGGCGGTCGCCCCATGGTTAGCGTCAACTCGTGGACGCCTTCCCTCACGCCCGCGCAGAGCCAGGGTAGCACACGCAGCTTGACGGTTGGGACTTACAGAGGGAACAATAAGATGTTGACGTGGACGGTTCCGGCGAGTGCGTGGTTGACGGGTACGAGTGATTGGCAGATATTGAAGTTGAGCGTTATTACAGGCAGCACGGGTAGCGGCTATCTGAGCGGTGGGGTTTCGATTGATGCTATTGATTTGATCTAGAGTTTGCATCCGAATAAGAAGGTTTTCTGGTTGGGGATACGAAGACCAGCAACGACCTCGAGTGTCTTTAGATCAGAGCATGCTAGAGCTCGCCTAGTGTAATTGATGTTTGTAGTAGCATACACAAGTGCGCAGACGGTGCAGGTGTAAGATGAGCGTACTCTAGTCGCGCCTTCCTGTTTAGCTGGTGTGTTGCAAATACAAAGAGACCTCGAGTCTCACTCGCACTCACAGCCACAACTTCTACTCGCTCTCACACACAACACACACGTGGAAACCCCATCCAGGTTTGGCGTTTATTCCGGCGTTCTTATGGCAGCCTCTGCAGCATCTCAGCAACTCACCTTTTCTATTACTTGCATACGTAGCTGTATCAGTTACATTACCGCAGGTGGCAACGTCGGTTGTGCGAAGAGTTGATGAGCGTCAACCGTGCTAGCTTCTAGGGGCAAGGCAAGTACAAATCCGGGAGCTAACGGCTCGGCATCACGACTGATTCCTGCTCGAACAAAGTTTCCAGTGGGCACTTACTACATGCTGTTTCCGCCTCAGAGCTTGAAAAGAATTATGTATCTTCCTCGAGCGAGCTCAGCAAGCTAACATCCAATGAAAATCTTCTAGACGCACAACAAGGCCTGTGAATCCTTTGCGATCAGCCCATGATAAGACCGAGGATCAACAGTAACCCTGTCACGAACATAGTTTCCACCCATGCTGACTCGACACTCTTATGATATGTCACATATCACCCTTAAACCGAACAAGCCGGGAGTGGGAAGTCTGTCTGCCGGTGTCCTCTCACCGCGACCTCTTTCCCAATGCTCCGAAGCGGTCCCTGACCGAGACCCCTGCGGTATGCCCACCCAGTCTAGGGCACACCAAGCCTGGCTCTCGGTTATTGACGCACGATTAAGATTGCATCTAGAGGAGGCACCCGGTGCAATTATAATCAACCGGGTAGTGACGCCGGAGCATTCGCCACGCTCGTAGGCATTGGGAGTGGGAAGTGCGGCGTGAAGGGGCGCTTGATGGTGACTTGGGGTCTTCACGTCTTCCAAGACAGTACGCCAAAAGCCGAAACGTGCCTTTGGTGACTACGAACGCAACGTTTGTGAATGCTAAAGGAGGAAGCACAAGTTTTTAGGTAAGAAAGGTAAAGGATGATATATGATGATGAGAGCCGTGCAGGTACGAGTGACGCGGAACTCCCGAGTCGAGTAGAGAATATGAGCGTCGATCTCAGCCTCTAATTACAACATAATAGTAATGGTACAGGAGCCAGTCTATGAGTATCATTCGTCATTCTTTCACCAGCTTGGAGTGTTGAGAGCAAGACCCATCAGACCACCACCGATGAGTCCGGCGATAGGGATGGTCATAACCCAGGAGAAAAACAGCAGACCAACTCGTTGCCAGTTAACAGCGCGGAAAGTACCGTTGCAGAGGCCAACACCGACGGTCGCACCAGTGATGCACATGGAAGTGGATACAGGCAACTTGTACTGCGAGAAAATGAGGATGGTGATGGAAGCACCGAGCTCCATAGACGATCCTCGAGATGGGGAGTGGTACGTAAGCTTATTGCCCATGACTGTCGAACCGTTAGCGTCTGTATTTCAACGCCAGAGAAGCAAATTCCAACTTACCCTTCATGATGTTATAACCGTATGTGATGAAACCGAAACAGATTGTCAGGGCCACGACAGCGATCTGCCAGAGCGGGACCTCCTCTTTAGACTTGGCAGTGTTGCCAGTGCTCCAGGCAGCGTACATACCAGCCCAGACACCGACAGCGTTACCAACATCGTTGGCACCGTGGGCGAAGGAGGCAGTACAGGCGGTGATGACTTGGACGAAGGAGTACAGGTATTCAGTCTCGTTGGCATACTTGGGAGCATGGGAGTACACGCGATCCATGCGGCGGCCTTCAGGAGTGCCGAGAACACCAACCTGTCTAAAAGCAAATTAGTGAGATACCAATTGAAAAATAAGATTGACTTACGCCTTGTGAATATCGTAGTGAAGACCATATGTCAGCGCGATTACAACATACGCGGGCAATCGAGTCATGAGAGCCTTGAGATTGTGCACTTCGTAGATAGAGCCTGCGCCCATGGGGTTTGCGTGCAAGGTACGCATGGCCCATCCAAGAGGACCCTTCTTGGTCCTGAGCTCCGCATGGTGCTGTTGGCGGGCCTTTTCAAGGAGCGATTTGTAGTGTGCGTTGGCATCCTGGTACTGGGCGTTCTCGCCTTGATCAACGCGTGCAAGAGCCTTCTCACCGTGGTCGGGACTGGGAGAACTATTGTCGGAATCGGCATCGATAGCATCCACGTCGGCAGATTTAGCGAACTTCTCGGCGACGTCTCCATGGCTGTGGCTGTGATGGTGGCTGGGAGGAGCGAGCTCGCCGTTGTCCTCTTCTTCACCACCGTGCTGGATGACGTTGTAGTTGGGAACCTTAGCCAGTGCAGCATCCGCAGGAGCCGGTCTCTTGAAAAGCAACGGCCCCTGGAAGATATCCCAAATCTTGAGCGTGTAATCTTTCTTTAGGACCTTGGCATGTACGTAAGGCAGGAAGAAGAGACCAGACAGGATGAAGAGCCCGAAGCCAACACCAAGAGTGACAGACGCAATGTACCAGGCGGGCTTCTTGTCCAAACCCAAGTTGGGAGAACCCTTGTAAACGATCGAAAGGGTGCAGACCGTTCCAGCGATCAGAAAGAAAAATGGTGACGTCCACACTGCCCACTTCACTGGGTCTGCGCGTTTGTGAACGGTATATTTGATGAGTAAGAAGGTGATCGCGCCAAAGCAACCGGAGATGAAAGGAGCCATGCAAAGACCTGCAAAGATGGCGCCCAGACCCTAAAAAAGTAGTCAGCATACAGTATGAAGCTAATTTCGAGCTCTTCTATGGTGCTCTCCTCAAGATAACGACATGTTTCGACAACAGGAGCAAAGAGCTTGGGGCGCACTTACTGAGCCACCACTCCATCCCCACTGTACTTTGCTAGCACCGACGGTGGCGACACCTACACCAGCGATGGAGGATACCAAAGAGTATGTGGATGAGACGTGGGCAGAGTTGCGAGTACACCACATGACCCAGATAGATGCACCAGCAGAAGCGCAAGCGAAAGCGAGCAGTTGAACACCAGCATTGTCTCCGAAGGCCGAATTTGGGATGATTCCATTTTTGATCGTCGACGCAGTTCGAGCACCCACGGCGAGTGCACCAGTCATTTCAAAGACCAGGCAAAGTAACATAGCCTGGCGGTACGTCACTGAGCGAGACGACACACTCGTAGCCCAAGCGTTCGCAACATCATCTGGAGGCCAATCAGTATGCGCATTGACAACCACTTTCGGGTATGTTGCTCAACGTACTAGCACCGTTGTTGAATGCCTCTAGCAAGGCAAACATTGTGCCAAAGGCGAATACATAGGTGTAGTCGGACAACACCATGTTGGGCAATGAGATTTTGCCGGGTACACTTCAGCAAGGGTGAGAGGTGATGTGCTGGTATGCACTCATCTTCCCTGGGCTACATTATATGTTCGTGATAGGGATTTCTGGGAGACAATTGCCCGTACAATCTGCATACATCTTCAACCAGCGACAGAGCAGCTCGGGCACACGTGGGTCTCGAAGCAACCCATGCCGGCGGTATTAGACGGAGGCAGTGCATGAGTGCCAAATGCCAGGACTCTGGGCAAATATGGCGTCTTGCTTACTGGGCGGAGCGGAACTGCGACTGGGCTGTCAGGTATGTACAAGACTCTCGGCGACAACTATTTTCTTGGCCCGCGCGGCACTGTAGCGAAAAAGCCCTACCAAGTCGCAAGCCCAGACATAAGCGCAGAAAATGTTTTCAGAGTTAGGAAGCTGAATCCAAAATGGGGAACATCTAGGCCACGGAATCGCCGTAGATTCGTACCACTGGTCTCTTGTCACATTCATCTCCGAATGCAGAACGCTTGACAGAGCTCGTGGGGTGCGCAATCGTGTTCTGGGCCAATGTGATCCTCACACGGAGCGCACCGAAATTGTCCAAGACTTTGAGCCAGCTACCGTGCGAAAGCGACACTGGCACGTGCTTGATAGGCTTGTTCACGTCGAGGGGGTTTGGGAGCAGTGAGAAGACGATCGGACTGTGCCGAGCCTCTTACCTAGGTAGGCTGTTGTGTAAGGCTACTAGAGCCCGTTGCTTGCTGGATGAACAACCAGAGTTTCGGGCACAATTGTGGAGAGCAGGGTGTGTGCTGATGCGCAATGCAGGGCGCATCGTGGGTCATGGTCCGAGGTGAAGGGAAATGCCAAGGTCATGGCGCCAAGGACACCCAATGGGATGGTTGAGGGGACGGAAACTACCCAATTAGGTTACGTCTAGCACGTGTAGCCGTCCATGGAATAGATATCATAGGGTAGACATCTTCTAGATCGATTCGGCCGTCTTCTAGGCGCATAAGAAGCAGTTAATCCTTTTCATCTGGGTAGATCGATCAACCCCACGGAAAGTCACCCATCGCTCAGATGAGGAGGCACGGCCCGGCCGCAACGCAGTCATCAATAGACAGTGACGATCATGAGTAGCAAGATAAACTTGAGAATACGATCTTTCTCACTTCAACCTTTGCCTTTGGCTTCCATAGAATGAAGCCGGATATCTAGGTAGGGACAACTAGATTTGCCGTACTACTTGCCTCTGCACTCCAGATGTCACAGTGCATCTGGCTTCCCCGAAGTTCTGATACCCTGTGTTACCCCAGTGTGAGCAATGCAGTACACAACACAGGTCACAGTACTGCAGCGTGAATTATCTCAGTAACGCAATCGTTACCAGTCGCTGCCTTCGCCAGACTCCCTGTTTCGCACAAACAGAACCCGAGTAACGTTTTCGCAACCCGCACCTACTCAGGCCATGCGCCTGTGGCTGTAATGTGGCTAGTTCGTCACTTCCCTTTTCCCGGACGGATGGTCATGACAATGGAAGGCGTGTGCCTCATCCTACGCCTCGATGCGGATTACCTTACCCTTCACCTCTCGCGCGAACTTGCCGTCTCGGCAGCCTTCGACCCAACACATGACACCCTTTTTTCTGCTCCAGTTCGAATTGGCACCAAAAGGCACTACTCGCTACCCTCGACATTTTACGACATGCCGATCGTGTTCGTGATATGCGGCTCGCAAGGACCTCCTTTTTACATCCTAGCGCCAAGGAGCTGTTGGGGGCTGAGTACCATAATACAACTCGCATTACGAACGCAATAATCTGTTTGATTCCGGGACGCAAGGCGTAAGTCAGCCCTTGTTGTGTTGACGTTATGCGGGGTACTTCTCCCAAGACTCATCGCTGGATTGACCAATCAGAACTCTAATAACCCACTCTTTTCTCAACAGAGCAATACTCCGACCACTCCGTATATGTATATCTGCTTGGTCAGCTCACAAATGATGTCGTTGCATTGTTCCTTCACCGCTGGCAATGACGTCTGTATTTCAGGGTAGAGCTCTTATATGCTGTGGGTTTGAGACGTTGTCTTGTTAGGACTGTGTTCCATCGTCAGCAACCTCTATCACGACAGTCCTGTCTTCAGAAAGAAAAACATATGGCTACAACCTCTGTCAAGCTCCAGCCTGTAGGTTCGGATATGATCAGGAATACTGAACGACAGCAACAAGTATCGGATAACAGGTCTGAGCCCCAAACTCCGATCAACGAATTTTCTTCGCTCCCGCCAGTGGACACAGGCAAGGAGGCATGGCTCTTCCTGGCTGCCTGCTGGGGCGTTGAAGCCGTCACATTCGGTAACTTTGCATCTATTTCCGATGCCGTTGACAGTCTTGCTTACGAGATCCAGGCTTTGGCTTCTCTTTTGGTGTTTTCCAAGACTACTACACATCTCATGAGCCATTCGCTGGTTCGGGTAGCACAGCAGCTATCGGTACCACGACGACTGGAATTCTGTACCTGGGCGCCCCATTCGTGGTCACAGTCTGCAAGATGTACCCTCGACAGGCTCGCTGGTTCACGCTCGTTGGTCTCTTCATCGCTTCCCTAGGCCTCGCCATGAGCTCCTTCTGCACAAGCGTGCCTCAACTCATCATCACACAAGGAGTAGTTTTTGGCTTCGGAGGTTGCATCTCCTATTGTCCTTGCACCTTGTATATCGATGAGTGGTTTGTCCGACGCAAAGGTCTTGCATACGGTATCGTCTGGAGTGCCGCTGGTTTCGGTGGTGCGGTCCTTCCACTCGTCCTCGAAGCACTCCTTCAAAACGTTGGATTCGCCAAAACCACCCAAATCTGCGCAGGTATGCTGTTCGCAATTTCGGCTCCGCTGTCATTCTGGGTGAAGCCTCGACTGCCTTATTCAGCGAGTGTGCAGAAGAAGCCACTGAACATGGGTTTCGCTACGACAAAGGTATTTATCCTGTATCAACTGGCCAACATTGTCGAAGCAACGGGCTACTTTTTACCTGCCATTTACCTACCGACATACGCTCGCACGACCCTCGGTGTATCCAATTTCCTAGGTGCACTGTCCACAATCCTCGTCAACATTTCCGCAACTGTCGGCCTCGTACTCATGGGTCACTTCAGTGACAAACTGCACGTCACAACCTGCATGCTTATCTCCGCCGGCGGTGTTGCGACATCAGTCCTCACGATCTGGGGTCTCGCCTCCAATTTAGCGACTCTGTATGTGTTCTGCATTTTCTACGGTTTATTTGCAGGATGCTGGCCAGCGATCTGGCCGGGTATCATGAAAGAGATTGCCAAGCGGGAAGGCGGTGAGACAGGTGGCGCTGCAAATCCGATGGTCCTTACGCACTTGTGCTTTGGCAAAGGCATTGGGAACGTCGTATCTGGGCCGCTTAGCGATGCGCTTATCAAGGGGAGACCCTGGCAAGGGAAGGTCATGGGCGGGTATGGCAGCGGCTTTGGTGTTTTGATCGTGTATACGGGGGTGACAGGGTTGCTGAGCGGCGCGAACTATCTACTGCAGCATCTGCAGCTGCTTTAGATGCCGCTGAGGATCGCGTTAGACATCCATAGGTGAGATGAGGCGCGGGAGGTACATTCTCACTACTAGGAAAAGAAGGCAACATTGCGCGCAATATCAGCCTTGCTACTTCCGAGTGCATTACTATTGTGCTGCGCTAATCAAAACCCATTTGGTATGCAATTATAGCCGTGAGCTTTGACAAGTCAACTTGCGGCAACACGTCATGTTCGTAATTGTCACGTGCCCAGATGTTGTCGCGTTACCCGAATCGCAGTTCGCATGCAACCGCAACCGAGCCACCCACATCCACTTTTCTTCGACATCCCCCCTCTTCTGGTCGCCAAATTATCCGCGTCTTCAATCTACATCACTTCAATCCCAGTCATGGAACTTCAGCGCAAACGCGCCAGAGCATGATAGAAAATCGACATTTCTGTATAAGGTGGAGGAACACGTTGAGCTGACAGAAGATTACCGCATGTACGTGGGCTTGGGGGCGTCGTTGATTTGATGACGAGGAATATGGAGGAAACAGAGGAAGCCAACGGGATTCCGAGCGAGGACGAGACCCAGGGGCGTAGATGGCAATTTGGCCACAGTGTTGACTCAGATACAGCATTGGGGTTCTTGGATGGGTTTGATTCCGTGGTAGTGTACAAAATTGGGGCAACGGAGCAGGTAAACGCAGGTACAGTCAAGTGGCAGCCATTCAAATTTTTCAAGGAGAGCTCGACTGGAATTTTTGGCTCCGCAATTTTTTTTTAGTCTAACCACCGATGTCCGTACACAACATCCGTGTACGTTCTACTCCAACGCCAGTTCCCCACACCATCCATCCATGTGGGGCTTTAGCCTTGTTACTCCAGACCCCGCACACGCTCCATCAGAGACATTGGAAACTAGTACCGACTATTAGATATATGTATAGAATAACACACACTCTTCTTCCAGCACCATTTGTACACAAAGTGTGTCGATCATGGACCCCAGTGAATTCGGCACCTCGACCATTCCCCTCCAGCATGCACCATATGGCCCAATCACCGCGGAAGCACTTACAAATAAGAATGCTGGAAAGGTCGCAGTAGTGACGGGCGCAGCGCAAGGCATAGGCGCAGCGATCGCAGAAGCTCTTACGATATCGGGAGCCACCGTTGCTATCCTAGACTTGTCGGTCGAGAAGCAACAAAAGACGCAAGAAGCGTGCGAGTTCCACGGCGGGAAAATAAGAGCTTATGCATGCGATGTATCGAACCAAGACGCTGTGATGAAGACATTCGATGAGGTCGAGAAAGACTTTGGCCCTATAGAGTGTGTTCGAAATCACGGTAGTCATACGAGTATTGACGATTGAGCAGTATACTCGTGAATAACGCAGGCGTCCTCGTCCAGCGACCTTTGATCATGTCAGACTTCGATTCATTCTGGAAGCAGATTGAGGTCAATTTCAAAGGTGTACGTCTTCTACTGAATCTCTACCTTTTCAAGAGTTGTTCTAATAACTCTTAATTAGCCCCTTCTTACCATACACACTCTACTTCCACGCATGCGCGACCGTGGTCACGGCTGTATCATCAACATTGCATCCCGCAGCGCAACAGTCGACGTACCCATGACATTGGGCTATGTTACCTCGAAGGCGGCGCTGACGCGGGCGACCCACACGCTACAGCGCGAAATGGCGTTGGACGGACTGGATCCGGCCATCCATCTGTACGCTTTGCATCCCGGCGGCGTGCTGACGGGAATGGGAGCTTGTAAGTGGGTCTATGGACGGTATTACGTGTAGTGCTGACAAGCGGGAGCTGGGGCTCCCAAAGATGTCCAGGAAAAGTACGGCAGTCCGAAAGACGAAGAGTATTTCAAAGGGCTATTCAAGGATCCGCCGATTCTGTGCGGGCAGACGTGCGCATGGCTCGCTACAGGACAAGGGAAGGATCTGAGGGGATTGTATATTGGTGAGAAGCGCCACTTAGCTGTGATTATCAAGTTTCTAACGAATGTGTAGATTGTCGGCAAGATGTCACCGTTTTGTTGAAGAAAGGGAGGGAGGCTTTGCTGAAGGAAAAACGTAACGTGCTGACGGTCAACTTCTTAGATGGGTACGAGAATGAGCCCTAAAACAGCTTGTAGGTTTTGTTTTCAAGTCTGCATCCCGTCAGGCCTGTGGAAACGTGTCTTGCATCTCTAAACAGCCTCTTTCGTCTCCGCAAACTCGCTCTTTCCACCAACCTCCTTACTCTCTTCAGCCTGTGCAATGGCAATCCGTTCATCAGCCTCAATATACTCAGCGGGTCTGTGCAGCTGTACGGCCAGCTTGTTGCGATGGACGAAGAGGCCTGGGCTGGTCTCGAAGAAACGGTCGATGTCCTCAAGGGTACTAAATCAATAAGCGCCTGTTTACTTAAGCCATGGAGAGGGATTTGCAGTGATGCTTACCGATTCGCAGTCTCTGGGTAAAAGAAATATGTGATTGGAATGAACGAGAAACAGATCACCGCCCAAATGATCCAAAACTTCCATCCGATGTTCTGGATCCCAGGAAGTGTGACTTGCACGACTGCGTAATTCATGATCCAATTGGTACTCATAGCCAATGAGGCACCTTTCGTTCGCATCTCGAGGGCATTGATCCTGCGTCTATGAATAAACATGATTGGGACTAACATTCTCGAGACTCACTCAGTAGGGTACAACCATGGTACACCGAGGACTCCCATGCCGAAGCTGGCGAAAAAGACGAAGAAGAATGACACTGCTACAATTCCAAGCTTGTACTCATTGCCACCGTTGGCAGAGAAACCCAGAGCAATTGCGATGACGATCCAACAAGTGGAACATGCCGCTGCAGAGACCATCATGACCTTATCCTCATCAGCTTTTGCGACGTTGTGTTCACATAGAACGACTTACTTTGCGTCGCCCATACCTTTCAATCACAAAGTAGGCCAGACATGCAAAGACTAGATAGTCCACTGATCCCGCGGCAGCTAAGATTCGACTGAGCAGCTCTGAGATGCCCAACGCGTTGATAAAGATGTAGGACATATAGTAGCTCGTCACATTGATCCCGGAAATCTGGTTCATCGCCTGCATCCAAGCGCCTAGTATCATGCGTCTTAGCACGCCACTTGGGCCCTTGCCAGATAGCAGTTGCCACCAAGTGTAAGTGTTCATGTGCTCGCGATCTAGAATGTCTTTGATGATGTTGTACTGTGTGCGTACTGATGCCGATTCCGGAGTGGCGCCATGACCCTCGAGGACTGCCAGAACTTCGAGTGCTTCTTCGTGCTTGCCTTTGCGAATTAGTAGACGAGGTGAGTCTGGCAGAAAAGGACATAGTGCGTAGATGCAGAAGGTGAAGAAGAGCTGGAAGGCAAGTGGAAAACGCCATGCGACGTCGCGCGGTGCGAAGGAGAAAGCCAGCGTCAGCCAGTTACTGATCGAGAAACCAGTAATGCAATTTGCTATCGCGAGTTAGCACGCGTTTTCAGGTTAGACAGCTAAACACACCCATCTGAATGATGACGAGTTTGCCTCTGCTGCTCATTTTGCTCGTCTCGGCTTGCCAGACTCCTGCTGTTGCAGTATTCATCCCAGTGCCAATCCCCGCTACGATCCTGCCGATCATCATTTGCGGAACGCCATAGCTTGCCGTTTGGATGATGGCACCAATTCCGATCACGGTTGATCCTATGATGATCTGTCGTGGGCGTCCGAATAAGTCACCGGTCCAAATAGTTGATGTAGCTCCCGCAAAGCATCCTATATTATATATGGACGTGATGACACTCTATCAAAGGGTCAGCCACCGTTTTCCACTATGGAGACTCGCAACCTCACCTGCATGTTGGCAGAAGGGTGCCCGAAGGTGTGAAGAAAGTTGTCGTTAATTATTACGTTGCCATACACTCCTTGATCATATCCGTAGAAACTCAATATGGTCAGATTGGTCTGACGTTCAGTGTGCGATTCTTACATCAAAACAGTGCTTGCTGCGATGCTAATCCAGATCGTGAGTCTCTCTCCGGACCCGCCAAGGTATTTGCGTGCCATGATCAAGTGTGCCCGGGTGGCAGTGGGCTCTGTAGGTTTTGTGTTGTGAGAAGTGACGGGTGTTGTTGAAGGCCTGCGGTAACGCGGAGCCGGTATGGTACCACCACGGATCGGCCTACCGGTACCCTGCTACCTTATCGACCTCTTATATGCAGCTCAAAACTACCATAGGTACTGCCTCGGATACCTTGTTCCTCGCCTTCTTGCTGTTCATCTATCCCGTGGATACCAGGAGACGAGTCAGATGGCGCGTGTTACATTTTCTTGCCCTGCTTCTCGATCAAGTGCCCCAGAGAATCCACCTCTCATTCCTTGTTACCCCAGAGGCCCACAGCGGCTCCCACGGTGATTGGTGTTGGGGCATGATCCGATGTCGCCTGCATATCGGTTGCGGAAACGATTTTCAGGTTGCGAAGCCCCAAGCCCTGCCGTTGAGGCTAATTCACAGATGACGATGCTTGCCGCCTTGGTGAGGCTTGGGCGGGAATGATACAATACGGGATGCCCAACTAGGCAAGGAAGCGTTGGCGCGGGGTTGCGGGGTTGGTGTTTCTGCCGGCCTGCTGCGAAGGTTACGCGAGTGCGGGGCTGTTGGGGCACTCTTCGTGTCTTCCTACCATTCCTCCATCTACACATGTGTAGGGAACATCTCAAACACCACGCACCTTCCATATTACTCTCAACGAATGGTGTTGCACATCTGAAGAAATCACTGACCCGTTGTTACTGACATAGAATAGTCGACATGCATATCATCATGAATTGATAGGGCGTAACGATCTGCTTCCCAGTGAGGTGCAACACAGCTCTGCGCAAAGAATCTACCATCCTCATCATACTCTGGGCGGGTTGCTATTCGTACCGCACCACTGGCATCTGGAATCTCTTTCGGCCATTTAAGAACCAGTCCAAGAGAGCACCCACAATGACGGCGCCGAAAACAGGGCCAGCATAGTTCATGTTGTCTTTAGTAACTGGAAGCGTCTGTGGGAAAGGCATCCACATGCCGACATACGCAAGGAAGCACAAGCTGAAGATGTTCAACGGTACGCCCAGAGCTCCTAGTCTGAAAGGACCATACGGGGGCTTTGGACCACCGAGACGGCGAATGAGCATGAACAGGATTGGCAGGAAGTAGGATACATGAAGGGCCAGTGTCTGCAAAGAAATCAAAGCGTTGAAAGCTGTAGCGCTGGCTATGTAGATGAGCGATAAGCAGATTACGATGAAGCCGACGAGCACCAGGGCGTTAATAGGAAGTTTTAGTATCGGGTGCACCTGGCAACTACGATCAGCCTGTACTCTGTGCTCTCTTGCAAAACATTCGAAAGCATACTTACATACGCGAGAGAGCTTGAAAAAGGCAGACCGTTGTCCCGGGCGAATACCCACATCAAGCGCGATACAGACGCAAATATGTTGAAGAGACAAATGAAGTAAACTACAGCAATCAAACCTATAAGTACGTTTGTTGCTGTTTTGGATCCTGTCGCATTGAAGAGCACATTGAGGATCGGCAGCGGTGCGGCCTCTGGAATGGCTTCCAGGGGTCCCATGAAGAAGAGCAAGATGATAATGAATGCCATCAAGAAGACCGAGTTCAACACGCAGGCGAAAATGATGGACCGAGGAATTCGGTTCTTCGCCTGTTTGACCTCGTCACCTGTTTACAGTCAGAAGATCAGTCGGGAGACGAAGGTTTCTAGAATGCGTACTCATATGCAGGACGCTATCACAGCCAGTCAATGCAAAAGTAGCAGGCAGTATACCGAGCCCAAATGATACGCCTTTGCTATTCCAGCCGCTCAATCCCCAGATCAGGGTTTCGAACACGAAGTCATCACCACTCCGCGAGCCAAAGACTATGAGAATGACAACAAATATGACAAACAAGCAGATGTGAAGCACTCCTCCCGTGATCTCCATGACGTTGAGAATCTTACGGAACCAAAGGTTGAAGGTAAAAGGGACCACGAGCGTAGCGATCATTATCAGACTGGTATGCCATCGTTCAGGAACGTAGCCTTCGCTATTGAAGATCGCGAGAGATGTGAGGATATTGGAGAGAAGCAAAGGTGGCCCGGCGCAAGCAAAACACCATGCAAATACGGTAATCCACCCTACACCGGTCATGAGCTACATCAGATTTCAACGATACGTAAAGCAGTATTCACCTTGAAGGAGGCCCCAGAACCGCGGATATATGGGCGCAAGGTTGGCAGACCATCGATATTGCGCGCCGACTGTTGGATCACTGTAGAATATCAGAGAATACTCATGTTAGGAATTCAGAGTTGCGCACATGGAGGCCAGCTCGGCTAGCGAGAACCCGACCGCGCTCTCTCCAATGCAGGCCAGGATTGCCCCGTAGAACATAGAGGCAGGACCTCCATTGAGTAGCGCAATTTGGAAGCTGGTCGCAAATGACTCCCAGGAACCTAGGATGATGAATCCGAAGAACATTACACTGGACAAATTGATATAACGCTCCAGGCCCTTGGTGTCAGTGCCACGGTGACTTTCGTGAAAGCTCGGATTATGATGTGGAGGGCTCCACTTACCTCGAGTGCATACCGACGGGTCCCGGACTCATTCCAACGCTCATTTGCACGATCCGGCAGGGTTACATTCTTGCATGTCTGGCTTTCGACTCCCAGAGCATCAACCGTAGCCATCAAATGAACCTCTTTGTTCGACATGATGATTGAGAAGTCGAACCGCTATGGAAGACGGCATCCGGACGCGGGGAAAACTGCAGCTTATATGCCTAGGCATATGCACAAATAACGGTGAGCATTTTACGCCCCGTGGTGCCATGCAGAGTACACGGGCGAAATTGTGCGACATCGTTTAGCGATACGCATGTGATTCGTCGTGTCGCGCTGCAGCGGCCATACTGAATGGTCGACCGCGGTCTCGGTAGGCGCATACATCTTCGCAGCGGCTCGCTGTTATTGGCGGCTACCTTATCTGTTACCCTTTAAGTGTATGCACTGCGAGCTTCCAATGCAGAAGAATTTGACCCCAAGACTTGCAACCTTGATACCCATAGCACAGTGTCTGCGCTTTATAAGGTTAATCGAAGCGTCATCGTCATCAGAATACTATCGCAGGATCTCAGGATGACTATGAGGCTGAGCCGCGGTCCCACGTCCAAAGAACCCAATGTATATGAGGCATATCTGAATTGTCCCAAGTACCAATAGATAGGACCCAGCCAAATCCATGCAAGCGACAACTAGGCAATCTGCTGCTCTATCTTCAAATACATGTCGCAGCTCCCTGATTTGATGTCTGTATGCCCAGCATGTCCATTGACTGACTGAGCCTTGCATCAAGGGTATCCAATAATGTTAAAGGAATACCGACCATGTTGGGAAACGCGATCTTCCGTGTGCAATGATACGTGCAACTCATCATACATCTCCCCGTCACATATCTGACATCATCCCGTGCAATTTTTTCCCAATCATAGTCATTGCTACACTGCCATACCATAATCTCTGTACCCATAATTGAGCTAGTTTCGCGTGTAGTGGGAATGCTTGTGTGCTTGTGTCGTATGTCAAGAGCGTACTTAATCATGCTGATCCTTACACACTCCACCTGCAATTCTATTCCGCCTTCTTCCTTTTTCCAACGAGCAACCAGGTCATCCTTCTTAGTTATATTTCTGTGCCTAATGAAGACGCATATCTGATTGTTGCCTAGCTCTGGGCTTGCTAAAAGCTTGAAAGCTGCCCCACGAACATTAGGCTCATGTTTCCACAGCCATGTGATAAATGCGAACTCTAAATGCTAAACATCCCTCGGCCACTTATCACCATGTCTATAGTTGAGAGTGTTGATACATTTGGTTCGATCATATATGGAGAGGGGCATAAGGAAGAGAATCAGTATAGGTACGGACAAAGAAACAATGTGAGGAGATTAAGAAGTTCTGTTGTGTAGGGACAGGTATATTGGATAGTGGTTTCGAAGTCCGAGTGAAGATGTGCCTGAGAATCCATGCGCGCATTAACCATGTGAACGTGGAAATTGTGGCTATTCGACGGATTACTAGAATCAGACAGTGGCCTGAACATGGCTCAAAATTCTCTGAGATAAACCTGCAGATCGGTAATTGAGAATTCTGCTTATCTTTTTCCTTGAATGTCCTGGGGAAAACATGCCCTGAACATGCTACAAGCGTCTGATGGGTGGCTTGAACACTGGAAAGAAAGTCGGGAACACAACAATGATATGAACATATATGTACAGCAACATATATTCTATAGAACAGAAGAACAAAAGAAATCATAGACAGCGGACTTCTGCATCATATTCCTCGTAGTCAAGCGTGCTAAGAACTATCCAAGCTTCTTGGCCGTCTCCTTGACCTAGAAGTTATGTGAGCACTTTCACATGTGCGCGTTCAAGCCGGGTTTTGCAAGGGATGTCTCTACCATAAAGTGCACCCTGTCACAACTGCTGACCATGATACAGTACCCAAGTTCAATTTCACCCTCTCACCCAAGCTGCTTGCACATCGGGTTGTGAAAATTTAACGTGCTGCACTGTTGTGCTTCACAAAAGCCCCTCCCCCATTGATGGCTCTGGGTACATCTTTTGTTCATTTTGACGAATATATGTACTAAATGAGGCTTATCATTAGCCTACCTGGCTTTTAACAGCTTAGTTTATTTTTATTTTTTACCATTTGCTAGGCCTAGGAAACATAATTTCGGAGGAGCTGGGCTAATGATCTGCCTTCCATGGTACGTAGACTGGCTGGAATCTATAAGAAAGATACCTAGATCCCTAAAAAGGTGGGGGCGGAACTTTTGTAAGACACCGATGAAAGTCTCGGGAGCATACCAGGTAAGATGAGCGAGAGTGGATACCTAACACACAAAGGGACTATACGCGAAGACATATTAAGACGTTGATTTAATGGGCCGTTATTGTGCGCTAAACGGGGATCGCATGCGAAGCTGACTCATGTGTGACACAGGCAAGCATGGGGCTGTTGCCTTGCGACTTGGCAATAACACAACCTTGGGTAGGCTTGAGAACACTGCAACGTGCTTCCTATAATTTATACAGTTGATTTAGCCAAGCGCAAGCTGGATTTTACTGGCATCCACTAGGCCATGATGATCAGCCTTGATGATGACGACAATAGTCTTACCATTACCAATGGAATTGCAACCCCTGCATTTGCAGGTGAGTTCTGTTTTCAAACTGTAGCAAATCATCCTAACGTTTGTTCAGAAGATTACAATTTCGATCCAAGATGGTGGACTGGCCCTATCGATAAGATACAAACGCGCCTCGCTCAAATCCCAGAGGATACCGACGGGCTGGCCGTCCTCGTCACAACGGGCGCGTTTTGTCCAATCCACAAAGGACACGTGCAGCTACTTGAAACTGCCAAAATGGAACTTGAATCGCGTGGTATGACCGTCTTGGGCGGTTACATCTGTCCAGACCACGATCAATACGTCTCATCGAAGATCCAGTCCGGCTCACTATCTGCGGTCCAACGTTTAGAGTTATGCGAGATTGCTGTGGAAGACAACGATTGGCTCATGGTCGACCGATGGGCAGCGATCTACGCTTCTGGATCCGTTGGGTTTACTACAATCGTGAGCCACATCGATAAAATGGTCAAACATCACATTAAGACTACTAAGCCCATCCACATAGTATATACTTTTGGTGGGGATAATGCGATGTTTGCATTCTCGTTTGTGGCTAGATGGTCATGCATTTGCGTGCTGAGACCGGGCAGTTTGGACTTTTTCAATGAGATGACTTCATACGATTCCCTTCGCCGGAACCCGAGAATCATCTTCAGTGAAGATACTACCGCCCCGCTGGACTCGACCTCTGTACGCAAGGGTGATTTGTCCGGACTCCTACCGAAAGTCAAGAACAGATGGCTATCTTTACAACAGTCGAAGGGAGAGACCTTAAAAAGCGATCCGAGCATTCTGCCCTCCATTGATACATTTTACATCAGAAATGAAGGAAAATGGGCTGTGCAGCCGTTTCTAAAGCATTCAAATTGCAGCCTCGATCACTCGCTTCAAGCCTACAACATGTTCTGCAAAAAGCTACAATATGTGTTCCAATTAGCTTTTGACTTTCGGCATACAGTCCAAGTGCTAAAGTTGCAAGGCCAAGAGATTAAACTCAGGCAATTACTCTCTGCGGGAAAAAACATCATCAGTCTGGATCCCTGTCTTTCTGGAAGTCATAACCTAGGCGTCTGGCATGTTTCGAGACCATTAGTTAAAGCATCGACCGCGATTGTTGCACATACAGAACAGACTCCGCCTGGAGAGCACATCGGCCAAGCGAAGGCTGGTGAATACCTTCTGCTGGCTGAACAGCTTCCTTTGGACGCCGAGACGGAAGGTTTGATTGCACAACGACTGCCAGCTGGCTGCACTATTTCACAACATCTGTCACACTCGGACCTCAGAACGTCAACAAGTGAAGATATTGCAAACACTTCACAAATTCAAGGCATTCCTCTCAACGCTAGAGACTTCCTCGCAGGATCTCACGAGGCTGGCACAGTGTTACAGCTGGGCGAAGCCCAATTCGTCCGTGCACCGAATATCCTACCGTATGTCCGACCATCGCATCGGACACATGTAGATGTGACGGTAGAAGTTGGATTCTCGAAGGCCATATGGGAATTGAATCGTCAATTCTACCAAGCTGTCGGGGGTGGCCTGATGGTGAAGGATACGGCGCTCGAGTTCCAGGCGCTGTGTAAGGCTCAAGGGTTCCCGACGGACATGCAAATGATGGATCTGTGTGATTGGCATCTAACGGCATTCGAGTACATGGACTTCATTGAGCTCAAGACACGAAAGGAGGACAAAGTGGAGCCAACATACGAGAGTGCATAAGTCATTAGTGTACATCGCCATCAGTAGGCTGGCCTCGCAGCTGTTCACGACCGGGAAGGGTGAGAAGAATGGTGCTAGCCTCATCGCTTATCAGAACCCAAGCCCTTCAATGTCTTAGAACTGTCCCCGGAAGTCCCACTTATTACCATTTTGGGATAAATCTCTCTGATTGGTCAGTGCTCCTCATTGGACGAAAGAGCGTGATGCTTGCTTAGATGGGGGGAATCATCATCCCTCGGACGAAAAGAAACATGGGAAAATGGACATTATTGATATGGGGACAGCAAATCATGTCTATATAAAGCCCCTACTGGAGCGCACCCAAGATGCTCACACCATAGCCACTTCAGCCACTACTGGAAACCTACAGCTGAGATCACGACGAGCCTATCGTCCATCAGCCCAACTGCATACACACCAAGACTCAAATCATTGTTACAGTCAATCGAAAATGCCAGGCGCTATCTCCTTGATCAGAGACCAATACACCACCCTCCACCTGCCCACACCTCCACCCAACATCACGGATTCATGCTACATCGTTACGGGCGCGAACACCGGTCTCGGCTACGAGTGCACCAAGCACCTCCTTCTCATGGGTGTGAGACGCATCATCCTTGCCGTACGCACTCCATCCAAAGGTGAGGCTGCACTCGCCACCCTCCGTCGCGAGACTGGCCGCTCCGCTGCCGGCGAAGTCTGGGAGCTCGACCTTACGTCCCTGGACTCTGTGGAGGCGTTTTCCAAAAGGCTAGCCAATCTAGACAGATTGGACGCACTCATATGTAATGCGGGCGTCATCATGAGTCAGTACAGGGCTGTAGAGGGACACGAGACAACGCTACAAGTAAACGTGGTGGCAACGATGTTGCTTGCGTTTCGAGCGATGCCAAAGCTTCAGGAGTCGGCGAAGAAAGTTGGGATTCAGCCACGCTTGACAATCGTATCGAGTGATCAGGCGTTCAGCGATAACGTCAAGTTGTGTGTAGAGAAGATCGCAGGCGAGGGGAATGTTTTTGAGGTTCTGAGTGAAGAGCAGAATTTCGACGCAATTGCTACGTACGTGTGTCTGCTTACCTACTTGGTTTCTATTCAACCCCTGAAGAGAAGAGAAGATCGTCCAAATCTCTGAAACATGCTGACGAGGACAAGGTACCCCAGGACCAAACTCTTGGAAATCTACATCGTCCGTGAATTGGCAGGACTCCTTCCTCTATCATCCACAGGCGTCATTGTTAATACCGTGAGCCCTGGCCTCTGCTACTCAGAGCTCGATCGCAATCAAGGCTTTCTCATGAAGATCATGGTGAAAGTGTTCAGGGCGCTACTTGCGAGGTCGACAGAGAAGGGTAGTCGAACTTTGCTGCAAGCTGGTTTTGCGGGGGCCAATAGCCATGGAAAGTATTGTTCCGAGTGCAAGATTAGAGAGTAGGTCTCCCGCCCTTTGTTCCCGTGGCCTCTTGCCTTGTGATTCTGAACATTACGCTGCGAGAGTCGGACGCGGATCGAGCTGCTGGATCAACAGGGCTCACTCAGGGCTCCGGATTCTGAGCTAACGCTTCGTAGTGAAAATGTCCCGTTGTGGATCACAAATTCCAGTGGCAAGCGTACACAAGAGCGTGTTTTGCACGATTTACTCAATACACTCATCTCCAGCGGCCACAACGTTGATATCGAGGCTCTCAAGAGCGGGGGAAACAGTGGAACGGTACGCTGATCTATGGGTCTATTCAAAGTTGGTGGATCAGAGCTGTCCCCATTCCTGTACACATCCACTAGCTTCGAATACCATAGCCCTCGGGTCTGCGCGCTGTCCAGCAAACCCATCGACAATTGGTTGGGCTAGCTATGGATGGGTTCCAGCTTCTCCCGAAAACTTTAGCACAAATTGATTCATCGCTATAATTCCATGTCGCCCCTACTTCATTTTTCTAGTTGTCATTTGGCTATTAAAACGTGATGTTTGGATTTACTCGCCATCATGCGTAGGCTATACTGTTCCAGAGCTTACTACCCGCCTCATCGTGAAATTCCGCAATCCATGCGTACGTGCATAGACATCTCTTAACGTCTTCCCAACCTTGGATCTCAAGCTCTTGAATTAGTAAGTTAACCCGTGGCGCAAAACTTGACATTTCATCGCAGAATACGTCATACTGCTCCACCGAGATTGCATAGACGAAGAGAAGCCACAGTTGCAAGGCTTGGAACTCTTCTCTTTCCTCTGTCTCATCTGTAAAGCGATCAAGTCCAACTCTCAGCGTCTCCGACAGCAACGTAGAACAAACCGGCCTCTGCTCGCCATGGTGAAGAATCGTACTCATGAAAGCAAGAAAACCAAGCTGACAAACTTTGTTCAGTAAGGACTGCGGTTTCTTGTCAGAGAGGGGCGCATAATCGGCTAATCGTTGTGTAATCGAAATCACAAGGTCCTGATACTGGAACCCGTCTAGATGCCTGCTCCCAGAATAGCTACACAGCGCTAAAACATCCCTAAGACCTGCTTGCAGAGCTTGTGCTGTCTTGCTCAGTGGATGCGGCATTTCAATGAAAAGCTTTCCTTTGCGCAAAGGAACCACGTGAAGCGTTGCTGGTAGCGGTCCCAATTGTGACCCAAATAGAGTAGGTGTCCCCGCTGAAAGTGCAAGATGCAGATCCGCGCGTCTAACTTTATTGCCTATTTCCGGCTCGCTCTTACACAGCGCTGCGAAACCGCCAGGTTTTGTATTGATGATATGCTTGAGAGCTACAAGGTGCGTCCGGCTCTCATGCAAAGTATCGGTAAGATTAGCGTGGATAGCAAGTGAAACCATGACAGTGAGACTAGATAGTGTTGGCGGGGTACTGGAACTGAGTTCGTAGCGAAGAAGCCGCATAGCTTCCACGAAGTGGCGAATCGAATCGACAGTGGTGTCGGGCTGATTGATTTGACGGGAAATGTGCGCACTAGTCATGGCCATGCCACAATGGAAGACTTGATTCATGCGTCAGAATGATGTTAGGATTAGGTGGCGGGGCTTGCGTATTACCGCACGGGTTACCCATCATGAGGATGAACCAGGAGGTCTCCGTTTTTTGGGACGTGCGGCAGAAGTTGATGGGGTACAGTGTTTGTGATAAAGCGTGATGGACTGGGTTTGATGTTAGTAAACCGAGCTGCATGAGTCATTGAATAGGGTGGGTCTCACGTACATTCATGAATCAAATACTGGCTTGATGGAGTAAGATTATCCGATGTTACGAAATAGGAGAGCTCGGTGCCACAGAAGTAGGTCCAAGGCGAATTATTGGGCTTGATGTACGCTGGGTCGTGGTCAAAGCTATCCTTCGAGGGTTTTGGGAGAAGAAGTCTTCCGTAGTTTCCGTAAGCATTGTCATGGGACGTTGCTTTCTTCTGAAGTAGACGCTCCGCTTCTGTCTCGCATTGTCGCCGTCTATGACCTCTAGCTGGAATGACTTTCCCCAAATTCTTGCCCTTTAGCGCATGGGCGCGGATACGCTTACGCGCAAGCTGACCAAGCGGTGCGTTGTTATCGATGAAGCAGAAATCGTTTGTTGCAATACTCATGATCGAGAAGCCATAGAAGGTTCTAAGTGTCCTTGAGTGTTCAGATGTGTGCCAACTTGGAGTCTCGGAAGGATCGCGGAGCTAGTGTTGGTCCGCGCACCGAGTCCTGCAGCCACGGACGAGTTCGGAGTACGAGCTCTCGCAGAGGTTTTGGATTTACGACAATTGTCAAGCTCTTTGGACTGTAACAGACAAAGTTCTTTTTATGTAAACGTCCAGAATAGGATATGTCGTCGCATGCACTGACATCTCCTCTTCCTGTTACTGATAGCAAAAAGCCATGTCTTTGAGATTCAAGTATCCCCAGGCAGCTCCTCACACCTAGCTACTTCTTCCGCTCCAGTATCTGCATTTCTGAGGCGCATCATCACCCCGTGGACTGATCAAATTATTCACTAGCCCTGCCCCACCACAATCATCGTCGGCCAGTCAGGCGAGATGTGCATAAAAGCCCTCCTTCGCGTTTCCCAGCACCGAAATCGGCTACGCTAAGTTCTATGGCTGTCTGAAGGCCGTATACACATCGTACATGGAGTGCTGGAGCATGTCGCGAGAAGTCCACACTTCCTTAACACATGGGAGAGCTTGGACTTATGCTTCCAAAACATGGAAACCCTTGTCGCATGGGTGAAGAGAGTTGTTTGCAGCCAAAGAGGACTGAAAGCCATATGGTTTAAATCCTTAAAGTTTCGAGTCGCTGAAGCTATGGACCCATTGCAGTCGAGCTTTGTGGTAGAGGACCATTTTCACGCGTCCTTGCCCTTCACAGCACTATGTGAAGATGACCGATACCATGTTCAGTCCACTATTCAAAGCTCTCACACCAGAGTTGGATGCATCGGTATAAAATGCCACACGAAGACGACTGGTCTTTTTCTTCTTCACACAACTCTGAATTCGGCTCTGAAAGAAGAGTCGACAATGTCATGTCTGCGCGCCTTGTAGGTGCCGAAAAACCCTTTAAGGCGATATCAAGTGTGGAGACTTTTGTGGTACTCGAGATTCGAGAGTCGCGCCTTTTTGGAGATCCAGGAATGGGCGTGGACACCGCTACGCGACGAAAACGCTCACGAACGATCTCAGTGTGGCGACATGTGATCCACCTCTTGGTGACAATGATCCTCTTCATCGTATTCGAAGAAACAGCGTACCTCTGCATCCATTATTCTTGGACTAGCAAACGTAGAAATACACTTTTTAATGCCACCATCTTGCTTCTTCACAACGGGGCCTCCAAGTGGAAACCTCGACAACATACGTAGAGTGGTCTGCGGGCGTTTCCAATATTGGACCAGGTTCATCGCCGTGTTTGGTGAGCCGTGGAGAATCTACTAAAACCGTTGGCCAGCGCGATATGGCGTGCATTGAGCGTGACTTAGTGTCAATGTTGCGCGTGCTCAGTGGCCACAAGGGATCTGTGTTTGAAGCTGGACTGCGCAGCTCGTTGCGTTGGAGGCGTTGGTAGGAATTGGTGACAAGGATAGTGGCGGAAAACATCGCGACTGCGTGAATGGCATGAGACGTTGCCGATCTACAACAAGAACTCTACTGCCTTTCCGACAATCACACTATTATCCTGGGATGATGATGATGATGAAAGCAATCTACAGGATAGAATCATCCTTATCATCGAGTGACCTTGTTCAGGCATGGCAAAGGAGCTACCGGAATCAGGCTATTGCGAAGCTCAGCCGCTGTGTAAGACTACGCCGACCTGGATGCACATTCTGTGGTTTTCATGCTTTGCTGGATCATCGATTGGCTTTGTTCTTGGCCTTTGTCTGTTTGTTCAGCGTCGCCATCGACGCTGCCCCTTTGGTCTTCAACATCTTTGTCTTTCTAGCGTTTGATGTTTTCTTCACGACCTCCCCGTCTGGCCCATTCGTCTCTGGACCCTTTTCCTGCAGCTCCTTCACAGCATCCGCCAAATGCCAGGGCACATTCATCTTCCGCCCAAGCTTTCCCTCAACCTGCGCCTTCAACTCATTCACCTCCGGTCTTAGATTCCTCAGATTCTCTCCCCAAGCGACCCACGCCGCGGCTTGCAGGAAGCAATCAGTTATGTCGTCTACCTTGCTCACGTAAGCCTTGTAGTATGCGGTTCTTCTCGCCCTTTCAAAAGGTTTGTCGGTTGCGTAGAGCAGAGCTTGTCGCGTGGCGTCAGCGCCGTAGCCTGTTGGGGACGCCATCCGTTCCTTGTGGGAGAATGTGAAGGATATGTTGGGATAGGCGTTTTCGGAATTTGCGAGGTTGCTGCTAGCGGACAACGTGGTGGATGGGTTGTCTGAGTCGAGCCAGGAGCGTAGAAGCTGGATCTTTGCTTTCTTCTCCGCTTTTCCGCGGGTGAGCTTCTTGGTGCTTCCTGCTTCTTCATCTTCGGATTTCCCAATATCTTCTTCATCCTCCTCAGATTTGGTGGAAGACTTCGAGGCCTTCTTCTTACTCGCTCGCGCAGACTTCGGCTCCGCTGCCGGCGTCACACCATTGAGCCAGAAGTGTCCCACGCGCTTGGGGTCTACAGCATACATCTGCCATTCCAAGAACTTCATGCGTTCGCTCTTCAACGTCTCCATCACCGCCCACATAGTGGCCTCCAGCGTGTTAACTCGTACCGTCCATTGCTGTATCGTAGGGCTCCCCGAGCTACGCCACCTTTGTCGCTCAATGAGAATGATATCGGGACTCCAGTCAGACAAGATCTTGCGCAAAAACCAATACGCCATTCGCGATAAGCTTTGCGGCGTATAAAGGTCCTCATCTTCCCGACCTTCCAAAGCTGCTTCTTTCGCAAGACTCTTCTGATCCCCACCCAGCGAGTAGTCCCGAAATGCTTCACTGAGATCTAGCCGACACCAGGTGCGGATATTCATGTGCGTGCTGTCACGGGTGGGTGTAGGCTTCTCGACATCTGCCACGCAATAGGCAAGATTTTTGATTCCCATGTCGATGGACAAGATCCTAGGTTTCTTATCCCTGCCGTCGCGTAAGATTGAACATGGCATCTTGTTGCACAAAGCCTTGGCGAGGAGACGGTTTTGCACCACGTCTTTGGTGCCTGTTGTAGCTTCTCCAATGCGCTGGAGCACCTCTTGCATTGCCCTGACGGTTGGGCCCTTCTTCGTCAGGAACAGCGGGAAGAAGCTATTCGCGGGAGACATAGTTGCAAGATCCGGAGTTTACAATCAGCTAATGGTTTGAACGAGCGGAAAGGGGGTTTCAAGCATTGAGCTTCATTGTCGTATGGCTTGAACACGTACAAAACGCGTCATTTAATGCCCCGGACTTCACGTATACCATATATCAACAAATGAATACAGACGCCTGAGCCAGAGGAAGCGAGAAAGATACCCTGTGACAGATGCTTTTCGATGTCGGGATTGTGATGTAGGAGTGGTGGAGGTAGAAGGGTCACGATTGCAATTACTCAATTGAGCACTGGCCATGGCGCTAGTCTTGAACAACACACACTGCACTCTGAGCATGCAGTGTGATCATTCTTTCTCGTGTATCTCTGTTCCACTCTCACCTTTCGGTAGCAGGCGACTCTGATCATCGTCCCGAAGCTGGAAGCCCTTCAACATCTCGAACGGTTCACTGGACCCTTCCGTTCCCCCGTCTGGCCTTCGTAACCTTAGGTCTCTCTGTACCTCTGAGTGCCGCTAACGTCGGATCTGAGGCGTGTCATCTGGCTCCTCAATCTCACAGGCTCCTGCGGTGTGACTTCTCTTGTCACAATAGGCCAGTACAGTTCCACCAGCTGAGGCGCACTTTGCCTTCCTCTCGCAGATAGAGCTCTTCCGTGATCACCCACTATTTGTTTCTTCCTCGGTCTCCCTTTCCTGCAACCTACGCATCACAAATGAGATCAAAATCCGGGAAGTCTGGATCAGGTCCAATATTCGTGCTCGCAACCCCGGTCTGAAAGTCCTTCACCGTCGCGATCTTCTGCGCATCCGTACACTGTCCTGTTCTCTTGTCAGCCCCTCAGCTCCGTCCTCCCGTCCCTCTCCCACATGTAATTTACCTTTCTGCGTATCACACTGGCTAACAGTGAGGTCGCCTTTATTCCCCTTCTCGTTCGCCGCCTTACTACAGCTCTGAAATTGATTATCGCAGCTCCTCTGACTCGCAGTATCAAAGTCGGGAAACGTATCCCCATCGACCTTGAACGGTCTCTTTGAGTCTCCAGAGTTTTCGATTGGGGACGCGGAAAAGCCGCCCAAAGCGCTAGTAAAGGATTGCAGGTTTGTGGACTGGCGGAAGAAAAGCGTGTGCCGAGGGATTAGGTGTGTGAAGTCATCGCCGACCAGGTAGGGTGGGGATGGCGAAGAATAGGTGAGGGTGGGGAGCGCGAAAGCGACGAGCGTCCACAGCGAAGGTGGAAGCATGGTTGTGTCGCGATTGATCGATAAGAATTATGGTGATGATGAAGGTAGGCGTCCAGCGCAGGATAGCAGAGGTCAAGGTGGAGGAGGTCGGAACCACATCCTCAGTGCGCTTAGCGACGTTCATATGGTTGCGAACCGCATGATCTACAGGACAGCGCCTTGACGCGCATATTGTTTTGTCGCGTCGAAGCTCACATGAATGTTACTCGACGTGCTGTCGCTTAGGCGCGTTGAAACGGTGCTGAAACATGAGGGTGACGGTGCCCGTTGCTCCGTGGCAGAACGTCATCCGAGAAGCGACTCCACTCAACAGAGACATTGTAGCCGTGCCACCGCAAGGTCCGGAGATGGTGTGCGCTGCGCCACCATCGTATTTGGTCTTGGTGTGAATGAGGTGGTGGGCATGTTCCTGCATCTGGCATGACGGCGAAGTATTCTTGGGTATTATAGGGAGTCCTTTGGTACTGTTAGGGGATGTAGTCTGGGAGGTATCTGGACCCATACAGGCGCTCAGGAGTCATCCACAAGAGCACGACTTTGATGATTTTACACGACTGAATTACTTTTGATCTTATAACATCCATCCATCCATCTCAATTTGTCCAGCAAAGGAATGACATGAACAACGTCGTCCCATTACATAGGATATATAACTGCTAGTGCAAGCCCCATTCTAACACCGTTCTCCCTGGCATGCCATGCTGATGCCGGAGATCAAAGGAAAATCAGTAGAGAGTAAAAGATAGCACCTACTCCTGCAATGCAAAAGATATCACAAAACTATGACTGAGCCAGCCCATCCTGCAGTACAAGTAGTAGACATCCCACGATACAGAGCATAGCCTATGTACGAGTACAGGACAGTCGCGCTCGCGCCAATCTCGAAAAGGGTCGTCTAAGTCGTCAAACAGTCGTCCGAGGATAGCGACTGTGTATGTACACATTCTGCGACCAATCGTCCCACTAAAAATTGGCAGCCGCGTTTGGTCGGCCACCAGGGTTGTGGTACTGCTCGAGGTTGGACTGGAAAGGGCTTGCGTTGCTGTGCGGTTTGTCGCCAAGGGCGGAGCCTGTGCCGGCCATCAGGTCTGCGTCGTCTTCGGTGACACGCTTCTTCTTTCCCCACATGCGCCAGCATACGATAGCAATACCACCGAGAAGGATGGCGCCACCGACGCCACCCACAACACCGCCGATAATGGACTTGTTGGTGGAGCTGAGGCCGCCGCCGCCACTACTACTGGCTCCCGTTGTTGGCAGTGACGACTCGACAGTGGTGCCGGTGGTGTGTTCAACGGTCCTTGATCCAACGCTTGTCTGTACTGCAGTCTGTCCGTTGCTAACGAAGGTAATGACGGTGGTAGTCGGCGCGACTTCTGTGGATACAAGGACTTTGGTCGTGAAGCTGGGGGTGGTGACCTTTGCAGACGACTTGGAAGCAGCAGGCGCGTCGGTTGTGGTGGCAGCTGCGGCCGATGAGCGCTCGGTCTGCGACGTTGGGGCCGCATCGGAAGACGATGGAGCCTCTTCGGACGACGAAGGGTCCGCTGCTGGAGAAGTGGGTGTGGCGGTGGACGAGGGCGCTGCTGCTGTCGACGACGGCGCGTCCTCTGTGGATGATGGCTCCTCAGTCGTGGAGGGTGCGGCAGAAGACGAGGCGCCGGTGCCCTGTGCCTGGCGCTTCTCGCCGTGGTGGAGGTAGGCGTTGATGCCGTCGACGTTGAGGGCGTCCTCGACGCTGAAGGCGGTCGACAGGGCGACGAGAGCCAGCAGCGCGAACAGAAGCCACGACGACCGCATCGTGCTTAGCATGTTTGGCAGAGGAAGGAAACGAAAGAGTGGGTGAGCGGGTGGAGCGAAGGGAGGCTATGTATACGCCTAAAGCGGGTGTTTCACGGGGGTGTATTGATTAAACGAGTAGTATGGCCCGGCGTATCGGCTGGCCGTGGTGAAGGTGGGCAAAACGATGGTTCAGAAGTGGTTGCAAATGAGGGACGAAGGTGCGGGATGGAGCGAGCAAAGCAGGCGGCACGACCGGGAGCTGACAGAAGGAGCCCAGAGAGGCGAAGGTCGTGTGTGGGCCTGCGTCGCACTCGAAGGGCATGGGGGGGAGAAAAAGACAAGGGATTGACGCCAAATTTAGGCGCGTGCGCTACAACTGCAGGCGGCCCAGCAGAAGAGTCGGCCGCCCGTTTCAGTGCATTCTAGACCCCCAACAGCGCGACGCGGCAGAGCGAGGCGCGCAGAGACTTCAGGTGTGCGTGAGTGCCTGAGTGCGTGAATGCGTGAATGCGTGCCTTGTGTCGTGTGCGTTCTTTCGTTCCCCTGGCCAGACAACGCAGCGGCTCCACCAGACCCTGGCGTTGCTTTCACACTGCCTGCCGCCTACTCGCCAATCCGCCCGGAGCCCACCGACCAGGCTGCGTCATACACAGTGCCTCGTACCCCGTCTCCAGCTTTTTTAAACGCCTGGCTGCGTGAACACGACGGCCCTGGACATCAATCCCCACACCTCTCCAATCAACCATCAATTGGTGCAGGTACCTGGGGGCACCGCACACCTGCACAGTACCATGAACGTGACCATCGCTGGCCACGGCCAGCACCTGACCACCCACGAGGCGCTGTCGGGTGTCTTCGGCAGCATCTCGCTCGCATCATGGATCTTCTTGTTGGTGAGTAATATCCTAAAATTATCCCGCGTACCTGCATGTAGATGCGAATCATCCGACTCGGCACGGCATCGCCACTACCTACCACGCAGTTCCAAGAATCAGTGACTGATGAAGAGCACAGGTCCCCCAACTCATCGAAAATTACCGCCAATCCTCCGCCGACGGCATCTCCCTCGCCTTCCTCACCGTCTGGTTCATCGGCGACGTTACCAACCTCGCCGGCGCCCTCTGGGCCCAGCTCGTCCCCACCGTCATCGCCCTCGCAGTCTACTTTTGCTTCGCAGACCTGATCCTCATCACCCAATGCGTCTACTACAACGCCAAGAACGCCCGCAAAGCTGCCCGCAAGGCGTCCACCCGGAGCGAAGACAGCGTTGAGCAGCCGCTCCTTGGACGCAGGGATAGTTCAAATGTCGGACTGCCAGGGAGCCATACGAGAAGGAGGAGCAGTGCGGCGAGTGCGAGGGAGAGGAGGAGGAGGGCGAGTAGTTTGCCGAGTTTGGTGGAGGAGGACGAGGAGGCATCCCAATCCGCATGGCTCAAAAACACCCTGAGTATCTTCGGTGTGTGCGCTGTCGGTGCAGCGGGATGGGCAATCGCATGGCGGACAGGTGTCTGGGTTCCTACACCCGAGAACGATGGCTCCTCCTCGGACCCGGAGACACCTCTGGGTGCCTCGATCCTGGGTTACGCCAGCGCGATATGCTACCTAGGAGCGCGCATCCCGCAGATTGTCAAAAACCAGAAGGACCGCTCGTGTGAGGGACTTTCGCTGCTATTCTTCATCCTGTCGCTGTTGGGCAATGCGACCTACGGCGCGGGCATTCTGTTCCATTCCATCGAGAAGGACTATTTCCTCACGAATCTGCCGTGGTTGATCGGCTCCCTTGGTACGATTGTCGAAGATGTCATCATCTTCATCCAATTCCGTGTATTTGGCATCGGCGAGCACTCTTCTGCAGTGGAAGCGTAACCACGCGGGACGATGACCGCCACCTTGTATATGCCAGAACGTATAGAACGGCGCTATCATTACAAGCTAGATGGGCAACAAAAGTGTTTTCCGGCGTTATGGAACACGGTCTTCTCTAAGGTCTTTGATACCCAGCGTTTTACGCGGAAGTTATCATTACTATCACTAGTTGGGTGTAAGTATGTACGATGTATAGCGTTCAGACGGAATCATGTAAATAGGGCACTTGAAGTGCTTAGATGGCTCATAATCGTGTAAATGACATTTCATATACAAGAATCAAATCCGCCATTATTAGACGCGGATAACTCTGGTATTCGCACAGATTCAGAAGACATTCTACCATTTCAACTCCCCATACCATGCCCACTCCTACATCGTCTTGTTGGTCTCCTTCCTCGTGACATCGAGGCTCGCATGCTTTCTGCAGAACGCTTACTGCGCGGTGTCATACTTTTGCTCGTGCACGGCGATAGCACTGTAATCATTAGTATCTCTCCCGTCTCGTGCCCGAAATATTAACATACCGTCCACTAGGATCCGTTTGTGTACTCCACGTCGGCGTCCACCGCATAACGGTACTCGCGCAATAACTCGGGAAATGCTCATCGAACATGGTCCTGTACCAGTACGCCTCTTTGCTATCCGGCACATCGCTTCCCCACTCGGGCTTGGGATTCTTCATCATCTCATCAGTAACCTTCTTCTCCGCCTCGTCCTTCAGCGCATCGATCCAGCCGTAGCCTACACCGTCGGAGAACTGCTCCTTTTGTCTCCAAAGGATCTTATCGGGCAGGTAGGCGGGTGTCTCAGGCTCGTCGGTGGTGTCAAACGCCTTGCGGAGAATGTACTTCTCTATGCGCTCAGGTTTCTTGATCATCTTCTCCTCGGGGTCGATGGACATGGCGACGTTGAGGAACTGCTTGTCGAGGAACGGAACGCGGGCTTCCACACCCCACGCAGACGTGCTCTTGTTAGCCCTCAAGCAATCAGCGAGATGCAGGTTCTCAATGCGGCGGATGGTTTCGCCATGGAGAGCGGCCTTGTCGGGCGCGTTGTGGAAGTACAAATATCCGCCGAAGATCTCGTCTGAGCCCTCGCCGGAAAGCACCATCTTGACGCCCATGGCTTTGATCTTGCGAGAAAGCAGGAACATGGGGGGTGGAGGCGCGGATGGTAGTTACATCAAACGTCTCAAGGTGGAAGATGACGTCTGAGAGGGCGTCGAGACCTTCTTCGAGCGTGAAGGTGAAGGTGTGGTGTCGCGTGCCGAGGAAGTCTGCTACTTCTTGCGCAGCAACGCCGTCAGGAGACCCAGGAAGACCAATGGAGAAGGAGTTGAGTTCGGGGAGCATCTGCACGGTTGCGAGCTCGTTGGTATCGTCGATGCCGACCAGGCCACCGGGAGCATGGCCGTCGATGGCGTACCCGTTGAGCTTGCCGTTCTTTTCTTTCTGTTCCGCGGCACGTTTCCGTGCGGCCTCGTTGAGGCGCTGGGTTTCGCGCTGGGCAATCGAGGCCACGAGACTGGAGTCCAGACCACCAGACAGGAGCACACCGTATGGCACCTCGGCCATCAACCGCTTGCGCACCGAGGTTTCTAGTGCTGCTCGCAGCTCCTTGTAATCTACGGGCTTTGTGGGGATGTTGTCGGGCTCGACGAGCCACTTCGGGTTGTAGTAACGTGTGAGCTTGTCCGTGTTCGAATCGTAGACATGGCCTGGGGGGGAACGAAATGATGTTGTCACAGACGGGGTGCAAGCACTTCAATTCAGAAGCGAAGAAGACGGCGCCGGGCGTCTGACTTGAACGGCCCATGTAGAAGGTGGTGACACCGATGGGGTCTCGCGCAGCGATGACTCGGTCCTGGACCTTGTCGTGCAGGATCCAGGAGAACATGCCATCAAGCTTCTTGGGAGCATCGACACCATGTTCTAGGTACTGTTCCCAGTCAGGTTTCCCGCTTGCGTGCCAAATGTGGATGTAGACGTTCTTACCAACGGAATGATGACCTCGCAGTCAGAGTGTGTCTTGAAGTTGTACGGGTTCTTGAGGCCTTTGCGGAGGATACGGTGGTTGTATATTTCGCCGTTGACAGCGAGGGAGACTGTCTTCTCATCGTTGACCAGTGGCTGCGCGCCCGTGTCTGTGCCAGTGTAAGCCTTCCGCCTCTGGTGTGCTCGTGTGACTTCGCCTACCAACACCGACGATACTCAGGCGCTCGTGGACGAGAACTACACAATGTCAGTTCTCCATTTCAGGTGCACTGTTTTCCGTAGCATACTCGTATCGTTCGCAATCCAGTTGCCGCTCCAATCAGGCCCTCTGTGCCTTATGCTGTCGCAAATGTGTCAATGGCCACGCACAGCAAAAAACCGGTGGCGAACTCACGCCTTGCCCATCTTCAGGGCCGTGGGCTTGAATTGCTGCACATCGGGGTGCCTATTCTTGCGTTAGTCACTTATCAACACAACAGCAGCGACGTCGGAGGGGCACCCGAGGGGCAAAAGGTGTCTGGACATACCTGTAGCACGCAAAAATACCACACATCTTGCTTCGTTTCCGGTCAGTCAAGGAAGGAAGGAAAGAAGGCAGGAAGGGGTGGGTCGTTTATGTAGAGGGGTGATTCAATGTGATGCTGGGCTCAAAGAAATTCGACTGAGTCAACCAAACCGCGCGCCCGTTCGTCGGCGTCGGCACGCGCTTTTGGTGGGGCACACGACGTTGGACGCCACTGGTCAAGTGTTCTCGAACGCTATCAGCGCAGCGCAGATAGCTAAAACCTTTTCGCGTCGGTAAAGCGCGGCAGCCATGGCATGGGGAAAGCATCCACTGACGCTGCGGAGGGCGTGGCTGCAAGCTGTGCGCTCCAATGACGATGTTGTCTTCGTCAACCCCACAAAAATTGTCGTCTGCATCGCAAGCCCCTCCATTGGCCTGCCCGCGTGACTAAGAGCATGCGTAAAGCGATATCGCGTATCTTCATCTCCTACCAATGATGAAACAGCACAGGCGCATAGGGCGTGGTGAATAGTCCGAGTCACTCTTTGATGCCTTATCCGCATACCATAGGGCGCATCAACTGTGGGATCCAAAAAGCTTCTGCAAGAATCGTATTACGGAGTGTGTTGATACAGGTAGGGCCCATAGTCGTGAATTATGCCAATCGAATCCGTCCACAGCCACCCCTTCCACGTCTCTTCTCCGGGTACAGGTATATGCCCAAAGAAGACAACTGCCAGCCTCCACGGGAATATGTAAAAGCGCCAGGGCGGGGAATTAGGACAACGTCTCCTCCACTTCGCCTTCCATCTCATCACGTACCTTCAGGTTGCTTTCATGACCGTTATCGAGACAGTATGCTGCGGTCTTCTGCGACCCTCTTTCTGTCCGCTATCGGAGCCATTGCCATATCCCAGCGAGCTCGCCTAGATCGACATGGGATGTTGCGGGGAAGCAAGATCAGAACAAGAAATACGCGAGAAGAAAGCTGAACAGGGCCAGGAGGGCCGCAATGTGGATGGGTACGCCGCCAGGCGCTTGCTGGGTGCTCACAGCAGTTTGCAACTGTTCCTTGGAGTCTCGCGTGGGCTCGGTCTTGCGCTGGCGCAGGCCCGTAGATGTCTCGAGCTGTTGCCTTAGATTCGAGATCGTGGCTTTCGCATCGGCGAGCTGGGCTTGAAGTTCTTCGGAAGTGGTAGGGATAGCATTTGCTACACCCGCTGCGGCCGCACTGACGGTAGCCGCTACACCAGAAGAAGTGGCTGGGTTGTAAGCCGATTCGCGAGCCTCTCCCAGATTCTTGCTCTCCGCGGGACGAGATTCTGGGCGCGAAACGGATCCAACGGGCTGCTCGGTGGAACCTCGCTGGGGCGTGACAGCCTCGGGTGAGGGCGACGAAAGCAAGGACTCGCGGTGGGAGGCGGCGCCGTTGGTCTGGGGTGTCGAAATGTTGCCGTCGGCAGGGAGGAAGATGACCCTGATCTTTTTCTCTTGGATTGAGGACTTGGCTGTCTGTTCGATGTTTGACCACTATCTCCATATCAGTCGCGATCCATCCATTATACCCTAGGGGTTGACTTACAAGGGAGGCAACGTTAGTGAACTCCTTATCTGCAGTAACAAGAACCGACTGCACGAGAAACTTGTCGCGGCACTTCGCATCTGGTGGCGGGTCTTCCTTCATTGCCTGGAGGAGGACTGCGACATACGTCAGTGGCTACATAAAGACACATAAGGACCATAGCGTACTTGACACTTCGACATGGTCGCCTGGCTCAATACGGCCAGAGTTTGGTCGCACGCAGTATCTATAGTATTCAGTATCAGCGAGGTGGGGGCCACGGCATGGAGAGGCGGCGCGTACTGCTTGGGAGCGGTAGTTTTGACCTGCGTGCGTTAACCAATGTTCGTAGCGCATATGTTCGGGGTTCACGTTATCCATAGAGATTGTATGAATGCTCACCTTGAATGCCACCGGGTCCGAGTGGTTGTTCCTCAGCTTGAGCGTCTGCGTGACCTCCTGTTGGAAGGGACCTGTACTGGATTCAGCTTCCTTAAGCTAAACGATGGTGTAGCGCGAACTAACGCTTGAAGCCCAGCTCCGGCGGGTCGAGTTCGACAGACATGGTTTGGGCACGAGTGCAGTGTGCGCGGTTGGGTTGGTAATCAACAGGTGAATGTCAACAAGCGTGTGCGACAGCTCGGGAGCAGACGGTAGGGATGTTGTGGTCGCGATACCTTCGAGTGTTTTCGAGGGCAAGTCGAGGGAGTGATATGGAGGTTTGCGCGGGGTGGGTGAAAGCGTTAAGCTGTGAGCGTGGGTGCGAACAGTGTACGTAGCCGGGGGGTTTCCTCTTCGGCTGTTACGGCCTGTGCACAATGACGATGCGAGGGCTTAGCGCCACTTCTGGACCTACGATCCAATAGCTCCAGCTTCCATCGCACCATAGCTTGCTTATACCCTGCCTTTCTTTCTCATTACGCTAGGACATTTGCTTTCCTTTGACCTCTGTAGTCTGCACGGGCAACTAAACTCTCACCACCTGTCGCGCTCTCAGCAAAAGTACGGATTATAACCCCGCTGCTGCCTCCCCTCCAAATATAACACCCAACGTCTGCGCTTGTACCGTGGATCCTATAAACGCAGCGTCTCAACAACAACCCAGTCGCCTTAGCCACAAGACTTCGGATATAGATCCACAAGTCTACACCGTCTACAAAACTCAGAACACAAACTCTCATCCACACGCCCATCACAATGCCTTCAGACCTTGACCAGCTGCTCGACATGGGCTTCGACAAGGAGCGTGCCTCCCTCGCCTCCAAAGCAACCGGCAGCCTGCAAGACGCCATCGACTGGCTAGAGAAAAACCAGGACACGCCCATCGACGAGCTACAAGCTGCGCAGGCCTCCGCCGCCGACGAACCGCCCGCCGACCCCAAAGAGGGTGAGGAAGCCCGCTCACTCGTCTGCGACGACTGCGGCAAGCGCTTCCGCTCCACCGCGCAAGCCGAGTTCCACGCCACCAAGTCCGGCCACGACAATTTCTCCGAGTCGACCGAGGAAATCAAACCACTCACCGAGGAAGAGAAGAAGCAGAAGCTCGAGGACCTGCGGCAGAAGCTTGCTGCGAAGCGCGCGGGCCAGGCAGACCAGGACAAGATTGATCGGAAGAAGAATGAACAGATTCGCATGAAGGCAACGAAGGAGAGCCAGGATATAAAGGAGGACCTTGCAAAGAAAGAGCAATTGAAGGAGGCCCAGAAGAAGAAGCGCGAGAAGGAGGAGGATGCAGCAGCGCGTAGGCGCGTGCTGGAGAAATTGGAAGCGGACAAGCAGGAACGGAAGCGCAAGGCGGAAGTGGAGAAGGCGGCGCGAGAGGGTAGAGCGGCTCCTCCGCCGGTTGCTGAACCCGCTGCGCCGACATCGTCTGGTCCTACAACGTCGAAGCCTGCGTCGGCCTATACCGAGAGTCGTCTTGCGCTGCAGACACCTACCGGTCGAGTCATGAAGTCGTTCCCCGTCGAGACAACGCTTTTTGAGGTCGCACACTCATTGGAAGAGCAGGGTCTCTCTGTCAACTCGTTCTCGACAACCTTCCCCAAGAGGATCTTCGAGAGGACGGACTTTGGCATGACGTTGAAGGAGGCGGGCATGATTCCTAGCGCTGCCCTCATCGTCAAATAGATGGATGAGGCACGTTGAAGTTGGAGTTTAATGGGAGTTTACGGTGAGAAATGAGTTGCGCGACGACGATGGCATGATGGCGATGGGTACACGAGTTCACGATTTACAAAAGCATATAAACATCTTGTGCTGCATGCATTTAGCATAGTGCGGTAGATAACAGCTTCAAGGAGTTGTGAAGCTCTTTGCTCTTCATATCGACGAATTCATGATGAGAACGATATCCGCTGGCTTCCCTTCGTCGTGGGCCAGAACTCCAAATACACGGCAATGCTTCCGTTCACTCGTACTCATCAACATCGTATCGACCCAATTCCCTCTGCGTGCCAACCCACTCCTCACTCGCTAGCCCTACCTCTTTCCTCCTCACCAAACCCTTCGCGTCCCTGCACCAATCGCAAGCCATCCCGCACGACGTCTCTCCATCATCGGCAAAGTACTTCGCGATCACTTTATGTCGGCATTTCATCGTACCCTCACAGTAATCAACTAACGCCTGCATACTCTTGAACCGATGCCTCAACTGCGCTTGCTGCGCATTCACACCACTTCCCTTCTGAGGCTGTCGCTGTTGATCGCGAGCCAACATAGTCAAAGCGCGATCTCGATCCTCACGACTGTAATACAATATACAGGCGGAGGCTTTACCGTCTCGTCCAGCGCGTCCAGCTTCCTGGTAGAATCCTTCGAAAGATTTGGGGATCTGCCAGTGGACCACGAAGCGCACGTTTTCCTTGTCGATGCCCATGCCAAACGCAGTCGTTGCGACTACAACATCATAGCCCTCCTTGTTATCAACCCAGCCTGCGAGAGCGTCGGCGCGTTCCGTGTGAGGCAAACCTGCATGGTAGGGTCTTGCGCCTATGCCGTCGTTGCGTAGGCGAGCGGCGAGCGATTCGCAGTCTTTGCGGAACAGCGTATAGATGATGCCTGGCCAATTATCCGGGCGCTGGTTCTGGGAGGCTAATTGGGATGCTCGTTCAGGGGCGGCGCGTTTTCCGTGGATGTGTTTGAGCCATTTGACGAAGTCATCATAGTGGTCTTCCTCGTCATTTTTAAAGCGGACTTCATAGTGGAGATTGGGCCGGCTGGTGCTCATGCGGAACATCTTCAGCTTGGAGGCATCGAGACCAAGGGTCGTGATGATGTCGTCTCGGACCCGTGCTGTTGCCGTTGCAGTGAGACAGATGATGGGTACATTTGGGAATTCGAACTTGAACCAGGAGAGCTGTTGGAAAGAAGGGCGGAAGTCGTGGCCCCATTCGCTGACGCAGTGGGCTTCGTCTACTGCGATGCGGGCAAGTTCTCGTTGGGAGTGCACAACGCGGAGCAATCTGCGGAAGGAATCGAGTTGACAGTATTCTGGAGTGACATATAGCAAGCGAGTGAGGGGGTGACCGCATTGGAGGTCTTCATTGATTCTCTTCTTGTTGGCGGCCGTTGTGGTGCTGTTGATTGTCTCTACACGTACGTTTGCTTTCCTCATCGACGCCACTTGATTGTTCATCAGAGCAAGAAGCGGCGAGATTACAATGGTGATGCCGATATCGACAACAGCAGGCAGCTGATAACATAAGCTCTTTCCGAAAGAAGTCGCAGCTTGTAGGAAGACATCTTCGCCATCCAGCGTCGCGGTGATAACCTCTCGTTGTACAGGCCTAAATAAACTCATCAGAGTGTGACTCTAGCCAGTCAGGCAATGAAGGCTCACCGAAAGTCCCGCTTGCCAAATACTCTTCTCAATGTGAATTCCAGGTCATAGTGGGGGCGTTTCTTAGTTCCTGGCATCACGGTTGATAATGTCCAAGCCAAGCATGCAAAGGTGAAGTGTGTGCCGAGTAGAGTCAGTTCAGATATTCATCGGTTGGCAACGAACTGAGGAGTAACGGAACTCGCAGGTGTGTCATGATGGTCTCAGACAAAAGCATCAGGCGGGTTGTCACGTCGAGTTCAAGAAAGTGCAAGAAAGTGCAAGAGAGTGCAAGCGCGACGCGTTGTGGACACCTGCAGTGGCGTGATCACGTGCACTAGCGGGGCCCGGGCCCGCGGGCGCGCCTTATTAACTCCAAAACCTGGAACAGTGGGAGTCTCCTTCTCGATCACACATCGTGCAGAGCTCCAAGGATCTTACAAACATATATTCAAACTCGCAAATTGGCGGCGATATCATGTCGCACTAATACCTACGGGCGGCGAACGTATTCATTGTCGTATGTGCGCTTTCACCAATAATACAAGTATCTCCTCCCCTTCGCATCCGTGTACAGTGTCTTCTGCTCATCTGAGAGTGTACTTCTTTACATTTGCATGCTTCTTGTTCGCAATTTTCCAGTCTAGTACCTGCAACATCACCACCGCAAACTAGACAGCTCCAAGACTTAAGCATATAATCCATGCTTTTCGGTACAGAGATGCGTCGCTCCCTCTGGAAATCTGGCATCCGTACGTACCGCCCAGATTCGAGCGTCTAATGTACACAGCATATGCGATCGCTCGAGCCGACCGCGTACTCTCGAACTGTTCGTTTCGCACGAAGTGGACTAATAGTTCTATTGCTAGTAATTTGCGTAGCATGCGCAAATCTAACGCCGTTGTCCTTATATCGATCAATCTGTTCATTCACCTACCGCAAGTCCAGCAATTTTGTCGTCTATCGAGAACAGCAAGGCCCTACGAGCTTATTTTATGCGTCATGCATGGGAGATCTTTCCAGACAACAATTGCGAGCTCCGGAGCGTCTTTGATGCGGCCAGTCATACTCGTAGACGTACGGATGGGGCTCATGGAATTCATTGATGGAGTCATGCTAATCCTCTCAGTTTTGTTTAGAATTGTAGAAACATGTATGTACAAGGATGGGGTGGTGCACTTCACATTCACTATGCGCTTTCAGTCATAGCTAAGGGACTTATGGGGCAGATGTCTACTTTCGCTCACCCCTAGGACCTTGAATCTCGTTGGCTAAGACATGACCGCTGAAGATGATGGCAGTCTTTGGGCGAGGTGAAAGCGCAAGGACTTCTTGGCCTGAAATGTAGATTTTCCCCAGATAAGTGAAGAACATTATACTTCGGCATCCGCAAACTCGAGATTTGGCTGTTGAGTTGCAGCAAGATATATTTTTCTTGTACGTTATTGGCTGAGAACACATCCGGTTCCACTTATTTAGAAACTTGCAGATAACGGACGTCCTAAAAGTAATTTGGGCCAGTAAGAGGCTGTAAATCCCACTTTTATTGATGTGTATCATGATTGGATAGGATCAGCGCTGAATTAGTACGTCCGGTATCTGCAAGTTTCTACGGTACACATTCCTGCGTGCGTATTACACGAGTTTTGGGATGGCTTGAGTGCTCTCCAGGGCTTGCATGAACCGCTCATTGTGGCATCAACACGCTTAGATATGCATCAATGTTGACGAAAACCTGTAAAACACTTTACCCAGTTCAGCGCTCTCATTGCGCAGATAATGAAAACTTCCAAACGTGAAGGGACAGCTCCGCAAGGTATAGTTGCAGCAGTCGGGTATGCGCTCGACGCGCGTGTATGACTGGGATTTAGTCCCCGCGGGATGGCGTGGTCCTCCACTCTCATTTGCTGTAACACCTTGACCTGCCTTGCTTTGAAATCTTACAGGTTTTCTCAAGCAGGTCTTTGTTGCCTTTCTCGAGCTCCAATGGCATGTTATCATTATGTCGTCCATGCACCCAAAGTGTGATTAAGCTGTTCACTTGAGGACAATTTCAAGCAGTAATTATATAGGAGAAGATTAGCAACTGTGTAGGTGGGTTGCGGAGCTCCTGACCTCCCAAGAGACTGTCTCCTGGATATGTGTTTCTGTTTCGGGCTAGCGCATTCTGCTGTCATGTGCAGCACCACGACCTTCCGGCAGACTTCCGGATGGGCAATCAGCACGCACGAGCAGGACACGATTCCCACGTCTCAAATTCAAAAGCAGATGACAAACACGTCTCGCTCTCAACCGTCATCCGGCTCCATAGGAAGCTACCCGCGGATGCAAGCACCTCATATCACCGTCTTATGCTTAGCGACTGTTCGTCCGCCCCCACGAAACACATGTGCACTCATCGCGATCGTGGAAGGAATTTCTACACTTCAAACAGAAGAAAGAAACTGGCGCCCGGGATCCCCTAAGCCACAAGAGCTCTAATCACGGAATAACAGAGAAACCTGTACCATGGTGGCTGGCAATTTCATCTCTCAGGTTGAGGATGCCGTTTACAAATCCGCTTTATCGAGAAACCCAGTCGCGACTAGGTATTCTCTATCGGTTTCTGTCTCCTGATAGGATGAGCGGGAGAGGTGCCGGGCCTGACGAGTGAAGGTATTCACGAAGCATCCCACGCCGGAGTAGTTTAATCAGTTTTCGGCAATTCGATCCTCAAACTCAACGACAACCGGGTTCGCTTTGACCTTTTGACTGGTAGAATGCGTAAGGTGACGTATACATATATCCATGGTTGGTGTGGCATCAGAGGTGGTACACTTCGGTCTCCCTTGCTCACGCTTGTCGGCCGAGCACCGTCCACCCACCTGAGCATTCCTTTGCCTTTCACGAGCGTGAAGGGCAAGGTCCTTCCCCGACGCGAGAGCGCGTTTGAGACGCGATCCGGATGAATTCCAGCAGTCCAAGGAAAAGATGGCTGCATCGGAGTGAAGGTATTCATCGCCGTCGCTCCCTTCTATCCTTGCGATCACCTTTCATGCGATTGTGCGCGTTAACGTAGCTGTGGTAAGCAGAAACTCCACTGAAACTCCAACGGGCATGCTTTGCTAAAGAATCACAGTAGTTACCATCATGCGGTTGGCGGCCCTCCTCTGCCTCCTGGCCACTGTAGTTGCAACATCGCCTGAAGTCAATTTTCCTCTGAACTTGCAATTACCACCTGTCGCACGGGTTGGCAAACCGTACAATTTCCAATTCTCCGCGAACACATTTCAACCAGATCCAGACCAACTCGTCTACTCAATAGCTGGTGGTCCTTCGTGGCTACATATTCATAGCGAGAACAGAACGCTTTGGGGTACTCCAGGAGCACAAGATGCTGGAACGGCGAAATTCACGATCGTTGCAGCCGGTGAAGCTGGTCTAGTAGCCAATATGGATACGCAACTGCCTATCGAGAAAGATGACGGGCCCAGGGCGGATGGGGACATCTCGCAAGCACTCTCGAAGTTAGGTCAACTTTCGGGACCCCAAAACATTACTCTTTTGCCTTCGAAGCCATTCGAGTTCGTCCTAGGTCAGGATCTTTTCGAGGCGAATGGCAAAAAGTTATTTTACTACGCCACTCTTGCGGACCACACGCCGCTACCCTCTTGGATCAGCTTCGATGCGCAAAGATTGCGCTTTGCAGGAACAACACCTTCATCAGTTAACCCGCAGACATTCGAGGTCCTTCTCATCGCTTCTGATACACCCGACTTTGCGGCCGCGTCCACATCTTTCACTATAGTCGTGAGCAACCACCTGTTACTTTTCAAGCCGTTAATGCAGACCTTGAATGTGACAAAGGGGCAAGGTGTCGATGTCACAGGTTTGAAAGGCATGTTGTATTTGGACAATGCGCCTATTCGCGATGACGATATCCAATCCGCCAGTGTCAATGGACCGAAATGGTTGTCATTCGATGACCACTCCTTCGACATCAGCGGAACTCCTCCTTCTGGTCTCATGTCCCAAGACATCTCAGTCGTAGTGAAAGACAAATTTGGAGGCTCCGCGGAGCATACAATCCATCTCGCGTTCACTTCTCAATTGTTCATGGGAGAGATTGGCCACTTGAACGTCACCCCTGGTGTCTACTTCGACCATCAAATATCGAAATCGATCTTGTCACTGGACAATGAGACAGCTTCAATGGAATTCGGTAAACTCAACAAGTGGCTCAGTTTTGATTCAGGTAATTTGATTGTGTCGGGCATTTTACCAGAGGATACCGCAGCCTGTACGGTGGAAGGATACCTAACGGCAACATCATCAGATGGCAAAACAAAAGACACGCAAGCGTTTCAGATTGATGTGTTAGGTACCGATGCGGGTAACCCCTCCAATTCTCTGAATTCGGACACTGAGGATAACAAATCTGGTGGCACGGACACTAAGGGCTCCTCGAAGAAGAAGACTGGTATAATCGTCGGTGCTGTCCTATCGTCACTGTTTGCCGCAGCTATATTCATCCTTCTCTTCTTGTCATTCTGTCGCCGGCGGAAAAACAACGAGCAGGGTTACATCAGCCCCGGTGCTCCCGGCAGTCCGCGCAAGAAAGACATCTCGCGTCCGATTCCCATCGCTACAGGGATAGGAGACATTGACAGAGCAGAGTATGAGGATCTCGAGAAAGGGAAAATGGAAGACTCTCCTCCTCGAACTCTTGAGCGTCCTCCTCAACTTCACCTTCTCCCGCTGCCCCTGATGAAGAGAGGCGTTTACGCTCACTCACGCGACACATCTCTGAATGATCGGGACGACAATCTCCTCACGACGTTGCACGAATCGTTCAACTTCAAGGCGGAAAATGAGCCTATACACCATCCCGCAACCTCAATGCAGATACCAACCGACATGTTACGAAGGAAATCGGCAGGTTCACCCGATCTACAGCGAAAAAGTACACATGACGCTTCAAAAGCAAAACGCCGTAGCTCTGGTTTCCCAGTCACTCAACGCTCTACACGTCGAAGTCACGCGCAATCAGCATCGCGCGGGACAGATGCCTCTGCCGCACAGCGGACTTTAAGTTCATGTTCGCAGACTACCGCATTGTCAACTGTTCCATCTGCATTCCCTCAGCCATCGAAAGCGCGTCATACCATGCAATTCACGACCCCACTTGAGAAGCGCCAGAGCATCCGACCAGTCGTTCCATCCATTTACGAAAGTCCTGAGCGAGTGGATCGCTTGCTCGACCGTCGAACAATCGACGAAAAGCGCCATAGCTACATTCGAAAACGCGCTTCCGCTCAGCAGTCTCCCCTCTTCGCCGGCTCCCGCGTCTCATCATCCAATTACAATTCTCCTCCTGGCTTCATTGGTGATCCGGATATGGCGCAAAAGACTCCCTTGAAGGCGATGTCTCCTAATATATTTAAGGCGAATGACACTGTTCGCGGCCCGGACAGCGACCTCCCCGAAAGCCTCCGCATTCGAAAGCCCGCCGATACGCCGTCGCCAGCTACGATCCACTTCGACATTTCGAAAAGTCTGAGGAAGAATAGACCATCGAACGGTTTCGGGCGAAGACATACAGACATTTCCTCGGCGAAAAGTAGTGATGTAATTGAGCCCCCGCCGCGGTCTAAACTTCGACCAGGAACCGCTGTGTATCAGCCAACAGGCATGAGCAGTCAAACATCCACACAGTCAAGCCTGCATGGTCCAATGATCAGAGACAAGTTGAACAAGACGCTGGGCGAACAAGTCTTCAAGGATGCCGAACTGAGTGAGAGCAACTACTCCAGCGAAGAAGACGACATAATAGACGCGGAGCGGCGTCACACACTCAAGCCAAGCAACTCGGTCAGGAACTGGATCGGTCCACTGAAGATTGAGAAGATCGATGGGAAGGTTGAACGCGACAGCAAGCGCAAAAGCAAAAGAAACAGTAAGAGGAACAGCAAAGCTCTCAAACGCGCAAGTGAACGCGATCCCACACCCTTCTACCGCCCCGATCGCCTCGAACACGGCGGTAAGGAGAACATCGACTCCTCCCTATACAGCCTGGCCGACAAGTCTGTAAAGACATCTACAACAGCGGAGTCTAGACATGAACGAACATCGGCCTCATCCCCAACCCGCCCGAAAACCTCCATAGGCAACCGCTCCAAGATACGCTCTGGTAACCTCTACCGCACGGTCACCCGCTCTCCATCCAACCGCACCAGCACCGCCTCCTCTCACCCTCTCCCATCTTCGACCAACGAACGCCACTCCCGCAAGTCTCTGCACTCACGCTCCCAGTCCCAACAATCCGCCTCCCACCGCCCTAAACGGCACTCCCGCTCGCGCACGCAATCAGGCGCCTACCCCCGCTGGGCAGATATCCGGGAGTCTGCCAAGGCAACCTCGTGCAGCAGCACGAGTACCACGCGCCTGCGGCGCGACGGCGACACCATGGAGTCCACCACTACCGGACGAGACGGTGCCAGAAACGTCGGGTATGGCGAGGACGAGGCGCCGTGCATCGAAGAGCTGCGAAGGGAAAGCATTGGGATAGGCATTGGCGGGCCGGCTTCACCGCGGCATTCTAGACTCGTACACATGCAGTCCTCGCCGTTTTACCATTCTAAAAGGGATACCGCTACCCGTCCTTCAACGCCTGTGCAGTCTACCGCTGTGGGACTGGGGCTGTCGCTGTTGGAAGGAGGGCATGCCGCGGAGGATGCGACGCCGGGGCCTGAAAGCGCGATCAAAGAAGGTAGGATTATGAGAGAGAGTGTGGTGGGTGGGATGGGATGGGAGAGGAGTCCGGAAAGGCTGAGGGTGGTGGAGGGGAAGGGAAGAGGCCGATTGGTGTGGAGGTAGACGAGGAGACGCAGCGGAAGAAGGGTTTTGGGAGTTTAAAGGGGGTGTTAGGCAGAGGGTCGAGTATTTGGAAGAGTAGGGAGAGCAAGGCTTTTCTATGATTCTATAGAAGCTCGGGCGAGGATCGGGGACGATTAAATTGCTTGTTCTCTTGGAGCGTCGACCTCAGAGGATGGGGCTTCTGGTCAACAGGCGAAGAACGAAGCGTTTGCATCTGTTTCCTTTCCACAAGCATATGCAAAGATATTTTTCGTTCCCTATAGTTAGATACACCGTAGCTTTCGTAGCTTGTGATATGCAAATCCCAATCCTACCTTCTATCTGAAACGCCCTTACATGCAATACCAACTGCTTCCCATAGATGGAAGACCTTCTTTACAACTGGATATCATTGTTGAGCAACCGTACCTCTTCGCCTGGCTTGAAAGCTGGCAAGCCAATGTACGGGCATCCGTCGCACCTGAAGGCATCACCTAGTGCGCAGTTTCCACAACTACCGACCTTGCCTTGTACGGTGAAGTCTACCTCTGTAAGATCGTCGGCTCCTAGCTTCATCGTGTTGAGGGCTTTGTCGGCGTTGGCACGCTTCGCGGCGTCCTCGGCTTCGATCTTCTCCTTCATGCCGCAAGTGCAGTCTTTGCAGGCGCGACGCCGCTTTCCGGCTTTGGGTCGGCACTCGGGCGCTGAGGATCGTTAGCATACTGGCGAGCGAACGTGATGTTGCAATCGACTTACGTTGGATGATCGGGCGAGCCATGTCTTCCTCTGTGATCAAGTCGTCCTCGTCGATCAAATCGTCATCCTCCCCAGTTATGATCTCAGCATCGAGGTCATCGCTGAAATCGACAAAGCCCACGCCGAAGGGCTGTGCGGGCTGTACAGGCTGTACAGATGGCGCTTGCTCGCGCTTGCCGTTGAGGTTGAGGGGTACTGTGCCATTCACTCCGTTTGCGCCGCTTGTCTTCTTCCTCAACTTGAGAGGTATAGATACACTCTCCACCTGCCCCGGCTTCATCATACCGTCTACACCGTCGACCAGACCAGCAAGGATAGCCTCAGTCTTCTCAGCGCCACCAGCCGCGCCAAATACACCATCTTGACTCTTGAGTACACCTCCAGCTTTGAGTGCGCCGACAACCTTGTTCATGACATCTCGGTCCAGCAGCTTGTGACTCTCGCGCGTTGTGCCGTCGGCGTCGGTGAGCAGTAGTACGACATCGTACGTGGAGGATGGCAGCTGTACTAATCCTGCTGCGAGGCGATCTAGCATCTGCAAATCGGTAGAGGAGCGGTCGTGGATTTCGTAGACCTTATCGAGCACTTCAGGATGCGCCGCGATAGAGGGACCTGCGAGGAGAAGCGTGCGGGCCATGGTGGGGTTGGTTGCCTCGCGAAAACCAAGTCGATGTGGCGAGGGAGTTTGCAGAAACGTGCGCTGGCGAGGGGCGGTACAGTGAGAAGAGGGAAAGCAGAGTCAAAGGTCGGTCTGTTGTATTAGCAAGCAGCTCCGACCACGCTGTCGTACCTTCGCACTTTTTTAGGACTTGCTCTGCGGCGCCCGGAGAAGCGCAACCTGCCAATCACCCCACCTGCGACGCATGCCGATGCGTAAGCAGCAATGTCAGGTGATGCATTCGGCGCCCGCTCGGCATGAGTGGGGACGCTCGCAGCGCCGACCACGCCCAGCTTCAGGACAGACCCACTTCGAAAGTCTGGGGTAAAAGCGCCACCAAAGCTACTCAGCTTGCGGACGAGCTCCGACAGCTGTTCGGCACAGCTGCAATTCTTGTGTTGAGAGTGGTAGAGGTTCCTGCAAGCTTTCCGATGGCTGCCGGGGCGCTCTTGCCAGTCTGTGAGGCATTGTTTATCGTCGCATTGCTCACACGAGCATCACACGTCTAGTGTGACGTAGCGACCCATTCTGAGCAGTGCCCAGGGACCGCAGATCGCCTCACAGCATTCTCAATTGCGAGCGCAATGCATCTCTCGGGCCGCAGGGAGGGATCCAGGGTGCAGGGAGCTTTGCAGATAGCTGCATCCAACATATATAAGGGAGGCTGTTGCATCAGGAGCGGGGTCTCTCCTGCAATTGCTCGTTCGCGTGCGTCGTCTTTGTCCGAGCTTCACCATCATCATCCCACCACCGGACCCCAGACACTCCAAGCAAGAGCCCAGGTCAACCCAGAACTCATCACTCTGCTTCACATCCAACAAGCGGAGCTGCAAGGTACGGAAGTCGACGCCCGCGCCCCTCGACCGTGGCTTCAGGATCGGACCGACATCTGCTGTCATTGGTCCGAGCTAATGTGTCTCGTGATGGCAACTGACTACCTTCTAGAGCTCTCCACTGGTGCTAACTACTTGACTCCCAACATCCCCTCACCAGCTCCAATCTTCACACTCCTGTCTTCGCCTCACCACTCCTCTCAAACAATCAGTACGTGCTGCCGTTCCTTCCGCAGACCGCCGCTTCCCTAGCAACTCCCGACAACGGCTTGGACAGATGCGTACATCTCAATGCCTCCCGGACATAGCCGTTGCATGCTGCAACCGCGAGCTTCAATGCTAACCAATGTCCAGTGACGCGCTCCCACAAGTACACTGACCGCGACCATGCTGGCCTTGCCGACGGGTCCGCTCACCCTGAGGAGCACCTTCCTCGATACTTCGCCAAGTCAGGTCATGCCAATGAGGACCCCAACAAGACCAAGAAGAACGGCGGTGGTAAAGGCAATTGGTAAGTGGAGCGTTCATTCTCACACTCACTACAATCCCAAGCTTTCGGGTCCATGTTGAGCACGACTCTATGGCGAGACCCAGGGTCCCACATTACCTCAAACTATCCCCTCACCTATTGTGTATATATACTGACTGCTTCTTCTCATAGGGGTCAAGCTGGTGATGAGGTTGAGGATATGAGCTACAACATAGCCAATGCTCGTCGCCGAAGCAACTCCAGCACGAACCCCACTCGGGACTTCAAGACCAAGTTTGAGACCATCGAGCCTGAGCCTGTCTTTGAGGAGGAGCTCCATGGCCCCATGGGCGCTGAGCTGGACAAGGAGAGCACCACGTCTAGCTCCAACACCGTCGAGGAAGAGGATGCCGTGAAGAAGATCTAAGATAATACTCGAAAGAGACTGCTAGGAACGGGACGGACCTGAAACACATCTATGACGGCATGAGCATCGTTCACTGCGGGTCAGCTGGCACGTTCACTCGTCGGAAGTTGACGAAGCCCATGTTCCGGGTATGGTGGGTTGTAGGGCAAACTGTCGATTGCCGGGCAAACAGTTACAATATTCTGTACTATGTTTTCTGCCTGGGCGAGCTGGTGGCACAGCGCCTATGGTGTTTAGGAATCGGCGTCGTCTCATCTCTCTTTACTACGATTCTCTTCGGTTGGGCATGGGTATCATGAAAGTATGTTAAATGACCTACAATGTAAAATAAATCAATGGATGTATGATCTCCACCACATGAGGATGTCGATGTCGTGGGGCATAACAACGTGAACGCACGAAGTAGATGTTCTGAGATAACACGAAGCCGATCTGACGTCGACTTCGTTCACTGCTATGGTGAGGTGGTGAGTCGCGCTTGCCCCGTGCCCCGTTAACCCCGTGCCAGGACCACATCCCTGTCCGAGCTTTCCAATGGTCGAAAACATACAGCGCATACAAATCAATCAATACATACCGCAAACGCACCACGCGATCGGCGGCGCATCGCGCAACTCTCGACCTTGTTTGCGCATCATGTTCTCCCCAGAGGCTTCAATGCAGAGTGTGCGCAGCTCGCAACGAAACCCGCGTCGGCGCCCGCGCAACTCGACTGAACCGCAACAACAGCAGCCCCGACGGAAGCGTAGCAAGTTGGGCGATGAGACTTTTGTGTCCGTGGGAGACGAACCATTCGACGATAATGGCAAGGGGATTATGAGTTCAAATGGGCATGCAAGCCACGGCAGCGTCGAGTCGAGCTTGGTGTTGTTAGACATGCCGGTTCGCGAAAAGAAGGGAGCTGTGAAGCGCGTATTCAAGGAAGACATCGCTTTATATCTGGTGGGTGCAACTACACGATGAACATGGAATAGTCCTGCTGATTCTTGCATGTATAGAATAAATGCGAAAATTACAGCGTCAAGAGGCTGCCTAGCTTCCCGTCAGCCCTCGCCGGCGGATCCAGTACGTTAAAATCGCCTTCTTGTTCCCATTCTTCTCCTCCGCTGACATTTGTGTAGCTCCATTTCGCGCTTCTGCTCTACCTGTAGCTGGCCTCGCGCTCGCGTTAACGTCCGACCAAGCGCTCGTATGGGACTACGCCGGTGCGACTGGCGTCTCCAAGATCCTCGCTCTCCCCCTACCACCCGCTTTGAAGTCCATCGAGCCTCTACCACTGGGGCAAATCGTACGCAATGGTCCGACAAACGACTTTGGTGTCGTTGCTGTCGCACCATCCACCGGAAAGATCGTGTTCTGGGAGAACATCGACAGCGCCGAGACACGCAGCCTCTTTACTCAGCGCAGGCAGGGCATAGAAGGTGCATTGAAACTTTACTCTGGAGAACGAATCACAAATATCGTGGACGTGGATCATGCGGGTTATATCCTCGTCTTGAGCAGCGGTAGACTTGCGCAACTCACGCTGAGGGATGCTCAAGGTCGACCGAGCATCACCACCAACGTGCTCAACAGTCCCAACGGGTCCTCCGGCAGCTTGTTCAGCTTAAAAGGCCTACTCGGCGGCGCCATTCGGAAGACGATCGCATCAGTAAAGGCACATCCATCCGAATCCAAAGGTCAAATGGAAGTCATCGCCGCCACTAGGAACGGACTGTTCCAATTATGGGACTTGAGTTGGTCCGGGCAGCAGATTTTCAAGCGCGAAATCGATGCGCGAGAGAAGATACTGGGCACGGTACAACAAGGGAGCCCGCCAGAGATGCGCGGGCAACAAGACATTCAGATTTTGGATTTCTCAGTCCGAGGTCGTTCCCAAGAACCCGGTGTGACGGATGTACTGGTTCTTGTGACACTTTCTGGACACAACATGTTGGATCATTTCCTCTTGGAGGTGGACATAACGGAAGAAAATGCGATAGTCAGCCTCGCGATTCCGTTAAGCAACTACCACCCAGCGCAACTACCAAAAGAATCCACCGGAACGCTCCTCTTGCCTGAGCCTGGCCATACTGCACTCGTACAATTTCCAGATGCTGTAGTTGTAGCTTCGCTTGCCCAACCGGAGGAAAGCCCGGAAGCCCAACTTGTCGCCGACTCTGGCGTACCCGTCCTACCATACCAAGATTGTATCTACTTCAAATCTGACGCCCATGTGCAATCCGTAGGACACGCTTTGGAGCCAGCCGGACGAAAGAACCAAACCAGCAGTGCCATAGTCTTCATCCAAGACTTTGGTATCCTTCAGGTAAACGCCTACGGCGACGAGTCAAAGGCACGTTCCAAAGTTAGTGCTAGGAGCAAACTACAGCAAGCGACCTTTTTCAGTACGGTGCCTGGAACGATTCTGGACTTTGCTACTAAGGGAAGGTACTCTTTCAGCCAGAGTGCAGTAGAAAGCGCCGCAATCAGGATTAGCCAAGGTGTCTTGGCTTCAGCCTTTGAACAGCTCGAAGGGAATTCGTTGATGTTGGAAGATCAGCTTCGCAAGCGAGCCCTTGCTCTCCAAACGTTGAATTCACATCTACGAACACAGTTCCCCGATTTGTCCTTCTTGGGTAGGTGGCAATTGTTGTGGCATGCTGAGAAGCTTGCTGCTGCCATAAACATCTGGGATTGGTACCAGAAGCAGCTGCGGAAACAAGAGACACATCCCGACCTTTTTCCCGAGAGGAACATCATGGTTGACATTATCAAGGCGCTGCACGAAAAGTTTAAGACACCGATCGATGAGAGCAAGGGCGAGAAGGACCCGGTTCGGCAATTTTTCCTCAAAGATATCGAATCGCTAGACATTCTGCTACCTTGGACATGGAATTATTTCAGGCTCTTTTATATCGCTCCAGATCGTACAACGTCCCCTCAAATCAATCATGCAACGCTTACGCGAAGCTGACGAGGTCATGCTTACTGCTTTCGAGACGGCCTTTAGCTTTCGAAAGGAGAACATTGAGCAGTACGGCCTGGATGCGGAGTCCCTGGACAGCGATGGCATCTTGCGACCAGGGCAGGGTTATGACAAGATCCCACAGAACGTTTGGACCTCCACTCACAACCTCACGGCTTCCGTTCGGAGCATCGTGGATGCAGGTCGCAAATATGCAGATGACTGCTACGAGAAACGCGAGGAAGAAGCTGTTGCCGGGGAGGTTGCCCAACACAATCCGCGCCTGGTACGGATAAGCTGCCAAACTCATATCGAACGCTTCCGATGGGCGCTCGATCAGAGCGAGAAGAAGCGGTCGACAGGCATGAGCTTAAGGGATGAGTGGAATACAAACGTTCGGCCGAAGCAGATCTATCACCTAGCGGGCATCGGTCTGGCTACGGAAGGTATGAATCTTGCCGAGCACTATCACGATATGCCGACTTTGGTGGACCTTGTTTGGGAGGAGACATTGTATCTCGAGGAAGCAAAGGCCGAAAATCATAGCAAGATGATGGAAACTGAAATCAACTTGAAGCTTCAACGGATTAAGGACCGTGTGGCTTCTTGCTTCAAGCGATACAACGAACAGTTTGCCGATGCATATTTCTCGAAGTATATCGCCATGGGACAATCAGGACTACTATTAAAAAAGGCACGGGAGGAAGACGAGGACTTACAGAAGTCACTTTCAAAGTTTTTGGGTGCTGACCCTTCGCGGTCTAAGCTGAGCTGGATCAACAACATCTGTGGCGATGATTCATACAGCATGGCCGCAACGGATCTACAAAGTGCTAGTCAGCAAGAGTCCAATAGCTGGTGTAATACTGTGGAGTTGTCCATAGCCAAGCTATCCGCACTCGCGCAGCAAGAACAGGACGCCGAAGATTTCGAGTCGGATTTGACAAGCGAGAGCAGGCGCGCGAAGCTCCACAAGAGCCTCCAGAAAGGCCAGAAGTTCCAGTATCAAATCGAAAACGACCTGGAAGTGGCAAGTATCCAAGCTCAGCTCTACGAATATGTCCACCCTACCATCATCGCAGCAATGGACGACGAATCTGCTGTGCAACTGCTTATGACCGAATACGGGCAAGGACGCCTATCCGAGCGACCTACTCTCCAGCGTCTTCTCCAACAAGGGTTCGAACAACTAGTTCAACATCAAGTGCTGGAGCCATGCCTGTTCATCGACGTTTTGACTCTGATGAACTTCAATGATGCGACTGATGCCGATGCCGAGGCGTGGAATCCCTTCGCGCTGGCTCTGAGGTTCCTTGCCATGAACAATCTTCAGCGAACAGTTGGTAAAGGCCTACCTGGCTTAATTTGGAAGAGAGTTCTGCTACAGGATGACTGGGCCGAAATCGACCGAACCCAGAATCTGTCAGGCGAGTCAATGACCGAATATCTTGGCCAAACCATTGCGGGATCAACTATCAGGACATTGACTGAGTGGACACTACACGGTAAGCACGCCTTATTTTTGCATCTGGAGGAAGTACGGCGCTGACACAAGGCAGATGAGGCAGGGATATTCCGGAATGTTCGACCTCGACGAGTACGTGACATGTTTGGCTCGGGCTGCACCGACGGTGAATTTTGTCTGCGGTTTCCCGAGGAAGATCTACGGAGACCTATCATCCAGGACAACCTGTCGGACGAAAACATCCTTGACGAGCTTATTGAAAAGCACCGCTTGGAAGAATGGTTTGATAGAACTGTAGCGGCGGGAACGTCCCTCGCTCACGCAGAACATGAATATGGTGAGCGCGATCCGATCCTGCAGGAACCGACCGGGGCAGAGCCGATATCCGAGGGTGTGGAGCCGGTAGTCGGAGCGTTGGGCACTGCAGAGCAACGCGAACAGGACGTGGATCGAGATGTGGAGATGCAGGGTTCGTAGAGCGAACTGATCTGGATCATTTTTTGTTCGTGCCAGGAATTTTATTAAGATTGCGCTTCGGGACAGATCGTGGGTTTTGGTTCGGCATCGGGGTCAGTATTAGCATTGGGCTGGCGTTTGCTACAGTAGCCGCGCCAGAATATTGCACGCGCGGCAGTTTTGACGAGCGAATAGCTCACCACCATCTTGTCGTTCATCTCCTTTGTACAATAGTAGAAGCTATCCAAGAGACTTTGGCTGGATTGAACTTGGCTCGATGAGGTGGAAGAATCTGTTCATGCACGAGTGTACATGCTTGTGTTCTTCGGTGAAAGTAATTCGGCGGACTCGCGTCACTGAGGTCTGGAACCTGCGATCAACGTTGCGAAATATGGGGCGTTAGGAGACGGTGTGGCTGGGATGATAGGCCCGCGAGGAGTACCGAGACATTGAGTGCGGTTCGTACCTTCATGCGGCACGTGTAGGGGGGCCTTTCTCACAATTCTTGCCGTAAACAAAAGCTAGACAGCTGCCATGATGTCAATTCGTAGGGATCCTCATTGTCGAGCTGTCAGGCACATCGAGGATGACGGAGCTAGAAGAGCAGTTCTCGACGGTTGCGAGCGGAAAACCGAGAGAGCGCTACAGAGCAACGGCGCGATTGCGGCTGGCGAGCGGACAACATGGCAGAAGCTGTCGCACCAGCAGGGGCGAGTGCGCTGTGCCTGGCGGGCGTGTACACTGGGACGCCAGCACATGGAGCGGTACCGACGATGGCGGCGTCCGACGCGACAACGCAACGCATACACAGCGGAGCGGAGCCGCCATGTCAAAACTGCAATTGTAACCTTGGAAGACTGCACGTCACGTGGCTCAGTCGTCCAAAATAGACGATAGCACCTTCCTCATTGCGTCTGGGGAGCGCTTGCCGCCAATTACGCGCAGCCTCGATGCGTGTAGCTGGGTGCGCGTCGGCGTGGTTGCTCAGCAGCGAATTCAGATTGTCTGGAGAAAGAGAATGCTGGCCGGCACATCGAGGTGAAACAGCCAACTGCGAGTCTAAGATGCTGTCCGTCCGCCTCTGACCAGACTCGGGTCGTTCACCCTGCGTGAATGCCAATGCGATTCGTGCCCGTGCGCTGACCTTAGCGCCTTGACCCTCGCATCCCAGCCCGCCCCTTCTGCCAAACTTCCTACACCGACCCCATCGCCAACGACACTCTCATTCTCACTCCCGCCGCATTCTTCACGCACGCAGCGCTCCTAGAGTCGACAGCCTCGTAGCTGCACTCGCATTCTTGCCTTGCCGCCCAACGCTGCTGCTTCCTACCCCCCGGATCCAGCGACCGCACCCTCTTCATCTCCGCCGTGTCGCCTGCTTAGCCCCCAAGCCTCTCTCACGGCCGCGGCCCGACACCGTCGTCGACACCTCTTCTCAGCTGAAGACATCACACGACCGGCACAATGGCATCCGGCAGCAGCTCGTCCAACGTTGTGGGCGTGCACTACCGCGTCGGCAAGAAGATTGGCGAGGGCTCCTTCGGCGTCATCTTCGAAGGCACCAACCTGCTCAACCAGCAGCAGGTCGCCATCAAGTTCGAGCCGCGCAAGAGCGATGCTCCCCAGCTGCGCGATGAGTACCGCACGTACAAGATCCTTGTGGGGTGCCGTAAGTAACCCCCTTTCCGTTTCCTTTGATGCACGCGATGCTTCTTTGGAAACGTCCCAGCTGGCCACTTCACATGGCATCTGGCTGTCTCTGTGCGTCTTCGCAAACACATCGGTTGCCGTACGATGATCCTGGCATTGGCATACCATACACATCGTTATGGTCTAGCTGTTCGCTCATGACATTCCCAAAGACCTGGTTCGACCGCTTGACATGAGCTAACGATGTTACAGCCGGCATTCCCAATGTCTACTACTTCGGACAGGAGGGTCTTCACAACATATTGGTCATTGATCTGCTAGGCCCCAGCTTGGAGGACCTTTTCGACCACTGCAACCGGAAGTTCTCCATCAAGACCGTGGTCATGGTAGCCAAGCAAATGGTCGGCACCCCTTCTTTCTACCGCCCTCCTTCATCTAACTCTGCCTAGTTGTCCCGTGTACAAACCATCCACGAGAAGAACCTCATCTACCGAGACATCAAGCCCGACAACTTCCTCATCGGCCGACCTGGCTCCAAGGCCGCTAACGTCATTCACGTTGTCGACTTCGGCATGGCCAAGCAGTACCGCGATCCCAAGACGAAGCAGCACATCCCGTACAGAGAACGCAAGTCACTCTCCGGAACCGCACGATACATGAGTATCAACACTCATCTCGGAAGAGAGCAGTCGCGACGAGATGATTTGGAGGCGCTTGGCCACGTTTTCATGTACTTCCTCCGAGGCGGACTCCCGTGGCAGGGCCTCAAGGCTGCCACGAACAAACAAAAATATGAGAAGATTGGTGAAAAGAAGCAGACCACGCCGATCAAGGATCTGTGCGATAGCTTCCCTGGTATGTCAATTTGAGGATCCAGTTGAATGTCTACTAATCTTCACAGAGGAGTTCAACAAGTACCTCAGCTATGTTCGCAATCTCGGTTTCGAGGATACACCCGACTACGACTACCTGCGCGAGCTGTTCACACAGGCGCTCAAGAGCACTGGTGAAGTCGAAGACGGCGAGTACGACTGGATGAAGCTCAACAACGGCAAGGGCTGGGAACAGATGAAGTCGCACCCATCAGCCGTCCAGCAACTGCACCACAGCAACGTTAACCCAAACTCGTCGACCGCGGTCAACGTTCACGGCCAGCCCCACGCCAGGCAACAGAAGACGCACCTGCCCATCGACCACCACCGATTGAATGCGGATCTCCCAAAGCCCGGAGCGACCCGAGGCCCGCCCGGAAGAAGCCCAAGAGATCTCCAGCAACGTGGAGGTCACCCCGACGCAGTCAAGCGGAAGAGCGCAGCCGAGCTGGCACCACCGGAAGGCTCTACGCAAGCCCAGTTCCAGCACAGCCAGCCGAACCTGACGAGCAATCGTGCAACACCCGTACAGAGTCCCAACGCTCAGCCACCCCGGCAACAGCAGGCTGACAAGCCGAGTTTTGGAAAGAAGCTCATGAACGTGCTTTGCTGCGGTGGAGGCGGGGCCTAGGTGGTCTTGATGCCGTTGCAGTCTAATCTGCATGCGAAGTCTGATATGCGTGCGTACCAAGCACAAGCGCGAAGACAGCGTTAATCTCCGACATCACATTTTCTTGCGGTCATATTGCATTCTGGAGTTCCGTCCTTGAGCGAAGTGACGGCCGCCCCCCATCATATTGGTTTTTGCGTTCCTTGAAGCTACTGTATAGGTATTTTGTAATGATTGGGCTTGCTATAGACGGATGAGGATCACCGCAAAACCTTCCTCTTTCTTTGGGGAGACACTGTTAGTAATGGAACGATGGACGACACCTTGAACCGCCCCTCCTGGACAAAGCATACATCTATCTGTGTTTTTCTTTTCCTGTTGCCTTGTTGTGAATGAAGCTATGGCGCTGGATCTGTAGGGTTCTTTTTCGAGAGGGTGCATAGGTGTTGTGGCGTGTAGGACGGGGTCAAGGATTTCTTTGCTTTCTTTTGTATGGCGGAGTGGAGGATAGGATAGGAGAGAGGGGAAGGAGGGGGATGGTGACTTGTGGGGAGGAAGGAGATAGATTGGAGAATAGAGAGGGTGAAAATTTCCAGAAAATGCCTGTGGCTTTGCCTGTGACGACTGGGCGTTGGGTTCCTTAGTCCTTGTGTGTCTGAGATACATCAAGCCTATCGAAGTGGTTTCATATACGTTGCCCAATTGGCTGCATTGAATGAGTGTTACATAGCGCCTGTGGCATTATGTCACCGCTGCTGTCGCCTCGTGTTAAAAGCTTGCAGTGCAATTACACGACGTCGATGTCGCGGCGCTGTCATCCTACCTGACGATGCAGCGTTGCCTCTCCAGGTGGTGCAGGACCGAGGGGTTTAAGGAAGTGGAACATAGTCGGGGAATGAAGAGAAGCGTGATGAAGGGAGCAAGGATGTCCTTCTATGTATGATGGCTCGTAACAGTAGGGATGCGTGTCTATGTGTCTCTAGAAGAAGGGCCTGGTCTGGGTCAGATTCAATGATTGAGTGTATGTTGGACTCACCGGTATTGAAGCGCTTGACGACATGAGGTTTATATGCGAACGGGCCTTTTTATTGAAATGGGAAGCAGGAGAAGGCTCGTGCTGGTAATGGACTTGGGATGGTAGCGAGCAGGACTGGGGAGTGATATTTAAGCCTATGATACGGCCCATTCTAAATGACTACAATGACCCTCCTTTGAACGCCGACGCTATGCTCCCAAAGCTCATGACCCTTTAAGGAGAGAGATTACTTCCTCGCCCGTTTCGAGCTCTGAATACTACCCTGGCTCAAGACACTGGCGCTCCTCTTGTGTGCGGTGCTCGCTGCCCGACTAAGTGTCTCGCTTGGCACCCTGCTATCCTCCTCACCCTCCGCGTCCTCGTCGTCTTCCTCGCCCTCAGCATCAGCGTCGACTTCGCCATCTCCATCCCCATGCGCGTCCCCGTCTCCGTCGTTGTCGTTATCATCATCGTCTGCTTCCCCTTCGCCGTCCAGACCAGGCGTCTGCTCCTGCGAGTCAGGAACCTCATGCTTTGCCTGCGGCTCCACCGATGTCCCATTCGACATAGATGCATCGCCGTTCTGTACTTCGGAACTGCGACGCTGCTTCATTTGCTCCAGAACGCGGCTTTCTCCTTCCTCCTTCTCGCGTACTTTTCGCACGTCGAGCAGCTTACCCACTTTGCCGATGAGCTGCTCAAACACCTCGGCGACCTTGATTGTGGGCAGACTGATAACTTCACTGACGCCCAATTCTGCGAGCGCAGCAGCGATCTTCTGCGTTTGCACATTGCTTTTTGCTTGCCGCATTTTAAGAAGCTTGTCTGAGCCGAAAGTGACGCCTGAGGTGAGACGATCGTGGGTGGAGACGTTGTAGCGGTATTCTTGCTGTGGTGAGAGTGTGCGGACGGGTGTTTGTGCGGACTGATTGGTTGCCATTGACTGGCGGCGCGCGGCAGCGGACAGTTGAGCGTTGGCTGAGGATGGGGTTTGGATGAGATCGTTGGTGTTGAGGCTGATGCGCGAAGGACCGGTGGCTCCGCCCGAAGCGCGCTTTTTGCTCCTATCTTGCGCGAAGAGTTGTGAGAACAGTGCCTGCAAAGCCTGTGATGATGTGAAAGAGGCCAAGCCTGCGGAAACCTGCTGGTTTGCGGAGGGATGCTCGAGACGTGCGCGTAGCTCTTCGCGTTCTGCGTCCAGGCGGTTGGCGGCCATGTTGATGCGCTGTAGTTCTGCAAGCAAAAACTCCTCCTCTTTAACTTCGTCCATGCTTCGGTTCATCAACGCAGCCGCCAGGAGCTTTCGATTACCCTCGAGCTCGGGATTGAATTTAGAGAGCGTCTCGTAGAGTGTGTACTGTTCCGCATCCATCTGCATCTCCGGTATCCGTAACTTCATCAGCTTCGCCGAGATGTGATAAAATCGTGCCTTCAGGTCTTCCACGGTCCGTTGCTTGGGCGGTGCAAAGGGCAGTGTAGCCAGCGCTTGGCTCGCATCCCCATTCACCGTCTCTTGCGTCAGATGTGACTTATTTGCAGGCTGATAGTCGTAGCGATCCCATATCACGGCCCACCGATATGAGTAGTCCTTCACGACCTCGAAAAGGTAGTCCGTCTCTTCCCGGCTCCAGTCGTCGCTTCGCAGATACGCATCGTATTCTTCGTCGGTAAAAGTGGGTAGGTCGACCTGTATGCTATACTTGAGGAAGTCACCACTGTTCTCAATGTAAGGCTCCACGTTATCGCCTTCTTCCATAGGAGCATCTTCGCCGTCTTGTACGGGTGGGGCGATTGTGGGTTTCCGTCTCCAGTGCTTGAGGATGAGGCCGTCGACGCGCGCTTGGTTTACGAAGGGCTGCTGTACCCTGATTCCTATATATTAGCACTTGTAGGATCCAGTCTGCAGCGCCCAATACGCGTACCATTTCTTCGCCGGCCCTTGATTCTGTCGCTTCGCCCGATACGCCTTCTTTTCCTCGTAGACTGCAACCGGCGGTGGTCGTTCACCGTACAGCGCCGCGACTTCACGCGCAACGCCCTCTATTAACGTCCAGTTAGCCAAATCAAGCCTGGAAATATTGCGCAGCCTTAAAGATGCCCCCAACGTACGTATTCTTCTTACGGGCGCCGCAGCCTTTGCCCGCTTCTGCACGGCGCTCTTCTGCGCATCAACGCCCATCGGCAGCCCAAGCATGTCGCGCACATCGCGACCAGACGCCATCGTGTCGTATTTCGGTATCGGTTCGGCGGTGAGCGAGGGTCGTGAAGGGTGCACGCGGATGGATTTGCAGGGGTGCGCAAAGATGTTGGAAGTCGTGAGGTCGCGTACGGAAATCGCGAACGGTAGGCGCCAAGCGTGTCGCACCACTCCTCCGAAGAATCGCCCCCACCTCCCCACACCAGAGCAAATCGACGTTAGTCCGCATTGGCGTTCGGCTGAATCTTGCATGCGCAATCTGTCAGACGATTGTAGACGCTATAGACATGAGATAGAGAAGAACCAAGACCAAAGTCGAAAACAGCCAAAGGGTTATAGTAGTTACGGAACGTACAAGCATCAGGCTGGACTCGCCCATGGCGGTGATTTTGACGTACATTCCCTTGGTCGTCCACAGTCACCAGATGGGGCTCCTGCCGTCATGGTAGTGATGACCGATGGAGCCATCTTCATCAGGTCTAACGCTGGATCCGGACTTGCGATGAACAGCATGCCGAAAATGAATATCTATCACGGATCCGTGGGCTCGTTTCATAAACCATGTGCATGAACTCGCACTCCAGAAATATGCATACAGAGTCGAATACCACCACTACGGATAGTCTCTGAGTGGAGATACATTTCCCGCTGCCTTCGTGATACTACTTGCATCCTCTCGGGTCGGGCTATCCTGGAACGGCAAGACTATACGAGCATCGTATACCAGACCCCTCACCTACGACGAAAACCAACCGTCCTTTGAGATTGCCCTCTATTCAAAGCAATGGTTTCGAGTTTACACTATTCATAATGGCTTCCTACAAACGTGTTGACGGCGCTGCACTTGTAACCGGCTCAGGATCAGGTATGCTCATACTGCCTTAAATTTTTATTGTCAGTCCGTCATATACTTCGGTCAGCTGACCAACCCAGGTATGGGAAGGGCCGTCTCGGTCGTCCTATCTGTAGCCGGTATCACCCGCCTCTACCTAACTGATCTGAATCGCACGGGTCTCGAGGAAACCAAGTCCACCATCACATCGCTTAACCTACCCTCGCCCCCGACCATATCCCTCATACCTGGCGACATATCCTCGCCAGCCTTCATCTCATCGCTATTTAGCCAGATCCCACAGCTCGACTACGCCGTGAACTGCGCTGGCATCATGGGTGAAACAGCACTCACTACTGAAGCCACCCTCGAAGGATTCGACAAGCTTAACGCGGTTAATTATCGGGGATTGTGGATGTGCGTTAAAGAAGAACTCAAACTGATGCTCAAAAACGACATCACACCCTACACCGGTTTCACCTTCTCCCCCTCCGAAAGCCAGCGCCGCGGCCAACGCGGCTCCATCATCAACATCGCCTCTCAACTCGGGCTTGTTGGGAAAACGCAAGCAGCTATCTACACTGCGACAAAAGCGGCCGTTCTATCTCTTACGAGGTCAGATGCTATCGACTACAGTGGGCCGCCGCATCATATCAGGATCAACAGTGTGTGCCCTGGGGTGATTGAGACGCCGTTGACGATGAACTCATATGAGGGGACGGATGGGTTGGAGAAGGCGGTGGGCTTGACGCCGATGGGGAGGATTGGGCTGCCGAGTGAGGTTGCGGACACGGTGGTTTGGCTGTGCTCGGGGGAAAGTAGCTTTGTTACGGGGAGCGGAGTTGTTGTTGATGGGGGATATGTTATTCATTAGGGGGAGGTTATCAAGGCGTCTCGACCAATCAAGGTATATCGTCATGTTGATGCCGAATTAGCTCCTCCCATCCGGCATCAACAAGGTCTGCATCCGGAGACCTGCACTCAGAGAGAGACATTTGGCGATTGTGTCATCAATACCCATCCCATCAAACCACGTTACGAAGGTAATCACCAGATTCTAATCCGATACTTCTCTCCCGACGTCTTCACACTTATCGTCCGTTTCTTCGTCTTAATAGCCCTGGATTACTGTAGTTGCTCTCTGGCCATGGAAGTCTGTGGTTAGGAATTTGATGCAGAGCGTATGATGATCAATGAGATTAGTGAAAGAGCGAAGGCAAGTCTTGCCCACGAACAAGCAGTGGGTCCACCTGGGAGCCATACAACCGAACGGGTGATATTCATCCGAGTATCTATAATTGCCCCGTAGCTTCGCGTGAATTTCTCTTCACCGCCCCATTTTTCTAGCTTCTAAATGCGTGGCTTCAGGTCCATAACCCAGGCACGAAGGGCGTCCCGTACGATATGCAAATCAGCACTCGCATATTTCTTTTCATCCTCGATGATAGTGAGCCCGTAGGGGCCAAAAAAAATCGTAACCAACATATCCCACTGAGCGTTCGCTGTCACTCAAGCCCGCGACGATGCGATCGGTATCGCTGTCGGTATCGTAGACAATGCGAAAGAATACAAAGGCCACAGTGAAGCCTGTCTTACCGGGATTGCCTAAGTGTACACAACGCCTTTGCTACGGACTTCAACGATATACACGACTTCCAAAAGTGTTTTAGCCTAAGTTTGTTATTGCGTAACGACACTCGTGGAAGGCAAGCCAAATTAATGTCGATGCCACAATACAGCCATTTCAAAGACCCCGCCGACTCCAATTTCTCTCCATAAAGTTCCTTAAGCTGTATTACAGAAGCAGACCCGACATACGCGACAGTTTCCCGAGTTCAAGTATTCGCTTATCGCAGCTGCCTTCTCGGACTGCCTCTGAAATCGCAACACCATGGACAACTTACCACAGGAGCTAGTCGATCATATCAGCAGCTATCTCGGTACTGAAGACCTCAAACAGACGCTCATCGTGTTACCTGCGTTCCAAGTCGCAGCCGAAAAGTACTCAGGCGTTTTCAGTGATTTCGAGCTGAATAAAGGGACCGCCCGCCGGTTTGTGAACACGTTTGGGGGCCGGCGCCTTGGCTATCTCCAGCATCTCACCTTCAGGATAGCTATCCCGGCATTGGATGAAAAGGTTGATTGGGAAGCCCACCCTGATGGCCATCCAGTACGCAACTTTGAGGAGGATTTACGGGAGGCCGATGAAAGCTTTACGGACCAGATTAAGTTCTTTTTTTCGATTGTTAAGGAGATGGAAGATATTGCACGTTCCGAAAAAGCGCATGGCAAGGTCAAGCTTACACTCTATACACCGACTCGTTACATCGATCGAGAGAATTATTCCATCCAACGAGCCTACGTTAGCTGGAGAGCTCATCTCCTTGAACCTGAGTCTCTGCCTAATCCCACATCGGTATATGCGCTCCGTATTGAGAATGGCATGAAAGTCTCCTTTGATATTGAATACGGCCCCGAGTCCCTTCGAAAAATTGATTTGCGCATGATGGTTGATCTGTCCAATAAATTTCCCAACCTTGCAGCTTTGCATTGCAGTATTGGCGGTGACGAATGGCTGGATTGCAACGAGGACTATCGGCAGCGATCTATCACGAAGGACTGGGCTGCCCCCCGGCGAGACTCACGCCATGACTTTGCTCGGATCCTCGATGTTGCACATGGTATGGTTAGTATATTAGTTTGTCACCTTGCGCTAAAGAACTGTAGAACTGTCTATGCAGTCTTAGAGTAGTTACGCAAGTAGTTATAAAATAATTTCACTCCGTACACTTTGGCTTAGATTAAGTGTAGTATCTATTCTTTTCTAGTTTGATCGCTAAAAGTGAGTGCCCTTCTTCAACATTTGCTAGCTTTTGCTAACAAGCTTTTCAGCAAGACTACGGACTCATTTAAGATTATCCCTAATTTTGACCACAGGCCTCCTCTCACTGGGCTTGCTCACAGTTAAGGCCACAGTGACGCCTCTCTTGCACTACTGGAGGCTGTCGCGAACGTTTTCATTAAGCTGCTCCAGCGTTGCTGAGCACTTGAGGAAGATGTTGATGAGCGTAGAGCTGTTGAGCACTGCGACGTTGCTGTGTAGAGGCAAGATGCTGCGTCTGCGTCGTCTCGGGGAGTGTCGTAGGGCGAAGAGTTCCGTATCTGTGTCAGCTTGTGCGTCCAACTTGTCGAAAGTGCTAGCTTACGTAGCTTGAGATCGCCGAGCTTCTTGCGGTGACTTCGTGCGGCTACTCTGCTGCTGCTGCTGCACGAGTGCCTGTCCCGTTCAACAGGCGGCGCTCAGCTCCAAGACAGCTCGGCGCCCACGAACAGCGCCTCAACATACGTACTCGCGTCAAAGTCGGTCCTCCCAGAGGCGTGCCCGCGGAATAGCATTGAGCGTTGCAATCAGTATGACGTGCGTGCGATTCGCTGGAGAAACGGACGTCGGCTCGCAATAGCCTGGCCGTGGCGAGAGTACGCGGAATGAATACAAACAGTTGTCGGAGCAAGAAATCCATGCTTAGACGCACTGGAAGATCGGCCATTGCTGCAGAACGTCAACACGAGATATGCTCAAGGAATGAGAACAGCGGCTCAACTGTGGGCAGCGCCCTCGTAAACCATACCTCTTAATGCTGGCTGGGAACCTCACCAACATTGCAATTATCCATCTGATAAGATAACGTGTTTCAATTCTGTCGCCGTCGCTAATCGAGACCCAGGTAACAACGCCAGATCCTACAGTACAGACCACCAATGCACCCAAAAGCCCACAAGCGCTGCTTGAACGTTTTCCCAGCCATAACATGATATTGCCCCGCCCATTCCCGACTCGCAATTGACACTTCTTATGTAAGCTTCTGCTTGATGAAGAAAGCGCGCAGATGCGACAGCTGCCATGCGCAGGTGATACCAAGGACGGCAAGCTGGATGAGCGTCCATCGAACGACACGGGCGTTGGTGTGCTCGGATTGGTCGCGGAATTCGGCTTCACGCTCCTGCGTTGGTTATTAGCATCCTTGCCCTCGATGTGCTCATTGAAGTCACGTACTCGCTGAAACACTTGCTCCCTCCTCACGTCCTGCAGCCTGCTGTTCAAGTCCCTGACCTTCTGCGACAAATCATCAAGCTTGGTCTTGTCCGTGCTCTCAATCTTGCTCGTCTCTCCAATTGCCAGATCCAGCGTGAACTTCACGCTCGCGTGGATGCCACTGCCAAACCACGCACCACCCTGTTGCACATTCTGAGGTACCACGCATAGTCGGTGCTCGCCGCTGTCAGCAGCGCTGAAGGTGAATTTGCCATTGCCCGAGCCACGCTGGGCTACCACGCGGTGGTTGTTATCGAAGGTCTCCTCGACGGTGATGAAGACGCCCACTTCGGGTTTTGAGATGTAATTCTTTGCGGCGTCGTCCCAGACTTTGGCGTCGTAGTGGCCTGCATCGATTAGTTATAGTGCTCCAAGAAGTTTGGTGGTTTGGTGCGCATACCAACGACCAGCGTGTCCTTCGGCAGCTCCTCGAAGAAGCACTTCTGGACTGCGCCGTCGATAAAGAAGTGGAGTGCCTGCGATGGAACCGCGAGAACGGCGGCGAGGAACGTGGACGGTCGCCACATGGTGAGGAATTGAGCGTGGGGTGATTGCTGCGGCGTTCGACATGTCGAAGTCGAGAAACCGTGTCGCCAAGTCGGGTGCGTAAGCGGCTAGCGCGAAACAAGGGAGGGTCCAACACCCCTGCTCCTACAGCTACCATAGTACATCATGATCTCCTTGGCTTCTGCAAGTTCTCTCGGCAACTTGGTTGAGAAAAACTCTCGTCGTATTCACATCGATGGCCTTCAAGCTGACGTGAAGCGTCAAAGTTTCCAATAATTGACCATCAACTTGCACGAAACTACGTCCGGTTTTTGACGTGGTATATCGCTACATTGATCTCACTGTGCGACATCAATTGCAAGCTGTTTGAACTACGCTGACTGTTAGCGTACTCGTTCGCTTCGTTCCCAAAGAAACCATTCGTTACCAATTTGAATGTCGTGATATCGTAAGCTTGGTATCTCCAGGCAAATATCTATTGGCGATAGTACTTTAGCTGCCAGCGCTGCAGCGCTCCTCGGACAGCCCCAACACAAAGTCTCAGCATCCACTTTTGTCCTTGTTCATCCCAGTGCTAACTTGCATTGAGGAACTATTTCGGGCACGAACAGGGCGACTCTTGCCTGCCAGCTCCGAATAGTGGGCAAATGCGACGAACGCAACTGTAGTCGTCGGCGGTGGAGTCATCGGGCTTTCAACAGTATATCAACTGACTTTCGAGCAAAATCGATCAGGCGAAATACGATCAATCATAGTCATCGACATCAATGACGGCGTTTTCGCACGAGCATCCCAATACAACTGCGAGTGTCTGATTCCAACAGAAACGGATGAAAAATTCGCCCATTAGCCGAGTACTCATATAACACACGTAAAGCTCGCAACGAATGAAGGGTTCACATCAAAAACTGGGTTTCGAGAGTGGTCCTTGTTCAGTGTCGTCGAGGGAAGTGGCCAGGAGCAGGACATCCTTCCCTACTGGCTGAAAACAGGACTTCAGTGGGATGCTCATATCGAAATATAAAGGGGTCATTCAGCACTAATGTAAGCAAAATCTACCGTTCAAGATGGTTCTCACTCAAGTCTTCTAGGATTCTGGTGGCTCTCGGAATATAGATGAAATCTCGCTGTAAGGAAATAAGGATTAAGATTGAGATATCCACCGATTTGCGCTCAATTGAGTTATCTGTAAAGAGCACAATCAAATTCGTAAGATAACACAGTAAATCACAAGGAGAAGCTAATATTAAAGGCAAAGACCCGATCCTGGTGGCTGGTCCATGGACAGCCAATTTAGACTTTTCCTGGGATCGCAAGTGGACTTGGAGATTGCAAGGGATTATGTACTCTTTAAAAGCCCAGCACAAAATACCTAAGGACTCACTTTTAGTGGTATTTATGGATTCCATTGTGGGTTACAAGCTTGAACTCAGCGCTAGGAACGACTACACAATATAGGTTAATACGCAAATCGACTAACCAGCGCCTCTTCCCGAACCAACAGCCAATCGAAGTCCTGATCCGAGGAAGATCCACGAAGTACTTCAATCTGCGCAGCGTTTTGTTAACTTCTCTGAAGAAACCTGAAACGAGAAAAACGCTCAGGATGTTGACGTTGTTGGCCAAGGTAGAGGATCTCGTCCTTCCACTGTTTCCAATCTTCCTGTCATTGCTGCAGTGCCGCACCAAGCTATAGCGCGGTTCGGTGTAGGATGACGCCTCCGATGAGTCTTCCGGCATTTTTATTTGTTCAGGTCATGGATCTTATGGTGTTGCACTCGCAATGGGTAGCGCAAAGCTCTTGGTCCAAGTGATTATGGGACAATACCCTGACGTTTGGTTCTCAGAATTTGGCTTACACTACGCTCGCGAACACCACAACGCCACGTAGTTATCTCTCAACACTATGACCAACATGCATTGCAAGCCTCCGTCAGCTCTGGGGACTGCAAGGTAGCACCCGTCCAAAGCGAACTGGCTGTTATACGAAGATAGAGGGAGTTCCAACCTGCGACGTTGAACGTCTTGCTTCAGTGCACCTCGATCCGTTTCAACCGGATCTTCGCCAGTGCAGCTTTGCTGATTTTAAAAATCGCGGGTGCCAGTGTTGTGTTCTTTCTGATCATTCTTCCGCATGCTATCACGATCCTTAGGATCGCTTCGGCTATCATTCCCAATATATCGATTTGAAAATACTTCGAGTCAAATTCATCATCTTGACCATCGGCGCAACGCGTATTGGACTGGCCAAAAAGGCCCACTATCTCATTGCCGGTAAGGTTCCTGCGCGCTTCAAGTCGTTTTTGCTAAAGCCAAATAGGTGTCATCCTTTTCGCAATAGGCTTTGGAAGTCGAACGTCAGTCGTGGCTATGTCCACTTGTGGGTACCCCAGAGTCTTCGCGCTCGATTCTTCGGATCATTCAGGTCTTTGAAAACATGGTGATGTGGATCTCAGAGCATCTTTGCTGCTGCGCTGCGGCTTCCGTCATTCTGGCTTGCTCTTCCTTTCTTCGTCGTGTTAGGGATATACCCAAATGGAGTTATTTGTTCTCTGTTGCTCTAGTCACCACATGAGCATGCATTACGTTAGATGGGAGGAGCCGTCAGTCTTCGTTCTTCATAAGGAGAGGGGGTTGTATGGCCTCATGCACGATCCGGTTAAAGTAACCTTCTCAAAAATCTATGTCCGACCGAAACAATATGTCCGTCAGGCTCTATGAATGGAGGCTATGCATAGGTGCAATCATCACGTGTGATCGCTCCAGTGGACTAGCGCGTCCAATCTTATCCCCGCGTTCCCGTCTACACCAGTGTTGGACCCGCCCAAGCTGTCGCCACAGCCGTGTCAACGCTCCACCTCCACAATCAACCATTCCTACAACAATTTGACGCTTCTCGCACCATTGCGCAAACCCATTGAAGGCAACAACGAGCTGCGATATGTTTACTGCTCCTTCGGTTTCCGCCCGAGGCGCGCGCACCGCTGCATCACGGTCGTTGCGCAAGCGCAACCAAGCTTCATATTGTGATGACAGCGATGAAGAAAACTATGCCCTTTACGAACGAACTTCCAACTTCAAGAAGCGCAAACCTACCGTAAAGTCTTCCGCAAGGCACGAAATAATCGACCTGACTGCTGACGACACCAACGACGAGCGTACGAACTCTCCCAAGAAGAAAGCAAAAGGCGACAAGGGCAAGGACGAAGAGAAACGCCTGCGTCGCTTCCGATCACATCCTCCGCAGTCCTATCTCGACATCAAAGCTCGCGCATTGAGTCAGCGCCTCACCATCATATCTCGCGAGCGCGTCGGTACCGATGACGTACCAGAGGAGAGAGTAGTAATGGCTGGTTCGACAGGCAATGTGTATACGCAGCAAATTGGGCACGTTCCAAGTTGCGATTGTCCACATGCGAAGAAAGGAAATCAATGCAAGCATATCGTCTACGTCATGCTACGCGTTCTTAAGGCGCCGGAGAATATTGGCTACCAGCTCGCGCTCACATCGTCCGAGTTACGAGATCTCTTTCGAAACGCCGCACCTTTACCGAATGCAGATTCGGGCGACGACGACCAACATGAGACCGAACTGGATAAAAACCGAAAGAAGATTGAGGGCGAATGCCCGATCTGTTATTGCGACTTCGAGCCTGGGATGGAAGCCATCGTCTACTGCAAGGCTGCGTGCGGAAACAACGTACACAAGGGCTGCATGCAAACTTGGATCGCTGCGAAGGGCGCGGGCAGGGCTACTTGTCCCTACTGCCGAGCGAAGTGGGAGGACGATGATATTGGTGGTGGTTTTAGTGGGAAGGTGAATCTGAAGGGAGCTGCGAGGTCTGACGAGGGATACATGAATATTGCGAGCCAGCTGGGACTGTCGGGCGAGAGGGATTACTCGTCATATCACCAGCCATGGGCCCAACGGCAAGGCTACGGTGGGTATCATCATGGCAGGAGATGGTGAGGGGAGCGATCCTTGGGCGTTCAATGCTGACTTCACGACTTCACGACTACGAAACACTCTCCAAGGTTGACAGTGCTACCCCATATGGCATTCGATAGGACTACGCACCAAGAAAGTGCGATCATTGCCCAAGGGACTGCGCTGGTTCTATGGGTACCGTTTCACGGTATACCACAAAATGGCGTTTACAACATCCCTTCTAAAATAACATTCAGCCAACATCCTCACATTCAGTACGCTCTACTCGACTCTGATAGAGTATCATAAACTCCGCACGTTATAGTTCTCGCCTTCCATGCCAAACGGCCTTCGTATTGCGCTTAGCTAGTCCCCTAGGTCGTACAACGGTACAGCATGTCCTCCTTCATTATCTTATCACCACGTTCCAGAACGCTAAGACGGCTCCATTTCACCACATGTCTTATTGTTGTGTTCTGTCAAGCCACAAAATTCCTTCCATCCGCGCGATTCCGTATGTTATCGTCGTACAACCTCGGAACCCTCTCAGCTCCACCCATCCTATCTCCGCCCGTCAAACGTAACACAACATTAAAGCCTAATTGAGCAGCACCCGCAGAAACACGCTGTTGCGTTCATTTCGCGTGCCGCGGGTGTGCCATGAGCGGCTGAGACAGTGTCTTAGCTATGGCACAGATATCATTCCAAGTCAACAAGTTGACTTTATGCCCATTCGTTCACCGGCCCCTTGGGGATGGCTACGTATGCTCGAGCAGGACCTGCACCATAATTATGCAGCACACGAGGGTCCAAGATCAGCGTTGCAGCACAGCCGCACCGTACCTTACAGCGCCGCGCATTGCAGACCGCCACATCGTGTCGTGGCACCGCATGCGTATCGATAGACGTTGTGCGCCTCGATTCTCGTCGCCTCACGTCACCTCACCCGCGGTGGATCTCAGCCCATTCATTCCGTGCCGAATCAATTCGGATTCTGGCGGGAAACATTTTCGCTGCAAGGTATACCTAAGTAGAACACTGAACTCATACGTGTACAATTGGTGTAGCCCACTGTATGATTAGATCCTAGAAACTGACCTTTACGGAGAATTCACATGTCCATGTTGGACTCGTACAACAAAATTTCTTCCAGGCATTTTAAGCTCTAATTCAATCATGCCTAGCCCGTCCACATGGAAGATCGCCTGCTCCACAGACAAGATTCGACCCTCGTGTTTCGAAACGCTCAGCACAACCACCATCTCCCGACGTCATCAAACCGGTGATGAGCCCAACACCGGCTCCCACCGCCACAGGCGAGCGGGCGAACATGGTCCTTGCCCGCTGTCAGCAATCCTACTGGTACTGGGATCATGAGCAAGACGCCTAAACCGAGGCTGGGCGTTCTAGAACCCAGCACTGAGAAGTTTTCGGACATCTTGCTGCAATCCGCGCGAAAAGGCAACTTGCGCCGCGCATGAAGCGCACTGCCTCGTTCCTTCGTGAGCGCATCGTGACAGCAGTATCGGAAGAGCCATAAAGAGACAGCTGTCAAGAGGCGCGGTACTCTGCACAAGGAAACATGTCTACAGTGTCAGAAGCGGCACGAAGAACCAAAGGTAGATCTAGCTCCTGCCAGTGAAGCACTGTAGGACGATCCAAAGATAGAACAGTGCCGTGTCAAGTTGAGCACATCAAGCATCGCATGAAGAAATATGTTTCCACGTCTCAATGTCAAAGGCCATCTCGATATGAAGCGTTTTAGATTCCCTCTAAACTGTACAAAAGCACAAACTCCGGCACCATGCCAGATGGGTCTAGTGAAACATGGAACAAAGGAAACAAGATTGGAATATCTCCAACTCCAAGCCAACGCCATCATGAATAAACACAGACGTGAAAGAATGAGCCAAAGTAAAGTGAAAAAAGACAGTCAATTGTCAGACGTTTCCTATCGTACTACTGTCTTTCCTCCCCCACTTTTCCCGAGCCAGCTCACCCCATTTCCGAACCCAATGAAAGAAGACGGCCATGCGGCCCATGCGATAAACAGATGCTATGTGCAAGAGCCACAGGCTACTTCACAAAATGTGTACAGAAGTGAATGTTCATGACCCTTTTATATCAGGACAAGGCGCTTAGAAGAGGCCAAAGAAGCGCTTGTAGCTGCCGCCAGTGCTGTAGCCGTTGCCGTACTCGCCAGCCGGGGGAGCGGCAGACGGGGTAGGGGTGGAGGCAGCAGCAGAGGAGCTCTCCTCACCAACGGGAGCGGCGGTCGTCTCGGGGACAGCCGAGCTCTCGGTGGGCAGGACGAAGGTAGGGAGAGGAGTGGTCTCAGACGAAGGGACCGGGGCGACCGGGACTCCAGTGCCAGAAGGCATGGGGTAGCTGAAGCCGCCGGAGGGAGCCGAGGGAGCACCACCGACAGGGCGGGTTTGGGTCAAGAAGCCAGAGCTGGCGCCCGAGGGGACGGTGCCGTTGCCTACCGGGTAGGGAGCAGGAACATCGGTGGGGACGGGCGAGTTGTCAGTGGCGGGAGTAGACTCAGCGGGGGCGTAGGCGGAAGAGCTGACATCCTCACCCTGGGCAGGCACATCAGAGGTAGGAGCCTCCTGGCCAGCGGTGACAGTGACGGTCTCCTGCGAGGTGACGGTAACAGTGGTAGGAGGAGCGCACTCGCCAGTGGCAGCACCACCAGTAGGGGCAACCTGAGAGCCAGCACCCTCGACAGGGACGTCAGTGTTTGAGCCAGTGCCGTAGCCGTTTCCGGGAACAGACGCAGCAGGAGCAGAGCCAGAAGCCGAGGGGTAGACAGTGACAAGCTTGGTGGTGGTGGAGGTAGACTCCATCGTGGTGTAGGTGGTGGCCTCAGCGTTGCCGCCAGTAGGAGCAGCCTCAGAAGTGACACCGACGGTCTCGCCCTCCTTGGATACGGAAGCGACACCAGTCTCCTGGCCGGGGCGGGTAACGTAGACGGTTTGGTAGATGGTCTCGGTGGAAGTAGTAGCGACCTCAGTGGTGACAGCGTGGGCAGACGAGCCAGTGCCGACGGTGTAGACGAGGGTCTCGGTGGAGACGTGGACCTTCTCGGTCACGGGCGTGCTGACAGCCTCAACGACGGCAGAGGTGGTCTCGCCAGTACCGTAGCCGTTGCCAGGAGCAGAGCCAACAGGGGCGGCCGAGGTGGAAGCCTCAGGAGTGGCAGTGACATCAGATCCCTCCGACGCGGGGGTAGCAGTCTTCTCGCAGACGGTAGTGGTGAGCGGGATGGTGCTGGTGATCAAGATGGTCGAGGAGGCAGGGCAGTCAGTGACGGTCTGGGGGCAGCCAGTCGAGGTGAAGATCTGAGTGGTGTAGATGACCGAGGTGATGAGCTCGGGGACACCAGTGGAGCTGGCAACGTCAGTCACGGGGAAAGAGAAGCCGCTGGTAGGGAAGCTCGGGACACCAGTTCCCGGGGCGGTAGGCATAGGAGCAGTGCCGGTGCCGGGGAAAGATGGGACACCGGAAGGAGACTCAGCAGCGGCCGAAGTGGCCGGAGTAGAGGCGCCAGGAGTCGAGAGACCGGTGGCCGGGAAGCTAGGCACACCAGCGCTGGGGATCTGGTAGCCGCCAGTGGGGATTGAAGGAGCCGGAGCAGAGCCAGTGCCAGGGAACGAAGGAGCTGGCATCGAACCGGTGCCAGGGAAAGTTGGCATGGGGGCAGAGCCAGTTCCCGGGAAGCTGGGCACGGGAGCCGAGGAGGGAATCTCAGCTACAGAGGAGCTGGAGGGCAGCTCAGGAGAGACCTCAGTCGTCTCACCAGCGGGGGTGGACGAAGAGGGGGTGCCGTAGCCACCGCCCGGGACAGAGACGGCGGGCGCGGAGGGAGCTGGCGAGCTGGAAGGAGCCTCGGCGGGAGCGGAGCTGGAAGGCTGCTCAGGAGAAGCAGAGGTCTCAACAGCGGGAGCGCTGGAAGAAGGAACCTCAGCAACCGAGCTGGACGAGGGGGTCTCAGGAGTGCCATAGCCACCACCGGGGACGGAGACAGCAGGTGCAGAGGGAGCAGGCGAGCTGGAAGGAACCTCAACAGCGGAGCTGGACGGCTGCTCGGGGGAGGCAGAAGTCTCAACAGCGGGGGCGCTGGAAGAAGGAACCTCAGCAGCAGGGCTGGAGGAGGGTGTCTCGGGAGTGCCGTAGCCACCGCCCGGGACGGAGACAGCTGGAGCAGAGGGAGCAGGTGCGCTGCTGGAGGGCTGCTCGGGCGATGCCTCGGACGAAGGAGCGGGAGTCTCAACGACAGCGCTGGAGACCGGGGCAGAGGGAGTCTCGCCGGTGCCGTAGCCGTTGCCGGGGATGGAAGCAGCCGGAGCAGAGGCAACGGGAGCAGAGACGGGCAGAGCGGTGCTGCTCACAACCGGGACGGCGGAGGAGACGGGGCCGACCTGGTAACCATCACCACCGTAGTTCTGGCGACGGGCGTAGCGGGAGCCACGAGCCTGGGCGGCATCGGCAGCGGCCAGCGAGGCGAGGAAAGCAACAGTAAGCTTCATCATTTTGGCGAAAGGAAGATGCTTGTTCTATTCTTTGGGATTTAGGTGCTAAGGCGTCACAGTTTCCTGGATGTTTGGACGAGAGCGATTCGTTTTTTGCCGGATATTGATACTGCAAAGGAAAGCGGGCAGAAATCAATTCTGCGATGAGCGACCGGTCCTGTAAGGAATGACTGGAGTTTGTTCAAAGAGAGACAGCGTCTACGAGAGACGAAAGCGAATGTCTGGGGAAGGAACGTGAGCCTTGCGGTGAGGAGCAAGTAGGACGGCGGCGGCGAGAGCGCTATATAGCGGGCGGGATGATTGCAGGAAGACGTGCCAAGAGCAAAGGCCTGCCGCCATCTGTTTGCCCCTGGCTGCAGTAATTTCAGCAGGGGCATGTTGTTGCAGGGACCAGTGAGGGTTGTGCTGCCAGGCCATGTTTCTGGGGCTCCTGCGCACACGGCCACTCAGGGTCCGTCGCTGGGTGCGCTACGCACGGTGACGGTGCGCTTGAGCCGCTCGCCTGCGGGCGAAGCGCTGCGGGTTGGGAGCCTCTCGTCCAGCGGGCCTCGCGATGGCTTCTAGTGCCCGCGTGCTGGCGCCGTGCTGGACGTCGTCGTGCTTGCAGTGGCGGGCGCCCCCCATTGTCCGCCTCTTCTCTGCTTGTCGCGGACAAGGTGACAAGCGGTGGCAGCCGGCTGGCCTGCACCCTCGACCTCGCCAGATTGCGTTTCACTGCGCTTCGCCGAAAGCAAATTGGCCCTGCGGCGATCCTCCTGGGTCTAAAACAGAAGCGGCGGGTACCTGGCAGCGATGCAGCGCGGGCGAATCACCGGCCCATGTTCCTGCAGCACCGCGCGCTGCGGCTGACGGGAGCCGCTCCCATGGACGTCGACGGCGAGGGCAGCGCTCGGAACGGCGTCGGTCGTGGTGTCGTGCTCGAGGCCTGCGCTGGGCCGTGGGTGGTGCTGGCTTGCGGGCGCTGTGTCGGCTGGCTTGGAGCGTTGCTCGCCGCGGTTTCACCTCGTAGCCACAGCGCACCTTCCACAGGCTCCGTCCGAGCGCCTTCCGCACTTGCTGCTTCGGGCCTCGTGCGACATGGCCCCGCTGCCCACCGGCCTCCGTACAATCTGCACAACCAGCGCACCCCTCCAGCACGCCCGCATCGTCACATCGTCTTGTGCTTGAACTTGCCGCCCACACCCAGCATGACGCCGGTGGGTCGCCGATGGGCTCGAATCATCACCGCCTCAAGCCATCGAGCCGCAGCCGCCCCGACTGACGGTTCCTTCGTCCGTGCCGGACCCCATCCAAGCCCTCGCCTGCCGATGCTTGTTTTCTGCTGCATGATACACAGCCTCAGTCGCCCACGTCGCTGTCTCATCACTTCCCAGACCTCAACGTCTGGACGTGCCTCGGATCCCACCGTCCCAAGAACCACACACCGAGCACAGAGCCTCATCTATACAACGTGGCGTCGCTTGCTTGAGTGATCCGGCTGTGCCAAGTGGGCTCGCCCCAGAAACAATCTCGCGCCGTCGCTTCCAAAATTGACTGCGGAACAACGCGCGCAGCCAGCTTGCATGACGTCTTATATTCATCTGTCTTGTCAACAGCTCTCTTCTTTTCTGGTCTCACTCTATTCAGAGCAGTTTTCTTTCGGTCTACGAAAACGCAATTCCATATTGGTCACACATCATGCGGGCTGACTACAGCTCACAAACAACCCCGGCACCACGCTACGGAATTCGCATCTACGCGCTCCTACCCACTGCTCTTCGCGGATCGACAGCAGCTCCCTTCATAGTTCGCACTCTCCGTGTCGAGGCTTTGTTCGCATGCAGGAAAATTCTCCGCTGACATCTTGCGTGCTTGTGGAATGCTTGATGCTCTCTGTCTCGCCGGTCATGAAGTCTCACCATTCCATATTTTTCTCGACGTGGTATACCGATCCACAGTGCTAGTGAATGTGTCTTAGCGAGTGCGCGAGACCGCTGCCGTGACAGTCGTCGATCCTCAATAGTCGGCCCAGCAAGCGCAGCAAATGAGCGCACACTGAGTACCTTGTTCACCACATCCTTTCTGGGATATCGATGCTGCCGTTTCGAGCGCACGCATCAACAATGCGAAAACAAGTCTCCTGTCATGTCCTCTCTGACTCCACATTCTCTGGGCGACCGGGGCTGTCGTCTCCACTCTCGCCTCGTTGTTTTAAAACCCTCGCCTGAAACAAAACATATAAATCACCATGGTCGCCAGGGACATGGTTCGTCGCCATTAACGTCGGTTCCTGTAGATCATTGCAGAGCGGGGAAGTGTGCAGACTCTCGTTCCACTGGGAACAAAAACTGTCTTTCTCCCCGCTCAATATACTCTGGGTGAAACCAGCTCTTTGCGATCGACTAAGATGCTTACCAACGCATAACTTTTCCACGACTATAACGAAAACAACTCACTTGGGCTCCCAGAAGATCGCACTTAGTCCTTCTTTGCCGTGAGCAAAACCCCACGACGTCACTCTAACCACTCCAATGTCATCGAGGCCCTAAACCACATGAGCTTGGATGACATACGAGCTGAGGACCTAAGAGTGCCGATTGTTTTAGCTACTTGGTGTAAGGGCTACCTTCTATGCTGATGGCCTTCAGAATCCCTCGGGCATTGTATCGCGCGTGTGCTGCCCGGAAGCTGCAAGCCCCTACTGATCTCATGCTCACTTCATCAAACATATACACTTCTTCATGGCCAAGGCAAGGCTCGAGATATTCATTTCCGATGAGAACAACTTCAGGAATAGATATTTGAGCTCGAACCTGCAAGTTCAGCCTTGTGGTAAGGCTACCGATCGGAAATCAACGAGTCTCTACACCATAGACCTCGCTTTTTGTAGCGGAAATGATACTGAAAACATGGTCCAAGCCCATTATCGTCCTCACAGGACTCTATTGTGATGGCGAGATCATAGAAAGATGCAGCAAGGTTGCAGGCGGACTTCGCGTACAGCAACATCATCTCCGATCACCTGCATACTCAATCTGTACAACCAATCTATGACACCCACAAGCGGCTCGCACGAGCTCACTACTACTCCGTGCCTTCTTGATGGGGATGTAGGACTCGCAGCCTTGCCGAAGGCGGATAACGTCGCTAGGCCTTCGATGACATGCTTGCACACACCTCGATGGCAAAGGACCGAGTGATTCTGGTTCCTGAACATACTAGCATAGTATCGCGCTTCTTGCGCGAGCTTAAGTACTGATGAAGCATTTCTTACCTCTGGCCGATGAATGGCCGTGTTGGAAGCGTTCCCGAACAGGCTTTCACCTTTTCTCCCATCTCATCTCTGATATGGATACAGAGTGACCTCATCAATCCTCTCGCCTCTGGCGTATTTTCAGAATGAACATATCAAAATGAAGAAAGCGCTCTAATCTTTCCAATCTCCACAATCACAGCCACGCGCGAGAAGTGCGCGACTGACATCTACTCCCCGCGAACAGTATGATCGAGGCTCCGTCGTCTCTCATAATGGTAGGAAAGACGTCACTCGCCGTACCAGCTTCGAAACTCCCACCATCATGATATTTGGCTACCCAGGGCGCCGCGGCATCATCACACTAGAAGACGCGTCGCTCACGGACAATCGAATCCTAGACTTGAAACGCATATATCCCCATATGCTCAAGCATGAAGTCTCGGAGGGTGAAGATGCGTTTTGTCAAAGGCTGCTATTGCTAGGCGCGAAGTGATGTGGTTCGACGGCACGAATACTGCTTTTGAACGGAGAAGACGGCGATATTTATGCACTGGGTGACGGCGACGAGCCGGGGCTGACGCAAAGGAAACGGCATTGGGTCATTGTTGCGTGGTCTAGTATTCGGAGTCTTGTAGTCGTCGAGTTCGACACGAGTATGGGTATTGAGGTTGGTGAGAAGGAACTTGTTCCCCACGATGTGGCAAGATTGCGGCTGTGTACGAGCATGGATAAGAAGGGGCAGATGCTCAAAGATAAGTGTCAAGCGAAGGCATGGGAATGTGCGGAAGGGTATGGCGGCAATGCATTTATAGGCTGCTGGGAGACGAAGAAACTTGGTGAGGTTAGAGAGTTCCAGCAGACATGGTTGGAAGATCCAGCCGATCTGTGGAATCGTTGAGCACATGCTGATTTTCAAAGGGTACACGCCTGATGTCAATCATGTTTCAATGTAGTAGTATGTTTCTTTAAGCAACCCCATCTTATAGAAGACAATGCACGCATATAGTGCAATTCTACTGGAGTAGCCAGGCAAAATCTCGTACAGAAGACAACTTAATATTGGCTCGTACAGCAGCCAACAGATCCAAATAAAGAACATGGGAAGTGCTGTTGCACACAAACACATGCCGCTGAACAGTATACTTTCCGATCCGTGACGAAAACCCTGAGATTTCAAAGACATCAAGTTCAAACTCGACCGGGCCCCTAACAAGTCTTCCAATCCCACAAACTGCTATATCAATTGTGAAACTGCTTTTGCCATGTTTGACAGTGCAAGTGGTAAATTATAAGGGAACTGTAGGAGGATTTCTTTTCGTTTCGATTGTTGTGATTATCATATCGGTCGGCTCGTCTTGCTGTGGTTCTATGAACTTTTTCTTCTTCCTTTTTCTTCTTCCTTTCTTTCCTACTTTCTTTCCTACTTTCTTTCCTCCACTGTCGTTGCTTTATGGTACTAGCACATCTCATAGTCCACATGAATAGTATTTCTGCATGGCGTGGTATACATAAAGGCACGGGAGATCGAAGCATTGCTTAACTTTGAGTGTATGTTATACAAATGGAGATAGTGGAAGCGTATGTGAGTCTCGAACAGAACTCTTACGGGATGCCACATATAGACTCAAAAGTCGTGCCATACAGGGTCATAGTATGTACATATTGTCGCACTAGACTAGGGGTGATTGTACATGTACGCACCTAGGTGCAGCCGATCTCAATGCGTACCGTCTTCTAAGATTCTAGCAACAATACACCCTACAATCACGAATCAAGGAAACGACATGATACTCCGACCTCCTGTCATCCACTTATCGTAAAAGATGCATACTGTTCTTGACTGTGGCGTATGCTTCTTCAACAAAGCCCCCTGAGCAATAAATAACAGACACGAACATAAATGCGACAATACCATGGTATATCGTATTATAGAACGCGTCACGGAACGGATTAGCGTGTATCAAGATGGTATAAGCGGCGGTATGAAGTGTGCTTGCGTACATGATCCAAAGTTCAAGGCCATCTTTCGTCGGATGCGAAGATTTGCGCAGTACAGGCGTTGTTGAACGTAAAGGGTCCCAGGGCGCGAAAACACGGCTGAATCCCATGATGCAGATTGTTGAGATTTGAGCGAATTTGGCGCCCTCGATTGCGTGATGAATGGTATCGAGGAAGTACCGACCAAACCATCTGCGAAATCGGGCATTGTACGATATCAGGTTTTTCGATATTGAATGTATCAATGTAGCTTGTTTGTCTAGCACAGTGCTCATTGTGGCGGCGCGGAATGTCTCACGTTCCGATGAATGTAACTATCCAATGTGGCTAGTCGATTGTTGTTCAGGCTGTAGCGGAAACTGCGCGGACGCAGTGTCATCAGGGACGTATCGCCATTGCAAATAGAACGCTGCGAGCAAGATGCTATTGACCACGTCCACGATAACTCCAAGAGCCAGATCAATTTTTCGTCCGTCGATGTTGCCATCAATGCGAAAATGGTCGAAGACGTACAAATAGCGATACCAGATTCCAAGGCTGCCAATTTATTGAGCAAGCAACAGCGACAACATAGTGCACCGCACTAGCCATATCTCGTTCTACTTCTCGTGGACGAAACGGAGTTGATCTATATCCATATTGCCTAGAGATGCCGATTTTTCATCAACATCAACTAAAACGTAACTTCCGATGTATCTCGCAATCCATTAACGGTAAGGAATGGTTTAATCCTTGGTGCTTGACTGATAGTGGTTTCCGTCCGCGAGAGCCATTGTGCAACTGATGATTCAGGGGATATGAAATATACCAGGAGTAGAGTGCAAGCTTGCCTGGTTTTCGCAGAAGTGAGCCCTTGCATGCTCATCAGGTGGCCGTACAAGACCAGTGAAATAACATGGACGCCTGAAGTACGGAGAGGCGTCTCGCGCAAATTTCGAGGCAAACCACCGGTTACTCCTAGAATTATTGCAGGCAATCGAGTACTTTGTCACCATGGAGTTCGCCGCAGTCGCGAAGCGCTTGACGAAAGACGTTGGGTCTGGGGTCGAATGACATATTACTATCTGTCATGAACGGATCATTCGATTCTACAGCGAGAACAATGCTTCGTAGCTGCAAAATGCACGGATAGACTGAAAGATTGTTGTGAGTTGCGCTGCGAAGTAGGTGCCAGCACTGTCCTAAAGCTGATCTTTGATTGGCCAAACACGGACACACTGCATTGTGAAACTAGGCCCGGACCGAATGCAACCCGAGAAACAAATAAGAATATTGGCATACATCTATAGTGAAGATGGAAGGGAGACACATGAGAAAGAAGTGCAGGAGTGCTAAACCGATGTATGACGTCATGTTGTGTGAGCATCTCGGTCGGCCTCGAATAGATCGACAGAGCCAACATTCATCTCGAGGTATGCGCTCGCGTGCAGATTTATATCAAAATCTGTAGTACTCATATGTCTTTCGTTACGGTTTCTGCATTAGATGTGCAAGCTTTGAAATAATAGCTGAGTATAACCCCTAACGCTAGGCCTCTGTCCGAAAAATCAGAACGCCTCAAATTTTTCCACTCTATCATACATGTGACCTGCTCAGAATCTATTGAACAGCTGATATTGCCTCAGACGGACCCCACAGCTACCAAACTTCACCTCTTCTAGCACCAAAGGCACCTTACGCCATTGGCGCCTTTCATGTTGTTGCTCCTCAGTTCCGTCACTTCTCAACAAAGCCCAGCGCTGTGCTGCTTGTACCCCTGCAGCTCATTTGGGTACCAGTAGTAGAATACTCCCATGACTGCGAGCATAAGGACTGAGTCGAAGACGTACAGTGGCCACTCATGTGCGAGCAAGTATCCGTTAGAACCGCCAGCATACTCGATGATGCGGAAGACAGACCTGATGAGGATGAGAGCTGACGTCACATAGAGCATCGTCATGATGTTTTCCCATTCAAACCCGGCATGCGCACTTAGTCTCGCAAGGTAGCGCTTGTGAAAGGTGATTGCTGACACCACGAACAGTCCAAAAAAGGCGATTTGGATGATAAGACCGAAGATGACAATGATCTCGCCCGTCTTTGTGCCGCTTCCCGCCGCCATATAACCTGCGCCGCTACTTTGTACAAGGAATGCGAAGGCGTCGCCGATAACGAAGGTCTTGGTGAGCCAACCAATGCGGATGATGGAAAGCTGTTCAGCAGCAGGTCCTAAACCGCGCATGACACGACCGAGTGTCATGTAGATGGATGCGGCGAATAAAGAGGGCGGCACCAAGAGGAAAACAGATTGGACAATGTAAGGCATGAGTTTGTCCGTAGCGTTGTTGGCGGCGATGCGTCCACCGTAACCGATAACTTCGACTAAAGCAAAGTGTTAGAGACAAGACTCGGACCGATGATTGAGGAACTCACGGTAACCTCCGATAACAAAGGGCAGACAGAACCACATCCGTGTTTTCCACATCCTCCAAGTATGCACTGCTGGCGCGACAAGATACAGTATGAGAAAGATCACCGCAGCCGCCATTGAAGGCACGTACTTCCACAGATAAAAATCACCCTTATACGGCAAGAGCTCGCCCCTTTTAGCCATAGGTACTGCGGTAAACGCCATGACATGTAAAATTGAATGCAAGTAAATGAGTATGCCTTAGTCTTGTGAGAACGCAGAGAGACAACAGATAGGCGGACGGAAACTGGAATGCAAAGTAGGAAGAATGCTGAAGTGGAAAGAAGTAGTAAGGTTGCAAGGAGTCATATAAGGTCTTCCAATGTGCGCGTCTCCTTTTCGTAGGACATTGAGATTGTGAGGCACTGAATCGTAAAGAGACGAGCTCGGCAGGATCTTATTCGCGAATGATTTCAGAATGTTGCCGTCGTTCAACAGGTTCACAGATGAGCCCGCCTAGCCCAGGTCGGTGATGCTTGCGAGAAGTTTGATCAGACCAGAGCATGAAAAATTATGTGGGCGCACTTCCTACGCAGACCCGTGCGTTAGTGTACGAGTACGAGGAGCTCGTTCCTCGTAAGCAACATGAGCGTACACGCTAACAGCTTGGCCTAACGCAACGCAATAAAAGCCCTCTACTACTATAGAATATAGTTCAAGATGGAGAGGATAACAGCGCTGAAGTTCTATTTTTAGATCTTACTATTAGGAACTATTAGTATTAGATATTATAGTTATACTGTTGCAGTGTTAAGTCAGGTACATTCGGCTATTCTTATGAGGAACCAATTCCTCCCACGCTTTACCGGTACGAGGGAACTTCTCTCCAGCGCACTGACCTTCAGATTTTCTGGTGTACGAGGCTGTACGATAAAAGAATCCGCAAATTGGCGGTTTGCACGGTCCACCGTTGCTGATTCGGCTTTACTACACAAATGGATAGACGTGTCCGGCCGAGGCAACCTTCCGATGAAGATCCTTGCACGCTAAAAGATATCTTCAGGTTCGCGCAGAGTGCATCCGGAACGCGGACTGAGCACTAAAGGAACGGTAGGGCGTAAAAATGGCTTTGCGTGAAAACGGGAAGTGAAAGGGTAGCTTTTCACAGGATTCGACTGCTGGAAGTCCTCGATTATCAGGTTTCGTTACGCACCGTGCGGCAATGCCATGTCTGACAGTTCCTATGTATGTCGGATTGAATCTGCTATTTCTTACCGAGTATATTCTGTGTCGGGAATCCTCAAGGCGGAAGGAAGTTTTGGAAGAAAGAATTGGGTTTATTGATTAAAAGTAATACAAGATATACACAACCATACATGCCTCCAAGACACGCCTCCACGACACGCCTCCACGACCGCGGATGGGTTGTCCAATTTGGTAGATTTTCCAGTCTGCATTCCACAAAGACCGATTTTACACAAAAAGTAAAGAAGCACTGCCTATGGCAGAGTGCATTCAATAGTCGGCAGGTGTGTAGTCATTAACAATACCGAAGATGAACTCCTCGTAATGAGCGCGGCCTTGAAATGTCTCCTCCCCAATAATGCCCCCTTTCAACACGCCATTGGCACGCTGATACGCACCCGACTCATCCCTCACGATGATGTCGGTCGTGACATCGATGGCCAAGATTTTTCCATCAGGGAGCGTATAATTGATTGCTATTCCCTCTGTCTCAAGCAGGCCAGTGATAGGAGGCCAAGCAGCCTTGCCACCTTTTTGTCGCACAACGAGAGAATCAGAAGAGCAGCTCACGAGCAGCGCTTCGCCGTCCTTTACGACGTAGGATCTGCGCGCCTCGTTGCCGCTGTAGTCGAGTAGATTGTACCAGACGACTGAGAAGGGACCGAGGCGTCCATGACCCCAGTCCCAATAACGAGGTACATCAATGATAGACTTGTTGCCCCAATTCTTGTCATGATAACCGACACCGTCGGTAAATTTGATGGCGATGTCACCAACTTGCAAGTCCACAACTGTGTTGGCGTCTGGAACGGCGTTGGCCCAGTATAAATCGGGAAGTAGGTTTTGATTGGCACCAATAGCTCCTTCTAGCTCACACGGATAGTGTGCGGGGGCCGTCTATTGTTTTCAGTTACCAGGCAATAACGTGGGCCCTCCAAGACTAACCAATTTGTAGGTTATAGAACCATGAATCTTCATCTCGGGAGAGTCAATGCTAATGGAATATTCAACATTGGGTTCATCCAAGGGAGATCCTTTGAAAGAGCCGACGCCCTTCCAATCACCCGCAATGCCGTCCGGGCCGTTGGTGAGAGAAACGCCTAAATCAGCCATAGCCTCAAAGTAGAAGTCTGTGCCGTTGGGATAGAGACCGCCGACTTGGACGGCAAGTGGATGAGGGTAATTGGCGAACTCTCCGGTATTGAAGAAAACGATGTTGAGTGTCTGGTTGGTTGTGTTGGAGAATACGTCGAAGTACCAAAAGTCGGCACTTTTACGGGCGGCAGGCGTGAGCATCTTGAACCCATCAAGGTTGCCGGCTACGGAAAGGTGCTCTACGCTGATGGAGCCGTTGGTGTAGACGGGCTCAAGGTCAAGCGTACGAAGAGTGTCGTTAGAAGGAGCACTTAAGGCGAGACCCATCATAAATGCTACAAAAGCAAGCCTGGTAGAAGACATTGAAACGATTTTGGGAACGACTACGATGTGTTAAGGCGACATGACGGGACTTGCATGTTTTATACCTCGTGCTCGGTCGGAGCGTCAATATGCAAATTGCGCATCTGCATACATTTCGACTCAAAGGAGAAGTTGTCAAAACGCTCGAATGATTGTAGTGGGGGGCTCCCGCATCTAGTGTCGTATAGCTACTTTAGTGTACGAGGCCTACCGAGCACAGATCCCTGTTCAAACTTGTGTCCTGCTTCACCAAATTAGGCTAGATCCCGTTTCATCTTGCCAGCCCCGACCAAGCTAGCAGCAGCTATCTGGACATCGCGATTACGCCCCTGCTGTAGTCCTCCTTGTCCCAGTGGCACAATGCCCTCCAGAAAGCATCATCGCAAGACCAAGAATGGCTGCCTTACCTGTAAGAAGAGACACGTCAAGGTGCGTCACGATAGATTTCCCTCCCTCTCAACGAATATGTTTAACTCACCAACTGGACCACTAAGCTAAGAGAATACCGCAGTGTGACGAAGGTAAACCGGAGTGTCTCAACTGTTCGAGGCGGACCCTTGCTTGCTTTTATGGAGTCGATGCTACGCGCCAAACAACGCCCTCAAATCTCCCACCTGCCGATGCACACCACAACCTCACTTACAGCGCTCATGATCTGGACTTACTACATCACTACTGCGTCAGCGCCAATCATTCTGCCGCTCTCTCACTTGGTCTTGGACCGGAGGGCTGTCTGTTCGCCCTGCCTAGATTGGCCTTTAAATTCGACTTCTTACTGCATGCTATCCTTGCATTGGCCGCTTTGCATCGTGGACATGGACAACAGGAAGAGAGTTCCTACCAGGAAGCTGTTCTGAAGCTATCGCTGCAGGTCACATCAACGCCGCATTACCTTCATATCGGTTGGCATTACAGGAACCTACCGAAGTAAACTGCACTGCATTGATGATGTTCTCCTCTCTGCTGACTGTTTACATACTTGCCACGTCAAGGAAAGAGATGAGCCCTTTCTGTAGAAAATCTGAAGATACAGAATTAGGCACTGGTACTCCACCTATGGAGTTGGTTTCGTGGCTTCGTCTACTTGTAGGTGGCATGGCTGCAATAAAACCCTGGTATTTCCATATTCTTGAAGATCCCGACTTCGGTCCATGTATGAATGCAGAGCTATGGGAAATCCAGAAAACGCCAGAGACGCCGGGTCAAATCCAACGAGACAAGATCTTGGCTGAGCTAGAGCATCTCTGGATGACCGATAGAGAAGGCGCCTCATCATGTCCAAGGCCCGCAGATTCGCCACATCGGTACACATCTACACTTTCTAGAACGCTGCGGGAACTACGTAGAGCATACCTTTGGGTCGGCTTTATCTCTGATATCTCTTCGCAATCCGCAACTAGTCTCGAGTCACCGCCTGACCAAGAGGTGCCTTTACAACCCACCGGGGTTCGATCCGTATTGCCATTGTTCATCGCTTCGGCACCGAATCGCCCCGCTCAAAAATCATATTCACGACAGCAGCATCTGCCACAAACTCGGCCAATAGAGTTCAGTGCTATCTTACAATTTCTGCACACGCTCGACGAAAACTTTCTGAACTTGATTCATAACAAACATCCGCATGCATTGGTTTTATTGGCGTACTATTCAGTTTTAGTAAAGCAGAAGGATGTGTGGTGGTTGAAAGATTTTGCTGCCGATATGATAGACTGGGTTAGCCACGAACTTTGCGATCAGTCCACAGACCTAGACCAAGAAGACCTCGAAGCCCAAAGTAGCCCCCAGGAAGGAGCAAGATGTGGTGTCAACCCACCAGAATATGTCCACTCAGATTCAACCGAGATGCTTGGCGCCTTAAATATCCGCTGCAGGAGTGTAGTTCGTCAAGACTGGATGAAGTGGATCGAATGGCCACTGGAAGCCTTCCGGGCTTCAAGACCGAATGGCGTTGACACAGGTTAACGGATAAGGATCGAAGGATCGGTACTTTACGACAGCTTATGGAACCATATGAATGGCAGCCCTTGCAACTCACTGGAATTTCCAAGCGAAGACAGGAGCCTGCCATGGCCATCAGGATAAGCCAGGCAACGGGGTAGTGGTCGTTCGGCACATTTTTCAACGGCGGGTATATTCCCATGCTCAAGAACGTCGTGCTATCTGCCCATCGACTGACCGTATTCTTAGTGCATCCTCTCAAAGGACTGTATTATCCACATGTTGGTGGTATCCCGAGAATTATAAGGTTGGAAAGAACCGTGGTACGCGTGGAAGGATTTGCGCTCTGTGTCATCTACCGTTACGAACCAGCTTTCTTGAGTAGTGTGTGAGAGCAAAATAGATAGAGGGGGTAAGAAACGTCACACTACCACGAAATTGTAAGGTCGAGCTTGAGTAGGATGGCCAAGACGCAAGGAGGTGAGGTGAGGCGGCAGAAGCTGACATGCTGATTGGCTCGCTTAAGTAGAATGACACCGTCCCCTCCCAAATGACAGCTCACCTCTTTCCAATGGTTACTGTTTGGTATTAAATGCGATATTCTCCTCAACAGCTAAGATAGATTTCCTAACGCTCGCGTTTGTGAATTGTACGCTACCCTAGTCGTAATTATTAATATGACATTGACCGTGTGATGTCGCAACGCACATAGCAACCTGGAGTAGACGAGCACCTGGGCACCTGGGCAACACTAGAAAACGTGCCGATGTATAACGCGTCTCTACGCGTACTCGACTACACCTTTCGGCCACCAATGCAACAGGATACCGCCATGCCACCCGCTCAGAAGACCCTGAAGTATACCCAGATATCGAAAGAGACTTTCAAAGCTGTTCTCTCTCGCTATCCATCTACCGTGCCTGAAAACCTACGCGAACTCGATGCGCTGCGCTACGACACCATCCCGGCCACCGTCACCTCGCGCAAAAAGAAGGGCGCGTATCTAACCAAAGATGAAGCCGAGAAGCTCGTAGAATGGAAATTGTACGTTGATTCTGATTCGTTCAATGGGACCGTCCACAAGTTTCCCATGTGTATAAATAATCAATCCTCATAAATCATGAGAGATGCACTTCGAAGGAATGTTTACTATCCTTGCAATGTTCAGAATATGAGTCGCAACCAATATGCTTACCACTGTCGGTTTGCTCTACACATCCAGCTAAAGCCCCCTAGGAAACACGGCACATTCCGCCCCAAACTCCTTCAATTAGTCCAGTCCAATGCTCCCAAAGACATCGAGCAGAAAACACGAAATGCATTCTCCGACACGCCCGGCGAAAATGACGAGTGGATGCATCTCCACCGCAACTCACCCTTGAACGCACTCGAAATGATCTCCCTCAAAGTCCTCACTAAATTGAAAGGTATCGGTCCAGCAACAGCATCCCTCCTCCTCTCCACCAACGATCCCACACTCAACCCCTTCCTTTCTGATGAGCTCTTCCGCTGGCTAATGTGGGATATCCCCGGCAAACCCGGCGGCTGGAACCGCGTAATCAGGTACAACGTTAAAGAGTACCAAGAGCTGCTGGGCCATGTAAACAAGATGAGAACACGGCTGGGCGTGACGGCGGTGGACATGGAGAAGGTGGCTTGGGTGTTGGGGAAGGAGGGTGTTGATGTTGGGAAGGATGAGCAGGTGTTTTTGAGCAGATTGGGTGAGAGGGACGATGTCAATGGCGGGGAGGTGGCGGAGAATAAAGACGAGGAGGCAGAGGAGGGGAGTGGGGAGGCAATGGTGGAGGATTCTGTGCCAGCGAAGAAGGACGGAAAGAGGAAGTTTGCAGGGTCGAAGGAAGTTAGTGGTGGAGAAAAGGATGTCAGTGGAAAGGTAAAGAAAGGCGCGAAGAGGAAGGTTGTTGAGACGGAAGCGCCCGCTGAGGGTGTGCGGAGAAGTAGTCGGAGGAAGACAGCCCCATAAGCTATGCACGTCAAACAGCAATATAACAACTTGATGTGTGTTGTTGAAGTAGCTACGTCATCTTGCATCCGTCGTGCAGTCATACCAGACCACCCTCATCGCGATGATACTCAAAGGCTCAGCCAGAAACGCCAGAACACCATGCCAAAGACCGGGGTATTAACGCTGCTCCAACGCCCAACAAACTCAGCAATACAGTTTCGATGTCAGACACCTGGAATTTGCCCGCTCTTAGTTCGAATCCTTCCCTCCTTGACGGCACCAATCGTTACGCCTGCTTCGCCCGTCATCCAACCGGGCATGTTCTCTCCATCCACGACACCCTGTTCGACCAGCTGCCTAACGCCAGCGAACACATGGCTGCCTTGAAACACCACGCGCACATCAGGGACCCACGAGTCTCCGCCCTCTAACTCTTCGATCTCATCTTGTGAGCGGTCTAGCATTGACGGGCGACCTCTCCGATTGTGATTCGCCGGTTGCGCACTGATATTTGACGTTTCCGCATCGTCTGCTTGCTCGGATGAGTCAGGCACAGGCGGGAAGGGATCGTCAATGCGGACTTCGACGCGCTCGAGGCCTTGCCCATCGTTGGGTTGCGCAGATGAGCCAAATCGACCAGCTGCTACTTCGCGTCTTCTCTTTGCTTCCGATGTTTCCTTGTCCTCGAGCGTCCGCTTCGGTCGACCTGGACCGGCTTTCGCTGTGCCTGTTGCATTGTCTCTGCCCATTCGGTTCTTCTCGTGTCCATCACCCCTCTGGCTTGTTATGAAATCTAGAGCATTTTGACTGAAGCTGTGATCCTGGAAGATGCTCCAGCCGCCTGATGCCGCGTTGCTCTTCCCCGGTCCTCTGTATGCGAGCAGTGCGTCTAGAGACTTTGTCGTGAAATTTGTGCTTGCAAGCTGATATCTCGCTGACGGTCGCGAGAAAGCTTTCGGTATGGCTTGCTGGACGATGTCGCGCAGATGGCGACCATCATCACTGATGACTTGGCCGAAGTGGTTCGCTATCGAGGAGTAGACAAACGGAGAGCCATTGGGCCAAATGAAGAAGACTGCTCTTGCGCTGTCCACGTTTCCATTATCTACGGCGAGAGAGGCCTCGGTACTATACGGCGAGTCATGTATATAGACCCTCAGTATTGTCATGGGCATGGTTTTGATCTTGATCAACAGGTAATGCGCCTTCATAAGCGGCGTCAGCTCCCTCGCGAGGTTCGCCATGAAAGTTTGCGCCTGGAATCGCGGTAGATGCTCCGAGTCATTTGTGACTTCCATATCCAATGAGACGCTCTTAGCATTCGGTATCCGTGCAAGCCGTTTCGCGGTCCAGCGCAGACTGTTTGGGTGATCTAGCAGGTACTGTATCTCGGCCGTGGCCAATTGATACATGGAGACGCCTGTTCTCCAGTCGCCCTCTAGTATGCGATCCTGTATCTCGCGCTTCCCGCCCTTGCGCGCCGCCAGCTCTTTGTATATCTCCTGGAGCTCTTCATAGCTCTGCGCGGGCGTATACTGCTCGTCCTCGTCTTCCTCGTCGGCGTCGCGGTCGCCGAGCAAATAGGGGCGGCAGAAATCGCGGTTCTTCTTTGCGAGCCACTGGTGTGCAAGGGACACGAGGGACTGGCGCGAGAGCTTGGTGAAGGTGCGCTGGACTTCGCGGTGGGTGGTGGGCAGGCGGTGGGAATGCGGGACGTTTTTGCAATCGGGCACGGTAGTCTTTGCTTTCGGCGCCATGGTGGGCTACATGGGTGGTTATGCTGAGACGTATCAACTGTTTATGCTTGTTATCGATATCAGCGCGCCGGAGGAGACGCGTTCGTAGCGTGCTAAGCGGCCCCCGGGGAACGCTCGTCACGTGATGCCGTCGCGCCCCTGCCCGTGTGCATTCCAGTGCTGTTCCATCCTAGCCAGCAGCAGCAGCCAAGATGCGGGAGCGCAGCTGACGAGCGATTGCAAATGATGGCCTGCAGCATCAGCACCCACGTTGCGTAGAGAGAGGCCCCCAGGCTGCCCATCACCATGGCGCTACGGGCAGTGCTTCCGCCGCTCGCTCAAGCCTCGGGCGCACTCGGGCTTGTTTGCCTTATCTGGAGGCGGGCCTTTGATTACAAACCGCCACGGTCACTGCCGCAGACTCGTCGAACGAGTGGTGAGGCGGGGTCAGACAGCTCGTGCTGCACAAAGAGATACAAAGGCTGCAGCGCTCCATCTGCACGAAGAGATTCGAAGGCTGCAGCGCTCCGTCTGCACACCAAGGGCTACTGTGTACGCACTGTCTCAGCCGGGCGGACATTGCTGAGGTCGCGCCTTCTCCCTCCGGTGGTGGGGTGCTAGTGCGCCTTCCGAGTGATCCGTCATTCACGGCAGTCGCAACCCCGTGGGCGGCCGAACTCGCTGACGATCAAAATCCTTTCTCCACCAGCGATACACTACCGTCTCAACGTCACCACTTCACCTCTTCACCACTCTCCCACTACCCTTTCCGACCTGCCTGCTCTCTCACCGTGAGCCGGCTGTTTTGCGCATCATTTCGCCTTCCTGCACGCCGGTTGCAGTCGACGCATTGCACATCCGCCTGGTCGGCACCACCGCGGGATCCGAATTACTCATCTTGACGCAACCGTGAATCGACGTCTGAACGGGCCCTCGACACAGACATTCCGAACACCCTCAAAACAGCACTTGATCCGTACCATCACACAGCGCACACTTCAATGTCCGGCTACAACGGCCGTCGCGGGCCAAACGTCTCCGCGTACGTCGCCAACCTCAACACCATCGTCCCCGACGAGGTCCACGAGCCGAATCCGGATTTTTCCATGTTCTTGGACACCGATCTCTTCGATCAGTACGACACCGGCAACCTTGGCTTGAATCCATCGCTCGACGTAGATTTGAACAACATCGAGACACCAGCACCGGCCACGCAAGCGAGTCGCACAGTGCCCCCGCTTACCGCGACCGACGCCAAAATGCCTTTCGACCTCAATGGTACGTACGCACTTCTATCTTTACTGTCTGCATGGTCATTCATTGGCTTGGCCCCATCACGGCGACGTCGGTTGCCGCCGTGTTCTGGGACTCGATGTTCGTTTCAAGGGTACACTGCAGACCCCGCCAAACGCGCTTCGCCAACCAGTTCACCCCACGCATCCTGCAGCCTTGCAGCCACTCACGCGCACGCGCTCTAAACAAGCGGCCGGGGTGTCCAGCGCCTCGAGCGCTGGCTTGCAACGACGCATCGCGGTGCTCCAATCACGCAATACCTGTGCTGCCTCGCGCTGCCCACTGAAGACGGCGGCCAGCGACTGCACCTTGCACTCTATCGTCCCTTTGACCCTCAGTCAACATGGCTAACTTCGATCTTTTTACAGACGACTTCCAGTTTGCCGACTTCTCCAATTTCTCGCAGCCTCTTTCCATCGATCCTTCTCTCTCGAATCCGCTCCCCGCGTCACGTACTTACTCTGTAGGCAATGCTTACACGTCCCCCACCTCAACAGCCGTATCACCTATCGTCCCTGGTTTCGATGCCGCCGCTGGTAAGAAGCGTAAGCACGAAAGTGCTGCGGATACGCCGAGCCAACCCCCTACAGATGAGAACGCCCGTCACGCCGCCGAGGAGGACAAGCGGCGCCGTAACACAGCCGCGAGCGCCCGCTTCCGCATCAAGAAGAAGCAGCGCGAGCAGGCGCTCGAGCAGACAGCCAAGGACATGACGGATCGTGTCAGTGTGCTCGAGACGCGCATCCAGCAGCTCGAGACGGAGAACACTTGGCTCAAGAGCCTCATCACCGAGAAGAACGGCGGCAAGGCGTCGCCCTCCGAGATCCAGGCCCGCCTCTCCAAGCGCGAGGAGAGTGAGCGAAGTAACGGCAACAGGACCGATGGCGTCGGCACGAAGGCCTCCAAGGCTTAAAGGCTTCGACCAAAATTCTTCTAGCTTCTCTTCTTGTATCTGGATAGTGACCGACTGCTGGGCTTCGGATTTCGCAGGCTCGACAAGAGTCGGGTCGGCGCGCACACTGTATGTTCGCCTTGTGCTATAGATTAGGGGGTAGGATGGCCACCCTCACGAGGATGCGTTACGGATTAGGTGTGCGATACTCATGAAACAATGAGTTGATGGGGAAGCCCAGTGCATGATCCACTAATACGATTATTACTTTCACGTTAATTTGTCGGCTTTCCATGTGCTATCTTGCGTTGAGTGTCTGTACTAGACCTTCCTTTCATACTTCCGTCCCTAGCAATATCCATATCTACCCAAAAGTCCACGCGTTCACCCACGTACAAAACCCATTGCAACCCCGAGACCTCCACCGTCCAACCGCTAGGCCTCCTACGCCACACCCTCCTGGAGTCGCTTAGTCTGGTCTCACCAATGTTCAAATTTTCCCCAGGTCCGCAAACGCCAGTTCTGGTCCACATTACGCAACTTCAGAATCCGATCAAGCACCCACGCACTTGTTCTGCACTGTACCTAGTTTCCCGGCCTGCCCATGCTACCCGCTTTGGTACTTTCGCATACATATGTATGGCAACGCTTGTCCCACCGCGACGCGATATTGTGGTGATGTGCAGGGTATCGACGCGGGAATAGTAGCCTAGGTAGGGCACCGACCTCGGAAGGGCCGGGATTAGAGAGGCAATTAATGCGGCGAATTACACGAGGCGGGATGAGGTGGGGGGAGTGGGATTGAGAAGATGACGCGGTGGGGAAATCGATTGGGTGGCTGGTTGGTGAAGTATGGCGAGAGTTAGCTGATGGGATGGAGAAAAGGAAGTGTGGTGTATGGTGGGTAGTACAGAGCACATGTTGGACGACGTAGATGACCGCTGGCCAGCATACTTCCAGTACGGGACTTTGACGAACTGGATAGCATTAGGCTTTACTGAGATGATCTGGTAACTCTACATCGATGCCCACTGGGCAGTGCATACCGTTGGCGCAGTGGTATCCCAAATTACCTCCTATCGTGTGGCCAGCGAGCAGGCGCGTTACATGCACCGCGCAGCTTGCAGGGAGGCGCTTGTTCTTCGTGTATACGGGAGCCAGGCGAATCCAATTGCACCTTGGGCAGCTAGGTAGCGGTTAGGTGAGGCGGCAAGCGCACCGCGTACTCTAGATGAGTCGTCGATGGGTTTCTTTCGGAATCGAATCGACGGATGTGTGTAGCGGTGCATTTGGGTCCACGATCCGCTTCTGTATTTCGAAATGCGAAGTTCCTTTGTTTTTCACGCCAGTCAGTGATATAAAAAGTTACTGGTGTCCGAGTATGCCTAATAATTGGGGCTGTAGAGTTGTTTGCTTATACCAAGCATGCTAAGAGCCTCGTTACATGTCGCTGCTCCGTAGTCGATCTATTCCCCGCGTCAAGCTTCATCTCCATGGGTTCTGGGCGCTCCCTTACGGCCAGGAGCGGATAGTTGCATTGCGGTAAGCTTACGTTGCATACCAGAATGCTTGGGAGAAGGTCCCATACAGTGACGTGGGTATCCGACCGGAGCTACTGGTAGGTACAAGTGGTCACGCAACTCTTGCCGGTCTGTCAAACGCACGTGGAAAGATGAGGCGCTCTTTTTCGCGCCACCACAGTAGGGCTGAGACTGTAGCACGCGGGTAGTAGTGGTAGTTACACGCGCACATTGAACATGTGGGGCATGCAATCAGAAAGTAGACGGATAGTAGGCGGAGCGAACGGGTGGCAGACGAGATTACCGAACGGTAAGTCTTTGCAAGACAGTGTATACTGACGTTTCGATTTTCGGGAACCATATACCAGCTTTGCGAATGGAATGGAGGTACGCGGAATGCTGGCTGATGGGGAAACAGACACCGTCGATTAGCAATGTGGTGAGACAACGTGGTTGTAAAGTTCATATAAAAGAATGTCTCGTATTGTGGTGTGGAATTTGAACGTATCTCCGTGCTAGCATCAAATCATTTGCATTTAGTCACCCACGTTTTGATTCATGTCCATACCTTTCGTTGATCCGGAGACCTATATGATGTCATGCATCAATCAATTCGACCATGACCGTATTTCTGGGACAGACTCCGAAAATCAGATCGACGTAGGGAGGACTTTTCCGTTGGAAGGGTTCGGTGACGAGGTAGACAATGCGACTGCTGTATTACCGTCATCGGATAGCATTCGCTCAACGAAATCGAATGACAGTGTGTCTTCATGGCGAACTTCGGGCTCAGGATCTACGCTCGCGACCTCGATCACATCTTCGCTAGGTAAATCTACGTCCAAGATATTGAGCGGGTTTAGCGATGTTGCTAGATCGAACAGGTCCGCCATATTGGCGCGATGGAGACAATGTCGATCACGGCCACAGCCTTACGAAGAGAGTATCGACTTGGAAGCTGGCGCTTCTTTGCCACTTCAGCCACTCAGCGAGTACGGAACGTATGCCGAATGTGATCAGATAGGTTCGCCATGTCCTGAGGGAATGGAAGCCACATCTATACGCTTTACGTTCGATTTCGGATGCAGAACTCACACATATGATCTGGAGTACGCTGTCTTCCGCCAATGGAAGTACGTTTCACTCCTCGTTGGTGCCGTTCAAGAAGATGGCGTGAATTGCGTCTTGTTATGGGACGAGTCCGAAGGACTGCAGGTAATGGCCGGCGACTGGGAAGCAAGAGCAACGCCAGGTTGGCACGTTACTATTTTCTGCCAGGATGACAATGTCAACCATGATGACGACAACCACAGCGAAGGAGATGATGCAAAAGATGAGCACTGGGATGTTGAGAAAGACTATGGTGAGGAATGGTGGTTCAAACGTTGGAAGGCAAGAGTCGAGAAGAAGAGAGAGGGACAAATCGAAAAGCAGAATTCGTGGAAAATTGGTGTCGTGGCGGTCATCGGTGTTGCTATAGCGTTCTGTATAATTTCCTGGTTTCCGTTTAGAAAACATCATACGATAATGATGGATTGAGACGAGGTGTTAGATCCCAGGGCAAGGCAGAACCTCGTTGCTCTTCATGCTGCAATGAGCGGAGCGTGTTGATACTATAGCCAGGGTGTCAAAAACCGAGTCGCCTGCCTTTGCAATCCGTGGCACGGGACAAGACGGTATGCTCGCACTGTATGTAAATGAAGGGATGACAAACCGCGGGAGGACGACTGTCTCGGATCGTTTCCGCGGAGACGTGACGGTCGAATATGCCGTACTAGGAAATGATTGAGAAATCTGTTGATTGCAGCGATTTTCCCCGGCCAGATTCCGGTATATTTCACCGCGACTTCCGCATCCTAGTGGGCCTCCGAACGCACCTTCGAACGAAGACACCGCAGAGATCAATAAATAATGATGCCGTCGTGAATGCGCGCAGCGTGGTGGAACGCAAAGAAGGGTTCAATGTCGTGATCACGTTGGAGGTTGCAATGCGGGATGTTCAGATGAGCTAAGTCAGGTGGCAGCTGCCGGGGCAACGGCTGTCGTGTTTTGGTCTTGGCGCCCTGGAGCACTTGCCCGCTCAGCAGTTCGTCATACGCGATACTTTACGACGCGAGACGCTCTCACCTACAAACTGTTACGCGCTTTTCTACTGTAGCATTTCCACCCCATCCAAGTTGAACATATAATCGGACCAGGAACGTCGACGTCATTTCCGTGGCATTCCTCGCGCAGACCTAAACCCTCGCACCACATCTCCCCCACATACCGCATGAGATAGCGTCTGTACGACGGCCGACCACTTCAAAGCCATGCTAGGCTTTCGCCCACTCCAGGTGGGGAAGCGGAAGCAACACTCCTACAATGAAGTCCCATCCCACGACGTCGAAGACCTCGACTACGAGAAATACATGAGTAGCGACGATGAAAGCTACAACTCTTCCGCCACATCGTCTCCGCCCTCGTCTCGGTCGTCGTCGGCTGCACATGCCCCGCCGAAGCGAATACCGCGTGCTCTATCAAGGCCGTCCGTGAGCGCCTATAGCTACAAGAACCCGCGAATGTTCACAAGATACTTTGGGCTGGCAATAGCATCGACACTACTTCTGTTCGTGTTTTTCTTGCTGAACCGGAGCTGGGCGTCAATGCGAAGTGCTGAGCTGGGATTGCACAACGAACCCCCTCCGAGACCAGTATGGGAGAGCTTTCCTTTCTTGAAGAGATATCATGGCGGAATACGGACACTGGTCAGCAGAGGGAAGAACACTCCTGAGTACCCGAAGAAGGAAGACATAGACCCGGACATGCCACCGCAGGAAGTCAAGGAAGTCGCACCCAAAAACAAACGCATGGAGGGCGGGAACTTACCCGAGTCTGTGCCTTTTAACCCATATCCTGACTACCAGAGCCAGAAGTACATCGACGAGTATGGGCCGGTAGAAACGTGCTATCTGGATGCAGAGGGAAAAACGCAATTGCCATCAATGAGGGTATACAACGGGGTGACGGAGGGTACCCCGGAGAACGTCATTGGTTCATACGACTTGCTTGGTCTACGAAAAGACATGTGCTTCGAGCGCTTCGGACGTCTAGGTCCGTACGGTCTTGGCTACTCGAAGAAGCAAGGTGGCACTGGTGCCGCTATGGAAGGAGATCGCGAAGGTAGTGAGAAGGTTTGGGAGCAGACCTCTGAGGTCGACTTCCGCAAGGTTAATTGGGGCGAGGCGCTCGATCGCTGCTTAGAGAAGAATAAGAAGCGTTTCAAGCCCAGTCCTGGTAATGGTCAAAACAAGTTCCAGACCATTAGCACCAGAGACGCCGGATTACAGAAGAGCAATAGCACAATCGTTGAGCAAGCGAAAAAGAAGCACAAGAAACTTCTCCCTCGTACCGCGGTTCTTATCAGGACCTGGTCGGACTACGAGTACGATGACGAGGATATTATGTATCTCCGATCCCTCATTTCCGAGCTCAGCATCGGTTCCGGCGGCGAGTATCAGGTGCATTTCCTGATCCACGTCAAGGATGACAACAAGCAGATCTGGGCTGTGGACGAAGTGTATCAAGAGGTCCTTAACGCGTCTCTGCCTGCCGAATTCGCCGGCATGGGCACGCTTTGGTCCGAACGTCAAATGGGTCTTATCTACGGTGGCGTTCACGACTCCATGTTCCGTGACCTGCCCGTCCATGGTGCATACCGCTCTACCTATATGCCGGTCACCTATTTCGCTCATCAACACCCCGAATTTGAATTCTTCTGGCACTGGGAAATGGACGTTCGGTACACTGGTCATTACTACCACTTGTTCAAGCAAATCAGCGAATGGACAGATAAGCAGCCACGCAAAGGTCTTTGGGAACGTAACGCGCGCTTCTACGTTCCTGCTGTGCATGATTCTTGGGAAGACTTCTCACAGATGGTTCGTGTCCAAACCGAGCATGGAACAAACAGCAAAGCGAACGCTTGGTCCTCACACCTTCCTCCGAACCCTCATGTACCCGAGCTTGAAAGTCAGAACAAGGAGAAGCCAGTCTGGGGTCCAGAACCACCCCTCGACTACCTCGACATCGAGATCGATGAAGCTGTCAAACCACCGCGGACCTTGATCGAAGACAAGTATCAGTGGGGCGTAGGAGAACCTGCTGACCTGGTTGTCCTCAACCCGCTTTTTGACCCTGACGGAACGAACTGGCTCCTCGCTGAAGACTTCACGGGCTACAACACAACGCAACGTCCTCCACCCCGCCGTGTAGCGATAAACACTTCTGGCCGCCTTTCACGTCGGTTGCTGGAGACTATGCATCGCGAGCAGTCCCTTCACCGACACACAATGTTTTCGGAGATGTGGCCCGCTTCCTGCGCGTTGCACCATGGACTGAAGGCTGTCTACGCCCCGCATCCCGTGTACATCGACCGGAAATGGCCGGTGCAATACCTTGCCGCTATATTCAACAATGGTCGCAACGGAGCGAGCGGTGGCTCGAGGCTGAGTGTATTCAGCGACGACAGGCAGCATAACTTCTTGGGAACGACATGGTACTACCATGCGGGACACGCACCCAATTTGTGGAAGCGATGGCTCGGCTACAAAGTCGATAATGACGGTGGAGAGCAGGAAGAATTGGCCGGCGAGGGAAGGATGTGCCTGCCTGCTATGCTTTTGCATCCCGTCAAGCAAGTCGACTTGATACAGGAGCGGTTGGAGGATCCTGAGGCGGTTACGACCTAAGGGACGCGAAGCAACCGGCATTGACATGGAGTTATGGGTTTCGCGAGCATGCGTGCGAGGCGTTGCAGGAGTGCGTGATTAGCCTGCCCACAGTGGCTGAATATCGCTTTTATATCCCTGGATGTCGGCATGTTTCCACGCTGGCATATTGTACGTATGTTTGTTTTATATATGATACGAATCATGGCTTTTGCATCCACAATGTTGTATGTGGCGGCTCTAAGGACCTCCTTAGTCCTTTACCTTAAGCCACTGTCCGGATTATTCATAGTGAAGATAGGAGATAAGTACCTCTATCCCGATATGAGCTAGACTATCAATAATTTATTCGGCAATAAGCGTCGTCTTTGATCTAGCCGTAGCGACTAGCGTGATCATGAAATCTTGCACCTCGGGCATCCTTGCTATCAAGTTCACAATCAAATCGTATCCTAAGCCTATGTGCTCGGAACGTGCGCAAAACCAGGGTCGTTATCGTTGGTTTCATCGTTTGAGTAGCTTCACCCAATTTCTCCTTTCTTCAAGCGGATGCAATATGCCGGTACCTATGGTATACAGCGAAAGCGAGGAGACGCCGCTGCTAGCAAACACGCGATGGAACTCCAAGGATATCCATCAACAGTTCTGTCGCCTAGCTGGAATTCCACCGTCTAATGTCCCAAAAGATGAGCTCAGAGAGCCTACCGCCAGAAGATCACTTTACGGGCGCGCCGTGCACAAGCGGAATGTTCAGAACAGGACGTACATGTTCGCCGCCACGTTGACAAACACACTTCTCCTTTCGCAAGTTGTGTTAGGCGCAGCTCTCACGGGCTTAGGAGCGTCAGAATCCTCGCACATTCTGATTACGGTCTTTGGCGCTCTGAACACCATCATTGCCGGGCTCGTCGCGTACCTCAAGTCAAGAGGCCAGCCGATGCGAGCACGCATGTTCCGAGATGACCTTGATCGTGTCGTCGATGAGATGGAGAATTCCGAGGTGATGTGGCTAGGCATCCAAAGCGGGGCTCATGGATATGATGAAATAGCTATTGATGATTCAGTCAGCGTCAGGAGTGAGGTAGCCCGCTTGACGCGCTTGTATGACAAGGTTGTAAGGAATAATACGATGAACGACCGTAAGCCCCACTCCCTATGAAAAACTACAAAACAATGTCTCATGATCGTCACAGCGGATATGTACATCAACGCAACCACCGATGCAGCGAATGCCGCTCTTCGAGCTCGACCGGGTCCTTCTTTGTCGACTTCTCTTGGATCTACCACCCCTGGCGCTGGTGCGGTCGACACGACGGCTCCTATCGGACTTGTTGTACCGCCAACGGGAACACCTGATGATCCTGATGCTGCTCCGGCTTCTGCACCGCCGAAATCGAGAACACCACCACCGCTGAAAGATCTACCGAAGCCGGACGACTCCTCGGCTGATGATGAGCCAGGGCCTGTGGAAGGCGCTGAGTCAGTCCTGCTTAATGGTAACGCGGCGCAGAAACAATCTGACAACTGAGGATATCGGTGCCTTGGAAGAGTTCTGCACCCACCTCTCCATGGTTCTAGCAACCTTCTCGTAGATTTCAGCAAATCTATGTACTATAAAAGTCTAACCATTGGCTGAAGTCTTTTGAGTCTATACTCTTAGGCCTGGTAGACATTAAGATAGGGCACCAAGCTGTCAAAATTAGTATGCTAAAGTGAAAAGTCCAATGACCAGCCTCATAGTGTATAGATTGGCTGAAAATCCATACAAAGGTATTTCTTCCATGGAAAGGTGGGTGCAGAATTTTTGCAAAGCACACTATAGCGATCAGAGCCGGACACGGCGGGAGGGTTTTAGAAGTGTAACATATATCATAGGCTCGAGAAAGATAAATTCGCCAATGTTATCATATTCCCGGGTCTTGTATGGTGAATAACACTGATGGCAGCAATACGCGCGACACAATCGTGCTCTGGGGTTGCACATTAGCCTTGGAAGGCTGTCACGTGCGATGATTAGACGCAGGTACGTCTTCATGGTGACCGACATATCCGTAACGACTACCGCTTCATCGGGATCATTATTGAAACTCACTTGAATTACTTAGGCCTTGTTAACAAGCTCCCCATCCAAAATTAGAGATGACGAACGGCAACCGTACTTGAAAATTGTTGGCTTTCACCAGCCTTCTGAAGACGATTTACTTCTCTTTCGACACTTTTATTACGTGACGTTAGGCAAGGTTCGTGGGGAAATATTGTGATCCGACTTACTCTGTACGTTATCCTTGAGTGGTGATGCCTAGGATGCAACCATGGAACGCGAAAGGCGCTTGCTAGCACTCAAAACTGCGCAGTCAACCTCTTCGACACCTAGCAGACAACCTAATTGGCCCCCACACCCGATACTGACCCTTCTTGCAGTGGTTTCAACTGATACGACCTTGACAGCGCTTGTCTGCTGGTTGCCATATGCTCACCTCTTCGCAGAGACTATCTTATTTGATTAGTCTTGGTTTGAAGATGACTTGCGTTCAATTAGGCAAGAGTTTCACCGTAGCCTAAAACCTCCCAAGAAGCGCCGTCGGGTAATAGCTCCCACCGTACAATCTGTAGACTTTGACACGTCTCAAGCACAACTCACAATGAATGTTAAAATATTGCACGATGGTCAAAAATGTCACGATCCCTAGTACCCTCAGTCTTGTAGCATTCTTTGGTCGCATAGGTACTGTTACACTGCTTTCGCTGGAATTCCCCCTATCCCCGCAGACACCATCGCACAGCTGCAGCCGTCTTGTACCGCGCCATCACTTATCTTATCAGCAGTCTGCTTTCCGTTTGACGGGCTCCCGCATTCAAAGAAGACGTTTCTTCTGCGCTTCGTTCCGGTTGCGACGTCATCACAATTGCGCACAGCAGGTTCTTGATGCCATCGACGATGGAGCAATACCACAAGTTCTGCGCCACGAACAAGATCTCGCCTCGCCCCCTCGAGGTACCCCTACCAAACTCTGACGATGTGGTCTCAGCGCACTGGATAGGCGATCCAGATGCGGACGCTGTGGTGTTGTACTTCCACGGCGGTGGCTACGCGCAAGCCGGCACGGAGGGCTATCTACGCTACTGGACACGCACAGTCGACGACCTCAACAGTGGTGCTAAAAAAATCGCCGTGCTGCAGCTCGCGTACAGTCTTGCCCCTGAAGCGCCGTATCCAAGACAACTCCGGGAAGCAGCTGCTGTGTTAGCGCATCTCATCGCCTCCGGACGGCGATCGTCAGATATCATTCTCGCGGACGACTCTGCAGGTGGGAATCGCTTGCTGGGGCTGTTTTCGTATGTGCTGCATCAACATTCTGGATTGAATGTACTGAAGATTGAGGGGAGACTGAGAGGCGCCCTGTTGATCAGTCCGTGGGTGACATTTCGCCAGGATCACGAGAGCTTCAAGAGAAACTACCAGACGGACCTAATGGCGCCGCGCAAGCTGCGGCGGTATGCGGGAATTTATCTCTCTCCCTCTGCTGATCCAGAAGCGTATCCCGGCCGTGTGCAAGGCGATGCGTATCAGAGCCTCTGATCAATGACGCATCTTGGTGGAAAGGACTTGATCGTGTTGTTAGCGGCGTGCTTGTGTGTTACGGCGACAATGAAGTTTTCGCGAATGCGATTGCAGACTTCGAGGCAGTGTTCCGTAAAGGGTGGCGCAACGGAGCGGTCGAGGACGATAAGATTGTATTGGTGAGGAGCCCCGGGAGGGCCGATGTGGAGCCTGTTATGAGCTGCATGTTAGGGCCAGGGACAAAGGCACAGCATCAAATTGTCTTAGAAGAGTGGTCCAAGGCTAGGCAGGGTATAAGAATTCTCGTGCGCAGAAGCAGCGATATGCAGAATTCAAGATCATAAAGCAAGTGTAGCAACCAGTGTCTATGCTAGCCACTGACTTTCGACCCACTCCAACTCTTGCTTCAACCACGGCTCCTCTTTCTCTTTCAATGCAGTATCAAACCCATGATCACCTTCCTTCGCATATGCAAGCCTAATGTGTAGGTCAGGAATAGCACTCCTCGCCTTCTCAACAAAGTCTACACTGTCTTGGAAATCCACAGCACTGTCCCCCGTAGCGTGGAAAATGGTCGTAGGCGGCAAAGATTCCACATCTTCTACCGCAGTAATAGGCCACAATCGTTTACCCTCGCCAAAGAACTCGTTGAAACGTCCATGGCCATTGAGAGCCATAGAAAGTGCAAAGCGATCAGTCGTCAAGGGATTGGCAGAGGATATGATAGCGCCAGGCTTGATCAAAGTAGCGAGCTTCTTGTCGAGCCAGTCTGTGGACGGAACCTGCATCCCAAGCATCGTGTCTGCCGGAGAGCGACGAGCGTGGTTCGTCATAGGGTATTGTGCGAGCACAGCTTTGATCTCACCCTTTGGCCTGGTAAGGCCGGACTGCAGAGCCATGTAGCCGCCGGCCGAGTCCCCAGAGACAAGCAAACGTTTATAATCGAGGTCGAGATGGATATTCTGAGACGCAAAATATGTGTCGACGCCCTTATCATAGAACCACGTCCAGAAGTCTGCGAGGTCATCGAGGATGTCGGCTCCGCTGGCTTCTGGAGAAAGACGATAGTTGGGAAGGACTGTGATAGCATTGTTACGGTGCATGAAGGGAACCCAGAATGCGGCAATCCAATCCGGAAACAACGCATCGCCCACAACCTTGTATTATTAGCTTCGAATTAGTAATGGGGAAGTATACTCACGAGGCCCCCGCCGTGAAATTTAACAGCGAGAGGAACCTTGCCAGGCTTGAGGTTATTTGGTACTAGGATGCCGACTCGTATCTTGTGGTCGCCGATCTGTTTGAAGTGCGTCTCGTATATTTGGAAGGAATCAAAGCGCGTGGCCGCCGTGGTGTCGTCGTAAGGTGCCATGGCGAGATTTGTTGGTTTGATACAAAGGCTTGGCTTGGCTCAACAGAGAATAGAAGAATATCGTACGTAGAGTTGCGCTGAGCTTGTCGTGAGAAGCGTCTCCAGCTTGTAACGACAATTATCATAAAGCTTGCCAGCTCCTACTTATACCTCCGTGACGCCCTTTCTGTGAAGTCAGTTGGAACTCGTACTCGTCAGCATTCCAAATCACTACATCTCGCAACTCGCATTATCACACCTCGTTAAGACCACGCTGCGTCTCTTCTGCACTATTCCTTGGACATGATGTTGAAAGAAGTAATTTCAGTCTGTGCGTTTGATACACCAAAACTACACCTTGCCAAGACTGGAGATTGAGGTCGTGCGTTGGTGCAGTAGCGTAGAGCCCAATTATTATAGCGCGGTGTGAGAAGGGCGGTGGTGCCGGGGTTGCAGTCCTGCTTTTCGCCCGGACGTGTCAGCTGAGAACGAAATGTGAGAGAGCGTGGAGGTCATTGATTGGGAGGTCGGTAACGCGCTTCTACTCGTAGCCCTGGAGCGAGTCGAGTCACGTGAATTGCTACTAGCTACGAAGAGTAAGCCGAGGTTCTCCTTCCAGTTCCAAACGCCACACTCCTACACTCCACAGATTCTCACCCTGAATCCACATCACGCCTTCCAAAGCTCGTCGTGAGGTCCTCTGGTGGAAGAGACATCTGTATGCTAATCTACGCCTCTTGGCGCATTGTTGCCTGCAACCGGGTACGGCTAGATACCATGGTGGATGCATCAGGCTGTGCTGCATTGCAGACGCGCCTCACTGGACCGGTGAACCATCCTTACTGCCGAAGGGAACGCGACTGGTTACAAATTATTGTTCCGTGAAATCGTGGGTGCATGTTGACGCGCGGGACCCAGGAATACTTAATCTCAGCCAACCCGTTCACTCTGCAGCGCCTCGCAGGCTTCTAGTCAATCTTCACATTTCAATGGCCGAGTTTGTCGCTTCGCTCATAGGTATCGCCGGCCTAGGCGCAAAAGTGTCGATCACCCTACACAAGGTAGTGAGCACGTTAAATTCAGCTCAGAACGACGCACGTCTCATTGCAGCGGACATATCTATCTTCACTTGCACCCTTACTCAGCTGAGCAAGACGATCTCTGATTGCAATGTTCCAGAAGCAGCACAACTGTTCGAAATCGCTCAGGTCCTTGTCCCTGCCTGCTCAACTCTTGTCCATGAGCTCCAGAGGCTTATTGGGAATACCGAGTTGTATCAGATGAAAGGAGCGTTCTCGGTGCACCTCTTGGCTTTACGATTTAAATGGCTGCTGAACGGACCGAAAGTCACATTTGTGAAGAGCCTGTTGGAGTCATTCAAATCAACGCTGGTGCTTCTCATCTCGACAATGGACCTGGCGGTTGTGATGCATCAAGATGCTCAATCTGACGTCAAGTATGTTGCTAGGCGATCGTACATTGCGATCAGACTATTAAGAAACATGAAAGCCGGACTTGATATGCTGATGCCTTATAGAGAAAGTCTAAAGTCGCAAGTCCGGACCAATCTTCACTTAGCCGAGGACGCAAAAGCAAATTTGCTGCTCTTTCAGGACCCGAAATACAACAGCGACCCTTCGACCATACTCGATGTTCCAGATAGCCAAAGTACTAACTCCGATACGGCTTCGAGTGCTGTAACTGTTGTGGATCCTTCAATTAAGTCACTTGTTCCGTATGATATGGACGGGCCGAACGCGACGCAGAGTGGGGATCTGAGGCAAATCACCATGGACGGCGAGACAGACGAATTGACATGTCTGAGTGAATGTCCGCAGGAACTCAGCGGCATTCTCATAGCTCAAGAAAGCACCGTGAAACTGGCCGAAGACTTACTGAAGATAGCTCATGTGCCAACGTGGACGTGGGGAACTTCAGCTGCAGTCAGGCCCTCGGAACAACAGATGCATGTTCCGATCGTACACAAAGACAACTCTCCCAATCAGGTGAACGAGAGCGCAACTACGAGCCGGCCTGGGCTTCCAAACCCCGGTGCTAAGACTAAAAGCAGCCAGAATGACGTCTTGAATCCTGGAAGCCAAATCGACGACAGAGCATCCGCCGAATCGCTCAACCCCCTGCAATATCTTGATAAGGAAGAAGAGAGTCAAAACAACCCCTTAAGGTCGCCTAGTTCCGACAATTTAGATCTTCAGACAATGATCAAGAAGATCTTAGAGGAGACTCTCGCCTCGCACAATAGTGAGCATGCTTCACAGCCACGAACGGAACCCGAAAAGACTGCGCAGCTCCAAAAGCCAACGGCTCCAGAGATATCGTTTAAATCAGACGTGCAGGACGGCACCGAACGATTGAGCAAGCTCGAGAGGATCATGCTGGCCGAGCGTGATGAAATGATCCGCAAAAAAGCTATCGCTGAAGCCGAGCGTCAAGTCCAGAAGAAAATAAGTGACGCGGATAAATTAGAGAAACTTGAAGGACTCATTCTGGCCCAGAAAGAGGAGCAGTTCAAAAGGGAAGAGGCGGTAGAGGCCACTCGTAAAGCAGATCGGGCTGAGGCTGATGCAAAGGTCGCAAAAAGAGGCTGCCGAAGCAACAGCACGGGCTGAGGCAGCGGCAAAACTTCTTGAAGCAGCAAAGATGGCACGGCAAGAGGCTGAGATTCAGGCTGCTAGAGAAGCTGCGGACACCAAAGCAGCTCATGAAAAGGCTTTATCAGAAGCAAAAGTAGCTGCAGAAGAGCTCGAAAAGGTGAAAAAGGCTGCAGAGGAAGAAGCCGCGAAGCTCAAACCATCGGATGACCCAAAGCCTCCTATCAAGTTCAAGGATGCTGTTGGCAGGAAATTCAGTTTTCCATGGCATCTGTGTAAAACATGGAAAGGTATGGAGGAGTTGATCAAGCAAGCCTTCCTCCATGTCGACGTGATTGGGCCCCATGTACACGAGGGTCATTACGACCTAGTCGGTCCGGATGGGGAGATTATACTACCACAGGTTTGGGAGACAGTTGTACAACCTGACTGGGCGATTACGATGCACATGTGGCCAATGCCTGAGCCACCGCCTAAACCCGGGGTGCCAGTCAAATCACAGAGGCTGATAGCAGGGATAAGTAAGCTTTTTGAGCGGCGCTCTGTCAGTCAAGATAGCAGCAGATCGTAAATTCGAAGCTGGCTTTAAGCAGTAGGGGCGGAACGGATCGAATTAGGGATCGCAGGTTTCCCAAGGGATCCATTGACACACGATCTCTATCCTAGGTAGCCACCGCCGCGACTAAGCAATCCATTGCGGAGCTCTGCGTAGACGCATTTGCAGAAGATACGAAAGGCCCTGCCCAAACAATCGACAACTCATTCCTCCTATTTCGATCATTTTCCCAAATACTTTTCGCGTTACGCTTGAAGAAGTCTTTGTATAGGTCCCTTGGGCTTGCTTTGTGCAGGACAAGCAAATTCCTGACGAAGATTCCTTTGAATTGCGAGCCATCCGCGCCACAATTCGGCTCGCAAGAATCCCCTCAAGATGCCGGACGGAGCAAGCGTAGCGATGGCTGCGTTGGCAATGTTGTGGGCTGTATCAATGTAGAACTTGTCGCTAGTCGCTTTGCTGAGCTCGACTAGACCACCGAGGATGACACCTTGATTGTAGGTCCAGATAGTACCTCCGTTGTTTCGACAGGTCTGCTGGTCCAGACCATCGTTAATGGTGAAATTACTTTGGATCATGCCTGTGCCTCTGAACCAGGCCAGTTGCTTCTTCGCTATATCCAGGTACGATAGCCCGCCGGATGAACTTCCCGCACGGTTGGCGAGCGAGGCAGCGGTGCTGAAAAAGAGTTCGTTGGCGATGGCGTTCACGTATGTATGGTTCTTATCCCACCAGATCCCGCCGACGCCTGCGTTGTTTCTGCTGCAATTTATTTTCCCGAAAACGGAATACATGTCTCTAAAAATGATCTGCGCTTGGGTGAGGTAACGATGGTCTTGAGTAAGATCGTACGCAGCTATCCAGCCGAGAGCCCACCATCCCTCATCACTAAAGCCCTATCAGTACCGTAACATACGTCAGTCGTTCGTACTGACTCGTAATAGCTAGGGAAGCGTGAGTGAGTGATAGCCATACAGTTACTTCCTTACTTACTCGTTTATGAAGTTCTTGAAGGTGTGTCGATGCGGTCTACCATGCTGCTGCACATACCATGGAGGAAGAAAAGGCCATCGGTCTCCATAGAATGTTTGCATCAGATACCTTTCATTTTCCATATCTACGACTTTCGCCATCTCCGGACTGTAATGCGGCGCTTTCACAAAAGTCTCTGCAATCACACCTGCTATCTGTTGTTTCATACTAGTGTCTACGGTAGCTACCCCAGTGAGGACAGTAAGGCCTGTGTGCATATTAGTATGCTTGGTGGGTTGTGGACAAGAGCAAGCAAACAATTAGCGCTGTTCCACCATCCTGTACTTGGTATCCAGAGACCATTGGAGTGATTATACCATTGCTGCAAGGCGCCATAGGCAGCTTCGAGATTGGCCTTGGAGACCTCTCGAGAGAAGATCGCGCCATCGGAAGGGGCTATCAGCCCTGCTAAGAGAACTAGATTGAGAGAAGCTTTGGAGAGCATATCTGTAGGGCTGAATCTTCGTTTTTTAGATTATGCGCATACGAGATCTCCAAAGCCTGGCTTTATAGCATCGGAAGCAGACCCGAATAGTGACCATGACTGCAGGTATGCAAGTCATGAGGAGTCACGCCGCATCACGTGGTATGTAAGCATCCCCGCAATCGATACATTTTTTCTGTGGGTAGATCTATTCCGGAAGGTGTCTGAACTATTCAAGAGACCTGAAAGCCATTCGGGTCCCAGAAATGTCGTGATCGTCGTGAGCCCGACTTCGACACGTACGAAAGGTTCCGATGTTACCTTGGGGTACGGCTCGGCTAACTGTAATTTGGCAAGCTCGTGCTGCAGAGTTTCAGCCCACCAGCCTCATGTATACATGGTATGCGCCACTCTATTGGAAGTCTTTGAAGATGGATACTTGCAACCATGAGAGAGACGATAGTCTGCTGCAAGGACCGAACATGTCCGCTCTGCGAATGATAATGCCAGAGAGAGCACGCATCTGTGCGATAGGATAGATGGCGGGGAGGTAAATTGGAAGAACTTATAGATTGTGGACGGAATGGACAACTTTCGACTCGTACATGGTGCAGAGTCAGTCTCCATTGGTTTGAACGTGGGGCACAAGGGTCCAAAGATCACACTTGGGCAGTAAGGTGCTCGAATGCCTGCAAAATGCAGGCGCATCCAACGCACCCTCTTAGAGCATGCGTCACGGTTGTAGCCTGACGAACTACTCCATCGGAGTAGCATGTGCAGAATCCGTAACTACCGAGCACGCGACCACTGCTCCCGGTAGAGACGCGCCTAGATCTGGCCCCCACACAGAGCCGGCTTAATCAACTGCCGATGGTTGAACCAAGACACCGCGTTATCTCCATACAAATCAAGACTAGGTGGTTATTCCCTACATTCCAACAATACGCAGGCGGCTACCTGTGGCACAGTGGTCAAAGGATAGCCTCGTGCCACTATGGAGGGTCGAGGATCCAACCAACACGTTGCGCAACAGCCTCGTAGGGAAAACGTCTCGACATCCTGTACTATTTGACGTGATATTGTTGGAATCTGGAGTTAATTCAGGACGTCTCGGACTTTCACGGCCCACTTGACAGTCTGCGTGTTGTTCGTTGTGTCGCGATAGAATGGGTTGACGGTCGCAACTTCCGCCCAAGCACACCTCCTTCCTCGATATACGAGGTCGACCGACCGCTCTGTCAAAACATTAAGAACAATACATCGGGCCGTTGAGAGGAAAAGTCTACACTATAACGCTTGTTGTGGCTAGCGAAGCTGCGGCTATATGTTACCATCTCGCAACGTATGGGTGGCATTGAGGACGACTGGGTGGCTTCTGTGGCAGTGAATCTGCTGTCTGGAATCGAAAGCTGCCGTAACACTCGATCATACCAAATCGTGGCTAGATAAGACGCCATCTCTAAACGACTGCACGACTATGGTGTTGAGATTGGCTTGCCACGCGGCGTGGAGTTTAGCAATGGATCTGGTATCATAAACTATCAATGATTAACCTCTACGAGGACACAAAAGGCAGTGCTAGCGATGGGTAATGAAGAAGTACCTAATGTTTGTCAAAGAGGAGTTGTCTTCGTAGATGAAGCTGGTAATGAGATACAATGAAGCTAGGGGGTTCAAGATAGCTGACAAAATTCTCGTTTCCATGTCCGGTTTGAATTTTGCACGTGAACGCAATATTGATCCGCGCTATTGCGAACTCAGATTCGTTACTGAGTCATCAAAGCGATGCAGGTGTAAACTTGAGTGGGATGAAATATTTTATATTGTCAAAGAATCTATTGTACGACGAAGCCATGGTGTTGGCCATGGCCCCGCTCTCATGAAAAGCCATTCCCTCTGCTGCCGAAAACTTCAACGGTAGAAAGACGCAGCCGTAGTATGTAACCGGTAAAACTAATGTCATGACGTCGTAATTCAATATCAATGTTCCCAATCATGCACTCTTTCCCCAGACGATCAATACCCACCCCCGATGCTGGCCCCTCGGTTTCCGATGACGTCCATGGATGCTCCCCTGGATCTGCTTCGTCCGCTTTGGCCTGGGACGCTCAGAGGTTGGCGGCCACGGCTCGCGCTAACGCTTGTTCGTTGCGATGGTGCGGTGCTGACTTTGCGGGCTGGTGCGTCTCCATATGGGATGCCGGCGATGTGCTTGCGGGAGAAGATGTTGCAACCCATTGTAATGTTTGCGGGGTTGAAGTATATGTGGATTGGTATCGATGAGCTTGTGTCAGAATCGTAGTGCGTTTGACTTTGAGGCTTTCTTCGGTTGTTGATTCGGTTGGTTGGTGAGAGTTGGATATTCCGTGTGACTAGAAGACGTGCATTGGTGTTAATTGGGGAGGATTGGCGCTCCTTAAATATTCTTGCTCCCATGCCCTCCGCCCTCTCCCGTGGCTGGGTCCTTGGCTAGTCAATGTGTGCTGTGGTAGGTCCCAAGCACATGATATGGGCCAACGCAGGCTAGCGTCTCAGCAGTGATATTGGTGGCATGACAAGAGAGCGTGCTCCAAAGTTCTAGATGTTACAGCGGGCCAGCCCAGCAAATCTGGTGGCTTGGGAGGGTGCATTAGCGCCGTTTTACCGGGCGGAGCAACTTGGCACTAGCGGAGCGGAGACGTCGGCTTGGTGTAAACATCACGTCACCCATCGCCTGGGGTCGGTACATGTGACGTGGGCCATGCACGAGATAAGTTTTCTGTCCCACCCCCAAGCTGCCACGTCGGTAAGCCGGCGACATTGTTGACCTGCATGCGGCGAACTTTCCAGCAGCACTTTGCATGGACATCGTTCCGCCTGTGTTCGGGGACATTCTTGGCTAAGGCAGCTGACTAGTCATTCCCTCACGCTAGGTATTTCCATGCTATCTGAAAGCCCCCGATATACCAACACCGCATCACAATGAACCCACGGGAGCGCTATCCAACACATGTCATACGGCACAACGCCATCAGCCCGACTTCCTCGGCCTACCGCGCGGTCGACCCCTCCCACGGCCCGAGCTAGATCCCCTCGTGGGAACCAACGGCGGGCGGCCGCGACGTCTACCAACCGCTTCCTTAGTCACTGGCGCCGTGGCTGGAATTTCATCCTCGCTATCAGACTCCGACTCGGAAACGTTGATGCTCTTGGACGGCTTCTTATTGATGGCCGTAAAACCCGCAAGCGGCGCCTTGATCGTCGTCGTGGTAGTCGTCTTGGAAGCTCCGTCAGCACTGCGCTTAGACACAATCTTGATCTTCTTGCCCTCCATGCCAGGTTTCGAGAGGAGGGAATTCGTTGACTGCAGACGCGGTCCGTTGGCGGCGGATGACGAGGAAGGTTCAGCGACGCGCTCGTGAGCGAGAGGCTCGTCTTCGGCGGCGAGTGTGTCGATGAAGCCGTTTAGAGACTCGTTCTCGTTCTCCGATAGGAACTCCTCTGCGATACCCATTTTCGCACGAAGGTTTTCTTGAGCTTCCTTCTCAGCGGCAGCGGTACGCCTCTTTTCCTCTTCGGCTTTACGCTGGGCATAGAGAGCGGAGGCGGCAGTTTGTGCGAGCAAGATGGTCTCGCCAGACTGGTCCTTTTCTTCGCCAACACCGTCCTCATCCGCACCGGCTTGGTCCGGGAGGCCACTCGTGCTTTTGCGTGGCCGACCTGCTCCAGGTGGGCGAACTTTGGCGATTGGTTTTGATGGCATTGACTTCCTTCGTTCGGCCAACTCTTGATTTCGTAGTCGACTTCGCTCGATGTTCTTTTCGCGGTTGGGGTTGATTAGACCATCCCTGAAGTCTTCAGGCAGCTCTGTGGGCAGGTCTTCCTCACCTTCGTTCTTCCGTGCCAGCCAGTTGGACGTTCTACCAGTCGACCGGCCGGCATCCAGTGCGCCAAGTCCAGTCGTAATATCGTCATCTTCGTCTTCAGAATCGATGGTGATCTCTTCGAAGCGTGAACGTCTCTGACCGGGACGGCCGGGCTTACTGGGCAAGCTGACCTCTGGGTTACGCTTCCTCGTAGAGTACGTCTCATCCTGGTTCACACGGACTCGGAAAGTCTTCTGGGCCTTCTCTTTTTGAGCAGGGGTGACTGCCGGTTTCCTAGCTGCCATGATATCAGACTGAAGAATATGTCCTGTAGCGTCCAGCGGTTCTTCACTGGTTTCGCGTTCGTGCTCAGGTGCTGGGCGCTCAAGAACAGGCCTGTTCTGTATTGCCTCAAGAAGGTCTGGGTCCAGTCGCAATCTCACTATCTTGGACTTTCCCTTCATTCTTGCGGCTACAAGGATGTAACGATCTTTACGCTTAGCTTCTTCAAGAAGCTTCCGTTGCACTTCCTTCTGATATTGCTTCCCCGATGTACTCTTCGGCTCAAGGCGTTGTGGCGTATCGTCCTTGGTTCTCTTCTGCTTCTTTTTCTTCTTCCGACGACTCGCATTCTCTTCTTCGTCCTCGTCTTCGCGATTGCGTTTTCCAAGGCGCGGGATCTCACCGTTCGGGTCTGGATCTGGATGCAGAGGTTTCTTACCGAAGGGGTCATCCAGGGCTGGTGGTAGTCCATTACCGTTAGCTCCATTTGTGTGATCATCAAAGCCATTTTCATCCACTGGTGAGTAGGCGATGCCATTACGACTTGGCTCATGACCAAGATCGATATAACGATCGTCGAGCTCCGGATTTGCCAGTTTTTCCTGCTCAGCAGCTGCGCGTCGATTCGCCATAGCCACATCCTCTTCTCGCACCCAGTTCAAGTTCGAGATGCCAAAGTCCACCAGGCATTCCACTGATCGCGGATCTGCTACCTTTTTCGTGTCATGTCCCAACAAGGTGCCCTTGGGCTCGTACGAGTTCTGTCGAGGATCGCTTCGACACTTGCCTGTGTTGCAAACTCGCCTACAATGTGGGCATTTCCAGGCAGGATCTTCCATGATGACTAAGGGCATCGTATCGTGTGCACGGAACAGGGTGCCGTAGCAGTAGGCATAATCGCAATTACTGCAGAAAGCCATCTTCCATTTAGCATGTCGTTTCAGACAGACATGGCAGGACTTGTGTTTACTGAGCCACTGCTTAGACTTCTTCTTCGCCGGTTTCGGATACCCATTCGCGTCAATCTGCGGATCGTCTTCTTCTGACTCCTCGTTCACAGGATGGGGATTCCTAATGTCTACGAAGGGCCGCAACTTGAGCTGCTCTTGACACACTTGGGCAAGGGTTTTCTTGCTGAAGTACCGCCTTTCTTCTGGTAACGGTAGCGGCGTTGTTTCCGTAATGCTTCCATCGATTTCGACTATTTGAGCCCGCCACTCCTCGTACCTATGCATAAGATCTTTCCACTTCCATTGCTCAACCCATGTATATCCCGATTGGCAACCACAGCTTCGGCCCATGCAGTAGCAATCCATGCAAACATCGTAAGGCTCCTCTATTTCTTTACTGTAGAGATTCTTGCATGATTTGCAAGTCAGGAAACGGTTGAAGATGTTGCATCTGCAGTAAGCGCACGTTACATTGCCATCGAAGGACAGGAAATCGGGATGTTCGCGGGCATGCTGCGCTTCAGGTGCGAACATTTCTGAAAGAAGTATGTTCTTATAGAGATCAAACAACCTCTTGAAATCGCGCTGAACATGTCGGATCTTGAGCGACCGGTGAATAAGTTCTTCTTGGTCACCTCCTAATTCACTCCGCGCTCGAGCGATCTTGATCAGATCAGAGTATTTCAAAAGCGTGTAATAAATAATTGCTTTATTCTTGTACTGCTCGTCTCGACAAACGATGCGTGAGGCTGGCAACGCTTCCGACATAGCCATTTCCAGGGTTTCAACGGTTGTTCGGTTCCAGGCTACCTTCATAGTGCGAGTGCCACGGTTCCAGACCTGATGAGGGGCCAACGGCGGAATTAGGATGAAATCACCGGGTCGCTGCTCGACAACATACGTCTTGAACGGAGCTTTTCTCCACGCAATAAGTTGAGCAAAGTGGTTCTCTACCTCGATATCGTGCCCGAGAGTCGATAACCAGTATTCAGATACGAGATGTCGATCTTTCATTTCCGTCATGAACCACAAAGAAGAGCCTGGTCGCTCAGGATTTCCGTCTTCGCTGACTGTGGTAGAGGCGTTCACCATGATATTTTGGCCGAGCGATGCGCACATCTCTCGATGGGCTGGCGTGTACGTTCCTTCGTGGCCGATGTAGCACATAAGATTCTCGGCTCGCATTTCCGGTGGTAGACTGCTCATCAGATCACCTGCGCGACCGATTCCTCGGCCTTTGCGACCGCCAGGCTCATCGAGAGCTCCTGGTCCACCTATCTCACCGGTGCTCTCGTTGAGGTAAAATAGGCCCGACGGGATGTGCTCTTCAACTTTGTTGCGCCAGACATTCGGGCAGTCGATGTCCTTCAGGTAGACGCGCTGCCGAGTCTTGTCGCGATAGCGCTCGGCGTCCTCAAAGAATTGTTCAGTAAGCTTGCCCATGTTCTTGAGGTAGTGTTTAATCGTGAGGGGGATATTTTCTTTTGTGGTGAGATTGCGCGCATTCTCAGCTGTGAACTTGTTAGTATCGTTGCCCAACGCTCGTGGTAGAATTCCACCTACGCTTGTCGCCCATGTTATCGCGGAGCCATGACGGCGTGAACGTCCACGGGTCCAACACTTCCTCAAAGCCGTCTATGACAAGTGGTTTTCCTCCTATTACGACATGCAGCAGCACAAGCTTCTCGAACTGCTCCATGCCATTATTGGCGATCATCTCATACGAGATTCTGTCCGCATACTGGAAGTTGTCTGCCGTCTCGACGAAAGTTCGAACGTCGAAATCCGGTGGTATGGGTTCAAACGAAGCCCTCGGTCTCGCAGCCGGCATGGCGGGCGTTGAGTGCGGGCATACACGAGCGTTGGTCAAGTGGGGGAGCTATGGCGCGTCGTGAAGCTGCTCTTGCAGGGTGTTTGTTGGTCGCACGAGGTGCGCAGCGTGTTCGAGTCCCAGGGAACGTCTCGTGGGAAGCTTTGGCGACAGACAGTGAGTATGCGCGGGCACCACAACGGGTGGCGACGCTCGTCGACGAGGTGTGGGCTGGCAACTGCGCGAGACGCTAAAGTCCAAAGGTTGGGGAAGTTGTGACCGCGATTGGGACACGGCACGTGATTTGGCGAGAAAACCGCGCACGGACGACGCGACCTTCATCTCTCACACTCACCGCTAGTGACCTGCCACTCATTTCTATCTCTGCCCGGCTAGCGGGAACTCGTTGAAGTATTATGAGCCGATTCTCACGATGGGCTTTTGATCTTTGATTTGCACCAGAAAAAGACGTTCGAGCGCGGCTTAGCAAAAGACCTTCGAGGGTACAATTACGCATTGCCGTCCTCGTAGCAAGTCAAACAATGGCGTTGCTTCGATGTTCACGACTCCAAGGCTCCCCAAACTGCCTGCAGAACTTATGCCACCCTCCAAGGGTACAGTGGACGTCACCCTACCCATCAATTAACATCTGGATACGACACAATGTCTCGCTCACCTCACTAAAGACGAGGCGACAGCCAGGTTTCATATCGACAAATCCCATCCGTGGGGCCTTACTTCTCAACATAAACAAGGCTAGCCCATTCTCTTCCGGAATCCTCTCCGCGGACGTAGCAACAGCAACCCAAGAATCCCCCAGAACTCGGCCAGAATACAAGCCACCTACAACGGGCCTGCTTTCCTACCTACCAAAATCTATAGTTCCATATGCAGAGCTTATTAGACTCGATAAACCAACCGGGACTTACTATCTATTCTTCCCATGTGTTTTCAGCACACTCATCGCCGCAACCATGGCAACACCAATGGCGTCACCCTCAGCAGTTGCCGGCACAACTGCTCTCTTCTTCACCGGTGCACTGGTCATGCGCGGTGCCGGATGTACCATAAATGACCTTTGGGACCGGAATCTCGATCCACATGTTGAGCGCACGTATCTGCGTCCCATCGCAAGAAAAGCCGTCAGCCCTCAAGCTGCCATTGTGTTTACCGGTGCTCAGCTTCTAACTGGTTTGGCTGTCTTGCTTTCGTTGCCCTTTGAGTGCTTCTGGTATGCAACACCATCATTGCTGCTTGTGGCTACATATCCCCTAGCGAAGCGGGTCACAAATTATCCGCAATTCGTCCTCGGACTCACGTTCTCCTGGGGTGCCATGATGGGCTTCCCCGCGCTTGGAGTTGATCTACTTTCCAACACAGTTGCTCTGACAGCAGCCGCGTGCCTTTATGCGAGCAACGTCGCGTGGACCGTCCTCTATGATATGATCTATGCTCACATGGATATCAAGGACGACGCAAAGGCTGGCATTAAGAGCATTGCATTGAAGCATGAGAAAGAAACAAAGGCTGTTCTAACCGGCCTTGCCGCCGTGCAGCTCGGCCTCTTAGCCGCCACGGGTGTTGCCGCAGGTATGGGACCCGTTTTCTTCACTGGTGCTTGCGGAAGCGCCGCCGCCACACTTGGGACAATGATCTGGAGAGTTCAGCTCCAAGACGTAAAGAATTGCTGGTGGTGGTTCAAGAACGGTGCCTGGTTTACAGGAGGTGGAATCGCGCTCGGCCTGACCGGCGAATACCTTGCGCAATACCTGGGCTGGTACGACGATGAGGAAAAGAACGACGAAAAGAGTAGGGAATAGTGAAGTCACAAGCCGATTCCGCACCGAATGACCGAGACGTCTCGGTGTGTATTAATTGCAATCCGCGCCTCACGCCACACCTCACGAGGCTAGGGCTCGCCTGGCGTAAATTAACCGCGCCACGATGTAGAATACCATCAATGTACACCACCTACCGAATGTAATATCCCTGCTAACGCCCAAAACAAATGCAGCATTTTCAAAATACTTTAGCACAGCACAACCCCTTCACCACCACTTCCCTTTTCGCACAGCTAATTTCTGAAGTACTTCGGAAGCAAGCTACTGCCGCGAACTAATACGGACCGAGGCCGGTCCAGGCACACTTGCCGAGCGCCTCATCGCTTATCCAGCCAGCCCTCTCGCGTCGAGGAAACGACAGACCGATTCAATATCGCCTATTTCAGCCATGGATGACTCGCAATCAATCAGCAACAATATCTATTGGCTGAATCAGACGTGTTCCAGTCCAAAGCAGCGCCCACGATCTCGTCCACGCGTACCACATGGCGGGCGCCCCGTAAGGGGTCAGCAAGATGCTTGATCATGGGCTTGAGAGGGCTGATTGTCTGCAGATGTACCTGCATTAGTGGCTGTCGTGCTCCAGATATACATCTGTCAGTCCTTATCTCTGGGTCGTAGAGCATTGCTTTCTGATATAACGCAACATTGCACAGTCGCGAGAAGCACTTTGAGCTTACTCGCAGCCATTCCTTACCTGTACCTACCTTCGTAATATACCATTATGCATTTCCAGAACGTTCTTTACTTGGCCCTTCCAGGCGCCTCAGCAGCAGCATACACTCTCCAGGACTACTGTATGGGTGCCTCCTTCCAGAACTGCTTCAACTTCTACTCTGGTGCGGACCCTACTAATGGCTTTGTCCGGTAAGCAACCCGGGCTTTCTCTTCATTCCGAACAGTACTCATCCATACAGCTACCTCAACCAAACCGACGCCTTGTCGCAAGGCCTCTACCAGGTATCCGGCAACAACGTCTATCTCAATGTCGACAGCAAGAACGTCGCGCCCAACGGGCGTGCCAGCTTACGATTAGAGAGCAAGAAGCTCTACAATCGCGGCCTCTTCATCTTGGATGTGATGCACATGCCTGCCAGCACTTGCGGGAGCTGGCCGAGTTTTTGGTCCTTCGGTCCAGAGAAGACGTGGCCTGCGAACGGCGAGATCGACATCATCGAAGGCATCCACGACTCTACTAGAAACGCTATGTCACTACACACATCCGATGGATGCACCATAACTGGGACTGGCAGCACGGGCACGGTCAAGACGAAGAACTGCTACGTCAATGCTGCGGGCCAGACGAGTAATGCTGGGTGCGGTATCGATGATAAGTCGGCGTCTTCTTTCGGTCAGCAATATTCCCCGATGAAGCATTGCAGCCTTCACCTACCTATGCCACTGTTCCACATGACAACCACTAACCTTAACCCCAGGTACCCCCCTCAACCCCAAATTCGGCGGTATATACGCTATGCAGTGGACCTCCACCAGCATAAAGATGTGGTTCTTCCCACGCGACTCGATCCCTTACAATCTATACGGCAACAATCCCGACCCCACGCTCTGGGGTACGCCCAGCGCCAACTTCGCCGGCAGCGCCTGCGACTTCAATAAACACTTCATCAACCACAAACTTGTCATCGACACCACGTTCTGCGGAGACTGGGGCAACGCGGTATGGGCGAGTAACGCAGTGTGCAGCAAGAAGGCGACGACATGTAATGAGTTTGTGGCGAATAATCCGAGTGCGTTTGCGGAGAGTTATTGGAGGATTAACTATCTCAAGGTATTCAAGGAGTAGAAGGGCAAGGAATAGTGGATGTAGATTATACCCGAAGGCAGCAGAGCTGAGAAGTGTGTACAATTGAAGTTGTGTTGCATATCCCCGAGCGATCCCCGCTGCTTTGTAACATGGACCCTGATTACCGATGCCAAATAACTACCTTATCGCTGCAGCTGTTCTGTATGCTGCGACGAGTAGGAGTTATGCCCTGACTAATCTACGAGTAGAATGTTTCCACACTTGAGCGAAGCGGAGTGACGTCGCAAATCCTTACAAATGTTGTCCGATAGACAGAACCACTCAGCGCAGGATGTATCGCGACGCGGATCTTGATTGGCTTGTTCGCGTACTTCTTCCGAGATATGGACGACTATAGTGGCGTGTGTATACTCGCGTCGAAAGACTATAAAGCCTACGCAAGGTTGCTCTCACGTCTTGAATACACTCCTCCAAGTTCAGCAGCATTTACTCACGTATACGTAAACGCATATCGACATCTCCCTGCCCAATTACTCAGCACAATGGCTGCCAAACACACGCCGCAAACCCACCCAGCCGACTTCCCACTTGCAGGCCTCGCTCGCGACGGTTGGTCTACTGACACCGAAGCCACAGCGACATGTTTCTGCGGCGCGGTACAATTGCAAGTCCCGCTGACTGAACCGGGGTTAGTAGCCTCGTTCGTCTGCAACTGCGCCGATTGTCACAAGATCACGGCGAGCATGTTTGCGTCGAACTTCACGGTGGATGATGATTATGTCGTCCATCTGCGCGGGAAAGAGAATCTGAAGAAGTTTGGGCAGAAGGACACGATCGGACGGGGGCACTTGATGACGAGTAGGCTCGCCCTCTTCCTTTCTTTTCCCTCTCAAGTTGTTGGAGGAGCGATGAGGCTGACACGAATGGGTTTAGATTATTTCTGCAACACGTGCGGCACGCTGATGTATCGCGTGGGCGAGGGGTTCCCAGGTAAGAGTATTCTGAGGATCGGAACGGTGGATGATTTCAGGGTGATGGAGGGGGCGTTGAGGCCGAGGGTCGAGCAGTTTGTTGAGCAGCGGGTTAGCTGGTTGCCGGGGGTGGAAGAGGTGGTGAAGAGTGAAGGAATGGGTGTGTGAGGGGATATGGGGTATAACAGGGTGATAGGATGGTATGAAACGACGAAGGAGGGGGTCGGCAGTTGCGGGATGGGGAGAATGGTTCAAAGTTGGTAGAGCAGAGCAGAATGCGGGGTGGTACAATGACAGACACACTGCCGCATATCAGCTTCATCTTCAAATCACGGTGATGAACTTCGACATGGCGGGTATGAACCTTCAGTGGATATCATTCAAGCTTTTCGCTCATGGTACGGATGAAAAAAAGCTACTCAGCACCCGCCAGAACGCCATCCTTTTATGCATGCCATGCCTCATCACGTTCGTCCTCCGCGCTCTGGGCGAGCTTATGCGTCCTCGACGATAGTGGTCTGGAGACCCTTAGGGTCCTTGACGTTGACGGCCTGGACGTACGAGTACAGCTTCTCCTTAGCGCCCTCCTCATCGTTACGCTTACGGGAGATGCGCACGCGTAGGCGGAACGGAACGCCCTTGATGCCGGATTCCCACACCTTCTTGTTAAGCTGGGGGTCTAGGCGGACATCCTTGGTGCCCTGTATTACTTGTTAGCGCAGTGCATTTGAAAACGAACAATTGGAACACAAGTCTCGGCTAAGCGCTCAGTTCCAACCCAAAAGGTGCCCACGTACCATAGCCTTCTCAGCGAAAGCGCGGATCTCCTTGATAGCCCTGGGGGCCCTCTTCTTGAACGACACACCATGAACCTGTTACCGCCCCATGTATTAGCCATCCATTGTATATCTCGAACAGTCTTCCGCCCTACCCACGCACTCCTTTCACAGAGTGCGCGGTATCCGGTGGACTTCACAAAACTGAACTCAACATACTCGCTTGTGCAGGTGGATCGTGTATTCGCGCGCGACGACGTCAGCGATGGCGCTGCGCTGAGTCTTGCCGGCGGGCTTCTTGCCGCTGTTCTTGGCTGCGGTGGACATGTCTGCAGGCGGTGGTCAGCAGGGTCCACAGGTAGAAGTGCACAATTGGATTGCTTGCGCACTGTTCAAAGATGACTTGAGAGAGAGTAGGGTCTTACTGAGAGGTTCCGCTGTGTGGTTAGTGGTGGTGAGGAGGACGGAAGCTGAAGTTCGTGAAGCGAAGCGACGATTTTCGCAGCGTGTGGGAATTTTAGATTTGCCAAGCCGCCAACTAGCCGAGCGCTTAGTCACCTTCCAAGCGTTAAACCTTGGAAGCCGTCAAGTAGATGTTGAGAAGAGAGCACGAGAGGCATAACTTTTCGAGAGTTTTCATGGTGATCGAGACTACAATGTCGCTTCGGCACTTGTGGCGACACTGCTATTCCGGAGCTACAACAACATTTGCTGCCTGACTTTCTTATACTTATCAACGTGCAATGCCACTATGTAGGGTATATCTGCCATCCAAGAATGCTTGTTTCATGCCATTTTTGAACGCCTGCAATGCAAAATTTTAATAGTCATTCGTCCCAAACCCAGCGTTATCGATGCCCAGGTAAATCGATGTCGTTGTCATCATCGTCATCGTCGTCGCCCTCGCAATCATCTTCCTCATGCTCGTCTTCGCTCTCATCGCTGCTGCTCTCATCATCATCTCTTTCCTCGGAACCAGACAGGAATCGATCAAATCGTCCACCGTCCTCGCCCCAGAATTGCATCCCATCGGCATCGTGATCCTCAGACAAATCTAAGTTAGGAATCTGGTCGATAGCAGGGTTCAAATAGTTACGCAAAGGGAGGATTGAGCGGTTGAAGCGCTCGAGGACGTATTGTGGGAGAGCCGGCAGCTGAACCGTGGTGCCATCTGTGGCGCGCGTTTCGCGGCGCTCTTCGTCTAGGTCGATGATAGGTACGGCTTCGTTGGGGATCTCGCCAGTGGGATTGAGGTAGTAGTCGAAGGAACGGCGAACGCGATCCAGCAGTTCAGATGGGTCCGGCATCTGAGGCATCTGAGGCATTTCAGGCATTCGAGGCATTCCTGCGAATTGGGGCATGCCCCGAAATTGTGGCATCTGAAAGGGAAAAGATGGTAGCTGCCCTGACGGCATGCCGGGAAACTGTGGCATTTGGAAAGGGAAAGACGGAAGTTGACCGGGAAGCCATGTCTGCTCCGGTTCGTCGGGCTGGAAGTAGTAGCGTGGTGAGCGAAGAGGTAGAGACGCAGGGGAGCTGATGCTGATTGGTGATCGAGCCCCGGATGTCTCATCCTCGTCTGCATCGAGAATCGCATTGGCAGTCTCTTCGCTCTCCGGACCGTTCAGGATACGGAGCTCGTTGGTGTTGTATGAATCGCAACTATTACACTTGTTGCCGAGCCAATGGTACTTGACAGATGACTTCGCGGCGCAATCGTTACATTGAATGATGGCTCGAGTGTTGATGAATTGCTCAGGCATCGGTTGGCTCTCGATCGCTTGTGTCAACTTTTGCCACTGAAGTTCCATGTTGACAGCGCTCTTCTTACACGTGGGGCACTTGTATGCGGTCTCCATGTACTGATTGTAACATTCCTTGTGTAAGTAATGACCACATGGCATGGACACAACGGCCGTGGAAGAATTGAACAGATATTCTCCACATATAGGGCAATCGCAGTCAGTGGCGCGCTCGATGCACTTGTGCGTCGTGGCAAAGGCTATCGATATGCACACGTTACAATTCTGACATATGTTAGATGAATCACGGCAACTTCAGTACGTAACTCACTTTGCAATGCACATAATCTTTGCCTAAACCTTCGCCTCGTCTGCAGATACCGCAATCAGCACAGTGGTAGATCTTTTTGCTGCTGTTGTTATCCCACAGCTTGCAAATGTCGCAATAGTAGCATGCTGACTGTCTCCCACAGTTTTTACAGTACTCAGTAGCCTTCTGCGGGGTGCCGCAAGCCATGCAGAGCATGTTCTGGGTCTTCTTCCGGTCCAAATTGTGGCCTTCAATCGCGTCATGACAGTGCCTGCAAGTGTACCACCGCCGGCATTCATAGCATTGAACTTTGACATTACGTTTGTAGTGCTGACAGCCAAGTGAGGGTTCCTCTTCCAACAGCTCCGCCTCGTCGTCTTCAACGACGGCGTCCGGACTGGGATGCGTTGGTCGAGGCCGGTATGTAGGCTCTGTGTCACCAGGTCGAAGGTTGAAAGGATTGTCCAGGTCGATGTCGGAAGAAGCGGAAACGGGCGACGAGTATTGGACTTCTGAGAAGACGGACTGATTCGACGTGGGCGTAAAAGGACGGTCGTGTGAGACAAAGCTGCTGGGCGACGTAGGGCGTAAATAATTGTAGCGTTCCGTCATGAGGCCATGCATCATGCGAGCTTTGTCCACATCGCCAACTCGCAAAGCCCTAATCTCGTGTATGCGCGCCCGCAGATGGCGCATGCCATCGTCTGCGGGCAGTGATTCGGACATGGACGGTGCATTCTGCCCGTCTGCGATCGATGCTGGGCTGGCGATGTCGCGTGCAGGCGTTACAGCGAGTGATGGATCGAGGTTCAGACGGCGAAACTGTACGTCTAGAGTATGTGAGGGGTTCGCAGACATTTCTCCATCGCCAGGAATATCGACGGGTGCGCTCGGAGCGGTTATGCGGCGCGACAACATGCCTAGCGGGGGATGCACGGTGCCGTCATAGTCGTGCCGTTGCTCGTCGCGAACCGCAAAGAGAGGACCGCGAGTGGATGGTTCATGCTGGTGAAGATCTCCTTCTAGCGCAGAAGAGTTGTTGCTGCTAGCCTGCGCATCTTCTTGGGGCGTTATTGCGCGGGCATCATGAGGGACAGACAACGTTGCAGGAGAGTCGACATTTCTGGCATGTGAAGATGGGCGCTCGCCATCGTTGGCGGCATTTGGAGCAGCGCTCGAGAAGCGGCGTGCCTGGCGGACAACTGGATCAATAATGAACGATGAGAACAAACTCATGAGGACACGCTTGGCAGGAGAGGGGTTGAAGCAGCAAAAATAAAGGTCTCGTGCAAAAAGGCTGCACGTGGGAGCCCCGGAACTAGAACTGTCACGAAACCGGCTGTTCGCTCTCACAACGCCACACCCTTCAGCCACCACCGCTGTGAACAAGGTGCCAGCAAGAGGCTCGTGATCTCGACCTTACCTAGGTAGCCAGATCAGCGATCTGCGAGAGGCAGCGGTTGATCTCAGCTGCCAGTGGTTTACGTGTTCAACCATCACCAGATTTGACAGAGTACAATTAACTGGATAGAGCTCACTTCCATTAACTTGGGTCCTATGTCCCGATATGCACATGCCACTAAGATTATACACTGGATATCGTCAAACACACTCGTCCCATGCTTTTTGCCTTTCCCTCTGTACAGAAGAGCCCCTGCCCTGAGTTCGCAAGTCAAGCGAACTCGATCATGCATGTCTCCATTCGGTACCCAAACGCCATCACCCAGACAACCTTGGAGAGCGTGGGTTGCAAATTGCAGCCCGCAAACCATGCATTGCCCAGTACACAGGAAACAGAAATCGCTAATAGTGGTATCTGAAGAAAACAAAATAGGAAATCGAGCGTTAATGTCGTAAAAAGGCCGTTGCAATAGACAGAAAACAGAACCGAGGCGCGTAGTCAGCTTGTTGCTGACTCGTCTCCACTCCAAAGAGAGAGTGAAGCAAGGTCGTGTATTTGGAGAAGAGTATACACCGGATATCCAAATGAAGCGAGCTGCATGGTAGTCAGGTCAAAAGGTAGCGGATTTACCGGTCCTTGGCGTTGTTGGTGAAGTAATTCGACAAACTCAACATGTCGAAACGATCTTTGGCGGTCATCGTGCTGGCTGCGCTACTGCTAACTGGAGGAGGGGCGGCTTTGACGACCCGCGGAGGCTCTCGAGGCTCCAAAAGTAAAGATTGTCGGTGAAAGCTCTGCGGGTTGGCTTCCTTGTTCGAATGCATCCGTTGTATTTGGGACTCCATCCACTCCTGCATTTCTGGAACTGCTGCTAGGCGATAGGGTACCTGGCATGACTGCAGTTGCCCAATAATCTTGGCAGTCTTCATGTGTTTGTCGAAATTGATAACAGAGATCCCATCTTCTCCAGATTCACCAGGTAGCTGGCGTGTGGGTTCATTCCCAGCGTCCACGAATGTAAGGTCAGTGAGGTACATGCCGACGAAGGGAATGCAGGGCGACACATGATCGTGAAGACGCTGACGAAGGGCCGCGTAATTTTTACTGATGTCAGTAACTGTTTTAAGCTCGTCGAAGCGAGCCTTCGTTTTGGCAGAGACCAGCTCCCAGGTTCTCTTGAGTCGAAGAACTGTGGTAGAGTTCAACGAAGCCAGAATGGCCATCAGCGAATCGTAATTGTTGAGTTCTAGGCATTTGCCCGCAATCTTCACCCATTGTTTGATGACGATAGCCCTTCTCTTCACATCCTCTACCTGTAGGATCGTATCTGTGACCAAATTGGTCAGATCATTCGAGAGTGTAGCCATCGCCTTGACATTGACGCCTTTCCCAGCTTTCTTCATCCATTCCAATGCAAGTAGCTCCTCAGGTTGTATCGTGCAAAACAGTTTCGATTCAATGATGGTGAACTGTCTTGCCATCTCCAGCGGATCGAAATCGAGAATGCTGCATTGCGTCCTGCCTTCCTTCCACGCCCTCAGAGTGTTTATCTGACTTCTGTTCATGTTCGAACTAGGCGCTGTATTGTCCGCCGGGATGAACACGGAGCCAGAGACACCAGTCTTGCCCAGAGATGACGCAAGACGAGGAACTAAAGCTCCAGCGCGGATCTCAGTGGCTTTGGACGTCAACTCTGCAAGGCGTTTCCCTGCGGCTGGCAGAGTTGATCGAAGCTTCCCCGTTGCGAACGAGAAGATGATGCCGAGAGCCGCAGAGTCAGATTCAACCACCCAGTGGCTTTCTAGCCAGCCCTTGAACACGTTGTAGATTCGTAGACGGACAGGTATGCCTACCGACTGACTGTCGCCAATGAGGTCGAATCGATTAATCAGGCATTGCGATAGCTCAACCGGAGTGGTGAACAATCGGAACGTGAGATAGAACGCGGTGACAAAGCTTGTGTCAGGCGTAGAATCGTGTAAGGTCAGCTGCTCTACCAGGGCCGGAAGAGAACCTCCGGAGACCTGGCCGTCTTTATTGTAGAGAAGTTCATGAGAATACGTCGTTTCGAGTAGATGCTCTTCAACCGCTTCAACATCTTCGCTAGCGACAGATCGAAGCTCTGATGAGCTGCCAAAGCTGCTAACAAGTGTCTGCGCACTGTACTTCTTCGCGGGAGATTGGTCGGGTGTCGTCGCCCGGGTTGAGGTCTGCGATACTATGCTAGCAGTTTCGCCTCGCATACTATACCTGCACGTGCTACTAGAATCAGCAACGGAAGCATTGACACTATCGGCTCGAATTGATTTCCCAAAGAATCGCTGTGTTGCACTGGCAGGACTTTGGGAGTAATCCGAGGCGCTCGGTTGCGGAAGTTGCGGAAGGTTGTGCTGGACCGAAGAGTGTGGTAAAGAAGACATGGACGACCGAACCGAGGTGGCGACCGGGCTTTCAGCGCAAGGATTCTGAGAAGGTCGAAGCGACGCGTTCTGATTGCTTGTTGATGGTGAATGTGGGACGTCGGGAAGTGGCTTCGATTCTGAGATGACCAGTGGTGGCAGCAACTTGCGGTCATCAGTCGGTGGCGGAGGGAGCGGTTTCTCGATTTCGAGCATGCGTTCTGGCTGACTTGGTACTTCGACTTGAAACGCGGCCTGTGGTTGATCGAGACCAAGTCGGTTCTGGTTGAGTTGATCGAAGACAGAGTGCGACAGGCCTTGTTCGTCGTACTCAAACTCGAAGTCCCCTATGCGCTCAATCACCAGCCTTGCTTTCGTAACGCATTCTCCGGCCGAGCGAACACAGCTCGTGGCTGCAATGACAAGCTGTTTGCCCTGGTCCGGCATGATCACCTCGTCACCCATCCCCGCCTCGGAGCTGCTGAACATGTCTTTGGTCGCCTGGACGAGTTCTGCGAGTCGCGTGTACATCATCTCCCTTGCCTGCTCCAGTTGTTCGGATCTTCGAGAATCGCGTTCCCATACTTCCTCGACGACAGCGAGGAGGTTTCGACACGCTATGACAGATTCCTGTGTGGTCACTGCGAGCTCTTCGGAGGAGCGCGACTGCAGGTGCAGTCCAATAAACGAGCCTATAAAGCCCAAGAAAGAATCGTGTGCAGCGTTCAGCCGCTCCGAGGCAAGATTATGTTTTCGCGTGCTTTGAGACTTTCCGGTGTACGACAACCGATGCGTAACAGATAGTCGTTTTGCCTGAGCTTGGGGCTGAGGAGGTAACAAAGGTGATTGGAGCGCGTCCGAGTCTGAAGGAATCGAGAAGGCAACGGAGAGACGGGCGAGGTTGCGTGGTTGCGTTGCTTCGTGGTCCAATAACTCGCGCGTTACACACGCGCTCGCTTGTGATACAGAAGCTGCTTCGTCATTCGCTTGCACACTACCTACGTCGTCGTGATTCGACGTTGCGGGCGGTTGCACTGCGAGATCAGCGGAGTCAGATGGAGGGGTCAGCGGTCTATTATTGCCCTCCCCCATGTCAAATGACAGCGACACTGCATCTTGCGCCCATATATCAAGGAAGCGAACGGCCCTAGTCACGAGCTTGAAGGCTTTGAGCACAAGTTCATCCAGGCGCCCAAAAACCAGACCCGGTGAGTCATTCGACTGCAGCACCTCCTGCAATTTTTTAGCGGTCTTGACGAGAGAAGAGAGATCGCCTAGTAACCCTTTACGCATTCGTCGGAGACCAACGTGAGCTACGACAAGTGGCGATTCCCTCGTCAGACAATCCGTTTTTTCCTTGATCACAATCAGCGACATTCTGTACGCGGTCAGGTAGGGTTGCTTTTGACTCACCAGGAAAAAGCGGACGCCGGCGATCAAGGTTCTGATATAATCCTGCTTCATGAAGACTACCAAGTCACCATTTTCACCATCGCGAACAAGGTCCCACAGATTAGTGAGTGCACTCAGCAGGGTTCTTATGGTTGGATGATCATATGGCTCGCAGTAATTTGTCGGAAGCCATCCACGAGCTCCGGATGCCAACAATGTCCCATCAGCCCAGCCATTCGGATGGACCGAGTGCACGAGAATCACGTCTCCTTGGTTGATAGGCACGGTAATAGAGGATTCATCGGTCGACGAGGACACAGTGGAGCTAGGGTGGAAGTGGTAGAAGGCGCGCAAGTAGTTGTGAAAGACTGGTTGTGAAGGTTGCTCTGCAAGGGAGTCTCTCGAGGTTCGTGGTGTTAACGGTGGAGACATATGCGACTGAGATGTAGCCGACTGTCCTCCTCTTGATGATGACTGACGAGAATGGCCAGGACCTCTACTTCGCGATCGCTTGGGCGACTTGTGTATGTTCAATGGCGCTACTAAGGCACTCGCGTGCTTGTTTGTGTCGTCTGTTTCTAAGATGAGGTCGGCCATTGCGGGCTGCAGGTGTGGGGAATGATGTTCGCAGAGGCTGGGGGGAGCGCGCTCCAAGAGTGATGCGCTAGGTAGGCGACTCAACCTTGGTGAGGCATCGAATCGGGCCAATGCTGGTTCTCTATGAACGACGAGCTTTGCAGTTCCTGACGGATGCGGAGTTCTTGGTAAGATTGGGGAAGAGGGTCTGAGCGTATCGATAGATGTTGTTTGGCTGATGACGGTGTCGGTGTTGGCTTGTGTACGATTGTTGTGATTAGGGCAGGAGGAATGGTTCCGCAAGAATGGTCCGATTCGAAGAATGTGACGCTCGACAACGGCAAGAGACGTACCCGTGGGCCGAAGATTGCGAGTTCGCAGTCAAGCGAAGCTGCAGAGCGTTTCAAAGCGCAAGTGGGAGCGGTCGGCCGGCGGGTTGCAGCACGTTCGCAGAGCAACGTGCGACCGAGAGCTCGAGCTGCCCAGGTTTCCTTTTCGGGCACTCGGTTGGTGTAGCAGGATGACGAATTGGAAAACGGGCGGGATGGGTGCCGTGAAACACGGTGTTAGACGCCAATCGCGGACGGTTGCACCTGTAGAGTGCTGTAACGGCGCGGGTTTCTGTCCAGCGTTGTCTGCCGCAAAGCGAACGGGGCGACACAATAGCAGAGAATCGAGGCAGCCAGGCGGGATGCCGTCGACGGTCCGGGGAGGGCAGGCAGGAGATGGCTAGACGGTGACGAAAGCTGGCCGAGGGAGGAGGGGCTGCTGGTCAGGCAAGTGCGCTGTGTCGTGCGCCGTGGTACTGCAAGGGTGGTGCCTGGCGGTCGCAACGGTCGCGATTGCGGAGCAAGCTCGAGCAGTGGAGGGGAGGAAGGAGCAGTCGGCCGTCGCAACGCGGTGCAACTGCAGGTGAGGTCGAAGACAGCCCTGGCGACGACGCGAAGAGGACGATCGTCTTTGATATGATTCATTCACCCTGGCGAGGGCACCCGTCCAAAGTCTGCAGAGCTCTGCAGGTGCCCTGCACCGCACAGGGCCGGGGACGCTGTCAGTGCTCCTCGACAGGGGCGACGTGCACGCTCGTTCGCGCGGGCCCAAAACGGATGCCAGCGCGGGCGTGCAGTGGAGCCTCCTCCCTGGTCGCCGTTCTGTTCCTCCTTGCACCTGTGCGTGCTATTCACCCAGCCAATTGCACCCCCATCGCGCACTGAGGGCGACTCCAGATGGGCACCACTATCGTCGAGCGGGTCCCGGCCTTCCTAAAGCAACGCTCCGGATGCCGCGCCCCCAGGACTCGACGCGAAGGTTTGCACGAGGGAGCCTCGATCGCATCCGCGTCAGGAGAGAGGACGGCACGACGTCGACGGTGGACGCGGCCGCCTGCATAAGACCCGCAGACGCACATGCCGGACGCGAACCAAGAGCGCGCTGGGCTGCAGGCGAGGCTTCGACCCCCAGCCTGCCGCCGTCGCGCCAACGACACGACGCCAAGGCCGCGAAAGAGGTCAGGATGCACGCTGATCGTCGCGTTGCGACACCTTTGTGGGCGGCTTCGGCCAGCCCCCCACCCCATTGGCCACGGCTTGGGCTCTATGTCAACACCAGCAACCGCTCCTTCATCCCACCGTGCTCGATGCGGAACCGAAGCCTTTCGAGCGGCTACCCAATAACGGCAATCGCCCCAGGTGCCCAGCCGTCCTGCAGCTCTCCGTAAGCTGTCCCACCCCACCCCACCCCGTCCCCCACCAGCCATGGTAGCGACGAGGCCTCGTCGACGGACTGCATCTCACCAGCAACCAGGGACCACAGTCGCTGCCTCCATTGCTACGCCTCCACTCTGTGAGCAACCCCCAGATCTCGAGTACTCGCCGCATCTGGCCGCGTTGCATCCACGATCCCACCTCATATCGACCGTCACGGCGATCCTCATATGTCGTGCCGAATCTTCCAAATGTACCGGCAGTCCGGTAGGCCATGCTCAAGCGTTTCCTCTACACCCACCTCATTCTAGTGGGACATCCTACACTCCCCATTCACGACTACTGTGGACATTGTGGTGGACCAGTCCCGTGCAATGCCAACATCACATCGCAGTACCGAGCAATCGGTCACTGTATTGTACATGCGCAATGGGTCATTCGCTGGCACTCTCTGCAACTATCCACAGTGCAATGCAGTCTACGGCTGATCGTCTCGAAGCGAGCGGATGCAGAAAGCGGACACCCTACACCTCCACCAGAGCCGGCCTTTCGGGAACGGGTGCAGAGATGGCCAAAAAAGCATCCAATACCGATCACATACGTGTGAAATCATATTGTCGAGCCACCACGAATACGAATATCGAGCGACGTAATAGCACGAAGACGTGCACTTTAAGGTTTCACAACGGTTCCGTACCCTCACGGGGCTACCGGGTGCGCTCGTATTGTCATCCAAGCCGGCCTTAGCTGGAGGCATCGTCCCGTTCCGGCGTCTGTTAGTGGGCTCACCCACATTTTGCTGTGGTCGCATTCATTTGAAGCAGGTCGGTCCAAGGAGTAGCCATTCTCGTGCGATCAGTAAAGCCGCTGCCGACGGACGATAAGAAAACTCAGCATCCAACTAACAATCCAGGTCTGTTGGACAAGGGACCCGAGTGAGATTAGCAAAATATTTGAGGTACGAGTATTGAGATTTGCTTCCTACAACAAGTTTTATTGCCTACTTTGCCAGTGCGCGTACTTCGAGCAACGGAACGAAGTCCGCCTGTCCAAGTTTGAGGCTACTTTGCAGCTACTCGACCCCGAACGTGTTCGCTTATGGTCCTTCAGCAACGCAATCAGTAGGATAATGCGACCTTTGCGCAGCTGCGGAGAGAGTTGAACAAGGCCTCTCAGTAGGCATGACAATCTCTCATATTTACATCTCCTCCCTACCTGCGCACACGGAATCCGACGTATCTTGGCATAGGAGACAATGATCAATCAACCTATGGTATCATGCCAAGTTGAATGCTCAAATTTTCGGTTGTCGCGATGAGACGAGAAACCGTTGCAGCCGTGTGCTTGAACAGTAAGCCGCCATTGCGCAGTACTGTGTAGACTTGAAGTGGGTCGCGCACGCGACGAACTGGATTTTGGCACAGCTGTACACACAATCTACACAAGTTACTGACTCTATAACAACCAGCAGGCCTCGTGGCATGAGACGATTAATTGGAATGTAGGCGCTATCGCCTCTCGAAGGAATAAGGAATTGCCGGTAGAGGATTGCGATCAGCACAACGCCATTTGTCCCTATCAGTCCTAACTACTATTACTATCTGAGGCTCAGCTGGATCATGACTGTTGCCACTTCCTACACCGTCTTCCTGCTTCATGATCAATGAGCATCGCACCGTGCCAGACAGTGAAACATCCACGGGCAACCATATCGAATATTGTATGTTCTAGAGGCCGGCAGACTGGTCGATTTCGCCGACTTTGTCTATTATTCACCTCTGTCACGGTACCTCGCGATCCCAAACCCCGGTTGCAGACATGTCTAGTCGTGAGTTCGGAGGCCTGATCTGTATGAGGTCCTTGCAGCTCGGGGAACCATGCTCGCTCTTCCGGGACGCCGCTGCAACGCTCCGACGGCTGTCGCCAAGCATTGCAAAGCCGTAGCCTCATTTCTCGTGGTCCGCAAACTCACACTCCTCCCGGGACGCTAGCGACGCCGATGGACTATCAGATCTTAGGGTGTTCGCATACCCTGGCTTTTATTTCGGTATAGGGCTTGTACTCTCGGTCAACTGCCTGACTGCGGGTAGTGCTCTCGAGTGGAACCCGCCATTTCCGCACGCGCGACTCGTCGTCACAGCTACTGTGCCGCATTTTACAAAGAAACCGTCGTCACCGCGGTGGGCTACGCAGGTCTCATCTGGTAATATTACATGCGCCGATCGCCACACTGATGCTCCTATCTCATTAAAAGGATGCGCGGATTGCGGCTCGCGAGTGCCCTCGTGAGCTTCCCAAACATCCTCAGAGGATCGAGAAGAGGCGCACCACATAAGTCGAATCCTGTGCAGCATCGATCATTGCCACTACCGTATACAACACGTGTTGGATTTTCCACAAAGCCGAGTTCTACACGGCTCCAATAGTAAGAGCATTTGAACAATAAATCCAGCATCCAGGATTACGAACCCCATCAGCCACGCCGCGTCCAGAGCCCCACCGACTGAGATAATTTTTCCATTAAGTGATCTGTCCCGTTTGCGCGCAAGCTCGCCCATGCCGACATTTCTACGGTATCTAGGCGAGGTTAGGGCTGTTGTTAGGCATCCCATCGACTGCACGAGCCGTGGGCAATCCTTAGCAATGTTCCATATATTGGGCAGCGACCATCTCGCGAGATCAAGACACCGAAGATGGAGGATGGCACATTCCGTATCGCAAAGTGCGATCGAATACGAGACAACCCGTCAAACTTTCCCTACGGTAATCACGGCCACTGCTTTGGCACAGACAGCAGACCATAATGTTCGATTACGTGTGCGCATGAAGACTCTAGGCTGTAATTTTGATACCGATACCTGATCAGTAAGATCTATTGTCTTTCACCTCGGTTATGGATACATACTCTTCACTATCTTATCTGGATGATGAGAAATAGCATTCATTACTCCATGCTCTGAGTCGGTGCGGAGACACCTCTTGCTGTCAAGGAAATGCCTGTCTTGTTGCGGCATCATGCGCATGCTTACTAGCGACGGGCCGAAATCATTCCCACGTGGCTACAGAGCTCCATTCATGGTGGGTCCGATGTCAGGTCTTGACACAATGGATCACATCTTTGTTGGTTACTCTCGTAGCTACTCAAATCCGGAAAGTCGTATGTATGCTGTATGCACACTGCAGGAGCAGAAACGCCAAACCCGATATCCAATTTTCTAGGCCTACCACATGCATTGTGGCCTGTCATTCCACGTTACACACGACCACCCTATCGGGACGCCACAACACGCCTATCCAGACATCATATCCACTATCACACATTTACGATACGCAGCATACAAAAGTAACTTTCAACACAACACGCACAATTGACTGTTGTCTTTCTTGTCTAGGCCGCACGCATACTCTCGTACACGAGGTGGTTCGAAACTGTACATCACCCTCGCTTCCGTTTCACCCCCATCCCCCGCAACGACACCCAATTCGCGGAAAATACGCCACTCGCGCATCCCGCGCCCAGAGCTCCGGTACACACCTCTCACGCCTCTGTGCATAGCATCAATGGCTGCAGGTTGCGGCTAGAGCTGTCATTCCTCCATGTCCTGAATCTCGTTAGAGTTCTTGCTGCGGGTATCGACGTAAGTGATGCTTCCTTCTGCAGGCTTGGACGTGCGTAGTGCAGGCTTTGAGGGCCAAAGGGTTTGGAAGTATTGCAGTGTTAGGAAAGTAGAGGGGGGTCGTTGATTGCTGTTATGACGACCCTGGTATGATAGTTCTTGATGAAGGTAAGAGGCTGGGGCGAGGTGAGTGTGGGCATTGAGTTTGCATGCATGAATGTGGGATGCGTATCTGTGGATGATGGATGTCATGGTGCGGCAGGGTTCTTGTTGACCTCAACGTCAATATTGACAATGAGGATTGTTGCATGACGTATTCGGCTACATGTGAATTGATTTGCCTGATAAGTGTACAGCAAATACGCCTCCCATGCGAGGACCACGAGCACATTTGCCGGTTAGAGTACAGCCACTCACATGGCGAAGAATGTCATGCTCGGATTGGCTCTCAACAATCATTCTCAACGGTACCTGGCGTCCGACACCGGACGTTACACAACGCTCCGTATGCTTCCTTTGGATTGCGGGAAACACGCCACCCTTCAAAGCCTACTGCAAGCCACCATCACATTTGCACAACAGCGTCTCCACTCCATTAATTCTTTGAAGACAGCATAATCCAGTGATGCGTCTTGAATCCCGACTTCGTACGCCTCACTACGCCTCATCCGCAAATCTTCCTCCGCCGATTATGATCTATTGATCTGTCAACGGGGATCACTCGGGCGGCGCAGCGACGCTCCCGTTCCTCAACCCTGGATATTGGGTCCGAAGCAAAGATATGTGTCTGCTAGCAAGCAGTGTGAACTGAAAGGTGCTTCTCCATACGTATGACATACGTATGGCATAATCGAGTCCTACTTGTCATGGCATTGTTCTGGCTGAGCATTACGGCTGTTACGCTTCTTCATGTCTGGCTGTATAGTGGCTGAATGACTACAACTGCCCAAACCCGGCCTCCATGGCACAGCAGACTCGACATGGGCCTCTCGGGGCCCTGCGTGTGGGTGGCGTTGGTGACGTTTTCCAATCGAGAGCACAATATGAGGTCTGCAACAGTGTATAAATTGCGCATGTCAAGACCAGTCTAGCTCGGGGCAAATCAGCAGCGACGATATCCGCCTTGTTTGTCTTCATGTGGACTTAAAGTTCTGCTCCCTTTTTATACTGTCTTGTGATTTCACCGTTCTCGCGGTGTTGTGTTGGGCTGCGATTGGCTTTACAAGCCTCAGGTTGATGTTCCCGGTTTGTGCGGGCTGTTGTTAAGCCCGATGTATGTTTGACGAGCTCTCTCGGTACGTGCACATTTAGAAATATCCTTATTTTGCAAAAGTTTTGTGCGTCGTTTTATCCAAGGCCGAACATCGATAGTTCAAGATTCGCATAAAAGTCGCGCAGTTTGCCGGCTTCCGATGAAACTCTATTGCTTAGTTTGGTGTAGATCAGAACTCAAACACCCAAGTGAGTAAGAGGCTCAACGGCGAAGGAATACATCGATCGAGACTATCGAGAACGAACTTTATGCGTAGGTCATACTCAGTCGTCTTTACTGTCTTCAAAAGCTACATCTCGACGGCGGAGATAGTATTGTGGAAAAGGGCCGAAGAGACAAAGCTTACTCAAGGCATTTACTCTGGAATAGATGGAGAATAGCTACAACCGACGAAGACATAACGGCTCCATCGTCTCCCACGAAGTTCAACGCTTTCGTGTGCGAGACTGCGACAAGCGTAAAATTGCGCGCGTAGCGCACACAGTAAAACCTAGGTACCTTATACGACGGCAGACCTTGAAGACGCGCAATGTTGCGTAACACTACCTATCCTTGCATGAACCGTCTTTGCACTCCCTACTCTATGTAGCCACTTTGCACACCCACGAGTATGTCTAGCTATGCAAAACATGTACACTACCAAAGGAACCTCTGCACCTTGCCCGGCTCGTTCGGCCATTCAAAACCTTTGTTCAAGAACATGTATCCCACCCCAACATTCACAGCAAGCAACCACACTGTCTCCAGCGCCAGCTGCGAGGTCGTCGCTTTACTCTTTGACGCTGGTACGTGCAATCTCCATAAAACCCATGGAATGATGAAATACCGCGGTTCGACGAGTGGAGCAGTAATAACGGAAAGGGTGGTCGCAGCGGTCCAGACAATGACGAAGCTAATCTGGACGGAGTCACTCTTGACAGAGTCAACTCGTTGCTGCTTCTTCGGTGTCCTCTTCGTGGATCCGACATATGCGGGGGGTGATGCACCAAGAGTTCTGATGGTAAGAAGTGCGCAGATGTAGTACACAGGTATGGCTATGTACCTCACAGCTGGGTACCGTAGCAGGATGCGGAACACGTAGAAGACGTAGTGGCGATTGTCCGCTAGGGTGTATGGATGAACGATAGTGTTGAAGTGGACAGCAACGAACGCGAAACCGTTGAAGAGGGTTGCCGCGATAATGCTAGGCGCGGTGGGCGTGAAGGGTCCTGTGAGGTTCGTTTCGATCAGGGATCGGAATTGCTTCGGTAATACTGCGAGGATCGGCTGGAGCAGGGATGGCAACGTCAGCGGAAGGGAAAAGAATACCAAGTAGGGCCATATGTAAAGCATTTGTGGTAGGTGGATGGTCGCTACGTGGGCGGATTTGTCCCCTGGCTGGGTCAGTTTGGGATGGAGGGGGACGGGAAGGGAGTTACCTAGCACGACACCGCCGTTCCAGAGGACGAAACCCGCGAACAAAACTAGTAAGACGACGTACGGGATGATAGCCTTGACTACCGCTACTGGTCTCAACAGGAGAACATTTCGCGGAAGGTACAAGAGAAGGGCAAAGTAGTCTATAATTTGGTCAGTTCAGGCTCTACCTGAATTTGTATAGACGTACGTTTCGGCCCGGCGTCTTCAACTGAAGTATCGAGGATTTCATTATAGCGCTTCAGTGTATCGACAACCGTTAGCCCCGCTGGAAAAACAGCGACCCAGAAGATGTTCGTCTGTCGGAACAAGAGGGCGATTACGCCAACATTGATGGTAAGCCAGCCCGATACGAGGTAGTTAGTACTCCCTCGCTGACTCAAGTACGTATAGTACGCGGCGAGAACGACGAGGGTAGATAGTACATCGGTATAGTAAAGCCCAGAGAAGAAGAAGAGTGGAGGAAATAGGCTAGTGTTCAGGGCCGTGTGGGCATCTAGTAGAGATGTTGGTGTCTCTTCGTCTTTCACTTGAGGACTGGATGAGAGCCCCTTTCGACCAGGCCGAGGAGGAAGCGGCTGGCGAAGAGCTCGGCGAATCTGATATGACAGAACACAAATTAGGCATACAGCTCCTACATTCAGCGCTCGTAAAGTTGATGTGTCACACCCTACTATCGGCTTGAATGCTAATGAAGCAAGGTATCTGCAAACATCAGCAAGTCGTCCAATGCAGTAAGCAATTGGCTGTCCTACAGTCCTGGTGGTGTAGTAATCTTGGGATCCCATGTATAGTCTTTTTGACAGTACCTCTGCGCCTGTGGGACGTGAAAGAACTCATCCTACAAGAGATTACTGTTTGTCTGGTTCGAATTGGATTTTCTCGTGGGCATCCTTACCAGATAGGGTTCGGGTACTCGTTCAGACACGAGTTTATACCAGGTGGCCGAAAGGTTCGCAATGACTAGAAGAGCCGCAGGCAGCGCCCACACCTGGGCCAACGAATACATTTTGTTTCCTCGACTATCTTGTTCTTCCAAATCTAGAAGTTGGTTGATGTGGCCGTCATTAAGGGTGAACGTGCGGCCACACGTGGTCGAATTGGAGCTGGAGGACACTCGCGGACCCTGAAGAAGCTAAAGCGAATCAAGTAACGCTTCAGCCGCCTCAACGCGTCCCCAATCGCGTCACAACTTATTGCCTACCCACGAACGATAAACCTCCTGCCATGGCATTGCCGCTTCCACCGGGGCTAACGCCCCCAGAGATAGCATTCATATGCGAAATGGAGCTTGTCACAATCATACCACGCCAGCGTCTCGAAGGCCTCGAATTACTCGGAGTACGACTGCCCCGCTACTCCACCATCTTTCCCTTCCGCTCTTCAGGAACATGAGACGATGGCTGATGAGTATGCAGGGTCCCCTAAAACCACTGAACCCACCGCAACGAGCCTCCTTACCACTATGGCTCGCTTTACTACTCAAGCGCCAGCGGCGCGCGAACATTATCCCTCCACCCTGGCTTTCGCCCGATTCATTAGCCGCCATATTACAGTTTGAGACCGAGTCTTCACCTGATGCCTTCTCACCACCGCCTCGATTACCCCCGCCGCCCTCCAGTACCACGATCCCGCTCTCCTCGCCCTTCCTCCCTTCCTCGACCGCCGACGCCCCAGCCGACGCGCTGCCTTACCACTGGCTTGAACTGGGTTCTATGCTGCTTGAAGCCGCGCCGGATGATTTTGACGATGCGGATGAGGTGCGGAAACTTTTACGAGGATTGAGGGAGGCGCGCATGGCGAAGCTGAGACAGGGCGTGGAGGTTTTGGACGCTGGAGGCGGGTTCAAGATGAATGGCGTAGGTGGGATGGAATTGGGGGAGGCAAGGAGCTTCATTACGGGAGTGGTCGATGGGTTGAGGAAGATTGGGAAAAGCAGGGAAGAGGCAAGGCGGGAGAGGGAAAGGGAGAATGGGTACTCGCCAAGTCAGAATTATGAAGACGACGAGATGGATATGCGGTGATCCCGACGGGATGCGCATCGACCCTGCTAGCGAAGATGGCTCTGACTCAGGGCTCCACCACCTATATCATATGTCGCGCTGAAACCCATGGATTATAATCGAACTCTGCTCTTCTGGAGCCTCGCGGAACTGGAACCGTCCATTATCGACATATAGAGGCTGCACAGGCTCCTTACTTAGAATGACGATCGGTACTGAGTACCCAGCCAGGCGTCCGAGGCTTTTGCGACAAGCGAGTGACCTTCAATGCTGCCTAACTGAAGTAAAATCCCTATCGCCGAGATTCCCAAGTCCCTTGATGGAAGGCTGTGGACCTATGCTCAGCTTATCGCTATGATACTTCAAGCCAAGGTAAACACGACTTACTGGATACTTGGAGGAAGCCACTGTCGGAACTGCCTTCCCTTTCGACGTTACATCATATAGTACTTCTATCGCTCAACGTCCCACCTGTAACATGGCACTCTTCTCGCGTCATTGCGCCCGTGTCTAGTATGACTAGAGGACTTATCGGCAGGCCTGCCGCTATTCCGCTTGCTGAAAAGCTCATATGCATTGTCTGGTGCTGGGCGCCTTCGACTATCTCGATAGATCGTTTGCCGTGCGGCAATATAGCAAATAGATTGCATCGCACTTCACCCAGCACGGGCAAGTCCCAATCATATGTCAATAGCTAAAAGCACGCTCGCCGAATCCTGCTGTTTCCCTTTCTGTCCTTCGTCCCGTTCATTGCCTTGCTTCGGAGTTGCTCCACGAAGATGTTGTCTCGCACACCGCTCCTCGTACTCTCTCTGCTCGGCAGCCATACCATCGCACACACATTCATATGGGTACTGCCATCCACTTCCATCCTGAACATTCAACTAAAACCATCAGGGCGTCTTCGTTAACGGCATAGACCAAGGCCTCTTCACCGGCATCCGCACACCACCTTACAACGCCGCCCCCAACGCCGGCGGTTACGCCAACTCGCCCGTCAAAGACCTCGACTCCATAGATTTGCGTTGCAACGTTATGGGCGACATCCAAGCGCCTGACACCATCAAAGTGTCCCCAGGCGACAACCTGACCTTCGACTGGCATCACGACTACCGCAATGACAGCGATGATATTATTGCTTCAAGCCATCATGGTCCAAGTATCGTATACATTAGCCCGGATCCGCCGGGCGAGAGCAGCTTCGTGAAGATCTGGGAAGAGGGGCTGTTCGAGAGCAATCCGTGGCCGCAGCCGGGGAGGTGGAGTACCACGGGGGATATTAGGGAGAAGCATGGGAAGATGAATGTGCGGGTACCGAAGGACTTGAAGGCCGGGTAGTAAGTTGGTTGGCAGTTTTGACGTTTGGTTGTGTGTTGACGAATGCTTTTTAGTTACCTTATTCGTGCAGAGATGATCGCATTTCACGAGGGCGAGGTTGCGTATAATAAGAACCCCCCGGAGAGGCACACAGTTCTATCCGAACTGTGTGCAGATTGAAGTCGTCGGCAATGGGATGGTCAAGTTGCCTGAGGGTGTGTCCTTTCCGGGAGCATACTCTTATGAAGACCCAGGAATTGTGTACGATGTATGTAACCTCTCGTTGTCTATGTATCGCATTTCTGACAGCGAGATGATCTACTGCTCGACCGAAACGAAGACACGCACCACCGCCTGTACTACTACATTTCCTATCCCTGGGCCAACTGTGTGGTCTGGCGCGTGGGCGCAGACGACAGCAGTCCTTCTCAGTCCCGTCACGGGCGGTACAACATCTACACCGTGGTCTACGTGGATTCAAAGATCTGTGGTAACATCGGCGAGTTATTCGGATGAGAAGCCGATTACGGTCGTGGGCACTTCTACGTACGAGGCAAAGTGGTCGACCACGTATCAAACGCCAGCCTCGGGTACGAGAAGGTGGTAAGTGGGCTAGCGATCAATTAGAGCTTTGAAAACAGTGTCCCTCATTCAAAAAAAAAAAAAGGCGGATGCGTGCAGCGCATAAAACCCTACGCTCGTCATATACTGGTGGTATGAGAGAACAAGGTATATCACAGAGAATTGAATTACGGTAAGCGCTACAAGGAGACCTGAAACAAGCCGCATTCTATAAATTCAGGGATCAACTAAGCTGTGATCCATGAAGCAAGACGGATTACCAAGATGTCTCTGTGACACGTTTTTCATTTCGTCATCCGCCGCTGCAAAGTGGACGAGGGCGCTCCAAGAATCCTTTTTCTCCAGCTTACGGTGTTCCCGAATCTTCTATATTATTGACGGAGATCCTGTCTAAAGGTAGTTCGGTAATGCTGTTGAACGTCTTTACTTTGGACGCGATATCTTCAAGTGGCAGAACGATATCAAGGACAGAAATGACGTTAAACTGCTCTCACTACCGCTAGAGGCAATGAGTGGGTAGCTTTTCCCTTCATTAGTCGGCGCGTCTGATATTAGTCCGCCAGCTCGGTGCGTCAACGGTAGGCTCGGACGGGCGTTTGATATTTGGACGAAAGACATATGGATTGATCCGTGAATGAGTGACAGGATGAGCAACGCATTCTTGATTTTTGGGGCTGCCACCTTCATTATGGCCTGGAGTTGATGTTGATGGGACCATCACAATTTTGCGATGTGCATCTTCGACTCCCAGGTGTTTGCCTTTGTATCTTGCCACGGGTTGTTGCGTATTCTAGAGGTAGCATGTGGACTAACAGCCTTCCTCATCCCTCATCCCTCTTCCCCCATTTACTGATGACCGTGAGATACAGAATGGCTCTACTTTCGTCTCGCTTCCACCATCAAATCTCTTTTACGGACCTAGGCGCCGTTTTTGTGCAGGTTGGCACTGCCATTGTGTGCACATAGCTGAGCAAGAGATATATCCTCTTCTTCCCAAGTGCTGACGATGGAACGTTCAACTATAAAGAACGTTTCCTTCAGCAAGTATTTTCGTCAAGCGATGACGTACATATTGACGCTGTTGATCGAAACTTCTTCTCACTAGGTATCCTGCTGCTCGAGCTATGGCTTGGAGGCAAGAACAATCAAGGATGGAAGATCCCGTAAAAAGCTGCCAATCGGTGACAATGCACCAACGAAGCAGGCTTCAGACCTGGTGCCGCTCTCAAATGGTATGATCCGCATCTTTAAGTTGGTCTGTGATAAATGAACTAGGGCAAGAGGTGTGAGTGGCGAAGAAGGCCTAGACTACGACGTCGCTGTGAAATGGTGCTTAATCCTGGTCGTGACTAGAGTAAGAATTGGCCGACAGACATTAAGGATGTCTTCAATCCTTTGGAAGAATGCTAACGCTAGTTCAAAGTTATCGCTGCAATGTAGTTAGCATCCCCCGAATGATAGACCTCCAGAAAAATGTTCTTTTCGACCGATCGGTCGACGTTTGCAACCTATATTGATGATATGTGATTCCGCGTGGTGGTGCAGTAGACATGAGCTAATGACGTTATAGCTCTGATTATATAATGAGCCTATCGATAAGAACGCGTCTCGCGAACGGAGCGCGACTTGCGCTTTTCCTCCCAACCATCCACACGACACAACCGCACAACCATCGCACCCTCTAGACAATCCGCTCATACACCATTGCCGTGACTACACACGACCATCATGCTCGCCACCAGCACCTTCTATCCTCAACATCTCTACATGCCCCCGCGGCCTTCGCCACTGTCCGAGCGCTCCGCGAATGCGGTCCCGCGCCCTTTCCAACTCAGCATGCCCCTACCGGTGCAGGACGAAAATAAACCCTTGGTGCCGCAGCGTGCGTACAAGCCGAACCCAGTCGTGCAGACGCGTGATGCCGCGACAAAACGGCGACGCGATATGTTCTTCAAGCGGGTGCAGAAGGGTCGGGACGACAAGAAGTGGGATGCGAGGAGCGATCAGGTACGCGTGAGCAAATGGAAGCCAAACATGCACCCACTGACTATCCATAGATTCAACGTCTAGATCATATTTCCGAGCAGAAGCGCTGGGAGGCCGAGAAGGCGCGTCAGGCTCCGCAGATTCACGACGATCTAATCGAGGAAGACATCGAAGAGTTCACATCATCACTACCGGAGCAGGAGCTGGAGGAAGTGGACTATGTTCTCGCGCAAGAAGAGCGCGAGATGCAGGAGTTGGTTGCCTCGATGGAGGAAGAGCAGGACGCGTCCCAGCACTATGGCAGCGATGACGAGGACTACGATCAGCTCTTTATAGAGTACACGTCGGCGTCCGCATTACATCAACAACAGCAGCAGCAGTCTCACCACGCTGCGAGCGCGAACTTCGAGAGTCTACCCGACGCAGACGCGATGGATTTGAGCTGAGATGAGGCGAGCGCGGGGGCTTTCTGCGTTATCGTAAGAAGATGTCACGAACGACCATGCTGATCAAAGTCTTTTGACGACAGATGAAGATTGAAGCTTGGCGCATGTGTATTTGCTGGGTATCATGAAGGACAGACAACCTTGTTTATGAGCTTTCACTGCGTAGGGCAGCCTTGGTCCATTTCTGAGAAAGCTTCCTGCGCCGCATTCATATCGCCGACAAGATCGGGCGGTGGTGAGCCAGCTGCTTGCATCTACTTGATGTCAGCAATTGTAATTTTGATTGTTCTTTACCATCAACTTACCTTCTGCATCCTTTCGACAATGTACTCTCGGTCCTCCGCATTCTCGTCCGAGTAACCGTTCCTCTCAAATCTGTCCGTGATCTCTTTCACCAGTGTTTGCTGCTCTTCGTACCGCTTCCAGTCGACTGCGTCTACCTTGCCCTTGTTCTTCTCCATCCAATCCGGGAACTTATCGTTCAGTTCCTTCATCGGCTCATACAAGATCTCCTTATTTGTCAATTGCTCCATCATTCCCATCAAAATCTTACTAAAGTCCTCTTCACCACCTTCGCCACCCAGATTGCCCGACTCCATCTCCTTCAGCATTTGTGCAAGGATATCGTCATCAGATGATTTGGCTGCAGCGGCGCCCGCAGCATCTCCAGATTCCCGCATACGCTCCATCGTTTTACGTATTGACTCCTGGAACGTCTGCTCCCCTTTTGCCTCAGCTTCACCCTCAGCCTTGCTGGAGCTTGCGATAGGTGCTGCTGCGCCTGCTACTCCTGCGCCTGCTACCAAATCGTCCTCGCCCACCGCATTCCCCATCTCTTTCATTAGATCCTGAAACTCCTTTGGAAATCCTTCCTGACCAAGCAGCTGCTCCATCTGCTTCTGCAGTTCCTTCTCAAACTCATTTTGATCTTCTACCAGAGCTTCCGCGGGGTCGAGTGCGGGGGCTTCTGGCCTGCCAGGGCCGGAGGATGCTGGAGCTGGCGCGGAGGGAACTTTGGATTCACTTCTGAGGTTGACATTTGAGAATTCATCCAGAACATCTGATATCTCCGTTAGAGGGATGAGTATTGGGCGACGGCGTGCGACAAACCGTCCAAGTCTGAGAGGTCGTCTTCCTCGGGATCAGATGCGATGTCATCTTTCGCCTGCTGCGGAGCCTTGGGCGCTTCTTCTGCCTTTACCACATTGCTCTTTTTATCCAGAGCTTCCGCCATCTTGGACTGCGCGTACACAAGAGCAAATGTGAGAAAATTTGAATGACTGAGGATCAACAGACTTGCTTGTGAGTCGCATGCATCTCCGTGCCAAACCTCGGCCATTATGCGGGGCTGCCCTCTAGTGGGGCACGCGCTTGCCTGCGGCAGGGCAGCAGCGATCGGCGTTCTAGCCACCTGTGGCGCGAAACCGAACGTCACGTGCGTCTCGACGACAGCTTCACTCCGACTTTGTTACGCGTGTTTCGCCGCCTCTCACCTTCAACACGCTCGCTGTCTTATAGATCTCACGTCCGCTGCGCGACCGACTTGCTTTATACCCCACCCGCTCGGTCAACATAAAGCCTGTGCGAGTGCGATTCGCATCTAGATAACCGCTCCACAGAAAAGCTTGTGCTGCGCGCGTCCTTACAAAAATGTCGCTGTGCATGAATAGGCTCTCTGAGGAGAGGTGAGTGACACTACAGGAGCCTATTAGAGGTGCGGTATTAATAGCGCCCCAGGAAGCAGTGGCGACGCGACCATCCGTTTGGCTTCTTCGCCAAACCCGTGCGCAACTCACAAGGCATGATGGATCTCAAGAAGTGGGAAGTAGGCGTACCCGGCAAAGAGAAGACTATATGGGAGGGCGGACTGTTTAAGCTTGAAGTCACATTTCCCGAAGGTATATGCCCCCAAATCTGCTGGCAAAGACCCCGGCTAACCTTTGCGACAGAGTACCCCACGAAGCCGCCAAAGTGCAAGTTCAACCCCCCGCTCTTCCACCCCAACGTTTACCCCTCCGGCACCGTCTGCCTTTCGATTTTGAATGAGGAAGAAGGCTGGAAGCCTGCGATCACCATCAAGGAGATCCTGCTGGGTATTCAGTCGCTGCTTGACGAGCCAAATCCCGAGTCGCCCGCACAGGCCGATGCGTTCAATCTATTCAAGAAGGATAAGGTCGCGTATGAGAAGAAGATTCGGACGATTGTCAAGGAGAATCCTGCGCCGTAGCCGGACGCCTGGGATGGGCAGTGTCTCGGCGCTAGTCATTTGGAGTGCATGAAAAGAGACGGAGAGTCTATGGGTGATGAAACAGCGGTTTTGGTGATTGGTGATTCTTCATTTCTTTTGCACGATCTACACGGCGATACGGAGTCCTGGCATGGCGCCAGAAGACGGGGTTTGGCGTTTAATGGCGGCAACATATGCCGGTTTCACGAGATGCCTTCTCACCATCATCGGAGGAAGCAGTGACACCGATCTGCACTCACCAAGGCCTCTACTTTCACATGATAGATCCCACATACACAAAATCCTTTCGTGTGCCAACCCGATAAGTTTCCGTGTCGGGAGTAATAAGTGATCTCCTTTGAGGAATTAACACATGCCTCTAAAGCCTAAGCCCTCAAAAGCCTAAGCCCTCAAAAGCCTAAGCCCTCAAAAGCCTAAGCCCACAATTTCTCCCATCCTAATCTCGCCCGTGATAGGATCCGCGTGAAACAATGTCTTCTCCCCAATCCAGGATACATGCTGAGGCAAGAACACCATAGGAACAGTGTTTTTGCTGATATAATACACGCCCATAACCATTCAGTGATACCGGCTCCGTGAAGATCCTCAAATCAGTCTGACCGCTCGCCCTTACACTCCGGTGCCCTTGACAAAATAGATATCGATACATGTGATGGCCTTGTTCAGCGTCAATGCCTAGTAGGGACGGTATCCGGATGCCCTGGGGCGGTATCCACCCCGGTAGCCGCCGCCTCGAGGAGGACCGTAGCCGCCGCCGCCACCGCCGCGTCCGCCATAGGGAGAGCCGCGACCGCCGTAGCCTCCTCCGCCGCGCCCACCTCCACCACGACCGCCACGCCCCCGAGACATGCCGGGTAGGTTGGTGCGCTTTGGTACAACCTAAGGAGACTTTAGTTATTGTTCGCCATACGATTGGATCCCTGGAAGGAAGTGGTGTTGTGACGTACCTTGAGGTTGCGGCCGCGGAATATGCTGTCGTTTAGAACGAGCGCCTGCTCGACGAGATTGGGTTCAGTGAACTCCACATACGCATACCTGCATACGCTCATTAGCGTTTGTCCGAATCTTTCCGCCAAACTCTTGCCAGGTAGCGAAAAGATCCCAGCGACGCAGAACAGTGATGTAAATCATGAGTGAGTCAGGGTTGGCTGGACATGTGCAACCGCTTGTGCGCCTGCCAGGCTTGCGCACCGGACATTGGAAGGATCAAGGAAAAACCACCTCTTGGAATGGGAAGACTGACCCTTTAGGATGCCCCGTGAACTTGTCCAGTAGAATGGTAACGCGATTAATGCTGCCACACTCTTGGAAGTGCGCCTGTATCTCCTCGGGCGATGCTTCGTAATCCACGTTTCCTACGAAGACGCTTCGCGCGTCAACGTCCTCTCTGTTTTCGCGTAGGTCGTGGCGTTCCATGTCGGAACTCTGTTGCATTTGGCGCAACTTCGCGGCTTCTTCCTCCATCTCGAGAACTCGGCGCTTCATTGCGTCAATTTCCTGATGCTTGTTAGCCTGACTCAACGAAGGAGGGTGTCGCAGTCGCAATGCGCGGGCCGAAGAACAGTTGTAGCCGCCATCCTTCTGGGAGGGACCTTTTTGCCATGGCTCCATACCTCGTCGTTTTGCTCACCCTCGGGTGCTCTGTCGGTGCGGTCGTCAACGGGGTCATCTAGTCGGTCCTCGAGACGATCATCGTCGTAGCGGCGCTCATCTTCCTCGCGGGGTATATCATGTTCGCGGTCGGACATCTCCGCAAACGAAGGTGAAGGTGCCTGCGCTGGAGTCAGAAGTGAAGGCAGCACCAGGCAATTGGCGCGACCTACGAGGCTGGTGTTGCGGCTAGTAATAGCAATGAGCGATGTAGTGCGCAGTGGATTCAATGACGCGCGCCTAGCTTCAGTCGCGTCACAATTTACGATCTTAGGAAGTCCAACTTAATGTGTCGCCGGAAAGGAATGGTACCAATATAAGGTTGAGAGGTTCACAGAAAGTAAATGATGCAAGCTTCCCTGGGCCGTGCGGCGTTTATGTAAGCTTTGCTCCACAAACCCAGGCACCGCGAGGCTGCAGCAAACCGCGGGAGCCCTGCGGAGTGCCCAACGGTTTCCTGCATCGTTCTCCAAATGTCCATGCCGGTACTTCCGGGCACGTGCATGAGCTCGATATTTCCTTGACAGTACACGCTTTACTTCGTACTTGAACTCGATCATGTCTTCCTCGCCAATGCTCCGGCCGCAGGGACCGTCGCACGAGCCCTTAAGTGATTCTGACACTGATGTGGCGGGTCTGCGTGGCAAACTCCTCCGCTTCTTCTCCACGAGGACATTTCACTATTCAGTTTTGCTGCTTGTAGCTCTTGATGTAGGATGCATGTTTGCTGGTACGCGCGAACCAACCGTCGAGTTGTGAACACCCGCAAGCTCATTGTACATCGTAGACATCGTGATAAACCTTGAAACATGTGATCGCAAGACACCCGGAGCAGACACTGCATTAGAAGCACTCAAACGCGTCAGTCTAGCATTCTCGGCGCTCTTCATGGTCGAGTTGCTCGCTTCGATATGGGCATTCAGAACAGCGTGAGTCCATCGACTCTGGATGCCACTGTCATCAACGCTAACCACCAATCTCCAGGTACTTTAAGTCCAAGTTTCACATCTTCGACGCTACTATTATCGTCGTCTCTTTCATCTTCGAAGTCAGTCTGCAAGGCGTCGAGGAGGAAGTAGCATCCCTCATCGTAGTCCTGCGGCTGCTGCGCGTGGTAAAGATTGTCGACGAACTCAGCGTTGGTGCAGAGGCCCATATGTCAGATCTAGAGCAACGGCTTGAATCGATTGAAAAGGAGAACAGAGAGTTAAGAGAGGTGCTTCGTGCTAGAAGGTCTGCAGTGCAAGCATAAAGCCCTTTCGTTGTGAAGGGGGATAGGTCATCTTCGGTAGACTCACAATGCTATGCAAAGGTGCAAGACCAACGCATTTCTACTGTTGCAAATTAGCGAGCGCCTAACAAGCATATGCGAATTGGAGTAGGTGAAGTGCATCGTTTCAGTAGACTTTTGATCTCGTTGATTGTACAGCACATCGCTATACTGAGGCTTCTTGCGAAACCATCAGTACGATTTGACCTTTTACCAGAAAGATCATCATGTATGCTGGGAGGTTGTGGTAGACTGCAAGCTTTACGTACCTTTGGTGTATCCAGCTTAACCGTGCCTCTCAAGGTCAATATACTGTCGTACAGCGCTTGATTCCTCCAGCTCGTTTGCACGTGCTGTAGGTAGTAGCGACCGTGGAGAATAAAGTGATTTGACGGAAGGTGATGTTGGGTGGTGGTGCCCGGGACAAAACCATGGAACGCGCCAGGCCAGCACTCGGTCGTTTCCAAGGTTACAAAATATGTCGCCGCAGACATTGTTTGGCAACTCAGATATCGTACAAGCGCATAACGCGTCGAGGCCGCTGATTTACACGCAGACGCAGTAGTGGTGCGCAAGTGACGACGGTGGTTGAGAGAAGACGCGATAGTCGCGCGTATGCCAGTGACGGGCTGCGGGAGCTTGGAGCTTGCCCCGCGTGTCCCAAAATAGAAAGCGCAGAGCGTGGCCATATGGAGACAGGCGCCAGTGGGTTTGAGATTAATCCTCAGCAACGCTCTTCGCCTCGTGTACGTGCAGCTTCTCTTCTGCTCCGGAGCCATGGACTTCCTCAAGTCTGCCGTTGCATCGGCTATTTCCAAGGGCCCTGCGTTTGGGTACACGTTCGGCGACCGTGTAGACATTGACGACTCTATCTGGACCTTGTACAACGGCATAAAGCGAGTATGGCCTAGGCTGTCTTACACAACTAAGCTTGCGGCTAACAATGTATCAGGAAGATGGGTCCAAGTGCAGTATATTCTCGTTCGACGCGACGGGGAGTAAGTCTCGGTTACCCCTCGCTCGCAATGCGCTCCGCAAGCTACGCACCCTGCGCCACCCGGGCGTTGTGAAAGTGTTGGATACGGTAGAGGTAGAATTGACTTGGTCCATCTTGGAGATCGGGCTAAGGATACGCAGACAGACGCATACATTTACATTGCGACCGAGAGACTTAGTCCGCTCAGCTGGCATGTCAAGCGCAAGAGTCTTACCGAGGAGACGATAAAATGGGGATTGCATAACGTCGCAAAGACCTTGAAGTTTGTGAACACGGAAGCTACATCGATCCATGGTTGCATACGGCCAGCATCTATATTCTTCAGCGAAAGCGGCGAGTGGAAGCTCGGAGGATTCGACGCCCTAAGCTCGGTAAAAGAGGATGATTCAGTATTGCCTAGATATGGAAGCGCTATTCCGGATGCACGCCGATACATGCCTCCAGAGGTGTCGAAGGGTGGATGGGAGGTCATAAAGCAGAACCCCACACATGCGGTCGACTCGTACAACTTTGGAACACTCATCTTCGAAGTGTTCAATGGCAGCTTCCAAGGAAGCGATCAGCTAGGACAGATGAAGAGTATACCTCCAAGCATACAACAAGCCTACAAACGCTTACTGAACGCCAATCCGAAGTCGAGAATGAGCGTTGGTCAGTTCCTCGACCAGGGAAAACGATTAGGCGGATTCTTTCAGACACCACTAATTCAAGTGACCGAAGATATTGAAAACATAGGTCTTAAGTCCGAAGACGAGAGAAATGAAGTTCTTGGGTCTGTAAACCACGTACCCGATCATACCCATATACTAACGCAGGCATAGCAAACTCGACGAAGTCGCTGATGACTTTCCCGCCGACTTTTTCAAGATGAAAGTCCTGCCCGAACTGCTTAAGTCCGTAGAATTTGGAGGTGGTGGCGCAAAGGTCTTTGGCACCGTCATGCAGATAGGCGCCAAGCTATCTGACGAAGAGTACGAAACGCAAATCACACCTGTCGTTGTGCGGTTGTTCGCGAACCCTGATCGTGCGATCCGCGTATGCCTGCTGAACAATCTTCCTCTGATGATCGATCATTTACCGCAGAAGATTGTCAATAATCAGATCTTCCCGCAACTGGTTCGTGACTGTTACGCTCCCGCTAATCATTGCTAATTGCTCGCAGGTCACTGGCTTCACCGATGTTGCGCCTGTTGTACGAGAAGAGACTGTTAAGGCTGTTTTAGTCATTGTACCGAAGCTATCAGACCGCGTTGTGAACGGCGAATTGTTAAGACATCTGGCCAAAACCGCAAATGATGAACAAGCTGGTATCCGTACGAACACAACTATCTGTCTCGGAAAGATCGCACGAAATCTTGGAGCAAATGTATATTCGAGTTACAGTAGTCCTCTTACACAAGCTAACAGTACACAGAACCGAGCCAAGGTCCTCTCAGCTGCCTTCGCACGTTCACTCCGAGACCCTTTCGTCCACGCCCGTAACGCCGCACTAATGGCCCTCTCCGCAACCGCTGACCTTTTCAGCGAAGAAGACTGTGCCTCAAAGTTACTTCCCGTCATGTGCCCGTCCTTGGTGGACAAAGAGAAGATGATCCGTGACCAAGCTCAGAAAACAGTTGACATATACATAACCCGCATCCGCAAATACACTGCCACAATGCCCGACACCGTTCTCCCATCCCCCTCGATTACCTCTGCAAGCGGTGGTAATGCGGTGCCCCGCATGGGCACCCCTGCGAATGATAGCACATGGACCGGCTGGGCCATATCCTCGTTCACGAACAAGCTCGCAGCTGCAAGCGGCCAGATGCAAGCTGGCGCTGCTACGAATGGCAGTGCTGATCAGCGGTCGCACTCTGTACCCCCACCCGCTGTACCTACCGCAAGCAAGCCTACACTTACCCCCTCATCGAGGCCTGGCATGACGCTCACCAAGTCTGCCGCGTCGATCCCAACAATGGCGAGCCCAGATCCGGTCGATGCATTCAATGACGAAACGGAGGACTTTGATGGCGACTGGGGTGGCTTTGGAGATGACGATGCGTTTGGCACCAGTAGCAGCGCAAGCAAGAAGCAGGAGGAGGAAGATGATCCGTGGGGTGCACCGAATGTCAATTCAGCGCCTGCAAATTTTGACGACAAGGGTGAACCAGATTTCGCGGGTTGGCTCGCCGCCCAGAATCAGTCGAAGAAGACGGTCACCAAGACATTGCCGAAGGGGCTCGCGAAGTCAGGGACGGCTACTAAGAAGCCTGTTGTGGCCAGGACAGCAGGTGCACCGAATGTGAAGAGAGTTGTTGTCGCGCAGCCGAAGAAGGAGGTTAAGACGCCGGAGCCGCACAAAAATGAAGAGGAGGATGAGGGGTGGGGTGATGCGTGGTGAGTCATTTTGTGGCTAGTGGGAGGCGTATATACCCTTGGGCTAGCACTGCTTTTTTGGATGTATACGAGCATTGCGGCGGCGTTTGGATAGACTGGATTGGGTTGGATTGGATAGTGAGGGCATTGGAAGAGAGCGAATTTATGGTGGTTCTACAGCAACGGTTACGCTGCCCATATCAGGCCTTAGGCATCTCCATGACGCTTGGCTCATAAGATGAATTAACATAATAGTGCAGTTCACCCACAGGAAAGAAGATCCACCTTGCCCACCCTCTTGCTCTATGCGTGTGTACTGTGAAGGCGCTTAGAGGTGCGCCCACGCTAACCTCATCAGGTCCCGAAGCCGTACCTTGCCGTAGTATGGAAGGATTACGTACCCCATGAACTACCCCACTGCCAACAATGAGCTCCAACACCAAATGATTCTACACTAATCATCATATACTTGATCAATAGCTACCAAATTGAGCACATCACCATCTTCACGTGCGTCAAATATATCGTTCATTGGGTTCCTTATGCTTCAAATATACTGTCCTCCTGCCACATCGGGAAGGTCTCCATCCACACGTGGACTAACGGCTGGCAGATGTCCCACGCTCATGGCGCGTCGATATAGTGTAGTGTGAATCCGAGGTTTGTATGTGGAGAGGATATATAGATCGTTGACCGTCGTAACTGAGGGGCCCCCTCGTTGCGAATAGTTACCACCCTTAAGCCTGTCCAAGATGCATCTCTCTCACTTGCTACTCTACCCCGTTGTCGCTTCAGCGGCCAATATCCTTCTATCAAACGATGACGGCTGGGCAGAGCTGAACATCAGAACCTTTTACAATGCTCTCACCTCCTCCGGCAACTCGGTCGTTATATCGGCGCCGGCAGAGAACGAGAGCGGAACGGGTAAAAACAATGATCCTTATTATCGTCAATACCACGACAGAATTAACAAGAAGCAGGCTCCAGCGACTCCAGGCCAACCACTGTAGGCTCCTCCGGCTGCGAATTCAACAGCTGCCCCGCCGGTTCCCCCGCAACGGGCACCAACTCCTCAAACACGCACTTCAACTACGTAAACTCCTATCCCGTGACCTCTGTAAAATACGGTCTTTCCACGCTCTCCCCAAAATTCTTCTCCGGGAACCCAGCCATCGTTGTAGCAGGCCCCAACGTGGGCTCAAACCTTGGCTCCACCACACTGATCTCCGGAACGGTGGGGGCGGCGTCCTATGCTGCTTCTACGGGGGGCGTGCCCGCTATTGCGTTCTCAGGAAGTAGCGGGAGCCAGGTGGCGTGGACGACGAGTCCGGTGCCGGCGTACTCGACCATCTAGTACTTCTCCTAATCCTCTTCATTGCAAGAAATCATGCTCACCCATACAGCGCATCCTTGTCTACAACCGTTACGAACACGATATTGGCTTCGGGCGCGCCATATCTACCAACTGGTGTCTACCTTAACGTGAACTTCCCCTCCGCCGGCTCCGGCTCTTGCACTAGCTCCTCATCCTTCAAATACGTCCTTAGTCGCGTGAACAGCGCGTCCAGTGGCACGGCGGCGGACGTCTCAACCTGCGGATCTACGAGACTGCCGACGGAATCTAAAGTCGTTGGAACGAGTGGATGCTATGTTAGCATTTCGGTGGGGAATGCGAGCACGAAAGGAGATAGTACGGCTGCAAATCAGGCGGTTGTGCTGGGGAAGCTGAAGGGTATTTTGAGTTGTTTGCCGTAAGTCTCAGGATCGGACGGGCATGCGCGGAGTAAGTATGGTTGGATGACTGACTATGCATTGCCGAGGCAGAAATTCCACGGAGGGATACGAGGCACCCCAATCGGATGGCTCAACTGGTGATACGTCAAGATTTCATATGTTTGAATTGTGTTGGATCTGGGTATTCTGTCACCTGTACAGCTTCTCTCTGTGACTTCGAATCAAAGAACCTTGGCAAAGTAAGCTTGGAGACGAAACAATGAGCATATTCCTTCATAATCCAGCTTTTTTATATCTCCATCGTAGATGCCAAGTTAACCATTCTTATCGTACATAAGCCATCTCAGGCCCGTTAGAAGCCACCTTCTTCGCCTCCGTTATCTCTAGCCTCGACATTTTCAAGCCCGTCAAATACTCGCCGAAGCTCCTGAGAATCTTTTCTAGTCCAGCTCTCAAAGTCTCCCTCACTTGTTCCGCCTCGGCAACTTTCTTCCGCTCCGCCTCAGGCTTTGCCAGCGCGTCGAAATCGGTCCAGTGAACGTTCAGCTTCGCGATGTACTCGTCCAGCTTATTCAATGCCACAGTAAACACGCGAATGATCTGCGGTACTTCGTCCTGCATGCGTCCATACTCGTCCTCTAAGATACTGGATACGGTGAGGTTCGTCAGCGCGGTGATGGCGTTGCACAGGATGGAGAGGCGCGAGTATGGCGCGCCAGCAACAACAACGTTGGTGGTGCGGCGAAGGCTATGGCGGAAGGGATATCCAAAAGGCGAAGCCATGAACTGCGAGTACAAGCCTGAAGAGCGGGCTTCGACTTCGTTGACACTCTTTTGGAGATGTTGCTGAACCTCTGCGGTACTCTTTTTGAGATACTCGCGAGTCTTTACGCCGTTCTGCGGTGAGGAAAGCGATTTAGCGAAGTCACCAGCCACGTCAACGAGTTTCTCCCTCGTAGTAGTTGGGGGAAGGCCAGGAGCTTTGACTGGTGCGTCATAGAGACCAGGAGCGATCTGTGGTACTAGAGAAACCGTTTGGAGTTGCTTGTTCTTTTCAGCCTCGTCATGGGGGCGATAGTGCGGATCCAGGCCCACGTTAAGGCGAGTGATGAGGAGGCTAACTTCCGAGAGGCAAATATCGACGACCTGCTTCAGAGTAGTACCGTTCTTGCGGCTTAGCTCTCCATAAACAGTCTTGCGGCGTTCCGGGAAATACTCTGTGATCAAAGCCAGTTCCCAGAGAGCTACAGCCTTGATGGTGTCTTTCTTAGCTTTCAAGCCTTTAAGAAGGCTGCCGTTCGGATCCTTTGAATCATTCGTGATAGGTTTGTCGTTCTTCAGTGGAGGCTGTGACATGAAGAGGTCGAAGGTTGTGTTGATAAACTGCCACATAAACAAGAGCAAAGCACCTTCCGCAAGGAACATGCCAATCAAAGGGGCGAAAGGTGGTAGAGTATTAGGTAATGGCCGCGACTTGGAAAGGCTGATCATAAGCACGTTCCTCGCCCACGCATAATACGAAGGCCAGATGACATAGCGGAAGCCAAAAATGTATATCAAAGCACCTACGAGCGATACGGCACCCGAACCAATGGCAGCGGTTTGAGCGAGGGACGATAGTTTCTGAATAAGGACTTGTCGAGGGTTTGGTGCCAGTGAAGTCGCAGCAGCATCTTGTTCGGCCTTCACTTTGGTCGCATGAAAAACGATCTTGTCGTAATCGCACCACAAATGAACCCCACTCTGGACCAACGCCAGGACAACGAACATGTAGCGAAGGAACATTGGTCGTTCATTGAGCCGAAGTCGCTCATAGTTCTTCCCTTGGTCGGTGTAGCCGAGCTTCTTGCTCTCGGGTTGAGTCCAGATGTAAATCTCGCCGAAAAGAAATGCTGAGAGTACGTAGGATGCTACGGTCATAATGGTCCTGCCTGTAAAGGCATACTTTTTAAAAGTATCCCAACCGGCTTCTGTGTTTCTCTCGCCAACGTGATACTGCGCAATGCGGCCGATAAATATTATCATGGCGGATACGAAGAGTAGGAGCGCCCGAATGCCAACGGGTCCGATTAGGAACCACGACCAGAGATCTAGTAGTACATTTCCATGTTAGCAAAGTTGAGTGTGGCTTGGAAACTTTACGTACAGTGTGTCCACGTTCCTTGCCACACCGAGATCAGCCAGCAAAGAAAAGCCGTGTATACCGCAGCACTTGTGAAGCGCTTGTGCAGGACCGGGGTGACGAAGTCTCGATACGGTCGTATAGGCGCCTGTACTGGCATCGCGGGAGGCATAGTTGTGGAGTCGGAGCGGTCGGGCGGTGTGTCGATCGAAAAGGAGCCCTATATCATCGCATGGGCAGAGCAAAGAAACAACTTGCAATTGCAAGAGAAAGAAGAAGCGGCTATAAAAGCTTGCAGCCTCGCGTTGAAGCTCGTTTACTTGAACTTTGAACAAAACACTCGAGGTCGGAGCTCTCCTGCGCCGACGCCTGGCTTATTAAAGAAGGAGCGGCTGCAGGGATGGCACGTGCGCACTTCGTCATTGCCCAGGAACGCCTGCTGCCAACCTCCAGGTAACGAAACACTACCACGCACAGCTTACGGCGCACCAGGCAGCAGGCCAGCTATACATCGCTGCATTCACTGAGGTGCTTATATCGATCATTTCTCACTGCTGAACCGTATCCCCCTGCGAAATGTCCTTCCAGCACTCGTCGGCCCTCGAGTCGCAACCAACGACATGGCGAAGAGAGGACGACCCACAGTATGCTGACGACCCTGAGTTTCGCGATTTCGCCTCGAAGCTTGGAGACGATTTATTTGCGTTGACGAGCGACGTCGCCCGCCTCTCACAGGAGACTGCGAAGCTTGGAACATCGCGTGAGACACCTAGAGTTCGGGAGCGGGTCAGAACGACGTCGGAGGAGACGTCGGACAAGTTTAAGGACATTGGAGAACGACTGAAGAAGCTCACAACCTGGCCAGATGTCGGGGTATGGAGATCATGTTATGTTCATTACAGAGCACCGCTAATCAAGATAGCCCTCGCAACGCTTCACCCAGTCAAAGCTTAGCCGCGAGTTCAAAGCAACCCTCACCGAGTTCCAGCAGCTACAGCGACAAGCTATCGAGAAAGAGAAGGCATCCAACTCAGCCGCACGAGCAGCTCTGCAGGATCAGACCTCGCCGACGGAAGAGCGAAGCGGGTTCGGACAGGAACAAGAGCAAGAACAGCTGCGCCTGGCGAACCAAGACGACGTCGACTTCCAGGAGCAACTCATCATCGAGCGCGAATCTGAAATCCGCAACATCGAGCAGTCCGTCGGCGAACTGAACGAGCTCTTTCGCGATGTGGCGCACATGGTGCACGAGCAGGGAGCACAGCTTGATATTATCGAGGAGAACGTCGAGACCACACATGACGCATCCCGCGGAGCTCACGTAAACCTGAAGCAAGCGAGCAACTACCAGAAGGGTGCAAGGAGCAAGGCCTGCATCCTATTGCTCATTCTCGCTATTGTCTTGGTCATCATCATTTTGGCTGTTCTCTTGTAAAGCGGAGTTTCGTACGTTGCATGAGCATTCTCTTTTGTTAGACACCGATACCACGGCGTTTGGGGTGTTGCTTGCGCAGCTTCTTCTGGTGAAGATCGCAACAGAAGCTCTTTCAGTACGATTGCGGTAGTCAAACGTGCAATAATAACGGCTACGCTTGTACATCTCATCTTCATTAGTCAGAGTACACTCGTCATGACCGAAGGAATTGCTGACACCAGAACAACATCACAAAGTTCACCAGTGATCAAGGGACGACAGTGGGGAGATTGAGTATGATACTAAAGTCGACTACTCTTTACGGCTACGGTAGGGTGCCGCGATACATGCAAAGCGACAAAACACCATGAACGATCCTGCCCGCTCCTGCCCGTTCCATATCCCAATCCACGACCAAGCCTCTAAGACTTTCCCCTCTCAAAGTACGCCATCCGCAGTTGAAAGACCAACCTCTCCACACCCCCTTCAATCAGCACAATCAAAGTACCCCCCAACCTCCCTACAACCTCCTCCTCCGCAAAAACCGCACGCTCCTGCTTAAACCAATCACAAACCTCCACCAACCCAATGTTGTCGTGCCACTCCCATTGCATGCCATCCATTCTAACCTTACCCTGTTCACGATCGTGCGCCTGCACAATTTCAACCGTCTCAGAATCCGGCATCTGTCTCAGGTACGAATGTAACAGCAAGTACGGTAATCGCCTACGTACGTTGGGGGAGATGTGGCCCCACTGCGCGACGTACTTTGTGACCAGGTACATCCAAACGGGATCGTCCTCACTATTCCAAATGTCGTCGTATTCACTGAGTTTCTCGCAGGCGTATGCAACAGCCGGGATAGACTCAGCGGTGTCTACGTTGATACATTGATTGTGGATGTGATGGTGAGAAAAGCTTCTTGAGAAGACGCGCCACTTTATACCCGCGCGCGAATACGTAGAGCTGCAATGCGTACATGGTCACAGTGCTCTTCTCTTCAACGGCACTGAAGAGCGCCGGTGGACTCACCGTGGTAGCGCGCCGCCAGCCCCTACTTGTCATACTTACATATGTTTCGCGGAAAACCAGCTATAGTAGTCAGGATTGTCTTTCACTAACTTACCACAGTTCTTTGGATATCTTTACAACGATAAACCATTCGGCCTTTTATATGCCTGACCATGGTAAGATCACTACTTTTCGGGTCTCTATTTAGATACTAATTCATTAATTATTAATAATTGGATTATCCAGGCAAATTATATAATATTAACGTCTAATCTTAGAAAACCATGTATTATCTACACATAGGGTTAAACGTGCTCAATAATGCGTAGGCACACTCACATCAACTTCAAGCTTTATTCGCCCTCTTTACCCGTAGGATGAAGATGTCCGGTCTTAGCATTGCCGTCCTTGTCGTAAAATCTCGCAGTAATATGCGACAGGGGCTCTCTCGCGCTAGAATGGAGGTTCTCCCTATAAATCACCTGGGCACTGTAAGCTCTGAGTATGAGAAGCGTACAAACAGGCTTGGTGGCAACGACATTCTTGGTGCCCTTAGGAATCTGTTAGGGATAACCTATAGTAGGCTTTGATCATCTTCAAAGTGTCTTAAGCCGCCTTCTGGGCAATCTTAGGAGGACGTTTCCAGCGCTCAGTCACTACGGCGGCGCCAACAACGACCTTGTTGCCATTCACAGTGCCTGTGCCCACGATCAAGTCCTCAATAATCTTATTCCCTACACTACAAGATATGTTTCGACGGAATGCACCTTCCATGGTGTTGAATGTACTATTCTGGTTCAGATCAGGCAACAGAAAGGCCGATTACCCTTAGACATACAACTTCTTACTATAATCAGGGGTATGGAGACGGTCTTGAAAGGTATTCTCTGTTTGATTTAGTACATGAGAGAGGTATGTCTCCATTTCGATCATGTGCCTGGCGCCTCTGGCTGTCCTCATTGGCGCGCAGGCAGCAGGTGATGTAAATACCGAAGAGATCTCTCATGTTCCATTATTGGTGAAGGTGTAGAATGTCACCTATTGCCATGGTTCGTTGACTTCTCACATTGAATGCGTTTGACATTATGATGGCTGTTGAAGCACGCGAAGCTAAAAGCCAGATCATATTACCTTTGCAGATCATACAACTTTTCGAGAATATGACTTGCATGAGTACACTATAAATTTGGCGCACCCAAACCTCATACTCCCAACACTTGCTTACATCGCCTCAATACATAAAACTATGTTAATGATAAATCTGCGGTTTACCTCCATGGTGTACTCCCTGGAGTGAAGGGAGCCCTTCACAGCGAGCCTGATGCGCCCTCAGCACATACGCTACCTTGCCAACGTTCCTATCGATGAGTTCCAGGTGAGCCTACTACACCCGTTTCTCAACTTTCTGAACATCTGCTGATTTTCGCGAAGGACTAAGTACACTCCAGACCCATCATCCTTTTCCTCATGCAGACCTGACCACTAGCTTGCTGCTGAGCAAGATAATCGACTAACGTTCAAGTGCTCGTAAATGCATTTGAGAACACATAGTCGCCTCCTTAAAAAATCAATTTTCTCCCTACGCAAACGGTAATCTGCTATAAGTCCAAGATCCGAGTCCACTTGCAACACTAGTCTCCGCGCGAATATCCAGCACTTATATACGGGATTTGGAGTAAACGTGAATTAGCGCCACGACACTCAAGTGCTGTACAATGATACAGCAACTTATGTTGTGCATTAGACTTTGCTCAAAAGAAACATCAAGAACTACAAAGCTCTATTCCTCTCGATACGAGGGTTCAAAGCTTGCGCCACTCCGGATGACACCCATAGTTTCTGTCGGCTCGCATAAGCCGATTAAGTGCACAACTAGAGGATTTTCATCGTCTTGAACGCCAGGCTGAGTGCTACCCCGATATATCATAACACTACAGGTCTGTTCACATATCGGGCAACCAGAAAAACATGGTCGGAAGCAGTCGTTCCTGTCCCTAGCAGATTAGACATTATGTAGGACTTAACGGAGATAGAATCATAGGCGTCGCCAGGCACGGCATGCCATTCTACTTCGTACCGTGGGTATCTCAATACGGTGCGTACATGTAGACAAACCGCCCCAGCCCCCCTTGCTCTACAAGATAGGCTCACCCTTCTCATCGATGAGAGTCTCCCCCGTTTTTACGGGTCCTTCTCCTACGCCAGTCAGAATGACCCTGCTCACACCGTCCTTCAACAGCTCCACGGCAACACCAGCCTCCTCCTTAATCTTCTCCAGGTTTGCACCATTAGCCTCAACCTTCTCACCCCTCTCACACTTCCAGCCATCCTTCTCCCCAATCGCAGCCTTAAACAAGCCCGCAACCTCCTTCTCGTTCTCCTCCAGGTAATACACCACCGCATTCGGTCCCGCATCAAACGTATACGCCGCGATGATCTTGCCCGCCGCCGCGTTGATGCTCTCAACAACCTTAATCGCCGCGCGGGACACATCGTTGAGGTAGAAAATCGGGGGATACGTGTCCAGGCACGTGGCGTGGAAGCTGTTACTGTCCATCATAGTGACCTTACCGAAAGCCTCGAAGTCCTTCTCCTGGATCGCCTTCTGCATCTCTGCCATACGGCGTGGGACAGTTTCGTTCGCTCGTGCAGCGAAGAGGGAGGAGGTGGCGACGGTGGTCTGCATGCCTGTCGTGGAAGACACGCCTTTCTTAGCCGCCGACACAACAAGGATGACGGCGCGCATGTTGGGCCAGTGTGAGGCGGGCGCGACTTGGAAGGCTACGCTGTCGCTGCCATCAGTGGCGGAACCTTGTTCCCAGCCGACGTAGCCGCCGAAGAGACTCCTGCAAGCGGAGCCGGAGCCCTGGCGAGCGATGCGGGAGAGATCAGTGGGGGAGGAGGGGAGCTCGTAAAGGTTCGCGATAGCCCTGACAAGGGCAGCGAATCCTGCGGCAGAACTAGCGAGACCCGCCGCGGTGGGGAAGTTGTTCTCGCTCACGATCCTGAGGGGAAGTTCGGAAAGCCTGGAGAGCGAAGAGTTGGAGTCTTCGAGCTGCTTGCGGAGGGCGCGCAGTTCTCTGAAGCAGGCTTGCGTTCGGGCGCCTGAGACGTCTTGTGGGCTGCCATTGAGGAGCAGGGTATCCTCTTTCGGGTATGTTGAGGAGCAGGAGGCGGTGGTGTGGGTGCGGAGATCGGCTTGCGAGAGGGTGACGGAGAGGGAGGAGTTAGTGGGAAGGTTGAGCTTGGGGTCGCGCTTTCCCCAGTATTTGATTACAGCGATGTTTACCGGAGCGGTCGTACTGGCGCGGTAGATCTCCGACATTGTGGTGGTTTGGTGGTGTTTGTTAAAGGATAAGTAGAGGATCTGTTGTTGGTGGGGTTCAATGGATTTTTGTTTATGCAGGGTCTCGGTGGGATGGTCCTGGGGCTGGGAGACCTGACAAAACAGGCAATTCCCGAGTCTTTCGAATTTAAGAGAAACTTTCAAGTGACGAGGAAATCAGAAGAACTTTAACCCCTTACATGAGTAATTGCCCAATATGTACCCTCCGAAGCGGTGAACTGGCGTTCTCCTCCCGCAACAAGCTTAACCAATCACAACCCACCTAACTCCCGACCTCCGTGGCCCAAGCTCAACTTTTCTTATGCTCCATCGCCAACCATTTACATCCGGAGGTCCGCAACAACAATCGAACACATCCACAATGGCAGCGCAAGACTCCCCAGACCCGGCAGCTGCCTGCCCCGTCGACCACAAGACCCGCGAAGCATGGCTCGCCCATGCCAAAAAAGCGAACCCCTCACAACCACCAATACCACCGCACGCCGCGCCCCTCGCAACACCTGGTTGCGACTCCTCCGCTATGCAACAATCCCAATCCGCACATACACCCGGAGTCATGGACTCAATACGCAAACTTCGTACCGACCGCGAGATAAGCACCATTCCGCGCGCACTACCCGGCGATGCGCCAGTCGCTGGCGCCAGGCCCGCGAATAGCGAGGAAGATACCGGCGTTGACAAGAAGTCCGGCAATTGGATATATCCCAGCGAGCAGATGTTCTTTGATGCGATGAAGCGGAAGGCGTATAGTCCTGAGGAGACTGATATGCACACTATTGTACCGATTCACAACGCGGTCAATGAGCGGGCGTGGAAGGAGATCAAGGAATGGGAGAAGGGGAGGGGGAGTGAGGCGTGCGGTGGGCCAAAATTGTCTTCGTTTTCGGGGCTTTCTTCGTCTCTTACGCCCCGCGCAAGGCTTAATACACTCATGGGGTACAAGCCGCCCTTCGATAGGCATGACTGGGTCGTCGATCGGTGCGGGACAAAGGTAGAATACGTGATCGACTTCTATGCTGGCAAGGATGAGGGGAGATCAGGGAAGGAGTTGAACTTCTACCTGGATGTGAGACCGAAGCTGAACAGTTGGGAAGGTGTGAAATTACGGGCTTTCAAATTTGTTGGATTATAAGATGTTTTGTGTATTATACTGTATGATACGGTGTTTTGATATCGCCTTTCTATTCGGGTATGTAGACTGTATATGCAGGAGAGGGAGATATCAGGCCGGCACGCTGTAGGAGCGCCTCCACTCAGACATTAGCTTCTGTAAGAATTATGGGGTGCATGGAGCTCAATAAGTGGCTCTCATCTGCATATGTATTCTGAGTTATAAAGTACTCTTACAACTCCGAAGGGAGACTTGCACTTGGAAACATGAGAGCTATGGTAGTAAATGGGATGTTTTGGCTAAAGTCAAAGGGCATGTTCAACACCCGCACATCATGTCAGAACCATCATAAAATGTCCCCCTTGCCTTGCTAGGCGCAACTCTAGTAACCATCAGTCCTGCCGCCGACTAACCCTCAAAGACCTTCCATCACGCTAATCTATTAGCTCGTCCCAGATACAGCCAGCTTCATCAGATGGTCCATGAATGTCTGCAGGCTGACATCATCCGTGAAGATAGTCTGCGCCGTCGCACCACCATACTGACCCTGGCTGGTATGCGTTGTTGATGGATTGAGCTTCGAGAGCAAGAAACGCGCTTGCGAACCACCGGCGTCGCAAACGATGAATCGGGGCAGTGGGAAGCGATCCTGAATGAGATCCCTGGCATCGCCCTTTGGTGCATCAAGCAAGGCGGCAAAGTTTTCGTAGCCTTCCTGCTCATGGTAGCCCGCTTTGCGCCATTCCGCCATCGTCTCGCCGTGGAAGATGAGGATGTGGAAGAATGTGTCCAGGAGAAGGACGGTCTCGGCCTGAATCGAGGACGAATCGAGCAGAACTGGTTGGCCACCCTCGTGGTCGAAACCATAGCTATCGAGGGTGGGCTGGATCATGATGAGCGAGTTGCTGACGTCCTCGTGGTTCAAAACATGTCGGTAGAAAGCGGTCTCATCGGGCGAGTTGTTGAAGACCTGGAGGAACTGTGATCGACGCAGGTGGAACATGAACTGTGGGTAGAGCGTGAAGTTCTTCTCGAGACGGAACGATGAAGGGTCGTCTTTCCTGTACTCTGCAAACCGAGCGCATAACCGGATCAACATTCGGTCTACCCATCGGAGGACGTCTGGTCCGTCGTCAACCTCTGCTTTGAAGACTGCTATCCTTGACATGAGGACAGCGGCAGCTTCTTGATCGAATGATTGGGCGATGGCTGGGTCGCCCGAAGGCCCACTTAGGTTACGTGCAACGGTCGTAACTAAGAGATATTAGCATTGGCGTTCTACAGCAGAACCCGGCATTGATACTTACCCCTCACATGATAAGTGCCAGCAGAATGCTGGTAGTAAGTCAAGAACTGTATCATGCCCTTCTGTGGCCCTGCCGCAAGCTGGTTTGGTCCACCTTGGCCGGCAATCTCGAAATAAACACCGTAGCTAGATTCGGGACTAATACCGCACATTTTCCACAAGCATGTGTTTCCGATACCGCACTCGGTCTCGCCCACAGATGGCGACTTCTTGTTGCTGGAGATCGCATGACCGATCAAGCCAGTAACCTTCAATTCTTTTGTCGTTAGGACCTCGAAGTCAGCGTTGAACCCCATGAGCAGGTTATCATCTTCGTCCTTGTTGAAAACGCGGGCAAAGGATTGCTTGTACATAGAAGATGTGAAGCTGTCCGTCAGAACCATATGTCCACCGGTGGAATTGACGAGGCCCTTCATTTCAAGGAGACCAACCTGGTCCAAGCAACCAGCGAAAATGTCGACAATGTGGCCGTTATGTGCGATGCGCTTTGCCAGAGTTTCGTAAAACTTCAGCGCCTTCTTGTAGTATTTGATGTTATCACGGTCAATATCGTGATGCGATCGAATGGGCTCCCTCAGCTCAGGACCAACTACCATACCCGGACCCTCAGTAGCAGGGCCACCGCTGAAAAGCATGATTCTGCTTCCCATGTTCTTGAAAGAGGTCTCCAAAAGTCCAGCCGCTACGCTGAGTGCGACGCCAGTACACCTCAGCGCTCGCTTGTCGTTGGCCACAGGCCATGGGTCCTTCTGGAGCTGCTCCAAAGCGTTCGTGAGCTGGAATTCGCACTGCGCAACAGGGAGGAGGAAGCGTGCACCTGGGCCACCAATGGGCATCGGAGGTCGTCCGGGCTGCTGCTGCATGTTGGGGCGGGGCGCGATCTGGCCGAGGCCGAGCATTTCCTGGACCTGCTGCGATGTATAGTCCTTATTGCCCCGGAAGACGTACGACTTGGCGCATTCGGTGTAGCCGAGCTCATGCACTTGGGTCTGCAAAAGATCAGTCGCATCCCAACCGAGAACTGACTTCAACCTACCATGGTTCCAAATGTGACCAAACCAACCAATGCGTACTGCGGCAGCAGACTCAGACTCATGATGATGGAGTCTTTGAGTGCCTTCAAGCTGTCCTCCTCTTGACAAGTATCGACAACGAAGAGGAAGATTGGCGGTGACGGCGCCGGTCGGCGAAGCTGGTACTCGATGGTGGTATTGCTCGGGTGGAGCTCTGGAGGGATCTGTTCTGCCGAGATGTCTTTGTAATGCTGTGGGAGGCCGTTTCGCTGCATACAGAAAGGACACTGCCAGACCTTGGCGCGCATGTCGACCTGACAGAAGGGGTTGAGGGCGGCGCGGCAAGGCGCCTTACAAATGATCGGATCATACTGAAGTAGCGGACTTGAGGTCTCCTTCAGTGGGGTGTAGAGGGCTCCGATGGGCACTACGCGTGTCAGTCGCTGACATCTTTTGCTCATGCATCCCTCTTACCAACTAGCCGCGATGCTTCCTGCCCAAGGTGTTAGCATTCCGTATTATCAACACGTATTCGCAATGTCATACCATGCGCGAGCTGGGGAAAGTGTTCCAACTGAGTCTGATGCCATCCTTGTCCTCAATGTCGCTCCACTGGTCCTTCAGTGCCTCGTAGTCGGCCATGGTGTCTGATGTAGAGTGTCTCTAGGAAGTGCGGTGGGCTGTGGTGGGACCAAGCGGCGCCCACAATTCGATTTCGCGGGGCAGGCGTGGAGGTGCGGAGAGAGTCGTAGGATGCGAGTTGAGGGAGAGAAGATGAATATTCAAAGTACCGCCTGGAGTCCGGACAGGCTGCAGCAAGGTTCGGAAAGTTGCAACGTGCCCCAAAGCCAAACCACAAGTCGAGTGGATTCGACGACCAGAGCCCATGCGGCCAGATTGAGGTTCGGCAAGCTCCAGACCCAATGCGGGCTAGCTCGTGGTCCAAGCTCCGACGTCGACCAAAACTCCAATTTTTCCTGGCCCCCTCTTCTCTCTTCAGACAGAACGCCAGCAAACAAACACTACTTACGGCAGCCTCAAGTATCAGTCATGAGGCTGTTTTCGCGCTGAGCGTAGAGAAGATTAGGCCCATGGCTGGGCGCCCGGTCTGGAGATCCCTTTTTGGGCTCCTGTGATATTCTGGGAATCAGCAGAGGTTACATTATCCTTCGTAGAAACCGTTCTCCAATTGTAGTCGTCAGTCAGCATGTTTCCTACTCTTCTTGGAGTTGGGAACAAACGACGCACGAGCAATATGTGCGTGAACACCGCCGGCTTACGGTCGACTGGCACGCAACGTCCGAACCGGTCGCAGTGGTCTGGAATTGGTGCAACATGTCATTGCAGTAGTTCCTCCATCGGACATAAGGGCAATGAATCTCTTATGTACTGTCCTGTCCCATCACATTTTCCCATGCTCTTTTTACACCTTACACGCTCCTTCACTTACAATCTGGATTCCTTTCTTTTGCAGTTTCAGTCACATTGACAATCGAAGTTTTACTACCCTGCGCCATATTGTCAACTATCACGCTCGTTAAGCATGGTGGTGGTCCGTCAGATGAACTTGACATTTTAAGGTGAAGGTTCCTATTACTAGGGAGGTGTAAGGGTACCATAGGTAGGTGTAAGGGTACAAACAGAATGCGATGTCAGATTCAACGAAGTTGATAAAAAACGCTAGAAGTTCGCCTGCTATCAGACTAAACGTGCGTGTGTTATGCTGGAGAACGGTAGAAAAGCCGGACAAGCGCAGCGGTCACACCGTCTTCACTCTGACTTTGACCGGCCCCTCGCCTAGCCACCTCTTCGCTGCAACCAACGGCTGGCTCTCGCCATCATCTTAAACCCGCTTCCCGCACAACACAACGAAACGGCATCATGGAAGCCGCAAAGCAAGACTCCGAGCCCCCCAGCATCAGGTACTTCTTCTCCTCACAAGACGTTCCGTGATCTGTAGCTCACCTGCACAGCGACATATTCTGCGGCCCTGCTGCGGTCGTCGTCAAGCTTGGTGCTGAGGAAAAATCGTGCCGCATCTCTAAAGCCCTCATTATGTCCCTCTCTAGCTACTTTTGCTGTGCATTCGGGTAACAAATGTTCGAGCACGGCGTCTCTAGCGAGGTGAGTATTCCCAGCACACCCGGTTCTGCGCAATCCAGGAAGACTAACCATTCGATATCCTAGACACACATGACGACTCTCCATAAGGTTTAGCAAGCAGGTACCGACGACATCTTCTAATAAGGTAACCCTAAAAAGACGTCATTCTGACCGTGTTCGAACTTTTCAACGCCCAAATGCACTCCCATGCCTTCGCGAAGGTCCACTGCACCGAGTGGTATACGGACTATGACAGGACCGTGTCCGAGCATGTTGGTCGCGAGCTTGTGGACCTCTACATCTTCGCTAATCGGAACGGAGTCAATGGTTCCAAGACCTACCATGTCCTCGAAGCTCTCATTACTCGTTGTTTGCAGTACTTTCGTGCTACATTTGTTGCTGATACCTTCGAACAGGGTGGAACTGACGAGGTAACTCATCAAGGTCAAGCTAGCTCGCGTGCAACAGTACTCCGTATGCACATGAAGTAAGCCACGAAAGTAACCGTGTTGGTCGCATTAGGTCAAATTCCCGGACTTCGAGCCTGCGGATATCGAACCATCCATCGACAGGCTATACACTCAGCACCTTCCGGACATCTACCATGATTGTCAAAACAAATCCGATGGTGCGCGTGAAGCTTCAATGGCTTTGTGCATCAAATGGTTATGTTCTTGCCGATCGGTTCTTTGTCTTGACATTGAAAAAGACATTTAGAGATGCTCGTTCCCGCGCTCGAAAACGGCCTTGTACCCTGTTTCGACACAATTGTATCTGCATTCGCCTTGCTTCCGGAACGCGATCGGACCCTAAAGCGTCTCGTCGACGAACACTGACTGTATTGGAGCCAGGATTCGAGCGTCGGGCTGGCATGAAAACAGAATATCAAGGAGAGGAAGAGGTGTTGCGTAGGCTTCTGCAACAATCCTGGGTCAAGGCGATGCAGAAACAATCTCAGATAAGGGACCGTTGAAAGACACTGGCTTGAAGACTATATCAATGGCGGCGATGGATCAGAGCGGTAATTAGTCCACCAAAGCATGTTCATACTCATGTTGCATGTAGCATCGATAAAAAGAAAGGCGCAGAGACTTTGTATGCTTCGCGTAGACCGCAAGCAGGTAGCTTCGCCCTCAATAGCAAGTTGTTGAGCGGAGACATGGTTCATACAGCTCATCACGTAGTCACCCAGCAGAAGTCTACTCAGACAGGTTGTCTAAAGTCCTGCGCACATACATGAATTGGCTTAGGATGTTCCTTTCATAAACATGGATAGGGTGAGTATGTCCGCGTACCTCACCTCGCGAATCATAAACGCGCTGATTAGTACCCCAAGAAGAGGAATGGACAAGTCAGGGACGAGGAGGAGGAGAGGCTGTTTGAGCTTGTTGACTTATTGGCGGGGTGACAATTCTTCATACAGGTGATGAAAATAGTACTCTTAAACGATGACGAAAGACATTTCTCTAATTCTAGAGCGATGTCTCAATGATGATCACGGGTCGGAGCACCCAGAGTATGACCAAAGGCTCTTCAGGTGTCGCACACAGATAGACAACAGAGACGCCAAAGGATCAGGTACCATTATGAATTGTAATGCTAATTACTGCTATGTTATTCAAGATCTCGTTGATACTATCGACCACTACAACAACAATCTATGAGAAGCAGCTAGACTTGAATCGACAAGGCCACAAAAATAAGATCTCAGCACCATAACTAAAGCCCATAAATTCCTGTCCTGAAGAGCATTCTCACCGATGTCAATCATATTCTATGTGTCTCCTGAAGCTCAATTCTCAACATATGAATCGTTCCCGTTATCAGTAGCTCATGTGACTTCATACCTACAGTGGTATTCAACATCATGGTGATGACGTCAGGGTGACCACCATAATACACTTTACATACATCCACGCAAACTTTAGAATTGTCGAAGGCGTTGTGCCTCCGTCTTTCACAGTCCATTCCAACCCAATCCTCAAAAATGTCGTTCTCAAAATCAGCAGCAAGCAATCCCACCATCATACCAGACCCTTGCCAAAACGGCTCCACCATTCGTAAAGCATTTCTCCTCGAGGCCATCGCGAACCTCTTCACCATCCCACTCATAACCAACACACGCTTCATACTATCTCTTCTGATTCTGCGCCCGTCTGATATCAACCCAGCTTCTGTTTTGTTCGCCCGACTCTTCGGAGGCATCATCGTTGGAGGTCTGACTTCTGCGCTGCTAGCTGGCGCGACTAATACTCGGAATGGCATCGAATCTCGTAGGCCGACGTATCTGTCATTGGGTATTGGAGAGGCAGTGTTGATTCCGATCCTGGCTTTGGAGGCAGCGAAGGGAGACGCGGCGCTGAGTACGAAGCTCGCGCTTGGGAGCATTGGGTTGCTGCTATCGCCGTTGGTGTGGAGGTGCTATGTATTGTTCGTGCGGCCGGACTTGTTGGGGAGGTACAGGGAAGTCGCAGGTGGAGGTAGCGATGCGGCTGCCGGCGTCGGCGGGAGCGGGACAAAATGTGAGTAGTGTTTATACATGGTCAAGGGATATGCATTGATGGGGAGTTTCAGATGGGTCAACGTAAACTCCAAAACTCAATCTGTATGTATTTAGGTATGTCGATCAGGTAGCAGCCAAGACTTCAACAATTCAATGTTCATAGATACATCAGAGATTCGGCTGCTTGTCATCTGATTGAGTAGCTAGCCATACCCGCAAACGAATCGCGCAAACAGCAAGTATACTCAGGCTAGATAACAAACTACTTTGTTTGCTCTTACTGATCCGTCAAACGGCGTGAATTTATAAATTGAGCCCAAACCACCCCACTCGGTCTGAACCCTCGCAATATCAGACTTCCAGCTTGAACGGCGGGTGACAGAGTCTGAAGCCGATGAGGGGCCCTCCGATAACGTGAAGAGCGCCATCTTGACGCCCTAGTGAGTCGAGGTGCATGTCTAGCTGTTTGCTGGTCCAACACTAACAGTATAGTGAAATCTACTCGCAGCGCATTATATGCGTCAAGATTGGGCAGGAAGAGGACGCGCCAGGTTTTCGTTTTCACAGGGCGCTTGCGATGCACCACTCCGAATGGTTTCGTAGCAAATTTGCAGGCCACACTCCCGCAGATCAAAACCGCCATGCCGATAACTTCGTACTGGATGATGTCAACCAAGGCGGCTTCATTATCTTTCTCAATGGATGTACAAGCAGACGCTGGTATGTTGTCTCATGAACGGCGTACTTAAAGGCTTCCTGCTGATTCAACTGTGACAGGCACCAATCATCGAGTGGAGGACTGTGTACAATGTCACGTCTAACAAATACTTTGATGACGACGTTACAGCCGTGTATATCTTTGCCCACGAATATTCTGTCCCGGCGCTGGAGTCACTCCTACTGAAGCTGTCTGTTGATTTCTGTAAAGTCTCAGCGCCACGGCACACAGCTATCACCAAGGCCTTCGCTCGTCTACCGGAGACATCACCCTTTCTTCAACTCCTCGTTGATGCGGCCTGTATCAATGGTGACCTTGAGGGCTACGAACCTGGCTCTGATTTCGAGCCTCTCCCGGATGACGATACGTCGGTAGCTCTTCCGACCAACTTCCTGATTCGCGTGGCAAAGAAATACGCAAACCTCGCGAAGAACACGGTGAGGGAGATGGAATTGCGTTATCGGTGCTATACAAAAGTTCCGAGCCACCTTTCCACGGCACTGAAGCTGATTTCCACACTTCACAGCCAACCTATGTACTATAGGAGGCTGGTTATTGGGCTTATAGCTCTGGTAAGCTAATTCTGACAGCTTGGTGCCCTATTTTAACGTTTACCAGGCCCAGGAATACAGATTCAACAGATTCTACCCAATACCCAGCCTCCTATAGTACATAGGTTGGGTGTTAAATGCGAAAATCAGCTTCAGTGCCGTGGAAAGGTGGCTCGGAACTTTTGTATAGCACAATACTTCGACTACAATACCGATACCGACGCTGCGGTCGACGATGCGGTCGACGATGCGGTCGAAGATGCGGTCGAAGATGCGGTCGAAGATGCGGTCGAAGATGCGGTCGACGAACGACTAGCTAAACGACGGAAGACGGCTCGCTAGAGTAGTTCGAGGACATTCGCTCAGCCGACGTTGATTTTTAGCCCGCAGAGCATACACTTTGAAACTTGGTTGTCTTTTGTGGTGCACTGGTGTAGAGCACTGCAATGCCTCATCGACGATATCGACACATTGTGTTACCCCAGGGTGGGCAATACGGTGCCCAAGCTTGAAGTTCAACAGAAATCTGATCGGGGTAGATGCAGTTCATGCATAAAGAGATTTGGTAGTGGTTGAGGGGAAAGAGTAGGTGGATAGTGATGTCACTGGTCCAAGGAAGAAAGAATAATTAGTGCCTAAAGAAGTCTATAGCGGAATAACGATGAGTGTGAAGCTCTCCTATGTGTGGATGATCCTTCCTGCACTACTCGAGACTTGGCGTACACAATAGACTACATGTATCTCAGCATGAGCTTTTACGATAGCAGTACGCTACATATCTGATACGTTTGACTTATCAAGGACGTATCGCAGCGTACTATAAGCATATCCGAGAACGAGAAGAGCAACTTGATCTTAGCATCGATTCCCGTCGTGGAGCGCGTTCATCGTTCATCGTTCTTCACCTTCCAGTCTTCAAGTGTGCCCAAGACAGAGTGGTAGAACTCAAGGATACGTTGACAGGTACGTCGATCTAAGTTCACATGACAGTAATTATCACAGATACATGCTAACAAAATGTTACCTAGAGTTCTTTGATGTCTTTGCTTATGGCTCTATCTAGAAGAGCTTTCGGAAGCTTCGCAATGGGACAAGCTATTCCTTGCCGAGGACGACGATTAAGAGGTCCTCTGGCAGTCTCGTGTTATCAAAGTTGTCCGATCGTACGTTCTTGCCGGCCGGCTACTCGTGCCGGCCCCGAAGAAAGGATGCCTGGACGTCGTGCAGAATCTATTCCGTGCAAAGGGGCCTTCGTACACCACCATCATCTATGCCTGGGCCAACCTTCCCGAGAGTAATATGATGCTACAGCTCCTAGTCGAGGCACAGTGGTTCATTGGATTGACAGGGATATGGAGAAAGATGTGCAGCCAGAATACATCGACTCCCTTCCGATCAACTTTCTATAACGAGCTATGTATAAGTTTTATTGGGCTTAGGATAGAGGTATCCCCTTCACTCTCTGAAGCCTGGATGAGATGGAAGCCGATATGGAGCAGGGCGCGCGCACCATCACGCCTACGCGTTTAAAGATGCCCAACTGGTCCCGAACTCACCCTATAAAGGACTTTTTGCGATGGAGGTGAAAGAGTTGCCTTGAGATGGCGCTCTTTGCATACGGTGCGTGACCTTGAAACGGAGCGAGAACAGAAGTTGAAACGAAGCAGGTGCACAAGTTGATTCAAACTCCCTTGTTTCCAGCTCTAGTGGCAAACTTCGTGTCGTGTACACATGTAAGAGCGTGTACTGAAGTGGGTTCGATAGTGTATTTGAAGTTAGTGTACGTTGATAGCAATTGGTTTTCTCCTCGAATGAAGTGATGGCGTATTTGAGATGATTTTGGGACAAACTAGACACGAACAAGCGACATGAACATATCTTCAATAATAATTGCGCCGTCTGCGCCTGTAGTTATGTCATCCTGTATTTTGAAGTGCCGACCACAGAGCACGGCCAGATTTCTTGGCCAATAAATCAGAGTTGAGGCTGAACTGACAGAGCCAGACCGTCCTGGAATCACACAAAGTACTTTGGTGTTCGTATCGCTAAGGAACTAAATTATTCTACGCCTTGGCCTTCTTCACCTTCTTGGTGCTGGTGCCATTTTGAGACACCTTGCGCTTCTTCTCTGCGACGACCTCGGTCTGGGGCTGCGATTCCTTCTTCGCCTTCTTGGACTTGGGCGCTGGAACCTCAGGCTCCTCGATAGCCTCGGGTACGACATCGGACTTGCGCTTCTTGTTCTTGGGAGCCTTCTTGCTCTTCTTCTCAGCAGCCTCATCTGTAGCAAGAACGGTATCAGCCTCGGGTTCGGCATCGGCCTGCAATTGAACTATCAGTCTCTTGGTCGCATATTCACGCTCTGGGGTGACTTACCTCTCCCTGAGTCAATAAGGCCTGGGCAGGAGCATCCTCTACGGCAGCGGTCTTCTTAGGCACCGAATCCACGGATTTTGCAGGAGGTGCATTTAACTCATAATCGAACTCTTCCAGCAACGCCTTAGCCTTGCCAGTGCGCTTCTTGTTCTCACGCTGCACTCGCTTTTCCCAAACATCGCGTGTTGCACCCCGAGCCAGGGCAGCGCGCTCCTTCTGGTTTCGCGGGTCGACCTTGAAGCGCTCGTTTGCACCCTTGAACAGCTCTGCATGAACCTGTTCGGATGGAATCACGCGACATTGCAGGATATGTCCAAACATGAGGTAGTTGTGCATGGTTTTGGCGACGATATCGGCGACTTCACCGTTCGCGAACTCGATAAAGGCGTAGTGCTTAGATGCCCCAGTCCTTTTGTTACGGGAGAGGCGCAGACGAAGGACCGTACCGAACTGGCTAAAGTATTTCTTCATTTGGGGTTCGAAGAAACCGTGGGGAATGCGACTGTAGGAGATTAGCAGCTCGAAACACAGTTGACGGCCGGTGTATGGCCTATGCGGAGTGACAGGGGAACTCACCCAAGGTAAATGACACCTGGCTCAGCATCTCTTCGTGCCTTTTCCAGATCCTTGCGCTTCTTCTTGCTGATTTCTTTGCCTGTTTCAGCTAGAGCATCCTCATCGAATTCTTCGTCTTCCTTCTCCAGATCACTCTCGTCGCGATCACTTTCGAAGCCAGCGAGCAGAGCAGCCGTCTGATCGTCCAAAGCCTCCTCGTCCTCTGCGTCGTTGTCTTCTGCAACAGCAATCTCTTCATCCTCTGTTACAGGTGCCTCTTCCTGCTTCTTTGATTTCTTTCCCTTGTTCGGTTTCTTCTCCTCTACTACCACGCTGACTTCTTCAAGTACGGGCTCTGCCGCTGGCTCTTCGTCAATTTCTGCTTTCTTGGGTTTCTTGGGCTTCTTCTCCTTTCGCTTCTGTTCCTCCGCACCAGCAAGTACGTCCTGAATGTCCTCCTCTGTCACAGCAATCTCGACCTCGTCCACCTTTTTGCCTTTCTTTGCCTTCTTCTTTGGCTTTTCGCTTACAACAGTTTCTTCTACTTTGGCGATTTCGGCATCGGCAGGTTCGGTGGCCTTGCTTTTTTTGGACTTCTTGGACTTAGGAGCCTTCACCGGTGCGGAGGTTTCGTCCTCGGAGACAATGTCAGTGGCTTGCTTAGGCGTGGACTTTGCGGCAGTGATATCATCGGATTTGCGCGCCTTCTTCGCCTTAGGTTGGGAATCGGTTGCGCCTATGTGAATTAGCACTGGTTGCAGGTGTCGCACTGGGGGAAAATGTATTGCGTAGCCAGATGTGCCACAAATACAATTGATGGGCAATAATCCATACCCTTGCGCTTCTTGCCTTGCACGTCTGAGGCAGCCATTGTGGTCAGTGTAGCTGGTCGTGTGGTGGTGTTGCAGCTGGACGTTCACTGCACGAAAAAGTTCGGTGGAGGAAGCTCGAGCCGCCAACTTTTTTGGCGCGCTAAAATCCGCTAGTGCCGAGGATCCACCGAATGTGGAAGGCAGTCACCATCATCACAAGGCCATGCAACACATCTGAAAACTACTCGACGTTAATCTGGAATAAAGATTTCGCACAGATCTGGGATAAACAAACGCGGCTTCTCGACACGTAACGAGGCATTCATAACAGCGCCAATACCGGCTTCATCCTCTGCGACGCCATGGCGCCTGGTATCAACCTCGACGACCGGAGTGCTTGGGACGACTCCGCCCTGATCAATTCATGGGACGACGCGGTAGCCGAGTATCAGGTTCGTGTTTTGTAGTTAAGACCAGTTGAATACTGGGTTAATGAAGGGCAGAAATATCATAGCATTTCCAAATCAGGCCAGCGACTGGAGGATGCGTTAACGGAGGAAGAGCTGGAGAGATTGCGAGGGTAAGATGCCCGTCGTACGTTTGAACGTCAGCTGATCAGTATAGGGACTATGGAGATCTGTTGCAAGAGGAGACTGAGCCCGGTGTTGATCCGATCACCAACCCGGATGCCACCGATGCCGCACTACCACAGGTACAGACCAATGGCGAAGAGCCGAGCGGACTGGGCGATGCAAACGTAAAGGTGTGATTTGACATATTGACAAGCTTGACTGCCATGCCGATCGGTAACTGACCAGGAACAGGACCGAGCTACACCAGTCACCCGAGGAAGCGCAAAAGCGACGGGAACAGAGCGTCCGCATGACGGGCCTTTCTCAGCTTCGATGCCGCAGGCTCTTCTCGGATCAGGTAAGTGACAGAGCCGACTACCCGGCACGTCTCCTGCCTAGAAGATTCTGCTTGGCAAGAAACCTTTCTCACATCCTTACAGTGCGAGACGAGAATACGAAAAACCTGATGATGTCCTGGTACTATGCCGGCTACTACACCGGCTTGGTCGCTGGGCAGGAGCAACCCGCGCCGAACAACGGGTCGCAGGAAAACCAGAAGTAATGACAAGGCTGGAGCCAAAACATCCTATCACGGGAACCTGAAGATTTGATACCTGGCAGCCGTTTCGACAAGGTCGTAGTCCGTACAGAATAGAACACTGTAAATGTCGGGGCCAATCAGGAGGTGAGGTCCCGATTTGTATATCTTCGCCTTGCTGACGGGGAACAGCTCGTGCCTCACGACTTCGGGAACTCAGGCTGCGAGATTCATTATGCCTCAGCAGGTTATGCAGGTGGAGCATCCGGGTGCCTTTCCGTCCAGGCTTCTCCATTGAGTTGCCTTGTAGTGCGAGCTTGTCAAAAGCTTAGCGTTGCCATGTTGGGTATGGGGGCGCGCAAGCGAGACCGTTCTGCGACACTGTCGCGACAACCTCGAACCCATCTCACACAGCACGAGCGTCAGGCACGGACGCCACGCCCGCTATGCCTCACTGCCTCAGCAGAATCAGTTCATTTTCGCAGGTGGCTTTCGCGCACTTACCGGCTTGCGCCAAGCCGAAGGGGCGTGATGTTTCGGCGCGTCTGCAGCAGGTTCGCGACCCCCAGCATCCCAATTTCATGCGGCGATAAAGGCAATGGATAGTCCTGACCCGTTCCCTCTTTTCTGCCTTCTATCCTCCCTTAACTGTGTCGGACCGGTGCCTAACCATTTCATTCCCTTCGCTTCTGGTTTTCGCTTCATACTCACAACTCTTGAGCCGGCCCTCATCGTGTGCCTTTCAGTCTTTCTCTTCGACTTCGTCAATTTAGTACATTTGTCTGCAGTGCAGGCGCTTCCTTCTTTCGCCCTTCTACAACAACCAGAAGTTTAGTCATAATGAAGTACATTTCGGCACTACCGCTGGCAGCCAGTCTCGCTGCTGCTCAAATGCAGGTCATGAGTTTGGCACCGCAAGCCTCCGGTCCTATGGTACATACGGTACGCAAGCAACTTGATGCCTCCTGGATCACAACTAACAACGATCAGGTTACCGTTGGTGGATTGAAGGCCGTCGAGACCGGAATGGCACCAGTATTAGGATACTCTCCCGAGTCCATCACCGCCAACGTAGGCGACATGGTCCAGTTTGTCTTCATGCAGAAGAACCACACTGCCACGCAATCGACATTCGCCGAACCCTGCAAGGCAATGGAGGGAGGAAAGGATTCCGGCTTCATGCCCAATGCAGAAGGAAAGGCGGGAGTGACCTGGAACGTGACCGTCGAAACCGCGGACCCGCAATGTAAGCAACGCACCATCAATCACACATGCAAGCTCGCCGCTAACAATCGCAAAGGGTTCTACTGCAAGCAATCCACCCACTGCGGTGTCGGCATGGTCTTCGCAATCAACGCTGCCACAACCGGTGACAAGACAATGGCTGTCTTCAAGAACAACGCCATCAACAAGAACAGCACCAAATCCGCAAACCTTGGTCTCGCTCCCATTCAGTCTGTCAACGCTGGTGCCGCAGCCGCAGCCTCTACCGTGACCGTCGCAGCTGGCGGCGCCGCCGCCGCCACTGGTACGGGAGCCGCCGGCGCAGCTGCAACTGTCGTCGCTGGCCAGGGTACCGACTCCGCCGGTAACGCCTGCGGCTGCCAATGTCTCTGCGGTGTCAACTCCTTCCCGCAAGCAGCCGCTGTCAACAACTTCGGTGGCTTCGCTGGTATGCTGCCATAGATGCGACGCATCAAAAAAGGACGGTTGTGGATGGTAATGTTGGGGAGACTGTGATGTATGATTCAGGGGGTTCATGATGGGTTTGATGGCTTCTGGACGGCTTCACCCTTATACCATTTTGCTGTTTCTTGGAGGTGGGCGTTTCGCATTATACCGTATGTAATCCATGACCGCGCGGCACGTGGATGGTTGCCTTGTAAAGCTTAAACATAGAACCTTCAATGAAGCTCTCCGAGAGATGAAACTTGAATTACCGATTCCTGTCGAGCACACGTGAACGAGTGTCTACCTAGGTATTGGGTCCACGAGCATGAAACGGCGCAGTTGGGCAATGGAGCATCACAGCAGATCAAGTCATAAACGATTCATTGAGTATCCAAGGCAAACCCCAGCACCAAAACTATGCGTTCCCAACCGGTTCCCGCCGCGTCACAAAATGTTGGGCCCGAGCAATGCAAGTCGGTCGCAGTTCAAGTTGCGCAATCAGTCCCACGGTCGACAACCTACTTCTTCTCCCCTTTCTTGGCATCAGCTGCACGCGTGTCAGCACACGGCGTTCACAATGCATCAAGTCCTTTGCAGAGCGCGCAGTTTAGTTGGGAAGAAGTAACGCACCAGCAGCCTGTTTGGCGCGCATGATAGCCGCCGTGTCCTCCTTCGCCTTTGCAAATTCCGTGCCGGTCAACTGCACTCGTTAGAACAATACCGTGCCCCTCTCTGACCCTTCGCCTACGGACGTACGTTGGTTCCCTTTTTCTGCGCACCGCGTCAGCATGATATCCACTCCAATAACCCCCGTGCAGTGCGATGGGGTCGATAAGAGGGCGCCAAACGTACCTTGCCAGCTTGCTCCTTGAGGTTCTTCTCGCGGGCTTTCTCGCGCTGGTTGCCGCGGGCCATGGCTCCTTTGTGTCTGCAGACGACTTTGGACAATTTCGAGGCTTGAGTCGAGAGATGGGCCGTGAGCAGTGTGTTGTGGCGGTCAAGATAACTGGAATCTGGCTGTCAGCGCGCGGTGAGGTCTGACAAAATTAGCGCCGCGCCCTTCGTTGGTCTGGAAGCGTAAGGGTGGGTCCTCCCTCCACCCCTCGCCGCCACGTGCAGGGCCAACATCAACGTTTGACCGTGGAATCAGGGCGCGCACAGTGCTTCTTCCTTCCATGTCTCATTGATTTCTAGCTTGACATCAACTTTGGCATTGTTCACTCGCCACAGGGCTCACGAACCGACGTAGAGAAGTAGTTTTCACCAGTCCGCAATCGATAAGTGCTTTCTGTGTTGAAACTGTCCATGTCGATAGCTCTCTTCCCATGGTATCAATCGTCGAGCATTGGTAGGTAGTAAGATGATTCCTTCGATTGATGTTCTGGCCTCTTTGGCATGGCTTGGAGTATGCCAACCAAGATATCTGGTACAGCCCACGAGTTGACCTTCCAAGCTTGGTTTTGTAGGAAATTGGTAGCCTTGTCAGTCAAAAGTCTACGCTTTCCCGGTAGACAATCGGAGATTTGCTTGATCGCCACGGGACGATATTGCTACTTACCCAAGCGGAACCACAATGGCGGTACCCCGAAATTTGCAATCAGTAGACGTTCACTTGTTGTAAGACGTTATTGACGTTCGCGGGTACGGCATGGGCAACCTGATGACAGGTTCTCTGCTTAGGACCGAGCGCCATGCGTCATGAAAAGCGAGGTCCGCAACGTTTTTGCACTTCAGAGAAATTGAAGACTGTTTCTGACGTGATGAAGGGTGTCGCGACAGAAGCAACGTCTGATTGGACGTCCTCAAGAACCGCTTAGCGCCCGCTTGTCGACCGCCTCGCGCTCAGTGCTTCGACGACTGTTCACTCCATCACAACCCCAAGCGCATCGCTTTTGCCCCGCCGTCGCGCGACGTTGATGGCATGTTGAAATCCAACGATGAAAGGGTCGTGTAAATCTAACCGCCCGGCCGCTGATCCGGGGCCCTGGCCCGTTTTAGATCCTGAAACTTCGTCCCGCTGTCGCCTCAAACGCGCAGAGCCAATCAGTACGTGACTGCCGCGCGACCTTCATACTCGCCTCATGAGCCTCGAAGCCCAACTACGAGGATGCTTGACATTGGCTGCAGGCTCTTCTCGGCGAGCGGACAGATCCAGTCATCCATTTCATGAGCATCTAGTTCGATATGGACGTCGCTAAGCTGCTCCGAGGGCGCGTTTCGCTTCATACTGTAGCACAGTCTGCGGTGAATCCATGTGGAGCAATCCTGGCCACTCGATCTCGACCAAGTGAAGTACGCCAGCGCGACGGGTCGCGGCGCCTCTCTTAGGCTATTGTGAGGTTCGCGACAGTGGTGTCCGCTTCAGGACTGGGGGCCTAGCTCATCTGCCCTTCACCTCAAGTGCTCCCACTTTCTTTCTATTTTTTCGTCGTCCTTCCTGTTGTCCGCCATTGAGATTCTTGCTGAGCGAGAAAGCATTGCCTCACGGCGTGGGATCTTTTCCCTTTCATCCTTCGTCTCCTCTACTTTCTAACTTTTAACTTACGACACGTCTGACGCGCTTTTGACTGCCGGACAGCTCAGATTGCTATCACTCAGCCTTCCCACAATCGATTCTCTCTCGTTCGAAGTAATGGCGCTCCTTTCAGCAGAGCATCTGGCCGGTCCAGGCTACATCATCCTCAACATCCTGCGGGTGATCAACATCATTACTCTCTCGTCTGTGGTCGCAAGCAGCGTCGTCATGCTTGTGAAGACCTTCATCGTCTCCAAGGTAAGATTCCCGCTAGTGTACGTTTCGAATCACGGCTCACGCTCCGCAGTTTTTCTTCTTTGACGCTACAAGTCACGTCGTGACCGCGTTAGCCGGCAGTACGTCTCTACCGCTCGCTGAAACCATCCCACCAGATGTCTAACAAATCGCAGTGTTTCTTGTCGTTTCCGAGTGCTCGCTTTTCCGAGGCTACTTTGCTCGTAGCTGGCCGCTGCTCAGCCCTAGCCACGGCTTCGTTGCTCTGGGGTGTTCCATGGCAGTGCTTGGGCTCAACATGCTCGGCAACATGAACAAGGAGGCCACGAGCCAGAAGTCACTGGGTCTGCCGTTCTGGCGTCTCCTTCTTGCTTCTGGTATCCTTGCCATCGTCATTGGCTTCTTCAACGTCGTGGCGAGCTTCGTTTTCCGCGACAAGGCCCGCCACATCACTGCCCGTCGCGTTCGGTCTAAAGGCGCAATCACCCTCACGGAAGAGCCTCCAATGGATTGGGAGACTGACTCTAAGCTCAAGGCTTTCACCATCAGCACGCACCACACGGGTACCACCAACCGCACTTGCTCTCCCATGATGCGCACCGGCACTCCCCCGCGCATTGGCACACCACCCGTGGACATGGGCTCTCCCCAGCCTAACGTTGCCTCGCCCCAGAATGACCATCGTTTCTCGCAGTTCGACTTCAACCCGATCCGCGCGTTCCGCAACGCTCGCCAGTCTATTCTGCCTTCTTATCACAGCACGTCTCCTGCAAAGCCCACCTTACAAGGCCACCACCGCCGCTCGTCCAGCCTGTACTCGCGATCCACGAGCGGTCAGACAAAGCGGAGTTTTTGGCTCAAGCGTAGGGACAGCGATGTCCCAGACGTCCCACACGTGCCCGAGATCTCCGCCCCACTCAACGTGAACCCACAATTCGCACACCTCGTCAAGCCGAATCTTGCGCATCATCCTAGCGTGCGACGCCCGGAGGCTGACTTCGACAAGATCTAAGATAGTACGCGGAGTGCGGTGTGATCAAGATGTACCAGAGGCTGGACGAATGCATATACCCCAATGATACCACTTTCTTTTCTACTGTTTTACTTCTTACGACATGGCTAGCAAGGTCTGTTGAATATATATACTAGGGCATCTTTAGGCGCGGGGGAAAAGTGGAGGATACTCGCTCCTTATGGCTGAGCTGGCGTTGGTTTTATGACTGAGTGTGAATATACGTATGGATGGAAGCTTCCATATCGTACGAAATAAAATCGAATGGATTGTATTCGTACGCGAGGACGCGAGTCGTGAGTTGATCACTACAGATGCAGATGTCCCATGCGACTATTTCAGTACACGAAGCATATCAACAGATAACAAGAAGCGTCATTCATCGTAAACAGTGTCCGCGCCCTGGGTTGCATAGCGCCTAACTTGTTACGAACTCTTTGAGTGCGGAGAAGCCGGAAGTCCAGCATGTAAGAGGTGTCATAAGTACGCCGCTTACGGCACTTCTGCTTATATCGTACATTAGTATACATAATGTACACATGTTTACAGCGCTTCCTTTCCAAGTCGCTATTGTCGATCTCTCCACAAAGTAAATATCTTCCAACAAACTCACTCCGGGCTCCCAGTTTTGGCATCCACACTCCGCTTGCTTTCCCTAACACCACCCTACCCATCCACTGGATCAATCCCCGCAAAAGGATCAATAGCATTCCCTTCCGGATCATACAACTCCATCCTCGTCCCGTCCTCCATGGTCAGACTCCACTCCCTCGTAACATACAACCCATCCCTTCCCCTCCTCTTACACCTCAGCCTCACCTCCCCCTCCCTCTTCGTCCCCTTCACCCAAAACCTGATATCAATGCGTCCATGCACTTGATTGATTTCGCCCCTAATCCAAGGGTACTTGGACGCAAAGTAGATCTCGTCGCCGAGGACGTCGCGCACGGCGGGGTTGGTGCGCAAGGAGTATAACGTGGAGGTTACCACGGAAGACTCGGTCTTTTGGTAGTTGAAGAAAACAACGGTGGCAATTGTCATGGAAATTATGAAGATGGGGAGGGTACGGACGATGGAGGGATGAATGAGGGGTGGGACTCTGTGTTCATGTTAGAATCCTGTGTCTGGGACGAGGAGGGAAGTAGCGTACGGAGGCAGTTCACGATTGGGCTTCCTTTCCAACAAAATTTCTCCTTCTTTGGGCGGCGGTATAAGATATGCCGGTGGCCATTGTTCTATACTGTGCGGTGTCTTCCAAGGTAGCGCGCTGGGCGGGGGAGTTGGCTCGGTGGATGCGTGTCGCATGACGGGCGTTCTACGGAGGCATTGGTATGATGGTTGTAGTCGAGAGCGCAAGAGCGGCGACAGTAGCCTGGGAGGAGGCATGGCCGTGAAGTGTGCAGTCGGAGCACAATTGCGGCGGCAAGTTGTGGTCGAAGTTCGATGACCTGATGCTTAGCGCGACGTCGGAAGGTTCCAAGGTTCCACTTCCAGGGTTCCAACGAGAGCACGTGATATGGTTCGGCTGCACTTGCTAAACAACGCTACTGGCGCGTCGAACGCCAGGTCTCCCACCGGTCAGAGCAGAATAAATAATTGAGATGGGGGATTGTCTTAGCATTACTGTTCGTCGTTCAGTGGAGTACGCTATGTAGGTAGGAAGGTGTATGAAAATATGAGCAACGAAGAAAATGTAGGCAACCTAACATGAGACATGGCATAATGCCCTTGGGAATATTCAGATATGCTGCAGATCGTAGGCACAGAGTAGCGTCATATCCAAAATGCTCTAGTCGCCGCAGCCTTCATGACTGATCCGCTCCTTACACTCCATACGCACGACACCCGTCCCATAATTACACGTCTAATAGAAATCATGCCGAAGCTCTTGAACAACTCCCTAATAATAAACTTGAAAGCCCATGTCCTTCATCTTCTTACAATTCGGCATGGGCATACTCCTGGCCTTCGTTAGCTTGTCCTTGTCTGGACCAAACCAGCCGTATGCATCTTGCTCCGCCTGACTCCTCTTGTACTTCTCCGTGTCGCACCGCGAATTTGTAATCTGTATGAACTTCGATTCCGCTTGCTTGTGTATGTTTTTCAACTCTTTCTTGCTGAGGCCTTCGAGGTCGCGCTTGTTCACCCAGTAGGGCACTTGAAGATTTTCTGAGTAGAGGGGGTGTGTTTGTGCGCCGCGGGGTCCATCGAACACTATGCTAGGGCCCTTGGGTGTAGAGTCGCCGCCGAATATCGAGGAAAGGAGGGGAAGTAGGAAGAGGAAGAAGAGCGGAAGTAGCGAAGATAACGTGCTGCCGATGCTGGGCGCCGGTTCTGAGCCCGCGGGTCGCGCGGTGCCGGGTCGTCTTCGTGGTTGACCGCCGCCAAATTGGTGTACGCGGATTCCAGGACCGCCTCCTCCAAGGTTGAAAACGAAGCCGGGGCCGGTATCGAAGATGCCGCCGCCTGTACACGCATTAACTTATACTCTATCTTTGGCCATAAACGCTCGCAGCCGCTGGTATCGCATTTGAGAGCGCGCGGACATACCGAAAGGCCCGCCAAACGGCCCTCCTCCGCCAAAGAATTGTCTGAACATCTCCTCGGGTGATATTTCCTCTTCGAACATGGGGCCTGGCCGGCCGCCACCTTGCGAGCGCGCAAAATTGCTGAAGCCTGATGCACCGCCGCCAGGTGGTTGAAATCGAGCATCCGGATCGCCGCCAAACTTGTCGTACTTGGCCTTCTTGTCCGCATCGGAGAGCACCTGAAAGGCTCTTGATACCACTATCTGCGCGTTAGCATATGCTTCCCACTCTTTGCTTCAACGCACTTTTGAAAGCCTCGTCTGCGCCCTCATAACCATTCTTGTCCGGATGCGTTAACAAGCTCAGTTTCCGATATGCCTTCTTGATCTCGCCCTCGCTGCACGTCGTCTTAACCTCCTCCAATCCCAGAATCTCATAGAAGGCTGTGGGCGCACATCGCTTTATTCGTATTACTGCGGCCTTTTGTTCGACTGTATATGCGCGGCCTGAGCTACCGTCATGGTGTTGGCGGTGTTTTGCGTCGCCGTTGGAGCGGGCGTCCGAGCCGCTGGCTTTGGCGGACATGGCCAAACGTGGCCTTCACGATAAGGCGCACGAGGACAGCCGGAGTAGAGAAGGACGGTTCGAGTCGATTGTGCCAACGGAATATCCAGGTGGAGGCGGAGGAGCGGCTTGTTGATTAGAGGGGCTGTGATTGTCTGGCCTCTAGTGCTGCCGGGTGCCCTCCAGAAAACAAGCGCACGGACCAAAACGTCATCCATGTCTGGTGAACCTCGAACTGCATGGCATTCACCAACCCCGACCCTAGTTTCTGTATCAACCATCCCAATTCTTGTGTCTCACATCCTCGTAATGGCAGACACAGAAGCAAAAGTAGGAGCCTTGCGCTCCTTGCGCAACTGGGGAGGTACGTCCTCTGCCACTGCATACGTCCTGCAACGGCTTGCAACTCTCACGTGCTCCGATGTTCACAATCAATGTAGAGAACTCCGTCCCCCCGACTCTCCTGGCAACGCTCATCACAGCACAACACTTCCGTCCCTTTCAAGGTCTGCCTATGATGTTCCCACCCGTTCTCCTCTTCTCGAGTTACCTCAATTTGAGCGGATACAAGAAGGATTCTGCTGGCATAACGGCGGCATGGAGTGGACTGTATGCCTTGCTAGCGATGCGGAAAAAACATGTAAGCACAACAGCTTTGACAAATTCTCATGTCGCTTTGAGAGATATTGATCTAGATTTCTAGCAACTAAAGCAAAAGTTTGGAGCACGAGGAATCGTCCGAGGCGCATCGTTAGGTCTTTGCGCTGTCAATATTACGGGATGCGGGCTAGCTTATGTCTTCGGTAAAAGAGAGGAGGATGAGCCGTGAAGGAATTGGCGCAGCAAGTCTTGTAACATATTGTACATAATCGAGTGTAGCATTCATTGAAGAACACGTTGGGTCAAATGCCGGGCTAAGCAAATAGCTCTGCGATTTCTATTCATGATCTCGTAGCCCGCTACCCAAGATGTCTCCATGGGTCGAGATGCAGTGACCTTTGGGTCCCACATGGACGCCAGAACGCCTTCAGTGCATGTCGTCTATCATACTGCGGTAGTAATCTATTACGTTATCAAACGAGAGCTCACTACGACTCGTCCATTGCCGAGGCCTCTGTGCCACTGACAGCGGCATTGCGTTCTGCCCTTTTCTCAGCGAGCCGGGCTGACTTCCACGCCTGAATCTCTTCCCTTAGCGCGTCATTAGGTATAACTTCCTCAATGCTCAGAGGAGTACGGTTGAAGGGATCGATAGGATCGCTCAACAACATGCCGCGAACCGTAGTGCGGTCGACGGTTTGTCTACTCCTCGGCAAGATGACAGGGTCTTCCATCAGAGTCGCCATCAATGGGTCCGTATATTCCTCGGGGATCTCACCAAGGTCCGCATCCTCGGCTTCGATCTCCTCCTTCGTCTTTCTGATAATGTCGGCAAGCTGGCTCCACTCAGTCAGTTGCTCTGGGGACTTGAGAGCAAAACGTTTGAGAATGGTTTCCGCAGTTTCCCAATACTCAGCTCGATAAGATCGCTCGTCTGTGGCGACGGCATCGATGAAGGTCTTCTTTTCCTGCAGATTTAGATACACATCGGAAATGTCCGCAAGCATGGCCCTTGGGTCCCAACCATACTCCTGCATGTTCTCCACCTTCAACTTCGACTTGTTGGGGCCGACCAGGAGGGCAAGATTGTAGTCCAGCATGTGCGCAAGACGGACGACGACCTCTTTCTTTGTGAACGAGTCGCTGAGCGTTTCGGTGAACAGCTTCAACATCGCCACAGTCTCGTTGGTAATCATCATGTAGTTCTTCGCTTTGTCTAAACACTGGCGTCAGAAAGGCTCTTCATGCAAGTACAACAAGTACGTACCTTTAGCAGCCGCAAGCTTATCCTCCTTTTCCTGGCGAGCGTTCGCATCTCCTTCCGACTGTGGATCCTTCAGCTCAAAGGAAAGGTCGTGAATCTGTGTAAAAGCCGTGAAGGACTCATCCAGTACATAGGTAACATCATTGAGCAGTAAGTTGACGAACTGGACGAAGAAATCCAGGTTTACTTGAGCTTCGGTCGCCAAATTCTCGCGGTAGGTGGGGTTAGGCCAGATACACTTGATGACTTGGAAGATCTCGTATCGAATCGATAGCTTGTCATACGCTCGTTCGCACTCAGAAAAGAACTTCATCAGCGCGTGAAGCAAGTGCTTCGTAGCGAACTTATGAGCGAACAAAGCGTCTCCGAGCGTACCTTTTGACCTGCCTGGAACAGGGAAGATACCATTGAACAGTATGCGAACAAGTTGGGCTTTGAGGCCGGGATTGCGGATGTACTCGGAGTTCCGGAGGAACGTTATGCAGTAAATCATCAGCTCTTCAGACTGAGTGGATGTGATGATGTGAGGCATCCAGCGCGTAATGAATTTGAAGTTATCGCCAATGTCTTCAATGAAATATTCAGGTAAGCACTTGAAATTCTCAGGCTGTTCCTGTGCTAGGGGAAGTTGTACAGTGCCTTGGGGATATTTTGTGCCAGGTGACACCAAACGGAGCATCCAGACGATCACATATCGCATAAACTGCATGGATCGAGCCTGGAGGGTGTCGTCCTGTAAAACTCCTTGGGTTGCGAACACGGCGCAATGGCCCTTTTCAATTCGGTCTTTCATCCGCCTGATGTGTGCTTCAAATATAGAAAGCTGCATAGCGTTGGAGACATATTTGTGTCTCTCGGTCTCCATCTGGGCGAGCTGTTTCTCGAGGTGCTTGAGCTCCTTTTGCAGCTCGGAGAGCTTCATGTTCGCCGCTTCCAAGCCATAGTGATGTGACGCAACGGTCAAGAAGAAGACCTCGGTAATAAAATTGTTCGTTCCCTCCACCTTGGTCTCATAGAATGTATCGGATTCTTGTTGGTCTGCATTGATTTTCGTTTCATCTTTGATATCCACCCGAGGGGATCGGCGCAAATAGTTGATATCGATCCTATCGACTTTGGAGAAAGTTGCGTCCATGAAAGGCTCACACAACCTGTCAAGAATGACGGTTATGTTTACCATGAAGGCATCTGAAGAGGTGAGCTTCGGATCAGCGCGCATCGCACGTCGCTTGTGGTTCCTGTTCAAGGTTAGCGCAAACCAGTCCAGAATCTTCTCCCGGGATTCCTTTGTCTTGATGAAACAATTGGCGATGTCGAAAAGCTCATCTTGGTGCGTCTGCAACGCCAGCCGTAAAGATCGCTGGGAGTTGTTAATATACCCCTTGTCCCGCGTGGTAGGGCTCGAGAAGTAGTTCATTGCTACTTCACCCTGTAAAGGAGAAATGCTGAAAAACGGCCCGAGAAGACTGATCCTTTCGATATGCGGGGCTTCGATGTCAGTCGGTAGAAAAAAGTCGGATTGCGCCATAGCAACGAGTAATGGATTGTAGCGAACAAAATTGCGCATGGTCAGCATGTACGGCCGATAGTCATCGTTCATGGTCATCTTCGATAAGCGCCGACTGAGCTCTTCTATCGCTCCGACTAGCAAATCCTTGACGCTGTCATCGTCTTCAAAACGTGAGACAGCCTCGCTAAGAAAATCGTGGCAGATACCGCTGTCGTTTTCCGGATCTACAAGTAAATGCTCCGCCAACGGGTTGCTGGTAGAAGGCTCCTCATTAAACATTACGTCAGGCATCGTGGCGGCGAAGATGCAATAGTTGAAGCACAGTCTTCGGCATTCCTGAGCAACCCCGTACCTGGGATCTTCCCGATTATGCATGCCGCGAAGCAGCCTACAGATGCGCTTCCAGCACCCTAGCAGGTAGCGTAATGCTTTGCCCTCTGTGCCACTTTGTGCTGACTCGATAATGGCGCTGTCTAGCATCTCGAGGGTAAATTGGAGTGGAGCGCCCGCGTCCTCAAGGTCCCGCCGCACGCCTGAGACGAGGGTTAACCGGTGACCATGTGCATCCTTTGTGCGTTCGGGATCGAGCGTTATCCGGAATGTTTGGCTAATGGTGCGGTCCGTCCAGGCATCCAGGCTGACTTCTTGGCCCTTCGGTGTTGCGCTGCGGCCGTTTAATGGCTCTGTAGGTTTAGGCTTAATGTTTATCTTTGGTGCGCCCGCAGGCTTCTCCGCTGCTTTCATTCCAAGTTGCGAAAAGGGATTTGATGTGGTGGTGGGCTGCGCGGTGGGCGTTGGTTGCTTCTGTACAGGCGGAGGCGTCGAACTGCTCGAGGCCGGGGCTGTGGAAGGCGTTGAGATCGCGTTAGAGGATGCACTCGCGGGAGATGGGCCTCCGAGCTTCGCAAGCCGCTTTGCGCGAATCTAGTTTCCGTCAGCACCTGTTCAGAGGTTCCCAAGAAGCTCTACTTGCCTTGTCCGCATCGGACATAGCATCAGGCATCGGCGTGTCGTTGGGGGGTTGTTCGTCCGCCATGATGCGTTGGTGCGGGAGCCAGCTGGGGAGGAGAGCAGCTGGACTGGGAAGGCGCGAGGTCGTTTAGATGTAAGGAAAGAGAGACGTGGGCGCCTGCGTGGACTCAACGGCGGTTTACGACCATTGCTCGCCGCGGGTGAGGTCAATAAAGGTGGGTCCATGCCCCAAATCCGCCCCGCGCGAGGGCACGTGCTCTGGAAGACTATGGAAACCACCTTAGTAATCTCATCCTTTCTCGGACAATCGCTTTTCAACGACATGCCTGGTGATTCATATCGGGCATTCAACCTCGCTGCTGTCCTAAATATTCGATGACAGGGAATGGTATTCTTCTTCTGCTGGATATACAAGTCCAGGATAAGGCTATTGTATGGCAACACATAGTTCAAGCACTGTCCCAGCGCAAGCTATGCTTGTCACTAAGTTGAGGATCTGTACCATGACTTTTGAGTTCTATGAAGGCTGTTAAGATGTTGTTCAGAGGCAGTAAAAGCAAACATGACTTGTATTAACTATCTATTAGCATCAACAACCCACGACGCGTACCTAGCAGCTGACACCAAAAGACCATTCGAGACAAGCTCTGTCTACAGGTAGTGATATACCTCACCCTCGATATCATGACGAAATCGATCGATTTCGGCCTGAGATACCGGATTCCCAATGCTGTCATTATAACTTGTTATAACGAGCAGATCTAATGCAGCCTGCCCCCTATTGCCCGCTCGCAAGGCGGACGCTTTGAACCATTTCTGGGCTGCGACCCAAAAGAGGTGGGCATCGTTCTCACTAGTTTGAAGCCCTACCGTCCAAACAAGGTCGATTTCGACCCGCTCCAGGTTCGGCAGGAAAGCGAGACAATCGAAGAAATCCTCTCTTTGCTTATGCAATATTACGTATTGGGTCCGGATCCGGCGTATCTGCTGCGCTCGTGAAGCGGACCTCATGATGAAGCTCTGTCCGACGTTTAGATCTTCGAATTGGAACGTATTCTCGCCCCAGAGGAAATTTACGACTTCTGAGTTGATCCGTTTACATACTTGAAGAAGCTGCGGGCAGAATCTTTCTGGGTGTTTGTTTCTGTTTATAGCGTGGGTACGCGATGATGGCCATCTTATCCGCTCCAGGAGAAGATTGTCATCGGCTATCAGCACGTCCTTGTAGATTCGATTCCTCAGTTCTGCGGGAAGCTTGAACCAATAAGAACCTAACTGAACCTTGTATGACAAGTTGACAAAGTTCTCGTGAGCTGCAAGAGCTAGCCATCTTTTTGCGAGATCCTTTTCTCGCGCGGCAAGATCCTTTTCCCGTATGTCAAGAGCCTCTTTTAACTCTGCGGCTGTTGGTTCAACGTTTTCCACGTGCAATTTCACCATGTGCTTATGATTCTCTTCCTGAACGCTCTGTTGAAACACTTCCCATTCAAATCCTGTAGGTCGCTGCCCCGAAGTTCTTCTGCTTGGAGCCTCGTTGTCTTCGACTGGCGTGTCGGAGTTTTGATGTATGAACGATTTTTCTTCTCTTGCGACGTTTTTTTCCGCAATACCTTCCATAACTTCTTGAGCGAGCTCATTCGGGACATCTCCCCGAGATGGAGCCGCAAGAGCCTCTTCTCTTCCCGCGATCATTTCTCCTGCAGACTGGTCTCTAGGCTCGTTCACAGCTTTATTTCCATTCTCTTCCTTCTTTGTCTTGTTGCTAGCTTTCGTCTTATTGGATCCAGAAGTGATTCTGGGCTGACTGGGCTTCTGGACAGCTTGATCGTTGGGATTTTGATTGTCATTGCTGTTCCCTTCGATGAAACCGTTGTCTTGAACAACATCGGCTTCTTGGTTGCCATTTTCGTATACTACTGGATCGTCACCTTCAATTTCTTCTCGATCAATGTCTTCATGATCGCGCTGGTCATCATGCCGATTGTCATCTAGCATGTCATCATCTACATTATCCGCATCATCATTCACAGGCTTCTTCCCGCTCTTTTTCTTAGCAGGGGTCTTCTTGCGGCCTGTACCGGTTTTGGCCCGTTTAGGCGCCACCCTAGCAAATGCATCGTCAAGTAGTTGTTCGACGTTATAGTTGAAATTTCTTTTCTGTACTCTATCAGGTATGCGAAGAGACCGCATTACGATGCTCGGGGCTAAAGCTGGATAATGTGTTCTTTCCAATGACTTACCCTTGATGCTCTATCGCCTCTCATCAAGGGCCTATCTTGGTCGCTCATGATGAGTATTGGCAGTATAAGAAGGAGGCGGACGGTAATATGGTCGGATGGTGAAACGGAACTGTACAGGAAGAACGGCTCACGATGTCGATGTATCCCACTGTCATCTAGCATCAGCACTCTAAGCCCGGCGCTTTGTCGAATACTTTCTTGAAAGATCATAAGTCGGGCGCCACGAAACGCCCTTTGCGGACTTCGCCTTTGTGTTCCTTGTGCGTTCATGTTGTGGACAGAAGCCACATGCTCTCACACATGCATTTCTTTGTCTTTATAGCATTGCTATCGCCATAATTCCTCCACAGCCACCCAGACATGATGCGAGCGCAGAAAAGCGGCAGGAAGGGAAAGGTTGCAATCCAACGTATTCCTTCAGTACGGGAAGCTTCTTTGTTGTCATCCTGGCAGTAGCTATTGTGCTGGTGCATAAGACGAGGATATAGATACGTGAACGGGTATCCGCCGAGACTTGAAGAGAGTGAGTTGACAGGGATGTGCGACGATAATGACGGTTGGCTGGTGAGATTTGTGCAAAATGAAGGAGCATTGACAGACTATTCCTGTATCACCATGACAACCATCTTGATAACGACGCGCGGCTCGATAATACGAGACTCAAGGTAGACAGACTTTGTACGATGGATAAGAAAGAAGCACAGACGGAGCAATACCAACACACAAACGTGGGCATCTCGTCGAGCAGCTCGACGGTACATTGACCGTAAGAGATACGCAGCATGCATACCGTGGCCAGATACGCTACGACCGATCAGGCTAGGCAGACGGGCGACTCCTGAAACGCGCTTGAGGAGTGCCACGCACTGATGTCATGCCCGATAGATAATGGAGCAATCAACATCTGTGGCCAGCAAAGCCAAAGGACGCCAGGCTTGTTGACCGGTCGTGTGTCTCTCCGAGCAAGACGGCGGTGAGGCGTGCCAAGCGCGGGAACGGCCGTCGAGCATAAATGCAGCATAACGAAAGACGGGAGGCCGCCTTCACCGAGACCCCGCATCTGGACGGTCGATAGGGGCGGAGCGTGGGTGGTTCGGGCAAGCAGCGACCATGGCAGCTGAGGGTGCGCGTCTGCCAATGCCGCCGTGGTCCTTGAACCTGTCCAGTTTTCGGGAGGACGGGAGGACAGGCTGCTGCTGAAACCACGACGCCCGCCTGTCCACCCCCGGTTGAGAGGCAGCGCGAGTGCAGCGCCAGAGCCGTGTCTTGGAACTGACTCTGGCGGCGATTGCAAAGGCGTGTCCCGGGACGAAGAGCACGTCACGAGGGAGATTGGGCGTGGCTTCATCGGGCCCATGGCAACGCTCGACGTGACTGCCATCAAACCGGCCCCTTGATTTGCCATCTGCGGCGCTCAGCACCAGCAACCGCGCTCGCAAACAGCATCTTGACTCTGCCGTGCGCTGCACAATACCTGCGCCCTCTTGCTCTGCCTTTGTCCTCGCGTGCAGCTGCCGGCGGGCCAATCACACGCGCACCAGCCACCGCGATAGCCAGCAGTGCGGCTGTGTCTGGCGTCTGTGCACGGACGGTCCTGAGAAGCAGGTGCCTTCCAGCAGCACTCTTGTTACTTACACCAGACCTCTCCCAACATCACCACCTTTGCCTCCCATTCCGCCTCCCAGCGACCCATCCGCCCCCCGATACCCTAGATACCCCCAGTCCTCGATACCATGGCGGAGATTCGTCGCAAGCTCGTTATCGTCGGCGACGGCGCCTGTGGAAAGACCTGTCTGCTCATGTAAGTCGTGGCCCAGCGTCCAAATCCCGGCGATCCAGGCCGCTATCGACGAGCACAACCTCTAATACGCGCGCTACAGTGTCTTCTCCAAGGGCACCTTCCCTGAGGTCAGTTCCAGCTCCCCAGCTCTGTACATCCCCTACCAGCGTCAGCCGGGCTGCACCGCTCAGTCGCTGCCATGCCAGCCCTCCGCCCATTGTTACACATGCACTGACATCATGCCTCTTCCAGGTCTACGTGCCTACTGTCTTCGAGAACTATGTTGCCGACGTAGAGGTTGACGGCAAGCACGTCGAGCTCGCCCTCTGGGATACCGCTGGCCAGGAAGATTACGACCGTCTGCGCCCGCTCTCCTACCCCGACTCGCACGTTATCCTCATCTGCTTCGCCATCGACTCGCCCGACTCGCTCGACAATGTTCAGGAGAAGGTACACCGCTTGCCGTATCCTTGTGCACGGGCATCGCTAATGAGGCACAGTGGATTTCCGAGGTTCTGCACTTCTGCCAGGGCCTGCCCATCATCCTCGTCGGCTGCAAGAAGGATCTTCGCTTCGACCAGAAGACGATTGAGGAGCTGCACAAGACTTCCCAGAAGCCTGTTACCCCCGAGCAGGTCAGTCGTCATCCACGCGTCTACTTATCCCAACCGCGCTAATGCACGCATAGGCCGAGGATGTCCGTAAGAAGATCGGTGCTCTCAAGTACCTCGAGTGCTCGGCAAAGACGAACGAGGGTGTGCGGGAAGTATTTGAGCACGCCACCCGGGCCGCCCTCACCACCCGGAAAGACACCAAGAAGAAGAAGTGCCTGATCTTGTAAGATCGACACTACGTAAAGGCGGTGGCCGCCGCACCCCGGCGTGGCTACACAGGGACAACCAACATGCCTGCGGCGGTCCGTGTGCGTACGGCGGTTGATATGAAGACACATGTGAATGGTGGGTTGTGGATAGCGCGCATCTACCTACCTCTGGCCAGCTAGAGCGTTCTCCGCGGCACCACGGGCGTTACTGCGCTGGATTTTGAGCACATCATCTTGGGGTAGTTCATAACAGGGTTTCTTCGGGCGGGACGAGGAGGAGCAGTCTACCGGAATCAGCAAATGGCAGGACTTCTTGCACATATGCTCACGTGCCATCTACGACCCGGACTCCGTTCTCCAAAGCTTCTCCTGTTCTTGTTCGCATCCCTCTTTGTTAGCTGCTTGTTGTTCCTCTTTTCCCTCTTCTTTTCCTCGAGATGGCTTGCGCCTCTAGTTGTAATAACTGTTCATCATCCTATCTACCTACCTACCTACCTACTACCTACCTATCTGCTTACTCTTTGGCGTCGAATGGATATCGTACAACATGTGTTGCTCGTTTCGAGTCTATGCTTTTGATCTCTATCGCACAATGCTTTCTGTTTTGGTTTACATCTCTTTGGTGTAGGCTCTACGTCATTTCTCCTATCGAAGGCGACAAGCACCTCCTTTTCCCCGCCCATGCCAGAGTCAACTGGATCACTCGCCCTGGATGTCTAGCACATCTGGCAATTATGCTTGACCGGAATTCAGGACTCCAGCTCCCGTGACATACACCGGTGCCTAGATGCATGCAGGGCGTATGGATGCCTCCGCTATCACTGCACTGCCCTAATTCCCAAGCGCACTATATACGCAGATCTCTTCTATTCGTGCAGCCGTGAGTATGTTGGTCCATGGTGAAGTTGCCTTCTATGTTGTCTCGTGTGGTGGTTTGAGTGTGCAATTGGCGTGAGACTGACAGCAGCGCTATCTGTCATCGCAGTTCACGAGCGCACTCACTTTGAGACCATGTACAGCCCGCCCGTGAGACATGCACTGGCTCCAGATCTAAAACTTGTCTACTGCTAGCACGGGCACATGTCAGTGTAAGTCAGTATAATGGGGACGAACACCGCATGTATGCCACTATCCAGTGAAAGAGTAACCCTTTTCCTCCCGTCAAGAGGATGGCTCCACTAGACAGCCGAAGTGTCATAATGTACTGCTTTTCTGGACAACTGGCGCGTTGATAATACGGTTTGGCAATGTTCAGTCAACATATCAACATGTTTCTTTCAGAAATCATACTACTCATCCAGATACCCAGGACGCCAGGATGCTGCGCTATGCTAACCAATGCTAGAGATAACGCCGATGTTGAAAACGCCTATATACAACCATCGCTCATGCACGCTAGACCGCGATACTATACAAACAAAGATATAATTCCGAACGCAATACACGATGCAAATGCCGACGCAGGAACTATGCTTGGAGAATCACCTGTCTGGCCTTGTGAGGAAGACGCCGATTCGGATGCCGCATCTGGCGACGCCGAAGTTGCCGTCGCCGAAGCGCCAGGTGGGAGTAATGGCGCGGCAGATGTTGGGGATGAAGACGAGGAGCCTGTAGGAGAAGGAGAGTCAACAGCTGTCGAAGTATCCTCGGACGACGTCGTGGAAGATGTAGGTATAGATGCAGGTGAGGTCGACTCACCACTCGAAGACGCCGTCGCGGACGCGCTGGTACTTGGGCTCGTCGAAGAAGAGCTTTCACTCTCGTCCTCCCCACTCTTCATCCCAAACCCAATCTTGTTGTTGTCCAAGTCAAATGCCGTGTATACGTTCTTGAGAAACACATCACCCAGCAGCCACTGGTTGTCACCAAACGTCTGCCTTCCAAAGACGTTACTCCTGCACAGCCCGCTATCCGTCTTCCCGCCAATCCAGTCCTTCGTCGAGATCGAATATGTCTTGTCTCCAAGCTTGATCTCAAGCTCCTTGGTCGTGGAGCACGGCACGCTGAACGTTTCGCCAGACTGCGTGTATCCATCAATGAGCTTATGCAGCGCGACCGCATCGTCCTCAGGCATAAAACAGTATGATGTCCCCGTGTCGATGATGCCTGATTTGCCCTCCAGGCCGGTCATGGTACCGTCGGCGCCTGCATCCGCGACGGCAACTTCCCAAAATCCGTCGTCATTGTCCACGGAATCCAGCCAGTTGAGGTCGCCGTCAAACAAGTCTTTGTTCACCTCTCCCAGGTTCAGTTCGCCGTCATTCGATCCATCCGCTGCGCGGCTGAGATGTATACCGTATAGTTTGGCAGAGATAAGGTCAGAGGAGGCGAGCGTTTCGACAAGCTGAGGTGTCTCGAGGGAGCTAGCTTGACCGCGACCGAGGCCTAGGATGCCATCCATGGAGTAGGCATTGAACTCTTGAGAAACGTTGGTCGCGAGACCGAAGGTCAGCTGTGTAGATACTCCGCCTATCTGTATCGTATCTTCGGCCGTGGTACCTGAGACAGAGCCCGTGCCGTACGTTATCGAGAAGGTCTTGCTGTTCGTCTGGTACTGTGTCAGCATACCTCTTCTCCCGGGTAGTCCATGAAGGATGTCATACCTTCAGCGTATCCGAGTCACCCTCTCCAAAAGTATTATGCTTCCCACACGCGTCCGCTGTACAGTCCTGACCCATAACCCACGTGTTACTCGCCGCTGAATCGAGTAGCAAGTGATACTCCTCCTTCGAGCTGCCGAATGTCACCGCAGCCATATAGCTCAGATCCGAACCATCTTGATCCACTGCTACGCTGTTCTTCTGCTTCGGATCATTGCTATTGAGAATATCGTAGGTGTTGTCCCGACGTACGCGTCGTAGAGGCAGTGTAAGCGCTCCTCGGGGCGCATCTCGCACCTTTGGAGTGGTTCGTCGCGTCTGCATGGTCTTTCCAGTGCCGGATGCTGGGTCGTAAGGATAAAAAGCCGTGGCAACCGGTAGTATTGTGCACGCCGCTGTCCATGCTGTCCAGGGAATAAGCATTATGATTACCTTCCTCCTATCTTTCTCTCTTTCGAAACCAAGTCTACCCCTCGTAGATCAAACGCGATGCAATGCGATGCTCAAGGAAAGAAATGCCAGGTGCACATCAATTAAGACGACCCGGTCGTGGAAAGCGTGTCGAGACAGCTGCTGTTCGCAGGTGTCTAAGGACGTAGATCCAGGTACAATGCCAATAACGATCAGCGTCCAGATGCGTGCAGCGACGTCAGAGATGTCCGTCCGAATCTCCGTTGTCTTCTTCTCTGTCCTCACTTCTTTTGTCTGCGTCCGGGAAACAAAGACAAGCCTGCAAACAGAGAAGTTGAAGACGCAAAAAGGTAGGAGGAAAGCGGAGGAGCCATGATGCCGGCCGGTCCGTTCTCGAGGTGCATGGGCACCGATACTCCAGGCTTGACATCTGCGACAGTGGCTCGATGTCGAGCCGTGAGCAGGTGGGGCGCTTGCGGGCTCGCGTAGGGCGACCCCTGAATGTCGCTCGTAGCCTATCAAGCTTTTGGGAAGGTGCGTGTGGAACGACCAACCCGTTTTGGTGAGCCTGGTCACGCTGTCCAAGATGATTGGAATCTAGACAATGGGAAATGTGTAGCCAAGAGAGCAACCGACGATGCGCACTCTAAGATGGCTCTGCTCTCTTCGGAGACAGTTGATGGAGCTACTACCCTATATGAAGGAGCGCTACACTATGCCACCGATAATCAATCACTCGACGGGCATCCATGGTCTTTGCGTAGCGCTCCACTTCTGGCCCTCCGTACACCGTCATCTATTCAAGCTGAGTAGCCCCTCAACATACCTCCTCGCGTCAATCCCAATACCTTCAGCTAACCCTTTGGGCCCCCATCCTGCCGATGCACCACCCATCATCTCACCCGCAGGCTTCCAGATGCCGCTCGCAAACCTGCTGCCTGAGCTCTTGATAGAGGGTGCTGGTGCGTCGCGCGCTCTTCGAATCAGAATCGCTTCCCGTAGTTGATTGGTGAGGAATTCCGTCTGCTCTTGCTCTGGTTCTTGTTCTTGACCCGCCTCTGATTTCGTGCTTTCTGGCGGAGTGGCTTGGGAGGGAGGAAGTCTCATCCAAACTACCCACCAGCTGCGACTCGTCTTGCACGTTCTCTCGATCTCGGAGAGTGTACGGCGGGTGCTTGTTACAGTGGCGAGGATTTGAGAGTGCACGTTGAGCGCTTCAACGCGGCTCCATCCTGCCAGCGATGCATCGCTGCTTAGGCCTTCCGCAATGAGTGTCCCAGGGTCTGGTATGTTTGGAATGCTGGAATGCACCGTGAGTGTTCGAGGGTCGTACACTAGGTCGTAAATTGGCTGTGCGTTGGGGCCTGAGCCTCTCTGAGACGAGATGGTTGTGTAAGGGTGAGAGGAACCGGATATGCGCGTGAATACTTTGCTTGGGCATGTGCTGGCTGACAAGGGTCGGTGTAAAGGTGCGAAGTAGGTGTGCAGGTTCCGGTAAAATGGTGCTATCGTAAGAGATTCTGTCCGATGGCGGAACAGAAAGGTATAGATGAAGGGTCGATGCTGGACTGTGAGTTAGGACATGTACTGTATACAGGGACAGGCTTTCCTTACTACGTAGATGACGGGACGGAGTCTCCGCAGCCTAGCGACTTCTGTGTTCTTGAGGTTGAGTTCTTTCTCGAACTGCGGTGTGTCGTCGTCACCAGTACCAGGCGTCCCAGGCATGCCCTCGTCCGTTAACTCAACATGCACAGTACGTAGGAGCGTGCGATTGTTCCAGTCGCCTTCTCCATTGGAGTCGTCCGCGTCTCCATCTCCTAGATCACCTTTCAGACCTATGGCGAAGTAGCCAATGTTTTCAAGCTGAATCTGGGCTTTCAACTTCTCGGCTGCATGGTCGATGTCTGGTTCAGGATCGACAAAACGCATGGGAGCTTCTGATGGGGCGTTCCCTAAGGGCTCTTCCTGTGTGGGAGTAGCCTCATCCGGTGCGGCTTTCTTAGAGCCCCATGCGGTCCCATAACCGAGAGTCAGATACTTCATCCAGGTCTCAGTGTCGGCCAAAGACGCTAGTAGCGGTTCTTGGTTATCTATCGTTTTCCCCTCCGATGCATCGACAGCATTGGAGGCTTGATGGAGGGAAGTTTCTACGTTCTTGATCAGATCGGGAGGAATACCAGGGGGCGGAGCAGGCACAGTTGGATCACTGCGATCAGGTTTATTGCTCAACCTTGCTGTTCGGGCAGCTGGTTCGGGCGAAGATGTTGATGGAGGATTCCGCCGCCGTCTTTTCCTGCGATCAGTTGTTGGATTATCTCTAAGTCCGTACGCGTGCTCGCCGTTTGAGTAGATGGTTTCGACCCAGTGTGACAAATCTCGCAGCGACTTTCTGGTGAGAGCTCCTACTCCAGAGAAGACGATTCCATCTGCAGCAGTAGGTGTTCTTCCGCTCCCAATCCAGGGTTCTGTATCTGGAACTTCAACCGGATCTTTCGAGTTGGAATATTTTTTGGGGTCCTGGAGAGGCGAAGGTTCGCCGAATCGAGACACCATAAAGTCCACCAGACCGTGTGTCTTTTGCACGAAGTCCTCCAGCACCAGACGCTCTCCGCTTCCCCACTCTTCTTCGCCCACACCCATGCCCAGCTCGCCACCTGCTGCAAGCTTGATACCATTGTAGATGCCCACCGCAGGACTACCGTGCAGGAGCACGTCCCAGTTGCCTGCAAATCGCGACCAGTATTTCTCCAGTATATTGCAGAACTTGGTGCGATCGTGCTTGTCGAGCAAGCCGTCGAGGGTTATGCCATGGTGAAGAAGGAAGATGTTGTGCGCGCGTACGAGCTGCTGGATCAGGAGGGCCGGTCGGCTCACTTCGCGGGAGGAGTATTCAACTGAGGGCTCCGAACTGTCTCCGTTGATGGCGCTCGAGTGGTTTTGGGCTGGAAGTTGGGTAAGGTCGATGGACTGCACATGGTCAACAAGCACACATGTAGCGTGATATGGATGCTCTTACTGCAAGTATCCACCACCCTTCTTCCAGCTCATGCAAGACTATGCGCGACTTGTGTGTTTCTACGGAGTCGACAGCGGCGCCGTTAGAGAAGCTCCTGCCGAATCAATCAGCCCCACCATCGCAGGTGCTCTGCAGCGCGACACATGTATACCGTGCGAATCCCACCAGACCCTGCGCGAGGCCAACTTGGCGCAGTTTCTCATTCTCTTGCTCGCGCAAGTCATGTTCGGCCTGTGTGTCGTTTCCATGGAGTCTGGACCGCGCCTTTGCAGCCTTGGAGTAATAGAAGACGATCTGTTTGTGGAACGTCTCGTCCGACCTCCCCAGATCAGGATTGTAGATGGCAAGGAAGGACAGTTGTGCGGGCACAACCTTGGGGATGGCCGTAGAAGACATGCTCCGTGTTGTTTCCGCGGTCGCTGTGTCGTATCGAGGCGGATCAGTGCTGAATATGCCTCTTGCGTCACCGCGGAGGTGTCGACGACTCCGCAACGCGCGCACCGGCCGCTGAAGCGCTGAAGTCCACGAAGCCGCGCTTGAAACCCGGGGAGAGCATGTATTTGTATGACCCTACACAGAGACATGGCCCAGACCGACCGCCACCAGCACGCCGCAAGGATGCCGTCCGCAAAAAGATGCGCTTGAATCCGGCGCCAAGCCCAGATCGCAGATCTCATGCAGCAGAGGCGCCTGCCGAACAACCTCACATCGCCGTCTTGCGCCATGCTGTGGAGGCTGCCAGCTTCCGTCCGCTCATTGCTTGTCCCAAGCTATCGCCGTTTCGGTTCCTCCTCCGCGGCGACTGTCCCTCCGCTCAGAATCCTGTTTTGCGGCTCCGACGACTTCAGCATCGCATCGTTGCGCGCATTGTCCCAGGCCCAAAAGGAGGTACCCAAGCTCATTGAATCGATTGATGTGGTCCACCGTCCGGGGAAACGAACTGGACGGGGCCTGAAAACCCTACGCAACGGTAGCCGTACCAAGATCTAGCAAAGAGATTGAGATTGACAAAGTAAACAGTGCCAATCAAATTAGCAGCAGCAGAAGAGCTCTGTGTCACCCACACCATTGACACATTTACCGGCTGGACACCGCCCTCCCGAGTCGACCTTATCATCGCTGTGTCCTTCGGCCTCTTCGTCCCACCACGCATTTTGAATCTCGCTAAATATGGAGGACTTAACGTCCATCCTTCGCTCCTTCCCGATCTGAAAGGCCCAGCGCCTATCCAACACGCCTTGCTGAAACGCAGGCAGTATACAGGCGTTTCCGTGCAAACACTACATCCATCGCAGTTCGATGGAGGAACAATCCTGGCTCAGACGCCGTCGCCTGGCGTGACAATCCCGGACTTGGCGACTGCGGATGATCTGACTAGGAGGCTAGCTTTTGAAGGAGCAGACATGCTAGTCAACGTTCTGAAAACTCGAGCCTTTGTACCTCCGCTGAAAGACATTGGGTGGTACAAGGATTCTGGCGGACCAATAGATCATGCCGGCAAGGTCATGAAAGGGGACCAGCAGGTGGACTTTTCCAAAACGACGTTGGAAGATGTCTTCGCCATCAAGCGTGCGATTGGCGATCCTTGGTGCTGGCTTCCCAACGGTGAGAGGCTCATGTTGAATGAATTTAGTGAGGCCAAGGGCCCTGGAAAAGACAGCGACGAGCGCATATGGATCTCTGAAGGGGGGGAATACAGGTGTGAAACAAGGCACTCCCCTGGTGCGAATGGCTTGTGGACGTGTCTTAATAATTGACAAAAGCACCATAGCAGGTCGACCCGTTGGCGGCGGAAACCAACGATTAGTTCACATGCTGCCAGAGCGACGAGCGACACCGTGACAATGGACTAGTACTATATAAGGAACTTACTAAGTACTTAGATAGGAGGTTCATGAGAGTGAGTAAATCTAGGACTATAGCGCTAGTCCTCTTTATAAAGAAACCTAGGGGAGTACTCCAATTCTATATAGGCTACAGATAGTTATATCCTTCTTGTAGATGGATTCGTTCTATAAAAAAAACGCGTAGATCCATCAACTACACTGTCATCCCAGGAATCAGGCTTGCACCAATCGATAGTGCGCCGCAGTGTTCCTATGCGATCGCACGTAGACGGAATACGAAGAAAGTTGCAAGCTGTCCTCAAGCTGCTCGTTCGATGCTCGACGTGTCGCTTGCTACAACCCCCAGCTCTCCACCACCGCTCACACCGTCGCTCCAGTAATCTGCACAGAATACGTCAACCCTTTATTCAAGTCCGCAGGAATACTAAACGGATCATACAACACCAACGCCGGCGTATTCGCAACCACAAGACTGACCTCCTCCCCACTCGCCAGCGTAACGCTCCCACTCCCGTTCACCACATCCACATATCTCACCCTACTGCCCCCCTTCACCGCTAGCGTCGCAGTGTACGTGCTTGCGCTCGCGGTAATCGCTACCGTCACCGTAAGCCCAGATGCCTTCAACGGCACGATATTCGCACCCATATACCTCGGCGCCCTAGTAGCCTTAACGGTGTATTTCCCGCCTCCCTTGTTGTCGAGATTCGCATAGTCCAGACTCTTTCTCTGTGCTGCAAACGCCGCAGCCGCCTTCTGATGCCCGATATCCACGTACGCCATCCTTGCCCAGTACCTGCCGACCACCTTCTGCATGTTTACACCCCCTGAGCCGAGCAGTCTGCTCAACGTGTGTAGCGGCGTCTCATTACTCCCCAACTGATACTTGCGTATCATATCCAGCAGAATTGTCTTGCCCAGCCCGGGATAGGCATCGGGGTTGTTGGTGATGTAGGATAGGAAGGGCCACGCTTGGTAGTAATTCCCTGACCCGGACGTACCGTCGACGAGGACCTGAAAGCTATCGCCAATGATCTTTTTGAGCTCGATTATGGAGTCACCTTGCGCTGGAAGGCCAGCAGAGGCTTTTGCAGCAACACAGAGAGGCGTAGAGATGTAGAGGTCTGCGACAAAATTCGCAATTGTTTCCCACCATGCGCCTGTTCTTTTCGCATGAACACATGTCAGCGGTGTCAAGGAGATGGAAAGGAATAGGAGGGGAAAGGGATCTTTACCGGGTCTGATCAACCCAGTTCTTCTCACTATAATGCATCGCATGGCCAAACTCATGCACCACAACGCCAGGCTCAGCGATGTACTTTGGCACTACCTTCAGGAACTCGAGACCGGCGTTGCTATCCGTCCATGTCTGTGCCGCTGCCCCAGGTATATCACTCTCTTTCACGCCGTAAATGTTCATCTTGTACCACGGTCCTACTTCCTTGCCTATGCCGCCTGTTTTCGTTGAAAGCCCTGGCATCATTGTTAAATCCAACCGACGGAGAAAGCTAGAGTTCGACTATGGTACGTACCAGGTGTTCGCCAGCCCTGCTCAACGACAAAGCACTGGTGCGCAGCCTCCATAATCTTGAGGCCCTTCGCTGCGTCGCTCGAGGTGACGGCCGTGCCGTAGACGCGGAAATGCGCCGATTCTGCGACGAAGCTTGCGCCGCCGCCGATGCTGGGATTCGAAGTGTATGTGGCAGGTGCGGTGGCCTGGCGGGGGGAAGGCAGAGGATGCGCGAGTACGCATTGCGCTGTGAGGAGTGCGGTGAAGTATTTCATGTTGGGCGAGTGAGTTTGCGCTGGATGCAACTGTATACTACAGAAAGTTTGTAGAGCAGCATTATGTAGAATGTAAGCATTTGGGTTGGAGAATTGCTGATGCGGAATTCCGGGGTAGAATTGGACTTAGATGAAGGCATCTTGGTGAACTGCCGGTCCTCCTAGGACAATTAGAAGAAGTGTTTTTGATTGGTCTGGTAACACATGTAGAAGGGAGCATGGCTGTGTTGCACCGGCGGGTAATCGGGTATAACATAAGATAGGGACCAACTCTAACGAGAAGTAGAAGAAGTAGTGATGTCAAGCCCAGAAAGTGTACATTTGACGAACTAAGACGCTGAAAGCATGATAGAGATGGAGGCTGCATTGGAAAAGTGGTATCTACTAGGTGAGACTCTCTACCAGATGTACCAGTCGTAACGCCGTGAACCTAGATAGTGAGCACGAACGACCAAAAACGCCGTGCTTGACGCAATACCTGCTAAGGATGCTGGGAAGTGATTTTGGTATCTGCACACGCCACTACTATAGCTTGGCCTTGACTTCAGGCTCGGGAGCGCTTGCTTCCTTGTTCAGAGTGACGTTGCCGTTCGCGGGGCTGTCACCGAAGAAAATAACTTCCACGGTCAAGTCATCCCTACAAAGTGTTAGCAAAATGCATTATGCGGCGATGTGGTATCATATCCTCTTACCTGTATCGCCTGGAGAAAGGGCTGGGAAGAGTCAATAGAGCCGAAAGCTGGTCCTGATCTTTTCCACCAAGCGCATTTCGGACAAGGTGCGTAGCCGCATTCTTGTCTTCGACAACGAATCGCTCATTAAGGGACGTCTTCGTGCCCCACTGCTGCTGTCGAATCGGTGCTCGTTGCCCCTCCTGTTTCGAGGAGTTCTTGTCCTCTACGGGTAGAGTCTTCTGTCCTCCCATCCAGCTCTTCAGCCATGATTGAGTCTGGGCATTTTGGCTGCCATTGGCTCCACCTTGGGCATCCAACCACTGTCCGACAAGTCCGACAACTTCTTCGTTGGTCAGCATTTCCCACAGCCCGTCGGTAGCCATGACAACGAAGTCACCCTTGTCGGGCTCTACCTTGGTGGTCGTGATGATGGGTTCGGCGGTAACATAAGGAGGGGTTTTCAAAAGAGGCGATGGACTGCGAGCGAAGTATGACTTTTTCAGCTCTTGGGTTGTTTGAAGTGACCACTTATAGGAAGCATCGCCAAAAGCACGAGACGGCTCAAGACCACCCAAGATACGGCCATTTCTGACCACATTGGGCTCACCAGGGTGTTCTGCGCGTAATCTCTCAGCCTCGCTGACAGTGCCACCCGTCTGATCCTCTGACAGTGGCGTGGCAGTCCATTTACCGTTGGGGCCACGGCGTCCCAGCACAGCACGAGAATCACCGGTGCATGCTACCCTGAGGAGCTTTGACCTGCTGTCGTAGAACGAAAGCAAAGCGCAAGATCCAGACAGGGCAGGCGCCAAAAGCTCCGCAGCAGCAACCTTGGATTGAGCCTTCTGGAGTTTCTTGACGGACTCGTGCACAATCTCGTCGTCTAGGCGCACGAAGCCAGTCTTGATAGCCTTGTCGATGGCTTCCGGGGTCGGGAAGTGGTTCGCAGGGTCTTGAATGGCGGATTTGTAGGTGGTGTTGAGCTCACGTGCAACGAAAGAGATGAGCGTCTGGCGAAGTTTTGCCGATGTTACCCAGCCGCTATTAATGTGAGCAAAGACCTTTCATATCGGGGATAGAGTATGCACCTGTGACCATCAAAGACACCCCAGAACATCCAGTCGGTCGACGAAGCGCCACTGTCGGTTGCCGCAAGATTCTGTGGCACCTCAATAATTTTCTCTGCGTGATCGTCCTCTATGGGGTCGTTGCTTGGAATTTGTACGACATCATAGCGAACAACGCCCTGACCCCTTCCAACTATCCATGACTCCTCGGTCTTCCTTAGCTTCGCGGTTGCCTGCTCTGGTGTGAGCATCTCGATAACCTTTCTTCCGAGATCGTCTGTGTCCTTGGATAGTGGAGCGTCCCCGCTGATGGTTCCTGTATATAGTGATCCGACCTGGTCGACCACCAATGCCCTCCGCGTTGTCTCGGCTGCAACGTCTGAAGTAATGCTGCGTATCTGGTCTGCGGTGGTCGAGACACCAGGCGGCTGGTGGCCACGATACCAGTAGTAGGCGCTTGAGGCGACACCAGCAGCGACCAGAGCGCCCACAGTTCCCCGGAGTTGCATCGACGAAGTGAGCAGCGCGGTCGAGGGACGCTGGCGCGAGAGATAGCGTTGGCCTAGGGCATTGTTCGGCGCGAAGGAGACTTGACGACTGCGAGCGACCTTTCGCAGGGTCGGGCGACGGGCGGAACGAATGACTTGAACAGCCGCCCGACGCATTTGCAGAGGCCTAAAGGGCGGATGGGATTGAGTAAGGAGTGTTCGAATGACGATCTGAAGAGCCGCGGTTTCGGTTGCGTCAAGCGCCTTCCCCGTGCTGTAGCGTAGCGTAGCGCACGGGCCGGCCTTCCAATCCGGCTTCAGCCTTACAAACGTAAAATTGGAGCCTCCAAGTTCTCAAAGAGTCAACGTCACCACGCCACTCTCGCGTTTCAAAAATAAACCACCAAAATGTCATCACGAGCTTTGCGACGGACGCAGCGCGAGCTGGAAGAGAAGAAACAGCTGGAATTGTTGGAGCAAGAAAATATAAACGAACAAGAGTCTGACGAGGAAAATGAGCCCGTACTTGCACCGAAGCCAGCAGCAAAACCCAGTTTGTTTGCTATGCTGGGTGACGCAGGAGACGGCGACGATGATGAGGAAGATGAGGAAGACGATGTAGAAGAGGAGGAGAAGCCCGCAGATACCGTAGAAAAGAAAGAGATTCAAGTTACGCCGGCACCAAAGCCTTCCAAAAAGGGAAAGAAGAAGAAAAAGAAGGGTAAAGGCAAGAACAACACGCCAGCGCCTCAAAAGGCAGCCACGTCGCAGGATACTGTGCACGGGCTGGATGAGATTGATCAAGCTCTACTTGCATTGAACTTGACCTCAGGTACGAAGTCAAGCAGTGATGATCAGCCTACATCAGCTGCCAGTGCGGAGATGCAACAACTGTTCTCTGCACTAGCTGTTGACACTACACATCTTCACGCCGCAAATGAGATGCGCAAACTCTTTGGACGTGCAGCCGTACAAGGCACTGATGACGACGAGCCACGAGCGCGGAATCGACGCCAGCAAGGTGGTATAGCGGCTGCAGCTGCTGGTCGTAATCAGCCAGGTAGTCGTAATTTGGCGTCTTTAGGTCTCCGTCGCAACATCTTTATTCAAGGAAAAGAAGAATGGCCACGTGCAACCTTAGGCGGTCTCGGTATGGAGCTGGTTGAGAAACGGGACGATGGCACGGTTGAATATCGCTTTGTCCACAACACTTCGTATCAGGATGTACAACAGCAATTCGAGACTTGCGTTACCGGCATGGACCCAGAACGCATGGTCCAACTCATGCAATTCAACCCCTATCACATCTCAACTCTGCTCCAAGTCTCCGAAATCGCCAAGCAGCAACGGGATAATGCGACATCTGGTGAGCTACTAGAGCGCGCACTTTTCGCTTTCGGCCGAGCCGTGCATTCCACGTTCTCTCACAATCTTTCCCAAGGCAAGGCTCGCCTGGACTTCCGCCGCCCTGAGAATCGCGAATTTTGGCTCGCGGTATGGCGCTACATCGCCACGTTAGGCATTCGAGCCACCTGGCGAACAGCTTTCGAATGGTCAAAGCTTCTCATCAGTCTGTCTCCAGAAGATGATCCATACTGCATGCGTCTCACCATCGATCAGCTAGCCCTTAGGGGCCGGGAACCTCAGGCTTTGGTCGATCTGGTTGAAGCTGACCATCTTCAGCGCGCCTGGAAGATCCCACCAAACCTCGCATACTCCGTCGCCCTCGCTCACGACCGCCTGAAGAACCCTACAAAAGCGCGTGTAGCGCTCCGTTCAGCTATCAAAGAGTACCCCTGGATAGCATCCCGCATCTGTAAAGAACTCGAGATCTCGCCCATACCGAAGTCCGTATGGGGTAAGGAGCCAAACAGCGATCACCAAGAACTTCTTACCCAGATCTACGTACCACATGCGAAGGATCTCTGGAACACCACAGAAGGAACGAGTCTCTTAGTCGAAGTATGCTACTCCATCGACGAGTCGCTCGGCGCTGGCGAAGACCCGTACTGGCTCGCCCCCATCAACGAAACCGACCTCGCGCGGCACGTCATCCTCTCCGACTCCCCGCCCCTCCTCGCGCTTCTCGATCCTGCTATCAAGAATAAGTATACATCGACCTCCGACCCTCTTCCACCCGACGACAGCATCTCCTCATACTCGACCACACCTAGCACTGTTGCCCCAATGGCCGCCCTCGGACGCACGGATGCCCTTTCCGAACTCGAATCTCTCAGGCAGTACTTCCAGAACGTAGACCTAGGGGGCATCATGAACGAGAACGGAGACATGACAGAGAATGGTCTGCTAGGTGCGCTGGAGCGGGCGGGCACTAGCTATGCGGAGTTTCGGCGCAATACAGATAGGGTGCAGGCGATACGGCAGAGACTACAAGATCTAGGCGTACAAGTCATATTTGAGGGACAGGGAGGGGAGAACGACTCGGACACTGATGATTGAGGTAATGGGCGGACGCCTCATGCTGGGTTCCCCTGACGAGGGTGGTGTTGTTAGTGGAACTTTTGACGATGCTCATGTTCCTGACCGACTATTTGGGACTTACGCATCTCAGTGTCATGACGAGGAAGATATATCAGGGAATTAGACCGTCTGCATGTTGACCTTCCTTGGATTTCTACATTTTTCTGAAGTGAAGTTTCTGATTGCGTTGCTACTGAGCGTAGAACTCGTTTTCCGTTATCTGACACGCGCCCGAATACTGACCATATGCGATCCTTTTCTGGCTCGATATTTCCCGTCCTACTATTGGTCAGATAGATCCTGATCTCCTGATGAAGGTGGCTCCAATCGACGTCAAAGTCTGCTGGAATGCCACTAACGTTGGTGTCGGATCTTGAGATGATGTTTTGCAAAGTGAGATGACTGGACCTACCACCGTGTACGAAATATCAATGTTTTAGCCGCTTGGGCCGACCCACAGGTCGGTAGGACGAATGAAACCCATCCCCCTTCTGGTGCACTAAATCTGCATCCTTCAATTGCTGCTCCAAGATTCTCTTCTCTTCATCGGTGGCGTCGTTGATATGTACAGCGACATCGTCGCCGAATTGCTTGCCAATCTCCTCCAAGCTCAGACGAGCAGTCTCTGGCCAGAAGAAGTATACCACTAGTACACCTTAGCAACATAAAGCCTGCACTGCCACGGGGACACCTACTCGGGATATAGAAGATACACCACACAATAACGACAAGGTAGTACTTCCAGCCAACCTCGGAAAAGCCTATTGGAGCAGTCTGCAGTAACACCAGACTGGCAGCGAATTGCCCGAACAGACTGAAACCCATGCCCATGGGCCTAAGCTCCGTAGGAAAGATCTCTGATACATAGAGATACATTGTGGTATCGCAACACGTTCCTTGGAAGGCAAGGTACAGAAAGATGAAGAAGATACCCATCCCGTTACCTGCACGGTTTGCTGTGCCGGAGAACTCGGCGGTCATGGCTGCGAGCAGCGAAGTTGTGAGGAGACAGCCGAAGAGTCCGAAAATGTACATGCCACGACGCGAGTTAACCTTGTCGTGCAACCAGGCACCGAGTGGGTTGTAAATGAGGCCCGCAGTCGTGAGCCAGAGAGCAGAGAGCAGGAGTGGCATATGGCCTGTTGCGCCGAGATTGGTGTAAAGTATGACGGCGTAGTTGTTGATGATGAGTGGACCTGCGAATTCGGCACCCCTATCACAGCCGGTCAGAAAGTGTTTGGAGAGAGCCGGAATCTACTTGCCATTGAGTCAGAAATCCAATGACCATGCGCTTCCGGTAACTTTTCTTCTTCCATGCAGCAATCCATATGCTTTGTCTAAGCGCATTCAGCTTCGTAGAATCGAGCTGCCACTGCTCCTTGGTCTGATAGAACTCTTCCTTGGCGACTAGATGGTCCGGATCAGCAGCGCTCAATCTCATCTTTTTGATGACATCAAACGCTTCGTCGTCTAAACCCTTGCTCACCAACCATCTAGGAGATCGAGGAAGCCAAGGTGACCCTAAAAGAAGGATAGATGGACCAAATACTTGGAAGCACAACGGGAAGCGCCATGCAAATGACGCATTTGCGGATGTTGCGAAGTAACAGCCATAACCAATCCAGGAAGAGAACATATACCCAAACACGAGGAATATGGCATGGTGGCCAACGAGCCAGCCACGACGGAAAGGTGATGACATCTCAGAGAGATACATAGGGCATATGGTCACAAGTACACCAATGCCCACACCTGAAATGAAGCGGCCGGCCTGAAACATTCTACACTGCGTCAACAGGTTCACTCGGCGATCACATCATAGGGAACCTGGTTACTTACGCTAAAGTAGCAGCACCGCCCTGCAGTACCCCTCCCAACACAGACAAGGCGCAGCCAAACTGAATGTTCCTCTTCCTTCCAAAGTACTCGGCAGACCACATGATAAATAGCGACCCAACTGCTCCGCCAGCGCTAAACAGTCCGTTCGCGGTAGCGATAGTGTGCGTTGTTTTGCCTTCGTATCCTGGCTCTCCTTGGAGCGGAAGGTTGAAGTATTTATACCATCCCGGTTGGCCTATCGTAGATCCGATGATACTTGCGCAGTACCCGTATGTCTCAAGCGGCAGTCAGATCATTGTTTGTATTAGTTGTATATGCATACTTACGAAGGATCCCAATGCAACGAAGACTGTCACCAGCCGATTGTAACGGCTCGTTTGGTAACCGGACTGGGGTCTATCCACGCCAGCCATATTCGTGTCTCAGTTCACGGATGCTTCACTACGATTTCTTACGGAAGGGCGATTTTGGGATGAAAGCCACGACCCTGATCGTGATGAGATGTTGAAAATCTTAGAGCACCTGCAGAGCAATTGGACCGCGTCCGTCTTTGGCGAGTAGAGTAGTCGCAAAAGACGGCGCCATTGCAACGGCTGTATGTCACCCTTTTTGTATTGAGACCGGGCTTGAAAGTTCGGCGAGGCTGTTGATCAAGCATGCCGGTACAGTCATCCCAGCATGGGTCGTACAACATCAAGAACTTCTTCGTGCAGGGCGATCGACACAAGGCCTGCCAAAAACAAGGTTGTTCTCTAGCAGTAAGTTCGTCTAGGTGCATTTGGTTGGTGTTGCTTCATGCAGCTGCAAGTGGGAGTCCCGGTAGCGCCCGATCGTCACCACCCCGCACCACAGCGACCCACACTTGAACTTCCCGAACGGTGAAAGAGCCCCCTCACGGGTGTAATGATGTGTGAAGCGGCACCTGAGAGCTTCGCACGCTAAGGAGCGGAACCGCCAAGGAAGAACATATGCTTGCATTGATTTTGATTTTGATCTTGATCTTACAATGGATATCACAACAACTCGATTGAATATTACTAAAGATCAGTCGTGCTAAGCTCGCATGTGATTCCCGAGCCTCTTCTTCCGTTACTGTCCCTATTATCACCATGGAGAGCATTTACAACACACCATTTGACTCTCTTCCGGATCAGAAGCGTGTCTGGGCAGGCCAGCCAGGCAGTCGCGAGGAGGGTTTGGGCAGGCTCACTCTCCTCACACCCGAGGTAGTCGCTTCAGCTGCAAGCGAGATACGTACAGGAAGGCGCATATCTCTAGGCTGGGAACTTACAAAACTGGAGAACGCCGGCCTGGGGCGCCAACAGTGTGAACACAGGATTGTACCGTTGCTGGACGGTGTTGCATTCGATGATGTGTACACGTTCAATCCGCAGCAGAGCAGCCAATGGGATGGTTTGAGGCACTTCTCGCAACCTATACCTGGAACCGAAGGAAAGAGAGTAGAAGACAGGGTCTTCTATGGCGGCACGACTGCGAAAGAGATTCAAAATCGGGCAAGTGATCGGATTGGGATGCAGCACTGGGCAAGAGAGGGAATCGCGGGGAGAGGCGTCCTCATTGATTACGCAAGCTGGGCTGAGAAGAAAGGTTTGAAGTACACGACGTTCAGCCAGCACGAGATTAAGTTAGATGACATTAAGCAAATAGCACAAGAGTCAGAGATAATGTTTCAGCGAAGAGATATTCTCTTCATCCGGATTAGTTTGACAAAGGAGTGAGACATCACCATGACAACCGAGCAGAAGAAAGCGTACGCAGCGCAGTCGTCGCCGAAACACGCGGGTGTAGAAGCAACAAAAGACGTGTTGCGGTGGATATGGGACAACAAAATCTCGGCCGTTGCAGGTGACGCGATCTCGTGGGAAGTTTACCCGCCTACGGGAGAGCTTTTCCTGCATGAGTACCTTTTGGCAGGATGGGGTATGCCTATAGGAGAATTGTTTGATCTGGAATATTTGAGTAGGATTTGCGCAGAGGAGAAGAGATGGACCTTTTTCGTGGCGAGTACGCCACTCAATATGCCTGGCGGCGTTTCAAGTCCCACAAATTGTATGGCAATATTCTGAGTCGCAGAAGATTACGAGATTACCTCCATTTATCGAAGAAGTTTCTACAGGGGCCTCTGACACTGAGTCGGCTGCGCATTCACGGTCTTGCCCCCACGCCTTTCCAAAAGGGATTGCATGGTGTAAATTGATAGCGTTCCAAGTACAGCGCTCGTTTAAGATTCTACCGGTTGCATGTTGACCTTCAACTCAGCATCGTAATAGTAAGGAAGGAAGGTCTCCCTAAACGCCAGCTGGGGTTTTCTACGGTAGTCAGCACAACACAAACTCAACTTCAAGCGCAAGCTTACAGCGGATGCGCAGGAACCAGATCGAATTTCCGATACACATGTGCAAAACCAAGGCGCAATTCTGCCCAAGCAAGATTGATGCCAAGACACATCCTCGGACCACGGGAGAAGGCGACGAGCCAGTCATCTAGATGGGTGGATTCGAGCCAGCGTTCTGGAACGAATTTATCTGGCTCGGGGTGAATGGCGGCATTGTAATGGACGAAGGTACTGCCTATCGATACAACTGTCTGTGAACCCATTAGCGTGAGTATGTATTCGGTGAGGTTGTGTAGATTTACCCCAGGTGGTACATCAATGCCTGCGATCCTCGCGCCCGTGGGTGGCACCACTCGCAAAAGACCTGAGATCACACCCGACGACAGTCGCAGAGACTCTTTGATGACTGCATTCAGGTATGGTAAGCTCTCGAGATCTCGTACTCTCGGCTCTGGTCCATTCAAAGATGGCCAGATGGATAAAAGTTCCTTCTTGAGCGTTTGTTGCTTTTCTGGATTCTGAAGCAAGTAGTAAGCCCCCACCATAAGGGTATTGCCGACAGTGTCTGCGCCGCCGAACATTAGTGCTTGTGCCTCCTCGTACAAGCTGCCAGCAGAAGGGGTTGTCTTGTCGCGATAGGCGTCGGCATCCAACAGTCGATGATAGATCGTCATGTTGTGTGGAAGAGCCTTGAGCTTCTCTGGATCGTTGGTCAGGTCGTCAATTTGATGGAGGAGCAACTGTAAAGTATCAGCGCAGTATCCGCGTAGCGGGTCCGTATCCCCATGACGGAAACAGCGAGCCACGCAGTAAGCATACCTGCTGGAGGTCGACGAGTCCCGAAGTGGCCGGACTAAGAACCTTAGACAATTTCGGCGGGCACTTCAAGATCATGTTCTTGAACAGGTCGGAATATTTAAACCCCACGAAAACGGGTAGTGATGCGTCCATAGCCATGACGATTGGAGCCTGAAAACCAGGTGCGTCCACAGCATAAATCGGCTTGCCAAAACAAAAAGTTGTGATAACATCCATGCTCATGCAGCGGAAAGCATATAACAGATCCGAGCTTTTTCCAGCTTTGGTCTGCCGTTCGAAGGCCTCACAGAGCGCTTTCGTTTGCTTGACAACCAGGGGCTCAGCACCTTCGATTGCTGTCTGTGAGAACGATCGACCTAGCACATCTTTGCGGTTTTTGGCTTCGGCGTAGGTGAGGAAGCCGAAGCTGGACCTGTCCTCGTTGAAGCTTTTGTAGAGACGCGACTCTTTGTCCCAGCGGTTCCTGTTGTTGTAGATGTCGTGGTATGCTTCAGGATCAGCGAAGTGAAGCTGCCAGTCATTGTTAGCATCTGATTCCAACGCCTGGAATCCGATTGGACATGTTTCGCACCTCATTCGGTCCAACACGAACGACATCTCCTGGTTGATACAAATATTGTCAACGAACGGTGCTTCATTGTGTGCGAAGAGTCTTACCATACTGAGCGTGTAGCTCACGTAGAACGTCGCAAAATGATTTCTTCAAGATACACTCAACGTAGGCTTTCCAGTAGATGGTCGTTCGGGCTATTGGTGGGCCTGGAAACTTGGCCAGTGGGTGAAAGTAGACATTGTAGACAGCAGTGTACACTGCGTACGCCGAAAAAGTTATGAGCGCAGCTAGTAAGGCGGCCCAAAGGTCATTCTCGAGGAGATGCATTGACTGAATTCTAGGTGCGAGTGGTGGAAAACATGGCAGTATCTTGACGTCTATCGAAGTGTCGCGTCCTGATAGTCTGGGCTTGATTCCGTGGCATCTCCATTCTTCTGTCCACTCACGGCTTCACAAGAGACCAGGGATGCTGTTGTTTGCGGCGACTAAATCTTGGAGCGAATCGTGTGCCTTTAACTGAAGCGGCACTTGGAGGAGGGGCACACGCTAGGCTTGAGATAGCGAGGCGCGCTATGTGTGTCGTACGGGACGCTCTCGACGATGCTCCACACCGCCCGTCGTTGATACCGTACGAGGTAAGAGGGCCGCCATCATTATTCAATTGAACTTAAGGTCAGTTATGCATAAGTGCGAATCGTTCCATCCCAACCCATGTTCCCTAGGTGACTCGAAATCGAGGCGAACACTGACCGCGGTAAATGCGTGCTAGGTCTCGCCGTCATAGTAGTTGTATACAACGAGAGAACCATACTTCAAGCGCTATAACCGAAAGAGATATCTTCAGCGATGGGATCACCGGATGCAACCGACGCTCATGCAATCCCCACGCCCAGCGAGCTTCAAGATGCACTGGGCGTCCAAGTCTACGATCGCGAGGGGATAACGCACACCCTCGGTGACTTAACTAGGGAGAAGCGAAGTGTCTTGATCTTTACGCGGCATTACTGTGGGTAGCCCGGCACATCAATCACCACAACGTTGACAACAAAGGGTGCCTAAACTGTCAAGCCTACGTACGCGCCATCAGCCAGTCAATCCCGCCTTCGAAGTTACCTCCTAACACTCAAAGTACGTTTAGTCCGTAGATGGTCTTCTACGTTCCGTCTGAACATATCCAGTACTCATCGTGGGCAACGGCTCATACCAACCCATCGACACCTATGCTCAGACATCGTCCTCGGCCTACCCGATCTACACAGATCCAACATGTCGCATCCATGCCATCCTGAAGTTCAAATCGGGACTTAAAGAAGAAAGCAGCGGAACCGAGAAAAGAGATTACATGAAAGATGCGGGAGGGACGGTTAGTAGGATTTTGGGTGGGGTCAAGGGTGCGCTGGGGAATCTGCAGCATACGGCGTACATTGGGCCGAAGAGCTTGAATGGAGGAGAGATGGTTGTTGGAGCTGGTGAGTTGACCTTTGGTGGATGTGTGGAAGGGGAACGACGGCTAATAGGTGCGTAGATGGGAAGTGCGAGTATATGTATAGGATGCAGAATACAGTCGACCATACTAATGTTGCTGAGTTGGCTAGGATTATTGGCGTTGAGAAAGTGTCGGAGGAGCACGACTGAGTGGCAGACATCTGAAAGCTTTTCCTAGTTCGGTGAGCTTTCTCGATAACGAATTGATGAGCCGTTCATGAACCATAATCGTACGAGGGGATGCGGTGTCTACGACGATCCCTATACTTCGAAGCACGTCTACCCATGGTCCTCTTACTCCTCAGGCATATTTGTCGTGGCTGGTCTTCACCTTGTACGCCAGCGAAACCTCATGGAAGTTACCCTCCCTCCTCGCTTTCCTTAGCTTCTTCACCTCGTCATCTTCTAGTCTTCGGCCGATGAGATCCTCCAGCTCCTTCTTGCTAATCTTCTCCAACGCCTTCTCCGCCTTCGCGACCTTGTGCCTCGGCTTAAAGCGGGCCTGCATCCTTATCCGGAATGTAGTATTGAACGTTATGCCCTCCGCATCGCCGCGCACATCTGGACCGCTGGCCTTGGAGTCGTCGATAGTGAGGAAGGTATCCCGTGCAGTCTGTAGCCCGAACGTGGAGGGGTTGTCTGGTATGGGGATCACCGTGAACGACTCGGCGGGTGAGACAGCCGTGGATGTCGCGCTCAGTATGCCGTACTTATCACAGCCCAGATACCTGTCCGCCCAAGATTAGCTCATGTACCGCATATCCTCAGAAGGATACGTACCGGCCATGGTGACCTTTTAAACTGAAAGATTCCGTTCCCGCGACTCTCGTCGCAACCCAGACTTGCCGCACATCATGCGGCTCGCTCGTCGCCGGGTCGCCCTCGACACAGTTTTCGATCTGACTGCAAAAGACCTTGCCGTTGGCATCACACGCCAGGCACGTCACCGGCTCTGTAGGCAGAACTACGATAATGGGGCCCGAGACATCGGTCGGCGCATCGGCGTTCACCCACGAGTCGTCGTCCGTGGCGGCATCCGTGGTGGAGGTGGTCGTGGTCAGCGCCTTGGAAGCGGGCGCGTCGGTGTCGGTGTCGTCGGCGACGCGCTTGCGCTTCTTGACTTTCTTGTCGCCTTTGAAGGAGAGCGGCTTGACCATGATGAGCGCGTGTGGGCGCGTCGCGTAGAGAGCTTGCCGATGAGGTAACGCGGGATGCGCCGGCGGAGATGCACGGCAGAATGCACGCTAGCCGAGGTGGGCAGGTGCAGGTGTGAATTCACACCCTGCGTAGAGCAATGAGGGTACAAATAAAGTGTGACACTGTGTAATCCGCAGGAGTGTGTGGATTGGATATTTTATCTAGTGATTCGACGCCATGAGTGATCCTACAGTCCAGCAGAGCGCCGTTACGGTGAGTCTGGAAGATTTAAAGCATGGTGCGCCCAATATCATCTTGATCTTTTTCCGCTCATGCTAATATTAAATAGATAAAGTAGACTTTTTGTCTCTGGAAGAAGCGTTTGGAGCCTCCTCTCTCGGCATAATCGTTGTGAAAGACCTTCCCGCAAAGTTTCACTCTCTTAGGCACCGCCTCCTCTCCTATTCCTCAGCACTTGCCAGCCTGCCCAAAGAAGAGCTGGAAAAGCTTGAATCTCCAGCAGCAAAATGGCTGGTCGGCTGGTCTCTAGGAAAAGAAACTCTCAAAGACGGCCGCTACGACACACTCAAGGGATCTTATTACGTCAATTGTTCTCCGCTCTTTCCCGGTCAACAGGCTACCGTGGCTGAAAAGTACCCTTCTTTCCCCGAGTACACGGCCCCCAATGTATGGCCATCTAGAGACCTTCTACCGGATTTCGAAGCCACCTTTAACGAGCTATGTGCTTTGATCATTGACATCGCCGCCCTGGTAGCACGCGCCTGTGACAAGTATGCCGAAGCCAACATCCCAGACTATAAAAAGGGCTTCCTGGAGCACGTTGTGAAAACGAGCGTAAGCACCAAGGCGCGGCTACTACATTACTTTCCCAAGGAAGGCGACGCCAAAGAAGGGGGCGATGAAGACGACTGGTGCGCCACGCATCTGGACCACGGATGCCTCACCGGCCTAACATCTGCCATGTTCGTGGACGAGGCAGCACACCCGCCGCAGGCTGGCTCATCTTTTGCTCCACTAAAGGAGCTCGAGCGCTCACCCGATCCGAAGGCGGGACTGTACATCCACTCGCGGACGGGCGCTGTTACGAAGGTCGGTATACCGCGTGATTGCTTGGGTTTCCAGACAGGAGAGGCACTAGAGATTATCACCAAGGGGAAGTTCAAGGCTGTTCCACATTTCGTTCGGGGTGCAGGCGCGGGAATCGGAGGAAAGGTAGCCAGGAATACTCTAGCTGTGTTCACGCAGCCAAATCTATGGGAGATGGTGGACGGGAAGAGGGACTTTGCGGCGTTTGCGAAGGAAATCGTTGAGAAGAACCATTAATATTGCGGCACAGATAGAGCAGTCTTCCTTAAATTCTTCGCAACGATTGCTCAACACCTCAAGTCACCAGCGCCACCAGAATGTCCACAGACTTTATCCGCTGCGAACCACGACAATGTCACCAAGAGAAATATCAAACAGGTCGCAATTTCCATCTCAATAGAGCCACGAAGGTGGCCACCTATTGTGACACGACGTGATCGTCCAGCTGTAGACCCGTCCAACGCCTTAGATGTGGCGCGCATAGCGTCAGGGGCTGTCTCTTCTCTCCACGTGCCTGACATCGCGAACTACCTCGCTAGCGGCTGCTCTATAAGGCGGACAGCGCATAGTAGTGCGAGAGGGTATCGAAACATGTCGCTGTTCACACAACTCTCGGTGTCACTCATCTGATTAACGGACGCCAATCATAACAATAGCAAGGGGATAGGGTCGATCATGCAGAAAGAGTCCGCCCGTGCCAAGGCAGCTTGTGTGATTATGCTCCTCTCGGCATCTCGCTGTCGTTCGAGCTGTTCTTGGATTGAGATTCATTTCAAAGGCAGCTTGATTTAGCTTGGGCCCTACGAAACGTTAATCAGCAGTTCTATCATTACCGTCTCGTTCTTCCGTCGCTTCCAGACTACTCTTTGGTCTACACCCTTTCAGTCACACTGCGACTCACCCTGGATCCGAGACTACAGTGAAAGTCGAACCTACACTTCAAATGGAAATTTCGAGATTTCCGCACGAATGGCGCAAGATGTGGCTCTCGCCCGGCCCGGACCCCGCTTACGACGAGCACACCTGGGCTCTGGAGCCTTTGCTGCGTAGTGAAATGATGGTGTACGTCGTTCTCGCCGCAATCGCGTTCATGAAGAGCTATGCACGCATTCTCACGCTGCTAGTACTCTGGGCGTGGTACTGGACAAGCCATGCGTGGAAAGCGGAAACATTCGAAACTAGCATCCTCTGGGGCATGCTCTGCGCCATGGGGTCTGAAGATTCGGTCCAGGAGTTCTTGTCCAGGCATACCAAAGCCCGTCGTTTTACTCAAACGATATCGCGGTGCCGTTATGGTTTAGCATCGTATATGTGGTAGCGCATGTGTGGACGACTTATGTGGACGGGTGGTGTGCGAGGGTGATGAGGGTATTGGAGGAGAGGATGTTTGAAAAGGATGAAACTATCGAGAAGACATTGTTGGTATAAGGTATAGGTTTTGTAGCGACGAATTGATCCTAATATTTTCTCTGGATTCTTCGAGAGACTTGGTCGATGACATTTCGTGGTAAGTTGTGATCACAGCCCCTGCACGCTCACATGAGTGCTTCAGAGTTGAAGGATTCGACTCGCGTGGCTGTGGCGTAGCACGACCCACTTCCGGCGAGGCGCAACCTCACGTTCCATACCTCCGGAGAACAAAATCTTCGGGGTATGGAAAGTGATGGATCGCACGCCCGATGATGGATGAGGCTGTGAAAGGGTGGCCCGATTGTCGCTAGAATCCCGCGCACTCTACCAACATCGAGTCTCGTCAGGGTACATAAGCTTCGCCATCCCTGTGGCGACGCACTTTCTTGCCAATCTGCTTGTTTCCACTGAAAACCGAACCCATATTTAGCGTTCCAAGCCAAGAACTCTCTCCATCGAGCTAGGATCATACTGAGGTCTTCATTAGTCTGGCACGACAGTCTGAAGAAATTCAAAGCCTACGGTGCAGACTCTTATTCGCAAGTCCAAATTTCCGAGGAGCCACCCGATACCCTGGACTACACGCGCTCCAAATTTCACGACATGAACGTTCCCGGAACACATATTAGTCAACCAGGCAACCTTTCTACATGTCTGGACACCAGGCTGCCTTCGGGACAAACATCAGAATCACGACCACACTCAAACGAGATGCTGAAGGAACTCAGCCTCACAAGAAGAACCCCATTACGCTACCAAAGAATACACACCGAGCCCCGACGACGCAAATCTTTACACGACGAACAGGACTCACGAGATGTGCATTGCGAGTCTGAACGACGTATTCTTGAATTGAGGTCGCATAGAAGCGAATCTGCGAAAAGAGCGATGGAAAAGAGGAACACGGAAAGCAGGAGTGAAGCGGACAGCCAAGAGAGGATATTAGTACCGATGGCTGAGGAAAAAGGTTGTGGAGTAAGGAGACAGAGAACGATCATTCAGGCACTCAGTCAGGTCGCTGCTCGTGGATGATCAATGTGCGTATTTATCACATAGTGTACGGTGACACAGGTTGCAAATTTAATGAAGGACACATCACGAACACAATATGTCACCTGCATAAGGTGTTACCGACGAGGATCATTGATGACTAGGCCTTGGCCTCCCTGAACAACTGACTAGAGGATATGTGCTATGTGCAGGCGGCGGACCTTCTTGCAAAGCAATCAGGAAGGAGCAAGGATATGGCATCAATGTGGCGCAGCCTTTCCAAACCCCTCGTCTGACGTGGGGTCACCCCGGTTGCTTCCTCACAGAAAACCACCCACGCCTATTTTCACCTAGGATACCAAAATTGTCATGAGACATGGACGCGTTGGAAACGGCCATACAGACTATCCAGCGATCGCTGTATGGGGCGGTCGCAGTGTGTTGGACATCGCAGAGGATCCAGCGCACACGTTCCAAGAGTTAGAGCAGGCTGTGCGAAAAGAAGCCAACGCCCACCGCGAGCGGGACAAGACACTCTCATTATCGAAAGCCGCAAGGAATGGCAATTTGAGCGCGGTGAGACGCCTTGTCGAAGCAGGTGCAGAGATTCATATCAACGACGATGGTGATTACGAGACTCGTTCGGCAATCCGAGTGGCGGCCCGATATCAACAAAGCGACGTGATCCAGTATATTCTCGAGGTCGAGCGTGATCGAACCGAGTGTCAGGCGTACCTACAAGAAGCTCTTGAACAGATGATCAACGAGTTCCGGTACGTGGAAGCAGATCGCCTGGCCCGGAATAAGATATCCATCGAGAGGGCCATCATCAACAATACCAAAGCCCTAAGCCAAGCTTGCCGGAGTGACAATCTGAGTCTGTTGAAAGTTCTGATCGCCCACGGTGCGAGGATTGAAGATCAGGAGATATTTGCTCAACACCGAACACCATTGGAGGCTGCTGCTAAATACGGTCATGTAGACACAGTGGCATACCTGCTATCTAAAGGTGTCACTGCTCGGCCTGTTTCTGCCAAGAACAAACAAGCAGCTCTAAGATATGCTCACGCAAACGGTCATATTCAAGTCGCCGATTTGTTAATACAAGCGGGTGCCGATCTTAAAGACCCAAGTATTCATTGTTCGCTGAGGTCTGCGGCTGCTCAAGGCCATATGGATGCCTTGGAACGTCTTCTGGACATTGGAGTAAGCATGGGTTCTGCGTATGGAGCATTGCAAGAGGCAGCAGGCAACGGCCATATCGATGCAGTCCACAGGCTACTGCAATCAGGGGTCCATGTCAATGCACAATACGAAGGGTTCACAGCACTCCAAAGAGCGGTTGCGGGACATCATTCTAGCATCGTTCAATTATTACTAGAAGTAGGCGCCAATACGAGCGTGCTATCTCGCGAAGGAAGCACGGTAGAAGATTGCGCTGATATAGATGGAAAAGCCGAGTTGACCCAGTCTGTCAACGCTAATTCTATTTTGCGATTTTCCGAGAGCCGTGCAGGCGTTGAGAAGGGCATATGCCTTGACTGTCACTCATTAGTTACGGAGCTCTACACGGACGAGTTTACGTCACGCGTTTTCGATCCTGACAGCTACCATGGATTCGACCCAATGAGTCTTGATATCCTTGATCTTGATACATTGCCCCACCCTACCGAATTCGTACATCTTTCGACACAGTTCCTGCAGGAGTATGCTCAGAATGGCTGCCAAATGTGCCATTTCTTTTGTCAACAGATAACTGCTTCAAAAGTGCCATTAACACAATCAGCAAAGCTTTCGATAGTAGTTGGTCGTGATGGTATACCTGCGTGGGTATTAAGGAAGCCAAGCGTCTACAAGAGACCTTACAGACACCTGATCGGCTCCTATTTCCACATAGTTATAGAGTCTCTGTGCGATACTCAAAACCCTTCCGGATTAGAGTGCCTTCGTAGAGCACTTCCAGGGAACACAGGCTCGTCCAAAACCTTTAATTGCATCTCTCTGTGGCTTCAGGAGTGTCTCGACAACCATAGGGCCTGCCAGAAGAAATACGATAATGAGTTTTTACCAAGCCGACTTGTAGACCTCAGTGAGTGGCGTCATCAACAGAAACTGCGTCTTGTTGATAGCGGAACACTGGAGGGGCATCCACGATACATGACCTTGAGTCATAGATGGGACAAACAAGTACTAGAAGCCTCAACACTTACCACAAATATACAATTTCGATTGCAAGACCTCGACGCACACGAAATCCCCAAAACACTCCAGGAGGCCATCCAGACGGCGCACAACCTCAATGTAGACTATATCTGGATCGACTGTCTGTGCATCGTCCAAGACAGTCCCGACGACTGGGCCGCTGAAGCTGCTCTGATGAACAAAGTTTACCGAAACTCGTACTGCACGATCGCGGCCAACCGTTCACATCCCGGTAGCCTCTTCTCGGTATACAATGTCGACGGTGACTACGCTGAATTTGAGTTGCCATTAAAGAACGCAAAAGCTGCCAAAGTGCGAGTTTTCAAGAAGCTGACAAGGTGGGACTCTTTGATCCGCACAGGGCAACTAGCAAGGAGGGGTTGGTGCTTCCAGGAGCGAGAGCTTTCGCCACGTATACTGCACTGGACAGATGAGCAAGTTCTTTGGGAGTGCCGCAACAGTTCTTTGTCTGAAGCTGGCGCTCTTCGAACGCAAGACTACTATGACCGTGACATCAAGATGTATCAGCGCATGCAGAGGATCTTGGACGGTATAGAACACAAGAGTGTCGAAGAAATATACGAATCATGGTACACCACAGTCGCGGATTACGCGGCCAGAGATCTCACGAAGCGAGGAGATACTTTGCCAGCCATTGGAGGCCTCGCTCGTGTTCTGAACGAGCGTCTGAGGACGCAATATTTAGCCGGTCTTTGGTATGAAGACATCTCTAGAAGCCTGGCTTGGCGATGTCATCGTGGGACCCGCCACGACACATGTACCGCACCTAGTTGGTCATGGGCTTCAGTAGGTAGGCATGGCGGCTACGGTAATCACTACCAGAGTTACCACTTCCGTGATGGAAAAACTACGGCATGCACAGTTGGAGAAGGGCTCTCGAGTATCCATGGCCACAACATCCGACTGGCGACTGCAGACCCTTACGGAAACGTTATTTCGGGCCAACTACTTGTCTCTGGTCCGGCAATTTGGGCCACACTGGAAAGGAAAGCATACAACGATACTGAAATCGTTCTGAGGGGTCTTGATTCAGTTACTTCACATCGTACTAACGAAGTAACCGAACATTGCAAGGGACATGCATATGAAAGATCCAGACACAGACCCTCACGGAATTATCGCGGTGTGCTCGAAATTGATGTTGAAAGTGATGCACATCTGTACTGCAGCGTCATCTGCATCGCGCTCTTTTACTACGACGATGAGAAGCCTCAAAGGAGAGAGGCGGTGGGATTGGGCTTGGTGCCTGTGGAGGGAGAAAGCAACACCTATCGGAGGATCGGCCGTGTGTCAGACATGTCACTGGACGACCTGATGATTGCACCAGTCCATAATCTGATCATCATTTAGACACCATTAGCATTGCCCTTGTACCCAGTTCAAAACCATAGTACGACGAATGAGAAGCGGACAGATCGAAGAAAACACAAAAGTCCGTGCATTTGTTCTTGAAGTATAGCTAATGGTATTATCTGATTAAGATGAGTTGCTGTTATCCGCGCAGGAAAATGCTGAGTCAATGCTTCCATCCTTGTAAGCATCCATGATCTGGACAATGACTCCATACGTTCCACCAACGCATAGGAAGAGCGAAAGGATAATCATAAGAACATGCAGCCCGTACAGAACCTTCTGCACGACTGAGCCCTTCCAGTAGTCCTTGTGGTCATAGATCCACAACCACCCAGGTAGACCAACCGCAAGAGGCGCGAAAGCAAGACTACCTGCAAGACTGAGGAGGTAGTTAAAGATGGGTACACCAGAGGCAATCAGGAAAGCGACGACATTGACTGCGGCCAGGGTACCAAGCCAGACTCCCCAGTGGACGAAAGAGTTGGCTTGAAGGTGTTTTGAGTCTCGGAGGACTCGGACAAAGATGTACTTCGCACTGACGTGGTTGAAGAGCGCCCCAGAAACCATCAGACCAAGAATGCCGATGCCATATGCGATCTTCTTGATCAAAGGTCCGGCGCTACCGAGCGATGGAGAAGCCACCCATTTGCCGCAATACCAGTAAACGACAATACTGAAGGTTAGGTACTAGAGCTTGTTAGCGACGTCGATCCAGTCACCACCAACAGACTTACAGCAGCGGTCACGAAACCCATGCACCAGTTCACGGCCTTCTTATAGTCTCTGGGGTTCTTCATCTCGCTCATGACGGGCAAGAAAGCACCTGTTCCGGCACCGGAGCAGAAGATAGTTGACGCAGCGACCATGCCGGCGGCAAATGTAGGGTGGCCGATTACGTGGTAGCCGAAGTCGAAGTCGCCCGTTTGAGGAGCCGCTGCTGGGCGTTCAAGTGTAGTAACGCCAACACTACGAATATATTAGCTTTCTGGGTTCTGAGGTTCAAAGCGTGAGCCACTTACACAACGATAAAGATGGCCGTGAAGACCGAGAGGAATCCAGCCCAGGTGACCCAAGCGATTTTCTCAAACTTTCTTGGGCTTCCAGCGACGAAGACCATGACAGTCGCGATGATCGAGAAGTAGTTCGTGCAGAGGGAGTGGTTGGAAAGAGCGTTGAGTGCAGTGGATGTGCCCACGATTCCTGAAGCTCCGACGAGAATGAAAGCAACCAGGAAAAGGATGCCCGTGATCTCTCTCACTATCTTTCCACCAACGAGATTGCCCATATCGGCGATACTGTGGCAACCGGCGTGGTTGTGGCGGAATTGTCCCTGGACTTGGGCGCAGTAGGTATTAATGAACTGCCACCCGAGAACCTGCACGTTGCGCCTCGTCAGCCAATGCATCGACGGCAACGCAGAACGGTGATTTTTACATTGATCGCGCCAGGGAAAGCACCAAGTGTGTACATAGCTGATGGAATTGTTAAGACACCGGTTGCGAAGATGACTATACAAGGCAGTGGTCAGCAAAGTTTTGGGAATGGCATTGCCTAATCCTGGGGTAACACAAGGCACCCAAAGTAGGACGGAAAATTGTAGTGATTCAACGCATTTAGCAGGAGACATACTCTTTGTGAAGATTATTGTTGTCTGTATCCATCCCACCGTGCGAAAGTCTTCGTAGCCTTCTCCACGCTTGAAGATCTCTCCATCGTTCTCAAGGTCGACCTTCTCGATGGAAACGTTGTCACTGCTGGGAGCAGGTTCAATGATGTCGTGGGACTTCTCAGTCAACATGATGGCGAATCTAAAACTCTGCAGCGAGGTGTAGAAGAGTAGGAGGCGATGTTGCCGAGCTGGTGATCGACAAGGTACGTCAAAGTCGATATATATATGCACCCGCCTCCATGATATCTCAGGTTATATTACGTTCATGAGTTGCAAGGCCTGTGGCCTTGGCCTGATAACACGCGGTATCTTGGAATCTGGGGATGCATGGTTCCGACCCACAGCCCCATTGTGTTGGAGTAGCCTTAGTCCACTCGCTAGCGTCAAGATAGGATCGTCTCACGACTCCAACTCTGCCGTGACCCATGCGAACGTATAGCTCCAACCGATTGCCCCGCGTAACAAAGGGTCTATGTCCGTTCGGTTCCGGCTTGCCGTCTGAGTTCGATGTCAATCCGGATAGCTGGGCCAATCTTATTTTCTGTGGTGCGCCTAAAACCGCATACAGTGCATTATCGACATACCATGGTCGCTTAGAAGTGGTGATAAGCATGAGAGTTTAATCCGGACAGCAATCCGGACACAGTTGGAGATGATAATTTCCCGACATGCGATAAGAATTTGAAGCTATTTGCTTTGAAATCCGTGAAATATCGTGAGCAGGAGGGTCTCATACCCCAATGCCACTCCTCTGTGTCACTTCGAGATCAGATTCGTATTGGTGAACCATAAGCAGGTTGATAAATTGTAACACCATGGTTTCTCCGACATTAGCTCCATTATGATGAGTTCCGAGGTCATATGGTTGGGAAATGTGATGGTCTAAGTCTTGGGAAGCTTCATCGACCTGCTGTCGCTCATGGTGCTGTTTCGGTGCACTTCAGGGCCTGTGAAAACTAAATCACAGCGATCAACATGTAGTAGAACGGTTATCTCCTAGGGAACTGCTGATGAATGTGACCTGAAATGTTCTTGCACGGCCCGCTGAGATTGGAGACATTACATTTAACTACAAGCGGATCTAAGTTGAGCTGTTCACTGGTGGCTCTTTCAGTTTTGTACCGGCCTCGGCCGGCATTAAGGCCCCTTCTGGCGGGGGGTTCTTGCTCTTGAATTCGTCACACATCTGCTCCATGGTGACAAACTCTACACCTTCATGCTTCTTGAAGTGTTCGATAAGCCTGAAGAAAGTTAGTATACATTATTTAGACGGATAGTCCGGTTTCCATTCTTACCTCTCATGCATCAGCAGGGCATGTGGTCGACCGGATACATCGGGGTGGATTGTGATGGGCTGGGAAATTAGTATAACTCACAACATAGCTGAACGGGTGTCTCATGACCTACAAAAATGAACTCGTCGTACTCCCGGTAGAAATAGTCAAAGTGGTCTCTCCAGATGTCTTCAATATCGCGCGCGTTGACAAAACCATGGCTATTCGCGGAACCTTTGATGAACATCATAGGTGGCAAGTCCTGTGTCAGGTAAGATATGCATACCAATTAGCTGTCTGAGGACCTTACATCGATATACCAGTTCGCGGGAATCTCAACAAGACCAGTTTCTTGGCCTTTGACAAGTGGTTTCATCCAGTCTGCTGCTTTCTTGGAGTAGTCAATCTTGGTCCATGAATCCCCCGTGCGCAGATAATAAGCTTGACAGTCATGATGGCTCATACTGTGGTCGTATTCGATTCCATATGAGAGCAAAAGCTCAGCACCCTCTTGGCTTGTCTCCCACCTAGTATGTCCCCATATCAGCGCTCTTCGGAGAGTCAGGGGATTCTGTTCTTACCAAGGTGCAACACTTCCCCTCGGAGGCTTCCCGGCAAATTCTGTCAGCTGACGGTACGTCTTATCTAAAACATCCCTTTGTTGTTCTAGCGTCATATCGACAGGGTTTTCGTGGCTGTAGCCATGTAGACCAATCTCGTGACCTGCGTCCCGAACGGCAGCCATATCCTCAGGAAATGTTTCTAGGCTGTGGCCAGGTATGAACCACGTTGTTTTGATGTTGTGTTTGGCGAACAACTTCAAGAGGCGCCGGGTCCCGACAGTGCCGGCCCAAAGTCCACGGCTGATGTCGCTGGTGCTGTCCTCGCCTCCATAAGAGCCTAGCCACCTAATGGACAATTACAATTGTTCTTCTTGGGTCTATGGTTAAGATGACTCACCCTGCAACCGCATCTACATCGACACCGTATGAGATAAGTACGCGCTTTTTGCCCATCGTGGGAGATCGTATCCTGCTACAGAACTCGACGTCGGTTTAGTGATCTTGCAATGCGAAGGCTGGCAGCTGGGAGTGACAGAGCTTTGGGTCTTCTTCTCCGATGGAGAAACACCTTCAGAAGTCGTTGCGGGGAAAGTGCACAATCAAAGTATCATGCAGCCGACGGCCTTGGGCAAAGTTGCCGATTCGGACGGTTCAGGGTCCAGATCCCTACCTAATTTGCTCCACCCCGCGCGCTTGTGCCTTATCATGCATCGCGGTCTCCAACTTGCTCCAACCACGGTATCGATACTATCTCCAGGTCACAATGATGGGAAGAGTGCCACAGGTGCACGTCAAATGAAACCCAGAGGAGCAGAAATTCATGTCTGACCATAGAGTACTCATCACACTTGTGAGAGTCATGTACCCAACCTGCCATCTTCCTCACTGAATCGTTCCCTAGCTATCGACATTTACGCGCAACGATGACATCACAGCAAATGCGCGCTGCCCAGATCGCAGAGGTAACGTGAACGGCAACTCGTGTCAAGCCAAAACTGACACGGCAAAGTTCAATAAACCGTACCAGCTGCTGAGCTCACACCCCGTACCACAGTGCGGCGACGATGACCTGCTTATTCAGGTTCATGCCGCAGGATTTTGCCATTCAGACCTTCAGGTCTGGGAGGCTCAGTTCCAAGCAAAGCTACCAATGATCCCTTCCCATGAACCTGCCGGCAAGATCGTGCAGATTGGCGCACGCGTGAAAGGTTCATGGAAAGTAGGTGATCGCGTGGGTGTGTTGAATTTTAAAAAAGCTTGCGGGGAGTGTGTCGGTTGCCGGCAGTACATTCGAAGAAAAGGTTGCACTGATCCTCGGTTTTGTGAGAGGAGAGAAATGGCTGGCTTTAAGCACGATGGAGCCTTTGCAGAATACATGATCGCTGATCCAGCGGTACGTACTCCTTTGCTCGAGCGAGCTGGCTTCACTGACGGGTGACATGCATCTAGACCACTGTTCATCTTCCAGGAAGGGTGTCTTTTGAACAAGGTGCACCGCTTATGTGTGCAGGCGTAAGTTCCCGCATCCTATAAGTTCCGGATTGCTGATGCATGAAGGCCACGGTATGGGGCGCACTCCAGAAGCTAAAGCCGGACGTTCAACCAGGAGAAACAGTCGCAATCGTGGGCATAGGTGGTCTTGGACAGCTCGGAATCCAATTTGCAAAAGCTATGGGTTACAAGACGGTAGCCATCGACAACCGATCAGAAGGCCGTCGGCTGGCAACTGAAGTATCTTCCAACTTGAAGCCCGATCTTGTTGTCGATTCTTCAGCCTCGGATGCTTCAAATAAGATTCTAAACTTCACAGCGGGCGAAGGACTTGCAGGCATTGTGGTCTGTACAGATTCTATTGCAGCAAACACCTGGAGTCTACAACAACTAGGCAATGGAGGCGTGATGGTACCAGTGGGCCTACCGAAGGACAAATGGCAATTCGACACAGAACCTATCGTCTTCCGTGAACTGACTATTCGAGGTGTATATGTAGCTGGGAGGGAACAAGTGGAAGAGATGTTGAAAATTGTGGCCGAACACAACATTGCATCTCATGTCACTACCATTCCCTTCGACCAAATACCAAGTCTGGTCGCGAAGTACACAGACCCGGCTATGAAGGGACGACTGGTGGTCAAAATTACACAATAAGAGCTAAAAGTATTATATCTCACCGGCTGTTACGTACAACTCCTGCATCCTAAAAAAAGAACAGATCAAACACGTTCTTTTCTCGTTATGTTTTCATTACGGGGTCTCTTCCCACGTTCCGGAATCCCCACCACGTGGTATAATTGTACTGAATCCTTCGGTGGGGAAGACTTTCCGACGCGTAACGCGGATTCGCCACGTTGTTGGAGTCGGTTGGAGACGGAGCTCGCCGACTCCAATGCAAAGTTCCCTTTGAAGCAAGGCGCATGATTGGTCACACCATACGCGACATCTCACACGCTTGAGACTCTCTTTGGTATATCAATCTAACCACCGGACAATAGAGAGTCTTGATCGTCACAGCAAACATCAAAGCCTATATCATGTCAGTGTTCTTTGATTCTCCATTGAGGTTCGTGAACAGAACATCCACGTCGCACAAGGAGAAGCTAATTTAACAATAAGCGACGATGCTATACCCGAAGGCGAGGCTGAGTTGCTTCTAGCCAATATTGGTATCACAGAAGGGTTGTCAATAAGAGAGTCAGGTGAATATCGACAATTGTTAGCCGCAGTGCACGACGTTGCCGAGCATGTCCTTGCTCTACCAGACTACACTGCACGGGCGAATACCGAAAGGTATCCACGAAAGAACATAATACGCCCTTCTCCTGAAGATCAAGATTATGGCGCTGCCTGGGCGCATAAGTTTTCGATTAAGGGTAATCCAAGAGGGACGTTGTTAAAGGGCAAAACGGTTTGTCTGAAAGACAATATAGCCGTAGCCGGCGTTCCTCAATTCTTTGGCACTGATGCTATTCCGGCATGGACTTCTGGTGCAGACGCCACGGTTGTCACGCGTGCATTGGAAGCAGGCGCAGATATCGTCGGCACAACGATCTGTGAAAATTTCTGTAACTCGACATCTTCATACACAAGTGCACAAGGAACTGTCCACAACCCTTATGCAGAAGGCTATTCCGCCGGTGGCAGTACATCCGGTGGTTCAGCATTGGTTGGAGGAGGCTTGGTAGATATCGCTATCGGTGCCGATCAAGGAGGCAGCATTCGTGTGCCATCGTCGTTCTGTGGCTGTACGTACTGCTTTCGTGAAACATTTTTCAAATTGGCTAGGGCTGACTTACGTCTCAGGTGTCGGGTTGAAGCCAACACAGTAGGTTTTACGCAAGCAGCTTGCTGTTTTAAACACTGACTTCATCTCAGCGGACTTGTTCCCTACACTGGGATCAGCTCCTCAGACGCCATCAATGACCATGCTGGTCCAATTGCGAGGAATGTGAGAGATGTTGCAGTTTGTCTAGATGCCATCAGTGGACGAGACGATTACGACGACCGGACACTCGGAGCTCCTCTTTACGGGTCAACAACATTTTCCAAATCCCTACGGAGCTCGGTTGAAGGTTTCAAGATAGGCATACTAATTGAAGGATTCGAGCATCGGTTGGTGGACCCTCTCGTGAAGCAGACAGTTCTAGACGCCAGCTACGCTTTCCAAAACCTCGGTGCTAAAGTTGAAGAAGTATCTCTGCCTCTACACCTGGAAGGTCCCGCTATCTGGACGATCCAGGCAAGAATCGCCGGTACTCTCGGCTTGATGGGATTTGCGCACGGTCGACGCGGGCTTTTCTCCACCGAATACGAAGCTGCTCGCCAACCATGGACAAGTGCAAGCTTCCAGAAGCTCTTCCCATCAACCAAGAATACCATGATCAACGGTCTCTCGCTCATGAAGAGCTATCCCGGCCTGTATGCCAAAACTATGAACATAGCACAGCAAATCCGCGACTCCTACGAGAAACTGTTCCAGGAGTATGACCTCATCGTTATGCCTACAACTCCCTTCGTCGCGCCTTCAAATATAGAGTGGAAGCAGGGAGACTCACCCATGGCTGCACTCAAGCCAAGCATGGGCATTACAATCAACACAGCGATATTTGATGTCACAGGTCATCCGGCAATGTCACTCCCTGTAGGGTTTGCGCCAAGCAGCGAAGATCCTAATGTGAGACTTCCAGTAGGAATGCAACTCGTTGGAGGATTGTGGCAGGAGCAAAAGATACTAGATGCAGCACTCGCGTGGGAGACCGCAAACCAGTGGAGAACGATCGGTACCCAGAACGCCGAAATTCAAAAGCTTCCTGTGAAGCTATAAGGAATAAGGTTGAAAAAAATCTAGGCTTACATAGCATCTGAGGCGCAATATATCCGGCGAAGACTCAAGTTAGATTGAATGTGCAAGAACAGCTATGCGTGCAACGAACGTGTATTACCCACTATTGGTGATATGATGCATCGTGAAAGCAAACGGCAGTCTGAACTTGCTTTACATTTTGAAGATAGGGAGATAACTGAGCACCAACGGCATGTATTCCTTCAACTTGGTTTATGCAATCATCCCGTGAGGAGAGACGAATGAGCTTAAGCACCATGAAACCAACGCTTTATATAATCAAAGCCAGTACCGTTATAGAGTGACGCCACGCCATGCCGTGATTTACTGGAGCATGTGAGAAGCCGTTCATCCATGAAAGAGATTTCATATATGCAATTGGATTGATTAATTTATTGTATATCCACCATCTACCACAAGTGCATGCCCTTGAATGAATGACGCCTGCGGCGAGCATAAGAAAAGGACTGCATCGGCAACCTCGTCTGGAGTGCCCATTCTCTGCATAGGCGCTATGTTGATAGCAGGCTTAAGCGCTTCCACCATCTCAGGAGACGTAGTCGTCATTGGTGTCTCGATCACACCCGGACACACGCAATTCACGCGAATCAAGTTCTCTGAGTAATCAATTGCGTTCGAACGCGTCATGTTGATGATCGCAGCCTTGGAAGCACAATATGCAGCTATCGAATAATGTAAGCTGATGACATTTGTCAGAGGAGGTAACCTACCAGCACCAGGTCGGCCAACTATACCAAGTTGACTGGCTATATTCACAATAGCGCCTCTCTGTTTCGGCTGCTCATCTAAAGGGTCTTGCTTGAGCATGTTTCTTAGTTGTGCGCGACAGCTTAGCCACGACCCGCCTAGCATGAGTCAGTGTCATTCAGAAGAATGCATCCATTCCACCACCTACGGTAATTGATACCGTTCAACCGATCAAATGCGTCCGTCTCCATTTCCACCGCTTTCAGCGTCTTGCTTCCTAATACTCCTGCGCAATTCACCGCATAGTCAAGCCTTGAGAATTCGCTGAAAACTTCTTCATGGAAGGAGTCGATGAAACTCTCGTTGGCAATGTCACCTGTTCTATCAAAGACGTTGATTGAGGGGTTGATGGATAAGATAGCGTCTTTGGTCTGAGAGAGCGTTCTTGGGTTGATGTCGGTTATAGCGATCCTCGTGCACCCGGATCGGGCGAACCCTTTGGCTACAGCTGCGCCAATGCCTTATCATTGTCAGACAAATCATACTTCAAGGCCGTACGCCTTGCTTTCTCACCTGTACCACCTGCACCGGTCACCACAGCTGCACCAAGCAATTGCCTTGCAATGGATGCCATCTGTCCAGTGATGAACACTAATGATAAACACAACGAAAGGGCAAAATAACAAAGATGTCTCGCGTGCCAAGAGTTACAGCGAAGTGGTCGAAATCCTACACTGTCTGCAATTGACACGGAGTAAAGCGCGCAGATCAGCGCGGACTATGACTGTGATGATAAGCCCTTCGGACAGTAAATCTGGTGATGTCAGGCTAATAGATAGCGAGCATGGGACGCCCTCGATGATAGTGCGGAATAAGGCCTGATCGCGGTAGTGATCGCTAGGCGATGCAATTGGAGTCGAGATTGGAGCAGGTTCCTGCAATCGCATACCCCAAAATGTGGGGTAAGCTCAGCAATCGTCCGGTGTGGTACTAGTCAGGCTAGCGCTTGTCTTAAGAAAGCCCTGACTCCACGCACTCCAAACCCACTCCTCCAACACTCCGCAACTCCAAACTCTGACACCATATGCACAGACACAGCCATACGTGCCGTTTTTGCTCGCGGTCATTCAAGCGTGCCGAGCATCTAACCCGCCATCTCCGCACACGTGAGTTGCTCCACTGTGTTGACCCACTCCTTTACTACTCCAGATAGGAATGCTAACTGTTGGATGCAAAGACACGCGGGAGAAGCCCTTCTTGTGTCAATGTGGCGCATCTTTCACCCGTCGAGATCTTCTCACAAGACACTGGCGAATCACTGGTCATAGCGATGCTGGTGTAGGACATCACGACCCACAACACGAGACGCAGACGCAGACGCAAACACCGTCCCAGCACAATGTGTCTTCGAACAACCTGAGCGCGGCCAATGTAGTCATCGAAAATGGGATGCTCGCAACTCCGACTCAGACTCATCGGCCAGAGCTCCCGACACCGGTGGACTCCTTCCACGATACGCAAGGGCACATCGATCCAGCGTTACATCCTGGCCCCTATCAAGATGAAGGATTCGAAGATTTTCGAGACTTCGTGAACTTCATAGATGGTGTAGGCCTATCAGCACAATGGACGCCTGAGTATAATATTGACTGGTTACGGCTCGATAACTATGAAGAGTCCCGACGACCATCAAGAGAGCCGGAACCTCCTCAATCGCCAGGAAATGAGGAGATTGGTACCCCTTTCAGCACTTGGCTACCTTCAGCACCAGCGGAAGATCAGATTCATTTGAGATCCCATTCGGGAGCAGGTGAGTCCACATGTTGCTATGGCCGATCTTCCATTCATATGAGGATTTGGTGGTCCCTGAAAAAGGACTAGTATTGGGGCCCTACGCTTCGCTGTATCAATATCGACTGATAGCTGTCCCAGATGTTCGCGAGAGTCGAGCAAGACATGGAACATATCATGTAACAGAAGACCACAGGAGCTTCCTCATCTCTCTACTCCCCAGCTTTCCGGCTCCCATCTCAGAGTTCGAGATACCTTCGCGCCATGCCCTTACTCGCTACATCACTGCCTTCTTTTCTGGGTTTCATAGCCACTTTCCGTTCATTCACGAACCGACCTACAAGCCATCATGCTCACCCCTGGAGCTCACGTTAGCCATGTGTGCAGCAGGAGCACAGTATTGCTTCGAACGACGAAGTGCAGATCGTCTATTCCGCGTTGCAAAGGCTATTGTTTTCGAGCGACTTCGTCAGGAAGAATCGCATTTCGGCCCACAAACCTTGGCATTTATCGCATCTACTAATATGCTTTCGCCCGCTACGGCACCAATGACAAGGAAAGCAGGTCCATGGGCGCCACTCGATATGGCCAAAACACTATTGATCCTCGTAGGGTTTGCCACATGGGAACGAAAAGACTTGTTACAGCAAGCTTTCGCCCTCCGAGGATTGCTTGTTCAATGTCTCCGTGACAATGGTCTTAGGGAAGAGAGCACTTCCTCTAGCATCCCGGCCGCAGCAAGGTCCGCGTTGTGGGATGAATGGGTCCAACACGAATCTTCCAGACGAACAAAGTTGGTTGGTATGTAATGGCTTGTCTGGTGTATAACATCTTTTTCTGACACTGCACAGCTTTCTGTTATATCAATGTCCACTCTATTGCATACAACATACATCCACTGCTCTGGAGTAGTGAACTACATCTGCGACTGCCTTGCTGCACTCCATACTGGCAAGCGTCCAGCGCCGCACAGTGGGCATCGCTCGAACGTGAGCGCAAAGAAGATCAGATGCCTTTCCAACAAGCCTTATCGGTCCTGCTTCAGGGCACATCGAGCATCAACTCAGTTCATCCCATACCCAGCCCTATTGGCAACTATATATTGCTCCATGCTCTGTTGCAACGTATTCATGTGGTAAGGGAGCTCTCCTTTCCTGCCGCTTCGCCAGCAGCAATTTCAGGATCAGAGCTTCACACGATTGGGTAAGCATGAACATCCAAGGGCATTTTACGATAAATCGCCGCTGAATCATTCACAGTCGTGCGCTTCGCAGTTGGACGAGTCTATGGCAGCAAGCTCCTGAGAGCATACTTGATCCTAACAACGAAAGCGGACCCATTCCCTTCACTTCGAGTGCTTTACTCGTTGTGGCTTACATCCGCCTTTCTCTGGACCTAGGCTCACATCGTCACCTCGAGTCGCGCGATCCGACTCTGATCACTCAGAGCCTGGCTACGCTGCCTGACATTGAGCGCAACGACAACCTCTTATCGGCTTTGTTGTATTCGACTCATGCACTCAGTATACCCGTGCGACTTGGGATCGACAGAGTCGCACGAAGTCAGGCTTTCTTTTGGAGCGTTCAGCATGCTATTTCTAGCTTCGAATGTGCGATATTTCTGGGCAAATGGCTATGTTCGCTGCCTAGCCCGCTGTGTGACGACAGTCTATCTCGTATGCTTTGGTCACATTCTTCAGCTGTCCGTCCTTACTAACGCTATCAGGCTCGGAACACCGTATCGTTCATTGGGTCAAATGCATTGTTGAAGAGGCATATGCAGTTGTCGACTTTGACGAGGAACGCGAACTGACTGTTCCAGACGAGCCGTTTCAGCTCGGCCTTGCCGTTCTGCATATCTGGAGTCGTTTCCTCCAGGGCAACACGCAATGGCAATTCGTCAACAACCTCGGTATCAGTCTCGAGAAATATACAAAAACGCTCACCTGATAAAGTGAGGCAATGCGGCTCTGCTACCGGAGCCCTGAAGTAGGCAACCGCCCGAGGATACGATTTGTACGAGGTGGCGTTCTCGGTTGATGATAAGCCGTGCCCCGCCGCAGCGTCCTCCCCAGTACCAGCAATCCTTCCCGCAATTTTGACCGTGGTATCGATGCCGCGCATCAACTTCACAGAATGCGCCGCCATATACGCCGCCAACACCACTCAAGGACAAGATCTAAGGACAAAGTATGGTTGGCATGGTCCGCTGCTAGGGCTACCCCCGAGTCCGCATACGCAGATCACACGCGAAGGTTGCCTTGCAATATGTGGCCATGGCGCCGATATGTATCCGTGGGGTGATGTTTCAGCAACCATTACTACATGGCTTTTACCAGTCGTTGGTACTCTCCTTCAAGCACCATTTGAAAGCAATGCGTTCAGACGGACTCTACTGGCCATTACGCGATGGGTCGGATCGCCAATCGCATCCCTCAGCTATGTTCTCTGGAACATCAAAGTATCGGCCAAGGGCGCATTGATGGTAGACATGGCCGTACCATACGATCAGGTGCCCGACCGCAAGACCGACTTTGGTAGCGTGAGGGACTCGATGTACCTCCTGCTAGCCATGAATCAGTACACGATGAAGCCCACAGCGATGCTCAGGGAGAAGGAAGCAGAAGGCTTGCTACGCATAGTTCTATTCAGCAAAGACTTGAAGTTGACCGACACCGACAAAACATTGCGACAAATGCGACGCATCCTTGCTCGAGAAGTCCGTGAAATGAGAAGACGTGGGGCTGTTCCGGTTTTCGTGTCCATCATGTGGTTTCTATTCGCATTTGCACTTTCCATTCAAGCAGCGTTCGGAGTGGTCGGCGAGAACCGAACAGCTCACGACCTGGCATTGGGCTGCATGCTCGCATGGTTCCCCATCTTGATCATGGCGACGATCGTAGATCGCAACCCTATTGCGGCAGAAGCTATTCGAAAGAAACTCAACGCGCTGGTGGACCATGTGCGACATGCATTGCGTGATGAACGCCATCGTCAAGAATTTATCGATTCTTTCAGCGATCAGCCAAATTTCAAGCCATTTGCGCATCACATCCACGACATCGCAGCGAAAGCAGAGTACATGGACAATTTTTTCGTCGACTTTGCTGGCCAAGCTCGCGTACGGTGGCATTATGGAGCTGCGCATCCTATTCTTTCGGACATTGAGAACTGCTACATTGCAGAAAAGGGACGAAATTGGCTTGCGAACGAGAGAGAAGCTCGCACTAACCTGGTATTGGGACCTATCAACGATGAAGGGCTGGTCTGGTTCGACATTCGCGAGTTTTGGCAGGTTGCCGCTTCAGTCGCGATTGTTCTGGGCAGTTGTGGTGGCGCTTTCATCCTGAGCTTCTTCACGCCCACTGTTGGCCTGGGATGTCGTAGTGGCGGTTACACTATATTCTTCTGCATATCTCTGGGATTGATGATTATGGAGATGATCGTGTGGTAAGTTCACATTAGATAAGCATTGGGCCCTGTGTTGACCTGAAATACCTAACACGGTGTTTGACAAACTATCTTTAATAAGGCACTGACTCTTTCCAGGTTGATTCTGTCCCCGTACGAAATACAGGAGCTGCCTTGGCTAGCGAGAACCCATTCACGGCTACAGAGCAATGCCTTCGTACACCGGTTGGACGACAGAAGGCATGATCAATGGGGCTACATCAAAAGACGAACCTCCAGCATCGTACGCACGACCGAGAACTATCTTATAAAGATCATCACAAGATTAGTTCTGATATACCCCTTCAAGGATAAGGAGGCCACCAGAGACTTGGTGGAGACACTCCTTGACGAGCGTGCCAAAGCCCTAAGAGACATGAGTCCCCAGCGAAAATGGGAATGGTTTTTCTTTCGCCCAGTCGAAAGCTTTAACACCGTATGGCTGGTGTACATCGTTGTCGCTCAAACTTGGGGCTTCTACAAGACCTGCGACTGCGTCACCAGCACCTGGGGCGGTGCAGGCGGCTACCTCGACTTCGGCGTGCAAGACGTTGCAAGTAAATGGGTGGAGCCGTACTGGCTCACAGGCACACTGCTCACCTCCACAGTCATGGGCCTCTCTATCTTCTATATTACAGTCGAGTGGTGCCAACAGTCTTTCCTATCGACGGAAGACTACGAGGACGCGAGACAGGGCTTGCGCATGACACGGATCTACAGACACTGGACGTTCTTCTTTCGCCGCCTCTCCCGCCTTTTCTCGCGCTTTACGTTCAATCCCATGGAACGTGTTGCTGTAGCCATCGGTCTGATGAAATATCCGCAAAAGACGCTGCTCTGGACAAAGGTGCACACCCACGACCCTGACATCCCGATACCAGGTCCGTCGACACCACGACCGCACGGAAACCCGAGCATAGAACTCTCGGACTTTTCGACGGTGAGAGACGACAGCCAGCACTCGCGCCACGCGTACGACACACCCGCTATGGCGCACTCCCTGTTCCCGCCTGCAATCCCGCAGCGCAGACCGCGACAAGACAGCGACTCCTCGGCCGCGCGGCCCTCGCCGTCACTACTGAGACAAGAATACAGCAGCCCTAGCTCGTCGCTCTCCAATCGTCCGAGTCACGACTCCTCATTCTCCATGTCACCCCTTCTCCAGCGCCCCCTAGAGGCACACCATCACCTGGCCCGCACAGGGTCCACAAACTCTGCCGTCCCGGACCATGACGACCGACGCAGCAGCGGCGAGGAGTACGGGCTTGCGTCACAGGTGAGCCCAGTGAGGGCGGGGGAGCGGAGTCTGTTCTTGGATATGGGGATGAGTGGGATGGTGCAGAGCAGGCAGGGGTATGCGAGGGCGAATTCGGATCCGGGGAGTCCGCCTGGGGTGGATGCATTGGGGATATTCTTGGAAGGCGGTAATGTTGATTTGGAGAGAGGAGAGAGGAGGTGAGTAAGGTGGGGAGGCGGGGGTTGTATTATAGGACGGGAAAGATAGGAGCTGAAATGTGACGCAAATTTGGTGTAGAACGATGGTGGAATCCCATGGCGCTGTTGTATTTCGAAACTCATGCAACGACAGTATGTACTGATTATCACATTAAGCCAAATTGCCTCCCGATAGTCATACAGGTCTCTCCAGATTCGCGTTATATGCCGCCCAATCATCCATACCGCACCTTCCGACCCTTTGCTCCATAAGTCGGCTCAGCCATCGTGTAGCTTACGTGTACGCCCCTCTCCTTCGCATACTCGATCACATCTCTACTACTCAGGTTTCGACAATAATCGGCATTGACGTAGCGTAGTGCAGGCGCTCCGTCGACGAGCTTTTTGATTCCGTAACCAGAAACCTTTGTGTTTGAGATATTGATGGTGGTTAGACTGGTCGATTCGGTGATGATGCTGATGTCGTCGTCTGTGAGAGGCTGTCCAGGAAGTTCCAGGGAAGTCAAGGAGCGTGTTAGGACGCGTGGTGACGTTGATAGAAAAGTGGAGACGAGTGTGCTCGAGGGGATAGAGTCCAAGGCGGAAGGTGTTCCGTCGAAGTTGTTTGTCACGATACTCCCGCTCAGAGAGAGGCGTTGTAAGGGTGCCCCGTCATCGATGGGGATTCTCGAAGCGTTCGCTCCCGCTGCACCGTTCGGCGCCACGTAATAGTCCAGAAGTCTGGGTAGAAAATCGGCAAATAAAACCACCAGGCCGCCCAAATTCAATTGAGTGAGGGAGCGCGAGCATGACATCTCGACGGTTACCATGTCCTGGAATCCAGAATGTGACGGAGAAGCGATTCGCGGGTGGTAGCTGAGGCTCTCTAATGTATGCGGGATGATAGGGAAATGATTGAGGGCAACCTGCGACAACACAAGGTTGGTCAGGCGAGATTCACCGAGGGGGTAGATGCCGCTCGGTGGCATTAGTTGACCCCAGTTCACACATTTCAATGAGCGCAATTCGGGGACTTGTTGTAATAGAGTCGTGATGTGACTGTTTGGCACTCGTCGATCGGAATTGCTGCACAATGAGATGCTTTGTAGTCTGCTGTACGGGCCACCTTTCCAGTTCATTGGTTGTTGGTCCACTGCAACGATATCTCTGAAATCAATGAGCTCTAATTCCGGTCGTCTGCGCAAGATTTGACCCATGGTGTCCGTGCTAATCTCGGTGTATACGGAGAGACGCTTCAGTTTCTGTGCACACTGCACCATCTCAATAAGCGTATCAGATATCTTAAACGGGAATGACAGTATCGTCAGGGTATGAAGGTACTTGCAAGCGGTTGCAATATTACGGAGGATGTCTGTATGCTGTACTCGGTGGACGGTCAATGTGTGCAGCATGTTGCGACTGTAGCGGACAGCATTGCCGAGAAAGCTTCTTGATACAGGCTTCGTAGCGCTAGATAGATCGAGATCAGCCCAAAGCTTGGGGCGGTTGGTGAGATAACCTTTCCAGCCTCTGCAGACACGAAGGCAATTCATCATGTTCTTGAAAGAGAGATAGCCGATGACCATCTCCACAAGCTCCACCGGAAGGATCGTGAAAGGGTCGATGGCTTTGGGTGGGGAAAGCTTGCGCGTAAGTTTGTTGTGCAACTGCTGGAGAAGCTGAAAGTCCTTGTCTTCGACCGGCACATTCTTCATGCCGTACTTGTAGATGTTCAGCGCTGTGTCCAGCTTGCCCATCCTCTGCAGCGCGCTCGCCGTGCGCAAATAGCCCTTCACATTGTGCTTGTGTGTGCGGATCGCAAGACGCCCATCTTTGACGGCTGCGGCGAAGTCGGCGAGTTTCTCGTACGCGGCAGCGCGGTAGTCGTATAGCGTTGTGGAGGGATTCACCGACGCGTCGATGCCGTTCGTGAAGGCTTCCACAGCTTTTTCGTATTGCTTGAGCTTGTAGTAAGATTTGCCGATTTCCTGGTATTCCTCAGGTGAGAGCGTGCGAGCCATGGCTTGGATGTTAAAATCGAGTGAGGAGCACTCTCGCGGTGTGGTTGAGACGCGGGGCGCCAAAATCTGGGGTCGAAACGCGCGACGCGCTGGCACGTGTGTAATTTGGCCTGTGCACCTACACCATCCACTTTCAATTGTATCTCCGCAGGGGTCGCAGAAAAAGGCTACTGTGGCGGATCAAATCAGCAGATGTGCGGGTATCAAACGGTGGAAGCTGTCGGACAATTGAAATCCAAAGTAATGTTTACGTTGACTGATCTGCTGTTAGCCAGCCGGGGTTTAGATGGCAGGTAGTGGAGCTATTAGGGCCGTTTATATATTAAGATGGCAAATACGACTTCCCATTTTAGCAACTATACTACCCAAGGATGTAGAAACACACAGTCCTCCATCCCACTGCACGAAGACTGCTCGTCTTCAACCACTTCAATATCCTTCTCTCAACCTGTAGTGCTTACCGACTAAAAACCTGAGCATCTCCCAACATCTTCACCCTCCCCTCCACCCCTTCTCCCCATTCCCACCTCCGTACAAATCTCATCAAAACAATGCATCCCATCCAAAAACCTCATCAGTCCCCTCCCCACCCATCTCTTCACCACTAATAATACTATCTAACCTCGTGATGTCCTCCAGCCTTCTTTCCCCACCGGGCGCAAATAGACTCGATGCCACAGAAGGCCTGTGCTGAACATGTGATGCGGCACCTGCGGCACTCTCGCGGTGGTGAGGGTAAGCATGATTGCGGATCGTAGACGTGTCTGAGGCGGCGGCGCCGTGCGTGGAGGGCGCTGTGCTGGTCGAGTTGCTTTGCAAGCTTGTTGGCGGCGCAGGCGGTACTGCGACGTTCGTGCTGGTTGCGACGGCGTATTTATGGATTCTGTACAGAAAGCCTTTGATAATGCCGAAAGTGATCAGGCGCCGGACGTCGATGCCGCGGAGGAGATCGAGGTTGTCGAGAACCCATTGGCGGAGAGAGAGACCTTGGCGGAGACTGGTGTATAGTGTGATAAGGGTTTCATGGGGAATGTCATGGGTTCCTTCGTCGGGGGATAGAGGACCGGGGGGGTTGGTGAGGCTGTCGGTGGTGGAGAGGGCGTCGCTTTGGGCTGAGGATGTTGAGGCATTTGATGAGATGGAAGAGCGGGAGTCGCGGGATGATCCTGTTACTGAAGCCTCGCTCCCCATCCGAGTCGTAGTGGTACTCGGACCTTTCCATCGTACACGAGGCACCCGGACGTACCGGACGCACTCCTCTTGAACTGCTTCGTCTACAATAAAACCCCCGATTTCGGCGGTTGGCGCGTAAACCGCCGCAAAGCTGAACACATCTAGCAGTACAAGGCATCCGTAGAAGACTAGATGTTGGAACGCCTTGCGCGTGAGACTGAGGTCCGTGTCGGCAAGCTGCGCGATATGCGCAACGCTGTGAATGCCATTGATGTAAGGCAGGATGCGATTCAGCGTGAGATCAGAGGAAATTGGCGTGTTGAGAGACGATAGACTGATAGTCAAGACAGGGACTTGATGAGCATGAATGGGCGGTGGAGGCGGGCGCGTACGAAAAAGCTTCAAGTTAATCGTATTGGAATCATCTACACCATGGATTAGCATCCCGCCCATGTCAACCATTCACTCGATGCAGGCAAACCTACCAATTGGAATCATACACTCAGCATAGTTATTCAAATCCTCCAGCAACATCTCACACAAGGCGAAAACCTTACTCCCACTCCCCGTCCTCCACGCCCTATCCTCTTTGTCGTCTTCCCAAACACCCATTTCATCCTCCTCTCCACTCACAAAACCACCCTGCTCTTCGAGGCCTCTTAGCAATCGTCCGACCTTCCTCACCACCTCTCCATACGCAACCCAATCCGACAAACTCTCCTCAACAACGATCGACCAATTGAAGATGAACTCATTCCTGGAGTATCTGCCTTCCCGGATGCAGACGGGATACCCAATGACGCGGTAGTGGTTGACACAGAAGGTGAGGAGGCGATCGCAGAACTGTTGGGTGGGAATGAGGTAGGGCGTGGCAGAGTCGAAGGAGAAGAGCGGGGCGCGCAGAGCGGAAGGTGCGGAAGACGGCGTTATACTGCCCTCGGGAATTTGATGGAGGACGCGGGAGCCTGTGCGACGGTTAGCTGGCGGGCGGGCGCGAATGCGAAGGCAAGAGCGATGGTGGGGCAGGCTGTTGGGACAGCGCGGGATTGATGCGCACCTTTCTCGTGGTGAAAGCGCGTGAAGAAGATGGCCTTGATCGCGCGCGTAGGCATTGAGCCTGTGGGTCGTGGTTGTCCAAAGTCGATCTGGATTGGAGCTACATTGTGGGTGTTAGGTTGAAAGCTGTGGGGAAGCTGGTGGAGCTTCACGTTGTTGATGGTCTGTGCATCTGACCTAGCATTCGAGAAGCACGTTGTGTATGCATGTCGGACCTTGACTTGAACGAAATTAGCTAGATTTTGTAGCGTTGAAGCTTCCGTGACTCTATATGCTGTTGACTAGGATCAACAGAATGCCGCCCGTGCTGATGAAGCGTAACGAAAGTCGGCATTCCAGCTGTTGAACAAGCTCTGTAGATCCCCGCAGTTACTCTCCAGGGTTTGTGTTCTCGTCAACACCGTATTCATCCACGATCCATGCACAGAACCTCTCCCACCTCGTAGCCCACTCTTTCAATCTCTGCGCCCGTAGTCCCTTGCCAGTGCTACCGTCCTTGATACTCTGCACCCACTCTTTTTGCGAGTAGTCTTCAAGGCTTGCCCACCGGACGCTGTTCTCTGCTAGCGAGCCCAGACCTTCCAGCCCAAGATTGTCCCAACCCTGAAGTGCCTGCCAAAAATCATGGCTCATGCCACTAACACCTTGCCCCAAGATCGTGGGATCATCGTTGCACAAACTACACGGTACTCCGCGGGCCAGCAAAGCCGGCAGTGGGTGCGACATTATGCTGCCACAGAGACGCAAGACTTCGTTGGAGACGGGGCAGGACTCGATCAGGATTTTCTTCTCTTTGACCATGTCGATGAGGAGCGGGTGCTTGTAGAGGGGAGAAGCCGTGGCCGATGCGGCGAGTACCGAGAAGGATGGCATCGAACAGGTTCTCGTCCACTGAATCCCCATCGCCGAGGGTCTCACCAGCGTGGAAGAAGAACGGAATATCTACGCCGGATTCCGCGCACTTTTTGCGAAAAAAGAAGAGCAAGGGAGAGAGATCGGAGAGCGGGCGGCCAAGATCTTCTTGGCCGACGAAGTCGTAGCCTGCGATAAGCTCGGGAAACTCGATCTTCATCTCGATACATTGCTTCATACCTGCACATGTTAGTTCCCGTACAAGAGAAAGATCTTGGGCAATGGCTTACTGTTGACAACTGTGCGGTTGTCAAAGGCACGAACGGTAGTCCAGATCATGCGTACGCCCCAGAAGTCCTTGCCTTTTTCGGATGCCTTGAACTTTTCGACCTCATCTTCAATGTGTTCGAGCATGTGGAAAAAATCTGCATCCCACTCTTCTTTGCCGAGCCTGCGGTACGGTGTGTAGAGAAGGCCGATCGCAGATCGACATAGTAGGTACCGTCTTCCAATAGCTGCTGGCACATTTTTCGAATGAATTTGCGGAAGATAGGTTCGTAGTAGATTATTGAGCCCAAGATGGGGAAGCAAGACATGAACTTCCGCCACACTTCGTTAGGGCCCTCGTGGTGTTTGACGTGTTCTTCCGGTGTGATGGATGTACGCAGGCGAATCCATTCAATGAACCCTTTCCGTCCGCCATCTGGGAAGCCGTCTGCCGCGGCTACTAGTGGAACTTGTGTGTTTCTGGCATATTCGTCACTCCATATGGAAACATCGCTCTGTGCGCTGGCTTTGCTATAGGTAAATGAGAACCCAGTCTTCAATCGCGCCTGTTCACTTGACAGCGGGGCATCACTCCGCACGCAAACACCTTCGGTAACGAAGGCCTCCTCGAGCACCCAGTCAAGATCCACCATAGCCTCGAGGTGGCAGTGCAGAAGCGCGCCCTTTGGCATCTCACGCACGATTTTCCACAGCTTGCTCTTCTCCATACGCTCCTTGGCAAGATTGAACATCATGCCGGGGAAAATGTCGACGTGGTCGCTGGCGAGGCTGTCCTCATAGTCCTTGCTCCACAGAGTTTGCTGCTCCTCGAAGCGGATCTGGGAAACAATGGCACATGCTTCCTGAGCTGTGGGCGATAGGTTTTCTCGGAAATGGTGGTCTGAAGGCTGTCAGACCTAGATTCGTTCATACTGGCTAAAATGATGTTGACGGACCACTGCGCTGCTTCTTCTCTTGCTGCACCAGGGCATCGCGGCCGGAGAGGTACTTTTGTATGAAGGGGTCGCCAAGGCTGGGGACGCCCTCGGCTTGCTCCCAAGCGCTATCTGTCGGCGATGCCATACTCTGTACGCCAGAAGGCACGGTTGAGGGCATGAGATGGGTGTATGTGTCTAATGTGGCTGCCTGAGAGCCGCGGTAAGCCGTGGTCGCGTAGAGGCTTCCCGATAAGGTGCCTCCGGTGGTCGTTATCGATAGTGGGCCACACCCTGGGCCGAGCCAGCGAGTCGCGGGGAAGTGCACTAACGCCGGGCGCGCTGTGCTGGTGACCACAACTCGTCGACGACAACATCGCATCATCAGACGTCTTCCCTAGATCCCCTGCTGTTGGCCACTTGTGACTGCACACCCGACGAACCTAATCTAATCTCGCCACAGGCTCACTCTTGTCCTCCTCACACCCCCGAATCCGCGCTGCGAACGTCGGTCGTCTGTTGCCTCGACCGCGCTACCCAACCAACAGAAATACCCTACATTCACTCAACTTCCAACATTCCACTGGCCGCCTTTTCATACCATCACGGAACACATCACGAGATTCGCGTCGCTTAGCCCAGCCATCCCGATTGTATATACTCGCGCAGCATCTATGGAGTTGCTGTTGGCGCATCGGTAGGCACTCGACTTGCCTACCCGCCCATTCTTGCCCTCAACCCGCGCCACAGCGCCACAGCCATGGCATTTATTTCGGGCCTTTCTTCTGCCTTCGGGAAGAAGCTGTTGCTGTTCGGCTTGCGGCATATCGACATCCTCGACAAGGATCCCGCCGAGTTTGTGAACGTCGACGTTGGCAAGCGCACCACACTCGTGGTCAGGGATGTCGGTTTGCATATCAAGGTGAGAGCTTCTGCAGACTTACCTTGCTGAGATAGGCTAACCAGGTATTACATAGAAACTTGTGGCCCTTCTCCACCTTAAACTCCCGCCCGAAATCCATCTAGCCACCGCCCGTGCGTCGCTATTCCGCATTACCTTCGTACTCGAACTCGGTCCCCCACGCATCATAATAGAAGTCGATGGCATTCGGATTCGCGCTCGCCTGATAGAGGACACCAGCACTGTCTCCAAGTCACGCGGTACCGAGCGAACATCACCTAGGGCTAGATCTCCGTCACTGCACCGTTCGTCATCCCCACCACCGGACCATCTTGGCGGCGCCCTGTCTGACGATGATGACGACCATATACCGACGGTGGAAGATTTGGCAGACTCGTTTCTTAGGGAAGAGCCGGAAGAGGAAATTAAAGAGCTGGAACAGGAGCTGGAATCTCAGTCGGCATGTCTCCAAGAGTCGGTCTCATCGAACGAGGACGACGATGAAGAGAGCGTTGCGGGAATGGGAGCTCCCATGCCCCTCCCTTACTATCTTCGAAATATTTTGAACACTGCTCTGGATCGCCTGCAGATTGTCGTGAAGGACATTGATATTGACGTTCAAGACCAGATATCGTCATCGCCTCTTACCAGCGAAGATGAGAACGCATATACATCTTTGAATTTCCACGTGGATCGCGTCGCTATCGACTCTGTGACCGCTGAGGAACCCCGTGTTAATATTTCGACCTCAAAGATTCCGCAAGATACGTCGAAATTAGGCAAGCGGCGGTTGCGCATCGATAATATTTGTGGACGACTGATCTCGGATGCGCGCAATTTCGTCTCTGCCTCACGAACATCGGTGCCATCGTCACCGGTCGATACACGCTCCGAAATGACTTCCAGTTTGAAGACACAGAGCGAACCGGCAGCCAGCGAAATTCTTCCCACACCGGAAGCCTCGGCACGGTTGACGGAGGCAGCTTCGCCGGTTTTGACTTCTACAGAGGGCCAAGCGACAGCACTGAGCCCTGTGACTGTGCCCACGGAAGACCCTTCACATGCGCCTACATTGGCACCGGTGTCACCACCTTTACAGCAGCACCCGTTAAGCTCGTCCGTGCACACAACAGACGATGATCGGTTTGCTGATGCCAACTCGGATGACGGCTTAGAGCGCAGCATCGCAAGTCAATCAAGTAGCCGCTCGGGCCCACGCGATCTGGGTGATAGTAGTCGTCTCTACGGCGATGACGAAGGCCTCCTAGACTTTTTGCAAAACAATGTTCTTGACTCGCACTTAGGGACGAGCCAGCTTGAAGATGATCCAGAATTCCGTGCCTCGGACGACTTGTGGAATCTCAATAGAGCAGATTCGAGACATGGGGACGCGCAGCGGTTCTATGAAAGCCAGTATTCGTCGTGTGATTTGCCGACAGTGTCTATGCTTAGACGATCAATCGAGCCGGTCGCAGAAAGAGCATCTTCTCAAGAAAGCGCGTCTCCATCACAATCAATCACTGTGGAACAACCCAGTGCAGAGGACGATCTACATCATAGTCGGCAATCTGTGGGAGTTGAAGCTCCAGAACCAGTACACGATCGCGATTTGGCTAGCTCTACTGTTAGCCAAGCGTCGACTCAAGAAGACTTGATAGAGTCTAGGACGTCTAGTCACGAGGATGCTGGAAGCTTGTACATGAGCGCTATGAGCGCAGCGCCCGGCCAACATGGACACGTGCCTGGAGGTTGGGATTCTTCCTCATCAGCATCCAGCCATGACACTTCGTCGGACACATCGGTAGAGGTACCCGAGGAGATGATCGCAGGTAGTATACTACGTCCTCAGCCAGATACGGATGATGGCTGCGAAACGCCACGACCGAGCAGCCCGCAGAGCATGTCCTCCCCTCAACAGACTCGCCGTGTATCCACTGCAGTGCCAGGCGTCTCGGTAGAAAGCCAGGAGGTGCCTCGGAAGTTGTTAGCAAAAGCCTTTCTGACCATCGACGAGATCACGGTTTGGTTCCCACTAGGCTTGAACGGGGACGAATCTGCAGTCGAGGCATCTAATTGGGACCTGCGTCCTGAAGGGCTCGCCGAGGATTCCATGTACGAAACCATGCCTGGCACCTTCTCCCACCATGCCATTAGGGACTTGCGGAAAAAACCTGCTGCTGATCCCGCAGCTCGGCGGCGTCCAGAGCCTCGAGTGCCTGAGACGGAGAAGAAAACAGCCACTGCAAACGTTTCTTTCGAGATAGGCTCTATCGTTTGCCACGTCGATTTTGCCACAGGCAACATCATGTTCCAGATGCTCACTAAGGCAATGGCCGCCTTAGCTGAAGACATCACTGATAAGCATACGCAAAAGACAACCAAACCGGAGACAGGGAAACTGACGGCGTCTCGATCTAGTGTCGAGCTTTCCGTGAAAGCCGTTTGCATTGCCTGGAAGGAACGATTGCTGAGTGAATCGTTCACAGAAATTAGTGGTTCTAGCCCATTGCTCGAACAAGATCCGTTAGATGCTATTGTCAAGATCACCATGGCTTCTGTTTACGGAGCAAGCCAAACAACGTCAACAGAAGCTCAGACTAAGGTTCAGATTGCCAAGTTCACATTGTCTTCCTTGGATTACGATATTATAACATTCGAGAAGTCTCGCTCAAAGGCTCGTAGATCAGTCAGCAATGCTACGGATCACCTGAAGCATGATGTTCAAGTCGTATACGAACAGAGGCAAGATCGCCGTGTGACCGTTATCACCCGTCCGGTGAAGGTTATCTTCGATCTGGAGAAGGTGGATGAAGCTTTGGGATCTTTCGGAGGTTTTAGCGGTGTTCTAGAGCTGAGTGCCTCCATAAGCTCTAGCAGCCGTGGTAATAGCCCTGTTATGGATCCAGCACCAGCTCGAACTCGTGGTGTGCGCTTCGGCGATACCACACCACCTCCTACGATTGCTCCTTCAACGATGCCCAAGATCCAAGTGCAATTTGGAGACGTTGATTTTGTACTCAAAGGACAAAGCTGTGCTGTACAGCTGCAGACTACTTCCGTCAAGCTTGCTGTCCGGGGAAGCAATGTCCGCTTGAAAGTAGCGGATGCCCAACTCACTGGCCCCTACACGGCAATTATTACGAATGGCGCTCCGCTTGTAGTGAAGATTCAAGACACTACGGTGAATTTCCTGTCATCGCCCGAAGAAATTGATTTGGACAAGTTGATATACATGATCACACCTTCAAAGGACCCATACGAGAACGATGATGACATCCTGATTGAGACTTTGATACGACAACGCAAGAAAGGATCTGTTCTTCGGCTAGACGTGAAGTTAGTGGATGTGCTGGTGACTGAAATCGATGCACTACGCGCATTCGAGGCGCTAGGAGCGGAGATGGCAAAGCTGTCCAGGATTACGAAGTATCTCCCAGATGACGATCGTCCCGGCATCCTTACGCTTGCCAACGTACAGCACATCGGCGCCAGGGTAACGGTAAATGAACGTTTGGGCGATGTGTCGGTCGAGCTGAACGATGCATCCGTGGCACACATCGGCCTTCCTGCGCTTTTTGCCACCCAGATTGGGTCTATGTCTGCTTGGCGAGAAGAGGAGGTGTTGGTTCATGAAGTTGTTAAGCTGGTGGACTCGGACGGGCTGCCAATGGTCATGATGCGTGTCATTGGCGACGAAATGGAGCCCGTCATGAAAGCGAAGCTATTCAACCTTTGCGCCGAATATCATGTCTCTACCGTCATGGCAGCCCTTGGCTTGTCAGAAGATGGGACAATCGACGACATCGCCCTTGGTCTAGCTTCATCAGTCGCCACTATTACGGGGGCAACACCGCCAGCAATCCTGACTAGGCATACATCTTCGGTTAGCTCTCCAGTGACGACGAAAACGAAGCCGCTGCATCTCGACGTTCAGTTCCGGAATTGTGCGCTGGGATTGAACCCTCGAAAGATCCCAGCAAAGAGTCTATTCGTTTTAACGGATGCTCATTTTCTTGGCAAGCAAACGAGCAAAACCGACTACTCGATTGAGATGGAGCTGCGTAAAGCTTCGATTCAGGTCATCGATGACATTTCTCGGCTCGCGGAAGAACAGAGACCCGCCCCATCTTCTAAGGTTCTCGTAAACAATCCCCAGCTTCGTGAGCTGCTCGATCAAGGCTATGTCACACTAAGCTCTATCGCGGCGGCTAAGGTGATTGTTGCTATCACAGGTGATGGTGACGTTCAACCTCAAAAGGTTGACGTGGAGTTTCAGAACGAACTCTTTGTGATAGAGTCGTGTGCGGATTCTACACAAACCCTCATCGCTATCCTGAATGGTCTACAGCCACCAATGCCTCCATCAACTGCTGAACGTTACCGGCCTACAGTGCCACTGCAAGAGATGATGGAATCTTTCACGATGGATGCACTCGCCGCTGATCCGGACGCTATTCCTCTGGACGAAGACGAGGACGCATTCACCCTTGATGAGGACGAGGAATTCTCCATGGAAAACGCCGACCTGATTCTGGATGATATTCCCACGAACAGGGAGTTTGTGGGCAGCTTTTACAATTCGGAGTCCTTGCCAACTGAAGAGGACATGGGAGACAGCATGCTCGAGCAAGATGATCTGGGCGCTCTCGCCACCCCGCCCGTCACTCGTAAGCTTGGTGAACCCGCCATGTTGGAGAGCTTCGAGGAACGCTTCGAGGTCGCGTCCGGGCAGGAACAGTTGAACTTCGATGACAATTATTTTAAGGACTCGGACTCCGATTACAAAGGCAAAGCTCGGAAGTGGGATTCTTCAAACAACAAATACCACCACGTGAACGCGTTCAAAGCCCCCAATGCTCCACTCAAAGTACAGATCCACGATATGAATATCATCTGGAATCTATACGATGGATACGATTGGCCAAAGACTAGAGGTGACCTGGCACAGGCAATCGACGATATCGAAGCTCGCGCAGAAGAACGCCGACGGAGATTTCAAGAAGACGATGAAGATCTTGAGTTCATCGAAGAAGGCCAGCTGTTCAACTCTGTGTGGATCGGAGTGCCCATCAAGGAAGCGAAAGGTGCCTTGGCAAAACAGGTCATTCAGGACATCAATCGCGGCCGCGATGGATCCGATCAGGCTAGCGAGACGGGCAGCTATGCTACATCTACTGCTACGCGAACCACAACAGCCACAGCGCGACCACACTCAAGCGTATCGACCAAACGCCTTCAGAAGTTGGGCCGAGGAAAGCATAAGCGGATCTCGTTCGAGCTCAAGAATGTTGCTGTTGATCTCGTGGTTTTTGAACCTGGTTCTGGCGAGACGGTCAACTCGATCGACGTCCGCATTCAAGACGTAGTCGTCTATGATCGTGTTCCTGGATCTACCTGGAACAAATTCGCTCTATGCGACGTGGAACCCGAGAAACGCGAGATGAACCGGCCAATGATAAACATTGCACTCTTAACAGTCAAACCAGCACCAGACCTCGCCGCCACCGAACTAGTCATTGAAGTCAGCGTTCTACCGCTCCGTCTGCATGTTGACCAATTTGCTCTGGAGTTCATCCAGCGTTTCTTCGCGTTCAAGGACCAGTCCGCTGCCAGCAGCTCCGCTCCATCTGAGCAGCCGTTCATCCAGCGGCTCGCAGTCAACACGGTGAAGATTAGGCTGGACTACAAACCGCGCAAGGTCGACTACCGTAGGCTACGCTCCGGCTCCACCACCGAGCTGATGAATTTTATGACATTAGAGGACACACCAATCCTCCTCCGCCACGCCATTTTGTATGGCATCAAATCATTCGACGAGCTCCACGACACCCTAAACAACGTATGGATGCCCGACGTTCGTGAGAACCAGCTCGCCAAGGTCCTCTCCGGTGTCGCCATAGCCCGTCCCGTCGTCAACGTCGGCTCCGCCGTAGCCGACCTCTTCATCGTCCCTATGCGTGAGTACCGTAAAGACGGCCGCGTCGTGCGCGCCATGCGGAAGGGCATGGTTGCCTTTACTCGCAACACAACGTCCGAAGCCGCCCGCCTCGGCGCCAAAGTCGCCATCGGCGCGCAAACCATACTCGAAACCACAGAGCGCTTCCTCAACCCTGAAACTGCGAATCCGGTCCATCCGTCTTCGTCTCGCACTCCGTCAGGCGGCCACGACTGGGAAGACCTCTCCGCTTCCGACACCGAAGAACCCCGCGCGGTATCCAACTACGCCGACCAGCCCATCACCGTGCGAGCGGGCCTGCGTAGCGCAGCGCGCCACTTCCAGAAGGACTGGGCGTACGCTCGAGACGCAGTCATCGCTATCCCGGGCGAGATCATGGAGGAAGGGACAGGGGCGGGGATGGCTAAGGTGTTGGCTAGGCGGGCGCCGACGGTTGTGTTGAGGCCGTTGGCGGGGACGACGAAGGCCGTTAGTAGGACGTTATTGGGCGTGGGCAATGCGTTGGATAAGGGGGCCAGGCGGAAGATCGACGATGTGAGTACAAGCTGTTATGATGTGCACGAATGAATGCTGATGTCGGGCAGAAATACAAGACCTATTAGCGTTCAAGTGAGCGCTGGAAGTCTAGGCGTCAGATTCAGACGAGGTATCTTGGGGGCTTGTTCTGGGCGAGCCTCGTCGAAGAGGAAGAGTGGGTCCGTGTGGTATCGGCCTGCATGCTGCACGTGTTCCTCTTTACTCTACACCACCTTCTTCTCTCTTTTAATGTTTTTTCTTTGTGTTCTCAGCATTCACTGCCACTTGGTTTGTCTTGAAATTGCATAGCGCTGGTGCTGAGTGTGGCATTGACGTCGACGCTTTTTCTGAGTTATTATTACCTTGCGCTGTTCATGGAGCATGGATGGAGTTTCTATGGTTTCTGAGTCTTCGCTTCCACGAATGAGCGAGTTTGTAAGTTGCAAATGGAGGAAAGGGGCGTTGATGTAGATTGGAGATGAAATGTTATTGAAGTATCTATGAGGAGTGTGAGAATGCCGTGGAGAGTGGAGTGAGATGAGCGGATCTTGACGAGACCAAAGGAGTCACCTTCACAAACATTGAGGGGAGCATGTCTGCTTCTACCGGATAAACACAAGCAATCGGACGAACACCGTCTTGATTGAAGATGTTGGCAGTGGATGATCACAATACAAGGCCTTTGTATGCGTGCGAGCCAGTCGACCACATCTTCGAAGAAAGAGCGAAGGCGAAAGTAGCAAACGGGCACGTGGTCGCTTGCCATTCTTGACAGTCGCGCGCAAACAATCTTCTCTAAGTCACCTTTCTTGACCACGTTGATGTATGGCACAAACTCATTGCCGACCTATTATCTTGCTCTTGCTCCCAAGTGTAACGAGCAGAAAGCGGAGCCCGCAGATGATATGTAGCATGCAATCTTTGTATAAAGTCATAGGGATATTCCCATGGCGCACCGACTCTATTCAGCTCCGTCTTCTTGAAGCCATTGTAAGACTTTGCTACAAGACATTGGGCCGGGCATTGAGTTTCGTTCATGCCAAAGTAAACTTGTAGATATGTCCGCCGGTAATGAATTGAATGACAGGGCTACACTGCCACTCGGCCAATATTCCGTTTCCATACTTCATCCTGGCCAAGCGGAGAAGTTAATGTATAGTAGTGCTGAGATGCGGTGTGCCTTAGAGAACAAGACAATTTGCGAATCGCTATTTATCTTTCATACAATGGTACATACCTGGACCTGAAACCGGTTGTCTTGGTCTTTTGTATGGCTAGCTGGGTAAACTGATAATCCTGCTCGCTTATGTCGCGGCTGGCCTTTGTGCGGGCCGCCTGACATGCCGTAACGCGTGTCATTGCCGTGGGGGCGGTAAACCGAGAGCTGTGAACTTTAGCCAACTCGCATTGACGACGTCGAAACTGCTTATCCTGTAGTTAGCATTTAGTGCGAGGAAAGCTATGCGGTGCGAATTCTTCGCTGAATGAGGCCGCGATTCCATGCATATCGAATGCCGAGATATGATTGGCTCGTTTGTATACGAGGTGTCTAAATAGTCATACTGGACGTTCGAACACACTGAACAACACTGATCCCCTTGACCGACACAGAGACTAGGTGCATAGGGCTCGGCTCGCGGGAATGAGCGAATCCGAGAGCTCAGTTCCTCAGCTCCAATTGATCATACCTACTCACATTGTGCGCCCCAAATGCAGCTTCGGGAAGGCTTAGCAGCCCTACCAGTTCGGGCGATAAACAGCGAGAGCTTATTTGAATCACCACCGGTATGGGGCGGATTGGATGGTTCTGTGCATCGTTAACGGCCCGTAGTACAAACTAAGACCCCATTCGTTCATCCCAATTGGGAACATCTCATGGCCAAGCTTCAGCCCGGCCCACTCTTTCCGCTATCTTAGAACTTAAGGCGCTCCACAAAAGTAAGGCGTCCGACCGAAGCCGGTAGCCACCGCAAAACATGTTGAGTATATACATATCTCGAGAAGAGCAGGTGGGCAATGCGATGGTGGCTTATTCAAGTTGCTTGAGACAGAAGGTAACATACTATGGACCAACATTGTTGGGGCTGCCGCAAACGAAGAGTCGTGTGTGACTTAGGGAAACCAGGGTGCGCAAAGTGCAAAAGAGCAGGGGTTGAGTGCCCGGGATATGGCAAACGAAAACCGCTGCAGTGGCTCGAGGTAGGACGGGTCAAATGCAGGGACAAGAAAAAGAAGCCTCAAGTCGTTGTGAGTGCCGTTGTGGATGGAATCGAAGATGTCGATGAGCCAGCAAAAACCGATTCTTCGACTACCAAATCACCGTCCAAAGGAAAAGAACAGGTTCTTTCACCCCTTTCACTCCGACCGAAAGTCAAAATCCACTTGAAGGTGAAAGCGGATGTTGAAGTCTTCGAGGAAGATGTCCCACGGCTGGGTATCAAGGATGAGACAACAGATGTAGTGCAGGCGGTCTTTTACTGTGAGTTGCTCAGTATACTCGTGTTTGAAGGACGGAAAGTAGCTGACTGATGTTATCCCGCAGATAACAAGACCTTCTATCCCAACCTACATAGCTATTACGAGATGTGTCCCTCCTCTTTCGTAGTGCCGGTCCCTCTAGAGGTGTTGCACCATATGCCTGCTGCGATGCGCCATACCATGGTGACTCTGTCCTTATGCTACCGACTCCATCGGAAAGACATTGCTGGAGAAGTTATCTGGCCAAAGATCCTGGTTCATCGGGGAAGCGCCATACAAGACTTGAACAGGACCATCGGACAGTGCAATTTGCAAGTGAGCAAGAAGCATATGACGCGGGAACAGAGCCGGATGATTGATACGATAATTTCTTCTGTCATCGTATTCGTTTCTGTAGAGGTATTAGTATCTGCTCTAGGTGTATATAAAATTCCTAACACCGAGCAGATACAGTACTGCGCATCGATGGAATGGCGACACCACATAGAAGCAATGTCAGGACTAATTGCGATACGTGGTGGAATGACTTCGCTCTGGGATGAGTCGCCTTCTGTTCGGGCTAGTCTGTTACACTTTGCTTTGTGAGTTACCGACATTGATTCGTCCGCACTTCGCGTTTCACACCTCTGACTGAAAGGTAGGATTCAGAACTTCGCAGCATCAACCAGTCCTGTAACTCAGCAAACGCAAATGAGGCCCTTCAATCAGCTGCTCAGTGTTCCAGAAGAAATGCACGAGGAGATATTCTCATATTGTCTCTGTCCGTTTCTGCTGTTCGAGAGCATTGCGTTCATCAACCGGCTGAGGGTTCAACTGGCGCAAGAGATCACCAATTCTGCAGCTGGGAAAAAAGCAGCGGAGGCAGTGTTTTCGAGGATTGAGTCTTTCTCCACCAGTGACTGGGCAGCCTCTCAGACTGGCTTTGTCGAATCCCTGGGACTTGCTGCAAGCATCTACCAGTGCGCGGTGATGCTATACTGTATGCTGTCTCTGGAGCAATCCTTGGCTTCATCCGTTCCTTTAAGGAAGCTGCATCGAATCTATGGCGATCGGCTGCTCCGATTATTATCGCGAGCACTCTCCGAGAGCTCACCGGTGCCAAGGGTCCACTACTTCATCGTCTGGCCTGTTGCAGTCGCTGGCGTGGAGGCTGCCAGGCGCGGACCTGGGACGCAGTCACTGGTAGACGATTACCTGACACGGATGAGTCGGCAGGCTGGTACCTGCTCGGCGTTCATCGCGCAGACCGCATTACGAGCTTTTTGGGCATCCGGCCGGACCGGATGGGACGAGTGCTTCTGCAAACCATACGCACTGCAGTGTTGAGAGGACAACACCGCAACGGCAACTCCGACCCAAGGCAGATTTTCGCGTGTTGATCAGGTTGCGTGACAAGACGGATCGGTGAGGAAGAAGGGTGGCAAACGGTTCAGGGCTGGGAGACAGGCTATGCGCCTGATGCGCGCTGCGTGAGGCTGAGAGACACGGCACAGCAGTAAAGAAGCACCCGTAGAGGATACTGGTGGAAGATGAGTGGACGCAGATGCGTGGAAGAGGGTGTTGCTGAGTGGCAAATGAGGGCTTGGAACCGTGCTAGCCACTTCCCAATTACCTACGTGCCTACTACCAATCGGGTATGAACTTCATCGATCCCTCCTGGCAACACTCACGAATGGGAGGAGCCCTTGAACACTTACATCATCTCTTACTAGACGTAATGTGCTTCCTTATCCACTACAGTATGTGCAACTTCGTTCTCTCTTTCGTCTTCGTCGATGTCCAGCTAATGAGCTGGCGTGGAGAACCGTCACAGCCCCCATGTCGACTTGCCCCCACATTCGGCTTGTGGGATCCGTAGTACTGCACCTGGGTTCACCACGGCAACGCAAATGACCATGGGTCTCATGAGCATGGTCGCCGCCAGTTCATCAAGATGAGAACGAGGTTTATATCTAGATCATATACTTGTTTCATCTACGTTTAGTGAAGCCCTTTCCACCACGTTGACTTCCCGATCAGGAAAGAGCTGCCCGCAACGACTTTGTCGCTACTTGTTCCTACGACAATGTCGTATGTTCCTTCTTCTGATAACCACTGGTCTCTTTCCTCGTCCCAATAACTTGTTGCGAGCTTCTTATTCAGATCTATGTTGATCTTCACTTTTTCGCGCTTCCTCAGGAAAACCTTTCTGAAGCCTTTGAGTTCCTTTTCTGGTCTGGTCACGGTAGACATTCGCTGGCTGACATATACCTGCACCACTTCTGCCCCGTCTCGTTCCCCAGTGTTATTTAGGTCCAGGGTAACACTGATCGTGTCGTCTTTCGCATCCACCTGCAAGTTCTCTAGCGAGAAGCTTGTGTAGGATAGGCCGTGTCCAAAGGCGAATAAGACATCCCTCTTTGTCTTTTCGTAGAAGCGGTATCCGACGTAGATGTCTTCGCCGTACAACATCCTTCCTCTCTCACTCCTTTGATTAAGAAAAGCAGGGTTGTCCTCATTGCGGATCGGAAAGCTTAGCGGTAGCTTGCCGCTAGGGTTGATATCGCCAAAAAGGATGTCTGCAATCGCGTTGCCGGTCTCGATGCCACCGAACCAAGCTTGAACCAGTGCCGGAACCTCCTGTATCCAAGGCATAGACACTGGTGTCCCAGACTGGTTTACGACAACGGTATTTGAGTTAGCCTTCGTAACAGCGGATACTAGAGCATTGGTATGGCCTGGCAAATCCATGTCCGGTCGGTCAAATCCTTCAGACTCCCAGTCGCCACTGAGGCCTACACAAATAACGACTTGGTCAACTTCCTTGGCCAGCTGCACCGCCTTATCTATCTCTTCTTCCGCATTTGTTTTCAGCGTAGCGCCAACTCGTACCCCGCCGCCTCGCATGGCTGTCGCACCCTTCTTCCTCACGGTTTGCGTCAGGCCGGAGCCAAACTGCAACAGGACCGTGTATGTCTTACCCTGCTCCAAGTGTATTGAAGCCCTTTCTTCACGTGTACCAGCTCCCATGAATGTTCCACCAAGCGTCTGCTTTGTAGCATTGTCCACAATGAGCTCTCCGTCAACAAAGATACGGGCAGTACCACGCACCGAACATCCAAAGAGATATTCACCGGAGACTTCAGGTGTAATTGTACCCTCAAGGTCGATGTAGAAGAGTTCAGGGCTGACATCTGGGTGCACATAATCAGCCAGGAACATGTCAGAGGCGTCGACAAAGATCACATCCTTCTGTGCTCGCTCTTTGACTTCCGGAGGCTCGTTGTAAAATCTTGCTGTCAAGCCTTTTCGTCCGTCGTTCGTTTTCGTCAAATTAGATAGCAGTGGAAGTTGTTTGTACGCATGCGCACCTAGGGTGTACTTGACGTCTTTAGCAGCCGACGATATGCCTTCGAATGGTGCGACTGCGTAGTACGGCTTCAAGTTTGCAGAGCCACCCCCGGAGTATGCAGCAAACTTAGCGTTTGGACCCATGACGGCAATAGATTTACTGCGATCTAGTGGCAAAACTTGGCGTTCGTTTTTCATCAAGACGATTCCGGATGATGCAAGCTTGCGAGCAAAACCTGGGGTTTCAGGCGCATTGAGCTCTTTCTCTTCTGCATCTTGAGGTATTCCCAGCCGCTCGACTCTCTTCACAAGCTTGAGCAAGTTTCGCACTCGGTCATCGACGTCATACTCTGTGACTTTGCGACTTCCAAGCGAGACTGTGATGTTGGGTCCACGCAACCTCGGCGGACCAGGCATTTCGCAGTCCAACCCGGCTTGCACCGACTCCGCGGCTGAGTATACACCGAACCTGCCAACAATTAGTTTTAATCAAAAGGGGATGAAGCTATGGATCTCACCAGTCGCTCATGATGAAGCCGTCAAATCCCCATTCCCCTCTCACCACATCTGTGAGCAATCTTTTGCTCTCGCTTACATGTAGTCCATTGATCTTGTTATAAGAGGACATTAGCGCCCAAGGCCGAGCGTCACGGATCGCAATCGCAAAAGGTGCAAGGTAAATCTCCCTCAGCGCGCGTTCTGAGACCACGCAATTCACGGCTTGACGTTCGTGCTCCATATCGTTGCAAACGAAGTGCTTTATACAGGCGGAAACGCCAGTTCCTTGAATACCTTTAATCACTGCAGCGCCTATCTGGCCACTTAGAATTGGATCTTCGCTGAAGCTCTCAAAGCCTCGGCCGCCCAGAGGAGATCGTTGAATGTTCACTGTTGGACCGAGAAGAACATGTGCTCCCTTAGCTATCGTTTCTCGGCCCATCAATTCGCCTGCCTGCTGAAGAAGAGTTTCGTCCCATGTTGCGCCGAGAGATGTCCCACATGGTAGACAAGCTGCTCGCACGCCATTGAAAAATTTAGTCCCACGAGGTCCATTGGGGCCATCTGTGAGACGGAGCGCAGGAATGTTCAATCTAGGGACATCACGCGTATGCCAAAAGTTCTTGCCTACAAATGTCAGAATCCACTTCTTGGCTGTCGATTTTGGGAATTGATTTACCAGAGAGGAGCGCGATCTTCTCGTCTAAGGTGAGTTGTGCAATGAGGTCGTCGACATCGAACGCTGTAGTGGTATCTTCAGACATGGTCAATAAGAAATTAGATTTTGTGGAGGGCGAACTATGCCTGTGTGCAATAGACCTGAGAGACAATGAGATGAAAAGTGGAAAGGAAAGGTTATGGACACGAATGCCCCACACGCTGGGCGGAGCAGGTCGCTAAGCCAATCGGAGGAATGCCAGCTTTCTTGAGCGGCCACCCGATTCGTCAGCCTGGGTGTCCAAGGCGGTCCGAAGAGAAAACTATCAGAAAGTGTACAAAAGAGCATGTAGGTAGGATTCATGGCATTCTGACTTTATAGAAACACTGCTATGTCGCTCTTTTCTGATCTGCTTTCAGCCGCCAAAACAACAAGAATGTCTTGGAATCGACTCATTCAATTCAAGGCGGAAGATGGCAACCTTCATTATGGAGATCCGGTCATCTCATCACCTTCCGACCTACAGACTCTCCTTGCCAGCGGCCAGCTCAAGGCTCGCGAGCTTGCCGGACCAGATATTACTTCTCTCAAGCCCACTGGACAGGAACTTTTGGTCAAGGAGATCACCGGTCCACTATCACCATCGGATGTGCCAATAGTACGATGCATCGGCCTCAACTACCAAAAGCACATTCAGGAAGGAGGTCGCAAGCCTCCACCGTATCCATCCATCTTCATCAAGAGCTCAGCCACGATCACTTCATGGAACGCTAATGTTACTGTTCCGACGATAGTACATCCAACCGACGAATTGGATTACGAAGGGGAGATGTGTATAGTGATCGGCAAGACTGGATCAAACATTCCAGCCGACAAGGTGGAAGACTACATCTTAGGCTACACAACTGGTAACGATGTCAGTGCACGCAAGTGGCAGCGTGATCCTGCATTCGCCGGTGGCGTACCGCAGTGGTGTTTCGCAAAAGGATTTGATGGTTGGTGTCCTGTTGGACCAATGATCGTCAGCCCCAAAGTCCTGGGCTTCGCAGATAAGCAGAGCTTGAGGACCTGGGTGAACGGTGATTTGAGGCAGGATAGCGATACGAGCGATTTGCTGTTTGGTGTGAAGGAAATAGTGCGGTTTGCAAGCCAGGGAACTACTTTAGAAGCTGGTAGTATAATCATGACGGGTACACCAGCGGGGGTGGCGATGGGTATGGCAGAGCCAAAATATCTCATAGATGGAGATATTGTCGAGATTGAGATCGGTGGGTTGGGAAGGATCCGGAATAGGATGGTCTTTGCGAAGGATCAGGCGCAACCTTAGAAGCCGATCAATGAAATAGCACTGTCTCAAGTCAAATGGATTAATTCATTTGAGGCTGTTCGGACAGCAATCCGCGTGGTGGATATATGTAATAAGCCATATAAGCCCGTCCATCCCGTTCACACGACCGGGGCTCACTGCCTGCGGGTCTTACTTGTAAAAACGATCTCTTTCGCTTCCTACTCACGTCATGAAGTCAATCCCCGCTCATGGAAGCTGCCTTTGCGGCAGTATCTCCTTCTCAATACACGCTGAGCCGGCTAAGGTCCTATCATGCTATTGCACTGATTGTGTGAAGAATGCCGGAGCACCATATCAAGTTGTACGAAACTTCACGACTGAAAAGCAAAAAGTCCCCTGACTTCCTCGTAGATGGCATCATTCACAACCGACAGCATCAAGGTGCAAGATCCCAAGAATCTCCTGAAGATCTACACTATCTACAAAGGGACGGCCAGTGGCTTTCCAAAGGAGAAACACTTCTGTGGGCAATGTGGCTGTACATTGTGGACCGCGCCGCGGAAGTACAACGGCAAGGTTTGGATGGTGCGAGTAGCTTTACTGGATGATGGGTGAGTGCCAGTCCGTCCAAGGACCACCTCATTGCTGAATGGCATTATCACTAGGCTCAATGAGTTCAGACCCACAATCGCGATCTTCCTCAAGCCAGTTGCCCGAGCGGACGACGGGTGACCTCCGACGAGCTAACCCCGACCCTAACCCTGTTTTAGACGCGGCAGTGCTTTTAGAACATGAGTCTAGAAGCCAATCGGGGGGCGTTGCGGAAGTGCTCCGAGAGCCGCTGCGGGGGAGCATATGGTCGAATGGACAATGCGGGGATTGAGATGAGTTCCGCGATCTGTTGTTCTGCGTTCAATCCTCAAATATTACGATAGGTAGCTCCAGAATTCCTCCAGCTTCTCGACCGGCAACAAAGACAATAGCCCGTAGCTTTTCCTATCGACTTTTTACATCTTTGACGTAGGCGCCGACCATGTCTCCTCACAAAACGCAATCCAATGAAACCGCCGCGTACCTTTCCACACTCCCTTCTAAAAATGTCGCACCTCTGTGGACAGTCATGTCCGCAATGGTGCCACCTGCACCAAACCCCAAAGCCACAGTTGCATCATGGAAATATGATGAGATCCGACCAATGCTCCTAGAAGCCGGCCGGCTAGTGGCCGCTGATGAAGCGGAGCGCAGAGTGCTCATGCTCGTTAATCCTAACATGCGTGCGCCCTACACCACAGACACAATATATGCTGGCCTGCAGCTGATATTGCCTGGAGAGACTGCACCAGCTCACCGGCATACGGCATTTGCTTTGAGGTTCATTGTGGAAGGCGAAAGAGGCTTCACAGCTGTAGAAGGGAAAAAGGTTATAATGCGACGCGGCGATGTAATATTGACACCCAGTTGGCAATGGCACGACCATGGTCATGAAGGTGTGCGAAAACTTATCTCGATATCGATGATCGGTCACTGATTGCAGCAGGGGACGGTCCCATGATCTGGCTGGATGGACTAGATTTGCCATTATACCAAGCTTTCCCAACCAACTTCGCCGAGATGTACAAGGACGAGAGATATCCAAGCGAGTGAGTATGCACCAAACTTAGAGTAATCCAATAATTAAGTATGATGCAGGGAAGTAGAGTCTGCTAAGGACATCCAAATCGGATGGGAAGAAGTCCAGAACGATCTGGACGCTCGAACGGGCTCGCACGCGATCTACAACTATCGATCGCCTTCCGGAGGCCCATTGTCGCTGACTATGGGCGGTCAAGCCGAGCGCGTCGATGCCGAAACGAAGTCTCCCCCAATACGCGAAAGCTGTTCCTTTGTATACCATTGTTACGAGGGTTCGGGCAGGAGTGAGCTAAAGCTAGCAAACGGCGAGACCAGGACATTAGAGTGGACCAAAGGTGATACCTTCGCGGTTCCGGCATGGACGGAAAGAGTGCACGTAGCCTCAGAGCTCAGCTACTTATTCGCGGTAAACGATGCACCGCTACTGAACAATTTGGGCATGTATCGCAAAGAGCAATGAAGTAAAGAGGAGGCATCAAAAGGTTCTTTAGCTTTGTGGTGAGTGTTGGCCATGGCTTGCCAACGAACAAATCTTGGCGAGTGACATGTAGGATTATATACCTTGGGTGGGGTGACCCAATCCATATTGAGCGCCCGAAATTACGAATCAATACTACAAGAAGGTATTACCCGCAAGCTGTTCATGCGAAGCACGGGCTGTCGTTGAGAAGTCTAAGTTATACCATGTGCCAATTATAAGGCAGTTGCATCAATTGGCAAAGAGTTCAGCCAGTCTAGACCATTCACTGGCCACCAGTGCTCGACGAAGGCATCTTCATTGAAAATGCCCGTGTACGCGTGAGAAGTGTCAGCGAACGAAGGCTGGCGCATATCGACCTCAGGAAGCAAGGTGGCGGTTGTGGGAGGTGCGTCTTGCACACTATAGCCCTCTGTCCAGAGTTAGCTTTGCATCAACTACACGACGAGGGAGATACTACCTGCTGCATCCCGAGACGACTGCTCTTTCGCAGACTGAAGCATTAATAGACACCGGTTCGCAAATGCGCAATCACTCTTTCGCATGTCCCAAAGACATTGCAAGCATCTCTGCCACGACGTCTCAAGTGAATTGGGTTCCTGGTCGCTGGAGGTTCGTAGTGTTGGTGTAAGTATTGTGGCAAGTATTACTGTGCCGGCGGAGTAAAGGTCTAAAGGACAAATTAGCTGATTCTCTAACCTACGATACGGACACCTACAAAAGACGCTATACCACCAAGGCGGAAGGGTTCCTTTATCTTTCTCCTGACTGATAATAGTGATGAGCTCTTGCGCCGCCCCGATGCATGAGTTGACGCATCCTTGAGACATGCTGTGCTGGAATATTGTTCTCTCACCGTTCGCAGTCGTCTTCAACGCACACGAACGTACGAGTGATACAGTCGTTGGCCGGAAAGATAGTATTTTCAGATGAAGAAACCTGCATCGTAGTGTAATGGCTTGTCTTACATATACCAGCTGTTGCTCATTGGCATGGCCTGCGCTCCACTGAAGAAAGTCGGGGAGTTCCTCCAGCCATTGTCCTAGGCTATGATCTATCACCTGTACATTTGTAAATTGTTCCAGAAGGGGCATTCGGTCTGCGCTTGGAGGAGCGTAGAAGATCTTCAAAACTTCCATCAAGATCTCTGAAAGCTTGAGGGTTTTTACGAACGCGGCAGAAATCGCCTTCTCTTGCGGTGCTATCGGTTGCGAAGAGCTTCCAGGCTCCATGCTCAGATCTTCATCGTTCGTGATCGAAGGGAAAGGTACTACCGATGGCCAGACAACCATCGGTGGTCGACCGAAGGTCATGCTGTGGACTCGATCCATAAGCACACAGCACCACCAAGTTCGCCTGCGCTCTTCTCGTTCTGCTTGGCTCTCGTTGGGCAAGTCTAACTGTACACCAATTCCTTGAGCTACTCGTATCGCGGTACCAATGGTTACCCAACAACGATTGATGTAATCGGAGCTCTGGAGGTATTGAGCGCCGAGTATAAGACCTTGGACCAGGCTCATGCAACCATGGTTGAAGCTTTCGGGGACAATGAGCTCTTGCGAACGCTGAAAGAAGGTTTCCGCACTCTTTCTAGCTTTCTGACCAGTATCTGGTGAGAACGTGCATCCCAGCGCTAGAATCGCATTAAAAGTCGCATAGAATGCCCGTATCGTGTGAATAGATTCTTCGCTCTCGCCCGTTCGAAATTCAGGCATTTCGCCGTGCCATACACGTTCGTATTTGCTCATGAAGCTCGGTTTGTGAAATATTGGCATAAGAGGGTAGGCATGCTCCCAATAATAGTTAAGAAAAGCATCTGCAACTCTCCGTGGGGGAAGAACAATAGTTTCCATGAGCAGCTGAAGTTGTTCCCTCTCTTTCTTCGAACGACTCTGAGATGCTCTAGACACGGTGGGGCTTAATGCGAATCCTATGTCCGAGAGTGTGTGCTTCTTAGCGTTCGTTTGATTGACTTCTTTCATAAAAGCAGCGGCGCTCGATCTACCCAGAAATATTACCCTTCCACCATCGGACGGTGTCTCCTCAGTCGCACCCATTGTGGATGTCATCGCGAGATTTGCATCATTGAAGTCTTCTTTGTCAGGTTGCATAGCGTTTCCGTAAGTTATGTTGTGGGCTGTATTTGATTCAGACTGGTGCCTGGCGATGGAAGGACGGTTGGCGGTTTGGTCAAACAGGAGGGATTGATCCCTTTGCACCATTGTCTGAGCTTCCAATTGAACCAGTTGTGGATCGATCGGATGGAGGTTAGTGGATAAATCTCTGCGGTTTCTGACATGAGTTCCGTCCGCCATGGTATTGCAATCGTGAACTGGAGCAGACAGTGATACATCGGATGCAGGATTTACGTCTGCGCGAGGTGGCAATGCATCAAGATCATGAGATGATCTTTCTTCATTTTGGTAGCGAGATGCTTCTAGCTCCCGTACTCTTCCTTCTAGTTCCTGGATATATTGCGCCTTTTGCTCTGCACTGTCCGCATAAGTACAGTGTTCTGGCCCTAGCCTCTTTTTGGTGCCTACGGCGCGGATACGAAGTCAGCCTGAGCCAAAAAAAGTAAGGTGGACGCAACCTCGTGCATGTCGCAGCCAGGGGAGTAAGTTATCCTTCCTCTGAAGGAAAGACACATCTGCGTTGTACCCACGGATTTGCTTACAGGAATCACAAACAGGTCTAGCTCCGTCACACCGAATTTTGCGCTCGCGGCACTCCTGACATGCAAGTCGCGTCTTAGCTCGTTTGGCCGGTCGCTCACCTAGGTAGTGATCTTTCGGCATGGGTAACGAGAAATTATCTGGGCTACATGAGTTCGGAAGTTGAAGGAGGTGTCGGAGGGAATCCGAGGAGAGCCTGTGCTTGTCTGGAGAACCGGGTGCGCTAAACGCACATGACTCGGCGAAAGCAAGGATCCCCACCCGCACCAGTCTTTAGCGCAAAAGGAAGTCGTTAACCCCAAACCCAGGTTTTACATAAGGTGGAAGTTCCTTCACAAAATTCACCGTCGTATCAAGTGTAAGTATAGGGAGTTGACTTGAACGCGTTCACGTGAGGAATACTGAAATGTGAAACGGCAGTGTATGATTAGCTTGAGGGTAAGAGGAAGGCTTATGGAGCCCTAACAACGTGCGCGACTGACTCCTCTTATTCGGCAGCCTGAAACATTGCAACAAAACATCGCTGTGCAATTTTCACAGTTCTTCCAGGCCTGCTGTGACACTGCAATCCCGCCTACACACTGCATTCCGAGTAATCAGAGGGCTCACTGATACTTCAAACATCGACCGTTTGTTTCCATTTTCCCCACTTCAGAACAATCGCGAACCGCTGTCATCATCATTAAATTGCTGACCGCTATGAATGTGCTGATGAGATGATATAGTCACATTATCTCTCAAAGGAACGACCCATCATGTATTCATTCCGACACTGAACATACAACTAGGCGCGTCGTGCTCCAGAAACGAGCGCCCACAATGGAACGGCTTGTTCTGTCTCTCATCCTTTCTCTTAAATTTTTCCTTCCACTCGCACGTGTTCCATCTTCTCGTCAACTTCTTTGAGGCCCACTTCAGTCATTCCCGCTTTATGGTTCTTTCCATCGAAGACTTCAGCAATCTGCTCCAAGGTTCTGCCCTTAGTCTCCGGAAACAGTACGCAAATCACACCAAAGAGAACAACCAGAATGCAGCAGAAGACGATGTAATATTTCCATCCAATGGCGGTCATGGCAATGGGGTTGACGAACTGTCCGATGATAAGGCCGATGAAGGTGCATGAGAGAGATACTGAGACGCCTTTGCCTCGCAGCGAGTACGGGAAGATCTCTACCGGGTATGCCAGGAGCAAGGGCGACCATGCGATGTTATAGAAGAAGTAGTAGATGAAGATGACGGCGACCACAGCTCTGCCAGCATCCGCATCGTGGGATTTGATGAAGGTGCTCGTGAGGGCGGTCCAAATGGCATACGAAACTGCCATGCCTGCAACGGACGTGAGGAATAGGGGTCTTCGACCAGCGAGATCTACCATCATAGCACCAGCCCCGACGGCAGTAATCCAGTTGAATATTTGTAGCAGTCCGTTGATGAGAGCTTGATCCGCCGTCTCAGTGATACCAATTGAGTTAAGTACCAGTGTAAGATAGTACGAGACCACGCCTGTATTAAATCTGTCAGCAGACGCCTGCCTTTGGCCGACACATAACTCACCTGCACCATTCCACTGAGCGAAGAACCCGACGATGACAGCAATGAGAGTCCGCTTTCGGTTGGGTGCGCTTCGAACGAGGTCTATCCACGAAGTTTCTCCTTGGATCTCCGTCTCGATACGAATGTTTTCTTCGATTTCTTGCAGTTCGTATGCAACAAGAGGAGAGTCCTCGTCACCGGCGGCGTGATACTTTGCGAGGATCCTTCGAGCCTCGCCTTGCTTACCATGAGCGACGAGCCATCTAAGACGGTATGTCAGCGGCGTGTCACAAGGGACCCCTTTGTATACAACATACCTTGGAGATTCCGGCACGAACCAAACGAACGCTAGCTGTACGACGGGCAATGCTCCTTGCAAAAGGGACGGTATCCTCCAGCTCCATGTGCCTAAGGCACATATACATTAGTGTGAATTAAGTCAGGATGGATGGGTACCTCGTGCATCTTTCAGCTAAGCGAGAAAAGAACCTTTATTCTGCCAGACAGATACATCAAGTTCGTACCCAATGGTTCACTCACTTTTGATAGGGAACGTGCCGTAGGTAAACCACGCTGCGAGAATAGCGCCGAAATACTGTTCAATGTTAGGAATGATACTTGTGTATGACATGGTAGATCAGGCATGGATACGTACAAAAAAGGTATTGTAGGTAGCCGTAGCTTTTCCACGGTGCGTCGGGAAGGCCAATTCCGTGATTAGAATAGGCGACGGCTGCACCAAAAACGATGTGCCGAATCCCAGTATGCACCTCGCAGCGATGAACATGCCGACATTTTGACTAGAACCTTGGAGTGCCGCTCCGATGATGCATATGACCAACCCGATCGTTAAGGGGACCTTCCTGCCAAAGCGATCTGCCAGAAAGGTGCAGGGTAGGAGACCAATGACCTTTCCCACAGGATATATTGCATTCAAAAGTCCTAATATGGATGCGTTCGGACTGCCGAAGTATGCTCGCCATTGCTTGACGGTTTGTAAACCATTCATCATCGCGCCTAGCCAGAGTGAGTACGATGCGCGCTGGGGATAGAGCGCGTGTTCGACCTACCATCGAACCCGACCGAGGCAGAAGACAATACGGGAATCAACAACGTCGCATACAAAAGGACCAGATGTTTGGTCCGATACCATGGCTCTGGGTTTTGCGGCAATACCTGTTTGAGGTAAGCACTCAAGTAGGGCAATCAATGGAGAAGAGATGCACAGCAAGAAGCTCAGGCCCGACAGCCTGCTCAGCACCAGCCTTCTTTCGCGAGAGCAGACCCATGGCTGTGAGTAATTCGACTCAGATGGTACAAAGATCGAAAGATGAAGACAGGGGTGATGTGCGAACTGAAGACTTCGCGTTCTCTTATGTATTTCGTTCGAACAAGGTGGCGTAGGGATCTAGATGCTTGGAAAACATCCGTGTCTCTGCGCGCGGTCACTGCCTCCTGCATGTTCACGTGGCATCCCCAGCTTCCCACAGTTCTAGCTGTGGGGACTGTTCCTGGGGTAATTGCTCGGGACTCCTCCGAACTTCGACCTCGGTTACGGATGCATTCCGGCCGCCCAGGCTAGGACCTAGTCATTCACGGAGTTGCCAGGGTCGATCTGGTTCGGACCAATATTTGATTCACATTTGCGGTTCCCGATTATCTAAATCTCTTACTAGCTGCTTGATACTGTATGGGTGGTGGTCAAGATCCCAAGCTATATCTTCGACCACTGCGATTCATGTCCATCTCTTATCGCTCTGAATAATGCATGACCGAGCCTTGCATGTACACATCGATAATCAAAGAGTCAATGGACGTGCTTTCTCTAGGACGCGCCCTATTGATATATGCAGATATCCACGTGCGAGTATGACTACGGAAGTGGGAAGGGTCTTGTGAGCGAGACACGTGTTTGTACTTTGACCCTCTACGAAGCGGTCGGCGCAAGGGCCTCCCATTCCTTCACGCCAATACCTCCATACTGATTGCCACTTACAGACGCAGTTAATACTGCGCGAATCGATGCCGTAGTGATCTGTGTAAACTTGACCTCTGAAGGGTTATCCGTAACCGTCACCGGGTACGCACTCGAGTTCGCCACTACAGTCCATTGCCCCGCAGGATTCAAGTACTCAACCTTCCAGCTCGCAGGTGGAGGTACTCCAATGTTCGATCCTGCCGGCTGGTCAGCGAAGAAAGCCATGCGCACACCGTTCAGTGCGACCGCCCAGCTCCACGTGTAGATAAGAGTGTTCGTCTTTGGCGACGCATCGCCATCGTATGAGCACCAGTAGTCTGGCGGCAGCGGATTCGAAGGAATCTTGCCATCGTGCAAAGCCTCAACCCAGTACTGGATGGGTGTTGCGTTGACGGAGCTCGCCTTTGCTTTCGCGGCAAGGTTCCGTGTTGGAACAGGAGCGGTTACGGCGCGGCGAGTTTGCACAACCTTGTTGATACGCGGGGGCGATTGTGTGTCGAAATTGAGCTCATCCCACGCTACACTTCGGCGGAAGTGGCCGCTGTTGGTTGCATCGGCTGTGTGGTACACGAGGTACCACTTGCCCCTGTACTCCACTGCACCAGGGTGAGAAGTGGTCGAAGAGACGATGTCTAAGATGACGCCGCGGAATGTCCAGGGTCCGAGAGGGGAAGAGGCCGTTCCGTATGCTATGCACGCGTGGTACGATGTTGGAGTGCAGGGTGAATTTGCGCCGGCGTTATTTGCAGCGTAGAGCATGTAGTATGTTCCGGAGCGCTTCATGATCCAGGGCGCTTCAAAGAACCCTGTCAAATTGTTCACGGTAGTGACAGAGCCAACTGTAGTAGCCATATCGCTCGACAATTGGTACCCTCGGAGTGCACCGAATGTACCGTAGTAGATGTACACTTTGCCATCGTCGTCCACAAGTACGGTAGGATCAATGTTCTGAATGTCGTTTCCAGGCGAAGGAATTGATTGCGATAGGATAGGTCCTACAGGGTGTGCATCGGTAAAAGGTCCTAATGGGCTGCTTGACACTGCAACCTGGGTAGGATCAGCAAAGGTCATACATCTCTCCCTTGCTGGTTAATCACAAACACTTACACCAATTGCAAACTTGTCCGCATTGTTGGAGTTCGCTTCCGTAACTGGAGCGTAGAGATAGAACTTCCCATTGACGCCTTTCACAATCTGTGCTGCATATGCCGTGCCAGCAATAGCCCACTTGAAAATGCTCTGAGGAGTTGCGATCGCCGGATAGAGAGTCCATGAGCCGCCTGCTGGAGTTGCTGAAGTAGTACTAAAAATCTCCCATTCGTTCATCACAAAATTGTTCACGTTGGCGGCGGCTTGATCTCGTCCTGCTAGTATGTAAAGTGTGTCGTTTATGACTAATGGCGCTGGATCAGCAGAATAATAGGAGCCGTCTGCAAGGATAGGGTTTCCTGTGGACTGGAAAGTTGTTGCTGCGAGCGCACGCACGCTGGCCGAAGCCAAAATCCACGTGGACCGCGATGTGAACAGCATTTCGGAAGTGCTTGATCGCATGTAAGGCCTGCAATGTTAGTTCCGGAGGCATGTCATCTTTTTTCATTGTTTCGTTGTCTCGGACAAATGCGTCGATCAGTGGGTCAGTATAGAGTATAGGGACATGCTATTAGAGGTGTCATTGGGTCGATTATGCAGTCCACCAATGAGGAGAGGCGACGCTATCACTGCTAAGAAATACTATCTCAATATTAGGAGTGCCACGCGAAAGTAGATGGAGATGGTCAAGTGTAACACGAATAATTCCACTAATGGGTATAGGGCATGGAGTTGTTACGGTCGTGGTCTTTTTGAGACCGTTTCGAAATGAACTTGTGATGCAGATACAAATGCCTACCCGTGATAAGTCTCTCGTGTCCTGTTGCCGGTTACTATTCAAGTGCACTGACCTTGCATTGTCGGCTATCTCGTTAGCTGCCAGCGGAGCAGCACACAAGTATACCTATGCAGCATTGACAGCAACTCTCGCAACATAAAAGCCTCTTCCGCCCCTCCTGCTTGTTGGGCATTTTGCGCGGCCCAGTAGCCGAGACTGAAGATCTATAAGCTGGTGAACCAACTGGCTGTGGCTGTTGCGTCACAGGCTGCTGAAAATTCGGTTGCGGCGCTCCTTTTTCGTTCTCGGGTTGAAGGTACGCCTGTGGTGGCGGGTTCGGCCGGTACTCGTGTGGGTCGTAGGTTTCGGGTTTGGAGTAAAAGCCCATTATGTATGCCTAGTATTCAGTGTAGTAGAACTAGAACAAAGTATGGCTGTTGTAGGATAGGAAGATGTCTATTGCAAATGGTACCCTGCTCGGGGAATAAGCTTTGCTAAGGTTTCGCGGAACAAGCTTTTGTATGTACGCTTAGGAGCATGCTACCAATTATAGCATAAACTACTACCAAATACATACTACGCCATCATGCGTAGCTCTAGGAAGGTGGCTTTGAATCCGCCTCGAAACAAATATGGCTGGCAGATCGGTTATTGTGTCATCGCGCATGAGAAGAGGCATAGCTCACCAAATAACGGAAGACGCTGGCGATCTTTGAATTGTATTTGGCGGTCGCTGGTGCTGATACGCCGTGTTGGTGTTGGGGCCAAAAAGGCGCAGTCAGCAGTCCGTGACGTCATCGCCATTTTCGGTGCAAGAAAGCGCGAGGCAGAGGGGAAGTTGACTCCGGTCCACGGATCCCTAATGCCGTCCTTTGCATGTACATTTTGAGTACAATGTGAAGCCAATTTCGCCCATCTCTAGTAGTTTTTGATTAGTATTCACTCTAAGCCTTAGTGACGATGACAGGCAGACGTTGCTTCATTGGTCGTACTGAAAACAAGAGTAGTGATGGCGATTACGTATGTATTTTCCAAGCCTTGCTTTGGTGTGGCACAGCTCTCTAAACCTGCATGTACAGTATGTCCCACTTCACTAAATCTGCTATTGGGGTAGCTAAAGCAGCACTTCTATAGAACTAAAAGATCTCTTTTTAAATAGAATTTCTATACTTTAGACCTAAACTTACATATTACTTTCGCCTCCGTGACCTAGCAATTTTCTGACTCGTTAGTGCAGCTATGCGGAGTTATGTTCACTTGCAAGCTAACGAGCACCCTGTTGGTTATTCGCGGGCCTACTCACCGAGAAGACAGTCAGTGGTCGAAAAGATGAGAAGAAGGATCTCTTCACAAGGCCGTGTTGACGCTGATCTTGATCTTCAGGGGCGACAATTGTGTATGACATATATGAGGTTTGTTGACAGGGTACAGTGGCCGAAGACTAAATCTATTACTCCCGTCAATGTCAATCTGAGCGATACACTATTAATCTTCGATTTTAGGAACTCATTATACCCTCAGTCACCCTGGGATTTAATTAGAGCTTTAGCATAACATTCTACTAAACCTTTACATTGATGTCCAGAGAACTCGTATAGGTAAGGTTCCTTATCAAGATGTCTGAGTTTGCCCTTCAGCCACTACGGGACCTGTGGACGCGGCGACCAAGAACCCGTTAGCAGTCGCTGACTTCTGAGTGTAGACATGATGCGCATAGAACAGACCATGCATGACACTGGAGCTAGCTAAATTACGCAACCCTTTTCACACTGTACGCGTAGAAAGGGCCAGGACGTATCATCCCCTTCATGGCCGAAGGCGCAATACGTTAGCTCATCCCAAAGATTTCGTACCAACTTTCAAACTTTCCAGGGCCCCTCTCCCTGGACCTCCATCAGCCTATCCGCAGCATGAACCTCGAAGTCAACGTCTGTCTGTAACCCCAACTCTACCATCTTCGCCACCCGTGTCTGCACACCAGACGTACTCAGCAGCGATAATGCAGCCTTCCAATCCTCCGCCTGTTCTTCCACTGTTGGAAACCCTGCCCTCTCATTGATAATCCTCTTCGCCTCCACAATAGCATTCTTGTCAAAACTTGCCACTCTTCTCGCAAACGTATCAACGAAGTCTTCCAACTGCGCATCAGGAACCGCGCGATTAATCCAGCCATACGCAGCTGCAGTATCAGCGTCCAAGTCCTGCGCCCCAAGCACAATCTCTAGCGCCCTGCTCCTTCCAACGAGGCGCGGAAGCAGCGAGATACCACCACCGCCGGGAAGAGATCCGAGGCCGACTTCCAGCTGTCCAAAGACGGCTTTCTCCCTGCTGGCAAAACGTACATCCATTGCAGCAGCAAACTCAGCGCCGCCACCATGTGCGATGCCTCTCACTGCAGCAATGCTCAGTACAGGAAGGTTGGCCAGATGGGTGACATTCGACCACAGGCCATCCACAAGTTCGGAATCGACAGGTTTGAGCAAGTCGAAGTGTGCGATGTAGAAGTCTGGTACGCTGGAGTCGAACACGATGACCTTGACGGCGGGATCGGCAGCGAGGTCGGATATGAGATCGTAGAGGGCGGCGTACCAGGCGTTGGTCTGGATGTTGAAGGGTGGGAAGGAGAAAGTGGCGCGCCAGTAGGAAGGGCTGACCTTTGTCACTGTGATGGGGGTTGTAGTATTTGTATCGATGCTTAGGGCAAGGGAGAGCACCATGAGTGGGGTCGCGAGAAGGGAGAGGAAGACGGTGAGTTTCATCGTGAGCGGTGATTGCTAGGTGAAAGTCTCACAGTTGACCTGTTGGTGTTTGCATAGAAGAGCGACAGATGAAAGGGAAGTCGAGCTTGACGATAGAATATGTATACGTGAGGAACTCTTTTTCTAATAGGATTGGTGATCTAGACTGCCCGAGCCATTATTCCCAAAATACGGTGCTTTCAAGGCTTTCGTCAGCGCTCATCTTGAGAAATATGCGGCGTAGCCCCATTTGCTTTGGTTGTGCCCCCACAGCTTCCCTTGAAGCGGTGACTAGACGATCGTTGATATCGTTTCACGCATAAAGCCGCAACTTCCGAAGCGTCATATGGCCAAGGACGAACGAATTTCGGGCGCCGGCGTAATTGATGTGACAGCGTTTGGTAAGCACCCCATTGCCATGCCTAGTGTTGGATGAACTAAGCTAGCCGGTGCATGGCTTAGGTGAGCGAGGTTGGATTATTGGAGCCACTTCTCCACCTCAAAGCCGACTCTTCAAAAGGCACAAAGATGCACCATTGGCTTTGGCGTTCCATTGACATCTTTCCGCTTCAAGTAGTTTGCTCGCTGTTACAGACCTTGCGTAGACATCGCTTGGACCTCCGCGGGTGCAGAAACAGACACCTTCCAAAAGCAATGATTGAGAAAGCTGGACAGGAGATCGTAACAACGGACTTGTGAAAAGAGCGCGCAAAGTCTGCCTACCATAGTAACTTGCGTTTCTCGACCCACTACCTAGGATGACTCAAATAGATCACTTGCTGTGTAATTCATATTCCTAGTAGTGGAGGAGTGTGGTGTCGAGCGTGCACGAGAGCCCTGTAGGTATCAGTCTCTGAGAGTCGATTATCAGCGGTTCTTTCCTTGAGCGATGTTGATGTGGAAGGAAATATTGTGTCACAGGCTTTCCCAAAACCATGGTTGCGCCTTCTAAGTAGCGCAGGCTGTCCACGGGATCGGATTTAGCCCACGATGCGCAAGGCCTGAAAAGAGCCTCAATGGCATTCCTGCCGCGCCCGACGTTGTGGACGATAAGCTTTGGGGACAACCTTCCACGGCTGACCATCAACACCACGCCTAGGCCTGCCGTTCAGCACCCTTCACATGCACCAAGCACGTCCGCCCAAGCATTTACAGCCCCTTGTTCCGACGAGCTACACGAGCTGCGATCTCTCGCCGAGCTCACGCAAGGCCGGGTCGCGGTATACCCAGCACTGAAGATCTTGCCGCCCTTCCAGCCTTTCCAGTACCTCGCAGCGGATCATACGGCGGAAAAAGAAGTGGTGTGTCCAAAGTTGGTCAGGTACCAGACTGCTGAAGGAATGCGCGCAGTGGAAGAAGCAAGACGTTTTGAACGTGCTAATGAATCGGCGTCGGATGCATAAGGCAAGGTCGCATTGGCCGGTCTCTACCAGCACTGGTGGGCATAGTTTGCACCTCCCTCCCGAATCCACCGAATGGACGAAGAGGTGAAAATTTTGTGTCGCATAAACGGACGTTTGCACACTGCATTCGCGAAACCTGGAGTCGTGCTCAGGCCAAACACACTCTGCCTAACAGAGCGACTTCAGACAACGAAGCCACAGCAACGCTTCCATGCCTGGAGACCGCCAAGACTAGCTCACAAAGTCGAGTCCCATGAGATGAGATGGTGAGTCCGGTGTCCCTCAGGCGCTGGCGACGGCAGTGCAAGCTCAATTTCCTCGAGTCCGATCAGCGGCTGGTGTCTTGCTCTGCTCTGCGCTCGCGCGGACGCTATTCTGGGGTCGGCGGAGAGGATTGGGTGTCCGCGGGAGATGTTAAATCATACTTGACTTACTGTTAAATCATACTTAACCTGTAAGCACTAACCAAATACTTCTAGTAGCTAGTGTAGTGGCCTTAGCTACGTAATTTACGTGTAATATATATTCTATTAGCTATATATAATATAATATCGTCGCCCTACACCTCTTAGGGGTTTAGAGGTTAGTTCTATATGTAGAGGTTACTATATTTCTAGAACTATAAGGTAATTTATGTGCACAGGTGCGTATATTTCTAGGACCTTAAGCCTTACTACTACCTAACTTAATGCGCATAGATCTAATTAATTTAAGGTCCTTAGAGGTACATATTATTAATATAGCTAATTATCTTATAGAATATTAGTAAGACTATTACTACGTGTATAACTTGGTATTACTATATTCCTATGCTACGCGAGCCATGTAAGTAGGCATAAGGCTATATTTATAGCTTAATAACAACGTTATATTTTTAAACTTAGAGAACTAGATCCTTATGCGTATACTATATATAGTTATTTTATTAATAGCTTAATAGATAATAACGTTATTATTACGTTATTTTATTAGCGCGTTAAGTTAACTAATTATATGTATTTTACTTAGTATATATTATTTTAATTCTAATATATGGCACTATTTATTCTTCTCTATCCTATACCTTAACGCTAATATATAGTAATAATATTAATTTATCTCTAATTAAGTTACTATTATTACTAATAAATTTACTAAAGCTAGAAACCCTATTATTATTACTAGTACTATTACTAATGCCTCCCTATAGACGTTTTACCAAATATATATATATATATAGATTAGATAGTACGTATAGATTATATAAGGTTCTAGAAATATATATACCTACGTATGTATACCTATAAATAGGCCTAAATATATACTTATCTACGTACGTAACCCTACTAATAGTCCTAGAAATATACTTATTTATATATAAAATACTAACTTCTAAAGAATTAGAGCCGTTATTATAGAGCTTATACTTATTATATAATAATAATAGTAACCCTATTATCCCTAGTAACCTAAATTCTATATACTTAAGCGCGCTACTACTACCTATATAGTTATATAAATTAAGATATACTACTACTTAGGCCTAGGTTGCCTAGGGACTAGCCTATTACTACTTATATATAATAATAAAGATATAGAAAAACGCTAGTGTAGAAATATATAAGCTTCTTATATAGTATAAGTAGTTTAGTGTATAGAAAAAGCGAGGGATAAAGTAAGAGATAAAGTTAAAAAAGATAGGCTATAAGTATAGCTTCTATACCTACGCCTATAACCCGCGTAACCCTAATAGTAGATAGGAGATTTATTATAGGTAGATAGATAAATTTAATAAGTATAATTATATTCTAAAAGAGGACACTACTCTATTTATAGTAGCGTATAGGGTATAGTAGAAGGAGCTAGGTTTCTATAAGTATTTTATATTAAACTAGAATAATAGTATACTCCCTAATACTTCTATAAGGTTACTATATAATTAGTTTCTATACTCTCTTATATCCTTATAGGATATACGTAATTAATAGAACTAATTATTATAATTAGAAATTAGGCCTAAGGGTAAGGCGAACGCGCTTATATGTTTACTAGTAGCTAGTAGGTATTATATAAAGGTTAAGCTATCTATACGTAATAAGATTAAGTATATTATATAGATTAACCTAGCAGCGCTAACTATCTTTAAGAAGGCACCTTAGGTTTTAGTACTTAACTATATATTTAAAATAAATTACTATAACTAACCTCTTCTATAAATCGTGGCCCTAACTAGTAATAATATAATACTTATACTAAGGTAGGTCCTCCTTAATATATAGAACTAGGAGGCCTTTAAGTAGTACTTTACTACTATTAAGAAAGTTCTTAAGGAGGAGCTAGTGTTAAGAGAACTTAAAATATAGTCCCTAAAATATATATATCTATAGACGTAAACGCCTCTATAGTTCTAGAAATATACCTATCTATATATACTAGGTAGGTATGCGTAGATAGGTGTATTTCTAGGACTAAACCTATTATTATATGCGTAGATAGGTGTATTTCTAGTACTTTCTAATATTATTAGGTAATTATTATTAATTAAGAGTAAGTATGCCTAAACACTATATTAAGGTTATTCTAACCTAATTACCCTAGCAACCTCCTACTTAATCTAGATAATGTATTATTCTAGAATAATATTAATAACGCCGCCGTATTTAATACCCTTAGGTTAGAGTTTAGAGGTGTAAATATTCTTATCTATAGATAGCACCTAAATAAGGATATAATAGCCTACGCCTATATAAAGTGCCTAGAACTTAGTAGATAATTAAATAAGGATAAAGAGGTAGAGGATACTAAGGATATAAAGCTCTTCTAGCACTACTAGTAATAGCTATTAATATTAGAGATAGAGGAAGACTTTAAGTATATATATAACTAGATCTATTCTATATTACCTAAAATAGTAAGCTATCTTAAGCGTATATAGTAGCTATATAAAGAGAAGATTATCTCCTACTAGACGTTATAATTTACCTCCTTTAGTATACTTACTATGTCTATTATTAAAGGCGCCTATGTAATAATTAAGTGCTAGCTAGGTTATAGTAAGTTAGATATCTATACTCTATTTACTTACATAAATTAATTCTAGAAGTACTACGTTAATAAAGTTAAGCTACGTAATATAGAGAGCTTATATAGAATTACTAGTTATACCTATAATAATCTATTATACTAATAGGTTACTAGCGTCGTCTATTTATACGCCCTATAAGAGTTTAGTTAGAACATTTCTAAGGTATAGAAACTACTTACTAAGTAAGACCTATAAAAAATAATTCCACCCTATAAGAAGTAATATATATAAGAGTATAGCTGGCCATACTATTACTAGTGTATTAAACTACTTAAGGGGGGTAATAGCGCCTTTATACTAGTCTTAGAGTTTTACTAATATTAGATGTATAATTATATAAAGGCTAGACGCTAGATAATAAGGCGCTATATTAAGCCTATAATAAAGCTTTAAAAGTATAATAGGTAGAAGGTAAAGGACTCTATTACTAGCACTTAATAATAGGCCTTAATATATAAGCGCCTAGAGGCCTAGTTAGTAGTATCTAACGTAAGGATAATAGCTTCTTAATTACCTATTAGAATACTAGCGTTAACAGCACTACTAGTAATTAGAGTAAAATAAGTATTATTAAATATATAGACCTCTTATAGGAAGAACTCTTAAATAACCTATAAGTAAGTTATAGAGCCTCTACTATAACCTCTAGCCATTCTACTACTATTAAGCTATATATATAGCGCCTATTCTATAGTGCTAGGGTAGCCTAGCACTACTAGTAATATCTATTTTACTAGTGTGCCATATATTTAGGTTTTTAATAATATATATAATATAGCTCCTTATATACCTATAAACTAATTTTACCTATTAGTAGAATATACTACTCCACTAATATTATTTTAGCCCCTAAGAGTTTAATAGAAGTATATCTATAGTAAATAACCTAAGGACTTCTATCCTTATTAACTCCTAAGGTCCTAGGGTTACGCTACCTACTTATATTATAATAAATAAGTAGAATTAGTCCTAGAAATACCTCTATCTATATATGCATAGTTCTAGAAATAGAGTAATCTACGTATAGTAAGGAAACTATATATAGATTACTCTATTTCTAGAACTACTTCTACTTTCTTATTAAGGTCCTAGAAATACACCTATCTACGTACGTTATTACAAAGTATAATATATATAGATAGGTGTATTTCTAGAACCTTATTTATTTTAACTTAGTGCTCCTATCTTATATAAGATTACTATAGTAACCTACTTATAGTTATTATATATATATAGTAAAATACACTCTATAGTTAATAACCTATAGCTATATTATAAGTCTTACACACTATATTATTATTATTAGTTACTTCCTAGGTAAGCGCCTACTTATTTAATAATAAGCTCCTTACCCTTATAGTGCCCTTACGCTCTCCTATGCCTACGCCTATGCCTACGCTAGAGCCTACGCCTACGCTAGAGCTAGAGCTAGAACTAGAACTAGAGCTAGAGCCTGAGCCTGAGCCTGAGCTAGAGAGTGAGCTCTCTAAGCTTAATAATAAGGAGCTTTCTACCCTTACTAATTATAAGTTCCCTATCCTACTCTAGTCCTAGAAATAGGTTAGTCTGCGTATACGACTCTAGACTCTAGGCCTAGTAATATTATAATCTATGTATATTATTCTATATTTAGTCCTAGAAATATAGCTATCTACGTATATTATTCTATATTTAGTCCTAGAAATATAGCTATCTACGTATATTATTCTAGATTTAGTCCTAGAAATATAGTTATCTATACATATTATCCTAGATTTAGTCCTAGAAATATAGTTATCTATGCTTATTACTCTAGACTAAGTCCTAGAAATATAGCTATCTACGTATATTATATAGATATTTACTAATATATTTATAGCTCTAGTAGTAGTAGTTATACTATACTAGTGCCTATACCCTTACCTATACTTACCCCTACCTACCCTCTATCCTGCCCGCCTACTACCTAAGAAGAAGGGTAAGAAGAAGAAGGCGCCTATATACCCCCTAGAGAAGAAGTAGGAGGATAACTTTAAAAGCTTATCTCTCTATATAAACCCCCTAGATATAGGTAAGGTCTAGTATATAGTAGACTAGAGTTAGCTCTCTAAGAGCACTTATCTACGCTATACCTACGCTAAGCTTATTACTAGGGATAAGTATAGTATAGAGGCTAAGAATCTATATAATACTTACTATAAAAGTAGCACCTCTGCTACTACCACTACTAGGCGCTTATAATAGGTTATTATAACCTATTATATATACTAATAGGAAGTAATTCCCTAAGGTTATAAGGTAGGTTTTTAGTGTATAGCGTATTAGCTAAGTAGTAAATAGTGTACGTGTTCTAGTAATACCTATATAGAGTTAAGGAAGGAGAAGGAGAAGAAGAAGGGTATATACTATAGCTATAAGGCTAATACTAAGGAGTAGGCTACTACTGCTCTTAAGTAGTATAATACTCTATAGCATAAGCGCTAGGCGAAGAAGAAGGAGGCCTATAAGTAGTTATATTAATTAAATATATATTATATATAACCTATAGCCTTAACACTTAATTCTATAGTAACCTAAATAATAATAATAATAATATATAATACTAATTTATCTCCTCTAGAATAATTAGCTATATTAAGAATATACACCTCTAAGGACCTTAAATTAATTAGATTTACATATATTAAGTTAGGTAGTAGTAAGGCTTAAGGTCCTAGAAATACACACACCTACGCGCATAAGAAGTAGTTCTAGAAATATAGTAAACTCTACGCACTAAGCCTCCAAACCTCTAATAATAATAGGGCGACGATACTGTATTATATATAGCTATTAGAATGTATTTTATACGCAAATTACGGAGCTAAGGTCACTATGTGGGCTGCTAGTATGACTAGGCCTAGTGCTTACAGGTCGAGTATGATTTAATAGTAAGTCGAGTATGATTTAACACCTCCCGGTGTCCGCATGGAGATGCTTGCCTAGCGTTTCAGGTACAAAAGCTTGTTTCCTTTATCGCATCCCGGCGGCCCGTACCTGCAGTTCGCCTGTCTGTTGTGCAGGCGCCTACCACCGTTGCGAAGCGTCTCTCCAACTCGACAATGGCTCTCCAAACGCGCGCTGGCGAGCCGAATTGTGCGTGCACTGGATAAGACGGCGTTTGCAGGCCCACAACGACTGTGCAGCGTTTATGCCGCCAACGATCGGCGCTGCTAAGGGCAGATTGGCCAATGGCCGCCGTGACACGAGCCAAGCTGGGAATGCCCCCTTACAATCTGCACTCCGTGCACGCCTTTCGCTTGGGCGGCGCATTTCAAAACCAAGACTTGCGCTCCTCGGGCTCTTTCCCTCCTCTTCGCAGCATCAGTCACTCATTCACCACTACTAATCCAGTCATTCCTTGCAGACCACACAATACGGTGCGTCTGGCAACGCCCGCACACTCCTTCCAGCTTCATTTCCCGTCCATATTCCTTTTAACAACAACATGTACTCGTTCGCCCTGTCCGCTGCGGCGCTCCTCGCGAGCAGCTTGCTCCCCACCGCGTTGGCCCAAACCAGCACCACATGTAACCCTCTGAGTGAGAAGAACTGCCCTGACATGGCTGCGCTCGGCGGCAATTCCACCTTTGACTTCAGCAAGACCTGGAATCCGGATGTCTGGGTTCAGAAGAACCAAGGAACGGTGGAACACACGGACAACTACACCGCTTTCACCGTGCAGTACCAGGGTGATTCGCCGACTATCCTATCGTCCTTCTACATCTTCTTCGGCCGCGTCGAGATCGTCATGAAGGCTGCGCCAGGACAAGGTATCGTATCCAGCGCCATCTTGCAGTCCGAGTGCTTGGACGAGATCGACTGGGAGTTCCTAGGCACAAACACCACACATGCCCTCACCAACTACTTCGGCAAGGGCAACACGACCGATTATACGCGCGGCAAGGACTTCAAGATGAAGAGCGCACCTCAAGACGACTACCACAACTACACTATTGACTGGACCAAGGAGCGCATCCAGTGGTATATTGACGACGAAATGGTCCGCGAACTCAAGTACGAGGACGCACTCGGCGGCAAGAACTATCCCCAGACTCCGATGAACGTTCGCTTGGGTGCCTGGTCAGGCGGTGACGTCGATAACAACAACAAGTACACCGTTGACTGGGCTGGTGGTCCCACAGACTTCTCAAAAGCACCTTTCACCATGACTGTACAAACTGTCTACGTCCAGGACTACACTACTGCCAAGGAGTACAACTGGGATAACATGGACTCCTCTGGTGACTGGGAGAAAGTCGGTGTCGTCAAACTAGCGTACGTCAACACCAATGCATGGCGGGTAGACAGCAGCTAATCGAAGCAGGGACAACGAGAAGTCCACTACTATGGAAGAGATTGAGAAGCCGCACGGTGTCACGAACCGCTGGAGCGCGCTCTCGAAAACTGCCAAGATCGCCATCATTGCCTCCGTTGCCGGTGCTGTCGCCATCATTGCTGCCATCATCCTCTTCTGCTGCATCAAGCAGCGCCGTGCTGGTCGCAAAGAATATGCTGCGTACCAAGCTAACGTCGACAAAGAGGCCGTCGACCTCATCCAGCACAGGCAGGACTGGCAAGCCTCGCATACCGCTTCCCGTATGAGCAAATATACGCGCATATAGACTTTTGTCGATTGTCGAAGAAACAACTTTTTATTTGATGGGAAGAGGGGCAAAGATAGACCCATGCGACAAAATTGCCCGAGGTGTCCGTCCCAAGGATGGACCCTGCGTCATACTGCAGGGGAGACATCATTATAGCAGAAAGTGATAGCGAAGGTGTTGGTTGGCATCTGAATAGCTTGCTTGATTCTGGTTCACGTCCGTTCATGACACTTAGAGAGATACCCTCGTGATTTGAGGTTAGGGTGGTAGTATATTTCCTTTAATCCGCGCATGGCTTGACGCCGCGCCTTGGAGCATGGATGTAGTTAGGCTATCACTATAGAGCAATATTCAACAAGTTATAACAAAGTTACTATAGTATATTCAAGGTTTCTATGCTTGGTGATGATCGACAGGTATGAGGAAGGATAATGCCGTCGGGCATTGTGGCGCAGGTGGCTCGGCGCGGCTGCCGAATGTGGGACAACGTCACTGCCTGGTCGGCGGTCCCACTGCACTTCAACCTTCATTCAACGTCTGTTTTACTGCGCGCGGAGAGCGAATGTGAACTGAGTGCTTCTCTGCTCGGCCCACAGCTTATTATTACCCAACATAGAATGCAGCTTGAGCTCCTCAGCTTATTCATAAATCCGCAATCCTTTATCCCACCTTGAGCTATTTCAACCGAACGAAACACCACCGTTACCCCCACCATGCACAGCGTGGCAGGCAAATCGCTCGATGCCGACCGTAATCACGAGACCGTCGACATTGACACGCCCATGGGTGACTCAGAAAGCGATGACGAGATCTTTGAGGATGCTATGCCGCAACACACCGAGGTGAACGAGATACTTGCCGACGTCCACGATATCTCTATCGATGTCGACGCAAATAGGCCTCACGCCCAGAGCTTCAACTATACCGACGATCTTCCCACCCCGCCAGAGTCATCCTTCGCGCCTTCGGTCCAGACCGCGCCCTCGGTGCATAACGCGACGCCGCTACCACGAGCACGTAACCACCCGCTGCCTTCGGGCGGCCAGAAAGAGGCGTCGTTGATATTCTATCTTGACCGGGCGCTAGAAAATGTGGGGAAGAGAGCTACGAACAAGCATGTAAAAGAGCTCTTACCGGGCGAAGTGGCTGGGTATAAGAGCATCGCGGAGGTCGTGAAGGATCTGGATCCGCTTGTTGATGTGGTCTGGGTTAGCAGCACGCCTACACTCCAGCTTCCGTATCTTATCAGCATCACCGTTGCAGCTATCAACTGCGTACCTATGTTCCCACCTTTGCCCCGCATCACACTCAATTTCCTCTCGAAGCTCGATACCGCGTTCGCTGCGCTCATCAGCGGCACCAATCCTGACACCAGTGAACCGCTTCCTGGGTTCAAAAACAACCGCGGTATTTCCACGACCGATAAAGTTCGCGTGAAAGGCATCGTTGAGCGCGCTAGAGCCACCGTCACAAAGCATCTCGTGGGAGAAGAAGACGAAGCGTCACCGGAGATCAACAGAACAGCAGACAACGCGAGCAACAAGGACGAGGGGTTCGTCAAATTCGAAGGGTTCGACAATTCCGATGATAGCGATGATGAGGAAGAAGCCCACAAGAGAGACGAAAGGGAAGTCGGACACGTGTTTGAGAAGACGATTGGGGAGCTAGGGGATTTACTGGGAGGCGATCCCATTGGGATCGTCACGGATGAGGAGCAGGACATGAGGAGGCAGTTTGAGGAGGAAGCTGCAGCCATGAAAGAGAGGGCTGCGTTCGAGGCGGAGGATCAGGGGGTGATGGAATTTGAGGACGAAGAGGAAGCGATGAATGAGCAGCGGAAGCATGTGGAGGATGGAAAGAAAGAGTTCGAGGACGAGGCGAAGTGGTCAGGAGATGGGCACGAGTTTCAAGCACACAGTGCATATGCGGAGAAACGCAAACGAGAGGAGTGATCTGTCCACGTAGGTTTGAAAATCTTTCCACTTTCATTCTAATGCCTTGCGTTGTGCATCTGTTTTCTCACCGTACCGAGAAGGGGCGGTGTTAACGGATCATGATGTTGAACCGTATGCTTGAGTCCGGATGGCTGACCGTGTGAAGCTTGTTTGATGGGATGGCAATTAGCATGAAGCTCCAAGCAATCTTCGAGGCTCCAAACTATGATCATAGACACTTCGTGACCAAGATAGCTCGCGTGTTGAGCACAGTACTCGGCCGCCGTCGGGTTTTGTACATCTTCACCACTACCTCGCACTCCTGATACACGTTACGGTGGCCTAGGATTCGGTAAGCACTTCGCATAGTCTACCTTCGTAATATGTACTTCGTTCAATCGCGGTAGCATACCATGGCGGAGGGGACGGCTGCCGCCGGACTTTCCACTGCTGGTCGCTCCTTCCAAAAGAGAACGCACGATGTTTGACGTCATGCTCCCACACGCTTTTCGTCGGCGACGCGTTAGTAACACGCGATCTCGCTCATGCGTCGCACCTTCTACCCACATGCACACGTCTTGTCTTCTCGCAGCCACTATGCTACCCGTCCTCCGGTAATACGGGTCAGTCACTCACGGCCGGGTCGTGTGTCATTTCTTACTGCACTTGGTCAAACGCCCACGCAAACACTTGTCCGCCATGCCGTCTCTTTATGGCGCGGGCGTGCGCATGCACCTCGCAACACATTCGCTTGCATCTACCCTCACCGAACAGGTTCAATTGAAGAAGGGCTTTGACGCGGCTGCCAGAGCCGAACACGCAGAGAAAGCACTTAGAGAGAGTGAGCGTTCACTGCTGCCCGAAGAACGGGTCCCATTCCCGGGAGATGAAGGCGAATTCGCGGTTAATTGGCTCGGTCGCACGCCGTTCTTGCAAGCTGTTGTGAACCAGCCTTCGGAGAAGTCGCAGCAGCTCGAGGATCTGAAGCAGAAGCTTGCTTTGAGCAGTGTTTATGCAGCCTATCCGGGCAACAGAAGCTCTTTGGAGGGAATCGCCACGAGGAGTGGACGGTTTCTGTCTTTCGATGATGCCGAGGGTAAGAAGAGCAGCCAAATCGGACCACTGCCAACACATGGCTTGCCAATGGCACGTTCGCCATACAGTTCTTTGCCAAACAACCAACAAGAACCTAAGGCGCTCGTCCTCCATGTCATGCTTACCGACAAAACCTTCTTCCACGACCCGCTGGACAAACGCCCACAGCACCTCAAGATCGATGTTCTTTTCAATGGCCAACTGTCAAGCTCTGTACTTATACACACAGGCGATATCCGGAGCGGCGCCAAGTCACTCAATCAGATTTTTGCGGGAACACGCATTGATTACATGGCGGAGCGACCATGGATTCTTCACCCATCTCAGTCAGACATTGACTCTGGATGCTCTTCACCAAGTTCGACCGGAAACGATGCGCACGATCGTTGGGCAGAGATCTGCAAAGCCTTGATGAACGAAGCCGATCAACGTGGAGTTAATGTGGATGGTGAGAGGCCACCAACGGCGGCATACTTTCGAGACCTCGCAAGCATGCAGATGCCGGACATGATCAAAGACATGCAAAGGTCCGGTGGAAGGAGGTTTGGTGTGATTGATATGATCATCACGGTCGGGACTGGCAAGAAAACCATGAACAATGTGGTGTATCTGAAGGCACCAACGCGGTTGGCTGATGATCAGTTCTGTTACGAAGTGAAAGAGGGTCGTGAGTTGACACCAGCTGGCGTAAATAAGCCTGGCCCACGTACGTTCAACACCGATGAGCAAGGTGCCGAGGGTAATTCAGACTTTGAGTCTTCTGTATTGGCACAAGATACTATTTTCCACGGCCGACCAGACCTTCCCAGCCAGGGAATTCCGCTCCTGCCACCACAACCAGCTCTACCATGGAACAACCCCTTCACCGGCTCTCTAATCCCATCGCGGGCATCGTTGGGGCCCTTGACGTCTTCCGTTGAGCAGCCTCTGTCTCAATCAGATGCGGAGGAGCCGCCCCAGAAACGAGGCCGCTTCCCAACTTCAAGCAATGACGAGCACAAGATCATGGAGACAAGCGGATCAAAGTCGCCTCCGCGAAGGCCATATCCCTCTGCTCATGGCCCATCGATTCCTCCGGCAAGATCTTTTCCGCTCTCAGTACCAGACACTGCATTCAATGTGAATCAATATGACAACTTCGAACATGCGAATCCGTATCAACTGCCCTACACCGGCATGATGACTGGCCTAGACTTTGCATCCTTCGATGGTCCAATATCTTCGCCTCTTCGGATTGCCTCTGGCGGCCAGCTCACGCTCCCCTCATTCGTACCAACTCCTGAAGAAGTCATCCCAAGCCCGGCGGCCACCAGCACCTTTTCCAGTCCATATTCGCAACCAAGCGCACCGTTCAGTCATGGATATGGAGTTGTATTCTCTTCGGATAACTCGACCCCGTACAATTCAGTAGGGACCTCCATGGGCTACGGCATCCCGAATGCGGGCCACTTGCTGAATTCAAGCCTTCCTCCCGGCTATGTTTTGCAAGGACCGACTCATTCTGCTCTGTCGCCGCTTGGAGCTGCATCTCGTTCATTCAGCCCATATGCTTCTGTTCCGTATATGCCACCGCTCAGAAGGCCTTCGAACGGTCCACCGCCCCCAATGGGACTCTTTAAGGTGACCGAAAAGCCCAAGAAAGAACAGCAGGCGAATTCTCCTGCATCAGCTTCCAATCTCTCCGGTTCAGGCACTTTAGTGGTCCGTCTGGTGATCCGCATGGGTGGAAGGGTCATTGTTTCCCATCATTTCAAGATACCTCGACAGCTTCCTGCGAAAACAGCCCTCAACAAGAACACATCGGTTGGCCCTGTGCCTCCTGCTAAGGTTCGAAAAGAGTCTCCTGACTTGGCAGAATGGACGGAGCAAGCTATTGTGCAGTGTCGTGGAGCAACTGGAGCAACTGGGACTTCGGATAGTCCGCCGAACACGTCACTGATTGATGTTGCCAACCTTCAGACAACTACGAGCCTGGACAGGAACAAGAGGGACTCTTTCCACGATGGTCTGGCCAGGGTCGAAGTCCCGGACCCGAAGCACAAAACCTCAGCTCCAACAGCGAAAGAATCCGAAATTATCGCCAATACCGTAGCGGTAGAAACTTCAGGCCTTACCAATATTCTTTCTGGATCAGACACATACGCTCAAATGCATAATACAGCTAACACTGGCATCCTCGGCGTGCAAGGCCCCAAAGCGAATCTTTTCGTCTTTGACAACCCCGAGGAGCTTCTCAGGAAGAAGAAGTCGAAGGCTCAGGCTGGATCCCGATCCGTATCACCGTTCAAGGTAGACACGCCATTAAACGAGGCAACTGATGGATCCGCGAAGGGTACAGAGCCTCACAAGCATGCTGTAGAGTCTAAAGATGTGGAGACTGGATCGAGCTCTCCGTTGTCCGAGCTGTCTCAATCACCTCAATTGTCTTTCACAGCTGACATGCCTCCTAAAACCGGCACAAATGCGGAGGCCAGCCTGCCAGTATTGCAACTGCCGAATACTCCAGCAGTGCCCACTATATCGGAGCCCACTGTCACACGAAGTGCCTCATTTCGCATTCCATTGCCCGCAAGCGTACCCCAGGCACCTCCCGTACCCTCAATGCTCCCTTCTTCCCCCATCCCGATCGCTTCTCCCGAAGGAGCTGCTCTCAAGCGGAAGCGCGCACCCGAGCGAACACCCAAGCGCGCTTCCGCAGGCACATACGTCAAGCAGCCGCGCAGTCCCGACCGCCTGGATGCGAAGGACAATCCGCCGCTCAACAGGGACTGCGTGATCCAGTATGCGGTCAGCGAGCGTAAGGGCGGCGCACTAAGGCAGGTGAAGAGTGAGAGGAGAGGCGTGTTCAAGGAGGACAGTGTGGTGGTAGGATGTAGGTTTTTCGTGGGTGGGTGTTGAGGAGAAAGGGTAAGGCAACAATGAGCCCTGATTGTGAGGTGAAGTGCTGCATATGTGAGGGTTCTGGGGAACGTTGCTCTTCGATTGTGTGAGCACTGCAAAAGGTTCAATCTGGGGTAATGTAAAGGAAAAACGTGCCGATAGGACGTGCGGGGGAAAAGCAAATGAAGTTGGTGACATGAGTCGCCCAAGCAGACGGATGAAATGAAAAAATAAGTTCTCAGTATACCATCTTCTTCGACATTTTGTAGAAGGACTTTGAAATACCCGACCCGGGTACTACAAGGTCTAGCCTTATGAAACGCAGGGCACAAAGCCCAGGTCCGTTTCATACACAAACAGACGAGCGACGAGGTAAGGCCCTGGAGTAGGGGGCCATTATCGTAAAGTCTCCGACCCACTTATACGTCAGCAAAGGCAAGCTCCTGCCAACATTCACTTTAATCTCTAATGATATCAGGGGCGAGAAAGACTAGATTAGAAGGAATCTTGATGAGAAGACCAAGCACTGCGGTCCAGCATCCTCGCTAATAGTATCCCGCACGATGTTTTTAAATCCTCATTTGGGGTCCAAAAACCGAAAGGGTTAGCGACGCTTCCAGCCTATCAAATTACTTCATTCGGCATGGATCGACCGTGGACCGTGGGATTTATAATGCCGCGGCGCGATCCTTGAGCTGTCGCTGCGACCCACGCCTGTGTTTGCCCTCGATAAGGCGCGATCATGGCAGTCCGGCAGCCAACAGCGACAATTGCGCTGTCGACGACCTTCACGGCTCCGTCGTCATGCGCTGCCACACACAACATCGACATTCTGCCATCGCCGGGATATCTGATCTATTGGAACGAGCCGTTTCCCGCTCCCAACATTACAGCAAGTGACTGTTACCCCAAAGAATTCCTCAAGAGCTACACCGCAGTCTCGCCGAGCGTGCAGCGCGCACTAGGAAGCTCAATAGTACCCGCCATGAGCCCGCTGATCTGTCCCGAGAACTGGTGCACTGCATTTGCGGCAGCGAGTAATTACATTGCGTGCTGTCCTTCGTAAGTCCTACCATACTTCACGTCCATGGATCCATCCACATGACTCCCGTGATCCACAAGACTAGAGTCTAACCCAAATTCTGCCGCAGTGGTTACAAATTCGACTCAACAACGACTACTTTGGCAGTTGCGTCACGCCCTGCGTACGGCGGGATATGCTACTCCGACATCCCCCTCTCGCAGAGCGAGACGGCCGTCGTGTACAACTCGGACGGCTCGAGCGCGCAGCAGATGTGGTCGCCAAGCACGAGCGGCGCGCAGGCGTATGCGCATCTGATCGATGGGTGGGCGCCGTCTAGCGCTACGGTAGGATGTGCGGTGCGCTCGTCTTTTTCGTCCTCGAGTTTCAAGGCAACGCCGGCTGCTAGCGGTAGTAGTTCTGCGGGATCTGAGGGGAGCGGGAGTGGAACGACGTCTTCAGCGACCTCGAGAAAAAAGGAAAAAAAGAAGGTTTCTGGGGGTGCGATTGCGGGGGCGGTCATTGGCGCGATTGCGGGTTTGATTGCTATCATTGGGGCGATTGTTGTGCTTTTGAGACGGAAGAAGAAGGGGTATGAGAGACAGGTGCCTGATGAAAAGGTGCATGAGGTGGATAGTGAGCGGGACGTGTATGAGACGGGAGCTTTTAATCAGGCACCGCAGATAGGAGGGACGGAAATTCATCAACTCAGAGGTGGATGTGTGGCCGCGGAATTGAGTGCTCCGGCGCCAGTGACGGAGCTGCCGGCTGGGCAGGATACAAGAATGAGAGAATAACACTGTAGTAGTTTTGCATGTAATGAATCGATATTATGGAGGTATTTCCATCAACCATTATCCGCCTGTAATTGCGAGAAGTAAACACCTTTGATGGCACTGACAATAAGCTTGACAGTTTCTCTTCTGGCATCGCAACCATATCCGAATCGAAAACGCTGAGGTGACCCAGGTTTCCTTATTTTCACCATGGCCAACCCCAGGACCTGACCCAGTCCTCAACGGCAAAACGAAGCTCATACCGCCCCATCTCGAACGGATCCCACCAGCTCGTAAGATATAGCCCACTTCGACACTGGCACGCAAAGGGCCACCATCCACGATCTTTCATCTGGAAGTAGGGATCATGCATGACTTCGATCGCTCGCTCCGCTACAGCCCGGGCGGCTGTGAAAGGCGAGTCGTCCACATATGCTTCCTCCGTGAGGTTGGCACCGAGCACGCTCAGGAGCAAAGAGTGCAGAGAAAGATCGCGTGTGGACTCGCCAAATAGGACCAGTTTGTCGATGTGCAACGGTGAGGCGGAATTCCAAAGGTCGTCGTAAGGTGGGCTGGCTATTAGATGTCGAAGGCGGGACTGCAGTGCGGAAAGCTGAGTAAAACCATTTGCGTTTGGAATGACGGTGGGAGACGTAATCGTGCTTCTCACAGGCCCCACGAGATCGTCCTCCACCTGAAATAGCGCGGTGTTGAAACTCGATGGCTCATAATTCACCGCGAGAACTGTCAACGGCTCCTCGTCTCGGAGAAGTTTAGGGAGACGTGCCATAAGTGGCAGTTGCGATCGCACGTAGAAACTTGTGGCTGAGAGGGCGCGGTGCTCGGGGTGTATTTCAACAGGCACGAGACCAATGCTACGGAGTGCGGCGGCGGCGGTGGACTGGTAGAGACCGAAAGGAACATCATCCAGGACGATGGAGGCGAAGCAGATGTTTGTGCCGTAGGAGGATTCCACCGCTTCTTTGAGGGAGGAGAGGAGCGGGCGGACGGCGAGGACGGCGGGTGAGAGGCAGTTCGTGGGCGTAGGGAGGTTGAGCTCTGGGAGTTCGTCCTGAAGCGATGAGAAGGCGTTGCAGAAGTATGTATCTGGGCGGTCATGGGATAATAAAGAAGCGTTAGCCATGAAGGATTGGTAGGGGTGTGGGCCAGCGATGGGTGCGATGTCGACTGTCGTCCCGTTCTGGAAGTATATGGACGCTGCACTACTCTCTATCAGTCACAGTTGTCCTCTTTCAGTTAGTAAGAAAGGAAGCGGGACAAACCCAGATGTGGGCATCAGATGGAATGCTACACTGGATGCGCTCGACCATGGCCCTTCAAGAAGTTTCTTATGTGGAGCTACGCGCACTCATCAGCACGTGAATGCACGCCAGGGGAACCGAAAGCTCCTCGTACTAGTGAGGCAAGAACTCACTGGTACGAGGTGCGTAGAAGAAGAAATGTACCCCTAGTATTATCAACGTAAAGATGATTGCGAATGCGTAGACTTTGTTTGGAGACCATCGGGGTGGGGGCCGAGGGCCGTGTTTGAGCTTGGGAAGTGCGAGGGCGCGAGAAGTGGGGTAGCGCTTTCGAGCCATGATGCGGATAAGTGGAAAGGTGGTGTTGTTTGGACGTGTATAAAGGAAGTTCGAGGCTTTGATTCGATTGGATGAGTTTGTATTGGTATTGCAAAGATAGAACTGCAAGATTGGGGTATTTATGTTGAACGCTGCTAGGCTGCAATGTTTACAAAAGGAATTGCGGGAATCTTCTTGAATTTTCGACTCCTTCATTTGTGCGTTGTCCTTTGTGGTGTGCGTGGTGTTGGTGTTATGTGGCCTCAAGTTGTTAAGGCAGCCAGTCAAGGCTGCCAAATTCTCCCCATGTAAATATGTGGACTGAAGGAACAAGAGTCATAAACTAACACGACAATGGCTTGCGATGGAAGTAACAAATAAGGACGAATAGCCATCAGAAAGGGAGCATGCGCGTGAAACCCGCCGACGTCAGTGCGCGCGGCTGCTCGGTGGGAGCAGTCATACTGTGCGACAAATGCCAAGCCAATACTCTCTCCATCGCATGTATTGCTTTGCATTTGGTCGATAGCTCTTGTCTGCTACCAATGCTGTCTGGATCATTCCTTGAACCTCCCTCCTTCGCTCACATCCGGATATACATCGAATCTTCTTTGCGTGTACAGCGGGATACCCTTCCTGACCTCTTCTATCCTTCCCGCCTTCAGCTCCTGTACAACGATGCCCTCCTTCTCGTCTAGCTCCTCCAATATCTCAGCATTCGGATCGACTATCATGCTATGTCCCCAAGCATTGTAATCGGCCTCCATATCCCGACTTGGACTGCACAGCCCAACGAAGACCTGATTATCCATCGCCCGCGCCCTGGCTTGCAATTCCCAGTGCAGCGCACCCGTCGTCATATTAAACGCTCCAGGGTATAACAGCAAGAACGCGCCCTTGCGCGCAGCGATAGTCGCGAGCTCCGGGAAGCGAATGTCGTAGCAGATGGCGATGGCAATTTTCCCATACTCTGGGATTTCGACAAGCGTGATCTTATTTCCTGGCGAAAGCACGTCGCTTTCTTTGAACTTGATCTTACCCGGGATGTCGATGTCGAAGAGGTGCACTTTGCGGTGCGTGGCCAGCAGCTCTCCGCTCGGCGCAAACGTCAGATTTGTGTTGTACCACTTCTTCCCATCCTTCCCATCTCCACCTTTAGCGCCTTCTTCTTCGACAAGCTCAGGTATACTTCCTCCGACAATGTACACGTTCGCCTCTTTGGCGAGCTTTGATAGCGCGTGGAAGGTGGGTGATTGGGCTTCTGTAGGCGGCGAGGGGAGTAGAGTCTCAGCGTATTGTGGGAAGTACTTTGTGCCGTAGGGGCTGTTGAAGCATTCGGGGAGGACGACGATCTTTGCGCCGCGCTTGGTCGCCTCGAGGACCTTTGAGCGCGCGTGCGAGAGGTTGTGCGCCTTGTCGGCGGTGCAAGCAAGCTGGACGAGGGCGAGCTTGACCGATTGCTTGAGGAGAGACGTCATGATGGTTCGTTTAGGCGAAAAGGAGAGTAAGGAGAGAAGATTGAGTGGCTCACGGGGGCTCAAGGGGGGATGAGGACATGTTTGGCTGCTGGTGGGGATGGAGAGCTACGTGAGGTTGGCCCGATGACGGCAGAGGTCGGGTTCGGCTGCACCTGCCGAACACGATTGCCCCTCAACTCCAACACTACTCCAACGCTATCCCGACGGCTAAATTAGAACAACGCTTCGACGTCTTGCCGATTGTCGGTTCGCTGCTTTCCTATTCACTGCTGAAGATGGTCATGCCATTCGAGCTCAATCAGGGAGATCGCTCCTGCCTACCCTCATACGTTGTTGGGGCAGCAGGCATTCGCTAGCCATATAGACTCGCACACTCGGTGTCATTCAGCCCCATCACGTTATCATGCATACTCAAATACACACAAGATTCGGCTATTAGCTACCTGACAGTCTCGTAGAAGTCCGCAAGCTCCGGGGAAATCCCAAACTGACAGCCTGATTTAATGCAAGTTCTGATTGGGCCGCTAGCCAGCCACTTCAGCGCATCATGCAACACCTACTTGCTCACAGATCACACACTCGACTCCTTCCCTATGCTTACAACTGGCAGAGAGACTTTCTGCCACGAAGCCGTTGCTCGCTATAGTAAGTGTCCGGTATGCCAACCTTGCTGGAATCTTGCTGCCCTTACTGCCCTTGTCACAGATCATCTTGCCTCAGCCTTGCTGTGATCAAGATGATCTTATGAGGTTGGGGCTGTGTAAGACTTGCGGTCCCGATCTACCTGATATATCACTGTTCTCGTACATGGCTATGGGTTGAAATCATGAAATTAATGTCTTCTGACTCTGCGCGTGCAAAGCATAGGGTGAAGGGCCCGTTCCCATCAGCCTGGCCCGTTTTGTAACTTCCAATGGACTCACCAGTATCGCCTGAGGTCTTCCAGAAACTCAGCACATCGCTCTTCCAACGGACCGGCAAAAAGGAATGGCGCGACAACCCTAGACTTTACTTCATATCACGCCAACTGGGGCGAGAGAATGTTTTTCAAGACCTTCTCAACAATAATGTTACCGACCTATGGCTCCCGATCCCGAAGTATGTAGTACTCAGAATCCTAGAGGATGAGAAGGACAAGAAGGCGTTTTTGGAAGCCCAGGAGATGTGCTTGGATGATCGAATGCCCACAAGTCTGAACGGTCAACACCTCTCTCTCATGGATTCGGACTGTTTGGAACTCAACGAACAGAAATTCCTTGGATCAGGCCGTTACGGCGAAGTACATCACGTGGTTGATCCTCGGACGGGGGTCGCCTACGCAAGGAAAACCATGTCTCGACCAAGAAATTTCTTCAAGCATCGTGAATTGATGAAGCTCTTCCAGAGGGAGTTAAGTGGAATGCGGCGTGTGCGGCATGCTCATTGTGTGACCCTCATGGCTACATGCACTGATACGGATTCGGTCATATTCTTATCCTCTCCTGTCGCGGACATGGATTTAGCCTCTTTCCTGGATTCGGACCTCAGCGGTACTCAGCTAGATACGCTTTGCCGTGCCGTGGGATGCATCACATCGGCGCTCACTTACCTCCACCAACTGAACATAAGGTACGACCTGTTTGAGAATGACGTTCACCCTGTTAATGGAAACAAAGGCATGATGACCTCAAACCGAATAACATCTTGATACATGGGTCAAATATTCTCTTAACAGACTTTGGGTTTTGGTGGGCACTCTCAATTTGACGAAAAAACAAATACAGCGCTAACACTCCAATGCATGACCAGCCTCGACTTCTCAGACAGCTCAACCTCCACTACCACCGGTCCTCCGGAGCATGTTACAAGACGCTACTCTGCTCCCGAAGCCTTTGATCACGAGCCTCGAAATCGACTTACCGATATCTGGAGCTTAGGTTGCGTACTCTTTGAAATCTTAGGTCGGCTGTACGGGTACAAGCTGAGCGAGATGAAAGAATTCTGGCGCTCAAACAACACTCGCTACGACAGCTTCGCAGAAAATCCAGACGCTACTGCCTCATGGTTAGATATAGTTACTCAGAATGAACCGAAGGCACAGCATGGATACATTCGAAGGCGCTTGTGGATGATCTCCTTCATATATCATGTACTTCTCCAGCCGAACAGGCTACTACGCCCTACTGCACTGCAGGTAATGGAAAGACTGCAGGATTTAGATGCTGCGTTTCCCGTCAACGTATCGCAGTCTTGGGTTGGAGCATGCTGCGCCACCCGATTAGGCTCATCAGCATCGTCGATCACATTAAGCCAGGACGTACCGCAATGGCCTATGCTGGACCTGGTGATGACGGACAACCATTTGGCCTATCTATGCCTTAATGTGGACCTAGAACCGTTCGCCATGAGCAGTAACCTCTCCTTCTTGGACGATGTGAACGGACCTGGGATACGCAAACTTGAACATCTTTTCACCGCTGGACCCTCTTTAGAGCACATCCAGCGTGAAGCGCGCGCAATTGAGAAAACCGTCAATCCTGGGGACCAAAGACCTATGGACCCTGACACGATTTTTGAACACACGATGAGCAGCATATTTACTTGCCTGCTTCAAGAGACAACTTTCTGGGTAGACTTCTTTGATGTTAAGCTACAGAACGATGTAATCCCCCGTATACGCACCGTACAGATCAGTCTGCATACCTGGGTCATGGAACGCCAGCCGGGCTACGGCGCCCCGTTCATTGTCATGACATTCGACCCCAACGAAGGTGAAGTAACCCGATCCTTTGATCCCGCGCAGGGTATAATCGCGGATTTCTCCTACCGGGAGGGTAGAGATGTCTGGACGGATGGCCTAAGCATTGCGCCTATCCTGTTTCAAGGAGCGAACACGGTGAGATATGCCAGGTTTGTTGCACTTGTATCGAAACGGCGAAGGGATTACAACAGACTTGTAAGCTGGACACGTGCTATATCACGATTCGGATAAAGTTAACCTACCATAGCTCAACGATCGAAGAACAATCACAAAAGTAAATCACGCTCGATTCAGGTTCCGAATACTCTTACTGACACATTGCTCCAGGACATCACAGAGGCCAAGTGCTTCCGCTGCAGGCAATTAAAGCTTGCATGCACTGGGCCTCGAGCAGGCGGGTGCGATCAGTGTAAAGCAACCTCTTCACGTTGCACATTTAGCGCTGAGGCGATTGCGCAGGGAAATGAGCCAACGAGATACATTGACAATAAGGAACATATAGAAGAGCTGATCACATCGCGTTGGGGGAGTTGATGCCACCAATAGCTCGCGATGGCAAGCTATTAGACCAAACAGAAATGCTGAGTTGACGTTTTGATATCGATGTTCCCGTTGGCTAAGGCCAATTTATGTGCACAGCGGAGGAAAAGGTTATCAAGGTCAACAATTGTTCAATAACCGAAATCATATCGATAACTCTACTCCGCATCAAAGGGGAAGACGCGTATAAGGTTGCTTGCTAAGCAGTCTAACGAGCCACTGTTTCGAAAGACAACATGATTCCACCCAAAGATCCGAAAGTGATTAAATGATTGCAGATGACACCGGCGCAAACAGCTTTATCAATGATCTTCATGATACGAAGTCCCGGTAGCGAACGTCGGATCTGTCATGGCCCAGCTGTTATGCTAGCCAATCGCGAGCGATTACTGCAATATATATTGCTCTCACCCAACCCCGCATAACGGAACCAAATTTCTCCGCGTCCAAACCACAAGGAGCAACATTCCGCTTGGCTCATGGACTTGAGCGCACGTAGTATGATGTAGGTACCGATATTTTGCATGCTCGATCTTCTTGAACGGCCTGGAAGTGGCGCAAGACAGGTACGCGGGCCGATCTCGCCTGGCAATTCTGCCCTCAGACCTTTTGCAATGGCGTATATAGAGGTCTTACCCTATAATCCCAAGTCGCAAGTTGCGTTGAGTCGGACTATATCTCCAGCATGAAGGTCAGTCAGCTTCTCTTGCGCTTTGCGCTAGCATTGCTGGGAAGCAATGCCGTTGCAGCGCGGGCCTTGGGCGGGAAACCGACAGACTTCATCATTAACGAGGAACGTGCCCTTCAAGATATTGTAAGCTTTCCAGTGGTATTTGCAGATCGACAACTCTGACCAATACGAGGTTACCTGGGACGAGCACTCCCTCTTCGTCCACGGGAAACGTGTAAACTTCTGGGGTGGGGAATTCCACCCTTTTCGGTCTGTCTAATGCGTCCATTGGTATCCTACCAGAATTAATGAATCCAAGACTGCCGGTTCCAAGCCTCTGGCTCGATGTCTTTCAGAAGATCAGGGCGATGGGGTACAATGGCGTGAGCTTCTACTCTGCGTGGGTTTTGCACGAGCCGAAGCCCGGACACTTCAGTGCGGAAGGATTGTTCGACTGGGAACCGTACTTTGAAGCGGCAAAAAAGGCGGGGATTTATCTCGTCGCTGTGAGTACCTCCACGGATGCTTTTTACTGCTAGGCTAACTGTGATATAAGCGTCCCGGACCGTACATCAACGCGGAAGTCCACGGTGGGGGTTTCCCAGGGTGGCTCCAGAGGATCTCAGGGAACCTGCGCACGCCCGACGCAGACTACCAGGCCGCTTCCAAGCATTACATCGAGTCCATCACTCCGATCCTAGCAAAAGCGCAAATCACCAATGGAGGCCCCATTGTCCTCTTCCAGCCGGAAAACGAGTACTCCATGGGCATGAACAACGTCACCTTCCCCGACGCCTCCTACATGAACGGCCTTATGAAGCAGTTCCGTGATCTCGGTATCGTGGTTCCATTCATCAACAACGTGGCGTGGCCCAGCGGCATCAATGCCCCCGGCACAGACGCACCAGTCGACATCTACGGACATAATTCGTACCCGCTGGGGATGGACTGTTCCGATCCAAAGAATTGGCTTGATGGCGCGTTGCCGACGGATTGGCGAAAGACACATCTGGAGCAAAGCCCAAATACACCGTACTTATTGGTCGAGTACCAGGCCGGTGCGTATCAGCCGTGGGGTGGTGATGGGTTTGACAAGTGCGCTGAATTCACGAATGAGGAGTTCGAGAGGGTGTTTTACAAGAATAACATTGCTGTGGGGGCGACGATCAGCAATTTCTACATGGTAGGTGAGACCTTGGGATTGCTTTGAGTGTTTGCTGACTTGAGAGAGACTTTTGGTGGGACGAATTGGGGTAATCTCGGCCATGCTGATGGATACACTTCGTATGACTACGGGGCTGCTATCACCGAGGAACGTCAAGTTCACCGCGAGAAGTACAGCGAGGCGAAGTTGATCGCAAACTTTGTCGCTGCGTCTGGGGATGCACTAGCATCCGCGACACCTGGTTACAACATAACGGGAGTATACGCAGACAACGGAGCTGTCACCGTGACCCCGCTCATTGGAGAGAAGACCAAGTTCTTCGTCGCACGGTACGTTCTTCCCTTCCTTTAAGCTAGATTCCTGACAACCGCCAGCCAAACAAAGTACAACTCGCTGGACTCTGTATCGTATAAGCTCAGGTTGCCCACCAGCGCAGGCAATATCACCGTCCCCCAGCTCGGCGGAACACTTTCGCTGAATGGCCGCGACTCGAAAATCCACGTTACAGACTACCCGGTCGGAGACTATAACCTCCTTTACTCTTCAGCTGAAGTCTTCACCTGGAAGAAGCACGGCTCTAGAACCACACTCGTCGTATACGGCGGACCGAACGAGCATCACGAGCTAGCGGTATCTAAAACCAGCGGCGCCACTTCCGTCGAAGGCTCCGGCATCAAGTTCTCCAACCGCAATGGGAACACGATCCTCAATTGGGAGTCCTCGCCCAACCGACGGACTGTGCGAATCAGCACTGATCTGTACATCATCGTTCTGGATCGAAACTCCGCATACGACTACTGGACCGTGAGCACAGATGAAGGCAGCTACTCTCACGAGCTCACGCCCTCATCAGAGCTCATCGTCAAAGCCGGTTACCTGCTTCGTACCGCATCCATTTCAGACGGCAAAATCCATCTCACCGGCGACATCAATGCGACCACGACTGTTGAAGTTGTAGCAGGAGCCCACGAAAAGATCAAAGGTCTAACGTTCAATTCTGCCGACGTCAAGGCCACACTCGATCGAAACGGCTTCCTGAAGTCCAGCATCGCCTTCACCGCCCCGAAGATCAACCTCCCAGATCTCTCCACCCTACCGTGGCACTCCATCGACACCTTGCCGGAGCTTCTGCCAGACTATGATGATTCATCGTGGGTAGATGCCGACCACACCAACACGAACAACACCTACTGGCCCCTAACAACCCCCACCGTCCTATGGGGCGCCGAGTACGGTTTCCACGCCGGCTCGCTCCTCACGCGCGGCCACTTCACCGCCACAGGAAACGAATCCGTCATCCACCTTAACGTCTCTGGTGGTTCGGCCTTCGCTTTCTCCGCATGGGTAAATAACACGTTCCTCGGCTCCTGGGACGGCGCCGGCGACGTGAAGATTGCGAACCTCACACTCAACGTCCCGAAACTGGTCACTGGGGAGAAGTACGTGTTGACGGTATTGAGCGACCACATGGGCCACAACGGAAACTGGTTCGTCGGGTACAACGAGATGAAGACGCCGCGCGGGATAATCGGGTACTCGTTCCCCGGGCACACGCCTCCCAGCAGTAATGGCACGTCGCGCGCACCCGACGGCTTAAAGTGGAAAATCACTGGCAATCTGGGCGGTGAAGACTTCCACGGCGGCCCGCGCGGGAGTTTGAACGAAGGCGCGCTGTGGATCGAGAGAAACGGGTTTCATCTCCCTTCCGCGCCGACATCGTCTTGGAAGAAGAGCATAGGACCTACCACCGTGCTGGAGACAGCAGGCGTAGCGTTTTACACTGCGATATTCGACCTGGAAATTCCCTCAGACATCGATCTACCTCTGTCCTTCGCTTTCGATGGCGACGCGTTTGACGGGAAAGGTAAGGGATGGAGAGCCCAGTTGTGGGTAAACGGGTACCAATTTGGGAAATTCGCGAACGGAATTGGCCCGCAGAGGAGGTTTCCAGTGCCGCAAGGGATACTGAACTATAGTGGGGAGAATACCTTGGGTGTGAGTATCTGGGCGCTTGAGGAGGGTGGTGCGAAGCCAGAGGGGTTCGAGATTGTCGCGGGTATGTCGGTTGAAAGTGGGTATGGTGAGGTGAAGTTGAGCCCTATGGATGGGTGGGAGAAGAGAGAGGGGGTTTATTGAGCGTATTCGTTTGAATATCGTCAATGGATTGATTGACATCCGACTTCCGCGATTCCTGCTTTCCACGACAACCCCCTTCAAAATTACCTCTCCATAAACATTACTCCACTTCGAACCTCAATCTCATATCATAGTAAAACAAAAGCAGAACGTATATGCATGTCCAGCTCAGCTGCAAAGCAGACCCAAAGCAGATTCGCCTCAAGATGAAAAGCCCAGCAAACAAACTCCGCGCTTATTCCATGCCCCAATCCGATGTCCATGCCAATTAAGCAAACATTACGTGTGATGGCCCCCAAGAAGGGCCTTCTTCGCCCAGTCCACGAGATTCAACGCCAACTCAATGCAGGATCCCGACAAAGGAAAGTATGAGACAATGTACGCTTTGCGGAGCTATCAGGAAACCAGCCGCTCGCGAGGATCTCGTTCGTTTTTGAGCAAAAGCAACAGTACGCCTGCTTATGCATGACGCGATGGTACCAAGGAAGTTGATACCCGGCTACAGAGTGCGAGGCATAGTAAGATGTATGTTCGAGTTCTTGCGGTTCGATTTCTGTCCTCGTGTAAGCTCTTGTCTTCAGTGCTGCAGCCCTTTTACTTACCATTTACTGCAAACCATCCGCTCACAATGACCCAGCAGCATGTGCAATTAGAATAGGCAGAAGGATGGCTGCGACAATGCTTGCATTGACAGCGATGCCCGCCCCAAGCGCAATACGCTTTGGCTTCGATGACACGTGCGAGAAACGCCCCTTCGTCATGTTGATAATGACTGTGTCACCCATCCAGCGGTACAGAATTAACGTCGGCGGGAGGACGCAGAACATGGCGAAGATGATCCACGATAGCTTGCGTCGCGCCTCTTCTTCTTCCGGGTCCAAGGCACGCTCAGGACAGAGAAGATGCGGTGAGTGTTCATTTGCAAAGACCGTTCGCAAAGTTGGTCGGCTGGCACAATGGCGCAAAGGCGTGTCGGTATTGCTGGTGGACGGTCGGGCACTATGCTCTACTCCAAAAAAGCGCGGGTCGTTTATACTGCGGTCGGACGAGGACAGTGTCTGAGCACTAGAAGCAAGCACCATCTGCCTGAGCTTCGTCTGTCCAGGAACGGCTGCACGGCTGCCCCGACGACGTGGGTCGCGAGGCGTGATTGGAGACCCCCATGACATTCGACTAGCTCGGCGGGGAGGATCTGGAAACGGCGATTCTTGCGGAAATAACGTCGCCTGGGATGGTGCACGCTTGTGCATATCAGGAGGTGTATGTACGCATGGTACGATGCGATTCACGCTACCTCTGCGCTCTAGAGCTTCATAGCACCCGTTGCCCTCACAGTCAACGCTTGAAGTCGAGCTATCGATACCGAATTCGACTTCAGAGTGCATATTGGTATTTCGAGTGGCAGCTGACCTGAAAATCTGATATCCATCTTGGTTGCTTGTAGGAGATGCCAGTGGGCTTGAGTCTAGGATGGCTCCAGGGCTGCTATTGTCAGCTACGCTGCTCCCAGCGTCGTGCATACCCGTTCCTTGAGGCGTGCCAGTCAAGTTTCCCTTGGGCCCGATCATTGTGAGTTTATCAAATGAGTTCTCGCGCTCACGAGTATTTAGATTACTACTCGCTCCATCCGTCGTCGTGCCAGTGGGGATGGTGATTCGCATGGGTTGCATGGGACTGGAGGAACGCTCATGGGACTCGAAGGAGTCATCCTGACCTGCATCATCTTCGTCCACTTCATACAGGATCTCATCGTTCGGGCCCGATGCAAGCAGTTCTTGAGTCTCTTTCTCACTCATCTCGTAGGGAGTCGCCCAAGGCGTGAACGGCAAGAATTCGTGTCGCGGGGTACTGCTGCCATACGTGTCCGGGCTTCTTCCATAAAACGCAGGGACCGTTGACGAAGTTGGAGGGCTCGAATGCAAGTAGGTTTCGATACCACCGAGGGTCGCACCAGGCATACTAACACCGACGGGTAGCAGGGGTGGAGAGGAAGCAAAAGGATTCGAATGGTTGCGCAACGGTGCAGGGTGTCGGTATTGAAACGTGCCAGGCTCGAGGGGCGGTTCTTCGTAGACAGGAAATGATCCAGAGAATCCCATACTGTCTCGGCTGGAGTGGCTTCCTCCTGAGCTGCTGTAATCCGCGAGGCTTTCGCCAACCGAAAAGCGAACGCCACGGCGTGGACTTCCGTTTCCCACGGTTTCCCAATCAGCAGGTCCTTCGTCCTCGTAGCCTGTCAATCCATACGACTCTAGTTCTTCCCAATCTTGAACCTCATCGAGGACGTCGTCGCTTTTGCTACGCAATAGGTTGTGGCTGGATATTCGTTTCGACCATATCGCTGGAATACCTCCATTTCTTGGTTGACTGCCAGCATTTGCGAAAATGTCTTCCGCTTGCTCCAATGCCTCTGAGGGGGTCGACGAAGCGCCTGGCTGAGAGTATTCGGACGAAACCAGCGGCCCCGCCTGCATGGAATCCTTGGGGCTAATAGCTGGTTGCGAAGAGAATTGAAGAAGCTGCCGAGTATCTCCATAAGACGGAGACTTCGACGATATCTCTGAGGGTCCAGACCGTCCCAGTGAATCGAAATCTTCATCATATTGGAACGCGGGTGCTAACGGAGCGGGTATGGGCGGCGGTACGCCTGGATGGGGCGCGAGCGTAACCGGACCGGCGCGGTCTACCTCTACAGAAGAAGGTGGGTTCTCATTCCCACTGCTGAATTCCGGCTGAGCAAATTCGAACTGAAATTGGCCAAGACCAGAAGTGAGCCCTGTAGTCTCTGCTCGCTCAGCTTCGGTTATCTCCTTGTAAAGTTCTGATGGGGCGGGTTGATGTCCGTTTGCCTCTGGCGTACTGATGAGCAGAGATTGTGAGGCGTTAGAACTGTAATTTCCTTCGTACTGATCGATAAACTTGCTGATAGTGTCTGTCTTTTCGCCTCCCTGGAGCAGCGAGCGTTGGAACATCTCTTGTTCAAGTGGTCTCGACACCCGGCGACTCGTACGTTGAGAGCTCGGATATTGCAGCAAAGCATCAGACTTATACTCGCGAGCGAGCGCATCTGCACCTTCGCTCATGCTCCCGTGGTAGGGATTGCTCTTTCTATTCCTCGAAAGGCTCCGTGGAACATTTGATTGACGCCGACTTTCGCTCGTGTAGATTGAGGAACTGGGATATATCGAAGCAAGGTCATCGTAGTACGGTCTCGCTGCAAAGTCGGATTCTAACGCATCTCGGCGTTGATCGCCTGCTCTTCCGATCTCGGCAGATGAATCATCCGGCACCATAGAACTCAAGGGTGCAGAAAAGGCTCGCTGTGCAAAGTTTCGATGTTGCGCGACGGATGCGGGTGAGCTCCGCTGGTCCATGATATGGAACACTTGATCGAGAGGCGAGATAGGCGTGATCGGCTCATCTGGTAAAGTTCCCGACCTGGGGGTCACTGCACGGTAACTTCGCTCAAGCGGCCGTGGGAAGTCGCCCTCGAAGCTTGCCGAGGCAAGACTGACACGAGACTCAGAGAACTCCTGTAGCTCTTCCTCATGCGCCTTCTCTGGGACCTTGGAGAACCTCTGCGTAAGCGACCGGGTGAGTTGCTTCAAGGAGAAACGAGAGTCGCTCGCGGGCCTTCGATCTGTGCAAGGCGAGGCGGTAGCACGAGTTTCCGGGCTCAGGACTGGCGAGTCAAATGCAGAAGGTCCTGGACTATGAGCAACTGGGGTCGGCGGAAGCGGGAGATCGAGGTTCGGTGAGGGGGGGATATTCGTCGCCTCGTCTGGTGATAATAGATGCATAGGCAGAGGAAAGGTCGCCGTAAAGCGCGCGTTTCGGAGCCATCTAGTGCTGTCAGCGTTTGCGGGAAGCGGGGGAGATGTAACTACCTCTGAGAAGACAAGCGGGTCTTCGGACGAGCGCAATGGCAGGTACTCACTCGAATCGATTTCTCGCGACGGCGTAACAATGTTGTCCAAAACAAGGGAGCTGTGTGGGTTGACGAGATCGAACGACGCACCACGGTAGTGAATAACAGCGGGTGTCGCGGGCGGTGTGGCCGGTGCTGTTGACGCGAAGCTGATGGTGTTCACGCGCGGAGGCTCAGTCTCATCGATTGGCGGCGAGAGCGAAGGGTCTGCAAAATTCGGTGGTCGTGGAAATTTCGAAAGGGAAACCGATGAAGGTGTAGGTTGTGAGTCGTCGTTTGGTATCGAAGTTTCGAACGACGGATATGACGTCGTTTGTAGAGGCGATAGTCGCGGTTGATTTGATGTCATGGACGCAAGAGGTGCAGGGGAAATGGGAAGGGGGCCGCGTCCTGAGGACAGCGGCTTTGGCAGCCTTTTGATCGGCTTGAACTCACGTACTTTGGCAGCTGTGGTGCTTCGCCGGCTTGGTTCCGCAGACTGTGACCGAACGAGCTCGTCTGCGGACAAGTCGTCTTGGTGTGGAGGAGATGGCGGGAGCTGTTGGTACGCAAACAATGAGTGTGTCTGTACGGCTGTTAGTTGATACTTCTACAACAGGGTTTGCGAAGAACATCCGAGGAAGATTTGGGGCGAGGTTTAAGAGCAAGGTCTTTGCCGAAGAGGGGAAGGTTTAGAAACATGGATATTGAGAAGCTAACGTACCGACTGAGAAATGTGTAAAGGACGAGGTGGAACTCGGAAAGCCGAAAGCGGCGTCTTCGAGACCAGCGGCACGCGCTCAACCTCCTTCAGCCCAGACGCGGCGGCCTTCCTCCGTAGCGTTCTGCCAGGTGGAGTGGCTTGCGGCGCGGGCGAGTTCTGTTGCTTGCGGTACTCGTGGAGGGTGAGGTCACGGACGGAAAGGCGAGAGGAAGAAGAACTGTGGAAGGAGTGGTGTGGTGAGTGAACTGGATCCGCCGGATTGACCGCATGTACCCGCGGGGAATGGGAATACGCCGTCATGTTCGCGGTTTTGCTGCTGTCGCCGCCGTATGTCGCCGTACACCGCTTCAAACGGATGATCCTTCACCTAAGATCAAGATGGTGTCGTCCAAAGAACACTACCCGCGTCACCTCGGATATCCTTTTTTTATGGTCTCGGCGATGGTCTGGTAAAAGTCTATGTCGTACAAGTACATTGCGGCTCCCAAGCCATGGGCGATTCCGTTGACTGGCGACCGTAGAGTCTAAAGATAGCGGCGTTAGCTCTGCGTCTGCACTTGCCATCCTCGATAGATATGGCTTCGACCGCCGCGCATAGGACGCTGATGTACGCCTCCTACTCACCGATCCAGCTTCGTGATGTATGTTTCCTAGCTATCTCTTGCTGGTTTCGCGGTACTGACGCGGACTCTACCCGCGAACCGTGAAGCTGTTCGACAACAGCAGCCGTAGAATTTCAAAGCTGTAACGAAGCTCCGAAGCCGCGCTGTTCAAGCCGGCCTCGAGAAAGAGAGAAAAGGCGATAGATATAGGGAAAACCCGCGATGTATTACAAGTATGAGATGAGAGGAACATGCGACCCAAGACACTCCAGGAAGCAGCCGCGCCTTACACGAGGAAAGCACCACAACACCAGACCCTTCGAGGAAGGAAGCACCAACGCAACGCTCACCACGATGCGAAGAGAGGTACAAACCGTCCCTCCCAAGCCCAAAATATTCGACAGCCCGGTCCTTTCGCCGCCGCCAGGGCCCATCCACGGTCCCGTACATGCTCCGGTTCTACCACCCACCAGCCCAATAATTCCACAGCATGCGCTCGTGTGTGTGAGGGCAAAGTGCAATGCAGCAACGTGTGTGGTTGTGCGTTTGAGAAGGCGCGGACTAGACCCGAGTGCTGGCAGCCAATCACATCCCTGGAGGGGGTTGCGCGCCGCGACACACCGCGGCCGTCGTGGCCACTCACCTACGCGCAGCCTGCAAGTCATCTCCTCGAGCCTCCGTGCGCTGCGGCCAATCCGCCACCCCTAGTCGCGAGAGCGTGGACCTTCGGTAGCGCGAGGCCTTGGTTCAGCTGGCACGGGGGGGCCGCAGGCGGAGGAGGCTCTTCGGGGGTATGGCTGGAAGGGGAGGGAGCATATGCTGTGTGAGGGGTGTCCACGGCAGCGTCACATTCACGTGGTAACTGCTTCTACTGAACTTCTATGGCACCGACACGTCGATGCCTGTCTGTCAGACTGGTTCGCGCAATGCGGGCATCACGGCTTGGGTGTCGTGTTCAACTCATTTCAAGAGGGGCGTCTTGATGTCAAGACGTCGGCCATCAGCTGACGGAAACATGCACTGTACCTGCATGAAACGGCATCGGAGTGGCGGATCGCTGTCGACCTGCATCCAGTTGAGTGGCACAGCGCCTTGTCGGACTTATACGATGCCTCTATCGAAGGTCTGGCTTTGCATGATTGCCCATGCAGGCGGCAGAGCGCATGTTTCGTTGGTGGCTTTCAGTGTCAATGGTACATCTGAAGGTGCGGAAGCAATACTGCATTGGGGCATCTGGTAGATAGACGCCGAAGACAAGCTCCCGTGCTGGTGATATTCTTGGGAATCGAAACGAGATGAATGCGAACATCAGCTATGCCCTGATTCTGCTATCAAATTCGCAATGTAAGCGGCGTTGAGTCAGCCCCTGACCCGCGGGGCGATGACAATCGACGTTACACAGACTTGTACTGTACACCAAGCTACTTCAGCCCGAGCGAACCATGAGATGCTCCCATGTGTACCAATGGCGAATCAATGTGTGCGACGTTTCGAGAAGTCGCCTCGTTGCCATCCCGCCCTGTCACAGCAACGTGCTGCCACGTTCCCATCCCAAGACCAGGAATCACCTCTGGTGTGTAGAAGAAAGGTTGGCTTAACCCGGCGCAGAACGTGTCTTCAGGTCTTCTCCTGCTAACATGGCTCGGTTTGTTGACAATCGATAGCCATATGACTTGTTGCCAGGCCGACCCGACGATGCAGATGGCCAGTCATGCTACGTGGGTAATCAATTATCGTGAGTGCTCCGGTCGAAGGTCGAAGTCATACTGCTGTGGAATCTTAGCGGTCGAACTATTCCTCCTCACATTACACAGCATACTCGCAAGTCTTTCCAGTAACCCAATCGGTGCCTCTGTGTGGACCATGGTCATCTGACCTTTCTTCTTCCTTACATCTGACCATTGGTTGCAGCCTCTGTAGACCTTGCCCTCACGGTCTTTGCCCCTCGTTTTGGTGTGTCCCCATTTTCCTTCAGCGTATCGCCTGCCAGCGCTTGGAGCGCTTGCTGGACTCCGTACTCCTTAAGTTCGGATCGCGATCTTCTCCTCCGTATCGAGTGCTGCCTCGTAGGATCTTGGCTGTTAGTCGGAGATCCGGAGTAGCGGTACGTAGTTGGGGAACGAGGACTGCTGTGTTCCAGTGTCACTCGAACATTGAGAGTCTCCGGCAAAACGAACTGGCGCTGTGGAGCAGGCGCGGAAGCTGGGGTTGGCGCAGGCTGCTGACCCCGGGCGGTGATTTGCCTTTCAGGAGTCATGGGCTTGGGTGAAGCAATAGGAGAGGCTGCTGATACGCGGTAGTCGTTGGTAGAGCCTCTGGGTTCATATCTACGATACCTGTCCCAGCTGTGGTCCTTGGGCTTCGACTCGTCTGCCTTCGAATCTGTAGTGGGATACATGTTTCCAGGCATGCATACATACTGATCGAGAGCCTGAGGTAGATCCGCGAAGTTGAAGCCGCGCCCAGCCTTTTCGGGCAGAAATTTCTGACCAATGTCCGTTTCCAAATCGAGTGTATAATCCACGTTGGGCATGTATCTCGACAGATTGCTGTACCATTGTGGGTAATCGCCATGCCAGGAGCTAACGGTCGCATCAAGGTCAACACTCAGGTAGACGTTATTGACATCATCCGGCTGGTGCACCAACATTACGAAGTCGAACTCCCGAGGCAATCCAGACCGCTGCGTCAGGTTCTCTTCTAGCGTCCAAACCGCCATTGCGTCGTCTACGTCGAAGTCGGAACCCAATGGGCTCTTCAAAACCCTCAACGATCCTTGGATGCTCATCATATCGTACACCCGATATGTCTTCTTGACGCCACCGCTGGGGTTTAGTGTAGCACTCAGAGGCGCTTGTGAGACGCCGAGGGAACTTGACAAATTAAAGTTCCACTGGAGGTTCTCTGGGGACACGGCTCCGTATATGAGTTCTGGCGCATGCTTCAATATCCGTGGGTGCGAGCGCGGAGGCTTGTATGATCCTTTCTCGGGTTCGAAATCGTACGAGTTGAAGTCCGTATGCACTGACACTTTGATGGTTGCGGCGCGGAAGCGGTGGTAATGGTGGTCTCGAGGATGGAAGACAAAGTGCACCGAAACGAAATACACGTTGTTGAGCGCACCCTCATGCAACGCTTTGCTTTCGTAGTACCCATGCTGAAGGCGATTCACATGTGCGGAAACAAAAGCATTCCCAGGCATGGTCCGTTCGTACAGACACTTTTGGTGCAGTTGCAGTCGTTTGAGCGGTGCATTCGGATCCTTTGGCTTAGACTCTACAGGACGTTGTCGCGGCTTCGCTCTGCTCCGCTCAACCTCACTCGATCGATCGGCATGGTTCTCGTCAGACTCTACATGTTCTCCGCGCAGCCGGTGAAGCCATGAACTCATTGGACTCTGTCGGTGCTGATGAAGGAGAAGTCGTGGCACAGTCGTTCAAGGCTAGTGTGCGATAGTCAAGTCCCAGGCCGGAGAGTATGCCAGAGTAGTAGGCCAGTAATTAAAGGGCGTTTTAGTGAAATGGCCAGTTCGTGCATGGCAGGAAGCCGTGGTGTTGTTGACGCAGAGAAACATGCGCGAGAGGCTGTCGAAGCTCCGGGGGATGAAACTGGAAGCGACGAGGGGTCAAGGCTCGCAACATAAGTACAAGTCAGTCGCAAGAGGTTTATACTTTTACTATTCCACGACCGAGCGTCTAGAGGGGCGCCTTGTAAGCAGCAGCGCTTCCACCTAGTCCCCGAAGGCTGCAGCACACGTTCTCGGTGGCGGTTCTCAGTGGTCAGGCGGCTGGGGGCCACGCCACGAGGCGTCGCCCGCAAGCTGCCCGGATGAGTGATGGTTTTATTAGCGCTTATCTCGTTATCGCGGCTCGCTACCCCACGATTTGCGAAATGGGCGAAGCGCGATGCAAACGGGCGCCATGGGAAGCAGTTCGAGCGGCGTTCTGGAGCTGTTCTCAGTATCCAACGTTTCCTTTCTTCTGAAGACGTGCTCGGACATCTCGAGCGACACAGGATGCAGCTGTGTCCCAAAGAGGTGCGTCGTGGCTTGGCTTCCCTGGGCATTGCTTGTTCGTGACACACAGATGCCCCTCGGTGCTAACCCGTTTCGAACAGCTCGACAAGCTCGTCATCTCGCAGCTGGGGTTGCTTGCACAGCGACGTCTAGCTCGCGGCGTAAAGCTGAATCATGCGGAAGCTACAGTGAGTGGTCATGTACCCTTCGAGACAACCTCAGTACTGACAGTTCCTAGGCGCTGATCGCGAACAACCTCCAAGAAGTATGCTGTTCACCATGGGACGCGCTTCCGCCATGCTGAACCCACCCAGCTCATCCGCGATGGCAACCATACAGTCGCGGACCTTATGTCCATCGGCAAGACCATGCTCGGTCGCCGCCACGTGCTTCCCTCCGTCGTCTCGACCCTCGCCGAATTGATGGTAGAGGGCACCTTCCCCACCGGTACCTACCTCGTCACCGTACACCATCCCGTCAGCTCCGATGACGGCGACCTCGAGAAGGCCTTATACGGTTCCTTCCTCCCCGTTCCCTCGAATGATATGTTTCCTCTCCCCGAAGCGAGCGTTTACGAGAGCACGAACCAGCCCGGCGCCATCGTGGCAGTCAAAGGAGAGGCCGGTACTATCAAGTTGAACGAGGGGCGCAAGAGAATTCGGCTTAAGGTCAAGAGTACTGGAGACAGGCCCATTCAGGTATGTCCTTGAAAATCGAAGCACATGCCAGAGGACTGACCTTATGTAGGTCGGGTCACACTACCACTTTATCGAAACGAATCCGCAACTTCAGTTCGATCGCGTACGAGCGCATGGATACCGTCTGGATATCCCAGCTGGCACCTCTGTACGGTTCGAACCTGGCGACGCCAAAACGGTCACATTGGTACAGATTGCAGGAAACCAGATCATCAAGGGTGGAAACCAGATTGCTTCCGGCTTCATTGGAGATGTGTCGAATAAGATTGTGGAAAACATCAAGACGCGCGGTTTCTTGCACGAGCCGGAGCCAGCCAGAGATGCGGCCCATATTGACATCTGCACCATGGAGCGACAAGCGTACATCAGCATGTTCGGGCCCACAACGGGTGACTTAGTCCGGCTGGGCGCTACAGATCTATGGGTCAAAGTTGAAAAGGACATGACCAGATACGGCGACGAATGCTCTTTTGGAGGCGGAAAGACCTTGCGAGAAGGTATGGGTCAAGCAGGCGGCAGATCTGACAATGAATGCTTGGATACTGTTGTCACCAATGCTCTGATAATAGACTGGACTGGCATCTACAAGGCCGATATCGGTATCAAAGACGGCATAATCACGGGCGTAGGCAAAGCTGGAAATCCAGACGTCATGGAAGGCGTTGATCCTGACCTCGTAATCGGAAACTGCACAGATGTGATTGCGGGCGAACACAGCATTGTTACTGCTGGTGGTTTCGACTCACATATCCACTTCATCTGTCCCCAGCAGGCCTATGAAGCTATTGCTTCAGGTATCACCACCATGCTTGGAGGTGGAACAGGGCCCAGGTATGTCGGTCCAACGCGAATGTTCAGTCTGTTGCTGACTTGTGAAGCACCGGCACGAATGCCACCACTTGCACGCCCGGCAAGACGCACATCAAGCAGATGCTCCAAGCCATAGATGAACTACCACTCAACTACGGCATCACAGGCAAAGGAAACGATGCCGAACTGCGTCCTCTACAGCAGCAAGCTGAAGCTGGTGTCTGCGGCCTCAAATTGCACGAAGATTGGGGTAGCACTCCAGCAGCAATCGATGCCTGTCTGACCGTCTGCGACGAGTACGACATTCAAACTCTCATCCACACCGACACTCTGAATGAAGCCGGCTTTGTCGAGCAGACTATCAAGGCCATCAAGAACCGAACCATCCACACGTACCACACTGAAGGCGCCGGAGGAGGCCACGCACCCGACATCATCAGCGTCGTCGAGCACGACAATATCCTTCCCTCATCCACGAACCCCACCAGACCCTACACCAAGAACACGCTCGACGAGCACCTTGACATGCTGATGATTTGCCACCACCTCTCCCGTAACATCCCAGAGGACGTCGCCTTCGCCGAATCGCGTATTCGCGCCGAGACCATAGCCGCAGAGGACGTCCTCCATGACCTCGGCGCCATATCCATGATGTCCTCTGACTCGCAGGCCATGGGCCGCTGCGGCGAGGTCATTCTGCGGACATGGAACACCGCCCACAAGAACAAAGTCCAGCGCGGCACCTTGAAGGAAGATGAGGGCACTGACGCAGATAATTTCAGAGTGAAGAGGTATATCAGCAAATACACCATCAACCCGGCGATTGCACAAGGGATGGGGCATCTTATCGGGAGTATCGAGGTGGGCAAGGTAGCGGATTTGGTGCTCTGGAAGCCGCAGAACTTTGGCGTCAAGCCCAAACTTGTGGTCAAGAGCGGTTTCTGCTCGTATGCGCAGATGGTGAGTCTTCCTCTGGGCTCCTTCAAATTCGGTCTAATATATTCCAGGGCGACCCCAACGCGTCCATCCCCACCGTTGAACCTATTTTCATGCGCCCCATGTTCGCGCCTCTCGTCCCGTCCAGCAGCATCACGTTCGTGTCGCAGGCCTCGATCTCGTCGGGTGTTGTGAACTCGTATGGCCTGCGCAAGCGCGTAGAGGCGGTTAAGAACTGCAGGAGCATTGGGAAGAAGGATATGAAGTTCAACGACACCAGGCCCAAGATGAAGGTTGACCCGGAGAGGTATACGGTGGAGGCAGATGGGATGGTGTGCGAAGCGGAGCCGGCGGAGAGCTTGCCGCTCACGCAGGGGTATTTTGTGTATTAGGTGAGGAATGGGTGCGGGTTGTGTCGGATGAAAGCAGGATGTGACCCAGAAACTCAGTCGGAATATGGATCGTTGTGGGACTTCGTGATGATTGAGTACTGTTTGGTTCATGCAATCTGAGCGATACAATCTTTGTCAATCGCATGCTTTTGACGGCGTGGGGAGATGGTTGAATTCTAGTCGCTGGAAATCAAACTTGCATGGTGTACAGTGGCCGACACCAGAACTTGAACTGGCTCTTGCGCCAACATGAGATACGGCAATACAATGTCAGGTCACAACTTCGAACACGCATTGTAAAACGAGTCACCTTAGGCGACCCTGTTAGCTGCTAAGCTTGCAGCCGATTGCTCAGCATCTTGATACAGGGACCTGAGAATCTATGTTCAGTTTATTGTGTCGGCCACTGCTCGTTGCGATGTGCTACCTCAAAGACGGGCAGATGGGCAGGAGACAGGCCGAGACGCAGCGCAGCAGGGCCTCGGGGGTGCCTAGAAAATGGCGAGACGAGCGCCATAGGCCGGCACCAACCCTGAGAGAAGATGCGAAATGCGCTGTGTGCCAATCGCAGGGCACCCGGCACCCGCTGCCACAGGCTCTCTCGCGCCGCTTTTACACGCAGTGCAGGCACATGTCTGCGTGGGTGACTGGTCAGGCTGCTGCCGGGAACGAGTTTGGCTCCCCTGGCCTGGCCGCAGGCTTTGGCGGCGACGCGCTATTTGGTGCGCCAAATCTGGGCTGTCAGCAGCCAGCTGGTCGCGCCCATTTAGCGAGTCCACCCCAACCACCCGCCTTTCCTCCTAAACGCCCGCCCGCCCGCTCCCACACCCACCACAACAAGCTCGTCGCGTACGAGACCACTACAACCATGGCCCGCAAGAAGAATGAAGAAGAGATCGAGCTCAACATCTCAAAGGAGCAGTTCAGAGGCACGCGCGACTCGGTAAGTGCGCCTTCTTGTTTCGATGTTGTGGGCGCACCGAGACGCGCTTGTTCAGCTTCGTTCGCGATGCGACGACGCTGCACCACCAGGCTTGCGCCCGGCCGCCGCAACACATGGCGTGACAATTATTCATCTCCCCGACGCGCGCAGACGCCGCGCATTCGCATTGCCGTGATCGCGATATCAGCGCGACTCAATCATGGCGCCGTTGAAGCCACTTCTGCCTCGTCCGTCGGCGCAGAATGCGCCCAAGCCAGCGGCGCGTCGAGTCGCGTCCACAACGCAGAGCACAAATGAAGGAGCTCGGTTGCTTACGTCCAAGCAGGTTCTCATGGCCCTCGCGAGTGTCCAGAAAGGCCTTCACAATGTCTCGAACAACCTCAACGAACTGATGCACGCGTACATCAAGCACACCGCCTCAGTTCTTTCTGGCGAGGACGGCGCTCTAGAGGGCCTTCAGCTCTCCGAGAGCGCGCAGCACATGATCGACGAGGCCGACTTCGCCACCAAGAGCGTCGCGAACCTGACCAAGTCGATCGGAGCCCCTACTGGCGACGCTGGCGACGCTGATGCAGGCAAGTCGAAGAAGCGCAAGCGCGAGAAAAAGGTCAAGGACCCCAATGCGCCCAAGCGTCCTCTTACCGCCGCGTTCCTGTTTGCGCAGAGCGCGAGGCCCATCATCAGGAAGGATCTGGAGAATGAGCTCCCGCCTGGCGCAAAACTTGAACCCAATGCTATCAACCTTGAGGTCAACAAGCGCTGGAACGAGATGGCCGACGAAGACAAGGAGGTAAGTTGTCTCTTCTCCGATGTTGTTTGTGTACAATGGCCGAATACATGGAAATTGAATGCCGGTCTGGGCATCAGTTTGCGCGTATTCGACCTCCATACCAGACTCCACCGCACCATCACCTCGAACCTTACTAACAGCCCCCCAGAAATGGAAAGCCTCCTACCGCGAATCCATGGAAAGCTACAATAAGGAAATGGCCGCCTACAAAGCCTCCAAAGGCGCCGCCCTCGCTGAGGAGCCCGTCGCCGAAGACGACGCTTCAGAGATCGAAGCCGACCCCGCCGTCCTTGACACAGACGTGGAATCAGACGACGACGACGTCTCCGACGAGGAGCCCTCTCCGACCAAGGCTCCCACCCCTCCCCCAGCAAATGGCAAAAACCCGCGCCCAAACAAGCGCCAGAAGACCTCCGCCGCGCCCGCTGTTAATGGCCATGTAGCTATCGCCCCGGCTGCGGGCCACACACCCGTCCCTCCACCAGCTACGCGCGTGCAGACTGCTGTCCCGCCGCCGCATCTAGCGGAGGCCACGCCCGCGAAAAAGGACAAGAAGAAGAAGGTTGCCCCAACGCCTGCTGCTAAAGAGCCTTCCCCAGATGATGGCAAGAAAGACAAGAAGAAGGGGCGATCGACGCGTGCAGCAGAGGCTGAGGAGGAGAAGACGAGCGAAAAGGAGAAGGGCCCCAGGAAGAGGGATAGGAGTAAGCGCAAGAGCGAGGGTGTTGCGGCTTAGGTCGCGAACCCCCCTTCTTCCGACCCTGTTTGGGGATGGTTGATGGGGATTTACTGATGCGCTGCCTTGAGCTAAGTTCTGCTGTAGTGTTTGTAACGCTTCCGCTGGGATCCAGAGTACCACTTGCTTTGAGAGACGGAAACGCCAAAAGGGGACGTGAGGTTTGAGGCGTGGAAAGATTAGTTTATGTTTTGCTGCTATGGAAGGTCTCGATGCTGGACTCTCTAAGGGATGGTGTGGACGTCAGCTTTTTCTGTTCACATAACGGCCACTGTACTGTAGATATTAACCTTGTATCATATGCGTATGTGGGTATCGTATCAATATCGATACATTGAGATTCTTCAATGGACACGGAATGTCTAAACATCCATATTCCATCGTGGTGCTTGATCATCGTATTACCATGCAAGGTGCAGTGTCGCCGTCATCTTCAGTTTCCAAGTTCGTTGGCTATGGGATAACAGCTTGTGTACGAAGAAGTGATCAGCCCTACTTCACCATTGACGCATAGCAGGAGTGTATGTCAAATCTGCGTCGTTTGTCTACTGCTTTCATCTTGACCTGATCAAGACGGAGTGGAGTGAATTAATTTTGCGATCAATCATTTATTCTGTCGATTCGTCAAAGTATATGCTATCAATGAACGATGATGTCACCGTGTTGCATCTCAATCAAGTTGTACATATTTAGATACAGATTTACGGATATTGTGTAAGTATACGCCCCTTCACTAGTCCCAGCGTCACGGCTAGGAAAGTCAGAATGGGCGGGCTCCATGAGCCCGTATCGTCTCATGAAGTCCGGCTATGCATTGCCTAAATGCTGGCCGTACAAGTACATGGCACAATATCGCCATTTACACTGTCAATTTCATAATCGCCGATTGAAGGTGAATATTCAATTTAGGAAATCGAATCAAGCAGCGGAAGCACAGTGAAGATCACCAGGAATGGCAGAGCAGAATCAAAGTCAAGTGTTCACAATGTCTATGTAGGATTCCGCTAAGCAATCAGTGATCGGCGGGTATCATCGTGTTCGCATCAAGTCGTCATCTATCGTTGTATCGTATCATGCCATGCCGTGCCCAAACCCCTATGTCTTACCATAACGTCGCTCATCTTTTGTTCAAAGCAGTGCCAAGATCTGTCTAATATCACAATCGCAAATTCAAGGGCGGAATCCGCCACGAGGTGACCACCGACCAAAGGACGCCTAGTCCATGGCCTCGTTTGCCGTATCGAAGCCCTCGTCTTCGCTGGTCTCTTCGCCGGTTCTAAACTCCACCTCACCTCCGGCCGGCTTGCCAACAGCCCTGCTTGCAACCACCTCAGTGTCCCCCTTCATCCCCGCCATAACCCCCCGCGCATATTCCATCCTCTTCTCCCTGACACCCTTCAAATACTGTAGGACCAACATCCCACACTCCTCCTTCGCCTTCTTCTTCCCAAACACATGTCTCACCTCTCCGATCGGTCCCTCATGCGGTCCCCCATTCTTGAAGAAGCACGATACGGTGTGGAAACCTTGCGCCGCGGCGGGAGAGGGGGCGTAGCGCCACTCTGGAGTGTTGAGACCGAGTTGGGCTGCGATTTGGGCGACGCATTGGGCGTAGGAAGATGCGCCTGCAAGAGTGTCGACAGGGTCTGTGGACGCCAAAGGGGTGGGGGTGTTTGAGTCGGAAAGAGGGGGAGACTTGACTTTCTTGATGCCGCCGAGCTCGGTGTAGGTGTCTGGCCAGAGGCCTTCTGCTTGGAAATGCTTGACTGCGCAGCCGGCAGCGTGCTGGCGGGCAGCTTTCTTGGAGGGGAAGTATGTGGTTCGGTCGCCAAAAGTGGATGGGTGGCCGTCGATGGTCAATTCACAAGAGAAGGATTGACCGAGCTGATAGTCGACGTAAGTGGGTTGAGAAGAGGCAGTTGAGCGTCGGAACTCTGGCGGTAGGTTAGCAGTCATATCTCGCTATATGCCACGTGTATTTACCAAGCAGTTGTCCGATGTAATTGACGACAATCTCCTTCTCCTTCTTTACCACTTCCTGCTGTGTAGTTTGTGTCTTCTGCTTCTTCGCCTTGGGCGCACGCTCCAGCTTTCCTTCCCTTTCCAACTCATCAATTACGCCCATACATATCTCGCTCAGTGTCTCCTTTGCCTCCTGCTTGCTGCCACACGATCCATCCACACGCAGCTCCCTTCCCAAGAAGTCGGTCCTCACGCAGAACCCCACAACACTATCCCCACTAAAAACGAAGTCTGGTCGCGGAATTCCGTATGCCTGGTACTTCTCATGGAGCTCGATGGTGTATCTGGATGAGCGAGGTGCGAGGGCACGAGGCTGTGGAGCTTCCAGTGCGTCTGTGGCGGTGGGAGTGGAGTTCTGGCGGAGGGCTCTGAACTCTTCGATGGAGAGAATCTGGCCAGGCATGTTGGAGGGACCAGAGAATGCGGGAACGCAGGGGGCCGTGTCAGCTTCCATCTCTCGTCTCTTACGGCTGTTCGTTGGAGATTTAGGCTCGTCTTGCAGCTGGCCTAAGGCGCGCCAGTACTCTTCTTGGTGGGAAGAATGTGAGATTGGTGAACTAGGTGGAGACTTGGAGGGAGAGACTGGGAAGTTCCCAGAGGACTTGCCAGGCACAATAAAGTACCGCAGCAGGTCGTCTCCAGCTGGCATGGTTTGGTGGGGACGTCAGACGCGTTTGTGTGAGGTACACCAGATTCGGGCCGTTTGGTGGGGCTTGCCCGCGGGCAGCAGCCGTGCACCTGATTGCGCGACGACGCGTTTGGTTTGTCTGAAAGAATTGAAATCGAGTCTTTGCGTCCACAGGGCTGCTACTTGTTGGACAATGAGTGTACAGTTTGGGAATGATTATTGCGGTCAAACGGGTAACGTTTGTCAAGCGTAGACCGATGATTGACAATTTGTCTTTCGTGTAACGAGACCCTGTCTGCGGCGTAAAGGGCAGTCGCGTCTTGAGAGCTTGAGAGGGGCAGGTGCGACGGTGCGACGGTGCGACGGCGCGACACGCTACCGCCCTGGAGCAAAGTCAAATGAGACACCCGCCCTCACGCAAGCAAAGCATAGTCCTCCTCGCGTTCTCACGTCTCTCACAATTTCCATCGATCACATGTCACGGTGGCTTTATCATGCTCCACATCGACAAATTCGATGCCGAGACACAGTCGAATGACTGAAGTCAACGTGGGTACTCGTGCCGCGCAGTGACTTCGACCCCAATGAAGGTTACTTGGTGTGCTGAAGCCACTTCGTTTTCTTGCTTCTTCCTCATTCATACTTCGAAGGTGACATTTGAGCTCATGTTCATAGGAGAGGCTATCCGTCTACAAGGCTTATTGTCCTGACGCTTCTATTGCAACGCTCGCTTCACTCTTTCCCTCAACCACTTCGTAATCTGCTGGCGTGTCACGTCCTGAAGAAGCTCGTGAATTGCCTTCGCAATTAATTTGATATACAGACACAGCACATCTAGCGCTATGCGTTCTCCACCAGAATCACAGAATGCTCGTCTCTATTCTCTCCCGTGCCTCTTCTCTACCATCTACGACAACTACATGGTGTACAGATCACAGCACAGCCCATTGATATTGAAAAGCTGACCGTCGCCCATGCACTACATTACATTCCATCATTAGCCCAAAATAGGTATCTAGCCAACCCAACCCAGATGCCCTACCATACATGATCGTAACATCATAACTGCGTTAATCCCCTGCTCTATTACCCCATCCATCGATTTCTCTTAGAGTCGTTTTCGGTTAAAGGCGATCCTCAACAGACAATTATCTTCATACCCTCCAAACGCCTCTCTCTCTCCCCCAAAATCCACCTGCATCCCCGATCCCACCTTACTATCCCTCCTCCCCACCCCTTCCGCACCAACCCCGTGTCCTCTGCGAATCCAACCCCGACTGCAATTTCCACAAACCCCATCCCCATCAGCCCGCCATGGTTCCCGTCCTCAGGCAGCATATCCGGCATCCCGAACTGCTCTGCCGCATTTTCCAGTTGCGAGATCAAACTCGGATGATGCCAGCTCGGCTTCGTAGCGTAGCACCCGCCAGGCATGCCCGCGGTGGAGATATGCGCCAAGGAAGCGAGGTCCCCAAAGGCATTTTCCGGGAGCGTGTGCTGGGACTCTAGGCCGGTGATGGAGGATAGATTGGGCAGCGTGTTGTTGTGGTGGTGCATGCCGTTTACGTTGGGGGCGTACGAGTCGTAAGTGCCAAGATGAATGGCTGGTTCCAGTGGCGCTAAACAGCCTGAGATGGTGATGTGTCCGCCGTCGAAGTCAAAGTCGTTTGCGTCGGGGTAGGACCCCGGCTGTTGGGGGACACCGGAGGTGTCTTGGCTATGTGTGAGGGAGGGCAGGGAGTGCGTCTGAGAGTAGTCGTTTGCGAGGCTTGGTGCAGTTGCGGAATTGGAGTTTGAGAAGTCGGTGGATGCAAGGGCATCAAGGGCGTCAAGGTCGATCTGGGGCTGGGTGTTGCCAAAAGGGTGGTTGAAGTCGAGCGGTAGTGTCGGGTACATGGAGTGAGAGGAGGTGGGGATGGAGAGCATAGATAGGGACGAAGAGGTGTGCGAGGGGTGGAGTTCTTTTGCGTTGCGGATGTGCGATAGTTCCTCGTCTTTCATCCACTTCTTCTCCCTCCGGTGCCCGAAGTTAGCGACGCGCCAGGTCATGCGACCTGCTTCGTGGCTGTATCGTGTTTGGCTGAAGCGCCAAAGGATAGTCAGAAGACGGACTTGCTCGCCGTCTTTGATGCCGTAGATGTCTTGTGCGGCGGTCATGTTCTGAAGCTCCCTGCGGACAAGCTCTTCGTAGCGGGTGCGGGCAGGTTGTTCTTCCTGTGCTGATGCCTTTCCTAGCAGATCACCTAGCTTCTGCATCTGGTGAACCCAGAACTTGGAGCCGAAGTGAACGTGCATAAGACCATGCTCTGCGTGATATTCCTCCTGCGTGCGCGTTTCTCTGGCTTTGCCTTGAGCACGGTCTCCATCGGGTTGGTCTGCTACTCTGCCGTTCTCGAAGAAGCGTGTTCGGCATTCTATCGAGTCGTAGACGGAGAGGTCGTCCTGTGAACGCAAGTCAAAGGTTATGCTCAACGTTGCTCCAGCAAGCCGCTCCATCGTCATGACTTTGATGGTGGCGTCACAAATAAGGACATGGTGATCTCTGAAATGTTCCGTCCGGTGAAACTTAAACTCGGGATACTGCTTGTGCCACGAATTTGTATCAGTGATATGTAGATCATCGAGCCGGGCTTTGCTATTGCTAAGTTGGGTGAAGTCATGTGCGTGCCGCTTAGCCACTTCGACGAACATGTCGAAATTGGCTACCGTGTATGGAGACTCTTCGTGGCCAGAGAGAAGTTTCGCAAGAGCCACTGAAGATGGGAGGTATCCAAGGCTCTGTTGTAAGTCTGTGTCGGCTTGTGAGTGATCATACTTTGAAGATGCATGCCGGTGACGGTGGTGGCCGAAGTGTGAGCCGTGGCGTCCTCGACCGCCGCGGCCTCCCATGTCCTCGGTAGACATGTAAACCAAGACTGCTCTCGATGTCAATGGGCGGTACTGTAGGCTTCTCAATACGCTTACTCTGCGGCTGGTCTGATAGCATAGGCTTCAACACCTGGATGTGACTCGAGACTTGCTTCCGCGTGCGGGGCTCGCCGGTGTCCCTATGGATTGAGTCTGCTACCAACTCATTCCGGCCACGCAGCTGCCCGTCCAGCATTTGCTTACGGCGACCCATAGGTGGCCATCGAACAAGCGCTGAGGCTGTTAGTTCTATCATGGTAATTGCGATCCAAAATGTGGGAATGCTCACCTCTAAAGAAGGCTTCCTCGAGATGATCTGGCCATCGTTGCTCCTTGTTATCCTTTGCTGATGTTGTGTCGGAAGGCTGACGATCACGGTACTTCTGATACTTATCGCAAGCCTTTAACAACTTCATGAGCCTCTTCGTCTCCAGATCGATCTGTGCTTCCGACTTGTCGCCATTGAAATGGGAAGCGAGGTTGCCCGTGAAGTAGCCACCCAGCCGACCGGTATAGATGGGAGTAGGTGAGCGTTTACATGATGAGGCATCCTCAGTGTATTCGTGCCGCCTGTTTGCTGATCTTTCTTGCAATACACGGCTTGGTATGTATGTGTCACTCTCTGGTAAGGCTGGGGCATTAGAGGGAAGGACGCATGAACGATGATGTAGTTCCATTAGGAGGGAATGCTTGCAGCTGAAAAGAATAGGAATCTAACAATGTCTGAGGGAAGGAACGTAGAGCGGTCGGAGCGAAGGAATGACTGAAGAGAATGGTATGGACGTGGCGAAGCCGAAGCAACAATGTAGGAGCACATCAAGCGGTGATATACAGCGAGTCTAGACGGCCGTCAGGAGGGCAGGATTCGCCTCTCACAAGGCACATCAGGTTACCACCAAAACGGAGCACACAGTCGATGTGGTGACATAATGTCAAGATGAGATTAGGCTAACACACTATAGAGAGTCAAGCGTCGACCGAACCATTTCGCTTGTCGGCCGTATAATTACACCCACGAGGTTCCTATTGACAGGAATGATAACATTGCTGATTTGGTTGCGATTAGCAAGGCGAGCAAGGGCACGGGCAACTGCCGAAGATCTACTTGATTGGAGCGACCTGGCTCACTCACTCTGTGCGAGGGAGACGAGGCACGGGAATGCTCTGAAGTCGAAGAATGTCAGCAAGCGTAAACAAAACTTCAATGTTACAAGCGTGGCAGTGAGCGTGCGAGACTGACAAATGTCTTTCGCGTCTAAGACATAGGGAGCAAGGCACCAACGCGGTGTGGTGGCCATGCGTTTGATTCAAGCCTGTGCAGGTAGCAAGTTCTCCTGTCGCGGGTAGCGAAATTTCAAGACCGTATGCCAAGAGTACGTGACGCTGGTGTCTTAAGTAGAGCGAAAGGGCGAGCTCTGAAAGCCTCGCGTCCTTAGTCATAACAGCAAGGGGTGGGTCAAGGGACCGCTTGGTGTCGCGATGCACAATTTTACCAGGACGCGCTGCTGGCTAAGCTTCGTCTAGATCGTCGGTACCTGCAACGTTAAACTTTTTCCGTCCGCCTGACGTCAAACGCTGCAGGGCAACTTTGTTCGCCTGTGACCCAACCTTCTGCTGCATCTTCTCCAGCTCCAGTTCAGGGTCATCCGCCTCGGTCTCAGCAAAAGTAAGAACAAGGTGTCTGCCCAGTAAATGCGTGCCACGAAGTTGGTTCATCGCGTTGGCAGCATCTCGTTTCGTCGAAAATTCGGCAAAAGCAAATCCACGAGAGGACGAATCGAACTTCTTCGGCACCCTGACCGAGCGCAAGGATCCGTAAGGGGCAAAGAGCGCGCGAACATCTTTTTTCTAGATGCAGGTTAGAACGTGCAACTTGAGATATCATGAATGGAGGGGTAACTTACGGTAGCTTCGAAAGGCAAGTTCTTGATAAGGATCTTCGTCCCGGCAGCCTTCTTGACGGCGTCCTCCTTTCGTCGCTCTTCGGCGGCATCGGCCCCTCTATGTGAGGCCTGAATCTTCAGTGAATGCCCCTCGAGGCTATAGCCATCCATGGCTCGCAGCGCGGCAGAAGCCGTCTCAGAGCTACTGAAGTCCACAAATCCATAACCGAGCGAGAGTATACCACGCTTGGGATCGGTCTTGGTCCGAACAATCGCGCTGCGGAATCCCGCCAACGGTTTGAATGTCTCAGACAGCTTCTGCGTCGTCGTCGAGAAATTCAGGTTCTTCACGTGTAGTGTGACAGTGTTCGTTGATTCTGGCTCCTCTTCCAGCAGGTCCTGGGCAGACAGTAACGCGCCAGGCTTGTCGGAAACTGCAGTGGGTATCGTTGTGCTAGACACGCCTTCCTTGAAGAGGTCTTTGGGCGCCTTTTCAAGATATAGAATCGAGTCCTTCATCTTTCTGTACGAAAGAGTCATGAACGCAGATTTGGCTTGTGTGGCATTCCCGAACTCCACAATAGCAGTCATGCCAGCAGGAGGCATCAAAAACCTGCGAATTGTGCCATGCTCCTCGAAAAGCTGTCGTATCTCATCGGCCTTGACTCCATGAGGGATGTTCTTGACAAGGATGGCGAGATCGCCTTTCGAACTTCTCTTGAACGCATCAAGATCGACGCCTTGTTTTGCAAAGTAACCCTTGGTCTCTTGGATGATGTGCGTTTCAGCATGGGCTTGCTTGACCGCAGCGTCCGAAGATGTGGGATCCAACAGTTCAGCCTTGCTGATGTTGAGGCGCTCCGCCACCGTTGACAACACGGCATCGGTGTTAAGATACAGCGAGTTCCAGTTGAAGGTTGACGCGGAGGCGTTCTTCTTTCTGAGTACGTCTTTCTGCTTCTTGAGTGGTAGTTTGGATATGGCAAACTCATCAAGTGCATCGTTCCTTTTCGCCTTCCCTGAAATAATGTGCAATAACCTTCCTTGGAAGATGGTACCATCATTCTCACGGAAGGCCTCGACCGCGTGTTCAGGATCTTCAAATTGTATAAAGGCAAATCCTTTACCTTTTCCATCGATTTTCTTCGTGGGGACGTGAACCTTTGTGCTGTTAGCGACCACCTTGACGAGAACAAATGTTGAAGTAAGCCAAGGGTTCGCCAATTTCAGATAAGAGACACATCTACTAAAATAGTCTCCCAGTCAACCTCATTTGCAAAAGCATCAGTTGTCCCTATCTTGGATATTCATCATATGGCGGGGTAGGAACGAAAGTGAGAATTAGACCTACCTCTTCGATTGTGCCAAACTTGGAGAACTGTTCGCGTATGTCATCTTCATTGACATCATAATGAAGATTTCTCAGGAACAGTCGGCCAGTCTGGCGAACCTTGCCTTCCTCGGAAGGCGCTGCGTCTTCTTCCTGGGCTTCTTCGGCTAGTGCAACCCCAAGCTGTGCGGCTTCAGCTTCGGGAAGTTCCTCTCTCATCTCGACCTCTTGCTTGTTCGCTGTCGGCGGAGCAGGATTTTCGTCATCATCCTCCACGAGATCAAGCACTCTGTTCGTGCGTGACCGAAGCCAGTCAGCATCCGAAACAGGGCCAGCCTCATCAGCAGGTGCATCGGGGAGCTCCTCGGACGCATCTTCGTTGGTTTGGGCAACGTTTGTCGCGTGGACAGTCAATTCTGTTCCCACTGCAGACTCCGCTTCAGGCGACGGTATCCGCTGCGCAGTCTTGGGCTTCTTCGACAGTACCTGGTACTCGTCGTCGCTTTCGCCTTCTGGAACAGCAACAGCTTCTTCAGCTGGTTCAGCAGCGGGCGCGGAGCTTGACTCCATTTGTGCCTCTTCGTTGGCCCACGCCTTCTGCTTCGAGGGCGGTTGCATCGCATCAAGGAACTCCTTCAGCTTTTGGTCTTGCTCAACTTCCTCTCGCTTTCGCTTGAGGTGGTTCTCTTTCGGAGGCGGTACGTAATCGTCGTTTCTTGGTACGCTCTTCTCAAATTTCTGTTGTCGTCGCGACTTGGGGAGTTCCTTGTCTGCGATCTGGGACGATCGTTAGCTCAGTCTAATACGTCGCTTCCATGCATACATACAGCTCGTGCTGGCTCGGCAAATATTTTGGACATGCGAATGAAGGATTTGTTGAAGTACTTGATCGCCTTGGAAGCATCCTCTGGCGTCTTGTATCCAATGTACCCAATGCGGCGGGCGGGGAAGTACTTCACGTCCGTGATAGTGAACTTGGAGAAGTGCTTGCGCACATCGTCCTCTGAGAACTTCGGCGGTAGACCGCGTACGAATATGCGTGAAGTCTCCATGGCTGTAGATTGCGAATCGTGACCTGCACGAAGAGTGAATGTATTGTGGAAGATAATGGGCGCAGCTTCCCAAATTTTTTAGCTAGCGGGCCCAAGCGAGACGCTCGGTCGCACCTGCCGCGTTGTTGCGCGCCAAGCCCGCGGTTCTCCTGCGCCAGCCCTGCCACATCAACACTCCACAAAGTCCCCATAAGTTACATACCATTGCTCGCCTAGTCTACTAGCTAGGAATACTCGACACTTGAAACCTCGTATTTCAATCGACACCACTCTCTCACCATGGCGAGCGAGAAGGATCTTCCTATCAAGCAAGAAGGTACGGGTGTACTCATGTTGTGTTGCCAGTGTTCAATCAACCGCTGACACGTGCATAGCCCAGATCAAGTCTGCAGACATGGTAACATACCTTTGAAAACTCTGATCGAACTTTGACTTACACCCTGCCTAGAGCGAGGAGATGCAGCAGGAGGCCATCGAAGTCGGTATGAATCCCCTTCGAGCACTGGCGCCTAAATCACAGACTGACATCTAGCAGCCCAGTCAGCTATGGACCAATTTTCTATCGAGAAGGTGTGATAAGACAAGTCACTAAGTATAGCCGGAGAACTGACCGTTCCCAGGACATTGCCCAGTACATCAAGAAAGAGGTAGGTTTCCATGTTGTGTCTTCCTCTTCACTGTGCTAAAATTGGTGAAGTTCGATAGCCGCAAGGGCGCGACGTGGCATTGCATAGTCGGGAGGAACTTCGGTAGCTTCGTGACCCACGGTACGCCAATCCATTGCGAGTGAGACTGGGCATCCAACTAATTCATGTACAGAGACCAAACACTTCATCTACTTCTACCTTGGGCATTGCGCCATCCTACTCTTCAAAACTCAGTAAGCACATATGCAATGGACCCGGGAACTTGGCCATCTGGACACTGGATACCCTGTTTGCTTTCGACCTCGTTCAACATACGTATACGAGCTCGCACTCACACCGACCGTAGGCTATAGGACGTATCACCATTCGAGGCTTTTTAGTGCTTGAATTGGGGTTATCTGACGCGTGGCGATTGGAGTGATGACGTATTGGATTGCAAAGGGCCTTTTGATATGACTGATACGAGTCTCTTTTTCAAAAGCTGTGTCTACGGGCAGGTATATACCCAATGGGATGATTCTTATACCATGATATCATTTCTCAAAGTACGTTTCTCAAATCATCTCGAAATTGTTGATGTCTTCTCAAATATTTGGAAGAACATGCGACTCTGTTGAGCGCGAAAGCTTTCCAACCGCAGCGTGGAAAGGTCGCACTTCGGACGTGCAGTATATCATTGGTAAAGGAAGCTCGCTAACATCAAGTGACTTGACCCTGCTGCGTGACAGGCTGGACTACATGCATCGTACCACACGCAAGCCAAAGATATATTACCCCTCCATGCCACGCGTAAAGTGCATGCCAAAGGTGTGGCGCCAAGTGTGGCGGAGTTGATGACGCAACTTGGCGCCAATCCACCTCCGCGTTCTAACATTCACATTTACCCAGCTCTCGCCGCAACACTCCTCACACATTATACCACATCCTTCACCCACAGTGGCACGTCTCCCTTCGCGTAATACATATCTCAAGACACGAAAAAAACACGCGCAAACCGACAATCGATCGCGACGACCCTCCGCAAGCTATATCTACCGCGCGCATAGACAGTTGCGCGACAGCTCTACGCTACGCCTTCAACCCGCCACACCCAGAGAACCGCACCGAGCGTTGAATTAGCATTGCCACCTCAAATATGTTTTTCTTTTTCACATGCGGAACGCACAGTATGTCTCTTTCTCAACATTCCTGACCCGGTATGCACCTCCTCTCCACTGTATTAACCCCTTCATAGCATTCAACTCGCATCTCAAAGGCGCCGAAAACCTCACCTTCCAATGCCAAAATTGCGGCAACTTCTCCGCGCGCCCGATGAAGCGCTGGGAATGGTTCACCTTCTGCTTCGTCCCCGTCATCCCGTTCAGCCTGAAACCCTACAAAGAGCTCGGCTGCCACATCTGCAATTTCTGGCAGGACATCAAGTACCGGCCTGACGTGCAGGCGCAGATTGGCGGAGGAGGTGCGCCGCCACAGCACCAGCAGGGATATCAGATGGGAGGTCATGAGCAGGGGACGGGGAAGCCGGGGTATGGACCACCGCCGGCAGGGGTGCCGCATCAGTATCAGTAGTTCCGGCTGCCGGAGAGAATCGTGCTGGTGAAGCATTTCATCTTGGTTACATGCCTGTTCCGGGCAGCACTGGCAGAGAGGCGGAGGGGCAGTGTGAGACCAGGGCTGGGGTATAGATTGAGGCTACGCAGGATGAAAAAGTACCGGGGTGAGTCAATGCGCGGCGAAGGCAACATCTGCGTGGTTTTGTCGCGTAGGTGGATGTAAGCAATGGTGATTTCGGAGAGTCTAATGCAGCGACGCAAACCTACACGATATCCCTTTCGTTCTGTATTTTTACCACCACGCTGGACGGCGGGAGGATCGCGAGCATGGTATGGCGTTAGGGGAACCTTATATACCAGGCTGCTCTTTCTTTGAACACTTTCCTAGGCTCGAGAATATAATATATATTCGCCCAGACCTTGCTCAACACGAACACGATTCCCAGCTCAAGCGCAATCAAGAACAGTCACAAACCCAACCTCCTCTAGCCTCTGGTCAATATTCGACAAAGTCACGCTTCACCCCACACGACGCAGTACCAGAACGCTTGCCCACCGGTCGAGTCTCGCTGCCTGCTTGGCAATAATCGATTTGCATCCTATCCAGGATACTACAGTACCTCGCTCCAGATTCTAAGAACATGCAATTTGTGGGCAGGGCGGAGTCATGCGGCGATGACCAATATAGTATCTTCAAAGGATTGGCCGAGTTAGTATAGGCCCTATCGGCCCCCAACAATAAACTGGCTGAGTTCTAGAATGCACTGGTTTGGGATGCGGAACCTGCATTTGGCGCTCACCTGCTTTTCAGAGTACAGTATGTCGAAGGATTGTCCTTGGCATCAGCCTCCTTCCAAGGCTCCTTCCCACTTTGCTTGCTTTGGGAGAAGCGAAGGAACGAATGGGATGAGGTCATAAAGCTTTGCGCTGATATCCCTATAGATTATCTGTATATGTTCCAGCATCGAATAGGGCTATAAAGAGTTCCATTGCTTTCTGTTTGTACCGCACCTAACCCTCAGCGCACATCATCCTCGTCCAAAGATCAGATCTCCAGAGCATTCCAACCATGCGATCAACCACTATTCCAGCTTCTCTCCTCCTATTTGGAACGGCTATCGCCGTGCCAGAGGTCCAGATCGTCCCAAGTTTTCCCGGACGCTGCACCGCATATCCGAGTATCAATCTCGGCCCTGGTCCCGACCGCGCCCTCCCCTTCCAAATCATATCCGACCAAACCGACGACTCTGCTGCCAATCTTCTGACGCTATATCCCCATGACACACAGCTCAACGGCGAAAACGTTACCTACCTCGCCGTGAACTGATGCACGGATTGCGCTGCCGCGAACACCATCATGCAATGCCGCGACGCCCTCGTGACGACCTACTCATATGAGTCACCCTACATCAGGATATCTAAGGACGCAAATAACGCTATTCCCTGGAGCAAGGATGGCTATACGCCGGGGATATACAGGCACACGATCGACGGTGTGGACCAGGGGCATAATTACTGGGGAGCGCAGAATAGGACGACGTGGGGGTTCAAGGCTGCGAATGATGGCGTTCCGGACCACTACAAGATCAAGTTGATGGGGTTGCCAGAAGACCCAAGCACCCCAGGTACGGAGGCGGATTGGGAGCCTGAGTTTTTAGGCTTTGTTAGAGTGATCCAGCCACATACTCCTTGATTGTTGAACATACTATCTACTAGACATGAGGTTATATTGTTCGACCCTCGTCCTCTTCTTCGTCGCACGGATAGGACCCTCACAATACGGAGTGGAGCATCTTAATTGTAGAGTAGCCTAGTCAGAACCTAGGGCGATTATTCTTGTTCCTCTGTATCGTTTCCTTGGCGAATCGTATTTCCTGGATTTTTAAAATCAAATGAAGGAGACGTAACGTAGCTATCAGATGTGGGTAACGAGTAGTCTGCAGTGAGCTGCTGTTGAAGGAGAAGGACGGTTGAAACCTTGGAAGCTGGGCGCTAAGGTCACTCTACAAAACAACATAGCGGCCGACACTAACAATTGCATCGGTTAGACACTGCCATACGGTGTTAGATCGCAGCTTTCAAACAAGTACTATAGCGTAACGTGCCCCTAATCTCAACAAGAGAGATCGGTTCTGGGAGGGGTTGACGCTGAGCAATTCAATCTCTTGTGTCGACCACTGTACAAGGCAAACGGAATTACCTAATGTGTCAAAGAGTCAAGGGCGATGAAGAAAGGCTACGGAGTCGGTGCACAAACGTGGTACATCGATGTCTGCCTCAGTGAAGGCGCGCAGGCCAATCCTGATAGCTCGTGCTGCAGGAACCTACCGCACCACGTGCTAATCAAGCTACTTGGGTATGACAACAGAGCGAGAGACGTCACGAAACAACGAGCCAGAAACATGTTGTGTACATCATGCAACGACTGATGCACTGGGTACCTATGGTATGCAAGTTGCGCCGCATGGTTTTTTTGGGCGCTAAAATTTCTCGTTCAAGATGCACTTGAGCATTTTGGGCAGGTATTCACGAAACTAGCGATGGTCTAGACGGAGTTCTACGGGTAGAATCGTAGAGCTTTGTAGACTCTGAGTCTACATATGCAGCGCACAGTGTGGCCTAATCCGGTTGAGTACTTTTAGCCTTCTACAGGGTTAGGCTAACTTGCAGCTGCTCAGCTACACTAGTGAAGATCAGGTCGTGCCACATGTGCTCTGGCCCAAATAGTTGATAGACAAAGGCTAAGAAAGGGTAAAGCGTCTCGCTACCGCGAATTGAATCTAACGAGAAGAGCTGTGTGATCCGGCTTGATGATTGTGTTCTGGACTTCTTTAGCGTCGAGCAATCCGCATAAGAAATCCTCGATTGAAGAAAGGACCAACATATCATTGACAGTAGCATATCCCTCAAGACGACGCAATCAGCACGCTTCGAATCCAGTTGCACCAATCTTGCAGATCTCAAGATTTCTGTCCAAAACCGAACGAATGGTACGCCACATTATCCCAGTGGCTCTCGCTACTTCATATGGGCATAGCTAAAGATTATCTAGTTCGCACAAGACCGCCTCCTCCCAGGCGAGGAAATCAACAACTGGTCATCTAGCGAGTTATTACGACGACTCGTTAGCAACAACGATGCGTACAAATGCACCTTTACAGACGATGGCAATCTCGTTCTCACCAACGAACGGTCTGGTTCGACAATCTGGCAATCGAATACTGCTGGCAAAGTGGGCAAGCCAACGCACATCATCATGCAGAAGGATGCAAACCTCGTTATGTATGATGTGGATGGGAAGCCTTACTGGGCGACCAACACAGGCGGTAAGGTCCGGGGAGGTGATATTGTGCTCGTCATGCAGGACGATGGAAACCTGGTCATATATGGAAATGGGAAGCCTATCTGGAAGACGGACACTTCGGGAAAGTAGGATGTTGTGGTCGGCATTCTTCTCGTGGGTTCTACTCTCGAAAATTGTATCACAGTGGGCGACACCAAAAACTGAATTTTATGGTGCCAGATTCTCAGCTCCCTATATTAGTAGGTTAGAGAATCGGCTGTAAGCTTAGTATCTGATGGTACAGCCAAGGATGGCTCGCTTTATAATGTGTGTTCGAAGTTTTACCCTAATAATTTACGGCCGCATCTTATGTTGGCGCAAGAGCTGGTTCAATTTTTTGTGTTGGCCACTGTGTATACGAAATTAACTGAGACCAAGGGAAGACACGCAAGAAGTCCTGAGCTAGGAAGAAAACGATCGTGATGGACTACGAGTTCTACACGCAACGCCCGAATCGTAACAAACAGGACGAGGTAATAGCCTTCCATTCATCAAATTCGTATTCAAACTAATATAATTAATTAACATGAAGACAGTCAATCTTCTGGTATCCATTTAGTATTTTCGATCTTCATCCCTCATCATGCTCGCACTTAGTACGCAACCATAGCGTTCAAGCCCTCCGTCTCACGATCAAAGTTCTTGTGCTGCGAAATGGCAAAAGTATAAGCGTCGACGAAATCCTTCGCGCCCTTTGCCATCTGTATGACCTCCTTGAAGCTCTGCGGGCTAACCTGGCTGGCGGTGACAACGCCGTAGCTGTCGACGACGTCACCGCTGGTAGAGAACGACATGCCGGGCAGATCGACTGCGGTACGGATGAACTGGACAGCCTCGCCAGTCGCACCAATGGCCTTGAGATGACCAAAGGCCTCACGCACCCAGTGAACGGCGCGGCCGTTCTTGCTGAGGGTGGCAATCGATTCGGCACCGCCGGGAACGAAAACGGAATCAAACATGGTCGAGCGCATGCCCTCGAGGTGATGGTCTGCGACAACGCCCTTGCCGGTGTTCTTGTCCTCGCCAGCGGCGAAGATTTTGTTGCGGCGTGGAGAGATAGTGAAGGGAAGGGCGCCGGCTGCACTGAGAGCAGTCTTGATACCATTGTACGCTACAGCATCGTAGCCGTCTGCGATCAGGATGGCGACCATGCGAGTTTCGATGGTCGGCTTCTCCGGTGCGAAATCGAGCTGCGAGAGACCCTTGGCCTTCTTGTTGTGCTTGGGGCGACTCTGCTCCTTCGGCTGCTCACCGCCGACCATCTCGGCCACGGACTTCGCGAGATCTAGATCGATTTCTGCAATGCGGGCAGTCATACGCTCGTAAACGATGGGGTCATCGCAGTGGTCGAGCTCGAACGCGAAGGCGTTCATCATGTGAGTCTTCTCAGGCTCGGACAACGAGTTGTAGAAAAGCTCGGCTTGGTTCTTGTGCTCCTGAAACTTTTTGCTGCGAAGGCGGGTCTTGACACCAGCCATCTTCTCAGCATAGTCAACATAGCCGCCCTCCTTCTCGGTTGCAGGTGGCACGGCCTGGAAACGGTTGGGCCAGTAGTTGACGGTGCCCTTGGTGATAGTGTGTCGCATAGCACCATCACGGTTGTGATTCATCACAGGACAAACAGGCTTATTAATGGGAAGCTCTTCCCAGTTTATGCCAAGACGGCTCAGCTGGGTATCTTGGTAGGAGAAGTTTCGGCCCTGTAGGAGAGGGTCGTCACTGAAACCAATACCGGGCACGATATGGCTAGTACAGAAAGCAACCTGCTCAGTCTGTGTGAAGTACTCGTCCGGGTTTCGGTTGAGCTCAAGCTGGCCAATGTATCGGATAGGTACCAACTCTTCAGGCCAGACCTTAGTAGCATCAAGTATGTCGAATTCAAAGTCATCCTGCTTCGACTCGGGAATGACCTGGATACCGAACTTCCACTTAGGGTATGCGCCGCTCTCGATAGCGGTCCACAAGTCCTTTCGGTGGAAATCGGGATCCTGGCCAGCAATCTTCAAAGCCTCGTCCCAAACGAAACTGTGTACACCCAGCTCGGGCGTAAAGATGAACTTGACGAAATTCCTCTCACCCTTGTCGTTGATGAGTGTGAAGGTATTTACGCCGAAACCCTGCATCATACGGTATGATCGGGGGATGGAACGATCGGACATGGTCCAGAAGTGCATGTGCGTAGTCTCTGGGTGAAGGTACTGGAAATCCCAGAAGTTGTTGTGTGCTGATTGTGCCTAGTGAATGTTAGAAGATGTTGATTTGAGGCGCGTAAGTGAAGGTACCTGAGGGATCTCATTGTGAGGCTCGGGTTTGCCAGCATGTATAACGTCAGGAAATTTCATAGCATCTCTAAAGGTGAGGGTATAGAGTCAGTGTAGTGTTCGAAATTTGGGGAATTGGGCGAAGTGGGTGTTCTAGCCAGCCAAAATGTCTGAAGATCTCAGACTTAGAAGTGCAAGGCCTAGAGTCTTGGACAATCGGCCAACCTGAACACCCACACTGTCCCCTGCCGTACGTACTGGATGAAGAAGACCGGGATATTGTTTCCGACGATGTCCCAGTTGCCCTCTTCAGTGTAAAACTTGACAGCGAATCCACGAACATCGCGGACAGTATCTGCTGAGCCGCGGCTACCTAGGACTGTCGAGAACCGGAGGAATACAGGTGTCTCTCGAGAAGTATCTGTAAGAACGCCTGCAGAAGTAACGTCTGCAGCCGATTCAAACAAGGTGAACTTTCCGTGGGCGCCTGCACCTCTCGCGTGAACGACACGCTCGGGGATTCGTTCGTGGTCAAAGCGGTGGATCTGTCACCATGTCAGTAACCGAGTCTCCAGAGAATACAGGTGGCGACATACCTTTTCACGGCCGAAACCATCTTCCAAAAGCATGGGACCAGTCCTGTCCTCGCTGGCGACCTTCAACCAGTCGTCCGTGTTCGTCTGCTTGGTGCCCCAATCGGAGGTTATCCTCCAGTTCGGGTCGTGGACATCTTTGGTGGCGGCCGACAGGTCCGCAATCTTCTGATTCTTTGCGCTCGTCATTTCTTGAACTTTTTCTGTAGCCTGCGATAGAATTTGAGAGGCCATTATCTTGTCCTTTGGATCGGATGCAAGACAGTCCAGCAAGGTCTCTTAAAGGAATTGGCCGTGGCGGAGATGGGTACATAAGAAAGCGGTGCTGTCGTCGTCATGACGTCAATTTGTTGTATGAACAGCGCCTGCCCGCACCACTACGCGACGTTTTGACACGCGGTCGCCCGAAGACGCACCCCTAGCCGTTCTTTGGCTGCATTTTCGGACGCGCTTCAGGTCTACCGGCCAATAGGCGATTTGATGATGTCGAGCAATGATCGAATAATGCTCGACAATCTGAAATGCGGAGTCGCACTAAGGGCTCATGCGGGTCGCCCATGCCAAATCCTATGGGGTTCGAGAAGTCGATGCTGAGAAATAAGTGCTTTTGGAAGGGCATTCAGAATTTGCCCCTGGAAATGCTGCGTTTCGATGACGAGGTGCGGGTTCAGACTCGGTGAGCTACCGGCGAGCTTCCAGATAGCGACTTGTCCATTGGCCTGCCCACCAGTCCCGCCTCTGTGTGCCGCTTGACGATCGAGAGGGCGAGGAGCACGGCAGCTGTTGTAGAAGATCTGTTACGTCTGCCTGAAGTGCTTGGTTGCCATGTGCACGCACGCGAACCGTCCTATGAGGTGTGGATGAGCCATCGCATTCTCAATACCGAGGTTGGCGGGGTAGTCACGTGATGCGACCCTCCATGCCACGCTTCCAATGTTAAACCTGTGGAGCATTGACAGCCGCACAGGCCTGCTGTCCGATCGAATCCTTCTCCCCTGAACTTTGTGGAGACCTGTAAATGCAAAAGCACATTCACAGGTTGCATTAAGAGCTAGGAAGAGCCGAGTCCATAGCTGTTGAGATGAGAACACGGCTCGCACCGCTTAACGGCGCACCCGGAACCGCCGTTGAAGTTTAAATCATGCCACTCCGTGAGAGCCGTTGAAAAGCATCCGACAACGTTCGGCACTAGATATGACAGCCGGGCGCATGCATATCCGGTCAGTCGAGACCGCCGACGGCGCCCGCGGGGAAAGCTCTCCAATACCTTTTCCCCATTCAGGGCCTCTCCCGCAGCCTTCCGCTACGCTCATGCAACTCCTGTACGAGAAGGCCCGAAGCACGTTGATGATGTCGCGTCCAATGCGTGGAGGCGGAAGGTACCCGTTAGACTTCGTCAATCGCGCAAAAAGCAATTTTGAGTTAGGCTGTCTAGTGCAGAAGAAGCGGCGGTGTGATGCCTTATCTGGACTTTGGCTCGTCTATTTGAGACTTGATTTCACGAAGGCTGAATGCGCGTTGAGTCCTGCCTGCTTACGACATGCATCAAACTACAGACACGACCGCATGGGCAAATGTTGGAACGGTCCAAACTGAGTACCTGTTACGGGGGTCCACAACGTCGAGTACAACAGCACCGGGCAGCAAAGGCTTCGCACGCAACGTTTCCGGTGAGTGTCTTGAACCTGATCCGAGGTCAAAAGGTCGAGATTCGCTTAAAGCTTCGTCTGTGATAGTAAAGGTGAAGGTGCATCTGCACAGCATCAACCTACCGCATTGGAAGCTTGGCGCAGCAGAGGCGAGCGATTAGCGTTAGCTGAACCAGCCTTTCTGAGCTGAGCCAGACCTCTTCATGCAAATCGCGTACACAGGCAAGCGTTGTGTTGGTTTGGACGCGCAGCACCGTCCATACAGACACTGTGCACGGTGTCTCGCGCGGTATATGGGCACTGTAGGATTCTACTTGCGCATGATATGTCAGCATTGCAGATTGCCACGTTCTTTGAGTCGAAGGATTGTCGAGCAACAAGCACTAGGAAACATCTATAGTGCTTCTACGAGGCTGGCAAGGGACCGATTGGAGCAATGCCGAACATGTCCAACTCCGGGACATGTCCAATGAACTGGTACGCATGCAGGTACTCGCGCAAGTTATGAAATCGAACCACTGTCCTGTACACCACGCGTCCTCGATCTTGCTGGAAGTTACTGGGTTCAAACGGGTGTGTGGATCTGCCGTGGTGTATAACGGGGACTCGCCGTTGGGGCGGACACGGTCCATAAATGGACTGAAGGGAACAACAAGGCTTGCGTTCATACAGTACTGCCCGAAGGAGCGCACATCGAACCACTAGTGCACAACACCACGTGGATGCGCCAAGGCTGTTCCTTCAGGATAGTATGCCCCTCGTTCTTTTAGTGTGAAGGAGGATTCAGGTACACGGAATGAGCTGCTGTTTGTCGTTCACTCCCCGAGCATTTGATCAAAGTGCTCCATATTAAAAGGACAGATGATCGATCCACCTCGTGCGGTAGATGCACGGCGACCCGTGAAGTCGCTGGCAATGCCGGCCGCACGAGTGAGAACAGTCGATCGGGAGATATGGCCGTTCGCGAAGATGCAATGACCTGAAAATGATGCGAGATGGCTAGCTGTCCCAGGTGGGGTGGATCTCTCGATCTCGATGGCCTTTGAGGTGTGTACCGGGGATTGCTAGGCACGACGTGTTTCATCAGGCTTCCATCAGCCGGCGATGTCGTGTGGGGACTTGGTAAACGATAAGCTCGCAAATGATGTAGGACGAATGGAAATACGCGTAATAGCCACAGGGCTAGCAATCGGAGATGGTTGACAATTAGAACAGATGACCGGTCTCCACCAGGAATGGAAACACGAGAGGCTTTTCCCATCCTTCGGGTGGAGACCAAAAGCGGATTCGGCTGGATCCGCAGTTCCCGTGCTGCTCTTTAATCCCGCGTGGGAGGGGCCTCATTGATGACTACAATCGCTCGAGGCCAATCTCTTGTTGGAAAAAGCCTTCCTCACAGAGGCATGCGTATATGTCGTGGGTCCATGGTCCGGGTGACGATCCCCAGGGTTGCGGTACTTTCATTACCCACAGTGCATCGCTATGGGTCCATACATGTCGTGATTGAACCAAGTGCTGTCAGAGGCACGACGACTGCTACGAACTATTAGAGCTGTCGACGTTGAAAGAGTGAGAAAGGTGGCAGGCTGGCGAGGCCATAGCGCATGTGACAGGCGTCTACCGAGCCGCTTCTGCGTTATGCTTAAGAGACTGTACATATTGCCCTACTCCCTACTCGGCACCCCGCATTATGCACAATCAGACAGACGAGGATCCAGTGGGGAATGGCGATCAAACCTCAGATTGCGAACCGAGCTTCGATCTGGTAACCAAAAAAGGGCCGAAAGGCGCAACCGCCGAAGATATGTCAATATCTTCGCGGACAGCTGAGACAGTATTCGGAGGCGGTACTCATCCAAAGGGGGCCTGCAACTGTGCCACGAATGGCTATGCTATTGGAGACGACGGCGCAAAGGCTGTGGGGAGTAGCTCCGAGCGAACGAGCGATGAGGCGTCGAATGACGAAGGAGACGAAGATTGAAACGACAGACTCTCCGTAGCTAGCGCCAGAGACGACGTCGAGGGCGTCGCGGAAGACGGGCGCTGCAAACATAAAAGTGGACGCCATGTAAGCGAAGACGGCGTGGGCAGCCTGGCGCATCGCGAGATGGAAGGCACAGTCGATCGACGTGCGCCTTCCTCGGCCCGCCGCGCTAGGTCCCGATGGGGGAAGGTCCCGCCGTTTGATGAGAAGACGCGACTTGTGCGCTCCTGTACAGACGGAATAATTGCTTCCACGATGATCTGCCATCCTTCCATCAGCCATATCCACTTTGCGGCGCGCGCTCACTCTGCAGTCGGTGCGGAAACTCGCGACGACGAGGCGAAGTCATCACCAGCAACCACCCGGCACAGCAGCTGGTAGCAGCGGCGGCGCCCACGAGTTGCGCGTTGGGGACGTGACTCGATGCATCCGGTCCAAACCCGACCAGAGATGGACGTTTTGGGGCATCCTCTCCTCTAAGTTTGGGCGTTGCCGCATCGATGGAGCCGTCTCCGCTCAAGCAAACGAATGCCTTCGCCGTCGTCTCTCTATCAGTGGATGCCAGCGCAAGGGCGGCACTTGGTGCAAGCTCGCGATGTGCCACCCGTCGCTGCACGCTTGCGTTGTGTGTCGTGGATCCCTTCAGGCTCAAAAGGAGGCCGCAGCCCAACCAGGGTGCCATGTGCGGATGCTCAGAAGCAGAGCAGCCACGGTGGGGGGGCGCCGGGCCATGGCACAGTGCGGACAGCCAAGTGGTCATGAGGAGGGCTGGCCATGGCGGAGGGAGCACCTCTCACAACGACAGCAGCACGGTATACGCGGGCGTCCGAGGCTCGGTGCTGTCAATATACCTGCGCTCTGGCACGCGTCGCACAAGGCCGTGTCGCCGTGTACGCAGCACTGTACGTACCAGCGCAGGGCTGACTGCCCTGGGCGCGACTAGAGAGGCGGAGGGCCCAGGATCTGCTATGGCGGTTAATGTGCGCTACTGGCATCGAACCACAGGCTTCGAGCAGCCCAAGAGGTCGCGCGGCGGGCAGGTGACGGTGAGGAGGCGCGCAAGGCCCAGCCCACAGCGCGAGGCACTCATCGCGGTGCAGGGCGTCGACTGCAGCGCCGCTCGAAGCCGCCGCCCGCACACACAGACGGCCATTGGCCTCGCGCCCTAGCGACCCTAGCTCCGTCACCAACACAATTGTCCATGCGCGCTCGACAAGGAACAAGGGACAGGGATCAGGCCCGAGGATTAGCACTTGCAACGGCTGTCCGCAGGTCTTCCATGTTGCAACAAACGGCAGCAGTAATTAACGGCGTGCAAAAGAGGCCCGTCTGCTCGGAGCTTGAGAGCCTTCTGCTGTTATAAAACACCCCACGCCCCCCTCCGCGTCGGCCCTCCCTGCATTCTCCCACTTTTAATTCCTCGCACATCATCGAGCGTGCCTGTCCGCACGTCCTCGCGCATCGTACTCGAGCGTACCTCCGGCTACCTACCATCCCGTACCTGTACCAGCACCACCGCCCGCTGCCTTCACCGTCACCGTCCACCGCTGGACCACCTGCCGGACCAGCACACCGAAGCCGCAAAGAAGCCTCCTTCGACGCCGCACCGCACCTGAAGCCCTCGTGCCCCACCAATCAGCTCGCCCCGCCGTCCGCTATCCTCGTCCACCCGCTGCCCTCGCCAACGCCGGCAGCCATATCACAGCACCGGCTCGTATTCCTCGCCAATCGATAGCAGCACCCGCCAACCAACATGTGCACGAGAATCCACCACACGTACGCCTGCGGTCACGTCGTGTCGGAGAAGGCTCCCTGCGCGGCATCACGGTCTGCGAATTGCGGCGAGAACAAGGTCAAGAACGTCAAGCACGACGAGAAATGTGACCGCTGCGACCACTAGCAGGTACGCGCCCCTCTGTTGTACAACGTGCCACCACTCTCTGACAGACGCCTCAGCGTGCCACCGCAGCCTTTATCCGGACGACATCCCCATGACGGCCGGTGGCACGCAATAGGGTGTCCCCAGCGGGTACGCAGACTGCCTTTGTCGCAGCGTTGCCCGACCTTCTCCTATGCCTCTGGCCAGCTCAGAGCCCCACGGCTCGCGGCCTGCAGGCTGCATTTCACGGCGTCACGGAGACAAAAGCACAGGCGTTGGGTGGCATTGGAATTTACGGGGCCTGGGACCATCGTGAGTCTGGCGTTTTGGACTGGTCCAGCCTTGCATCGCACTTCACGTCTTGTATTACTCATCGCGTTTTCCATTATTTCTACGGATTTTTCAAGCGTTCTGTTCCGAACTGCGGGCAGATGGGCGAAACGGCCGCCTTATTCTCCTTTAACTCTATTTTCCTACTCTGCGACATGTTTCGACACGGCTCCGTGACGCCAAGGCGGGGCAGCGGGATCAGACAGAAAAGCGACTCAATTAATACGTGCGCGCCTGCGACGGTGTCCTGAGAGACCAAGTCAGTACGGCACGCCAATTCCACTTCAGCTGTCCTTGCTTGTTATAGAGTTGAGTGCATTTTGGCTATGTTGGGCCAATCATCTGCTGGTGATCTGCCAATCGGTGACGAATATCTACAGGGCGCGGATGCAGCACCGTTGTTCGCCAATCGGTACGGCAGCGTTGCCCAGGCCGCCTCCAGATGACCATAACCTATGTATTCCAGTCGCCGCGGTCCAGAGCTACACCATACCTCGAATCGGTTGTGCAAGCCATCCGGTCGCGGCGCCAGCCTCATTCGCCGCCGATATTGTTTACCTTGTTCAAATATTGCAGCCGTGAAACTCTGGAGCCAAGGCAAGCGAGATGGTGTATGCCCAGTGGGGTGATAGGCCGCGATAAGTGCGTCTGCAGTAACAGCATTATTCCCCTCACGCTGCCAGGTTGGGTCTCGACAGATGCGTCGCTGTCAACCAGGAAAGCACAGCACGGCTGTCAGACGGCGGCGATTCGTCTCACGCCCCGTGATCCTCCCGCAGTACCCGGGGTCGGCCCGTAAGCCACGTACAGGAAAATGCCCTGTGCTATGCGTTGCCGGCATTATCTTACTGCGAGTCCATGAACTTTGTTGCACCCTGAGACCGGAGGTCTTACTAAACAGGGGTCTACTTACCGTAGTCTCATGGCCGCCGTGCATGCCTCTTTAGCTTTACATGTGATGTCGCGGCGAAGGCCTGTATGTGGAATGGAGGCGATCATCATATAACCGAGTGTCAGTGTAAGTTCATCATCGATGCACTACGGCTTCCACATCCCGTCCCTCACAGCCTTGCATGTTGTCAAACACTCACTCACTTTAATCAGCAGTCAAGACTGCGTCCAAGGCTCAGTGGACTGTGATGTCGTGTTCAGGTGAGTATATATAGATAACTATATGTTGCGCGTAATTTGCGTTAAGCAGCTGCGGACTTGGTCGCGCACACATCGCGCTTCCTCACCCTTGTCCGTCTTGGCTAATATACTCGCCTTACCGTGTATGCACGTGCGTCCACCGCCGTTTAGCCCTGGGCGAGTTTGCAAGGCTTGTTCGCTTGTTGCGAGGGGCTGCTGGACTGTATGCGCTGGACTGTGACGCTTTGCAGAACCGACGCTTCTTTGCTATGGCGTGCATGATCACGCATATGCAACGACGCCATGCGGCTCTGCTCAACGTTCTATTTCGGGCAGGTCTATAACCGTTAAGCATGCTTCCAGATGCTTTCAATACAGCGCTCGCTCAACGTAGTCGGAAAAACGTGTTGTAGACGCAGGCGAACCAGGCACAGAAACGCGAGCCTGGTAGAATGTCCGCGAAGCCCTGGCGTCGTGATGACTCTGACCGCATGAAGTGCGATTACGGCAATCGCTAACATGACCATGGTTAGTGTCGGTGGGTCGGTTGTGCATGTAGGTGTGGCAGCTGGCCCAAGCGCAGTTTCCGGGTTCGGCTTGAAACTTGGCGCGGTCCGGTACGCGTGACTTCTGCTTCCAATTTACCCACAACAACCCGTGCCGAAGATCGATGTCGATTGATATCAACTGGGAGACGCTGACGGGCGGCTCAGATGGTTCTTCGCGGGCAGAGTCGATCCGGGCCTTCATTCATGACCGATTCCAGCAGGTGACGCTGCCGCGTTTCATCCGCTCCGTCCACGTTCATTCATTCGACTTCGGAAGCGTTACCCCCGAAATCGAGATCAAAGACATATGCGATCCGCTCCCTGACTTTTACGAGGAGGACGAAGATTATCCAGACGAGGACGAGGATGCACAGGCAGATGACGATCGTGGGGCCGTTGGCGGCCCTCTTACCCGCATAACGAAAGAGCGACGCGAAGGCGCGGAAAAGGGATCATCCAACATAGAATATCCTCCTCTGAGTCAATCACGTCTAGCGCCGCCTTTTGGAAACACCAGAACTCCCGGCCTTCGCACCACGTTAGCGCCTGTCGAACAACTGGGGAGCCCTTTCATCCCAAGGGCCTCCACGCCTGGCATACCCGGAGGAACATCCAACATCAACTATTTCCATCTTCCGCTTGGTGCGGGGCTATCTGGGACAACTACCCCTCTTGCTGCTGTTGCTGGTGCACAGCTCCAAGGTTGGCCTGACTTTGCCAATATCCGACCATCCACCCCAACCAATATGCGTCTTCGCCATGCTGCTTCAATGAACTCCCTTACCCTGACACCGCAGTCGAACCCAGACCCCACGACAAGGCCACCCTCCCAACACCAACATGATGCAGAACGGAGGGAGTCGCTAGCTGCAGCTTCGAATCATTCATCGGATGACGGATACGAAAGGACACCATCACCGTCAATACCTCGTATGCGCGAGAAAAGTCCCGAAGATATCCAAGTCGTGTCACACGTACAGTATTCGGGCGATATCAAGATGTCGCTCACTGCGGAGATCCTGCTAGACTATCCTATGCCAAGTTTCGTCGGCATACCGCTGAAGTTGAACATCACCGGGCTAACCTTTGATGGCGTTGCTATCCTAGCGTATATCAAAAAGAGGGCTCATTTCTGTTTCCTATCTCCGGAAGACGCTGATGCACTAATCGGAGGCGAAACCAACCTTGACTCTCTTCAGTCAGATGTGCAGAAACAGGAGCGTCAACTCGCACAGCGCTCTCGAGCGGGAGGATTGCTGGAGCATATCAAAGTCGAGAGCGAGATCGGAGGTCGGGGAGAGGGCGGGCAGGTTCTCAAGAATGTGGGCAAAGTGGAGTCTTTCGTCCTGGAACAAGTCAGGCGCATCTTCGAAGACGAATTCGTATACCCAAGCTTCTGGACCTTCCTTGTATGATGTTATCACCGAATGGCTGGCTCGGGTGCGCACCACGAAGAGAGCAAAATAATCCCTGAAACACATCACCCGCCAAACTACCCTGTTTCGTTGTCACCGATCAGAGAAATGAGGTGGAATACGCAAGCGCTCCACTTGTTGCAAAAGAAGGGATTGGAACGACTGGATAGCCGACGTGCAGCTGTCATTGCGCCTCACGAAACTTTGTACCTGCTGTCAAAATGCAGGCAAGCGTTAGCGTGGTGTTCCTTTGGCGACAGTGATACAAATTGCAATTCCCCACTATAGAGGGGGAGTCACGTTACAGTGCATTGCGGGTACATGTAGCACCAAGCGGGCCTTAACAACGACGCGTCTACAGAAAGGGTTCCCTCATGCTCGAACAGGTGTCGTACAGAAAACGTGGGTTGGCGTGCTGCCACTCGCGGCTCGGCGCAGAAACGAAGCAGCACAAGTCTTTGACAGCTCTAAATTATCACGGTTACTGGCACTTGCAGCAGTAGTCACAGTGCCAGGCCATGCGTGTGATACTGTGTGCGCACAACACAGCGAATACTCGTTGCTTTCACGCTCCGCAAAGTGCGACTGTCACTGACCTGTCAAAGTCAGTACCCACGCGACACCCGTGTGCTGTTGCTACTCAACATGGCGCTTACTCGCGCCGTGCGTCGTCAATCAGCGCACATTGCTGTCTCGACATCTACGATGGTTGTCATGTGTGCAGCCGAGCACCCAGCATGCCCCATTGCGTGTAACCGCGTCTCCTGCCCGATATCTCCCGCGAATCCCGTTCCTCCCGCCCAGACGGCTTGACGTGCCTCCTTGCAGCTTTCATAATGCATATGACAACTCGCCCCGATTAGCGAATGTATCCTGTTGACTCCATGTAACGCTGGAGCTGCTTTTGAAGAGGTGCAGCAACCTGCAGTGGGGAACACGGGTACTTCGGACGGCAACGTCAGGCATTGGTTGCGCGGACACGCGGCTCGATATGAGCAATTGATTCATGTCCGCGTAGCTGCTATTCTTGGGCTGAGGGGCAGCTGGCGGAGAATTAATGGGTGCAGGGGCTTTATCGCGAGGTTGGTTATCACGTTATCACATATAGGTCCAGCAAGGCTGCTAAGATATGGGCTCTGAGGGTGTGAGCGATGAGCCGGTATCTATACTTGCATGTGGGCAGCAAGATACCTTTCGCCCCGCGTATGTTGGGCACACATGAGGCAGAATGTCGCCACTATATAGGTGATTTACTCCAGGCTATCGTGCAGCCTTGCGTACGTAGCATATCCCTGTTCATCATCGTAGCTCTCCTGAAAAGTACATCCAATATAGCCTCGCATCATAATACTGCGCGCATCCTCAAGGCCGCCGACTCCAGCTCTCTGGCGTACACGTGACTGGGTTCGAAGTTCGCGAATGACCCAAGGTTCGGTCAGCCCCTAGTTCGGGGTTTGGCAGGTCTAGCAGCACTCTAAGTCCGACGTCAATCTAGGGTCCAGCGCTTTCTCTGAGCAAACATTGTGGTGAAGTCCGAACAAGATTCTGTGCGCCTGACGATCCGACAATCCCCCAATATTCGTGGCGTCACGCCACATTCGATGGCTATGCCAAGCACCCCTCCTTATGTCATGCTGCTTGGCACACAGCTTGGCACACACGTTGCGGGGCAGCTGGAGGCAGTCTTTGGCAGCTGAAACAGACGTTGCGTCAACCCATCAACAACTGACTGATCGAAACCCCTATACACGTTCTTCTACCCCTCCAACAACAACAACACGCTCTCACCTACACTCAACCCCAATTCTTCCTTATTACCTTCACTCTTGAGATCACACACCAAATACTGCGCAGCTTGAAGGCAGGAGCTCCGCTACCCCGCCTGCAAAATGCCTCGCCAACTTGCATTCAGCGACATGTGGCTGCCATGCCTCATATTACTCTTGATCTGGGCACGCCCGACCGCAGCGTTTGGCGCAGGAAATATCGCGAGCTTGAGCAAGATCGAGGGGCAAAATTGGCGTCATGGAGACATCGAAGACACGCTGCTCACGCTGCTTATCTCGTCACGCACGGGCAAGAAGTTCAGCAAAATGGACGTCAAGAGAGTGTACTTTGGCAATTGGCTGCGTGACTATTCGCAGGCTGTCGATGTCGGCACCGTCAAGATGGTGTCGGCGGAAGCGATTCGTATTCTGCTCTGGGTCCTGGGTTTCTTGAGCTTTGGCTATGGTACTAAGGAGTTTGAAGTTACCAGGGACAGACTGGGGTGCTACCGCCCGGAGGAGCACATTGACAACCCGAAGGTACGTAATTACGAGAAGCAAGAAAAGTATCTTCGACTCACTATTGTAGGACTACGCCGACAACCTCGATGCGCGCGACTATGATCGCCGACTACGCGGCCCCGTCGATGAGAGGCGTGAGCTAAGCGTCGACGAGAGAACCGGCTTGAAGAACTACATTGCATCGGAAGATCTGGGTATCACGACATCAGCTGGCATGGTCCGCGACCTGCTTCGCCGCTGCATCGAGCTCGGACAACGCTCTGGCGGCCGTGGAGAGGACTTCTACGAGGCCCTGCGACTCCTCGGTACGGCTACGCACTGTCTCGAGGATTACTCAGCTCATTCCAACTACACCGAGCTCTGTCTCATTGAACTGGGCGCTCACGACGTCTTTCCCCATGTAGGCAGGAACGCCAGGATCCAGATCGAAGGCGTTCGGAACCCAGTCTATCCCATCATTACCGGAACCTTTGGTGGTGTCGACTTTCTGCACTCCGTGTGCGGAGAAATTACGGATAAGGCTACGCAATCCGAGCTCCAGGAACTTGAAGGCGCCATCAACGAGGCAGACCGAAAGCAAAACAAGAGCGCAATCAAGGATCTTCTCAGCAAGCTGCCAAGCGGCATCTTCGGCGACAAAGACCAAGCTGGAAAGGCCGATGAGCTTGAGGCGAACGCACAGGCTGCCAAAATGGACAACATGCACATTAGCCCCAAGGAGCCAGAAGAGTTCACCCAGCAACTGGATGCACTCGTGAAGCAGATCTATCCTATCATGGAGTTCCACGATGAAATCATGCAATCTATCAACGAGATCATCGATAACATTCCCGTTCTGCCCGAGCTCCTTGAGCAGCTGCAGGAGCAGGTCAACATCTTCGTATTTAGTCTTCTTGCTCCTTTCGTTGTGCCTATCATCACTCAGGTCAAGACTGAGCTTGAGACTGGCTCCAGCGAGGTGATTGCTAGCTCTCGCGAGAAGCAGCACATTGTCTTCAACGATGACGACTCGACCGATCCTACTCACAGTATGCTTTCGAAGGATCATTTCAGCAATCTGTTGAACGAGCCCGCTGGAAGGGTTGCATCCGAGGTCCTGAAGTGGGCAGTACCCCAGGTCGTTGCCTGCTGGGATGGCGAGGCCGATCCGGAACAGACCATTGACACCATCATTCAAGCTGTTTTCCATCATCCTGCACAGCTTAGGCACCAAGACCGCCACGTTGAGCAAGGCCGTAATGTCATGTTCAACGCTGTCAGGCAGTGGTGGGAAGAGAAGGCAGATGGCCAGCGCCAACTTATCAGACAGCTCAGCCGCGAGGGTGTTGAGCGAGGCGAAAACCATAAGGAGGGCCCGAAGGACTCCGGTCACGGATGCTGCAAGCCCCTTGGCATGGCTAATGACTTCTCTTTTGGGAACAAGAGTGGAGGTGGAGGTAACGCTCAAGCCCAGCAAATCAGCGGCCAGGCCGGAAAGCTTGCCAGTGAGGCCGTCGGTGGTGGTGCTCTTGGTGGTCTTGTCGGAGGTCTCGTCGGCGGCATTGGTGGGTCTCTACTTGGAGGTGCTTTCGGAGACGAGGAGAAGGAGAGCAAGAAGAGCGAAAAACACAGTAACGATGGCTCGTACACCCAGTCTTACTCCGAGTCGGGCCACCACAAGAAGAGCTCCCGCGACGATTCCGAGCGTTACGGGCAAGCCTCCTACCAACAAACTCAATACCCTAGCGGCGGACGCCGCGAAGAGTATTCTCGTCATGAGCAAGACTCGCATGGCGGATCGTACGGCTACGAGCAGCGCGTCGAAACGTCCAGTTACGGCGGGTCCGGCGGCTACGAGCGCCACGAAGAGCGACGCTACGAAAGCGGCGGCCAGTACCGCTCTGAGGAGACTCGTGAAGGCTTTGACCGCCAGGGGGAATACTACCACGAGGAGAAGAAGTGCGTTTCAACCTTCCTCTAAGCCACGAGAACTGCTGACCGCCCAATAGGAAGAACACAAATTATGGTAAGGACTCTGAAGACGATGACTCTGGCGATGAAGACGACTACGAGAAGCGCGCAAAGAAGGAGCGTAAGCGTCGCGAAAAGGAAGAAAAAAAGCAGAGGAAACACGGTAGTGACGATGAGCGCTCTGGCGACGATGCTTACAAGCGTCGTTCAGGAGAGCACAAGCGCCATGGAAGCCCCAAACGGCACTCGGGCGGCAACTCGCACGAGAGCGGCGGCTATGGCGAGGAAAGGCGGTACGGTGAGGAGCGTCGTGAGGAGGGTGGGTATGGTGGTCGCTCAGAGTATGGCCAACAATCCTCGGGCTATGGTCGCCAGGAACAGTCTGGGTATGGCGGCGATTCGTATGGCTCCGGAGGCGGTGGTGGGTACGGTGGACGACAGGAGCAGTCTGAGTACGGTCGCCAAGAGCAGCCTGGCTATGGCAACGACTCCTACGGCTCTGGAGGTTATGGAGGGCGTCAGCAACCACCTGGCGGCTTCGATGGGGGTGAATATGGCGGGCGCCCGCCGCCACCTGGAGGCTTTGGTGGAGGCGAGTCCTACGGCCGTCGCGACGAAGACGAGTACGGTGAGCGCAGACAGCAGTACGGAGGCGGCGGAGGGTATGGCGAGGAGGGCGGGTATGGACGGAGGTACTAGGTCCGGCTGGGCACCTTGTTGGTTTGCGACTGGCACCTTGCTAAGCTGATCTGCGAGTTGGGTCCGTAGACTACCACGATTGATAAACTGGAATACAGAATGATGTGAAAGCGCTTGCGTTTGTCAGTGTGAATTATTGTGCGTGTGGTTGTTGATGTTAGTATTGATGCGGAATTTGAGAGCATGTTTCCGCCTACGATTTGACGCCGACCCAAGAATTACACAACCTGTCATTTGCTACAAGGTTTGGAGAAGGAAACATATCCCTCTAAATTCCGTCTGCATATCGTTCGATAGTATAGTGTTCGCTCTACGCCTTCCCTCTTTTTTTTTTTTGAGATTCTTCGATGCAAGACGCGCTATTTCATGGGCGAGCGCTTCCGTAGTCATGCTACAGTAGCAGGCTTTTGAGGAATATTCTCACGTTGCGAGCAAAATAATACATCTCCCTTGGCGTAGGAGTACTTATTCTCATGTTTGTAGATAGAGATATATGGTATAGGTAAATCCGACTGTAGTGAATTAGCGCTGTCATGGTGTGTTGATGCTAACATCTGGTAGAATTCAAATGATTGTTAGCGGCCGAATGTTTGAATACATGTTTGAATTGATAGTGTCTTAAAATCCATACCCTGACCAAGTCCCAACCTGCTTTAGCAATATGGTAACGACGACTCGTGAGCTGACTATATGGATATACTTCTGGTCTAGAGCGGCGCACCACTGCTTCTAGTCTTATCTTCTCCAATGGCAGTGCGTATCTGTAACCGACATTTCGCTCAGGCACACAGCGCTGAATTTGAAATCGAAAGGCTCAGAGTAACGGGATGCTCGGTGATACCGGGCAGACCTGCAACCCAACATAGCTCTGTGATTAAGGGTGAATCTATCGACAGAACAACCCCGCATCGCTCTGTCACCATCCTCTCATTTCTCATCTATTTTCCATCAATTGTGTTCGTGGACAGCACAAAAAGAAGATTTTGAGGCCCTCCTCTTGTTTCAATCCTAATGCTACCTAGATTAGGGTATTGTGCTAGGCCAAGTCGGCTTGCAGGTCTGCCCACTAGGTAATCCGAGCCGTCAAAAAGGAGGCGAAAGTGCGTGCGGGCAAACCGCCTGAGGGTCCGGTCGGTGGAGCACATGGTGCGTGCGATGTGCGCACGGAGGATGTCTATATCGATATGCTCGGCATGTCGGCAACGGGAAAACTTTTTCAATGACTTGTGCAGACGAGGACGTGCATCCTCGACCGTGATCTGAACGCAGGTGCAGGAATAGCGAGTGATGCAGGGGATCGGCAAGTGTGAGAGAGGACAGGGCTGGCTGGCGAGATTCTGGTGGGACTGTATACACCAGACTTCTTGCGTGGCAAGCGAAGCCCCTTTACCCCTATGAAAGCGCACGAACTTCATTCATATCGATATGGTGTCACTAAAAGATGATCCGCGGTTTCGCGAGCGGGTCTGTAGGCGCACCTCTTGAACGCATCATCATCGCCCCTTTCACGCCCTGCCCTCCTCGCCATCAATGGCCCGTTTGAACCCACACCCTGCGCCTTCGCCGCGCGCACATTCCGGCCCAGCTTCTCCCCGTCTGAAATACACAGCCTCGTGCCCGTTATTGCGCACCCAGGGCTCACGGACGAGTTCCAGAGGCGACGCGCGGACTCCTGCCGAGCAGGAACGCGTGCAGACGTTCGGCTTTCACGCAAGTCTCTCTGACCAAAATGAAGAGCCTAGACCTAGACTCATCATAGCACGTACAAGGAGGAGAATGGTGAACCCGAACCTCACCATTAGGAAGAAGACCTCGCGATTGGATTTGAGCCGGCCGGATCTCAGCCGTATATATCCATTCCTGTCCAACGTCGTGTATCTGGAGGTACCGGATGACTCAGATGGGGAACATGAAGAGCATAGGGGAAATGATGAAGAAAGCGAGCGGACAGAGGTTGAGGAGCAGTATGTGGAGGTAACAGGTTCTTCAGACGAGGAACATGGCAAGCATGAGGGGTGCAGAGGATACAGCGAGCAGGAGGAGCAAGAAGGCGACGAAGAACGGGAAGATGACGATAGTGCCTATGGTAGCGTCGAAATCCCCGCTGCCGCATGCCCGAGTACGTCTATACACATCACTACAATGTGTATAATCGCCGTGATGTTAACGCACTGGGTACAGCTTTTTTCACACACCCAGATTCCATCTGGACCTACGCCGCCATCTGTAAGTGGCGCGATGCGGTCGAAATGGTACCGCTATCGCCACCAAAAGTTGTGCCGAAAATCGACGTGCGTAAAAGGGCGACCCCAAAAACCCCTAGGAAGTCTCCTAGCAAGCGCCTCCTGACATTTTGAGTACTGGAATGTTGCCGGATATGAATCGTGCGCGATAGACTCCGGATGGTCATCGTAAGTGGCGTCTTGATACGATGTGGTAGCATCAGAACATTAGGAGAGACAATGTTATCATTTCCAAAAAGTCCATGACTACTAGAGACTAGGATGCCTTGAAGAGAGTTAATGCAAGGGGGAATTTGGGGGATGCAACCACTCCACAAAACACATCAACTGTTCCAGTAAAAGATCGATACAGACTCGGAGACGTCGTCTCGAAGATTTAGTGTCTGGTACCTTAACGCTGAACACATACCACTAATTCCACAGCGTAGGTTCATTTGTGAACGCCATATGCTTGCAAAACCCCACTCAAGATGCCTCGTGTAACCTGCATTATGCCACTGAATAGCAAACAACATAACAAATACGTGAACTCTTCCATCGCTGATAAATCACAACGGGGCTCTGCCGGTTGCAGATAGATGCCACGTCTGACGGGTGCCCGTATCCATCTTAGGAGGAAGATCGTAATGCCGTAGACTGTCAATCAGAGACAATTTCCACAAAGTCGGCTTCTCCAACTAAAAGTGGGCATGTCAGATTATGGGTACGCAGATCTCGTGTAGACTTCTGGTAGGGCTGTGGGCGAGATCTACAACCGTAGGTCATAGACGCTCGCAGGGTAAAAGGGATGTCGAGATTGAGGGTTCAAGGTAAGATTTATTCACAACCATAAGGCACTGTGATCAGGTATGAATTGTCGATGTGATAGCTCCATAGTCCGTTGTCTTACGAAATCTGCAAATGGTCAGCGGCAATAGGTGCATGTTGCCAGTAGCGATGCGTGCAGCAAGGACTCACCAAATCGGCTTCTCTTGGACGCCGTCAGTCCTTCTTCTTCTTCTTTTTGGAACCATTCTGCTGCTTGTTGAATTTGTTCATGAACCTCTGGGCCTTAGACTTGGTCATTTCCTTCTTCTGGCACCCAGTCGTCATCTCGTCCCTCTGGAGAGGCTCTGCGAAGGTTTCATAAGACAGCTCAGGAGCTGTGGAGGCAGAAGCGACGGCAGCTGCGGGTGTTGCCTTCTTCGAATTGTAGGTACGGCGATTCGGCTTTCCATCCTTCTTCCACTGCTCCTCTTGATCCCTCCTCATTCGCTCGTAGAATTTCCAGTGAGGTTTGCCCTGCTCGTCAGCCTCCTTGATTTTGGCCTCGAGCTTCTCATTTTCCTTTGACTTCGCATGCTCCGCAAGACGAAGTTCTTCCTCGGCCCTCTTCTGCTTCTCGAGAACCTGGGGATCCACGAACAGATAGCCCAAAATTGGCTTTCCGGCCGCGGCCAGACGATACGCCTCCATAGCCTGTCTACCATGTCTTCCGCACCCTTGGGACTTGATGCACATCTCTATACCACACTGGACTCGACCTAGCTTGGCATGGTTCATCCATATGTAGCAGTAGCCATAGCTGGAGCATGTAAGCCAGACAGTCATGCGTCAAGTTGCACAAGTTGCATTTTGAGACATCACTTACTCGACGTCATCTCCGAGGAAATCTTCCGACTTACGCTCTCGGCCCTTCTCCTTATTATGATGCGTTACGCGCGTGCATTCGCCGGTGTAGATGTTCTTGAAACTCGGGTCGTGAACTTCACCGTTCATCAATATCCCATGCACGCGCCGATGTGGGAAGCGTGAGAAGACTTCGTCTGGTCGAATCGGATCGGGGTTGGGGTCTACCACCCTGCCTTCTCGATACTCAAGGTACTTATCTCAAGCGCATGTTCTCTCAGGGTTCAACTGCGGAGGACTCATCGCTATCTACCCTAAAGAGAGGGCATTGAGTCAATCAGATTGTCGTCGATAGAATAAGGTGAGAGCTGCTGCAGGTTGCGCTGAATTTCCGTGACTCTGGAGGTTTAGAATGGGGCGAGGGGGACGCAGAGGGTGGCATAATGTTTAACACGGGCGGAAGTGCCCTTTGCTTTGCCCCAGCTGTATGCAGGTCCATGTTGAATTTCCACTTAAAGAGGACGTGAAAGTGCGGCGCGTATGGTAGCTTCTTGCCCATACCGCCCGCAAATATAAACTCCCCACTTGCCCCTCAAGCCCCGAACCACAACGACTACAGCATTCCAACACCCCTGTTCAACCCTAAATTCAGATACAAGTCAAGCCTCGAGATTAAGCTGCGTGTGTGTAAATGGTGATAGGTTCTAGCAAGAAAGACACCGTTCATTGCGCACGCTCTTTATATCCTGCAGGTCTCGAACATCGACCCGTTTTACAACGAGCTATCCGAATTACCGACATCACTCAACAGGCAAAGTGCATCCAGTTTCATAATGCTTGTTTATGCATCTGGTGTTTAAGACTCGAAAGTTGCGGCCGCCTCCATCTCAATACACAAATGAGCCCTCGACAATGGCGGTGGCTGCACCAGCCTCAGAAAAGCTCAGCAGTGGCCTCTCCTGTTCAAGCCGAGCTTTTGCCTGCTATCGAAACATCATTTGATAAGTATGATAGCTTTTCAGCTTCGTCCGAAGCTGTAGCAGACAAAAACCTCACAGAGATTCCGGAGTCATCGAAAGCAAAGTCCTCGCCCTCGCAAAATCGTAAGAATAGTTGTACGGAGCCTTCCGTTCTCGTCGGCTCCAGAAACGATACATCAAGCATTTCTTCTAACGGCGCAGTCTACGTCAATTTACGCAATAAGGCACGTGGCAACGAAAAGCGCAAACGCAAACGCAAGTCAACAATATATCCCAACAGGCCTCTCGTTCGGAAGATTCTCAATCTCTTAAGAATCAACAAAGCAAACGTCGTTCGTCTCAAGTTCGAGGTACTCAAGGCATTCATGACGAAGAACGACAACCCAGAGGATCAGGCAGACGACCTGCAAGACGTAACATCAGATTCAGATGCCGAGACGACCACTGACAACCAGAACAGTCGCAAGGATTGGGATACCATCCGCTCGATCTCAGATGATCAGTTTCGTCGACTTGTTTTGAAATGCTTCAAGGAGCCAAACGAAGACCCGATACCGGTGGACCTTTGTCAAGTTTTCGAGCGAAGAGAGGGTGGCTTTCATCTTGTTGCGATCATGTACATTTATCGACACGAAATGGTCCAGAAGTGGCTCATTCGAGTCCCTGCGCATGGCACGACAGGGCTATGGACGAAGGAAGACGAGTACATGATGGGCCGCGAAGTCGAGATTGTACGACATATCCGTCATAATACTACGGTACCTGTACCGAATATCAAGGCATTCTACACAGGGCTCGACGATGAGTTCGGTGCGCCTTGGGTGCTGATGGAGATGCTCCCGGGTAGAGATGCATACGATATATGGTTTGACGCACCATACGACTCCGACACAGCCTACCTCCGTGCGGACACCCCATCTTCCGAAACTCATCGCCGACGCGTGAACTTCCTCAAATCCCTGGCCGCCCACATGGCGAAACTCCAGTGCCTGCAGTTTGATCGTATCGGGATGGCAAAGATGACTAGTGTCTACGACGTCCACGATCTCACTGAAAGTGGGCAATTAAAAGCAGTGATAGGACCTTCTTACCACTGGCCGTGTCCATCAGATACCTCGAAAGTTATAGAGCGTGGACCATTCACGACCATTCAAGACTACGTAAAACTGGGATATGACAATTATTTCGACAATGAGAGGCTGATCGAAAAGTACCCCGGGAGAACTCATGAGTTCTGGGACATGATCGTTGGAATCCGCAAAATTCTGGACATAGTTTTCAGCACCCCAGTCTTCAATACTTATGCCACCTCCGAGACATACGCCATCCGCCACAACGACCTAGACTTGCAAAACATACTGACAGATGAAGATGGAAATGTCACTGGCATCATCGACTGGGATGGCGCTGTCGTAGGGCCTCGCTGCATTGGTCCTGCGGCTGCACCGCGGTTCCTCATGCGCGATTGGTCTTGGGACAAACACGGTAAGAAGCTCGAGATTTCGCCTCATATGGCTTGGAACACGGAGTACTACCGCGACATCTATGCTGCAGCCATGCATGTAGCCGAGCGTAAGACCGGATTATCAAGCGATGCTAAGTACACCTCTAACTCTGCTCTCTACCATGCCGCCTGCAGTTCACTTTATGTAGGAGGCGCACACTGCTGGGATCTTACAGATAGGATTATCAGGAGCATTCCCGGAGTTAATATGAAGCCGGAGGACTTCAAGATTCTCTTGGGCAGGGGATATCCAGCGGCGGAAGAGATGCTGAAGCGGGAGGTAGCAAAGCTATTTGAGCCAGAATTACCGAGCAAAGCTATTTTTCGTCAGCTTGATATCGTTCTGGAACATGAGAAGCAGGATAGTAAAGCCAGCCACTCTGGACAGGGTAACAGTGCCTCAGCTGCTGGCCAAGAAGAGTGCGGCTGTCGACCTCAGCAGGACACTTCGCTGGGGACGAACGCCCCTGTAACCAAGAACACACCTCTGCAAAGGAATGGCAAAGCACTGGTAATTAGGATATCGCAACCACCATCATCCGAATCCATCAACGACTACGACAGCGACAACGAATCTATCGATTTCGCTCCTCCGTCGATCCTCAGCCAGAACAGCAATAACGAGGACTCCTCTCCCTGCTCATCCTGCATGTCCGAAGACGAGCAAGACTTTCAGTCCGCTCCCCAACTCAAACGGGTACCGACGCTGAAAATGAAGATACCATCTAGAGGATCTCTGCACCCTCTCTACGTCGCGCAAAACAAATCCGGCAGGCGCTTTGAACTCAGAGAGGTCATTGAAGAAATGGACTCACAGAACACGACCGAATTGGTGCCTCTCAACGGCTCATGAATCCAGGCATTCCTGTCGCGAGATGAAAAATCGCCTTCACCCTCTTACTCAAGAACCTTGTCCTCGTCGGGAGCGTAACTCCTTGTAGCGGCGAATGCATCCGAGCCACTAGACAACATCGGAATCAGATCTTCCCAAAGACGGAGAGAGTATATAAGATGGAGACTTTAGTCGTACTTCTAGCACGTCTCTTCTGTGTTAGATTAGTTAGTGTAAAAACAATTTCTGAATTTGATCTACAGCATTCCACCATCCAACGAGCAACCATCATTACAAAGCACTACCTTCAAGCTGGAAGCGCAGAGAAGACCCCTACTTATCTTCTAAACACCACAACTACAACACCCTTCTCAAAACGCAAAGCTAGGAAGGGTAACTGTCCACGCAACGTCACCATCGGTCTGAAAGGGAGACGCTGATCATCATACACTCATAGAGCTTATACCTAGCACTTAACCTCTCGTGATCTCAACCTCTGGATCATAAAACCCCGCCACCTTATTTGCCCGATCCAGCATAACCCTCTCGCCCGTCCCCAGCCCATACTCCCCACTATCCCATTCAGTTAATCCCATGCTCCTACACCCTTCCACACCCACTAGACTTTCCACATCCTCCACCCTCACCCTGCCAACATGTTCGCTTTCCCCAACGCCACCCCCGAAGTCAGGGCTAGGGGTCCCGGCGATGAAGTTGGTGCGCTGTCGCACAAGATATTTTGCGTTATCCTCAGTAAGGGGGCACGCGGGGATGTACAAGACAGAGGAGTCCGAGGTGCCAATGTGTGTCTTGTCGACGGCGTGAATCGTATCGCAGTGCCAAGCGACGTAGTCGCCCGGCCTTACAGTAGGTACATGAATCATGCTCTGCTTCAAGTTGAGATGCGGATGCAAGAGATGCGACAACTCCTGGCCATGGCCAGGCGTCGCGCCCTGAATCCAGGAACTGCTCTTCTCATCCATTTTCCAGTTATCGCTCGCGAGGAAGGCCGCGGCGGACGTGGTAGCTTCGTCGGCCGTCTGCGCGCCGGGCTCGACGCCGCGGACAGGGCTAAAGAACGGGCGGAGGAGATAATATGCGGTGGCTTTCGCGAGGAGCGGGTTGACGAGGAGTGTGCCTTCGCCGGGGCCGGTGGTGGAGAGCGAGAGCCATCCTTGGAACATGCGAAAGGCGGAGCAGGCGCCGACGCCCTGGTGCAGGTCGGACACGACGTTCAGTCTGCAGCTTGACTCCCAAGGATCGAAGTCTTCCCACTGGCCTTTCCAGACGCTGTCGTAGACTTTGCCTCGCCCGTATCCATTCTCGTCCCAGCGCTCTACGCTTCCTCCGTCAACATGTGGGCCGAGTGCGAAGCGCGAGTCGCCGGGGAGACGCATGCGCAGTCGATCGGCGTAGGATATGGGGTGGCGCGTGGAGATGGGCGTATGAGAGTTTTTGGCGTGCCAGTACGACATGAGGAAGCTCTGCGTCTTGAGCATGTTCGGGTGCCCACGGGCGAGGAGCTGGGCGCGCGACCAGTAAAGTTCGAAGACTTGCGGGTTTTCGGACGGGAACGCTGGATATCTGTCAGTGTCGAACTTCCCAGACAACACTATGGAGCATACCTTTCGTCTGTGGATTCGTCTTGATGTACTCTCTCAAGCTCTCCTTCCAGCCAAGTGCCTCCTGCTCGCTCACCACACCCCGCACAACAGCAACTCCCCTCTTCCGTAGCTCCTTGCTGAAGTCCTCGGGCGCATTGTCGATATCCTTGAAGCTGATCTCAGGAATAATCCTTGAGCCCTTGTCCACGATGAGCGGTATCTCCTCGCGCAGATCCCTGAGCAGCCGCTCCCATGACTGTCTTATGGCCTCTTCATTGCCCTTGATCAAGCGAGCTTTGAGAGCCGCATATTCCGGTGCAAGAGGTACAAATTGTTGACCAGAAAGCGAGGCAAATGCGTCTGAGATATCGCCGGCGCGTTTGGAAGCTGCCTGCGTCGCCGCGGTGCGCGCGTGATGTAGCGTTCGGACGGCTGGAGATCGGACGGTTCGTGGAATAGACAGCATGTTGGTCGGCCTGGTATCACTACTTCAGTGTTCCGATGTCGTGGTTGCTCCTCCAGAATCTCCCCATTATATATCTGTACAGCTCCGACAGCTAATGGTGCAGTCTTGAGCTCCGCCAGCATCTCTTTCGATGAATGATGGCTCAATGGCCCTAGCTTCTTCGGAAAGCTCGAAGCGGAAAGGTGTCCGCCCGCAACGCTAAGCTGCTCTCGGCCAGTGCGGGGAATCGCGGTCGCTGCTGAACATGAGTGAAGAAAGGTTTCCGACGAGGCTTCATCTTGAGTCTGTCTGTCGTATAGAAGGAGTACAACTTGTCGGAACTTGTCGAGCCAGGACGATCGACGTTTCGCCTGAACCTGCCGTGTCCACGGCGCCGCAGCATCACCTCATCTACCGCGCCGTCACGGCCGACCCCCTCCATGGATAAACGCAGGTAGCATCAACGGCCCGCATAGCCATTGACCGCCCCAATCGCTGCAAGCTACCGTGGCAGAACAGAGCTTGAACTTGGGCCGCAGCACGCAGTTGAGCAAACCAGAATGGCGCTCAACGACTTTGAAGGTGGGTTTCATGCCCAATGGTGTCATCCTGAGGCGGAAAAATCCATTGACATCCGAGTAAACGTTGTCATGTAGCGAGAATTGATTGTTTGGTCTCATGGCGCGTCTGTTACCGTCATGGGACGCGTTGAGGTTGGCTCGGTGGGATGCGTTCCGCAGTGGAACTACGCCATCGGTATATGTAGCGGATGCCCTCGAGCTTTCCGACTTGGTTGTATTGCATGCCCATATTCGACTGTGATTCCCAACCCATAAGATCAGCATGACGGACTCACACCTTCCTGAAGACTTTCGCTGGGGTTTCGCGACAGCATGGTGCGTTCCCGAGGTCTTCTTTGATTGGAAACCCCACAACAGCAGCGTGCCTACTGAACCCAACGTGTAGCTATCAGATCGAGGGTTCACCTAAAGCAGATGGAAAGGGCGAAAGCATATGGGATGTCTTCACACACACCCCTGGAAAAGTCTGGGACGGCACCACAGGCGATGTTGCGTGTGATTCATATAACCGCACCGCAGAAGACATCGAGTTGCTGAAGTCGACCGGCGCGAACACGTACCGCTTCTCGCTTTCATGGACTCGCATCATCCCTCTCGGTGGACGTAACGACCCTGTAAACGAAAAAGGCATCCAGCACTACGTCAAGTTTGTTGACGACCTACACGCGGCAGGCATCAACCCGATGGTCACACTTCTACACTGGGACCTGCCTGACGGCTTATACAAGCGCTATGGCGGTTACCTAAACAAGGAAGAGTTCGCGAAAGATTTCGAGAATTACGCGCGAGTCGTCTTCAAGGCCTTCGGTTCGAAAGTGAAGTATTGGATCACTTTCAATGAACCCTGGTGCAGCTCTATTCTCGGGTTCAACGTCGCCAGCCACGCTCCGGGACACACTAGTGACAGGAGCAAGAGCGAAATTGGGGACAGCAGTAGAGAACCTTGGATCGTAGGACACTCGTTACTGATTGCGCATGGTACTGCGGTGAAACTGTACCGTGATGAATTCAAAGAAAAGGACGGTGGCATCATTGCAATAACCCTGAATGGTAAGTAAGCGGCGTTTACAATTGTGGCGGCTCGCGAAACTTTGTACATCCTGCCTCAGCCAGCAGTTCATGCAAACCCCACACGAAGCGAAGCGATGGTTCCATGTACCGCGTACCCGAACAAACTTGCGAAGGAGACAATTGACTGACGACGCATGATGTAGGCGACTATGCGGAACCGTGGGATGCGAACGATCCGCTTGATATTGAAGCAGCTAACCGCAAGCTGGAGTTCACGTATGGATGGTTCGCCGACCCAGTGTACCACGGCAGATATCCAGAGTCGATGCGCAAGCAGTTGGGGGACAGATTGCCAGAGTTTACGACCGAAGAGATTGCGTTGGTGAAAGGTAGCAACGACTTCTTCGGCATCAACTCATATGGCGATAATTATATCAAGCATAGGGAGGGTGAGCCTGCTCCAGACGACTTTTACGGAAATCTAGATGTTCTGGACCAGAATAAAGCTGGCGAGTGGATTGGTCCCGAGACGGAGTCAGTCTGGCTAAGGCCGAATCCTCGCGGCTTTAGAAGTCTGCTGAACTGGCTGAACAAGAGGTACGGCGGACCAACGTTTTACGTGACAGAGAATGGCACAAGTTTGAAGGGAGAGAATGATAAGCCTCGAGAGGAGATTCTCAACGACGAGTTCCGTTGTTGGTTCTTCCGAGGATACATTGGAGCGCTCGCAGACGCATACACAAATGATGGCATAGATATTCGAGGCTACACTGGATGGAGTCTCCTGGAGTACGTATTATCGCCCCGTTCCATCTTCTTAGCCGAGGAGCGTCACTGCCTCCTGGTCTTTGACACGCCGCGTCTGCTTGATCTTCCTCTTAGAAGACTGTGCCCGAGAGCATCGTCTGTGTTGCAACCATGAAAGCTGTCGTTTGTGACCAGCATGGCTCGCCGCACGATCTTTACCACGATAATGGATCTCCGCGCTGACCCATTGTACCTGCAGTAATTTTGAATGGCACGAAGGCTACCGAACGCGCTTCGGCGTCACGTACGTCGATTACGAGGGTGGCCAGAAGCGGTACCCAAAGAAGAGTGCGCACGAATTAGGCCAGATCTTTGGAAAATACATCAAGAAGGACTAGATTGCTGCCCAACGTTCGAGGCGAGGAGGACGGGAAGCGACATCCAATCGATGATTCTAGGAGGCTTCGAGATCGGTGTACTGTGTAAAGTTTGGCATGCTGAGCGGGAGGGTCTTACGTGTAGTTACGTTTCTGTAAGTGTATGTGCGGCCATCGGTATGATATGCGCGACGCTGGAGGATCGGCCCAGGGTCTTCAAAGAGGAAGTTTTGCGGCCGACCTCAGCAGGTCCCGTGTCTTGCTTGGAGCCGCTTATCGATCGGAAAGGTCAGGGAGATTTAGTGATTTTCGATAGACTGATAGATCCACAACGGCCGCGACCCGCTTGTACTTACATCCGGTCTTGCAATTCTCACATCACCACGACGCGGCGGTCGACGGTGTAAAGGCATCGTGACGGCTGCTGACATCCGCATGAGATTTTGAGCCCATCCAGGCTAACGTCTCGGAGATGAAAGATCCACCAGGGCAATTCGAGTTTAGAGTTCAACATTGAAGGGCGATCAAACCCTTTCCTTCCAAATACCCGCTGCGGGCGCCCAAAGTTGGTTGTTTTCTAGACTGGAGCTAGAAGAAGGTGGCAGATCGTGTGGCGCTCTCACATGGCGTGGCAGTAATGACTCGCTAACCGCCACCAAACCTCTCTGACCCCTGGCCCGCTGTCGTGCAACCTCAGCGCAAACTTTAAATGTACACGAGCGTGGCAACCCTGTAACTATCGTGTTTCAGTAGTGACCTCGTGGCAAAGGGTTGCACTTGGTCTCCTGATTAGGACAGAGGGGCAAGGTGATGACAACTTCCTACCATGGCCGCAGTTGGATCCCCCGTGCGTGCATTGTGGTCGAGAGACCACCCGTGGTTCTCTTCATACTCGCCTAACGATGGTCTAGGGGGTTAACCGGATGGGGTTAAAAGCTAGAGCGGCTCATCAAATCGAACGACCACTGAGCGAGCATCGTCCATCGATAGTACCAAGGTAGCTCTAGGATGGAGAACGGCAGGCTGTCTTGCATGGTGACAGTGTGAAGCAGTGCGTGCGGAGCGGGGAATCGCGGTAGCTTCCCCACCTAGCGTGAGTGAGCTCAGCAGCTCAAAACAGGAAATGGACCGCCCAAAAGTGTCGCATCAGGCAGGAATGCGACCGTCGAAGAACGAGCGGATGGTTGGTTCCACGGCTCCATGGCGGCCGAGATGGTCCGTTCGGCAGTGCAATATCCGCAATCTACGTCGGCTCTTCCCGCCAGAAGGGCCGAAGAACGATGGTTTGGAGGGCGAATGCACAAACGCTAGAGAGCAATACCAGGAGTGACTTGCGCGAAGAATGAGAGATCCGCGGGTCCGCCGTTGGTGCCACGGTTGCGCAATTGATTAGCGGCATCGCTTGAGAGACTTTTGCATAATGCATGAGATGGTCCCACTTGGGCGAACAGACGTTCTGGTGAACTTTAGATTGCGACCGTTGCGAAAGTATCTCTGAATGGAGCAGGGAGCATCGCCGTGAAGAAGCTTGACGACTCAGGCGAGCGGATGTCGTACACTTGTACCTGCAGCAGTCGGTTCCGCGGCGTCTCTCTGTCTGTGGAAAAGCGTAACGGGCTGTGATGAAGCGAACATTTGAAGAGTTCGGGGTGGTTGATGAACTTCGAGGTCTACCGCATGTATGGTTACGGCAGGGCAAGTCCCACTTTCGTCGGAGGAAGGCGCTGCCTCCCCGCAAGTGTCTGACCGCTGCTTCCGTCATTGCAGGCGAGGAACGACTCAGCCGCTGTTGACTCCGCACATCGAGATCTGGTCAATACAGCCTCATGCCTTGGACGGATGTAGCCGGCAAGAAATCCACGGGCAGAGCCGCGAAACATGACGGGAGAAACAAACCATCACCAAGACAGAGAGCTACCTTCCGCTAGTTGCAACTGTTCCTGGCACCATGTCGGGACAGATCACGCAGCCTGACAGCGGCGTAATCTCCTCGAACGTTAAAGAAGCCCCTATGTAGTTCAGTGGCGCGCTAGAAGCGGAGCTAGAAACTCCAGCGATTGATGACCAGCACTTGCGCCATCGCTGAGGTTGCATTCGCTTCTTGGATCAATATACATGTCAAGTTTCATCTTGTATCACATACAGATATGGCCCACCGCCGATCAGCCGTTGCAGTTCACCGTTATCTTTCATGCTGCTTACAGGCCTCGCGAATCCACTCCCGTTTGGAGTTGGAGGCAGCCTCGAATTCTTGAGGGAGAGAGATATACGCACTAGCGTATTGGGCATCATTTAGGCTCCTGCACAGCACCGAAGCTGCGCCGGGTGCCATTCTGTGCGTAAGCCAGCAGAAGTGACAGTGGACTGACCTTCCGTAGCGAGTCTTGTTTCACGAGGCCTAAAAATACTTTGTCTACAGGAGCGGTTCGCAACCCCTGTTTCGTGAACGCTGACGAGTGTTTCGCCCAACCAAATGATTCTCTAGGCTGGAAGCATCGCTCGTGTAAAAGTCGCGGTGACTTGGTCGGCGAAATCGACGGCTCTCTTGCCATTCGACAGATGCGTTTGGTGCCAGGCTCTTCTACTTTTGGCTGTGGCGCTCGGCCATAGACTGTCCTAGGTCAAAAGTTTAAGTATCGTATTGCCCCCAAATAGGCGATGCAAAGGCCGAGAATACACACTCAACCTTCTGGCACCGCGCTGTGCAGTGAGACAGTTGTTGCAGCTTGAGCACGGGACAAAAACAGGTTCCGCGACCATGATGGCTCCCATGTTGCCGCGCCAGTCAAAGCTCTGGAGGAGGCCTCCGTGAGGAGTCTCGTGACCCCAGTGGCAGGGGGACGCGCAGGCAAGACTCAATGCCTCATCTCATTTTGACGTTGGCCGCGAGCTGGCTAGTCTGAGCAAGGTGGGGGTCACGCTTTCGAATGCAGCAGCTGCAGGCACCCTTGGAGCAGTCACTGCCATTCGAGCACGCCGAGACACGTCATTGGCGTTCACCGCATGTCCCCTATAGCGCGTCGTCGAGGGTTCGAGGACACAGCGGTATTGTCATGGTCGGACGCGTAGGAATGGCATCATTGCGGGACAAATCTCCGCGAACATTCCATCGGGAGATAGCATAATGGGCTGCCCCTTAGCACGACGAGGCAAGAGAAATGATGCCAAGGGCGTGGGAGCTCTGACCAAGACCTGTTTCGTCGCACTGCATGCCCAATGATCGACATGTTCCTGGTCTCGCGCTGGTTGCCGGCAGCGACGGCAGCTCGGACGCACCGCTCGCAGGCCAGCAGCTCGCAGACGAAATGGTCAGGCAGGGCGATGAGCAACATTGATAGACGACAGGACACACGCGCACTAGCGGTGCATACTGTGTACAGTAGCGCAGCAGCTGCAGGCGGCCAGCAGAATTTTGATGCCTGTTCCGTCTCCTCCGGGATAAGATGTGGGGCATCCAAAAGCGTGCTAGGGGAAGGTTTTCCACGTGCGAGCTCGGTTCACCCCAGCCAAAAGAGCCCGGCACCGAGGCGAGCCAGAATTGAACCCTCATACGTCAACCCAGGGACCGGGCCATGTTCCTTCGAGCTCCTCCTGCATGTCGCCAACGGCGCTCGCGAGAACCCAAGGCGCACAGCGGCGAGCGCCATCTCTCCGACCCCTCCGATTTCGCCTGTATGGTCTCCATACGCGGCACGTCCCTGGAATTGGGCGGTGAACAGGCGTCCCTGTCACCTTTCCATCATTGGCTAGGGTGCAAATCGCTTCACATCCATCCCAAAGGGGAAGTGGGCCGAGCTATCCGCTTTGGACGGCGTCGAAGTGGACGAGGACGATGGCCAGAAGACAGCCGGCTCGCTCCAGCTCGACGCCATGCGAGCCTTTGCGAGCTGTCCAGGTCGTCATGGCCACGGACCACGAGGCTATCGCCGCTTCTAGCGACCCTCGAGAAGCCTTGCGCCATGGAGGCTCCGTCTGCTTTCTGACGCGGCCGTCCTCACGCGTCACCATAGTCGTCCCAGCATAGCAACGCCGCCGACACTTGAAGCCCTGGGGTCCGCTTCCTGCAGTCCCCAGTCAACGGCGCCTTGATACCTCGCCCTCTTCGCGCGTCCCAAACTTTACTTGGTTTCACACCTGCATTTTCCCCGCAGGCCGCACGTGTGCTGCCCACCGACGGACTGGGTCCCTTCCAGGTCCCGCCCAGGGTGCCACCTAGCGGCCTTGAAGCCACAGGCAAGGGTCCCTCGTAAAAGAAGGACTACCCTTACAGAGATCCGGTTATAGCCCTCCTCCCTGCTCGTCAAAGGCCTCTGCGTTTTGTTTATCTTCCTCTCTACCTATACCTTTTCCCATCTGCCCGCTCCATACTGTAATTTCTACTCGGAAGCGATATTTACTGTCATACCACCTTCTGGTCCGAGACCCCTCTATCCGTGCTCTCTGCACGCGGCACAACTTAAACCCACCCTCGCCGTCCTAACTACCAGGACGCCCTCGTCATTTTGCACACGGGAACTTGGAAGCTTGGTCCTTTCCCTCCGAGCCGCTTACATAGCGACCACCCACCCGTCTTAAACCCTCTGCCGCCCCCGCGGGTCCTCATGACTTCAGTAATTCACTATCGAGACCCTATTGCTTACCGGAGCGGCGACCTAATGGGCACGAATTATGTCCCACCGCACATGGCCTCTCTCAACCGATCGCCTGTTTACGATGACCACTCGTCTGGTTCTGAACGGAAACAATCCACGCCGGGGGCCAAAAAGCGGCCTTCCAGAGCTGGCACCCGCAGCGTTACCACACTAACTGCAGCACAACTAGAGCGCAAGAGAGCAAACGACCGAGAAGCGCAGCGAGCCATTCGCCAACGGACTAAGGACCACATCGAAAGTCTCGAGCGTCAAGTCCGCGATCTTACTGCGCAGATTGGCACCAACAGCTCTACCAAGATGATGGAGCTGATGCGGCGGAATGAGGAGCTGGAGCAAGAGAACGCCTTGCTCAGGGCGCGACTGTCTCATGCGGGACAGGCGTTGGGCATGTTGGAAGGCTCAGGTACGTCAATTGTTCCCTTTTCGCGACACGGATCACTTGTTCACTGGCATATATTGCTTTTTAACGTTTGACCGGTTCCTGTCTAGGGGCAACCGAGCAGTTGCTTTTTGGCACACTCTGACGCATTTGCTCATGCCAACTCCGAACCGGCAACGTGCTCCTCCTAATCCAAACAAAGCAGATTCACTAACATTTTTGACATTCAGGAAATTCGATGGCTGGAGCAGAGCAAACCGGCCTGCTAGCTGCGACCGGAGGCGCCCCGTCGCCTAGCGATCGGATTCAGATTCTCAGCCACGCGCGTCGGTCGTCAACTGGAACCGCGAGGAGTGTTCACTCTGTACCAGAAATCACCACGACACCCGCCGCACAACCTGCGCCCTGGCAGCAACAGCACCCGCAACAGCCGCCGCAGCATCAGCACCAGCATCAGCACCAGCATGCCTATCCACCCAACGTACCTTCACCTCATGTCGAGCATCCCCCATCGAACTGGGGCCCTCATCCATCCGCACACCCCTCCCAGCATCCAGTGTCGCTTTCAGTGCCCGACTCCTCACTGCACGCCGTTGAATCTGGAAACATTTCTTATCCCACCCCCTACTCGATGGATCAGAACACCAGGTCCATGTCTTACCCACTGGAGAATGCGTCGCTGGTCACTTCCCAGGCAATGCAGATCGGTGGTTACCAGACGCCTACTTCGAATCCCTCGACACACTCCTCAGAATACCACAGGCAGATGAGCGTCCCGATGAACGCCGCACCACCGGCAGGACATGGCCCGCATCCGCACGCGTATTCTGGTTCTGCACATCATGGTTATGTTCCCCAAAGCAGCCATCCGGGGGAGATGCACATGATGGCTCCTGCTCCTCATCCGCAATCCCACATGGTCAATGAACAGGGTCAGATGATGTATCACCTCCCGCCGCACATGAAGGTTGAGCACTAAGAGGGAGGGATCTGCCATCGGTCGTTGTGCTACCACCGGCACCGTGACAGTGGAGACGAGGCGGTGAAGGACATGTCAACTAGGCGGTGACGAGTCACTTTGTGACTCGGTGCATTGCATTGCATTGCGTCGACGAAGTGTCTGGCCGCATTCGGGTCCACCGAGTTCTCTAAGCTTTGGTTGCAGAAGCTCCTAGAGATGTGCTCGTCCTCTGCCGCGAGAATGTCTGGAACGGATAAGCCATCGCGCTACTCCGGCGTTTCACCGGACCATGACAATCTGGATCCTAATCGGAGCGACCTTCCGAAGCAACCCGACACACGCTCCTACCGTGTCTCGATGCCCCTTCGCCGCGAGCTTCAAGACACGCCCACCTATGTGCTCTGGTATGAGCTATCGTCAACCCCCTTGCTGAAACCGGCTTTCGCTTGGCAGCCTGCGCAAGCTTTCTCCGATGAGATGTGCTTGCCAAGGCGGGGCTTGCGGCGAACTCCATGCTTGCGTTTGGTCTCCAAGCAACCCGCAGGACTCGTATGTCAGCTCGTGTCGACCATCCTGATGGACTGCCACCCTCGCCTGGGATTCCTGGTTGCGGAGTCCTGTAGCCGCTATTACACCGAGATGGGTCCGGACGCACGGGCGATGCTCACGAACTCCAAAAAGATCTCCAATCGAGTTGGAGTAGTCGCCCAGCGCTAGCGGCTCAAGGCACGAGCGGGCTATCGAATGAAGCTTGGCGAGCCTGTTTCATCGCGTCACCTTCTGCTAGAACATCACGCCCCACAGCAATTACTGCATCACAACAATTACCGTCCAGTAGCAGTCTTACGCCTCATCTTTTACAGTCGTCACGCTCGCTCGAGATACTTCTAAATTGCGATCAGTGGTCATCGGTCTATGGCTTATTGATTTGCACTGTGGTCGGCGACCAAGTACGGAAGCTTATGCTGCCGCCGCTTGTTGCGCCCTAACCTGCGCCAGCAACTTGGGATACTGCGACCAAAAGTCAATTCAACAAGTCGTACGGTAGTCGTCGTGGGTTGTCACTTACCCATCGCTCTCCAACATCCGGATGCGACTTGACCCGGTTCATCAATGTCGCTTCACCCAGGTGTCCCCAGCGACCCTTGACAAACGTAAATTCTATGTCGTCCTTGCGCGCTTTGCGAGCCTCATCCCTCAGCTTTAATACTTCGGCGGGTACATCCATGGCTTCGAACTGGGCATCGTAGCTCACTCCCTGGAAGAATGGCACCGAGTACCTCGCTCCCTCGCCCTTCCTCGGACTGAGCACACGATGTGTCGTAGATGCGCAGACACCATCCGTCAACGCCTCCATGCCCTGACCGATAGCCACGACAAGACTCCCAGTTATAGGCTTGCAATCCACCCACTCGCCGCGGGCATTCTGCGCCTGCAGCCCAGGCTGATCGCTTGCTTGGAGCAGGTATGACGTTAGCATGCTGTCCTTGTGCGGGCCGACGCCCTGCCTCTTGATCTCCCACTTCTTCTTGTCAATCTCGCCTGCCCCGACGGGCAGATCTGGCACATCGACTTCAGGGTACTTGACGATCTTCAGCTTATGCTGCTGATTCTCGTCGAAGAATTTGTCAAACGCACCGGGATCGAGACCGATGGCCTCGGCGATCAGGCTGGTGAAGAGCATGGAGATTTTCGACATGCGGCGCATGTAGTCTTCGTACACAGGGCGGAAGGCGGGGAGATGCGCGGATGACGGCCACTGGTTTGGCGCCAGCAGGTTGTGGTACAGCGGGGCGTCGGGGCCTGGCAGCGGCTGCGGAGTTGACAGGTCGAGCTGTTCGCGGTGGTCGGTGTTGAGGGCGGTGGTCTCGTTGTCGAGCTTCCCCATTTCGTCAGCACACGCACTTACATTTCTAAAGCACATCTATCTACACTACTACACTACACTAATACTACAAGAGGGGGAAGGCGGCAGCGGTAATGGCAGGGGGGAATTTCTTTGGTTTGAGTCGCAGCGTTCATGAGTATACGGTCCGGTCCGAAGATACCCAATATCTCTCGTTGGTTTACGTCTGTCGATAGCGTTCGTTTGGCATACGTACCGCATGGCTCTTTCTCTCTTTCTTTTCAGCGATGTATTATGCTTTCACGCGTTATGCGGTTCCTTGCATATCCTTTCGTTTTTGACGGCCCCGAGGTATTAATAGTCTGCATCATTTGCATCGCATATAGCATCTTCGATACCACCTTGTTTGGCATATGCTTCGTAGATAACATGACATGACGCATCTTTACTCTGAGGCTCCCATCTACCCTGATACTTCCTCACTGACATCTGTACCACCGACTCCTTCCCGCCTGCTAGTCTCCATCGACAGATGCTGAAAAATTCGGTACTCACCCTGCTCCACCCCAAGAAACTCGGTTCGTTCTTCATCTCGATCGCTTCCTTCTCCTGCGTACTCAGCTCCTCGAAAAACCGCTTACATTCTTCCACCACATTCCCCACCAGCTCCTCCGGCAACCCTGTTTCGGAAAGGTACAGGAAGCCTACGTTGAGAAGGGCGTCTCGCAGGTCGGAGAGGAAGGCGGGTTTGGTGGACGGATCCAGGGCCCGCGAGAGGGGAAGGATGGGGATATGTGAGAATGTTGCAGAAGGTGGGGATGCCATATTTCTAGAGGCAGTCGGGGTGGTATGGCTCTGGACGCGATGGTGAAGGAACGGGGTATCGAAATATGGTTTTGTTAATGCTTGTTCACGACGTTACTCGGAGCTATTTCGGTGTTGTGGTGCGATGCGGGGTTGCACGCATGCAGGCGCCTCTATGCGTGCTGTCGTGCTTGAGCCGCTGATGGCGTCATCGGATAATGCGGTGTCCAAAAAACCAGCAGATAGTTTCTCCGCTGCTTCCTTCGTGTCTGCGAATAGAGATGGAGAGGACCAACCGCGAGCGACGTTGATGATGAAAGCAGCGGGCCAGATGGCGGAGGCGGGTCCGGCAAGGCGGTGCGGGGTGTGGGAGTGGCTTCCCAGTACTTCAGTATCGAGCCATCCACTTGAACGCCAAACCTAGGGCTGCGAGCTTGAGACTAGTGATGAGCAGGATGGAGCATGCTTCGAGAATAAACATGTTGCGGTAGAGCGAGCGTGCCGTTGGATTCGAAGGTGCAGTGCGAAGTAGGCCCAGTCTCCCTTGAGCTCGAGGGTATGCACTGTGTTTGTAGTTACACGATGTTGCATTCCTCGAAATCTGCAGAGCGACCGCATCGACACGCTGTCCTTTTGAACAAACATGCTCAAGTGAGACTTTCCCTCCTTCCCCGGAGCACCCGCACGCGACACACAAGACATTTCAGCTTGCATCCCCAAATCCCCACGTGCGCCTACGTCGCCTTCCCCGTGGGGCGCCATTGGGCGGCTGCGGCACTGGAGCGCAAGGCACGTGGCGGCTTTACGTGTGCGCAACGTTCTGTGTGGACCTTCACCAGGTGCGTTCACCTTGGGCTCCGTGGAGCTCATCTGGACAGTTGTGGAAGCCGAGGGGCCATCAGCTGTCATCATCGTGTTACACAGAGATTGGAATAAGATGCGGCGTGTTCCGGCCCCAGTCCAGCCCTCTACACCGATGACCAGCGCTCTGGAGACGAGCGACCACCTGCACAGCACTTACTCGCGAAATCCTCCGGGCGCAGACTACGGACTTCGCTGGGTGGGTGGTCAGATCTGTAATTCCACGACACGAGGAAGTCCACCGTGCAGCTAGGTCATCATGCTCCATGTTCGGTTCGGTCCCTGGTGTCGGGTCTCTGAGTCGCCATGTTTGATGCTGAAATGGGTCGTGCGCTGCGGATCCATGTCCGGTTGAAGCTGTATGGGGTGTTTAGGATCGCATATATGTCAAGATGGTGCGTGAGACGAATTCATGCGGTATGTGGTTGATAGAGCTGGATACGCAATGTTGTGCATACATGTTTCAAGGTTTCGCGGGAAAAGGAAGCACTCTGCGATGCATTGGCTTTTCGTCATTGTGGAGCCTGAAGGAAACAAGCTGCGTTGGGCGAAGGGTACTTCCCACCAAAGGTCATAGAAGGTGCTACTATGAACTCGTATCCTCGCATTAGATATCGATATGGTGATAAAAATCAAATTTCATGCCCAGTCGAAGTCAGATAGGACGATGTGTACAGTAGATGTAAATCCATATTATCTTTATCACCAAAGGGATATCCTTGCCGTAGCCAAGAGCAGGCGTCGTAAGGAAAAAGCTACGGAAAGCTATCTACCACCTCTACTAGAGAAGCTGCCGAAACACATCGCTAGATTATGCTACCGTTTGCTGAAGCCAAGTCATAACTGTCGTACCTCATAGCTCATTTTTTCATCGCTTCTCGCGGGGATAGTAGGCAGGCTGTCCATCAAGGGACTCTCCTACGCCGGTAGCATTGTAGCTTGGCGGTGCAGCATTGCCGTAACCGATAGTAGAAGCAGGACCAGCGCTACTCTGTCCAGGCGGTATGCCAGTGTTGTCAACGCCCTTTGCGAGGTCTGCCTCGTTGATGATACCGCCGTCGCCGCCTCCAACGAGCACCGTTTGCTCAACGCCCTTCTTGTCTCGCACCTTGCCAACTACCATGCCCTTAGCTACGGACGTGATGATAGCTCTGCGCGAGACCCCAGTGACATCAATGTACACGAGACCCACGTTCTTGACACCGCCAGCTAGGTCTCCTGCAAGGCCACCGGCTTCTGCGCCATACTTGTGTCCGATAGCTGCACTGGCTGCGGCGCCACTGTGTGTCAGTAGGGTCTTTCCGCCGTGGGCAATGCCGTCTGCAACTGTGGAGAATGCTATCATGGACTTGTTGAGCAGACCAGGTTTGTAATCTGGGTTCGGCCTGCCATCAGGCAGCACTGCCTTAACCGACCTCGGACCCTTACCCAGTGTGCCAGCCGTGAAGTTTTGCGCGTGCTTTGAGATGGAACCGACTGTCTTCGAGGAGATGCCTGCGACGCTCGTCGTGAAGGTGTTAATTTTGCGGACGCGATCGTGTGTCCCCGTCTTGAAGACCATGGGTTTCTCGTTCGGCCTCGTCTTGTTCATGAAGGACTCAGCACCCGAGATCATGGCATTGCTGATGTATGTTGAGCCTGTGACGATGAGTCGAGAAGCGGCGGCCGAGTTCTGCACGAGACTGGAGTTCTTATAGGCGGGCAGGCGGGCCATGCCGAGGTAGTCCTCCGACACAGGTTGGACCTTGATCTTCTTGCCATCGGGAGAGATGACAATCTCCACGGGGTCTGCTAGGCGTGTCAGTAATGTGGTACCGCGTTCTAATGCAAAACTCACTCTTCGATCCTGCCTTTAGCCTCGGGTCTTCGATGATCTGGGCGCCATCGGCCAGCTCGCCGACCACGCTACCGTTCTCTTCGTCGACGAGCACGATCTCACCGTGTTTGCTTGACCCAACGTAACCCTCGCCGGGCGCATAATCTGCCGGGTTGTATGCCTTGGCGGAGCCCTTCGAATCACCTTGCGGGGCCTGCGCTCGCTCGAGGAAGGCAGTACATTGTGCGAGGATGGTCTCAAATGTGTCGATGTCCTCCTGCGTGACTGTATTAGGGCCGTTCCCTAACGGCGGAAACTCGATGCGCGTGAAGGCGCCACTGTCAGGACCAAGATCCCAGCGCGGGATGAGGTAGCTGCGCGGCGGCTGGTGGTAGATTTGCGTGGTAGCGGGCAGAGGGGAGGTCGAGCTCGGGGGGCAGATTGAGGTGGAGGTAGAAGTCTTCCTCAGGCGCTTCGTTCTGACCGTGTACATTGCTGAGATCGGCGAAAGGCGAGTTCGTAGGCACCATCAACAACGACAGCGTCTGCGCGCCCGACGGTGTGAGGGGCTGCTCCTCGCCCTGCTGGATGTGGTAGGCTCTGATGCCTCCAATCGAGTAGAGGAGTCGGGGGGTCGCCGTGGCTCATTGTGAAATCCTGTAGGGTTTACAGCTGGCGGGGTATCGAGATGGGGCACAGGTGGAGCAATGAGGTGTAGAAGAAGAAGAAGCGAGATGCAGTTGCGTTTGATTAAATAGCAAGTTCAGGATATTTTGTAGAGAAGATGGAAGGGGGCAGTGTATGTTCTCTGGGCGTGTGCCGCAAAACGGGCCTTCCTCCTGTGGCCTGCTGATGTCTTCAACATGCAACTGGGAATGTCGCGCGCTTAATTCCAATACGTCAGATACGTCAGGAAAAGCGGGATGGCCAATCAGAACGCCGCTAGACAGCTGGACCCTTTGCGCCACAGCTGTGGCGGATGCTTCGCCCTCATTCGACAGTGTTCTGGACGGGATACACCGCCACATCTTTGTCTTGTCTCCCCTCCGCGGGTTAGCAGCGGCCTGTTGAACGTAGTGGTTCCTTTATTCGGACAAGCACACCATGCGAATGTCAGCCACTCCTCTCGTTCCATCATGTTCGCGTGCTTGTTCAGCTCTCGATACGGCTCAGGTCGATGCAATGTCATTTAGAAACCCCGCTAATCCTAGCGGTCGTGATTTTTCGCGTCCAGCTTTGCTTCCTCGTCACACTAGAAAGCATATCCTGATCGGCGACTCTAAGTGCGCTTGCTAGTATTCGAAGAGCCAGTATGGTTTTGTAGTCGCCCTGGTTTTCTTCCACCTCTCCTGGAAGCATGGTGCTCTCACGTGTCCCGGGCGCTGGGCCTTTTCGTCGAATTGCGCGTGTGGTGCATGGCTGGTTTCCGTCGCTCAGTTTTATAACGCTCCACTATATCTACTTCATCGGAACGTGTTTGGTGTCCAGCGGTATCTTCTATGCCGCTTCCACCCCATCCAGGAACGTCAGCTACACGGATTCCCTTTTTCTGGTAACAAGCGCTATGACCGAGGCCGGGCTGAATACCGTCAATCTGTCCGACCTGAATACGTTCCAGCAGTTCATGCTTTTTTTCCTTATTATGATCGGCTCTGCCATATTCGTCTCAGCATTTGTGGTTCAAGTTCGGATGAGAGCGTTCGAGCATCGGTTCGAGCACATAGCAGAGCAGCGTCGACAGAGAGCGGAGCGTGTCAGGCGCCGATCAAGGTCTTTTGCACACCGCATCTCGAGGAGCATTTCCAGATCAGGCACAAGAGACGAGCAGGATAATGCTGGCCTTTCGAAGAGCGAGCGTCGCAAGTCCATAGTACAGGATGCAGAGGGAGGCCTCCACACTAACCATGTCGCCAACGAGGATACGGCTTATGGGAAGGGGCAAGCTGATCCGGACAGAGATAGCGCATCCATTGTGGCCGATGGCAATGTTAGGCCGGTGGAACAGGAGCAACTCACTTTGTCGACACGACCGCACCTCATTATGTCTCGCAGGGAGACCGTTGATGAAATCCATGTGGACCCGATTTCAAGTCCTGAGACTGGCGTCCCAACCCACATCTCCTTTCTGCCGAACACAGATCATCGCAAGGGACCCAGCTTGGACCCCCGGTATCTTCAACACCGGTTCATGGGCGAAGGTGCGGACTCGCACGCAATGATCAAGCGCCGTCCGCAAACAAGCGCTTCTGCTGTCACAGTCGACTGCCAGTCTGATGCTGCAACAGTACTCTCGACTAACCACTTACCATTCGCTTCATCTGGCATACTCTCGCGAAACTCGCACTTCCATCATCTAACGGAAGTAGAGCGGGATGAACTTGGTGGCTACGAATATCGTGCTGTGAATTTGCTTTCATGGCTTGTGCCCGCCTATTATATTCTTTTCCAACTCTTCGGCTGCGTTGGCCTGGGGGTGTACGTTGCTATGAACAAGTCTTTGGTCACTCGAGCAAACGGCCTTAATCCATGGTGGGTGGGCGCCTTTAATGCAGTGTCCGCCTTCAACAACTCAGGCATGTCACTACTCGATGCGAACATGGTGGCCTTTCAAAAATCTGCGTACTTGTTGATCACCATGGGGCTGCTCATCCTCGCCGGAAACACCGCGTATCCGGTTTTCCTCCGCTTAATTGTCTGGACATCTTTGAAGCTAGTCCCCAGCAATGAGCGCTTTGAAGACTTTCGTAAAACGCTACATTTCCTCCTCGATCATCCACGACGCTGCTACACCAATATGTTCCCATCCCGCCACAACTGGTGGCTCCTAGCCTGCCTCGTCTGCCTCAACGGCATCGATTGGGCTGCCTTCGAAATCCTCAACATCGGTAACACCGACATCACCGGCGACCTCTCCACCGGCCACGAAGTCCTCGTCGGGCTCTTCCAAGCCCTCGCAGTCCGCAGCGGTGGCTTCTACGTCGTTCCCATCGCGCTCCTCCCCATCGCCTTACAGGTTCTGTATGTGATCATGATGTATATCTCCGTATATCCTGTCGTCATCACAATGCGCAATAGCAATGTCTACGAGGAGCGCAGTCTGGGAATCTACACCGACGACCCTGGGTACGCTGCCAGCCAGGCTCGCGCCGGCGGTATCCTCGGGAAGCTCCGTAGAAAAGTCACGGGCGAAGCGTTCGAACACACGAAGAGTTACTTTGTGAGACAGCAACTCCGCGCACAACTCGCGCACGACTTGTGGTCCCTTGTCCTTGCCGTCTTCCTCATCATGATCATCGAGGGATCGAACTTCAAAGCGCACCCGGCTGAGTTTAGCGTTTTCAACGTTGTATTTGAGACTGTCTCCGCGTATGGGTGCGTCGGCATCTCAGTCGGCTTCCCGGGGTCGGACTATAGCTTTTCGGGTAGCTTGCACGTGCTCAGCAAGCTTGTGCTTTGTGCGGTCATGATCAGAGGACGACATCGTGGGCTGCCGGTTGCGATCGATAAAGCGGTGTTGTTGCCTGGGGAAGGGGTGGATGAGGCGGAAGAGGAAGATGGAGAGATTATGATGGAAAGAACGATGAGTAGGGGAGGATCGTTTAAGCGTTGAGTCGTTGTAGGCACGTTTGATACTCATGCGCTTTGCGAGCAGTAATGTTAGTCTTGAGGCAAATTGATGTTTTGTCTCTTGAGGATGGACTGTCGTTACAGCGTTAGGTGAACGAGAGATCTTGTCTGGTGGTTGGTACCGCCACGTTGTCAGTGTCTTTTCAGAAGCAATCATCCGTATGCCATGAAGAGTACCTCACTCCACAGAGACATGATCAAAGACACAGAGAAATAAAGCTACATATATCCGCACAGGACTAAGTTGGGCATTCAACGAAAGAGCTAGATGCGGGTTGGGACTCTGACTTTTTTCACTCGTCCGCTGCAGACACGTCACATTATCCGAAACCATCCATGGATGACCTGTTCGAATGTTTGCCTTGCTCCGCAGAATTTCCCAGCGTGTTTTATAATTTCTAGGAGAGCGTTCAAGTACCGCATGGGGACCTGCTTCCATGGCAGAGCTGGCCAGTTGCAAGTGGCCTTTATATAGTACCCACATGCACTCTTGACCTTACCTTGAGCGAGCTTGGACGGCGGCGCTGTTTATTGTGCTTATATAGTACTGTGATTGCCTTGTTGCGGCAATCACCTTTGGCGGAAACAAAATTTCCATACTTATAACTCCTGCTGCGTCGACCGCTCTTTACTGTCCCCGCTTCCGATAGGGTCCACGCTTCTACACTCTCACTTCGGACACCTTGTAGTCGATATTTCTCTCGCCGCCACAAACGGTGTGTGATTACCGTATGTTCTACTCGCGAATATGATGTATAGGTTTCTGAAATGTGCTGATGATGCTACTGAATCATGCAGGTGTCTGAGCCTGTGGCTGGTGCCGCAGATGCGACGCAAATTACACCTAGACCTCCGGCGGTGTGTACGATAAGTCTGAGTCTGTCTCGCCGTGGAAACCATCGGTACTGCCGCAACATCGATGTGAGGCACGTGACATGACCAATACGGCGACGGAAGAGAGCTAATACGGCTTCATAGACCTATGATTATACCTTCAACCTTATATGAGCTCCGAGAAAAGATTAAGTATAGTCTAACCTAGGATATACAATGCTTATCTTTACTTCAATCCGTGAATAAATGTTGTAGGCACTGCGCCCGGCCAGCCTAACCGCCAGCCGCTATAGCGTTCGTGGCTTTCGTAATTTTTGTAGCCTCCGGCAGCTTGAATAGCCTGCCTCCGGACCTACCGTGACTATTTTCAAACCCGAGGCCGCTAGTAGGGAAACCGCACAGTTACGGTGTTCGGCAGTTCGACCACTTGGGACTATCCTGGACCGCCGCACCATATGCTCATGACAGATGTGCTCTCCACCATGTCTAGATACTCTTCCAAATGTAATTCGCTCGAATGTCCAGCAATATTGCCCATTGTCGGCGTGTACTAGTGCTAAGCAGGGTTATGCTCCTCCAATATTTGCTCAGGTATCTTCCCATCCTTGTCCTTCAAGTCAGAGCGTGCCCCACTGTGCTCCAACAACTTCGCAGCATCGGCTTGGTCCTTCCAGGCGGCGAAATGCATTGGCGTCCTATTCCTCCAAATGACTTCGTTCACGTCCGCCCCAAAGATGAGGATGGAAGTGAGGTGGGCGATGCAGAGGTTGACTGCGCTCAGTGCTATCAAGCAGCTACATCGCGTACCATGGTTCTATCCTAGGCATCACCACTCAACAGAACATCAACAAGTCACACAAAGCTATACCCACGAACGTTGCCTAACAGCACGTGATCAAAGTGCCGAAAGAAGACGTCCGCCCTATGTTGCTTTAGGAGGCGCATAGTATCGAAACGACGGGCACTTGCAGCGCTATGTCACGCACGAGTATGCTCTCGCTTCTTCTTGGCTATTTGCTTCCATGTTGCCAGTGATGGTGCGTCCTAGCAACATTGTACATCAACTTGACCGCAGCCTGCTCGGCTTCTCCGCATGGGAACAGTGGATTGAGGCCTCATGTAGCGAGGTTTGGTCCTAGTCGGATGATTGCGTGTTCGTGTTCTGGTCGATTACTAAACGAAGCCAACACATAAAGGTATTTGTGGATGAAAATGTTCGTGTTGTCGACGAAGCAGGGCTGTGGGGCGGCCAATGGACCCTGTGGTGTTGGCGGAGACGTCACCGCTCAGCCCTACCATAGGTAGCCACGAATTGCAAAAGCTTGGCGTTTCCATCTTGCATCTCATCGTGTCGCGTCACATCACGCCCACTATGAGTCTTCGCTCTTGAGAACTCATCAACGGGTGCTGAACGGATGCGTTGCCAATGGGGGAATACGACGCGCCACCCTTGCCTCGGCAACTCGGCGCGATGATGGCCCTGCCATGCGAGATCCCCGCAGCCATCATCTCCAGGTGCCCGGACCTTTGCTGCAAGGGCAATGTTCCGGAAGCTCCACCGCCGGCGAATTCCAAGGCCGTCAATTACATGTCTGCGCCCACAGGGCCACATGGAGATGCTTTGCGCTGTCGACCTGTTCCTTGGGGGATAGTACCGAGCACGCGTAGCTCCTAATTGTCCCCTTGGATGTGCAAGCATCATCTATAGAAAGGCAACATGTCACGCTTCTGGGGATGTTTGACCATCGGTCCTTTACCTCTCTCCGTAAAATATCATGCGGTTCCTGCGGCTTCTCGCAAGCCTTTCGAGCGTCCTAGCCGCGGTCGGGGCAGTCGACAACGGATTGCAGAAAGACGTCACCTGGGACAATGGTAGTCTTCTCGTCAATGGCGAACGCGTCATTGTTATGAGCGGCGAGTTCCATTATCAACGTCTGCCAGTACCAGAGTTGTGGCTCGATGTTTTCCAAAAGTTCAAAGCCCATGGCATGAACACCGTCAGCTTCTATTTCTTTTGGTCGTATCATTCCGCATCTAAGGGCAACTACGATTTCACGACCCCCGGCAAAGACATTCAACGTCTGTTCGATCTTGCAAAAGAAGCTGGACTATACGTCATTGCGCGTCCTGGTCCATACTGCAATGCAGAAACGAATGGAGGAGGTTTGGCATTATGGGGAAGTGATGGCAGTATGGGCAGTCTCCGAACATCGGACGAAACATATTATCAGGCGTGGTCCGAATGGATTGCTCAAGTGGGAGCCATTATCGCCAAGAACCAAATCACCAACGGCGGTCCAGTCATTCTCACACAAGTTGAGAATGAGCTACAGGAAACCAAGTATGACCCCGAGAATACTCTTGTCAAATACATGATACAGATTGAAGATGCCTTCAAAGAAGCTGGCTTGATCGTGCCTACTACGCACAATGAAAAGGGCTTCCGCAGCAAGAGCTGGTCGTCAGAGTACAATAATGTCGGCGGGGCGGTCGACATTTACGGTCTTGACAGCTATCCTGGTGGCATGAGCTGCACCAATCCCGATTCTGGTTTCAATCTCCCATATACCTACTACCAATGGTTCCACGACGTATCCCCTTCTCAGCCTCAATATCTTCCCGAGTTCGAAGGCGGGTATTTCCAGCCATGGGGCGGCTACTTTTACGACACGTGCCAGGCTGAACATAGTCCTGAATTCGCCGACGTCTTCTACAAGGGGATTGTTGCGCAAAGAGCTACACTACTTAATCTCTATGTGGCTTTTGGTGGCACAAACTGGGGTCATAGTGGGGCGCCCGTGGTACGTAGTCTCCTACACAAACAGTTCTCATCTGACCATTACAGGTTTATACATCATATGACTACTCTGCACCATTGCGGGAGACGCGAGAGATACAAGACAAGTTCAAACAATACAAGTTGCTGACCCTGTTCACCCGCGTGAGCCAGGGCTTGACTAACACGGTCATGGAAACCAATGGCACGGGCGTTGCCACGGGTAGCACTGATCTTTGGACATGGGTGCTAAAAAATAAGAAGACAAACGCGAGATTCTACCTTGTTCAACACAACAGCACAAATTCGCGCTCAGTCACCGACTTCTCCATCACAGTCAGTACTTCTAGAGGTAATGTGACGATCCCTGACCTGCAGCTCGCGGGTAGACAAAGCAGATGGGTCGTGACCGACTACCCTATTGGGAAAGAGACATTGGTGTACTCTTCTGCGGAAGTTTTGACGTATGGCCAATCGGCTGTGGTCTTTTATATGCGACAAGGCCAGACTGGGCAATTCGCCTTCAAGGGTGCTAAGAACATAACTTTCAAAGCCTACGGCGCAGGCTCTGGTATAAAAGCGACAGCCTCTGGAGACGGGTTCACGTACACCCAGGCCCATGGCTCCACTGCTGTCGTCTTTTCGAACGGTGTGTTGGCGTACCTTGTTGACATTCCCACAGCCTGGACCTTTTTCGCGCCTCCTACCACATCCGACCCTAGGGTGAAGCCCGATGAGCAAGTCTTCGTTTTTGGCCCTCATCTCGTTCGCTCGGCAAGCGTTCATGGCGACACCGTCTCCATCGTTGGAGACAACGCAAACTCCACAACGATTCAAGTGTACGCAGGGAAGCGAGCAAATTCAATATCCTGGAACGGCGCCAAGCTCAAGACCGACAAGACTGCCTTCGGCTCGCTGACTGCCAGTATCCCCGGCGCCGAGGACCGTCGAATATTCCTTCCAACTCTCACCGACTTTAGAGCCGCAGATTCTCTTCCTGAAGCGTCACCTTCGTATAATGACGAGGATTGGATTGTAGCGAACAAGACAGCTACGATGAGTCCAGTGAAGCCACTTACGCTGCCTGTGCTTTTCAGCAGCGATTACAAATTCTACACGGGCGCCAAGGTCTATCGCGGCTACTTCTCCGGAAGAAATGTCACGAGTGCAAACATTACTGTCCAAGGTGGTGTGGCAGCTGGATGGAATGCATGGCTCAATGGCAAGTTCGTGGGCTACCATCCGGGCAATGTATCACTCCAGTCGACCACGGGTACGCTCTCCTTCAAAGGTGTTAACTTGACCGACAAGGAAAACGTCTTGACCGTGGTCACTGATTACACTGGTCACGACCAGACATCTACCGGACCCGCTGGGGTTGAGAACCCACGCGGGCTTCTTGGTGCACAGCTGCAAGGCGGAACTTTTAGCCAATGGAAGATTCAAGGTAACGCTGGCGGGGAGAAAAACATTGATCCTGTCAGAGGACCCATGAACGAAGGAGGTCTGTACGGCGAACGTATTGGATGGCATCTTCCAGGTTTCGATACATCTAAGTGGGCAAAGGCCAGCCCAGTCACAGATGGAGTCAATGGCGCAGGCATCAAGTGGTTCACTACCACATTCAACTTGAACATCGATAGGGATCTAGACGTACCGCTCGGCGTCGAGGTGGACGCACCGGCAGGTACCATCGCACGAGCGTTGATCTTCGTCAACGGATATCAGTACGGCAAATTCGTTCCGCATATTGGACCTCAAACGCGATTCCCCATTCCTCCGGGAATTATCAACACGCGCGGTCACAACACACTCAGCGTGGCGCTGTGGGCGCAGACGGAAGCTGGTGCAAAGCTGAGTAAGTTGCAGTTGATACAGTATGGGAAGTACCAGAGCGGATTTGGGTTTGACAAGATTGATGGCAAGGCTCTGCAGCCCGCGTGGAAGAACAGGAGTCAGCACGCATAACGTCATCTGGGACAGACTAATGGCACACTTTTACTGTTGTGATCAAGGTGCAATATTCTTGCTAGACTCTCGCGGGATTCTGTGATGTCCTACAGTGACCAATTCTTATGAATTTCGGCTTCTATACGGCATCCCACAAGCCGGTGACCTCATTTATTCGATGCGATAGTCGGGGCGAACCATACTTGACAATTCAAAAGCTATCTTTCTCCTTTGCCACAATCTTGAGAACCCAGTAGTCATGACATCCTTGCCTTTGACTCGTCCGTGTTACAAAAAGACTAAGCCCAAGGTTCATAGTCGCACTGCATATATGTATGGGCAAACTCGCCATGCTTTTGGATCACAAGAGGTCCGAGGAACGGTGCATGCGAGGTGCTTGGCAGGGTCCGGCGATTGATGAGTGTGATATCATGCTAAACGATTCGGAGCACCTCGTCTCCGCGGAAGCGAGATCTAATCATACCGACGTCATCTATCCGCTCCTTCGTCACATTTACACATCACACCCAGGCCTACGCATGCAATCACCACAATACCGACTCATCCTCGGCTATATATGGAACCTACTAGATCAAAGTTGGAGGGCGTTGCTTCCTCAATTAGGCCCGCGTGCACCACCACCTTTCACTACCCGGTCAAGACGTTTGGGATCTAGTGTGGCGTGCGAAACTCATCGCACTAGAAAGACCAGGGCGCGTGCGCCCGTTCTCTGCTGCCCTCTTCGTTTAGAGCTTGCAATTAACTGTTGTGTAGTGCTTTGGCCAGCGCCCAACCTGCGTGCGCTGTTTCGACCATGAACATGCGAAAGCGGTGATGAAACCCGCAGACGGACTTTCCCAGAATAAAATTTGACCGTGTAGGAGATACAAGACCAAATACGAGATCTGTTCAATCTTCTTTGAACTAAAATGGATCCTAGGCACAAGAGATAGTCGGATGGCTTCCCACTGGCCGACATCCCGACCAAGTCTTGCAAGCTCCAAGACAGGCGCGTTCCTTGCGTCCCATTCTGTATTTCGGTGTGCTATGAATGCACAAGTAGGCCGTATCGACGGCGACGATTTCTGAAGCAGTTGCGTCACGTCGCAAGCACACTCGTCATGCACCACAGTTGCTGGCATTGGCACTGTAGTCATCGTTGCATTCTTCGTTCTTTACCTAGGATGAAATTACGTCCACCCAGTTGTCGACCACGGACCTTTCATCCGGGACATGACCTACTGGTGGCCTTGTAAACACGAGATTCTGGTTGCCCTCGTGAGCACCACCAAACCTTGGAAGCCACCTTTCCATCCCCACTAACCTAACTAGGTAATTTCAGTTAGACAGAGCCAAGGCGAATAAACAATGCAGACAAGGCCTGGACGCTACTTTCTTCTTCTCAAACGCTAGGACGCCATTTCAGGATGAGATGCAAGAGCCATCAATATCGACCATCCAAGCTTCGCGAATTGTATTCATGGCCCGTACCTATTCGGGCCGAGACAGGGGTGGGAGACATACCCGCCATCACGGCCACGACATGACATCGCGTCTTCGTCTCAACGAAGTTACCCCGAGTATATGCGATCCGGACGTTGCAGGCTCTGGGCAAAATTGTCATGAAAGATAATAGATGGGCCTGTCACGTGGTGTAACAATTGGCCCCATGCTTACCTGCGCAGTGTGGCTGCGAACCCGTTCACAAAACACTGTCAATCAAGATGCGATCCGTCTCGCATCTTTTTCATCAAGATTTTGGCACACATTTCGACATGGGAAACGTGTACATTGATGGCCAGCCGTTCGCGAGCTTGTATCATGTTCCGCTTTTTGTACGAGGAATCTTGAACGCCATGTACGACCCCCTAGACCATGAGGCTATGGATGATAACACGGCTGCTCCGGGTCCAGGAACGGAGAACAATCTGGTACGCGAAAAAAGATAGTATGAGAGATTACACACTTCTTCCATGAAATTTGTGGCATGAAGAGAATGTTGCTCCTAGATCACTTCAAAAAAAAAACCTGCTATCCAACCGGGCACTGTCCGGACGCTGCTGACCAGGAGCGAGAAACGTTCACGCGGAGGAAGTGGCCATGCCTATCCTCTAGCATGCAGAGGCAAGAGCGGTTTACAGACGAGACTACCGTGATAAGCTATTCGCGCTCCATACTGCCAACGCATGAGCGAACCCATCAGACGACTCCTCTGCCACGTTTCCGAAAGTGCTGGTCTACGACTGTATATCGATGGTCTTTGCATCCAAACGCACGCAGGACTAGATCGAATGGACGCGGACTTCCTTGGTATGACGCTGATGATGCAAAGTAACAAAGTCGTGGCTTGGAATGCGAACAAAAGGACTCCAACGTTTGCACAACCTTGGTTCGATGGCCGAATCAGTTGATATGCTGGCCGAGTGAGAGTCTCCACAGCTTGACCTTGGGTGCACGGATATCCATCCTGAAAGTGGTCCGGATACTTGAGTGGATAAACGGGCTGGTCAAAAGATGGGACATGCTAAGTCGACGAGGGCCATTGGTCTCCCATCCTGCGACAAGCGCGGCCTGTTCTTACGGTGCCGACATACAAAGGGTGTTCAAAGCGGGGTATACATGACTTTGCGGGCCTGCGCTAGAGCCAGATGGTACTATCCTTTCCGACGCCATCTACCATCTGCGGCCGTCGTAGGCAGCATGTCATGTTGCCAAGGAGCACGCGTCATATGTGAAAATATACTCTACCGTGTATATCCTATCCTTCTGACGTGCGCATGGCGGCGCTTCTCGCAGTGACGTGTGGGCGGGTGTGGGAAATTTCTCTTCAGCTAACTCGGCACAACTGGCCTGCCAATCACGTTGTCTGAGCGTCAATCTTGAGAAACGTCAAATAGTGCTTTATCAAGGCCGACGAGCCCTTGGGAGCTTGCGATGGGCGTCTAGAGGTTATCGCTGTACTGTTTGGCTGAACAGCTCCGTCGCCGCCGCCCCGTGTCACCATCAGGTGTTGATGTTGACAGGACCGCCGCTCTATCGTTACTTCTCTGCCGCCAGAGTGCTCCTAGCGGCCTTCCACCTTGGCACTCTCCGGAAGCCGGGCGTGATAATTGCACTGCTCTTGCCCTTTGACTGGTACCGGCCGTCATCACATCTACACCAATCTTCGCTCTGACGCCCTTCCGCCACGACTTCCCTCCCTGGCCTCTGTCTCGATGCGCTTAAAGTTGCATGTCTTCCTCTACCTCGCAGGACCTGCATTCGGAGCGTCCGCCTAGGGTGCCGATTCCGCGGCTTCAGAGAAACCGGGGCGATGAAGCGCCGCGTAGAGCATCCCGACGCACGACTACACCCCGAGTCTCACGAGCCTGTGTGAGGTGTCATGCGCGAAAAGTACGATGTGATGGAGCAGAACCACAATGCCGAAACTGCCTAGGCAACGATGAACCCTGTGTGTACATGGAGACTCGCAGGAACCGCCTCAAGACGTCAGCCACTTCTTCGAGGTAAAGCAAAAGTAAAGGGATGTTGACTGCTAGCAGCGCCACGGAGCACAACCAGGACATGGTTGATCTGCTCAAGGATCTCCAAGCCTCGGTTCCAGAAGAGAAGAAACAGCAAATAGACGATTTGTTGGGCAGAGTACGTCAAAGCTAAAATGGCTTAGGATGAGCTAACAGAAGAAAAGGTCATCCCCAACGTGCCCGTTACCGCGACGGCGTCAGGCTCACGAGATGCACCCGATCCTAGGGAGACACCGGGAGAAGACAACGTGTCCGCTGAAGTTGGCTCAAACGACGAAACGGATATGATTGACGAGGATCTACTCGAGGACGAAGATTCCTTAGCGACCGGATTCGTTGGCAAAAGCTCCGAGGTCCAATGGCTGCGACGTGTGCGACAAGAGACAGAACTTCGTGCCAATACCCCAGCCGTATCTGACGGACCGTATGGACCTCCCGGTGACAGCCCAGAGGCTGTTTTCGGTCGCATGGAGGCCTTCAAACGGCGTAGACAGCAACAGCCCAAGGCTCGAGAACCAGTTCGTTCCTCTACGTTTTACTTGGATGAAGCAACCATTGAGGTGGACTATTCCGCAAATCCATTCGAATTACCCTCGGTGAATATTGCGCAGACGCTCGTCGATAGCTACATGACTACTGTTCAAGATACGTTCCCAGTACTTTCGAAGCCAGATTTCAAAAACCAAGTTTACCAATATTATGAGTCCTTTTCCCAGGGAACGCCTTCCGCCATGCCAGAAACTTGGCTCGCGATATTGAACCTCGTCTTTGCCATTGGAGCAAAACACGCGCAAATGGTGCAGGCCAATTGGCTCGTCGATGGCCAAGACCACTTCGTCTATCATTCTCGTGCACAGATCCTCAGCCTCAGCGGACCTGCTCTAGTCTCCCATCCAGACCCCTTGCAGACTCAGCTAACTGCTCTACTTGCCTTCTACTTCTTGTCTGTCGGCCGCGCCAACAGGTAAAGCTGATTTGTATCTGCTAGTTATTCCCTGCTGATGCCTTACTACGTAGAGCCTGGGTGGTCTTGGGCACCGCTATTCGTTATGCGCACGCTCTCGGTCTACACGTTCGAAACGAAGACCCCACCGCCTCCGTGAACAGAAAGGAAACTCTGGTGCACATGTGGTGGGCACTGTACACTCTCGAGGTAAAACTGAGTGCAATGGTCGGTCGGCCGAATTCTGCCTCAGACTACTTTTGCTCCGTACCTTTGCCGTTGCCCGTGGCAAAGGAACAATTGATCAACGAAAAGGTGCCCTCCCAGTACTTTGAGCAATACAGAGCCGCCGGCATTCACCAAACTAGTGTTGGGATCAGCTCAGCGACCTTTGAGCCTGCAAATGCTGGCTCATTCCTAAAGGCCATTGTCCAGATTAGCATTATTACGCAAAAAGCCATGGTTGAGTTGTATTCTGTTAGAGTGGTTACCCGCTCCTGGAAGCACATGCAAGAGTCGATTGCTAGCTTGCGGGACCAGCTCGAGATGTGGTCATCATGTTTACCCTCAGATTTCCACTTCACCCGACCAAACGTCGATGCCACGCTTGCACGCGAACGCTGCATTCTCAAAATGTATCACATAGGAACAAGAATGCTCATAACCCGACCTTGCTTGTGTAGACTCGATAGTCGCATTCCAAACCAGACAAAGGCTTCAGACGACATGAACAAGACAATGGCCAGGGATTGCGTCGACGCAGCCAAGGCAATGGCAAACATTTTGCCAGATCAAGTGGATCTGCCATACTTGTATCAAACTGGGCCTTGGTGGTCCTTGGTCCATTACCTTATGCAGGCTCTCACAGTCCTGCTACTGGAAATGTCATATGGTACAGTCCATTTTCCTGAAGATGGGAAAGAGGTCACGCCATCAGCAAAGAAGCTAATCAGGTGGCTGAGGGCAATGAAGGAGAATGACCCACTCGCACAGCGTGCGTATACGGTGGCTTTTGAACTACTTCAAAAGGTGGCTTCACAAGGTCATGTCGATATCACAGATTTGCTGGCAGAGGAGTCTGCAAGCCATGGAGCCGCACAAGCGTCCGGGTTTGAAGATCCGTTTGGGCCGAGCAGGCATGATCAGAGCCGCCCATTTTCAACGGGAGAGCACAGTCAGCAAATGGGTCAGGAAGGCCATGGCACGCATCCGGCCATGTTCGGGTTCCCGTCAGGACAAGATGAAGAACATTACCCGCATCCGCCGTTTGCACATGGGGCAGGAACGCATATCTTCAACCCGCCGTTCTCTGGTATTTCATTTGGTAATATGTTTTCAACTGTTCATGACGAGCAGGACTCTGTTCCACCCAACGACGATTTCCTAGAGTAGTTGTGCCTCTGCGTCCTTTTGCCCATGACTACAAGGTGGCGTGGCAGAACATGATACCCACAGATGGTACATTCATGTGCCGTAATAACTTAAGTCCTACTAAAAGTTTTAATTTAATTTTTCTATTATCATCCGAAAGACTTCTCATACCAAGTCTATACAAGTGTCTAGTCTTCGCAATACCCTTGGCAGGCGGTCTTGGCCGTTGTTCGTCGCGGCGATGCCCAGCCCCTGCCCCCGCAATTGTGCGAGGCGCGTCGCCCATCAACAACGACGGTCCTTCACCCATTGTCGCCTCAACAACCAGGATCGCTTATGCAAAAGCTCACCATGCCTTCAAACCATCGCAACGCCTCCGAATCGACGCCCTTGCTGCACCACATCGTCCCTTCGCACGTCCACCCAGATGGTGAGAGCGGCCGAAGCGGGTTTCACCCAGGCCATTTCATCAGGGTCTCATGGCGTAGCGGCTCCAAAGTCGCGAAATACGTGAACCTTTTGTGGCCTCTTGTCCCCGTGGCGATCATTCTGGCAACTGTTACGCCAGGACTTCCTCTCGTCGTCTTTGCCTTTAGCTATGTCGCCATGATCCCAGTAGCTAATCTACTGGGCTTTGCAGGCCAAGAATTTGCACGAAAGATGTCGAAAGTATCTGGGATCCTAATTGAGACATCGTTTGGCTCCATCGTGGAAATCATTTTGTTTCTGGTCCTCATTGTCAAGCACACTTCGGCGGAGGGCTCCTCTGAGCATGGAAATCTCATCCCTGTGATCCAAGCGGCTATCCTTGGATCTATCCTGGCCAATCTGCTGCTCTGCTTGGGTGCATGTTTTTACGTCGGGGGGCTACGACAGGCGAGCCAAAAGTTCCATGCTTCAATCAGCGAGGTGGGAACCGGACTGTTGTGCGTGGCAGGCTTCGGTTTACTTATTCCGAGCGCGTATTACAGTGCACTCAAGGGATCTACTGTCCCGATAGCGATCGGCCACCATACGTTTACGGAGGCGGTTCTCCAACACAACACACTCAAGATCAGCCAGGTGACTTCTGTTCTACTGATAATCGCCTTTGGAATGCAAGTCTACACTAAACGTCATGGCGACATTGGCTGACCACTCGCAGTTTCATCTTTTATAATGCGCGCTCGCAACACTCCATCTTTGACGAGGTCCTAGAGGCCGACGAACACCATGACTTGGACCGTTCCGAGGATCTCGCCAAGCCAAAATTTACCTTTACAGAGTGCATCATCGCGCTGGTCCTTTCCTTGGTACTTGTTACTCTGCTTGCAGTGTTTCTAGTCGAGCGCATCGAAGACGTGGTTGAATCGGGTGTGCCAGATCAGTTCCTTGGCTTGATTCTTCTCCCTCTCGTGGAGAAGGCGGCGGAGCATCTCACTGCCGTCGATGAAGCATGGGATGGCCAGATAGTAAGCCCACCCATCTCCTCGGATGATGCCGCTAATGTTGTCACAGAACTTTGCTCTTTTCCACTGCATCGGCCCTTCTATTCAGACGGCGCTCTTCAACGCGCCTTTGGTCGTCATCGTCGGGTGGATTCTAGGCAAGGGCATGGACCTGAACTTTGAAATCTTCATGATTGTGCTGCTCGTGCTTTCCATTGTCGTGGTGGGCAACTTTCTCCGAGACGGCGAATCCAACTATCTCGAAGGCGCTCTCCTAATTGTAAGTATAGCTGAGAGATGCGTAACGTGGCTAACATTCGGGTAGATCATCTACATCATCATTGCGGTTGCTTCGTGGTACTATCCCAATCCTGACGTGGCGACGTCGAACGGCCTCGCAAACTCGTCGTAGTGGGACTTCGCTGGGATGCGAATCAAGTGTCGATTACCGAGGGCTTATCTGCCGTGGTAGCGGATCCCTTTGTTGTACATTGTACCATGGCGCCTCCCCATAGCATGTGAATAGGCGTGGCTGGAATTGCATGACTCACTACGAGAAGAGCGGTAGATGCCTTTTCATGGAGCTGAAGGCCAATGCCCGCCCAAATAAAAGCCATGTAAAGATCGAAGTGTGCTGCAAGCGACCTCGCCGCTCGACCAAGGACCAGGTCGTGGGATGGGACTGCTTTGGGCCCATGACCACAGATTGCGCTGGCTTGCGTCGTGGGGCCCATGACGCGACATTGCTCACCACTCTCCCTAGTTCGTACTACGGTAGACGCAGGTAAGATAAGAGTACCTGGGTGGATAATGCTCAGTCCCAAGGCCACGGCCGAGGAAGCTTGCTTCGACGTCGGTTGTTATCGCCCTCGCGTGCACGCAATTCCCACTCGACGCTCGCGCCTGCCTAAAGCGAAGCTAGCGCGATGGCGTTCCTGCCTCCGCCGTTGGTCCCATCCGATAATCCGCCATGCCACGAACTTGGCCATGCAGCCATAATATCCATCGTCCGGGACCAAGCTCCAACAAGCATGGGCCGTTCACCGCCAAGCTCGTGGCACTCCTGATCTGCCAGGTACCTGCCCGGAATGCAAGGGATACGAGGCGGGGTTGCTGTGGCGGTGGTTGCAGACCTGCCTTGTACAGCATGGCCAACAGCGATTGCGCGTGTACCGGGTCAGCGCACGCCGCGAGAGGATTCTAGCTTGATTGTCACTGTCAATTGCATCCTTTGACGCGACAACATAAAGTGACGCCGCCGCCGCAGAGCCCAGGTGAAGCAGGAGCCGTGGCCAAGCGTTCTACGTCCAACCTCACCTTCGCTACACGACGCAACACGCTCCATCCACCATGCAGATGCTCGCGTCCGCATTGCTGGCGGCAGCGATGGCTGCGCACGCGGTTGTCGCGTCGCCAATCCAAGCGCGCTCTCCCTACGCCGTCAAGGAGACGCACTTTGCGCCGCGCGAGTGGACCAAGCTTGATCGTGCTAATGGCAGGAAACTGGTTCAATTGCAGATTGGTCTCAAGCAGGGCAACATGGACGGGTTGCTCGAGCATCTTAGTGAGGGTAGGCGACTCTGCGGGAACAACAAACAATCACAATTGCTGACCACTGGCAGTCTCGGACCCGGATCACGCCCGCTATGGGGCCCATCTGAGCGCCGACGAGGTCGACGACATGGTTCGACCCGCCAAAGAGACTTGCGACCAGGTCGAAGACTGGTTGCGTGAGGCCGGCGTCGGCGACGTGAGCTACAACACGGCCAAAGACTGGATCACTGTTCATCTTCCCATTGACTTCGTGGAGAAGCTCCTCGACACCGAGTATCACAATTACAAGCACGAGGACGGTTCCATTGTCTCCCGTACTACTCACTGGTCCCTCCCTCGCCATTTGCATGAGCACATCGACGTCATCCAGCCGACGACTTCCTTCTTCCGTGGAGCAGCCAACGCTGCCACCTATGTGAAGACTCTTGACAAGGTGCACGACGAGGTTGCCAGTCTGAGCTTCGCCAACGGACAGTACGAACCCAGTGACGTCTCAAAGGTGTGCAATGTCAGCTCGGTGACTCCAGAGTGCTTCCAAACGCTCTACAAGACAAAGGGCTACAAGACCAGGGCTTCGGACAAGAACAGCGTTGGCTTCACCAATTATCTAGAGGAAGTGCCCATTCGGCCAGACACCGAGCTATTCTTGAAGAAGTACCGCCCCGAGGCCGTGTCCTCGGCCAAGACCTTCAAAACCTACTCCATCAACGGTGGCCCTCTAAACGATGGACCTTTGACCCCGCAAGAGCTTGAAGACGACAAGAGCCACGAAGCCAACCTTGATGTTCAAGCCATCGCCGGCATCAGCTGGAAGACTCCCATCGTCAGCTACTCGACTGGCGGCAGGCCTCCCTTCATTCCAGACCTTACGGTTGTGGAAAACGACAGCGAGCCGTATCTCGTCTGGGTCAATTGGCTTCTGCAGCAGCGTTCCATTCCCAAAATCATCAGCACCTCGTACGGCGAGCCTGAGCAGACCGTACCTCGCAGCTACGCCGAGCGCGTTTGCAAGCAGTTTGCCGCTGTCGGAGCTCGCGGCACCACCATGTTCTTTTCCTCTGGGGATAGGGGCCTCGGAGGAACCGACAAGTGCTATACCAACGACGGAAAGAACACATACAAGTTCCTTCCCGCTTTCCCTGCGTCCTGCCCGTACGTCACCACCGTCGGCGCGACCAAGAACTTTGAGCCAGAGGAGTCTGCTTACCGTGCTGGCCGTAACCTCTCTGACGGCTACCACGACTTGTACTCTAGTGGCAGTGGCTTTAGCGACTACTTCAAGCAGCCCACTTGGCAAAAGGATGCTGTCCCGCACTATGTGAAGAGCATCGGGGATCTCTACAAAGGCCTGTACAACCCCCGCGGCCGCGGCTACCCTGACTTGGCTGCCCAAGGGCTCTACTTTGCCTATTTCTGGAACGGCACCGAGGGCACCATAAGCGGTACTTCGGCCTCTACACCGCTCACCGCTGGCATTTTCGCTCTCGTCAACGACGCACTCATCGCGTCTGGCAAGCCTACTCTGGGCTACCTCAACCCGTGGCTATACAAGAAGGGCTACAAGGGGCTTACTGACATCACTATTGGGTTTAGCTACGGCTGCAACGTTCAAGGATTCCCAGTGACCAAGGGCTGGGATCCGATTACGGGTTTCGGTACACCCATCTTCCCAGAGCTTGTCAAGCTTGCTGGAGGACATATAGGCTACTAGAGTTTGGTGTTGGACATGGACAGATACCACCTAATTCCAATTAATAATGTTCGCTCCTACTCTGCATTACCTGCCTTGGGGTGACTCGGATAATGAAATTTTACATGCAGAATATTATAGTCCATATTTGGGAGTGAGCGCACGTCCTCAGATGTAAATTTCTCGATTGGCATTATTTGCCCGCGAGTAATTCCCAGCAGTCCGACAGTACTGTCATTTACCCTCATGCATACTATGTAGTTCTCTCCGAGATCTTTGCCCACGGATTGCATCCCACGCTCATGAAGATCGTCAGGATCAGTGCCTAGAGAAAGTGTTTGTGGTATTTGTGGGGGTATAAATGGTCTGCCTTCACCGTGAGCAAAAGTCTTCAAGTCACGCCACATGCCGGACAAGCTCCAAAGCCAGTCGACTCTAAATCGCAGGAGGAGTCGGAAATGTTGAACAGCCGTTGTACTACACCACAGGGGAAATTCTACGATCGGCAGGGTCCCTCCCGCGGCCCCACACGTTTGACATTTGTGACATCTCGGACGTTTACACGGCTCTTCCAGCACCACCACTCCGCATCTGGGAAGTTCGTGGATGATCTTCAACGCCAAATCGCGTGCGACCTTCCGCGCATCGTTCCCGAAGTAGACTTGCGCATGTCTATTTCTCGACTGGGAAGTTTCACGAGGAAGCGCAGCATCATGCGTGCCGAAGATGCCTGATCATCTCTCTCGCGATGCTGAAAATGGATGATGAATTCCAGGAGAAGAAATCGAGGCACCGAAGTAAGGCCCTCCCATGGTTTTCTTAGTCTTCATGCTGGTATAAAGAATGGTGCTGTTCGCCACGTTCTGTTTCCTGCATCCTCTCATTCACCTTGGTTTCTCATCGTCAGACTCGCATTCTTTACTCTTATTCAGTATACTGCTGTGCAGAACCTTTCTTCACTCATTCAATCTTTACACATACACTGTGACGACTCATAATCTTTTACACGTTGTCAAGATGAGGTTCTCCGTCTCTGCGGCTGCCCTCCTCGTGGTCGTCCCTCTCGTTGCGGGTGCGCCTTTCGTACGTCTCTTCTTATGATCTATCATATTACCAATATTAACACTTTGAAGGAAGCCAAACGTCAGGTCGACCAGCTTCTTCAAGGTGCGACCGGCACAGCTGGCGATGTTGTTGGTGGAGTCACTGGCGCAGCAGGCGATATTGTCGGCGGAGCTGGCAACACAGCGGGCAGTGCCCTTGGGGGCGTAACAGATGCAGCTGGCGGTGTTGTCGATGGGATTACGGGCACTGCTGGCGAAGCCGTTGGAGACGTCACTGGTGCTGTGGGTAACCTTGTTGGAGGTCTCACTGGCACCGCCGGTGATGCTGCCAATGATGTAGGCAACGCTGCAGGGTCGGCGACTCAAGGAGCTGGTGGTCTTCTCAGTGGCTTGACAGTCAGTTGTCCTTTATGTTTAACGTGACATGACTCGTACTGATAGACGTGTGTAGGGGTCACTCAGCGGGTCTGATGCGAACGCTGGCTCAGCGCAAGGCAATGGTGCAGCCGCTGGTGCAGGTGCTGCATCGAATGCAAGCGCAATCGCTTAAAGCTTCTCGGGCGTAACACGAGATAAGCCAACACGCAAGAATAGATCCAAGAACAGTCTCTTTTCACTTCGCTAGAATGGTACAGTACCAAAGTTTATCGCTTTCCGATCAAAGCGGGATTCTAGCGGCGCGACTTGTGGGTAAACGTTCGTTGGAAATAGCATAAATGCCACTTCTGCAGATAGTTCCTGCTTGTATAATGAACAAGTTCGTCTTTCTCAATTCGGCTGGAACTCCCCAACACACCTGCGTCTCTCCTTATGTATAAACATGTGACCAACTCACTTTGAGAAACGTACGGATTAATTAACACTATGCCTGAGAGAGTTACGGTATCGTAGCCATAAAATATTGGTCTAGTTACCTGGAAGAACAAGGCGAAGGAGCCTTGTGATTCCTAGAAATCTGGTTCTAATTGTTTTCTGATCTAAAAATATAGTATGCCTAGCAATCCCACTTCTTCTTAGACGAACCTACTGATTTTCAGAACCTTGGAAGCGTAGCCGCCACGTGACCATGGAGAGGATATGCACGGTTTCTTCCGCCTTTGTCCACATAAGGGGGTCAGTATAGGTCAAGCAAATAACGACAACGACGCCTCTGTACCCGAGGGGGAGATTTGATGCATTATCGGTGCGACGCAACATGGAGAATAAGGTTGTGGAGCCAGAGCGGAAGAGAAATAGTTTCTAATGTCAGTCATCTCGTCTCTATATTTGCGAGCCTACTTTTCGGTTATTAGAGCCTACTTCGGAAGATCACACCTACAAATCGTTCTATCTGAGAACCTATATCAGACGCAAGATCAACATGGGGAAGTCTACGGACGCCGACGGGGCTCACAGGTGGCTGGTATGTACATGCAGCGGGAGGAATCGGAGACGGAGGGTAATAAAGCCTGGAACCTCACCTGAAAACGAGCACTATCAGCTACAATATGTTGTTTGAGGCAAGAGTATTACATTAGGGAACAAAGCTGCGTTGAGTGGACTTCGAGGGCACTTCCTTGGCGGCGCTTACTTTTACTTGAGGCCGCGCACCAGTTCTGGTTAGCACAAATATGGACCCAAGACTTATATATTGAGCCGGATCCCGAGGATTCCAGCTGAGCGAACTATAAGACGATACACGTCCAAGATTGATCTCGTCGGTGTAAGCCTGGCCTCGGCAATGGCCAGTAGGTAGTCATCATGACTCATTTGGCATCATAGTAAGCCATTTCGAGCCATAGGGAAATATACCGCTGTATTAACCTTTACCATTCATCGACCACCGGTCTACATACGCCCTACTATATAATGTTCTTCCTCATCCTTCGTAATACATATGCATTCCATCCGCTTCTTTTTTGCTATACCCAGCCTGACTTGTCCTTCACATCAAGATTCGGTCTTCGGTGGTTCAATACCAATATAAACGAGCTATGGACATTCATGACTGTGCAATGCAAGTGTCCCGTATCACTTCATTCTGAACGCTGGGCATAATGATGAGAAGTTGATATTCACTCGCCGTTCCGAGTTTATGATGCGGAATTGCCTATGGCATGCTTTATCGCGGCTTCTGATATTGCTTTGAGCTTCAGCATTCAATTTTTCAAGTGTTCTTTTGGGGCCCTGGATGGCTAATTTTCGAAAGGCACACCCAATCAGCCTTGCTCAGAGGATGAGCCGGTAGTCAGAAGAACTATCGAATTGGACAAGTACTCTATCGCGATTATTGTTAAGGTTCGTTCAAGAGAGAAGATGTCAAACTCCCTGTACTAATTAGACAGTCCAACTGCGGCCACTAAGAAAGCGACGAACTCTCCAATGGTAGGATTGTTGTAAAAGTCCTGTGTGCAAATTTGCACACCCAACTCATCCTTTATCCGAGACATGAGTTCCACGAGCACTAGCGAATCGACACCTAGTTCGGCGAAAGGTACATCATCTTTCAGTACTTCTGCAGGAAAATCCACTGCATCGCCAATGATACCAAGGCTTCGAGACGCCACTTCGACCTCGTCAAAGGCAACACTTGAAGTCAGTGAAGTTTGTTGCTCCGCGGTTTCAGTGTCGTAACTGATTCCACGGATGAAGATGCTGGTGGGATGACCTCCTCCAGTGCTGAAATTCCACGTGCTTGATCGTTGGCACATGTAGATAACGCGTCCACTAATGTCTGTGTCCAGATAGAAGAGATTAAGGCTGACCTGGCAAGGGCCACTTTCTTTGCCATGGACATAACAGTGCAATTTGGCCTCCATTCGGGTTTTGCTGTCATCTCTACTTATGCTCTCCGTGACAGTATGCAGTGGCAATGTGATCCGCAGTCCAAGATTCGTCATATAAAAGGCAGAACGAGTACATTCAGCCTCTCGTGCAAGCGAACTTTCCTGGAGGAGCCTCACCACATTCCCTGAATTCTGGAAACAATCTGGGGAGTCGGCCAGCAATCGGTAGGAGGACATTCCTGAGTAGTGCCACGCAAAGATACTTTGGTCAGGCGTGCTGCGGAAAATTTCTTCCTGAAGCCTCGTGAAAGCCTTTTCCAAGCCTTCACCGTACAGAATGGGCATGTTAATATCGAATAAACCCATCAAACTATACGCACGATCCTCAGGCCTGGTCGTCGTTCTTTGGGACGCCCAGAACATACGCTGTGACACACACGCTTGCTCAAGTCTTTTGCCGCCCGAAATAAATTCTTTCGGGATCCTTGTTATCAGCGATATCCATTGCGTAAGCTCGTGATGGTTCAAAGGTGTCGGGTCGTCAACGTATGCATTACAAAGATGGTCGTAGGAGTGGGCGCCTATGTATCCGAGCACTGTCCAGTCCTGTGCGAGGAACAGCAGGTCCCGAGGAGCAAGCAACTCTTGAAGAGTCCATCCCCGCGTGAACCATCTACTTTTTGCGACCACATCGAAGTCTTCGTTGCCGCCAGGAACGTCGGAAAGGTAAACATAACAGATGCGGGAACACTGATACCACTTGAACATGGAATTTATAGCTTCGGACAGCTCCGCACTACTCCGCTTGTCGATGCAGCAAGAGTCTATCCATACCCAAGCGTAACCATCCGCTTTCGCGCGAGCGCAGCATCCATCAATCTTGGAGAAGCCCGTCTTTTGCTTAGCGAGGTCTCGGTACTTTGCCTTCCTCATCTCCGCGAAAGGTATCTCGTCCGAGGCCCATGTATGAGAGAGGATTGCATAAGGTGGGTTGGTGCCGATGAATTCCTTCAGCTCGAAAGTGTCAACATGGAGAAGCCACATGTCGCGAGAAGAGGAAGATGGCACAAGTATTGTGATAGTTGAAACGTTATGCAGCCTGATAAGGCGTAAATTGAACGTAATCGACGTCCGGGAAATCGGCTGCTTTGCAGTTAGGTCCGCGTACACGACGTCAAGCGACAAGCGGGCGGTGTTGGCGGATGGTGCTTCCTACCTCGTACCCTGCAGGAACCATAGATCGTACTAGCCTAGCGTACATAGGCGGCTTCCGCCACCCTAGCTGACCATCAATCTTTTACTCAATTTCTGGCAGGCGCTTCGCCAAACATTAATCTCTGGTGTGCGGCCACGGACACAGCATCTGTATCGGAGCGTACGCATGTACAACATTCCAAGACGAGGTACATGATCAGGCTAATCGGCCTTTGCATTGCCTATCTTACATTCAACAGAGGACTCAAGCTTCCTCCACCGCGAGCCTAGCGATCCTTTCAAGGCCACATGATACCCCGCTTATTTAAATCCATGCCCGTCAGATCAGTATACACATCCAACGGGTACTGCTCAGCCTTCAGCTCCCTCCTCCATGCATGCATCCTCTTACTCAGCGCCCGATCTTCGACCGTCAACTCCCTCTTCACCTTGCGCGTACCTGTACTGTACCCATCGAGACTGCCCGCAACGCAGTGACTTTCGCCGCCAAATGCAGAGTCAGCGACCGCCTTCCAGATAGCCGTCACGTCGATAGTCATCGCCTTGGTGTACAGAATGCGGCAGTCCGCGGGCTCGTACACAAATTGGAGCGGCGTCTCCGTCTCGTCGGTATCACGGATGCCGTCGCGGAAATTAACGTTGACGCTGGTTCCGACCGCCTGTCGCTCAAAGACGACGTTGTCCCAGTAGTCGCCGAGCTCGGTGGCGTTGAGCTTGGCTGCTTCTTCCTCCGAAGAAGTGAGGTTGGTGATGGCGAGCTGAGCGAGGTACTGGATGTAGCTCCAAGGATCGTTGTTCGTGCCCTTGACGCCGCCAATGGCCTGCGTGATGCCTTCCTTCGCGCGGCCGCCGAGAGAGATGTACTTTATGCCCTCGCGCTGGCGCATTAGCTCTGAGAAGATGGTGCAGGTGGACGCGCAGTAGCCGTCTGTCACGACAACAATGTCTTCGTTGGCGAATGGCTGCGGGGCAGATGAGTAGTTTGCGAGCTCGCCGTAACCATGAACCCAGATGCCAGCGGAGTTGTAAGGCGTGAGCACATCGGATAGGTTCCAGTGAAACAGATTGGAGTAGTTGTCGCCGTGGTGTTCAAAGGGGCCAAATTTAGCTTCCCAGCTCGGGAAGTTCTCGTCGCTCGCGTTGAGGTCGGATTGGTAGTTGAAGGGAGAAGCGATAACATCGTATTCGAGGGCATACAGGGTCTCGTTTGCACTTTCATCAACTAGCTCACGAGGTATGCTGTCTGCGAGGCGAGAGTGGTATTCCGATAGAAGCTTTGTGCTTTCATGGGCACGGTATCGATCGAAAGCAGCGTGACCAATGCCCTTGGGAAACAATTGCTTGTATAGGTCATATCCTTGAAGGATCGTGCCGCCGCCGTTGGCAGACACGTCGATGACGAGCTTCGTCTTTCCGGCTGCCTTTGCCGCTACAATGAACTTCTCAGTGACTTGCTGGAAGTCGATCTCAGCTGTGTCGATACCCACGAACGAGGGGACTGAGAGCACGGCAATGTCAGAATATTCGTCTTCCAAAAAGTATCCGCCAATCAGGTTGTGCTGTTCCCTGTAGATTGGTGGTGGATAGCCTGGCGCGGGGATCGAGGTCGTAGTTGCCGAAGGCATCGCGGATGCTGTCGAGGTCGCAACACTAGAGTTGGAAGGCAAGTCTGATGTGGTGGAAGTTCCTTGGCTGGTAAAGTATTTCTGGTATAAGCTCTCCCCATCAGTAACGCCTTCGAGTGTCACGAGGACACGCGCAACATTGGTATATGTGACGGTAGTCCCGTTTTCAAACTCTAGCTCGGTCTCTGGGCCTGGATATACCTGCTATATGTCAGTTTTCCCATTTGAGAAGATTTTTGCGTATGCATATGCGGCGGTTCTGCGAAGGTACACGATGCAATCCTCGAGATCTGATATGAGAACTTTGAAGGCCAAAACATACCCATTTCCCGCGCCCACTTCCAGCAAAGGTTCCAATACCTGATCCAGTGGGCCCCAGAGACACCGAGGCAAGCTCATAAAAGACGTTGTTGTACAAGGCATCGCGGTCCTGCAGAGAGCCTCGCTGTGACCAAGCCTCGAGGAACTCGGTAGCTTCCTGGCCATTGATCTTGGTAATGACAGAAGGCTTGAAAGTGGCGTTGCCGTAAGACTCAGCCAGAACATCGGCGTAAACGTAGGGCTTCGGCAGCTCCTTGCCATCAGCCGACACCGAAACGAGAGGAACCGGACGTGCCCAATTGAAGATTGTGCCCACTACATCCGGAACATATACGAAATGGCCGTCGTGTGTCTGTTGGAGCAGAGTATATAGGTCGAATCCAAACTGGTATTGTGAGCTTTTGAATTACTGCAGAACTTGAAGCGGATATTGACCTCAAACTCATTCTTGTATTCCTCGCTCTCAACCTTGGACTTGATCTTCTCTAAGCCACCCCAGACGTCAATGGCAGGCTGAATCTTCTCTACATACTCTGCAGGGGGATCCTTTAGGTACGCCGTGGTCGATTGCCATCTGAAGTACGGCACGACGCCTTCAAGCAGATGCAAAGCCTCATCCTTGTGAAGTGGCACACTGGTGATGCAATCGTACGCCAACTTCGCATCGACAGAAGGTGTGGACGTCGCAGGCTGAGAGGCAACGGATGCTGCAACCTCAGCGCAAGCCGTCGACGAGTTCTGCCTGGCCTGAAGTTGCAAAGGCGAGGCCACGACAATGGAAACCAAGGAGGCCGCTGCGAGGGCACGAGAAAGGACCATCGTGGCGAATTGGACAGAGTGCACCAACGGTGGGGAAGCTCATAGAGGAGGAATTCGCCATTATATAGCTCTTCCTCGGCCCCTGCACGATTCCAGGTTCCGCAGACCAAGACGCACGCACGATTCTGTCATATCTTGTCGGTTTCGATCGTAGCTCTGCATGTTCTCCGGTGCAACTGAAGCTACCCTTGTCGACGCCGGATCGGGGCGAATCAACGGCCGCCGCTTGATAGCATTAGGCTCAGGTTCCTGGTGCTCACACCTGCCCGAATAGGAAGCTGTGAGACCACGACTCGCGATACTCGGGCCCGTGTAGGGTTGGAGCATCGCGTGGCAATTGAGCAAAGTGTTGGAGCCTGACATGCATGGAAAACGTAAAGAAGAGCGGGTAAGTTCGCTAGGTAGGTGAGATCGGGTCTGAATTGGTCGTGAAATCTGCATTTGTCACACATGACATGGATGTAGTATTAAGCTTACACGGGAAAGGCGTACGGACGGTAGGCTAAAACAATGATTCGGCAGATTGCCTCGTGAACTTGACTGTTAGTGCCAGCATGGTGTACCGGCCGTCCTCGTAAAAGCTCTAGGTCGCGGGAACGTTATCGCAATCGACGGCTTGGTTTTCGCCTTCGCGGTGGGTCGTGCAGCACTTCCGATCGTCCTGCTAGCTTCCACAATAGCATTGGTGCCATTTTCGCGATGACGAACTTGAGAACCGACCTCAGCGCGGGGACTTGTCCTCGGCGCTGCAGCAAAGCCGTGGCAATCCTTGAATGGAAGCAGTAGGGGTGGTTTTGCATGGGCAATGTCGCGATGACTGCGTTGAGGATACTCATTGTTGAGGCCAAAGTAATGAGTCCAAGGGTGCACTTTCAAGGTTTCCGGTTGCTCACGTGGACAGTGCAAGCTTCCATCCTTCACGGCTTCACACCATCTCCAGTATAGATAGCTATGAACTTCGGCCATGTAATCCAAGTCTTCCGTCTGGTGCTTCGTTCTAGCACGCACATACGTCATTCCTTTTTATTCAATGCAATTTGGGAATGCTTCATCGTCTGACAAGCTCACAGATCTCCTGCAACGCGCTTTGGAATTTCTAATGGTATATATACATAAAGAAGCGGAGCGCCGCGCATCAAGCGAAGCTACCTGATCGAGCAGACGGAAGTCCTTTCGTTCGGAGAGCGAAGCACCAGCAATCTCAGGATCTCTACTCCTGCTTGTGGTGACGCTGCCACCAAGGCTGCGCATCCTCGTCATCATCCTCGTCCTCGTCTTCTTCTTCTTCTTCGTCCTCGTCCTCGTCCTCGCCATCTTCATTTTCCTCATCTTCGCCGTCTTCTTCGTCTTCTTCGTCTTCCTCCTCATCACCAGCCCCGGCACTGGGCTCGGGCGTAGCCTCCGAGCTCGCAGCAGACGACGATGGCTTCACCGTGTCGCTTCCACTCGGCGTGACTGCAGGGGCTGCAGGAAGACTTGGCGTCTGCGCCGGCACCGGAACGGACGTGTTCTCCACGACAGCAGAATTTGCTTCCGCGGATGCAGACGTCGAAGGGGTCGGTGAGGAGGATGCTCCCACACTGGCATCGCACGCACCGCCCAACGCATTCAGAGCCTGATCCTCGTTCTTGATTAGAATAGACAGATCAACACCAGCAGGGCTGGTGCACGCGTCGCCGCCGTACTCGATGTTGAAGACGGCCTTGTTAGCAGCCGTCAGCGGCTTGTACCGGTCACACTCGTTGTACTCGTGGCACTGCTCGTTAACAGCGAACTGAATGACATCGATGACGTCGGGTATAAGGTCGAGCGCGTTCTTGAGGCCGATGGCGAGGTTGTTGGCTGCGGCTGTGGAGGCAAGGAACTTGACATAGTCGGCGTAGGCAGACTGATCGAGGCCGAAGCCGTCTTGGTTGTCGTTCTGAGGGGGCTTTTAGCGGTGGTCTTGTACAGATGATACTTTGAGGGAGCGAGAACTTACAAATCCATCTACGTTGTCGGGATCGACGGCTGTGCAGCCCTTCTGCGCCGCAAGCTCGATCCTCGTCTTCATAATGCTCCGAACATTCTCACTCTGGACGTTGACCCAGTTCTCGCCTTCCCAACCATCCAAACCTTGCCCATAGTCGTCCGACTTGAATTGGTCGGCATCCTCGCGCCAGTCCTCACGAGATCCGGCGCTGAAGTAGCAGATGACTTGCTTATCCTGGTTCTTCAAAGCACTGATGGTCGACGCCTCGTTGTCGAAAAGATCAATGTCGATGGCAGTTACGCCCGCACTCTCGGTGCCGGCAAGATCGTCAAGGTTGGTGTCCCCCTTGTTCAAGATGATATCCCATGAAGTTCCGGCGGGGAAAGAAGCGACATCGCGACGCTGAGGGTGAGGATGGCCAGCTGCGAGACTGACAGATCCTCCGAGGGCGACGGCCAAAGCAGGAAGCATGATGCTAGCTCTTATCCAAGTCAAGTGTAATGTATAAATGAATGACAATGTAGACTCAACTCTACTCAAGAACGAATGTAAGTAAGGAATGAGCGACACGACGAAAGAGAATCTGCTAGAGTATGGTACAGCGCAGATCCATCCGAGACATCGGCACTTACACTCTATATACCTCCGCCGGACTAGACAAAAGTCCGCAAATCCAAAGTAAAATCACCTTATGTCAGCGTGCACTTGCAAGTGGTCTCCGTGGCGCAGTGCAACCTGCCTACCCCAAGCTCAACTCCGAGCAGCGCGGGTAATCGTTTCGTCCTTCGCTTCCCCATCAAGAAAGAGGCCACACGAAAACCCTTCCCGCATTCACCAATACCTTTTCCCTCAAAAGCGCTCTATTTGGAGACGCATTTCCTCGAAAGAGCCGTGGACAAAACGCAAATATCATCCTCTGCTGTATTTAAAAGTCCGATGGCGTACGCTAATTCCCCGCCCCCAATTCGTGGGATCCCCGACGCCCATCCCCAATCTCACATCTGTTTGTACAACCACGCACTTTACAGGAGCGCGTGTTCGAGCATCAGATAAACAGGCTCACGTAACGCCTTCCCTATTGTGAGCGCTTTCCCAATGTGCCGGCAGGCCACGAAAGCGCGCGAGAATGCACGATAGATGGAGATGTGGTGATTGATGGTGGTTGGCATGCGCGTCCGTGCCCAAACGGCGCCCTGCCAATTTGCCGTCGTTTCAAACATAATGCGCGGAGCACGTGGCGAGCACCGTTCCAAGGTTGTATGTAATGCCAAGTTTGACCCATCAATATCAGTGCCTGAGTGACATCGTAGCGCAAATTTGCGAATCCATCGACGGAAGCCATAAGCCAAGAGCGAAGCCAAGTTTTGCAAAAATTACTTGCATTTATCATTATTCTAGAATTCCGTTCAAGACGTTAAGACGTCCGTCGCCCATGTAAACCCAGTCCGACTTATTCTCCGAGTATTTACACATGTGCTCGTACATATAGGAGAACGTGGAGCAGACTGCTGAGCTGAGATCAGCTAAAGACCATTATATTACTACCCTTCAAACAAGAGTGCAGGTCCTCCGCGCGATGCAATACACCAGGCTCCAAGAATATACTAGAAGGTGAAGTAATAAAAGCGCGAAGAGATATTGGTAAAGGTCCAGAACCTTACGAGACCTGGACAAACTGTCCGATAGAAGGAACACCGTCAACAAGAATGTACACGACGTACGGACCGGCAGGAGCGACCTTCTTGTTGGGCGGCAAGGTGACATTGATCTTCTGGTTCTTCTGTCCTGGCTTGAAGTTCTGGACGTCGAGGAACAAGTTGCGGTGACCCATGTGCACAGAATGCGTGACGAAACCGCCATAGTACAGAGATACCTTGACTTCCTTGGCGTTGGGAGGCGCATAGAAACTAATCTCGAGGGTACCTCCGTTGGCCTTTAGGTTCTTAGTCTTGAGCGCAACCCCGGACGGGCGGGTAGGGTTACCCTGAAGGTAGGGTGGCGTGTAGATTTCGTTGCGGAACTCGGTTACAAAGGGGTTCTGCGTAGAGGGCGTAAGGATGGGCTGCTCCACGGGGTTGGAACCAGAAATGAGGAGGGTACCGTCGAGCAGGAGGAGGGCGACGCTGTGGTAGAGGCGGGCAATGTCAGACTTGGGGCCAGTTGTGAATCGCTTGCCAACGGGCTGAGCCGGGTCGTAGATCAAGACCTCGAGAGCGGGCGAGCGGGCAACACCGAAACCTTGAGCACCCTCCTGAGCACCATTGACCCAGACGACAGTGCCGTCAGGGAGCAGAGTACCTTCAACCATGCCACGGCCCTCGGGCATGGCCTCCATCTCCCATGAAGGGTTCTGTGCCATGGGGTTGATGCGACCGCAAGAAGCCTCGCCAGGGGCGCTAATGTCCTGGTAGGGTCCACCACCGCAAATGACAACGTCGTTGCTCCAGTTGTTCTGACTGGAAAGAGACAAAAGGACTGAACCACCGGTGTTGGGGTAGGTACGGTAGCCGCCGGGCAAGTCGGGGAGAGTGCGTACGACGTTTCCGCCACCGACGTTGAAAATCTCGGCAGACTTGGAGACGAAGACGAAAAGGTTCCCGTCGTTGAGCAAATGCATAAAGGGATACATGTAGTAGGGCTGGTTCTTGGAAAGGATCTCCATGTTGGTGCTCTTGACTTTCGAAGTACCATCCGCGTTCAGGATCTCGTAAGTAGGATTGTTATTCTCGGGCTTTGAGGGGTCGAGACCGTTCAAACTTCCAGAGGCGACGAAAATGGTGTCGTCGGGCATGATCTGGACAGATGCGTACCAACGAGCCGTGTCGAGCGAATTTCCAGGTTCAGACCATGCCTGGCCGTCAAGGGAAGCATCGGAAGCGGAGCGCTTGAGGTAGCGGATACCCTTGAATCCGTCACCAACGGTGGGGTCAATAAAGTCAAGAGGAGCATTGCCACCCAGGGAAACAAAACGACCATCGGCCAAGAAAATACCACCAGAGCAAAAAGCATTCGTCTTGTAGGCAAGGGGAGTGAGCTTTTGCGTTTTCGGGTCATACTCGGAAGAGTAGGCATATTGTCCGTTACCGAGCTTCAATTCAGTATAGTTTTCAACCTTGTCCAGGAAGACGACCTTGCCGTTCGGCATCAGCCCAGCGTGCATAGCGGGAACACCGGAGCGACCCTGCTTAACCAGGGTACCAGGCTTCTGGGCCGCAGGAGCCGGGCTGGCTTTGGGAGCAGGGACGACAGGACCGTTGGTGCAAGGGCCCGATTGGCATCCCTCACCGCAGTGCGACGTGGTGTTACCACAGTAGCCGTACATGGAGCAGCAAGAACCCTGAGCCCAGTTTCCGCAGACAGTGTTACCAAAGGTGGCGCCGCAGCTGCCATCGGTGGTAGTCTTGCCAGTGGGCTGGGCATCAGCAGAGGTCGAAGGCTTTCCAAGTACAGGTTCGCCAGAGGTCGTGCTAGATGGGGGTCGCGTGGCCGAAGCACTCTGAACCGGAGCGGAGGAGGTAGAGGTACCGTCCGTGCAACCGTTCTGGCAGCCGTTGGCAACCAAGCAGTGACCATCAGTGGAACCGCAGTATCTACATACTGTAAGCATGGTGCCTCTGGAGAACAACGGATCAACCTAGATCAACATACCCATACGACGAGCAGCAGCCTCCGTACGCTCCCTTGGGATCGCAGGTGGCATCCCCAAAGTCTTTTCCACAACGGCCATCATCTCGAGGAGCGGCTCCAGAAGCAGACTTGGAAACTACAGGGGTAGCGGGAGTGGTATTGCTCGTGCATTTGCCCGAGAGACAGCCATCGCCGCAGTGAGCCGCAGTACTTCCACACTGTTCACCTTAGTTACGGATGACCAAACGCAGACACTGAAAGGACATACCCATCCGTACTGGCTACAGCACGCGCCGTCGTATGTTGTGCTATTCGGGTCGCACAAAAGGTTGTTATGCGCCGGACCGCACTGACCGTCCGTAGAGTACTTTTGGTTCTGCCTCTTCGCGGGAGCACGGCCGACGAAAGACCGCGATACCTGTTGCAGGTTGTTCTCGTTGTATGTGCAGCTAGGGGTAATTAGTCATGGTCCTACAGAATCAGTAGGCCTACTTACACATCGCCTTCAGCGCAATGCTGTCCTGTCAAGCACTGGGTGTCGTCATGCTGAGTAAATGTGCAGCTTGGGTTGACCCAGTGGAAATTGATATTGGCGGTCGCCAGGCTGGCGAAAGCGCCTACGGTCAAAAGAGTGGCCCTCATGGTGTGTGTAACCTTTGAACGCGTGAGCAGGTAAAGTATGATGCATCCAAAAGAATTCCAAGAGGGCCGAGAGGTGCTCATGTGTAGGACGAAAGGGGTGGCGGGATAATAAAGATGATGCCAATAAGAGGTTGGCGATGCATGTGCTGGTGGCAGGACAACATGAAAACGGGCGAAGCGAAGCGAGGCGGAGGTGCAGCCGCAGCTGAACGGTTGCACCGCGTGTGGTCTTTACAAGTATATTTGTGCAGTTGCTATCGCAACCACATGCATGCGGTAGGTGCCACTTCGGGATGTGGTTGCAGTATGAGAGACATTGGAAGACATGCTCACCTGGTCTGAAGAGGCAGAACCCGCCGACCTTCAAGATGTGATATTTGAAGGACGTGTATGGCCGGCGAACGGTGGACCAATATATTAGATTTTCGACCCCGCAGCGAGGGACGAGTATGATACTACGAGGAACACTCGTCCGGTAAATAACGAGAGACGAGATCAAAAGAGTGTGGTTGCTAAGGCAAGGAAACGAGGGACTGCCTACAGCGGCAGGAGGTGAGGGAAAAAACAAGCGGCGAGGGATCCCTCATGTATACAAAGCAACGGAAGCCATTTGGTGCATCTCCCTAGACCGGCGTTCACGAAAAGACGGTAGTGTCGTGGCAGCGGGCCAATGACGGCGGCAAAGCGGCGCCCAGCGCGAGTTTCGACTCGCTGGCGGCGTCCCGTCGCCTAGCCGCCACGATCTCCACAGGGACCCGGGCTGTCCTCTGTCTATTTCAGGAGGCTGTGCCGGTAGCGGGTGGGGCAGGGACACATGGCCATGTTTCTGTATCATCGCAAACACGAGCACTACCCGCGCCGGCACGCTGATCAGGCAGCAGGGCGGACAAGAGTGGCATGTTGAGGGTAGCTACCATGGCCGGCGCACGCCACTGCGGATGGCTCTTATGACAGCGAGCCGACTGGTGTCCGTCTCTGGGGATTCGACGCGGAAAAGCTTGAGACGGCAGTCAAGCATCGCCGAGCAGAGGCGCGAGATCGATCGTCCAAGCCAGCCGAGCCGTCCCTGAAGAAGGTCAAACGGCCCCTGACCCCGCCTTGACTTTTGTATGGTGTATTCACTAGACGCCAGGAACAGGACTAGCGCAGCCGGGCTGCCGAGGACTGCAGTGTGCATCTCGTACACGAACACACATGGGAAATTCGATGCCTAGGTACCGTCCGTCGGCCATAGCAACAGCCATCCGCTTGCTCTTACACAGGATCGCCCAGATGGCATTGCGCCCATGGAAATGCCCAGCTCAGACAGATGCATGGCCCAGAGCGAAGCTCATTAGCCGCACGCCTACCGCATCTAGCTTCGCGCTTCAGGAGCCTGGTCTCCTCGCTCTGCCGCATCTTCCGCGTTTGGAGGCAACCTTCATGGGTGGGGACATTCGATAGAGCCCAATTGAGCAAAGCATTGTATCGATTTCGGTTTCACGGCCTCGTTTATGGAGTAGCAATCCTGATCTTATCGTCGCTTGCGACCGAAACCATCCACTTCGTCATGCGCAAACGATAAGCTAGACTGTACTCCACTCCAACGGCGTGCATTTGCTACCTTCTAGCTCATGCCAAAGCACCCCCGAGCATGCGCTGGCAGGCTCGCCCGTGTGGGGCTTCTCGCACAGGCAGGACACATGGTGAGCTCTCTGCTTTGGAGAACCACCTCGAAGACATTGCACTTGTTGCCTCCGCTCAACGCCGGATCGCCAAAGCGAGATGCCTTCCCAACCTCGGCCAGCGCGATAACCATCGTCTCTCCTGTGCTCGCATCACGAGCGTACACCATCCTGCCTTCATCTGCGCTCTTCACCATCGTCGGAGCGTTGCGAGGAGCGAGCACCTCCATGGGCGAAACCGCCGCCTTAGCACTATCAACGCCGTTTGCGCCGCCGCTCACGTCGGTGGTGGGGTTCTCCATTGGCTTGCTTTTAACTTTGTTGCTGGATGCGCCGCCGGTCGTCTTGGGTTTTGGTCCGGCCCTGGGGCAAATGAGCTTGTCCTGAGGAGAAGCACTGCCGACTTGTAGCGGCACAACGGACGGATGAAGCGGATTCAAAGGGTTGTTTGGGTCAGCGACTGCCCGATCGAAGCTGCACGAAGAGTATTTGCTGAAGAAACTGTCGCCGCATTTCCACTAGTAAATGTCAACAGAGTTACTGACAGTCATGGTAAATTTGGTTACTCACTATGTGCAGCATCCAGTGACACATGGTGGCTGTCTTTTCGTTCACTGAGCAAGACCTGGCTCAACCTCATTTTTTTCCATCGCTATCCTCTCACCGCCTCTCGTATCCACTTGTAAAGTTTGACACTGTAAGGTACGCTGCTGGTCGCCGCCTCGCCTTGAAACAGACAAACAACAACGGCCCGCAGGTGCACGCATTTCGGTGAGGTGCTGCATCTGCAACGGCGAAGCCACTGCAATACATCCAAGACTCGTCGACAGTACACTTCCGCGGGAAACATACACGAAGATGAGTCAGTGACATAGTGTCATGCTAAAACTCTCCAGGTATCCCACCAGCAGACATTATGCAAAGAATGACACTTGCCACTTGCCTCTTCGTCTCAACTGCCTACACGGCACGTTGCATATCAGCGAAGCCTGCAGCCTCGCCAAAATATCTACCCGTAACGTCACAAGTGTACACCGCCCTCCCTCCTCCAAAATCAACCCAACGCTGTGCTAACGCAGATACATCTTTGCAAAAGTAAATCTTAGACCGACCTATCAAGTAATCCGAGCTTCCTCCCGCGTACCGCGGAACGAAAAAAAGTCACGATGACGGCACGCCGTGTAAGCATCGCAATGGACACAACAACCTCGTCACAACTTCCCACTATGTACTACCGGTATCCCAGTATGCATTTTCGTCTGCAACGACCAATCCCGCTGCGACATCCGAGCGTCCATCTGAAAATACAATTGTGCTTCGGAGCGCAGAACAAGAAAAACCAGCGCCTACGACGCCGTGTAACCCTCGCAGTCTCCAGCTAACATCTCGCCTCGCCCCGCAAGCGAAAAGCCAATGTAGCACAACAGACTCATCGCATGACAATACCATGATTAGACCACTCAATCGAAATAACGCTCCACTACGAATTTTCTTCCAGGGCTGGCGGCTCGATGCGAGGGCTGCCAGACCGTGCGGCGACGGGATTGCATTGCTTGTACCGGCAAAGACTCGAAAAGCTGCACCACGGTGAAGTTCTGCAAGGCTGGCGGGCCGCTCGTCCCTTTTTTCAGCGCCTCGCGCTACGTGGAAAGGGGGATCAGGCCTTGATTTCCCTGCAGACTACACCGTGATTCTGACACCATATATCTCCCGACAGCGCATTCCTCCCACGGCGACTGCGCCACGCCGTCATGATGCCGATGTTCGGTTTCATCCCACCGCAAGGCCGCCGCGGGCGTATGTGCGTTTTGCGCCGGCGGATGCAGGTGCGCAGCGACCATAGTGCTAGACTGGGCGGTTGGTGGGGAGAAGGGGTTGCATTCTTGAAGCCTGAGGTCGTGAGGCGTGGCACAGAGGCGTATGCGGGGCGTCACGTCTTCCACGGAGGATATAGGGCTTGACAGACCAGGAATGGAGTGCTAGTGGCGATTCTGTGTTACTTTCCACTTAATGGTGATGAGCTGGCACGTGAGAGGGTGGATACGCGGGCAACACCTTCGATGTGTCTGGTGCAAGTAAAGCGAGCGAAAGAAAGAGGGGAAGCGAATATCGAGGCCGTAACTCAAGCTCATTTCTCATCTACCTCATGCCTTCGTTCCGACATGAAACGCAATGCTAAACAAAACAGACCAGCGCAAATACACAGATGATTACACGACCGGAACATGGTCTCTCCCCTTTTCCCCGCCCGTCCTCTGCCCTCGAATCCTACTCCTCATCACAGCCACAACTAATAACCCTCACAAAGCCCCTCCTCCCCTTTCTCTTCTCCCCATCTTCCCCGCCGCTGTCCCCGCGCTATCCCTCCTCGTCCCACCAGACTGATCCCCAAACTCCCTCTGCTTCCCTCCACCTCCGCCCCCGCCAATACTTGATCAACCCTCTCTTCTCCTCATCCTCGCTATCGCTCTCCTCCCACGCACTCATCGTGTTCTGCAGCTGATAGCTCGCGCGGCACACGCTGGGTGGGCTGGTCGCGGGCAGCATGTAGGACAGCTCCGAAGGCGTGGCGCTACTGTGGCGCGTGGAGTGGTATGCGGAAGCGGTTGTTGGGGGCGTGGTGATGTTGGCGAGGAGCAGGGGCGCGTTGTTGCCCAGGGACTGACATGTTGTGATTGCGGTTGTGGATGTGATGTTGATGGGGGCGTGGCTGGGGTGGAGGGGTTCGTGGGGATGGGTTTGCGGGCAATGTACAGGCGGGGGAGCATGTCTGCTGGATCGGGCAGGCTGGCCTTTCGGGGACGGGATATCGACGTGTCGAGCGAGGAGTGCGGTGTGGTTGGTAGGGCTGGTGGTGGTTTGAGGGAGGAGAGGCGGATGGGAGGGTCAAAGAGCCGGGTTGCCGATGCTGACGAATGATGGACTCTTCGCTTTGGGGAGCCTGAAGCTGGCGATGTGATTCCGGATGAAGTTGGGTTGACTGTTCCGGGGAGGTCTGTCAAGGGGAAGCTGGGTGTTGCGGGAGTGAGCGGGGGTGTGGTCTGTCCTGGTGGTGGTGATAAAACGATAGTCTTCTTGCATGCTCCGCAGATTCCCAGTGTCGATCTTATTGGTTCCTTGCACGTCTTGCAGATAGCCACTGTGGTAGGTTCGGCCGTAGGGGGCTGTGGCTGATGCCGTGATTGGAAGCAAAAGTCGAACTGTGGACTGTTTTTGATCGAGGGCACCCGTGGTGACGAGTGCGGATCATACCCTTTGATTATGTCGTAAACGGTAGCGTCTGAAAGACGCGATACTTGAGTCTGACGTCGAGCCGAAGTCGGTGTTGTATCTCGTCGTTTTGCGTTTTCCACGGCATGTCTTTCGTACTCGTCCCATATCTCCGCAGTTTTCCCTGGGGTGCATGGCGGAGGCCGAGGATCCTTGAAAGGCGAGATGGCTCGAGCCAGTGGCGAGGATTGTTGCGGTGTGAATGCCTTTGTGGTAGACATGCTTTCGGTGCACTAAGAGCAGGCAAGTGCGAAGATGACGATAGACGAGCCAGGAGTGTCGGACAGAGAACCGCGATAAGCTTGATAACACGATAGCTACTGCCACGGTATATACATGCACACGACCGGCGTCTTGGAGCCAAGGGGTGAGACATATTGTTTATCAAGTAACGACTGGCCAGGCGCTACGGTGAGGAGGCTGGGGTGGGAATAACTGAGTTGCCAGGGCCAGCGTGACATAGGACCGGCTCCCCGGATTTCTGGTTTGTGTATGCTCCTACTACCTACGAGATGTCGCGATGGTGTACTCGATTCGATAAGTCGCAGCACTGTGCCGTCCAATTGGGCGCGGCCATGTGACCCAAGCGAGGCGAAGCGACTAGGCGAGCAGATGTCAGCAAGGGATGGCAGTCTGTCAAATGTCCGACGACTTGAACCTGGACGAGGCGGCAGCGGGAAAACGCTCTCAAACACCAGGCGCTGTCGTCTATCTGGTCATGCATGTCATGCTGCAGCGCCAGCGATGAGCAAAGCGGGAGAGTGGAAGCTTCCAAGCGCCACGGGAAGTCGGAAGAAGATTGCAATACATGCAGTGATGCAGCTAGAAGAAGGTCGTTGTCACGCAAGGCGCCGTGCGTAGGCGAAGAGTGGTAGCGCTAAGCCGTCACACAGCGTCCTATGGAATGTAACTTCCTCGACCCCCCGCCCCATGCCCTCGAACAAACACACTGACAACGGTTAGAGGAGATTGAGAGCTGAGACAAGTGATGGGGGTCTGCGTAGGAACATTTGGAAAATACTCCAAGGTTGATAAACAGAAAGACCGGGGTCTCGTAGGGAGATGGGGAGCGCGACAACAACAGTGGCGTGGCATGCCTTGGGTGCGAGGGACGTAGGGATGGTACAGTATTGTTGTCGCGAACGTTGCATTGTCGGACTCGTGCCTCTGGGCGTCGACGCATTTCGTCTCAGCCACCGACCTCACCTCGGTCACGGCCACCAGACATGCAGCCATTCTTCGAACGGTGTATCGATAACAAGATCATGCTCAGTGTTCCAGAACAGAGGCGACGCAGAACGTCGTGGATCGTGGAGGATTGTTGAACGCAAGGATCGCAAGTGCTTCGTAGGTACGGCAGTTAGACCGTTCAGCTGCCGCACCAAGCTGCTCGTCACCGGCTAGAGCATCCCCGTCAAGTAAGCGCACTGATGTCGATGTTGTCGAACTGTGGAAGTGGTGGGCTGGACGTGGGCCAGGATGCAGTTGCGGGGCCGCCCATGACTTACAGGGGAACACCAAGAGCATCATCCTAGATCAACAATCACCGAGGGCATGCGTCCGCAACATTGTTTTTAAAGGCGGATACTACTCATCGTCTGCATTTCTCCGTGGGTTGAGGTATATAACATCGTACGAGGGCCAGGACTTGTTGCTGACCCATTTGTTCCCAAATGGCCTGATGCCTTCAATCAACCTGAGATGGCCGCGCTTCAGAATCAAGAGCTCTGATCCGCTGCTCGTGGAAAGCCACCTGCAAATCTCCATCTACTCTATCCTGCATCTTTCATCCCCTTGTTCGGAATTCTCATCCGCCGTATACCATAGTACCAACCGCACTGTCATCACCTTGTAACCCCAAGACAGCATCGCCACGCCCAGCGTCCACCGTACACCGTCCCATGACCTCTGATCCCGGGTCTGCTCGCCCCCAATCCGGGTATCTGGGAGAGTGTGGTGACTGAGACATGTCTTAGAAAGTGTCGCACATTCACGCGTTTGCCGAAATGGGCATGCTGGATGTACGTTGCGCCCGATCGGGCATCTTGGTGGCTAGATTTGGAACTCGGCAGGTGTTGGGAATGAAAGTGGGGAAGCGTAATGCTGCGGTGGGGGCATTGTATATGAGATGCAAATAGAATGTGCGCATGTTGTTTACGGGTGCTGTGTTGTGGGGTTTTGGATCATGGACAGCTTCATACAACGAACACGCTTACGTGTAGATCTCGTTTACGTTTTTGATTATATAGATCCCCTACCGTCTCCGCTCCTGCGTCTGCTCAATGTACTTGGTGTGCATAGCTTCGATGGCTGGGATTATGAGAGATTCAATCTCGACGACCGGTTCGCCTTTTGGTACTTCAGACTGCGTTTCCAGCAGCGACTGCGATGGTTCAGACTGGTCCTGCCTCGCCGAGGCATCGGCCGAGCCCACGAGTGAAGGGACGCCCGAGAAGCTCTTGGTTCGTCTGTGTTCGGGCACCCGGATCCATTTCTCGCCCTCGAGCCTAGACACGAAGACGACCTCCCACTTGCGCGTGCTTAGCAGATTACCAATGACGAGATGGTGCGAGTACTTGTTCAGGGCATATCTCGCCTTCTTGACCAGTATCGAAGGGTCAGTCTCGAGCTTGAAGCTCACTATGATACCATCGGGGGCCCAGCCGTCGACGAGCTGCTTCAGGAACTTGGGCACGGGCTCCAGGTCGATGACGAGTTTGCGTCCCTCTGTGCGCGCTGCGGGTGGCCGGCCGGTGCCATGGGCGCCGTCGGCGGCCTGGCTAAACTCGTCGTTGGACTGGATCTTGTGCTCGACCATGCGATCGCGGGGCACGAAGAAATCGGAGACGGCGGCGGCGAGGTAGAACATGGCGCGCGGGCCCAGCGGGCGCATGAGCTGGGCAACCTCTCGCAGGTCCCACAGGTACTCTGTGATGGTGACAAAGGACAGGATCAGCAGGCGGCCCTCGCGCTTGACGTTGGTGTACTGGCGCAGGACATGGAGCATGTCGGCCTGGTGCTGCTCGTCGACGACGACGCGGCCGTCCTCTTCGCGCATGTAGTCGAGGAAGGAGCGGGTGTTGTGCGAGTAGTGGCGCGAGTAGGGCAGCAGCGAGAACTGGCGGTGCAGGAAGACGACAGCATAGCCCTGGCGGAGGAAGAACTCTGCGCTCGTGGCGCCGCGGGTGCCGGCGGAGAAGTTGTCGATGCAGCGCACCGTCTGGGTCTCGAGGGGCACCGTGGTGCCGCCCGAGGTGACGAGCACGAGGCGGCGGCCGGCGTCGCCATGGCGTTGGATGAACTCGCGGGCGAGGGTGACGTTGGCCTGCAGGTCCTTGGGCGGCGGCTCGTTGGAGAAGTAGTCGCGCTCGGCCTGCTGGGGGTCGGCCATGTTTTGTGTGTGCGCTGGTACAGGGCCGTGGGAGGCACGCGTCGCGAACGCACAGGGCTTGGCGTCCGGCTGCGTGCCTGGGGCGGGGGCGGGGCTGTTGCTGTGTGCACCAGCGACCCCATCGCATGCGCTCCGCGGAGGCCGCTCGTCTGGCAACGCCGGCGCATCAATTCACTCTCGGGCACGCTCGGTCTCGCGTCTGGCCTCCGCGGCGCGCTGGAGTTGGCGCACCCCCACCGCCATGTGCGCTGCAGCTGCCCCGCTCTGGCAAGCCCAGACCCGCTACAGACCCGCCTGCCGTCCATGGTGGCGTCTTCTTTAAGCCGCGCAGCAACCCAGCGCTAGACATCGACTTTTCCAATCCGCATATCACATCGAAGCCCGGAAGCCACCCGCCAATCACCTCGGCCATCGTCTCGGGCGCGGAAGCCGGCCACACAACGGGGCGCCAGCATCGAAACCAACACTATGGATCGAGCTCTCAGGGTCCCTGCCGCAAATGCTCGTGCTCGTTGCCCGCCATGAGTGAACGCTTCTCCCCCATCGCAGCCCTCCCGACCCTCCTGAACCGCGACAATGTCGTTCCAGCACCCGCCTCCGCCGCCTGGCCCGTTTGGCAAAATCCCCATACCGCGCCTCGAGAGACCCAGAGAACCGCCCAAGAAACCCGCTGCTCCGCGCCAAGGCCGTGTGTCCAGAGCATGCTTGAGCTGTCGCGCCCGGAAGATCAAGTGCAATGGAGTCAGGCCGAGATGCCACAACTGCGCAGGCGATTCGAATCCTTGCATCTATGCTGCCAGTCGCAAGGATCGCTTGAAGACGTTGGTCATGTCGCCATCCTGTTCATGTCTGCCCTTGCTGATGCCTTCAGCGCGACCGAGCACAACCAGGACCTGCTGCATCTGCTCCAAGAACTGCGCCAGAGCGCTTCACTCCAGCAGCAGCACAAGATCGACGACGCGCTTGCCGGTGTACGTGAATCCTTCCCGCTGATCAGAAACAGCAGGCTGATGCACAGCCAAGGCCACCGAAGATGTCGCTGAACCCACCTCGGGTCTTCGGAGAAGCCCTGAGAAAAGCCCCGACAAGGCCCCCGATGCCCATGTTGAGGACGAAGACCAGGCCGACGATCCAGGCGAAGCTAATGTCACGGCTGAAGTTGGCTCCAACGAGGACATGGACAACTTGAACGAAGACCTTTTGAGCAACGAGCATTCTCGAGCCACTGGATACATAGGGAAGAACTCAGAGGTCCAGTGGCTGAAAAAGCTTCACCAAGAGGCAGATGCTGTGCGCCCTGGCGCCCAAGGCCCGTACGGGCCTCCAGGAAATTCCGCCCAGGCCCACGACGAGCGCATAGACGCCTTGCACGAACGTCAACGCAAGAACCCACGCTTGCCCATGGAATCCAGTAGCTGCAGTTTCTATCTAGACAGGGAGCCTCTAGACATGGATATGGAAGTGGACCCTCACGAGTTGCCGCCCTATGACACGGCAGAACGCCTACTCAAATGCTACATGCAAACTGTACAGAGCTCCTTTCCCATTCTCTCCCAAAAGACTTTTACAAAGCAGTTCGGTCACTACTACGACTCCGTAGCTCGCGGAGCGCCATACGGATTACCTCAAAAGTGGCAGGCCATGCTCAACCTAGTCTTCGCCATCGGTGCTGTTTATTCGCACCTCATCGAAGCCGATTGGTCTGCAGACGGTATGTCTCGTCTCTGTGATGCCCTACAACTACTCAAACTTCGTAGAGAGAGATCACCTGCTTTACCATAACAGAGCATGGGCTCTGAGTCTGAATGATCCTTGGTCCGTCATCTTCTCCCGCAATACGTGCCGATTTTGTCGCATTGTCTCTCCATCAGCGCCCATGCACAAGTGGTCGTTGGAGCTATTTCTTGCATACGCAAGTTGTGCAAATTCGTCTGAAGCGGCTCGACATTCACTATGCAAAGTGGACTGCATTTCCACCTCCAGAGAAGACTGCTAATATCAAGATCAGGTGGCTTACTCATCCGAACCTTGCCCAGATGCAGATAGTATGTCGAAACAAGCCTGTTGCGGCGGCACGCTCATTAACGTTTATAGACTGGCTTGTTGTCTTTCTACTACATGGCCATCGGCCACGTCAATCGGTTAGCAATGTTCTTTCTTGTGTGTAGTTTCAAGTTCCCATCATACGGCGCCATCAATTCCCCTAGATTTGACAGTGAATCTGATCTCTTTAGTCGATTAAAAATATCAAAATCTAGTCACTTTGCATTAGCCCTTGGGTGGTATCATCGCTTCATTGCATCTCTTTACTAATAGAACCGATGCAGATCTTGGGTCGTCGTAGGAATGTCGATTCGTTTTGGCTTTTCTCTTGGGCTTCACATACGCAATGAGGATCGCACCGCGACCACAGTGAAGAAAGAAATCTTGTCGCGGATATGGTGGGCAGTGCATTCGCTGGACCGTATCCTGTCTGCCGTCACCGGCCGACCTTCTGTGGGTGCCGAGATCCATTCTTCGACCACATTGCCTCTTCCAATATCAGCCAACGATATAGAGGAGGCCACCATCGAAGCCAAGTTTGGACGAAGAGCCAAATGGGGCAGCGGGACTGCAACCTCGCCTTCAGATGCGGGATCGTCTCGTTCTGCCGCCGTCAGGCCACCAGGCAATGCTTCGAATGCATCAGAGGCATCAAACGCGTCCGATGTCGCAAATGCGGGGACCTTCTTGACCGCAATTGTCAAGTTGGGAATGGTGTCGAACAACGTTCTCACTCAGCTCTACTCGCCGAATCTCGTTACAAAGTCATGGAGAGAAGTTCAAGAGAACATTGCGCAGCTTTCAGAAGATCTAGATGTGTGGCTGGCTTCGCTCCCCAGAGGTCTCGATCCTTTCAAAGACAACGGTCGAGATTACACCATGCAGCAAGAACGAAACATTCTCAAAACGTACTACTTTAGCACCAAGATCCTCATCTGCAGACCGTGTCTTTGCCGCCTGGACCGTCGCATTCAGTCACAGACACAGTCTTCAGCCAACTTCAACCACCAGGTCGCGTCGCAGTGCGTGGCAGCGGCCAAATCGATCGCCGCGTGCTTACCAGATGACATGTCTGTATGGGGCAAAGAAATATACAAAATCTTCCCGTGGTGGTCCGCAGTGCATTATCTGATGCAATCAATCGCCATTCTCCTCTTGGAAGCTTGCTATGAAGCGGAAGGCATAAACATCTTGCCCGCCGTAAAGAAGCTGGTACGCTGGCTGAAAGAGCTAAGCTCCTCGAACAGAACAGCGGAACGCGCCTACTCCATCACGGTTGATCTGCTCAAGAAGATGGCTTCGCGGACTTTCAAAGATCCTCGTACCTCCCAAGTAAGCCATGTGTGGATACGGACCTACATTGTCCCAAGAACACACGTGTAACTGCTAAAACTTTCCACAGGAAATCGCGCTCCTCCTTTCCGAGCATCCCAGCCCAGCAACCTCGGATGCCGGGGCTTCAGACTTCGCGGCCCAGTGGTTCACTGGCGAGGAGTTTTTCGACCAACATCTGCAGCCTCCCCAAGCCCAGTCCCAAGGCGAATCGTATATGGCAGATAGTCTTGCTGACACTATACCGACGATGGGTGTGTTCCCAGGCGCTGCAGATATGCCTGTTTCGGGCTTCTTCTTTGAGGCGTTACATACGCATCCGGCACTAGCGAATGTGTTCCTTACGGGGTTCGATCAGCACAACCCGCTCCCGTTCGACGAGGACGACATCTATATGCAGGATGTGCCGGAGCAAGAATAGGGATCCAAGTCGAGTTGAGGTCCCAGTTGAAAGAGAAGTAGGAGTACTCAGGGATAGAAGCTGTGTACATGGTACGATCCATAGACGCCAGGTTCCCGCCTTGAAGTAACAGTCAAATAGACAAACTTCTCATTTCCCATGCTTCTCCCTGACTTCCTCCTGCCCCTTCATGACCCACCCCTTGAACGGATCTTCAGCGCTGGGATCCCGCCTCAACCTCCCAATCTGATCCTCGCCTCCCGGCACAGCCAACCCCTTCCTGACTCCCTCCCGTCCCTCAATTCTCTCCGCCCACGCCTTCAGATTCGGAAACGCCTCCAGCTCGATGCCCGCCCACGGCGCCCACCGCACCCACGTGAACGTACTAATGTCTGCTATGGAATACTGACCTTCGCCTCTACCGACGAGGTAATCGCGGGACGAAAGGCGCGCCTCGAGCACGGAATAAAGCCGCCGCGTCTCGTTCTGGTACCTGTCGATGCCGTATTGAATCTTCTCGGGTGCATACCGGTAGAAATGGTTCGCCTGACCCTGCATCGGGCCGACGCCGGCGTTCTGGAAGAACAGCCATTGCAGCATCTCGCTCCTCTCGTCCGCCTCATTGAAGGAAAATCGGCCCTCGCGATCGTAGTGCTCTGCTAGGTACAGCAATATCGCGCCGGATTCAAACACGCGGAAGGACCCGCGCGAGTGGTCGATGAGGGCGGGGATGCGCCCGTTGGGATTGGTGGTGAGGAAGTCTGGGGTTTTCTGCTCGTCTTTGGAGAGGTCGATGGCGGTGGTGATGTAAGGGAGGTGAAGTTCTTCGAGGAAGATGCTGATTTTTCGGCCGTTTGGAGTTGCGGCTGTGTGGAGCTCGATGTTGGGTGGCATTGTTCCTCGAATTTGTGGTTTGATTTGCGGCTGAGCTGTGTTGAAGTGTTTGCTTGAGATTGGCTTGGATGATGTCGTTCGAGGTGGTATGAAGTGCTGAACTGGTTATGTTTGGATGGTCGGCCGCGGATGTTGCACGTGTGGGTGGTTAGTGCATGATGACGTGAACGATGTACTAGTATTATTGACGTCGAATGGCGACCACGTGAAGCGTATCCTACCTAGGTACCTAGGTATGAATCTGATGAATGAGTATCTGCCGATAGAGTAGGTAAAAGAACAGCCCCGTTCTCAACTCTGTGTAGAGGAAGATGATGAAGGTGCAGAAGAAGAATATAAAGATATGGAGGAAGGAGATGGATACAAAATGGGCGATTTTGATGGCCAAGGAAGAGGGATGTTTGTCAGCGAAAAGCGGACACTTCGGCTTAGTGCTCGATCATGCTTAAGTTGGAGATTTGATCTGTTTTTTGTACGGTTGCGATGTACATGTCATTCTGTGGAATGTTAAAGGTCACTACGAATTTATCGGAGAGCTCTACGTCTATGGAATTATGCATGGAGAAGCCTTGAAAGCACTCCAGAAGAGTTTAGTAAAGGAACAAGAGTTTGATCTCTGTTAGCTAAACGTTATATAGCTTTCTTATACACGCCCGCAGTCTCATCATGGGTAGGTTGACCATTCATCATTTCAGCAATCATATTTGAGCATGGGCATTTGTGGGATACGCTGAGTTCGTCTAAAAAGCTTTCAAGCCTAGGCAACATGACAAAGACAGCACCCTTGGATAAGAGAACATGCGGATAATACGAAGAAACCAGTCATTACAAGATTGCGGTCTTTTGTATCTCTTCTTTGTTGTGCTCAAATGGCGACGATGTACCAAGAGAAGTTCGGCATCGCGCATAGAGAAATATTAGCGAGGCTGGGCCGAGCCACATCATCTCAACAACAACACCCTCTCTTCTCCATGCGCGACGACCAATCTGCCTGAAAGCGCACGGATTAGCAGAACACCGTGAAAGACACGGAATAAGAGCTATAGCACGCGGCACTCACCGTCTGAATGATTCTCAGACGGTGTTCAATTGAGTTGAATCGAGGGGCAGCCCGAGTCCGCCGGGCAACCACGCAAATGGCAACAACAACACAGCTCACCGTGCCTTCCGTCTCAACGCCCACGACTCTACACCTGCGCGCAGAAGTCTCCACCACCTTGACTATGTCTACCTCGCCCGCCGCCAACCACCAGGCCTCTGATGATCCCGCAGACGCCGACACACTCACGTGCAAAGCATGCAGCCGCACGCTCGCCACCATTTCCGCAGAAGGCGATTTAATCCCTCATGGCAAGTTGGATGAAGGGTGCACCTTATGCAAAGACATGGTAATGCACTACAATGAGTACAAACACGTGCAGGGGTTGTTCAAAGAGCTCGAAACCCGAAGGGACAATTACGGCCCGCGCCAGCTAGCGCTCGAGGCGGTGCACGAAGCGCAGATGAAATGGGGTAACTTCATTCAGTCTGTGGCGGCTTGGGATCATTCCGAGAGCGAAGAAGAAGGTCTGCCTGAAGAGCAGGCTGAAGAGCAGCCCGAAAAGCAAACCCACGCCGAGACAGCGGAGGATGCAAATGCGCAACCACCCCACCGCAAGCGCTCGTTGTCGCCACAATCTTCGCCTGGACCGCGCAAGCTAAAGAGGCCGCGCTTGTCTGGCCACTCCCGCCGCGTGAGCTTCGATCCATCTGTTGTTTTCCGGGATGCCGAGGCGCGGGAGAAGCGCATCGACGCTGAGTTTAGTAGAAACAGCGACGGGTATTGGCCGGGGAGGTACGCGGCCCCGGAGGGAAGAGAATTGCTCGACACGAGCGGAAGCAGCATGACAGAGACAAAATTCTTTGGGGTCCAGAAGAGGGGAAAGGGTTGGGTGCCGACGAAGGAGGGGCTGGAGATGGACGCGGAGTGGGAAACAGATGGTAGGGATGAGGATGCTCCGGTCGCAAGGGAGGGCGAAAGCGACGGCGTGGCAAAGACCGAGACCAAGGAGATCGAAGGAGCTCTAGCGCAGCGACATGAGTCACTCACAGAGGGGAGCGTACGGCAAGAGCAAGTCGATTCATCGCCACTTTTTTAAAGCACAGCTAACAAGAGCAGAGACATTGAAATGTCGAACAACAATGGGTCCGCCGATCCCAATCTCAGCGCCCAGAAACCCGTACCAGATCTGGACTTTTCGTCAGGAGGTGCAACGAACGTCGACGAGGATCTGCCGACCGACGAGCGGCAATCACGAGCATCGATATTTGGCCCGTTTCCAGCGAAAGAGGGACCTAGGACTGACAGTGAGGAGTTGCTCAAGGTCACAACGACTCCGGCGGATTGAACAAGGCCACAGGACTACCACGTTATGCTAAAAGCTTGCATAGGGCTGTCCACTTGGTCGATAAATTAGCGGACGAAAATTCACCCCATCTTCAAGCTTTGAACATGGCCGTCGACAAACCTTCAAGGTTTTCGAACACTAAGGCCACACATTGACTCGCTTTGCCGGCGTACTTCTTGAATTTTGAAGTCGACACTTGACGAGTTCAGGCACTGGGTCATATATGGAGACGCTAGCACTGGACAACGAGCAGCTCGTTTTGACATTCAACGCACTGGGCAGAAATCACATTGCGTCAACACCACTTTCTGGTCCTGCAGGAGGGGCATATATCGATCACATCCTCACGTTGGATGCAATCTTTCAATGTGGACCTTCTATTGGGGCTTGAGCGTTTGTTTATTCAGCATTTGTATGCGTTTTTGGTTTTGAAATCTTGCTTTAACGATACCCCCTAGACTAGTTGTTCACATCGATACTGCACGCATAATAATGTTTCTCAATCCCTCCAGTACGCGAGGAACTGATGTTCCGAATCTATGGCTCACAGCTTCGCACCCATTTCTCTTTTAATCATGTCCCTCATCTCCCTCTTCTTAATCTTCCCACTCGCCGTCTTCGGTATCTCCCCCACCTCCACAAACCTCACACCCCCTTCCAACCTCTTATATTTCGCCAGCCTCTCCTCCACCCACGCTTCCACCTCTCTTTCATCCAATCCCTCGCCCCCACCCTTCCTAACCACATACGCCCTCGGCATCTCGCTCCCCACCTCCGGACTCGGCACCCCAACGACCGCTGCATCAAGGATATGCGGATGCTGTAAAAGCACCCCTTCAATCTCCGCAGGCGCGACTTGGAATCCACGAACTTTGATAAGCTCCTTCTTCCGATCAACAACGTACCACTTCCCCGTCCGCTCATCCCCCCACACAATATCCCCCGTGCGAAAGTACCCCTCGGCGTCAAAGTCCCTCTCCCGCGGCACACCGATATACCCCCTTATCACCGTCGGCCCGCGGACCGCCAACTCGCCGCGCACGCCGTAGGCAGTAACGTCGGCGCCAGCGTCGTCGAGGAGCTTGATATCTAGGTTGGGAAGAAAGCGTCCTACGGAGCCCGTGTCGTCGGGTTCGCCATAGGGAAAGGCCGACGCGAGACACGTCGTTTCGGTCATGGCCCATATCTGCGTGAAGATGCCCGGCGGCATAAGCGCTTGGCATCGCGCTTGCATTTCCTTATCCAGCGGTGCGGCACCGGCGATGACGCATTTCAGGCTGTCCAGTGCGGCGAGTTTTTGAGAGGGGGGCATGGGGTGCGCGACTAGGGCTGTGACCATGGGTGGCACGATGACGAGGTCGGTGATGGAGAAGCCAGGGATATGGGATAGCACAGAGGAGATGTCCCATCTGCGCATGATGTACTGCACATGGCCGGCGCGGAGCGGGGAGGTGTGCACCATAGGGGCTGTCGAGACGTGGAACATGGGGAGGAAGACGAGACGCTTGATTCTGTACGGCCGTGGGGAGTGCTCGAAGCCGATGGTGTGTTGAGCTATGAGATTGTGGTGGGAGATTTGTGCTGCTTTGGGGAGGCCGGTTGTTCCGCTGGAAAAGCAGAGCATGGCGGTGGTATTTCTGCTTGTCGATTCATCGTCGAAGGATACCCAATCTTCTTCGCCGTGGGACAGGAGTTCGCGCCAGGATGCAAATTCCCCAGTGATGCGATCTGGCCTCCCAGACGTAGAATCCAGGATGCGGATTCTAGAGATTGGGAGCTGGAGCTGTTTTGCTGCGGCTCTGAGGGAGGGGAGAAGTTCAGGCTCAGAGAGGAGGAATTTTGCAGAGGATGTGCGGATGGCGTGTTCGAGTTCTGCGGGCGTGTACGAGGGATTTGTGCCTGTGTAGATGCATCCTGCGCCTATGATCCCTAGGACGATGATGGGATAGTAAATGCTATTGAAGGAGTGAATTAGGACTGCGTCACCGGGCTTTAAACCTGCTTTTTTGAAGCCGGCGATGAGTTGGCGAATGAGAGATTTGGCCTGGTTAGCGGAGATGGTGGTGGATGGGCTTGCGGCGTCGATGTAAAGCTGGAAATGTCACGTCAGTCCGTTATTTCGATATATAGTGTTGTCTCACAGGTGCATCACAATTGTAAGCTGGGCCCGCGCATGCCCAAGAGAGAATATCTTTGGTAGGAATAGGGACGTTCTTGTTCGCTAGGAAAGGCATGTCGGTGCAATGACAGATTTACCAGAGTCGAAGTGGACAGTCCACATCTACGTCGTCGGAGGCTGAGGTAAGGTCTTTTAAGTTCCCCATCTAATCCTGGTTAGGGCTGACATACCAGGGGTTTCCTACAACCCTACCTAACTAGTCTCAGCAAAGAACGGTTGCGGACCCTGAGCCGAGGCTGGTACTTGGAGGTCCGTTTTGCGCATGGATTGATAGATTTCAGCCGTCTCGTTTGTCGCTCCGCCAATTCATCCTCAAACTCACAACGTGCATAGACAACAACTTTTCTTGAACATAGCTTGACAGCAGATTCTTTGCCGCAAATTACGAATAGTATACAAGCATCTACAACGGGTTGTTCTACAAGTATACAACAACCGTACCTGGCACACAAGCTACCCAATGACACCTCGCAATGGATATAAGCCCTTCAAACAATTTGCTCCAGAACAATGCTAATGCTAGAATAGATAGAAGGTAATTCAAAGCGCTCTGGAACACTGAGGGGAGTTGAAGATAAGTAGTCGAATGCTTCCCAACGTGATTTCTACAATGGTGAAGTTCAGAAAACAGCTTCCTCCTGGACCTTTGGAGCTTCCGAGTCCATCACAGGGGTTTCAGTCTGTACTGCCTCCTCAGCAGCAGCCAGGTCGCTGACGGGCTCTTCGGCCCCCACAACGGTGTCTTTGGGATCGACGACAGGTGCCGACTCCAGCTCGGTGGAATTATCAGCAGCGGGTTCTGTGGCCGTGCTCTCCGCAATCTGGGATGTCTCCTCGTGTTTCTCTTGCTTCTCCTCGTGATTGCCGTTCGTGACGGCATCCTTGGCCTTGGCTGCGACTTCTTCGACTTTCTTCTTGGTCTTGGTCGCCAAACCTTCAGGTGCCTTGGGCTTTGTGGATGCTTTGGCGACGGTCCTCTGACGAGGTGGCGATTCGGGTTTGTCATGGGTCTTGCTGGCGCTGGCCGTAGTGGGGCGCATCATGCGAGCCAGGAAGCCATCGCCTGCACCCGCTGTGGTAGAAGCACGAGATGAGGGTCGCTTTGCGGGCGCAGTGCTTGGCGCCAACGACGCACGAGATGGCGGCTTCTTCGCGGCCGGTGCGGCAGCTTTTGGTGCCGGTCTCGAGGCAGTAGAGGGCTTGCGCGTGGGCTTCTGTTCAGCGGCTTCTTCTCCATGTTTCGCAGCGGAAGAAGCCGTAGGGGCAGTCAAATGAGACGGCAGCCGGACTGGTCGGGTCGGCGACCGTGGCTTTGGTTTTACAAATCCACCTGTAGAGGTTGTCGTGCCGATCTTAGCGGGAGGTGCAGAAGAAGCTGCCTTAGTGGTCGTCTTCTTAGTTTCAGCAACTGGAGGTTTGGCTTTGGTAGCCGCACTTGCAGTCGTGCCGGCGGTGGCGGCGGAGGTCTTAGCAGGGGCACGGCTTGCAAATTTGGGAGCGACGGGTTTTGTAGTCTCCTTGGGGGCAGCGGCCTTGGGCTGAATTTTCGCGGGTGTTGTAGACTTCGATCCGGTCGCAGTAGGGGTAGCCTTCGGGGCTGTTGGTGTCTTGGGAAGAGGAGACCTTGGCAGAGGACTGCGTGCGGTGCTGGAACCGCGGACCGGACGGGCAGGCGACTTTGCGGTCGATATGGCGGCGGGTTTTCTGGTCGAAGCTCTGCCATTCGTTCTGGGCGTCTCGTTGGCTTTGGCCTTGTTTTCTGTAATCTTGGGCGTTTGTGGAGCGGTCTCGGCTGTGGTGGGATGGGAGAGGACCTCGGCCGGGGGAGGCAGAGCTTCGCCTCCAGCCACAGCAGCCTCATCGGTGGGATCGGCAGGCTTGAGCGAAGCTTCCTCTTGAACTCCCGTCACAATCTTGTCCGGGTTCTCTGCCTGAATATCCGGAGCCTGAGTCTCTGCTGGCTTCTCCTCCACCACAGGTGCAGCTTGCGCTTCTCCGGGCTGCACGGTCGGCGCCTCGTCCGTAGATTGCTCTGCCTGGACAGCCTCAACTTCAGGCTCCGGGAAGTTTGACCCCTTCATGATGCTTCCTAGATTCGTCATCTCTCCTGCAGCTTCGCGAACCGGTGGCGGTGCTCTGGAAGATTCCTAACAAAAGAGTACCTTTAGTCCATATCCCGCAGCCATGTGTTTGCCATGATCCACTCACTCTCGTCTCGACAGCCTGCTCTGGGATGGCCTCGTCGACAGCAATGCTCTTCTTGCGCTCCTCTTTTTCTTCGCCAATCGCCTGCTTCAACTCTGCGACGTCGTTTGATTCGCCGCTAACACTGAAGCTTTCGCGGCGATGAGCTTGAGGGGTGTTCACGCTGACCCCTTTCGTGGTGCCGAGGTCTTTGGCAGCGCCGCTGGCGTGGGGCTCAACGGACACAAAGGAGGCGCGCACTTTGGACGTGGGACGGTTGACGTCGTCGGAGCCGCTGCCAGCTGGGGAACGGCCGCGGGGCTCAGGAGAGGAGGAGGCGGCGTTCTGGTTCTCGAACATGGCCCGCAGGTTCCGGACGCCGGCGTTGTTACCGCTCATGGCTGCGGCGGGTATTCAATGGTCAGTGAGAGTGTTCGCAGCGGTGGGTGTGCTCGAGTTGTGTGGAGTGCAAACTGGTTGTGGGAGTTGCAGGCAGACAATCCCAGGTAACGTGTGCTTGGGACAGGGGTTGGGACTAGCTGGTAAACAGAATTGCCCCAGGTCTTGGGAAAAACAATGCCGAACGTTTTAAGGTTAATTGAGTGATATGCGACTTACGACGACGACGCGAGGTCTGGGCGAAGGCACTCGCGAAAATTAGGGCTGCGTTTCGGAGCGGTCGTCGAGGAAATGAAGTGTCTCCTGGACGACAGAAGCGACCGCGACCTAAACAGAGGCCAAGCGCTAAAGAAGGAAGCGCGCGGACGTCACTTTTTACGGACAGCGCCCCCATCTCCTTTGAGCCCCCAACTCGCAAGTCTACTATTCTTCCTTTAATTATTCAGACTGCTAGTAACTATGTGATTCCTCCAAGACACTGCCTCCGGTCCACCTTGCCGCCACGATTTTGGCAGCTGAATGTTTTCCTCGCCGACCAATCAAACCGCGACACACGCGCATTCTCCCCAAGCAATTACAAAATACAACCAATCACGGCACGGCGCCCGAATATTATTGACTTGTCCACAAGGTGTTCGTACAGATCGATGAGAGACTTCGTGAAAACTCTGCATATGGCAAGTGTTTTTTGCAACTCAGGGAATAGTATTCTAGCAAGGTAGGCGTACATATTGACATTGAATGAAAGATTAGTAATCCGAAGAATGCTGTCTGAGAAGATTGGCCAAAACCACATGTGATGCCATGGAAATGTACATGGAGCAAAGCCGCACCAAGCAATGCTTACGCCCAGTACCCAAGCAAAGCCATCAAACCGGCCCCGAGCGTCATGAGCGCAAATGCCCAGAGCATTCTGGAAATCGGCCCCTTTTGCATGTACGGTGAGAACATGAATTCATGCGCCATGAGCTCAACCAGACCAGTGTAGATCAAGATACCAGCACTTATAGAATCAAAGACACCGTTGGTCAGAAGCGTCGTAGTAGACTCGGGCGGATATGATGTTCGAACACCCAGTCCGATAGCAATGGCAATAGGAGTCGACAAGCCATAGGCCACACCAAGCACGTACGGTGTCCACTTCTTGTCCTTGGGCCATGGGACCGAGGCTAGTCGAGAGCCCAGACCGAGACCTTCAAACATTTGGTGGAAAACAAGGACGATGTAGAGGGTGATGAACTCATCTCCAGAAACAGCAAGAGTCAGGCCAATGAAGATGGAGTGGAAGATGACGCCGAATTCGAGGATGAAGATGGCAGTCATCTGGGCGGCGTATGTTTCGGGGACGATGCCGCGCTCCACGAAATCGAGCTCAGAGTTGTCGGTGTGGTCACGGGAGTGGCCGAGATGGTCTTGGCCAATCTGATGGCCGTGACCTTGGTTACCCTCGCTGATAGCAATCTTTGCACGGTCCTCGAGGCTGACCGAGTCGTTCTGAGCAGAACCGTGTGCGTGTCCATCGAAAGAGTTGTCTCCTCCAAACTTGCCATAGCGCATAGTCATCAGTTCGAGGAAGAACATGAGGAAGATGGTCATGAGTGCAATGCCTTCTGGCCATGGGTACACGGTAATGACACCTTCAAGGCACTCGTTTCCGAGTGCTTCATTCGCCGGTGCCAAGAGATGTATAAAGGCAGTAGCGATGATGACACCAGAGCCAAAGTACTTTGCAATGAAGAACAGAGACTCGGGTACGCCTAGCTGGCGGTTTCGCCTGGCAAACACCGGGAAGACGGCACCTGTCGTGTGTCAGTGAATTGTGACTTTGTACATGTGCGCTTGGAGTAGGACATACCAAACAGAGAGCCGATAAGGATTACAAAGATCGAAGATATCCGGATGCCCATGCGTCCATCGTAATCGTTGTTACCGAGACAGTGGCCTGGCGAAGGTTCATCATCAGCGCCTTCCTCGGCTTGACGCAGCACGAGGCGCGCGACCTCCATCGGTAACGACATGTTTGCGGAAGCTTGTTCGAAGATAATGTGCGTGAGGATGTTCGATGCACGGTGTTACCGAGTCAAGGGTGATGCGGGAGATGGACAGTTGATGACGGCTAAGAATAAGCAACGCCGAGCTGTCTTGTTACCGGGCTGGTGGTCTTGTCCTGCAGGAAGGAACGCTTGTAGGACGAAGTCTTTTTATTGAAACCAAGCTGGAGTACTGTGATGGACAACTGCAAGCCTACTGAGCGCACCTTATTGGACAACGGGGTTTGTAGGGATCTCGGCATCTTAGCATGGCAGAGTCTGTACAGCGGCGTACCCATGGTTGAGTACCTGAATGGGCCGCTAACAAACTCAGAACATCGGACTTGATAAGCACATGAAAGTCGGCGCGATTGGATACGGGACGTCCAGAATCCCAAATAACAGGCGCGATGGACCCATTTCAATCGAAAATAAGCACTTGCAAGTCTTCCGTGGCGTGCGGCGATGCAGTGGTTTGGTGGTGATGTTGCAGCTGCGCAAGCGGTGGAGCGACTGAAGCGAAAAAGGGCTGGCAAGGCTGGGCCGACAGCCGCATGAGGTCCAATGCGCCTGCAACTCCGCCGCTCATACCATGTAACTGACTTTCATTCGACAGTTGGACATAGATCCGACTTGACTGTCGCGCGACATGCCGCAAAAGCCCTAGGCTGGCCTGTACACGCAGGTTTCATGGACGGGGCCGACGGGACAGTGGATCACACAGTATTGGCTGCATAGTGGATACTGACGACGAACGGTTAGGTGCTCTGGCTGGTTAGCGCTATAGTATTTTGAGGTATCGGAGATTCCGAGAGACGCGACGACAGTTCGCATCTTGAAGTGATGCAAAGGCATCAACGCATCGGAACATCTATGCGCCGCTCCGGGCTGCTCGCCTTCGGTCGGATGAGGCGGGTTAGGGTTGCGATTACATAACCTGAGGTACATAACCTGAGGTACATAACCTGATTGTCCATGACATGACCTGATTGCGATATTAATGCGATCCAGATGGGTAGGCTGCAGCGTGGGCATCGGCGATCGGCGTCATGGCATTCGGTGAATCCCATGTAGGAACACGGACAACTGCGCACTGCATTTCTCCCATCACCAGCACCAGATTTGGGTTCCAAAGCTTCCAAAGAGGTACCTGGAAACACATCGAGTGCCCGCAGACTCCAAGGAATAGAAAAGCCCTTCCACCAAGCGTGGCGACGGGCAATGCTTTGAGACGCGCGATGCTCAAAGCTAGCCGCCCTTCTCCAATGCGGGGTTTCCACAGAGTACCAGCCAATCAAGAGTGCACGCAGCGGGCGGAGCTATGGCCTAGTGACGTATCGATCCCCTCTCGCACCAGCACTTCCATCGAGCTCTGGAAGAACAGCTGACAAGTGCTACGTCCTCAAATAGCTGCCTAGTCCGTCTCCTGCCTTTGAATACAAGTCTCGCACCTGCTTCCCTCTGTGTCTCGACATCACAGACTGCACGCCTGCACAACCGCCATCATGATGATCGATCCCGTTGACGTGTTGAAGACGACCAAGAGCGTTCTTCCAATTCCTCTTCCTACCTCGCTCATCTCCTCGCTGACGGCGACACACACCGCCTCGCACACCTCTCTCCCTACCGTTATCCCGGACCCCATTGACAGGCAATTCGCCGGTGACGATGGCAAGAAGACGCTCTGGGTCATCTTCGTGGCCATGACCATCGCCTCCGCGGCCTTTGCGGCCATGTCGTGGAGAGTCCCCGTCGTAAGTCTGCTTCTTTCTCAGTCCAACTCAGGCTCACACGTCCACAGCAACGTCGTCTCTACCACGTCGTCACGACTCTCATCCTCATCATCGCTTCCATCTCATACTTTGCCATGGCTACTGGTCACGGAGTGTCTGTCCACAAGACCATTGTCCGCCACCAAAACGACCACGTCCCGGACACTACGACCGAGGTGCAGCGACAGGTCTTTTGGGCTCGCTACGTCGACTGGGCGCTCACTACGCCTCTTCTCTTGCTTGATCTCAGTCTCCTTGCTGGCCTCAACGGCGCTCACATTCTGATGGCCGTTGTCGCCGATATTATCATGATCCTTACCGGTCTGTTCGCCGCCTTTGGCAGCGAGGGCACCCCGCAAAAGTGGGGATGGTACACCATCGCCTGCATTGCCTACCTCGTCGTCATCTGGCACTTGGCTGTCAACGGCCGTGCCCAAGCCAACGCCAGGAGCCAAAAGGTTGGATCTTTCTTCTTGGCTATTGCAGGCTACACCCTCATTCTCTGGACCGCCTACCCAATGTAAGTTTCTCGCCTCCTAGTAAGTTTGTTCGGCGCTAAAGTACACAGTGTCTGGGGTATTGCCGACGGTTCACGCAAGCTTTCCGTCGATGCTGAGATCATCGCTTACGCCGTCCTTGACGTTCTTGCCAAGCCAATCTTCGGTATCTGGCTTCTTGTCACCCATGCCAACATGCCAGAGACCAACATTGACCTCGGGGGCTTCTGGTCCTACGGCTTCGGTGGCGAAGGTGCTGTCCGTCTCGAGGACGACGGCGCTTAAACGCTTACTTCATCTCTCGAAAAGGCTCAAATTGTGAACAACGATGAAAATGATGGAATGTGACAAACATAGGTTTCAATCTATGAAATCACCATGCAATGGAAAAGAGTTGACGTCGGCTGACTGGCTGGCTGGCTGGCTATTGGAGAGCATGAATTTTGCGAGGGTGCACGACTGGCGTTTGGCGATGTTTGCAACGCTTAATCATTTGCTTCTTACTCCATTGACTGGAAAAGCATGTCAAATACCTTTCTTCAGTAATTATATTTGCATCTCGATACATGCATGCACCCTGTGAAGACATTGTGAAACGCGGCTGGCAGTAACAAAGTACGTCATAGGTCGCGTCGCCTAAGCAGCGATAGACGACGACGCCAAATACAAGAATAAAAAAATCGAGACAGGGAGTGGGCCGTGCAACAGATGACATGCCCAGGTGGCATGCGAAGCACCTGACGATGATCAGGGCAATGCCTGATCCTGATGTTTGCCTGGCCTACCGCTAGGTGCAGGGACGGTTGGTTGCTCGGTGACCCCGCATCCATGCCCCATGTTTGGCAGGCTCAAAGCGGCCGCCCTTTCATCATTTCAGTCACTCTGACAACGCCGTCTCACAAGCTACACTCTACCGACACTACTCACAAAATCTACCGCCTCTCCTACAGCTTCAGACCAAGACAAAACGTATAGCTTTGAAGCACTCACCATGACAGACGCCACCGTTGACGAGACGCCCATCTCGCCCACCCGCAGCTTGGAGCGCCGCGACAGCTTGGAGAAGCATCTCCAACACCGTCCGGATGTCCAGGATCTGAAGAACCGAAACATTTTGCTCGACACAAATACTGCACCGTACGTGCAAGCCCTTACCTATCCCCTCTTCGCCGCTAGAAACAAACAAACGAAACAAAGCTGACACCCAGACACAGAGCCCTGCAAGCAAAGGCTCTTGAGCTCGAGCGCCAACGCGCCACAGATAACCTCAAAAAGGGCCTAGAGCACCGTCCCGAGCGCGAGGAGCTCGTCGAGCGCAACATCTTGCCACACTCCAACGCCGCTCCCGCCCTCCAAGGTCACCAGAAGGAGCTCGAGAAGAATATGCGCGCAGACAACTTGGAGAAGGAGCTCCAGCATCGACCCTCCCCTGAGGATCTTGTCAAGAAAGGCATTCTGGAGGCCGACGAGAACCCTTTGAAGGAGTCGTGATTATAAGGACAATCGTGTGGCTGGCGAGCTTGAGGGCACGATAAAGCATGATACATACGTAATGACGGACGACAAGGCGTTATCGAACAATCGGAATTGTGAAGCGACTGGACTGTACCGTACCTTATGCAGGGCTATGGAGGTCTGATTTTGGCATCTGCCTTGCGGCACGCTAAGAATCGTTCTGGATGTAGGGCGTAGATATTCGGATTTACATCTGACACGCATTCTCTCTTGAAATCAGCCATCAGGCCTCGCAGCTCCCTGTGTTGATTTGGCAAGTCGGCACCTGGAACCACTTCAGGTGAGGTACGAATACGTAAACAGTGAGCCCAAAACCGTACCCAACACGAGCAAAGATTCACTTGTACCTGGCTCATCCCTAAAGGCTTCATTGAATGCCTGTATGACGTTGCAAGCTTACAAGCGTGTTATGAAGAAAATTCAGAATGTGATTTGTCCACGAATGCCTGACTCGGTCTTCTTTCTATTCCTCAATCGCTGGGTGCTCGGATTCTAATAGCTTTTCATTTCGACAATGACAGGCGCACTGTACAAATGTCTGATTGAGATATATTCATTCACGACGGCAGAGTACGTAGCGACCGAATGTTGCTGAGGGTACAAAACTCAATGCAACCTTGGAAACACACGTTGCACATAACAATATCACAAGGACATGACCAATCGCCTAAGCAGCGATCTCCCTGCGCTCTTCGCGCACGACCTCCTTGCCGTCAAGGCCTATCTCTCCAGCGGCAGCGTGCGCCTCACGATCTTCCTCGATGCGTTTCACGAGCTCGGTTACGCCGAACAAGTCATCCATCTTCTCGAGCGAGAGACCCTTGGTCTCAGGGATCAGGAACCAGACGAAAAAGAACATGGAAAAGCAGAAGCAGGAGTAGATGAGGAAGGCACTGTTACACGATTAGCTGCACATCTTGCAAGGTGACGGAGAGGTAACTTACCCATATCCATGAGCACCCACAGTAGCCAGCATGTTGGGCGTAGCACGCGCAACAACAAAGTTGAACAACCACTGCGTCGCAGCTGCGATGGCCACGTTGAGTGACCGCAAACGCGCAGCCGGAATTTCCGACACGTAAATCCAGCACACAGGGCCCCAGCCCCACTGGAAGAAGCCTGCAAACAGGAAGATGCACACCAACGCAAAGTATCCAGCAGGCGGCACGGGTTGACCCGCAAGAGGTGGGCTGATGCGCACGTATAGACCAATGTACATCATGGCGCAGCCCTGCGCAATAGATGTCCACAACAGCGACCTCCTTCGGCCAAGCGAGTCAGCAGCGAAGAGGAGGAAAGCAGCACACGTGGTCATTTTGACAACGCCGTAGATGCCCGTCGCAAAGAGGTTCGTGGAAGTTCCGACGAGGCCAAGGTTCTTGAAGATCTGTGGCGCGTAGTAGTTGATGGCGTTGGTACCCGTCATCTGCTGGCAAACCATGAGACCGATGGAAATCAGCGCGCGCTTTCTGTTGCCAGGGATCGTGAACATCTCGCGGAGCAAATCCTTGAGGGACGCTCCTCCGACGAGCATACGCTCGTGCTCCAACTGATCGCTGATATCCTTTAATTCGGCCCTCACATACGGGTGATCGGTCGGGAGGTTCCGAATGCGCGCGAGCACTTTGACTGATTCCTCCCAGCGGTCGGCTTTTGCAAGCCATCGAGGCGATTCTTTATTCAGGAGCATGCAAACGACCAGGAAAACGGCAGGCAGGGCCTGCATTGCGAGTGGCACAATGTAAGTAGATTCTCCTTTCAGATGCAGGATCGCCCCGTAGTTGACCCAAAACGCGAGCATAGTTCCGCATGCGATGAAGAGCTGGTAGATACCCGTAAGACCGCCACGGATAGCGCGTGGTGCGTTTTCGGCGATGTAGAGTGGGACAACCATCGAGGCTCCACCGACACCGACGCCAGCGATGCAGCTGCAGAGATCATCAGCCTAGTCTTTGTGGCAGGTTCCAGGGGAATGTTACGTACCGACCAACATACATGGACGCGATACTTCCGAAACTGCAAGATTGAATCACGCAACCAATAATAGTGATAAAACCGTTGAATATCAAAGCAAACTTTCGTCCCCATTTGTCTGCAACCCAAGAAGAGAGGAAACATCCAAAGAAACATCCAGCCTGAAGAGTCGACGCGATGTTGGCAGACAAATCAGCATTTTGTTTCTTGTGCGCGTCGTCGGACGGGAGTCCGTATTTTCTGCGCGAGCATCGTCAGCCCGATTCGGTCTATACGAGTCTGGTGTACATACGCCATGAATGCAGGCAGCGTCAACACACCGCCGATGGTGCCGATGTCGAAACCGAACAGCATACCACCGAAGCATGCCGAGCAAGCCATCATAAAAGTGCGCCATCCGTAGATCTGCGGCGGATCCTCTTTCATGGCATCATTCTTGATGACCTTGTAGAGGAAGCGCGCACCGGGGCCAGCATCGGCCGTGAGGGGGTTGGTGGCCATGATGTCGACTGTTGGATTCTGGGCGGGTTTGTGCTCTAACGAAGTATTAGTCGACGATAACCTCAAGATATTTTAACCTGCGGGTTGCACAAGACGATTTGGATCGACAACGGGATGGAAGGAATACCAGTTGGGTCTTGTGACGTGCGAATGCAAGGTCGGCGTTCACTGCTGACACTTCTCCAAAGCTGGACGAAGAAGACGAAGCAACACGTCTCAGTGTCGATGAGTCCCTCAACAAAGTGGACCCGACGAAGCGGAAAAGGCACTGGAAGAAAGCAGCGACTCGGCCTCAGACGACTTTGATTAAGCACAACCGACCCTGTATATATAAACACCATGGTCCAAGCGCTCGCTCATCTTGGAAGGATTGCCCTCCGGTCGTCCCAAGTCATCAAAGACCTCACCACTCACTTCTCCTGTGATGCCCAGACCCAGCGCGCACCTAATTCCTCCACTTACATCTCTCCACACCGCGAGGGCCGCCTCCAGGCTTTCCCCCAGCTTTCAGGTCCGCCGCCCACTCCTTCAATCGGCCTGCGGCGCGGCGCACATGCCCGCCTGCCAGTGGTGGAGAAATCGAGCATCATGCTCCGGCGTGGCATTGCCAAGATAACTGGCGGGATGCTCACGCGCGTCCACTGGGCATCGAGGCAGCCAAACGCTCGTTTGGATGAGATGTACATGGTTGGTCCGGCGGACGCGTGAGAGGCCTGGGGCGACGAAAGCTGGGGTAGGGGCGCGCTTTACTGCGATGGGAAACGCTACGCTACGCTTGGTCCCGTTCATTTAACCGTCAAATGTGGGCAGGCCGCTCGGGGGAGTGGAGGCCCCACGGCGCCATCGAATGATGGCTTCGATCTGATCTCCTCTGAATCGCTCTGTTCTGAAGCGAAAAGTTCTAAATCCCCAAGGGCTCGTCCGATCATCGTTCAGGCTATTTCTACAGTGGAGCTCCCTCGGGATGTGGAAGCTAGCGACCTTATCTGCCGTAGGGAACCATAGGTGAGTACACATGGCGCTGTGTTGTGGATACCGCCCTGAAGATAAATGGGTAGATTGCACGTGCTTTGCGTGCATCCAGGCAAAACAGACGTGCATATGAGATTGTGCCAGAGCGGTAGAAGACGTCTAGAAAAGTCGTTGACCCAAACGCCTCCACTACACCTTTTGATCCTACACTTTGCGGTTGGCTCTCGAGTGAGCGCAACTCTTCAGGACAAACAGATCGGGCTTTGGAGAGAACTGTCGGCCTTTGTATCGCGGTGTTTGGTTCGGTTCTCGGGCGAATATCACACCACAGCTGCACCAAGACCTCGGCAGCCATTTCCACGACCCTTCGTGTTGTAGAAGCTTATCGCGACCTGCTCTATTCCGTGATCTTACCTAGAAGAAACAATGTCAGCCAAAGTCGCAAACGCAAACCGCTCACACCCTCTTCATCCTTTCCACTCCAATCCTCTGCAGACTCGAGAAGATGTTGTTGCAGCCGTCGCGTCATTGCTCGAGCCCCTCCATGGTGGGGCATCACCCAAACATTCCATGGTAAAAGTTGGATCTACTGGAACGAGATTCGATGAGACTGCTGCACAGGTGGAAGGCTACGCAAGACCGCTGTGGGCGCTTGCACCGCTGCTTGCGGGTGGTAGCACGTATCCTGGTACAGATAAGTTCGTCGCAGGTCTTGTAGCTGGGACGGACCCCGAGAGCGAAGAGTTCTGGGGCTACATGGAAGACCAGGATCAGAGGATGGTGGAGGCGTGTCCGATCGGGTACACACTTGCCATTGCGCACAAGGACTTTTGGGACCCTCTCACCGACAAGCAAAAGAAGAACATCGAGGCGTGGCTGGGCAGCATGAACGACAAGGATATGCCCAACACGAATTGGCTGTGGTTCCGCGTGTTTGCGAATCTGGGGCTTGCGGCCAACGGCGCGAAATGGGACAAGGAGAGGCTGGAGAAGGATATCAAGCAGCTGAATACGTTTTATCGGGGTGATGGATGGAGTAACGATGGGCCGGAAGGGTATCGCCAGATGGATTACTATTCTGGCAGCTTCGCGATCCAGTATCTGCAGCTGCTGTACGCAAAACTCGCTGCCGACACCGATCCTGCGCAAGCAGAAGAATACAAATCCCGCGCACGGCAGTATGCCCTCGATTTTGTGCACTACTTCGACCCCGAAGGCCGTGCCATCACGTTTGGCCGCTCCCTCACCTACCGCTGGGCCATGGTCGCCTTCTGGGGCTCCGTCGTCTTCGCCGACGTAGAACTGCCTGAACCGCTCTCCTGGGGCGTAGTCAAGGGCATCTGGCTCCGCAACCTGCGCTGGTGGACGACCCAAACAGACATCTTCCAGTCCAATGGCATGCTTTCCATCGGCTACTCCTACCCAAACACGTATCTGGCAGAAAACTACAACTCCCCCGGCTCCCCTTACTGGTGCATGCTGGCCTTTGCGCCGCTCGCGCAGCCCGAGACACATCCCTTCTGGCAAGCAAAAGAGGAACCTCATCCCTTTGCCAACGAGAGAGTGGTCCGCCCGCTCCCCCATCCGAGACACATCGTCGTCCGCTCCGGCGGCCACTCGTTCCTCCTCAGCAGCGGCCAAAGCTGCCACTACCCGCTCAAAAACACGCAAGCCAAATACGGCCGCTTCGCCTACTCCTCCGCCTTCGCGTACTCTGTCTCGACAGGCTCGTACACGCTCGAACAGTTCGTCCCCGAATCCTCCCTCGCGCTGAGCGACGACGGCGGCGAGATCTGGAAGATGCGTCGCGCGCTTAACGGTGACTCTGAGATTGAAACTCATGACGGTGTGCCCGTCTTGGTCAGCAGCATGAAGCCCTGGCCCGACGTCGACGTCCTGACGTACCTCGTACCGCCCGCAGAGGACACACCCAACTGGCACATACGCGCGCACCGCGTGCGGACCAAGCGCGACGTGCTCACGACCGAGGGCGCGTGGGCCGTCTACGGGTGTTGGTCTGAGACGGGGCGCAATCTGATTGCGCTCGACGGGTCGATTAAGCTCGACGAAGCGCTCTCTGAGGGCTGCACTGCGGATGCGACATCCGCGTTTGCGGCGAGCAGGTCTGGTGCTGTGGGTATTGCAGACTTGGTGCTGGATGAGAGAAAAGGCAGTATTATTCTTGCGGATGCGAATAGCAATCTTGTGGAAGCACGCACTGTGTTGCCGACGGTGCAGAAGGCGCTTGAGGCGGGGTCGACGACGTGGTTCGTTACCGCGGTGTATGCGCTGCCGGCTAGCGTCGAGGGGTGGAAGGAGCAGTGGAAAGATGGGTGGGGGAAGAAGCCGGTGGTGCCAAAATGGTTGCAGAATAAGGTGGAGGGCAGGTGGGATTAGATAGGGCGATGAGATGTATAGACGGCCTTTGAACAGTGCAATGATAGACTGTGTTGGGAAATGCGATTAACGACAAAAACTTCGAGGCTAGAATATTCTGGAAATCTGAATTTGCTATAGCACTCAACAGTGTTTAGGGGTATCTTAGTTTACAACATAAAAGTACAGCCGCTTCGAGCCAGAAAGGTGGGTCAGGCTGATTGTGACTGCACATCCAGTCCCAGTTCCAGGCCCGACAGGGGTGTCCAAACGGACTAGATTCAAACATTAAGGAAATGGTGTGCGAGCTTTGTACAGTGCGTGCATGTGAGCAACCGACCGGGGTATTGTGTTTAACAAAGGAAAGATTCGTAGGACGTCGAGATCGCACTGGACGTATGGTGCCGGTTGCGCCGATGTAAAAAGACAGCCGTGAACAGGGAGATCGAACGCCGAAGCCAGGAAACGCCGGTTTGGTCTGTGATGTAAAACAAGGAAAATGGAGTAGTATGGTGGAAGAGAAAAAGGTTATGTGTTATAAGGGTGATGCTAGAGGCGATATGAAGCTCTCCAAGCCGGATATGGCAGATTTTATTCCATCGAGATCGATCCCACTGTCTCGATCCGGGTGGAGAGGCGGTGAGCCGTCCATTGGATTTGTCTCTCGATGGGGAGGACTCCATGGGCTCAACAGTCCATGAGACTCCTCGACTTGGTCTGCTTCAGGCTGCTCTTCCGAGCTCAAAACGCGTCCTCCAAGCTGCACATCGCTGACACGGACTTGGTATGCAAGTGCTTTTTGTCCGTCCTTGATGAGCTCTTCTGTCCAATTCAAACAACGCTTCAAGCTCTGGTTCATCTTCGCGCTGTCAGCGAGCAGCTCGCGGTGTTTCGAAAGATCTAATCGTAGTCGCCTCTCGTCGCGTATTCGGTGGGCTTCATCGCGTTCTGCTAGTGCGCCTTCGCTCATGATGCTTTCGTCGAAGGAGGAGTCGCTATGTTCCTCAGACTCAGCTTCTTCCGGCTCTTCTTCCTCTGACATGTCTGATAGATCCCCCAATTCAGCAACGCCGACGGCAGAGAATTCTTCTAGATTGGAAACGGTATCTGCAGAGAATCGACCAGCTCGACTCATGCGTCGAAATCGTCGTAGCTCAGCTTTCTGCTTCCGCATCTCCCTTTCAAGTGATCGATTGATGGCCATTAGAGAGTTGTTGCTAATCTCCAGGTCAAGCACTTTCCGCTCGCGTCGTGCGTTTGCGGCTAACTCATTCATGTGTTCCAACATGCTCTTTCCTGCTGGTCCAAGTTTGGTGGGGCTGACAGCATTGGAAGAAGGTAGGCTTGACAAGGCTTCTGCCGGGACAGATGCTACGCTTTCCGGAAGCGAACCAGTGCTCACGACTCGTTTCTCATTATGAAGCGGACTAGGCGTAATATGAGGTTGGTCAAGAGACGGTACCTTCTTCAGTGACTGAACGGAGTCGATGGAGCTGAGGCTTGCGCTTTTGGCATGACTGAAGCGAACAGCCGAAGTGACACTCGATCGTCTCGTCGAAGTATCAGCTCCGACTTCGGGGCCGTGAGATCCGGAGATGATAGAAAGAGCCGAATTCCTAGTATGGAGGTTGGGTCTGATGACCTGAGACGCACCTCTTCTATATGAAAGGTGTATGTTTTCCTTCGAAGGAGATGGTGGGCGTAAAGAGTGCTGACTATCGGCAGGATGGAGACTGGACCAAGGTTCGGGGGATGCGGACATTGGTGGAGGTGTCAGCACTGGCGGGCTATCCCTGGTGTCCGACAGCGAATCTGCATGGAAAAACTTGCTCTCGGTCTGCATTCTCCCTACAGCAGACAATGGCGGAGAAGGTACAGTGGGCGAGGGCGCACTCGCATCCTGCTTACCATTGGCGTAGAAGAAGACAGGCGCCTTCTTCTGCGGCGGCTGTTGCGGCTCTGGCGTTGTACGAGCTTCGTTGGCATGGAAGAACATGGGCGAGGCAGACGCTCCCCGCGCGCCTGGCGCCTCTGGAGCATTGCTGTATATGTTGGATAGAGGCAGTCTTGGCATAGAGGTGACGTTGTGGCCGTTCGCTCCTACCGTGCTTTTCGGCCGCCTCTGGACGCCTCCAAGCGCATTGGGTGCGTTTCCAACATGGCCGTAGTCTTTCTGCGGAAAATCGACGGTAGATGCTGGCCGGGAAACGACAGGAGTGGTGGCGGGCGTGCCGCTTGGGGTCGAGTTCGCGCTACCTGTGCCGACGCGCGATTTTCTCGAAGACGAGCGTGGCGTGACATTGCTGCTAATGAAGGCCTTTACCGGCGTGACATCTTCGTACACCGCCGTGTTCACCCGGGGAGTACTTCCAACGGCGCTGCGAGTAGTGCGGCTGGCCGGTGTGCTGGTGACCGAGGGTGCAAGTCGAGGGGCAACGGGCGTCTTCGACGTGCGGGTGGTAGCGAGAGTGGGCTTCAGCGGCGGCCGCGAGGTGTTGTTGTTTGTGCGGTCTATGGGCATCGTCCGCAGCGATTATGTTCGGTCAGAGCGTAGGTCGACGGGTTCGAGGGGTGGGCATGGCCGTGCGAGGCGGCAATGGGCGGTTGCTGGGCGGACGTGGGCTTGTTGATGTCTGGTATCTGCGGCCAAGACGGCGGCGTCGAAACAGCCAAAATAAAACGGAGTCACGGTGTTTGAGAGCTGCCTGCACAGCTACGTCGGGGTCCAGTGAAGTGAAGAGAGAGTGGCGCCCATGGTGAGGCGGTGACTGGTGTGGGGGGTTTTCGGATCAGTCCCTTTGTTGTTGTGGCCATGAGATCTGGTTGCCGGTAGGAGGCCCCATTGCGGCTCGAGCCTGGCCTGCATTAGCCCGATGCATCCGTAGCGCGTCCGGCGCGTCATTCACTAAGAGTTATTCATCTCTCGCGACTCCACATGTACTATGAACAGCACACCTGTGCCTGATGCTCTTTCGCCGCGTTCTCTCAATGCGTGCACAGTGGCAGAGCCTTTCCGGCCGACCGCCTCGGCTTCGCTCGGCATCAATATGACCCAATCTGGCGTGCCAGTACCCAACCCGCCCACAGAATCGATGCCTCCACCTGCTATCGAACCCCTCGATGCTCGCACGCGTCCGCAGCACTCGCGCACCCCCTCCGACGAACATGACAGCCTCAAGTATCATCTCTTGGGCCCGTCGCTTACCAAAGCCGGCCAGGACAGCGTAGACCAGCAAAAGGTGTCCGAGGTCATATACAATGCCTCCAAGGGCAGCAAGTTCTTCAACAATGAAGAGGTCAGGGACCGCGTGTTGACGGAGAAGATCAACAGGATACTGGCAAAGAAGCGCCAGCTAGATAAGGTGAACCTGACTTTAGAACTGCGACGCGCCGACGACTACCTTGCAGAGCTGGAATTAGGCAGGGACCTCAGCCAGGTCGTAATCCACATCGACTGCGATGCTTTCTATGCTGCAGTGGAAGAGCTCGATCGACCGGAGCTGCGAGATGTTCCCATGGCTGTTGGCAAAGGTGTCCTCACTACCTGTAATTACCATGCACGCAAGTTTGGCTGCCGGTCCGGCATGGCTGGCTTCGTGGCCATGAAGCTGTGTCCTCAGCTCATATGCGTGCCCATGAACTTCGCCAAGTACACGGCCAAGGCGGAAGAGGTGCGCGCAGTTCTCGCCCAATATGATCCGCGCTTCGAAAGTGCAAGTTGCGACGAAGCATATCTGAACATTACCCAATACTGTGAAGAACACCACATGGAGCCAGAAGATGTCGTTAGCCAATTACGAGCCGAAGTGCACGAGAAGACGAACATCACCGTATCAGCGGGCATTGCCGCAAACGCGAAACTAGCCAAGATATGTAGCAACAAGAACAAACCAAACGGGCAGTTCAATCTTGTCAGAGATAGGCAAACCATTATGGAATTTATGAAGATACTACCTACTCGCAAGGTCAACGGCATCGGGCGAGTGTTTGAGCGGGAGCTCGATGCAATCGGCGTCAAGACGTGTGGAGATATCTACGCTCAGAGGGCCTACCTTTCTTCTCTGTTTGGCCAGAAAGCCTTCCAGTTCTTGATGCAGTGCTACCTGGGGCTCGGTCGAACTCAGATACAGCCGGCCGAGGACTATGAGCGGAAAAGCGTTGGCACCGAGACTACATTCAGAGAGCTTAGTTCTCCGGACAGCCTACGACAAAAGCTGAGGGATATTGCAGAAGAGTTAGAAGGTGACATGAAACGCACAGAGTTCAAGGGACGTACGCTATGCATCAAGATTAAGCTGCATACATACGAAGTCTACACGCGGCAAATGACGCCTCCGTTTGCGATCCACCGTGCAGATGATCTATACAAGTACGGTCTACCGATGCTGGAGAAACTCATGAAAGAGATGCCGAACTTCAAACTTCGTCTGATGGGACTGCGATGTACCCATCTCGTCAGCACAAAGAAGCCCGGCATCGACTTCTTCGGCCGCCAACGAGCCCAGGCCACTTCAAAGCCAGTTGCGCAGAGTGACACTAAGGCTAAGGACGGTGAATGGGAAACATGGCCTGAAGAGGAGTTTGAAGAGGCCGCTCGACAGGAACGGGACGATGAGATGAACGAGCTGGAAAAGCTGTCACAAGAATACAATGAACAGGAAAAATCAACAGATAAGACGCCAAGGGAACCCAAAGCAGCAGAAGAGGAACCGTGGACATGTCCCATCTGCACACTTCCACAGCCCCCAGACGATGCGACGTTCAACGCCCATATCGATTACTGTCTCTCCCGGCAGACAATCAAGGAGGCCGTCAAGGCAACGGCACCTACGCCCGCCGCGTCAAAACCGCAGCTGATTTCTTCTAAGCACTCGCTAGTCAAGGCGAAAGGTAAGCGGGGCCGTCCGAAAAGCGAACACGGTGGTTTGGATGAGAAGACGCGGGAGAAGCGTAGAGCTTTCTTCACGATGCCGGCGGGATCGACGTCGTGATGGGCGTCGAAACAGAATGTTTGTACACACCAATACAATCATTGTGTTGACTGGATCGTTTTCCATAATAAGCGCTTGCTTTTTTTCTACTCTAAATTGGTCTTTTGAGAGACGCATCCACAGCACTCCGCATTACGAATCAATGACACGACCGCCACATTCACCCAAATTTGTGCCGAACACCACGAAATTATCATCATCTTATCAAATCTACACCACAACGATCAGCCCTACAGAGTTTAAAAGAGACCACAACGTAAACTTACTTCTTAAACCACTTAATCCACTGCGATGTAATGCGCGTGTCATTCAAACTCCCGCGCGTCGTGTAATTCACAAAGTCCAGATACTCCGAGACACTAATGTTGCCGCTGCCAGAGGTATCGACCTTGTCGAAGAGATCCGGGATGCTATCGTTCATGACCGCCGCAGCAGGGCCGTGGCGCCTGAAGAGGGGCGAAGCCGGCGTGGAGTGCTTTTTATTGGAGTGACACGCTATGTGTGCTTGCATCGCTGTTCTGATCGTAGGAAATGGTCGATCGTTTTACTGCAAGCATCGATCGACAAGTTATGGGAAAACAGGACTTTGACTCCTAACGTGTACTCATTTACCAGCACTGGGGCCGCGGGATAGATGGAGCATAATCGCTTCGTGACATCCTTCTTGGTGTTCCCAGGGTGTTGGTCGTGAGATGGTTACTTACCTAAGTCTATTACTACGAATACTAGCTTTATCTATTGGTGATGTTACATTTGTGTGGTCCATAAATACGGAGAAGACTCAAGCTACTGTTGCCGTAGCAACTTGCGCATGGAGTGAAGATTATCTCAAGGTGAACAATAACTGATAAATAACATTCACTTGAAAACGAAGAAACCGCGCAGATTAAGTTCAGTCACTGAACGACAGAAGCTGTCCAGGTATATATATTATTGTCATCAAGTCTATCTTCGTACGATACCCAGTCTACATGTCAACTGGCGGGTTGGTTACCTACGTGTACTATAACTTGAACTTTAGGTGATCCTGCCTGACTCATTCAGCTTCGGTTCGAGCCGCGGGCAGTCAGGAGCCTACTGTTCTTTTTGCTCCCAAGGCATCGCTTGGCTTTTTCGTCCGAGTGAGACGCCACACATCGGTGTTATCGTACTTGCGGCGGCTCTGGCCAACTACCGACTTTGTCAATACGTACGCAATAGGTATATTGCGAATAGTCAAATGGTCGAGAACGTGAAGCATCGCGCAAGTCTTCTTTCACTACAGAACTCTCTACCCTTGCTTACAAAGTCGTTGGTCTGGTTAACGTCTGCACCGTCAAGCGTGTCTCGGTCTGATTCAATCGTCATCTAAAGCGTCGAGGCTGAGTCTATCGCTTTACAAAGGCTTAGATGATCATCTATCGTTCATGCTTGGCTAAAGATACATTTTGCCTAATCGCCTTCTCAGTTGTAGTCGCAGCGATAGACGAAGAAGCTCCATTTTCTATTGTGTGGTCCTGAATACATAATCGTTCCGTGTCTAGGGACGTGGCAGTTTGCATCAAATTTAATTGATGGAGATGAACATATCAAGCAATCAATTGGTATATCCTAAGACGCCATCGCTATGCAAAGACCCAAACCACAATTCTCCCTCTCCACCCCACCTAAACCACCAACCCCTCATCCCCTCCAACCAGCACTCCACCCCCGTAACATCCACCACCTCTCCCTCACTCAAGCTCACAGCCCCATCTTCCATCCCAAACACCCACCCCTTCGACCCATACCCAATCTTCGCCTTGCACACAACTCTCCAGTCGTCCTGCGCTACAGCCCGCGTTGGGGTTGAGAGATCATTTCCTTTGGTTATTTCTGCGATCTCGATGGCCTGAATACGGAGTGGTGCGTGATCCATTGAGAGGGTCTGCCCGACGGAAACTTGTAGGGTTTCGGTGGAGGCTTGCAATGTGTGTTGGATGGAGTTGCTGGAGTCGTGGTAGGCGGGTGTTGGAGTAAGGATGCGGAGGGCCACTTTTGACTCTGGGATATGGCAGGGTGCCGCAGCTGTGAGAGCGAGGAGGGATGCGATGACGATGGGTTTCATTTTGTTGGCTTTGTGATATTGCGGTTGCTTGTGGGGAGTGACGGCGACGTTGAAGGAGCACTTGGGCTGGGTGTGTATCGTCGCGGAGAAGGAGTGTAGGAGACCGCGTGGACGTGATGCGCAGTCTAAAAAATGAATGACTGGACGAGTTGGTGGTATGATTTTGCCTTCCCAATTTCTTTTGCGACCAATTGAGGACTGGTCTTGCTACCTGCCGTACTCAGGTGTTTTCTTGTTAGACACGATCATCACCCTATATGTTTTCTCACTGCCCGCTGCGCCGCGTAACTACTCGTTCGCATAAGCCTTGAAACATTGCCATGGCCATTCAGCGCGCATAGAGACGTTTCGTTTGATGGACAGCTGCTGGCATTGTTTGGCGTTTATGGCATCGTTCATGCCGTGTAGCCAGTAAGAGTTAGTGAGCCGCGTAGTCATGAAACGAACCGGGGTCCGCTATTCATGCAGCGGACAGTTAAGCGAGAGAGACCGGGGAGTTTCGCCACTCTTAACGGAACGATAGACACAGGTACAAGCTCGAGGTCACAAATATAGACGGCTCCTTGTATTGACGGGTCGAGGGCCGTGAGATAAATGACGAAGCTTCGCGGTACTTCTAGGCATAATGAACACGATGAGAGCATCATGCGATATATACACTTCAGCTACGGGATAATCCTGTGCACTAAGTATTGGAGGTCATGGTATGAAGATAGAGAGCAGTGAATGCGCGGCGAAAATGACATTTGATGATATTCAATTTATGCGGCTGGATAAGAGCATTTGTCGTCTATTGCGCTACTTTGAATCCTCTCATGATCTTCTCCATCATATCTATGCCCGTCCGCTCTTCTGCAGTGGGGCCCTGTTCCTCTTTCTTCTCCTGGTTGAAACCGCCATCCTTCATGATGGACTCCATCATGCGTATGCCCTTCAGTTCCTGTAACGGCGGAATAAGCTCCAACGCCTTCGAGTCCACGGCGTCAAAGTCGACGCCTGAAGATGGCTTTACCGCTTCTTGTATCTCAAAGACCTTCTCAGGCGTAGCAATATAGTCGCACTGCACTTCGGCAGCCTTCTCGGGCTTGAATCGCTCGAGGCCTAAATCAGCCTCGTCGACAACCTGGCACGAGTGTGCGATGGCGACAACGGGTACCTGCTCCTGTATGACTTTTATATCGTGCAGAAGCGCCCATTGTACTTCGAAAAGCCCTTGGCCCTCCCAGACCACTACACCCTGCGTGTTGAAAGCAAGACCACCAAGGACGCAGAGATCCACCTTGATGCCTTCTTCCTGTAGCTGCGCGAGAGACAGATGGCGTCCGATTCCAGGTCTCTCCATGCCGTCTAACCAGCTCGCCGCTTGTAGGTCTGCCTCTCCGATTCTCAGCGGGCTAAGCAGCACAAATCCTCTGCGTAGCCTATACGTCCCTACGAGCACCTTCTTCCCGTCCTTGAGTGCTCGGTACCTCAGCTCTTCCAGGCTTCCATCCGGCGTGGCCAGGATAGTGGTAGCTGCTTGATAACATGGCAATTGGACCAGGCGGTCAACGGCATATGACGAACCGCGGAAATCGGGGGTAAACGAGAGGAAGTCGTTGTGGAAGCGAGAATCTGGCTTCGCGTGCTTGAGCAGTTCTTTGTAGACGCGGTGCCAGATCAACTGCCTGCGTTCGGCATGAAGCGAGGGATTCGCCGTCATTGGAGCGGAGGGTTAGAGCGAGCGAGTGACGTGTAAACGATCGTGGTCTGCGTTCGGAGGGGAAGAGGCAGAGAAGCTGCAGCTGCGCAGGCTGCGCAGGCTGTACTGGGGGTGTCGGGGGCAAAAATTGATCGCTCGAGACATGCCGCAAGTGGACGATGGAGGGGCATCCAGCAACACGAGGCAGGCGTCATCGCAATGATATCCCTGATTATAGGCGACCAACGACAGGGTGCACTTCCATCGCCAGTCGCTCGTTGCTCGAGAATGTTTCGTTCACGAGTAGAGCGGAATCCTTGAGAACATCGTCGCGAGTTGCGCGGACAGCGCGCTTTTCCGTCGGATATAAAGCATGCATTTCCGAACCGGATCTACATTTGGGTGCGAGATGCGACCTCGTCATCAACAATACCATTTGGGGTATGACTCCTTCGCACTGTATAAATCGTTGCTACATTCTGATCGGTCGCGGAACTCTTGGAAGGTAGAAAGAGGTGCCTTGGCTAGTTCTAGCTTCCTCGTGCGTCTCCAATGGCTTCATCTCCGGACATCGTAATCAAGACGAGCAGCGGGGTACTGCAGTCGGACAAAGTCGAATTGCAAGCCCCCCAGGAATTGTGAAACGGATAGCAAAGCTCTGCACGAGCCTGTGGAACACTATGTGGTTTCCAAAGATCAAAGTTCCGAACAGCAACCATGCTCGAACGAGGAGCCACCCCAAACAACTCGACAAAAGATAGTAAAGAACTTGAAATGGCTAGTCAAAGATCAGTGGTTCCTCATAGCCATGAGCATAATCATCCTCATAGCATCTCAAGTGCAGGTCCCCGAGTCCCAACAACGCGTCAAGCGAACCGTCGTAACTTACCTCTCCGTGAGCGTAATCTTCTTCATCAACGGCTGCACGCTCTCAACACGCGTCCTCTTCGATAACTACAAAAAATGGAAAATACACGCCTTTGTCCAGCTCCAGTGCTACCTCGTCACTTCAGCTGCCACCTTCGCCATCGTCAGCCTCTGCGCAACAACAAAGTCCTTTATGGACCCCTGGCTCCTCATCGGCTTCCTCTTCCTCGGTAGCGCGCCCACGACAATGTCCTCCAACGTTGTAATGACGCGGCAAGCCCACGGCAACACCGCACTCACCGTCGTGCAATCCGTAATCGGGAACTTCCTGTGCCCATTCCTGACGCCCATCCTCCTGCAAATGTACCTATCTAGCGGCGCCTGGTACAGCAAAGTCCTCGTCAGCGGTGACAACTACGAAGAAATCTACCGCCGCGTTTTCCAACAACTCGGTCTCTCGCTCTTCCTCCCCATGGCAATCGGCCAAATCGTCCAATACCTCTTCCCTAAGCCCACGAAAAAGATTTTTGTAGACTGGAAACTCATGAAACTATCTTCCGTCGCGCTGCTCTCCCTCGTGTGGCAGACTTTTGACCAAGCCTTCCGCTCTGGCGCGTTTGACTCGGTAAAGCCGTCGAATATCGTCTTCATCGTCTTCATCAACATCGCGCTGTACTTTATCTGGCTCGGCATATGCTTCGCCGCGAGTACGATCTGGCTGGACAAACGCGATGTGATTGCGTGCTGTTATTGCTGCCCGAGCAAAGCGCTGTCAATGGTAGTGCCGCTGAGCTCGGTCATGTATATTAATGTGAGTCCGATTAATCAGTCGAAGCTGCAGATTCCCGCGATTATCTTTCAGGCGCTGCAGGTGGCGATTGGAGGAATCCTGACGGTTGTATTTCGGAGGTGGATAAGTCCTGTCGCAGAGGAAGATAGTGGAGGGAGGGCAGAAGAGGGGGAAGGTAAGCGAGAGAGCGCGCAGGCTCAGGGGACTGGACAGTCAAATGCTGAAGCTTGAACCAGTTGTAGTCACTATGCTGGGCAACATAAGGTACCCAACGCTCCAAGCTGGAATCCGCATTATATAGTTGAACGTCAGTCATTCATAGTCGTTCGCGAACTCCATTAGAGATCATTCAGGATACACTCCTTGGAGTCAACACAAGCTCGTAGTCCACCCGCAAAACATCCGTCAATTACCGCTCCTCTCCAATATTCTCATCACCCTCCAACTCCACACAACTATGCTCCTTCCACAAATGCTCGACCAGAGCCCTCACCTCTCCACAGACTGTATCCGCCTCTTTCCACCTACTACACAGCATACATGCAAACCCTCCGCCCATTCGATGACACTTCACCAAGAACCTCATTCCAATCAGGAACGTTCGGTGACCCCCCTTCCGCTGTTCATCTTCCTTTGGGATTTCCCACGCTTTCGTCGGGTTTGTGGATATGTGCTCATGACAGTACGGACAGCAGCCATTACCGCCTGACTTGAATGTGTCGGCGAGAGGGAGGGACGAGTTGCGCTGGAGGTTGCGAGCGTAGAGGCAGTAGAGATCTGGTGACTCCTTCGTATTCCGTATGGGACTACGGGATGCAGAGCGATGGTCAATGTGCTTCACGAGCTTGGTTTGGTGTTCGTGCAGGACAACGTCGTGGGGTTGGTGCACTATAGGCGACGTGGGAAAGTCTTCCGGGAGTAGACGAGCCGTATGTGTGGGTATTGGTGATGGTAACATGCGTTGGGACTGCATCACAAGTGCATCGATGACTGCTACGCGAGCGGCGCGCGTTGTGTGGACGAGTTCTTTTAGATGGTACGATGGAGGATGGCGCGAAAACTCGGGGTCTAGTATGATGTCCTCATATGTATAGAGAAGTCTTTGTTGAAGAGCAATGATCTGTGCTTGTAGTTGGTTGCGTGTTATCACTGGGAGAGATCAGTCACTGCAGACGCAGAGAAAACCGGAATTGGACGTACAGTCTCCAACAGCATACTTCTCGCCTATGCGATGGTAGCCTCGGTCATACTCCGCGCGAACGAGCTCATACGCATGCTCGATAGACTCTTTGCCGCTGTCGCAGGACTCCTCTCGTCGATGCCTACTTCGACTCCGCCATCGGCGGTCGTGCCGGGCCTCTTCAGAGCGCGCATCCCCTTGACGAGGACGTTCAGGCTCAGGCAAATGCTCTTCAATCTCTTGCTTGATATCTTCTTTGAGGCCTTTCTTGGTGTTCTTGGTTTTCTTCTTCAGCTTTCGATAAAGGTTACCCGCTGAACCGAACGATTTTGCTAGCGTAGTAATGAGCGTGACGACGACGACGATGTCCTGCAGTACATCTTTCGTCTACAGACGGCAGTCAGCGTATGGCGACCAAGGGGCGATGCTTCTGCAAGAAGCCCAACATACATCACCGATTTCCTTTTTGTAGAGCATATCTGGCATGACGGCGTAAGGAAGAAAGAAACATAGGTCCTGCTATGAAATGATCAAAGGTAAACATTGCGCAGAGTGGGAGGACGCGTGGGTGCACAGCCGTCTTGAGGTTGACCGGTTGGTCAGGCACCGGCAGCGGCTGACCGTCCTCGTCTTACGATGTTACTGCACGGGGCCGAATTCCGTGGCTGCTGAGCGATAAAGCTTCCGCATGAGTGGACGCATTGCTATTACCATATTGCGCCTCATTCAGTAGCGGGTATTGTTGTTCGCAGTACCAGCGTCTACATGGAGCAGCAGCTGAGAAGCCTCCAGTACTACTGACGTTCTGCTTCGGTATGAATCGTAGGAAGCAGGCCACTGAGAAGTGACCATGTGCGCATCTGTTCATTCGGCTCCCCTCCGCCCCCAAGAAGTGCACCCATGAACTTACATGTAGCAAAGTACCTCATAATTTATAGACAGGAAGCTGTGGTTATGTGGATGTCGAATGAGTGAAAGTACGCTATCCTATTTGAAGATTAGCTTCGACCTGAGCTGCCGAGGTCCACACTGCCAGAGCTCTCTTCTCATCCTCCTATTTACCACGCGCACAAGATAGCAGCACAATCTAAGCGACCACTACCTGCTGTTCAATCCTCACATCCAAACTCTATACATTCCACCATGGCTACCCATCTGGTTTACGCTCTAGCTTGCAACCTAGAGCAAAAATAGAGTAGTTCAATGACGTAGTACATCCAGAGCTCACGGAAGGCGACCTTCGTACTTTTTGTTACTCACTAACGCGACGCCCATCGCTCCCACTGACACCTACAGCTACAACAACAATGCAGCCCCGACCAACCCACTCCGCAATAACCACCTTCATCACCACCCTCCTCCCCCCAAAACCCAACGACGTGCAACTCCTCTACCACGTTCCCCAGCACCCACGATACGCTCCTGACACTGCGCGCATAGATCAAATAGTCCTAAGCGTGGCCCCCACGCCCGGCGTCTACGACTTCATTGGCTATGGACCTCCGAAAGACCCAGCGCCAGCGCAACATGGCGAGATGGCTCCTCGCCTACCGCGCACACTGTGTTTCCTGCATCGCCCATTTACGCTCGACCGCCGGCGCGTAAGGAGAGGTACACTCGTGCTTGCAAGCCACACGTCGTTTGACGAGAATCTGACTGTGGGGTGGAACGCCGCATTGGCCGCACAGCTGGGCATGGATCTTCAAACGAGCGACTGCGTGCAGGGTTACAAGGGCGATCCTGAGAGGAAGATTGGGATTGTGGGGCGGACGGCGATGACAATGGGAGCCGTGGATAAAATCTTACGAGAGCAGTTTGGCCCGTTTGAGTCGCGGCTTGTGGGGTCGGAGGAGGAGCGCATAGATGTTGTGGCGATTATGAATGCGTTTAATCCGGGCGAGGTCGACCGTGTGTTAGACATAGCAAAGCAGAGAGGGTGGATAGCGTCTGCAGAGCAGGGAGGCGGCAGGCATGTGCTGTACCTTACGGGACAGCCACGCGAAAGTGGGATGGCTGTGGCGAAGGAATATGGGGTTCAGGTGGTGTGTGTGGGACATCGCGCCGCAGAGGAATGGGGCATCCGGTATATGTCGAGACGGCTGAGGGAAAACTTTCCTGGCGTGGATGTGAAAGAGATATACGAAGAGGAAGAGCCTCGGACGAAGGATGTACGGAAGGAGGAAGCATCTCGCGGATGATCAACATTTGCTTGCCTTAGTGCATATTGAAGTGAATCTGACTTGAATCGTAAGTACCTCAGGCTTGAGGATCAAGAGCTTCCTAATCAAAGCTTCCTGGCGGGGTAAACCTGTGATCTGGATTAAGAAAGTTGTAAATTGTCTATTTGACAGGACGTTCAGTCATTGTATGCCCGTGATTCCTTTGTTTACTGGATTCATTCCCATGACCCCGATCGACACTTGGTACCACGGGAAAGCTTTTCCAGGGTTTACATTCGTTGATCACACCTGCCCCATTTGGCTCAGGAAAAAGAAAGCACACTTGCAATAAGGCGCTCTCCCAAAGGAAATTGCTCGGAGTCGTACACGATCGAGCATGGGTACTTTCAACGATGTCTCTCGAAGAGACCCATGTTAATGTAGGAAATGGATGGAGTCGGCCCGATACCGACTGCCTATGATGGCCATAGCCGAACCCTAACTCGCAGCCCCTCTCGAATGCAAGAACAAGACGTAGCATATAAGTGGAATAATGTTGGAGATCTCACTCCACTCTGTGGTCGTGGCGCGTGAGGGGCGAGTGGCGTCTACGGAAATGTGATCCGCATCCTATTGTAATGACTGCGACTGCCCCCGATCCCCGCTTCAAGACCTCAAGCTGCACCAAAGTACATTATCATCATGGCATCTCCAGCACCGGTAGCGATCGTGACCGGCGGGAACTCAGGCATGGGTATGGGCATTGTAGAGCGCCTAGTTGCGAAAGGGTGGAGAGTTGCGATCGCCGACGTCAAACCAAATGTAAATTTCGGAGAACAGCTCGGCGACGCATCCAGTTTCTACAAGTGCAATGTTGCCGACTATGATAGCCAGGCGGAGATGTTTCAGCAGGTTTGGGATAAGTATGGACGGATTGATGCGCTGTGTGCCAACGCTGGGATTGTCGACAGGAGGCAAGTCCTATCTAGCCACTTCATCAGCCCCAATACAGCTAATCGTCAGTAGCTCCATTTACATCTTTGAACACCGGGATTCGGACAAGTAAGGGGAAGGTTCATGTCGGAATCCGTTGCTGAGTTTAGCAGGATTCCTCCAAAGCCAGACCTGTCGACCACAGATGTAGACTTCAAAGGCGTAGTGTATGGGACGCAGCTCGCCATCCATTTCATGCGCAAGAACAGCACTCCTGGTGGAAAGATTGTGGCGACAGCAAGCGTCGCTGCCATTGTACCGCACGAGACATACCCAGAGTATGATGGCGCCAAAGCAGCGGTGGTCAACTTTGTGAGAGCAACAGCCCGGATACTAAAGAAAGTATGCTGCACCGAGGGCTTCTGCAGAGGCTGTGGAGTGCCAAAGGCTGACTGCTCGTAGAAAGAAAACATCAGCATCAATGCCATTTGTCCGGGTATTGTGCACACGTCGATTATTCCGCAAGAAATGGTCGATGCTGTCTCACGCGACTGGTGAGTTGGTGAGCGGAGCAAGCTGTTTCACACTGACGATCATAGCATGACACCTGTGTCTACCATTGTCGCCGCATATGAGAGGTGTCTGGACGATTCATCGCTATTCGGAAAGGTCATCGAGTGCTCCACCGACAAACAGTTCGAGCTTAGGCCGCCGACTCTTGCAAACGGGCACTACTCCATAAGAGCCGTCACTGTGTGGGATCCGCTGTTCAAGATGTGGGTAGTACGTCCCGATGCGATGCCAGACTAACGATGTTGTAGGTACCACAAGGAGGACTCAGGTCTGCCGGATGCCATTCCGTGAAAGAAAGGGTGAGGGATAAGAGGGACGCATGAAGACGAGCACTGCTTTGGGTTGTGTTGTGGGTAGCACGAGCGCTGACTGGAAGGAAGAGGCAACGCCGCTCCTTAGATAGGGAAGTTGCATCCAGCAATACTGTATTTGGTCGCAACAGTTGCTTGTGACTGCTTGATCCATCATCCTCCTGACTGTTGCACCAGCAGTTGTCTGCAGTTGACGTTTGTGTCCATGGACGTACATATTCCCGATAACATGCATATCACCGATGCGCGATGCTGACCCTATATTTGGAGATCACATGGCCGTTGATTGGAACGTAGAAGGGTCGCACAAGCACCCCAACTGCGGGGGCGCGGGACCTAGATGAACGGGCAAGGGATCAGTTACACGGCATATGCCCACAGTGGAGGGTTAAAAGGTAACTGTATATGAAAATTACGACGCTCGGTGCGGGGAGGTACGACTCTGATATCTCGAAATCGATATAGCATGGACACGAGTATCATGTGGATTGCCCATTGCACGTAGCTGGGGTCACCCAGCTCGATGATAACGCGCACTTTGGAAGGAAGCAGACACAAGCAGTGTCGGCCCCATGGCTTGCAGAGGCTTGCAGAAGTCTAGGAAATGTAGGCAACCGAACGCTGCAACTAACGGTGAGCAGCAGCAAGTAAGCGCCGAGCACTTAGTCGTATGCACTAACAAAGAGGGCCATTTGCGATTGTTAGGTACTCATCAAAAGAGTGTTGTCAATAGTTCCACGCCGCACCGAAGGGATAAAGGCGTTCCAACAGATGTGGCTGCCACGAGAGGTATTGATGTAATCTGGGAGGAATGCACACCGAGACAAGCGCATTTCGGAAATGAGGGTTGGATTGGGTGGCTGGCTTCGAGGAGGTAGAGCATCTCGAAGCTCCATCGATGCTCAAAGACAGGATCGAATGACAAGCGAAAGAGGGGAGATATTCCAGAATGTGGGCATGGGCCAGGGTCGCGTCCATTCTCCAGGATCGGCTTTGAGATGGCATAACTAGGTGCTGCGCCATTATCCAGATTCCGGGGCAGCTGGAAGATAGATTGAGCTGTTGCTGCACAAGGCCGGTGAAGCAAACGTCTGCATCTGCGTGTGGTTTGGGGTCGCCGCGTGGTGGTGTGCGACCCCACCCATAGGGAGTCGTGGTTTGGGTGGCTCACTATTGGCTTGGCAACCCTGAAGGAAGCGCCGAAGGCAACTGAGTGAATGTGATATTGCTCACCCACAGACTGACCGACCGTGGTGGCCGCGCGTGCTTTGGTGCGTGGCTGTCTGCGGAGTCTTCTTCCATGTTCCGAGCGCCATGAGCACAGCATCAGCTCCGACGACACATGAGGTGGTTTGCACGTGTGCTTCACCACGGTTCGCCGACTCCCCTTGAGGGACCTTTCTGGACAAGTTGTCAAGGGGTGACGACTGCTTTCTGCTTCCTCTCAGCTCTAGCTCTCCCGGGAGGACCAGAGGCTAGACCTCGCCCAAGTGCTTGGTTATATTGGATGGCACGAGCCAGTGTCCGCCCCTGCACCCTCGACCACGGCGGCGCTTTACCCGACTCGCAGCCCGCCGAAAGCGCTGCCCATGATTTCCTCGAGCGTTTTATCCATGTCGAGCAGTCGGCAGCATGGTGGCTTGCAGTGTGCGCCGATTCAATGGCGCCATGCGCGCACTGTAATAAGGCGCGGCTGTCCCCCCGGTGGCACAGCCGTCCCAGTGCACACGGCTGTCCAAGAGAGCACGCAGATAACCACCGGCCAGCACCTTCAGTCCCCGTCGTGGTGACGATCGACAACAGACAAACTCCGCCCTTCTCCAGCTCTTCGTCGCTCCTTTGCCCAGTTCGACTTCCGACACGCCACCGGCCCGGCACCGTTCGGACGGACCACCGCCTTGCTGCAAGGGACGTTGCAGGTGAACTTCCACCTCCACTTCGACATCAGAGGGCCCAGTCCGTTGTTTGCACCACCACAACGGCCTCGCTCGTCAAACTGCACGCAGCGTCACGCTCACGGTCATGGTCTGCACGCTGCCACGAGGGGCTTGCAAGTAATTATAGAAGTGCTGGTGGGCCTTCGATAGACGCGTTGCGGGAATCAATTCTTGCGAAACGCGAAATGGGAGCCATGCTGTTTCACCATCAAGCGACCGCGGCAGAGCGCCATCGCCTCTTCAAGTCGTGCCGACGCAGCCTCTCCCAGCCTGCGAGAACATCTTCGCCCGTCCACCGCTTCCCTAGCTTGCTGTTGTTGCTCGTGGCCCTGCTATCGTGGGCGTCCCTGCTTGGAAGCGCAACTGCTGCCTCGGTACTTCCATATGGTGATCGCCAATATAGACCAAGATCTGCGCGCCTCTCCGAACCTCTCCAAGACACTCTCGTACCCGTGTGGAAGGGCCCTTCCCTCATAATCGACACCAGCGAGCCACCGTTTGTCGCGCCGTTCATGCCTCCAGCCTACCATGGAGACGCGACAAAGACCACCACCGCGCCGCCGTCCAAGAGATCTATCCAGACCGATCCCAAGGCCAGCGGCGATTTCCAGATTCCCACCGCTTTCGACTCGGCGCTGTCTAATAATTTCACAAACAGTTGCGCAACTTTCTTCAAGACCATGCTCACGAGCGAGACCGTCACCGGATGCCATCCGTTCTCCTTGATGCTACGGGTGCGTTGACCCCTTCAAATGCTGCTTGGACCGCGACTAACAACCTGCAGACGTCGAATTCACTCTTCAAAGCCTCCAAGTCGTTTGTCCGTATCACGCAAACCCTAGAGACAATGTGCGCCGCGAATTCGACACAATGCACAGTCGGCATGAACGATCTAGCTCGCCAACTTCTGACCAACGATGCCTGCAAAACCGACTACGACAACAACAACCCGCAAGTGGTACAGGCATACAATGGACTGATCTCGTATGAGCCAATGTACTCTGCTAGTTGCTTAAAGGATGACGATGGCGACTATTGTTACGCCAACGCCGTCACCAACACCACGTCTGAAGGTGTCGACGCTATACCCTACTATCTGCCATTGGGTGTGCCCATGCACAGCGGCGCGCGCCCGACGTGCAACTCCTGCCTCCAGGACGAAATGGCCATCTTCTCTCAATACGCTGCCAATGCCACGCAACCCGTGAGTCAGACTTACTCGAGCGCTGCCGACACCATATCCATGTATTGCGGAACCGCATTCGTCAACGTAACCGCCGCCCCTCTCAAAGGCGCTGCCTCCACCTCGACCGTAGCCTTCACACCGACGATATCCCTGTTGATAATGTTTTTCTTCTTCCTCTTCCAATAACTGGAAGATGCACATTGTTTAATTCTAATGTACATATTAAGGGCTTCAATATTGCACTATACCAGTCAATCCATTTAGCGACGGCGTTCGGGATGACTTATTTCTTTTGTTTGCTGGGCCATTAGGGCAAGCTGACTACGCGGATACCCATTGGAGCATCAGGATAGGATGAGTGGCTTATTGCCAGGCATTGTGGTAGGGCGTGTGGGACAGAAGAGCGATCGACGCTGTGATTGAGGCAGCAATTTTGACGAAGAAGGGATATCCTTACTAGCATCGCGGTCGCTATCGACACTATTTCTGTTGATTGGGATACTTGGAATTGGACAAGACGGGGTACAGAGCGTGGCGGAAACGTCTCACAAAGGTCCTGGAATTTCACTGTAAATATTAGACAATCTACCTCCCGCACCCGCGGGGTACAATATACTCGACCAAATTACCTCATCACACCGAGACCTCGGTCGTCGTTAGCTTTCTTATGCGGACCCATCAGCCACGGGTACCTGCGCGGTACAACGCGTCTGTTGCTGTGCGCTGACGATTGTGTCCCCAAAATGTCTTAGCGCATCATACATCCCAGATGCAGTGGGCTGAAACAGTCACGTGTTCAGATCCTCCCCGGGGCCATGTGCGGGGGTTCTTCAGTACCAGCATTTGACGTTTGAACGTCGCAGGACGACCCCTGATTGTCCGGATGCCTCAGCCCTCCACGCCGCAATGTATACACGGTCCTTTCGCCCGCGTGCGCCGCTCGATTCGAGTCTTGTCAACTCCAGCGATCGGTACTATTACTATCGTCGTTGATTGTGGAGAAACAAGATCGCATGGGTGAAGCGAGGTCCCAACGTCCTCTCATCTTAAGCCGGAATATTTTGTGGGCAGCCACGGCGGGAAGCAAGGAACGGATCATCCGGATCCATCCTGTGACAGGCGCAAATCCACACAAATCCCAGACACCAACGCGTTTGATGGTCTGTCAGCGCTGCGAACAGCGGACATCCATGTCTGACATTTGTACATGCGACCGCCAGCTCCCACGCTCCATTTCGATGTCCATGGCTCTCCTTTCTCCTTCAATGCGCCCGTAATACTTTTTCCCACCGTACCTCGCTCCTTTCGTATGTAGTACAGACTTCGGTCTACCCACACTCTCTACCTTATCCGTTTCGACGTCGTTCCTTGGCTGTTCAGCCTCCCACCATTCCGGTATACCATAGCGTACTAGGACAACGATGACAGACTATATGGCCCACCAGGGGCTTAACCTGGCTCCATCCTCAAGACAGGACATTATCAGCGCTTTGCTGAATGACTATGGCAGCTCGTTCGACGATGGTAATAATTCGCCTTACAAGATGTCGCCGGCACCAGCTTTCAAAGAACTTCCACCTTCGCCGCCGCCTGAAAGAGCAAGCGCACGGGATTATAGTAATGATAAAGCGTCTCATGCATTTCGAAAGATGAACACACCCTTCCAACTTCGGGGTAAGCAATATCTCTGGCATTTTGGTGGAGGTTACACGTGGCTTGGGTAGATAGTGGTGGATTGCTTCACGATTCGCGTTTACTCATCACGCGGTGATGACTACAGTGCTCCGTCTTGCCTTCCAATTGTCTTTACACCTTTTTACTCTCGCTTCTCTCCAGCTGTGCGCTTCCTGAAGAATCACGATTGCTAACTCAACTTTTGTAGATACACCAGCGTCGCCCGACTCACCCGATGGGTCGAGCTCTTCAGATGGTTCTCCATCCAGAATTGTATCCAAACGCCTAAAGCGAAGATCGGTACCACGCTCCTTGACATTGACCGTAAGCAACGGATCAACAGCCGAGCTGCCCAGTGCTCCAAAGATTGCTTCGCAGCCTGAAACGCAAAACCCATTTACTGCGCCAGCAGACGAGAAGGACCTTCCTCCGCCACCCCCGGAGAAATCTACGCGTCGACAGCAGTCGGCGATGGGCAATCAGAGCTCAACAGTGCGGTCTCCACGAAAGGATTCGCTACATTCGCAAGACGGTAAAGACGATATGGAACCGGTGAGGAGGAAACCCTTACCAAAATTCACGTCTTTGGCGGATTTAGGTAATGGTCCTCGGGGTGGTAAAGGTGGACCTCTGCCTCAACCGCGCGCTCGAAAGCAAAGTTTGGAGGATACGGAAGACGATCGCGGAAGAACCATGGTACGAAATGATGGTGCTGAAACGGTGCCTCGTGAAAATGCACCTCCAAAGCTAAGAGAACAGCCTACTCCAATGGTTGCCCCTCGAATTGTCAATCCTCTCCCACCAACACCCAAAGACGAGTCCGTCGCCGCGGCTCCGATTCCATCAAAGAAGCCGTTCGGAGGAATGGGACTCCCATCCAATCCCAAGCATAAGAAGGGCAAAAGCGACACAGGCTTCGACGTCTTGAAAAGCGCGACGTCACCGCGTGCGCCACAGCACCAACAGCATCCAGCACCGCAAACCATCACCCCTGGCCCCACTCCTCCCCAACCAAAACCGAAAACATGCGAGATGAGGGAATTGTGGATCAAACTGGGTTAAGCCCTGGAGTGTCAAACAGTCAACGTCGCCCTTTAGCTTCGAGCCCGTCCCCACTTCGCCACAGCTAAAAGAACGCGCCCGCGAACCATCCCCTATCGACGCGTCTCCTCCCACAGTACATGCAGAATCACCTTCTCTATCTGTCTCCCCATCGCCGCCTCTACCCCCAACCCGTCTTCCCCCACGCTCCGCATCCCGCCTACCGCCCCCACCCGCCTTCGCCAGCCTCCTCCCAACAGCGCTCAAGCGAAGGTATGTCCGAGGAAGAATCACCCCATCCACACCCTTCGTCCCTTGACGCAGGCCCCGCCCCGTTTCCAAACCACCCATCACAGCAAAGCACCATGCGTGCTACTCCCAGCACGCAACCTTCGTCTGGAGCAAGAACGATTTCCAGCCCATGGCATGCATGATCTGCGCGAACAACGACGCTGAGCGCCGCTGGGCATGCGTGTGGTGCTACCTCCGCATCTGCGTCGACTGCAGCGTCGAACTGCAGAAGGCGCCTGGTCGGAATCTGCAGAGCGTGCTGGAAAAGAGAGCTGCGGAAGCTACGTACGCGGGTGACGAGTACGAGGAGGAAGGGATGCACCCGGGGTTTGAAGCTAGTGGACTGGGAAATGCGAATGTGAATGTCAACGTCAACGGTAAGAGGCATGATAGTGGGAATTCGAACCCGAGTTTTGTGGTGTGGGATGCTGATGCTGAGGATGTAGGCGAGAGGGTGGACTTTAGCTGAGCGCGGGAGCGTGCGATGTAGATCTCTTTTGTTGGATAGTGACAGCGCGTTGCTGTGATCGACATGCATGGATGGAGTATTGGGGTGGGTTCTTCGAGATACCACGCGATGCGAATACAATGATACAAGGTCTTCACGATGACACACATCGTGAAGCTTGCGCTTCTTCTACTGTCAACATAGCCATGTACTCTTTTCGTCCCGTGATGATGGAATTACACTTCCTGTATCGACAGCGTCCTGTCTCATTTGAATTTCAAATGTCTATCTCCTTTGATCAGTTCCAATTTCAATTCCTCGACACACATCTTATACGCAAGATCTTTCCAGAGGGGCACGCCGGTCTTGCTCGTTTTCCACACACTCACCACCCACACTGTGGAGCTGAAGAGCCACACAGCCACTGGAAGAGTGAGCCACACAGCCACTACCCTCGTATGAACGTTGCCAGCTCTCATTGAGTGATTGTTTAGAATCAGCATGGACGTAAGTTTTTTGGGTCGAGGTCTAAAAATGCAGATCTGACTCTTTTCGGAGGGTGAAGAGTTGCTGTCTGTCTGGGCGCTGTAGATGAGTCGCCGTTACGATTCCATTTGCCGCTAGACGACGAGTCGCGCAGTGGTTCTACTTCTGTATCTGTAGAAATTGTCCGTCTTTTTCTGAGCTTCTCTGGCAAGATGCTGCTAAATCCGACGCTCGTTTGCTGCGTGTCGCCGCTTGTGTCTCGAGATGATTTGAAAACACGAAGCTATTCCAAACATAGCGGCAATTTGAGAAGGAACGATGGGCTTCGGTCGGCCAACTGGAGACCATCCTGACAAGCTACATGTTATGTACGTGAAGCATAGCACGCATTGGTAGACTCGCAATATCTTACCAAAAGTGATGACAGGATCGGAAATGACAGCACAAGCGACAGTGGGGGCCAGGCCTGGTACCTTCTTTCATTGCTTCTACCAAGTTCCTCCTTAGCTATCTAACGTGGAGGTAATCGCAATCCAATGGGCGTCGATCTAGTTTTGATGGCTCTCGACCATAGAGCGTCTGATAATTGACTAGCAATGGCATAGGGGAAACCCTCCCTGGGCTCGAAGGAAGACGATGGAACCCTTGCAGCAAAGATAGTCAAGAGTCCGATGCATTGCATCTACACTGGCGTTCAGGGTGCAAATTTGACGTCGTATCGTAAGCGCTCAACAAGTATTCGGGCGCGTGCACATTCGGTGGAAGGAAGCTGCTCTGGGGAGTGGCTGGAAGGCTGCGTTTCAATACAAGCACGCTTGGGTCGCCCTATCATGAGTTCGAACGTAGCCAGTCGTTCTTGTGATATATTTTGCATCGAAGTTCGCAGTTTCGAGATGCAGACGCTCCTGGTGGTTAGTTCGCGGGGCGCAGGCCGCAGCTCCCCTCGTTGCTTTTGTACAGCCCGGCCGCACCACATCAACTCAGCCTCATCGTGCCTCTCGCAGTGGCTTACTTTTGCTTGACGCCCAACGTTTATCACGACTCGTGCATGTGTTAGCATGCAATTCATGCGTCCACTAGCTCAAGTCTACCGGTTTTCCTCTTTTACTCACCGGTACCGGACTTGAGACGCTCCAAGCGCTACCCATAAAATTGAGGCTCGTATTTCTCAGCCCCCTGACTTCAGCTTCGTCCTGGAGCAAACCACGTCTGCTCGTTCCAGCCCGCGCATCTCCCAACACGGGCTGGTCCCACCCTGACCGGCCTACGCGTTACCACATGCAGGCGATCTGCGCCACGCTCGACCGAGCCACAAGACGGTCAATTGGTCCACGCCATTCACTCTCGCTAGCCCCCGTCGTTGTGTGACAGGCAAGAACAGCGAGGATGGACTCATGCGGCACAAATCATTGGCTGGACATGGCTAGTGCAGACGAGTACGACGTTCGGAGACATTGGTCTGGAGGCGGCCGCTAGATTTAGAACATCAGACGTTTGCTCGAGTCGGCTTGCGGTGGGTTTAAGATGGCCAACCCACGCTGCTCTGTCCACGCGTTTGGCTACACGTACCTTTTCTTGAGCTTTGACAGAACATCTTGGCTTCTGCAAGACCGTTAGCAATGGCCGAAGGACAACATCCGTATGTATTGTATAATAAATAACCTTTGTGTGCAAGGCTGATTGTCTACATTCAGATCGCTCGTCCCTCGCTGGACTGTCGCCGTGCATGCCGTGCAGATCCTCTTCGCCATCGTGATCCTCGGCTTTGATGCGTACGGCATCAAGTACATCGCCTACAATGCCCTCATCTTCTCGCTTGTGGTGGTAAGTACGAGTGCTTCAAGACTCCCCACTTCGTCACTGATGCAGAGTGATAGTGTCTATGCACAATGGCAGTCGCTGCCTACCTCATTGCTTCGCAAACCATCTTCCCCAAAATGTACAACGTCTACATTGCACTAGCAGTTCATGTCTGGCTCCTCATCTTCTGGGTTGTTGATCTTGGCCTGGTTGCGAACCTGGCTGCCATGTGGGGTCGGGGTGATTACTGCTTCACATCCTATTACGGCTGTATGCACTGCCCCGATGAACTCTTCCCAAGCATTGCAAGGACTAATGCACGAACATAGACGGCTCCACTTACTGCTATGTCAAGCGTGATCTGCTGAAGCGGGATACCACGACGCTCGGCGCTTACTACGGGGTATTGGCTGCTGGTGCAGTTTTTGCTGCTATTCAACTGCAAGTCCACCACCCACCTCCAACATTCCTCCACTGACAATCTTCAGCGTAACCTGGGCTCTGACCGCCATCATTCTCCTCCTAGCTTGGAACAAGCAACGCACTGCCGGCACCACCAACGCTCACGTAAACCCCTCTGTGCCGCCTCAATATCAGAACAACGGCCAAGCCGTCCCGATGGAAAAGTTCGACCAGCAGGCCGCCCCCGCTCCAGGACAGCAATACGCCACGTCGCAATCCCAGTATGCGAGCCCACAACCGCAGTATGCCCAGCCAGCACAACCACACTTCACCGGTGCTCCCTACGCCCAGGACCCAGTGCAGCGTCAGGATACCGTCAGCCCGGTCTCGCACGCCGGCGGATATGCACACAACCCCAGTGTGTCTGGGGTGAGCTCCCCACAGCACAATGGGCAGCACGCGTATCCTCCCGCGCAGCAAGCGTATCCTCCAAACGCTGCAGAGGTGCACACGGATCCGTATAATCCCAATGTTCCCGAGTTGGCGAATCACAGGTAAATGTTGAAGGAGATGGAGATGCGCAGCATGGCCTTTTGTATAAAGCGAGGGGAAGGGAGAAAAGACGTAGATTGATAATTTAGCGCAAAGTATTGAAGATACCCTGGATCTATCTATGGATGCTTGCCTGACCCCTGACACATGCTACCGTTGTTTTCGATCCATCTCTTGTTGTTCAAACCGTTTGCACGAAGTTCGGGAACTGTCAATGCTGAGCTTCCCATGGTGCTTCTCGGTGATTAACAATAGCAGCTGCTCGATTCTGGATACTTCATTGTGTGAGATCAGACTTTATGGGAAGACGAGGACTCCCAGAACACATCATCTCCAAGCTGATCCCAGTGCTTGTGCCTTGTCCGTCTTTCCATAGCCTATTCAGCCACCTTATCGTCCGCTGAAGTGAAAGACCACCTCCCTATGTAAGCCTGTTCGATCTAATAATGAGGGTACGTGGATTAATCTGAGAAAGGCTGTCTTCCGCCGTCCGGATCGCCATCGTTGCGCCTGATACGTAACACATGCTCGCCCACTTCTTCGCAACACTCCCAGAGGTCTAGTCATCCGTCCATGCCAGCCGCATCATCGTCTCGCCTCCCGCACAATATCAGTGACCGCCGTGAACCGCCCTCTCCCACGACTCGCACCAAACCGTCCCCTCGACCTCCTCCTCACGCGCGCCTCGTCAACAATCATAAACACAACAATGACAATTCGCATAATCCTATACACGTCAGTTCCATCACTCCCTTGAAAGCCCCCACTTACAGCTCGCACAATACACACAGCCACACCCTCGTTACCCACACCTTCTCCCCCCTCCATCCCGCATCTTCCTCCCTCAACTCCATTATCATCCCCCCCGCAACCACCCACGCCACAATAAACAAACTCACAACGAGCGCCTCATTCGCGAACATGAGCCACGTCGGCACCCTTCCAATTCCATCTCCGGGTTTCGTGATGAGGGAAAGGACCTCTGCGCTGTCAACGACGAGACACCAGATGAGGGTGGTGTAGAGGACGGGGTTGAGGAGGGAGTGCGTGCAGGCGAGGTAGAGGGCGACTGTGAGGGCGGTGTGGGAGAGAGCGAGTGTTGCGAAGCGGGCGATGACTGGGAGCGGGTGTTAGCATAAGTACCATGGGCGCCAGATAGGAGGCTGATATGTGAGCGTACAGTGGAGAATCCCCATGCAAGAAGGGAGACGGGAGCGGTCCATTACCGCGCATGGGACAAGCTATGTGGTGTGGGGTCGGCAGGCAGGCTTTCCGCTTCGTCGAATGAGTTTGAACAGTCGGTGACGGGCAGTCCTATGCCAAATTGTGTGAGGACGACGAACCGCTCCTTCCGCATAGCCAGGTGCCACTGACATCCGGAGCTGGAAGGTGGAAGTCGCTGCTCCGCCCAATGTGCTATATCTTGCAAAGCAACAAGCTGCAAGTTTGGATGCGTTCGGCATTGTCTCAGTGGATAGCTTCCAGGCTGAATGGTGTTTCACTAGTGACGCCTGTGTATCCGGAGGCGCGATTAGCTGTGAAACATCTCGACCACTGCACGCGGGTGGTTGACAGGCACGTGTGAAGGCGCCATCCATGGATATACCGGCGCCCAGGTACTTATCGGTGGAGCTCCTTCCCGACCTATCAAACGAAATTCTAGGTGCGACGGTGCTCAAGATGCGAGATGACAAAGGTGAGCACCAACTATGCAAACCATCTAGTGAAAAGGTACGAAAGGCCAAACCTGATTTATTGCCTTCAAAACTTCGGTCTATGGGGTATCTCAAGATCAATCCATGTCCTCCAGACTGCTCGTCGGGAGCGCCTGCTCTTGAGTCACCATGATGCCAACCAGGCACTCGCCGAGCATATTATCCCAATTCACCCACGGGTGTACTTCCATGAACAGCTTCCTCCCATCTTTTCCTGCGGCTCTCCGCAATTCGCCTTCGCCTCCCGGGTGAAAGGGCAGATAGGGTGTAATGTTGTAGACTTTGCCTTCGTAACTCGACCACGCCGGTCTGCCTTTCCGGCCGTTGTTTTCTTTGAGCATAGCGGGTGTAACCCGGAGAAGCGAAGGTACTCCGGCCATGTTAGTCCCCGAGCGCTGCAGGTTCGCCCAGTCCAGCGGTGAGTGCCCGGGCGACAATAACACTTTGCCCCGTGAGTTTGGTGTCTTCACTGTGGCTGTCGGCATGAGGCCTCCGTTTGATGTTGGAGGACCCCGATTCGGTACGGGGCCGCGATTGGGTAGGGGCCCCGTTGTAGGTACACGTAAACCTTGCGTGGGCGTAGGTAGGGCGCGCAGATTGGAGGCTTTTAGTGTGGGTGGGGGCATTAGGGAGGAAGCGGGTCTGGCTGGAGGTGCCATAGGCGCCACCTTCGGTGGGGGGACGCATAGCTATCGCTGGAGAAGGTGCAGATGCCCTTTGAGCCGAGTTCAGCGCTGGGAAAGAGGGCGGTGGAAGGCTGTCTTCTTCGTCTTCATCAGAGCTCTCGTGCGCCGCAAGCGTAAACGTCGGGACGGCGCCATTTGCACTGTCGCTCGGTGTAGCTCTTGGTGTGCCTTCGGGTGATGGACTGCTGCTTGCCCGCCTCTGTTTGTGATTATCCGTTTGTGGCGGCGGGTCGGCGGCGGGCTCTTCTTGATTTGCGGTGGGTTGAGACGGCTTGCGTTCAGCGGGTGGGGGTGCGGTTTGGCGGACATAGGCGCGCCATGACGAAGGCGGATGCTTCAAGAACAGAAATGACAGCGAGATGGCCAGCAGCGAGAAAGCGACCAACATCGCTGTGGGGTGTAGCAGCGAGGGGAGAGCGCGCTGAGTATTTCGCCGTTGCCCGCATGTTCAGGGTACAGCCCGCCGCGGCTCAGGTCAGCTATCGATAGCACCTCTTTTCCGGAGCCCACGCGTTGCCTGCATCTGCAAGGCTGTAGATCGCACTAACCCTCAAGATGACGCTGCGATGCGCGACCGTCGCGAAACCTCAGTCGCCGCGGTCAGGGTCAACTTGCTTCGATCACCGTGGCCCATTTTGTATCCCATCTGGTACCGTTGCACCTTCACCGTTATTTCGAGCACTGTCCCATGTTACGACGCGCGGAACACCCGCCTGCTATTTTAGTATAAAACCTACTCTGCCCCACCACCCCTCTATCTCGTCACAACTTCGACCTTCTACTTAGCCGCGACGCAATGGCCGAGGTCACTTCCTCGCAGCTGCCTGAGGGCATCTTCTCGCTGCTCGATACGTGAGTTGCTCACCGTTTCCAACGCGACCGCAGCGCTGACAAGGCTAGCGATCTCTACAAACTTACTATGCAATGTTGCGTACTCAAATTCTTTCCGGATGTGGCAGTATCATATAGTTTCACCAATCGCACACCAGACAAGAAACTCAATCGCGCCGCTTTCCGCTGGCTGCAAGCTCAGGTTGACAGTAAGTATGTCATATCGTGATCGGAACTTCATTGACATTCATAGAACTTGAAAACATCTCTCTCTCCGATCAGGAACACAAGTTCCTAAAGTCTAAATGCCACTACCTCAACGGCCAATACCTCCGATTTCTCTCGCAGTTCCGCTTGCACCCGTCGAAGCAATTGAAGCTGGTCTTCAACCCCATCAACGATACCGGCTCCGACGATGACCTCGGCGATTTCAGCATACAAACCGAAGGCTTATGGGTGGAAACAATCCTATACGAGATACCCCTGCTCGCCTTGGTGAGCGAGGCATACTTCAAGTTCGTCGATAAGGACTGGAGCTACGCGGGTCAGCTTGAGAAGGCATATGAAAAGGGATCAAAACTGCTACAGGAGGGTTGCATCTTTTCCGAATTTGGCACCCGGCGACGACGCGATTACCACACTCAGGATCTGGTGCTCCAGGGATTGCGTCGCGCAGAAGCCGATGGCACTCAGAAGGGGTGGCAAGGCAAGCTCACTGGCACCAGCAACGTTCACTTCGCGATGAAGCACGGGTTGCTGCCAGTAGGAACAGTTGCGCATGAATGGTTTATGGGTGTTGCAGCCATCACCAACAACTACGAGCATGCCAACAGGATTGCTCTGGAATATTGGACGTCGACGTTTGGTGAGGGCGTTTTGAGCATCGCACTCACAGATACATTCGGCACTCCGGCATTCCTCAAGGCCTTCAAGGAGCCGATTCCAGAGATCACAACAGCTGCGCCGGGAGGCGCGACCACACTCGCATCCGCGGCATCTACTACGAACCCTGACGTTCAGACGCTAGCTCGTACGGAGCCTCCCATCCAGGCCGGAATCGATGGCGAGACTAAGCAGCGGAGGACGTATGCTGAGGTTTTCACCGGAGTACGCCAAGACTCCGGAGATCCGCTCGACTTTGTCAAGATGATGCGCCAGTTCTACGATGAGCAAGGCATCAAGGCGAAAAAGACGATTGTTTTCTCTGACTCACTCAACATCGATCTGTGTCTGAAGTACAAGGCCGCAGCAGAGAGGGAAGGCTTCCAGCCAACCTTTGGAGTCGGAACCTTTTTGACCAGTAAGTCTCCTTGCATCTGCTCTTGGACTGAGGTACTGACTGGAGGTAGACGATTATGTTCAAGAGTCGACGGGCAAGAAGTCCGTACCACTGAACATTGTGATCAAGATAGCCTCTGCTTCAGGGCGGCATGCTGTGAAGATCAGCGACAACATCGGCAAGAACACTGGCGACAAGTCGACGGTCCAGGAAGTCAAGGAACGACTTGGGTACACTGAAAAGACATGGGCAGGCGTCGATGAGAGCACAAGATGGGGTACAGCAGACCAGAAACCTTCGTCTTAGTTTGCCCAGGTCATCCGGTTGTGGAGGCGGGCAGCAGGAAGTAGAAGGGCACCCAAGTGCATGATATCTCCTTTTTTCAGCGGTAAACGGTCGGAGTCGGTATACCCAGCGGCGGAACTCTAACGTACGAGTAAGGCTGAGCTTACACCGCCTTGCCGTTTCGGACGTAGGTTGCGAAATCTTTGGGGGCGGATCCGGTGAGCGAACATCGCAAAGCCAGCCGCAAAAGTCCACGAGATGGCGGAATGAACCCTGTGAATATGTGGACATGTTTGTGCGTGACGCATGATCTGCGCGTTCTGTGGCAAGAAGTGTACTGTGGTATAAGGTCGTTCAAAAATAGAAAGTAAAGCTTCGAGCTAATGCTGAGCGTACCTGCAGTCAGCAAAAAAGGGTCTGCGGTTCTCAAGCGCCTCGAGGCCGCAGAACAGCTAACGAAACGGAGTGGAAAACATTGGAACGCGCCGTCTTCTGGAGGCGTTCCAGCACTGTGTTCTGGCATCGCATATCCTGGGGTAACGCGTCGGACAGTCGCAGAGGTGTTGACAGGGACCCGTTCTTTGGCTGACGGTTCTGCGGCCTAGTGGCGGCTAAGCAGCACTTGAGTGCTAGCGCACCGGGCGGCAAGGCTTAGGGGCGCGAGCGGACCTTTCATCCTCAGCTCACAGCCCCAGGAAGCGCAGACACAGCCAGCGGAGACGAGTCCAAAACTCCCTCTCATATCTCATCTTTGCCGCACTCTGCTCTGCATTGATTTCCTCGCTCGTGCGCTCAAACACCCGCATCTCGCCCAATTGATCTCTCGACCGCATCTGCAGCAGCTAGGAGACCAGTGTCTCAGGAGATCCACCGCCCACACACCACACGTCGGGTTTCAGCATGAGTGTAAGCCGTCTTCGTTTGTGTCTTGAGGACCCTCATTCCGCTTCCGTCCACGCATTTTCCCCATCACGCACGACCTCATCTGCTAACATACCATGGCATCACAGTACGGCAACGGAGGCTACCAGCAGATGGGCTACGGCGCGAACCCGTACGACCAGCGCGAGGACGGCGGCGCACAAGCCCCCCGCTTCAACAACTACGCTCAGGGCCGATATGACGATCGTATGTCGACTTGTTTCTTTGTCCAATACACAGGCTGACAAGGTGCAGCCAGCGCTGTGGAGATGCAGCCCTACGGCCAGCAGCAGGGCGGCGCAGACCCCAATGCCATCCTCAACGAGTGCCGCGAGGTTGACCGCGCCCTCGATCAGATCGACGGACAGCTAGACAACCTCGAGCGAACGTTCAAGCAGGTACTCGCACGGCCAGACATGCCCTCGGGCGAGATCAATAACCTCAGCTCGCAAGTCATGACCGGTTACCGCGCTCTCGTGACCCGCGTAAAGAACATCAAGTCGAAGCCTGAGTCTGGAAATCCCCGAAACGCTCCCCAGGTCGGCAAGGTCGACCGCAGACTGAAGGCGACCATCAACCGCTACCAGAACCTCGAGTCGGAGTTCCGGCGAGACTCACAGGCAGCCGCTGAGCGCCAGTACCGCATCGTGCGCCCAGACGCGTCTGACGAGGAAGTCAGGCAGGCTGTGGAGGATCCTGAGGCTCCTATTTTCCAGCAGGCTGTAAGTTTGGACCCTACAACGACCCGTTGCCAGAAGTCTGGTCACTCGTTACTACCTTAGCGCGGGTGGTATAGTGCCTGAATTCTTCGGCACAAATCTGCATTCAGCCGCTAACGATTGTTCAGCTTATGAGTTCAGACCGCCGGGGTCAGGCATCATCGACTCTGCGCAACGTGAAGGAACGACACGAGGCTATCCAGAAGATTGAGCAGCAGATGGTGGAGCTTGCCCAACTCTTCCAGGACCTCGACCAGATCGTCATGCAGCAGGAGCCTCTCGTGGAGAACATCGAGGCCAAGGGCGAGGAGATCCACCAGAACGTCGTCCAGGCCAACACTGAGATTGGTGGTGCCATCGAGAAGGCCCGCAGCGCTCGCCGCAAGAAGTGGTGGTGCCTGCTCATCTGCGTCATCATTATCATCATTATCGCCATTATAGTGGCTATCGTGGTCAGCATCAACAAAAAATAAGCTGCCTGCGACCTTATTTCCACACCTCTCGTCACCCGCCGCACACTCGCCATCTCTTTTCGTATCTCCCGCATTCTCATGGCCGGCCTGGTGCTCTGTTTAATACCCCGTGGCGGATATGCGGCGTCGCCATCATCCATCTCTCAACATTTCTTTGTTTTTGAAAATTGCGCACGGTACGGTCTCAAGGCTTGTTGACACGAGATCGCATTCTTCTTGCTTTGTTCGGCGCCGACGGCGCCAGACTTGATATCTTGTAATTGAACACTTTGGATGGAGCGTCTCTTTTTAGTTCGGAAAAACGGAAGATAGACTTGCCGGCTTGCATTGCTGGGAAGAATTGTCTTGTAGCGATAGTGTTGAAGTACTGCTTCCTTACATGGTGTCTCTATTTGTTGCTGGTGATGTAAATGATGCCGTTATTGCCTGCTCTCCCTGTGTCACCCGGAAGACTGACACAATTGGACATCTAGAAGCGATGCGCCTCCTAGTTTCGTGTGATATTGGAGTCTGATGTTGCAAACACCGTAGACGGGCTTTTGGTTTGCGCTATATGCAAAAAGTCTTTAAAAGACTTTTGGTTTGTAGAGTACGTATGGGCTCACATCAATCATATCTCACATGACTTTTTCAAACGCAAATATTGTCATCACTTACTTGCCTTACGTAGGGGGTTGACGCCGTTGCCCGTTCGCGCCTTCGCCTCCAGTTCTTCATCTCCACGCCCACCCCTCTATGTACACTTCCCGATGTATACCATAAGTACCAACAGCTGACCCCATACCGCCATCGCTAGACTGCTTGTCATGAGACGCGTGGAGCGATGACAGAGGGATGGGCCTCCTGCACCGACGCCGCCATGCTGGACCACTTCCAGACCTTGTACAACAAGTACTGTACGTGGTGCTTCATGTTCTCCAGACGACTTTCTTCACTCAACACTGAGTGGAGATGGGAATATGGCTCAGATGGTATAGGAGGGGGCGGCTAGGGCAGCTTGATGTAGGATAGTGGACCAATGGATACCTTAAGAGTATCTATTTTGCACCAAGTCTGAGCTACTATTATATATGGGAGAAGGCTGCGGGCGGAGTAGATGTGGAGGAGTAGATGTGGAGGAGGAGGAGGAGGAGAAGGAGGAGGGAGGGCATGACTAGAGAGGATATGAGGATGGATGGGAAGGGCATAATGGGATGGCACGATTCCCCAGAATCTCCCGACCAAGGTATGGAATAGTAGTCATGGGTACCTAGGTTGTATTGAAGGATAAGAGGCATGTATAGACCTCTCAGCTTTCCATTGAACATTTTAAATGCTCAGGGTGTGCGTTACAACGGCACGTTCCATTGGCCTTGGTATAGGCAAGAGCTTTACCCAGGTGTTGCGCAGTCGCCCTTTAGCGCTGTAGAGGCGATTATTCGCCGACGTCATCTCTCGATACCAGAATACACTTCCATGCTTATAGATCTTTAACAACTTGAGATTTGGAGAGGATAGCTTATCGATTGATGAAAAGAGGCGCGACTAGACCTCTAAAGTTCGAGGTGAAGATATCAAGTTACACATATGATAGTCTGGTGGGGACGATGTTGTCTGGGCCCGGCGCTGATTGACGAAGGCTGAGATTTCTCCGGAACATGTCCAACAACCTCCTTCACCCTATCAACCCGCTGAACCGACATAGTAGCAAGCCCCCATCCGTACTTCTACGCCCACGCCCCATCAAACTGCTACTCTCTCTGGCAATCACCCTTATCTAGATTTTGGGAACATAGATTCATTCGTGAGTGGAATTGGCTTCACCCGCCCTCGCAAAATTCATTTCGCAAAGATGAAGTCTGTACGAGTAAGAGGTAGCGAACTCCATCGGAGCTTACAAAGTCCGACCTGCGCTCGGGCCCGCGTATCTTTCATCTCATCGCACCCCGATTGGTTCCCAAGCTCCCTGGTTTCTGAGGCGTCCAACGGCACCCCACCCAAGAGCACCCTGCCAGACCAAAATAACCAAAATGTCACCGACGCGAGCTCGTAGAATGCCCTTCCTAGAATTCTCAAACGCTCTACTCACTCAATACAACTGACACAAAACCACACCTGTTACCACCCTAAACCATTGTGCTCCGAGCCTAACAATGAGCTCCTCCGCGCTTGTCCCCTACCGCGGCGGGCCCATCACCACGACCGTAACCTCCACATCGACCTCCTCTCTCATTCCCTCCCGCTTCTTCACTGCACAAACCGGCCACGCCCTCGCAACTGAGCTTTTCTACCGCCTCCTCTTCGACCTCCTCAACCGCTTGGTTGCCTCCCTCCACCGCTTCGCCTCACATCAACTCGATACATTTTCTTCGTTCCTCGAGCGCAAAGCGCTTGAGCGAAAACAAGCACAAAAAGAAGCGGTAGAGAGGGTGAAGAAGAGGCTGATGAAGGGTGACGGGAAGGGTAGGATTACGGAGGAGGTGGGGAAGGCGGCCATGAAGAGGGGATTCATAAGTAGAGAGTGTCCGATGACGGGGAAGGAGCTTGAGGGAGGGAAGGTCGGGCCACCGGGTTGGGTGGGAAGTGTGTTGACGGGGATTGAGGAGGGGAGATTGGTGGAGAGGGACTTTTGGGGGACATCCGTTTGGCAATTAGGAATGTGAGTGTTGAACTGGTGTGATTTGTGGGTTGATTGCTCATTGCGTAGATGTAGGAAATACTAAGATCATGTTTCATGTTAGTGCCCAGGTGCACAACGGCAGCACAACGTCGCCATATAGAATCTTGCCTGGTTCTGCACGCGCCACGCTAGTGAATACCGTACAAAAAGACGTGTGTAATGACGCTTTTACCACAAGAAGGAAAGCAAGAGACATCATCGTCGCGCGTTGGAGGCATATTAACCCATCCGTACTTGGATATCCGACAATGACGAAAAGCACGCGGTACTCGACACGCGACTGCCGAGAGTGCGTTATCGCGGGAGTGCATGGAAGAACAGGACATTCAATTGTGTACACACTAAGCCGAGTGACCGTTCTCGAGGACCGACTTCAACGACATTCGAGAGAGAGCATCCACATGGTAACAGCGGACTATACCGCATCCATGGATATGAAACGAGATCTACGTTTAGCGTGCCATCCTTCACCGCGCCACCCACCACTATTTTCTCAAATCGGCCGAATTCGACCTGCGCCTTGCCACTCATTGTGAAATCCTACTCGATCGAAACGACAACGTAGTCTTGGCATAATCAGTGCTGGGAATGGCTGCCATCTTAGGAACAATGGAACTCACGTGGCCATCCGAAGACCAGGATGCAGATTCGATCCCATTCGTTACCACAACCCTAAGCAGTCATGGTCGACGTAGTGAAGATACGAACAGGTTTATCCGCAGTTATGTGATGCGAGGGAAGAACCGCGGAAAGAATCGCAAAAGCCTCACGAAACCGGAAGTGAAGACAGTTGGCGATGACTCAGTAGCTGTTGTAAGCCAAACGGGGGCGATGAATAGTGGAGTACCACTTGTTGATGGCAGGTTGGAAACTGCAATGAGCGTTCCACATAAGGTCGGCTCCGAATCTTCTTTCAGCGAGTTTGGCGCTGAAACGGGGCTGGAGATACTCGCGTACGCGTGAGTCACCCGAATTCCGGATAGCGACATGGCAGTAGTGCAGTATGAATTGATCCAGTCTATAGTCAGCCTAGCCATGACCCCCTTTCAATATACACCCTCCTTCACCCAAGAAGAAGCCTGGTGGCTCGAACCTTTGCATGGAGGCCCGGTCGCTCTGCACTTCACTATCTTCCTTGCGAAAGGATACCAGACCTTTCTACGGGGCTCATATCAACCTGATCGCAGCTTACTCATTCATTACGTCCAGACACTGGCACTACTACAGAGACGTTTAGCAATGGGTGATGAGAAGGCGTCAACTTCAGATGCAACTATGCAAGCAGTCGTAGGCCTTGGTAAAGTGGCTGCGTTTCGTGGTGACGTGTTCATTGCGAGGAAGCATCTTGAAGGGCTGTACAAGATGGTGATGCTGAGGGGAGGCCTAGGGGCTATCAGCAGGAAATTCTTAATTAAAATCTGTTAGTGAGTTAATTCTTCCCCGGTACCGTCCACAAGCACTGATATCGTAGTGCCGACGTTGGATTGTCCTTATCGACAAGAGTTAGAACTGTTTTCTTCTCTGACGACATGGCGTGGGATTTGCACATTGCGTTTCCAATGAAGGCGTTTACAGATGGCATCGCGCACTCAAAGGGAAGGTACCAGCTTGGATGTCCGAATACGACTTGTATACGACGACCTCCTCGACCTCACACGCGCGGCTCACTTCGCTGCACATTCTAACACCGATTTGGAGCCAGCAGTTTATCAAGAAGCCATAACATCAACCCTATATCGGCTAATCAATCTGACGAAGCACTGTGCCTCGGGCTCTTAGCTTTCGGAAGCACGCTCTTTGTACAGTGGCGAAAAGCACCGCCACGGTATGAGCACGTCGCGCAGAGATATGCGAGTACCTTGAATGCGCTTGCAAAGAGAAAAAATCATGGAATGCCGCAGGAACTTACGCTATGGCTGTATGTTGTCGGGTGTATAGCATTTTTCAACGTGCAGGAACAGGCTGCAATGCAACTTGCGCTTTCTGAGCTGTTGGGGGCGATGGATATCGGTTCATGGGGTGAGGCTAGAAAGGCACTCAAGACTGTTCTTTGGGTTGATGCTCTGCATGACCGTGTGGCAAACGAAATGTTGAGATCCATTGTAATTCAGGAAGATATCGTCGCATGAAACACTCGGCATGTCGACGCATGCTAGGTATGTAAAATTGGTTGAGGTTAAGAGTAGGGATGACGGACTACGCGATTTGCCTACATAACGCTATACATCTGCTGTAGTTATAGAAGGCGGACATGGTAGCTTGCTCCTGCATTCGTTCGCATCACCGCTGCACAAAGCTGGTCGAGATATCGAATCATTGTCTCTGAGCTAAGACGACTTGGAGAGCTGTGGGATAGTTTACTTGCCGTGTTGACGCGCCTAGCATTAGCAATTGTGAGAGATTCCAAGATCGCGGAGTGCTGCCGACTGCACGAAATGCCTTCCTCCATTGCACTAGTGGCACGCCGTAAGTCGTTGAAATGTTTTGAACCTATCGATCAAATGGCCCCCATTTTTCGGTCCGGTTTCGAAACACCGGCCATGCGGCTGTGTACTACGAGGAGGGATTGCACAATGACTAAAATAGCCCTTCAAAGATTTCCGTAGCTCTATATGCTGAGACCTACGTCCCATTACGCTTGCCGCGAGGCATCGAATGCTGGTGATCTATCATGAGTAAGATCGATGCGGTTCGGCAGGGAAGATGCGCGCTAACGGCCCCTAGAGGCACCGTCCTTCCTCGACACCATCGAACTCAGGCACACCGAAGTGGAACCCCTCTCTCGAAGCTACGATGCCGAAGATACGCCCTATGCCTCCTCCAAGCGCTCGCTTTATCGTGCACCGACATGGCGAACGCGATTGTCGGGCTGGCGCGGCGGTGTGGTAGCATGCATCGCGATCGTATCCCTCGTGCTCCTGCTGAACATTGTTCTGGCAATAATCACGGCGACGGCGTGGGCTACAGCAGATGGAGTCTCCACTGCGTACACGGGTGATTGCGCAGTAGCTTCAAGAACGACAACGGCCCTACATTTGTTTATCAATCTATTGAGCACCTTGTTACTGGGCGCGTCCAACTACTGCATGCAACGCCTTGTCGCACCTACTAGGAAAGAGATAGACGATGCGCATTCGACCAGGAAATGGTTGGACATAGGGATGCCCAGCGTCAGGAATCTTGCTTCAATTAGCAAGGTCAGGATGGTAATATGGGTATTACTGGGCCTGAGTAGCATACCACTGCACTTCGTGTAAGCAATTGGCTCGTCAATCTACGTATGAGCTAACGAAAGCTTAGTTATAACTCTGTTGTCTTCGAGACGACCGCTGCGAACAAGATCAAATTCGTAGTCGTGGCACCAGACTTCTTCACAGACAAGAACAGCTGGCACTTTGCGCTTGGAGAAACAGTGTACAACTCCACTTGGGACAACGACTATACCAAACTGCAAAACACACTACTCAATGACCAGTACTTGGACCGAACGAAGTTTGAGAACATCACATACAATGATTGTAAAGCGAGATATGCTGCTCCGTTCATTACCACTGGCTCGGGATTTGGCGTGCCCAATGCTTCACAATTGGCAGAATGGAACGCTTATTCGCAATACTCATCTCTCCTGGATTTCTATGTGGAAGCTAGTGGAAACCTCGATATCGACCTCTTCCACGCCACGACCAATGGGCCGGGAATATCCTGTGAGTGAACATCCATGGTTATGGCCGAGTTTTTGAATCTTACTGCGACATTCCAGACTGCTTGAGCGAAGTCGTCCCCTCGAGATGTCAAGTCCAATTCAGCCAGACGATACTTTGGGTTGTCATTGCATGCAATGTGTCCAAAGTCATTCTCATGATTTTGATCCTTTGGCAACTCAACAACGAGACCATCGTTACCGTCGGAGACGCAATACAGTCTTTTCTTCGACGGCCAGATTCCACCACAGAAAACTGCTGCCTCATGTCAAGGCGTAATGTTGACAGACTTTGGAAGGTACCTGAGCTTCGAAACTCTCAAAGTTATAGGCCTCCTTATCGTCAGCGTTGGGGTGCATCTTGCAGCCGCAGACGGTGGGGCACGTCTCTCTTCATGTATGACCCTTTGTTTGGTGCACGCAATGATAGATACTGATTGCATACAGGATGGTAAGTGCGCTTGTGGTCACTGGAGCGCTGTTTGCGTATCTGCAGTTCAACTATCATGGCACCGCACGTAATGGTTTCGGAGCACTGAATACCAGTGAGTCCCTCTAGCTTCTCTTCGTATCTGGCGCGGTGTAGTCTCAGCCCTCGTCAATAACAAACATGTCTCGGGGAAACATATATTATGAAGTTGCGTCCATAACCTACATCTCTCCAGCAACTTCATGAGTGTACGTGGATCTGACATACTCTCCAGGCTACCTCATCGACATCCGATTGCCCTTCGCTCAGTCGGTCATTCCCTACGTTCTACTTGCCAACTTGCCGCAAGCAGTGTGCTCCTTCATCTATCTGACCTACAACGGCATGTTCACCTGTATGCTTGCTAACCGCGAATGGTCTCATTACGGCACAAAGCGCGCAACTCTCCGCGTCACTATACCATCTCCGGGCCAACGTTCCACCCATTTCCTCCAGCTGCCTTACTCTTTCAGCATTCCCCTGCTTATCGGAGGCGTTCTCCTTCACTGGTTCATTTCGCAGTCGATTTTCCTAGCCCGTATTGCCGTGTACAAAGACGGTGTGTTGACCGAACCGAAAGATCTATTGGGGCAATACCAGCACATGGGCAAGTCAAGCAACGCGGCTTTTACTGGTATAGGATATTCAGACGCAGGTATGATTGCGTGCTTGACCTGGGGAGGGATTATAGTGGTGTTTCTTGTCGTCGTCTCGAATGTCATGACGTATCCCAAGGGCGTGCCGCTGGGCGGAACGAACAGTGCTGTCATTAGCGCAGCGTGCCACTTCAGGAATCAGGAAGATGGAAATTACAGATTGGCAGAGGAAAACGACATCGCAAGCCAGCCTCTCAAATGGGGTGTCACGATGCGGGGTGGGAGAGAAAGAGTCGGACACTGTTGCTTCAGCGCTGGCGAGGTGGAGGAGCCGATTGTGGGACACCTCTATGCGGGTGAAGTGTCAAAGGCAAAGAGCACGTAACCTTGCAACAATTATTATTCTTTCGATTTTGCAACTATGAAGATCGGATCTAGGCAGAGGAGAAGTTACCCTCGACCCACCCGCCGTCGACATACCACTGTGCCTTTGTCACGTACTTACTTTCGTCGCCGAGCAGGAATGCGATGGAGGCAGCAATCTCCCACGGCTCAGCGAGGTCGCGCTTGAGGATGGCGGGGATATTGTCTTTGGAGAGGTGAAATTGGCCGACGGGAGAGTTGAACGGTTTCTCCATCATCTCGGTGTTGATGCACCCGCTTGCAGGTGTTAGCGACGGTATGGCCGAGTGGTGACTGGAGGGGTGGTATAGTGATAGTTGACTTACGGGCAGAGGGCGTTAACGCGAATTCCTCTTGGTGCTCCTTCGAAGGCCGCCACTTTGGTGAGCCTAGGCACGGGCATGGAGTCAGCGTGAGGCAACCAGTGGAGAAGTATGGCTTGGTCAAGTGGAGAAGAAGGTATTCTTCTTCCGATAACGAGACACATCCACCATATACGCGTGGCTGACATACCCTATCAAAGCGTGCTTCGCAGAGACATAGGCGGCTACACCAGCAGAAGCGTAATTGCTGGTAATACTACCAACGTTCACAATCGAGCCACCATCCTTGATCACCTTCATCTCCTCCTTGACGCAGTTGAAAGTTCCCACGACATTGACATTGATCAGACGAGCGAAGTAGTCTGCATCGAGATCGGTGATGGGGAAAATTTCCCGCTGCTCCATGGCTACAGCAATGCCATCTCATGTCAGCAAACACACCACCCTGCACATGCGCCGGCCCGTTTCATACATCTAAACATGCCAATAGGAGTGGAGAATCAGAACCTACCAGCTACATTGGCGCAACCATCGAGCTTCCCAAACTTCGCAACCGTCTGCTCGATCCACGATTTGACGGTCTCGGGCTTGCTGATGTCGACGACACACGTCCAGTAGTGGTCCTTTGCTTCGGGAAACTCCTGGTCAATTTCTGAGGCGGCTTTTTCAAGATTGGCGGCTGTGGTGGCGCACATGGACACGGTAGCACCCCGCGCAAGAAGGTACTTGCTAAGAGAGAGGCCGGTGCCTCGGCTGGCTCCCGTGATCGCGATGACCTTGCCCGCGAAGGGCTGTGGGTTGACCGCGTAAGGGCTTGTGGTATTGTTAATGGAACCCATGTTACTGAGAGGAGGGTGTAGGAAATGTTAATACGGCGAGATTATGCAATTGGTTTCGGGGGCTCTGTGAAGGCAATCCTAGGAGGAAGACGATGCGGTCCGCACAATGGGGATTCGAATGAAATGGCGTGGACACTTTCCCACCCCCTCGCGAAATACAATCGCGCAGTCTATCTTACGAGTCATATCGGGGCCACGCAGCTCGCTCGCATGACGCTCCTCCTGATTGTCTCGACGCCGTGGCGGCTGAAACATTCAAGGCACGCGTACGCTCTACTAGCCCTGGTATAGCAAGCCATTCAAAACAGGAACCCGATCGTCTGGTTGGCGAGGCTGCGGGACGTCCCGGACCCTTGTTCATAACGGCTCATATGCCATTAGCGAGCCGTCTATGTGTGTGGATCTTCGCCGTCCACGGCACATGGCCCGAGATGGGATTGCGGAAAACTGGAGCCGTCTCCCCGTCGCCGCCGTAGCCGAGGGTAGTCTTTCTTTTTCTAGGCAAGGATGGGTGTGGGAAGATGGTTGAGAGTCGTGCGAGTATGCTCCACAACTGTATCTGCCCACTGTTACTCGCACGTGAGAGCTTTGGACGAATTATGCTCCGAGTTCAGCACTCGGTGCTCGTGGTACCCGGGTTGCTGAAGTTGCGTAGCAGGAGACTCTTCTGCGTAATATGGCATTAATGCCCCTTTGCTCTGAAGTCTGCGTACATTATGAACCTTCTCTCACATTGCTTTTGAGGAAGACAATGTCTTCACTGAAACCTCCACCACGAGACACTCACGCTTGCGGGTAATACTTTAGCGTAACGTCCGCGGAAGCTCCCGAGGCGTCTGCCTTCCAATGCCCTAAAAAGCAAGCGGATGCTAAGCCCTCAAGGGTGGTAAAAGTGGAGGCTCTGCTGTTGCTTGAGTGCTGATTCGTGGTGCCGAGTGCTTTCATTTGGCTGACGCATGCAGGAACAGGATGCTTGATGGGTTTGGAACCACCTTTTGCTCAAATCGCCATTGTTCTTGATGATCCCATCCTGGTGGCACACCGTTGCTTGTGGTGCCGCTTGTACCGTTGCGGGCGGGATTTCGACAGAAAAGAGGCTGTTGTTGCAAGGCTTCCCTCCGTTATAGGAAGATCCCTCCCCATGCGTTTTTGGCGTGAAGTGGTTTGCCCCTAATCGCATGACATTGGGCTACGTATAATACTGTGCCGTCGGGGCTGTGGAGCGCAGGCGGTGCTAGGCCGAACTCCTCTTCCTCATTTTGATTGTTGCGATTGTTGTTCTTGCGTTCGTTCTTTGTCGTGTGTCGTTGAATATGTTTGACTCGTTGGAATCGCCTTCGCGGCCTCTGGTGGCCCGCCAGTTTGTGGATGCAAACACGGGCGTCATGTACCTCGCAGACCCACCGAACGGAACGCAGAGATATGTGGGCGATGCACGACCGAACCTCCATTCTCAGCTGGCTGCAACTGCTATATCGGTCACTATTGTTGCATTTATTACCGTGGCTCTCCGAATCTTTACAAGGATACATGTCACGAAGGCCGGTCTGGCGATAGATGACTGTGCGTATTTGTCGCTCTTGCCGTTGGACGCAAGACGAGGAAAGTGCTGACAAGTGTAGACATGGTGCTCATTGCCATGGCTTTCTCCTTCGGCTTGCTTGGGATGAACTTCAAACGTTGGTGAACTCCACCTCCTTTGCACGAGCTTCTACTCACACGTCCAGACATGGCCGTGGGGCTCGGGTACCACTTTTGGGATATTCCAATGACCGACTACATGGTTCCCTTCCAGGTCTATACTCTCGCTGGCACAATGGTGTATTCGCTTAGTCTCGCGTTCTCCAAGATCTCCATCCTTTTCCTGTACCTCCGACTCTCGACCGTCCGGTGGTTCAGGTTATTGGTGTGGATCTTACTCGGCATCGTGATCTCATACGCGGTCATCTACAACTTAATCTCCCTATTCGGTTGCAAGCCCATCGCAGCCTCGTGGGATTTGTCGCTCGCGACTACGGCCAAATGCTTGGATCAGCTGACCAAGTACATGGTGAGCGTCGAACGGATCTATATAATGGGCTGGCTGACTCTTTACAGGCCTTGTCTGTTCTCAACATCATCATCGACGTCTTTGAGCTTGTCCTCCCGATCCCCATCGTCGTTCCGCTTCAGATGTCGAACCGCCAAAAGATCTCTGTTTGTTTGATGTTCGCAACTGGTATCTTGTACGTTCTTCAAATTATCTCGAGAACAGGACGTGTCACTGACGGATTGCTAGTGTTTGCGCCGTCGCTCTGAAGCGGACATTGCTCCTGAAGCCTCTCATGACCTCTCCAGATTACACTTGGGCGGCTGTGGAACAATTCCAATGGTGTTTCGTTGAAGTCAACGCTGGTGTTGTTTGCGCGTCTGTTCCAGCTCTTAAATCCTTCTTCGCTCGGTACCTCCCCGGGTTGATCAGCTCTCGACTACGGAGCCACGACCGATCCAAGAACGCAGAAGGATACAATACGATCGAGAAAGGCAGTACGCAGCGGTCTAGGGTAAAGAAGGACATGTATGAGATGACGGTTGTTGAAGATGACGTCGCTTCAGAGAAAACGGTACAGCCGCCCAATGTCAGTGATGACGAGGCTAGACTATGGAGAGGATCGCAGCACGGTGTCACATCTAATGCTTCGTCGAGTGTTGCAAAACCTGCCGGAGCGCACATCCAGAAACCAACGCTTGGTCGGGATAGCGATGGGAGAAAAATCTATGTCACGTCCGAGACGACTGTCGAATACGGAGACCGTTGAGCGGAACTGTCAGTTAATTGTACAACATTGTCGGTCTAGGCAGAGCCGACAGTTGCAGAATCAAACGCTACTGTTGGTGAATAGATGAGATGGGCCGGTTCAACGTCGTTCAATACCAGCTAGTTTCCACTCTCCCCTCGCGTCGATATGGAAGTCGGCCATACAATATCAGGTGACCAATGTGAAGGCGTAATATGAAGTGAATTGCACTGGGATGTATTACATTGTGCTGGCCGACGCGAGAGCCACCCTCTTGTTCCCTTCCCGGAGATGGTTGCTGCTCATGAACATTCCAAGGAGTCATTCCGAAGCTGGCTTGCGCTGCCTTCTGTGGTGCCTGTCGCGGTGCCTGGGGGTTCTTGGAGGGGTGACGCCACCGCACAGTATTTTGTGGGAATCAAAGTCACAAGGCCGCGCTCTAAGTGGCCAAGTGGGTCAGATCACCAACCAACCCCGCATCTTTCGAAAGTCTGGGGAAGGCGCACGGACCCTGGCGTGAGCATGAGGAGCTCCTGCCCCTCCATCTGCCCATCCTCACACGACTTCACACGTGTACCTCTTCCAGTCCAATTTCATCCTTCACATCTCTTCAATAATCAACAGGAACAAGCAGTCAAGATGAGTGCAATTGCAGACAACAACGATGGCCCCATCGAGACGGTCCAGGTGCTCTTCGCCCTGTACCCGGGCTACAACACCCTCGATGTAGCTGGCCCGCTCGAAGTCCTCAGCCGCTCTCTTCACAACTCCAAAGACAAGGGCAAGTCCTCGTATCCATCTCAATGAGCACCAATCGGATGCCTCGACATCGCCTTTCCCTGCTGACAAGCTCCGGCAGCGAGCAAGGCGTTCAAGGTGCAGTTTGCGGGTACCGCAGCTGCCATGACGTCCGTGCAGGGCCTCACCATCAAGGCCGACATGGACTACGAGGACGCCAACGACGAGCTCGAGGACTTTGATCTCATCATCGTCCCGGGCGGCGAGGGAGTTTTCGATGTGCTCAAGAACAAGTCCGAGCCCCTTGGTCTCCTCTCCAAGTACGTCGAGCTCCAGGAGAAGAACCCCGCCAAAGAGCGCACCATCCTTGCTGTCGACATCGGCACGCTCCTCCTCGCTCAGCAAGGCATGCTCGAGGGCCTCGCTGCCACCACCCACCCCGACTACTATACTCGCCTTGAGCAGATCTGCCAAGAGGCTTCGACCCGCGACCTGTCCATGCGCACCGATGTCATGGAGGAGCGTTACGTGGTCAACAACGCTCGATTCGATCTGGGCGAGAAGTAAGTGTCTCTTTGGACTAGCACGGATGCTTTTGTCTGACATGATCCAGCCCGGACGACAACCCGTACATCATTAGGAAAGCCCGCCGCGGCGATGGCGAGAACACACAGAATGGCCGGAGGAAGTCGATTGCACGCAAGGGCAGCAACGCCTGGCAGGAGTCCCGCCGCCGCGAGTCCATCGCCCGGCGTGCCAAACTGCCGCTTGGTGGCATGCGTATCATCACCACCGGCGGCGTCACTGCCGGCTTGGATGCTAGTTTGTATTTGGTGGGTTCTTTGGTTTCTCACGACTCGGCCCTGGAGGTCGCTCGTGTCATTCAGTATTCCTGGGTCAAGGGCGTTACGGTCGATGCGATCGACGTTTGAGCGAGCGAGACATTGCGATGGCGTTGGAAGCATCCTGGAAATGCACCGAATCGAACATGGTCGGTCGGTATGATATGTCGGGTAGAATCGGTCGTCTGCTCTGACTTGATGTAAGGTAACGAAACCATGAAATGAATGTAAAATTATCTGAAGGACATGTTCAAGGGTTCGTGACTTGTCCGACGCGGGTGTGGATAGGAACAGAAGGTCAAGCGGTAATCGCCTAAGCTCTTGACGCGGTATTTTCCGCCCTTGCAAAGCACCTGCAACATATATCTTCCCAGGTCGTAAAAACAACGCTGACGTAAGCAGAAGTTCTCAAGTGCCAATATTTGAAGCGTTGAGATAAGATGGATTCTTTTCCAATATTCCATGGTGGGCGGAGGAAGGAGCAAAGCAGCGCCTGACTAGCACCCACCCGCCGCTTCGAGTTGTCAAATCCAGCTTGCCTGGCGCACACTACATCAGCCCTCTCTCAAGACCGCGGTGGAACCCACGTTTCCCTGGGCCCAGCGGTTGAAGCCAGCGTCGCCACTGTCACAATAAGCTCGCGAGAACCGAGTCGAGTCGCCGCTAAGACGCACTAGCGAGCAGAATTGATCAATGCACCCACGCTATTCCTGCGGCTACCCCCATTGCACACAGATATCACGAATATGAATATCAAGGGTCTATACGGAGACCCTGCAGCCCGGATTCACTTCTGCTGTTCGGATTACCTCGTCCGGCCGCTACTTCTGTTGAAGACGCCATGACGAGGAGCTTACAGCGCAAGGCAAGCAGTCGAAATGCGATAATTTGCTGGCGGCGGGGATCCATCCGCAATGTGAGGTTGAATGGAACGCGGTGTGGTTGGCCTAGAGGGCTGTTGCGTTGCATGTGGACGGAGTGGCTGTGTAGGTGAGCTCGAAATTCGCGCATGCTAACCACCAACAGCTTAAGCAAAGGGATTTCGCCAGTACATCGTCTATCGCTTCAGGAGAGGAAATCACATCTCACATGCTGGGCATTAGTTCTTGCAAATAGGAAGTATGTGACGTTAATAGGCGTAGTGTGAGCGATTTTCTGTCGAATCGCTTTGTTACCGTGTGCGCGGCAAGCAACACAGCCTTCGTGAAGTCATTGTTCGCTTCCATACTTTGTCGCCGCTTCCCGCGATTCCGTTAGGCGCGACATGGGACGGAGGCTGCTGTAGGCATAAACAGCGCTGTAACCTGGGAGTGCGAACGCTGTATACCGTGGGTACCAGACTGTCTTCACCCAGGGCTGGACAGGGTCTGCAGGGGCAAAGACCTATGCTGTGAGTACAGTCTGCGTAAAAGCTTTCCTTTCGCGACGCGATCTGCGTCATATAAATACAATCACCCTCAATTCGACCTTCTCCTATCTTTCTGCCTTCCTTCTCTTCGTCTCTTTCGTCACTGCCTCCTCACCTTCCTCACCCCGACACGCGCCCACCCATTCAGGTAGACAATCTCGTGTCTTTAGGGCGCTCATATTCATCCCCTTTCTATGGACAAAGAGGAGAGCAAGCCGTGAGTGACTCGAGGGTACATTGTGTGCATGGACGTTAGGCTCATCAGTCTGCAGGGCTACCCGGATTCAATTTCAGAGTGATGAGGAAACCGGTAGCATAGGTCGTGAGCGCGAAGCCAATCGTCATGACAGGCGCTTGTCGCGTCAGTCCAGCGTGGGAAGTCTCTCGATTCACAGTGCAGCTGGAGGCTCGAGGACTGTTCAGCCGGAGACTGCACTTCCCATCACCTACCGCACCCTGTGAGCGCCCACAGAGGCTATCAACAGTGCCTACTCACACACTGACGTGCGAAAGCTCCATTGAAGTCGATGAAGCCCAGAAAAGAAAGCAGGAGAGTGCAAAAAAAGCGAAGGAGCGCGCCGGCATTGGTGAGTCGAAGCCTTTCTCCCGTCAACTCCTGTACCTTAACCCACCGAAGACCTCGCCGACTTGGAATGGCATACTTTATCCATTGACGAACTCCTTCGCCGTCTCTCCGTCACTCTTTATCAAGGCCTCTCTCCAGATCAAGTCACGCGCCGCCTTAACGAACATGGCAAGAACAAGATGACACCACCCCCTTCGGGGGTGTTCGGTAAGATCATGGGCTACTTCTTCGGTGGCTTCGGATCAATACTCCTTGTTGCTAGTATACTCGTTTTTATCGCCTGGAAGCCGCTCGGAAACCCACCTGCAAAGTCCAACCTTGCGCTTGCCATCGTTCTGGTGGTTGTGTTCTTTTTCCAAGCTGCCTTCAACGCATGGCAGGTAAATTCACCGGGTCCATTCGTTGCATGCATCAATCGAGGGCAAGCACTGACTAGCAACATTAGGACTGGAGTTCAGCTCGCGTTATGGCTTCTATCGGAACTATGTTGCCCGACCAATGCATCGTAGTCCGCGACGAAAACCAAGCTAGCATATCGGCAACTAGCCTTGTTCCAGGAGATATCGTAATCATCAAGCAGGGGAACAAGTTGCCTGCCGATGTTCGCTTTGTCGAGGTGTCCAGCGATGCTATGTTTGATCGTGCGATCCTCACAGGTGAGTTTCCTCCCAACCTTCTTACATTTTTGAAGAAAAGAATAACCTTCGACAGGCGAATCCGAACCTTGCCCTGCGACGACCGATGCGACCGAAGACAACTACCTCGAGACGCACAACATCGGCATGCAAGGTTCTCACTGTATTTCCGGAAGCTGCATTGGTGTCTGCGTCGCTACCGGTGACAACACAATCTTTGGACGTATCGCGAAGCTTACAAGCGAGCCGAAGACCGGGTTGACGCCGTTACAGAAGGAGATCCTGCGATTCGTGCTCATCATTTGTGTCTTCATTACAGCTGTTGTCATACTCATCGTCATCTTATGGGCTGCATGGCTTCGAAAAGACTACCCCAATTGGATCGATGTCCCTCTTCTCATCGTTGATTGTGTGTCCTGCGCGGTGGCCTTCATTCCAGAGGGCTTGCCGATCGCGCTTACCACTAGTTTGACTATTGTCGCGAACATCATGAGGAAGAACAAAATTCTTTGCAAGTCGCTCAAGACAGTGGAAACTTTGGGTGCTGTGTCGGTCATTTGCTCAGACAAGACTGGTACTTTGACCAAGGTATTTAGTCTTTCGTCACAACGACAAAACTCTGGAGGGACATAGCTAACATTAGACAGAACTCCATGCTCGTCACAAACATCTACACAGGAGGCGAAGAATACACGCCCGAAGCCGCCCGCGATCTCATGGCAGTCCTCCGGTCCGAGAACAACATCGCATCACTTACTAAGAAGCGCGAAGACGTTATGGAGGACCTTCGCTTGCTCTCTGGTCTTTGCAATGCCGGCGAATTCGATGCCGCAACCATGCACCTGCCCATCAGCGAGCGAAGAATCAATGGTGATGCGACCGATCAAACTATCTTGCGCTTTTCCGAAGGCCTCGGATCGGTCGCTGAGCTTCGTCAGACTTACAAGAAGGTTTTCGAGATCGCTTTCAACAGCAAGAACAAGTTTATGGTGCGTTTGATCATGCCAGCATCTCAGGGTGCGTCCAACAAGCAATGGTCAGTCTTCAATTACAATGAAACAAAAAGATAGACAAAGATTGCTAACTCCCTTCAAGCACGCTCATGATCAAGGGAGCGCCAGACATCATCCTCACCCGCTGTAACTCGATAGTCGGCGACCATGGCGAGGTTCTTCCACTGACCGAGGTCCAAACCTGGCGCATCGAGAAAATCAAGGACGACTGGTCCCGACAAGGAAAGCGTGTGATCCTTCTCGCTCGCAAAAAAGACCGTTGCTCCCTTCTCCTCCAATCCAGAGAAAGAGGTACAAGTCGCAGCTCGGGAAGGCTTGACTTTCGTAGGACTGCTCGGTATCATCGATCCGCCGCGTGACGAGATTCCTTCTGTCGTCAACATCCTCCGCAACGCATCTATCCGTATCTTCATGGTCACCGGTGATTTCAAGCTTACTGCTGAAGCAATCGCTGAAGAGTGCGGTATCATCTCTGACTCCTCATCGATTGATAATCTCACAGCCTTGAGCCGTCAAGAAAAGAACGGGTTCTCCCGCCGCGCTATCGTGTTGAGCGGTCCTGAACTGATGACACTCAACGAGAACCAGTGGGACCAGCTGTGCAACTATGAGGAGATAGTCTTCGCCAGGACCACACCCGAGCAGAAGCTGCGTATTGTCAAGGAATTCCAGTCGCGACAGAACATTGTTGGCATGACAGGCGACGGTGTGAACGACGCTCCTTCACTCAAGGCTGCTGACATCGGTATTGCGATGGGTAGCGGTAGCGACATCGCGATCGAGGCTGCAGACATGGTGCTTCTCGACTCTTTCGCCGCTATCGTTGCGGCCGTCGAATATGGCCGTTTGGTGTACGACAACTTGAAGAAGACGATTTTGTACCTGCTGCCTGCTGGATCTTTCAGTGAGCTTTGGCCCGTTGTCACAAACGTTGCGTTCGGTATCCCGCAGATCCTGTCATCCTTCCTAATGGTAAGTCTTTGACCTGGTATAGAATGACCATCGGTGACTAAGCTGGTCTTCAAGATCGTTATCTGCTGTTTCACCGATTGTGTGGCTGCCATCACCCTCGCCTACGAGAAGCCCGAGTCTGACTTGATGCTGCGTCCACCCCGTAGCCCCAAGAAAGACCATCTCGTTGATGCAAAGCTTATCTTCCATGCGTATTTTGTCGTTGGGCTGCTCGAATGCTTCTTGTCTTTCACCATGGCCTTCTGGTACATGGAGCGCAAGGGCATCCCTTTTACCGCCATGTGGCTCAAGTTCGGGAACTACACCGATCAGTACGACGCGGACTACATCATCCAGACATCGAACGAAGCATCCAGTATCTACTTCGTCACGCTAGTAGTCATGCAGCTGTTCAACCTCCTTGCAACACGCACTCGCCGTCTTAGCATCTTCCAACAACCCCCCATCTTCAACAAGAAGACTCAGAATCTGCTTCTGTTCCCAGCCATGATATTCGCTATCGTGGTCGTGTTCATCTTCTGCTACCCTCCCAGCGTGCAGGAGGCGATCGTTACGACGACTATTCCAGTCGAGTACTGGTTTTTCCCTGTGGCGTTTGGGATTGGACTATTGATGCTGGATGAGGCGAGGAAGTGGGCGATTCGCACGTGGCCGCATGGTTTGCTTGCTAGGTTTGCTTGGTAGATACGGGAAAAGGGGAAGAGGGGTGCCGAGAGACTCGTGGATTTGAGCATAGCCCGTGTATGTATCAATGCGCGCATTAGTGGTGACAACGCCCGCCCGTGATAGCAGGTAGGCCTCATCATCAGACAAATGAACGTGGAGATACAATCGCATATCCTCCGTCTCGACAGAAGCCTCTAGAAAAGCGCTCTGTCTATGTGGCCCATGAAGCGGCAGGCCAGATACCTACCCATCCATGGCATCCACGCTCCGTATTCTACGCATGCCGTGCTGCCAAGGTAGCTGGTTGATGGGTGGAACTGGTCGAAGAGTTCGAAGAGTCACTAGACTTAGGGGTAGTAGGCGGCAGAGTATGCTGCCTTGTGACACTCGGGTTCTCGCAAGAGAGCCACTGGACTTGGGCCAAGGCTACATGCGGGGGTGTTGCCTTGTGACGATCAATTCTTACACAGCTTTCGTGATTGCCTCTTGCACGCACGTGATGATAACATCGTCGGGAAGAATGTCATACCATAGTAGCAGGTCGTCCAGCCAAAAAAAAAAAAACTGTGATGCAATCTCCGGCATCCCGAATCTCAACACCCAGATGCACTTCTCTCCATCTATGTATTGTTCAGCAAGCCAGTCCAGACACCAGCCTTGACGTCCACGGCATTTGCACTTCACTCTACGCCCCTTCGCCGGCTTCAGCCGCATGCGTCGGTCCCATGCTCGCCGTTAATATCGCGTACCACGTTCTTAGCTTGGCATCCGTTGGCTGTACACCCCAGACCCCACTCGGGAGTTATTGCGCCACGCCTGTGAGAGTCCGGTTAAACAGGGGTTCTGGATCTGGGGTTGGCGAAGCATGGATGTGGAGGAAGATGCTGGAAGGGGATTGCTGATAGAACATATGAGCGGGTAAATGGAATCCTTCTCGGAGAGGCAACTAGATATCTATGAGGCGATGTTGACTAGGGGACTGTTGAGGCAGGTGAAGGAAGGTGAGATGAGTCGCTAGGGAGCAGGCGCAGGCTTTGCTGAAAGGTGCCTGCTCCGTAGACTGGGGCGTTTCTGCACCCCACACGCGACTTTGCTTCGACCTCATTCCTACTTTTGATCGGCCTTCATTGTACCACAACAGGTTTGTCGAAGCTGCATTTTCATGGAGATTCGATGAAGGCTCAGAGTAGGGGCAAACACGTGTTTCTACGGATGCTGGCACAATCTAACGGCTTTCGCCTCCGTATAGGTTCCTTGGGTATTCTCTCTCTCTTCGTGCGAAAACTCAGTTCGCCGTCGTAACTATTTCAAAGTATATTTTCCATGTCCTGATGCTGAGCTCGCGAAGCCGAGACAAAGATACAAACACAGAGTGACGCTCAATTGTATGCACACAACGCCTCCGAGCAGAGCGACTCGAGTGAAGATCGAGGCTTTTCGAGACTAAATCGATAGACCTTTTGAACGATCGCGAGTTTAACTTTACACCTGGAAAACCCTGGGGATCCTTTACCTTGCTCGCTGACTCGAAGAGAACGCTTCTTGAGCGATTTGCTGGAAGCCTGCGGAAAGCCGCAGCCGCACTGTCCTCTGGTCAGCACACTCTACCGGTGCTACTACACTACCAGTCTCTGCCCTCTGACGTATCTCCTCGTGGCTATTGAGTGTTGTCTCATCCACCTGCAGCTGTGCCCAAGGGTAAGAACGGCATGGCCAGAAATCTCCTCCACACACCCTCTCAGCAGCCTCCCACGCAGGAGTACCCACAGACGCTTCGCCATATGGATTTCCGCCACCCGATTCGCTATGCCAAGTTCATTGAAACCATACATGGAAAGCCGTTGCTTGGAAAACCGTCACGGGATCACTGCCATAGCCGCCGTATGAGCTGCAGGCATCCGGATCTCCGGACATCGAAATGAGGATGCTGCGGCGAACCGACGCGAGCGCGTGGCACTCTGCCGCAGAACAACGCTTAGACTATCCAGAAGTCAGGGACCCTAGAGCTACCGTGTAAGGAAGCGGGATTCATATCGGCCACGGTGATTGTGCCCAATCATTAGATGACTTAGATTAACCCCATATTTCGAGAAACTCAGCGACCAAGTTTCTGCACCACCGGCAGTTAGCAGGTTGGTGGCAAATGTGCCTGCATGCTGTTATAAGGCTTCACTGGTAAACATGATGGAGTTTTTCTCTGCGCCTCCGCTCTTTGAGATTCCATTCTACTAACCTTCGCTGCACACACTTCTGATCAAGGACCTCACGACAATCGCTAGTCACCATGAAGTGGGCTACCTTTACGGCTGTGGCAGCGCTTCTCGCGCAGAATGTCAACGCTCAAGGCAGCATGTTGCGATTCGCCTGCTCACAACTCGTCGTTGAGCGAACGGATCCTCTCGTCAACCCTGGCATGAAGTACACTCCCCATTTGCACCAGATCGTTGGTGGCAACAGCTTCAATGTTTCCATGGACCCCAACAACGACCCGGCTAAGCTGTCCACCTGCACATCATGCTCCTTCCTCCAGGACAAGTCCAACTACTGGACTGCTGTCATGTTCTTCCACCACAAGAACGGATCCTACATCCGCGTTCCCCAGACCGGAAACGGCGGTCCTCAAGGAAAGCTCGTCAACAAGGGTGGACTCGATGTTTACTACATTCCCAGCGGCAAGACGACCGCTTTCAAGAAGGTAAGCTCTACACCTTGAAGGAAGCGGACAGTCACTGATCGAGTGCAGGGTTTCCGCATGTTGGCTGGATCCGCTACCAACACGGATGACAACAAGGTGTCAAAGGGCAACATCTGCCATCGATGCTGGACATCGCCCAACGAGAATACCTTCGTCGGCGCTCAGCCCTGCTCTGGCAGCGACACTGTTGCCATTCCCTCGGACCCCAAGTGCAAGATGATCCGCCAGACCATCATCTTCCCCACGTGAGTCATGTCAATATCGATGCTATACCACGGACTGACAAAGGTAGATGCTGGGATGGCAAGAACCTCGATTCGCCCGACCACCAAAGCCACGTTTCTTACGGTCAAGGCTCTGGTGCTACAGGCGGCGGTGCCTGCCCCTCGACACACCCCGTCAAGCTTCCTCAGATTATGTACGAACTTATGTGGAACGTCACCAACTTCTCCGACAAGAGCAATTGGCCCACTGACGGCTCCAAGCCCTTCGTGTACTCCATGAACCTTGGGTGCGTACTTTTCTTCATACCTCATTGATATCTTGCAGTATGTGTACTAACGCTAAGACAGGGGCGCTGCCGCTCACGGTGACTACGTCTTCGGATGGGAGGGCGATTCGCTCCAGAAGGCCATGGACAACAACTGCAACCTCAACACTGCCTGCCCCAAGGCCGGCCTCACCACTCAGACCGACGCCCAGTACGGCGCGTGCACCAAGCAGCAGCAGGCACCCGAGGACGTTGACGGCTGTAAGCCCCCCCTTTCCATACACTATGCACAAATACTAATCTACCATGACAGGGCTCAAGGCTCTCCCTATGGGCGAAATGGCCATCAAAGCATAGGTCGCGCTTCAGCATATTCAACCCACACCCCTGCACGCTCTTTCGGGAGCGTTCCCCACATTCTGTATATTGCTGTCCTCGGCAAACAGGGCATGATTCAGGCTAATCGCGGCATAGCGAATGTGGGGAACGTGGTGCTAGCGGGAGGCTGCATCGGGCGTTTTATAGTTTATTTCATCGCTCGCTGTGTTGGTTTGCCATGGCGGTGTATCTATGTATTCATGTTGTTGCAGATTGCAAGTCGTTAGAATTACATGCTGTTTCTTCGCTGATTGGGATTGCTCTTGCTCACCGTATTTATGAGATTTTCGACGAGGTGGCGTTTTGACTGCTAGAACGACTTTTCTCGTGGTTCTGCGTACACGTCTTGATCGATTGGGGATACAGACCGCCATTGATGCGCGCAGACTTGGCCGGCAATGACGGGGAATTGATGGACGCCTAGAGCACCCTGCAACGCCGGTCCTTGAGGCGCGATCTTCCTCGCGAACTGTGCTGTCACACTACAAGTAAAGATCCCCCGAGATAGGAGATGATCAGGGAGCTTTTTTGAGACGATGCATGGAATTCATTCGCAGAGATTACATACTCTACAACAACACGGAATGCTACTCCTCACTCACACTTTCTACCCCCTCAAAGCGGACCATCCACAAAGACCGCGCCTGCGCCTGTGTCCGAAACACCGTTCCTCTGCAGCAGCGCATCGAAGTTCGGGTTCAAGCCCTGTGAGAAGTCGTTGGTGAAGTAGTTCGGTGTGTCGTGCACGGGGATCGAAGACGTGTTCGATGACGGCGTTGACGCTTTGCCCGTTGAGTAGGCAAAGGCAAGGCGAGAGCTACTGGTTGGCGCGATCCGCACAGATCCTGATGTGCCGGTCCAGGTGGTGCAACCGGAACACTTGGCTGTGAACTGCCAGTGGGAGCCGTTGACTTTGTTGCCGGCGTTAAGGAGGGTGTAAGTTGCGCCTGTGTAGGAGGTGGGCGTAGTGTGGCCGCTGAATTGTTTTGTTAGCATTCACACACTTTAGCCGTCGAGATTCTGGACTTACGTAGCCCACCGCGAGGAGACAGTTGCTTTCTGGCCGTTGGGATATGCGACGGTCAACGGGTTCCTGACCATGTTGCCGCCCCAAGCGAGACCGATCCAGCCGAGTTGGTTGGGAACAACGGTCTGGATGACGGCGTTGTAAGGTCCTGAGGGTGCATTGCTGGGGAGTGCGAAGCGGAATACGATGTTGGCGGTCAGTGAGTATGCGGCTTTGTACTCGGAGAAGGTGAAGCCAGTTTCTTGGTCAACGTATGTAATGGTTCCTTCGGCTCGCGGTTGCACTTCAGACGAGGGACGTCCGAGAGCTGCAATTCACATTAGAAAAGTCTACTAAAAAAGAAGCCGTTCAATAGGACATACCAAGACCGGCCAGAGCCGCGAGCGCAAACGAAAGCTTCATCTTGAATGTTACGGTCGTTCGGGAGGAATACAGTGTCAGGCCGAAGGACGAGGAATGCGCTTGTGACAACGCAAGAAGAGGGCTCGTATCACTATCGTCCAGCAAAAATTGGGCACGATCATCGTTTTAGTACCGTAAATCTCGCCAAGGTCCTATCTGTCATTATCCTGCTCTTATTCCGGGTCTGGGGCTCGACTCGGCAGCGATATACAAGCACATGCGCATGATAGACTAGTAGAACATGAGGTCGCATCCCAGTTCACGCGTGACTATTGATGGCAACCTGGGTGGGAAGGCGACTATGCAAGCGACACGATAGTCAGGTATGAAGAGGAAAATATTGATTGCATACGGTGTGGTACATGCCTCTAGCTTCGTGGACTCTCAGTAGTCGGGCAAGCCGCCGTGGCGAAGTGCTTGGTTCGAGAAAGTGAAGAACGATCGCGTAATGTTGATTTGGAGTGTTCTGAGAGGCCAGATGATTTAACCGTATAGTATGTAGAGTGGCCGTTAGATAGAGTAATAAGTGAGTGTTGGCTTAAATAGCCGAAGTCTGCAACCACATGCCTGACAGCCACGAGGAGCATGATGAACACGCCAAAGCTAGTTCGATAAGAGAATCGTGTAAATGAGGTTGATTCTTAGCGAGTGCTAGCGCACCAGCCGTAGGGTTTGCTTCAAGAACTTGCATCAGCGGCGTAGCCATTTCGAAGCCGCTACGATCCTGCCAAGAGGCAATGCCTTTGAAGCATGAGGCTGGCCATCTGGATTCCCCAGAGCTATCACTTTTCTTGACTTCTTAGTCTGTTATCCATGTCGTGCTTGAGAGGATCTCCACATGCTTCTCATGTGGGGCGTGGGGATGGAGGGTCCTGGTGGGCAAATAGCTAATTTGGAATCTGGAAGATGGTGCATTGTACCACCGAGGCCTCTTCCGGGTTGAAAGTAGTCATGGATGACAAAAATAGAACCTGGACAGTCGGGCCCAGCTGCCGTCTAGATTGTCGCGTGGATGGGCGAAGGAGATCAGTTCTTGAGCCGCATAGTATATCGAACGTAAAGGAGTGAGATTGGGTTGAGAAAACATTGGAAGAAGTATTATAGAAGTAGACCCAATTGACGTAGATTGACAGATTCGCACTCATATAGCCTAGAACGCGGTCAGTCATTGATAAACTTGGGCTTGAACTTTTACCTCAACCACTGTTCCTTACGAAGGACTACGCGCTCACGTTCTAAAATAAAATTTTAAGAGGATTGTTTTGCCAGAAATGCGATATACAGTATTGGATCAAACTTTTGAATACCTCATTGCTGCCATAGGGTCGCACAGGCACAGAACTCTTAACAAGGCACTGTGAACTCCATCTAGTCCGATAACGCTTTCTACAATGCTCGTCTCGCTATTTGTCCGTGGCGAAGCTAGGAGATGGGCTACTCAGCTCCGGCGGCTGGTTGTTTTCTGCTACAACTAATGTCTTGTCTACCTGACAAGAGTGAGCATCTTCCACAGGAGTAGTGCTGCAGCACTCGTTCACAATGCCCTCGCGCCGGCACCTATTGATACTTGTTGATCTTGGTCAGCCATGTTTCATGTGGGTTTGTTTTGAACGAAACTTTGACTTGCGAAGTCTTGTATTAGATGTTACTGACGTTGTATATCAAGCGTTATTGTCGCGGCTTCAGCCATCCTGGTCAACGCGGTCACCACCTCCACGGCTCCTACGGCCATCGTCGATCAGTTGCGCGCTCAAAATTCTGGACAGGAATCCCCCAAGAAGTGGCTTTAACCTGGAATATGATATATAGAGCCAGATCAAAAGTTCGGGTATCGCAATGCACATCCTAGGGTATTGTAGGATACGAGAGCTTTTGAAGTCATCTGATCCGACGAAGCTTTCCTGAAATGCTCACCTATTTGGTCATCAGCCTTGTATACAGCAATAGAATCAGTGGCAACGGGAGATGCTTGCTCGTCTTCTTTTCCTACGAGGGTGACATTGTCTTCCTGTGCAGGCCATGCATCTTTCATAACAACATCATCGGTATGAGGTTCATCTATTCTGGGCAATCCTTGAGCTCTCTCACAGGCTGACTATTCTCAAGCCACTCATTCGGGCGCACCGCAGGTGTAACTACAGTCTCAGCTTGCCGATCCTCAAAGAACTCTCCGTTGTTCAGCGCGTCATCATGGCCCAGACTGCAAGATGATTGATTTTCCTGCTGCTGCGGTGCAGATGGAAGCTTGACAATAGGTGGCCAAGCATGCGCCTGAACCGAGGTGTTTCTGCGTTCTCTAGCCTCGATATCCATGCTGCAACGCCTTTGCTCGTCTGCTGGGTAGATTGGCTGCGACATAACACGTAAGAGACTTCTCAGCTTGCTTGATATGCATGAATGTATTGCGTTTCTGTCTTGCGGTGCAGACATGTTTGTTTCTCTTAAAAGTTCGTGACGCAAGCCCCGAACGAAACTCAGCCTTACTTTTGCAAAAGTGTATATCAAGTCATACCCAATTTCCGTCCTGTAGGGCTGGGGTAGGCCGCCGCAGAGCATGCCCGGATGGCTCACTAAGTGAAAGATTATCGCGATGCTGAGTATTATACCGCAAGTGATAGCGAAAGGATGAGTTGCGTTGTGGACGGAGGGAACACTGTGAATCGAACACTGAACGGAAGGCGCGAACACAACGCTATCCCAAACAGGTTAATCGTTCATCAGCGCGCGAAGCTGATTGGCCTAGATCTGGTTCTTGCCTTTCCTGGAACATCTACCCGCTGTTTTGTCGACGGTCTCTTGACACACCGAGTTGAGGATAATCTCTTGCACCGACGACCTAAAGGACAACGGAATATCCCAGCGCAATATGGCACCATCCTTCGACGAGTAAGCAGCACTGTACTACCGATCAACGACCACCCGCTGTGAAGACTAACGAGTGTACCTAGGGTCCTCCAGACCAGACTGTTCACCTTTCTCATCGGTGCAGACGAGACACCCATCGTCGTCCATGCAGGCGCCATTGCGAGGCTCTCCGAACCACTGGATCGCCTTGTGAACGGCCACATGGCAGAATCGCAGGACAATGTGGCCCGATTTTCAGACCTGGAAGTCGAGGACTTCAGTCGCATATGCGAGTTCGCTTACCGTGGAACCTACACTCGCCCCAAACCAAAGCGATTCTCCGATGGCGAGGTCGATGCGGCCACGCAGATGTTTCACCTCGCTGATCCGATCTCGCCGTTCTTCGCGGCCAGACCCTACGATTTCGAGCATGACCGTCGCGAGGAATCTCCAGAATTCGCCGAGGACGATCACTGTGAAGATTCTCCAGGATGCTCTGGATCCAGTGTCTTCGGAGACTTAACAAGCCCAATTACGTCGTTCAGAAGTTTCCAAAATCCCCATCACGGATCGCGCCTTGAGTGGCCCGTCGTGTCCTCGGAAAACCGATCATGGAGAGATAACTTTGCGCCGGCGCTACTAGGTCATGCCCGTCTATATGCCTTCGCTGAGCAGTACTTGATTACGGCACTCAAGAACAAAGCCCTTCAGAGCATGCGTGACACTCTGTCAGGATACACACTGTTCGTATCCGGTCTAGAAGCCGTCATTCGACTCGCTCGTTTCGCGTACGACAGTGACCATATACCAGATAGAGAGGGGAAAGTTGTCGACCCGCTGAGGCAGGTTGTGGTTGCCTACGTGGTAGCGCATCACAAGCATTTCCAAAATTACGCAGGCCATCGACACTTACTAGAGGCCCAGAACGAGTATGCCACTGATGTTCTCGACTACGTTGCAAACTGGTTTGATCCAGACGCTGAACACGAGCGACATGAGAATGATCAGGGAGACGGGTGGCCGGGGCTTAATGAATATCGGCGGTGAAATATGCAAGCTCGATTCTATTGTATGAAGGGACGGTTGAAGTAGGTATCACCTCGTAGAGGATCAGGTCTGGTATTTGCCTTTCCGCCATGACCCGAAGAGGCGATCTGCTGCCCGGCTCTCGATCGCACTGATAGTGCAGAGAAGCTGGTTCAGGATAGCAGGCTTTTGGAAAACGAATTTCCCCATGAAGTGGCTGCTGATGTACGAGGATGCTCCAGCCCATTGCCACCATGTTAGGAACAGGAAATGAAAAAGCTGTTGACCTTAATGTCTTTCACGATTTTGTAATACTAGTAGGGATGTCAATGAAAAGGGTGCAGCTGAGCTCAAGATTTGTGCCGCCATGAACGGCGCCGTGAGGGCCTGCCGCAAGTATGTGAGCATCAACACAAACTGCACCGTCCGGCCAACGCGAGTGGAAACGGTGCTTCGATCTATTCTCCCGCTGATCATTAATTCAACCTGGTGGTTGTAAGCGCGACCGTAGCGACTTGACTGCATCTATGTCTGGCTTGCGCTCCACGATTGAGGCTGAGGCGTGCGGCAGCGTGATCTTCTCATCCGCGCCTTTAGCTGTCAGAAATTGCTTGAAGCCGCGCTTTGGCTGCTGGTCAATTCTGTTTGAGTCCGTTTGTTTCTCTAGATAGTCTGTAGGGTGGGCCCTGGGTGTAACCCAGAGAGGGTGATATGCTCAAGAAGTGTTGAAGTGAGTAATCCCCAAGCTGGGCTAGTACGCGCCAAGGTCGCGCTAGTGGCACGGTCCAATCGCGCGGCATCGTTCTTTGGACGCTCCGCGACTTTGACAAGTTATAACAAAGCCGCCGCCCGCTGAACGTCGACAACCTTCTTTCCCTTCTTCTCCACTCCTCTTGCTGCCAAGTGCTGGTCAGCCTTGCTCTCCGGAAGAAACCAGCCCGGGTCTCCGAAATTCGCGAGCTTGAGCCTCGTTCGCTCACCTGCGCCGGGCGCTCACTTCACCAGCATCCACGGCCAAACCGCAAATTAACAGCTCACCACGCACCACCCGCTCTTCTGCCAGCATGTCTGACTATGAATCCGACGGCGAGGACTTCAACCCGCAGCCTGAGGTTGATGAGGATGACGTACCTGCAAGCGACGACCGCAAGCCTGTGATCGGCGAAGATGAGGACGACGCTCCAGCGCCCGCGCCTCCAGGCAACGAGGCTGAAGAGGAAGACGAGGACGAGGAAGGCGGCGAAGAGAACGATGAGGACGAAGACGACGAAGAGGAAGAGGACGATGAAGACGAGGTTGTGGTAAGATGAGGCGCGACCATCTTAAGGGAATGCACTGACTTTAGACAGACCCGTCCTAAGAAACGCAAGAAGCTGATGCGGCGACGCAACCAGTTCATCGAGGAGGAGGCCGAGGTTGATGAGGACGAAGACGAAGAGGAGGACGAGAACGAGGACTTCGAAAACGAGGTCCATCCGGACGACTTGCTCGAGGCCACCCAGGCCGACCTCGACGATCGCCACCATCGAGAACTAGATAACCGGCGGCAGGCGGAGCAGAATCTCGATGCGGAAGAAGTGGCTAGGCAGATGGACGAGAAGTACCGCCGGCGCGAAATGATGAGTGCTCGCCGAGCAACGACGGGCGCCGTACCGACATCACAACCCACCATTGACGATCCTTCGATTTGGGTTCTCAAGTGCCGTCCGGGTAAAGAGCGCGAAGTCATCATGTCTATCATGAAGCGAATCGACGAGCAGCTCCGCTATGGCCGCCCATGCCGCGTATATTCGGCCTTCGAGCGCGGAGGTTCCATGTCGGGATACATCTATGTCGAAGCCGACGCGAAACAGGATATGATGGCTATAGTGGACGGTGTCATTCATGTCTTCCTAGGAACACAACCAATCTCTATCGACGTCAAAGAGCGAACGGAGCTTCTGCGCAAGCGCAAGCGCACGCCGCTGGAGGAGGGCAAATTCGTGCGCATAGCCCGCGGTCTGTACAAGGGTGATCTAGCGAAGATTTCTGAGGTCAACGGCAATGGTCTTGACTGCACTGTGCAGCTTGTTCCGCGTCTCGACTATGGGCTGAACGAAGACGCGAATGCCGCTGATGGCGCAAAACGCAAGCGCCCGGCTTTCGGTCGTGTCCAAGAACGCCCTCCACAAAAGCTGTTCAACGAGAATGAAGCGAAGAAGCGGCATATGAAGCATCTCAACATGGTCGGATCCGGTAATCAGAAGATGTACACTTACAAGAACGAAGACTACGTCAATGGCTTCCTCATCAAGGAATACAAGGTCAACCATGTTTCCGCCGAAAATATGAACCCGCGGATGGAGGAGCTGCAATTTTTCGCTACCCCAGCCGCCGACGGCTCAGACGGCATGGATCTTTTGGCTGTACAAGCTGCACAGAAGGCCGGACAAACGGGCTCCAGCTTCCTTACCGGCGACAAGGTGGAGGTCTACGATGGCGAACAAAGGGGTCTCCGGGGTATTACTGTGACCTCAAAGGGTGACATCGTAACGATCCGCGTCACAGACGGTGATTTGAAAGGTCGACGAATCGATACCCCAGTCAGGACCCTTCGTAAACTGTTCCAGGAAGGTGACCACGTCAAGGTCATTGGTGGAAGCAAGTACATTGACGAAGTCGGTATGATCACCAAGATCAGGGATGATAAGATTACCCTGCTTTCCGATTCGACCCAGACCGAGATCACTGTTTTTAGCAAGGACTTGAAGCGCGCAGCGGATTCGGCTACGCTTGGGCCAGACTCAAAATACGACCTATACGATCTAGTGCAGATTGAGTAAGTGTCACACCTCTTGTCTTCCATACATTTACTAACTAGATAGTGCCTCCACCGTGGGTTGCGTAATCAAGGTCGATCGTGAAGTGCTGCGTGTGCTTGATCAGCAAAGCACCGTCCGCACCCTTCTGCATACTCAAGTTTCTGGCCTTGTTGGGCGCAACAATAGGGCCGTTGCAACAGATCGGGACGGTTCCGAAATTCGAAACGACGATACTGTCAAGGAGCACGGTGGAGAGAACCGACAAGGAAAGGTAATTTACATACACCGCGGTCAACTCTTTGTGCAAAACCGGGAGTACAACGAAAACAATGGCGTGTTCGTTACTCGTAGCACGAATGTTGTTACGATGGCCGCGAAGAGCGGACGCGCACAAGCAGGTGGGCCTGATCTTAGCGGCCTCAACCCTGCCTTACAACAACCGAACGGCGGCCCTGGTACCATGGCTCCACCCCAAACGCGGACATTTGGAAGAGATAGGATGATTGGCAAGACCATCACCGTTCGAAAAGGCCCCTACAAAGGTCTCCTCGGTATCGTCAAGGACACCATGGGCGACGACGCTCGCATCGAGCTTCATACCAAGAACAAGCAGATCACGATCAAGAAGGAGCTTCTCACAGTCAAAGACCCCGTCACAGGCAACAGCACAGACTTCGGCGGCGGCAAGTTCCCCAACCGTTCTCGCGGCGGCTACGGAGGTGCTACGCCCTACAACGGCGGCGGTCGTACGCCTGCTTGGGGCGGAGGCGGTTCTCGGAACGGTCCGTCATGGGGTGGTGCCACGCCAGCTGCTGGTGGCAGCGGTGGTCGCACTCCAGCCTGGGGTGGAGGCGGCGGCCGGACGCCCGGGTGGGGCGGCGGCGACGGCTCGCGAACTGCATACGGGGGCGCGACTGCATATGGCGGCGCAACCTCCTACGGCGGCGCAACTGCTTACGGCGGGAACGACGGGTCGAGCACTTCCTACGGGGGCTTCAACTCAGGCAGTCGGACGCCCGCTTGGGGCGCTGGTGCGTCTTCAACCAATTCGAAGTCAAATCTCTCGGCGCCGACGCCCGCGGCGTATTCAGCACCTACTCCCGGTGGATACGGAGCATATAGTGCTCCTACGCCGGGTGGACCGCCGCTTGATGCCCCGACACCGGGGAACTACAGTGCTCCAACCCCGGGCAATTACACGGCTCCTACTCCGGGAGACTATTACACTACGCCTGCTGCGGCGCCGACGCCCGGGGCTTGGGGTGGTGATGAGGATCCGAGGTACGATTAGTCTGTATGATACATAGGGCTGCTGGGCTTGGGCTCGAGTCAGGCCTTGAGAGATGGTGCAGGTTTCTCGCTGAAGCCGTCCTGATTCGGACCACTTGGGTGCGTTTGAGTGTTTGCATTGCCGGCGTCACTATCGAAAATGGGAATTTGTATACCGCCGAGGAGCGGTCAGCAGAGATTTTGCTTGCATTGATAGAATCTTATTCATCGTCATCATCCACATCACTCCTGCAATGCCCTGTCTTCAATCTCATGACGTGCATGGGGCGATGTATGTAGCTACGTGGTCGCATCTGCTTGCTTGTTTGTGTGCACAGCACATCGCCAATATACACCTATCCTGCGCTGGTGCGTACTTATGCGCGTTATACCAGTGTACATCATCATTGATGAAATGCCCCACGTGTGTGCGAGTGCTTTGGGCCAGCAAATAGCGGGTGAAGCTTATTGTTGAATATAAGTACAGTCTTGGATGATCTTGTGTATAACTTGTTCACGGTGCATATGCGGTCTCGGAGGGGGTGTAATTCTGTGTAGATTTGGTCATCATTGCAAGCGAGTCCGAGTAGTCACTTCAGCGGCTATGCATGTAAAGGGTAATGAGGAGAGTAGTGTGCGCGATAACGTCATTATGGATGTGGACTTAATCGCAGTCAAGAAAGCGAATATGGAACTTTTTTGGGTCTACCTGATACGTAAGGCGGAGCCACACCGAAAGGAAGTACGAGATCCATCGTTGTATCATGAAGCAATTAATCGTTGAGGGATCACAAACAGTTGTCTAAGTATAATATGGAACAACCACCCACGCTCGACGAAGAGGAGGAATCCCGGGAAACGAAAGAAATTGAAGTGCAGGAGAGAAGAAAAATACCAGTGGAAAGCTCCACTTGCAGCCACGGGATTGCGCCGGTTGCGTATGCGGATTGAAGTTCGAGACTCGGTTCTGATACCGAATGAATGGAAGTCGACAGAAAAAGCAATGAAGCAAGGCCCAAAGAAGCAAGTGCTGCCAGGAAAGTTTGAGTCTCTGCAGGTGGGGTTTTCAGCACCTGCAGCCCATTCTCAACGGCGCGCCTGATGTTGAGGAGCTCAAGCGCGGAAAGCATCGGTGCCGACGAGGGCTTTTTTGACCTTGAATCTTCTGATTGTGCGTAAAGCCAAGCCTGGGTCGGACTACGAAAGCAGATAAATTGTACTGCAGCAGCGCCAGGTCTGAATGAGGCGATTGGTGCGGCGATGTTGCCGGTGTGTGGGAGCCGCTCGTTGCTCATAGGCTAAATTTATCTCACGCGCCTCTTCCTTACACTCTGCAGAAGTTGCAAAGATGCGAGATGTGGGGCGCGGATGTGACCCGACGTGGCCAGCCGGTGCTGAACATTACGTTCGGAGACGCGACCCTTGCAATCACTTATTGCAATGCTCTGTGCATGTTTTCCGTACGACCCATTTCTCCCAGAACTTCCGTTGCGGGTAGGTGACCACGATGCCGTTGTCGCCGAGGATCTCGATGCTGTCGGTGTGACTGCAATTGCACCAGGGAACGGAGGCTGGTGTATCCGGAGACATTGGTGGGAAGTGGATATCGCCTCCTTGCTCTGGCTCATCAGCATCCGAGTCCTCTTCGACCGAATCTACGCTTTCCTGGTCGTCGTGGTCATTATGGTGATAAGCGGGGTGGATGTCATCGTCATCATCGTCGTGGTGGTCGAAACCATCGCTATAGCCATCGCTGCTGCTGTCGCTGGCCGTGAACTGATCGTCGGGTACCTCAACTCCCAACATCCACTGCTCGTCAAAATTCTTTTCGTAGTTGATGCGCCGTAGGCTAACCCAGTCTAACCTTGGCATATCCGATCTTAGGAATCCGAGTACATCCTGCCACCGGCTACCGTCCTTGAGTAAGACGTCCCTGAGCCTTAGGCCACGAAGCTTTTCCCGATGCCTTCGCGCAAAGGCTATGATTTCGTCCGCGTCAAGGCGCCACGACTGAATGCCAAAGGCGAGCAGCTTTTCCCATTTAATGCTGTGGAAGACCTCTTCAAGTCGCAGACTCAATGGTCTGTGTGACGGAAACCCTATGTGTAGAGCTTGCATGTTTTTGGCGGCGCTGAATACCGCCCTCGACAAAGTTGAAAGCGCCCGCATACGATTGTCCAAGTCTGTACCATCGTCAAAATGCAGCTCTAGGCAGGTCAGTCTTTCAGCAAGAACACTCAGAGTCGATGGTGGATCGTTCACAGCACCTAGAACGCTCTGCGGGCTCAGCATTGGCGACGAGAAGCGAGAGCAGGGTGACTTGTTCGCAAGTAGCGCTGCGCCGATGGTTTTCGTGGAATGTGAACAGGCTGGTGCCCACCTGAGTTCGACCAAGGTGCTTAATGGATCATGTTCTCGAATATATGAGATGAGGAGTCCATCTTGCTGGTCTTGTAGTCGAAGTATCTGCACATGCTGCAGGGAAGTGAAAGCCGATATTGCTTTGTTCAGAACACGAGCGTCTTCCTCGGTCTCGACGATCTCCTTTTGCTCCTTCACCTTTTGGACGAAATGTCTGACCTGCATGTACTCAGCACAAGCGATCAGGTGATGTTCTTGAGACGCACATCGAGAGTCCCGAGATTTTGGGGTAGTGTGGGTAAGAGTTCGCGCACGCGTGCTCGTCCTATGACCTTGTTAGTCACGCGGACATGGTCGAGAACAGAAGGTGGACCACAACCTTCAACGTAGAAAAATGGTACCATGTAGCTGAATTTCTTGACGTGTTCCGCTAGGTGCTGCTGGCTAGCAATATTTTCCAAGCGTTTGAGGCCTTTGCGAGAGAAGCGTGTGGTGACGCGCGAGAACTGATGGACCGCCCCCAAGTCGGAAAACCTCTTGCAAGCTAGTCGAAAGTTGGCAATATCCTGGGACTGGTCTGGATCCGGTTCCGGGGGCAGCTCAAAACTCTCTTGGGATAAGTAGGCGCGCCGCTCGGGCCCTATGGGCTTCTCGGGATCTATATGATCAAGTATCTCGCGTAGGAGCTCGTTGGAAAGGTTGAGAATGCACATAGCGTGGCGATTACACCATCGGCCGCCGGATAAATCGAACCAGAGGGAATGCGATGGAAAGCAACAACGAGGTGAAGTGATGGCAAATATATGCTAGGCGGTTAGGACTGTGGCCGGCGGCGCGGACGCAAAGGTTATTGCAATGGCGCTGGCTTCAGCTGGCGGCGTGGTGTTGTCGCTGGTCTCCGGGCGCCTGCGTCATGGGATGCCCGGGACATACGGAGGAGGATAAGAGCCCTGGAGAGCAAACGGAACTGCAGGCATGACCTCTGCCCCAGCGTCAGCTAAGCGTTGTTTGAAGGTGTGGTGGACTCGGACACGGCCTTGGACTAGGAAAGCCTGCACCTCTACGCATCCAAGACCCGCTAGTGTGCATGTGAGCGAATGATGTGGGCTGGACGAGGACGCTAAATCCCGTGACCGTACCTTCATGCGTGTGAGGCCGGGAAGTGAAGGCTCCTCCCGAGCGACCGGTCGATTGATGGACGGCAGCGTACAGGGCGGGACTGGGGCGGCGCTCTGATTTGAGGCGGCGCCGGCGCTCTCCACATCCCACCAGCATGGCCGAATCAAGGCCTGGCGGGTCTGCTGCATTGCCAGCGAAGCACTGCGTCGGTAAGGACGCTAGAACACCAATCGTCCGCTAACAGCAGCGAAGGCTCTGCCGTGCACTTGGGTATCGCGTGAATCCATGGACGAGCATTAGCCTGTGACGACGATTGCCTGGGAGGGCTGAAACAAGTGGCAGAGGATATAATGTGTGCGACCCCCGTCCTCTCATCTAACGACGGGTGTAGGCAGCCTGTGGACGTAGGGGCCGCTGTGCTGTCACTGATTGCCTGCATAACAGTATGGTAGCCCGATCATCGGTCTGTCCAGTCTCGTACCCTGCTGCCCGCCTCGCTCATGTACGTGCGCCGTGAAGGATCGCAACATGCATCTGCTGCCGTCATGCTTTCTCACTCAATGAACACGGGATATGGCCATGGCAACGCCATCGCTGTAAGGAGCCCCGGTGGGCATGCAGCGCCACGCTACTTTCTTGTGCCTTCTTCGAGAATAACCGCTAGCTTTGTGTTGTCCCACTTGTACCCCGGTGCAACACTTTCTCGCTATCATGCAGCTTCACGGAACGTCGTGCGGCTTGACCGCCCCTCGAGGCCTTTATAAGGTCGCACAGAGACGCACCCTAGCCGCCTTTGCGCTGAGCTGTCTCCTTCTTGCACACGGCGGCACTGTACCCGCCCTGTTGCTGCGATATATCTAATCCTCTGGTGACTGGAGGTGCAGATGCGGCCATGCTAAGCTATTGTCCTCATACCATACACGCACGTATACCGAGCTTCACTTCTGGGACTGGCTGCGCTCACTTCGGATTCGGCGAATCTCGGTACTGCTCAACTTACTTTGAAACGTTTCGTCCACGCGCTCTTCTTCGCTCGCATCCAAAACCGACACTTCGAAGACCTCGAGCTTATGCCAGCCCTTCTCAACACGCTTGCTGTTGACGGCACTGCCGCCACTTCGGGTTTCCAGAGACAGAACCAGAGCTGTAATGGCCTCGTCTGTTATGGTGGGGCCAAAGGGATCCCAAATCTCTACGTACTTGATGAGTAAGCCGAAGGGGTACGTGACGTGCACTGCGTGTCCATTCGGCCCTGGTTCGTTTAATTCCTCGATCTGAATCCTGCGGTCATCACGCTGTCCGAAGTAGATGACGGACGTGAGGAAGTCGTGCACTCCCTGCTGACGATCGTGCCAGCTTTCCAGATACTCTGCATACTGTTTCTTCTTCAGCAATTCGTCCCCCGTGATGCCGACCGTGAGCACGCTTAGCGCGTGGTCGTCATGTAAATGTCTTCTGCCGAGCACGAAAGCAAACATGGTCAACAGCAGCTTGTGGCCGATGTGCATATGGTCAAAGGTGCCACCAACAGCCACGGAGAGATGGTTGATAGATTCGTCTTTGCTTTCGGAAGGTGCCGCGGTTTCGACGGCGACTATGCCGCCGTGGACTCGCTGTACATTGCGAGGAACGCTAGATGAGGCGAGGAAATTCTTCACCAGTCCTTCTCCTTCTTCGGACTGTACAGAGTAGATGAGGTCCCAGTGTGTCGGGTTCCGGGCCAGCGTGTAGAGATCAATGACTGGACCCTGCATTTCATGCTCAGGTGTGCTTTCCGGGGCTGGCTGATCCAGCTTGCCATTGCGTGGATAGGCAACGAGTATGATGCGGGCGTCGATACCTTCGGCATCGTCAGTGTCAATGGCATTCTTCGTGGCTATGACGCAGACGAGCTTGTAGAGAGCCGCGACGAGGCTTTCCGTGGCAGCATAGAAAGGTCCTCTTGGCGCATTGAGCTGGCCATAGAGATGTGGACATGGCACCGCAATCTCAAGGATGGCGCGCTCGTGGGCCCTTTGGGGCGACCGGGCGAGCTCTTGGAGCACGGTGAACAGCGGCGCGTTGTAAGCGGCTTTGATGGCTGCATAAGTGGGCGGTGACGGCGCGGGCGGGAGCAGAAGCAGGGCGCGGAGGGGCTTGCGAGACGGAGGCATTGCGGGGGAAGGTGCTACTAGCAAAGTGCGGAACGGGACGAGGCTGAGATGTGTGCTGTACGAGAGAGCAGTCGTTCCCATGCAGAGCGAGTCATGAAGCAGAGGTGGTGGAGGGGGCATTCAGAGCATAGGAGGGGAGGGGCTAGGCGGAGGCTGTGGGTCAATCCTCACGACGTCGGCCAGCCTTCTGCACCACGTCTGCCCACCTCTCCCGCATCCCATCCGCCCCCGAGGTGCTCTACGCGCGCGGCAACATGCCGTTCCATGGCCACCACCACCAAAACTCGGCCTTTACGCCGTCGCAGGGCCTGAGCCAGGCTGCACAGGCTTTGGGCAGCATTGGGGCGCCCGCGGGCAACCTCCGTGTAGCCACGTCCGGCACGACGAACGCAGGCACCGATGCCCTCATGCCAGGCAGCGGCAACGTGCAGTCTCCTACGAGCAGTGGCCCACACGCTGGAGGCCATACAGCACCGCCAACCGCAGGGGCGCTTTCGAATCCACCACCGCAACAGCAGGCGCGAAGCTTCGAGCCACGGCGGGTAGCCACCAACGAGGACCTGCACATCAATACCATGAACCAGCCCCAGCATGTTCCGTCGCAGTCGTCGGCGCCGCAGCAGCAGCAACAGCAGCACATGTACAACTCGCCGGACCAGTATGGCGCGCCAAACATCAATCTTCACCAAGGCCCCCCGAACGCCCAGTATAGCGGTGCATCTTCCGCGCAGAGTGTTCCCGGCAGCCTGCAGCCCGGCGCGCAGCAGCAGCAGCGACCGGGCGCGGCTTCCGCGTATACCGCGCCTTCGACTGTGCCTACCATCCCCCAGATCAACACAAACGCCCAGCAGTATACCCTCCCCACGCGCTCCAACACGATAAACCAGCCTCAGCAGCATACCTCTTCGCATACCTACTCGAGATCCAGCCCGGCCGGCATGGGGCCCGACCAGAAATATATTCCTTTTTCGAACACGCCCGAGAGCTCCAAGTACGCCGCCGGTACCCCTGCCCAGAAATACTATCCCTCAACACCCTCAGGCGCAGCTTCCAATTCACCGCTAGGGTTGGCCGACATCCGACCACGCGCAAACTCGAACATGGCCGAGGAATCAACCGGTGCGGGCACATTATTTGTCGAGAATGACCGCACGCCTTCCAATAGCAGCTATCTCACACCGTGGCCGGCATACGCATTCGATTGGTGCAAGTGGAACGTGCATGGCGGCAATGGAGCTGGCAAGATGGCCGTTGGAAGCTACCTGGAAGACACTCATAACTTTGTATGGCCGCACTTGTAATCATTACGTGGACTGGCGAACTGACAATGCCTAGATACAAATCCTTGATACCCACCTCACGCCGCAGGACGTTTCTTCGCCGGGCGCCCCGCAATACGGTCTGGAATACACGCGCGTGGCTGAAGCTACTTGCTCATACCCTGTCACAAGAATTTTGTGGGAACCGCCATCCACTCAGAAACAGTCTACGGATCTACTCGCTACGTCTGGCGACCATCTGCGGTTATGGTCGCTTCCCCAAGGCACCGGGCCCCAAACCAGCAACACAATAACACGATCGTCCTCAGTCAACACAAGAGACCCTCCGCCGCAGAAGCTGACACCCTTAGCACTCCTCTCCAACTCCAAAACACCCGAACATACCGCGCCTCTTACTTCACTCGACTGGAACACGCTATCTCCAAAGCTCATCATCACGTCCAGCATCGACACAACATGCACAATATGGGACATACCGACATTGACTGCCAAGACACAATTGATCGCCCATGACAAGGAAGTTTTTGATGTGCGCTTTTGCGCAGGCAGTGTGGATGTATTTGTTAGCTGTGGTGCAGATGGCAGCGTGCGAATGTTTGATCTTCGCAGTTTGGAACACAGCACCATTATCTACGAGCCGTCTGAGAAGCCGCCTGGACAGGGAGACAAAGGCGTGTATTTATCTCCTGCTTCTTACTACTGCTAACCTTGACAGACTCACCAGGTGGTCGCATGTCACCCACCAAAGCCCAACAAACCATGTCCTACGCCCCACCCCTCCTCCGTCTCGCCGCCTCTCCCCACGACGCTCACCTCCTCGCTACCTTTGCCGCCGATTCGAACCTCATCCGCATCCTCGATGTGAGGCAACCAGGCCAAGCACTTTTAGAACTCCGCGGCCACTCAGCACCCGTCAATTCGATAGAATGGAATCCCTCTCGAAGAGGCATGCTCGCATCAGGTGGAGATGACTCCCTCGTGCTCGTTTGGGATCTCTTACATTCGCAGAACGGCGCCGTCATAAGCGGTGATCATGCTGCACCACCGCCTCCTCCCGCCAGCGCGCAGCCTCCGAATGGCGGGCAGGGCTCAAGCACTCAGGCCACGGGGGGCACAATGGGCCAGAAAGGACCATACGCTAGCTGGAGGTGCGAGTACGAGGTGGGCAACTTAAGCTGGGCACCGCAAAGCGCCCTGACCGGGTCTGGCGGCGAGTGGGTCGGTGTTTGTGGCGGCAGAGGCATATGGGGCGTTAAGCTATAGGAAGAGAAGCGACCCCAGGGTGAAGAAAAGGACCCGTTGGCTGCTTTCTGCTCATTGTATGATTGACGGAGCGAAGCTCTGGTTCAGCTGGTATCGGGAGATTGCGCACTATTTTTGATGCGATTGAGCCGAGTTACAATGCGAAGCGTTGGGCGGCGTTTTGTTCTTTGCGTGTTTGATGGAAACTACGATACCTTTAGAAGTGCAGGTTCGGGGTGCAGGTGTATATGCATGCATGTGACTTGGCATGGAAAAGCATGGGGTGGGATACGACAGGGAATCGGATAAACTATGTACAGGCCCTGTTTCCGCCGAGACGATCTGTTGTGATGCGCAGTCCATCTGTGTTGATATGCGTGCTCGATTACAAGGTATCGAGGAGCAGATGCGGCGGGCGATAGATATCCGAATTCTTGTTTGTCTTCGAAGCACAACCGATATAGTCCTCAACAGCATCTTTAACGCAGCGCCAATTTAGTTTTTTGGCGTTGTTCCACGTCACTTGCTTCACTTCTCCTGATCCACACTCCCTACGCTCTTGGTCTCTGTTCGATCGAACGCACCGACTCCCATCAACGTGGGTCCGGTGTTTGCTCCGTTGGGTCTGTTTTGTTCTCCACTACCGGTAGCGGCTCCGTCTGGGCATGTTTGGTGTTCCGCTGCCCACACCACTGGAACCAGATAGCGACGAGCTCTGGGCGCGATAAGCTTGAAGATCACAATGCTGTTTGCTTGGTCTGTCTGTGCTTGTGCTGATCGCTTTGTTGGCTGGGTTCGTCCGTGCTTGTGTGTGAGCGGTCTCCACTGTGGGCGACCATGGGTAGGCGAAGCAAAACATGACAAGCTTCTTGGATGAGCTTAAGTTGACTTCGGGTAGTTGCGACGTCCGAAGTCGATCCGTTTCTGGTGGAGCATCCGTTTGCGCTATGGCTTGCCTGGAAATTCTTGACATTGTAGACTTGATGCAGAGTCTGTTCTCAACCTGCTAAAGTTCAAGGCTTCCTCCTCTTTTCTTCTGTTTGGGCCGTTGCTCGTGGCAACTTGGCTTCCTTTTCGACCCAATCGAAGCCTGTCGGAAAGGAAATGGCGAGCCCTGGAATCTCTACCACCGACCGCAACTGTGTTATCCCCAAAGCTGGTTCGCTAGTATATCACAATCGACTACAACCTGATCGCGCTCTCAACGCTGTCCATAATATGAGGGCTGCTAGGGAAGACCAAGGACGATCTCAAGCTGTGTACCCGGCCATGGCGTCCTGGGAACGTAGAGTTTCTAAGGATTGTATTGAAGGATTCGGCTTTGTGGATGTACATGGCTCCTGGCAGAGAGTGATCGCCATGTCTAGCGACCGGCTACATCCCAACCAAACTGGTCCTTCTGCTGGAGAGAGTCAAAGGAGGATCCGGTAGAATGACTGCATCTGTGAGTGATGTATCGACCAATCTGGGCCTGCGACTCACGATGGTTGAGGAGCGGGAGATGTCCAGGCAAGACGCCGATTATGACGCGAAGGAAGTGAGGTGAAGAGAAGAGAAAGCAGGGAGGGACATAAGCCGAAGACGCTGCACCGGTCGAGCCAAGCACGTGGCAGGAAAAAGGACTGAAAGAGCGGCACGGTAAGAGGAAAGGTCGCTCCTTCCCGCGACAGGGGAGAACGGACCGACAACTGCGCAATGAAGCGAACACGTGAATGCAAGATGGATTTTTAGACACCAATTCTTTCTGGTATATCGAACACTCAACGCGAGTACGCTGGACTCGCTACACCAAAATCAAAACACTAAAACTAGAGATCTAGATACAGACACACGCATGTACTAACGCCGCATTCAAATGCATCACTCTCCTCTGCACAACGCCTCGCCCCTCAACACATCATCGCCTCATCGTCTCATCGTCTCATCGCCTCGTCAAGTATGCACATCACTTAGAATTAACATCTAGTATCTGAAGCGAAGACCTCTCTGGACCACGCCCACAAGCGGCGAAGCCATGGGCGAGCCAGAGATCTCCGAGATGGTCACAGAGGAACCAGGAGCCGGGCCTTCAGCAGCAGGCGTCGCCACCTCGGCATCGGTCTCGTTCCCGCCCGCAGTATAGCCGCTCGCTGCTGCAACAGCAATGATGTTGTCTTGACCAAGCTTGTTCTGGCTCAGTCTCGAGTTGTACTTGACAATCTTCTTAATCGCGTTGTAGTCGGGCACGTTGATCTTGAGCGGTGTCTCGACAGCAAGGAAGGTAACACCCTCGGAGCAAGGAGGAGTGGTCAAGGAGCCGGAGTATTGAAAGATGTTTGAAGATTGTACGACGGAGAGGACGCCGCTGAAGTCGACACCGGATTCGATCTCGGTCTTAGACCCGGCTTCTTTGATGGCATCGAGATGAGGCGCAATGGAAGCGATGATCGGGTCCGAGGATTGCGTACAAAGCTCGAACATAAGGGCGAGCACGACGATTTGTGTGGGGTCGGCTGTAGAAACAACGTTAGCATTATGTGTGGTGGTAATTGAAGCCAGGGGGTTGTTTGGGGGTGGGCGCTGGGTAAATGCAGGAGTCTCGGATTGGGAATGTGCCGGGATGAAAGGAGGCGGACGTACCAATGCCCTTGTGCACCATATGCACCTCGAGAGGAAAGTACTCGCGGTTGATACGGTGCTCAGATGGGGTGTGAATGTGGAACTGGGCAAGACCGAATTGGTTGCCGCCAAAGGTGGTGGTGCCGTTTACGACGACCTCGATGGTGGTGTTGAGGTTCTCGAACTCGACGGCCTGTTGGGGAATGTCGATGACGGGTTTCTCCGTCGCCAGGCTTACGGAGCTGTCTGGACGTGTGTTAGTAGGAGTAGTGGGACTGGAATAGTCTTGCGTACCGATGTTGATGGGTGACTGGTTCTTTCCGCTTTTGCAAGCCTCGTTCTCGGGAGCGAGCGAAGCCCAGTTGAGAGGACCAAAGGTGTCTTCGTAGCCGAAGTTGGGGATCTCGACCTCGCCTTCTGCACGCCTATAGAGACCATGAAGGCAAGAAGCAGACGCCGTGCCGGCAATGAGAAGCGATTTGAACAACATGATGAAGTGCGAAGACCAAAGGAAGGATGGGGTAGAAGAAAGATGCGATACAACGAATGGTCTGGATGACGGAGAGTCTAGAAGTGTTGTAAAGAAGGCGTTTGAATGTGTGCCGGAGCTGAAGACGAGGTCGTACGGCGGAGTATTATAGACGGCGATCAACGCACGGTGAAGAGAAAGTTGGTACAGGATCTACCTGATGACCGATGAGATAGGAGATGAGGAAAGACCAGGCTGTGCCCGAGCGTCGTAAACGAAGGAAGACTGAAAAGAACGGAAGTGAACGGAAAGGCGAACTCACAGTATTGCCCTAGCAAAGTTATATTGATGATGATGGCCGAGGGATAACGCCCTGCCACTACGTACTCCGCCGAAGCATGCTGAGCCAAGAGTTGGCGGCCATCTCACACAGTTGAGAAGCTCCGTAGAGGCTCTAGCGAAGTGAAGGGGTATACGCGATCACTGTAAAGATGCAGGTAGACAGCCGAACTGTACGCTGCCAAGTGGCCGAGGCGGCTAAGAATAGGCTAGAGAAATTTGGCAACGTTTGACATTGCGCTGCGCTCCCGTACGCTAGGAATTGACAGGTGCTTACACAGACTTAGCCCAAGTGCTGGCGGAGATCTCCATGTGGGTGAACCGGGGGACGGTATCGTCCATTGGGGCAGAATCGTCGCAATCCCGCTCGGAGATGCTTGCCCCAAGTCCGACAGCGAGGCTACTTTGCCCTTTAGAAGTCGGAATTGCAACAGTCGCACGAGATAGTTACTTTCCACCACTTTGCCTCGTTAAGTTTGGCGGAGCCCCGTTGTGCACGTGTGCCATAAGTCCGCTTTTGATTTAAACATACGATTCCAAGAACGTGTAGAGGCGTTGAAACCTCTTGATAGTCTTGGAACACTGGGCGGAGACCAGGGCAGGTCAAAACTATCACACCCCAGTCGCCAAGCCGTTCCGCCTCCATGTTCACACCCCGTCCATGACCGGGCAGCGCACATGGCTGACACAGGTCTGCCAATACCATCTGCCGTTCGTTTGACCCTCCCGTTCGCCCACAAGCGTCTTCTCTAACGATGGGGAACCCCCCTCGAAATCGTTCCTCCTTAAAATCAGGCCATGATGAAACGAATCGTGCCTGAGGCAGATAAATACTTGACGCTGGGGTACGCTCGGTGGCCTTGCTTTCGGACCGCTTCTATACCGCAAAGAGGAATGTGCTTAGTTGTCATCATGCCGCGCGTGAGCTGGGCCTGGAACCTGGAAGGGCAGCGGATAATCTCCGCCAAGACGTCTGCTTGGCGAAGGATTGCGCTGCTCAGCGGCGGTGCTGCGCAGCCTGGCTGGCTTATGGCATACGAGGGCGGTGCGATCGCGGTCGAGAATGGTTGGAGTTGCGAAGGCGTCGATACGTCGGTCCTTGGTCGGCTGCGCAACGGCCCGCGCGCTACCTGTCATCAAAGACGCTAGCTTTGACCCTATTAGGTAGGGCTACACAGAGTACACGTGCGATAACGGGGCGTGGAAAGGCCCGACTTGGACTCTGCATTTGAAGGTCGTACCCTCTACTCACGGGCTTGTCACGGTCTCGTCACGGCCTCGTCACGGCCTCGTCACGGCCTCTTTGCTTCATGTCATCTGCTGAAAATTTGTTGCCTTGCTTTTCAACGTCTTGGAAACAATATCGTGCCGCTTTGGCATGCTACGCAGACGCGCCGTCTGTCTCACCGAGATGGGGGTCAAGACTATCAGGGCTCCAAATCTCACAAGCATCACGGATTCCCACATCAGAGCTGCGTTGGCGATACTGATAGTCGACTACTGGCTAGTATATCTATCCGCTTACAACTAGCTTCCCACCCACCGCGCAATCTCCCCTCCAAGCATTAGTTAGCAAAGAGCCCAGACGCCCTAGTATACACGCGAAAGCAATAACAGCAACATAGCCGTAGCATCCAGACGTGGTCTGCTGGAGAGCGTCCAGAAAACAAAACCCAAGACAAACGCGAATGCGATGCTGCGCGGGCAGACATTGTTCCGCCCAAATGCGTCTTTCCATACACCGGCGCCCATTTATCCATGGTAGAGAGTAGAGGAGGAATTATATAAAAAAGGAGATATCATCGCAATAACGGAAGCAGGGAGAACCGACTTCTGCGAGGGAGCCAAAAGCCCAGGGGAATGATCCACGATCCGTATTACCAGGGGAGCTTAACACTGTTTGACTTGGCTGCTTTCTCTGGTTTGGCTGGTGTTCTGCCAGCTTCTCCATACGGGATCGTTGGAGTCTCATCGGCTTCGATCCAGGTGTGGTCTGCAATCGTTGCTAGTTCATGGTTTGAATGGAGGCGAACGGGAAGAATGCTCGTCTTCTGCGGTAAGGTGGATTCCCAAAGTGTCCGTCTTTCTTTCAAGCTCATACCGGCTATCTTCAAACCCTCCGATTCGTCGTCTGACGCATCTTCGGAATCTGGATCGCTCACGTTGTCATCCGCCGGGAATTCGCGCGTATCGGCTGATTGTATCCTGTGTAATCCGGACTGATCACTTGAGACCCTTTCCAGCGCCTTCATGATCTTTTGCTCCTTTTGCTCTTTTTGCTCCTCTACATGACTCGGGGTACATTTCAGTGACGCGTGTCGTTTCATTTTCTTTAGTCTCTTTCGTTCTGTGTGCTCCACCGCTTTGAGCAGACCAAGTCGCGCCAAATCTGACTGCGAATGTGCACGCGCAGTTGTTTCAGCTTGTTCGATTCTGGCATTAACATCGTGCGGTTCATCGCCCTATTGGAAGAGCAAATTAGTAACTCTGGGGATACTGTGATGCAGGCTGAAAGCAAAGTCAGTCACACTTCTATGTTTAATATAGATGGCCCTGCGACAAGTCGTCGGTTAGTGACCCTCGATGCAATACGTACTGGTGAGTTCAGCATGCTTTGCCGCTTGTTCCTGCTCTTCTTAATGTGTTGTTTCAGCGCACTAGAGTCGAGGGGCTTCAGAAGCTCGAAGCTACAGAGCAATTCCGACGAGACCGACATGACGGCGCCCCAATTATCGAATTCACCGCAGTACTGACAATCTTAGCAATACATCCAGTAAGCCGAAAGCAATGACTCACGTTTGGTGCAGAGAAGACCGTGACCAAAATGCGATCATTGAAAAATTCGTAGCCGTCTTCGACCACCATGTGCGCTCTGCACACAAGGTCGAAATCGTGGCGCTGCAGGAACTCCATGATGACCTTCTTTCCAAAGCAATAGCTGACTCCTCGTTCATTCGATTCCCAGTCATTCTCCATGTCCGCAGGGTCACTCCACAACAGGTCGTTCAACAATCCGTAATCCGGAACGTCCGTGGGTCGTGCGATTTGGCGGATGTCGTCCATATGTGACAAGCTTGGAGAAAGCCCGCCATGAACGCAAAAGATCTTCTGCGCAACAATAGCAGCGATAGGGAGCGTGTTGAAGGTGTCCACGAATGCCTTCCACACCTTGATATTACATCTCCTCTTACACTCATCATAGAATCCGTACACTCGGGTGACGTTGGCGCATTCGTGATTGCCTCGTAGAAGGAAGAAGTTCTCTGGGAATTTGAGCTTGTAGCACAATAATAGCAGAATTGTCTCCAGACTTTGCTTGCCGCGGTCGACGTAGTCCCCTAGGAATAAATAGTTCGAATTGGGTGGAAAGCCGCACATCTCGAACATGCGGATAAGATCGGTGTATTGCCCATGTACGTCCCCAACAATCTTCACAGGCGCGGATAGCTCGAGGAGGGCGGGTTGGGTGAGGAAGACCTCGCGGGCGGCCGAGCAGATAGCCATGATTTCGGCATTCTTCAAGCAGACAGTCTTCGTGACTTTGCCCGCATAACCGGCATCCAACAATCGCTGGATCATGTCGTCGAGGTCGATTGCCTTCAGCGCACTGATCTCCATTGGAGAACCTGCACCGTCATTTGCAGGCGGCGTTTGTTCCACTCGAGGAATGGGCTGGTCCTTCTTTTGGAGTATAGACTCGCCTGGCTGCGCTGTGGCCAGCGGTAGCGGCACTCCTGTGGGACCAACGTCCGACACATGATCAACCTCGCCTGTCTTTTGGGCCTCGTCTACGTGCTCGTGGGTGCCCGTTCCGACAGATGCACCATGAACGGGTGAAGGAGGCGGCTCCGGATCGTTGGGTACGGCATCAGCCATGGCAGCGGTGTTCAATGCAGCCTCTTGTGCGGAGGCTGTGGAGCCGCGGCGAGACCTGATCCCTCCCTTGCTGTTCGTTGATTTCGTCGACGCCGCGTCAGACTTGTCGGGCTTCGCATTGCTATCGCTGGCAAGGTTGGAGACGGAGTTGCGGGGACTGTCTGACTTCCCGACTGGGATCTTCGATCTGATAGAGTTACGAATGGAGCGCGTGGACTCCCTGGTGTCCGCTCTCTCGAAAGAGCGGTAGTTCTCGCGCTCCAGGGAGACGCCGTCCACGGTGCCTTTGTCCCCCTTATCCTTCTTGCCGCTGGACTGCTGGTTGCCCATGGCAGCGGTTGAGACTGCGAAACGAGCGAGTGCTGAAGCAGTATGTGTGTATGCTGGTCGGGGCGGAGTGGTGGGTGGGGGAAGGCGGTGCGAGTGTTGTTGCGAGCGGGGCAGTCGCTGTGCGCTGTCTCAAAAGGCAAGTGCCTGTTGCTACAAACAGCAGTTGCGACCTACGATAGGTGTCGTTTTGGAAAGAAGGCCACGCGTTGTATCGGCGTTAGGGCGGTCTAAAAAGCCGTGAAAGAAAGGCAGTCAAGCGAGCCTCCGTCGGCGCTGTCACGATCTGCTGTGCAGGACACTGGGCGTCCCAGGTCGGCAGAAGGGAGGGGACGTCGGGGGGCGATTCGGTATCCCGCTGGCGAGCCAGAGCGATGGATGTGGCTGGGTGTCGTGGAAACGTGGAGTTACAGACCGCGCATGGGGCTGATGGTGGTAATGGTGAGTCGTGACCTCAGAGCAGACCGGCTGTAGTAGCGCGAAGTAAGCGAGCAGATGTTTTAGTGTAGGCGCCGATTACGTCGCCTGGAAGTGGCGGAAGCGGGCAGATAGAGCGCAGTCGAGGCAGACCGGTGAATGCGAAAGTTCAGACGAGCACGCCGCTCTGAGTCGACAGTGGACGATGGTGGTACTAGCGCCGAGCCTGGATGCAGCCCTGGAGGCGGCTGCAAGTGATTGGAAAAGGCGCCTGGTGCGGAGAGGCTTGAGGGAGCCGTCAGTGGTGCTGGAGGTGCTTGCTGAGGCTGTGAGTGGCCCAGTGTCGAGAACTACTGTGACGAAGGTGGGCCAAGAACTTGGTTGGCAGCCACGGGAGACTAACAAGGATAGCGCAGCTGGGGCGTGCGGCACAAAGAAGGCTGCGGACGCAAACACACACGACGTCGAAGGCTCGAATGTCAAACACGATGTCGGAGGAACACGTATGAATTCTCGGTGCTCTGGATCGCTAAGTCTGGACGTTCGAACTTCGGAAGGAACGTAGTCACGCGTCACCGGTGGCGGTTGATCCGAGGGCCGACGGCATCCTAGTGGCAGATCCCACACATTGTCTGATTGTCACAGCGATAAGAAGCCGACTTCACCGTATAAGAGCGAGGAGTGACGACGCTACAGCTGGTTCCTGACGAACTGGCCCGCCGAGCCTCACGTTGCGACCCCAGAAATTCACGCAAAAATTTGCGCCGTTGGGCTACGAGCCACTCAAGTCTTTTTCTAAAGCCCTCAAGTGCTCTTGCAGCCCAATGGACCAAATCACTTGGCGTACCCAAGAAGCAATTCTCAAGAACATCACTCGCAATCTGGGCAAAGGTGAATGGTAGCTGCTTGCTTTAATCGATCAAGTGTTGAAGCTGCTGCTGGAGCTGCGATACTCAGAATGTCCAAGCCATTGGCGCCAAGATGGATTTCCGACAACGAGGCCTTGGAACATTGACATACCGGGGATCCATCGCGCCGTTGTGAAAATGATTGGTTTGTGATTATATAAATCCACGTGGCGGCTCGCCCTCCGCCAGGCGCTCGTGTGAGCTCATAGTCTGCTACCAAGGTTGACGTGGATGGCCTGCTACCGTCAGTATGATTCAAGGAAGGACTGCTCCGTTCGAAAGACATACCTTCCTGTTGGTATATGCCTCTAGACCAGCTTCTCCAAGCTCTCGTCCAATACCGCTCTGCTTGACACCGCCAAACGGCACGCGTACGTCCGAATCATTGCTTGAGTTAATCCAGACCATCCCTGCCTCGATCCGTCTGGCAACGGTGTGTGCCTTTGTAATGTCCTGAGTGAATAGGGCAGCTCCCAGTCCGTACGTTGTGTCATTCGCGCGTTCGATGGCTTCCTCTTCTGTCTTAAAGGAGGAAATCACTACAAACGGACCGAACACCTCTTCGCGGTATATCCTCATGTCATCTTTGACATCGGCGAAAATAGTAGGTGCGATGAAGAAGCCTTTGCCCCCTACGTCTTTGAAAGCTTCGCCTCCAGCGACCAGCTTCGCTCCATCAGATTTTCCGGCCTCAATGTACGAAAGCACCTTCTCATACTGTGTCTTGGTGACCTGTGGGCCTTGGAACGTGTCGTCTTTGAATGGGTCGCCAACTACGGAAGCCTTGGAAACGTATTCCTTGAATGATTCAACAAATTTATCGTAGATGCCTTCTTGAACAAGGATCCGGGAGGTTGCTGTGCAGACCTGGCCTTGGTTGTACACTAGACGTCAAAGTCAGCAGCTGTGAGGGACATGTTTGTACATCCGTTTGACTTACTGATACCTACATGCGACCACTTGACTGCCTGGTCCAAGTCGGCGTCGTCAAAGACCAGCAGAGGTGATTTTCCGCCGGTCTCCAGGGTGATATTCTTCATGTTCACAGCGGCCATCTTCATGATCTCCTTTCCAGTGGCAGTCGATCCAGTAAAGGCAATCTTGTCAACATCCAGATGTTGGGCCAATGCTGCACCAGCCTTTCGGCCTTCACCGTTCAGTATGTTGATGACACCGGGCGGGAACCCGGCCTCCTTGACCAACGATGCCAGGTACAGAATGGATAAGGGTGTCTGTTCGGCGGCCTTCATAACTACAGTGTTACCCGTGCACAAGGCAGGGCCCAGTTTCCATGCTGCCATAGCCAGTGGGAAATTCCATGGGATGATCTGAGCGCAAACTCCCAGCGGTTCCCGTACTACGTACGCTAGCTTTGCTGGCGAAGTGTCGATGACCTGTCCATGTATCTTGTTCGCGTAACCAGCGTAATATTTGATCGTGCTAATTACTTCCCCAAGATCATCATTCAATGAGACTTGGTACGGCTTGCCGTTGTCCCAGGTCTCAATAGTTGCAAGCGTCTCCCTGTGTTGCTCGATCAACTGAGCGAACTTGAACAGGAGGTCTGATCGCGCATTGGTGTCCATGTCGCGCCATGATGAATCTCTGAATGCTTGCCGCGCGGCCGCTACTGCCCTGTCGACATCTTCCGGTCCTGCCGCATAGACTGAAGCTATCTCGCTCTCGTTGCTGTTTAGGATCAGTGAATGAGCGGATGTATCCTTGGACTGCTTCAAACCTCGGATTAATACTCGTGATCGTTTCTCCGGAAAGTGACTTCACGAACTCATTGTTGATGAAGAGGCCTCGCGGCTGCTTATATTTGTGGCCATTCGGCGCAGTCAACTCGACGAACAGATCTGACATGGTGCTATAACTTGTACAGTTCTTGTAGCTGCTTCTGATGAACGATGACCGAGTCCAGACACGCAATGGAGAAGGTAGCGGCGAACGAACAGAAGCTCTCAGAAAAGAGGGGAAAGGACAGGACATCTCGGAGAGAGACTCGTTTATCTATGATGTGGGAATTCGATGTCCACCCCGCAGATGAGACACGGATAGGCGCGATAGATGCACGGTCGGATGGACTTGCCGCATTAGGCTGCCGTCGCGTTTACAGCGCTGGACGGGTCTACGACTTTGTAATCAGAGTTCACGTGCGACCGTCAGAACCTTGGAACCCCTTGATATCGGAGCGTTCGGTCCGATCAGGGGATCTTGATGATCTTGAGTAGTCGATTATCGTCCAATAGATGGCCTTTCTGGGGAGGAGAACGCGTGGGGTGGGGTTGTTCAGCGCGTGTGCGCGAAGCTACCCCGCCGTCGACTTTCATGACAGCACCAAATCCTTCGATCAAACCCCGTTTTGACCGGATGAATTCTTGATATCGTACAGCCATTTGCAAACCAACCAAATCCCCGTCCTCCGTCGTAATCGAATGTCCAAAGCATCCAGCGCATTCAAGACCTGGCATTGAAAACCTAAAATTCCTCTGATAGCGTCGCGAACACCGTACCGCACCCGTTCGTAATCTTCCACACACTACCACTTCACAACGGTCCACAGCATGAGCATAGACATGACCTCGGATCCTCCCTTCACCGACGCCTCCGCGCCCGACGCCCTTATCAACCATGCTCAATCGATAGAGTACTGGAACAGTGTCTCGGCAGACACAACAGGCATGCTCGGCGGCTACCCACAAACCTCGCGCATCGACCTCCAAGGCTCTTCGAACTTCCTCACCAAGCTGCGCCGCGCAAAATCCACCCTCTCTACAAAACAACCGCTACCCCCGCTAGAAAGAGTCGCAGACTGCGGCGCCGGCGTCGGCAGGATAACAAAGGAGTTCTTACTCAAGGTGAGCAGGCGCGTCGACGTCGTGGAGCCGGTGAAGAAGTTCACGGACGAGCTGGTGCAGAGTTTGGTTAGTGGGGAGTGGGCTGGAGATGGCGATGCCGGTACCGGTGCTGGCAAAGGGCAGGTGGGCGAGGTGATAAACCTGGGGCTGCAGGATTGGGTCCCAGAGAAGGGTGCGTACGATGTGATATGGAATCAGTGGTGTTTAGGACACTTGACGGATGTGCAGCTTGTGGCGTACTTTGAGCGGTGTAAGGAGGGGCTGCTCGAGGAGGAGGAGCGAAGGCAGTCGTGGATCGTGGTCAAGGAGAACTTGTCGACAGATTTCAGAGGGAAAGATATATATGATGAGGAGGACTCAAGTGTGACGCGATCGGATGAGAAGTTTAGGCGGTTGTTCAAGGAGGCTGGGTTGAAGATCGTGGCGACGGAGCTGCAAAAAGGGTTCCCCAAGGAACTGTTCCCTGTGCGGATATATGCTCTGAAGCCAGAATGAGCTCGGAGCTTGTGTCTGGCAAGAAATGACCTATGAATGAGCGTAGGACAGGTGCACAGTGTCCAGATGAGTTTTCGCAGCATTATACCCATATCATGTTCGATTCAGTCCTGTAAAACGATCGCCATGCTCCTGTAACCCCATTGGTATCATATTTGCTCCTTTACGCCAAAGCCATGCACCACCTTTTGGTCGCCCTTTTGTTCGCCCTTTTGTTCGCTGCGCTACCACAATGCCTGACAGCTCCACCTACCGAAACGTCGAGCCCGTAGATGTGAACCTATGAATTGTGTCGAGCGACATCATAGGCTGCTCCTCCTTGGCCTTCTTCTGCTCGACCACTGCATCCTGCGCCGGTGACCCCGTCTCAGTCCCCACTACATCCTCCATATCTTCATCCTCCTCGTCGCCAGACTCGCCACCCTGCTCCTGTTGATTGGTCGCGTCATCCGCCGCCTCCTCCGCGATATCATAGACATCCTTCCACAACGCCGCCAGCTGATCCTCGTCCAAGTCCGCCTTGACCCTCCTCAACTTCGCCCTCCCCTCCTCCCCCTCGTCCATCTTCTCGTCATCCTCTTGAGCCGGCCTCTTAGCCTCGATGCCCCAGTCACCGGGCACGTGCGCGAACTCCGCGGCCTTGGTCAGCTTTGCGAGGATCCAGTCTTTCTCTTTTGTACCTGGCTCCTTGGAGAATATGGTGTCGATCAGAGGGCCGAGTTGCGGGTCTGCGGTGGGAAAGGGCGGGATGGGAAAGGAGTGGAGGGCGCGGAAGGTGGAGAGGGTTTCCGGGTCTTTATTGATAAAGGATTGAATGGAGGTTATGGTGCTGCTGACAGCAGCGATGCTACGCTGGATGGAAGGCCTGAACGGTGTTAGTACGCAATACCTGCGCCACGTTGGTCATGCTGAACGCTTTGAGACGTGTAAAGGAAAACACGTGACGCGGTGGAAGCCCGAGCCCGGGCGCTTGAAGATGAGTGCCCCAAGTGTGGAAGAACAGAAGGAAGCAGCGGATATTGTGGGCGAGCTCCGTAGAGACAGCAAAGAAGATGAGTGTTCAGGTGCGACGTACCAGTCCGGCGGCGCTGTCTGGTTCGCGATGAGCTCTTTCTTCATCTGCTCAAGGATCCAGACCAGCGACATCAGCCTAGTGCGCAAGGACTCCAACAATGCGACATCCGCTTTCGCAGGCTCCCCTGGCATGACCTGGTTCGTATTTGACGCCATCTGATTGTTTGGTTATGGTCGACAATCCCAAGGTTAGATGGGACAAGTCGATGGTTTTGAGGCGTGTGAAGCTGAAAGGCGATTGGTGTAGAGGAAACGGCCTGCCTGCTCCGAATCGAGTCTGGGCGTCTTGGCAGGGCTCTTTGCATCAACGTCTCGGTGCTTTCACTTTCGCTTCCACTTCACGGAGATCAGTATCAACTACGGACACTGGTTGTACGCCTCCTACATGATTACGTGTCTGTTCATTGTGCCTGTTCCTCTTTCAATGAGTTTGCCCAATTGCCTAAGAACTTACTCGCGCTGACTTGTGTTACTGTACATACTCCAGGCTGGCAACGCGTACCTTACATGTCCCATATGCTAGGTTCAGACCGGTGGAAAAACGTCAATGCTCTCTTCATTTGTTTTGCGTTTGCACCTTTTGTTCTAGCAGCAGCGCGCGATAAGATGTTGGCCGATGACATGCCTTCGTGTGAAAGGCCGCTTCACAATTACGACCCTAGGTAGCAGCTGTCATCAGGTAGACGGGGAAACATATTGTTACTTGCCATACACGATGACGAGGAGAAAGAGCTATGGTGGATGTTGGCGATGGAGCTAGGCTGCAACATCAAAAACACTGCATTCAATTCACCCTGATGCTCAGTTCAAGATCTCTTCGCGCGTGCAAATTCTTCAACAAGAGCACTACTCATCTGATAGACAGCTGTTGAGGCGGTGACCCAATCACGAGGCAGAGGAGAGGAGAGTGGGTCCGTGCTGTCTGGTAGCGACTCCCCTGCCTCCCATGCTTTGCAAGCACCTTCTCTCACTTTTGCTTTCTGTTGGCAAGAGCAGTCCCTACCCGCTCTTTGGCCACGCTCCACTCCGCCCTTCATATACTCCGTCGCGTTGCTCTTCTACCCGTCATACACTAACTCTACTTGTAGCCGAGCATTGAAACGGGTGACTTCCGGGCATCTACAGGCAATCGGCTATACTGCTCATACTGAGCGCTAGGCGCACTCGGCACCGGTCTTGGTTGCTCAAGGAAGCCCAATCAGTCTATCGAGGCGTATCATCAAATTATATCTCCAGGCCTGTGCTACAATCTCTCATTGTTGCTCTAACGGACTTACAATTGTCGGGAGGCTCGCTTTCTCTCATTCATTTGATACAGACAAGCCATTGAACTACAAAGCCTGCGTTGGTGCCTAGTGTACTGACTTCCCGGGCTCCTTCCTTTTCCTGCTCCTCGCCCGCCTTGCGACAAAACCAAGACTGGACCGCTGATGGCCCACGTCGGCTACGACTTACACAGATCTCCTTGACCAAGGCTTGTGCTTTTTGAACTTACTGACTATCTCGTACGGTCCCGCTTACTCCTGTAACCTGGACTATGGCTTGGCCGGGTAGAGGTCGAGCTGCCTATCAGCCATCGCAGGCTTGGTGCTTTGCGACGCCAGAGGAAGTTCACGGCAGGCGCGTTGTTCACGATAGTACGAACTGGGGACCAGACCCTACTCCCACGCCCTACGAGGCATTCGCCCTCGAGTTCTCTACACGGGATTGGGCCTCCAGCACAATCTCGGAGGGGCACCACCAAAAGACGAAGGACGGTAGCGACAATGGAACGAAAGATGATCTGCCTAGGACCGTCCATGGTACAGTACAGGCCGCAGTGAAAGCTAGATCACCAGCGGACACCCGAGCCAAAAGGGAGACAGTGACCTCGAAAGAAGTGTACACGGTCCGTGATATTGACGACAGCAAGATCCGAGCAGACGAAAATGCTGCATCGACATTGGGCACCCAAATCCAAGCAAAGGCCAAAGGAAAGAGATCGAAGCAAGTGAAGCTCCAGAAGACAACTGTGCCAAAACAACCAGACAATGCCAACAAAGGTAATGCTACTGATAAGGCAGACGAAAAGCCTGGATGGTCAGAGAATAATTCGGTCAAAACGAAGCGAAAAAAGAAGAAAAAGAAGAAGGCGGAGTCTCAGAAGATGGCAGACAAAATAATCTTTTCGCACGCTAGAGAGCATGCGGACCACAATGGATCGGGAGCTCAGAAAGCAGCGGATGCATCGACTTTCAGCTTGACTGAGAACAAGGGTGAAATCAAAACTCATATCCAATCTTCGGAACGCGCAGGGGAGACCACCACCTCTGAAACCAGAGGGATCGGGGTGAACGAGCGCCAGTCCGACTTCCGGGAGGTGGCGAACGCCTCAAGCAGCATTGAAGAATTTGTGTGAGTCTCCGTGCAACTTCGCTATATGAGAGGCGTCTAAAAATGAGATATACAGATCACTTTTCGATCTCGTCAAAGAGACGGTGAGCAAATACCGCATGCAGTCTCCGGCTCATTTTACGCTCCACATCGATGTTCAGCTCTCGGATACGGGTCACAAACCCAAGCGTGACGGATTTAGATCTCAGCTTAGCATAACTTTCCAAAACTACAGCCGCATTTTCCATTGGCTATGTAGGCGGCATTTCCACAAAGGCCTTCCAACGCGTAAGATTGTGGTGTGCAATAGAAAGCGTCTGCCGTTGAAAAAGCTGTTGGCCGAGCATTTTCCGGTGAGTGAAGCACGCCGACATAAACCAGAAAATCTTTAAAGCTTACAGTATCGCAGATTTCGGAAGCCAGCACATCAGAAGAAACATTGAGGGATTTCTGGAATACGAATGGCAAAAGCTTCGATTGGGTCGGTCTGCCTACGGAGCTCAAAGAACACATCATCCAGTTCTGTATCGTGACGGCTCCACGTTTCCCTGACAAGTTCCACGATATCACAAGCCTCAAAAGCTGCGGCCCGACCAGGATGTTGCGCTCCTGTGAGCTGGTTGATAGACTCGGCCGGTGGAAGCCTCTCCTGCGCGTCTCGACCCAGGTCCGTGCTATCACATTGCGACTGTGCTTCAATGGCAGCTTGGTAAATTACCTCCAACTCCACATTTGCGTAATGTTACTCATGGTAAACCACAGATGTTTGATAAAGGCCTTTGCATGACGAGCTATAGCCTAGCCGACTTCTCTACCCGTCTCTCCAAATTGGAGAGCTACTCTCAGATCTCCGAGCCGAACAGCGTGCCTGTCAACCCCAAAGACCCAGGCCATCTACTAATGGAAGTGTATCGAGATGCCCCGAAGCTCTATCCTGAGCTAAAGCGGTATGGCGATTTCTCCAAAGGTATTCGCAAGATCGACATATCATTCGATTTTGTCACCTTCTATCGCTTCTTTAAAGTCAGGGCGGGGGGTTTTGATAAAGAGGGACGACCTTGTTGTTATACCTACGATGTGTTCGAGAAAATGCCTCATCTCAACGAGGTAAGTTACACCGATCGTTGCAGGCCTACAAGTTCTATCCTGACTGTGCGACCACTAGATTGTCGTTCGCCTGCCTAAGAACCGCAAGAAAGACTGGATCAACAAACCTCATCAAATCGAGTGAGTCCTACTTCACCTCGATACAACATTCGCTGACTCTATAGACGCCCCTTGTTCCACGCCGTCTTTCCTTGTCCCCGTACTGTATTCAGAATACTTTACGAGCGTATTGCTGAGGTCCTCGCAGCGTATGAGAACGTTAGTGTCAAGAACTTCCTGGAAAAAGGCGAAGAGGAGCGCTTCGGGGGTAAGTCAAGGTCCAGCAAGCATCACTAACCGCTGTGTGCTGACAGTCCAAAGGTCTACGCAAAGCTGCGGTGAAAGCTCTACAAGATGCAAAGTCGCCCAGGCCTCTCCAGCTTACCATTGAAGAACTGCAAGAGATCGGTATGCACGATGGAGGCGGCCTTCATTTGACCAAAGAAGAAATACAGCAGGTGCGCCAGGAACAGTATGAAGGTGCCTTGTTGAATAAGAAGAGTAAGGAGATCAAGCAGCTTTTGGACGGTCTCTCCGAAGAGGCGCCTGCCACTGACGAATTCTACCCGATTCGTTGCGAATGTGCTGTCTCTTGTCGTGAGCAGTACGAGTTCTGGCCCGACTGGTAATAGGATCACAGAATATGGCGGGATTATAAGGGTCTCCCTGTTTGTCTTCGGAATCCAGGGAATAGAGCGAGTGGGGCCACATATGGAGGACTTTGGCTTGTTTTCACTCTACTACGACAGGCCTGCGGTTGATGACGTCAACAGACATCCTTTGAATCTGTTCTTTAAGTTCATGTAACTAACTACTTGAGGAACATAAGGACGTGTATGGTTTCCACCCCACATATGTTCAGTAATGTAGTAGTGAAACACAGCTCAAGATTGAAAACTGCCGAGTCATGCGTGAGGCTTCGTTGGATACGCTTGGAACGCAAGTGATCTATGTGCTAGTGTATTAGGTACTGGCCATGACAATTCAACTACGCTACTTTTCACTCATGTGCTTGTGCGCAATCGCAGTCGTTTGATCACTATGAAAGCGATGCGTACGGCACCGCATCTGGAGCTTCGAACAAACGTTCTGACTCAAGAGAAGTAACACCCACTGAATGGTTTTCGACCTTCTAGTTAATACTATATTCATCCAGCACAGTCCACACACCCACGCCGTTAAGCAGGCACAATGGGAGACTAGCTCGATTGAGACTTAGCGTCAGGTCGACCTTCGTTGCCACTTATCTGCAACTCACTGCGCGCCCCTCGCCAGGGCCCCTCTACCTAGTACTCATGCCCTCAACTCTCACCCGCGATATATCGCCTCCATCGCGGCAAGCAAAACGCCGGAAACGATCAGAACCTGCGTCTCCAGTCGTTACCCAGCAAGATGACACAAATAATCCACTTTCCACCACAGCGGGACCCACGCTAGCAGCTGTGGAAGCAGGCAGAGTCCAAATAGAAGAGCATTTGGCATACTTCAAAGATCGTCTTGCAAAAGTATGTCGCCCGGCGGAAGAGGACATGCCTCGGATCTCAATCGAGGATTGGGCACGATTGTATGAAAGGAATGAGCATGAGCATGGGAACCATTTTGTGGTGCATCAACATAATCATCCGGTTTCGGGTGTGCATTGTAAGTTGCGAATACTAGTATAGCAGATGGAATACTGACAGAAGGCATTCAGATGATCTTCGCTTGCAATTCTCGAAATCTAGTAGCATGTCCTTTGCTGTGCCGAAGGGATTACCTGGAAACCCAAATTCTCAAAGCTTAGGGAGAATCGCGATTGAAACGAGAGTACATAATCTCTGGGTAGGTTTTCCATGTTCTGGTCTCGCAAAGGTTACTGACAAGAGCGCAGAACCACCTCATAGAATCAGCATCCGCAAGAACAGGTTCTCTCCTCATCTGGGACACCGGCACATACACGGTCCTTCCTCGCAAGAAATCATCAAGGAGGCCTCCATCACCACAGACCACGGACGATGGTTCAGATACAGACCTCGAGGCCTTCGTTCAAGCAACACTTGAAGCAAAACCAGAGAACGAAAAGCTCATCGACGCTTTCAAATCCCGCTACATCCGCTTGCGTCTTAACGGGTTTAAACTCCCCAAGAACTACACCATAACACTGCGCCTCCCCTTCGCCAACGACGTCTCGAAATCCCGGCCCGCGCGGAGGAAAAGCCGACGGAAACCCAAATCCGCCGGTGCGCCTAAGTCTACCGATTCTGAACCAGAGGATGACGACAGGGAAGCAGACCCTCCACCAGAAGATGCCCAGGACATCGACACAGATTCCGACGAAGACGCCCAAACACGCCTCAACAATGCGTATCCCGGCTCGACTAACACAATTGGCTCTGTGCATCAACGAGCCTGGTTCATCCTGTTGGATCGATTGTCGAGTGGGTTCGTGCAAGAGAGAGCTGCGGAGACGTGGGTGAGGAGGGGAAACGCAAAAGGGGAGGGATTTGACCCGTTCTTTATCTTGGGGAGGGAGGTTGAGAGCAGTGTTGTCACGGGGCGATTGGCGAGGGAGGTGGAGCGTGATGAAGGTGTGGAGGGGTTTGTTGGTCGTGCTGGATGGGTGGGGATTACGCGATGAGATGGTGCTAATTCGGTATGCAATCGCTATATAGATGGACCTTCTTCTTTGCAGGCTTTCATCTCAAGATGGACGTCGGTCGCCTGGTAACCCCTTAGCGGCCGAGGCCATGAACTTTTGTTCAAGCGCGTATCCCAGAGTAGAGTGACTGAAGCTACCATAGGCCTTCAGTCTTTACCTGACAGGTATGGCCGACTATCATACTTGCGTAAGAACAAGGTCGAAACATCCGATGATGATGCGCGGAATAGTCACTACAGGAAAGAGCGGATAGTAAAATCCTGGCCAAGCAATGACGTCGTCAACCTCACCATACCTCTAAAATATACATCATGCAGCTTTCTTCCATAGAATCTCGCGCCAATCGTCTACGGAAGAAATATCGCAAAGGGATTGGGGTAATCTGTCCAAGTTGCATGCGTCAAGCACCCGGAAACGGCTAGCTCCCCATCCAGCTTGTGTATGCGGCGGCAAGCAACCCCATCCCGCAGCAGCGCGTGCGGCACCCAGCTACGATGCGATTATCGCCGACGCGCCTGTTGTGCGCAGCCATCCTCCTCCTCACTTTGTTTCTCATCTCCTTCGTCACACGTCTGCTCTTCGGCCAGCGCGGATTCGACATCCTCCCAGAGCGCCCCAGTGCCAATGCCGTGCGCTCCCGCCCCAATGCGCCAGACGTCCAGTACGGAGAGGAATGCGCGCCCTTTAGGGCCGGCGCGCTCGACGATGTAACAATTGTCTTGAAGCTCGGGGCGGGCCAGGTGGCCACTCAGCTGCCCTCGTACCTCTCGCGCCTCAGCCGCTGCACCCAGAACGTGCTTTTGTTCTCGGATCGGAAGGCCGAATACGGCGGCTTCGACATCGTTGACACGCTCGCGAACCTGCGCCCTGAGTACAAGTACAACAACCCCGACTTCGACATCTACGACAAGATTCAGCATGCGGTTGTGCTGGAGGAGAAGACGACCGAGGGCTGGCGATTGGACAAGTACAAGTTCCTGCCTATGATTGAGCTCGCGGATGCGCGGCGCCCAAAATCGAACTGGTTCTTGTTCTTGGAACTGGATACGTACGTCAATTGGGACAACATGCAGCGCTTCCTTGCGTCGTTCGACCCAAAGACGCCACACTATTTCGGCTCGCCGGTCTGGCCTCCCAAGAAGCCCGTCTTCGCGCACGGCGGAAGCGGCTTTGTTCTTTCACGAGGGGCATTCAACAAGCTCATGGCCCGCGGGAGAATGTTCGCTGAAAACCATCGTTCTCCGGGGACACATCTTTTCGGGAAGGACGTTCGCAAGGAATGCTGCGGTGACGAGGTGCTGGCGAAGGTGCTCAAGGAGAGCGGCATCTCTGTCAAGGGGTACTGGCCCATGTTCAACGGCGAAAGTCCCTCTTCGATATGTTTCACCTGGGAACAATGGTGCGAGGCCATACTCACGCTGCACCACGTCCAGCCAGACGAGTTCGCGAGCCTGGAGCACTGGGAGGCGAATCGCGCTCAACGCTCGAAACCGCTTACTTTCGAGGAGCTATTTACGCACATCGAGCCCGGGCTTCAGGAGCGAAGGGATGACTGGACGAACTTATCTGAAGACATTACTTATAAGGGCAAGAAGACAGCGGGCAAATCCTGGGAGTCCTGCCGTGCAGCCTGCTCCCGCGTCCACAAATGCATGCAGTACGAGCACTTCGGGGAGACGTGTCGCCTGTCGCGTAGCATACGATTGGGTCACGAACAACCCGCCAGCGGCGCCGCAAAGTACACGTCCGGATGGATGACGAGCCGCATCCAGTCGTTCAAGACGAAACATACGAAGAAGTGCCACGGCGCACACTTCCCACACGCGAACCCTCGCTGATCGGACCGAGGCGATACCACGAGCGAACGAGATCTGTTACCTTATAGCATGGGAGGCGTTTGATACCCGGCGGCTGGCTTGGCTTTGAGATTCGCACCGTTATATACCCAAGGCGGCAAACGTTGCATGCGTAGACTGGAGTTTTGAGGTTTTCAAGTGCGATATTGCGGAGGGGTCTGAGGCGTCTATGTGTCAGAAGAGGCACGCCGCACTACCTTCATTCGAGCGATTCGGGAGATACCTTTCAACTACCTATATGGCACCTGTACAAATACACGGCTACACTTGTTGGTCTGGCATTCCTTCGAAATGACTGCAATGCGTGCAACGATGGCCTGAAGAAGTCATAAAAGGCTAGTTAGCCATCAGACGACAAGTATGACAATGGTACTGCCTGATATGATTTCCGCTATAATTTCACCCTGCGGTCCTCCCGCTCCAACGATGTCAATCCACTCCTCAACCCCTTCAACTCTTTCCTTACGATCTTTCCCGTCGGATTCCTTGGCAACCTCACCACCTCCCAAACACCCCCTCTCAACTTTTTGTACCCGCTCACCTTCTCATCGACCTCCGTCTGGATCTGCACAAGCGCCGTCTTCCGCTCCTTTTCGCCCACCAGGTACGCTTTCAACACAACATACGCCGTCGGCAATTCTGTCAGCTGGCTTTCGTCGAACACCGGCCCGACACCTCCCTCTGCGACGTGCCGGTGCGAGTTCAAGTGCATTTCAAGCTCCGCGGGACTAACTTGGAAGCCCTTGTATTTGATGAGTTCTTTCGTGCGGCCCACGACCGCGATGACGCCCGAGGGGGATACAGTACAAACGTCACCGGTGTTATACCAGCCCTCGACGGGAAACGCATCGCGGTTAGCCTCAGCATTGAACGCGTAGCCGCGCGTGATGTTTGGGCCTCTGAGCCACATCTCTCCTGGCCCGCCCTCGGGCGCGTCGTCCCGTCCGTCGTTGACTCGCAGTGCGATTTCGATGTTCGGGAGGAGCGGCCCCACGACGTTGTCGGGCTGGACATCGTGCTTGCGTTGGTAGGCGATGTAGCCTGCGCCTTCGGTCATGCCGTAAACTTGGTTTATCCTCCACGGCGCTTTGGACATGAGGCGGTCGAACATGTCTTTCTTGAAGGGCGGACCGCCACAGTCGATTTTCTCGGCTTTGGAAAAGTCGTACCGCTCTGTTATGTCGGTGTTTGCGAAACTGAGCACCACGCTTGGCACGCCCTGGAAGATTGTAGGTTTAACTGAGTCGACGAGCTGTGCGAAGGGTTCAAGGGAGAAGGCTGGCATGGCATGGTGGTGGATGCCCATGTAGGGACCGAAGAAAAGCGGGAAGGTTGTGTTTCCGATGTGTGCGAAAGGTGTGAAGGCGACTATGCGGGAGCCGCGGTGGAACTGCGGAGCATCGTGAGCTTCGAGTTGCTTTACGTTGGAGACGAAGTTGTGGTGTGTGAGTTCTACGCCTTTAGGTTTTCCGGTCGTGCCGGAGGAAAGGTGGATGGTTGCAAGGCGCTGTCGAGTATCTGCGAATTGCGGGATCTCCAGCGCCCCTCTAAACGAGGCGAAGTCATCTGGGATGTGCTTGTAGGATCTCGAAGCTGCGCGCTCGACGATTGAAATTATCGTCGGCGCTTTCCAGGCTACACCTTGTTCTAGAAGGTCTTTCGATGCAATCGCAATAGCTTCCTCTACTTTTGGCACCACGGGCCCGTACACGACCGCGAAATCAGGCCTCGTAACCGTCAATCCGTGCGCGATCTCCGCAGCGACGATCGCGTGGTTGATTGGGCAGACTACACCGCCTGTCCAGAGTACTGCATGTACAATCTCCACATAGTCGCAGGAATTGGGTAGGATTACCGCCCAGTGTGCTTGATCTCGCGGCTTGAAGGTCTTCGATAGTCCATTGGCGATTCGTCCAGCATTCGTACGCAGTTCGTGCAGGGTGAGCGAGCGGTGGGTGAGCGAGTCTGTGGTTACAAGATGCGAGGGTGGTAGCGGCGGTGTGGTTGTTGTGTGGAGGAGTTGTGTAAGGGAGAGGGTCGTAGGGATGTCGACCTGAGTCGGAGATGTGTATGTCTTCATTTTGAGAGAGGAAAGAACGACTCCAGACGATCCATGGACATCGATGCGAACGCTCGATCAACAACAATCTTAGGAGCTCTTACCTAAGGTGCTCAGGCACGCAGCATGGCCTGACTCATGGCGACCTGCAGTCCCCAGCAACCCGATGGCTCCGGAAGGATTCGAGCTGCTCTGGGATGCTTTTCCGCACACATCAATAAAACTGAGGACAGTTGTGCAAGCATTCGTGAAGCTCCATGTTTGCGACCCCGCTTGCGGCCCGGAGCTTCAAGGTTCCCCAGGCTCTAGCGAGCTCTGGCTAGGGCGAGGCTAATGATTCAGAGTAGGTGGGAACCGCCACCCGCTCAAGCCGAGGGTGCGAGCGGGGAACACGTGGATTGTGCGGCGTAGGCGGCGTAGGCGGTGACTTGTGAAGAGGGAGGTGTAAGGACACGTTCTGGAGAGACAACAGATAGATATTGGAATCAAGAAAGAGCCCGTTGAGCGTCACGCACATTCACGCCATCAACGAGATACTTCTAGAGGTCTCGGTAGTTGGCGCATAAGGAGTTGGCTATCCAAAGGACATATTAACGATTGAGTTTGAGTGATCTCGAACGTACCACAGATTGGTCGATATCTACTCCTCACTTCCGATCCTTACCCACGCTGAACATGCCTTCGACAAGGCCCATCCGGATCGGGAATGCTTCGGGGGCGATTGGTGATGGAATTGATCAGGTGTACGTTACCAAGTTGTGAGTAGGACGAACTACTCGGACTAACCATAACAGCTATCGTCTCGCTCGCGACGGCGATGTGGACGCCATAACAGCAGATTACCTTGCCGTAAGCCACTTGCCCCCGAACTTACTCCAAGACACCACCAATTGATCTCATAATCAGGAATTCAACATCGCTTGGAAAGCCATCGAGCTTACCACGCGCCCCGACCTAGGCTATGAGCCCAATTTTCTCGAGCAAATCGCCTGGCAAGACGGCGCAGCAGCCAAGTTACTCGCGCGCAAAAATATTAGAGTTGTACACGATGGCGGGGCGTTGAATCCCGAGGGTCTGGCGCAGAAGACTGATCAATACTTTAAGAGTTTGGGGATTGAGGGGGTGACGGTGGCTTGGGTCGATGGCGACGATGTCACAGGACTTGTCAAAGAAGGAAAGCTGGGTAAGCTGATGCATCTGGATCAGAGGAGTCTCGAGCTGGGGGACCTTAGACATAAGGTCCTGGCAGCAAACGTGTACACAGGTATGACGGGCGTGATTGCTGCGCTGGAAGCCGGGGCGCAGATAATCATTTGCGGGCGGTGTACGGATGCATCGCCTGTGATGGGGTTGGCGGCATGGTGGCACGGGTGGAAGAGCACAGATTACCAGCAATTGGCGGGGAGTTTGCTCGCAGGGCATATCATCGAGTGCGGCGCGTATGTCACTGGAGGTAACTTCTGTGGTTGGAAGGAAATCGAGCAGTTGCATCATGTTGGGTACCCGATTGCGGAAATCGCCAATGATGGAACGTGTGTGATCACGAAGCCGGAACACACGAATGGTGCGGTTACGGTAGATACATGCAAGGCGCAGCTCTTGTATGAGATTCAGGGCCCGTTTTACCTCAATCCGGACGTCACAGCACGCATCGACGGCGCACAGCTCGAACAGATAGGCAAGGACCGCGTCCGTCTCACCGGTATAGTAGGCACAGCACCACCTCCCACATCCAAATTGGCGATATGTCTCCTTGGCGGCTGGCAAGCCGAAGTGTGCGGCTATGCTGCGGGCCTGGACACTCGTGAGAAACTCGCTCTGATGAAGGAGCAGGTCATGCGCGAGATTGATCCTTCAGACTTCTCAACATTCAGTATGGAGGTTTATGGAAGCAGCCCTGACAATCCAAAGTCCCAGCAAGAATGTACAGTGACGCTACGCATGTTCGTGCAGAGCGAGGACAAAGATGCAATGCTCAAGTTCAAGCGGGCAATCTTCTACAATGGGATGCAAGGGTATTGCGGACTGCATCTGGCTATGGATTGGAGGACTATGGAGCCGAAGCCGTATGTGCGGTATTTCCCCAGTCTGGTTCCGAGCGTGGGCGTGCAGATGAAGGCAAATTTTGTAGATGGGAGGGTAATCAACGTGCCACGTAAGACGAAGGAGGAGTGTGCTGAGAAGGTTGCTGAGCAACTGAGCTACGATCCTGAAGCTCCAGATTCTCTGGTCTCGTTTGGACCTACGGCGCGGAGACCGTTAGGAGATCTTGTTTTCGCGCGCTCGGGTGACAAGGGTGGAAATGCGAATGTAGGGTTTTGGGTCAGAGAACGTGCGGCATGGCCGTGGCTTAGGAGTTTCCTAACGAGGAACAAGTGCGTTGAGCTGCTGGGAGATGATTGGAAAGACAGATACAGCGTCGAGAGGTGTGAGTTTCAAGGGCTAATGGCGGTACATTTTGTCATCAAGGGCTTGCTACAGGAGGGAGTAAGTAGTAGCAGTGTGCTTGATGGGTTTGGCAAGAGTGTCGGGGAATTTTTCAGGGCGAGGCATGTGGACGTTCCGGTGGAAATGTTGGAGGCGGAGGAGACACGGCGGGTTACGATGAAGGGGAAGTTGTAGCGGGAGACTCGAAATCTTGAGAGTCCGCCCGCATTCACCTGCAACATCAGCATCACATGAATGATCTTGATAATCGTCGCTCATGTCTTCCTTAATCTCATTAACTTCTGCAATGAGACATGTCCTCAAAGTCACGTGGTCATGATCAGCAACAGCCGAGCTAGTCGGATGTTCTGCCCCGAACCGAACTCCTCCACATCAGACAACCCACGTCTGGACGCTAGCGTGTGTCACGCCGCATGATCCTTGTTCGCCATGTAGCTCTAGAATATCTTAAAACATCCCGGCTCTACCGTTACACGAAAAACCAAATTAATCGATTCACCATTTCCACACTGATCCACGATTGTCGCCAACATGGTGGCCGAGAAAGATAAGCCCATAAAAAGACCAGATGGCCGTTACGACAACGTCGATTTCACAAAAGCAATCGACTTCAAGCTTCCAACTGTAAAAGCAAGCTATTTACGGCGGGATGTGCTTCTCTTTGTAAGCTTTAGGTGCAATTTCACGCAATAGATCGATAGTAACATACCGCAGGCCAATGCAATAGGCTGTACAAAAGACGAGCTTCACTTCCTCTACGAACTCCACCCCAACTTCTCCTGCTTCCCCACCTTCCCTATAAACCTTCCTTTCAAACAAACAGACCAAGATGTCTACGACTTTTTCGCCCGCGCGCTCGTGACCGATGTTCCCGGCGTGCCGGCTTTCGACCCGCAACGCTCGGTTGACGGCGAGCGCGGCATCGAGATCCTGCAACCTATACCCGTGTCGAGCGAAAATCTTGACCTAGAAATCAGTCCTGAGATCGTGGGCGTGTACGACAAGGGCGGGAATATGATTCAAGAAATGGTGCAGAGCATGGTTGACCGGAAGAGCGGGAAGGTGTTTGCGAAGATGACGAGCAAAGCGTTTGGAATTGGGCAAGGAGGATACGGGGGCCCGCCAGGGCCAAAGACTGTGAATTATACGCCGCCAGATAGGAGGCCAGATGCCGTGCATGTTTTTCAGACGACTCAGGAAACAACGCTGCTGTACCGGCTGTGTGGAGACTATAACCCTATACATGCGGATGATGAATTTGCGCAGCAGGGAGGGTTCAAGGGCGCCTTTCTGCAAGGCTTGGGCACGTGGAACATTGCTGCTCACGGGGTGCTGAGAGAGCTGGGTGGGAGAGAGGCGGGGAGGTTGAAGAGTGTTAAAGCAAGGTTTGCGAAGGTTGTATATCCCGGGGATACATTGGAGACGAGGATGTGGAAGGTTGATGAGAAGACGGTGGATGGGAAATTTTTGGAGGAGGTTATCTTCCAGACAGTTGTGCAGGAAGATGGAAGGGTAGTGCTGAGCAATGGATTTGTGGAGTTGTGGAAGAAGGGGTTGCAGAGTAAATTGTAGATACACGCCGTGCAAGAAGTTCACTTTGACAATGCACAACTATCGATCTAAACTCTCACATTGGTGAAGCTATTCCGGAGAAATCTAGTCGCTAAATGCATGATAGATTTTGTTCAATGTTCACAGATGACTTCTCTTCCACCTCGGTTCTCTCTTCTCCTTATATGCCTGCAGTCCTTCTCTCGCATTCTCGCTCCTCAGCATGTTCTCCGCCCACAACTCCTGCCCTCTCATCGTCGCGCGACTAACGCCCGTCTCCCATGCCTCCCTTGCCGCCATCCTGGAGATAATAACGCTATCAGGACTTAAGCTCGCGATAAGCTTTGCGTACTCTATTGTCTTCTCTAACAGTTGTTCTTGCGGCACAATTTCTTTGACTAGACCCCAAGCATGCGCCTCCTCCACAGAGAGCCGGCGGCCGGTGAGGATGAGGTCCATGGCGCGGTGGTTACCGAAGAGAAGGAAGGCGCGTGGCAGAGCACCAGCAAGTGCTGAGACACCGCGTAGGACCTCGGGAAGGGCAAAGGTAGCGTTTGGCGAAGCGAATATTACGTCTGCGTTCAGGATGGCTTCAAAGCCTCCGCCTGGTCGCATCATGTCAGCCAATGCTCTGCATCTCAAAAAAGAGTCATACCATGTGCATGCCCATTACACGCAACGATAATGGGCTTCTTTCCCGCGCGGTTGCTCATTCCAGCAAATTGCCCCGGCGGATAGTCATGCGCGATATCACCTGTATCTAGGATGTCGAATCTCTGCTTCAAGTCCATGCCCGCGCAGAATGCCTTGTCGCCTGCGCCTGTAAAGACAGCTACCCGTAACTCGGGCTCTGCATCGTACCATTTCCACAGTGCGCCGAGCTCGATAGTGCCCTCTACTGGGAGGCAATTGCGGGCTTCTGGGCGGTTGATGGTGACTTGGAGAATGTGTTTTGCTGGGAATGTGATCAAGGAATGCTGGATATGCGGATGCGGTGACTCTATCCAGTCGGGCATGGGATTCTTTGTGCGTGGAGTTGTCATGTTGGCGCTTTGGGGTAGATGCAGGAGGGGATGCACAGAGAAAGCAGCGACCTCGAGTGTCGTGAAAAGAGTCGCCAGAAGATGTCGAATGGCCTAATTGAAAATCAACAGTTCTTCAGCCTCCAAAGACCACGGCGACAGAAGCTCGACGCGTTCCAAAAAGTTACCCGCGTCAGGCCCCACACCGAGGTGCAACACCCCCACCAGTGATTCATTGAGACATGATTTCCACTTCGGCCCTGCATCCGCACCCGAACAACGCTAATGATTCACTAGCAGCCCCCTCATCAAGCTGAGACATCCGGCCCCCATGGGGAATCTTAGCGACAACGTCGGACTCTGTCACCCGTGCGGAATCAACTCATTGCGAGGTCTCGAACTTTCGTTGCGAGGAGCGGAAGGACTGCAGAGCGATCTAATGATTCACGGGTTGAACGATTCAAACAGCTCTCCATGCCTCGGCGAAAGATAGCTTCCTGACTCGCCGCACTCCCCTCCACGACCGCAGAGATTCGAATTGCGATTCCGACCCGCGCAAACGCAATAACACTTTCTAGACCTGTGCCTCACATTTACGCCTCTACGCTTTTGTAAACCATCCAAGATGTCACACCCAACAACCACTCCACCGCCACCGACGCCCTCCTTTCTTAGACTCTCTTTTCCGGCCCCTCGCGTCCTGCTCATCCGGATGGACCGCCCCGAATCTCTAAATGCCATGTCCACCACCGGCCAATGGGAAATGCACTCGGTTTGGCAGTGGCTAGACGACGAGCCCAACCTCAGCGTCGCCGTCATCACCGGCACAGGCCGCGCCTTCTCCGCCGGTGCAGACCTCAAAGAGTGGAACGGCAGCATGTCCGACGATGCAGACCCGAGCAAGCGCATGGGGAACAAACCCGCTTTCATACCTCTGAGTAGGCGATTGGGCAAGAAGCCTGTGATAGCGGCGGTAAATGGGCTGGCCATGGGTGGCGGCTGCGAGTTTGTCGTGAACTGCGACTTGGTGGTTGCGAGTGAGGATGCGGTATTTGGATTGCCCGAAGTGAAGAGGGGCGTTGCGCCTATAGGAGGTGCGTTGCCGCGACTGATACGGACGGTGGGTTTGCAGAGGGCGACGGAGTTTGCGCTGATGGGAGAGCCAATCACTGCGCAGAAAGCGTTTGATTGGGGAATCGTGAACAAGGTGGTGAAGAAGGAACAGGTCGTTGATGAGGCTGTGCGGTATGCGGCTGCGATCGCAGAGAACAGCCCCGATGCGATTATATGCACGCGGGTGGGACTGAGGCAGGGATGGGAGACTGCGGCCGTAGAGAGGGCTGTGGAGCTCGTCCTAGATAGAGAATGGGCCGAGTTGCAGAAGGGCGAAAATATCAAGGAAGGCTTGAAAGCTTTTAGTGAGAAGAGGAAACCTATATGGAAAGGTAGTCGACTGTAAATATTAGTATATGTGCACAAACAGGGTACACTATGTGTAACTTGCTGAACAATTCAAAGCGATCATCTTAGGAAGCGAATCTTGGTCACCCATAGATTTTCGTGAATCCTCTTGATCTATCCGACCCACTTCATGTTCTCGATCCTACAGTCTGCCTATTCTCTCTCGTGCAAGCCGGGCTGGCAGTAACCGACGCAGCACCTTCCCATTCCCTGATTTGGGAATCTCCTCTAGTATTACAACCCCTCCTCGAAGCTTCTTATAAGCTGCAACCTTCGAATCTACGTGCTGCCGTATGTCCGCGACAATTGCATTCCTATGCATCTTCGAAGCCTTCGCGTCTGCAGTGAGCACAACATACGCAATAGGTACCTCAGTCCCCTGATCAGCGTCCCAGAGCGCGCAAACCGCACCTTCACTAACTTGCGGATGCGAGTTGAGGTGCGCTTCAAGCTCCGCCGGGGGCACTTGGTTTCTGTCCCAAACTTAGCCTCGTCTCAGACACGATCACGAAACGTACCCTTTATACTTGATCAGCTCCTTCTTCCTCTCAGTAAGCCACCAATACCCTTCCTTATCCACCCTTGCCACGTCTCCCGTCCTCATCCACTCGCCATCGAATGTCTCTCTCGTGGCCTCCTTATTCCGCAGGTAACGCCTGAATATACTCGGCCCACGCACAAGCATTTCGCCCTGCGCCCCTTCTGCTACGTCGCTGCCCTCATCGTCTACAATTCTTGCTTCAATGCCTGCAAAAAGTTTCCCGACTGACCCCACGCGGTGCGCGGACTCGGGCTTTAACATCGTGATGTTCGTTTCTGTCATGCCGTAACCCTGGAAGATCGGGGCATTGGGAAGGTGTTTTCGAAAATGCCGGATGGTGGGCGTAGGTAGGACGGCGCCGGAGCACATGATGTATTTTACATTTTGCAATCGGGATAGGTCGAAGGAGGTTTGTTTGGAAATTTGGACGGCGATGGTAGGGAGGATGCGGAGGGCGTTTGACTGGGTTTGGGCAGATAATTCGAGATAGGATTGGAGTGTGTATTTCTTCTGAAGCATAGTGTAGAGACCCATCCACGTTCCCATCAGGACGACGGTCACGAGACCTTGATTGTGGTTTGAGTGATATGTTTGGATATGGATGGACAGGGTCGGAATTACCATAGATGTGACACAAGGGCGCGAAGAACACACCGCGAATACTGGCATCCCAGTAGTGAGGCTCGGTCGATCGAATGCTGAGCATAGAGGCTACTAAGTTGTAGTGCGATAGCTCGACACCCTTTGCTTTACCACTTGTGCCGGAACTAAAGCACACAACAGCCGTGTATTCCCTGCTATCTCTTTGCGATAAGTCGAGTGCTGGTAGGAAGGTATTCTGGTCGAAGACCACCTCGGCACTGATATCCTTCGTTGCATTAGCAGCTGTAGGGCCTGCGTAATCCCCTATACGCACGTTCTCGAACGGAGACCGAGCGCCGTGCAATGATACAGACCGCAGTCCACTCAGGCCCTGCCTCCTCGCTGCACCGAACAAGGTAGACCATGTGGTCCCATCTGCGACCAAAACTTTCGGCTGCGATACTTCCAAAAAATGTGCCATTTCGTGCTCTGTGCTTAGAGGATTCGCCAATCTGAATCCCGTCAATGGGTAACCTTGATATGTGCATGCGTAGAATCTCTTACACGGCTGTCCCTCCGCACCAGAGCACCGCGTGTATCAACCTCACAACATCAACCTTATGTTTCATCAGCATTTCACATCCCCTCAACCCAGATTACGACAACCTCATTACCGAGTTAGGCGCACATATGCAGACCACGTCTCCTTCCTCTACTCCCGCTACATTCCGCAACCCATACGCCCCCCTCGCACTATCCTCTCTAATTGCAGCATACGTAATCTTCCCTCCCGTCCAATCATCTTCGCAGATTACCTTATCGCCCTCAACGTCGTCGGGGTTGTACAATTGTAACAGCTGCGAGAGGGACAAATTCGTAGGAACCTGAGGGGGTGGGTAGGGAGATGTGTAGATTCTGGGGGAGGACATGGTCGGGTTGCGGACATTGCTCTGCATTCGTGCAGGTTCAGATGTTGCGATTTTGGAGAGCGTGTATTGGTAGTTGGCGATGGCTTGATGGGGTTTAGGCTCAGTTTGAGGACCCCGTGGGAGGAAGCGCGGAGGGACGGCATGTGGGTCGCGGTGATCAGGGTATTGATGCGCTAGACGGGCGGGCTCGGTTGTACTTTTCCATGCGAGCTATGTCTAGCGTTGCATGAGAGGGTCAACAATTCTGCTGGCCTGGCTCGAAGACAGATGTCACTGTGTTTTAGACTAGGCGTCCGTGTATGCCGTGTGATCGGAGCTGACATCGTGTAGTCGGAATGTGTCTTCGTTAGCACCGCAATGAGTCATTTCGGTAGAGGAACGGCGTAGAGAATCGTCGAGGAAATGAAGCGCAGTTAAAACGTTTGCGACGACAAGACTCGTACGAGTGGATATGCGCCATGTCCGAAAAGACAGTCTAGAGTCTACACGACCCAACAAAGAGGGAAGGAAGCATGCGCAGATACCGACGGTACGGTTGTTACAGGCACCCAGCATGCGGAGACATGTCGCGACATTCGACAATTTGCCTCCCGCGCATTCCACGAATAACTAATCGCGGAGGCTGGCGGCAATGGCTTGTCCAACGCTTTGGCCAAGTGAGTCGAGCGGCAGCTTGCCATCCGATCTTTTTCCCACGCGGGGACCCCGCGCGCTGTAACGACCTATCGTAACGCTGTAGGCGGCTAGGAAGAGGAAGGTCCAAGACGCAGCCTGAGCGCCACCTTTGGCAAGCATCTCCCGGCGCCTGTCATATAGAAGGAACGAGCCGAGACAACTGATTCACGCGCGACTCGGCCTTCCTCTTCCTCCCTAACCTGCTCGTCGTATAGGGCCAGTAAAGAGTCCCGGCACTGTAGGCTACCCCGGACAACTTCGCACAGTCCCCGGTCGTAGCGAGTACTCACAGGTCTTCAGACCCCCCGTTTCCTCTTCAAAATTCCCAGCCTTTTCTATCGAACTCAAATGGCAATGGAGCGAAGATCGTCAGAAGAGAAGCGGGCCCAGAAGGACCACGTCGTGGAGGAAGAGTACGCGTATTCTGACTCGGATGCGCTTTCTATCAAAGATGCCGCTCGAGGCGACAACCTGCCCGACAATTACTTCCTGAGCGTAGCATTCATCGGAACCGTCGCGGGCCTATGTCTTGGGCAGATAGCAGCATACATTTTCCTCATCCTGCCGACGAATGTACTCACTTTTATCGACGAGGTAAGCCACCCTTCTCTCCGACACTATCCGCATGCTGATTGGTGATCAGGATATCGGTCCTAGCAAGAATCTAGCATGGACCAACATCGCCAGAACTCTGGCGGAGAGCACAATGTTCTTGGTATCTGGACGTTTGAGCGATCTATTTGGCCGTCGCTGGTTCTTCATCGGCGGTAATGTCGTCTGTCTAATCGGAGTTATCGTTGGTGCATGTGCGAAGAACGTCGACACCCTGATCGTCGCGTCTGCGGTGTATGGATTGGGAGAATGCATCCAGCTGAGTTTCGGTGTGGCTATTGGAGAATTGGTGAAGAATAAACATAGGCCCGTTGTCGTAAGTAGCTCTCAAGTTCGAGGTTGCTTCGAGCTGACCATAGTAGATGTCGTTCATCTTCGCGACATCAGCCCCGATTGCCACCTTCGGTCCCAAGATTGCCAGAGCTTTCGTCCAGAATCCGTCTCTGGGCTGGCGCTGGACATACTATCTGAGTAAGTTGTCACCCATCAATCCGAGATAATGGCTCCGAAGCTCATCACATCAGACATCATCGTTGTTGGACTGGCGATTATCCTCCTTTTCTTCTGCTACCACCCACCTACTTTCGATCTACTGCACGAACATAAATCAAAGAAGCAGCAGATGAAGGAGCTTGACTACCCAGGGATGTTTCTGTGGACCGCGGGACTGGTGCTCTTCCTCATGGGTATCTCTTGGGTACGTCTGGTGCGCCTCGTCGAAACATTCGAAACTAATGAGAGTAGGGAGGAGGCATCTACCCATGGAAGTCGGCTGCAGTCATTTGCGCGATCGTCATCGGCGCTGCTTGTCTCATTGCTTTTGGCTTCTGGGAGGCTTATGGGAATGTCAAGTATCCCTTGATGCCCATGAAGTTCTTCAAAAACCGAGGCTTCATATCACTCGTAGCTTGCGCTACAGGTAAGCATCATCGTTTGTTCGGCGGCCGGACACTGACAAGCTCCAGTTGCCTCGATGTTCTACTATTCTGCAGTATTGCTTTGGCCCCAGCAGGTCGCGGTCATGTATACCACTGATGTTGATTACGCTGGCTGGTTGTCTGTAAGTATAAAAGAATCACTCGTATCCTTTTAAGCTAATCATATTCAGTGCACCGTGTCCGCAGCAACTGCACTGGGACAGATTGCTGCTGGTGGAATGATCAAAGTCTTCGGCAAGACGCGATACTGGCTCATACTCTCTGCCTTCGGCATGGTCGCGTTTGTTTCTTCGTGCGCCTCATTGACCCCAAGCACTTTGAATCGAGGCATCGCTTTCACCATTATTGGTCCGTTCTTCGTCGGCTTCATTGAGTTGGCTGCTTTGGCTCTAGCCCCGCTCTTCTGCAAGGCCGAGGAGATTGGCGTATCATCAGGCATGCTTGCGTCTATTCGTGCCGCCGGTCAGTTCACTTCATATTGTCTCTTTGTACGTTGCTGACCATTTCAGGTGGTTCGGTCGCCGTCGCTGTATACTCTACCATTTTGACCAACAGACTGGCAACCACAATTCCTACTGTCGTTGGCGGTGCCGCGACTGCTGCAGGCCTGCCTGCCTCTGATGTTCCTGGAGTGCTCGCAGCCGTTGCAGCGGGTACTGTCGCAGAGGCTCCTGGAGTTAACACGTCCATTCTTACCGCCATCGCCGGGGCTGTACCTATCGCATACAGTCAGGCTTTCAAGACCGTCTACCTCGCTTCGCTGGGCTTTGGAGGTATCGCGATCATTGGCAGCCTGCTGACTGTGGACCCCGAGAAGCATCTGACGGACAAGGTCGAGAGGCGTCTCCATGGCATGGGAGCTGGAAAGGCGGTAGAGAGTCAAGAGAAAGCGGCTGCAGCTTGAGGCTGCGTTTGATCCTCTTAGTGAATATGTGCCCATGAAAAGTTGTATTAGAAAGTCGCTTCTCTGCATAGAATGTATATGACCGCACCGCTGTAGATCATGCCTGGTGATGGCGCACATACAGTCGGCGAGAGCTATGTGGCCCTTCCTCCACACATGATGAGCAACATTGCTTTAGCCTCGCGATAGTGACAGGTCCGCGCTTTCCAATAACCTTGCTAAAGAGCTGCCCTTAAATTCCCTAGGCTCGTTGATATTGCTGCAAGTCACCTCCGTCGCCGGCACCACGTGGGAGCTGTCGGGACAATGTGAATTTCGGTCGCCTGTATGTTGACGACCGTAGTCGATGGAAATGGAATCTTTTAGCATCAAAGTTTCAGATTGTACCAAGCTTCAACTTTTACTTTTGATGGGATGAAAGTATTCTTTCTCAACAGCATCTGCATGTAGAACACGGGAGGTAAAAAAGGTCGGAAAACTTTGCAAGAAGGATAATTAGGACGACACCAAATTAGACCATAGGTCAGAAACTTTTGTCACTATCATTGATGTTTCATCTGTTACGATAATTACTGAAAATCGCAAGGAGAGTTGAAGATATCGACCCCCACGCCCCGCTGAAGTCACTGCCCCACGTTCTCATCACAAAATGGGCGCTTGCAACCAGCATGATTGCTCTCTTTCTGTTCGATTTTCTTTTAATGTCTAGTCTAGTCTGAATTCAGTACTACAAGGACTCCAGGTGCATGCATACTGTGTATGCGTACTGTGCATGCGTATGCGTATGCTAGAGCCTGCTCCAGCCGGATATAGACAGGCTAGTCCTGCACGCCCCACATTATCCAACAGCAAGTTAAACTTGCCTCGGTACAACGTTTTCACACGCTCCTCTTGCCTTTCTTCTTTCAACATATCTCAATCGAATAACGTGATTCTGACAGGTTGCGCTCTGCGACTACAGTCAGATCAAGCAGCCTCAAGCCTTGGGAGAGCTTTGTTCACTTACCGCTCCATACGCCAAAGCAGTCCGTCAACATGCCCAATCTTGTGGTCGTCGTCCAATTGCCCTTCGCAAGCAGTACTGCTAGAGATTCGGTAACATATACAGTTGAACGCAAAAGTACGACACTGACGCAACATAGGCGTTGGAAAAGCTACGCACAATCGCCAAATTTGCGAAGGATAATGAGCCAGAAACCCTTAAGTACTTCATCTCCGCATCTCGAGGCGAGTCGGAAGAGAATAAGCTGTTTGTGGTAGAAGAGTAATTAACCATAGCTTTATCATTCAGCTTAAGAGACTGATGAATGTAGGTACACTTCGCAAGCGGCTTTCGATGCGCACTTGGCTGTCGAGCCCGTGAAGGACATGGTGGCATGGCTAACGGCGAATCCCAAGAATATTGACGGCGAAGCGACCGTAACAGTGTCCGAAAACTATTCTTCCTTCACAAGACCTGAAATATTGAAGGCGACCGACCCCTGGATCTGCTACGCTTCTATCGAGTACAAGGAAGGGAAGCGATCTGAAGCACTGGAGCCTTGGAAACATGTCACTTCCGAAACAGAGAAGAATGAAGCAGAAACACTGAGCTACAGTATCTTGAAGGATACGGGTCATCCAGAAACGATCAAGACGATCGAGGTATATGCAAGCCAGGAATACTTCAAAGAGGTGCATGTTCCAAGCAAGGCTGTTCAGGAGAATGCGAAGAATTACGGAGACGAGATTCGAGTTTCCCTCAAACACGCTTTCCTAAAGTATCAGACAGGATTCTTGGGCAGATAGGATCTTGCATAAGGCACCAAATAGAGCGTGTCCAAGGCATCTTACTCCTACAACTAGATATGTTTGGTGCTAGGTTACTAACGTACCCACATCTTCGTTCACAGGGTCGCACGTTCATAGCGCAGCCTATGCGGGAAAGCCCGCTACTTCCGCGTTACGCGGCCCATGTACATGTGTACTAGCACATTTTATTATCTGCTCGATGCGCGATCGTTCGCTGCTCGATAGAGGAGCAACTGATGGTCACAGGGGCAGGAACGGGTGGGGTCATACCAAGCTAATGAATCATTAGGATATTATTACCCCACCCTTCTCGAATGATTCACTAGCTACCCTCGCCACGGGATGATCCACTCTGTGCTTCTCTCAGAATTGTCGGAAACGTTTTGCATTCGGGTTGATCTCGAGACCCTTCGTTATGCAGCTTGCCTGATATTGCCGGTATCATCAAACAATCAGCTTTGGTCTCTGGCCATTTCCAACAAAGCTAATTACCTAGGGTTTCTGCGCCGAGCGACATACGTGTGGTCCGACTGGTGGCTGACCCTTGCGCTGGTATACCGATCATGTAGGTGTAGCCTGATGGTCGAGATATTCGTACTTATAACCCCGCCCTACCTCCCTCTGGCTTCTGTTTCTAGTCTTCTCACTTGATATCTCCGTACTAGTACTTGTCCTTCAGGTCTTTTTGATCTTCCGTCTTCAATATGGCTCCTCCCGTCGAGAACGGTGTCAACGTTTCAGTCGCCAACGGGGCAAACGGCGCCAACGGCTCTCAGAAGAGGCCTATCTACGTCGCAGGTTGCTCCGGAGGTGTGTATGATAGAAAACGAGCCATCGAAGACATGGCGAAGGTAAAATCCACCTCACCGTGTCACTAGAGGTTACTGACAGTCGTAGAACGAACCGCATGTCGACGTGATTACCGGTGATTGGATGTCAGAATGCAACATGACCCTCCGAGGATCAGACAAGCGGGACAAGCTCGCAAAGAAGCAACTTTCGGCCGTCGGTGCTGCCTACGAGCCATACTTCCTTGAGGAAGTCGACCCCGCCATTCCATGGCTTGCGAAGAACAAGACGAAGATTTGCGTAAACGCAGGCGCAAGTGATGTTGAGGGTCTAGCCAACGAGGTGAAAAAGCTGGTCGCTAAGCACGGTGTGGATCTCAAGGTGGCATTTGTCGATGGTGATGATTGCACGGATGCTGTCTTGGAATTATACCGCAAGGGCGAGAATTTCCCCAATCTCCCGGCCGGCAAGAACATCCAAGACTGGCCCTTTGAGCCGATATGCGCTCAATGCTATCTCGGTGCCACGGGTATTGCAACTTGCTTTGCCGGTAAGTATATCTCGTTCGCTTCGGTAAATTTATGCTAACATTACTCTAGCTGGTGCGGATATTGTTGTCTGTGGTCGCGTGGCCGATGCTTCTCCTACCGTTGGTGCCGCAATGTGGTGGCATGGTTGGACGCGTGAAAAAAACATCCAGGAAGTCGCTTCAGCGCTGATGGTTGGCCACGTGATTGAATGCTCGACATATGCTACGGGAGGTTATTACAGTGGTTTCAAGGATCTTGGTGTTAAGGACACTGACATGGGCTATCCTATTGCTGCCATCGAGGCAAACGGTGAGGCAGTGTATACCATGGAGAAGGTAAGTCAGACCCTTGAGCTTATGGTTTAGACAGAGTCCTGACCTGTCTTCAGGGCAAACACGGCTTGGTAAACATTCAGACTATCGCTAGTCAGCTTCTCTACGAGATTCAGGGATCTTACTACTACAACTCCGATGTCACCGCCCAGATCGAGAATGTAAAGCTCGAGCAAGTTGGTGAGAACGCTGTGCGAATGTCCGGTATCAAGGGCCTTCCTGCTCCTCCAACAACCAAGGTGGGAATCACAGCAAAGGGTGGTTATCAGGCGGAGTTCCACTTCTATCTCACTGGCCTGGATATCGAGGAGAAAGCCAAGATGATAGAGAGGCAGACACTTGCGGCGATGGGCGACTATGCCAAGGAGTTCACCTGCCTGAAGTTCCAAATTGCCGGAGCTGTCCCCGAAGACCCGCAGTCGCAAAACGAGGCTACAGTTGACTTGAGAATTTTTGCCCAGACCCAGAATGCTGATATGCTTTCTGCTGGTGCCATGATCGACTCCGACCGCGGCTCGTTTGCGCGCTTTTGTATTGAAAACCTGTTGCAAGGCTACCCTGGATCTACCATGGCGCCCGACATGCGTACCGCGATGGGCAGACCTTTCTTCGAATACTGGGTCAGCCTGATGCCCCAGGAATTTGTCAAGGAGCAGGCTCACCTACCAGACGGCACTGTGGTCGACATCCCGTCTCCAACAGTGACGCAGGAGTATGACTTCAACCAGCCCTCGTACAACACCCAAAATCCTGTCGATCTGTCCTCATTTGGACCCACGACTCGCGCGCCGCTCGGTTACGTGGTGATGGGCCGCTCGGGGGACAAATCATCCAACTGCAACCTTGGTCTCTTCGTTCGTCACGAAGACGAGTACGATTGGCTGCGCACGCTCCTCAGTATTGAGAAAATTCGCGAGCTTCTTGGAAAGGATGACTCAGGCAAGAACATTGACCGTTGTGAGATGCCCAATATTTACGCTGTACATTTCTTACTCCGAGACCACCTTGACCGCGGATTCAACGCCACAAGTGGATTCGACAGCTTGGGTAAGAACCTCTGCGAGTACATCAGGTGTAGATATGTGGATATTCCCAACAAGTTCTTGGAGCGTGGTCGCGTTTGAGCGGGCGGAAATTGCATGGTCTGTGAGCCGGTAGAGTTCAGGAAGCATTGGCAGGCGTCCGGTTCATTTCATACAAGTCAATTGCGCATGCACGATAATTCAATACTGTGACTTTGATCGCACTGTGTCACTACTGCCAAGCATGTACGGAAGCCCAAGACAATCGTTTGGGTGTGGTGGCGCCTCCCTAATGCACGCTAATCACAGCACGTCCCGTCCTGACCCCAGAAGCGGGGGTTCCGGAAGCCGTCTCCCCCAGCCTTCTCCACTTCTTCGATCTCTTCCATTGCCAGACCATTATTCTTTGTCGATGAGCGAGAACCTGCATGAGCCCGCTCTGCAGGGTTACGACTAAGAACTGAATGACCACAGATTTGACTGGTGAAAAGATGGCATCTACATCACCTTCGGATACAACATCTCCGGCGAGTGGAGGGCCGCGTACGGCGCAAGATTTCGAGAACTTAGAAAAGAAAAGGGCGAGAGATAGGAAGAGTCAAAAGGCCATGCGCGAGAGAACAAAATGGAACATTCAATGTTTGACTCAACAAGTCGAACAGTTGACACGTGCACTCGACGCCGAATCACGGGAGAAGAACGACTTGTATAACAGGTTCCTGGCTGTGTCCGAAGAAAACGACCACTTGCGCGTGCAGAAAGCTGCACTGCAGCTACGGCTCCTAGGGAATGGGCAGTCACCGCCTGACAGCGCGTCTTCACCCACTGGTCTCGCGCCGTACGAAGCGATCCCAGTGAATACCAGTCCTACGTGCATGTCGGATCAGATCTTGCAAACCTTCGTTGAGAGCCGATGGGAAGCCTACGCTTTCCAAACAGCTGGACGCATTGAATCGTATCCCGACAAGCCTGATCTCAGCGCCCTGTTCGACGGCCGGCCGAATCGCCAGGTAGATGAGACGAGTTCAATTGTAGGCGACATAATCAGGAGTTACACAGAGATTAACACGCTGCCAAAGAAGGTAGCCGTACACTATATCATGAGTACGCTTCTGAAGTGGGAGGTGTTGAGGACGAAGGCGAGCTTCCAGGCTATGCCGGACTGGCTGCGCCCAGAGCAGGTCCAGCTTGAACGGCCGCATGCCAGCTGGATTGATCGGATACCATGGTCTGTTCCCTTGCTGCACTTGTGTCACATAGCTAATCCACCCGCAGGCCCAAGATTCGCATATATCTAATCGACCACCCTGAGGTGAAATTCGATGACTTTGCGTCCGCATACAGCACATCTTTCAACGTCAAGTGGGACTACGACCCCAACCATGTCATCCTGACTACGGCAAACGATGAGCGTGGCGGCATATCGATTAACCCAATTTACGAAGAGCACGTGAGGCAGCTGAAGAACTGGACCGTTGGAGGCGCCTTCCGGCTGAAGTTCCCCGAGATGACAGAAATTATCGATAGCTACAAAAACGAAAAGTAGGTGTTCGAAAATCCGTTCAGAGGTCTAGCGCTAACCGGAAAAGGTACGGCGGAGGTTTTCCAGAAGAGATGCTCAATCCTGTGCCTCTGCCGCGGTACGCGATATGAAGTGGGAATCGCGACAGAGCCACGCTCCATCCCATCTAATAAGCAAATCCCACGGTCAAGCGACCGTCAGCTACGCGGCACCGTGCTGCCACTTGAAGTCTTCGATTTTGGCCAAGTTACTGCACCGTAGTCGACCCACGAAGGGCTATGAGACAAGCTCCATGAACGCTACCGAGTCCACAACGTGACCACAGCTGAGATGCCTTTATCTTGCATGCTACAACAGTCAGAAATCGCGGACCCAGGCCAGCGCCACGCTATTCTGCGCATTGCCGCGAAGCTCATCATGGCTGTCTACCTCAGTCCACTGCGAAGGCAGAAACAGGCGCCTATAGCCATTGGTGGTCGTGAGATTGCTGTTAAAAATCTCTCTACTACGCCGCAGCAGTGCATAGGAGAGTAAAGCCCTTCTATGGCACATAAAATGTGGAAATATTAGCGCATCAGGCTCAGCTGCATTGGGCACTTCCTCTCTCTGCACTTCTGTGGATACCAATGCTTTAAGCTTGATTTTCCAGCGCTGCAGCGGATGCGGCTCGAGAAAGAATAGAAGAAAGATGTAGCGTAGGGTGACTGTACTATACACAGAGGAGCGCGGAATATTGACTGAACCATCGTGTGGTCATCTATGTGAAACTTGGCTGACTATGGAAGGACATGCATAGGAATAATTACCTGCGAATAAGGGGACATCTTCCTCTCGGATGGCTTACGAAGACGACGCGTAAATCTTTCAGCAGTGTGTCATTCGCTACAAAATCACCGGTAACCTCGTAGTCTGTATCAATATATTGCCTTTGAATTTGCAGATGGGGCATCTACGTAGTGTTCGTGGTCGTGGCAGGATTTAGCCTTCAATCAATCTCAAGATCATCAGTCTATTTCATGAAATACCCGAGTCCCTATTTAAGAGCGCAGTACGTCCAGAGCGGCGCGTCGAATCCCTCAAACACACTCGAAGAGCGGTGGAAGGGGAAGGGAACCCCACTTCTCCAGAGCACAGTAGTTTTGAAGGCGATAAAGTTAGGTACCCGCGGAGTTCACTTGTTTAGCGAGTTTTCCTTGTAGTATAGAACCTAGAAGCGTTCTCGAGCTCGGCCGCATAACCGAATGTGTATAATCCAGCATGTGCCCATAATGAATGGTGGCAGGTTTAGCGGTCTAGTCGCTTTCGGCATGGAGGAGCACCTTTCCCCAGGTAAACGCACGGTCCTTCATTGCAATCGTGCCTCGGCATCTTAGTTTCAAGTGTTAGTCTGCTCGAACAACGACCGAACCGTGCAATTCCGGCTTATATCGATTGTACAATGCCTCCTTCGTTGCAAGTCCCTCCTTGAGCACACTCGGCTTGTTTTTCCGCCATGCACGGTAAGGCGATACCAACAATTGCGCATTGCGCAACCTTCTCATAGCTATGGTAGCTAACCTCCACGGTCTCCCAGCACTTGCCCTCCCCGCAGCGGCCGCAGGCCTCGCCTACCTCAACGGACGCTACTCCCTCTCCTACGATTACGGCCTTCTCTCCTCTTTGATTTCTGGGCAACTCAGAGCTCGTCTGGCCGAACACAACGATACCCTCAACCTGTTCTATATTCTCGAAGCGCAAGCCAAATCGTCGAATCGCCATCGCCCGTTCATTATCTCAGGAGAGTCTGGTGACAAGTGGAGCTATGCTGAAGCCTATGAGATCGTTCTCAAATACGGAACATGGCTGAAGAGCAAAGGCGTGCAGAAGGAGGAGGTCGTTGCCATGGACTTTGTGAACAGCGAGGTGTTTGTATGGGTGTGGTTCGGCTTGTGGAGTATTGGTGCGAAACCAGCCTTTATCAACTACAACCTCACAGGCACTCCGTTATTTCATACTGTGAGGACAAGTACCGCGCGACTTGTTCTTGTGGATGAGAATGGACACAACAAGTTTCAAGAGAGCATAATGGCGGCACATGGTTTCGCGCCGGTGCCTGCTACTGCTGGACAACAGGACAACCAAGCGATATACGGATTTGAGAACGACCCGAGCCAGATACCACGGAAAGTCCAGCAGCAGGCTAGCAAGACTGCCCAACCGAATGACTCTGAGGACAACACGTCCGACCTACAGCGCCAGAGACTCGAAGTCGTCTTCTTCGACAAACGTCTAGAAGATCATATCCTCTCCTTTCAGCCGATCCGTGTCCCAGACTCCGAACGAGGGAACCAACAATTAAACAGCATGGCCATGTTGATCTACACGTCAGGAACGACAGGTCTCCCCAAAGCCGCCATCATGTCCTGGACCAAGGCCTTCGTTGGCGCCAAGTTCATTCAGAGCTGGATGGGAATCAGATCTACAGACGTACTCTACACATCAATGCCTCTCTATCACAGCTCTGCTTCGGTGCTCGGCGTTGGGCCGATGCTGCGCGGCGGAGGCGCCATCTGCGTATCCAAGCGCTTCTCTCATAAAACCTTCTGGCCTGAGGTTAGAGCCTCAAAGGCTACGATCATCCAATACGTCGGCGAAACATGCCGCTACCTCTACTCTGCACCTCCTTCACCTCTTGACAAACAACACCATGTACGCGCAGCATTCGGAAATGGATTGCGACCAGATGTGTGGGATGCTTTCAAAGAGCGCTTCGGCATCGAGACCGTCTATGAGTTCTACAGTGCGACCGAGGCCCCAAGTGGCTTATTCAACAAATCGACAAACAGTTTTAGCGCCGGGGCTTTCGCACGTAACGGCACGTTGGCAGACCTCCTCATGGGCTCCTCCCTCCCAGTGGTCCGCATGAACCCCGACTCATCGCCCCCAGAACCGCTGCGCGACCCCAAAACCGGTCTATGCCAGGTCTGCGACTGGAACGAGGCAGGCGAGCTCCTCTTCAAGCTCGATGCTGCGAATGTATCGCAGAAGTTTCAGGGCTATTGGGGCAACTCGAAAGCGACGACTTCCAAAATCTTGCGCGATGTGCGCATTAAGGGCGACGCGTATTTCCGCTCCGGCGACCTCATCAGACGGGACAGGGAGGGGCGATGGTACTTCATCGACCGCATTGGCGACACCTTCCGGTGGAAAGCCGAGAACGTCTCAACAGCCGAAGTTGCAGACGTACTGGGCAAACATCCCGATATCGAAGAAGCAAACGTGTATGGTGTGCAAGTCCCGCACCACGACGGGCGCGCGGGCTGCGCTGCTGTCATCCTCAAATCAGGCACTACCTCACCTTCCGCTACGACGCTAAAGTCGATCGCAGACCACGTCCGCGAGAATCTGCCGGCATTTGCAGTACCGCTATGGCTTAGGGTCACAAAGCAGATGCATACCACGGGCACGAACAAGCAGCAGAAACACCTCTTCCAAAAGGATGGGATCAATGCGAGGGCGGTGGAGAAGAGGGGCGATGTGTTGTTTTGGCTGAATCCTAAGACGAAGACGTATGAAAGTTTTTCAGGAAAGCAGTTGAAGAGGATTCAGAGTAGAGAGGTGAGGCTTTGATGTTTTCTTGATTGGGATGGTAGAGGCGACAATTTTTAGGGCGGAGTAATCAGGCGCTTTCCTTGGAGATACCATATAAACTTTGATGAATATACGATTAGGAATGGCACGAATATACATATTTCAGATCTCTGCAAGGAATGTCTTGCGCAACGCTGCACCCTATATTTGTGTTTTCAGTGGCTCGTTGTTCTCGACTCTGATGTAATACGATTGGATGGTAACTGTCCCGCATGCTCACCAAATCCCGGGGATGAATCGATGAGGGAAGAAATCCACGATGTAGCTTTGGGATGGTTGTGGGGCGTCTTTCTAAAAGCAACAAACTAGAGTGAGTGTGTCCAATCAGGCGCCTCGCTACCGTCCCCCGAATGCGTCATCCTTCTCGATCAATGATTAACCCCACTCGTTGACCGGAGGCGATCGGTAGGATCCACACGCCCGCCCCACATCTTTTTAACTATTTATTTCTTGGTATATATATTTTATTTCCCAAAACTTTGGCACGGAATAGCATCTACAGCGGGAGTAGTCTAGGTATGTCACTCGCGTCGAGCTATGATAGCTCCATTCTAACAGACCATCAGTGGTTATGATGTCTGCTTTACAAGTAATTGTGAAAGCGCAGAAGGTCCCCGGTTCGATCCCGGGCTTCCGTATATTTTTTCCTTTTTTCTGCCGTTGTACTCCACCCTTCTCTGAATGTTTTGATATCATGGTTGCGGCCAGAAAAGAAGGCGAGCATACATATTCACCAATTTTTGATAATCAGATTACTGTGGCCGGATTATCCGACCAAGTCAAGTTCGCATCGCAATCATTTCACGTTTCCTTGTGATCAGTACTGCCGCTGACGCTGTTCCGTGACGTTTGTTGCTAAACAAGTCGTATATACACGTGAGCAAACAGTTTGGCCGACGCGACGCTGAGGTCGCAAAACGCGAAAACCGACATTATGGGCGCAATCAAGACGTGCACAAGGAGACGTAGTGGACATGATGTGGCGGTAATGAGGGCATTGAGGGGCTTGGCGCAGGAGAGCAGTGGAGCATCATTCTGAGAGTTACGATCAGAGAACTCAATTTCCATCATGAGCAAGCACTCATAGACTTGTAGAAACATCAATGTTTCATAGAGTTTCTACTGATCTAACGATGTTGGTGTCCATGTCCCACAGGATAAAAGTCGCATGTACTGCCACCGTGCACTGCCGTCTGCGATGACATATTCCGGTCAAGCTCCGTCAGCTCGGCGTTGACCTACTGCTCATCATCTTTCCTTCCAACCCCACAATCATTTTGCAGAAGCGCATTTTGCAATCGATTGAGCTGATCCGCCTTTCTCAAGCAACGGCATAATTACATTCCTTCAAAATGCCAGCCCGCGCCCCAACTCTCCGCACTCTCCTCCGCACGGCAACTCTTCGCCCCGCGACAACACAGACAACACGTCCTTTCTCGCAATTCCAGAGCCGCTCGCGTTCTCCCTCTCCACCTCCGCCATACCAATCGCGAAACCTCACACTCCTCGCAACCCACCAATGGACGCGCTTCCACACACCCTACACCTACTCCTCGGTCCGCACCTTCACGTCCTCTCCCCACCCCTCTAAGCCAACCAACACTGCTCCATCGACCTCCCCAGACGCCGCTGCCAAAATTGACGAGGCCATAGAAGAAATCCAGGAGCTCTACGGTACAGCGCGCGACGAGTTCGAGATTGCGGCTGAGGAGACGGAGAAGAATACTACGTATGCGGCAGACGATCGTGCGGCGGCGCGGGAGGAGCTAGATAAGCTGTTGGAGTTCTACACCGGGGTTTTGGAGGGAGATCAGGCGGTGGCGGAGGAGGTGAAGAGGAGGGTGGGGCAGAGGGTCAGAGAGCTGGAGCAGGCGGTGTTGGGGATGGAAGAGAGTGTTACGCATGGTGATTAGATGGAAAGGGGACTGCGCTGTACGATATGAATCTTGTAACATCTGGGGTATTGAACGCGATCCGATGTGTAGGAAAGAAGATGGGTAGTAGGAGATATGTAAGATATTTGTGCGCGCATCAAGCATTGTGAGCGCTCCTCAATGTATCATATTAGGTTAGAAAAGAATCTTCTCAAATTTCGTTGAATTGGACAGTAGGCAACGAACGGTGCTCGCGTATTGCACGACTCGACTGCTGCAACGCGTGCCCATACCCTCGGCCGTAGGCACTGCTCGTAGAAATGTATATCCAAATGCAAGACTCCTCGAATGGTATCAACCCACAACACCGAACGCACCGCTATGCTTCGCAAAATAATAATGAACACCGCAAGCAATATCATCACATCCACGCCTGAAAGTCTGTGGAAAACACGCGCTACCACCATCTCTTCGGGTTTCTCGCAGATGTCGCACACTGCAAGCAATGCCTCGTATTCGCAACAACGGCGCACTTGCCGCACACGTTTCTTCCGCAGTCGTTGCACGCGAGCGAGTTTCTCTCCATTGGACTGTCAACATCCATATCGACGTCCATGTCATTCGCGTCTTTCTCTAGCGGCGTGTCGCAGTCCTCACACCGCGGCGCGTCCGCCTGTTGTTGGGGCTGCGTCTGGAATATTGGAGGCTGTACGGGCGGCGCAGCGATGTTCCAAAAAGCATGCAGTGTTGATTTCTGCGGCTTCTGTACGGCGAGTGCTTGTTGAGAGGGTAGTGTGTCGGACGGTATGGGCTCGGCATAAGGCTGCGTGCGTTGTGCGGAGAAGAGCTTATTGATGGTGGTTTCTGATCTCATTAGCTTCTTTCCGTTTCTTCAAACCGTACATGAATAACCGTAGTAACATACCGTGTATTATATGCTCGTCAGGCCGATTGTCTCTGAACCGCTTACGCGTTCGCAGTCCCCAATCGCTATTCTTTATCCGTCCCAAATTCGAGAAATCCCATCCTGTGCCTCTGCTCATTGGTGCGTCAATATCCATCATGCCATTTGGCATGGGTGTAGGTGACTGTGCGTCGGGCGTGGCGAAGCTGCCAAAGCTTGAGACGGAAATGGGGGGATTCGTTGACTGATCGCTTGCGCTTGAAGCCCATTGTGGAATTTATGTATATGTTGATAGTGAATTAGATGGATATGTATACACGGTGTAAGAGGGTATTGCGGGGGGAAAGCGTGCGTTGTAAATGAAGAGTAAGCAGAGCTGAAGTGATGATGAAATGCGGAGCGTTGGGGAGGTTGGCGCGCGTGCTTCTTCGCGACGCGCACTAGTCGCGTGTCCAGATAAAGAGGCCAACAACGCAACCCTCTAAACTTCAATGACTTATCCCATGTATCATGCGTCTAAAATGTGTCGAGAGGGGAAAGCCACTTACTGCTTTGATGTCGTGTGTCGAGGTTCGAAGTTGCTATGAGAGCGCGGCGCAGCTCAACCTTCTCTGAGGCATGTCGCAGGGGAATTGACTGAAATCGACGAAAGGGAAAAGAACACTCAGATGATTTCAAAAAGCCCGTCTGCATGCTAGAATCCCCAAGGGCTCTGAAATGGTAACAGAAGTATCATTCCGGAGCTGCAAATGATTACGTCGTGTCTGAGTTGCAGCTGCCCCACCAGAGCTGTACCGGTACCTTCCCCAGTACCCCGCTACCATTGCTCTCACATCCAACCTCCGGCAGCTTCAACAAAACGTTTCCTCTTACAAGTGAACAGCATTCCGAATACGATGGCACCGAATGTCCGTGATCCATCACATGCTGGATCGTGGTACACCGACGATGGCGCAACACTCTCACAGCAGCTCGACAACTGGTTGTCCAAAGTTCCGAGCTCAGCAACGCCTATAGGATCGGCTTCGTCAAAGCAAGGGGATGTTGAAATACCGGTCCGAAATGCTAGAGCTATCATTGCACCGTAGGCTACGCTGAAAGTTGCGACAAGATACGCGAGGCTCATGACGGACAGGCACGCTGGTTACTCGTACTCAGGGCCTGCTGCTGCATGGGCCTATAAGAGCGCTGACTGGGCGAATGCGTATGATCTTCACATTAAGACATGTAGCTAAAAACTTACTTTTGCAGCAAACGCGTCTTTCTGCTTGGTCCCTCCCACCACTGGGGCCTTCCGGGCGCCGCAACGACTGCCTGCAGTGAATACGGCACACCTCTCGGCAATCTCACCGTCGATACTGAGCTCGTAGACACGGTCAGAAAAGACTGGAAGTTGAAGACCATGTCCAGGCAGCAAGACGAGGACGAACATAGCTTAGAGATGCATCTGCCGTACATCTACAAGATGTTGTCACTGTGCGCATTCCCAATCTCTGTGAATCCTTGATCTGATCCTGATGATGTACAGTCACAACCCAAGCTTCAAATCAGATAGCTCCTCAGTTCCCCTTGTTCCTGTCCTAGTCGGCGCGACCAACATCTCCACCGAACGCGATCTCGGCTCCAAACTCGCCCCCTACCTCGCCGACGCAACAAACCTCTTCGTTATTTCCTCCGACTTCTGTCACTGGGGCTCACGCTTTCGATACACATATTATCAGTTACCTGACGGTAGCGCCAAAGAGCTCCGATCCTCGTCAGAAGTCAAGAAAGACTATCCAATTCATGAGAGCATCAAGGCAGTTGACTTCGAGAGCATAGACGCGGTCGAGACCGGGGATCACAGACAGTTTCTGGAACAGCTGCAAGAGACTGGAAATACGGTGTGTGGACGGCATCCGATTGGTGTCTTCATGGCGGCTGTGGAGCAGGCGAGTGGACTGCAGGGCGATGGCAAGTTCAAGTTCGTGCGGTATGAGAGAAGTAGCGAGGTAGTGAGCGTGAGGGATAGCAGTGTGTCATATGCCAGTGCATTTGCTGTGCTTTGAATGAGCGGTGGAGCTAGGAAGAGAGTACCGGTCAGATGAACGGTTACGAACTGTTCGAGAATGTATGTACACAATTGCAAGTACTCTCACAGTAGATATACTTAACCTGAGCCTCTTAGCCCTCACTGTGCAAAATTCACATAAGATTAAGTCTCGTTCAAAGTATTGCACAATGCCAAGCCATGTTCATGGTACACTCAGTATCAACTGTGTTAGCCGTGCGAACTCAGACCGTCCTGCGACTCCAACTAGCCAGCTGAATGTAGAAGGGACGCATAACATGCGGTTCGTATTCGTTGATATTCTTCTCCAGAGGGAATGTGGTTCAGTGATGCGCTATGCCATGGGGCAGCTCGCGGGTGCCAGATGTGGGTCTTTGCTGGAAGCAGAAACCTGTATCAAAGTCCTGCTGAATGTTGGCGTCCCGTTTCAAGATTCTAGACAGGCGTCCCCTCTTGCGTTGGTGATCCATATTGTTAGCATTGAAACAGCTTGTTGGTCCGGCCGCACACTAGTACGTGCTTATCAAAGCTTTGGAGACAAACAAGTGATAGATAATAGAGCTTGAATAATACCCAACGTTGAGCTTGATAGCATGGTGTAGGTTCCCGATAGCTAGTACAGTCTCTTTTCATTCAGAGCATGTCAAGCATGCCCTTGAGCCTTCGCAAATCGTCCTTCCAGTCATCTTCAGCTACGGAAAGGCAATCAAAAGTGTCCTTGAGCTTTTGCAAATCATCCTTCCGGTCATATCCAGCTTCGAAGCGACCCTGGCGGTCAAATATGTCTTTCAACCTTTGTATACCTTCCCCCGATCCATGCATACCGTCTTGAAGTTCGCGTTCAAGGAAATTATAAGTACCCCATGTTCGGTTGTCGATTGCCAGAGTAAGGCGCTTGAGGATAAAATTGGCCGTTCTCAAAGCATACTCCCGGCCATAACCCGTGTGAGGAGCCCAACTAAAGATTTCTTCAACCGTCCGGAAAGCATAATCTCGGTACTCTCTGGATGATTCGGGAATGATCATTAACATTTTCGAGCCGTCGGGATCAGAAGGGCGCAACTCCCAGGAGTCCACGTCCTCAAGCTTAAGCCTGTTGAGTGGAAGATGGCGTCCCAACACTCCTAGACAGCTAGCCTTGCGTGCCTCGGAATGGACAAAGCCAAGTCCATGTAGGTGCTGATCTACAGCAAGCGTTGGCGCAAGATCTACGATGCTGTTTCCCCACTTGTTAGGACCGAAAGCTGGCGTGACCTTGAGCGAAAATAGAAAATCGAAATTCTCTCGGTTGCTTCCCCACGAAGCCATATGTAGCAAGCCATTGCCGAATAGGTCCTTATGAGTGACCTGGCTAGGATCTCGAGATAGAAAAGCCTTCAGCATACTTTTGGTGCCGAACGCAGCAGCAAAGGCAATGGCTTTGCGCCCGTGCTTGTCTTTGATGTGAAGGTTAACCCAAGGATGATCAATCAGCCAGAGAACGAGGTCATCGTGCCCGGATGTTACTGCCAAATGAAGAGGTGTCCAGCCATTTGCCCCAATCGAGTGGTAGGGATTTGCATATGGGTTTTTCGGATCAATCCGTCGGTCTTTTGCATTGAGCAATTCCGGATCAGCATACGAGACAAGAAGCTGCAAGATTCGATAGTGGCCTCCCGCTGCTGCCAGATGCAGCGCGGTCTCGCCTTGCAAGTTCCGACCGTAGACATCAGTGCCCCTTTTCAGCAACTGTTCCACTGCATCAAATAAACCTTCTTTGGCGGCGATGTGTAAGGCGCTATGGCCCTTTTCGGCCCGAAGATATGGGCATGCAAGTAACATGTTCATTGCGTCCGTCATACCCCAGTAGATAGCGTAGCTCAACGGAGAAAACCGGAATGCGTCTGGAGCATTGAGATCTATGCTGGGTTGCGATAGCAGGCGCCTGCATGAAAGCTTTGCCGAGTCAAGAGCAATCTCAAAGGGTCTCTTGGGAGTATCGAGTATGTTTCCGAATGTCTTCGCGGGGACTTTAGTATCGGCCATGTCCGGATGGCAAAGTGCGTCGTGCCAATTTATGAGACACTTATGCAGAAGTGTTTGCCCGAAATACGTTCTGCCATTCAGATCGACGCCAAGACCAACCAGCCAGCGGGTGGTGTCTTCGATCACTACTATGCACTTTGGACCACTGCAGACATGATGGATGAAATGGTCACCGCTCTCATCGAACACGTTGAGATTCATGCCAAACCTGGCCGCAGGTTCGAACAACTTGGCTAGGCCACGGTCCCAAAGTTGAAAGATTATCTTACTTGTGTCGTACCACCGCAGTTGTTTTGTCTCAAAGTTGAGCAGCTTGAAGAAGTAAACAAAGACATCGTCGAAACCGTCCGCTATAAATTGCAGATGATGGATCCAGTGCTTGTGACAATAAGAGAACAAGAGATGCTGCTGAGCTTCTTCGAGCGATTCATCGGCGAAGTCGTCAAGCGTAATATAAGATAAGCAATCCAGGCCCATATCGTAATTAACTGGGTCCAGGGCGAAATGGAAGGGATTGGGCACCTTATGAGACCCATCTTTGGCAAATTTCGTTTCGAGTAAGAAGGTCCTGAAAGACAAGTGCACAAGCTTGATGAGTCCGGATCCATCTATCTTGATCAAATGTGGACAAGATTTTTTGAAGAACATGCGCATGTTGAATGGGATATCGAGTTGTTCGCTTTTGCGAGGCCGCGCTCTTAACGATAACGCCACCGCAATCTCGTTCACTGTTAGTGGTACCGGTGCTGCAACAATCCATTTCAGCGCGGCTAGTAATTCAGTAGCAATTCGTTTGTCCAACAAAGCGAGCATTCGATGGTAAAGACTCTCGATACCAGCTGGGACCTGCCGCAAGCCTTCAAGCTTCTGTTGCACGAGTCCCCTCGTCCACATGCCCACGCCTTCAGTGAACAGTGACCAGGCAAGCGTTGCCCACAGGAACATTCCATCGGCTTTTGTTGAGATTTCCGAAATTATTTCACGTATGTTCTCGTCACCAAAGTTGTTCTGTTGACCGAAATCCGAAACCGTGCCTTTGATGTACTCCACGACATCGGAAGCATTCTGGTCAGTTGCGCCAAGATCAATACCCAATACGTTCGCCAGCTGCTCTTCAATTTCAGGCTCGGTGCGACTTGTAACAAGAAGCCTGAACAGTGGCTTTCTCGTCCCATGGATGATGTCACCGAATGTCCCGAAGAACCGCGACCATTCACTGCGGTTCAACTCGTCTAAAGCATCGATGACAATGTACAAAGTCGGAACAGATGTCAAGGAGCCATATCTTGTCATGTTTCGTGCTGGATTGGAGTACCAGTAAAGTAAGTCCCCGAAAGTTTTGTGAAGGTTGGCCAAGCTATCCACATCCGGGTCGATCCAACCGAACTGATTCTTGAGAGACGACGCATGTCCCGCCAGATCTGGTCTCTGGGATAGAAGCTGGTAGATCAAAGATGAGATCAAGCCTTTGTAACTCTGGGCATTGTTCAAACTATATGAGCAAAAAAAGTATAGAACGCATCGTCGAGATCTTCTGTCCACGGGTGGAATGTCGATAAAATTCTTCAGCAAGTATTTGGTAATCACTGACTTCCCCAGACCCGGATAACCGTGTAACCAGAAAGTTGTTGACGACTCGCCAGCGATCCATTTCAAAAATGCCTGTGATTGTGGGATCCAGGTACACGTGTGGCGATATGGGTCGATGATGCTGTCTAAAACGGAATTGTAATCGAAAGTATGGAAAGATTTGAGGTATGGATAGGCCTCATAAGGGATATCGTAGTGATCTCCAGTATCTGTTGTATTGTTATGTGGAGCATGTAGCACCAAAGAAACAGTCAGCTGTGAAAATTTTGATGAGCATAATCAGGAAGTCTGTGGCATACATGAATCCTTCTCAAGGATCTTCAAAACGCTCGCTATATCCTTGACACCGGGTTCTCTAACCATTTCACGGTGATCAGCGTCTATGGTCTCGTGTCTTGCCCCTTTCAACCAGCCAATTTTTCCGGAGAAGTCATCGACAATCTGAGGCAGTCAGCGAGCTTTATAGATTCAGCACTACATATATCTCTACGTACTTTACCATCCAAGCCCTTTATTCCAGTCATGCCCTTTCCTTCAAGGAAAGAATGAACCCGAAGAGAGGATTGATACTGCAGTGTGCGTAAAAAGTTGTCTTGTATCATATCAAGGATCTGTGAGTCGATCTCCAAGTCTGATAAAAGCTGCGCTGTCGGGGCAGCAAGCGCTACAGTAGCAAGTCTGGACAGGAGAGTTCCCCAAGCGGCTGCATCAGCGCCGCGATGCGGGCAACCACAAAACACGACTGAAAAGACGCGATTTAGTAAGCTTATAAGGCTCTCATCTTTGCTGGATTCCATCTCAGAGAGTGCCTGGAACTTTAGTTATCATCTTCCCGGTGATCAAAAGTTCTTACCCTCTTGACAATAATTCCACCTAAGCTGTGGGCAACAAAAATAATGGGGCGCTTGACTGATCTTAGTATAGATATCAACGCCCATTAGAGAGTTACCTACTCGATCATCGAGAATCCGTTCAAGTTTTACCGTCAGATCATTGGCATGTTGAAGGATGCTGTTTTTGTTATTTGCTCGAAAAATGCCGGAAATGACATCCGCATTGTAGCCATAAGTCCAGATTCGCGCTCGTGACACTTCTTGGGGAAGATTATGGGCAGGCCAAAATATTGATTGAGCTGGCTGATCGCGGCGGTTGCGAGACGGCTTTTTCTGATGGCGTGAAGAAGATGAAAATGCAGAAAACAACCCGCGCTTCTGTTTCGTTTTCTCTTGCTTCGATGTCCTTTCCTTCGGCGCACTGGGTGCTCGGGCTGGCTTGTACTCCCAAGTCGTTCGAGGGTGGCCACGAAGCCCATGAACGAATATGATGCTTTCATAAAGGTGTTTAGTAGGAGTTCCGTAGATTTCATGGTTTTCCTACCTACTTGGCGCTGTGTGTTGGTCCGTCTCCTGCAGTATGGTCAGAGACTGGCGAGTGAAGAAGGCTGAGGCCAAGTCGTTCGACTTCGACGGACTTAGCCTCGCTTCCCACTGCAGATCGGGACGACGCCATAACAGATTATGGCAGTACCTGTCGCAGATCGTGACGATCAGCCGGATTTTTACGACAAGGTGAAGGAGAACTCGGTGACGGAGGACGATAGGTTGAGTCGAGCAGTTTTGAGAAGTCACGGCTGAGCCTCCTTCTCCAGGCGGACACGCGGCAAGCACGATCCCTCCCTATCAGCCACAAAGGGATTCAATGCATGCAACACGCTGCAATGGAGGTAGGGCAGGGGCGCTCATTGGTTGCATGGACTCGTAAAGTTAAGCCAGCTGAGGTGCCTGGCCCCTCTACCAAAGGTAACCAAACAAGGGGCATTCTGCAGCATTCTGCATCCTTCGACGATATCTTCAAAGCATGTGGACCTCATAAACTTTGTATCGATCATTATGTGTGGAAGGAGCTGACAAAGGATGATTCAGAGAAGCCTCGCTCCTCATTGAACCGCGCGCAACGTTGCCTGTACGTACCCCGCACCTGTTCAACCGCACACGCCCTCGAGTCAAGAGCCTGGCTTCGCTATCAAACCTATGTGACCGATACATTCATTTCGCAGAGCTCGTTCTAAACATATGCTGTTGTTGGTGGCTTCTGCTTCGCTCGTATGTGTATCTGCACACAGAATCGGAATGTGCGATGGTAACAGCATTTGATCTTCGCCAGCCTTGCCTCCGGTAGTTTCAGCCTTTATCCCTTCCCAACAATTGAACCTGACATACACACAAATGGATTTCCTTGAAAAGTGTGAGTGCGCGAGCGCAATTGAGTATTATTAGTCAGAATATGTAGAGCTGGCGCATTAAACGTGGGTATGTTGATCTACTCCACTCATGGAGATCCAGTGAGCCGACTTAACCAGCATCATTGAGTGAGCTATCCTGCGAAGTCTCCTCCTATTCGACCACCCATTCTTACTCCAATATCATCGAGGATTTGTTCAGCCTTCCACACATGAAGTAGGACCGAGCGATCTCATACCAAGCCTATTGCACGAGTTCAAGACGACCCCACTCTTCCAATAGAAACATTCCCCAACAGGTCATGAGCAAGGATGGAAGTTTTAAGACACGAAAATTAGTGGCTACATATTCCTCCACAATTGATCCATTATCTCCTAAGCTCTACATATGGGTACTAAACCCAATAAATAATAATACAAAAAGTCCTTCAACAGTCAGAAAAACAGTCTCCAGCGCCGTAAACCAAACCAGACCCAGAACGTGAGACGTCAGTCAGTCAGTCTAGTATCAGCCAGTCCAACCCGCAAACGCCAGTCCCAGTCTATTTGCCGAACAGCTAGGAGAGAAGGAAGACAAACAAGAAGTAAAAGACGAGAATGAAAACGAAAGGTTCACCAACTACCGCCTGAACCCACTCAACGGCTTCCACTCATCTGTCCTCGTCCTCTTCACCCGGTGAAACCTCACGGTCTTCTCCTTCATCGGCTCCTCATCAAAGATAGAATCCCTCCTCGAGCGCTCTCTAGTCTCCCAGTCTTCATCCACCCACTTCTCCTTCCGGCGGAACATGTCACCCGACCACGCCATAGCTTTGCGCTCAGACGAATGGCTCGACTTGGGTCGACTGAACGTTGCCTTAACCTTGAGCCGGAACTCGCGCTCGCGGTCGTTCTCTTCGTCGGAACGGGATTGTGAGTGCGCACCTGGCGAGTGCCGCGTTGTCGTGTATTTGTAGCGCACGGTACGGTCGTCGTCTTCGTCTTCGGACGCTTTGTAGTATCTTGAGGATGTGTGCTTTGGCGACGAAGACGAGGGCCGCGACCAGACGTTGTATTTTTCGAGCTGGGAAGGCTGGCGGATCGTCAAAGCGCGCGAGGGCTTCGCCTGATTGTGGGAGTATGGATAGTCGTCGTACTCGTCGTCATCGTAAAGATCTGCGCGTGCGCGCTTGGAGTTGGTTCGGACGAGACGCCGCGAAGAGTAAAAGTCCTCGTTGTCGTTGAAGAGAGGGCTGCGCTCGCGCACCCGCGAGTTGCGGTAGTAGAGGGAGTCCATTGTGGTTGGCTGCTGTGCGAAGCGGTGATTGGCTGATTTGATTATCGTGGTAGAAAACCGAAAGCGAACGGGTGTTCTTGTAGAGTGTTGATAGTCGATGCTGTTGTGGTTTGTACTTGGTATGCTCAAGCGGAGGTAAGGTCACGACATCGCCAACTCGTAAGGAGTTTTATATCCTGCCTTCTTTGTCTCACTTGCCTTCATCATACCCACCGTCACGACGCTTGGTCATGCCCTGCGGCGGTGTTGTTGCAGCCACAAAGCGAACCTGAGGCGCAGCCGTCGCTCGGCCGGTTGCGCTCGTCCTCTGATTGGTCAAACCACCACACCAGCCACTCTTCGCGCCAATCATCGCGTCACAATCTCAACACCAGCCACAGATGCTGACCGCTTTGGCCTTCATGCGGCACATGACGTCCGCCAGAATGTTTGCAGAGCCCCCGATGTTCGGTCAGGCGGTCAGCGATGCGACAACCGGTGGGGTTGCATGGAGGGGTGAGGCCAGCTGAGGTCGTGTCGCCACGGCCAGGCAGTGATGATTAATGCGGCCTGGGGGCCGCTTTCGATGAAATACAAGGAGCTTGGGAAGGCTTGGATGAAGCTTTTTGCGAAAGGATTGAGTTTTCAGAGGTTGATGCGGGTGATAGTGCGGGTGCCTGCACAAGTGCGCCTTTCTGTGCAGAAATGTCGCCGATGTGACTGGAAGCCGGTGTTCGCAGGCGTTCGAGGCTCGAAGGCTCGTAATGGTGACGACGCTCTCAGTCATGCGTCCGTCGCCTGAAAATGGGATACATGCCGTCTTGCGGTTCTGGGTTGTTCAAGTTGGACTGGTGGTGGCTCTGTTCGTTTTCGTCGTCAGGCTTGCCTTCTTTTGCGTTCAGTGTCTCCTTTTACGGCAATCTCTTCGTACAGGTGTGTCGGACATAGCAGATACGAACTGTAAAGGAGGAGATCAACAAAATCGTCTGGTAGGCTGTGAGCAGGCTGCGAGTAGTGGCGTTGACAAGTTACGCCTTCAAGGACATCTGTTTCAGAGATGGATGGACGCGCGTCACCTACAAAGGGCGCATTGGAGGTTACATCTGTTGGACATGGTGCCCTCCTCCATTTTGAGAGAACACATCCTGTACTTCAAGCCTGACCTCCGAAAAGACTTGTGTTTTGTCGGCTGACCATATGCTGGCATACCAAAGAAGGCTTCCCAACATTTCCACTCAGGTATTGGCCGTGATGACTCTGTAGGCTGCAGAGTACAATATCCCTCTATCTACTACCCAAGGGTCACTAGCTGTCACAAGCTCCAAGGGTTCTCGTTTAAGTGTCGTTATCACTAACCTAACGCCTTCTCGGAGAAGGGCTTCACAAAACACACCCTCATTCGTCTTGTCGACCCCTAATCCTCTCGCTTTAGGCCCCCTCCTTACTACCCACCTTCTCAAACAACTTCGGATGATCAATTGCATACTGAACCCCCGCCGCCCAATGGTACAACTTGGCCGCAACCACATACCCCTCCTTAGCAAACTCCTCTAGTCGATCATAGAGCTCGGCTAACGGGACATTAACCCTCTGAATCTCCTCCCCCTCATCTAAATGTTGTTCAGGCTCTGGATCTCCCTCTTTCAACTGAATCTCCACCATGCACAACTTCATATTTGCATTTGTCATCCCAGGATCGGCGGCCACAGCAGGCGAGGTAGAGACGACCTTGCCGTGATACCCAGTCTCTTCATACAATTCTCTCACCGCGGCTTCCTCAGCAGATTCATTGGCGTCGATAAGGCCTGCGGGCCATTCGACGGTGAAAGCGTTTAGAGGGGGGCGGAACTGGATTACCAAGATCGTCGAAGGCGGCTTAGATGGGTGGTAGATGATATTTCCCATTGCTACGGCGTCAACGCCAGATTTGGACGTCGTTTTGCGGCTAGCAATCTCCCAGATACGTTCGTTGCCCCGGGCGTCGCGATAGATGGCTTTCTGGAGTTTGATCCATTTGGCCTCGCTCGAAGGGAGGTCCACCAGGGAAGTTACTTTGGGTTGGTGAGGGGAGGACATGGTGGCTTTTTTGAGGCGTGTGGTGAGGGCTGAAATTGACCGGGAAGATGTAGGGGGGAAGTTTGCTGCAGTGAGAAAAGTTGGTGTGCGGTTCAGCAGGCTGCGGGTTGAGGCTGTGAACATTTATGGTTTGAATCGAGTGAAGTTGACAATGGGCGATGTCGGGTTGTTTGATGACGTCGAGGAGTGGAGAGAGGGCGTGAGGGCGCAGTAGGCAAAAGATCGAGCGGTTTTGCCTCTGGGCTAATAGAGAACTTTCCGACCGAATGCTCTCGCGGATACAAGGGCGATCGTGACCTGTGAACAGCGGCTGTAGCAATATGTAGATCGTCCTGCATGCCGCAAGCACTAGAGGCGATATGGTTAGCGCCCTGGTTCAAATCCGTAACACCAGATGAACTAATAAGATTCACCAACATACAGCCCAGGCATAGCTATGTCTGGACTCTATTAATTTGAGCTTGTAGATATGTTCCCTTCTTCTGCTTCAGCCAGTGCTTTGACCCCCAATCTATCCTCATCCCTGGGCCGTTCAATTGGTCACCATGCTCTCGTCACGAAACGAGCATCCGATGCCACATCGCAACACAAGCGAATGGATCGTTGCACGAGATACAGACCACCCTCACTGAATGTTCGTGTCCCTTATGCAACTTCCTTGCCTACACCTTCTCCAGCTCCGTCGTATCCGAGCTTCTCGCATCGTTGGTGGAGCTTTTGTTGCCATAGATGTCTTGAATAGATCTTCGAGAAAGAAACGTCGGGGTCGTGGCAGGAACGTTGCAGTAGCTTCTCGCTAGCAGAGAAGGAATGATCAGGAATCTGCAAGACAGAGCAGACGTAAATCGAACATTGAAAGGGTGTATCATTATATACTTTTTTTCCAGCCTAAAGACGCCCCACTACGAACCGTTCTTTTCTCAGCAAGTGCTGCCGAGCGCAGCCAGAGAGATTATCCTGACTGCCACGTCGGATCCATACTGGTGTCTCTCGACGTAACTCTTCTTCCTCTCATCATGATGCCATGTCTCCCACACCGCATCTGTTGTGCGTTCATCCCATCTTCGCATTCGAAAAGTCCATCTCCGGGTGCTGCTCCTGGAACTGCTTCAGGATGTCCAGCTTCTTCTGCTCATCGCTTGTCGGCTTGCCCATCTCTTTCTGACGCTGGTCGAACATCATCTTCTCGACCATGCCCCGCGTCTCACCGTCGAGGTCACCCAGGTTGCTGTTCTCGGGTTGGATTTTGGAAGTGTCGATCTTGGGGGCGGCGGTGACAACGTGGGCCCACCATTCGAGCTGGTTGACTTTGTCGAGGTGTACGGCAATTTCCTTGCCGCCAGGGACCGTCTCGAGGGTCCATGTAGAGTCGTCGACGTGGATGGCGTGGGGGAGGTCGCCCTATATGTATTAGACTATGTAGGTTTAGCTCACCACGGAAGCATACATCAATAATCGGCTCCTGGCCCTTGATCGCGACCTTCAGGTGCGTCCGGGTGAGCTTCACGTCCAGGTCGCGGCCCTTGTATTTGGAGTCGATGGATATTGTGACATCGAGGTCCTTGATAGTCTGGGTCCATTTGTAGGGCAGGGCAGCCTGCTCTGCGTCCTCCTTGGCCTTTGCCTCTGCATCGAGCTTCTTCTGCTCCTCGGGCGTGGGTTCCGACATGGTGGATGTGTGCGCGGTGGGTGTTTTCTCGGAATGTTCTCAACGTGGGGTTGGGCCCGCGTCATCGCGGCCCTAGCACCCTAGCTCTCAGAGACGTGGACCGGCACCGTGCACCTTCATTCTACATCCCGGACAGAGCCCGGAAGCAATCAATCCCACCTGTACCCCTTGCGCATCGTCTGCCAGCGCGCCCGAATCTTATAATCGTATTATTACCGCATCCTCGGCCTCCCGCGATGCTGCCGTAGAGCCTGCGATACGAAGCGAGCGCGACAGCTATCCACCTGAACCCTGACCTTCGAAACACAGCCAGGAAACAAACAAGTGGACCAGCCCCTCCTTCGACCCGAGCGCATAGATATTAGATGGCGAGCTCCTTTGAGAAGAGCGTGAAGGGCGGCACCAAGATCAAGGTGTGCTCCCCGTGCGGCCGCTTCAATGCGTTGCCCTTGCCCCTGGCCGCCGCTGCAACAGATGCTAATGCGCCTAATTGACAGCTCGCCGCGCCCAAGTCAAAGTATGTCGAGCATATCCTCGTTGCTACCCACGCCGGCGAAGCAGGCGTTGGCGAGATCTTCCGCGCCCTGACGAACCGCCTCCGCGACTCGACCTGGACTATCGTCTACAAGAGCTTGATCATTGTACATCTGATGATACGGGAGGGCGAACCTGAGGTCACGCTCAAGTTTCTATCCAAGAACCCCCGCCGGACGCTGGCTATAAACCATTTCACTGAGGGTACGTGCACAGAGAGGAACACAGGTGACACAGATGGATACATGTCCTGTTACACGGGACGTGGTGGCGCTATTTGGGGAGCCGTGCGGGAAACATTGTGCAGGACGAACAATATGGGGAATAGCCACGGCTGACGTTCTGCGAACAGTACAAACACAAGGGCAGAACATACGCAACTACGCAGAATACCTGCTCTGTCGGGCCGAACAATATGGCGCGACCAAGATGGACTATGTACGAGCCGGAGAAGGCCGGCTCAAGCGGCTGAATATCGAAAAGGGTTTGCTTCGGGAAACGGAAAGTGTACAAGACCAGATCAAGTTTCTGCTAAGATGCGAGGTATGGACGAACAGCAAAACCAGAAAAGTGGCATCTAACATGTTACACAGCCCTTCCACGAAGAGCCGGAGAACGAGATTACATTGACTGCTTTCCGTCTTCTCACGATGGATTTGCTTGTGCTTTTCCATGTCATGAACGAAGGGACCATCAATGTTCTGGGTAAGACGCGTTCTAGTGCCCTAAGCAACTTGCCCTGATCCTTGCAGAACACTACTTTGAACTTTCAAAACCGGATGCGAAGCGCGCTCTCGACATCTATCGGACTTTTGTAAAGCAGACCGACCTGGTGGTGCAGTATTTGAGCGTTGCTCGGTTACATGAGCATTCGACACGATTAGAGATTCCAAAAATCAAGCACGCGCCAACTAGCCTGACCCAGGCATTGGAAGAATATCTAAATGACAAAGATTTCGAAGTTAACCGCAGACAATACCTGGCTGAGCGCGAAGCGAAAAAGACCGGCGGGAAACCCACGAACGGAACGAGCAAGCTACTTTCGGATTCGAAACCTGCCGCTGCAACGACAACTTCACCAACTCAAACTTCAGCACCAAAAAAACCACCAGAGGTCAGCCTACCGCTTATTGATTTCTTCGATTCAATACAGGATAATCAACAGACCATGGCTCAGCCGCAAGCACAGCAATTTCATCAACAGACGGGATTCCAACAGCCTAACATGCAAACAACACAGCAAACTGTGGGCTTTCAACAGCAACAGCAGCCTTTTGGTCAAGCAGACGGCCAATCGACGAACCCATTTGCTCAAATGCAACAAGGGATGCAGCAAATGAACCTTCAGCAACCGCAGCAACCGCAACAGCCTCAGCTACAAACACAGTTCACAGGCGCTGGATTTGGCGGCTACACACCACAGCCACAGCCGTTCAGTCCACAAAATAACCTGTCGTCTATTCCACAACATGGCATGCCAAATTTCTCACAGCAGTCGACGATAGCAGAGCCGTTACAAGCACAACCAACGTCAACCAACCCCTTCCGCGCCTCCATGCTCCCACCTGCACAGCCAGAGCCAAAGCTCCTCAGCAACCCTACAGGTGTTTCGTCACCACTCGGCCGCTCACCGACCAATCCCTTTGCGAAGCACAGCACTGGGGGTTTCCAGTCATCATTATCGCCTACCTATGAAGGCAGCTTCTCCTCACCCTTCTCAGTCCCCTCGATCCAATCGCCACAACAAAATTCACCGTTCGCGCCCCAGTCACAGCAACAACCTCTCCAACCGACACCCACAGGGACGAATCCTTTCGCGAGAGGTGTGAGTCCTGTGCAGGGAACGGCATCGCCACAGGGTGGGCTCACGGTCCATGCTACTGGGAGTACGAAGTACGTAGTCCGGCCTCCTTTCGTTTCATACCTCCATACCTATCCTCCGTCTTTCATCTGAATGATACTGACTATAACAGCCCCTTCCGTCAGTCCGCCTTCGTAAACCAAGCCACCGGCCAGGGTTGGCAGAACACAGGCCAGGGCACCCTCGGCGGCATGAACCTCGATGCCGTGCCTACGACGAGCGTATTTCCGCGCCCAGGACAGCAACAGCAGCAACAGCCTAACTACATGGGCTAGGCGCCCCCTGCGTTGAGAGGCGGCGGCCGCGCCTTGCAAATGTATGGTGCTAGGGTAAGAGACGGCGGCCGAGTTTTGAAGCGGTGTAACAGTGTCATTTAGCAGATGCGTTTTGTGGATTCAGAGCCGAGAAAGAGGAGGACTTTATCATGTGGCGTGGCGTTTGGGCGAAGGGCTTGGGATAGGGATTGTAGGTCTGGGTTTAGTGATAATAGTGATGTTGGGCTTGACATGGGGATTGAGGAGCTGCTAGCACAGCTTAGAGTTTCGAGGACACGTATTTCGAAGAGGCTTGTGTGGGTCGAGAGGATGGTGGGGTGCTAGAGAGGCTAGAAGAGGGGATTGGGGAGGAGCCTCTTGTAATACTATTGCTGCACAAGGGGGCGGAAAGGTGAACAGTGGGCACCGACGCGAAGCCATGATTAGATATGAGTGCATAATTATTATTGCTGCTGGACGACTGCATATTTATCGTCGCTCAACATGCGCTGTGCTTTGTACTGTGTATCGTGTATGCTGGTGTACCTGCTATATATTGTGTGTAACTCCTGTCGCGCTTACGCCACAATGACAACGTCTCGTTTAACCGATGCAAATGCTGTGCTATGCCCAATAACAGTTCTAACGCCCTATGTCTACGATGCTGTGGCTGAACTCATTCACAACGGCCACGCCAAATGAGTTGCTCAGTGATCGCACTGATAACCTCCCATAACGCCACTCATTAACCTTCGTACACTTGGGCAAGTCTACCCTACTGCGACTGCCTAGGCCGCGGTGGCGCACTATGCTTAACACTCCACCCCTGCATGCTCCTCCTCGCACCCAGCGTCCTCCTCTGCACGCCGCCCCCAGATTGATTCTGCAGCTGGTTCATCGACGTAGTGTGGAACGTCGATGCCGGCCGGAAGCCCGATGTTGAAGGCTCGCTTCTCACCGGATCGATCTTGTCCTCCGATGAGATTACGATGGGCTCGTTGTCTGGTTTTGGTGGGGAGCTTGAGAGTAGGACGTATTTCGAAGATTCGTCGCAAGGGGCTTTCTTCGGTTTGCTGGACATGGGCGCGGTGTGAAGGGTGTGGCTAGGATATGAGGGGGGTTGGTAGGGGCGGTAGGGTCGTGGAGGATGGGAATGGGGCTGCCTATTTGAGACATCTGCGAGTGGACGAGAGAATGTAGTAGGCGTGTTCCGAGGGAGTGCTTGAAGTTTTGGGACGCGAAGTGGCGGATCTTGTTCCTCGGACATGGAGCTCGCGGAACGCTTGAAGAAGCCGGTGATGGAGCCCTGTCCTGCGGCACGTGGCTTGCTTCTCTTCGACTGTGTTGAGTTCGTACCAAGCCTGTTGACTTCTTTAAACACCGGCTTTGATGACGTGCCCAGCACATTGACTTCACTGTAAGCTAATCTGCCAGGTGCGTTGGCGCTTGCGAGCATTCGTGCGTTTTCGGCCTCTTGCTGCAGAGTTCGCACATCCCTAGCACTCGTAAAACCAGTGTTTCCGCCGACGTTGGTAATACCCATGCTATAGCCTCCTCCAGAATGCCACTGCTCCACATTCTCGTACGAATTCCCACCCTGCTCGAAAGTCGAGTGTTGGTTCTTTGGTCGTTTGGCCCACGGTTCTGACGAGGCATTTTTTGTATTTGGGAAGTTGGACCAGCACTCCGTGCCGTCTATTTCATCCCTGGTAAATGGATATTTGTCATCTTCTATACGCTCCACTAAGCTCTGAGCGGTCTGGACCTCTGAAGCAAGCGGGCAAGCTCGTCCAAGTATCTGTGCGAGGTCCCTTATGGCGGAGGACCCAATGCTCGGGCCACTACGGCTGAAGAACTTTTGTATTTCAGGGTCGTCGACGAATTTCGACAAGACAGTGTCGTCCGATGAAGCGAGCTTGACGGGGCAGCTCAAGTATAGCAAGCCCTTAGCTCTGGTCATGCCGACATAAAGCAAACGTCTCTCCTCATCATGGTCTTCAGCTCGAGAATGAGGTATCGATCCATTGTAGACTGCTGGAAGGAAGACCACAGGCCACTCGAGTCCTTTGGCGGCATGTATGGTGGAGATGGTGACCTGACTTACTTCTTCTCCGTTTGGCTGCTCCACAGCGGACGATAGAGTGACATTCGCAAGAAATTTCGAAAGGATATCAGCAGCCGTATCTTGACGCTGTTCGATACCCTCAACCACCGGCAACGCATCGTCGGCGACTTCTTCACCATCCACTACACTTGTCGCCATTTGTGTCGCTTGAGAGACAAGCTCCTCGTAATTTGCCCACCGCTCTTTCCAGTCTTCCTTGTATGTGTTCTTCAGATAGGCTTCGAGATTGATCTTTTTGCTGACATGATCGATCAGACCCAGGAGATCGCATGAGTCTTCTTGTCGAAGTTTCTTTTGGGAAGTCAGTATGAGGTTCACGAATGTCTCGATCCCGAATTGCGCAGGCTTCGCGACTTTGGATCGTGGTTTCCTTCTGCCCTGAGCAATAGCTAGAATGAGTGTCCAGAAAGACGTCTTTTCCTCTTCTGCTTCTTTAACAAGGGCTTTGACGGTGCTCTCTCCAATTTTCCGGGATGGTCGATTGATGACCCGCATCAACACGTCGTTGCTCTCCGGTTGGTTGATGATGCGTAGATAATCTAGCACAAGTTTGATCTCTGCCCGATCAAAGAAACGTAAGCCACCGACCATGCGATAGGGTATGCCTGCTTTGGCGAGTGCTCTTTCGATCGACAAGGATAGCGCGGCTGAGCGAATGAGAATGGCGTAATCGTTGTAGCCCAACAGCCCTGCAGTAAGTGTTGTTGTTCGTTGGATCTCGTCGACAAGCCACCACGCTTCGACTTGCGCATTGGCTAGGTGACGAAGCGTGGGGTGCTCACCCACACAATGCGTTGCAATAAGTGCCTTTTCGGGACGAGACTCGTCTTGTTCGATAACAGCCATCGCTGTGGTCAGGATACAACCAGAAGACCGGTAATTCATTTCAAGGTTGATGACACAAGAGTCTGGGTAATCTTTCCGCATCCGGAGTAGGTTCTTAATCTCAGCTGCACGGAAGCTGTATATGCTCTGATCTGGGTCGCCAACGATCGTGATGCGTCCCCTTGCCTGAGCCAGAAGTTTCATAAGCTCATATTGCACATTATTCGTGTCTTGATATTCGTCAATCAGCACGGCCTGTATGCTGGACACGCACTCCGGCTTCCTTTGAAGAAGCTCTACGCACCGTACGAGGAGGTCATCGTAGTCCAGGAGGTTTTGTGACTTCAATTGCTCTTCGTACTCGTAGTAGACATTTGCAAACTCATGCTCGTCTGCCTTCTTCTGGGTGGCGGCAAACTGCCCTGCGGAAACATTGCGTGCCTTGAGCCCAGAAATCCGACTGCGAGCCTGATCGGGCGGTACAAGGCACTGTCGAGTGTCGATAATTCGCTTGATGATTGACTTGCTATCGGTAGTGTCGGCAATGCCAAAGTTCTTTGGAATACCAATCTCCTGGCCGTAGCGAACGAGGAAGCGGCGGGCGACCGAGTGAAAAGTGCCCAGAATTAACTTCTTTTCGGTACCTTCGCCGACAAAGCCACAGATCCTCTCTTTCATCTCGCGTGCGGCCTTGATGGTAAAGGTGCAGACAATTATGTTCCATGGTTGCAGTCGCTCGTGATTGACCAGATACGCGACGCGCGCCGTGAGCGTTTTCGTTTTCCCAGAACCGGGCGGAGCAAGTACCTGCAGGATGGATGCAGGACTAGTGACGGCGCTCCGCTGCGCATCGTTGAGGCCGTCCAGCAGCGCGTCCATCGCCGCAATTCACGTAGCAAAGTTGTTTCGTGTGAACAGCGTCGAGGTGGTTGAAGGAAGCGTGGCGCGCTAGCAGAGAGGCGCGCCCAGAACGGTAACGCTTCGCCGCGAGCTCACGTGAAGATAACCGCACGATAAGGCAGGCCTATGACAGACGATTCTGTACACCGACTTTGCCCCAGTCATTTCTCGAGTCAACAGCAGCTTTTTGGTACTGCTCAAACTGGCTTTATGTATGACACATGATACATGGAGATCATCCAGATCGCACCCTCACAATGACTTCCATCGGTCGACCCATACGGTTTAAGTCTGGCCTTTCCTTCGCGTCTGACTGAGACCTGCTTGAACGGGTGTGAATGAAGGAAATGTTGGTAATCATCTGCTGGTTATCGCGAGTTGTCTTCCTTCACATGGCTGCCTCGTCATAACATCAATTTCGACTTCGAAATATCCATCTAAGCCTCATATGAACTTGCACGAGTCTCTGTATTTTTCACAGCCATAGGAGGCTACAACACATCAAACCTACTCCCTCCATATGCTAAAGTTCCACGGAAAGCATGAGAAGATGTAAACACATAGCCCGGCGCCACTTGGCATGGAATTTCGCCATACTGCTCGATTCAGGGTGTCACTTGATTCCGCAATCCTTGAACATGCACCGGATATGCGACGCACTCTTAAGAAGCTGGTCAAATTTTATCTCCCAGGTTTTGTGCGGTTCGGGTAAGTGAAGCAGACTATTTTTGGACTCGACCTGGCATGCGAGGTTGCTGGAATAGATACGAGGGACCCACGTGATGTTCTTGGGGGCTGGAAACGGATGGCCGTCCGTCTGCTCTCGGACTTTCTCCTGGGTATGCACGATCTCATCTGGGGTTTCAGAAGCACAACCGCAGGTATGATTGGAAAACTGCCACATTTGCAGTCCGATGAGTCCTCATTCGCCCGGGTTGTGGCTGATCGCCGTCTATCGTATTCGCATCACGCCGACGTCGTGTCCGGTAATGAGCTTAGCGGAGCCTCATGACTCCCTCCACAAAGCATTCCAGACCTACGCCAATGAAGATTTAAATGCGAAATACGATTGCTTTTGAGCCTGGGATTCCCACGCGCCTGCTACTGTTAGTCTGCTGCCTTCGCATTCTGCCCGTATAAGCTGCGGTGCGCGCTGTTGTAGTGGTAATGGCCTTGTAATAATCACGAAGGCAATACCATCTGTACGAATTTACAATCAGCTCTTGGAAGTGTACCTTTCGGTCTCTGTTTCAGAGTTGTGTATAAAGTCTGACACCATCACGATGGAACAGGTCGCACACCATTAGAGTCCTACGTACACTAGTCACTCATTCAACGGTTCCTATACACTCGTCATTTCAAACGTCGCCATCATGCGCGCCACTCTCTTCTCTTCACTCCTCCTGGCAGCCGTATCATCGGTCACCGCCGCTTCCCATAATAACGGAACTTGCACCGGCAAGAACGGCGTTCAAGGTGTTTGCATCTCCACGAACTCATGCTCTAGTGGCGGTGGCTCGTACATCAGCAACGCTTGCCCAGGCCTTCCCGACGACATCAAGTGCTGCACTAAGCCTTCCTGTCAGGGGGCTGGCCAGAAGGGCGACTGCCGGTTTGTGGACGAATGCGGCAGTGGAAGGACTACTCTCGCCGGTCTTTGCCCCGGTCCAGACGCCTTCAAGTGCTGTGTCCCTAAACCTGGCACCACACCAAAGCCTCCTATCACGCCGACTCTGAACCTGGGTGAAAAGATCTTGAAGAAAGCTGAAGAGCAGAAAGGCGTTCCTTGTAGGTCGGGTTCATATTTTCACGAATTTGGCTGACATGCTACAGATCACTGGGCCGGTGGCAATTGCAAGGGTAAGACTGGAGGCGGATTTGACTGTTCTGGCCTCGTCTCTTGGGCTGTTTGCCAGGTGACTGGTCGCGACTTGTTCAAGGAAGGTCTGCGAGTCACTCGCTCCATGTACTGTGCCAGTGAAGAGAAGCTCAAGTACAAGTATGTTTGAACTTGTAGTAGTCTGGATGAAAATATACTCATTCGTCATAGGAAAGTTCCTTTCTCCAAGCGCCGTGCTGGTGATGCTGGTAAGTCTTCGTGTTGCTCAAGATGCTCCGATATTATGCGCTAATGAGGAATTACAGTCTTTTTCGGTGGCGAGTGTGACTGCAAGAACAATCCTGGTGGTATTCACCATGTCGGCCTCATGATGGACAACGGCTACAACATGTTTAATGCTCTGAAAACTGGAACGAATATCAGGAAGGACAACTTCAAGGGTTGGAGCGAGAAGGCTTGCCCCTATGTTATCCGATTCTAGTGAGCACGTGTTTGTTCAACCCCTTGTCGTTGAAATACGTCATAACGGAGATGAGAATTGTGCTATCACCGCATTTCGCTTCTTTTGATTCGTTCTGCGAGCTCCTGTATTATTGGCATGCTTTCACGGATAGAAGATGAATCTTACACCACGTACTTGTGAGTAGAATCTCATTACTACATACATTGCATCCCTCAAATAGATGGTCTTGAACAATACGTGACCAAATATCATTGGCGTGGTAATCACGACTCCAAATATACTGATGCCAGCTCTATGGCTGCATGTGTCAGCTTTGAGGTTTAGACAACTCTCATCCGCCAATCAGTGTAATCTAGAAGAAGAAGAAAAGAAAAATAAAGAAGGAAATCCACCCACGTTCGGACAAAGTCGAGTGCCGATGCTCTTGTGTGAAGGAAGTCAAAGTTGACTGAAGAAAGACTTAGATTTCCTCCACACACCGCATTCGAGAACAAGTTATGACATTAATACCTCATCAGAGCTGGGCCAACAAGAAGACGAACTGTTCTAAGGGTAGATAAGACGAGCGTTAGCCAATTACCGTGATGTGATGGCAAATTCCCTAGTCGTTCTACTCCGCGTCTAGTGGCGGCGGCGACCGCCCCCGAACACATCCTCATCTTCGTCGTCATAGCGACTGCGACGGCGACTTCGGCTTGAGGCACGAGGGGCCGATCGGCGCTGCTGAGTCCCAGTCATAGAATGTGCCGTACCTTGACCAGGGCGGTCAGTATAATACGCCGTGTGGTTACTCGAACCACGCTCCTGATAGTATTGGAATGTGTTTCCATGCGACTGATAACGGCCAGTGGAGCGATGCTCTGGCATACCGTAGGGCTCTTGTGTATATGCTTGGCGATATTGCGTCCCACTGCGAACATAGCGGTCATTTTGATGGGGCTGGAGGTGGTGGTCATCTTCATGACGAGTGTGTCCCATCGCAGTGGGGTCGAAGTGGGTGAAATTGCCATTACGAGGTGCGTGTCCTGTTGCAGTGGTTTCAAGGCGGCTGCGCGAGGGTTCTCGAGGACGGCTGCGTGAAGACTCCCGAGGACGATTTCGGCTGGTCGAAGCGCTGAAGAGGCCACCGAATGCACCGCCGGAGCGACTACGCGAGCGACTACGGGTATGACTAGGCTGAGAGCTTGATGGGTAGCCGTGTGAATGGTGGTGTGTACAAGACGTGCTGTCCTGAACTTCCCGACGCTGAACCTGGCTACAGCGGCGGCCCGTGGCCATGGCGTTGATGCAGTGGCCGATCGAAGCAGATTCAGATCGACAACCACAGGGCTTGACGTAGACATTGATGGCGCACATTGTGTTACCGAGTGTCCGCTTCTCTTCTTGTTGACTTGGACTTAGTTTTGAAAGGTTGCTAAGAAGGGAACTTTGTTAAGCGTGTGGATTCGAGTACGTATGATATACTCGTCGGGCGCTGAGTTGAGCTCAAGGGAAGTTGTGTTATGTAGTAAAAAGATTGCTGGGGCATATTTTCTCTTCTTTTATTGCACTTGCTGGGAGAGAGTCACCTTGAAAGAGTGAAAGCATATCTCGTGACGCTCAAGCATCGTCAGCATTGTTCACTGGTGTTGACTACGATGAAAATATAACATACCTTGGTCCGGGAACTGCACCAAAGACCTCCCGCATCAACCGACCAGCACATGTCGATGATAAGAATTTTCGAAAGGGGAAAGCTGTCTGTCGAACTTGTATGAGGCCACAGCGAGGGTGGCGTAACAGGCCAAATACAGTCTGTGTGGCAATCCGGGTGATTCGAAAGCAGGTAGCTCATCCGTGATGACCTGAAGAAAGACTTAAAACACCGACATCCTGGTAGGATGCAACCTACTAACCTTGCTCCTAGCATCCGACCTTCAAAGCACTCTAGGGTGACCCATGACTTCAGCTCGTCACTTCTCTTCTTTCTGGACCTGATTTGGGGCATTGATAGCTCATACCAGGCTGGATAGAATCCAGGAGATGACCGGCTGGCCTTGTCCTTGTATATTGACGATCTTTGTTGGATAATTTTTAATGAACAAGCCTTCCTCTGTGTATATAGGCGAGTCATGACCTTTCCAGTACGCAATCAGTACATCTGCGTTTCTCATCAAGTACTGCTTGTTGAAGGCTATACCCAACTATGGTAATCGTTCAATAAAAGTCCCTATGTTATCCTTAAATACGAAGCTTTAGCAAATAAGCTGCGTCAATATTGCATGGCTCAATATATAACATTAATCCGGTACAAAGGCAAGCAAGAAAACGAAAACCCAGCAAGCAATCCCAAGAAAACACAAGAACTTCGTATGAAGCAGCAGCATAAGCAATGGAGATTTTTCTGGCATTCCATTCGAAAGATATTGTGCTAGCAAAATCAAGGGCCCCAGAACAAACAACGCATGAAATAACTTAACAATGTGTTCAGTCGTAGTGAGTCACCGAAGTGAGTACTTGAGTTTCTCATCTTTGTTTTGCATCGTGTTGTCTCTGGGTACTCCGGTCCGAGTCGTTACATCCAGTGATTTTCATCAGCTTTCCAACAGCAAATTGCTCAACACGTCTAGCTTCGGACTTTGGTCAAGTTGCGCCTCAGGAGTGATCTTATGGAGAGTTCGACTCTATGTCAAGCTTTCTACATTGTTGTGTTGTGAACACCTCACGGTGCGGTTGCGGTACGGTAGTGCGGGGGAATGCTAGACTCTTTCGCCTAACGTAGCCGGTTTACTACTGAGGCTGGGTGTACCGGAAAACGAAGGTTAGGTCTAGGAGCGCTATTTCCGGACCACGTAAAGTACCGGCACGGTATTCTCTTTTGTGCAACCTGAACGACTAAAATACAGGCTTCGTGCTGCATACTGACCGATACACACAACATGTCCAGTCTAGAAATAAATAAACTCTTCAGCGTGAAGGGCATGGTTTTCGTGATCACTGGTGGTGGTTCCGGTATATTCCATTCCCAATCGCTCAGACCATACAATACTAATGGCAAATACCAGGAATCGGCGCCATGTTCGCCAAAACGCTGGCCACAAATCACGCCTCCAAAGTCTACATCCTTGGCCGACGCCTCCCAGCCCTCGAGTCCGTCGCATCTCACTCGCCAGAGATCATTGTCCCAATACAATGCGACATTACCTCTAAGGACTCCCTCTTGGCAGCCGTTTCACGCATCGAAAAAGAAACCGGCTTCGTCAATTGCGTGATTGCGAATTCTGGCGCTACGGGCCCAGATATGTACGGTCTGCCTAAAGACCGCAAGCCGAGCCTTGAGGAAGTGCAAAAGTATCTGTGGGATACGCCGATGGCGGACTTTACGCAGGCTTTTGAAGTAAATGCAACCGCGTGCTTCTACACGCTCGTCGCATTTCTAGGGTTATTGGGAAAAGGTAATGAGAGTGAGGTTGCAAGGAGTGTAGGTGTTAAGAGTCAATTCATCGTCACGGGAAGTATTGGCGCTATGAGTCGCAGGCCCGGAATGGGATTTGCGTATGCGGGAAGTAAGATGGCGGTATGTTGCAACTCTATATGTTGGAATATTCGAAAGACTTATGGAAACGGTAAGATCATACATATCGTCAAGCAGCTTTCGACGATGCTAGCAGACTGGCGGCTCGACATCCGCGCGAATTGCTTCTGTCCTGGTGTATATCCGAGCGACATGAGCAAGGTACGTTCCAATGCGGGACTAATCATTCCATTGCTGAGAGCTTTAGGGACTGATGGGAGATAAAGACATGTCACAAGAAGGTTCCCTATCACCAGATATGGTACCATTGACGCGGGCCGGTACAGCTGAGGATGCCGGCGGTGCGTTGATCTTCATGTGCAGTAGGGCTGGCGCGTACACAAGTAAGTGGGTGTATGTCTTCCAATGCTCTCTTGTGCTGATCAATTTACCCCAGACGGTAACATCCTAATCTCTGATGGTGGACGTATGTCGATTGTCGCTGCGACTTATTAGAGCCTGCGAAGGTAACTTCAGTGATGATGGAATGAATCAGTGGTGATAATATGCTGGAGCTGGTGGAATCAAATGCCATATGATATCAGACTAATATAGTCGCTGATAGAGAGACAGGGTTCAGGCGAATTGCACGACTTGCCGCCTCGTGAGCTCGCCGTTCCTCATCCTCTCGACCATGCCATTCACCGCTTCCAGACTCTTGTGCGTTTCGATCTCCGGCTTGATGCTGTGTTTGGCCGTAAAATCGATGGCTTTCTTCATCCTTCTTGGAATGCCCGTACTGTCTCCCTTGACCCTGTACTTCCCTGTGGCAATATCCAGAGCATTGAAAGTCACACCTTCAGCTGGTAGTCCTACAACCATGATGATTCCGCCTAATTTGACTAGGGGCGGTGCGCTTTTATAAGCAGCCGGAGCTGCGCTGAACACTGCAACCGCATCAGCACCCTTGTTTGGCCCACGATCCATGTATGCCTTTGCTTCCTCGATGTAACTAGGGTTGGTACGACTGTTGAAAACAGCATCTGCGCCTTGCGACTTAGAATTTTCAAGAATGTCATCATTGATGTCAATGCCAATCACTTTGAAACCCATGGCTTTTGCGTATTGAACGGCTAACTGGCCGAGGCCTCCGCACCCGACGACGGCGAGCCACTGACCGGACTGCAGTTCGCATGAATCGACACAATGAAAAGCTAATCATGTGAGCAAATTTAATAAGGATTTCAATATTCCAAAGTTGCCACGCACCTGTGATACCACCACAAAAGATGGGGCTTGACGTCTCCGGTGGTAGTTGTTTTGGTAAGATGATGCAGCTCGTTGCATCGACCGTCGCATATTCTGCAAACAGCCCGGGTTCATTGAAACCGTTCACACGACTTTTCTTGTTCAAACAGTGGTTGTTGTGGATCTCGCAACCTTCGCAATCATCGCAATAATTGACGATGTACGTGAAGCCTATACTATCGCCTATTTTGAATCCTTTGTTTTGTGCTGTAGGATGAATCTCCTCGATATAGCCGGCGCCTTCGTGACCGATGGTTATGGGTTCCGTGTGGGGCATAGCCATGGACATGAGATCTGAATGGCATAGGGATGCGGATGCAAGCTTGACAAGGAATTGGCCCGGGCCTGGTATCGGCTTGGAGACCTCGTTTACTACCACCTTCTGCTGCGCCTAGTCTAATGAGTATACTGGGACTCGATTGGCACTAGAACATACGCACCGGATCCCATTGCGCTGCCTTCATATTCCTATAGTGTGTGCTTTTTTGTTCGTGAAGTGAAGGGTCGACAGGGAGCGCAATTGAGGACTTTGAGAGGCTGCGTCCAAGGCTGCGATGCCCATTGAACATCTCACGTGCCTACGCATCTTCAACTAAGGGCATGACAGATGCCGGCTGATGCATTGTGGGAGTGTACTTCCGTAGAACCCTGGATAGATACCATAGTTAGTTTGCCCCGCACTTTGCCCCTCAGTCCTAGATCTCCCCCACAACATCGTCTTCCGCGTGTTCTTTATCTTCCGAAACTATTGATCGCGGAGTTTACGACATTCATATGGCATTCGATATGCTTAATTCCGTACAGGCGAATGGGACGGAAAAGGCTCTCCGAGCCCATCGGGCACTCCCACCGGACGCGCGACGCGTTTGAATGGCTACTGACATACGTTCCGACCAAAGTTGTCAGGCGTGAAGTCAATAACACAACGCCTCATAGTAGTGGTAGCAAATAGCGACTTCTTAAGCTTTTGGCAGCAAAAACCCTCTCCTGCTCCTTCTACTACCACGCAATCGACGCGTTCCCTGTTCCCACAATGCCTTTAGACTACGGAATCAAAGGCAAAGTCGTCGCCCTTACAGGTGCAGCATCAGGCATCGGATATGAAACCTCCCTACTTCTCGCTCGGCAAGGCGCCCACCTTTCCATCGCCGACGTCAACGAAACCGCACTAAAAGAGAAGACCGCCGATATTGAGAAAGTCAGCACGGGCAAAGTCCTATCCACCACAGTCGACGTACGCAAAGATGACCAGGTCAATGCCTGGATAGCAAAAACAGTGGAGACGTTCGGAAAGCTGGACGGCGCAGTGAACCTCGCTGGCGTTGTTCCCAAAGTGATCAATAAAGAACGAGTTGAAGACTTGAACAATGAGGATTGGCATTTTGTATTAGATGTCAATCTGCATGGCGTCATGCATTGCATGAGGGCGCAACTGCAGAACATGAATGAGAAGGGGAGCTTAGTTAATGCAGCTTCGATCTGTGGTGTCATTGGGTTTCCGAAAAACGCTGCCTATACGACATCGAAGCATGCAGTGATAGGATTATCACGCACAGCAGCGAAAGAGGTTGGCGACCGCAAAATCCGAGTGAACTGTATAGCGCCGTGAGTCATCGAACTCAATTACATCTACTTAAACATAGCTGACGATAGCAGTGGGCTGATTGATGGGCCCATGCAGCAGGCTTCCGTAAAGGCTAGAGGCGGAGAGCAGGTGTGGAAGCAACAAATCATGCGTCGAGGAACACCTCAAGAAGTCGGAGCACTCATTGCATGGCTGTTATGTGACGATACGCAGTACATCACTGGTACGGTGCAAATAATTGATGGCGGATGGGTTTGCTAAGGATCGAAAATGCTGTTCACAGTATTCAGCGTATAGAACCACATCTCTAATACGATCGTACACTGGTTTGGTCTTGCCCTTTATTTAGCTCCTCAAAACCCTTCCAGTGCCTGCTGCTCATTTGACTGCTTCACATCGTCAGTATTCGCACTTCGTAAACCTGGTCACATGGGAAGGACAGTCTGCTGCTGAATGCGCAGAAAAAGCCACACCCTTTCTAAGGCAGTTTTTTTTATTTCACACATCTGGCTCAGACATACTAAAATCAACACGAGACGTGCTGTTATTAAGCTACTGATCATAGGCCGCCAGAATCTCATCGAAGTACTGCTTTGTCCTATCCTTCATATCCGGATGGGTAGCCACCCATCCCCGGTCCTCCTTGATGCCTGTAACAATCTTCTCTGCAACCTCACTCGTGGGTATTCTTCTTGCCGCTCTCCTCGCCACCTCCACCTTCAGAGGCTCGCCGAACCTTTCTGGCCGACTTCTCTCGCTCTTCATGATCTCGGTTTGCGTCCCCGCAATGACGACCGTAGTTATTCCAACACCATGAGTTGCCGCTTCAGGGCGCATAGCTGCACCCAAAGCATGCACAGCGGCCTTAGCAGACGTATAAGGTCCATGTAAGGTCACCCAGTTCGGCACCATGCCGGCCTGAGACCCATTGATGACGATGTGTCCTGAACCGCGAGCCACCATATCTGGGTAGAATGCCTGAATGCAGTAGGTGGTTCCGTTGAGCACAACACCATAAACCCAGTCCCAGTCTTCCTCGCGGTGAAGGTGGTAATCCCCGCTTGTGGTAACGCCGGCGTTGCAGACGAGTATATCAACTTGCAGACCGATTTTACCAATCTCTTCTTTCAGGTTCTTGACGGATTCGCGGTCTGAGACATCGCAGACGATATCGAGCACTTTGACATTGGGGGATGCCTCTCGGATCTGTTGTGCTCCTGCTGCAAGACGTTCTTGACTCGTAGACGAAACAATGATGTTGGCTCCTTCTGCGGCTAGTTGGAGAGCAAGCGCAAGACCGATCCCAGTGCCACCGCCCGTGATCAAAGCTGTTTTTGATGCAATATCTTTCATTACTTGGACGGTTGAAGTAAAAGTAAGGATATCAATTTGGGTGAATATCCAATGCCAGCACGTGCTATGAATGAGGTCAGATTCTTTATTTGAACGAGGAATCTCTGTCTGTCAAACAATCGCGTTGACAATTATCTGTTACTTCAATTGATGTTGTCGTTTCTCCTATGATGCGCTGCTAGAGCGGTAGTACAAAGTAGACACCACAGGATATCTTCAACCGGGAAAGCTACATGGGTCTCAGACGTTCCCCCTAGCGCACAACTCTAGCGTTTACTCCATTAGCTTCGCACCCCGCATTTCGATAATGACGTAGTCGGAAGGGTCCAGGAAAACAAACATCCGAATTGGCCGCTACATGCGCTTGTACGAACCTAGTGATTACGATAATCAAAGGTTTGACGGAATACACCATAGGAAAACAATATCCTTACTCTCTATCCCCTAACCTGGTATACTGCTACTGTTTAGCCTCGCGTGAGACCCTAATTCAATGGTCGAGTCTACTGTTTCCCTCGTGCCTTTGAATCTCTTTATGCGTTCTGGAGCAACACCTTTCATACAACGATTACGGCTTTGTCAGAGGTGTCCATTGAACAACAACACTGACGTACTTAACACAACGAGTATAGAACGGCCAGTAAACCTCCGTAAAAGCGCTTTTTGACGCAATGTCGCGGCAGCATAATCACGTCTTGAACCATGTCGCAATCTCCGTTCCTGATTGCGACAAAGCCGTCGAATGGTATGGGAAAGTGTTTGGCTTCAGAAGGCTAAGGTAAGCCAGTCAGTAAGCCGCAATCATAAGCCAAGCAACTTTATGCTTTAAAACCCAGTACAAGAACAGAAGCTAACACAAAGTCCATCTGCAGAGGTGACCGCATGACAAACCGCGCCGAAACTCAAGACGCACCAATCTTCAAGATCTACGATTCCAAATTGCACAAGGTCAAAATCGCATGGCTAGGCACCGGCAATAGCGTGGGCTTCGAAGTCTTCGAATTCATCGACCCGCCGAATAAGCCCTCCTCCGACTTTGACTATGCGAAGACTGGGTTCTTTCACATTGCTGTCACTGAGCCGGATGTAGAAGGTGCAATAAAACGAGTGCTAGAAAATGGGGGAGAACAACTTGGAGAGACTGTGAGCATGGGCGCTGAGGATCAGGCGGCATATGTACGTGATCCGTGGGGGAATGTGGTGGAGCTCTTGAGTTGCAGTTTTGAGCATTTGATGGCAAATAAATGAGATGCTGAATCCACCTTACCATCGCAGAAGCGAGACAACGACCATGGAAGATGTAATCGTGACCACCTTTGCGCATGGCTGTATATGTAGTCCTTGCAACCAACCTTCTATCTACTCATATGATTGTGTGATTTCAATGGTCTGGAAACGGTAAGCTCTTGTAGCTAATATTCACTACTATAATATCTCCCCAAGATCTAGCGCCAACGGCAATTTGCGATCAACTGTGGTGTACATCAAGAACAAGCTAGAACACACTCTGGATGAACATTATGAAAGATTGAAGAAATGCCAGGCTACGTTGCATTTGCAGTTGTACCTGCAATATTGACTATGTAACATCTTTTATGTCTTTCTAGGTATCAGCTTCAGCTTGAGACCCGGCTTGATCCAGTTGTTGTAAACCACCATGTTTTCATACTCATTCTTCGGGTTCCAAACCTCATTGTCTCCGTACATTTCGACATCGTGATGCCAAAGCAGCTTCGCAATGATTAGCCTCATCTCCATGTATGACAAGTTCCGTCCAATACAGCCCCTCGGCCCTAACGAGAAAGGGTTACTGGCGCCGAGCTTGTCAGTCTTGTTGTTCTCTCGATCCAACCAACGCTCTGGACGGAAAACATAAGGATCCTGGAAGTTGCGCTCCGACTTGGTAGACGCCCACATACAGACAGATACCGTAGTACCGCCAGGGATGAATTCGCCGGAAACAGTGTCCCCACCTTCGGGGACCGTGCGGACAAATCCAATGGGTGCTGAGGGGAACATCCGTAGGCCTTCTTCTATGACAGCAGTCATATAAGGTAACTTGGCAAGTTCTTCGAAACGCAGTTCTGTCTCGGTTCGAAAGGAAGAGCGGACCTCTTGAGTGAGCCTGTCAAGGATGTGCTTGTTTTCGGGTCGAGTGATCAGATTGAACAGACCAGTCAGAAAGCCAGCGGTAGTCTCTGTACCAGCAATGATGAACAGTGCGCCGTTTACTATGACTTCGCCGAGGTTGAGGTCACCTTTGTCTTGCTGCTTCATTACGTAGTACAAGAAGTCGCGATTGTCTGTCTGCGTTTCCATGCGCTTTAGTATCTTCTCTCTACTGTGGTCTAGATGTTGCTTCCGGCTCTTAGCGACATGCGATGGTATACACCACTGGAGAAACCGTTGAAGTGGGCTTCCAGTCTGGCTGACACGACGAGTAGCCTGCTCGATAGCGCCGGCTTTGATCGACTCGCTGATAAGCGGCACCCAGAAACGGAAGTCTTCTGTTGCCAATTAGATGAGTTTGCCTCCAAGAAATTGACGGATATGAGACTGACGGTTGTGAAGACATCCAAAAGGCTCTCCAAGCGCCAATTCACCAATAACATCGAAGGTCGTGTATGCGAACCAGTCCGTGACATCGACAATCCCCTCTCCACGAGCAAACTCCTGCATCTTCTGCGAAAACGTCTCGACGTATTTCATAACGATGTACTCCTGCTCGAGCAATGCCTTTGTAGAAAAGGCATGCGACAATGCTCTTCGCTGCCGCGCGTGATCGTCATCGCCCGCCATAGTGATTGTAGAAGCTCCATGCACCGCTGCGATTGATCCAACGTGGATGGGGTCTTTCTGGAAGTTCTTGTGACCTAGCCCGCGAGAACCATAAATGTCCTTCCATGCAGACTCCTCGTCAAAGCAAAGCTCATTGGGTGCTATTCGCACGACGGGACCATATTTGTCGTGACAGTCTTTGATATAGAAAGGTATACGGCCGCCAAGTAGACTCCATGTTGCCGGAATCTAAATATATAAGCGCTCAACCTCTGCTCAGTCCGTTTTGAACTTACTGGCGTCAATCGTGCAAGAAGCGGGCCTGGGAAGCGTGCCAGCGGATGGAAGTATATTCGGTATATGGCGTTTGCAATGGTGTATATGAAGAACTGCACCTTGTTAACTCGTAGCGCACATTCAAAGCGTTGAGACAGTAATTACCAAAGCACCTGAGAGTATGGCTATTGTCTCGCCGGGACTGTAGTGCGCAAAGCGCAACTCATTCCAGTTCAGCACTGCCATGTCTTTACCGGTGGTGAACGATCAATTTGTCAGATGATACGCCAAAGATATTTGCAAGTATTCGAAATCGAACCGTAATATTCTCAGAAAATGGGAGTCTTCACCGGAGTCGTGATTGACCGAAAGCATATTACAAGTGCAAAACCACATGATCGTGTCGTAGTGAAAGGATCCAGGTGTCATGACTCGCGCGAGTTGCAGGGGCGCTTTTAGCGTGTTTTCTCCCCCGCCTTCATGCGCGCTTCCGTCTTCCACATTTCCCCTTTTCCTATACACACGCGGTACCCTTCACCCGCTTGTGCAACAAACGTTAACACCAAGCTACTGATCATAGACCGCCAGAGTCTCATCGATGTACTGATATGAGATATCCCTACTTCCACTCTTAGCCTTCCTACGGAGACTCGACGAGTGCGTAGCTCTGCTCGGGCCTCCTCATCCACACCTTCTCCCTCACTACCTCACTCAGTCTTTCGACTGCTTCTTCCTTCAGCCAGACATATTGTTTCCCCAATTTTCCCTTCTGCTCCTTTTGAAATTCCCAAAGCATATGCTTCTTCTGAATCTCCTCCGGATCCTTCATCTTTGAAAACGACTGGTTGGCCGTGTGTGCTATGGGGCCGTGCACTACGTGGTGATCGCTTCGCAAGCGACTGACATCCTTTGGGTAGGTTACGCACCGCCGAGAGTAGAAGATTAGGCGCTTCCACATCCCACCAAAGTCCAGCTCGAGCATGTTCTCTTTCTTCAGATGCTCCAGAGGAACAGAAATTTCGATCGTTCTCCGATCGCACACGGGGCAGGCATCCCCTATGAGCCTTGAATAATGAGTTGCTACCCACATTTGATGGGTGAAGTAAAGGCCTCCACGAATCGCGAAGTCTGTACCTTCGGAACTCTGGAGGTCAACCAGGTCGATGGTGCCATCCTCAGCGATGACATTACGAGCTCTCTTGAGCGCGACAGATTTGAAAAGGTTGATGTGTCCGCCGAGAGTGGCTGGGACTGAGTAGTCAACCTCGAAACCTCCACCACGAATGTAGGGGTGGTCGGGCTCGACATGCAGTAGGATTGTATCGGGAAGGTCGATGAGAGCGTCATAGTTCGTCTCGATCATCTCGCAAAGCCAGGACGAAAGTGACTGAATGCCCCGTATCGACACATGCTTAGGATCAAGCAATGCATTTCGCATGCGGCCGTGTATCCCCACGCTGTCCATCGCTTCCTCCCAATCGTCGCTTGTGTCTTCTATCTCGTCGCACTTGTGCCTGACATAGCTTTGCCAATATGCAAGCAAGTCGGGCTCTTCTTCCCCCAAATCTTCCATGCGCTTCTCCAGCTTTCCAAACAGGTACTTCGCTACGTTTGGCGAGAAGCCAAGATACTGGAAGGTTTGCGGAGAATACATCCTGTGAGGCACGTTGATCGAATCGGAGGTGGCGGTTGATTTGGAAGAGCCAACAACCGATGGTATAGATACCGGAGGAGAAGTTGGGGGTGTGAGAATTTCCAATGAAACACTCCTCATTCCGCTGCTGATCTCTCCGATGAGATCAGGCTTGTAATTCCGAGTCTTCTCGACGATGAGGTCTGATATCACAAGAATATTGAATGCCATGTTGGTAGAGTGGTATGAAGTGGAAGCGTGGTCAGAATGTTGGAATGTGCTTCAGAAGTTATGAAATAGTGGGGACTTCTTGCCCCAAAAATTATGTTTTGATCTATCGCACTTGCCCCACGAGATTCGGGTACATTGCCCTCAACACGTCATTGCGAGCTCAACAGTTGAACGCTGTACCACAGTTCAAACGCCCGCGTGACTAGTAGAATTGAAGTGCGCAAACACTCTAGCTCAAACACGTCACCGAGTTCGGCTAACGGCCAGGTTGCGATATGCTGTACGAAATCAGGGGCCGCTGTACTACAATTTTAATGTGACAGCGCGCATCGACCGAATGCGATTGACGGAAGACGGACTGGATCGTATACGGGTTACGGGCGTTATCGGCTTGCCTCCTCAACTCACTACCTTTTTTAAATGCTGTACACTTCTTGTTGAAGGATCATTTGGATCGCGGTGCCAATTCAAGCTCAAGCTACGAAATGCTTGGGAAGAACGTGTGCAAATACGTCAGATGCAAATTGGTAGATATTCCGAAGATCTTCTATGACAGAGGCACAATCTAGACTGTTTCAAATTTCGACTTAATTGCACACCTGATGCACGAGAACCGAGGAGTCATGAAATGACATTCACAGTAAGCCGATACCAGCTTCCTTTAGTAACTTCGTGGGACGCCCATATTTCAAGCATGCGGATAGTCTAGTTTGGGACTAGTCTCAGATTTGGTCTCGACGGAGGCCCGGATACCTTTCTCCAACACCATCACGTGTCGGTGTAATGTACTCTGCATTCAAACACGGATAATTTGTATCTAGCCATAACCTTTCCAACATTCTTGAGCTCTAGCAACACCACACGATTACATACAATGGGCGAGCCGGCAAGCCTTCCCTACATTCGGGTTCAGCTATGTCTGAAGAAGAAAGACGAAGTGTCTGACGAGTTCTTCCATGACTACTGGAAAGGCAATCACGTCAAGCTCGCGCTAGAGAACGAGAAGTTCCGCGAGAAAGTCATTCGATACAATCAGGTATGACATGCCAGCAGTTTCCTGGCATCCAGCTCATGGTGGCAGTTCCACACTTCTCCGCGTTTCAGGGGAGAGGCCAACAACTTCCAAATTCCGGTACCAGAGTACGATGGCATTGCAGAAGTATGGGTTAAAGATATTGAAACCTGGAAGGAGATAGTGACAGACCCTGACTTTGTTGCTGCGATTGCACCGGATGAGGATCATTTCATCAAGGCCCCGATCCATATCATGCTTGGGTACGATAACACTGTAATTGGAGAGGCTGTCAAGAACAAATTGTGAGGGATGATCATATCAAACACACATGTATTCATTATTTTATGGTTCACTGATCTCTGGCAATAATGCATGTCATGAATGCAACGAGTCTAGGGGCTGAGTTCAGGCGTATCCCCGAAAGAGTACGACTGGAACGCTGGTGGGTATCTGTCCCCAGTTACCTCAACCCTCTCTATTTCCGCGCGTATGTGCTTGACTTCGTTGTCTGTGAGCTGCACATTGATGGCACTGACGTTTTCTTCGAGATACTTGATCTTCTTCGTTCCTCTTTCGATTTATTAGCATAACATTCGGAGCGGCATATGTTGTCCTTACGGAATAGGGATGATATCGGGGCCTTGTGCCAGCAACCAAGCCAGGCTCAACTGTCCAGCAGTGCAATCCTTCTTCGTCGCAACTTCCTGCAATGCCTGTACCAGCTTTAGATTCTTAGGGGAAGTTCTCCCTGCTGTACCTCGGAGCGTGCCTTCTGAAATCACCCTCTTCGAAGTCATCCGGACTTTTGATTTGACCAGTAAGAAAACCTCGCCCTAGTGGACTATATGCGACCACCGCAATGCCCAGCTCTCGACATGTGTCTAGGATACCAATTTGAGAGGACTCGATATCAAGTGCGAAAGGACTGTACTCAAGCTGTACAGCATCGATGTGGTGCATCTTCTCGGCCCTTCGAATTGTAGCAGCGGAGACCTCACTAAGGCCTATAGCGCCAATTTTACCCTCCCCTGTCCAGAGAATCAGCCTTCTGCATCTAGTCAATCTAAGTAGACTTACTTCTTCAGCTCTACCATCGCAGCTACTGTTCTTTCTATGGGCGTTACCTTGTCTACGCGGTGACAATAGTATAGATCAATTCTGTCCACACCCAGCCTCTTCAGACTCTTTTCACAGGCCTGCCTTACATATTCCGGATCACTTCGAATTGCCGGCTTTCCGTCTGCGATGGAGACGCCAAACTTAGTGGCCAAGAATATTCGATCGCGTTTTCCAGTGCGCTCGAACCATACCTTCAGAAGGTCCTCGCTGTCGGCATCTTTCAGTTGTTAATACAATCACAGCGATGATAAAGTTTTGGTATTGCATAAGAGTATACGCACAAACGTCGGATGTGTCCCAGAACGTAGATCCAAGCTCTACGGCACGGTCTAGCACATCGAATCTAGCCTCGTTGTCGTCAATCTTGCCATATGAAGCACTCAGCCCCATAGCACCAAAACCCAAGGCGGAGACCTTGGGGCCTGACTTTCCGAGCTGTCGTTTCGGCAGAAATGGCATGTTTTAGCTGTGATTCAAGAATGTCACAAGTGAAGCAATACGGCCAATAAAAAGAGGGCTCAAAAAAAGCTGTAAAAGTTAGGAATATCTAAATGACACTTTGCTTGTACATTGACACATATCAATGCTTGAACGCGTGCCGAAAGCACCAGATAGTCAGGTGTACCCGAATCTAATCATCAAACTTTCCTAGCCTGAAATTTGGGTGATGGAAGTCATCCTGATGCGTTGGAGTGCACAGCCGGATGTCCATAACCGCTGTGTTCGCATATAGTAGCTGGATGTTTCTAAGGCATTGCATTTCCACACCACCGACATGAGCGCCACATGTTTACAAAAACTCGTGCGCAGACCCCGCTTCGCCTCCAAATCGAGCTAAATTGTGCCGTTCCACGCTATCTATGCACCCCAGAACCCCTCATTTTGACTATCACACTAACCGGAAATACATTTTCCGACTCAGCTAACGTTCATCACATCGTTCACTCGTCACTCATGCTGTGGCCTAGACTCGCATCCGCGTCGCGAGTTGTAGATCACGAGTGGCGCTTTGTTAGACTTGTGAGCTCCTGATCTATTTGCACGGAGATTCACATCCGTAAGTATGCGTGTAGGCCATCCAAGCAGAGTGACCGGATCCATCACCATGCGCCAAAAGTGCGCTAGGAATAGTCGTATGGTGTCGGATACAAATGCAGGTCTGTATCTGGGCATGACCCACATTCCCTGTGACCTGGATCGCAGACTGGCAGCCTACACTAAACTATACCTCTTGCTTAAAAGCGTTCACCATGGCAGATACTGTGTTGGAAAAACACCGCTCAGAACACATTGAACAAGCATCTAGCTCGCACGATGGATATGGAAACATCGGAACGGATGCGCAGGGCTTCGCTGCTGAAGCTGAAGAGCTTCCGAGAGGATACTATCATTCCCCTTTCTTCGTCGGAACGACGGTGGCAATCGGATTGAATCTAATGGTAGGATAGTTCCACCTTTTCCATCATCCCTTCATTTGGACAGCAAAAGTGACCAGTATATCTCATTAACACATTCGTCAGGGTTCAACAGGAGGCTTCGCTCTCGTAGCTCCAGTGCTTGGGCAAATCGCCGTGTCCTTGGACGCAGCATCAAGCGTCATCTGGCTGTCGCTAGTGTACACCATGGGTCTGGCAGTTGGCCTCACGCTGGTCGGAAGGCTCACCGATACGTTTGGACGGCGTTGGTTCTTCATTGCCGGCACAGCCCTTGGATGTATCGGCGCCATCGTCGCGAGCACTGCGAAAAACATCAACGTATTGATTGGCGGACAAGTCCTCATTGGACTGAGTGCCTCTACAGGCTACAGTTATGCCTTTGTCATTGGAGAGCTCGTCCCGGTGAAGCGAAGATTCATTTTCAACGCGATCATCTTTATTTTCTCTTTCCCTACGGCTGGCTTTGGCGCCGCGATATCGACAGCCTTCATCCTCAACACTAGCGCAGGTTGGCGATGGGCATATTACTTGCTCATCATACTTAACGGTCTTACTACGCTGTTATATGCTATCTTCTACTTCCCGCCAACTTTCCACCAGAAGCACGGAAAAGACCATGTCGCAAAGTTTCTGCGTACCTTCGACTGGGGAGGGCTCTTCCTCTACACGGCTGGCCTTGTCCTCTTCATAATCGGGCTCTCTTCTGGAGACACGCTATATCCTTGGACGGACGCTCGGGTTCTCGCACCCCTTGTCATTGGCTTCATGTGCTTGGTAGCGTTGTTCGTGTACGAAAGCTATGCCAATTTGTCGCAGCCACTAATCCCCATGACATTCTTCAGGACTCGGGGCTGGGTGGCTGCTATGCTCAGTCTATCTCTCGGGGCGAGCGTTTACTACAGCCAGGCTATTGTGTGGCCTCAAATGACGGTCAACGTCTATGCTGAAGGACGTGTAATGTGGGGCGGACTAGTCTCCTGTATTGTCGGTATCGGCATCACTTTTGGTGAAATCATTGGAGGAACGTTCGCGAAGGTATGTATTATCTCTTTCCCCTCATCTCGCATCGCAATCATGGTCCCTAAGCTAATAATTTCGCAGTCTCTTGGTCACTGGAAATACCAATGCCTCACTGTCATCACTCTCGGCACGCTCTTCCTCGGCTTGGCCGCCCTGTCCAAACCCGATACGCCAGGAATGACCATTTCGTTCATGATGCTCGCCACGATTTTCGTAGGCTGGAACGAAGCCCTCGTTTTGCCCATCTGCACCATTGTCATCCCAGACCAAGCCGAAATTGGTACAGCTGCTGGTGTTGCTGGCTCCTCGAGATCAGCTATAAGTACCGTGGCAAGTACGATTTATTCAGTCGTTTTGGCATCAAGAACTACTACGGAACTTACACGACAAGTTCCAGGCGCGGTCGTTGCAGCAGGGCTCCCGGCTGGCTCAGTGTCGGCCTACATGACAGCGATAGCTGCTGGCGGTTCAGAAACACTGCTCAGTAAGATTGACGGTCTGACACCAGAAGTTCTCGCGGCGGGCACGCAAGCATACCGGTGGGCATATACTGATGCATATAAGACTATCTTCCTAGTCAGTCTTGCATTTGGTGGGCTGGCAATAATAGCAAGCTTTTTCATACCAGACGTCGACCATCTCATGGGTGGAAAGGTCGCAGCAACCTTGACAGGGAGAGAGAAAGAGAGGAAAACGGAGAACTCAGCATGATAAGCTTTCTAGAGTAGCTTGTACAATTATAGGGAGTAGGGCTAATCGAGACGCTGCACTAGGTGGTCTTTTTTTTTTGAATTACAAGACTCTATCATTAGTAGTATGGCTTCCAACTCATCACGTAGAGCTACGTGCACCACCATCTCACGATCCTCAACGCGAAGGTGGGCAACATACACAAGCGACACAAGAATATGTTCACTTCGTACACAACCTCGAAAGTAAAAAAACCAAGGGCGTAATGGACCGCGGCGGCAGGGACGAGAAACTCGTGCGGGTCAGAAAAACATAATCACTAGATACTACTAGACGTGGCTCATGTAATAGATTAATAGCTAGTATAGGAAGCAGAATAAAGGAAAACTGCGACTGGAAGAACTGGCAATATAGAAAACAGATGGATGTCGCATGATGAAAAAGGGCGACGCAAGAATCGAAATTGGAAACAAGTTCGATTAACTACCTAAAACATTTGCCGTTCCTCAAGCGAGTGTCGTGAACTGAATCCATCTCTTTTATGTATGCCGAATGACTTCCATCACTCTTGAACCCTACAGTTGTCAGCCTAGTTCGCGCAACGAAGCATCAACGTACGTATACCAGCTCGGCTGTACAGCTTTGTCCGTTGCCCTTACGCCCGCATAATGTAGCGAGCGAGACGGCCGAGTGGGAGATTGTCGTAGGATGGGTCTCTGTAGAATGGGTCGTTGCCTCGGCCTCGCACACCGTCGCCGGCCTCGGATGGTGGGCGGTCTGGTGGGAACTGGAAGGGCACAAATGGCTCGCCTCCAAACAGTGGGCGTGGTGCAACTATCCCATTTCCAGCTCCGCCGGCTCCTCCTGCGCCACCCGGTCCTCCTGCGCCGCCTGGTCCTCCGCCCGGTCCACCTGCTCCACCTGCTCCACCTGGCCCTCCAGCTCCTCCTCCATTGGCTCCTGGTAGTCCTGGAAGTCCTGGAAGTCCTGGTATTCCTACTGCCTACACAGAACGTTAGTCCATGTGCATATTGCAGAATTCTGCTGCTTCATTGAGTTCATGTTAGTGCTACTGCTCGTCGGTGCTCAAGTGTGTGCTCATTCAGTCTTGTTGTGTAAGTGTGTTCATGTTAGTACATTCGTCATGTGCTGCGTAGGTTAGGTAGGTCGTGGGTGTAGCGAATCGCAAACCGTCCGGATCGATGTTTGTAGCGTCGAGGTAATACGTTCGTGCACTTCTCATGATGGATTTCTTATACACAGTGGCTGCTGTTCGATAGCCTTGTCGAGTGCTGAGGTGCCGATGCAGTAAACACTACATTTCCAAATTCGATTAATCGTCTTGGCAGGTTAGCAGGAGGTTAGCAATAGACAAGGGCTACCTACTGATCGGTCGCAGTTGTGACCAGTCCCAAAGTACCATCATAAGACGGCTTTGCATCCTCCCATTATATGTGCCTGGGCCGAAGCGCAGGCAACTTACCGTGATACTTACCCTGGATCGAGAACAAAGGTATTACAGAGCATAGAGCTTTCGAGCAATGTGTTAGAAAGTTGACGTACCCCGTTGTAGGCATCGTTCTGCCAAACGGAGATACGGTTGCTACCGCCGGCGGTGTGGTTGGGGTCTCCGGTGAGCTGTGTTGTGCATAGGGAAGCGTCGTCTTCTGGATTGTCCCAGCTCAGAGTGTTGGAGCAACGGCAATCACGACCGGCCTCGATACCAAAGTACTTGAACGGCGCTCCTGTTGAGCCTGCACAGAAGCTCTCACAGCTTTCTCTGGTCAGGTCTCCAACGCGTTGCTCGTTGGGGCCACGGAGGAGTCGCAGTCCGTCATCTTGTGTGGCCTGGTAACATCCCTGGTATGTGAAGCCAGAGACGTAATTAGGGCTGTTAGGATCGTCGCCACCGGAGCCCCCATCTTCTTCACCGCCGCCGTTACTACCGTCTCCGTTCCCGTCGTCTCCGTTGTTTCCATCGCCGCCAGTAGGGTCCTTTGTTAGAGTCAGCGGACTGCGCGGCAAGCACAGGTCAAAGACCTATACTCTGAATGCTCAAAAACTCTGTGCTCTGTAATAAACGCAGGAAGAAAAACTAGAAGAAAGAAGTAAGAGGAAAATGCTGCTTGTAAGTAGAAAATTCTCGTCAGCAAGCACTTGAATAAACTGTCTTTTGTCAGTGTAAAATATCAAGCAAGACCTATCATTGTGTCAGCATCAGGCAAAGTGCTATCTTGATGTGAGCAAACAATCGGCTAATGACCGTGTACACGCAATGTCAGGCCAAAAGCGGACATGCAAGCTCGAATGCTACTCACCTGACCAAAGCGAAGGGACCTAAGAACTAGTCAGCGATACAAATGGGCCGACTGGTCAGCACTCTCATCACTGTTTCAACAAAACGTGCATTACAGTCTACGTACCTGCTGGACTATCAAAGTGTCCATGCACATTAGCAGATTGCAAGCTCGCCATAACGTCAGTATCGGATATTCGATATGTCAGCGACCTCATTAGGCCCATTGCAACACTCTCATGGGTCAATGCCAGAAAACTTGCTTGTACATCCGTTAGAATCAATTCATTTCTTACCTAGACTGGCGTTCGATGAATCAACGCAATTTTTGACGATCTGCATGCATCACTGCGGCAATATCAGCTGGTGTCAAAGCACAGTAGCTCGTTAAAACGATCTGAACAATGGATGGGTGCGAGGAGGGCAGCCCCTAAATTCACAATGGCGTCTTTCAGCATGTAAGCAAAGAGTGACAGAAAGATGGCGGCGGCGAGTCCGGCGAAGAACCCTGGTCCCATGTTATATCGCAAAAGTCAAAGCAATGGCTCCATTCGGGTAGTATTTGGCAACATCGTCTGGCATGCATGGCGTACGCGTGAGGAATCCTGAAATTTGAGATGAGGAACCTGGCATTCAATGCCGGCGTGGGGCCTGCGTCTCCCTCGCAACGATGTAGTAGCGACCCGCGCAGAGGGCACCTGGGCTGTCCTTCACGGAAACCATGACTGTTTCGGGGCGCTCTCAACGTTCGATTACTTCGAGGGGAGTATTGCCTTCATTCCAATGTTGTGTCTGGTCTCATTCCATCAACCGCAGTAACAACGCTATCCCTGTTGCAAGTCGAGCATACAGACTAGACGTATCTCTATGACACATCGTAGGAAAGAGTTGCCCAGATGACCAGATCAGATGCGAGATGCGCATCGAGAAAGAGGATCTCACCTAAGCCGATGCGGATCCATCATGGCTTCTGCCCTAAAGTGCTATCTCTCGCGTGATGCCTACATGTGACTGTACTGCATATTCCGATGTCACCATGACCATTCTTTCAATTTTATCACTGCCTGGAAATGTTCGGCCAGCTTGCGCAAATACGTGGTTCGTCCTTAAACAGCTCCGGAGTCTCACAAAATTTCAAAGTCTCTAATCAACGTTACCTCTTCTATGTTATTATTTCTCCGGGTGGTCTACTAATTTTGTCGCGCCCACAGTCCCACTACCCATGCCGCTCCGCTTATTTCCTCTCCAATGGAACAATTTGTCGCCCATGCGTAGTATCCGCGCGTCTAACTCCGCCCTTGGTAGGCCCCTTATCAAGTTCTTCAAGCCCTTGCAGCGGATGCACTCCCTCGCGCCCCCTTCTATGGACGGACACGAACTTCCCAGCCACCTCTCATAATCTTTCTCAAAGCAATTCACATGTAAGTAGTGCCCGCATGGTAATCTATACATCGCACGCAATGCTGGAAAGGTCGATGCCGGGCACTGGTCGCAAATCTGGCAGTTAGCCGGACTCGGCGGCGAGAGACTGAGCGAGAGCGAGTTCCAGATAATGTCCTCAGAGAGCGGAGGAAGTTTGCCGTCTCCGTTCTGGAAGATTCCGCTCTTTTGGGTCACACTTTCTTCGTTAACAAGGGTGCGAACCTGCGTAGAGAGGCGGGGCGGGGGATGATCGACGCGCCATCCTCGTAACATGACTTGGACATCTGCAGCGTCCTCTGCAATTTCCTCATATCGCTGTCTCACCTCTGTCTCTTGCCGAGCGTAAGCATTCCATTTATCATATTCCTTTTTCTCATCTTCCTTTAAGGCGGTAACTGCTGGCGATGCAATACCGAAGAAATCTCGTAGACTGTGCACGCGGGATTTAGTGGACATGGTAGCTTTTTCTACCTTTTGCTGTGCGGCCGTGGTGTCTTTATCTAGACACGCAACGTGAAGGGCTACATCATCTGCGTCGATGATCCGCGCGTGACAAGACGCGCCTTGTACAGTGTCGCAGTGTGACCTTTTGTCGAGGGGGAATGTACTGGTCTTGATCAGGGCGAATCGTAATATTCTGGTAAAGGAGTCTTGTTTGAAGAAGGTGCTTGAAGGGCGGGGTCCCTTAACGGCCGGCGTGGCTATGAGTGTGGGCTCAATGCATGTGAGGCTCGTTGAGCAACGCTTGAGCATGGAAATAGCCATATTGATTTGGTGATTGGGACCTGTTTATGAAGGTTACGATCATGCGTATATTTATATGGATAGTCACTTCTACCACATGGTTATTGCAAATGCGGTGAGCTTTGGTAGTTTGACTCACAAAAAATCATATTGTTGCGCTTTGACAGTTAGGCAACGGTACTGTTGGGATGACGTTGCGTCTATGGTTCGTCGTACCATGGTAGAGCAGAGGCCACCGAGACACTCTCCCCAATCTGTATTTGTCCTGTCTGAGAACATGCACTTGCAAAAGAAAAACTGTATCGTTCACTTCATTGAGTGGCCAGGAGTTCCATGTCGATTGGCAAATTCCAAAGATCTACGCACTGTTGCAACAGAAAACATTAACTTGCCAGTGTCTCAACACGTATTCTTGCGATGCGTGACACACATAATTGGGGCGGGAAAGATGAGCATTGGGCCTGTAGCTTGTGGAAAAGAATGATCCTCGGTCGCTGATCCACCGAAACTCACCCTTATATGCAGTATAACAATCGCAACATATGGTTCTATGCATAGAGACGGATACAAGAACCGCTCAACAAGGAGTCTATGCTTCCAATAGAAGCTCTTCAACGAATGCATCGTACATCTCAGCCTGCGTTTGGTGAATCCCCTAGAGACTAGGTCATTTACTAAAATAGTATCCTCTTTGAGCTGTCTGTGATCTGCTATAATAGTATAGAAAATGATCGAATAGCAATCTTGGTAATTGCTATTATAGCAGAATAGGTAGCCCCCTAAGGGGTCCTGTTGGCTGATAGAGGGGTCTCCATGATCAATCAGGTGAATTGAAGCTTAGGATAGCGTGTTAACATGTACTCCTTCATTATCAACTCCATCGCCCGTCACGAATTACCTATAACCTAGCACCTAGCACCTACATGGGGAGTTTACTCTAAGACCTACACGTATAAACTTTGCCTAATTCACATGATTTAGTCACCGAGTAGATAGTGGTAATGCCTATAGAGGTAACGCAGCACTAATAGCCGAGCTACTTATGTGGAAGAACATTATTTAATATGTGACTGATACGTTTGATTATGTGATAGACACTGTTACTGTAGCCTTATTATGTGACAATACCTTTACTATGACCTTTTCAGCTTTGATAGTATAGAAGCAGCTTATGCTATCTTAGATGGGCCAATTCCTACTATTAGGGCAGAAAAGCCGCATTCTTGTACTATAAAAGCTGTCTCATTATCTACAGGGTTTCTCGGCTGCGTAGGCTGACACTGGCTTTGCAAAAAGGCCTCAGCGACTTGACCAGACTCAAGTCAAGATCCGACGTAGTTAAAGAATATGGCAACCTGCTTCTCTCAGAGCCGCTAATGACGATATCGATTTCCTTCCTTACAATCTGACGAAACGGGGAATTCCGCTTAAGACTGAGAATTACCACTGGGGCGAATATTAGTTCAACACCGAGAACAACCGGAAGAATGGACTGATGCGGATTTGCTCGGACCCGTAGTCTACCCATCACTCAGGATACGAAGTTTCTGGTGGCTTCTAATCTTAGTCCGACAATGTCGTGAGTCGAAGTTATGATTGCAAGATATACGAGGATCATCAGGTAGACAATGATCCAGGAAATCGATTGCTAGAAGTTGGCTAAATCGTTTTCCCTCTACTCCTCGCTTGTCCCCCAGGCGTCACCCTCCTGTCCAATTCGCGCCCGATTGCATCATTAACTAGTAGATCCGGCCTGATCATCACAGCATACTCGTCTAATCTATCAGGCGCAGATCCTAGCATTGTGGCTCTGCGTCTCAGCTGCAGCGATTGGTGTTCAAAGTAGTCATCGATTGTGTGTTCGTGGTGGCGGCCCTCAGTTAGGGTCTTGACCAGCAACATAGCGCCGCTGATCACAGGGGAGATAGCAGCTACCAGGATGATCTCGACGACGAGAGTCATATTGGCGGGATTCTTTTCTGTATCTGACCTATCGAAATTGGATATACATGTCGGTGGGGAAGGGTTTGGGTGAGGCCGTGTCTAAAGCGTTCAATCTCACATTGTGGGTATGATGGTAAGTTCAGCACAATGCGAGTATTTTCGGGGTGTTTGCATTGTAGAGAATCATCTGAGGAGGCATGAGTTGAAAGGTTCCGCTCTAGGGCAAGCGTAGATGCTTTGTGGAGTATTGTATTTATGTAAGCTACTGGATGAGCAATCTTCGTAGTGAATACTGGAGAGGCTCCCGTCTCCCGTGTCAAGACGAGAGTCGACTGGACGCTCGCTAACCAACGAAACACTGCTCCGTCGATGACTTCATTCTGTGTCATAAGTTGAGCCGCTAAATCATGCGCAATCAAAGTTGTGTGTTGATAGTGCGGACTTTCACGTTCACTCGAGATTGTCAAGGCTGGATTTTGCCACATCGAAGACAAGCACTCTACCACCGCAAGTCTCTATGCGGCGCCGGCTTGATGGACTCCTAAGATTGGCCGATCGTGCAGTCTGTGGCTGTCTAAATGAACTGCTCGTTCAGTTGCACTGAGGCGACGGGGTGCCTGATATGCGCCTGCCCCGGAGGAATACAACCGGTTGTGGAAAGTGCCCCGCTGCTGCCGCAACCCAGCAAGAAGGTACGGTGCGCCGTCGAGGAAACCCAAAAAAGTCTCTTTCAACTACAATTCCTCGACACTATCCTATGCTTTCCTCATCGTTCCGTACCTGTGAACAGCAGCCAAGTTTTGCAACCTGTTCGCGCCCTTGCGAGTGCTCGCCGACCTGGCAGATCGCACCCAAGACGGCAAACGCTGGCAAACGCGCCATGCCGGAACATGCCCGCACCGCGGGGGCATCTCGATCTGTCAAATCACCTTCCCGTACGGGGCCCACCCGAAGCTTTCTCCGGGCTTTGCACGGTCGAGACGTCGGCGTATGCAGTGGGGATGCAGTATCTTCGCCTCAAGTCGCTCATTGTAGCCATCTGCAGGCTCTAGTTTGGCGCGCAGCTGCCCGGATTCTACACAGGACAGCCTCGTCGCACATGAAGGTTTAGATTCTTCAGTGGACAAGTGTAGCGGTAGCTTCCGCGGATACGAAACCCTTGGCCGGCGGGCCGCTTCCTGGACGGGTGGGTTGATCCTGCAACATTGTCTGGGACAAGCCAAATTGTGGAAATGACAAGCAGTTTGCTTTTTTGAAGGAGCCTGCAGGGCTCTCGGCAGGTTGGCCTCCTTCGCCTGACACTCATTCGCGGATAATTCCGCTCCATGCCGTATGCCCAAGCGTTCAACGCAGAGATCTGGTGGATTAGCACCGTGCTCAGACAACCCACCCCAGGCCATGGTCACGGTATAACGTGGCTGGCTACGATATGCAAGCCTTTGTGTTTCCTTTGGCGGCGTGCCAACTCATACCGAGTCTGGAACACTGTAAGGTTCAAGATCTCTCTTCGACACACGCAGCCCGGATGCAAGCGCATATCGCCAAACCTTCAACGCCTGCATCAACACGCAATGCGTGGAAAGCGAATGAGAGACGGGTGGCTCCCCCAGTAGTTGCCCACGTAGCTCATCCAACTTTGTTCGCTCCCAAAGTTGTCCTTGTCCGGCAACTCAAATTCGGGGTCGGTCTCTGTACGCTATCGACGCGTCGCATCGTTCGGCCCGTGGTAGAGATTATCCGCATCCCCTTGGGGCTTAGCGGATCGTGTATGTGCGGGAAGGATGTCGCTGGGACAGACCAATCCAGCGGCTCGGGTTCGGTCCCTCCCAGATTGGGGAGGCATGGGCGCACTTCTGCGGGGTCGCTGCGACTCGCTACACAGGCGAGGCCGAAGCCAGAGACGATTACCTCCACATGGTCCACGAACCAACGGCAAGGCCGAAAAGGTGGTGCAAAGTCAATTCGCAACGGTTCTGCTCACTAGGTTGGACTGAGCCCGGCTTCTGCAGCATTGGCCTGACGATTACGAAGACGACAATGCTGGTTGTCGTCCAGTCCACTAAAAATGGCCTCGTGGCCTCCGGCATCTTCATGGGTGTACGACGCTATCGATCAGATCCAGTACAAGGACGGTGTTGGCTGTCAAACAGGGCCCGTTCGCTTGCTACGGAACGCCGGAAACACAACGCATCGCATCACCATCGAGGACGCCCAACCCAAACCGTAATATTGGTACTCCGCCAATAAGCATCCTTTCTGCGCATCACCCGTCGATGTGGCTTTGTGGCATCCCACGCACTGCACCTCCGCATGCCATGCACCTCCATCTTGTGCAAGTCTTCCAGAATAAGTCACTTCTCGCGGTGCAAAGTTACCGCTACGAAGGCCAGGCGACCCCATTAGTCCGTCTACGGCGAGCTGATAGCTTCAGCGAAGGGAATAGGATGGTGCCGTGTCCGCCTCGCAGCAGTCGAAGCTTCTCACCTGGGCGACACTGGACATACGTTGGCCAACCTGCTCGCAACAACGCAGTCATATCGGATGGTAGCGCATGTCTCAGAGCGGCCCCATCGCTATTATCGCCCGTGAGTACGGGCTCGCTGGATGGGGGCTGTTTGCTGTCCATCAGACCGGCGCAATCGCACGCCGATTCTGACAGTTGAAATTGTGTTCGCTCGGCAACCATTCAAGACCCCGGCAGTGTTTTAATAGCACCGATTTCTCACCCATCGCCAATCAGACTTCGTATCGTACATAGGAGGTACATGATATGAGACGATCCAAATCTCTTGCATGCCTTGATCTCCGGTCAAGCACAAATCGTCATGGACGAGGTTCACTTACGATACGGGCAGCACGTTCGCGAAAGTGACCGTTCCTGACCTAGCCCTCCAATTTGTGCGCGGGACACGAGCAGCCCAGGTCACCACACGAGGGCCCAGACAAGGTCTTTGCAGAACTGTGGCCGTGCAACACCTATCGTATCGCGGGAAGATAAATCACGGACATGAAGCGCGTTCTTGGGCCCGCTGTGGCTGTTGATTGGACGCCAACCGATTCTCTGCTCGCCGTCTACTATATATAGATGCGAGAGACGGCTCTGTGGCGGTGCGACAGCCACAACTCATGAAGTCGGACCCTGCTCTGCACTGTTGCAGCGAAACTGCTTGGACCACAAGCATGCCAGCGTATCGAATCCTGACGTGTATCCATTGCACATGGCAATCCGGAACCCCCACGACGTGCATATGCACGGGTTTTGAGCAAGACGGTGTACTATGGCTAGCGGACGCTCGTATCGCACTCTACGAGAAGTCAAGGTGGTAGTCGAGAACTAACGCAGCGGCGCCATCGAGTGTACATGGTACATGTCACTCTATCGACAGATAGCGCTGTTAAGCCGGAGCTATCAACAACGCCTGGCCCAAGCACCTAGGGCAGCTCTGTGTGGACGAGGGGCTGCCACACTCAAACGTGCCTTTCCCCGCAGCTGCCACATGTCGGGCTGCCCACACCCCACCCCAAGACGTCTCATGTGAATGACTTTGACGGTGTTGTCAGCGACGCGGTCATTGTTAGACATGGCGAGATGAGCTCGGATCTGTCGCGCATGTGGGTTGGAGAGAGCGTTACATTGTGTCTCGAAGGGAAACCCGTGGCACCGTAACGCAGGCAATAATCATGCGCCAAAGCACCGTGTCGCACCGAAGAAGGGTTGGGGGACGGCGTGATAGGCTGCATGCTCCCAGGACAAGGTGTCGTTCATGCTTCTTACCAACCTTATCCATGAGGCCGGGCCAGAGGATTCAGGGACCACGAGAGTGAGAAACAGGATGATTGCCCGGACCCGGCAGGCCGCATGGACACGGGACGAAAAGCCCGAATATTACGACATGTAGAAGGCGAGTGCGAGACGGTTGTGCTGGGCCAAGCGGTGCGTACTGGCTCAGAGGCTGGCGGCACCGCTCAGTAAGATGACACGCCCCCAGGCCGGCAGTCATCAGCATGAAACCAGACAGTCGAAGAGCCAAGGGACGGGCCTTCACCGGCGACAACGGGCACAGCGGAGCGCGCGCGCCTGCGACGAAGCCTTGCGATGCTTCCGTGGGCGGCGGTGAGGCGGCAGACATGACGCACAGGAATGCAGTGCTCGTTAGTCATGCCCTCTGGCGACGACAGGGGGCAGCGTCACTGGAGCAGGGGAAGGGCGCAGGGTGTCTGGCAAGACGCGGTGTGGTCAGAAGCTTGGTGCGCAGAGCCTCGTGGGACCCCTTTGGGCATATGGTGCGGGTGGGTGGTATATTTAGGGCGCCCGGCCTGTCCAGCGAATGGGCGCCCGGCGTGGGCTGCACCGCCTGTGGCGCAGGCAGCGGCGACGGGGCCAGGCGAGGGCGCGGCGAATCAGGCAGCGTGTGGGCGCCGGCGCAGTGGATGGCAGGACGTGGCTCCCGACAGAAGCGGTGGTCAACTCGCAGACTGGCGGCACATGGCCTGGCTTGAGTCCCAATCCGCCTGCCTTTGCCCGCTTGGGCGTGGAGGCTCTCGCCGCGCCGGTCCGCCATTCGCCAGCGCTCGCGAGCACTCGTCGTATGCGGCATGGTCGCGAAGACGCGGTGCAGCTTGGTGCAGCGCCGGGGCTCGCCCTCACCGCACCTCTGGGGGGCTCGTCTTACCGCGACATGGTCGGCGCGCGCGATCGAGGCGGAGACGTGGATTCATGGTCGCGCACACACTGTCTTTGTTATTTTCCTAGCGTGGATTCACCGTTCCCACCTCATGCCACGCCCAAAGGCCCTGCAAGGGTCTGCAGCCCGGGGGGAGAGTGGCTTCGTGCGCAGCGTTGGTTCGGGGGGCCCATCGCCAGAGGACGCCCGCCTTATACATAACCTGACCACCTCGCCCCCGAGCCTCTTCACCAGTCCAGGCCTCCGATCGCCCGTCAGAATCTCCACGCGCTTCGTCTCCGACCGTGCTGTTCGACCTTCACTCGCAACGCCTCCCTCGCCTACCTGCTCTCCTCGCTACCGGGTTGTTGGCCACTCCCATCTTGGCCGCTCCCGCTATCACTGGTACAGCAAGAACAACAGCAGATCACCAAAAACCAATAGTAGACGCCTTCAAACTCGCCGACCCGTGCGACGGCCCCAGGCTCTAAGCGGCCCCGGGTAATCCAGTGTTTCAATGTAAGTGTCCCCTTGCCAGGTCCATAAGTCCTTCAGACCCCAGCACGCGCGCCCCTGTCGGTACGTTACTGTTTACTGCTTATGCTAACCCAGCTAGACCGAACACCCTATATATCCACTCCTCAGCCTTTTGAGGTACCGCAGTCCCGTCATGGTCGACTACGTTCCCTACACCACCGCCAACATGCCTCATGACTTTGAGCTTTACTCTAACCAGGAGGAACAACTCAACTTCCTACCCACATCACAACCATTCCTGCCCTCCAACTCATATTCCATGGACCCTACCTTCAGTGGCCCCTTCGAGCCGCTAACGTCGCTGTCCGAGGCACCCAGGTCGCAGGACCTCCAGTATCATTACGATGGCATTGCTCAGGGCGTCAAGGCATCCTTCCAACAGTACACAAGTCCTATGGCATCTCCTCACTCAATGTCCAACTCGTTCCAACAAGAGCACCCGCCAGTGCTCTCTGCCTCCTCAGAGTCCGGCGCATCAGTGTCATCGTCCGCCATGGGCTCCCCATCACAGTTCAACGAGCCCTGGAATCCACTCTCAGCCGGTCTTAGCCTCACTCCAGGGTTCGAGTTTCCAGGCATGGTAGAAACCGTAAAGGTCCCGGGCTGTGTCGGTGAGTCAGCTAGCATTCTTTCGAAATTCGAGTCGTTCTCTTCTACCTGTCCTCCAACGCCCACATCGGACCCTTCGCACACAAATGTAATTAGATCGCCTGCTACTCCTGCTTCGGCAAGATGGTCGGTATCGAGGTCAAACGCATGTGCAGGCCGTCGAAACTCTCTCCTTTCGCATGTAACACGCCCTAGCGACGTCGCCGATACTAGCCTAGATTATCCCTTCACTCAAACATGTTCATTCTCTCAGTCTCCTCAAACTCAGACACAATTCCTTGCACAGTCTGAATCATATTGTCGGTTCTCCTTTGACCTCCCAACTTCGAACGTCACCGCAACCACAGAGCAATCACTGACCACGATGCAGATCCTAGCCTCACTCAGTTTGGAAACCCTCTGGTTTACATGCCCCCTTCACCGTATCCAGAGATAAGGACTACGCAGTCCCCTTACTTTGGCGTGATCGAACATCCTCCGTCCCCTGCTCTGTCCAACATCTCTTCCCACAGCCAGCGCCCTGGATCGAACAACTTGAAGCGAGGCTCAGCCTCGCCCTTTCTCAACGACCGATTCCAGCCGTATCCCGCCTTCAACGGTCAGAGACGGCAATCGAACGCCTCGTTGCACTCACAACACTCTGGCACCAGCCGGAAGAGCGCAAGCAGCTACGAGCTTGACGATGAGACCCGCGAGAAGGGTCTATGCCCGCTGCCAGAATGCGGCCGTGTCTTCAAAGACTTGAAGGCGCACATGCTCACGCACCAGACCGAGAGGCCAGAGAAGTGCCCGATCACTACTTGCGAGTACCACCTGAAGGGATTCGCAAGGAAGTACGACAAGAACCGACACACTCTCACCCATTACAAGGGTACTATGGTCTGTGGCTTCTGTCCAGGGTCCGGTTCAGCGGCGGAGAAGTCGTTCAACCGCGCCGACGTCTTCAAGCGACACCTCACCTCTGTGCACGGCGTTGAGCAGAATCCGCCCAACAGCAGGAAGAAGTCGCCCACTGGCCGCAAGGCTTTCTCGGGCTCGCAACAAAGCATGGCTGGCACTTGCTCGACTTGCTCAGTCACCTTTGCCAATGCGCAAGAGTTCTACGAGCATCTAGACGACTGTGTGCTGCGTGTTGTCCAGCAAGCTGATCCTAGCGAGGCTATTAACCAGCGTCTTTTGACATCGGTTGCGGAAGACAAGGATGTTACCGAGACCCTGGACCGCAACGGGCTCTCAAATAGCATCGAGTACACTGTCCCCAACTACGATGAGGAGGACGAAGAGGAGGACGATGATGAAGTCGATGTTGACGATGCAAGCGACGACACGTACGGCGTGCGACGTTCGCGTTCTGGCAAGGGCTCCATCAAGAACAAGTCGCATTGACAATTAACACATCCCCGAGGTGTCACATCGCACGTCGGGGGTGGCAACCCCTCTAAAGTGACGAAGGCCTCTGGTGCGAGGGGCCCTCGGGCTGGGCTGACCTTTTCCAAGGGCGGCGTGGCGATTACCGGTTCGGGCCGCAAGAAGCGCAAGAACTACCCCGTTTCTTGGGGCTGTCCGACCGACAAGATGAAGATGAAGAAGCGCGTTTTGTGCGTCTACGACGGCCCGCGACGCCTCTGGAAGGACGACATGATGCTCGACCAAGAGTTCGAGGTCCGCATGAAGCTGCCTGATGGCAAATCCTACGTGACGGATCTGGATGTGCAGACGATGAACCGGGCGGAGGCGCTGCACGACGCGACGCCAGAAGAGAAGGGCCCGTGGACGCCCGACAACATCATGGGCGCTCCCCAAGTCACGGCCGAATATCAACGCCAGCAGTTTATGATTTGATTGTAACGCATTATTTGGACACACTTTCTACGATACTCACCTTTCTCGCTCGAGCCCAAGCGTTGGAATCGACTTTCGAGACGTACACTGAGACGCGATCAAGAACCCCTTGTTGTGTAATTATCTGCTGGATACGCCCTTCTTGTTGATGTTTGTCTTCATCTCTTATTCTATTTGGATGCTTTAATGGATGGACTTTGGGCTGGGCAGGGATGGGAAACTGGGCATCTGAGCGAGCGACTGATACCACTGTTATGGGAGGATGGACTTTGTTTTGTCGGATGAACTTTGTTTTGTCGGGAGGATGAACTTTGTTTTGTCGGGCGTCTGGGTTTGGTGACGACGCGATGATTGAGCGCATGTCGAATAGTCTAGCACCGTAGCAGCTATCGGCGCCGCGAGGGATCGGCTTTGTGCTGGTCGCAGGGCCGTGGTCTCCTAATATATTGTCTGAACAATGCTTGTCTATCAAGTCGTGTAGCACATGCAATAGAGACAATGGATAAGTCACGTTCAGATTATCGGAATGATGTTGCGAGCGATGGTGGAGGTTCGGGCTGCAAGATCTCCAACCAGGTTCAGGCCCGAACAAGATCGACTGATTTTCCACCCTTGCAGCGACACCCTTCGCTGCGATGCGGGGCGATATCCGCGGATACGGGAGACGGCGCATCTGGTGTGCTGAGTAGGCAGGTATAGCGGCCTACCTAAGATGTACTCAGTACACAACGTATATGCTTGCTTGGCATTAAGCTCAGCATTTGAAATGGCATGCAACGGCACAACAAGATGCCAAATACTGGCGATGCCTGGGCGGTGACGAGACGGAGTACGCATGTTACACTCGGGTGGCAGCATGAGGAGGGGGCAAGGCGGCATCGGCAAAGCGGGATCGAGGGCGTGTCGTGGCGGGTTGGCTGGGGGGAGTCGGCGAGGAGAGCGGTGAGCAGCGGGCGGGCGGCGGCTGGCTTAATCCTGTCTAATACCACGACAACACCTCGTGAAGCTCTCTACTCTTACGCTCGTGCTAGTCGACTGGGGTTTGGGTTCCCGTCATGGAGCATCCTGCCCCTGCGTCCGTCACCGTCGCAAACTACCAGCACACGCAGGATGGCATCTTCGGCGGGCCTGTCCATCTCGCGCGCGGTCGCCAGGCACGCGATCCTCAGGCGAAGACGGTCACTTACACGGTCGCCTCGCTCGACGCCTTCGAGACGTCGCTGCACGAGTACCTCAACAACCCGCCCGACAACCCCGACCACACCGACTGCCAGCTCTCCTTCTGGCTAGGCACCAGCTTCCTCGTTGCCGCGTCCTTGGACGCGCCTGCCTCTTCCTCTGCACCGCAGCCCCGCTTCGCTCCGCACGACGCGTCCCACGCCTACAGCAACAACCACAACAACGCAAATGGCATCCATGCGCAGCAGTATGGGACGACGTACCAGAGCGTGGCCGACCCGGCCGTGGCCCTCGCGCTCGACTTCCAGCAGTCGCAAGCCAGCCCCGCGACCGCCAACGGCGAGGGCCCCAGCAACAGTACCACGAGTGGCAAGAAGGCGGAGCCCAAGGTCGCGTTGAGCGTTCTCGAGGCCCTGCAGCCGACGCCAGACCCCAAGGAGAAGATGCGGAAGCAGCGCGCCATCGCAAAGTGCTGCGTCGACGCCATCCAGAAGTGTGATGGCTACCGCTACAGCTTCCACAACTGCTGGAACAGCCGCGAGGACGACAGCTTCCGCTTCTCCTACTACTGCAACGACTCGCTGCTGAACAAGGACCGCGCCGCCAACGGCAAGGGCGCAAAACTCGGCAAGCGCGCCACCAAGCCTGTTTATGACTGCAAAGGCGTGCTGTCCATCAAGTTCTCCGCCACCAAGCAAAGTCTAGACGTCTTCTACAAGCACGTCCCCGTCCACAAGACGTACGAAGAGCGGGCCCCTCCGCCACGGAAGGATTCCAGGAGGCGCAAGTTTCTCGAGGAGAATGATCCGGAGACTTTGAAGAAGTTACAGAGCCGACCGAAGCAGCACCGGCCAGATCTTCCTCTGGAAAGCGCACAAAAGGCGAAGAAAAAGAGGAAGAATGATGACCCAAAGTCGTCTACATCACTTGAGAGTGATCTGCGTGCACAGAGTCTCCGCTCGCTCCTTGAGCTTATTCGCCCTGATCCCGCTCCTGATCATTTACCACCAGCACCTCCTCCGCCGCCTCCGCCTGTTGTTCAGCAACAACGCCCTGTTCCACCCCCGCCGCCCCCGCAGCCTATTCAGCAACAGCCCCAAGTCCAGCAGCAGCCACAGCCCGCCACGCGAAAGAGGCCGAGGAACAGCTGCGATGTATGCAAGGCTAAGAAGACAAAGGTAGGTTCTAATCTTCGAAAGAAACAAACCTGATACTGACCGAAACAGTGCGACGGGACACGACCAGTCTGTCAAACCTGCATCGACAAAAAGCGGCAATGCTTCTACTCTGCCGATCAGCTGGTTGATGAACGGCGTCCCTCTGTCATGCCTGACCCACCAGAGACCACACGGCAAGCCCAAGCACCCACCAGGAAGCTCTCCGAGCTCGAGCGTATGAGGAAGGAGCTGGAAGACGCGAAAGCCCGCATCCAAGAGCTCGAAGAAGAAAAGCGTCGCCCATCCACAACACCTGCCCAAACACCACAAACGGCGCAAACCGCCCAACTTCCCCGCCCGCAACTTCAGCATAAGCCTCAGTCCTCTGAAACGCCGCCACAGACACAGTCGCACCCGCAACAGCGCGACCAGAAGCAGCAGCAACGCCAGCACAGCCGAAGCCACTCCCTCCACCAACATCAACCACCTGCGCAACAACAGTACCAACACCAAATTACCACCCCACAAAACGTACCCTCCCCCCAGCAAGCCATGCAACAACTCCAGACCGCCGCCCAGCAACTGCAAACCCCACAACACCAGTATGCCCCCTTCCCGAGCCACTACGGCATGACAGCGCAGCAGAACATGCCACGCAACGCGGCGCACGCCTCGCAGTCGCCAAACGTGCAGCAGACCGTGCAGACCGTGCAGGGCCACCAGATGGGCGTGAGCGGCATGGCGCCAACGGCAGAGCAGACGAATCCGTATGCGAGGGGCTTCAACCCTGGGGAGTGGACGGGGTATTACGGGTATCAGAGCGCGCAGCAGCAGGCGCAGGAGGGCCAGTGGGGTGGCGTGCGGACCGCGGGTGTGTTTCGGCAGGTCTGACGTGACGAGCAAAGTGGCAATGCATATGTATACGATTTTTCTTGATACCCTCTGTTTTTTTTCTTCTTGATGATTGCTTTATGACGGGTTGGGCGGTATGGTTGGGTATATGTAGGGTTACGGATAATGAGTAATATATGTCTCAATTACAAATCGTGGCCGTAAGTAGAGCCCTTGGTGTCTTGATACGTGCAATGGTGTCCATCTTGTGTGGGAGTGGGAGCGTGAAGTCAGTCAGAACAGTGGCCTACACTACGACCTGCCATGCCGGCAGGCTCCCGCGTCGGTGTGAACGTTGTCAGGCTTCAATTTCATACAAGTATCATGGAGCGAGTTATCCTAGGCTCTATGATCCAATACTTGAATGTGCAACGTTGAATTCTTGACACAAGAAAGAGGTAGAGGTCTAGCACCAGAAGTCCAACTCGGCTTTGCGTGTCGGCCACTGTGGACGTGTGGATGTTAGATCAGAGCAAACCCAAGGTAGACAAGGTACACGATGCAGCGTCAACCGATTTCAAGACATCCGTCTGCATATGTATTGTTACTGCACGCTACAGGTCCTCACACCTGCGTCGTCGGCCCCATTTGCACAGTGTCCGTGATCCGCTCCTTTCCCTTGAAAACGCCGTGGGAAACAGCCCCGTGTCATGTCATGTCTGGTCGTTACTCTACGCGGCCCCATAACGCCAATGCAAATGCTATGCTCGAATCAAAATCACCGCAGTCATTCATCAGCCCCATAGAGAGGAGTCCCATCCTACGAGAAGCCCATCTTGGAGCCGATCCCCCTAAGACCAGCGCTGATGCCATCCCCAAACGACGAGTCCTTGTACGCCGCCTCCTTCGACCCTCCTTTGTCCTGTCGGACCTCGAAGCCCGCTGCAAGCATGTTGAGCCGCGTCAGCCGCAGGCGGAGCGTGTGGTCGTAGGTCTCGGCCATGGCGAGCGCGTCGGCGTGGACATTGTACCGGGGATTCGTGGGTGGGGAGATGAGCAGGCGGTCCACGAGGTCAATACGCGCGTCGAGCGTGCCGTTGTTGATCATGGTCTCGAGCTCGTCTTCTATGCTCCCGTATTCGCTCGTGAGCTGGAACTTTGACGCCATCTCGTCGAGCGTGACACAGCTGAAGGGAATGAAGTATTGGACAATGCTCTTCCTGCGGATGCGGCCGTAGATGTCGGAGAGCACTTTGGAGAGGTAGACGTCGAGGAGGTAGTCGTTGCGGTAGTTTTCGAGCACCTCGAGGCAGGCGGAGTACTTGGAGGCACAGAAGAGGTTTATGGCGCGACGGATGTGCGGCTCGAGCTCGAGGAAGTTGCGGAAGTCGTTGTTATCGAGGACGCGGTCTTTGAGCTGGCTGCGGTCCATGGAAGCAAGGGCACAGAGACCGCCGTAGACGGCAATATCGTTGCCTGTGATGACCTCCCGCTGCCATGTTATTCCTGCGGCGGGTTCGGCGGTCAAGAAAGCGGGGGAAGTGTTGATGAAGGCTGTTGCGGCGTCGCGGAAGTTGAGGGCTCCCATGTGTGCCAGACCTGCACAAGCCGATACAATGGGTTCTAGCTTGGCCTTCTCGTCTCCCTTTACCTGTGTGGAATCGACTTTCGCGATGTGTGACTGCACAGTCAGCCACGACTTCTGTGCTATGGTGACGAGGAGGAGGCGCAGTGTCATGTCTGCAAGGTGCTTCGGCGACGTGCAGTGCTCGCGCATGCGCATGTAGGCTTTGTGTGCCAGGCTGTAGTCGCCCGCGGCGTAGTAGAAGTGGCCCATGTCTTCGTTGCCCATCTGGATGACGTGTTAGCTACCTGCGCCATCGATCAATTCATGAAGCACTACGCACCCGTATGCTCTCCTTGATCATGTTGTTCTTGTAAGACTTCAGCTCGTGTTCTAGCTTATCCTTCTCCGCCTCGACCTTCTTCGTCCTTTCCATTGCCCATGTGGTGTCTGTCAACGCCGCTGGGTCATCGGGGGCAATCTGGGCGAACTCCTCAACTAAATCAAGGTACAGCTTCACGTTCTTGCCACGCTTCGCCTCTGCGATTGCGGTTCGGTATGCGTCGACGGCGAGATAGGTGGAGTGCGAGCCAATATGGCGAAGGCGGTCGGCACGCGTGAAGCCGTCATAGTTGGATATGTACGATTCGAGGTCGAACTTCGGGGGATCTATCCGCGTGAGCATGTATCAGAGATATCGTGAGTATGTAGCTACCTTTGACAACGATTTGGCCTTCTGACTTCCGCTTCTGGAAGAAGGGCGTGTCTGCGGCGTCCTTTGCCATGGCTGGCCGAGTTGTGTGGTTAGAGTGTAGAGCAAACGGCGAGCAGCTTGAGCTCCGCGTTGATGTTGATGCCTGCCCGCTTCCAATTACGTTAAGCGGGGGCTGACTAAGCGGGTTAACCCAACATCCTAGAGACATGCACCTCATAACCTTCATATCAGAAGCTTTGGGTCACATAAGCTCGCTTCCGCAACTACGCAAGGCTCTACGAATACAAGATGCTTCGAATTTATCTTCGATCCCACGTCTCCATGCTACCGGTCAATTGGCTACGATGCTTATCTAATATGTCTTGACGACGCTCAGCCCCTTCAACAGCCACTGACCCTATGTTTATGTGCCCATCCAACGTTCCAACTGTCTATTCTTCTGAGCGGGGATCAAGCCCTTCCGCTCGTACACCGAGTCTTCACTTGAGCCTGGCCTTCAAGGTTCCAAGGTTACCAAAGAGGCACGTGCGCAGTGATGCCTAACCAGGCCATGCGACCGCGCCGCAGTTGATGAACCTACCTCGCGTGTGATTCATCAATTCAACTCAAGGTCGCCTCGTCGCGTTCGCCCTTTTGATATGCGCCCTTCGTGACTCCACGCCACCCTCAGTCGCACGTCTGTTGCCTACGTGCATCTGCCAGGATGCAATCGCCCCTAGTGGGCTGGTGGCTGCGGGTCAAAGGGCGCGCCGTACAGACGTAAGTGTTCTTTTTGCCATCTACGGTTGTATGAGGGTGTGGAGCAAAAGTCCGGTTCTAATTCAGTACTTCATCAACCTCGCATCGCATCGCACAACAGAACGACAAGCACATGTCCACCGTCTTCTCCCCATCTAAACATATTCACTTTACGAAAAAAATACTGGAGAGAACATTTCCCAATTAGAGTTAGCCGGCTGACTCACATCCACTAGAAACACAAAGCTGGCCTCCAGGCAACGACTGCATCATCCACAAACACGTGACTGGTCGCATCTTTCTCCGAAGACTGATACAGCTGCACGATCACTTTCTACCGCCTGGAGATCTGAACCCAGTAGAACTCCAACAGCATCCACCAGCATTGCGCCTGTTGCAAAGATGTCAATTGACGCAAACCAAAGCGAAGCAGCGCGTACTGTCGCATCCACAACTGCTACGAATTTAGCGGTCGACAAGCAGACAGAAGGTGGGGCATCCCGCGATGGATCTACGCCTCCTGTAAAGCCTTCTGTCTTGGACTCATCTTTTCCGGTTCTTCTTCCTTATGATGATGCTCTGTTCATGGATCAAAACGGCTTCGACGCCTTAGTCAAGGAATTGGTAGGCCGTAGAGAAGCGCCGCCCCTGAAGAGGCCTGCTGAAGTAGAAATTCGACAAGAACCAGCAAAGAAGGCGGCATTCATCGAAGGTCTCGAGAAGCACTCCGCACACGCCCGAACCGCGCAAGAGCTTGCGGCAGAGAACAAGACCCTTACGGCGAACTCGGACGTTACGCACATCTCGTCTCAGAACCCGCTGGTAGACTTGTTCTACGACTTGGGTCAGAATACGCCTTCGATCCACCTCGATAGCTTGCTGGACGCTGCCTGGAGCAACGACCCTCTGACAACGCTGAAAATCGTTTTCAATGCTCGTAGCATCCATCTAGGCAAAAGCAACAAGGTTGCTGCGTACAAAGCACTTGGCTGGTTAGCTACAAACCATCCTCATACCTTGCTGACGAATCTGGTATGGCTGGTCCGTCCCGTGATCGAGAAGAAAGTACCAGGCGACAACAGCGAGAAGGAAGTCAAAAAGGCAAAAGGAGACAATCAAGATGAGCCCAGCCTGGTCATACTCGGTGGTCCAAACAAGGATTCTAAGGATGAAACCGAAGACTTTGACATAATCGACGCTGAGGAGGCTGCTCCCATCAACGAGACAACGGCTAAAGCGGAAATAGCGCCCGCCTTTACCAACGAGACCGAAGCCTTGGACCTTCTCAAAGCCCACGACGTTCGTTTTGGTGTTTCACACGGCTACTACAAGGACCTGCTCAATATGCTTGTACTTGCTGCGAACGATCAGCTGACCATCGCTGGGGATCCTTCCGCCTTGCTCACGCAAAAGCAAGACAGGTCCAAGGGTTGGAGGAAGAGGGCGCAGTGGGATGCTGCGCAAGCAAAAGCCAACCGTCGAGTTTGGAGAAAGCAACAGTATGAGCGTGTGACAGAAAAGCTGCAAACAGAGCCGTTCTATCGTGCCCTTCATCTGACCGTGGCGCGTATATTTGCCCAGCAGCTGCAGGAAGACCGCAAGGTTCTGGACTCAGACGACAAGTCGCACTTGAAAAATCTATCGCTTGCTGCGAAGTGGGCACCTAGCTTCGGCGAGTTTCACGATAAGCACACTTTTATCTTGAGCTCCATAGCCGAGATACTGGCCCCGAGAATGACAGACTTTGACTCAAAAGGTAGCGACAGCGCGAGAGAAACTTATCTTCGCCATGCTCGTGAGCACTTCCGAAGACAGTACAGCTCGCCGCTCCGTAAAGCACTCGCCGTAGTAGAGAGAGACATTGCGGCCCAGACGTTCTCCAACATCAAGTACGATCGCGTTCCTTCCCTTGCAATGGAACGCTACAGCGAACTATTCGCGAAGAAAGATCAGGAGCACTTCTTCGACTATGTCAAGAAAGTTGCAATGGGCAAAGCAAAGATTTCCGGGGCCACACTGCTCCCTTCCAAGCTTGTCGCAAAAGCTAGGAACCTGCTTACCCATGCCGACCCCCCTACCACTGCGGCGGCCATCAAAGCCCACGCTCAAGAGCAGGTGGTCCGCGAAGTCATCGATGGGCAGTGGAAGACGCTCGTCCAACGTGTCAAAGATTCCGGGGCCCTCTCATCCTCCATCGCAGTCTGCGACGTAAGCGGCAGTATGACGTTCCCCCAGCTCGACGACAAAACCACACCCCTGGACTCTGCGATCGGCCTCTCCCTCCTCGTCTCCGAAGTTACTGCCCCACCCTTCGGTGGCGGCTTTATCACCTTCTCCGAGACCCCAACATACGTGTCCGTCGGCGGACCCAGAGATACCCGCGGCCTCGTCGACAAAGTCCGATATATAAAGAATTCGACCTGGAGCATGAATACCAACTTTGTCGCCGTCTTCGAGGACGTCATTCTCCCCATGGCTATCAGGAACAATCTCACGCAAGAGGATATGGTGAAGCAAGTTTTTGTCTTCTCGGACATGCAGTTCGACGCCGCCCAGAGCGACTCCGAGCGCTGGACTACGAGCTATGAATACATCAAGAAGCGGTACACCGAAGCCGGCTACGAGGTACCGAAGCTGGTCTTTTGGAATCTGGCTGATCGGAGCTCGGTGAAGCCTGTGACGATGGAGGATATGAATACAGCGCTGGTATCGGGGTATTCGCAGGGGATGCTGAAGGTGTTCTTGGAGGGTGGGAATTTTGAGGACGAGATCGAGGTTGTGGAAGAAGACAGGGATGACGGTGTAGTAGAGGTCAGAAAGGAGAAGAAAGAGGGTCAGTTGGCGTTGGTTAAGAAGGCGGTTAGTCACCCTTCGTATGGCATGTTGAAGGTTGCGGACTAGGAGGTATGGTGTGTTTGATGGCACACGCGGCGCACAAGATACCCCACTCATGGCTTTTGAAGTCCAAGTGACTCTGCTGTTAGATGTACAGTCACTGTTAATGACATCTCACCTCTTTGCATCCTTACCAAGCCCCTACCAGCGAACTTCCCTCTTCCCTCTCCTCACTGCATTCCTTCTCTCCCACCCACCGTACTCCGACAACACGCCAACGCGCGACCAACCCGCTGATACTCCATCCCACCAGCCTTTGCGCTGCGATGCCAAACCAGACTGCAGCTTTCGCTCAACATGTGTGCGTAAGGAGTGAGATAAGCGCTGAAAGTAGGTGTCACTGTCGAGCGTTCGGATCGGTGTGTGAGGGGTAGGATATGTTGGGAGCGTGTCCTGCCTGCCGTGCTCAAAAACCCTAAAACCCTCCCGATATCAACAGTGTCAGGGACCTTGCGTTAACTTAAGCCAACACACTACCACGTTAGGAGTACATCTTCCACTATGCCGTGCTAATGCGCAATTCAACGAACGCACTGCAGCGAGCCTGCCGGAGTCACCAACCTTGCACTCTTCTAAAGACATAAGGACATTCTTCACATCCCCAATCGTCTACATCACACACAAAGACTGTCCAACTCAGAACTCACATATCAATGCAGGTCCATGCATAGCATTCAACGCGCTATCTACCTTGCCCACACACCACCCAGGTCCGCGCGCGGCTCCTATATACAAGCCCAATCGTCCTTTCCCTCGTAACCTTGCAAACAGGGGTATACACTCAAATGCCAGAATTAGATCCAATCGACAGATCGACACCGTCCGCAGGACGTATTAGAAGGAAAAACCGAGGTTCAAAGAAAACGCACAAGATAAAAAAACAGGTGGGGAGGAAATTTTAGCGACGCTGCGGAGCGCCGATGCAGGAGGACGAGCGCTGGCTATGTTACAGTACAAGTATAGCAGGAGAAAGGTCGTGTGGATGGAGGAGAATGTGGAAGGATGAAGATGTCGTAGCGGCGTTAAGACGAAGATGTAGATGTCGGCACCGAAGCCTGAACGGTGGTCCCGTTGTCGAACTTTATCGTGAACTGCACGAGGTCGATGGTGAAGACGTCAAGGTCCACCGAGTTCGACTTGGAGGACCCAGACCGGTCGTTGCTCAGGAAATTCTGGATGGATTCCTGCGCGCTGGCGGCGGTGTCGAGCTTGCCGCTCACTTGGAGCGACAGGAGAACGCCGAGGCGTGCGAAGTCAAGAGCAGTGGGATTGCTTGAGATTGGGACCGTGCTGGCCGCTGCTGACTTTGCGGAGACGGTCGCAGAGGCCGATGCGGCAGCGTTTGCGTTCTCGTTTGCGGATCCTACGTTACCAATGGCCTGGCGCTTCTGAAGGGTAGCTGGCTCAGGATGAGGCTGGTCGAGAAGAGGAAGCGAGCGCGAGGGCGTGGTGGAGGTTTCGACAAAGATAGGCATGTACGCAGCAGCGGCAGAGCGGGAAGCGAGTCCATTGAACGTGATGAGCGCGTTCTCGGCCGTGCAGCTCAATGAGAGACCGGAGAACAGTGTCAGGAGACGCGTGGAGTCGAGAGGGATCTGGAAATCGCTCTCAGCACTCTCGATGAGCCTGGGAATGCCCGAGCCCACGGTAGCATTGTTCGCAGTGCTCCCGATGCTTGTTGTGGTACATCCGGAGTCTCCTTCCGTGGCGCATGTCTTTCCCGTGAATCCGTTGATGCAGACACAGTTGCAAGAACGATCAGCGTTGGGAATCGCGACACCTCCGTTCTGGCATGTGATGATACCGCTGCACTGACTGTTCTGGCTTCCGGTCGAGCCAGTAGGTTGCGCAGAGCTGGTGGTGGCCGTGGCCGTACCCGTGCCTTGCGTGTCCTGAGCGGCTTTTCCTGCTTGATTCTTCATTTTCGGGATGACCACTAGAACAATGGGTATGATGACTGCGGCTGCGACGAGGAACAAGAGTACGATCAAGAGTGTCACAAAGGTCCACATGGGCATACCGCAGCATCTCCTCCGGCGCTCGCTCTTGCGATCGCTCATGGCAGAGTCTGCTCCATATTCGCCCGCCGCAGGCCACTTTGACATGCGCCTCTGGTCTGGTGTAGTTCCACGGACCGGCGTCCCTTGTGCAGGTGGAGGGAAAGCCGCCAGCATGTCGCCCATTGAATTCGAGTTGTGTTTCTTGTCGGGTGCTCCCGCTTCCCAAAAGTCCAGACCCAGCCGGCTTGCGGTCCTGCCTCTGTCGAGATTTGCAGCAAGTCGCGTCGCGCGTCTGATCAACTCTGGTAGGCTGGTCAAACTGCCGCGTGCCTCAGCCTCGCGTACTGCATCGACATCGAGACGTGGTGGACGAGGCCTCCCAGGGCGATCCGCAAAACCAGTTCCACGAGACCCTTGAAGGCGAAATGCTGGGCCTGCTAATGAGCCGTCTTTTTCTGGATCCATGTCCTTCTCGGGGTCTCTGAATCTTGCTTCAGCGTACGTGGGAGAATCCAGCGAAGCATCGTCGGGCGAAATCTCTCTTAGTCGCGCGGGGCCGTTCCCCCCAATTCCATCTCTTGCTGCAAGTACCGCACCTCCAATCCCTGCTTCCCACTCTTTCTCGTCGGGAGGCGATCCCTTCCGTTTTATCGATGAACTATCGACGGACTTTATGGTCATCATTGAAGGTTTCGTTCTTCGTCCCAAACTGGCTTGTCGAACAATCGCCGGCGTTACCAACCCGCTTCTATCGTCATGATCGCTCCCTGGCGAGAAGCGCCCGTGGTCACTTGTTATGGTCTCTTCATCGTCAGAGCGCACATACGGATCCTCGAAGTAGAGGTCTTCATTCGCAGGGATAGCCATACTCGATGCGAAAGACCCATGATGCGATCGTATTGTGTTTGAGCGAGTCTCCGCTTCTTCGGCGATTGGTGACACATAGGACATCTGGGTGTAGTACGACGATGGTCCTCTTCGAGCTGACGGGGGAGGTCCAAGGCTGGGTATGCGGCGCGGAAGTGGTTGTATGGCAGGCATCGGCGGTTGAGGTACGGGAAAGTCAGGTATCTCTCCTAACGAAGAAGCTTCCGAGGCAGCGGACGACGTGGTGAGTGGGCGCGATGAGGGACCAGATGTGGGCGAGAATGGGTCATCGCTGGTGAAGGAGTCGCGGTATCCTGGGGAAGGTTGTTGTATAGGTAATTCGTCCGACGTTGGGCGTGGTGGCCGTTGAGGCGGTGGTCCTCGGGTAGGCTGTGGTGGACCAGGTCTTGAATCCAGGACATCGTCAGCGTCGTTTGTCAAGGGCCACTGTGGAGTAGGAGAAAGAGCAGGTCCTGCATCTCTAGTTCCAGCTGGCGCAAGACGCTGGTTAGGCCTTGACGGCAATCCTATTATCTTTGACCTGTCCGGCAACTGCCCCTGTACTCTTGCTTCCTGTAACGCCTTCCGCGCTGCGCGTACGGACCCTTTCTTCGTGTCTCCATCCTCCTCTTCTCGCGCGCCGTACGTTCGGGCGGCGATTCGCGGATCGTAACTCATCAATAGTTCGGCGAAATGGTGGCGATGGTTCGTGTCTGTAGACCGACACGGGTCCGGTGGTTGTGTGGGTTGTTAGAGAGTCGAAGGGGGCGACGAGTTCGGTGACCGCTCCAGGAATCACGTTAAGGCCGTTAGCACTGTCTCAGATAGTGCGGTAAGGTACAGCAGGGCTAGTCTGTCGCAAGGACTCGGACGTCCTTGACGATGGGGTTGCCGTGCGATGGTGTGGGGATCAATAGCACAAGGCTGAGCTGAGCATGGAAGAGCGTCCGAGTCAATTACAAATTGGCTCCGCTCCGGTCTCCAAAGGCACTGCTATCGATGATAGCCAAGGCTCACGTTTGAGGAGAATCACTGTGGTTAGAGAATCGGACTACAGAGGTGCCGAGTGCCACGGTTCCTTGCTTGAAGCGGGTCCACGACGCTGCGAGCTCGGCGATGACAGGTCCAAGTGTTCGAAGCGATAGGCCAATTGTTTATGGATTAGGAATTATCGAAACCTATAGCCAGTCATGATCAGAAGAGTCCCTAGCATAATGATGAAGAAGCGAAGAAACGGCAAGGACAGTCCCAATTCAGCGGCTTGCGACAATGCGAGGATGGATAGGGATGCCACAAGACCACAAGATGTATCAGAGTTGATGACAGTGGACAGGACTTTGCGTGAGCAGGGTGGGTTGGGAGGTATATCTTGCGACGCTTCCCGTAACAGCATCGCGAAGCGGGACACCAGATGCGGGTTTGAGAAGGAAGCTATACGTACACTACAACAGCACGTCCTAGAGTGCAGTCCAGACAATGACTGTCAGAGATGCACGGGACCTGCCTCTCGAAGTGTGATCGAAGGTAACGATCAATTGCTCGCGAGATAAGATGCACCGGTGAGTGGGGATACGAATGGATAGGTCTAAATTGCCGAACAAGAGCTACACGACCAAAAGAAGAATTGAGAGAGCGAAGAGAAGATTGAAAATGCCAGCAGCGAATCTGGGAGAAAGGAGCGTCGTGCTTGCGAGCAGCATCCGACCAGCACCTGGAGTCGAGAGCGGTGGTGAAGACGACGAGAGGCAAGGCGGGATCAGAGACAATGTTGCCAGCACCAGAGACTTCGGGGCTGGCCCGCGCAGGGTGGTGGTGCAGGGCATGGCGGAGAGGCCTGGGATCCAGGCGAGAGCTTGGACTCTGGAACGGCCGTCGGGGGCAAGCGAAGCAACGCCATCCTACGTCGACGAGTCAGGGTTTGTCGCGATCCTGAGTGATTGGTGGGAGAGATGGTGAGACACGAGCGTGCACGAGGGTTCCCGCTCCACGCGGCCGGCCATTTTGAGGTGGCACATAGCTGGCTGCCGTCTTCTCTGCGCGCAGCTTAACTCCTGGTCGCTATCGCGCTGGAGACATGACGATTCATTGCGCATCGGAGTTGACATGACTGATGTTCGCAGTCAGCAATGTGAGGCAGCGGCTCGGGGCGGGCGGTCGCAGGCATGAAATTTCGGGGCAGATATATTGGGTGGTCTGTGCCGAGGTGTTTGAGGTTGACGATCCACCTCCACTGCTTCGGGCCAGGCCAGGCACGCTTTTCGGTGTGATGCCGCGTCGCGCTCGCATCCTGTGTCTGCATGAGACGGCCGCACAGTGCAGCCGTTCTTCGCACAGCACCGTGTGCATCCACGAACACCTCCAAGGTCGCCAGCACCCGTCGTGCATGAACAGCGACCCCGAACGGGATGCCTGCGACAAGGCAGAACTGTCACCGCGTACAAGAGTCAGCGCAAATGAGTACACGGTCCTGGTGTATATTAGGACTCCTGCCGCGCTGACATGGAGCCATGATGCTGTCTGTCGTGCTGCCGATGCGCAGGCGGGGCCTCAACCGTCGCCTTCTGTACTCGGGTAGCAGGCGAATCCTTCAGCGACCATCGAAAGTGCGTGGACGAGCCAGTGCACTGAACAGCATCCTCAATAGGCCTGAGTGCGGCTCGGGGACCGTCGAAGAGTGGAGAAGAGCTGAGGAGAATGAATTCTCCGCCGCTAGGGCTGGTGGGAAAGCGTAACCGTTGACATGTCGCGCTTGCTCGATAGTGTACGGTATGGCTCCACCTCTCATCTCTTCTGGAATCCACCACGTCGGCAGCCCGATCACGCCAGTGTGATATATTTTTGGAGAATCTGTCCATACTGATCTGCGTTGAGGAGTCGATTGTGGACATGTGCAACTTCACAATGGAGGCTCCGCACTTGGGGTAGCCACCTCGCGTCTGAGTGGGCTCTTCCATATCTGGACCCATCTTCATCGGCAACGTGCAGCGCACTTCCACAACGATGCGTTAGAGGTGGGCGCGACATGCAAACCAACACTCCGAATGGCCTTGTGTGACAGACCATGCGCTTTCCCTTGCAACCACTACTCATCATACCCTTCAAAGTGACACTGGCGCTTCCATCTCTGGACCGCTACACGACCTCTGCGTCTATGCATCGTTGCAGTCCCACAGTCTCAATGAATGCTAATCCTCATTTAGGGCACCGCTACAGACAAAGCTCACCAGCCGTTCAATCTCTCTGAAGAGGTTTTCATGTCGTCCTACAACGGCTGTTTCATGAAACGCTAAACAAACCACCCAGAACATCCGTCCCAGCACCACGGTCTGTCAGATAGCCGCCGGCTCGACGAGAAAACAGGCTGTTGACGCTCGCGTTTGGTGGAGCCAGGCCTATTAGGTTCAAGACTCACAATTCCTATGGCCCAATGGGAAGAACAACAAGCCAGTCCATCCAACTTCTCAACGGGCACAACGGCCGAGCGCGAAGGTTACACGGTCGGCTGGTAGCCCCAGCGGCATGCAATCCCGGTCCAGTGCAGCCTCTTTGGATGAATCTTTGATGTTGTTGAGGCAAGAATTGGAACCAAGATCGCCTCCGGAACCAGAAGGAGTCATCCTGTGTCACATTCAGTCTAAAGAACTTCAACCCAATAGAACAAGCTCCCAAGCCAAACCCCGCGATGCGACTGTCTCCCGGTCACCGTACCGATCTCTTAAGGCCCAGACTAACGAGCGCGTCCAATGTCGAAGAAAGCGACGTTGAGCTGACTGACTCGAATTCAAATGTATACACCCTACGTCGACCAGAAATCATGCCGAGAGCCAGTTGTCACGTCTATTGAATATATGACTGGTGGCGGAGATGAACTCACCTGCACTCGTACGGAACATCCTTATATTCCAAGCCTCCACATGCCACAGGCATGACAGCCACAAACTTGTCTCATGGAACGACATAAGTAAAATACATCGACCAACTATAGAGAACGGCCGGGGTTAAACTAGCCGGGATGGGAAGCTACTCTGACCAGAAGTACCGACCAGGGTTGCGACCTTGCACAAATTTGCGCGCGACATTAGGCTTAGATAGGACTGTTATAAGTATTTCAGAGCTGTTAGAGCTTGGGAATGATGCTATAGGTAGGAAAGTCTGTTTTGTCAAAGAACGAGGCTCTCTACGTATCAGGATCGACGGCGACAACGCATAATTTCGTTTTCACATTAAATGGGTTCTAAATGTCCAAGGCTAGTTGCAGCTGTTTATTTATACACACTTTCGGTAAAGCCAAACGTGTGCACAGAGTTGTACTTGCTCGGAGTCATAGTACCCCTCGTATCTTCCGGCACGGTGGGGTTTTCGGCACGCAGGGACAGACGTTACAAGAAGAGCTACAAAAGAGATAATCGCGAAATTCTGGAAAGAAGAGTGAATTGGCTCCTTTACGAGTTTACTCTCCTTGTCCCAGGCTATAGACCTGTAAAATGGTTACATGTGACCCGCCTCTCTTGTAGTTGGCCAAGCAAGCTTACGAAGGGAGACTTTCGACTGATTCGTCGAGTTAAGAGACGTCGCACAAGAACACGTAAGCAATGCCAGCTCATCCGCACAAGTTCGAAAGCGAGCTTGCTTTCCTCAGCCAGGTTTTTAACTCATTCAGCTTCTCCGCCATGGCTGATCCATTCTCGGTAACGGGTAGCGCTGTCGGCGTCGTCTCGCTCGCGATACAGATATGCAAAGGCTTAGTTTGGTACATTGACAATGCCAGAGGTGCAAAGGATAAGGTGACCCACATCTCCAGCCTTATGGAAAAGTTGACAGATCTTCTCGAACTATTGGAGTCCGTCATCGGAAAGCTCGAGCCTAGTATATCCGGGTCGGCAACCAAAGCGGGCATCGAAGCATGCGCAGAGGCTCTTGAGCAGATAAAGAGACGGATGGCAGACAACGGCAGGACAAGCGACTCTAAGTTCCGCCAACAGCTCAAAATGCTCAAACATCGCCTCTCGTTCCCATTTAAACAAGATGACATCATGTTTTGGAAAGACATGGTGGAGAGCATCCAGCAGAATCTGCATACGGCGCTATTAGCACTTCAGATGTAACAATCCAGTCACAACAGATTCGGTACGACGCTAAGACAGACAGCGATCAACAACGACTTGGTTTTGATCGAGTCATGCTCCAGCAACGGTCACACTATGAAGGGACTAGCCTTCAGCTCTCCCAGCAGACACAACTCATTCAGTCAAGTCTATATTCCTCCGAGCAACAATTACGCCTCATACATCAAGGTGTTTCAACGATGCAAACCAGCTTTGACCCAGTATCAACAAATGTGGCCAGTATTACCATGGCATTGCCGTATCTATTAGAGGCTATAGCGTCAATCGTCTGTTACCTCCACGAAATAAAGTGTTTACGCTAATACCGACAAGGAAGCGAAAGTCGACAAGCTCACAACACACACAGCCAATCCAGATGTCATCCAAGAGAACATTGCCGACTTGAATCACCTAGCACATGGAATGCAACAAACAGTCTACAGATCCTCTAAAAAGCGATACATCGGCGATCCTTGCCAATGCCGGAAACGAGCAAACTCCACTATCTATCTTCAATGGCCAGTTTGGTTATCCCGAACGTATACAAGCATACATAAGCCCCATTGTCCACATGCAACGTATGAAGATAGCATCATTGACCTCGGCCTCAGATTCTCCATTTGCTGCCTCGCTTTGAAGAGGAAGATACAGCTGACTTTTTCTCTTTCGCGTAATGCCGGCTCATCAACAATACGTCCGAGTTTGAGAACGGTCCGCATTGTTGGTCCGGATTCCCCAGCATTTGAGCTGGTAAGGGTCGTCAGGGAGGATCTGAGTACAAACTATAGCCTCGATGCATGGGAGATACACGCACATAAATTCTACAGACTGTTTGAGCAGAGATTGGCCTCTCCGCATGATCAACTTGCAAATGGGCAGACATTGGTACATGTATGTATCACCTATCGACCCGTTCGTGATCATTCTACAGCTAAAAACTTCCAAGTTCTTTTGCTCGTATATCAGTAGGTTTTATATCGATGATGACCGTACAGCGGAGAGAGTCTCCACGAATTTCCGTTTTCTGGCAAAGCGCCTTCTTTATTACATGCCCGACGAAGCCAGGGAGAAGGACGATCATGGATGGTAAGACCACCAATCACCCTGATGAGGGAAGACCTGCACCTGGCTACGTAAGCGGCTAATCTCATGTGTCCGCGTTACAGCACATGCATTGATTACTTCACCATGGAATATCACAGTGACTTCATCAAAGAATTCTTGAATCACGGTGTTCCGGTTACCATGTGCTCGATACTGCCTCGCATGTCCCATGTGGGCTTGTTACTCACACGCGACGGATTCGGCTTGCAACAATTGGATGAGGACCTGCTAGATTGCCCCGAGATATTGAAGGCGATAATCAAGAGGTCAGAGAGTCAATTTAAGACAGAAATTGCAAGCAGGGACGGCACCATACCTACCATTGGCAGCGACTTGTCATTGTATGAGGCAACAACCTTGCTAGGATGGACAAGAGGCTGCCAGATTTTGCTCGACTATGGCGTCCCAATTCGGGTTCTGAGCGGTAGGACCAACTTATTGCATGCGGCAATACGTGCAAAACACCTAGATGTTCTGCGTTTTTGGTTGAGTATTAGGCACGACCTTGACAAAAATGCATTAGAACATGTCGGTTATATCGAAACCGGGTTACACGTAGGTCAGCTCGACTCGGTGTGGGTCCACACCCTAATGCTTGCGCTACTTAAGCAACGATATCGACTACAGGACCTTGCGGAACAACATCTTCCTAAGGACCAACTCCCTTCCAATCCGGACAAATGCCTTGATGCATGCGCTGGGCGTATTTTTGATGCCCTAGTAGATCGGGGTGTCACCGTCAAACCTTCTCTGAAGCCAATTGGAATTGGCATTCACTGCAACATGTGGGGCCCCTGGCAGCAGGAGGTCGCGGATGCGTTATTTTTGACCGGATTCCAGGACATCAGTGCGGAAGATTACCGTCAGGACGGAATCGAGTCAATATCGCCACTCCTAACCAACCTTACGGAGGTACAAACATCACGACACTGCATCTGGAAAACATTGGATATGGCACAATGGTTCATGTTAAAAGGTGCAGACTTTGAGGAGAAGTGGCCCGGTTCTGATGTCACATTATCGCACTGTTTTGGTTCGACATTGGGAATTCACATTATCGATGCTAAGGACGAAATCGACCTGTATCTCGATGAGCTTCATCTAAGCTTCTTCACCAGCGACTGCTCAGATTCCTGCTTATGCGGATGCAGTACATCTGGTTGCCTCTTCGTCGCCTTTTTCTTCAAGGGCTTCACTACTGGAGACGTAGGGACATATGCTCATCGATGGTGGAGAACTCCGTTCAGAGCCATGCTACACTGGGCAAGATTATCCGGCCCAACGCCTTCAACTGAATTTCTTGATGAGAGATCTAAGAACAGGTGGCTTGTGACTGAGGTCATTCGGCTTGTAACATTCTTCAAACTTGGTCTTCGACATAGCGGACTTCCGCGAGGTCACATTTCGCCGATTCGCTACACAGAAGACGAGATCAAGGAGATACGGCAGGATGACGAATACCTTCTTGACCAACTGGAGCGCCTTATGGTGGAGTTCGATGCTAAGTACGATTCTTTAGTCAGCGGTGACACGCTCGAGGATTTGGACAGTTTTTTCGACAAAATTTGGAGACCAAGAATGGAAGAAGTCCAGAGAAGTTTGGAAAAAGACGATATAGAGCTATACGGTAATGGACGCCGAGGCCTAGGGGTAGTGATGGACCGAGAAAGTGAGTACGATAGTGAGGATAGTGACTACCTATCCGACGGAAGTGAAACCTCCACCTCTGGTAAGGGCTGGGGATCGGACAGAGACAACGTGGACTTCCGATGGCGACTACTAGAGTGTTAAATCCAGAAAGGGTAGCTAATCCTAAATGGGTTAGGGTTGGTTCTCAGGCAAGACTTACGGAGGGAAGGAGAAAGGGGTTCTTATTAATATAGAAGTATCTTACAAAGTATAATAAGTTAATAAGGAGGGCCTAAGTAAATCTAAATAATAGATTAAAACTTAGGTTAAATATAAGAATTAATAAGATTCTTCTATTCCTATATATATAACTAATCCTATAATATTCTATAGTTTTATAAAATCCTAAGCATAGGATCTATAGGATCCTATAGTATATTATATAACCTTTCTATTATATAGTTCTAGTGTTCTAAGGCTTAGCGTATAGAATACTATAGAATATTACCTAATCCTTTAGTAGGGCTATAGCTACCTTTTATTATAAGTAGCTTTCTTTCTATATTAGGTCCTAGATCCTAATATTACCCCCTTTCTCCCTTTTATATACCTTTATATAATAATTAATATCCTTTTATAGTACCGTCTATTATTATACTATTAGTAATTAAATAAACGCTATTAGGTAGATTACTATAGTGTCTTATAAATATTACGTTAAGAAGGATTTAGCGTATAGGATATTATTATTAAAGGTGTAGTATAGGAATTACTATAAAAATAGTATTTCTAAATATAAGCTATCTAAGCTAGTTATTATAAGGGGTTTCCACGTACCTAACCTAGGTCGGACCTTACGGGTATTTAGTGGATAAGAGTGGATAAATAATAATAAGGGAGTAAAAGAATATCCTAACCTTACTATAGAAGGCAAGGTAATAATTATATAAGAAGACTAATAGATCTTAGTGTAGAAGATATACTCTAATTTTAACTATAGAATTTTAACTATAAAGAATAGGAAAGATTCTAAAGTTCCTTTAAACTATATACTATTTTTTATTATCTAGGAGATTCTACCTAGACTCTAAAGTCCTAGGACCTCCTAAGGTTCTTAGGGCCTTTAAGGTCCCTAGGGTCTCCTACTTATACTAGGCCTTATTATATAATAGATAATATAAGCTACCTATCTAGCTAGCCTATAGGGCTTAATTTAGCTTACCTCTACTATTAATATCCTAAGTATAATCCTCCCTACTCGCCTTACTTAGTTCTACTATAATTATAACATTATTCCCCCCCTTAGAAGTATTATCCTAATACCCTAGTCTAGCTTCCTATAGTATAGCTAGCCTATTAGTACCTATTAGACGTATAAAGGTGCGCTAGCCCTCTTACCTACTTAGGTTATACCCTAACCTAGATTTCCCTTTCTATCCTAAATATGCCTAAAGCTCCTCACTTATTAGTTTAGAAATATTATACTTATACGCTAAAAGTTAAATTCTAAAGCCTTAAGATATTACTTAGTTATAAGTATTATTAGAAGTTAAAACTCTACTATTTTATAGACGCAACCTTAGGTTAATATACTAGTTATATTTTAGCTTATACTAATTATAGCTTATAGGTCTCTAAGGATAATTAGACCTTAGTTTATAAAGAGAAGGAGTAGAAGTAGTTAGCTCTTCTTTAGGTATATACTAAAACTACCTACCTTAAACTAGAGTTAGCTAAGGTTAAGGTAAAGAAATATTCCTTTACTTATTATAATCTCTAGGTTACTAACGCGATAGATTAGTTATAAGAGAAAGGCTTAGTAGAGGGTAGGGCTTCTAATAGTACTTATACACTATTACTATTTTTACCTTTATTTACTAATTCTATCTAGTTATAGGCTAACCCTTCTTTTAATCTTTTAGCTTTTACTACTACTTTTCCTAACCTAGTTTCTACTATACTAGCTTATAATCTCTCTAAGGGTATCCCCTTCCTTAGTAGAAGTTCTTTAGTAATTCCTTATAGTTTATAAGGTTTCTTATTAGCTTCTATATATTATACTATTCTAGCCATTCTTTCTATTTAACTAGGTATCTCTACTAACCTTTAACTATTTTTAGGTTTTTAATATTCTTAACTTTATACTTATTATCTTCTAGTTCTAGCTAGGTCTTAATTAGAGTATCTGGTAGTACTAGTTCTAGGAGGTTTTTATAAAAGGTATTATATACTTTAGTACCTATAGGTAAAAGTAATTTATTTATAACTAGTCCTCTAACTTCTTATATTTTAAAGGGGCCTACCTATAGGTAATTTAGTTTTTTACTTTACCTTTTAGTTTTTAGATTTTTTTATAATAGGAAAACTTTATCCCCCTTCTTAAAGGTTAGTCCCTTAATCCTTTATTTATTTATATTTTTAGATACTAAGAGGGATTTTTACATAATTCTTTTATATAGGATTTTATAAAGTTCCTTTATTTTCTAAGCTTTATTATAAACTCCTATAGAAAGGCTTTCTACATCTCTAGGATTCTAATAAATAATTAGTTTATATCTATAGTTAGTATAGTGTAGAGAGTACCCTATTAAGCCTAACCTAGAGCTATTATACGCTAATTACGCTATAGGTAAGAGTTCTACCTAGTTATTTTACTATTTATTTACGTAGAACTAAAGATACTATTCTAGTATTTAGTTTATTTATTCTATTTATCTATCTATTTAAGGGTAGAAACTTATTAAGAGTTTTCTATATATTCCTAATATTATAGTAAACGTATTCTAGTATTTAGATATAAAGAGTTTATTATAGTCTATAATAAATTCTTTAGGTGGGCTATATTCTATAAATAGTATATTATCTACCTTATATACTAGTTTCTCTACTAATATAGACTCTTCTATTAGTTTAAACTTAGTGGCTTTTGTAAGTTAATCTACTATAACTATAATAGTATTATATATATATTTTATTCCTAGTTATAGTAATTTTAGGAGTTTTACTATAAAGTCTATTATTACGCTTTACTATGGCCTCTCTATAGATAGTAGTGGTTATAGGAGTCTATAAGGCTTATGTCTTTTAGGCTTATTTTTATAATATACTAAATAGTTACTTATTTCCTTTATAACTTTTTACTTAAGTTTTAGAATAGCATATTTATTTATAATATAATATATTATTTCTTTAATACCTAGGTACCCCTATTCCCTAGATCTATATAGCTTCCTAATTAAGATAGGTGTATATTAGTCTTTAATAATTACCCTTTATTAGTGGTCCCTCTAGGTTTTATTAAAACTATTCTAGAATAGATTATATTTTTCTCTTTATTCCTTAGAGAGTTAGGAGTAGTCTTATAAGTTATATACCTTTAGTCCTATATACTAGAAAGAGGCTACTTAAGTTTTAATTTTTAGTTAGTTATATTCTAACATTCTATCCTTACGCGCTTATAATATAGTATTATAAAGATTAGCCTTATTCTCTATTAGGTCTAATCTTTGGCTTAAGGCGTCTATAGCGCTGTTAAGCGTTCCTAGTTAATAGTAAATAGTAAAATTAAAGTTTACTAAGAACTCTACCTATTATACTTATTATTAGTTAAGCTTCTTAGTTAATATAAAGCTAGTAAGGTTTTAGTAGTCTATCTATACCTTAGTTTTAAAGTGCGCTCCTATAAGTTAAGCTTTTTATTATTTAAAGGCGTCTACTACCCCTAGTAGTTCCTTATTATAAATATTATAATTAAGTTCTACTCCTAAGAACTTTTATAAATAGTAGAATACTAGTCTCTACTTTTTATCTCTATCTAGCTATAAGAGAATTACTCCTATTATATAGTTAGATATATCCGTTTTTACCCTTATAGGTTTCCTTAGGTTAAATATCTAGAGTAAGAGTACTATAAGAAATATTTCTTTTAGCCTCTTAAATACCTCTAGAGGTCTTCTAGTAATTAGCTAAATAGCCTTATTATTCTTTTTCTTAGTAAGGTCTATTAATAGTACTATTATCTTAGAATAATCCTTAATAAACTTCTAGTAAAAGTTAGTAAACCCTAGGAAGAACTAAATATCCTTTACTAACTTAGAAACTAGCTATTCTTATATAGTAGCTATCTTCTTAGGGTCTATAGATACTCCTTCCCTTAAAATAATAAATCCTAGGTACTCTATTTTTATAACGTAAAACTTATATTTATCTAGGTATAGGAGTAACTTATACTCCTTTATTTTCTTAAGTACCTTCTTTATATGTTCTATATATTCTTTTAGTGTCCTACTAGAATAGATAAGTATATTATTAAGGTAGGCTATATAGAACATATCTAAGTATTTATATAGCGCCTTATTTACTATAGCCTAAAACGTTATAGGCGCGTTTATTAGTCTAAAAGGCATAACTATATATTTATAGAAACTAAACTAGGTCCTAAACGTAGTTTTCTACTTATGGCCTTTGGCTATCTATATATAATAATAACTATTACGTATATTAAATTTAGTAAACTATTTAGTCCTATAGAGCCTATTTATTAGCTCTATTATTAGTAGTGGAGGGTACTAGTTCTTAATAGTAGTATTATTTAGCTACCTATAGTCTATATAGAGTTATAGCTTACTATTCTTCTTAGGTACCTATAGAATAGGGAATACTATAGGGCTCTAACTATCTTAGATATAACCTCTTACTAGATTTTTCTTTAAGTATTCCCTTAGTTTCTATTCCTAATCTATAAATATTAGCCTTAGCTATTCTAGTTATAGTTTTATGCCTTCTTCTAGTAGTATCTTATAATTCTACTCCTAGTAGTTAGGGAGTTTTTCTCCCTTAATTTCTTTAAAGAGTTCCGTATACTCTTTATATTCTAGTAAAATAGTTATTTCTCTTATTCTTTCTTAGAGATCTAAGCGTTATATCTAGATAATTCTTACTTATTCTAGGTTTTCTCTTAGGATTTTAGCTATCTAGATAGCTAAGATCCCCCTAGTCTATCTTTTAACCTACTTATTTAGAGTTTCTAGGGTTATAGGTTGCACCTACTTAGTATATTAGGTGCTAGTAACCCTTAAGATTACTCCTTAACTCCTTATAGTCTATTTTACCTAATCTATATTAGGGTTATATATAACTAGCTAGTTATATCCTATAATAGC